CCAACAAAATGATCGGCAAACTTACTTTGACTGGGCTGCGAATTGCAATGCACAACTAACTGCATCCTCGTATTCGCCTCCTTCATGAGATATATCATGGTCGATTTCATCGTGCCAGTGGTCTTCAGAAGTCAGAAAACCCATGTTGTCATCAGGGAGGGCGCCTGAACTCGCAGCGATGCTGCTAAATGCCCTGCGTGTATCTGTAGGTAATGCTATTGAAAAGATCAATAAAATAAACGAACAGGAGAGACTTGATTACGCACACATCAGGTAGCCTCGACGCTGTTTCAGGCCGTCCTGCACCTCCTTAGCAACTCGAGCACCAGACTTGAATTGCCCTTCCCATGCGTTTGCGAAGTTGCATGCCGAATTCCAAGAGGGGACCTTGAGTTTTGAGGCTGCTACATGCCTACCACGCCGATGAGACATGATGGAGAGAAGGTGAAAGCAGTGGAGAAGAGCGAAGAGGCGTTGACGCAACGTGCCCATGTGGTGCCACGTAGCCGATATCTTCCGGTGGCGATGCGATGCATGCTAGCACGATGCCTTGAGGCAATCATTCAGAAAAGGTTAGAGTGCTGGGTGGGTGGGTTGAGCTCGTTGTGTCCGACGACGAGCAGCACGGCTGTCAAAACATAAGTCACGGGACTCGTGGGAGACGTTGTTGATCAAACGATAAGTCACGGGACTCGTGGGACGCGTTGTTATTGATCTAATCAATTATTGTTATCTATTTAAGTCACGGGACTCGTGGGACGCGTTGTTATTAATCTAATCATTATCAGGGAGATTATCGTTATCTATTGTTATCTAAATGATCTAATCCCCAGGCTATGTACACCTGAAGTACCGAGGTAACGCTGGTGGTATTGCTGGTGTAGCGGAGTAATGGATTCGAGGGTTATAACCCCCGGAGACCAAATTAGGCACCGAGCTATATAAAGGTGAGATCTTATGTCACTCAGGTGAAGTAATTCATGCCCATTACTGTGTGTGCCACTGCCAGTGTGTGGGAACCACCCCCGTCACTTATGTATAGCGCGCTCTTTCCCCAATGCTATACTGACGCTTATCGTAATTCTATCAGTCACAGCAGACTCGTAGTATTCGCTTTAGACCTCACAAGTCCTTCGTCCACTCTTATCCTGTCACCATGAGTGTCGAGAAGCGCACAAAGTCTATTGACCTATCCCACCACCTTTCCGAGCTATCCAAGGCTAGGGCAACCTCTCCCTTGAAGGGGCTCATGAAGTACTTCTCACAGCCAGGAATTCTGGCCCTCGGAGGAGGTCAACACTTCTCGTTTTATAAACTGATCATATCTAATTTGACTTGACAGGCCTGCCTAGTCCTGCGTATTTCCCCGTCTCTGACATTTCTGCCAACGTTTTGGTGCCAGAGTCATTTGCTCTCGCTCCGATTGAGTCGTCTACCTCGTTTACATGGCTATGGAAGCTGTTCGGTAGCCAGAATGCAACCAAGGAGAAGACTCAGGCTGTCACCATTCCCAAGTACACTACCGTTGACGGGGATATCAACCTTGCAAGCTCTCTCCAATACGGTGCAGCAATCGCACAGCAACAGTTGCAAGTTTTCTTGAAGAACTTTATTTCCGAGGTCTATCAACCAGCTTTTGAGGACTGGACAGTCCTCATAGACACTGGTAATACAGATGGGTGCGCCAGTTCGATTACGGTACGATCCAGTTTGTAATGATAGCAATTCAGGTGGTCGAGAGCCGTCACGACGCTGTGCAACCCTGGCGAGGGCGTGCTGTGTGAAGAGTGGACTTACCCCTCCGCCATTGCGTCGATGCTCCCTTCCAATATCAAGCCTGTACCTGTGGCCATGGATGGATTAGGCATGAAGAGCGATGCACTCGAGAACTTGCTGTCGCAGTGGGACCCAGTTTCACGCCAGATGCCAAGGTAAGATGGTTTACAAATGCGGAATTTTGCCCGTATCTGAACCTCCCTTAGGCCTCATGTTATGTACATCGTGCCTGTCGGACAGAACCCAAGCGGCTCGGTAAGCATGCGCATATTCTTTTGTAGACCGGCCTGGGAATGGATTCTCACGATTGATGCATGCAGACGATGAGCGTTGAACGCAAGAAGCAGATTTATGATATCTGTGTCAAATACGGTGAGCACACTGTTTTAAGAGGAATTGGCTTATTCGGCTAGCTAATTGACCTGGGCGCGTAGATGTGATAATTGTCGAAGATGATCCATATTATTTTCTTCAACTAGGAGATTACACATTTAAAGGCGACAGGTCCCCTGGTGCAACGGCTTCTGGGAAACCGTCAGCCGAAGAATCCAAGCGATATGTCTCCACTCTGAACCCTAGCTTCTTGAAGTATGGACCCTTCCTTTTGTCTCGTTATTCCGTTTCACAATTCGGTCCAGTTTTGACTACCAGGGCCGCGTGATTCGTCTCGATACCTTCTCCAAGGTAACGCACAGAATATACATTTACATACTGTCGTTGACGACCATTTATCAGACCATTGCTCCTGGTAGTCGACTAGGATGGTTCACGTGCAATCCTGTCTTTGCAGAGAGGTTGGAGAGGCAAGGAGAAACATCAACTCAGGCTCCGTGTGGTTTCGGACAGGTATTCGTGCTGCTCCCTCGTCGAATGGTCATATTTACAACGATTTTACAGGCTGTTATAACAAAGATCTTGACGCATTGGACCTACGATGGTTACATCCGCTGGCTCAGGGGTGCGTAAATGTGTTCACCCATTCGAATCACCATTGACGCAATTCCCTCAAGGTCTGCGGACAGAGTATCAGCAACGCCGCAATTTCTTTATTGATTGTCTCGCAGATGAGTTCCACTTGAATGCGGTTCCTGCTGTCGCAGGCGTCTGGCAAGGCTGTATCGCGTACGAGGCTTCGTCCAAAGTCAAGAAGAGCACGAGTATGACCGAGAAATACTCGACCCGGAATCGTACGATGTTCAGTTTCGTTCCACCAGTTGCGGGAATGTTCGTATGGGTAGGTCGCGGCTCAACCTGTTTGCTTGCATGTGGTGTCCATTCTAAGTTTCGCGTGTCAGATGAAACTTCATCTCGACCAACATCCCTCATTTACCCCGGGAGATGAAGATACCTTGGAAACGAAGTTATGGACGAAGTTGGCGGAGAACGGAGTATTGTTTGGGCCAGGATGGATGTTCGCAGCCAATGCGTTGGACGGGGACTCTGAGAACACCAACGCCGGCCACTTCCGCATCAGTTTTAGTAATGTCGATGTAAGTTTGCAAATCCAATGCATTCGAACGCTCTGCTAACGACTTGATCCCGAAGTTACCCGACCTCAAGAAAGCGGTCACTATTTTTGGTCGAGTTGTCCGAGAGTTCTTTGAAGAGGAGGGCCTGTAGTTGCTGTTTTGGCGGTTGGGACATCTTCTCGATTTTGTTTTCTCTTATGCGTCACAACCTATTATTTTCTATGCTCTGCTGTGCCGTGGTTTATTCACGGGGCACTTGGATTATATATGTATATCTCCAACGAGCGCTATAGACAATGGGCCGACTTTTGCCGGCAGTGTAGACGAGGCGTCAGAAGTGTTGTGTGAATACTCGTTGTCGTGCATCACATATCACAATTTGAAAACAAGTTAAAGTGACGGTGATTGAGAGGTACTCAGCGCTCAGCGATGGTGCCAATTTAGTTGCACTTATCTACCGAATCGACTGCAGAAAGCTATAAACTCGAAGGAGAACATTTGTATGGTACGATATTCGGAAGGTGGGGTTTTCAGTGATGGCCGTTGGAGATGTCTAAGGCACGTCTGCAATTTTTGGGACGTTTATTGAATGAAGTGCCATCATCGTGTGGTGTAGCCTAACGATGGCGATTTGGGTTAATCGCTGATGGAGAAAAATGAAAGCCGGACAACTTGGAATGAGAGTGCATTACTCCCAAACATGATCGAGCGTGCAGTCAACAAGAGTGTTTTAGTCATCTAGTTTACTATGTAAACTGCACCAATGCTAGATCCCGGTGTTCTTCTATTGCTGTCATCGCAACAAACATCCCCGGGCCGTTCTGTGAGTGGTCGTGAAGAAGTTGTGAAGCGGACACATGCGATTCACTCTAGCCTACGCTTTACCGTGATGGACTTCCGATCACAAGGTCTGACAACCGTTAACGCAATCATCGATATTAGAACACCACTGAGCGGAAAACTTACACCATTCGATGTATATATTGTCATAAAGGCAGTGCGGCACGATTCAGAGAATGATCTTCTTCTGGCTCCAGACAAAATACTGCTGACGAGGCATGCAAATGAGTTTGTAATGCAGTATCGAAGATCAACGATTAGGATGCCACCGTCACCTGAATATCCACAAAAGTGAACGAGGGACGCGCCGTGATAAATATGAGTGTCATCCGTGCGCGTGTGTACAAGGCAGTCAAACTGCACCACAAGTTGAAGTACAAGTTAACCATTTGAAATACTGTAGAGATACACACCGAAACAACTTGAACGTTATACAGGGGATTCAACGATATCGATGAGGGGACGAAATGTGTAGCTGCAAATGCGGGAGACAAGCAAAAGTTAAGTGCCGGGCGCTCTCGGTGACCTTGTTTGTTCACATGCCTCGAAGTCGGGGTCTAATTGCCACGATGGAAATGCCGAATAGCGAACAGTTCATATATATCGGACACGAGGCGCCTCTTCTAGACTGAATAGCGAACCCTGAACCCAGTTATCACTGCCACGATCAAGACTTGCCCTGCGCCCAGGGTATGATGCTGTAACATTCTCGGGATCAACTCTTCACAATGATGCGTTCCATCGGTCCTTCGTCGTGCCTTGCGGCTGCGGTGAATTCAGAGGCTTTGGAGCGCAAACCAGTGCCCTCGTTGCCCAGAACCCATAAAGGGCATAGAAAAGGCAGCGGGACGCGCAGCAACGTCTGCTGTCTGTTCCCATCCTGCTCGATTTATACAGATGCCTGTGAGTGTTTCATCCTGGGGTGTCGCAGTAGCATATCCAACCGTTCTTCAAGGTACGCGTAATATCCAGAGATGAGTACTTGCTACTCGCCAAGGTCGCAGAGGAGGCGGAGCGTTATGAAGGTCCGTCCATGCAACATTCCTACATGCCGTTCTTATTCTAGGCTGTCGGTTTCATTAGATCTCGTGGCGCAGATCAAAGGCTTGACGCAGACGTACGGAGCATTGACCATCGAGGAGAGGAACCTCCTCTCCGTTGCCTACAAAAACATCACAAACTCACTTCGTAGTAGTTGGAGAGTGGTCGATTCTTTGGAGAAGCTTGAGTCTGCTAGACCCTCTACACAGTCAAAGCATCAGGTTGCCTTGATCCGTCGTCAGCGGGTTCGCATTGAGAAGGAACTTACAGATGCCTGCAAAGACATCGTGAAACTGCTGAACGATAGCCTTTTGGCTACAGCCAAAGCTGGGGAAGAGACCGTATTCTATTATAAGCTGTGAGCTCCTTCTCTGGTCTATGTTGATCACTGTCCCATCGTTGCGTCCAGGAAGGGCGATTACTATCGATACCTCGCTGAATTCGCGCAGCAACAAGAACGCAGTCGGTATTCGGATTTGTCACTTGCCGCATACAAATTCGCGTACAAGCATGCACTTGCCATGCTGGAGCCTACGCATCCAACAAGATTGGGTCTGGCTCTGAATTTTGCCGTCTATTACCACGACGTCCGTAAGAGTCCAGAGAGAGCATGTCACCTGGGCAAACATGCATTCGACGAAGCGGTCGCATGCCTAGACGATTCATCATCGATGCAAGTCATGCGTGATTCGATGATGATCCTTCAGCTTCTGAGAGACGATCTTGTAATATGGTCCAGTGAGATGCAAAGAGGTAAATGTTGTCTCCGGATGTAGTGTTCTGTCACTGATTAAAACACGCAGATGCTGTCAGCAAGTGACCCTAAGCTGGGACTACATGCAGCTTGTCTTTTCTTTTTTCACGATGTCTAGTCTAGTCTCCCGTCATGAACCCTATTTATGCCACATCATTTGTCTCGCAATTGAAGAAATGCATTCCAACACATACCGTACATCGCATGATAGGAGCTAATCTTGAGCAAATGTTGCAGCCACAAGAAGCGGAAATACTAGTGTTGCATCAGCAAACACCTGAGGTTCCACATGAGATGTTATTACAAGACAAAACATCAAACGAAGGCACCTTGACAGACTCCGCATCGGCACGAATTTTACCCCAGGAGACCGCCTCATCTGGTCGGGCGCCAGAGTCTGAGCCATCAAATTCTTGACCTGTGTTCTGTGAGCGAAGAATGACATCAGTGCGGCCGAGTGCTTGTGTTTGAAAATACTGACTATGTATACAGAGTAATCGGCACCATTTCGCTAGGCGGGTCAGACTTCGAATGATGTTATTGACAATATAACTTACTATTAGCATTGCGTTCGCGATTTGATGTTTGCAAACTCCTCCACCAAGGATAATCATCCCAGCTTTCTTTGATTTTCTAGAGAGTTCGTTCAAAGCGCGGATGTCGCGAACAATATCCAATATAAGCCCGGGATTCCGGAAAGAATGGAAATATATCATGTCCCCCAGCGAGCCGTCAGTGAGGGCGGGGCAGAACACGGGTATGTCGTTCTGAATGTGGGGCTCAGCTGGTGCGAGTGGAAGCAAATTATGCATGCGTTCACTTTATAAGCCCAGTAATAAACAGATTCTTCGTTATTTATTTCCTTTCCTAGTCGTCGGATGAATGAGCTTGGGGACCATACTTCCCCGGTTGCCTGCTGCTCAGCCAGCATGGTATCCAGGATGGGCAACAGCCAGTCCTCAAACTTGCAATAATTATCGTTGGGGACAATGAGATTCCCTATCCTATTCATTCCTCGGCTTCGCAAGTCGGCGCCGTCCATGTTAAAGTCGGCCAGGTAAGTCTTGCCGAGGCATTTGATGAAATCCTCCTCGATCCCACCTGCAGTTGTGACGATCGCAGCAACGTGCTTGTGCTTGACGAGGTACAGTATGATCTCACGCAAACCCGACGAAATCAGATTGGATGTGTACCCCAGAAAGATGTCACATCGTGTTTGTGCTCTGATCTCTGGTGAAAGGTAATCTTCAGACTCATCAACCGAGATAGGCTCGTCAGATAGACGCCATTTCCGCTAAACGGATATATCTTCAGTACGTCACATAGGCCCTGCAAACTATGAGCACGCACCATTTTGTCAACGATGTCAATTGCCCTTCCGAGGCTGCTTGCCTGAAATCCGATCCGCTCATAACTTTTAAGAAGTCCCTGAAGGGATGGTTCTTTCTCGAGATCAGGCCCTTGGACAGATATCGCCGAATCCGGGATGGGCTCGGAAGGTTGTAGCACCGCTGCAGATGCTTGTGCAGGCACTGCGGTAGACATACTTGATGGAGGAGACGAAAATCTGACAAAAATAATATATTGCCTCACGGCAAAGTCCGGAGACACATACTCGGCGTTTGGGGCTACATTCAGTAACTGGAACCTCTCTGCGAAGCAGTCACTGCCCGCATTGAACATGGTGGACGACGCCGTCACTGAACCGCCAACAAATTCGACAGTCGACGAGGAGCTTGTCGGTGCTCGCAAGGAGATACCTATCGTTGTGGATGATAATGCTACTCATAACGTCGAGGACTCTGCACCTCCCTCTGCAGTTGCCGTCGTCCGAAATTTAGCTGATGTGGATGAAGCAAGGCTCGCGTCTGCTCCTCCGCTTTCCGAAGTAGTGGAGGAAGAGGCTGAAACCGCTCCCGACGTGTCTCATGTCGCCGTTGTTTCTCAGCCAGAGGTTCAGGACACAGGCACAGTCGTGGAAGCTCTTCCTTTAAAGCAAGCACCGCCAACACCACCAGCAAAGAGTCCCCGGCTGCAGCCAGAAAGAGGTTCCACGGATTCTCATCAACATCGTCCTGGGACGCCAGGCACACCCGCACAAGCAAATGGCTACGAGGAACACCGACCTCAAACACCATCTAGTGCTCACAGTTCATCACACGCTGCGTCTCACAAGCGTTCCATTACGATTTCCAAGGGTTACACCGTCTCCATAGTCCTCATTTCTTCCGCCTTAGAGATCATCCTGGCTTCAAAAGAGGCCAAACGATCTACACCTCTCCGCGAGAGCGCACACAATGCCTTGGATATGATACGTGTCGGTCAAGGTGGTGATCGTCCACGTGAAATTTTTGAGCCTCTACGGCTGGCATGCGAGACGCGCAGCGAGAAACTCATGATAGCGAGTCTGGACTGTATATCCAAGCTCATCTCGTACTCGTTCTTTGCGGAGCCATCATCTGCACAGGCACTTCCTTCGCCGCCTCCGTCACCTTCCCTGCAAGGAAGACGCTCGATAGCTGGTGCTTCTCATTCTAGCCTTCCACAGCCTTCCCTGGTTGACCTTGTCGTCCATACCATCACAACATGCCATAGTGATACCTCCCCTGAAACGGTCTCTCTGCAGGTTGTCAAAGCGCTTCTCTCTCTAGTGCTTTCGCCTACTATATACGTACACCATTCGTCACTGTTAAAGGCTGTCCGCACGGTTTATAACGTATTTCTTCTCAGCACGGACCTGGTCAATCAAATGGTCGCTCAAGGAGGACTGACCCAAATGGTGCATCACATATTTACGCGGTGCAGAAGTCCCGATGGTACAACTCAACGCTCATATGCCTCCTTCGACTCGTTGGCATCAATTCCAGCACCAGGATCGCCGAAGACTGACATCCAAAACTCTAGCTTCGTCCTCTCGGCGAACGGAGGTGAGAAATTCACGGCAGAGGCGTTGCCATATGAATCTGCCGCTGAAATGTCCCCACATCCTGGTGTCCCTTCCCCCCCTTCATCTGTTCATGATCCTGACGTTCCGGAAGGAACGATTAGTCCCGCGCCGTAAGCATGTGTTCCGTAACAGTTGTCGATGCTTATCAAAACATATGTCTTCAGCCCTGCTACACCTGAGGTCGCAGAAAATGGACACGCTGCAAGGGAGTTGAGCACGCAGGATATGTTTATCAAGGACGCCTTTCTGGTTTTCCGAGCCTTGTGCAAATTGACAATGAAGCCCTTGAATACGGAGAGGTATGCTTTTACTTGCTTCATCAAGCGCGACGATACTGATTCCCAGCTCAGCGAGCGTGATCTCAAATCTCATGCCATGAGGTCTAAACTCTTGTCTCTCCATCTCGTGCTCACCATCCTCAATTCGCACATGGCACTATTCGTTGATCCGAAAGCCATAATCTACTCTTCTTCCACGAACGAGGCAACTACTTTTGTTCAGGGGGTCAATCAATATCTTTGCCTCAGCTTGAGCCGCAACGCAGTTAGCCCCGTGCCCCAAGTGTTCGAAGTCAGCGTGGAGATCTTTTGGCGAGTGTTATCAGGAATGCGAACGAAGCTGAAGGTACTATCATTATCCATGAACTGCTCTTGACTCATTCGTTTCTGCAAACAGAAAGAGATCGAGGTCCTATTGCACGAGATATTCGTTCCTATCTTGGAAATGAAGACCTCAACTCTCAAGCAGAAGGCTGTAATCCTTGGAACGCTCTCAAGGCTTTGCCAGGACCCGCAGGCTTTGGTGGAGATATATCTCAACTATGACTGCGACAGCGAAGCTACAGATAATATATACGAGCAGTAAGTATCAGAGGATCACGGATCCATGCTAAAAGCTAACTTGATGATCAGTCTTATGAACATCATCTCCAAAATTGCTACATTACCTTACACTTCCTCGCAACAAAAGACGAATGACCCTGCAAGCCCGGCGCTCCCGCCACAGACGAAGAGCTCAGCGTCGACGGCACACGTGTCGGGCGCACTAACTGTATCCGGCACCATGGACACTTCCACCATGGGTCTTTCCGAGGGGCAACTTAGAAGGCAGGGTCTTGAATGCTTGGTGGCTGTTCTCAGATCTCTTGTGACTTGGGGAACAGCCGCTGGGAAAACCCCTGCGGAATCTGCAACCGCCGATCCTGCCTCAAGAAGCCAGACTGGGGAAGAGATTGCAGCCGACACTATGACGCCTGATCCTTCGTTAGATAGGTTGATCGCTTCTGCTGGAAGCACGGAAGCCCTTCAGCAATCAACTCCGGACACCGCAGACGATCCCTCTAGGTTTGAGAGCGCGAAGCAAAAAAAGACAACTCTGCTGGAGGGCATCAAGAAGTTTAATTTCAAGCCCAAGCGCGTTCGTCTTGTTTCACTCTTTAGATGGGCAGAGTTAATTTCCTATCAGGGCATCCAATTCTTGGTCGAGATGGAACTTATTCCAAGCTTGTCGCCTCGCGATATCGCAGGATTTTTGTTGACCACTGATGGCCTCAGCAAAAGTATGATCGGCGAGTACCTTGGTGAAGGGTAAGTATCCTCGATTCATCATCATCACATCATCATCCATAACGACTCTCATTGCACTGCAGAGATGAACACAATGTTGCCATCATGCATGCTTTTGTCGACTTTCTGGACTTCAGGAACTTGGACTTCGTGGATGCTGTTCGTGTGTTTTTGCAGGCATTCCGTCTTCCTGGGGAAGCTCAGAAGATCGATCGTTTCATGCTCAAATTCGCTGAACGCTACATCGCCGGGAATGCTCAAACGCCCTTCAAGAATGCAGGTATGTGGATATCTGTCCAATGGGTCCAAGTCATTTACCTGCCATCGAACAGATGCTGCCTACATTCTCGCGTATTCCATCATCTTGCTCAATACTGATGCTCACAGTCCTCAAATAAAAAATCGCATGACTAAAACCGGCTTCATTAAGAACAACCGCGGTATCAATGATGGAGAGAGTCTTCCGGAGGAATTCTTGAATGCCATTTTTGATGACATCCAGGGCAATGAGATTAGGATGAAAGACGAAGTTGATGCCACAATTAACTTGCCCTCGACGGGTCCTGGTCTTGCCAATGTTTTGGCGAACGTGGGGAGGGACCTTCAAAAGGAAGCATACGTGATGCAGTCTAATGGCATGGCGAACAAGACTGAAGTAAGTTGCCAGTCTTCCGATTGAACCCTGATTAATCCCTTGTAGGCACTCTTCCGGACGCTTATGCGATCTCAACGAAGAGGATCTCGTGCTGGAGACCAATACTTCAGCGCCTCACACTTCGTTCATGTTCGACCTATGTTTGAGGTGGCATGGATACCCTTCTTGGCTGGATTATCCGGCCCACTTCAAAATACGGATGACCTTGAGATCGTCGATCTCTGCTTGGATGGATTCAAGAATGCTATACGCATAGTATGCTTCTTCGATTTGGAACTTGAACGTAATGCGTTTGTTACTACCCTTGGGAAATTCACGTTCCTCAACAACCTTGGGGAAATGAAAACCAAGAATATGGACGCTATCAAGACGCTTCTGGATATCGCAGTCAATGAAGGCAACAATTTGAAAGGGTCGTGGCGCGAAGTGCTGTCGTGCGTGTCGCAGCTAGAACACATGCAACTCATTAGTGGCGGTGTGGAAGTTCCGGACGGTGGAAAGAAAGGGTGGGCGATGCGTTCACATACACCGCCGTTTGCTGACTATTCCTCAGTCGATCCAAGAAGCTTCCAGCAGAAGAACTCGCCAACGAGAGCAGGTCGACTCACATCACCGTCGCAGCAGATATGGTATTTTCACTCAGTCATTACCTGTCTGGGGTGAGGTCACCTTCCTGATTTGATTCGCTTGCTGTGTGATGTTGACTTGTTCATCTGTAGACTGCTATCGTGGATTTCGTGAGGGCTCTATGTGATGTTTCATGGGAGGAGATTCAGTCGTCTGGAATGTCGCAACATCCCCGTTTGTTCAGTCTGCAAAAGCTCGTGGAGATATCATACTACAACATGAACCGTATCCGTCTCGAGTGGTCGAATCTCTGGGATATTTTGGGAGAACATTTCAACCAGGTAATACATTGAACATCCCAACGTAGACATTTGCTCAAGCTTTGCAGGTTTGCTGTCACAGCAATCCTCATGTCGGTTTCTTTGCATTGGATTCCCTCCGCCAGTTATCCATGCGATTTTTGGAAAAGGAGGAGCTGCCCCATTTTAAGTTCCAAAAGGACTTCCTTAAGCCCTTCGAATACACGATGGTTCACAACGCCAATCCCGATATTCGCGATATGGTACGCAGAGCACCAACCTATTTTTGTGGTACTAACGTTCCCGATAGGTTCTGCAATGTCTCCAACAAATGATACAAGCCAGAGTACAGAATATGCGTTCAGGATGGCGGACACTCTTTGGTGTCTTCTCGGCTGCTTCAAAAGTGCTGACCGGTGAGGACGAACACTGAATGCTCCTGCCTTGTGCAAAGTTCTAATTATACTACTCCACCTTAGAACGCATTGCGAATTCTGCATTCGAAATTGTGACGAGATTGAACAAAGAACATTTTGCTGCTATTGTCCGCCATGGTGCTTTTGCAGATCTGACTGTTTGCATCACCGAGTTTTGCAAGGTCAGCAAGTATCAGAAGATAAGTTTGTTGGCGATTGGCATGTTGCGCGGTGTCATTCCGGTCATGCTCACCTGCTCTGAATGTGCTCTGAGCCCAGCAGTTGGATCTAAAGGCGATGACATCATGATTAGGTTCTGGTTCCCTGTCTTGTTCGGGTTCTATGACATCATAATGAATGGGGAGGACCTTGAAGTACGACGCCTGTGAGTCCTTGCGTGGTTTGAACTTTCTAACCAAGCTCACCTGACACACAGCGCACTGGATTCTCTGTTTTCCACGCTGAAAACTTATGGATCATCTTTCACTGTGGAATTTTGGGATACAGTTTGCAGAGAGATACTTTTCCCGATCTTCGCCGTTTTGAAGTCGAGTCAAGATATGTCGCGATTCAACACTCAGGAGGACATGAGCGTGTGGTTGTCAACTACGATGATTCAGGCATTGCGTGACCTCATCGATCTCTACACGTTTTTCTATGATACCCTGGAGCGGTTCCTCGACGGACTGCTGGAGCTTCTATGTGTTTGTATCTGTCAAGGTAGGCTGATGTGGTGTTGCGATGTTGCTGAGCGCTTGCTCATGTATTAAACGCAGAAAACGATACCCTGGCTCGTATTGGGACATCGTGCCTGCAACAATTTCTGGAGAATAACGTGCAGAAGCTCAGCGCCGCTCGGTGGGAACGAGTGGCAGCTACTTTTGTCAAGCTTTTTAGAACAACTACTCCCCATCAACTTTTTGACGAAAGTCTGCGTGTGGAGATCGACGGGAGCTCTGTAACAGATCTTCCGGATGTCAACGGTATGTTCCATGTGTTGATAATTCGCACAAGCTAAATTTCACCTCAAAAAGATTCTAATGACCAAGCAATCATCCCTGCCCCATTATCTCCCACCGGCGATCGGCCTCAAGAAGTCAAGCACACCCTTGGTGACCGACGTCGCATTTTCAAGCAAATAATTGTCAAATGTGTTCTTCAGTTATTACTGATTGAAACCACTAATGACTTGCTCCGGAACGATGCTGTCTATACTACCATCCCTCCAGAACAGCTTCTACGTCTTATGGGGGTTCTGGATCATAGCTATCAGTTCGCTAGAATGTTTAATGATGATAAGGAATTGCGTACTGGACTCTGGAAAGTTGGTGAGCGTGTTTCTGGTGGTGCTAGCAGAATTTTTTTTGATTACCGTCATCAAGGATTCATGAAGCACCTGCCCAATCTCCTTAAGCAAGAGTCCAGCAGTGCAGCAACTTTGGTGCACATCTTACTTAGGATGTACTTCGATGAGCGCCCGGAGCACCAGAACGCACGCCCTCAGATTGCCGAACGTCTTTTGCCGTAAGTACGACAACAACTCTGTATTCCTTTTTTGACCCAGATGGCAGTCTTGGTTTGAGCGTGTTACAGGACTACATCAAGCTGCGTGCTGACACCCAGGCCAAGAACATAACCGCTTGGACACCAGTTGTCGCAGAGATATTGGACGGGTTCTGTCGATTTGACAACAAAGCTGTATGTGATGGCCTTGAATCCATTTTCTCTGCTGACCGACATATGCAGTTCGTTAGATATCTCCCAGCGATTTACCCATTAGCCACCGGGTTGCTTGCTCGTGATGTTGCACCGGAAATCAGGCTGGGGCTGAAGATGTACTTCGAGAGAGTTGGACGGACCCAAGGCATAGTAGTAGTAGAGGCATCATAGCATTGTTTTTTTTTCGCCAGACTTCATCGCTCATACAATATTGGTTACGCCCAGGTTCAATTATATGTTTTCATCCAATGGACTGTAATTTGGTCAAAGAAAGGAAGAACTAAAACTGAGTCTAGTTGTCAGCTTAAATAAAGGCTAGTATCCCGTATATCCGCTCGGTTGAAATCCGTTGTTGGGTTGGAATCCCCACCCAGTTGGTTGTGGCGCAAATCCTGTGGGTTGAGGCCCAATGGCTGGTAATGTTGGTCAGTACTCGTTGGGCATCAACATGGACATAGCTCACGATTTACGCGCAGAGCATTATATGTTTCTGAGATTATCAATCAGATATCACGAATGCATAGCCACAGAATGGCGCTCACCTGCTTGCTGGGGTCCGGAATGCTCGTTTCCACTGGCAAACGTTCCCGATTTCATCTGAGCAAATATATTTGCCGGTGCTGTGTTAGAACTAGTGTTCGGCTGAGAGTATAAGGAAGGAACGGGTGGTGGGGTAGAAACCACATTGTTGAATGGAGAATGAACAAACACTCCTGTTGGGTCTAATCGAGGTTAAGTGATATTTCAGATAACGCACAGTAGGAGCACTTACTTGGTTGTGCTGGTTGCATCGTGGTATTCTGAAATGATGGGCGAGCACCAAAAGTGCCAAAGGACCCACCGAGCATACCAGTTGGCTGCGAGAGCAGTGGTCCCGATGTTGGTAATCCTGTGGGCTGAGAAAAGAGTGGTTGTGTTGTGCCAGGGAAGCCTGTTGGCTGTGCCGAAAGGAATGAAGGTGGTGCTTGTGGTTGTGTTGTGCCAGGGAAGCCTGTTGGCTGTGCTGAAAGGAATGAAGGTGGTGCTTGTCCCTGGAAAGGCGACGCGTTGTATGGGCGCGTTGGCACAAAGTTGTTGAAACCTGTGGTAGTGGGTATAAGGGGCTGCAACAAACTTTGATTGGCCGGAACAGGAGCGAACGGTCCACGAGGGCCTTGTGCACCTGTTTGCTGGATCTGCAGGTGTTGCCCGATGGGTGTAGGAGAAGAGCCCATTCCAAGGCCAGCGCTGTATGAGACAGGTGGCGGTGGGGGTACTACTGGTGAACTTGGCGCAACAGGCGCTGGGGATGGAGAAGGACGGTTTATCTTCAGCTGACTGAGGCGCGCAAGCTGGTCGAAGATATCAGCATCAGTCTTTGCAAGGCCATTGCCAGTTGCTGCAGCCTGCACTGGCACTGGTGCAGCAGGGGGCGGCACCGGTGCAGCGGGCGCAGCCAAGACAGGCGCAATTGCAGGTGCGGTAGCAACGACTGGTGGTGCCGATGGGGCACGAGAAGCAGCAGCAGGAGGTTTAGAACCCGGTCTGTTCGTCCAAGCATCGTCGTCAAAGCCACTAGTAACGGGGACCGTTGAACTTGACCTCTGAGGTGGCTGCACAGGTGTAAGAGTGGCAGGGCTGAGGACGAGAGGCGAACCAGTCCGTTTAATCTGGTCAGAGGTAGTGCCAATGGCGTGGAGGTCAACGGACGGCGGTGGCAGAGACTTGCTAGGTTGTGGTCTCCCGCGGCGTTGGGTATTATTCTTGAGAACGCCTCCAGGACCAGCAAAGAGGTTAGGCGCAGGACTTGATGTTCCTTTACTCCTGACGCCATTCTCCTCTTCTTGGAGCTGCCGTGCCAGTTCTTCGTCGCGAATAAGCTGCTCTTGTGACGTGTCCTTCTTAGGTTTCGCAAACTTCTGCTGGATATGTTTCGTGACGCGAATAATGTCGCCCTCGCGCAGGCCCAGTGAACGCATTGTGGACTCGGTAGTATCTGGGAGGATTGCCTCATCAATCTTGTCACGCTCGAAGGAGGTTGCATATCGTGTGCAATCATCAAGGTCGCAGCCTGCATTCAGGAAGAACTCAAACCAATCCGTCTGCGGCTTCTTTGGCTGCGCTGACATGGTTGCCCGACGTACAACTTCCTTCTGTTTGAGCGCAAGTGGCTGGTCGTCATCATCAGAGATACGACGTGGCGCTGCAGGAGGCTTGTCATTCTTGGTATTAAGTCGCTCAACATAGCGTACGTCCTCGACGGACATTTTCTCCGAAGGGACCTCGATGACCACACCGTTGACTTTGTGTAGACGTAGCTTGCCGTTGGAGTACCCAAGAAAAGCAGCTTCGACACGGAACTGGCCACTGCGGTCGTGCCATATACGTGTAGACTCCGCGGAAGGTACACCTGCTTTATGGGTCAAAAGAGACCAAAGGAAATTGAGGAAGACTCACTCTTGTGAGCATCACTGGAGCTGCGTCCTGCGCTAGAAGTCGACTCTCTGGGTTTCGTTTGCGAGGTCGGGGGACGACTGAGAGAAAGAGACATCAACAAGGTTTCTGAGCATAGGTCGAGGGCGACACTTACGGTGACGAGCTCTGTCCTCTTTCTGCTTTTTGTTGAGCACGCTTTGCGGCCTCCTGACGCTTCCTACGCTCTGCTTCGGCAGTGGCGGCAGCTTCCTCCTTTTCGCGTCGCTTCCTATCAGCCTCTGCCGTTGCTGCGAGAACCTTTGCGCGTTGTTCCTGTTCCTTCTTATTTCGCTCCTGTTCCGCGCGCCCGCGTTCTCGTCGTTCCTCCTCTTTCCTTTCGGCCTCGAGGCGCTCTTGCGCTTCGCGCTCAGCAGCACCGTCATCTTCTGGCTCAGCAGTGACAGATGCTCCACCAGCGCTCTGAGTGTGATGTCAGTAAGTAACTCGCACGTCAGCTTCATGACCGACCTCGAGATACGACGCGGGTACAACACCCTCAATCCCATGTTCATTCCTGCACTTCCACCACTCTTCGCCCTCTTTTTCAATGATCCACAGCCGCTCGCCCTCTTGCACGGTCAATTCATCTGAGCCCGTGCCCTCAAAGTCATATAACGCGACGGCAGGCTCGCCATCATCGACACTCTGACCACCTTCCTCTGTCTCTTCCTCTTCTTCCTCACCTTCCTCTGAGGACTCGCGTGGTGGTATAATTGCAGGAGATTCCTCCGCGAAACGCACAGAAGCGCCGTTCTTCTTCACCGGGCTGCTTACCTCCGAGCGCGGCGGCGGAGAGATAACGGCACGTTGCTCAGCAGATGCAAGTGAGCGAGAGGTCTGCAGCTTCTCGACAACAGCATCAGCCGTGTCTCTGCTTCCAACATTGAAGTGCAGCTTTGTTGCGTTGGACCCGCCCATGTCAATATGCACGTGTTTATTCTTCTCCACGGATATGTCTTCAACATCAGATATCTGCCATTTCTGCACTGGAGTCTATGCGAAGCGAGTCAGTTTTATCATTCAATTCGGGAGGTGATTATACAAAAGGTAAATGATCCGGGACATACCTTATCTGATTCGCTTGCGAAGAAGAGGGAGCCGTTGCCAATGCCTAGAGTGCCCTTCTTTTTCTTGCCTTTCTTGTCCACTTCAGACACGGACCAGGTCTTAATCTCGTCGCTCACACGAGCTTGGGCTTTGGACTGGGCAACTCTGTCGGCAGGGTCCACATACACGCTCAAGGGACGAGCTGGAGGTTCAGGCTACGTATATCGTAGAGTACATTAGTAAAAGATTTCACTAACTCGATAAATTCTCGACGCACCGATGGCGGAATGATAATCTGAGGTGCTACAGCAGCCGGCGCTGGGGTACTTTCCACGCCAGTAGTCTGCGTGCGCGATAAATATGAGTCCACATGCTCGTTGCAGATACATACCTCTTCGACATAGTTTCCTGGTACAAAGCCAGCCTTACCACCCTCCTTGCTTTGAACGAGTATCCAGTCTTCTTCACGGTCAAATACCAATAAAATCTCGTCCTCCTTGATAGACAGCTCTCCGGGTGCAGCGGAATCATAGTCATAGATAGCTCTGACAAGAGACGTATGTTCAGCCTGGTGTGTATGTCAGACAGATTGTGAAGAACGCAAGGTTACGAAACGGACCTGCTCGACATAGGCAGCGGGGACGAGGCCGGATGGACTATCTTCCTCCTGTGATTCACCTTTTATCTTGACTTTCCACCAACTTCGTATGGCATGAGCGTTAGAGCAAATGGTATGCCATAACTACTTACTCATCATCGGTACGTTCAAGGAGAAGGACGATTTGGTTCTCAGTAATCGCAAGTTCATCTTCTGACTGGGGCTCGTAGTCATAAGAGGCCTTGAGGACTGCAAGATACTCTTCGTGTTCTGACATCGGCGGAGAACAACAGGAGGATCAAACTTGATTCGGGACGGTGTGTAGCGGCGTCGGCGGGGTTGCGCCTGATGGGATGTACTAAGTAGTACTTTGAATTCGCCCGGAAACGGCTCTGCTGTTATTAATGTGGAATGAGAGAAAGACCTATATAATATGTTAGTTGAGATCAGTTATTACACAGAAACAGTGGGCGTTGGTAAACGAGGCAGTGGGTGCAGGTGGCCGCAGTGACGGAGAAAGGTGAGATGATTGGTTTCACGTGACCCAGTTAATGAGAGACTGACAAGCTATTCGTGAACTTCGTGAGGTTCTACTGCTACACGTGTGCTAAAGATGACAATAATGATAGCTAGAGAAATATATCAAATAATTGGCACAGTGAAATGTCCCAGTAATCCGTGAGTAATATGCTGTAGATGAAATAAATGGAACAGGAGTGGTCACGGTGGTGCCATATCTACCCCAGTGTCATGCTAGAGACAGTCGCTGCGATGCTACTACGTCCGCTGGATGGAACGAGCGCACTCGCAAGCAGTTCTCGACAGTTTCGTAGGCGCTCCCTCCGTAATACAAACCACGAACTTTCCGAGGATGGGACAGCCAGTGGCACTCCAATAATCCCGCGCGTCTGCGCACTCTGCACGGCCTTCACCAACGAGTCGACCTCTGCTTCTGAGTCTAGGTCATCCAAGTTTTCCGCGGCCTCATCGATGTCCAGTTGCGTGGCAGCAGTGCCAGACGTATTCGCCTTCCTGCCAGGTTTCTTCGGCATGCCTTTCCCTTCCAGTCCAGCTGCTAATGCAGCCTCCTGTGCAAGCCGCTTCTTCTCCGCCTTCTCCTTCTCGCGCTTCTCCTTCTTCTCTGCCTTCGTCTCCTTCTTTACCGGCTCCACCCAGTTAGGGTTGTGCTCACGGTTCCACTCGAGCAAAAGCTCGTCATACGCCTTCGAGCGATTCTGAACAGCGCGCTTCGCACCCATGGAGTGAGCTTTGCACGTGAGCGAGCGCGAGCACGGGAGGCCTTTATCATTGATCACTCCACACTGCTTGTTATAGTCCACGGGGCCTTTAGTACGCCCCTTTGTGATCTTGGTCTTCTTCTTAGACGGCTCGCCAACTTCATCCCCTTCCTCGCCATCTGCAGCCCGCTTCTTGCCTTTCTTCAGCTCAACTTGATGGGGCTGGTTATGTATGATGATGAGAGGAAAATATATCAGGAGACAGTACCTTCGCTATCTGCCGGTTTGCCCTTGACCCATTTCTTCCCTGAACGAATGTCATTACAATTGTCTGACTGCGCATGAGACAAATATTCATCAGTTATTAAAGCTATGACATACTGATGTGTTCGGAAATCGCGCTCCGTAAGATAGGCTTGTCGCATTCTGTACAACGCACGACGCCAATGTCAGCACGTAGCGGCTGGGCACCAAATATTTTCATGTCGCGGGCAGAAAGCCATGATGTTGGCGGCGGAGGAAGACCAGTAACTTCAGGTGCATTTGGAGAGCTCGCGCGTGGTGGGGTAAGAGCTTCCCATGAAAATGGGGAAGGGGAATGGCTCGTCCGCTTGAGTTTGAGCGTCATGGCTGTATGATCAAGAACAGTCTGCACCAAAAAGGAAGGTGAGTGACCTTTAATCACGTGATCACGCGTTTCAGAGTCTTTCAGGATTGTGGACATCAGGGTCGAAACAGAGCAATATTAAAAAGTTTGCACACAACTACATGATAGTACATAATAAATGAAGACATTGAAAGCACAACAAACAAGTTCTATTACAACACCCGATGACAGTATTGAGCGATCTACTGCGACCGTTAGGTCTGCCGGGCTTCTGATTTCCTTCTTGGTATCGTACCCCTCTCAATCTATTGGAATGCTGTATAGACGACTATATGGAATATGCCGTGTTTGCATAAAAAGTGCAGGGACAAGAGAAGGGCCGCAAAATGCGACACATATTGTGAGAAGGATGAAGGAACGTGAGCCACCGCTCAATAATGATATCACAGAATACATACGTGTAAGCAAGATGCAGCTACACACAAGCATCTCACGCGGCAACTGACACATGTGCCACGCCCTCTGTGACCTCATCGAGGCGATCGTCAATGAGTTTTGTGATCTGCAATGGCGGGGAGAGTCAGTTAAAGTGTATGCAGCAAGAGGTGGCGAGGTAATAAATGGATCCGAAGGACCGATAGGAATGGTTGTGTAGTTAAGGGGAAAAGAAGGGAAAGAATAACAGTTTTAATGCAGCATACAATTAAGATTAAAAAACGCACCTTCCCAATCGCAATTGTTCTCCCCTCGTCACGGAGCGTGAAGCGACCGAGTTGAGGGTAATCGATGAAGCGCTCGACACATATGGGGAGGATCGTTTCTATGAGTGCCACGACTTTTTGGCCTGGGTTACCGTAACAGAGTGGTGCATTTGTATAAAAATGTGCAGAACAGGCGGAGATTATTATTACGGCAGCAATTTTGTTTCGCAGCAACGAAATGGGTGAGGAAGAAACGTCAGTGAAAATTGATTGTACTGTGCACAGCGCACCCACCCTTCTTCGCGAATTGAGGCGGCTTCTTCGATTTGCGTCCTGTAGCTTTGTCAAAGTAGTGTAGTAGTGCCTATGCACGTCAGCACCGTATAAACCAACAAAATACGCCGCACTCACGGGCAGTGTAACCTCCTCAGAAAGTGTGTGCACATGCATGACCGCCGAGTACCCCGCACAGATAATATTCTTGTGTTCCAAAATTGCGAGCTGCGCCTCGAATTGCCTCACCGCTCTTACAGGGTGTTTCGGACTTGTGAGGACGAATCCAGGACTGATATCTTCGTCCTCCACGCCCCTCAGTCTCACACGCACGTTATCACCGCAGATCGCGCTGTGTACCTCTTCTTCCATCTCATTGTAAATGGCGGCAACTTCAACAGCTGATCTGTTCGGCATAAGGGTAAGAGCGTCGCCCTTACGAAGGTGTCCGGATTCGATCTTGCCGACGATGATGGCGCCCATGTCTTTATACTTTTCGGAGACAGGCATCATGAGAGGAGCATTGACCTTGCGGTCGACCATGGGCATGTGGTCCATGTGTTCAAGGAAGGCGGGGCCACTGCAAGACGGGCATAAGTATGCATGTATAAGGAGGAAATAGATCACTACACACTCATTCCAGGAACAGATAGACTTAGCCACACGATCCTTCAGGTTCTGACCCGTATATGCCGACACAGGTATAAAGGTGACATCCGTCTTGGGATTGAAGCCAGCAGATTTAATAAATGGAGTCAACTTATCCTTGATCTCAGTATATCTGCCTTTATCCCAGTTGACAGTCGGATCATCCATCTTGTTGATGACGACGACCACTTTGCTGACGCCGGCGGTTTTAACGAGCATGACGTGTTCGCGAGTCTGGCCACCTCTTTCGAAACCAGTTTCGAATTCACCTTTGCGTGCAGATATCACGAGGATTGCGACGTCTGCTTGGGCAGCACCACTAATCATGCTCGGGACATAGGTCTTGTGGCCTGGGGCATCTAGAATGGTATATCTTCGAGTGGATGTCTCGAAGTAGGCTCTACCGACCTCGACAGTCTTCCCCTTTGAGCGTTCCTGAGGGGTGCTATCAAGAGCCCAGGAAAGGTACCAGGTTTCACGGCCAGCTTCTTTTGCCTCCCGCTCGTATTTCTCCATGGTGCGTTTGTCAACGCCACCAGAGATATACAAGAGGTTTCCGCCAAGAGTTGATTTCCCAGCATCTACATGGCCGATGAAGACGATGTTAAGATGTTCTTTAACTACGAGAATATGAGTGCGATTACATGGGAGAGGGGGAGTAGTCATGATGATGCGTACCATCGCCGAAAAGATCTTTGAGGACCTCCTGGTCTGCAACAGACTGGACCTCTTTTGCTATGGATGTGGTGTCTGTCTTGGCTCGTTCGGTGGAAAAGACCTTGTTAGTAGGTGGTGCAGGAGAAGAAGATTGTGATGGTGCGGTGCTCGCAGATACAGACGGTGGAAGAGCAGCTTTTGTCTGTGAAGCAGGAGTAGGAGTAGGAGCAGGCTTAGGAGCAGCAGGAGGGTTTGATCCACCGATGTTGAGAGTGATGGTTGGAGCCGGAGGTGGAGCTTCAGTTTGGGCAGGGCGCTCGAGGGGAGGTTTTGATGGAGGTGCTTGTTGATTTTTCTGAGGTAGCACGAATGAACGACCTGGAACGAACTCGAATGCGCCTGCGTTAAGCTTGCTCATCGTTGAACTGATCGGCGGCGATTGTCGTGGTCAAGAATCTAGCAGGTCATTGAATTTTATCAGTCGAAGTCATGTGATCTATCAGATCCGGAATCGGCGCCGTGCCACCGTGACCGTCATGGTCACTGTCGAGCTCACTGTTCTGCACGATGACGACGGAGGCACAGGAAGAACTCGCAACCGTGTTACATTCTGGCTTTTTTCTCCTCGATACGTCCAGCACCGCCGAGCGCGACCTAAAAAATATACTCGTGCACAGACTAACGCAATACCACCAAGTACTCAGATCGATCCCTCCCTCCATTGACACAGCGGAGGACGCTCAACTTGAAACTGCTCAATGTGCCCTGCACGTTGTCGAGCGCGTTCAGACCCTCCTCGACCAGCCAGATTTCCAACATGAAGGTGATCTGAAAAGCGCGCCAGCAATAGGGACACGCGACCTCAACACTCTCCGCACCCTTCTCTCTCTCATTTTTCGGTGGGGAACCGGACCACTTTATACGCGTCTCACCCCTTCGTTCTCGTCTAAACCAATTCCGGGCACCCCAAAAATTATTGACCTCACGAACACCCCCGCCGACCATGCTACACTCTCTGACCTGCTTTTGCGCCTCATGGGTCTCTTGTTCCCCAATGGCCCAAAGAGCACGCCGCCCCAAACACTTATTAGCAGTACACTACTGTCAAGACATGCAGTTGATTTGTTACGCCCGAGTATGGCCCTCGGATGGCTACCTAGTTCACCCGTCGAGCCTCTACGCCCGCTCGTGCTCCGTCTCCTCGCCTTGTGCGTGTACTTTACAGTAGTCGTAGTTCGTAATCTCATTATTTTTACACAAAATGTGTGCCCTCAGCATCCCCCTCCCGCAACTCATGTCGTCCCTTGCTACGGTCCTCTCCACCCCTAATTCCCCAACACCTCCCCACGTCCGTAAACTTTGTTCATCCCTCCTCACTCAACACCTCCTCCGCCTAGACGGTGTGCGTGCTCTCTGTGCTGCTGTATTCGGCGAACTCGATGCCGAAGAAGAACCGGAACTCGACAAATTAGAGCACGTTGCACGCGTGTTGGGAACAGTGCCTCGGGGGATGCAACCCAAGGTGTGCAGGTTTGGTTACTGATTTTCTGATCTAATACCGTCCCAGGATTACTTCCAGACCATAATACCCCGCATCCTTGCTCTCATGTCTCCGCCTTCCCCTTCTTCTGCCTCAACGCCGATAATACCTGCGTTCAAACGTGCAGTCGCATTCGCTCTCGCGCGCATGCTGGACTTAAGTGCTACACACCATGCGCTCGTTGCGAGTATAGCATTACCCATTTTACACGACCCACTCACCAAAGTCCCCAATGAAGCCTCACACGACCAAGGGGGGTCAGATCAAAGCCACGGTCTGCCCACTCCATCATCATCCCTCCAGACCCTTCATACACTCCTGTTATCAACTGATCCATCGCCTTCTCTCTTCTCCTCCCTCCTTTCACCCATCCTCCCTTCTCTGTATTCCATTCACGCACACCTCAGTAAAGTGGGTGTAGCGGATCCGATACTGAAAGAGGATGTTTGGACATTGATGAGGACATGGGGACGAGTTGTAGAAGATGGCGAGGGAGTTCGAGCATTGTGGTCATTAGTGGATGAGAATGCAAACTCTTCAGCAGGGTGGGAAGGGGGAAATACAGAAGATCTAAAACGAGTAAGGAGGTATGTCGCACTGCTGCTTCGTCTTCATGTAAATCTCAGCCTAAATTCGATACAGGGTCAACAGAGAAGAGAAACTCTCTCTTCTTACACCGGAAGACCTCCGACACGCCTCCGTCACTGAGGAGAGTGATATAGAGTCATTGGACTTGGGACTCTACCCACCTCCTGCGCACTTTGTTTCCTACATGAAGAGCATCGATCGTGCAGATATTGCGGGGGGCGTGTTCGTGAGATTGCTAGAGGCATATCGGGTTGCGAAGGAGCCTGGTCGTGAAAAGTCACAAGACGGCGAGTTCAAAAGAGAAACACAGAGTATATTGATGAACCCGAAGGAACCTGATCCACTCCGGTAAGCCTAACATGCCGGCCCAGCCATGTCTTCTGATGTACACGATCACAGGGTGATGCTTCTCCTCCAACTCATCATAGCCTTCCAATCTCAGCTGGACAACACCGCTATCCTGAGTCGCCCAAAGGATGTGCTGGAATTTGTGAGGCACGCATTAGAGGTGTCTGATGCGGCCTCCTCCGCACCCGTATCTAGCACGTCAAATCGTGGCACAAGTAACGAACACAGAAAGGGCCTCCTTAGAGAGGATCTTAGAATCATCCCAGAGGAGCAGGACGATCTGGAAATTGGACCAGATAGTGACGACGAGTACGATGAAGAGATTGAGGGGGAAGACATGGTGGAGACTGCTGTTGGGTTGCTGTTGGCTATACTTGAAGGTTTGTCGATATTTGTTTCGAGAAGAATAAGAGCTGACTTCCGTTTTTCTGCATCCTTGTGTCATATTCTTCGCTATGAATTCTGTGCACATTTTGTCGTGTCTCCTACCCCTCGACGAAATAAAATTTACCACCCCCCATCACTCCAAAACACAGCCAACCCCTCACTCACCCCGAACAACACGCCCTCACTTACGCCAATCCTCGACCTCCTCGAGGTGCACACGCCAACCCGGCCAAGCGCACGCGAGGCACGGTTAGTATTGACAGCGAGGATGGCCGAGGGGGCGTTAGCCGCATCGGGATCTGCTTCTAAATTTACCAAAGATAAGGGCAGAAACAACGGTAGAAACAAGGATGAAGACGCAGATCCGCGAGAGACGTACCAAAAAGCGCTCAAACTTCTTCAAGACCCACTCCTACCTGTACGGGCGCATGGGCTGCTCTTATTACGCGAGTTAGTATCTTTCCCGGCTCGTGCGAGAGAGGCTGAGCGAGAGAGGCTTGAGAGGGAAGCAACAATACGTGCACTGCACCCTGCTATCCTCTCCATATTCTTGCAAGCGATTCAGGAGGACGATTCATATGTGTTTTTGAATGCGGTGCAAGGCCTGGCTGCTTTGGTGCATGCCCCTGGTCCCGGTCCTAATTCTAGATCTGGCACGGGGAACGAAGTCTTGAAAGTGCTATTGGATGCGTATGCTAGGGGGGCGGAAGATCTTGCTGATGACGAGGCAAAATCGGATAAAAAATTCAAGGATGATGAAAAGGGTAAGGCAAAGGGAAAAGGCAAACCAATGAGTGAAGTTGACACACGCCTCCGCATCGGCGAAGCCCTCGCAGTTGTTGTGAGGCGGTGTGGAGACGCCCTGGGGGTATATGGTGAGTTCTATCCCGTAATTCTGTCCTATTCTCATTCATCTTGTCATCACTCGCCGTGTCACAAAAGCGGACACGCTCCTTCCACCCCTCCTTTCCCTCGTCTGCGAGTCCCGCGCCCCAGTTATCTTACGCACATCAGCGATATCCCTGCTCTCCGAGTGTATCAACACCTGTGCCCGCGTGGTAGAACGATACACAGAGGGAATAGCAGAGGGAATGCTTGATCTAGTTTTGGTCGAGATGACTGTAGCAACCCCCACTCCTCGTCCTGCGGCTAAGGTAGAGGGGAAGAAAACGGGAAAGGGCGCAGAAGTAAGCACAGGACAAGCAGAGTCTGAACCTGCTCCAATACCCCAATTCCAGCCCGAACGCCCTCCAGACCTGCTAGACATATCTCCCCTGAGCACATCCTCCAAAGTCCCAGCGCTTCGACGCGCGGCGCTACACTTTTTCGCGCTTCTCGTGCGGATGCTTACTCAGGAGGCGTATGAACGCGATAGCGGCTCCTGGAGCGATGTTCAAATCAGGAGCATATATCCCGGGCAAACGGGCGCGTATACGGCATATGAAGGGGGACCACTACCCCCGGGATTTATAAGACGCGCTCGGACGGTGTTGGGGTATATCGCAACTGTGGATGAGGATACGGTTGTGAGGGTAATGGCGAGGGAGGTTGGAGAGGGGCTGGAGGGGCTGGAAAAGGCTTTGGTTGGGCTGTGAATGCCTAGACGAATGGCAACAAAATCTCTGAGGCTTCATGTAGAGTGATGATTATTCAGTTGCGAAGGAAATTCAATCTCATGAAAGATGTTGTTCCGTGTGCACTTGATCAGTGTATCCATTGATGACGGTCAGGGCTTTAGCGCTTTAGCTTTAATAGCACCTCTTGACATCGGAATTTCCCGCACTTGCAAAGCAACCTCCTGTTGCACAACAAGGAGGTATCATCCAGATCTGTACAAACTTATAAGATATGTTCATAGATCTAGATACAAGCACATCCCAAGGTCGTTGAGTGCAGCAAAACGCTCGAGACCATTTCTGCGGACTGAATCATTGGCATTGTTTCTCTTGTACCATAATTGATGCTTTTATTTCACTTCCACGTGCTTGGAGATGGACCACCATATCTAGAAACCTACCTTATGGACGTATACGTAGTTATGCTCATCAGTGCACTCATCGGATGTGTACTCGACAGTATTAATATTGAGTTATCAGACTCGCCTAACCAGACTTCTACCTTGTAGTCATTCATAACGCTCGAGTCTGTTTTCTATCCTCACCTTCGGAAGCAACGCTCATGCGAGAGACTTTAAGCTTGAAGCTTGAGCTTGAAGCTTTGAAGACGGTCGAATAAATGAATCATTTCGTTCCCTGTTAAAGCTATTTATTATTATTAATTATCTATTTATGTAGTCCCAAACAGATCTCTAATAAAGTCAGACAGTCGTTCTGTCTAATACCCACTGACACCCATCTCTGAGTTCTATAGCTAGACTCTGGAAATAAGCTGTCCGCTCCTAATCAAACAACCACCCGGTGGTTCAGTACGCGGTCTCGATGAATCCATTTCGAAGAGAATTAATCGCCTGCGATATAATGCTTTCCTATCCAGAAGTAACCACATTCAGTCCCGCCCTAACCTCGAAAGCTCAAATAGAGATTGACGATGAACTTGTGGCGCTTCAAGAGAGAATACGAGCTCTTCGGACACACAGAAACAGTCTCTCTCCCGTATCCTCACTCCCCCCAGAGATCCTCGGCGCCATTTTCGTCCATCATGTTCAGAAGACGCAGTCGCTTTATGTTCCTCATGCCCCTGCTGTTCTTTCATGGCTCAAAGTCGGACATGTGTGTCGCCATTGGCGCGAGGTTACCCTCGGGACACCAGAGTTATGGTCTGCACCGTTTCTCAATTCTTTACAAGCCACGGAAGAAATGCTCCTGAGGTCCAAAATGGCTCCTTTGAAATTGAGAAGCGGTTTTCGATATCGTATGGACTGCGTCCAAAAGGCGTTGATGCACGTAGAGCGTTTGCAGGAGATTTCTCTCCTCCCGTCCTCCAATGGTGGCACGACGTATGTCATGCACCGCTGCATTACGGAACTCCTCGACAAATTATCATCTCGTTCTGCTCCCAAACTACAATCGCTTGCTTTGGAAGTAGGGCCTGAACAAACACCACGCATAGCAATTCCCACTTCTTTCCCCGCACCCAACCTTCGCGACCTTCAAATCAATCGCTGTGATCTATCATGGGCATCTTCCGTCCTCACAGGACTCACTGTCCTTGCCATCAAAAAATTATCACCTGAATGCCTTCCGACTTTAGACCAGTTGATCTCTGCGCTCCGTCGTATGCCTGCTCTGCACTCTCTTACATTAGAAGATGCTCTTCCGATTCTTCCCCCCCAAATGGTGTCACTCCCTCCCACATCTCGTGCCATGAACGTTAGACTTCCCCACTTGAAACGGTTGCGTTTGACGGCGAAAATATTGGAAGTGGCCAACGTGCTAGCTTGCATTGAATCAACAACATCGGAAGTTCAACTCGTATGCCGAGCATTTTCAGAAAATCCGAATCGAGAATGGAATTTGAGCATCCCCGTCATCTCTCGTGTCTTGGAACATTGCTTCAAAGACAGTCCAGATAAGTCTCGACAAATCCCACGTTCCATGCAACTGTCCTCCCCTACTGGTTGCATTTGTTTGCATTATAGTGCGATCCGGAACACTCCCTCGCGGGCGAGGGGATTAACGTCTTTTCTGGATCTCGATTTTTCGGCGGAGTGCTCTGTCAATCTTGATTTTTATTCTCCCGATGACATGAGGAGGACAATTCTTTGCGACTTGCAGAGGATCGTTCCTCTTGGGAGTATCGAGGCCATGTACTTCGACTTTTCCTTCGCTTGTTGGGATGGTTTCTGGACTGATCTTCTTGGCCGCGGCGCTGCCCGTAATCTTTCATATATGTACTTGCGAGGGCCATACCAGGCTCTCGAAGAACTTCTTAAATCCCTGCGTTCACGGAAGCACAGTGTTTCGCGGCCCGTAGGCGGGCGTTCACAACAGGAACCCATTTTTTCCCCAGTACTCTCCCATCTTGTCCTTCACGAGCTAGATTTTGAATCCTCTAGCGCGAACTTTATTCGACCCTCTGATCTCCTTGATGTGCTCATCGATCGCGTCAACGGAGGTCGGGGGTTAGACCACCTTGAGATTATTCAAACCTCGGGTATCTTCGCCCCTGACGCGCAGTTGCTGCGAGAGGTGGTGGCCGATGTGAGCTGGGATGGCCTTTCATAAAAAGTTCCAGCGAAAACTTCGACCTCGACTCGGATGTCTATGACATGGAAGAAGAAGAAGAAGAATATTACGACGATGATGGTATTTACAGTGACGGATACTCTTCCTGAAAATCATGCTGGGTGCATTGCATGCATAGTTAGGATACAATGCTGTGGTGTTCGATTTTGCATTCTGTTGTATGGTAATGCTTACTGATATGCGTTTGCACAAGTCGCCAAGTGGAAGTTTGAGCCTCTCCAATCTCGAGCCCTCTCCTCTAAGGTCTGTACTCAGACTGATAAATGCCTCGTAGTCGTCGTTGATGAGTAACACCAGCTCCTCCTTCAACGAGGTAAGGTAGTCTCTAAGCTCTGAGCGCAAGTCTTGTAGAGATGTGTGCGATCGGGAAAGCAGAAATTCTTCGACGTTAAACACTTCTGCAGTTAGATGAGGGTTGTTATGCGATAATGGGATATAAATTGGCAGCGTTGAGGCAGTAGTTCGGGGAGCATAGCTAGATCCTGCTTGCTCACGCGCAACGAGCTCTTTTGCAGACCGTTCCAACTCATAAGGGTCGGGAGATTTGCCAGAGGCATGGAAGACGCGCGAAGACATTTATGGTGTCGGCCGCACGTACTCAGGCTACAACCCGATCCCACCGCGCGCAGGGGTCATAACGTTGACACAATACTAGTTTCACATTGTTACCTCGGAGCAACTTGGATCCTAAAAGATGCTGTTCCGCGTTAACGTTCCGCGTGCACTTGATCAGTGTATCCATTAGGGACGCTCAAAGTTCGGGGGCGCACAGGTCGCCCACGCCTATGACCCCCCGCGCAGCAACGCCTTCCCGTTTTGTACATATCCGTATGACGGTCATAGCACCTCTTCATCGGAATTTCCCGCACTTGCAAAGTATACCGTACATCTTTTGGCGACTGTGCACTCAAACTCAAAAATTGTAATGGATGTGCGTTTCACGATTTAAATTCATTCGACAGGTCGTTGCTAACCGCAATGGATCAGACAGGGTTCAAATGCTTTGAATAAGTCCATGCAAAGTCTGTGGTCCACCCACAGAAAGGCGAAGCTCAATCTAAATTCAATTCAGCCTGCTTTGCCAAACACGCCTGTCGAGACACCTTCAGAAGATACAAACCAACTAGCCGCGTTAGAAGCCCCATTTGAACCAGGGACCTCGATACCTCCTCCATCTTCCACAACACCCGCTACGAATGAAGTAACCTCACCCGACACACGTCCCCCTTCCTCAAAGCGAAAATTGCGCTCAACCCGTTTAGCAGTAGAAGACAGTAGTAAACGACCGAAGACATCTACCAATTCCATAGCCAATGACCACATTCCCCCTGCTACTCGATTGTCCGATCTAGGTGGTGTAGAAGCATGCGTCGAAAAGATGCTTGAACTTGTCGCCATGCCTCTCTGTCATCCGGAGATCTATCTGCACACTGGTGTGCAGCCTCCACGTGGTGTTTTGCTGCATGGCCCTCCCGGGTGCGGCAAGACCCTTCTAGCGAATGCAATAGCTGGGGTGAGTGCGCCTACCGAATTGTGTGGAAATCGACTGATTGCGTGCAGGAACTGGGTGTTCCGTTTATCAGCATATCTGCCCCGTCGGTTGTGTCTGGCATGTCTGGAGAATCCGAAAAAACGCTACGAGATATGTTTGACGAGGCCAAGGTATATATTGTGTTTCGCGTGAATCTGGACAGTCTAATCATTACTCCCAGCGTGTCGCGCCATGCCTAGTTTTCATCGATGAGATTGATGCTATCACTCCAAAACGAGAGAGTGCCCAGAGGGAGATGGAGCGACGTATAGTTGCACAGTTCCTGACATGCATGGATGGTAGGTTTGATGTCCTTTTATTTGCCATCATCCTCTAACCTGACCCGTGCAGATATGTCCTGGGAGAAGACTGAAAACAAGCCTGTGATCGTCATTGGCGCCACCAACCGACCAGACTCACTAGATGCTGCTCTCCGTCGCGCTGGCCGGTTCGACCACGAGATCAGCATGGGTGTCCCGGATGAGGAAGCCCGAAACAAGTAAGTCCATAGTGTCACATCATCCTATGAGAGTCCATTTAATGTTTTGTCAGAATTCTGCGAGTATTATGCGCAAAACTCCGGCTAGATGGCGATTTCAATTTCGCTGCCTTTGCCAAACTCACGCCTGGTTACGTAGGTGCAGACCTATCAGCATTGACAGGCGCTGCGGGTGTCGTCGCCGTCAAACGCATATTCAAACAACTCACAGATGGCACGCTCGTCCTTCCAGAGGCCCTCGGAAACACCGACCAAGAGACCCCCATGGCAGTGGATCTGCCCCCAACGCCCCCAGCTGACACCACACCAAGCATAGCCCCTTTTGTCTCTCTTGCATCCCAACTCTCTATTTCTTCCATCGCACACTTCCTCAGTGCACATCCCTCTCCCCTCACACCTGCTCAGCTTGCTCCCCTATGCATTACTTCTGATGATTTTTACGCCGCACTACGTGAAGTTCAGCCTTCCTCCAAGCGCGAGGGTTTTGCAACCGTGCCAGACGTGACATGGGCCGATATCGGCGCACTGCATGGCACACGTGAAGAGCTGCATATGGCAATCGTGCAGCCTATCAGGCGCCCTGAGTTGTTTAGCGCTGTAGGCATCGAGGCGGCGTGTGGTGTGCTGCTGTGGGGCCCACCGGGATGCGGAAAAACCTTACTGGCGAAAGCTGTTGCAAATGAGTCCAGGGCAAATTTCATCAGTGTCAAGGGTCCCGAGCTTTTGAACAAGGTCAGTCACGTTCTATTCCAATTGGAAAAGTTGTTAATGGGAGCGCAGTATGTCGGTGAAAGCGAGAAAGCTGTGAGACAGGTGTTCTCTCGCGCCCGTGCCTCATCTCCCTGCGTGATCTTCTTCGACGAGCTAGACGCTCTCGTCCCTCGGAGAGACGAAAGCATGGTACGCACCCCCTCCATCCTCCATCTCAATTTATCTCACATTAGTATCCCTAACAGTCAGAATCTTCCGCACGCGTTGTGAACACCCTACTCACAGAGCTAGACGGACTTGATTCTCGCAAGTCTGTCTACGTCATCGCCGCAACGAATCGTCCCGATATGATCGACCCAGCTATGGTTCGCCCAGGGCGTCTGGACAAGCTCCTATATGTTGATCTGCCAAGCGCCGACGAACGCGTCGAGATATTGCGGACGCTAGTTCGCAAAGTCCCATTCGCGCCTACAGAACCAGGTGCCGAGACGATCCTGTGGGGCGCGGAACATATCGTGCGGGAGAAATGTGATGGGTACAGCGGTGCGGACCTGGCAGCTGTCGTCCGGGAGGCGGGCGTTATGGCCCTTAAACGTGTCCTCGGTGCGCTTGACCAGATGGATGATAGTGGTGAAGGTCCATTAGAGAACCAGCCACGAGTGCTTGTTGTGTTGGAGGATTTTGTGCGCGCTCAGGATAAGGTCGGTCCCAGTGTGTCTGCTGTGCAGCGGAGGAAGTATGAAGCGCTACGAGCCAAGTTTGCTGGCCTTCCTGTGCGGATGGGGAAAGGTGTCGATTAGAAGTGAGCTGTTAACGGTATGATTGTTGGCATGATAATGGAACGCTAATGATTAGCAACTCCTGCGACACATGCGTGATTCGCTTGGTCGAGTACTGACATGATTTTCGATGTCATTCTTAATCCGCATCAGAGCAGATAAAGCTGTTTTGAACTAGCAGTGCAGGAACTCCATGTTTTTTTGCCACTAGCTCCACCGGCATGTAGTTAGACTTTCCTAACTGACGTTCAACCGCCACGCTGGCACAACAACAATGTCTGCCCACAGTTCTTGGCCTTCTGACTGACTGGGTATGTCATTTCTTGGGATACGCTAATGTCGGCAAATATCTGACAGTTGTTCCAGGTGGACTTTGCCACAGAATACGATCAAAAGTTTTTTGCACGCAGATGAAAATGGCTATCGAGGATTATTCTGCAAGGTGTTGCCTCGCACATATACCTATGGCCCATACTGACATGTCACATATACGCACGGTGACTCGGGCGAGCATTCGAGAAGCGAAATGGGACAAGTTTTAAAGCTGAGGCAGAAAACTGCGGGGAAGGGTTTTCCGTCGAGCTCGTGCATTTTCCTTGCATATGCGCTTGCGTCATTAATTCAACATTTTGGGAGCTGCAGGTTTTGCTGTTTTTCCATGCAATATCCCCACCGCTCAGTCAAGGAATGGTCCCAATTTCATCGAGTCACTAATTCGACTAGGTAAGAATTTTTACACAATCTTCTTGTGAATGTTGCCCATGACAACATTACAACTTGTCTCCCGTAGAAGGAAGACAGTTGTTCCTTCTTGACTATATATGAGGAAGTTTCTCTAGAGAGGAATACTTGGACACAGTTAGGTTAACGCACCTGGCCAATATATTGGGATTGCGACCCAATACCTGCTGCAGGGGAAGTTCGAAAACTTCTCAGACTCAGATCAACTTACCCAGTAACAGTGGGCGCCCTACCGTCGCCGAAAACCTCCATAGCCGCGGGCTGATTCACTCTTGGGGCGTAGATTTCTGTTGTTTCATTCATTGGAAATTCATTTCTTCAACAGAGTGCTAAAGTCTGTGAACGAACGTTTAACGTAGTAGCGTGCTGTAGCATTAGTGAACACAATACTTTTTTTTTGGCCGGTGCACTCTGAACCCCACTACACAAAAGGAGCGCCATCATTGACTATTGTGCCGCAAGAAACGTCTCCATACAATACATAAGCGCAGCTAGTAATGGAAAACAGACGAGGAAATGGGTTCATTGTATTCCATGTCAACCCCGTATCTGTCTCAGACGCGGTACTTGCTAGACATCTGAGTCAATAGAAGGGTTTGATCTATTTCGGTCCGCACGTAACATACGAGTAGCATGACCGCGCCCTGTCACAAGGATGGCCGAAGCCTGCAAAGCGCGGTGAGCTGGGACCCGGGCTGCACAAAATATGAATCAGACATGCGCCGTCATCGCAGGTCGGTTCAATTCTTCTTACAGTCAGTACCTTGGTCGTGATCAAGTGCATAGTTCATGAAGGCACACTCCCGCCGCCGACAGCCCTACCTATCTCATCCACTTTCTGCCTGAAGCGCTTCCACTTAGCGCTCCCCACGCCCGCAGGTGTATCGTGAAGTCGGAGGAAGGGGTTCGAGGAGGCGTGATAGTAGGCTAAGTGGAGGGCTTTGAAGGTCTAAAGATGCATCCGTGCCCAGAGAATGGATGAGGCGGACAAGGAGAAACGGCGAGATTTAGAAGGACACACCATAACCACTTCCGCATCACGCACAACAGAGTCTGTGAGCGGGAGGGCGAGGACAATCTTCATTTTGAGAGGTGTGATGTACCCATAAGCAGCTATGTCATCCATTGCGTAGAGAAGGCCGAGGTAGCATTCGTTAGATTTTGTTGGACCATTTGCTAATTGCCACGTCGGGTGAGTGAGTAGGGGAATGGAAAGTAAACTGTGTGTGCACTGACTTCGTTCCTCGATGACATCGAGGCTTGTGTGGGCTACATAATGGTACTTCAGCTGGTCCCCTTTTTCGAATGTACGGATGAGAATTGGGTGGTTTTGGGGTGATATAAACGCAACTGCATTCAGGCGCAGAGGAGGTGCCATCTTACAATATTTGTTCTAGTGCCTTAATGTAAAATTACTTGCAGATTGGAGGAGGAAGACGTACTGAGTGACGTTTAAGGATGGTGACACATTTGTGACCACAATGTGACAGTGACTACTGCGTATCACAATTTAGGTTCATCAACTGTTCTATGTATGTCATCCGGAACCAAGGACACCATGTATAAGTCCGATGTCCTATGGACACTGGACAGTACTACCTCCAAGTTCGCGTCACTTGCCCCTCCATAACAATGGCTACCAAGACTGGTGCACTTGATGATAGCAAATCTGCACCTCCGCCGTACGAGACAACTTCTACCTCTGTACCTACTACGTCTGCATTACCAGACAACTCTGTCCGACACAGACCATCTGTATTTTCCTTTCTACACACCAAGCGGAAAGGTACAAAATCTGTTGCTCCCTCTATTTTATCAGCAGACTCCTTCCAATCCCAGAAACTCACTGCCTTATCTCGCATCCGTGATATTGTCTCCGCTCCAGATATCACCCCTTCTTCTGTTTCCCTGATCGTCGATGCCTGCGCTGCTTCTCTTCCAGCTGCAGAACTCTCTGACCTTCTGCAATCTCCCAATATCGAGGGCCACACAGCGTTGTACTGGGCAATTATAAATAAGCGGCAAGAAACCTTTTCGGTCTTAGCTGCATTCATTTCCAAATTCTCGTCCGTTTGTTCTTCCGACTTACGTCTCGCGTGCATGGCAACCAACAATCAGGCCCTGTTTGCGCAGCTGGGTTTGGGACGTAGTGATTGTAAGTCCATATTCATGCCTGTCCTGAGAGTGCATTAATATATATATATATATCAGCAAAGGACGAGCCTTTGAGACGCTCTTTGGGTTGTCCACCTGATGAAGTTCAGGTGCATGAAGGAGATGGACTGGGCGAGAATCAGTTCATCGCTTGCCTCCGTATCAGGATGTTTCAGAAACGTCTGCACATTACACAGGATTTGGGCGTAGAATTTGTTGCGGGGGGTATGTTGTCCAGGCCTTGATTCGTTTCTCAGGTTGTTATGATAATGTCAATGCCTGCAGGACGCATATGGTTGTTTCGCTTTTATATTGGGCCCGATGGAGGGTGGCGCATCGGGCTTGGTCTTTCTCAGCCTAGCTTTCCAGCGCGTCCAGACGCGATACTTCTGATCGAGGCCCACGAAAAACCCGGCTCTGCAACCCCACCTCAAGGGTTGCGAATGACTTATGAAAATAAGAAATTGCTTGTACCTGGGGGGTGAATTTGAATTTGTTCCGATGTATTCGAACGCAAGGCATACTGATATTTCTATTATTATCATTTGATCTCTTGTCCATTTAGATCTCAAGGATATAAGGACTCATTCATCAACATTTTTTGGTCATTAAGCGATTGGCCCCTGTACGAGTAAGTCTTCTTCCCTAACACTTCCTCAGCTCCATCCGCGTCACAGTAAGTGGTTGGAGCAGTAATGTTACCGACCAACTTATTTTGTGACTTTCTTCAATTTCTTTCTTTTCAATGAGTTGAACTGACTACGTTTTTAGAAATACTATATATATGGACTCCGATGGCACCTTGCATGCAAAGCTGGAGATGACATTAAGGTAACGCTGGCTGCTCATTAACCTCGATATTCATGTTGGAATTTTTATTTAACCTCCCGTCGTCCCCATGTTCATACTTCAATTGTTGTCTTTCAACGTTGATATGCGTATCGTCTTTTCATCCCGGATTCTCGCTGTATCTATCTTATATTATATTTCTTACAGCGTGTTCTCTGATAGCTTCCAATAAATGGGAACTTGATCATTAGGTCGCTTTGTCAAAGTAAATTCAGCTTCATATCACGACCCAATCAGCCAGTTGCAAAGCTGTGTGCTACTTAATGCAGAAGCCGTGCAGTGAGTAAAGGCCTTTCCTCATGAATCAAAAGGAGTCAAAAGAGTTCTAACACATAGAAAGCTCAACTGCAAGGACAGAAAGTTGGACGTCCTTGAAGTAGATTGCGAAAGTAGATTGCGAAACTATCCACGGGCACTCATCGACCTCATGACCGTCGGCAGTTGTAAACTCGATCAAAAATAAAAAGTGCGAACCACAGATTTGGTATTCTGAGGACTTTAATGGATGGTTTTTGACAACCCTAGTCCTACATCTCAGAATAACTGCTCATCTCCAGTTAGAATGGAATAATGCTTGTAACCTTCATGTCGCAGGTATTCACGGAATGATATTACTAGACCTTACTTTACATATGTGACACATTTGCAATAGCGTTATTACCCCGTGGACAGTCATGTCGTCGACGCGATAGTCTAGTGCAACTTGCGGTCAAGAATTCAATGCTACCCGAGATACCCAAACGCGTACCTTCTTCACAAATTCATATATCCTCCTCTGTCCAGCAAACAATATTGCAGCAGTGAGGACACTCTGGAGGAGTTTACTGCCGACGCCTTTGTACAGTCCTTGTATGCCTTCCTCTCTCAAGATCGTAGCGAGACCATCAAGAGAAGATCTGTACTGCTCTGCGCGTGCCTGCCCAGCTTGGAGCCTGCTCTTTAGGACACTGACAACAAGTCAAATCATGGCCTAAAAAGCTTGGTCAAGCGCTAAGGCTCACATATAAGGGTACGTCGTCCCTGTTGCGACTGCATCGCGCACTGTCAACATAATTCAAACTACACCTATATTTCAGTGAGCGCACCAAGTTTCGAAAGTGCACCTAAGATGAAGAAATCCCAGTCGGACAAGACTGCGACCGCGCTTCCAGAGCTTCTTGCCCCTAGCTTCGAGGACCTCTTCTTAATCAAAAAATTCTTCAACTGCTCGAACACTGTATATTGCAGTACAGGGTTGATCACGAGCACTAAAGCAGGGCCGAGCCCACGGAAGAACCCGTTTAGCCCGTCTTTAGCGAGAATGGCTTGAATGGTTTGGAAGACACTTGGCCGTCTGAGTGTTGCACGTGAATGGGATGGTTCGGAAGGGGATGGTTCTACTCGAACGGCTTGGGACGTCTGTACAACCCAGATAGGATTGCTGATGATGGTGGTCGCTGATCCTAGATGTAGGTTATTGAATAAGTCATAACATCACTCATGCACACCGAGGCTAGCGTACCAGCAATGACACCTGCTAACATCGACTCCAACATACTAAGCGCCTTGCTCCCCTGCCTCGAATTCAAAATGATCCCTCGAGAACGTTCATAGAAATAATAATACACCCTGTCAGCGTTATGAGTACGAGCAGAACACAGCGCGGGGGTGCTCGGGAAGATTTAGTATTTACCCGTTTGTGACAGCTATCCCGAGCAAACTTGGGCTCAGACCGCTATAAAGGCCCACAATACCCTCCCGCTTAACAATTTCGAGGATATTTTGAGCTGCGCTCTGTCAAGATACGTGAGCACGAGGCGCAGGCAAGTGTGACATCTCGAGTTGCAGTCACCTTGGAGTCATTCTTCACATCGACTGCAGCGCGTGTCGATAAGACTATGAGTGGGCTGCGAGTACGAAGAACTACTTGAAGTTGCACTCACGCAAATAATAGGATGGTACGTACTATGTTGCGGACATGGCAACGATGCCTCCGGCAGCGCCTGCGAGTGAATGAATAGCTGAGTCGCTTACCATGATGCGAACGATGGGCTATATGCTATGCGCGTGCAAGGAAAGACTGGAAGAAAGCTCTGTGTTCTGGAACCAGTACTGGTGGAAAATCACGGAAAGGAGCTTATAGGCGCCCGTGTGTCGTGCCACTTATGGATCGCTTTGCAAATTGGAACACGAAAGGATTTAGGGAATCAAGGAGCTTGAGGGTGGGTGAAGCGAGCGCTCATTAGAGGCACTGAAACTTAATCACATGTAAATTGTGTTCAGGTTCATTCTATTGATTCCGAAGAGCACAGCGGGGTGACCAGCGTGCATTCACATCGTTCCAAACTTGATAGCCTAGCTAATGCATAATAATAAAATACAACATCTACTTCAATTGAACTTGATGAATACACAAGTCGTGGACGGCATGTAGCAATTAGTCGCCTAAATACACGTATGGGTTCACTGCTTCTGGTTCTGCTGCCAGTGCTGTTCTGCATGCTGGGGTATGTTTTACCACAATAAGTCCTCACTTGTCGACCTTGAACGTGTCGTCCTGCAACTGTCTAAGCAACTGCTGCATCTCCTCGACATCCTTCTTGAAGCCATTAGAGCTGCCGCCAGAATCCTGCCTTGTGGAGAACGAATCGCCAACAGTTGCTTTACCGTCGTCCAACGCGAGCCATTTGTCCAACTGCGTGATGATGGCTTGCGCTTTGAGGCGGTAGTGCGTACGGATCACGTCGCCGAAGGGCTCTGGAGGGTTCTTGAGGTTACCGAGCATCTGCAACATCAAAGGTAAGAGACAACAGTGGAAGATCAGGCATAGATCTTACTGCGGTCTTGACGCCCATCCTCCGAACGTTGGCAGAGTCTGACGAGAACGTCAGAAAAAAAGCTCATCACCGAATTTAGCCACCCACATTGCCTCGACTGGGGAGTACCACCGTCGTTCGCCCATCCAGGCTCGTTGAGATAAGGCTCCTCGCAAAGGATCATGGACTGAATGGATATAAGGACCTACAAGGTGTGAGCGCAGATACTGAATGACAGTAGAGGAACGCAAACTTGTAGCAATGTCGACTTTCCGGAGACCCACCCTGGACCAGACCATGTGCCAAGAAGAGACAGGCAGACTTTGCCATCCTGAAATGAAATATGTAAACAGATCACTTCCTGGATGTTCGTACTCACTGCGTAGAGATTAGGGTTGAACCGATACTTCCCACCGTTAGTCTGCCAAGGAATCTCAGTAACATAAAATATTCGAACCGAGGCAGTCACTCACCGTCATGTACTTGACGCTTGGAGGAGCCTGGTTATAGCTCGGTCCAAGGAAAATATCGAACAGGAAACTGCAGAGTCTCTGAGCACGAGAATTTTGTTTTGCAAGTGACTTACCAGCCATCTTGATATCTAGAACACAAAGGTAAGAACGGCCCATCAGAGCGAGAGGAAGGTACTGACGGAGTTCCTTCTGGACCTATGATAAGCGCCTTGATGATGTCTACTCGATTCTCATCGACTCTCAAGAAGACCGAGGAATCCCATGCAACAGGTAGATTCGTCGTCAAAACGGCGAGCTGCGTGATCTACTAAGTCAAAAAAACCTTTGCGAAAGAAACCCCACAAAACCTCTTTTGCGATAGCTAGAGAACGCTTAGGGATGTCCGAGGTGGCAAGCATTCGGGCCTCGCTATTATAGTAGAACTTGTAATGCGGCAAGCTCTCCTCTATCGCCCCTTTCTTGTCTTCCTCTCTTGGAACAGTAAGGTCACAGTATTCGAATCGAACTTGAGTAGCCCAGTCGACGTAAGCCTTCTTCCGCGCCTCATCTGTCGTAGCAAGAGTAATTGTTGAATGATCAAACGGTTCCGATGTAATTCTTGGCAGTGAAGTGTGTAATCGGTCAACAAATGCGTCGCCTTTGGTTTCGCGTAATGAGCGATCGATGGCACTTGCAGTCGCTAAGATTCGCTGACAAAACAAGAGCAGCTTCTGGTTTTCGTCAGATAAAGAAGGGGTCAATTCTCTCTCCTTGCCCTTCGCGGACGATGTCATGCGTTTCTGCTCCTCCGTCATCTCAAGCACCTCTGGGTCGGGGGTTTTGATGCCTTCTAATCCCTTGATAGCAGCCTGCGCTTGGATAACAATTGCTTCCAAAAGTTCTCGCGGGCCAGCACTACCTTCATAGATGATTGTTCGTTCACGTATAGGTGCCTTACCCTTGGCTACTTTCTTGGGTGCGACGGATTTGACAGAGGCAACCACCATGATCGGCATTGCCATCATGCTTGCCAATGCTTCATGGTTGGATATAGTCTGTAGTGAGGCATCAATCAATGCAGTTGAACGTATGATGGTAGTGGTACGCTACCTCGAGCCATTCAAATAACTCAAAGTACAGCACAGAACGATCTGACATGTCCGAGAGGGAATCATTCCTGAGGAGAGTGGTGCAGAGACAATTAAAGCGTCTGCGAAGATGCGCAAGAGCCGTGGGGTGAACCATGTAGTCACTGGTTCGTGCACCTCCCTCTCGGCGCAGAGACGGAAGATATTCGCGGATCTGAGAAAGTATCGTACCGATCTTCTCATCTTTAAGACGTTGGGTGGCCTGAGCTTCGAGTTGCCCAGAAGTCTTGCATATCTTCAGAAACGATGGCTGATGATGCTCATATGAAAACTCACATCTTCCTTTACATCTCCAGCATAGCCAATGCCTCCTTTCGATTTCTTCCCCACTGGCAAAGACATGTAATAGCTATCGTCATCGTCATCGTCCCCTTTCGGAGTAGACGAAGAAGAGTGCAGATCGGTCTTCCGTCTCTTGTTTGTTTTTGATTTCTGAGAACTCTCTTCGGGTTGACGCTGCTCAGAGAACGTGGATTCCAACATAGCAAGCCCGATGCCCAATATAACGCCTTGCAGATTGGAACAATGGAATAGAGTGTCATCACCCGAAGAGCAAGGGTCACGATTGCTTCCAATGTTGATGGGTTCTCCGCACGCGAAACAAAAATCCACTTTGCATGAAGGACAAGTGCGCTTTACGACACGGCGAAGATGTTGAATATACAGCATAAAATCTGGCTATATGCAGGTCAGCTCTCGGCTTTGTATCGAAAACAGTCATACACACAAAAATGGCAAAGAAATTACTCTTAGATCTCTGAATCCTATGTCCGCATGATTGGGGGCAAGGGCAGTCACCGCTGCTTAGCTCGTTGTAGAGACCGAACAAGAAGCCCTGTTCGCCGCCTTCTGGACAACCCTTCATCCACTGACCCTGAGTCATAATCTTCAGCTGCTCGTTGGTGTCTGGCATGAAGGCTGTCTCAGGTTCCTCTTCGACTTCTATGACTTCCTCGCGACGATCCTTCGAGAAGAAGACACCTTCGAAGCCATCAAAATACCGAACGAACAAACATAAAGGTGAACTCGCCAGCGTATGGATCGGCTTCAACAACAGTTCTGGCCTTCTCGTCGTAATCAGAGTCATAGTCGACATAGTCATCCACTGAAAGTTGATTAATGCATCGCGGAAGACTATCCAGGAGGCCACTCACCCTCGTCTTCGTCTTCGTCCATGTCCACGTCATTATCGTCTTCACCTTCTCCGTCCTCATCCGGTGTCTAACCAAACTTGATGAATACAATTCTTCCGCATAGCAATGAATTACATACAGCACTACGCGGCGTTCGTGATGGGGTGATGAGCGCTACCGAAGCAGCAGTCTCCATACTAACGTCTCCATCTGTCTCCTCAACGTCGGCGAACTCGCCTTCGAAGATCCGCTCGGCTGCTTGCATTACATCTTTGTACCGACGAAGAGCAGCCTGCGCTTGTGCCTCCGTCGCACCCTACCAGCCGCCGGTTAACATGGCACTGGCTGGAATCGCAGAACCAAGCCTTACCATCTCCACCAGTTGTCGGACCTCTCTATCCATAGCAGCTGCAAGAGACTATACCGTTACTAGTGATGGATCTCCCTTCAGCGTTGCTTTATTGTAACAAGGTGTGATTGATATTGCAATGTGACAATTTTGTCACAAGATGGGATTAGCCAATATTGCAGCTAAAACATAAAGATGTATAAATAAAACGAATGACCAACGCCGAAAGAATAAAACTCCTTCAATTGACAAGGTAGAAAGAAAATAGTTCAGCGAAGAAGCAGAACTGCGCAAGTAAATCTGTCGGAGCACTACCTAGATAAGATAACGAGAGCAGCAAAACCCACACCAAGCATAGGAGAGAAGTCCAGAATACAACAATTCATACACACAGCCCTAATGCAACCCCGTCAGGCCAGCTGGTCGAAGCGCTCCAGAAGAGTGGCATCCATATTGAGAGCACATGGATATTGGCTCTTCAACCCTTAGTAATTTGGCGAGAAAAGCTTTCTCTTTCATCCCGATCGTAGCTAAGAGGATAGGAAGATAAATCGCTCATCAGTGCGAGCGTGTCCAAGCTGGCTCTTTGACGTCCTTGAAAAGCAGATGGTGGTGTGATACCATCACTGCTTCCAGAATCAATCTGGAAAGGGAATGGTCCAAGACCAGATGACGCCGTGGAAACCTGAGAGACTGTGGACAACCCCAAAGTTCGGCGGCTGGGAGGGGGGTCTAATGGTGGCAGTGATGTCTCTACCGATTCTGGAACGTCCGAAGGAGTGGGATCCTGCACCTGTGCAGAGGATGATGAAGGGGCTGCTGCCTCGAAGACAGGAGGCTGCGACTGTGTAGCAGAGAATCGTTGATGTAGAGGAGAACGAGGCGGAGAACGGATAGGAAGCGATGAAATGGGTGAAGGAGGGACGAAGGGGAATGACTCGAGAATAGAGTCAGCTCGCGTTGAGGTGGCAGAAACAACCGAGGAGCCTGAGACTCGCTTGCGATCCAAGCCCTGCGCACGAGCTTGTGCATGTGCATGTGCCAAGGCTAACTGCTGCTGTTCCTCGAGGGATGCTGGCTGGCGGGAGGACTGTACCGAGGCCGGTGTAATTAGTCTCCCCATAGTTGTCCTGGGCGACTTCTCGACGTTCGATGGGCACAGTAGTCCGATATTAACACGTGTGGCACTGCTGATATCTATAACGGAGCCGGCCTGAGTGCTGACGCTGATTGGACGACTATCTCTATTATTGGTAGACCACGGGAGACGGGGTGATTGGAGAGAGACTACCGACACTGGGCGCGACTGGTTTGAGACATCACCGTGTACCTCAAATTCGTGATGATCCCCGAACGGATCGCTACGTGGGGATGTATTATGCTCTTCCTCTGTCTCATCCAAGGCATCAGCTGGGCCAAAAGAACTGGCTGCAAGGGGGGATCGAATTGAAGGGCGAGAAGCAACAGACGGAATGCTGTTCACGGATAAATGAGATGACATAGGTGTAGATGGACCTGAGGTCTGGATAACTTCTGCTTTGACGACTCCCACGACCTGCCTGACGGCACCTTGGGTTTGGGTGACAATCATCGGTGCTTCATTGAGGAAATCACTGGAGTAACTGGCGTTTGACATATAAGACATCCTCGATGTTCCTGAGCGCTGACTCTGTGTGTAACGCGGGTTTGGACCACGCAAAGATTCGTCAGACACTGCAGAAGCATTGTCATTCAAGGAAAGGTCGGGTGCCCGAGCGGGTCGGACGGGAGAAGAAGCTGCAGCAGATCCTGGCCATGAAGGTGTCACGGAATCAGTTGACGCAGAGCCGGGGGATACAAGAGCAATAGGGATAACATTTGTGCCATTTGTACCCGTCGACGTAGTCTGTATAGAATTGCCATCGTCAAAGGGATTAGGTTGAGTGGTATGGGCATTGAGAGAGGCGGTGCCGGTTGCAGATGCACCCCGAGACTGGGGATCGAGGTCGATGACACTGTCCGAAGATGAAATGAAAACTCTAACGGTATTGGGCTCGGAAGGCATCGGTGGCTGCGGCTTTTCAGTGGGATCTGGGCGATTCAGAACTGCTTCTGCAGAGGCGGGAGCTTCGTCCTTGGCTTCCTGAGCCTGCTCCAAGACCTTGCGGGCACTCGCACGACGACGGTACCAGAAATAGAGTACCAAAGCCCCTAGAAGGACCAGAACGATGGCGACGATTGCGCCTGCGAGTGCGCCTGAGCTGACACCCCCATTACTATTAGATGTTGCTGTGGTCTTTGCCTGGCAAGTAAATGATGGGCAGACGTTGCAAGTTCTGGCATGACGTTGGTGTCAGATATGATTAGGGATGTAGATTCACCGATTGAAATGAACAGACCTAGTTATCTGGATGCAGCTCTGATCGGCTGAACAAGTGCATGATGGGGGAGCTGTAGGACAAGTGACACATTGTCTGGTATCTAAGAACATGATCTGCAGAGAGAAGCAGAAAAGAGAAACAGAGTAAAAGAGTGTGATTCGATGAAATTTAAAACACCAAGTTTTTTTGAGATTCGGATCTAAATTCCTACCACAGCTGCTCACTGCGAGCAACGATGATGGAGGATAAGAAGGATGGCCTACAATGTGAGGCTCGCCAAGTTGGAAGTCGAAAGGCGAGCTTAGTGACGAGCGTCTTCCCACGATTTTGGTGCAAGTTGCCAGCGACCAGGAACAAGGTTGTGGTACAACTGTAACTCATGACCATCATCTTTTATTAGAAAACCTGCTTTCACTTGAAACACGAGGTGAGAGTATCAGTAAAACCATCGTTTCTGTTACTTATCACCATACCAATCCCTTTCATTAGGAACTATTATGTCTGGCATCGCCGAGTCCACTATCGCAGTCGAGCATCTGACTTACCATCATGTTCCTAATTCCCCCCCTTCTTTGGATAATGTCACGTTTCATCTCCGGCCTGGTTCTCGAACAATTTTGGTTGGCGCCAATGGAGGCAAGTACCTTAGAGTACCTTGCGGCCCTTACCGCCCTTAGCTGAAATCTTACGCAGCCGGAAAATCTACACTCCTGCAGATCTTAGCCGGTAAAAGACTGGTAAAAGATGCTGAGATTCGTATAAATGGCCTAGATGTCTTCAGGGATTCCCCGCCCGGCGTTACCTTCCTGGGTACGGAGTGGTCGGTAGCTTCTTATTCTCATCACGACCGCAATTCATCACACAAGGTCCGATTGTCCTGTTCTTCAGGGCAATGAATCCAGTGGTCCGGAGCGATATCGTGGTATCTACTTTCTTGGACTCCGTGGGAGGATATAAACACAAGGAGAGGAGAGACAGACTTCTAGACATTCTAGATGTGGACTTAGACTGGCATATGCATGCAATTTCCGATGGAGAACGTCGCCGTATCCAACTTTGCATGGGCCTCATGGCACCATGGAATGTTCTTCTCTTAGACGAAGTACGTTCTTTCATGCCATGTCTGTGAGGTTGTCTGAGCTACGCGCGTGTGCAGGTCACTGTTGACCTTGATGTCATGGTTCGTGATGAATTACTTACTTTCCTTCGAGAGGATAGCATCGCCCGTGGAGCTACCATTATTTGTGGGTTGCAAATTCCTCGGTTCTTCTGCATCAATTAAACACCCACACAGACGCAACACATATTTTCGACGGACTCAATTCATTCCCTACTCACGTAGCCCACATGCGTTTCGGATCCTTTGCCACAGAACCTACTGCATGGCCGTCTGGATTTACAAATGGATCTCAGCTCCCTACATTATACAACACTGCTCTGCAGTGGCTTAGAAAGGACCGTGATTACCGCCGAGAACTTGAGAATCAGGGGCGAAAAGGCCGCGGTGCGAGAGATGAGGTACGTTCTGATCCCGCTCCTCTAGCAACGACCTGACTGATCCATGAAAATCTAGACTGTCCCTTCAGACTCTGAGACGTTCTACAAGAAGTGGGTGTGATTCGTTGCAACTAATCCCTGACCATAAGATTGACAATCATTCAAAGATATGATTATAGTCATTAAGACACCACACCACCACGCTGCCGCGAGTTTTATTGTGGACGCATCAACTGCACGGTTTCACAACACGGTTATATCCCTTCAGTTTCAACAACCTGTAGCAATAGCATTACAAGCCATACCTGTATTCAACATGCACTGCCTAAATTACGATGTCTGCTGTCCGAAGAATCTGGACGGGCCACTTGCAGTTGGACACACATGTTTCAGATGTGTGTAAGAGTCAGCAAGTCCCGGTTATAAGTATATTGTCCAACTCTTTTCAAGCAGATATGATTAGCAAAGGAGTTGTAATCATGCTCTCCGTCCTTCTCCGGTGAACGCTATGTACTACTTAAAGACTATAATCCCGGACTGGAGAGTCGACAGAGGAGACGGTGTTCAATTGATCGAGCAGCCAGCTTTAACAGTGGTACGGTAGTGACTGCAGTAAGTACTGCCAGCAACGACTTGCCTTATTAGGCAGGTGCAATTGCAGCTCGCAAGGCTTTGTTGAAGGTGCATCACGTCTTTCACACCTTTTTGTGTGTCTCGCCGCTGTGGTTATCAGCCATAATGCCTGAAATTATAGACCTGACGTTGACTCCGCCACCACCAGAGACTATCGAAATATTGTCCGACGGGGAAATACCTATGGGCTCTCTCAACCAGGAAGATTCTTCCTTACAAAAGACAAAGCGGATGCCGCGAAAACGGAGAAAGTCCAAAGGCCTTACACGCGATGGCGTTGACAGCTCAAGAAACCAGTCTCTTGAGCGTCAAAGTACTGCAGATTCTCGCGCCGGAACTGTTTCTCGAAGGCGATCGGCGTCTCCAAAGCGTCGCTCACCAGCTCCAGTAATTTCTGACCAGGAACTGTTCTTCTTTGATGCCGCCCCTGCTCCTGTGGTCACAGAGCCTATGCAAAGTTCAAATTCCCAACCGGAGAGCTCAAAAAGCGCAGCAGACCGACTTCTACTACCCTCTCATGTGTCTGTTTTGAGCGGTGGCGAGGATGGTGCAGTGCCGGTAGAAATTATTCCCCCACTGCCCGTAGATTCTGAAGAGGAAGATTACATTGAATATCTTGATTATGAGGACAGGAAGGTGTGCGGCCACCCATAGTTACAATCACGATCAGTTGCTCATGTCCTTCATAGGCACCCGGACTTGTTCGTTATTTTGACGCGGAAGGAGAGGAGGCTGCCCATGCTAAACCATCACGCTTTGTATGCAAGAATTGTGGTGCAGAGGGCGAGCATAAGACGTATGAATGTCCGATTCAAGTGGTCAGTTTTTCGAATACCTCTGTCTAATGTTGCTCATTCCGCTTTGAAGTGTCTGACTTGTGGTGCTCGTGACGAACATTCAACGCGGAGCTGTCCTATCAGCAAGACTTGCTATACTTGCGGGATGAAAGGTCACATTAACAAGGTAAACACGTACGTACTCTGCCACACGCAATCTCACGGATTTCAGACCTGCCCAAATCGTTTCTCGCGTTCAAGACCCGCAGCAGATGGTTGCGACCGATGCGGATCGCAAGCTCACAAGATGAATGTAAGATAGCAGTTCAATTTTCAAGGTTCTACCGTTCATCTTCTTCCAACATCGATAAGGAATGTCCTACGCTTTGGAGAATATACCAGTACGTTACCGACGATGACCGTGTTAAAATCACGCAGACCAGGGAGGAAAAGAAGAAACTTGCACTCGGAAGTGGAGGCGAGGGTTACATCACATCGGAGCCATGTTGTTATAACTGCGGAAATCCAGGACACCTGGGAGACGTATGTGTGGTTGCCGGTTCTGACTCGCCTTCTCTCACAAAGTCTCACAGGATTGCGATGAGGTCGCTTTCGTCTTTGACATACCCGCTGAGCCTTCAGCTTTCAGCTCGCACAATATCATGTCTGGGCCATTCTATGACCCGGCATCCGAGCCCGTCCGCATTCGCCGTGGGCCACGAGAGTTGCAAAACGAAGAAGACAGGCCTGCCTTACGTGAGGACTGGGGTGAAGATGCACCTCTAAATGTTGGAAAACAAGGGAAGAACAAAGACAAGGAAAAGATGGCAAAGAGGTTCAGAGATCAAGAAGATGATGACACAGGGGACTGGTTCAACAATCCTCGTAACATGAAGAACCGTGGCAATGAAAACCCTGCGTCAAACGGTCGAAAGGCTATAAAATTCGGCAGTTCGATGAAGGACGTCGGGCGCCAGTTTATGCCACCCCAATCCACGCCACCTCAAAAACGTCTTATTGATCGATTAGAAGACAATCCTCACCGTGGTCATCGACGGCGGAACGGTGACCACTACGCTCCATCAAAGGAACCAGAGTCCTACCGCATCCGTGGAGCGTCAAATAATTCTAGAGACCGGGATGGTGAGTATTCTCGTAGGTATTCAGATCGTGGTCGAGAAGGGCAGCGACGAGATTCGCGAGAGTGGGACAGGGACCGGGGACATGCATCGGGGGGTGGACCCAGGTATAAAGGTGGTTACAATAGATGATTTCAACTCTGAGGTCGAGCTTGCCTCGTTTTGGGAGTCAGATTGTATACTAGGGCCACTGTCACTGCACACATGTACGTGGGGACGGCGTCTCTAGTGAACAATCAGATCCTACTAGTACTTAGGTTCAGGTCCTTACCGTGATGCTGTCTGTTATATATGCTTCATTGATATCCAACATTACACTGGTGCTTACCCTCACTGGCTGAGCTTGCTTTTTACGACTTTATGAAAGCAGATTCCCTTTCTTGAGCCGTCAACATAAACATGCTGAGTGCCGTAGGCAGTCTCGTTCCTTCCCCCACAGTTGACCTGGGTCTTGCCAAAGGCAGAAGCGTGTCAACAAAGATCGCCCAAGCTGCAGACTCGACCCATTCCGAAGGATCTATAAGTCCAGCAACCCGCGCCGCTCTCAACTTCCAGTATGCATCGCTAAGAAACATCAACCACTGTCCAACTGGCATGTACATCACTCCTTCGGTGGAGAGCACCCTGATGTGGGACGCCGTTCTCTTTGTGCACAAAGGTCAGCATTCTCAATACTTAGCAGTGCGCTGTTCAGTTTCATATCATTGTCAGGATACTACCAGGATTCTGTGCTAAAGTTCACCATAACGTTTCCCAACGACTATCCTGAACGACCCCCAACGGTGCGATTCTTGACGGACATTTTCCATCCCCTCGTCGATCACCGGACTGGGGCTTGCAGTCTTGCACCGCGATTTCGACCATGGAGGTTCGTGACGACTTGCCACAGCTTGATCAAGACTTACACGTGTGCTCAGACCCAAAGAGCATCAGATACATCATATTCTGCATTTTATCAAGAGTTCGTTCAAGGAGCCCACTCTAGACAAGCTCCACGAGGAAGATGTTTTAAACAAGGAAGCTTTCAAGTGAGTTACAATTGTCCTGAGAGCTGCCTTTGCTGATAGTTTCGTAGGCTGTAAGTAACAACGAGCCTCGCCACTCCAAATACTAGTATTGACGTTGCAGACAGCTATCGTGACAATCGAACATCTTTTGCGACGTTAGCAAAGCAATCCGCAGAGCTGTCTCAATCTCCCAGTGCTCTCTATGACACTTCAGGTTCAAGAAAGAACCACTCATTACGGTTTACCCCATTGAAACCAGACGAAGTCGACGAAGTACTAGGGGCCCTCTCCATTCATTCAGAGGTTTCAAAGTGAGTGCCCATGGTCATGAGCTACCATATGAGTAGTAGGGTATATATTACATCCATTCACCTAATGTACGGAAACGTACTACGAAGGTCTAATAATAGTCGCATTAAATTGTTCGCAATAGAGTTGTAGTTCGGATGCCACCTCGAAGTCTGGAACAACTCAAGGTGACAACAAGGGTTCATCTATCGTCACTGCTGCTATCGTTGACACTTGGGAAAAGCCCCCGGAAGTTATTCGTTTCGAATGGAGTGTCCGTTCCTGTGTCATCATCCTGCTAGCACCACCTGTACGTGAGATGCGTTCCAGTTCGCTTACTCGGGACGTACCTCGGTCATTTTGCCGAAGTGCTTAGAGAGTTTCTCGATGACGAGGCTGTAGGGAAGGTGTTGCGTCAATTTCCTAAAAGTAGTAATTAGCTCCATGGGGTAAATTTTCATGATAACGGAAATTTGATACCTTCGAGGCTGGACGTTCAAAGAATGACGTGCATCCAGAGTGGAGTCCAGGACGTTCGACGAGTGAGCACCTTCACTGAGGGATAATTTGATCGAATATTCCTTATCAGAGTTTCCGCGCCCAAAATTACGCTCGTAGAGTTCAAAGCTAAAAGGTCAAGGAAGTCAGTCGGCAAACGGCGGACAGGATGAATGAACCAACGTGATATGGGACTACAAAGGGGGGTCCATTCTTATCAGTAAACTGCCAAGCTCAGGTATATGAACAGAGCTTACACAATAATCTAACTCGGGTATCCGCCTATTCGCAATCGGTAGGCCGGAGTGCAGCACGAGATTGACAAGCGTATGAATATGGCTTTCTTTGGTGAAATAAAGGGTCAAGGAGCTGGCGCCATTGTTTCGCGCAGTTTCGAGGTCTTCTACTACTTTCCGAAGCAGTGGTAATGAAGTCAGGACGCCGATCTGTTCCCTGAACAAAGTTCAACATTGTGTAAACGAGCCATGGTTTATCAAGCCACACTTTTCATCAGCTTCAATGCCGTATTCCTGGGGTGCCACTAGATCAAACAAGGCTTTGGCACGCCCGTAAAGTTCATGCAACTTGCGGTCTTGAGTCTGGCTGGGATCCTGACCGTGGCCAGCGTTTTGGTCGAAAATTGAGAACAGAAATGTTCGGTGATGTAGCGCGCAATACTTGATGGTGTCATAAAGCTCTGAGACCTGCAAGATTGACAGGGATCAATCACCAATTGAGTGCACATTACAAAGTGCTTACACGAGAGGGGTCAAACTTCTTTTGTTCGACATCGCAAAAATCCTCAAACAGCTTGTCCCAGCGTTCCCTGAATAACCAAGGCTCATCACCGCAACACCTACAGAAATTCATGAACCTGACGTTGTCCAAAGGTCAATCAATCTTCTTACCATCGTTCCTGGATCGTGTCCACATCCATGGTATTGAAATTCTTATGCATGATTGTCCGGAAGGAGCTCAAAAGTTCGATGACCTCCTATAATGATGTAGCGTGAGTATTCGACCGTCCTCTTAACGCGCAATGCGGTGACAATACCTTGACAACTTCGACCGGCTCCTTTTTCATGCTCTTTGGCCATGTGAGTTCAGGACGCTTCTCAGGTTCACCGGGTCTCAGTAATATCTTCAAGCGCTTCTTCACGTCGTCCATCAAGTCCTTGGCTGCATTGGAGTCGTCGAGAAGGTCTTTACGGATGATCAGTTCCGGAGGTGCTATCCCTTGAGAGCTTAATCTGCTATCTTGAGAGGAGTGCGAGGAAAGGGAACTAGGAGTTGACGAAGAAGTGGAATAACTTGAAGAGTGGATGTTATCGACAAGTGCTGCAGCAAAAATGTCGGCGGATGCAATCACGCGGCGCTCGGAAGAGGTATATATCTGGGTTGAAAATTTAGAATATCACCGTCTGTATGGGCAAAATCTCAAAGTCGAACCTTGACATTCTGAAGAGCTTCCTTGTCTAAATACGAAGGTCAGCAGTACCATCCTCCTCGTTGTGAGGTACGTACTCATGATTGTTAGATCCTTTTTCATGTTCTCTCCGAGGTCACGGGACTGGTATCTTGCTGAATGCGTGAACTGTGCAGATAAATTCACATCAACATGAATGGTAAAATCATGCAGGAGTCGACATACTTCACCGCCCCATTTGAAGACCAGTGTCAGCTTTGTTAACCTCCTTGGCTGTCCAGCCTGTCTCTTCGAATACACAGGCTTGAGCTGCGCTTTAGTTCCAGGAAAATTAATCTTGTTGAAGAGTGCAGTATTGAGCTGCGTAAGCTTCGCTAAGTCATCGCCGCTTGCGCCCAGAGCCTTTGCCTCCTCGACTGCTTGGGCGATAAGATTCAGTTGAGATGTCTCGCGAAGGATTATCTCTTCCTTCTCCCCATTGAGTAAGCGAACAAATGGTTGGGTCCACACGTCACCGATAGGAAAATTGAATTTCAATTTCTGCTTGGGTGTGCGGTCAGCATGTCGGAAGACTGTTACATTTGCCTTGAGGATCCATGTTGGTGGCTGCCCCTTGGTTGTGGCGTCTGCTGAGGGTATCGGACGTTCTGGCGAGGATGACACGTGGATACAGAGGTTGGCCAAGATCTCGGCGGCCTTGTCTAAGTGGTGGTATTTAGCCCGAAAACTGACTAGACATGATGTCGCATCGTCACTTACCATAATAACCCTCGTTTCCCTTTACAAAGCTCCATCCGTTTACATCGATGATCTGAGTTTTCTTTCCTCCTTCACACCGAAGCATGTCAAAGCCGCAAACGTTCTGACCAAATGCTTGACATATTTTCGCCGCGTACGTCTTCTCCGCCTCACTCAAATGGGTAATAAACCTAATTCGTCCATGAGCGATAGGGGGTTACAAGTTGCCGAATGACAAACCGAATCTCCTTGCCTTCCGTGTTCCGGCGGACAACACCATCAACCACAGGGGACTTGCGCGTTTCGGCGTGAAAATAATCCTTGCCGACCGTGTAGACCTTGATGTCTTCTGAGTTATCGACGTCGATAAATTCCTCGTAGATATATGAACCATCCGTCCGGGGATGATTCAACGAATCGTCAAGATCACTAGACTTGTTACCAACCTACCAGCGGAAGAGATAAGTCGGAGAATGTGTGAAAGGACCGTTTAATGGATGCATACCTTCCTAAAGAGGCGGCGCCCTCCACCGCCCCGAAAATAGATATAAACGTTGTGGTCTTCACCACTAACAGGTTTTTCCACGAAGGGTTTTTCCAGGACTTGGCCGTCAATGACAATGGCATTTCCGTCTGGGCGGAGTGAGACTTCAGGGGTGACTCTAAAGCCACCCAATGTGACACCAAGCTTCTTCATCATCGCTTCTTTGAGTTCTAGATCTACTTGAGGACCACCATCGCGAGAAACTTCTAGTCGCTTGGGTGTTGGGACCTGTAAATGATCGAGAATGGCCCCGACGAGACGACGATCCCATAGTAAAGCTTGTGGTAAAAGGTCGTTGATGCAGAAAGGGTGACGGAGTTTGACGTAGGATATCGCCTTATCTAGGGGGAAATCGGTAGAAAAGAAAGATATGAGTACATCACAACGGGGCCAATTTTCGACATCTGACAGGAGTGTGAGTATGCAGTGGCGGCATTAAGGAACGGAAAAAGAGGGGAGGCAAAGTACACACCCTCGTCAAGGATAACCTTATCGCCGAAAACCTTGACTTCAATGGCGCCGTGGGCTCTCTCTACCAGTCGTGTGACTATTTCTCTCATTGCCTTTGATCTGGCTTTGATATCCATTGCACAGATGCCGAGGATCACGGGGGATCGATTAGGATCGTGAAAGAGGGCCCGGTCATCGCTGGAAGCGATGGAGGAACGAGAGGAAGACCTTGTGGGGTTTGAGCTAGACCGAGGAGATTGAAGTTCTGGAGAGTTTAAGAAAGCTGAAATTCGGGATTGCCTATCTTTGAACATGGCAGATCAATAGAAGATAGCACAGTCTGTCTAATTCAAAAAGTCAGGCCGCGAAGTCCGATACAACGGCGTACACCCTGAAAACTATTGAGTACACTTACCTGCAGGCGTGCAGAAGAGCGGCACACGACTACTTGGGACCCGAGCGAGGTCTGAAATTTTGGTCTTATTTGGAAATTCCAAATTGAGTTTCTTTTGAAAATCGCCATGTACTACACGCAAGTGGCAAAACTATGGCACTGGTGGGGTTGATTAGAACCTTCATGATGATCTGAAGGTGCGTGCGGTCTCGGTAGACCCATTACTAGTAAAATTTGCTCTGAGTGCACAGGGAGGCCATATCTGGCCATGTTTTGAGAAGTGTATCATGTGGTTCTTGCTCCGCGGTCCCCATCGTTCTGTCATATTAATATGACCCGGGCCACAGCATCCTGCCAGTTCAGCCTATATGTAGGGTTTCGACTTGGATGAACTTCGGGCCAACTATTCAATATTCAGTTGCGAGCCTGAGTTCGAAAGTGCCAAGCCCGCTGACGTAAGTATGAGGCAATTGTGCCTCGTTGAGGCATTTTCTGGATGTGGGACCTGGGTCCTGCGGGGTGACAATGTACGACCAGAAATATCTTGCTCCTAGTACTGTCCACTATATAATGTCCTCACAGTTCCTACTACAATTCTGGCGTAGCCTATTCCCCAAACCTTCATTCAAGCTGAAAAACGCTGTATTCTCTCATGCCGTTGAACATACCATCTCAGACGCATGTCACCACCACCATCTCCGTATCTAATCTTCACTGCAGCAGGTATATACAACCGTCGTCATTTTTTATTTTGCTGATGTTGCTTTTGTCTCAGCTGTGTAACCACAATCAACGAAGTCCTCTTCTCTCTGTCTCCCCCTCCAACCAGTGTAGATGCATCCATCGTCCACCAGACAGTGACAGTCGGTCATGCTTTTCCGATACAAAGACACACCATACAGTCCATGCTTGAAGATGCTGGCTTTGATGTATCTGACCCGGATTCCACCTCCTCCGACCACAGACTTTCACAAGCAACGTGCGGGATGAGTACCATGCTCTCTGGAAAACGTAGAAAGCATATCCAACATTGTTCATTGTGTCAGGAGGCGGCCGCCACCTCACTCGATGACACCGTTTTACCACACCTGCCGAAGGCCGGTAGCCTATCTTACGATTCTCCAACGGATTGCTCCACGCTAGATGGATCAGGGAAGGACCCAGAATCGAGCCTAAGCCCGTCGCACAAAGTTCAAGTTGGCGCCGATCGTGATGTGCCGCATCTCGTCACCCTGTCCGTAGGTGGTATGACATGCTCCTCGTGCTCGGGCACTATCACCGAAATGGTCTCGCTACTCCCTGGCATCTCCGAGGTAGTCGTTAGCCTCCTGAACAACTCCGCCACAGTCATTGTTGCTCGAAAAGATCTAGTTGGCTCCGTGACCGAAACGATCGACGCCTGTGGCTTCGAAGTTGACGTCATCAAAATCGAGCCACTGATCCCATTGACACCAGCAAGTGACGCGATAACAACGGGCCCTCGGAAATTATCCCTTCGTGTCGACGGAATGTATTGCCAGTGCGTTTATCCTGTTGTCGTCACATGCGGTGTTACTGATATCTGCGAATCAGACACTGTCCGGCAAAAATCATGACCGCATTAAAAAAGCTCCAGCCAAACGTCACCATTATCAAACCATTATCAAACATTTTGGATCCCGTAATAGAAGTCTCATACATACCATCGCCTCCAGACTTCACTATCCGTTCTATCATCTCTGCTATTGTGTCCGTGGAATCGACGTCATACAGTGTATTGATTAATCGTCCACCTACCCTCGAAGAGCGCACGCATCGCATGCAGCAGCGCGAGAAACGAACCTTGCTGCTGCACCTGATTTTCACGTTCATCATTACGATACCCACGTTCATTATAGGCGTGGTTTACATGAGCCTTCTTCCCGCCGGCGATCGAACGAGGCTATACCTAATGGAGCCCATGTGGAATGGAAACGCGTCCCGAATTGAGTGGGCACTCTTCTTCCTGGCGACCCCAGTATACTTTTATGGCGCTGGCTTATTTCATCGTCGAAGCATCAAAGAAATTAAATCTTTATGGAGGAAGGGGAGCCCGACTCCGGTCATCAAGCGCTTTACTAGATTCGGGAGTATGAACCTTCTGGTATGTACCGTGTTATTCGCATCATCATACGATGATGACATCATGAACAGGTCTCTTCCGGAGTAACTGTAGCCTATTTTTCGTCTATCGTGGTTCTAGCTCTTGCAGCGACACAGCCGCCTTCGAGCGATGGTGCAGCGCAAGAAACAACATATTTCGACTATGTCGTGTTCCTAACCATGTTTTTACTAGCTGGTGAGTGGTGTCTGTGCATTGCATACCTTGCTTGATTATCTACCGTAATCATCAGGCCGGTACCTCGAGGCATACAGTAAAGCGAGAACTGCCGACGCAATCACTGCGCTCGGCTCGCTTCGCCCTGCCGAAGCTCTTATCTTGGCTCCTCGCTCAGCTTCCGATTTCACGGCTCCCGCTATTGTTTCCCGCGAAGATCCCGAAAAATGTGACATGTCATGTGATAACGGTAGCCTGGTTGCTTCCCCCGGGTTCAAGTTTGAGAAGGTCCCCGTTGACCTTTTGGAGGTTGGCGATGTGGTGCGTGTGCAAAACGGGGCTACACCACCATCAGACGGTACAATTGTGTCCGGTGCGGAGACGTCCTTCGACGAAAGCTCTTTGACGGGCGAGGCTCGACTTATCAAGAAGAATGTCGGGGACAAGGTTCTTCTTGGGACAATCAACAAATCCAGGGCTGTAGACGTTCGAGTTGACGCTGTTGGCGGTGTCTCATTGTCAGTTGTCCAACTTCGATCGTCAAAAATACTGTGTATCTGACCTATTTCTACAGGCTGGATCAGATCGTGCAGATCGTACGCGAGGGCCAAACTCGCAGGGCTCCGATTGAGCGTGTCGCAGACCATATTACGGGCGTATTTGTCCCGATCATCACTTTGCTAGCAATTGTTACGTGGTTGATATGGCTCGCCTTGGGTGTTAGCGGTGCCATCCCTAGCAGTTATCTAGATATAAGCGTAGGCGGATGGGGTGGGTTTATTTCAAGAGATCCCTGAAATTTGTACTGACATCAGCTTTGTAGTCGTCTGGTCTCTCGAGTTTGCAATCGCAGTATTCGTCGTGGCATGTCCTTGCGGCATTGGTCTCGCGGCACCTACCGCTCTTCTTGTGGGATCTGGCCTCGCAGCCAAACATGGCATATTGGCCCGCGGAGGCGGCGAGGCTTTCCAAGAAATGGCGCAACTTGACATCGTCGTGTTCGATAAAACCGGAACACTTACTGAAGGTGGTGAGCCTCGAGTGTCTGATGCCGAGATCCTGCTTTCTTCGGTGCCTGAGGAGATGCTTCTTGGAATCGCCGCGGAGTTGGAATCTGCTTCCTCTCACCCGCTCGCAAATGCGATTCGGCAGTATGCAGGGAAGCATGGTGCTGCGTCTGTTACTGGCAGCGCATTCGATGAGATTGCTGGTAAAGGTGTCAAAGCAGATTTTGACGACATGCGTCGCAAGGCGATCATAGGAAATGAAGCCCTGATGCGAGATCATGAGGTACTACTTTCTCCAGACGTTCTCCAAATGCTTGAGAGGTGGAAATCAGAGGCGAAGAGTATTGTCCTTCTCGCAGTTACGGACGCGGACTTGGATAGTCGATTCGTCATTGCAGCGATATTCGCTGTGTCGGATCCCATCAGGCAAGAAGCTGCTGGTGTCGTACGCCATTTAAAGGAGCAGGGCATTGGGACATGGATGATATCAGGGGACAATGAGACGACGGCTAAAGCTGTCGCTAAATCTGTGGGCATTCCAGAAATGAATGTCATCGCTGGAGTTTTGCCTCAACAAAAGGTCTGTCGTTATCCTAGCCCCTTTTCCTTTTCGCGTGATCTGATATATCTTACAGGCAGAAAAGATCGAGTGGCTGCAACATAATGGTGCCAAACGTCCTTCTTCACGATGGCAGCGTATGTTGGGAAGGTCAACGTCAAACCAGCGTTGCGTCGTTGCAATGGTTGGGGATGGTATCAATGACGCTCCCGTGAGTGCTCTCTACGTGTCTCTGTTTTATGTTTTGTATTGACTATAGCGTTAGGCACTGGCTGTCAGCGACATAGGAATAGCTATCGGATGTGGAAGTAAGCTCCAAAGTTTATCCAACCGCCTAACAGAGCGCATACTCACCGAGCTCAATGGCAGGCGACATCGCGTTATCTAGCGCTTCATTCATTCTCCTATCCTCTAACCTCAAAACTTTGCTCACACTGAGCGACCTGTCGAGAAAAGTGTTTAACCGCGTCAAGATTAACTTTGTACGTCTTGTCCCTTTCTGTGGACCACCACTCGCCATTAACATAGTTTGTAGATGTGGGCATTTATGTACAATTTGATTGCAGTCCCCATCGCTGCTGGCGTCGTATACCCTGCCGGACACGCGCGTCTAGCTCCCGTCTGGGCATCATTGGCCATGGCATTATCGTATGTAGCTCCTGACTTAGTATAACGCATACTGATGTGTTATCCTAGCTCTGTATCCGTGATTTGCTCCTCCCTCGCACTCAAGCTCTACAGAGAACCAAAGATAAAGCTTTAACGAGTCTAATATATCCAACCTTTCCCGGGGAATGCTGTACATCAACCCTATCTACCTGGATCTGTATTTTTATTTCTTTCCCTCATTAATGTATCCCTAGCGGATTTTCTAGTTTGCTCTATGCCAGTAATCAACCTGCTGAGGTTCTGCCCTCTGTGTAGCGAGAAGCAATTTTTTTTCATAGTGACAATGGCTGCGGGCTGATTGGCAACACCTTCAAGGTGATCACAAATCGTGATACAGTCAGTGTGCGTCAAGGATGCATAGCATCGGGATCACCCTCCCGCTTTCCAAAGAGTTACGTGAAAGTCTTGGATCCAGGAGATGACTTTAAGCTGTGTGAACGCCTCAGCAAATACCATTTCTGCCATCCATGTGAGTATTGACTCGGGTAGCGGACGACGTCCGGTCGAACCTATCCTGTCTCATTCAAGGTCTGACTACGGGAGACACTGCACTAGTACTAACCCTGGAGCGCTGTTGTGTTATCATCGGTGTTCAAGTTGTTGTACACATGTGATGATACAGCAGTTGGCAATTCATGCACGCCCAATTTTGATGGACGGCCGTTAATCGCAGGTTATATGCAAAAATACATAATTGCGTGATGGACTACGGTTACATGTAATAAATGCGAAGATATATGATGCAAGATGCAGAGGCAAAAAAACTAGTAGATATGAGATGAGACCGGTCTCGAGAGCAAGCACCGACTAAACATAAAATCTGAAAGTTAAGAGGGGTCAGAACGTAGAGACATGGTAAGGTGAACCGTACTCACTTCTTATTGATCTGGTAGAGGAACAAACTAATGTTGACCTTTGCCAGTCCATTGAATAAGGAAAGGGAAGCCTGGTTCTCGAATTGAGCTTGCAATAAGTCTTCCATACGCAGATCAGTAGACGCTATCCGATTGGTGATCCCCAGCGTGTTATTGAACACTTCCATGGTGAAGATGCCAGGTTTGTTGGAAGAAATGGTGATGTCGATTTTATCAAACTGACGAGGAGAGAATTGATCGATGGAGAGTAGGATGCCCTTCTCGTACAGATCCTTCGCACTGTATTTGAAAGATCCAAACTGAGGATTCTTCCCTGACTTCTGCAAGTCGCGTAGGTGGAAGTACTGCTTGGTAAATGGCAGAACAAATCGCTTCTTCCTGTTCAAGAGTTCAGTGCGCTGTAAGGCACAAATATAACCGATCTTTACCCTTTGCCTCGCTGCATGGTCGCCATCGCGGCTTCCACATAATCATGATAGCTGTTGATCTGCTCTTCGAAATACTTCTTCCGTTCGGAAAGGTGTTTCAGGGCGTCTACCATGCTATCCATCTCCTGTTGACGTTGTAACCGTTTGCGATGCTTGCTACGGACATCGCTGGCAATGGCGTTTAGAATCCCTTGGAATCCGTCGTTGCGCGTAATCTTCCCTTGTTTCTCGAGTTCAAGAAGGAAGAAAATGGCATGGGCTTTGACTTCTTTGAACGACAACCTTCGTAATTTTTTAGTTATGCAGTGCCTCCCATAGCTCACGTTGTAACTCACGATCGAATGTCTTCTAGCCTGTATGCGGACTCGCCTACGGAAGTTGAAGGCATACGTCGTGGTATTGGTTCGTTATCCATTTCGGCTAAAATATGTTCCCAGCGAAGCTCGTCATCCTCGCTCACAGGACGCATCAAAGATTCGACAAGATCTTGCGCAGGTTGGACGCGTAAAATTGCAAGCACACCACGCTTTGCTTGTACCCAAAGTGCTTTCTCGTCAGCTTGTGGATCTGTATTCCAGTCAAAAATCGTCGTTGAAATCGAGTATTCTTTGCCCACCTCGGACACGAGCAAACCTATTCGTCAGCTCCAGGGTAACCGCACGATCCCTGGCATCCTTGAGCTCATCATTATCAAGATGGGGTACACCATCCAGCTCGTGCAGAATAACACGCAAGGCGCCGTGTCGATCAGGAGACTTGCAGTTATTATTCAGTCTCAAAGCATGGTCGCTAATCGAACGTACCCACCAGGTTGTCTTGATATTGCGAGAGCAGTACATGCATCCCGTACACCTCGTTCGGCGAGATGTAAATAGGCTTTGGTTGTACAGTCGCATCCAAGAACTCGTGGGCATGGTAATGACTTTCAGCATCGGGAACATCTGCGACCGCTAGTATCAAATGGGATGAGTACCAAACATGCTCAACATGATCCATAAATAACGCACTTCGCACCAGCCAATTCGTCATCTGTGTGATCAATGTGCGTACACACTCGTTAATGGGCACATATATAGGCTGCTCGTCCGTGAACTCAGAGCCCGATGTAACCTGCGTCAAGACTTTGGAGATTTGAGCGAGATTTTTCCTTGTTGCAATATCAACCGTCGATGTGACCATATCAAAGTTTTCAGGCGTTCTGCAAATCTGGGTGATGAGTGCATGTTACGAAAGACCGAAGATAAACATACAAGATGGCGGGGTTCAAGTACCGGTAATATACCAACCTGCCTATGCAGGCTGCGTACACTTCTTCAGACGCTCCAGGGAACTTTTCCTTCAACGAAAGGAGTGTTTCACGCGCCATGAATCGTACGCTGTAGGGCATCTTGCGAGTCGACTCGAATATGGATGCGGCAAAGGCTTCAGTCCACCACTGAAGTTTCTGGAGATCTGCGATTCTACCATAATAAGTACCAACACCTCAAAAAGAGGGGAACACGTGCGTCTAATGTACTCAGCCCTAGTATCAGGGTCCTTCAAAGCCTCGTAAAACGGAACATCTTTGGGCTTCGTGCTTGCGATTCCAGACCGCATTTCCTCCACATTTATGCGTGATCGGTGGATCTAGAGAAGGTATAATGTCGTCACACAGGAAGCACAAGTAAAAATACTTACCACCGTAGGATCAGATTCCAGGTCAAGATCGACAGCCTCCATGAGCTCGTGGATGATTCCCTGCAGCGTTTCACGGATATACGTGACCTGTCGTGGGCGGACGTACTGTACTGCTATGTTGATATACATCGGGTGTCCACGGACGACATCTGAAATTGACGGTGCAGCCATGATTTCCTGGCGGATCGAAAGCTAAAACAGCTATATCAATAACCATGCGCCACAAACTGGGTAAGGCATACCTGGAATAACTTCAAGAAGAGATAATCCTCCCTTCGATCCTGACCATACCCGAACAACGTGAGCACAACCCGCTCTGTCAACCGTCTGTGCTTCTCCGCGGTCTCGTCAGAAAGCTGAACGAAGAGCCCGCTCAGGTACTCCGCTTTCGTCTGCAGAAGATAGAATAGCTGCTGATAAAGTTCAAGCTTCTTCTTCGCTGCATGGTCAAGAGTATTCGGTCCGGCAAAGGGGTCTCCATGCGCAGCAAGGATAGACGCCCTGGTAGCGTGAGCAGCAGCGTTGTCCGCACCATACCGTTTCCGTGCTTTAATCAGCTCCTCGAACGACTTGACGTTCTGCACGACAAGCGCAATCTTGACGTCGAGATCACTAACATCGCTCTCCAGAGCTTGGTTCTCACGAATATTCTCCACCACGCGCTTCCTCAACCGCTCCACCTTGATCTCGTCCTGGAAGTCCGACTCCGAATCGTCCAGCAAATGCACGAAGTTCTTGATCGTTCCGACGGTGACGTTCTTGCCCAGCGTGAGCTGTCTATACTGCTCCCTAGTCTCCTTCGCTCTAAAGAGCGACTGGATCTTGACAACCTTATCAAGATTCGTGCGATAATATTCAAGCTTCGCACGAAATTTCTTCCGCTGGAGCACTCCACGGAACAAAGCCTGCAACATCGTCGCTGCAGGCTGACTCCGCCGCAAGTGATCTCGCCATGCATGATAGTCCCTCCTGACGAGGTACCCCCGCGCCACCGCCTGGAACCCGTTCACATCCGGCGCAACAAACTCTAATTCTTTCTGCTGCTCACGGTGGCGGTTCCGCGTGATGGCAGCTCGAGCGAGAGCCTGGAACCCTCCAACACTCGCCACGACTTTCACCTCGCAGAGGGCCTTTGCAACATTGCGGTGCTGCTGTCTAGCTAGGCTTGCGCGTGCACGCGCTTGCAGACCGATAAGCATGGGAGTCGCGCGTCGCAAACCTCGGATGAGCTGAAGAAGACGCTTGCGTGCGAGATAAGTCCTCACGGCTGCCTGTATGCGGACTACAGTTGCAGACACATCGTCAAGTTTGGCGAGTTGAGTCCGTATGCGCCTCCGCACAAGAACACCGCGACACTGCGCCTGCAGATCCACAATGGTCTCCTCCTCTGCATCCAGTGTTCTGAGCTTTCTCGAAAGCGCCCGTCGGATGAGGAAGCCGCGCGCAGCAGCCTGAACATTTACTACAGACAACGCCACCTCCGCCCGCGCAAACGTCTTTGCCACTTCGCTGTGGTTCCGCTTCACGATTTTGGCGCGTGCAGTTGATTGCATTTTCACCACGATGGCACGGGCGCTCCTCAAGGCCGCCTTCAGCTTCTCAAATCGTCGACGTACGAGGACGCCGCGGATGTGGGCCTGGGTCTTCACTACGTATTGAGAGACTGCCTTGATGCGGGCAACATGTGCTCGCCAGCGCCGGCGGACAAGTAAGCCGCGCGCAGCAGCCTGTAGACGAACAGCCCAGGGTGTCATGTCACGGGTCTGCTGACGGGACACGGAAACGGTGCGTCGGACGAGAGCACCGCGGAGATGTGCTTGCAGACGAGGAACGTATCGTTCGGTTAGACGCAAACGGACGCGTTGTGTCGCCTGTGCCTTGCGGACCAGAAAGCCACGGGCTAAGCATTGGACCAAACGTATCGAGTCCTCATTCTCTAAGAGCAGGCGATCGCGCCCTATGAGTAAAATTCAGCCAATTAATAGATATCGGGAAAGTATACAAAGTAGGACGCACGTTCCTCCTCGCTTTCCTCTGGCTCAGGCGGTGGTGGATCAGGCTCCTCATTGATTTCCTTTGCTAGTTCCCTGCCGACATTGCCAAAGTTAGGCATCGGAATACCTGCGTCGGTGAGACCTTTCTGCGTCTTCTGCAACTGGTCATCGGAAAATTGTAGTTGACCGAGAAGATCTCCGATACATTCGGCAAGACCACGACGGGCAAGGAGATGACTATGAGATATTAGCGGACTTGGAGTTTGCCGATCGTGAGGTGCTCACCTAAGTGCGTGTATGCAGTAAATGACCTTGGGAAAGTTTTTCTTCTCGTATAGATCGGTCAATTCAAATATGAATCCCTAATGCAAATCGTTACCCGTCATAATCTGATACAGGGGCATAAACATACCTCGGGCAATCCTACCTCCCTGACAAAAACAAAGAAATGATTAATGTTATCTGAGTGACGAAAATTTAACTTTCGGGCCTGTAAACAATCGGAGTTCAAGCTCGATCATACGATCTTAGAGGGCCAGCGCACCTCGTAAATCCTAAACCCTCCTTCCCCCTTGAAAACCCTGACAAGTCGGGCTAGCACAACACCATTCCTCATTCCTTCCTCCATCTCCACCACCCCAAAGCCTAACTCTTCCCCAATGCAGCCCTCGATCCATTGCTGCGCCTCTCCCACATGGCACAGATATTCATACGCCTGCAGTAAATTCCTCTGTACATCGGCCCACAGGCCTCTCGTCAAGCGAGAGGAAGGGAGGGGTGTCGGTGTAGTCGGGCTCGCTGGGGTTGTATCCCGCGAGAGACGCAATCGCCCCGGAACTCCAGTGACATCGGAAGCGTTTGTCATCCCTGCTACAAGTTCTTCTGTAATAGGTGACGCTGGGGGCTCATATCTGGAATGACGGCGTGCTCGACGCGACACCATCTGTGTATCATCTGCAAGAACAGGATTGTGCTCAACTTGCGGTGGGGGAGGGGGATTAGGCTTCTGCTCGTCGACCCAGTCTTCACCAGCATCCCCGCTCGCGATGCGAGGTAGATGACGTCCTAGTTTGCCCCCAGCAATTTGACCATATGTTGATGACTTCTTGCTTGCCATGTATGAGGAGCGATACGGAGCCGGGGACATCACAGAGGAGGAAGTTGAGGGAATAGATGTGGTGGAAGAACTGGGCGTATGTAGAGGGGTCGGAGAAGATGCGGATGTGAAGGAATTCTGAGCGGACGAGAAGGAGGACGTAGGGGTATGGGTAGGAGAGGGAGACAGATGTTCAGAAGAGTTAAGGCGCGCGGTGTAGTCCGCGACCCGATTGGTAATGTCGGGGGCACGGGAAGTGCGGTCCATGGATGGTGGGACATTTGGGGAGATGTTCTCAACAGAACGTGATGTAGAATCAGAAGAACGAGAGTCGAATCGGGATGTATACGCAGATATCCTGGAGGTAAGGTCCGGCAACTTAGATGTGAGGTCTAAAGAATTATGGTCGGACACTCGTGAATGACGACTTGGAGTTCGTAAAGTGTGGTCGGTAAGATCCTGGCTTGCAGAGGTGCGACCGGGCAATGGGTCCTTTTCCTGGGAGGGAAAAGACGATAAATGTGAACCATAAAGCGACGTGGGACGGCGACGGATAGTTGGAGGTGTGAACAAAGGCTTTGAGGGACTGGACGGAGTGTTGATCAGCGTCGATGCGGTTGGGTCAGCTATCCGTGACACTGGATCACGGGTAGCAAAATCTTGGATGTGGTGGTCTAGGGTATTTGATCTCCGCCTGGGCGGAGAGGGGGAATCGAGGGATATGGGTGGAGGCAAATGATGATCAGCAAGTTCCTTGATATCAGATATTGATGAAGAATGAAGAGATGCTGTGGTTGGGAGACGTATACGATGAGGAGTCGGGGTCGCAAATGAATTAGTAGGTGAATCAGGGTTCTCGACAGATATTCCAGTAGTGTTCGGGGATAAAGGGGTTGCTACTATGTGTGGTGGAAGGGAAGCAGAGAAAGTGTGACGTTTGAGATAAGTTGGGGTGCGTTGCAAACTGGAATCTGTGAATGAGGATGAACTAGAGAGAGTAGATATACTATCACTGCGGCCTAGGGGAGAACCACCGGGAGTAGTTTCGATTTGCTTTGTTGGACTGACCGACCTGCGTCCCTCAAGTACAGCCTCTGCGCGTGCACGCTCCTCCCATTTGTCGCGTACTGTGTCAAGACTGGTACCCGGTCGGTGTGAAGGTGTCCATCGTCTATTGGCAGGAACCACGGACGGGCTAGAACCAGTTGTAGTGGGGCTCACGAGGGAAGTTGGGCGCGATGAGATGGACGAATTTCGCGAAAGAGAGTTGGTTGATGAACGAGAAGTAGCACGCTGGAGGAGACGAGTTTGGTACGCGAAAGCATCTCGTTGCTTGGATGGCGACGGCGGAGGAGGGTTGGCGGTCGATGGGAGTGTATTTGGTTTGTCCATGTCGTGTCAGTGATCATAAAGTCGTCAGTACACTTGCGTGCCGCTCACTACAGCCTACTAGATCACCGACGGGAGCAACTTGTTGAACGAGCCAAGCACCGCTGATGTAATGAGAACGAGATCTTCACAAGCGAAGTTTAGCGCTCAAGGCAATCAAACGGCCACAAATATCTTCTTTCTTTGTGGATCCATGGATACGTCGACTACGACATGGGTTAGCATCAGTGCTTGTTACACGCAAGTTAACTAGGGCCCTTTTAGGTTTAAAGCAACCCAGCATACTAGCATGTAACCTGGCAAACTTCAACTGTAAATTCAATGGACCAAAATTCTTGCTCCTCGGTCTACACCAAGAGCAGGTCGATCTGCCGCTATAGTCGTCCTCGGTTGCCCAACAGAGCCAGGAGAGTTGACGGTCGTGCGCGGCATGCCTTGTGATGAGGCCATTGGCAGTACGCGCCACTCAAGGCGATGAAGATTTCTCTGTGATGAGGTTTAGAGCACGACCGTCCCATTGGTTTAGGTTGAGTAGCTTAATACCTCATGCACTAGTTTCCATTCGATAACAGTTTTCTGATCTGAGACTTTAGCTTTTTATTGTTCTTATTTTGAATTGACAGATTTCGCGCCGCGACCTTCGCGTCCATTCAGTAAGCGACGTCGCGAGTGCGCCACTGAGTCAGGCTGTTTCGCTGTTTTCTTGTCGAAACGTTCAATTGACGCTGTATAGATAGGTAACTCTGCGTAGGAAATAAAATACACTATTCCTGCATGACATAGATGTGGTGATTTTGCCCAACAATGAGTCGGACGGTACTACTGTTAATAACTACCATGATTCAATGAACGTTACCCAGTGCTTCTGAAAGGGTTTAAAATTATTATACTCTCATAATCATGAAAGGGCCTTCAAGTTGGTGGAAGGGGTAAATCAACGGGCCAAGGAACTATTCGCGCGGATACGTTCGCCAGCGAAATATATCCACACGGGGAAGGGTATACCAATGATGATGGCAAAACCTGCAAGCAGGGAATTGCCTCCACCATAACCGAGTGTCGCAAACATTTGTTGTCCAAACAAAGGGAATGCGAAACCGAAAAATGAACGGAACGTCTGATATGACGTGTTCAGTGCTAATGCCAACGAAGTTAGGGGTGGGGAGACTGACAGAAGCAGCTGCAGTAGCGCTTGCAGCATAGGTAAATGTATCCACGAGATACAATTGAATGGGAAGGCTTTAAAGATGTTAGACGTGAACGGTGCTAAAGCAAGGCACACTCACAAACACGTCATTATTCCGAATCCAAAGATAGCGGTACCGATGATGGGCATCATGAAGTGGGCTTTGGCTTGGGCAGACCAGCCATACCAACTAACACATGTCAGACCGGGAGCAGGAATAAAGGCGTAAATCTCATAGCAGTCCCACTGGGACAAACAACGAGCCGAATATTAGAGCAGGCACGCGCATCTCTGGCTTACCCTTCCCTCCATTTCTTGCAGCAAGCTAAATATAAAAACTAGCGCTTGAGCTGACACGTTCAAGGTAGAAGGCAGTCTTGACACACGTATATGTATATCTTGTCGGAAATTTTGGCGCCAAACATGGTGGAAACTAGGAATCCAAACCCAACCCCAATGTACGTCAGACCTCCGATTCCAGTGCTGAAGTGGTACACGTTCGAAAAGAGGTCTGAGCGAAAGTTGTTAATAATAGTCCCTGTAATCCTGGGCAAGTGTGATCTTACCGGGGAAAGTAGTAAACAATAAGAAGTAGATACCTAACACAAGATATCAGTCCGTGTCCAATGTAACTTGATGTAGTACTGACCGTACATCCTAAATAGATGATATAAGTGAGCTTCGTGACACTAAATTAAACTCACAATGCCATATACAAGCTCAGGATAAAGCATATAAAACTCCGGGTCAACAAAATGGTCGGTCGCTTGAGGTTGACCCATAAGTAAGTCCACTTGTCCATACGGTGTGCGGTGAGAGCAGGATGTCCTACAATCGCCCTTTCGGGATCTAGCACCGTCTTATCAAGATGAAGCCTGATAAGTGGTGCATAGGTTTCTCTCATGAGAGGGATGCCAAGTATTGCGGCAACACCAGAGATTGCAACGATAACATAGAAAACATAATGTACTCCAACTGACTCTGCGATGAAACCTCCCATAATGGGACCGATAGCGGGGCCTTGTGTGAACTTCAGTTAACGTCGCATACCGTAAAACAGGGTAAAACTCGCCTATCATGGGTCCGATGCTGTATAGTGCCATAGCTGAGGCGCGCTCATGTTCCAAAAAGAGGTCGCTGATGACACCTGAGCCGCATGCTATAGGTGCACTCCCCGCCAATCCAGCTTTGTGAAGAATCAGCAAAAGTTATGGCTCCGGCAGTTCCAAGACGTACATAGAAACCGGCACACGATCAAAGATACAGTGTTGGGCGACAAAGCGCACCCGAGATTGAATGCGAGAAAGAAGAGGTTTCCTAGGTGGAGCACCTTGAACTCATTCAGGTAAATGGTCCAGCCGATCAGATTAATAAAGAGCACCACGCACCCACACACGACCGTACACTTCCGATAAGGGTGCCGCAAATAAAGGACCAATGGCATTCGACAGAACGAAGATACTCAGAGTCAACGCTAAGACCGTCGGATCGGTTATGCCAAAATTTATGGCCAAGTCAGGCAAACTGGGTGCCATGATAGCACTCGCTAACGGCGTGACGAGCGCGTACAACGAGACCTGACATGATACCGACATAAGTCCTAGTGAATTAAACCCGCTAATGGAAGAACTGACGACTGAAGTGGTTGTCCACTTTGTTGCGGGAGGCCAATTCCTAGGGTTCACTGGGTCGTGTTCCCAATCATGCCCTTGGTCACGAGTCTTATCCTCGGCCTCGGCAGGACTGCATTCACCGCCTGTGAGCTGGGGAAAGTGAAGACAATTCGTATCATCTTGGTCTAATATGTGAGCAGAAGGGACAGTTCCTAGAGGAGAGCCCGACATGAACTAGCGTTGCACTAGCAGGCAAGGAAGACGACCGAAGACGATAGAGAGTGATGTTGATACATTTCCGGTGACAAACTCTTAAATAGCAGATGACAACCTGACCGAGCAGGTATTGTTATTACGCTTTATTCCTGAAGGCCGTTGGGTCACGATACTGACAGGTGAGATCTCACCCGAGGACTTGAGTGCATCTACTTACACACACTCATTCGAGTCGCACCATATTACGCTCCATGATCAGCGCATCAGTTCGCAGCGCTTCGAACGAGTCGAAATTGCTTCCTGACTAAGTCCGCTGTTTTTCCTAGTTTGTCGACCTTGCTTGCTTTGCCGCATTGGCGTTTCAAGACCATTGTCGGCAAACATGAAGCCCAGGTAATCAGCATCGACTTGAAGCTTCTTGAAGGTTGCGATATCCTAAAGGCTAATATTGGCGAGTTCCCTATACTCGCTTACATCAGACACGAGACACAAATTCTTATGGAATGCACTAACCAATTTTTTTAACTTCGGAGATGATCAGCGTGTTCGTTCGCAGTACGATTCCTAGAAGCCCAACAACCTTCTATCTGTCGACCATCACTAGCATAGATCAGCGTGAAGAACGCTCGAGCGGCATAATGAGACTCACTAGAAGTCTCGCATTTGCCACGCAGCCTCATTTATGCCTCGATTTTCACATAGCCCCGATACGTCAATCCAATGCGGGCTGTTCAACTGGCTGCTTGATCAACATTAACACCAAAGTCTGCGTCATGGCAATCAGGATCATCGTCTGCCACCGTATTCCCGCCGATATATCAAAGATAGTCTGGTTGGCATGTGCGTCGGTGATATAGATCTCATATTGCTCGGGCTCTGTGGGCAGCTTATAACTGCGAATTCGATATTCCGCTTGGTCTACACAAAAATAAATGGACACTGAAAGTAGGTCGATCCGTATTGAAGCTAATAAATCAGCTTAGTCATGTGACAGAGCCGGGGACAGACATGAGCGAGCGAGTTGGCTGGTCGGCCGTGGTATGCCTTGCGAATTACGATGAGTCCAACAAGCACCAAAGCGACGATGAGGGCAGACACTGGAAAACTCAGAGAGAATCTCGTCCCGCATGAAGAGGACCTCACCGGGTGTAGACCGGGTGTAGAGGAATCTTTCCGAGTGGTTGCACCCTTGTTGCAAAAACATGGGTGACGACCAGAGCGGGAGCACCGGAATTTCGAGAGTGCACATGTGGTTTGTGAATACAACAAGGAAAATCTGTATGCAGCTTCGTTGGAAAATTCAACCATTTCTGTACCACACTGGTATACTCACTGCTTATATCCCTGGCTGAGCTCAAGCTGAGCCTTGCGTATATAATCGGATTGGAGATGTGTGGTTGTGGGGAGTGACCATATGTCTCCCAACAATCACACTACTCTCAAGTGCGACGACAAGAAAAACGTCAACAGGCTGAGGTGAGGTCGCTATGCACATGCTTCATGACGAAGCAATGGAACCCAAGTTCACTAGTGCTGTGATTTGGTATGATAGAGCATGAGGTTCTGCAAATACTGGTCTATCAAGAAACAGGGAAGAGAACTGTACATGTTGATGACGAACTTCGTTCAAGTCTGTTCAAGTTCAACTTGAAACTGGCTGCTCGCTTAGTAAGCAAGTGGCATTGCCATAGACTTGGTATTGCATACCCGCCGCGTGATCTAAAACTGTATACCGCGATGCGCGATGTGAGCGCGTCAATCGAGAGCCTTGTCACGTCCCTTGTCCCACAAACTCAGTCAAATTCACGTCTCAAAGATGAACTAATAGCTCATTGCAAAGATATACTCGCAAGGTAACAACGCTCTTCTCCAGCTTGCGGCGCATGTCACTTACCCGCTCTGAAGCAACATTGGCACTGCACACGAGAATGACACTGGTCATTTAGCGGCACAAATAAAAAGACATCGTATGTATCACTCCTAAACCGCGTATTACTAGTCGCGATTGCGTTCTTTTGCAGTGTTACAATCTCAATCTCCGAGCAATGCATCGCTCAAGTTCACCAATCTCCTCTCGAGATTGTTAGACCAAGTCAGTGTACCCGATCGTTTTGGACACGCGTCTTATCTATCCATAGCCTGTTCTCTCTCGCAAACCAGAGTCTCTTCTCTTTCTTTATTCTCTCGCGTCCTCTCCACGCCAGCCCACCTCAAGTCCATTCCTTGCATCCCTCCAGGCCCCACTTCGTCCTTCCGCGACTCCCACCACTAGTCCTACCGACCTTCCCCGCTCCCCGCAGCCAAAGGGCAATTCGAAAGCAGAAATATTGCGTGAATATCGCGCACGTACTGGTATGCATTCCATTCACCCGCTTGTGGGACGAAATGCTCAAGTGCTGATGAAGGACGACACTACCTACCCGAACACTTACTTCTTCGCGATACGTTATACCTCTTACAGGGAATTTCTGGAAAATATGTACACTTGTCGCTCTCGGACAAAGATGCCCAGCCCAAACTCGTTTTTGTTGAAGATTCTGTAAGCAATCTCAAATGATTGTCCTATTGTGCTCATTTCATTCACAGAAATATATAATACCTCCCCCAACCAAATCCCTCATTCATCGCCTTTCCGAGGTAGGTCATCTCTACGCGCGCATAGCCGCGTTTGTCAGCACACAAGATCGCCCTTCTGTTGGCATGATCGAGCAAAGCCTTTGCCATCACCTCCAGACGCTGCTTACCGAATACTACCGACTCATTGCCGTTCTAGAGTCTCAGATGGGCAACACACCCAACTCAGCTCCAAGCTCCCAACCGGATCCTGTAGGAGAAGAGACTGGCCTCACCCTGAAACGCCTCGACGTCTGGATAACAGAATGGCGTCTCCGCATGCGTATGATGAGCGTCTGTGTTGAGGGTGCCCATGACGCACAGGGTGGGGCACTCGTTAACCTTATCCATTCGTATACCGACAACGGGGACCCATTCGTCAGAAAATTTACTGACCAACTTTTAGAAGAGGTGCAACATCTTTATTTTTTTGGTGCCTTGACCGACTGATTCATAATAATTTCAGGTTTCCACCCCCTTCTTCAACACGCTACATAAGTGGCTCTTTTCCGGCGAGCTCTACGACCCGCACTCTGAATTCTTTGTGTCCGTCGACCCCTCACTTGCGCATCTTCAAGGACTGCATCCCTCAAGCCTCGCAGGTGGTATTGACGCGTTCGGCGAGGACTCTGTTAGTGCGGACAGAAGCGAAGGCGGCGGCGGTCTCCGCGTATGGGAGGCAAAGTATCACTTTAGAAAAGAGATGCTCCCAATGTTTGTGGGCGAGAACTTTGGAAGAAAGATCTTTTCGACGGGAAAGAGCTTGAATTTTATTAGGTACAGTTGTCACGATTCGGATTGGGTAGCAACGAGAGAGAAAATGAGCAACACGGGCGGAAGTGGGTTTAGCACTTCAACCTGCTTTTATATTGATACTTACGGTTCCCCATAGTCCTCAAGTACAGTGATATCGCGGGACTAGAACGCAGCATCGACAGCGCATACAACACCGCCTCTGCTCGCCTGTTTGAGGTCTTCACAGAGAAATTCCGCCTCCTCGATCACCTTTCCGCGCTCAAGCACTACCTCCTCCTTGGTTACGGTGACTTTGCTGAGCAACTCATGGAAGCGCTTGGGTACGTAATTCATGTACACAACCCCATTCCTACTGATTCGCATGCAGGCCCTCTCTCGCCCGGCCTGCCAACACTCTCTACCGGCATAACCTCACAGCAACGCTCGAGACAGCGATCCGTACCTCAAGCGCGCAAAACGACCCACCCGATGTCCTCCGCCGCCTCGACGCTCGCATGCTAGAGTACACGCACGGCGAACTCGGATGGGACGTTTTCACCCTCGAGTACAAGGTCGACGCGCCGCTCGATACTCTCCTCGACCCCGTGTCACTAGAGAAGTACAAGCGGGTCTTTGCACATCTGTGGGCGATGAAGCGCGTTGAAGGCGCGTTGAGTAGTGGCTGGATGAGGGTTGCTGGTGCTGGACGAGTCGGAGGGCGGCTGGAAGGTGAGTTTGTGGCCACACTTCTTCATGTCCTCGTCTGTGAGATACGGTGCTGACGCACAGGGGACAGAACTGGAGTATGACTGGCACCAGATTCGCATCACGACTTCAGAAATGATCCATTTTATTCGCCAGATGCAGGCGTACACACAACTCGAGGTCATTGAGTGTTCCTGGAAGGCTCTTATGGAATTCTTTGCGAAACGGGAGGGTGATCTTGACGCTATGATCGACGCACATCAATCGTATCTTGATCGTATGGTCAAGAAAGTGTTGCTGATCAGCCCGAAGGCAGGGAGAGAGGTAAGCTTGGTTCGCAAACAAGTTTTCCGCGCGCTTATAGTCATGGCGCAGGAGAGCCTGTTGACCCAAGTTCGGGAGGTGTTCTCAACGATCCTTCAGTTCCGCGAGGCAATTGTAAGCGTTTGTTTATCCCACTCCCCCTTCATCCATGTATTTAGAATCTCACTTTGCTAACAAGAATTACAGGATAATTTCTACAACTACACGCTGTCCGAGTCAGCTCGGTTAGACCAAGCGCTGGATGCCGCCCGCGGGGTGTACACTGCACCCGCCTCACTGATGCACACCCAGTCGCTTTCTCAGATCCGCAAGCTTCTCAGAGAATATAGCACTGCATTCAGCGAACGTATGCAAACCATCGTGCAGGCATTACAGTCGCATCCAGATTTGGATTGTCGGTTCCTTGGCATACGACTCTCATTTTCCGAGTTTTACCGTGCAAAGAAGGATAGGGAGGTTCTTTCAACACAGAGATCATGATCACAGACGTAAGAGCTTAAAACATACTAGGGATACAGTACTGACATGAATGGTACAGGAACAGATCTAGATAATGAGTTGACTACAGTGTTGCCGAACGCAATTGAACTTGTTAAAGCTGTATCTTCGGCTCCCTGTACAACTTGAGTGCGAGGGAGGAGCAAATCACAGACACAGAGCTTGAGTAACCAATCAATACAAGTTTTATGCCTCATACTCAGGGGATGCTTACGATAATGCCATGGCCAATGACGCCCATACGGGAGCTAAACGTACATGTCCTGCAGGGTACACGACACCAGCAGCGATGGGGACTGCAATCATATTATACATGATTGCCCACATCTACAGACTATGTCAATGGCGGGCAGTGCAAGGAGACGGGAGAGACGTACAAAGTTAATTTTAACGCGATTGAGCACTTTTATCGAGAGATCGCTCAAAATGAGTAGACTTTTGAGGTTCGAAGATACGAGAATAAACGAAGCGCTAGATATCGCGACGTCGCCTGGAGGATGTCAGTATGTCGCGCTGTTGGATGAACTCTGGAGCTCACTCCCAGATCCAATGGCTATTCCTATGTCACTGGCTGCCAGTGCCTGACTCTGGTCAATAAAAATACCAAAGAATTCTGCAGGGAAAACTCACAGGTGCGTCATTAATACCATCACCGACCATTGCGACAATGCAACGCTGATTTGACATCGACCTGTGCAGAATACGCTGCCATCGTGAAGAAGGACGCTTGGCGCCATTGTGCTGCAGCCACTCAATCTTTTCGGCCTGGGGGATAGGTAAGATGACGGGATAAGGACTTGAACTTCTGACAAGGACAAACCTTTTGTTGGGGCAGGACACCAGCGATGACATTCATTTCCGGAATGCCGACAGATTTCGCAACGGCTTTAGCCGTCGTCTCGTTGTCCCCTGATATCATCCATGTCCCAATGCCCTGCTCCTGCAAACGGCGAACGACCCCAGTAGCTTCTCCCCTGATAGGATCCGACACAGCGAATATCGCTGCAACGACGAATCGATCATCCAAGTCCGCGTCCGTAACCGCGAGAAGGACAATACTCTTCGCCTCTGATTTCCACCTCTCAAGCATTTGGAGAACGTTTGGAGAGAGTAGTACTTCATGATCTCGCATCAGGACTTCGTTTCCTATGATCGCCTTGCGACGCATGTCATCAAAATCTGCTTTGATACCTTTACCAGCAATCTCATCGAATGCGCTACCAGTAACAGATACAGCACCATGCTTCCCTGCATACTGCCGAATCGCATTTGCGAGCGGGTGAGAGGAAGCAGATTCCAACTCCGCGGCGATTCCAAGAAGCGTCTCCCCAGGCACCGAAGAAAGCAGGACGGCATCAGACACTCGAGGCTCACCACCTTCAGTAAGTGTTCCGGTCTTATCGAACACGACGATGTCAAGTTGTGCCATGTCCTGGAAAGCCTCTCCGCCTCCGCGGGCCAATATGCCGTATTTGGCTGCAAGGCCGGATCCCACAAGAAGGGCTGTAGGCGCCGCGAGACCAATGCCGCAAGGGCATGCCACGACGAATACTGCGATTGCAAATTCGAGAGACCAGATGACTACAGATCTAATGTGAGAACAAAGTTCAGCGATTAATTGAAATAAGCTTACCCCATCCGCCTGAACTTATATCTAGATAACTGCTAGGGAGGGTACCGCTAACACCCAAGGCCAGCCATATCAACCACGTAATAATCGCCAGCAAAGTAACGATCGGGACGAATACACCTGTGATGTGGTCTACAATACGCTCAATTGGCGCCCTGCGAGTTTGGCCCTCACGGACGATCTGCACGATCTGGTCCAACCTGTAGAAATAGGTCAGTACAACATCTACACCATCAAAGTAGAATGGCTAACATTGTAACACCGCCAATAGCGTCAACTCGAATGTCTACAGCCCTGGACTTATTGATTGTCCCAAGAAGAACCTTGTCTCCGACATTCTTCTTGATAAGTCGAGCCTCACCCGTCAAAGAGCTTTCGTCAAAGGACGTCTCCGCACCGGACACAATTGTACCGTCTGATGGTGGCGTAGCTCCGTTTTGCACACGCACCACATCGCCAACCTCCAAAAGGTCAACGGGGACCTTCTTAAACTTGAACCCAGGAGAAGCAACCAGGCTACCATTATCAAATGACACGTCACATTTTTCGGGATCTTTGCGGGAAACGATCGCGGGAGCCGTGGAATCAGAAGCAGAGCGAGGAATCAAGAGAAGAGCTTCGGGAGGACGGAGCGAGCCAAGCGCAGTAATGGCGTCGGCAGTCCTTGCTTTGCTGTATGCATCGAGATAGCGGCCTGATTTATAATCTATCACGCAAGATATGCAACAGATACGGTAAACTCACCAACAAGCAAGAACATGGTCAGGAATACGACAGCATCAAAATATGTGGTATCTTGCGCTGCACCACTGCTCGAAGGTGGCTGTATCGCTGCAAGAATGAGAAGCGCAATCGATGAAAAGTAGGCCACAGATACTCCGGTAGAAACCTGTCTATACATGTCATGATGTGATGATAATGCGGGTAACACGGTCCTTACCAGAAGGTTCATACTCCCGAATCTAGTAAAGCGCTTCACGATCGGAGTCGTGCTCCCTTTCCTCCATAAAGACCTGATTTCTTTGATGCTCCGACGATGAAATAAGCCAGCGCCATAAAAGTACACTGGAGTTGCCAGGAAGAAGAGCGCCCACTCGAACCGGGACGCATTTCCATTCCACATGGGCTCCATTAGGTATTGCTTCGTCTGATTGGCGCCGGGAACAAGGCTCATGTAAACCACGCCGATGATGAACGTGGGTATCGCAATGATAAACGTAAAAAATAGGCGCAGCAGCAAGGCTCGTTGCTCGCGCTGCTGCATGCTGCGCGTGCGCTCTTCGAGCGTAGGTGGACAATAAATCGATACACTGTACGACTCCGGCTCCACGGACACGATGGTAGCTATGATGAAGCGGATGGTGAAGTCTGGAGGTGATGGCTTGTAGGACACTTCCATTATGGGGTCCAAATGGTTTGACAAAGGTTTGATCATAGTGACGTTTGGCTGGAGCTTCTGCAAGGCAGTCATGATCTTTGCTGGACAATCTCTGATTCGCGAAGATCATTAGCACTATAAGTGTGTGACAACAAAGATGGACGCACTGGCAATACATTCCGTTGATACAAAGGGATAAATTCCGAGGACCCGTCGCACTTTCTGATGTCAATGGGACGAGTGGCTCGACCGTGATGACGTCGACTTCATAGCCGCAGTCGTCAATCGTTTCTGTGACGGAACCAACAAGGTCCTTTCGAGCAACAACAACTGTGGCGGAGTGGTTGAGCAGGCTTACTACCACTTCGGAGATTCCAGGGAGTTGCGAGACCATTTCGGTAATGGTAGCCGGACATGAGGAGCATGTCATACCGCCTACGGACAATGTGACGAGATGCGGCACATCACCGAGGCCGACTTCGTGCAACGTTTTCAGGCTCAATTCTGTGTCCTTCTCTGATCCACCTTGTGTGGAGCAATCCGTTGGAGAAACGCCGCCGGACTGCAGGAGCTGTGGAACTATGTCCTCAAGTGCCATAGCGTCCGCCTCCTGACACGATAAACACTGTTGTATATGCTTTTGATATTTTCCTGAAAGGGTGCTACTCATCCGTTGTGAAAGCCTTTGATCGGAGGGACTAGAAGCTGAGCCATCGGATAGCTCAAACCCAGCGTCTTCAAGGATTGATTGTATGGTGTGTCCGTGTATTGTAGGGGCATGCGCGACTGTCACTGTCTGGTGGACGATGGATATGTCCACCGTCGTTGGAGGGGGGGACAGAGAGAAGAGCACTTGATTGATTGTGCGTACACAGCTGCGAAAAATCGAACATTAGGAGAATAAGAATGATGACGGTTGTACATACCTGCTGCAGTGAAGATTAGAGATGATGATTGTAGTCTGACTCGAAGACGTCGACGACGTATTCATTAGAGGGAATTTATGGGAATAGAAATACGATGGCTGGGTGAGACATTATATAGTAGTAGACGTAAAACAGCCTTGAAAATATTTGTGGCCTGTTAGAAACCGCAGTGGCCGGTGATTATGTCCATTTTGATGTGCTGGCTACCGTGACATAGGATTCATAAAATGCCTCAAAGTTAGCACAATTACCGCACATTACGTCATGATGGACTAACCAATTGAAATCGTTTATCACATCCTACTATATCGACCAACGGAGGCTCCCAGGTCAATAGCTAGTACCCTAGCCCTAAGCTCCGACCAGCTTTAAGGAAATTTCACCTTCGACCTCCGTACCCTAGCTCATCCGGTACTTCAAATTCTCGGCGGCGGAGGTAATTCTCGAAACCCGAAAACCAATTGTGAAATTTCCTCAGTGTGCTGCTTTGGTAAGTTAGATACGGAGGAAAGGAAAGCTTGTCGACAACTAGAGGCCTACGGAGCTTACGGGCTCCATGGTCCAAGTCCAGAACGGGCGAGTCTGCCTACAGGATACTACAGAGTTCCTAGATTAGTACTATCAATCTCACTCTCCTCACTCACGATCTCAGCCCGCTGTGCGTGGCGAGTGTCTGATCCCTTCCGCATCTGATTCCCTAACGTCGTGGATGGCTTCGAGAGGTGAATGGTCCATGTGGGACGACTGGAGATTGGTGGGACTTGAAGGAGCGATTGATACTCGTAGGATTCTCAGGTGTTGACCCCTTCAATATCGCCAAGCAGACACGGAGCAAGAACTCTGAACGGCGGTAGTATCTCGTAGGCAGAACGAATAGTAGAAATCCAGGGCCGTCTACATGGAGAATGAGCCTGCAGAATTAATCCAGTCATCCCCGTCGCTGGGTAGCAAGTACTTGATACTGACTTAGTATCACACGGGTGTAGAGCAAGAACATACAACCATTGTCGACAATTCGGGCAAGTTCGCACGTGCCACAACCAAAGCAGTTGCAAATTTGAAATACATTCATCATTGAGCACGGTCATGAACTCGTTTAGTGCCCCTCCATTACCTCCAGGGTGGACGGAGCACGTTGGTATGTGTCTCGAAACACACTAGGTACTCCAGTTGCCAACTCACACGCATACAGGGCCCGCCGGTCAGCCATACTACTACCACGTCGGGACACAAGAGTCTACATACGTTCGGCCGCTCCCCGCGTTCCCTATCATTCCACAAGGTATCATACCACAGCCTCCGAAGAAGAAAGACAAACCGTTGGTAAAGACTCCCATACCTGGCACAGAATGGCTTCGCGTAAAAACCACAGAAGGAAATGTATTCTATTCACACAAGGTGAAGAAGCAGAGCGTGTGGACCGTGCCAGAGGAAATCAAGGATGCTGTTGAAGCCTTCGAGCGTGCCGAGGAACATGAAGACGCACAGGCGAAGCAACAACAGCAAGCAAAGAAAGAGCAAGTCCCGAAATTGGGGTTCGAGGAGGAGCAGGAGCTCAAGCGGATCAAGACAGAAATGCAGAGCCTTGTAAAGCGAAAAGCGGAAGAACCTCAACCTTTGGACGAGGTTGTTATTTCAAAAAAGGCACGAGTAGAAGAAGAGGATGAAGGTGAAGAAGAGGACGAGGGCGATGGGGAGGATGACGATGAGAGCGAGGAGGAGGAATGGCAACGTGAGGCTGCTGCACAACTCGCTGCTGAGGCAGAGGAGGAGAAGAGGAGGTTAGAAGAAGAGGCCAAGTTCGTAAAGGAAGCGGAAGAGGCAGAGGTCAAGAAGATGCAAGAGAATGAGAAGTCTCAGCTCAACATGCCCGATCGTGTCGATCTCTCCATTGAGGAGGCAAAGGCATTGTTCAAGGTATGTTACTAGCTCTGTTGCTTGATGATCTCTTGATTAACTTCATCGACCAGACATTACTCAGGGAAAAGGATATCAGTCCTTTGCAGCCTTGGGATATCTCATTGCCCTTGTTTATATCGGATCCACGCTATGTTCTACTCCCTTCTGTTTCAGCGCGTCGTGATGCATTCGACGAATACTGTCGAGATCGCGCGCGCGAATTACGGCAACAAAATGTCAAGAAAGACAAGGCAGAAGCAAATCCTAAGGAAGAGTATGAACGACTCCTTAGCCAAGAAGTTAAGAGCACGAGAACATCTTGGTCTGACTTTCGAAGGACGTGGAAGAAAGACCGGCGATTTTACGGATGGGGAAGAGATGACCGAGAGCGAGAGAAACGATTCAAGGAGTATCTCAAAGAACTTGGAGAGAGTACGAATATTGTTATACTTCGTGAGCGATGTATCCAGCTAACTTTCGATCTAGAAAAACGTATAGCCGCCGAAAAAGCGGAGGCAGATTTCTTTACTCTTCTACGAGAGAGTGGTGCGGTCAGGTCAGATTCCTTATGGAAAGACGTAAGTTATTGCCTGCCTTATCATAATCAGATCAGTTGAAAGGGTTGCACTCTAGGTGAAACGAAAGGTATCCCACGACACACGATACGATGCTGTGGGGTCTTCGTCTCTGCGTGAAGAGCTATTCCAGACATACCTCAAGGCACATGGGTCTTCATCTTCGCATTCCACCTCTACCAGGGATAAAGATGAGACTGGAAAAAATGGCGCAGAGGAAGATGCTGAGCAAAAGCGCAAAGAAAAGAAGGAACAAGCCCTCAAAGAACGCGAACAAAAGGTAAGAGCTGAGCGTAGTCGCATGGACGCCGAAATAGGGCGTTCCAAAATGGGTTTAAACCTGGAGGAAGGTGAAAGAGAATTCCGGTGAGCCGCCTTTACTTCCCTAGTTCAAGTGTCCAGGTCGCGGCGCTCAACTCGTGTCCTTTTTTCTTGCTTAGTACACTGCTTACAGACGCGGTGCGAGACCCACAGGTACGGTTACTCTCTTGTTCGAGGCAGTGACTAACCCACATTTCATTACAATTGCAGACTACCTGGGATTCAATACGTCCTCAACTCCAAACCGATCCTCGATTCAATAACTCCCCTCTCCCAGTCAATCAGCAGTTACATCTCTTCCATGCCCATATGAGTCAGTTGCAGATGAAACATTTGGCCAGCCTACATTCGCTATTTCAAGCGCATGCTTCATCCTTGGCGACACCATTCTCTGCTCTTCCGCTTGAATCCCTGTTACAATCGCTTCCGGCAACAAAGCTCGCCCTTGATACACGTGATCTCCAAAAGGAATTTGACAAATGGCAACGCGAACGGACGTACGAATGCAGAAAAGCATTCGACGAGATGCTCGCAGAGAATTCCTTTGTTGAGTTCTGGGGGAGATTAGGTAAAATGGGAGGTGAAGGAGCCGACGGAGGGGTCAAAGCTGACGACATGGGTGAGGAGGAAGGCGAAGGCTTTGGTGGAAAGGTCGACATGAAGGCGCTCGCAAAGAGTGTAGACCTTTCGGATATTGAAAAAGTGCTCAAGGTATGGCCAGTCGCTCGCAGAATGGAGGTGACGGCTAATTACTTGCCAGAACGATAAGCGATACATTAACTTCGAGCATGTGGCAACACAGCGAGAACGATGGTTAAGGGTGAGTTGAATGAAGGTCTTGAAGTTCGCAAATTTGTCTAATCCATACTAGGATTATGTTGCAGGTCTGACTGCACCCAAATTATCTGTCCATGTGTAGCATAATTGATTCATGTACTGTGTGGCTGATCTTTTCATGTCTTCATTAGGGCGCGGTGAAAAATTCAAGAATTTTTGACAGCGGTTAATTAGCCAGGTTATTAAGTGTGCGCCCTTCCCCCTTCACGGTCTCTCCTTGCGCGCTTTGGTCGGCAGAATGGACTCCACTTCCGCGCTCTATGTATTTGTCGTCGCTGCAAAGTCGTGTGGTGTCAGGCGATCGGACAACCTTCAAAGTACGAGTGGCCATGGTGAACGTGCTCCTTTTTTTTTTCTTTTTCCGTCCTCAGCATCATGGCCTCCACTGCATGTTCTCTATACGGTATTGTTGGTCGTTAATGTTCGGCTCCTATTAGCGAAACTGTATGTGGGTGAGCGCCGTCTCCAACAGACTATGCTTCCTCCGTCTTTCTATTTGCGGTCTCAGAAATCAGATGGCCCTAAACCGTTCGATTTATGAAATTCTATGTGTGTGGTGTCTTCTCCACGCTCCAATCAAACTCTGAGAGGAGATTAATATGGTAAGCTGAACCTCATCCATTCCCGTCCTCTCTCATTTGAAAATAGAATCATACCTCAGGCCCGACGAAAGCTGATAAGGCGCCTCCAGATGCTCTAGAGCAAACACCTTGGTTCGAATTGGCTAGTATTGGACTAGTAAGCCTCTGGTTTACTCATCCTCTTCTTGTACTACATCATCTCGAAACTTCTTGACAACGCATGGACGATAGCCCCCACCACAAAGCCTATGAACACAACAACATCTCCACTGCCCTTTCGGGCCACCGGTCCTATATACCAAGCTTGTGACATGAACGGAACAAGAGCTTCGCAGGCGCACACGAAGGCCACCATGCGAGCTATGGTTCAAGCAAGGTTCTCGTCAGGGTAAGTCATATTTGTTTTACTATTTCCAGTGTCATTCGCTGACGAATATCAAGGTATATCGGTGCAATCATACCGGCCGTCTTGAGTGTTCTCTCCTCGGAATGTTGCCTTATCTTGAACTGCATCATTGGTGGCCAACTAATGGGAAACTTGCCTTCTGAACTCGATGATATTCTTGGAATTGTCATCGTTGATATGTTATCTCTTGTGGTATGTCGAAATAATTCATGCTGCACCAGACTAACAGGTTTCAAGGTCACCTTCTGTGGATACCGCGTTATTCATTTGTGGGACCACTCCAATAAATTTTGATTCATAGGTCAAGTATCGCCTAAATCCCAAATGTAGTTGCTTTTATCACCATGCTGGGTATCGGTTATCCACGAGTACGTGAAAACCTTTCACTGGCAATTCCCGTGCCTCCAAAAACAATTGCTGATACTAAAATCTGTTGCGTCCTGTCTCGCATCTAACATGATTAGTTGGCCAGCGTGCCATGACCCCTGACTATGGCGTGTACCATAGCCCTGATGGTTTCTCGTGAGCTTTTTCAGAACATCCCCACAAGCTCTTCGTATTGACAACACTAGAATTTTCATCCACACATGTCATGGGTTTTTCGTATCTGATGTAAGCCCATCTGTGTCGTTATCACTGTCATTTTAACAATATTTATTCTCTTGCCTAGTGGTATTCCATCCCTATCAAGTCGAGATTTAATGAACTATTAGCATCCTCACACCGGGTTAACAATGACGGTGAGAGTCATAGAGTCGCGAACCCTGAGCAAAAACGTAGGTCCAGCAGTCACAGTGCGGAATCTACAGCTGTTAAGTAATTCAACGGAGACAACAGCATCAAAACATAAATCAAAACACACCCGAAGATATTTGTGTCAGAAGAGAACCAAATGAAAAACATTTGGTGCCATCGAGTCTCGAGAGGTTCCTCTGCTAGCACCGGTGCGATGCTAATCCAGGTACCAGGTAAGAGCGTTACAAACAGAATATGATACCACAGCAAAACGATCATGATCTCACTTACCCACGCATTTCAATCCCACACCGAGAAACTTGAAGCGACTGAGTGGTACGTCTGAGAAACTGTGATAGTGATTGTCCTCCAGATCATCTCTCGTACGCTCATCAGAGGACACGCTGGACATAGAATGGCAGTTGGACTCATCCTGTCACCACACCACTGCGTTAGACTGCATTGCTTGAGTAGTAATTGACCTGCTTCAGTTTGGTCAACGTGGCGTCAATGAAAGTTGTCGTGTTCATGCCGCATGATCATTGATCAATCGAGCGTCTTACTGCAGTTAGTAATGAGCCATCACATTCTGCGTTGAATGTACTCATGGCGGACATTTTTTCGCCTCATCGATAACTCAACGTACGCAAGGCCGCAGCGCCCAATGATTGTGAAATGTGAACTTGAAGAACACGCGTGTCGTCATGTGACACTGGAAGTCAGTCACGTGGTACCGAACACGTCAGTACTTTCACACAAAGATATACTTATATAGCTGCCGTACTGGTTAATACTGCTGAAGCACAAGCGGAGAGATCAACTCTTGTTCCTAGTCCACTCCTTCGACAATGCGTCTGCTGCATCCTTTAATTCTATCCCTGACAGCTATTTCGTCTTGTGTATTCGCGCAAGACGCAGGTACTAATGCGCACAAGGTCAAACATGACTACCAGGTATGTTCCTCGCGTCTGTTGTGCGTTAGTGCGTCTTAGCGAACCATTCCCATGACAGAGTGATGTTGCCCGCCTGCGCAAGATAGTTATCAACAGGTGCAGTAACTCCACATTAGTGTCGACGTTGAGCGCTAACTACGTACTATGTACTACAGTCTTTACTCGAACAGGTGAGAGTGTGGTTGCTGAACATTAACAAATTCTCTTTGCTGAATCCACAAACTTTAGGGACGTGTTCTTGCGGGAACTCATCTCAAACGCTAATGACGCACTCGAAAAACTTCGCCTCACTGCGCTTACGGAGAAGAGTATGTGGGATGGCGTCTCCCCTTTGAACCTCACCATCAAAGCGGAGAAAAATCTCGATGGCCCGGGTGGTCGTATCATTATCACCGGTATGTATAAGTCTGCATCATGGTCTATTGAAGTTCTCACTGTTGTGCCCAGACACCGGCATTGGCATGAACGCGGCGGAATTGACAACTAACCTGGTATGAGGCTCGTCGTCTTACGAAGTGTGAGTGTGACAAATGACGGTTTGAATACTTAGGGTACTTTGGCGAAGTCTGGAACTTCTGACTTTCTTGCGGGAGCAGACGGCGACGACGCAACCGGAACTAGCAATCTTATTGGTGCATTCGGGCTCGGGTTTTACAGCAGGTTAGTGTGATTTTAGAGACCGCAGACATTTAGTTAACTCTCCACAGTTTCCTTGTAGCAGATAAAGTCGTCGTCGCATCTTTACCCCCACCATCTTCCAAGAATCCTAATCCTGCCCAGAATGTCTTCAGTTCTTCTGCAGACGAGGGATCATTCGAGATATACCCCGACCCGCGTGGAAATACCCTCGGGCATGGAACTGAGATTACACTATATTTGAAGAGTGACGCTTCCCATTACCTTGTGACCTCGAACCTTATGAAGCTTGTGTGAGTGTCTCACTCTATCTTATTGGGAGCTTTTTCGAAATGTATCTTAGTAACCAGCACTCTGGATTTTCGACTGCCTTCCCAATTTACATCTGGTACGAGGTTGAGGAAGAAGTCCCCGAAGTAGACGAGCAGGTTATTCTAGACGAGCAGGAAGGCAAGCCTATTGATGCGGACGAGGATGAAGCCATGGTCGAGGAAGAAAAGGAGAAGGAATCTGCATCTCCGAAGATGAAGAAGGTCACGGTTGGCCACTGGGAACACCTGAACTCACAGCCTCCCCTCTGGATGCGGTGCGTTGTTGCTCTTATTCTCAAAAGGATGTGCTCACCTTCTTTTCAGCGATCCGAAAACAGTCACTGATGAAGAATATGAGCTACTGTACCAGGGGACTTTCAAAGACTTCCAGAAACCCCTCGCATGGCACCATTTCCATGGTGACTCGGAATCCGGCGTGTCTTTCCGTGCACTCATTTACATTCCTTCGCGTTTGTGAGTAGTTTCGATCATGGTTACGTGCTTCTCACCCACGTCTTTCAAGGACCGAGGAGTTTTTCAACAAACCACTCGATAATTCGGCAAAAGACGTCAGGCTGCTCGTGAAGCACGTATTCATCACCTCTGACCTAGGTGAATATGGCTTGCCGAAGTGGGCTAGCTGGGTGAAAGTTATCATTGACGGTATATCTGTTTGGTTCAAGAGAGGGAATTTGTGTTGACTTGTCTTTCTACCATCTAGCTGACGATCTTCCATTGAATGTCTCTCGCGAAACCCTCCAGTCCAGCGCTTTCCTCAAACAGATCAAGCAAATTATTCTGCGCCGTCTCATTCAGCTTTTCTCTAAAATTGCTGAAGAAGACCAGGAAAAATATGCAGAGATCACGAAGACTTATGGCCAAGTCTTGAAACTCGCCGCGTCAGAGGACAGTAAGAACCGCGACAAACTGGCGGCCCTTGTACGCTTCAACACAAACCAACGGGATATCGCGTCGTTCGACTCGGTTAGTGGCTGTGATTATTCGGGAACATGTGTCTAAAATTGCGCCGTCCCAGTATTTGGAGAACAGGAAGCAAGGACAAAAGCAGGCAAGTGGCATTAATAAGAAAACAGGCAGCGTGTTTAAAACACAATTCAGATTTTCTACCTCGCCGACATGGGTAAATCCATCGAACATCTGTCTCAAAGTGTGTTTGTAGAAAAGTTGCACGCCCGCGGGTACGAAGTACTGCTTCTAAACGAGCCTCTGGACGAGATCATGCTTCAAAGCATCCGGAACTGGAAGTAAGCCACTGACGACCTTCACAATTGAAAGAAGATTTCACTGATGGGTGAACAGGGGTGTTCCGTTCCAGGATGTAGCCAAGGCTGGACTGGACTTTGGAGATGGTAAGTCCCCATTAACGTGACAGGTTTCGTTATTCTCATATCCACAACAGACACCCCAGAGGAAAAGGACGCACTCGCGGAATTGACAGAGAAATACGCTCCCCTTCTTGAGTGGCTGAAAATTGAGGCTGGAGACAATGTTAAGAATGGTAAGTAGTCATTTTACTATTATGCGCCATTCTAGCCTGAGGTTTCATATTCGTCAGTTATTGTATCTAGCAGGCTCGTGACGAGCCCATGTGCGATTGTCGCGGACAGCATGGGTTTCACAGCAAATGTCCAGAAGCTCATGAGTACGTTTAACTGGTGACTTGGCAGGGCTAGTTCACACTCAGTGAAAATTTGCAGGTGCCACAAGTCGTGGGGCCCAGAAGAACGATGCCATGCAAGACTATATGAAGAAGCAGAAGGTTCTGGAAATTAATCCACGATCGCCGTTGATCGAAGGCCTCCTGGAACACGTCGAGCAATTGATTGCAGAAGGCGATGCCAAAGACTTGGATACTGAGGCACAGCTCAAGGAGGTTGCTTCCATCCTGATCGATGGGGCTCTTGTTCGCTCCGGGTTTGAAGTTGCCGACTCCAACATGTAGGTCCTGACAAAACTGTTGCCAACAAAGTCTCATATGATTTCACGCAGGTTTTTGACTCGTGTTGATAGAGTGCTCAGACGATCACTCGGTGTCTCTGAGACTGCACCAACAGATAACACCGTGAAGCCAGCTCCTCCAGTTGACCCAGAGCTGCCTAGTGACATACCCGTGGATGACGAGAAGCAGTTCTTCAATCTTCCTGATGAAATGAAAAGCAATCAATTTGAACTGGAGATGGAGGAAATTGATGAAGAAGGCAATGTTGTTGTTCACGATGAGCTGTGATGTTGCAGTAGATCTTTGTAGCAGTTCAGGCTGGTCGATAATAAAATTGAAAGTGTCTACTAGTACTACCAGACGACTCAGGTGACCACGTGGGAGTCGAAGATAGCGGCTCTGCCACCTTGATGCCACCACAGTGGGTATCACGGGCAGTACTATCCAGAACTTTCATACACCACAGTCGACTCTGAGCTTGCTCTGAGCATTTACTGGCCTTTACAATCGTTTCCAGACGGGACGCAAGTTCACCGTCTGTGCATGCTTCATGGCCACACCTGCAGCCTTCTCCCGACTTCAATTAGCCGCAGCGCTACTAGGTGAGTGTGTGAGACTTGGACGATGGACACGCTTCATAATGTATCTTGGAATTGCAGAGTATGATAATGATCCAACAAATCCTGACCTGCCTCTGGTCTCCGCCCATGACAGTGCTATCTTCGCTCATCTCCGACGAGACCCTCGTAAGAGCACTGACTACCTCGGAGTGTCTGTGCCCAGTGAAGCAGGCGATTCTACCCCGGGACACCGAAGGTCTAGAAGCTCCATTGACGGACTCAGAAACCCTTTCGGAGCTGATGATGACGAGGAGCTCGATGACGAGGAAGCCGGCGAGGTAGACCTCGCTTCATGGGGCCTTGACCAATTCATCAAGGACAAAGCTAAAGCCAAGGGAAAGGGAAAGGCGAAGGCCAAGTCAGAGGTGCTGCCCAATCCTCATCCAGTAGCAGTGATGCATCGAAATGCCCGAAGCGCTATAGATGATGGTCCTCGGGGAAGGTCGTCCCGACCAATGAGTATCGGGACCATGGATGACTTTGGCGTTGGAGGTGCCTTCTTGGACGCTGAGAACACTGCTGGTTCAGACATCGCTCGCCCTCGATCTTCTGCTGATTTAGAACGGATGCAATCCCCTCAGCGTCCATTGCCACGCCGCCGTGAGTCCGGCCACGCTCTCATCGAGACGCTATCTGTTGCACCCCCTCTTCATTCTGTTCCGTTCCCGTCTGTCTCAATTCGAGATGGCTCTCCCGGTGGAGAAAGACCTGCTTCACGTGCTTCACGTTTAGACTTACATACCCGTACTCAATCCGACACTAGTATGGGCTCAAGGAACCTTCTTAATGGCGTAGATGTCGATGCGGACAGCAGTCCCTTTTCTGTCCGACCCCCATCACCCGACCGTGCATCACGGTTTGATCCCAAAGTCAATCACGGGAGAACAGTGTCTAATGCAACGATGGGTACTATGGCATCCAAGAATCTGCTTGCAGAGGAGAATCCCTTTGCTGTGAGACCTCCCTCTCCTTCCCGGTTGTCACGATTTGATCCCAAAGTTCGTGTGCGAACAATGTCCGTTGGGTCAATGGGTACCCGGGTCCTCATTGATAATGACACCGAAGCAGAGTCACATAGGGATCGGCCTTACTCCACCGTCGAGCTACTTAGGCCAAAGATCCTGGTTATGCCAAGCCCGTTGCAAAACGTGGCTCCTCCCCCTCCTCCTCCCCCTTCTTTCACACCTAGAGTTGGGTTTGAGACATCTACAGATGGTCCACCCTTGCCTCCAGGTGCTCGCTCTGCGAACCGTTCATCGACCTCTTTAACGAATTACATGACCCCAGTGTCGGCACCCATAGCATCTAATTCTTTCACTCCTAACCCTCGAGCAAGTCTTACACTGTCTCAGCTCGCTTTTCGCAACACGCTCGTTGTTGGAGGACAAAGAGATATTGCGTATTCTGACATTGACCGTCGTCTTCCTCGAGCGATGAAAGACGGTGAACAAGCGAAGTTCGAAGAACCAGAGGAAGAAGAGTCTCCTGTGCCCGCTTCAATACCCCTCCCCCCTGCCCCTCCTCCCACTGACGTTGAAATGAAGCGTCCAGCTGGGAGGCTCTATGGAAGGAGTTTGATAGACAATCTAGAACATCGCAAAGCGGAGATCAAGCAGAAAGCTCGGTAAGCATTTAAACCGTCTTCTCAGTACTGTCCTTATGGTCAATTTAGTGTCTTCACTGGTGATGAAAGACCATCAATGATGGTCCGGGGTCAGATTCGCCGATCGGGTACTCTCATTGACCCTCAGACGCTTGGTCGTCCTCCTTCACAGAATCTTGACAATGCGATCACTCCAAACCCTCGCCAGTCCCTCTTGCGCAGGAACTCCTCTGGTGGCAAGCCTCTCCTGGACATGGATGGAGAAAAGCCTCCCACGAATCTTGGTCCAGGGGCAGAGCAGCTCTTATCTAAAAGTCGCTCTGTTTTTGGTGTGGATACGCTGTGGGATCTTGAAATGGTCAAGTTGAAAAAAATGGAGGCGGAGGAGAAAGCTGAAGCTGAAGTGCGGAAGAAGCGGGAAGATGATGAAGAGGAGCGCCGGAGTAAGAAAAAGAAGAAAGCCAAATCGAAGGGAAAAGGTGGCGACATTCCGCTAGAGTCCACTTCCTCACCCGACCTCCCCTCTGGATCACGAGTAGGCTCGGCCCCTCCCACTCTGCCTGCCATCCAGAAGCCCGTTTTTAAGCGCGCTCCGCAGGTCGACGACGAGAGCGAAAGTGACAGCGACAATGATGATGCTGTCCCAAAAGCAACTCTCGAAAAAGCTGCTGATCGCTGGGTTACTGAGTCTTCGGACGAAGAAGATGGGCCCAGACGAACCACTGGGGTTGGACTACGACATTTATCCAACGGCAATGTATCTGCTCCTCATTTTCCACAAGCACATGGCGGTGATAGCGAGGAAGATCTTCCTTTGACAGCTGCTGCTCAGCGTGTCGTGAGGCGAGCGTCGCAATTGGGATCGTTGGGCATTGATGATGATTCAGAAGAAGACATGCCGCTGACGGCGGCAGCAGCTAGGATTGTCAAACGGGCCACTCAGCTTTCGCATCATGCAGACGATGATGACGACGAGGACAAGCCCCTGGTAGACGTCATCAACAGAGCCAGATCAGTTAACTTCGATGGTCGATCCCGCGCGGATGAAGATGAGGACGAGCGGCCGCTCGGTTTACGAGCCTCTAGATTACCACTGGCCTCTCAGACATCGTTGCCTTTCATTGGCGGCGAAGAAGACGACGACAAACCATTGGCCTTCCATCCCGAGCAACAACGTCGAACACAGTGCCAGATGTTCGCCCAGGCTCAGCAGCAGCAGCAACAATTGATGATGCAAGCTCAAATGCAGAACAGCATGTTTTTCAACCCCGCCATGATGGGATCTGGCGTGTTTACGCCTATGGCTGTCCCTCCGATGATGATGGGCGTACCAATGGCTCCCCCTTCACCTCCCCCAGCGCACGATGCTGGCAAGTATGGTCGTGTGGATAGATGGCGACGCGATGTTGCTGTGGAGGGTGACAGCTGAGTAGTCGGGGTTAGGTTTGTTTCTTTGGCTTCATATTTGATTAGATCGCAGGATTTTTATGGACACTCTTTGAACACTCGCTCATTTTTCGCAATTCTAGTTAGTCCTTTAATGTCCGTTGCATACAGAATTACATCGGTATAGTTGAGATCAAAACGTGAGAATAGATCTACTTGAGAAATACCGTGGAGCATTGCAAACAAATCCTTGAATGGTGGTATCGATTAAGGAATATGCAGTTATGGTACGATGGCATGGGGAAGAAAGAAGCCGATGAGTAGTACTATGATACGCGCGCAAATAACACATAGAATGAGTGCCCATGAAATGGTTGATCAACAAGCTCATGAAGGGTTCGTTATCCAAAGCCTGCGCTTAGGCACTGTGACGATAGACACTTCTCGTCTACCCATCTCTTCTTCAATCCGCCGTTGTCTAGTCTCTTCATCTAAATCCTCGTCGTCGTAATCAGTTTCCACTGAGCGAGGTCCACCAATAGTTGTGGACACATCATCATGACCCCTGGCGGCACGATAAGGAGGTTCATGGAGGTATGGGCCACGGGTATCGGTGGGGAAAGGATACTGTTCAGTGCCCACCACTGACAATGGACGGGAGGTCGGGGTCCCGGGAGAAACAGCTGGTGGAGGCTCCGCGCGAAACCGGGCGATTAGGTAAGTAAGTGTGGACCTCCTTGGCCGACCATGCCATGCGAGAGTAAAAAGGCAGAAATAAAAGAAAACTGTCCATAGGAAGAATGCTGCAAAGAGTGCTAGATGAGCCCCATACCACAGCGCGACGAGGGAAAGAATGCAAAGAGCCAAAACGAGAGTATGGAAGAGGACACGAAGGGATATCTCAAACAGCGAAGGCAGCTCGTGAGTAACAGGGGCGAATGTCGGCGTAGGCACGAGAGCACGGGTGCTCAACATCTCGGCTGTGTTAGGAGTAGAGCTGTTAATGAGGCCGCGTTGACCGTGGCCGGACACAAGATCGAGCTCGTTCTAACACGACAATGAAAATTCAGAAGCAATTAGAAGGAGACCGATGCTCACCACTGCATTCAGACTGCGGCGTCGATCAAGCCAGTCTACGTCGCCCAAACTCCTTGGTGCAACAGGCACGCGCTGATATACATCTGTATTTGGATACGCTAGCCCATTTGTGCTAGATCTACGAATACGCGCTGGGCGATTGACAACCTCAAAAGCTCGTTGCGGTCCAGACGAGTGCATGGACTCGCTGTCAGTAGAGGTTCTTCCTTCTCGACTCCTGCGGCCCAGCAGGAAGCTCGAACCACCCCAGGAATGTAGACGGGTGCGAGGAGAATGCGGAGAAGGGGGATAGTGTGAGTGCTGCGCAGCATTGTATGCTGCAAGCTTCTCAGCAGTGTCGGTGGAGTTGGCGCGAGAAGTGATTGTCTCCGGGTTGACCTCCTTCGGTGGCCGCGATGACAGGCAGCACAGAGAACAGAGATATAAAAAGGGCATCATCACATAGAGTCCAATGAACAATGCAAGTCCTACGACTCCATGCCCAGTCTGTAGAACTGTATGGGATGTAGAACGTTTCATTATGGTCGTTGTGGAGCTGATTGTTGTGAACGATAAAACGAGACCGCCAACACCAGCACCATATGCGGCAAGAGCTACAATAGCGGATAGATAGAATAGAGCAAGATTGCGATCCGTGGGACGATGTGTTTGTGCCGGAGGCAGAGCCAGGCGTAAAAGCAGCAGGGATGGGAGAAGAATGGCAAGAGACAGGGGTGCCAGTAGTTTGTGCGCGACAGAGACATCGTACGACTGATACGACTGAGGACTACTTGTTGTTGTTGTAGACGGGGAACCAGACGACGTAGAACTAGAAGGCGCGAGCTGCACCGCGCATTGAGTTATGTATTGAATGGTAACGTCAGCACCATTAGCGTTGATGCCTGTCTGAAGAGCACCAGACGGAGCTCCCCAGCTGCCGTTTGAGGACGAAATGGATCCAGTATAGGCCCTCAAAATCCATACTTCCGTGAGGTATTCACCGGATTCATCCTGACCTCCGAAGACAATGGTGTCGGAAGCCACACCTTTATTCGAACCGACGAGCGCCTGAGAATAAGAAATAGCAACGGCACCCTCTCGAGGTGTGGGATATGTCTGAACACCATCTTGACCCGGATCACCGGCCGGAAGGACTCTGCTCCAATCGCCTGTTCCAATGTCCATAACTGCTACCTCACCCTTCTGCAGGCCACCTTGGTCGTCCCATAATGAGGAATTGAAAGTCCCAAGTACAAGAAATACTTGGTTGGCATAACTGGAAGAGAAAGGATTCATGTTTGGGGCCAGCGACCCTCCGTATCGCGGAACGGGACACGAGGGAGGAAGGAATGCCATGTCTGAACCTACTTCCAGGACGTACGAAAGACCCTGGGCACATGAATCATTCGAATCATTGGTCGTGTTGCAGCCGCTCACGGAGATGAGGTTGGTCTGAACGACTGTGGAAGCCTGGTTGACGCTGTAGCCCGGCCCTGCCGTGCCAACGGTCTGGTGGCTCCAAGCGCCATTTGTGTAATTATTTGCCAAATTAGAGGATAATGTTCCCGAGATGGTGAAATCCCAAACATCTGATAGGGGATACATGTTTGTACCATCGGTGCCCCCAGACAAGTAAAAGGTGTTGCTTGTTGTGGAAGAATTCGGCGGCACTGTATCATCCCGGCCACCAGAGGCGCCCCAACGTGCTGGTGGACCACTTGTCGTTACACTGACTTCGGACCAGAATTGGTTTATGAAATCAAACTCCTGGATGGACATGAGCAATCCTGATAGTTTAAATGTTGCGAGCAGCACGAACCCATACGTCTGATAAAGCTTTCCCGGTCAATCCCCTTCCACCCATCACCAAGTGAGCATGCCGACTGGTGAATTATGAGACGGACGGAAAATTTATAAAGGCATGATACTCACTAGCTGGAGGAGAAGTCTTCACCACTGACAGCCATGTACCTAGCTGGGGGTGCACCTTGGGGTAGACCTGTCTGAGGCTGAGGAGTATTCCATGTAAGTGTGCCGAGGTTCAAGCTGAAAATATTGCCCATATAACCATGACTATCTTAATTCAAGAGAAACTGTACACACAGGTAGGTCTGAGCTGTTGGTATACCATTGGATGATTCACCACCGAAAATGATAAGGTTACTCGTCTCTGGATCGTAACCGATGGAGGAATATTTGACGGCAGCTGGTGGTGCACCCTGTATGATGCCGGTGATATTGAGCCATTGTAATGGAGGAACGGTGAGGATGGAGGGTAGATTTTGAGCGGCGTAAGCTGTCGAGATATATTTTATAAAGAAAAGACAAGCAATCGCTGAACATTGACGAAAACCGGTTGCCATAATGCTCGTGTCAGATGTAAGTTAATGGTGTCGAAAAGTCGTATATCGCGAGCCGACGCTCGTTGTGAGCGACTCCTGCGAATGGAGAACCGTTATTGCCAGTGGGAGGTCCTGAAGGCGTTGGTTCGCCGTGGCTGCGAGCAACTAGTCCATCACACCGACCATCCACGCTCAATTTTCCTATTTAGGAATCCGTTCGTGTGCTGAGTCTCTTTCGCGTGGCATCCACTCAGTCATTCTAAGGCTCATGCTATGTCATTTATTTTGGTTTTCCCCTTCCTTGCCTGCGCAGTGGAAACCGTCCATCTATTTGCGTTTTGCAATCCCACCGGGCTATTGTGCTCAATGACTCGCAGCAATATAGTCAATTGAACTCATCGAGCTCTAATATGCGCTCACTCTCGAAGCTCGCGATCCCACAACACGGGTGTTGTCATCGACTCATTTACTTGAGTGGGCGTTGACAATCTACGCAGGGGGGTTCTAGGATGCACATTGAACCCCTGGGATCCGTCGGATCCACCGATCTTGGTTGTTCTACCGTAACTGACCTGTGTTACAAGTTTCTTGCGGCCCCGTTATGGTGCGCATGACCGAAAGTGTCATTGCCAACGAAATAACCAGGATTCCATTGGCCCGACCGGGTCATTGAAACGTATATGTCACCGTTCAATCGCATATCGCATATACGCGCGGCCGCCCAGCAAAGTAACGCATTCTTATAAGATGGCCCAGATGGGTTAACTTCTATTACCCTATCCACCTTGTTCCTGTGAAACATCTGGTCTGTGGCACTGTTACGTACCCTTACTCCCGTACCTCCAGTGCTCCAGTGCATGTTACGGCGGCTGCTCTGTTCGGCGGCTGTGCCCTTGATATGTTCTGCCGTGCCACTTGCTGTGCATTAGTTTCAAAAAGTGGACATCCGGGTCTGGGTAAAAAAAAAACTGTCATGCTCTCCACGGTGATTCCACCTGACCAGTGCGTCTATTTGATTTGATTTGATTATTGAGGCTGCTGGTAATCGGCATCCCAAATTTCTGGTCGCCACCGCATGCTCTTGACTCGACTACGCAGATCCTCGTCGGTATTTCATCGTGGTCTACAATGGTACAGGTTCATATCAAAATTATCTGTTCCAGACGCAACGGTTTCGGATAACAGCTTTCGCAAATCGCAGCGCTTTCCCCATCTGGGAGACCCTCGGGTGATTGGCAGGAAGCCCAAACCGGGACTATTTTACGCCTTTTCATCACAACTCCGAGTAGAGCAAAGCGTAAGTCGACGCCCGTCTACCACTGCTACCGACTTGGTCGGAGATGATGCATTTGGCCCCCGACTCATCTGATGAATTAATTACCTTTTCACAGCTTGGAACGACAGTTCAGCGCTCAGCCATGTGTTGACCGGAGATGCTATTGACGTCCGCTTTCCTCCGAACATGCGTCTTGTCATCAAAGGGGTGTCCACGAGGCCGCACCGCACCGATGGGGATGTGCTTGCCAGCTGCTTATTGTCTGTCGATGTGTCAATGTCTAGATCTAGTGCAAACGGGGCACACACAAAGTGCCACCCCATGACAAAGGCAGGTGTTTATCCCCCATGCATCGTGTAGTACTTATTGTACCATACAGGCCCACACATAACCATTGCTCATCAGTGTGGATATTGGTGAATTGGTTGACGATCTCACCTCCCTTGATCTGTTCCAGTGTGCCATTACTCTAACGAGCGAAACAAAACCGCAAGGGGAATGGCGTATTCCCCTTGCGACCTTCATCAGTGTACTTACGCAACCATTAATATCTATCCGCCGGCATGTGACATTGCATAGCATTGCATTCCTCGGGACGCGTGTGTATACACAGCAATGACTTGCGACACATATAATCCTGCGGACGGGCTTCAAAAAAGGAGTCAAATCAATGGCTGACTGTTAGTATCAATCATGAAAATCCAGTCTCCGGTAGCTGACCCAATAATATAAGAGGCGACAGTCGATATCTTTGTATATGAAAATCAACTTTTTGACTACTTTTCGCTACGGAAGCTGGGAATAACAAAGGTGTAACTACAACTAAAATATAACACTCGCCAACAGAGAAGTTACCACCGACCAATGCGGCAAAAATTCGATCCTTGCTCCTCAGTCACTGAACTTGCGAGCATTATTGTACGTCAGAATTTGTTTGTCCGTTTACCCGTGGTAGGTGCTCTAGTTTACATTCTCCATATGTTACAAGAGTTAACTGGCGCCTGATACACCTTGACGATAAGGTTCTGTGCTGTCACGGACGCAGTCTTAGGGCCAATTTCTTTTTGTCCTAGGGAAGGTTGCTGCTCCGCCTCCAACTTCACTATGTGACGGACTAATTACGCCCCCCGCGATCAACATAGCCCAACTTTTGTGCTTCCATTCTCGAAACAAATTTTATTCGATGCATTATTAACCGCAGCTTCAAGCAAACATTACCGCCGGTGATAGTTACTTATGATACCTGTGAAGGCCGCCATCTGACGCCCGACTGAATTTGATTTGATATGTTTCAGGATGAGCTCGGGTGTCTGACCTTGTTTGACTAGCGACGCGAGCTCTGGGAATGTGATCGATGATTCAAATATTCAAAAGCGATACGGAGCAAGTGCGACTAGAGCAATCAGCCAGGAGGAGCCTCGACCTCGGAGTCGGATCAATGTGCTCACATGGTTGCTCACTCAACTATCCCCAATGGTCTGCAATGGTCTGACTTTGAACACCAAACATAAGTCTTACTCGGCAACTTACTTACGTTCCTGTGCCATATCTTCGAAGTCGAAGGTTCTCAGCTCAGGGTCGGCCCGGTGGCGCGACATCTAGCTTATTACTGGCCGCCATCACGTGTCTCATTGTTTGAGCGCCAATCTAACAAGTTTGCGTCCGTTGTCAACCGCCATCGCATGCGCTCCGTAGAAATCATGATTTCCTCACCCGCGAAACGCCTACTTACGGAAGATGAGCGTGTTTCCAGGATCGGCTCGGAAATTCACAGGAATGATGCGTGAGTAGCGGAAATCTTGCATGACCTTGCAATGCATAGACCCATCAAACAACAGTACTCCATCCGACGTGACTGCGAGCATACGCAACGCGGCAATGAGAGTCAGAAAGAGTGAGCTTTACTATGGCAAGGTACAGCGCGTCGCTAAAGTAAAATGACGCGTATGCGCACGCGCAACGTAGATGTTTTGGAGGGGTACCGCACACAGCCCTCAGCCCCGAGCACACCAAACAGCTCCCCAACAAAGTATACCACGGCATCTCAAGTAGGAGAGAATGCTTACCCTTGGGCAAATGATACCCTGCGAGAAGTGTTTGCATCTGCAACCTCCGGCAAATATACTCCTACGTCATCTCCCACAAAGCGTAGACGCTGCGAATCAAGCGATGACATTGCCTCGGATAGCGAATCATCAGTTGACCATATGGATATTGAGAGGCCCATGAAACCCTTGCGGCCGTCTGGAGGAACATTGATGGCTGCACTAGGTCTGCCTCGTGGACCAACCAGCCCTCCTGGCGGCGCGGAAATGACTCGTGTTCCAAAGTGCCCCGTAGCGCAGGAACACGATGCGCATTCCGTTATGGGTGTCGTCGGGTCAGCTTCACACATTGGGCTGCCTTGAACTATGTAGTCACGGTGATCTACGGTGAATGACCTGCAGCACTGAGGTTAGTCATCTTACCAAGGAAGTTAAGTTCTTTAGCGAAACTTACGAATTGCAGTGCTCGCAGACGATCAAGGACATAACTATATTTATACAGGTGTTTTGCACGCCTTTTCTCGGTAGACTGTAAGAGGTTGAATAACCCGTTTTATGTATGTACCTTGCTGCGGCGGGTTGGCAAGCAAAACATGAAGAATATAGATATATTCGCGTGCTGGCAACACTCGCGCGCATCTTGGGGAAATCTCAGGCTCCTTTGCATAGACAAAGTCAAGATGTGACGAGTGGACCATTGATTCCTTGCCTCAACCACGCTCTCGCGCATTGTTCCGGCAGCACGATGAGCCCTTGTGGTGAGGACAGACGATGCGTACGTAATAAGCCATTTCGGTTGCGGGCCGTTTAATCGTCGTTTAATCGATCTTGAGCGGACCCACAACGGATTGGTTTCTGATACGTGTCTGCGTGCGCGCTGACCGGCCCCCAAAAACGCTTTCCCACAAATGCGAATGCACCTTTTCGGCCGCGGGCTATGCCTTTGTTGTATCTCCCGCGAATATTGATCTCAGTGTGCAGCCAGTTCACCCACAGCAGGAAGAAGCCCTGTCAAGATCTCCGACCAGAATGGGGAGTCGATACTGGGAAAAATTAGTTGTTGATCTCGTAGCTTTTTCTATGAACACAACTTCCTCTGCCGGAGTGTACAGATCGCCTTGTATTTATACCCATCCATTTTCAACCGAGTCTTAAAACCACCCCTCTCTCCCCAGCCTATCCAGTGCTCAAGAAATCATGACACCGCTCTCGTCTGTATCTGACGCTCGCGGAACTGAACAGTCCTTTGACAAAGCCAAGAAACACTTATGGCAAGTGGCACATCTCCCTCCCTCTCCCTATGCTGGCATTGCATTCTCTTGGGCCATCGCTGGAGTTTCATCTTTCGGTGATGCCCAAAGCGCTTTAATCTATTACATTTTGCCGCCTTTGCTTTGTTCACTTCGCTTACGATTTTACTACGTATAATTACTGACGCCACATTCTTCACCGCATCCCTTCATTTCATCCCCCCTACAGGGCTTCCGACTCACCGAGACACGAAATGAGCGGTTTTAATAGATACTCCGAACAGCCACGCTGCTCACGCCCTGAGGTGGAACAGGGTTCCAGCGACCATGACGAGTGCCAATCGAACTCACATGGCGATCCGTCAACTTCTCAGCGGCGATCGGAGCGAAAAGGATGTATACAGCCTTCGTCTTCCCGGTAATTCATCATCCCATTTACTTGCTCGTTTCCTCAACTTTCCTTGGAAGGAGCAGCCCGTACACCTTGCCGCCGCTCTCCCGCGAAAGAACACATGATCGAGATGTTCGTCCTTTACCTTCTCGATTCACAAAGTTCATGGACCACTCGCCGAGACAGGATGGGCAGCTCAGGTATGCGCGCTCAGTACCACTCAGCGAAGTACTAATCGCTTTCAAAAGGCGCTCAGCTTGCACAGACTTGGAGACCTACCACGACAGTCGGCAACAACGACCTGTCTCCTTGTCGGTTTTCAACTCGCCGACGGCGACGTACGCTTGGGAACGCTATGAACCTGAATCTCAGATACCCTATCCACGCCCCCTCTATGTCGATTACGTTGGCCGAAGTTCCACGCGGTCGGCATCGTCAAGCTCCATCTCCAGCTTGCGCGATTCTCCTGGCATGCCGTACGTTTTCATGCAGAAAAGTATGAAACAGGGTGTTGAATTATAGTCGCTTTTGCAGCTCCCCGGCGCTATCTGACCGCAGCATCTCCACGCCTACTTTACTCCCCCAAAAACGGAGAAGCTCGTCCCCAGCTGGACAGTACGTGGCCTTTTAATTCTTCATGTCTCTTCTGCTGACGAGACCCTTATTTCATTAGTTATCCTTACCACGCATCTTCTGTTACGAAGATCATGGAGCCGCTGAGGTACTTCATTTAGCAATCTTTGCAACCTCGCGCTTAACGGACTTGTAGACATGTAAACATTGAAGTTGATCATCGCCGGCCTCCTGTTTTCTCCAGGCCTAACCAGCGAACGCTTATTCCTCCTGAAATGATCAGCAGCCCACCTTTGCACAGATCTCAATCTGATCGCCATGTTTCGGCGAAACACAGCATTCCAAGTGACGGTGATGAGCGTCACCGCCAACACGAGGACAGTCCTTGTGGTAGTGATTCTAGTGATCAATCACACGTTACTCGCCCAACAATACCACCGAAGTCAGACTCAGAGGAGTGGGAGAAGTACGCTTGTTTTACGCTGGATGGTACAGCACGGAAATGGCTGTGCACCTGGCTGACAGAATCAGGCGGACAATGCAAATATATGTCAAAGAAGCAGTTAGTCAAGCGCCACGTTGAAACGACTCATTTGCGTTATAAGTAAGCGACCTGGTCATTCACGAGCTTCCTTCGCTAATCTTGTTCATTTCTAGGCCATTTGTATGCGGTGTTTGCAGCAAAGGTTTCCCCCAGAAAACTTCGCTTGATACTCACATGCACGGACAGTAAGTAGCACTTTATCGACGCCCCATCCTCAACTCATTCTACTTATCAGCACTGGATCTACGCCGCACGCATGCCGGTATAATTGTGGGATGTGGTTCAAGGATCCAGCACGTAGACACAGACACATGGTCGACGAGCATCAATACGTTCCAAGACAGTCCAAGAAGAAGCATACGAACGGACAGCCTCAAGACACTTTGGACTTCGAATCTGTACAACGATGGAATGTCGCCGGTGCCCCTTAGTGCCTCGCCCCTTCTTGATGCATGTCAGCATTAATGTAAGCCAATGTCATTGGCTGTCATATATCGCCGTGATGTCGGCGTCCAATATATCATGTCTACTGGTTATTTTGTTGACTGATTATATGTATATCACGGGTCGTAGCATTTCTTTTATCCACAGGGTGGATGAGATGTGACCTAGGGACAGTAATGTTAAACTGCTATGTTCGGAACAATTATTCTTATTATTATAACTGATTTATTCTTTTTAATTCCTATCTTATGGCCTGATGTAGATCAACGCAGCCGCAAACTATAAAGTGTGATTCTCTAGAAGCGCTGTCAGTGATAGAACGTAAGTTTTCATAATATGTCGTGCCTATCATTTTCTATGTGTTGGAAGAAGAGAATCGGGCCATGATGATCGGGAAGCCATTGCATTGTGTTCACTGGGGAATAGGAGACTGATGGGGGAAAAGTTGTCTATGTCTATATACAACTTGATGATCTGCTGCGTTAACAATGAGTTCGTGACGCTGATAAGCGCTGTCAGGGGACTCTGCAAGCGCGTTATGAGCGGATAAAGACGGAAAACTTTGAAGACTCTTTGAAGTAAACGCCGCCATAATCACCGCCGCGACACGTAGGCTCAATGTCAGCCGACATGTGGTGAATTCTTGATCAAAAGGACATCCCCGACGGTCGTGAGGGTGAGCGCTAATCTGCTCAACTAGACCACACTTTCCTTTTTGACTGAAAACTTAAAATAAATGGTAACGGCAGTTTCCGACCGACATCATTGATCGACGTTCCAAATAGGGCGATTTGAGCCCGATACCATTAGCGAATTCGGCGCACCGGCACGTGAACGACATGCCTTCGAAACCACCACCAGCGTTGGGAAGTTTAGTCGTTCAAGGGCAGCCACACTTGGTTCATGTCTCACCATCAACATGTCACAACCTTACCATGTTCAAAGGTGCATTTTGTCTTAACTTGGTGGTTGTTTCTAGCGGCTTAATTCTTACAGACCTTCTCAGAGAATATCGCAGACTGGATGATACAATTACTATGCGGCTGAACCGCACGAACGCACAGTTCCGTGATCGAGATCGTGCAGGGACAAGCGGCAAAGGTAATATTCAGGACCAGGCCTGCGCGTACGTATGGAAGGAACTGGTCGGTGAGCTTCTTCGGTGTTCATCCTGAAAAGGTCTCATGCCTGTCCTGTGCTTAGAAAACTGGAAACGGCGTACGGAAATGATAAATTATTGCGTCAATATTGTCGATCAGTCCATGGAGGAGAAGCGAAAGTCACTGACAAGCGAGGAGGGCGATGCCAGGGCTGAAAGGAGAACGCAAGCGGCCATGTTTGCGGATGAGGTCAAGGTAAGGAAAGCTACGGCGTACAACTCCTTTCCTCATAAACCCATGCGCAGAGAAATCAAGTTCGCAATGAATTGGCAGTTGAGAAGATCGTACGCCAACGATCGCTTGACGGTGAGGATCTTGTCTTGTTTCACGTGTACTGGTTTTTTGACACAGTATTAAATTTGTCAAACCCCAGCATTTCAATCGAGATGTCAGTATTTTTCGCCTCCTTTGACGGATGCCGAGGCGCGGAAGTGGTGGGATGCCGCGCACACCCAAGAATCGCCATAGGCGATTCTGAATGCTAGAAGCCATCCATGTGTCGTTTACCAAACTATACTAGTTGCTTATATAATCGTGATGGTGATGCCATAGCGGAAGCATTTTGGAACAGCCCGTTCACCAGCGTTCACCTGCAACTGTCATCTATGCCTCGTACCATGTTATCCTCACTCTTTTTGCTTGGATTAATCGGCTTTGCGATGGCCCTGGCACCGCCGCTGATGGCGCAATATCAATTTCAAACAGCAATGTCCGATGGTGTGAGGGTCCCAGTGATTCTAGGCGTCATGTCTCGTTGTCCAGATGCAATTCTGTGTGAATCTGTGTTCAATCGCGTATTACAAAGTGCAGGCGAGAAAATGGATATTTCATTGTCCTTCATCGCCAAGTACGTCTATGCATCACGCCTTCTTAGCGCCTAGTTCACCTTGTGCAATAGACCAAATGCCTCGGAACCCCTTTACGGTGTAACATGCATGCATGGACAAGAGGAATGTGCCGGCAATGTGCAACAGTTGTGCGCTGCCAAGTATCACTCCACTTCTGAATGGTGGTCCTTTGTGCAGTGCCAAAACTTTCAGGGGCGTGATAACATAGGCACGCCTGAAACTGCCCTCAACTGTGCCAAAGCAGTGGGGATCGACTGGGAAAACGGCAAGGCTGGTCAATGCGCAGGAAAAGACGGTCTTGGAAAAGAAGGAATTCAACTTTTACAACAGAGCGCCAAGGATAGCATGGCAGCTGGCATTCAGTATGTCCTTGGAAACTGATGAGAAACCAATGGGAGCTAAACCGGCAATAGGAAAAGCTGCACAGTCATCATTAATGGTCGACAAGTTTGCATACGGGATGGTACTTGGTATGAATGCGAGGTATGAAGGGAACAACATTGCCGCACAATGTGCAAGACCTCACAACGTGTTCTCAGGGCGGTCATTCACCGACAGATTTCATCAGACAAATCAACGAAGAGTATGACAGACTCAACAGCGCTGGCTAAAGAGAGCGGACATATGGTTCAACATTAATCAATCCCATGATCCACGTCAGTGCACGTACATAAATACCATTTCACTCAGCCACCAAGAATTAGCTCGTACACAATTATGACAAGATTCAGTCCTATGAGTGGTACTTTGTGCGAAAAAAAAACATTAGCGTGTTGGTTCAGACTCGAGGCTTGCGCTACTTACTACGCATGAGGGTCCGCACCGCACTAATGAGGTTGATTAATCGGACTTTGACACCAGCATCTTGCTGCTGGGTATATCCGTACCCTGCTTGATCGTATGGTGGTTGAAAGCCAGCGTTGGGGTTCTGAACAGAGGACCAGCCGACTGTAAAACGGCGTCAGCAAATGGAGCATCAGTAATTATTGATGGTTCTCACTTTTCGCAAGGAACCGGTCCTCACTGAGGACTGCCATTGCATTAATTAGCAGGAGCGAAACGTAAAGGATTGTTCCGAGCGTGAGCATCGTTCCACTCGCAGTCAAGGGTTGCGGACGTGTCACTGTCCAGTGTCAAGGCTTAAGTCTTTTGGCGTGATGTGACTTCTCGTGACCAGAGATGAAGTGTGACCAAGGTCTAAAGCACGGGCTGAATTCGTTGGCTGCTTGTCAGAATCTTTGCAGGATGCAATCTGTCGCGAGACAAGTGCGAGGCGGTATGTTGTAACTATTTCTACATGTGTAGCAGCTCTTAAACACAATACAGTGAGTCGTTTAGGCACCCCAGTGCAGCTCCGCGTAGTAGCTACCTCATCCCGCATTCAATGGCAATGTCAACGGAGGTATGTTGGTCAACCAGGAAGGGCGTTCTGCTTCTTATTTTCATGTTTTCAGAGCCGCTAGTTACTATAATCCTCTGCAATGGATTCAGGAGAAGTTTGCCCCGAGGGCAAGAAAAGCGGATCCAGCGGAGGAGAAGAAAAGAGGTGAGCAGGAGACACAGGGCCAGCAGAGCGTGTTCGAGGCAGCTGTGAGCCCGGAGAAGGGGGGAAGACCTAAAAGAACATTTGCCGAAAGCGTTCCTACTGTCGTCAAGAAGAAGGCCACTGAAGTATGACCGACACCCTCCATGATACTCACCACTGATCATACGCATCACACAGCACAAATATTCCACGGCTAACTTCAAAATTTCACATCGGAAGCTCAATATGATTGGTCGACAGATATCTGGCAAGCCAATTGACCATGCTATCGTGCAAATGCAATTTAGCGAGAAGCGAGCCACGACCAGGATAAAGAGCATGTTGGCGACGGCCAAACTTCATGCGACGGCATACAAAAATATGGATGCTTCCAAACTCATCGTTTGTGGGTCCCGGTGATTATACAGTTCAAAGGGTGGATTTGCTAATACTCGTATAGCGGAAGCCTGGGTGACCAAAGGACCCAAGCAACTCAAACGACTTGAGCCTCGGGGACGTGGAAAGTTCGGTATTAGAGTTCACCCCGATTCGCGCATGCATGTGATCTTGAGGGAAGGGAAGACATTTGAGCAATTGAAGAAGGAGCAACGCGAGCGGCGTTTGAGAAGAATAGTATCCGCAGGGTTGGTTCGGGAGGACGTACCGCTCAGAAACCCTTCTCGGACCTGGCAGTGGTAGTCGTGACTAGTCTTAGTTACACTTTCAGTTGATATATAATCGATGCTTTTATTCGAGCGTGAGCCATATGGATATCAAGGCTTGCCAGCACGATGAATTCTGACAATTCGGAACTCCTACTTAGCGAGCATAGCAGTACGTATGGCTAAAAATAGCAAAACAGAGTAATGACACGTCGCTCTTTCCTACAACAGACCACGACTCCAAATGACAAGACGCTGGCGAACACTTCCTCTGCTCCTCGTGAGCGCGCTTGCACCTTCCTTGTCATTAGCTGGTTCAGCTTTTGAAAACACGGCTATCGTCCGCACCATCGAACTAGGTGGTTCGCTAGTACACGTTAGTACAACTTACGCGGTCAAGGCTCTCGAGCCAGGACAGACTACCTATCAAATCGCACTCAGCAAGGTTGAACGAGCAAAAACAAGTTGGCTCGAGGCTAAAGTAAAAGGACGGACTACACCTCTTGAATTCAGTGAGGATGAATCCAGGTGTGTCGGGTTGTGTGTTGTTCAGTACGCGATATTCATGTCATGCAGTACAGAGCATTTGTTGTCTGTTTCCCTTCCAAAAGAGTTGGCTGTGAACGGCACTCTCAACCTTGTGTTGGAGACTGTGCAAACGCATGCTACACACCCATTTCCTGAACAGGCCTCTCAGAAGGAGCCTCAGCTGCTCAAATATAAAACCGACCTTTTCACCGTCAGTCCTTATCCCACCCTCGTCCAGCGCACAAAGATCAAGTATGCGTTATCTGTTGCTTGCTGTATGCCGGAAGATCTGATCCTAACATGACAGGTCCTTGTCGCCGAGCATCATTTCCTATACTACCCCACAAGACGTGGACAGTTTCGTGAGAGATGGTTCTGTCACTAGATCTGGGCCAACTATTACCTATGGTCCTTATCACGACATTCAAACGGACGCAGATTTCGTGGCGAAATATCAACAACCGGTCTCAGTTCATTATAGCTTTGACCATCCTGTTCTCGAGGTCGAAACGCTCCGTCGTACAGCAGAGATTAGCCACTGGGGTTCCAACTTGAACATTGAGGACAAGATTCACCTTCACAACGCTGGGCCCACGTGAGTGACGTCTCTCGTACTTCTTATACATAGTTTATTTTCGAATTCAGTCTCAAGGGCCACTTCTCTCGCTTGGATTATCAGAGCCAAACTTATCAGCGCAAGCAAGCCCCACATATCCTTTCCCATTTTACTTTACACCTTCCGCCTGGGATAACCAATGCGTACTTCTATGACCAGAACGGGAATGTCTCCACATCCCATCTGCGCACGACACCGTCGGTCGCGAAGGGGAGCAAGGCAATCCAGTATAGCGTGCTTGAATTACGGCCACGCTACCCAGTTCTCGGGGGTTGGAACTACTCTTACACTATTGGCTTCGACACGCCTCTGCAAGATTCAGTCGGCTATGATGCGAAGAATGGCATATACATGGTTGGCATACCTGTCATGACGAACATTCCTGGCGCTGTTGTTAATGACGCCGAAGTCAAGATTATATTGCCTGAGGGTGCGACGTATGTCGAATGAGTTTCTGGTCTTTGAGCATTTACTAATGTGGCCTACAGTAATGTCGAATTTGTCTCCCCTTTCCCCGAACTTTCCAGCAGTATGTCAACACATATCTCATACCTCGATACCACAGGGCGCCCCGCCGTCACCTTCGCATACAAGGACTTGACTTACAAGCACACGGGCGTCATCTATGTGAGTGCAGATCTTGTACGTTGGGTTTGAAGGCACCAAATAAATGTTGTGTCCAGGTCTCTTATCAGGTTCCCTTCTCGGCTCACTTGAAGAAAACTTTGTCCGTTGGTGCTGCTTTCTTCAGCCTGTTTGCCTTTGCCTTCATAGCTAGGCGGGTGGATTTGAACCTACACAAGAAGTGATGTACAGTACCACTGTTGATGGCAATAAAAAAAGTTTCTCACTTGATGCACGTAGGTGACATTTGTGATATTGTACACCCGATTCTTTGTGCCTCAAAGCTCATCGTGCTGACTCCTAAACTTCTCCCGCGTGAAGCTGTGTAACCTTTTTACGTGGCATCCCTTGTGGCGTTGACGACATGAAAGGAGGATGATTGGAGGATCGAACATATAAGAATATTAAGAACGCGTTATAGCTCCCCGTCTTGTCCTGACATGCGTAGAACAACCCCTTGTTCGACTTTTGCCGAAATCATATGATATGGCACGGTCCCTCGCCACCCCCACGGCCTTTTTAATCCTTCGCCGTCGAATTAAGTTATAACGTTTAGGGAGTGGATGTAAACCCATGTTCCCGTATAATCAAAGCTGGCCGTGATCAATCAGAAACGTACGCGATCACATCTTGTCTGATTGTCGCGCTTGCCAGGTTCTCCTCTCCATGACCATGATGTGTACATTGTTACTTGTACATAATATGTCAAATAGGGCCTAATGCATCGAGGAAACGTCCGCCAGGCAATCGCGTCTCTGTCGTTGAGATTCTTCCATGGAGCAGGGAGAATAACATGAAAAGCTCGGGCCGTGCAAGATCGAGCCCAGTTGCTGTGTCGATTTGAGATGTATGAGATGTACTGGAGCGGATGCAAGCGACATTGATCGGAAAGTTGACCCTGGTATTGCAGACTGTATGCAAGCTACGTGGTCGCTTGATGAGATGACCTTGCGACTTTGTCGTGTTCGATCTGTTGGCCGCGCGCTGCACAGGGGCTAAATCTCCATTTGTGTCAGACTTTCCCATCAACATGGCGTTCATCCTTTGCGAGTTTGACCTCGTCAGAGAAGTCTGGCATGATTTCAAGTCAAGGCAGAAGAACCGCTCGCAATGTCACTCTCAACTTGAAGAAGAACAACTGGTGGCGATCGTTAGGCTCTGGGATAGCGACAGACTCAAATTCAGAGCGAAAACACGGTCCTGCTCTCATCGGACGTGCGTCTGAGAGGAATTCTACACATCAAGGTCATCCAGGTAAAGCTCGGGCAGGCGGATCGTCGAACTTGTGGTCCCGCGTTCAGCTGGACAAACATCAAGGAAATGGCGAGGGACTGCAGAAGAAGCGCCTACTCCAACCTTATGATTTGTCAATACAACTCAAGCGCCTGTGCAGCGAGGGAGACCTGGCTGGTGCCATTGAGCGTTTAAAGACAACTCCTCGGGATGCGCAGAACATAGCCGTGTGGAATACAATGATCTCAGAGTGCCTGAGCGCTGAGCGGTACCAGCTATCCTACGACTTGTTCGTTGATGTGAGTGGGTCTATCCGTCGGGTTTGTTATCACTTTTATAACGAGCTTCTGTAATAGATGAAGCGTAGAGGGTTTTCACCAAACAGCATCACTTTCTCCACGATGCTCAGCGGCATTTCCTTCATCAAAGACTGGCCGAAATACAGCAAGCAATTGCAGAACGCGCATTCTCTTTACGAGTCCTACCTAAAACACATCGAATCGGTCAAATTTCACGAACCTGAAAACTCGAAGGAGTTGTCCTTGCAGCCTCTTGTCGCATACATCCAGATTCTCGGTGACGCAGGAGACTATGATAAAATCTTTGACGTTTACTTCGCCATTGACCAGGAAGGACCTCTCGCACCTGACAGGTTCATCTTCACTGCGATGTTCAAAGCAATATCCACGCGTCAGAAGCGCTCGGTCACTGGCGGAGAGACTTCTACTCGTAACGATGCTGCGTCGGATGCGAAGCACGTTTGGATACAGATGGAGAAAGTCATGCAGAGGAATCCTGACTTCTTCTTGGATCCTGGGCTCATTGCAGCAGGCATTCGCGCTCTTACGCGGGGAAGCCCGAATGATCAAAGTTTTGCATTCACCATTATCCATAATCAGTTGGGTCTTTCGAAGCCAGGGGAAGAAGTGCCTCGGAGGTTGTCAAACAATCTTAACGCATGGACATTAGACGCTACCCTCCAGCTTTGCAACTCCATGCAAAAACACAGACTCACCGTCCATTTCACGCGTCAGGTCATGGAAAAGATCAATTGGGACAAAGTATGGATGCGTTACCTCATCGACTCTAGCCACATACACAAACTCCTCAGAGCGTATGCCGGACTGGCCTCTCTCGGATCGCTCAATGAGTCAAACGAAGCTCTTGAAGCATTGGAGTGGAGTGTACGGAACGACGTAATTTATCATCTCCCCAAGTTGACGCCGACGCCGCAATCATACCACCTCGCCCTCATGACATGCTGTCGCAGTGCAGACTGGCCAACTGCCGTCCGCGTGTATGAGCTCATGACAGGCGTCGAAGCCAGTCAATTCGAGTCGGGCGGAAGTCGTTCTCCGACGGTGAAGAAGAGGTCCAAAGGAAAGAACCTGCCGACGGATGTCGAGACCATGTCGTTCCTTTTGCGCACTGCCCTTGCTGCCAACAACCTCACTCATATTCAACATGCGATGTGGCTAGCTGACTTTGCGCGCGTCGACGCGCTCCTCGGTGATCAAAAAACGGCCGCCTTCTACCGATCTAAACTTGCCTCTACCTTGATGGAGGCGATCAAGCGCCTCCAACAGGCGGGGGGGCTCACTCAGGAGCAAGAGAAGACCTGGAGCTCGTACAGATCATTGGCACGGGAGGTTCTAAAGAGCACGAGAGGTAGCCCGACACCTGGAGTTGAGGAGGAGAGGTTAGGAAACATACGGACACTAGTTGACATGGACAACTATGTAGCCTTCGAGATGGCATCACGTAGTACCAAATCGCGTACATAATGGAGGTGAATGGAGGGCACTCCATTAGGAGGTATATTGCATGACACTGGCAGGCAGTGAATATATTATCTACAAGATATAACGAGGACCAAGTGATAGATCAAGCAGACAGAAGATAGATAAATAGTGTTCGAAGAGAAAGGTCCGTTGTCCAAGAGGCTACGACAGAAGCCCCACCGCATTTACATAATTAAAGGAGAATTGCATGACGGGCAAAGCACAGAATATGGCAACAGGAGGGTAGGAGGGAAAATATCAGTTCGCTATGCAACTGACTTTGGGCGGTCTCCAGGTCTCATCGACTCCCCTTTAAAGGCAGGCGACGGAGGAGCGAAAAGTGTGTCTTCGGTCAATGCCATCGAGACAGGTTGATATGTATGTAGCTCTTGCGGGCTCCCATAATCGGGGTACCTGGCGGAGATATTGTTCATCGGCATGGGACTCAGTCTTCCAGGTGTCTTGCGCGCTCGCGCGCCCCTCCCGCGACGTCTGCACAGCAGGACAATGCCGACAATGGCAAGAATGATCAAAACCAGGGCATTCAGAGCCATCACACCAAGCATGGCAGGGAGGTATTTGGAGAGCTTGTCAATAGTGTTTGCTACATCCGTGGACAACGACACGGATGTTGAACCGGATCCACCACTTGAAGTGTTGTAGGTAATGTTACCCTGTGGCGTTCCGCCTCGGACATCGTGAAACTCCACTGATGCCTGGTTAGGATCAACCAGAGAGAGCATTTGGATATAAGGGTTGCCCATATTCCCCGATGAGTCGAAGTCGCCAAAGTCGTACACGGCATAGACTGAACGCAAAACGTTGTCGCCTATCAACCAATCACTAGGGAGATGATCATTTGGCAATACATTCCAGAATGATTAGCATCAACTCACAATTGGCCAGCCCCAACAGAAACACTTTGGGGCACAAACGAGCCAACACAGGTTGAAGGATCGCTTAAACTCGCTGGTGAAACATCGAGGGGATGTATCGGGAAAATTTGATTGCTGTTATGTCAATGTCAACGGCCAAAAATACGTGATCTAATGCAGACACTCACTCAAACTGAAGCGCCATATCTATTTCTGTGTCACAGGGGACGGTCCATTGCCCAAGTACAGAGTTGTACTGAGCCCCAGATACGCCGCCATAAATGGCTTGACACACTTCAGTAGGCGCGTATCTGCATTCCTCGTGAGTAGATTCGACCAACGACACAAATGATCACTCACGTATACGACGTCCCGCTATCCAGAAGAACGACTGCCTTGTTCGATGGCGCTCCCTCTACACCAGTGGACACTGTATAAGTCTCCGTCCCAACAATGTATGAGTCCAATAGCACATTCCAGCGTGTTGGAGAGTTTACAGGCCAAGTTGGGATTTTGTTGGTGCTTGTGACATTTGAATATTGGGATTCAGTCTCGCCTGCATTTCGATGTGTCAACGAATGCGTGAGATTAACACCGTAAACATACCAATTGCGAAGCTGCCTGAAACCTGATCGTCATCTGACGTACTCTGCAGGGAAAATGCAATGAAGTTGGGTTCAGAAGGATTGTCTTGGAAAAGATTGTAAAGGAGGCTGCGGCCGGTCGACGCGCCAGTGGCATTCACGAGGGCATCTATAGTCGATAATGAATCAAAACCCATCCCTAGGAGTCCTGCAGCTCCGTAGGATAATGCCGGATTTTGTGCAGACGAGACGTCAAGAAAAGCTTGGGAAGGAACGGAAATCCTAGCTGAAAATGAATTAATCTACAGTATGCAGTTGAACACTTACTTACCCTGCGAACTCAGCCTTGACATAGGAAATATTCCCATACGCCCAACCAATGCCATACTTGTGCGCTAAAGTCAGACCGAAGATCCCTACTAGAGCGGAAATACACTCACAGTCAGATTACTGGTCTGGGACTAGTGAAACGTAAGTAAACAACAGTCAGAAATAGTGTACCACTCACTGTAATGTTTGCATTAGGTATGGGTGTTGGATTGTTCAGGACCCACAGGTCAGAAGAGCCTAAGGAAAACGTAAGATATAAAAAAAAGGAAAGGGAATGACAAAATTTACCTGTGTCAAGCTGGACCAGATAATCTTGTTGGTCGATGAGTCACCTTACGGGTTGAATGGGGTATGTTACTTACCAACACCGCCAAGTGTAACCTGATTTTCTGGTGAATTAATTGGTATGGCAGGGCGAACAAAGGGTGCTTACATTTGCCATATAAATGAGATCGTTAACATCACTAGCTCAGCAGTCAGTTGGTAAACGTTGAGCTGTGGAATGAATATATAACTTGCCTGAGCGTAAGCGCTGCGGAGGTGGAAGCCAGAACTTTTGGCTGAGAAACTGAAACGTCTGTGCCCCCACTTCGTCGCTGTAGGGTTGTGCGCTTTGATTGAATGAAAGGGATTTTAACCGCCACTGAAACTCCGGCCAGGACTGCCAGAGAAAGAGCCTGTAACTTCATGGCAAGAGGTGAAAAGAATGACTTTGGTGAGGGCCAGTGTAAGGAGTGCGCGCAGGTTTGGGCCAGTACTTGTATGATAAAGCCGTGAACAAGCAGCACTGAACCAGTGATATCAATTGCAACGAGGCATGAAACAAGGAATAATTTTGCGAAAGATTGATGGTTGTCTATTTTTGGCTATGTACCATGCACACCTCTCACGTGCCCTCCTTCGCGTTTATTATTCCGTTCCGACGCGGCACTAAGTCCTTGTTCTGGACCTCCAAGTTCACACCATGGCACCAGCTGCAACGAGGAATACAATCCTTCGTCTCATAAATGCATCCCAGCACTCAGCGTGTCCATGTCATGGCTGCAGATCTGCAACCCACAACCATGCACACCATGGTGCCCTTGCCCTGAACCAACTCAGGAAGTTCGCGACTCCTGTCCAAACTGTCGAAAAGGAGTATGCATTCGAGGTACGTCCTGTTAGGGAAGTACTATAAACGCTTACAGCCCTTATTCAGGTTGCAGCATCAAATTTGAGATTTGGAGAAGGTGTCACCCGCGAGGTGGGGATGGACCTCAAGAACATGAAAGCCCGCAAGGTCAGTTTGCTTCCCACGCCTTCGCACCATGAACATCATTATTCTCAATTAGGTTGGCGTCTTTACCGACCCTACAGTAGCCAAGTTGAAGCCTATGCAAGTTGTAAGCATTCCCATCCCGCAATTTCGTAGAGACAATAAGTAGTGACTTTGATATTAGGCCCTTGAGTCTTTGCAGTCTCAAGAAGATCTTCCATTCGAGGTATATGATCAAGTCCTTGCAGAACCCACAGAAGAGAGCTGGAGGAAGGCTATCTCTTGGGCGAGGCAACACGATTTCAGCCACTTCTTGGCGTAAGTCATGATCGACTGTGTAAAACTGCGACTTACCTTGTTCATAGTGTCGGCGGTGGGAGTGTCATCGACACCGCCAAAGCAGCGAACTTGTAAGTCTTAAATTTGGTTCACATGATGTTTCCCTCACACTTTTAGGTTCACCGTTTACAAGGATACTGATCTCATGGACTTCGTTAATGCGCCCGTCGGCAAAGGTCTTCCGATCTCCCAAACCTTGCGGCCTCTTATTGCAGGTTGACAAGTCTGCATCAATATTGTTTGACCCTCACTCATAAAATTTGCAGTTCCTACCACTGCCGGTACTGGATCTGAGACCACCGGCGCGGCTATTTTTGATGTTACTTCACGTTCTTTCAAGACTGGTATCGCAAACCGTGCACTTAAGCCTGTCTTGGGCGTCGTGGACACGGCTAACACGGAGAGTTGCCCAACCGCTGTGCACATTAGCGCAGGGTTGGACGTCTTGTTCCACAGCTTGGAGAGCTACACTGCTATTCCGTGAGCTTTCACTTGAATTTTTCGATAGGCTAACAGCAGAACAATCCTTTAGTTACACGGAACGGACACCCCGACCGGCAAATCCAATTCTACGACCTTCTTACCAAGGAAGCAATCCCGTCGCAGATATTTTCTCGTTGTGGGCTCTCCGTACGACTGTAAAGTACTTGCCTCGCATCGCCAAGGATCGCAGTGACCATGAGGCGAGAAGCCAAATGCTGTATGTCGCCTAACCGTCTCCGACATTACTGTTCTGATTTAAAACTAGCCTCGCGGCCTCTTTTGCTGGTATTGGCTTCGGAAATGCTGGTGTGCACCTGTGTCACGGAATGAGCTACCCCGTTCGTACAACAAATGGTGTCAGGACTCAAGACTGAGCAGCTCTTCCCGTAGATATCCGGCTTGAACAAGAAAGGCCCGAAGTATAAACACCCTGGATACCTGGTTGACCATCCCATCATTCCCCACGGCGTCAGGTAATTTAAATACTGACACTTGAAAAGACGGAAAATGAACGTGAATCCTATAGTGTCGCCTTGACTGGACCCGCGGTCTTTCAATTCACTGCTCCATCTTCTCCCGACCGTCATCGTGAAGCACTTGCCATTTTCAACGGTGTGACTGTTACCGACCCCTCGATAACAAGCATCCCTGATTCCGAGGTTGGCGCATATCTATACGAGTCTATTGCATCCTTCCTCGATGGACTTGGTGTTCCTCGTGGACTAAAGGCCGTGGGATATACCAAGAGCGATATTTCGATGCTAGTCGAAGGCACGATCCCGCAACGTCGCGTTTTGGATTTGGCTCCGAACATCGGAAATGTGGCAGGCGAGGATGGGAGGGAGCATCTGACGAGAATCATGGAGGCCTCTTTCGAGTACTAAACACGAGGGCCATCGCGCTTTGGAGTTGCTTTGAGAACACCAGTGTACATGTATTATACCATCAATTGGATACAAAGTTTTCTTGTCACCCACCAGTCGCCTTAAGCTTGTCTTGCGCTCGATTAGTGGATTTTGAGAGTCTCGGCGCGGCTCTGGAGCCTCATCGGGTAACTGGTCAACTACCTCTCGGACAACTCCGAGAATGGCTCCTGAGCAACGCCGTAGCACGTTCCGTCCATGTATTGATCTACATGAAGGACAAGTGAAGCAAATTGTCGGGGGTACTCTTTCGGACCGCAATGAGGGGCTGAAGACAAATTTTGTCGCGACGTGCGTATATGCACTCTGTCCCTTTCTGTGATTCATGGATATCCCTACAGGCAACCTCCAGAATTCTTCGCGGGAAAGTATCGCGACAATAATCTGGAGGGCGGACATGTCATAAAACTTGGGCCTCGGAACGACGAGGCAGCCAAGAGAGCACTGGCAGAATGGCGGGGTTCGTGTCCATCAAATTATTTTCATGACGATGCCTTTGACCAATGCATTCTTAATTATAGATCATCTACAGATCGGTGGGGGTATCACACCTGATAATGCCAGCGAATGGCTTGACGCGGGTGCGAGCAAGGTTAGACAGGTGAAGTGCGCAAGGCGTCAAACTAACTTCTCTCCCAGATCATCGTCACATCCTACCTCTTTCCCGGCGGCAACTTCGACTTGGAGCGTTTGCAGACAATCTCATCCATCGTTGGGAAGGACAAACTCGTCGTAGACGTCAGGCACGCCCTTTAACTTGCTCTGAGAGTATATGGATTTCACGATAATCTCAGCTGTCGCCGGCGAGGAGACAGGTGGTTTGTTGCTATGAATAAGTGGCAGGATATCACTACAATGGAGGTGAATAAAGGTAAGTGAAGAGCTTTTCGTCGTATTTCGCGCAGTGAATTTCGTGTCCAGAGAATCTCGACATGCTGGCACATTATTGCAAGTGAGGCTTATAGACACTCCATCTCTGTCGCAATTACCTCTGATGTTGCAGCGAGTTTCTCATCCATGCAGCTGACGTGGAAGGACTATGTCAAGGTATTGATGAGGAGCTCGTAAAAAGTTTGCGCATTATTTGATGTTGTCATTTCGCTGCTGACCTTTCAAAAGAGCTTGGCGAATGGGTGACGATTCCTACCACATATGCTGGTGGAGCTAGAAGTAGGCTGCATGGTCTCAACATTCATTTCCTGCTGACATAATGCCTGCTCAGGCATTTCCGACTTGGAAACGGTGAATAGACTTTCGGGAGGACAAGTAGACTTGACATATGGCAGGTGAGCCTCATGATCCCTTCATATTTTTGTGAGATGATCCATTCCGGTTAATCTAGTTCATTGGACATCTTTGGGGGGACTGTAGTTTTTGATGAATTAGTGAAAGCAAGCAAACAGTAGTATCAATATATACAGCGTTGACAATAGGGGAATACCCTTTTCTGGCGGTGTGGGAAACGTGGCTCATAAACTGTATAGTACCATATCGCGTAGCGCCAGGATTATCGAGCCCGTCGCGGACGTACTGTACGACAGCCCCCTCAAGGTAAATATCTCGCCGTTATGCTGCTCCACCATGTTCTTGAACGTTATGGACTGTTTCCGCGCATATTGTTCTCGTCCCGCTCTTTTCCGCATTCGTTTGGTCGATCTCCAGCCTAAGTGCTAATCACCTTTTCATTTCATTGTACAGACAACCCTCAAAATGCCCAGCAGCAAAGTCAAGGCCTACGAGCTCCAGTCCAAGTGAGCCCATGACGGTACTGGAAGACGACTGTCCTGATCGCGAAACTTTTTGTTGTGTGATAACGCAGGTCCAAGAATGACTTGACCAAGCAACTCAATGAGCTCAAGACCGAGCTTCTTTCGCTGCGCGTACAGAAGATTCTTGGTGGCTCGGCCTCAAAACTTACCAAGATGTACGTTTGGAATTGTCAAATATGCAGTGCGGGAGGGCTAACTTAACTAGCAACATTGTGCGCAAGTCGATCGCACGGGTCTTGACGGTGATGAACCAGAAACAACGCCAAAACCTCCGAGAATTCTACAAGAACAAGAAATTCCTCCCTCTTGATCTCCGGCCAAAGAAGACGCGTGCGATCAGACGAAGACTGACCAAGGTTTGTTATATATTGTTTCGCAAGATATGCTCGACTCATACCACATATTTGCATTAGCGCGAGGAATCATTGAAGACGCTCAAGCAAAAGAAGAAGGACATACACTTCCCCATTCGCAAGTATGCCGTCAAGGCATAGGCGTGAATGTGTTGTTGGCTGGGTGTGAGAGGGCCCATCATCATGCTGGAGATTTTTCTGTTTTTGCATTTTCATATTTGTATGCCCTACGCCTTGATCAACTCGACATGCATGCTATGCCATGACTCTGTTTGATTCAGCATACAAACGGACCGATTGTGACTTGAACATTGTATGATTAGTACCTGTACCATATGGGTCATGTGCACGGGAGCAGCCCGGAGCACTCTCGCGGTCCTGGGATCGATGCACTTACTTACAACTACTACCCCGGGTCAAACTTGACGTCGATCCCAGTGGGCTATTATCGTTGCGACATTGATGCCGGCCTCGTGTTTCTTTTAACCATGACGGGTCTTCAAGCCGCAGATTCTTGCTCTCACGAAACTATATCTGTGACAATAATCTGCTATAATCTGTCGCCACTCCATATTCACGTCAGGTCGTCGTAGGCGCTGGACTTGCAAACTTAGTTCATTTCAACCGGATTTTAGAATCATAAGCAGAGAGCCTTGCGGTTTCTTCGTGCACACTTGCGACAATCAAGTTAGCCTGACATCAAGGGTTACGACCGTACCAAAGTTCATTCACGCATGTACTCGGTCAGTCCATTTCCTCCCTATCTACTCTATCGAGTCCTTTCATAGACTTGAGAGAATGCGGACGGGTTTCCCCCGAACACGTGTGGAGCAAGTCTTCCTAACTTTGTTCGGCATGAGTTGATGTCACACAAGACCTGTTGCCCCATGTGTTTGGCCTTGTCAGCGCTCTGTCCGCTCAGGCCACCATGTCTCCTGGTAGTCGCCTCAGAAAACTCTCAGTGACTAACGTTGGTCATGGACAGCCCTCTCGCTCGTCCCCGATGTCGCCACAGACAAGCCAGGATAGGGAGACGTGTCCCAGGGAGCCTTATCCCGTTCCAAGCAACAATCCAGCCAGCCAGTACACCCTTATCGAGAAGCTGGGAACAGGTAGCTTCGGGGTCGTATACAAGGCCATGCATAACGAAACAAAGCAGATAGTTGCTATCAAACAGATCGGTCTGTACCGGTGCTTGATGTTGTCCATTGGAGCTAATCTCTCTGCCTTCGAAACAGATTTAGAAGACTCTGATGATGATATCTCGGAAATTCAGCAAGAAATTGCTAGTCTCGCTCAATGTGATTCGGAATATGTCACTCGCTATTATGGGTCATTCGTTGTTGCCTACAAGCTCTGGATTGTCATGGAGTACTTGGCTGGGGGATCATGTCTTGACCTCCTAAAAGGCGGCGTATTCTCTGAAGCGCACATCGCCGTTATTTGTCGGGAGCTTCTGCTAGGTCTCGAATATTTGCACGCGGAAGGCACCATCCATCGTGATATTAAAGCTGCCAATGTCTTGCTTTCAGCTAGCGGAAAGGTCAAGCTTGCCGACTTCGGAGTGGCAGCACAGTTGACCAGTACGCTGAGACACACATTCGTGGGCACTCCATTCTGGATGGCACCGGAGGTCATCCGACAGGCGGGTTACGACGCCAAGGCGGACATGTGGAGTTTAGGCATCACAGCTATAGAAATGGCGAAAGGGGAGCCGCCACTGGCCGAGTACCACCCCATGCGCGTTCTCTTCCTTATTCCGAAGGCGAAACCACCAGTCCTTGAAGGTTCATTCTCTGCTGCATTTAAGGAGTTTGCGTCGCTCTGTTTGACGAAAGATCCTGCTGATGTGAGCTCAGACTTCTTTCTCCTGTGCTTGAAATCCCCTGACAGTCACTGTAGCGTCCCACAGCCAAGGAGCTCTTGCAGCATAGGTTTATCAAAGGCGCGAAGAAGACGACGTATCTCACAGAGCTTGTCGAGAGGTACCAAGAGTTCCGTGCCAAGTCACCACAGAAAGGTCAGCCTGCAGCATACCAGGCGACTATTCGTGGCGCTGCAATGTGGGAGAGCAATGATACAATTCGAAGTGACTGGAACTTCGACACTGTCAAGTCGACTTCCATCATGGGTACTTTTAGCAGTGTTGCCAAGGATTTGTTGCCTGAAATGGATGATGAAGACATGGGTGACGACGAGCCCTCAATATATGAGGAGGACGAAGGCTCGGTTGAAACAGGGGGAGCAGTCAAGGGAAGCGCTCCGCTCGGTTCTGGGGGGATCGGAATGAACGTGGGTGCCGCACACTCCACTGTTGTCATCAAGACTCCGCTTGATGAACCAGACATCGCATCACTCCTCGCTGCTGCAGAAGGTTTAGCAAGCGAGTCTGTAGATAGCGCCGAACCAACAACACCATCCCAGGTTACCTACCCTACAGATGATGGAGCGTCTTTTGGCGCACCTCCAGCGTACACCGGCTCCGTTCGCTCTGCAAGGCGGTCATCATACGCTGCAAGACAGAAAATGACTGGCGCTGGTACTATCATGCGGGAAGCAGATCTCGGTTCCGGCGTGGATACCATCAGACCTGTCAAAAAGGTCGATACAGCCAGTTCTCTGAGGCTATCTGCAGAGTACGTCGGCACTAGGAGTAGAGAAGGTTCGCCATCATCCCCTACTACTCCGCCTAAAGACCGGTCTTCCTCGTCATTCAAGCGGAGGGTATCTGATTCTGAGCGGGCGGGAAGGGCCATGATTGATGATGTCGTCCTCCCGGTTCTCCAAAACGTAAGATATTCCCAAATGTACCGCTACGAAAGATAACGATACATGACAGGCTATCCGAGATGATATGGAGGCTCGAGAGATTGAGTCGCTCAGCATGATCTCTCGTGGCTTTGCCGAGTTGAGAGAGGCGAATCCTGCCCTATCTTACAGCATCATTCTCGACATTCTCTCTGGTATCAACGAGTGCGTATCCACCAGCTGAATTGAGATTCCTTTGATTTAAAAAATCATGTGCTAGAAACCATTCTGTCCGACAACACGTTCAAACATCTCGGGGGCTATTCCCTCACAAACGCGTCATCCGCAAGAGCGAGATGACTGCAAAGGGCCTTGTGGTTACTGAAGTCCAGGAAGACATCAGTGGACTTCCCATGGACTCGAGCACCTCATCACACTCCCTCAAAGCTGACGGGTCTGGATCACCCGTCCGCAAATCACCTATCTCCGAGTTGCTTTACATGCGCTGGCTGGAGGGCCTGCGAATCAAGTGGCCGAGCATTCTGTCGTAACTTAGCCTATGTTTCTGGACTGTACCACGGACTGTGTTTTGACAGACTCTGACTGTCTCCATTACATACATCGAGCACGTCACACCCCCGCTCACGCGTATTGAGTCGACGTCATATACCTGGACTCCCTTTCCATGCCGTTTCTCTGTGTTCACTCGTTCATGAGGTTTTTTCATGTCCCTCATTCTTTCACGAATTTTTGAACGACTTCACGATCACCCTTCTCCGTACATGTAATTTAGCTGATTTTGGCTGTACATAAATGTCTCACTATTGTACCTCATGCGGCATCTCCCAAGTATTGACTGAAATTTCACGTTGTTGTACTACACTTAGGTGCATGATGTAGTCTTACAATCAAGGTCTCGAGCGGTAGGAAGAGTTCTGCGCATGGTCTCAGTCGGTCATTCTCCATTTCCATTCCGCCTTCCGCATCGCTCCAGCTTTCCTTTGGAGACAGAGGCCGTGCATCAAACATTAATGTCGAGGAAGCGACCCTTGCTGTAATACTATCATCGCCAATATGATCTGCTTGCGTGTCAATGCAAAGCAAAGCAAGCACAGCCAGACACCAATGCGGCTAGTCGAAAACGAGATCCTATATTGATTGATAATGTGAATAGTTCATATTCGCTGAGAATAGTGAGATGTAATGTAACATAGACAAGAAGTGTACGGTTGTACGAGTAGGATAGTAGCGTGTAAAGTCCATGAAAGTCTCTTGCATAATCCGGCACTCTTATGCCATGATAGTTCCAGCTGCAGCCGCGACGATGGCTGCGGCGATGCCAGTGAGCGCAAGGGATGTGACGCTGAAGTGAGTCGCCCCGCTCTTCTGATTACCATGAGGCTTGTCGGAAGAAACAGGTTTTCCAGGCGATGGCGACGAAACCGGACTGTCAGATCATCAGCTGCGTCAACATGGAAGGAAGATCAATTTACATTTTCGCAGACGTTGCCGACGGTTTTGCGGTAGTGCTGGCGCGGGCCGGGGGCTTGGCGGCCAAGTCGCCAACGTTTGCCGGGATGACTTGCGATGTTGAGTTCCAGGCGTTCTGGTAGACTGCACCACCATCCAACTGAGCAAGAGATAACCTTGTCCAACCGTTTGAAACCATCATCGGGTATGCGTCAATGAACGACTTGACGGATTGATCAGACAGCTCGTGTTCCAAAATGACAAGTCCGGGGGTCTTTGGACCTATATGGCATGATCAGTTTCAGATGCCGCAGATGAAGTCAGCAACATACCGGTCAACCACTTGGTCATATCCTGCTGGATTTTCTCTGGCGTGGTCAATGGGATAGGTTCGCTCAAGGTCCAGTCATCAGTGCTAGAACGAAGTCGGTATCGGTAAACATGAAACCATTTTCAGTAAAATCACGCACTCTTGATTCCAGATGACGGTTGTCAGTCCGAACACCTGCTGTGCAATAGCCCGGACGCGCATATCGGAGTCGCCGTAAGGAGGCCTCCAGTACCTAGGGATGCGTCCGCCCGTCGAGTTGTGGATGAGCTCCATCGTCCATCCGATCTCGGCGACGACCTCGAGGTTCGACTTGGTGGTCATGTATGGGTGAGTCCAAGTGTGAACAGCGATATCGTCCTGATTCGTCTCGAAGGCGGTTCTGAATTGCTCGGGATACAGGAGAATGTTAGTGCCGATGACGAAGTGCGTCGCATGTTCTGAGTGTGCAGCGAGGAACTGATACAACTGATCTGACGCCTGGATAATGCGCGACAGATCAGCAATTGTTTTGAATAACCCATCCCATAACTAGGTACGTACCGGTAGGGGACCATCGTCAAAACTAAGGGCGATGATACCTGGTGGAGCCTCCCATATGTCACCTTGCGTAACACATTTGGCAGTTGAGGAGCAAACAGTCGGGCTCATTGGGTCATATCCAGTGGGGTATACGGGATCCAATCCGTTGGTACTGGTAGACTGGGGAATGTCGGGAATCTTTCCCGCCAAGGCGGCTGCGTTAAGAGCATCCACCCAAGCCTTGGGGAGAAACGTGGTGTCCGCAGTAGCTTGGGGGAAGCCGGCGGACCATTCTGAACACGCGTGTTAATTAAGTGGGAGTGAAGTAAATTAGATACAAAGGCTTACCGAGCGTTCCTATCGCGGGATAGGTAATTCCATCGCCGACCGGTCCACGCTTAAAGAGGGCGTGTACTGGGTGATCGTCTTCGTGATACCACTTGTTACCGATGGGTTTGTTCTCGGTGTGAGATTCGTGAGTAGGGGCGACGGACGCATAGACGGTACTGGTGGCGAGGAGGAGGATAGCAGAGAGACGTGACATGGTAATATGTAGGAAGAATAACCAAAGGAAAGGACTGGTGATAGTAGTGAGCGAGGAGATGGAAGGAAGAAGAATGAGGGAATACGAACCACAGCGCCCATTTTATGCAGTAGGGGAAGGAATTCTGCTGGTTAGCCACCCAGCCGCACATGAATACTAACTTCCTTATTGGGCATTGGATCTTTGTGTACGCTGCTGGTCGTGACGCGTTAGCCCCAGTCGCTCGACAGCAGTAAAACATCATGCGTGGTCTTGAAAAACAGGCGAGCAAAGCAGCAGCACCCAGTGTCCAGTAGACAGTACCAGTGAACTCATCTCGAACGATGCTCAATATGCCTGCAGATCAGGATGCCACCTAGAATGCTGCAATATGATTGGTCCCCGCCAGCCTGACAGGGGTCGTTCACTGAGGAGGAAGGACTATGAGAACCGCCTATAATATACACTAGAAGATGTCGACCAACCTCGACCATGAACACATAAAGTGTGACACTGTTGGGTAATCCTAAACCAGTTGTATGAAACATCTCATAAGGCGTTGATCGCCATCCATAGCAGCACGAAACCGTCGTTCACTGAAATCTAAAGTACAATTCCCTAAGTGAGTTACGATACCGGTGAGGCAGCTGCAGAAGCCTCCCGATTCCTCAAGATCAAAATACCTCCCTTCAGCTGGGCGACCTCTTTCACCATCGCCGTAAACTTCGTCTTCTTCACATCTGTAGTCAAGTAAGGCGTAAAATGCTGAATACAGTCTCGCGTCGTCGCGTTGGGCGTATTCTGTAACCACTCAATGAGCATCCTCTCCTCCAATTCGCCCTCCGGAGCTGGGCCAGAGGGAAGCGGTTTCCGTTTCTTCGGCTTCGGTGGTGCAGCTACACCATTTGCTGCAGCACCCGTCGACCCCGCATTACCGCCTAGGTCATCAGTGGCCTTGCGTTTGTTCGACGACATGGGCTGTCCATTTGGCGTCGGGCTGCCTGGACCCTTAGCTAGAGCGGCTGGACTAGTTGCTCTGCTACCATTGACGGGACTAGTCGCCCTGCTTCCAGTACCCTGTCCACTAGTTACGCGACTGCTATTCGTAGACGTCGACTTGATCTTCGGTGCTTTGGGACTTGTAGCGCGTTTTGCGACAACAGAATGGCCACCCATACTCGCAGGCGCCGGCGAAGTAGCGCGAGAGTCAGCAGTGGAACCGTTTTGAGCAGCGCTGTTAGACGGCTGAGATGGTTTCGGAGTTGGTTGTTGAGAAGCTGACCGAGATTCAGTCTGTTGAGGCGGCTCTTGAGGAGGAGCTGGTTCTTCCTCCTCTTCCTCGTCATTCTGCTGCAGTATTAGCACCCATACACGGGAATTAGAAAACGGGTACACACCGAGCTTGCATACGGATTACGCTCTTCATCACTGTCGTATGCAGCGTTCTTCTCCAGCTTGCGCATGAGCTTCTTCAGAGATTTTCCGTCTTTCGTCAGCTGACTCTCGCCATCCTCAGACTCCGACTCGTCGACATAGCCCTCGCGGGTCTTGTTGGCACTCTTATACTCTCGTTTGAGGCGTTCCTATTGTACGCATGTTAGCGTTACAATGAGAATAACGGAGAACTGTCATACCTCTAACTCTTTGGCCTCCTCTTCATCCATATCAGCAGGACCTGCCTCATCGTCATCCGCAAACTCATCATCGAAAAGCTGCTCATCCAAGTCTCCTTCCATGTCATTCTCTTCCTTCTTTCTTCTGGGCGCTCCTTCATCGTCATCATCACCGCCACCCTGAGGTCCGCGGTTCGTTGTCCGTAGTGTTCGTCCACCCATAGCTCGACTGTTTCCAGACGAGTAGACCAGTGACGAGCTGCCAGATATAACACGGTTTTCTGAATCCGCTTTGAACATCTCTGACGTTGCTGACGAAGGTCCTTGCCCTTTTCTCCGGTGTAGCAGCCAACGTTCCGGGTCTTTATTCTTCTGAATCTTGGCCATCTGGGGGGAACGTCAATCATAGTGACGCATATGCAGTAAACAATATACCAGAGCCTCTGCCTCCTCTAATCCAGGGACATGATGTTTAGGCTTCTTCTGGAACTTGTACCAGCGATTGGCAGGTACAAATTTAAAGAATTCTTGTGCAGCTGGCATAAAGAGAGCGTGTGTCTCCGCCCTCGCCACTTCTTCCAGTTTCCCTACCCACATCTCGTTCTGCTTCGCATCCTCCATCACCCAGGGATAACGTTCCTCGCGTCGCAGCTGGCGGGTTGCCTCAGGCACCAAAAACACCTGCCGTGTCTTCTTCTGAAATTTCTTCCGCCCGCCAGCTTTGCCCTTGTCTTTCTCCTTCGACTGAGCCTCACCACCATTATTCGCTATCGGCCGGCTATCCGCATCGACCATAACGATCTTTCCATCTGACCCAACAACAGGCTTCCCGTCAGGCCCCAGCATAGGACCCACAGGTACTTGGGAAGATGGACCAGGCTCGTCCCTCCTCAACTCCTTCCTGTTCAGCTTTATCGGCTCCTCCCAGGTTGATATGTCTACAGTCTTTCTCGAATCAAACTTCATAACATCATACTTCCACCCGTTGAGAGCAGAGGACATGAGCTTGAATTCGGCAAACTCGCCGTCAGGGAGCTTAGAACTATCATCTGCGTCAGCGACGGGTGGGGTAGGCTGTGCACGAGGAGTAGCGGATTTGCGGAGAGATGATTGTGACTGAGATGGTTGTGACTGGGATAGTTGAGAGCCTTGGGAAGTCGTTGAGGGCGTCGAGGGCTCCTTCTTTATTGCCTTCTTCTTGTGAAATAGAAGAGATTCGGCTGATTTTGGTGGCATTGAAAATATAGCTGAAATCTGGAGAGAAGATGAGTCTTGATGGTGGTTGTCGGTTATCAGCGCAGCAGGCGACTAGGACAGCGACGAGTTAAGGAGCGGAAATGACAGAATCGCCAGAGAGCATGTATATAGCTCTGTTTCACAAGCTGTACGAGCAGGTTGGAGAACAAGGCTCACATGCTGACATAAGGCATGGTAATATAATTAATCAATTCGCACTAAGATCTTTGTCCTCAACCTCCTGATCAGCAGACGGTCTGAAGGATGCTTGATAATCATCATAACAATTGCGGCGAGAGGGAAACCTAAGGAGACTATATACACTTCATGTGATCGTGAAATTTTGTCCATAAAAATGAAAACAACCATGCTAAAACCATCACAACTCGTAACTTAAGAAATCGTAGAATTCAGCAGAGGAAGAGGCCAGGAAAGACCAGAATAGATCCAGCAACTACATCGGCTGTACCTCTGACTTGTTCGCTGGTATGCTCGCAACACCATTGGTAGTAGGTGCTGCTGGTGGTGGTTGTGCTGGCGCTGGAGGAAGGGTGGTGGGTGCTGCTGGATATGGATTCTCCGATGATGGTGGTCGTGGCTGAGACGGATGAGACGATTGCTGATGCGGGTGCTGTGGAGGATGAGAGATCGCTCCTGGAGGTGGCGGGTATGGTCCTGGAACTGGTGCGCCCTGCCCATACACCATAGCGTGAGGTGGTGCTCCTGGACCAAAAGATGGTATGCCTTGTCTCATGCTTTCCAGCTCGTGTCTCAGCATCTCGATCTCACGAACCATATCTTGGTGACTTTGCTTCAAGTTGGTAACAAAGTCGATAGCTGAATTCGTAATGTCAAGGATGGCCTACGCGTATAGAAACCTGGTCTGCATACCTTTGCTAAGGATCTCCCATTTACTCGCCTTCATACCCCGATCTGCTGGTAGCTGGTCCCGCAGCTCATCAAAAAGGTCTTTCATTTCTTTCCGTCGTTTTCGCTCGGCAAGCTTATGCGAAACTCGCAGCTCGGGTGAACGAGAATAAGGTGTAGATCCCGGCTCCTTCGGCGGCTTCAGGCTAGATGACGGAGAAGGAGCCGAAGAAGGCTCCTCCGCAGGCGGCGCAGGCCCTACAGCAGTAGTGACAGTCTGGCTATTTTCGCGTAATTGACGCGATGGAGGTCGGGACCGCGAACGGATATTTCTTGTCGGGCCTATTGTAGAAGTCGAGCTTTCTGGCACAGACATCCGCCTGTCTGGCGGGAATGTCATCGGGGGCATCATGGTCATCTGCATAGGTTGTGTTTCGAAAGAACGAGGGTGGTGCTGTATATTAGGATCTTGTTGACCGTCCGGGTGTTGTGCTGCAGACCACGCGAAAGTCGCCATGCTGCCTGGCGTCGAGGGTGCAGCAGGTCGACCATGTGGCTGATCGCCGGAGAATGCCGATGGGTAGCCACTAGTTGTCCCGTTTGGGAACGATGGGGGTAGGGAATCCCGTCTCTCATTCAGCCACCAATGCCCATTTCCCCCTGCGATTCCTGGACCTGCCACTGGCGCTATCGTTGATGAATGCACTGAATGTCGCCTCTGGTCATATATGCTCAGTTGGGCTATCCTACTCATCTCTATGGTCGACCCTCGCCGTTTTTGTGCGCGTCCTTCTGAATCGATGTTCATGGGACTAGGTACCCCTGGTCCTACCAGATGCGAATCTGATTCGTCATTTCCATTTGCTTCTCTGTAAGCAGACGTCTTTCGTTTCGTTCCATGTGGCATTTGGGAATCCGAAGAATTCTGTAGATCTGTCAAAATCGATTTTTCGAGAGTGACGCCCATGACTTACAGCAATCGATTGCCTTCGTGAACTATGATCACTGTCGTCTGCTTGTCGCGTGTTAAATCTGGGTGATTGTTTCTCATTCCTGCTGTCCACGTTCATGTGATCGGTGGTTTCTGACAATGTCACCACCTCTATGTTCACAAGATGCGTACAACAAATGATACTTCAAACTCACTAGTTCCCCCATTTGGAGGAAGTGATGTCTGTAGAGGTGCGATACCCTTTGCAGGCTCCCATTCTGCAGATGGGGAACGTAATATCTTGCGCATTTGTTTACTTGAAGACTCAGAATGGTGTGTTGAACCTCCTCCATCACCGAAAGTGTAGTTAGCAGCTGGACGTGGTCCTGAGAGGATGCTGTAGCATTAGCTATGTAGTTGGATGATAGGACGGGAAGCAAAATCAATACCATCTATATGACGCGGACCTGCAGATGAGTTCGCGGAAGCAGCATGTAGAGATGGATCTGTGATAGAGCCCCTGCGGTGCTGCTGTAAATAATCGAGAGGTGGAAGAGAAATGACTGGGGAATGTCTGGATACATCTTTGAGTGCAGGGGTACTGCCGCCAGAGTCTCTTTGTGGAGAATGAAGATTGACATGCTTGATCGTCGCCGTCGTTGTGTATGCAGGCATTATGCCTGTGTAAATTGGACGTTGAAGAGGAGTTAAGAGACGGTCCAAGGATGGTCGATGTGAATGAGCTTTGTGAATGTCGACGTTATAGAACTAAAACTCTGTTACCAGATACGGCGTACAGCAACGTGGGTCAGGAGCACGTGGCAACGCACATATCCAAAAAGGCTAAATTAACGAGTGAGTGCATTCCCATTTCAGCCTTCATGAAGCCTTTCTCTGCTCACTCAGTTGGCAGGGAGGAGGGAAAGTTTACAACACCGGTAAAATGCCTGGGTATACCATGATCACACGAGAATTCAGATCGCAGCGGTTACAACACAGCCAACTCTCGTAAACCTATCCACAACCCTCCTCCAGTCCAGTAGCTGCCAAAGTCCGATGCTGATCCTCTGTTAAATCAATAATCCGTATATGTCTCCCCTTCATGCTATTCCTCGTTAATCTCCCAGACTTCACCTTCTCCATCTCATCCCACGCTAATCGCTCAAGAATATCATCCACTTTAACCATGAATCTCACCCACGGTATGTAATCAAGGTACACGCTGCTCTGGGGCATGAGAGGTGCGGGTGGTTGAACCATGTCCTGCAATGCGGTTAGCATCTGTGCTTGATGCTCCACGCGAGCTCGGAAGAGCCTGGTTTCCATGTCAGTAGCCGCGGGGTTGATCGACGTTGTGATCGGAATAGGACCCAAATCCTCGTGTTTACCACGTGAAAGGTGGATGGCATCATGCACAATGAGCTCATCTTTGTGATAGAAGGCAAGTCCATCTCTCGTGTCAGAGACGTGGGACGGCTGGATTAGTATGGCGTGGCCCAATTCATCGTCAACCGAAGATTCAGATAAGTCATACGACAGGGCCTCGAATAGTGAACTGTCAGGAAAGCGGGAAAGATGTACTCTGTTGCCCTCACCTCACGTCCATCCAGTGGTGTCCTGCAGAGATAGCTGTCGGTGTACGAAACACAATCCGTGAAAGTGGAAGCCCATCGCCACAGCTCCTCCGTCGATGTCTCAGTAACGTCAGCACTGCTTTGGGCGGAAATTGTCAGAGGGAGTGACGGCCAGTTTTCAGCGGCCCCCTGTGCTTCTTGAGGGACCTTAGCTTCGTGGGTGGCGTCAGTACACATCATTTGCAGCTGGGTAATAGATCGCCTGAGATCCGATGGTGGTAGTGGTTCGGTTCTGGGGTTCAGCGGCGCGTCTGGAAGATCCATACTCTGCACGATGTGCGTGGTTTCGTAAAGCTGGACCAATTTTTCTCTCGAGATAGCGCATCCCTGTGTTAGACACAAGCATTGCAAAAACGTGACAGCGGGCTTGGAAGGGCAAGGTTGGAATGTTAGCACGGATTGCAGAGGAAGATCCGCGACGGGGACAAGCTTCATATCTGTCAAAGCGAAATTGAGTTCTGGAAATGCTAACATGATTAGAGTGACTATAGTACCGTTGCATGTCATGATCACGGGCCGTCGGCACTCCTTGATCAACTCTACCACTGCCGGCCAAAAACCGGCGTCTTCCTTGAATAATATATCGACTTCTTCAAGGAGAATGAGTGATTGCCGAGCAGTAGGAGACGGTTTCGCTGGTCCATCGTTTGTTTTTAATGAGCCAACTAGCCCATCAACGGCTACAGGTGGTTCCACCGTGTCCTGCAGGGACTCACTGGCAGCATCCACGAGGACATGTGTGTCAACATCACTAGGATGCTCGGTATCTGAGTGTGTTGGCGAGGGTATGGGGTTAACTTTCCCTCCTTTAGGGAAAAGCGTCGAAAGAGCAGCGCTTGCTCTTGAATCACACTGCGCAGCTGCCGTTCGGTATTTCGGCCTCGTCTGTTGGATGAGGTGATTTTTACCCACATCTCCAACGAGGTTATCGAGGTTTGCGCCACTGCGTTTTCCAATCCCGGGATAGACCTCGAAAACTTCCCACCCCAGCTCATCTGCACATGCGTAAACCGCTGCGCTCTTCCCACACCCAGGAGGCCCGCTTATAATGAGTGTGTTCGTTAGATTATCGGTAAAATCAGCGTCGGAGGATTGGTGGTTGAGATTGGTCGGGATGGTGCCGACACCAGTCTCTGAGGTTGGTGGATATTTCTCTAATAGTCGCGAATTGTCTTTTCGCTGGAGGCGAGAAAGCGTCCGCTGGCAAAAATTAAAATCATCGTCATCGAGATCCTCCTCTGGAGCATCTGGAGCCGCATCGCTTTCGTCGTCGCTGCGAGCAATAAAAACATCTAACTCGTCCTCGGAATCCAGCCTCCGTCGTTTTCTGCCTCTTTTTTTGTTCACGGCTCGAATGACGCGAGGCCGTTTAGGCGCCCTTTCGGGAGGGTTGGGCTTGACCTTCCGCCCACCTGTTCCAGTTGCGCTACCTTTCGCAGCAGGGGGATGTGTAGCATGTAGACGAATTTCGAGAGCCTTGAGCCAATCTCGAATATACAACGCACGGGATTCATTCCCTAGTACTTCATCCGCTCGCCTGGGGCGGAAGCGGGTGGTCCACATTTCTTGTTGTGGCGGCCCAGAGACTGTCCGACTGGCATAATCCTCGCCACTCAATAGCCTAGAAATTGCGGCATGACGTGCGGCATGACGGGCCCCGTCAGCACCAAGATAATCTTCACGTTCGGACTGCGAGGAGATCCGGGGAAAGATCGACGGTTCAAGTAGAGGATCCTGCGATAAGGAAGAAAGGAAGCTTAAGGACACGTCGTTTGTGGGATCTGGTGGGCCGCGTTTATGACGTTTCGGTGGCTCCGAACTCGCACTGAAGGTATTCTGTGGTCCCCGAACATGTTGCATCTCCTTATTTGGGTAAGGTGCATCTGGCGCCATATCGCCTAGATGCACGTGTCGCTTTACTGGAGGGTGGACGTCTCCTGGAGCGTATATTCGACTTTTTTCTACCATAGCCTGTACCAAGGCTGTGTTTGACCTGTTAGTAGGCGCGTTTATATCCTCGACACATGGTAAAATGGGGATTGGTGATGATTGATGAAGAGAATTCATTTCTGGATGAGGTGACAGAGAGGATTGATGATATGACGATGGCTCTTCATCATCGGATAGTTCAATAAGAATATTTCCACCGATGTCCCTCCTCGCAGCCGTAGAACTTGAGTGAGTAGTCTGGATGGGAGTTGCGGATGGTGTTCCGAAAATAGGAAACAATCTTGCCGGCTGGCCTGTGAACCAGCAATGATGAAGAAGAGTGCTTACATCAAATAGTACTCACTGTGGTTTTGGCGGACAGAGTCTCGTATAGCTCTGCGGGGTGCCTTAGGACGTGGTGGAGTTGGTTCGTCATCAATGACTATGATATCTACTGGGTGTATCGAAGATGAGGCAACTTCAGTCGCGTTTGCTCCATTCAGTTCCTTCGAACCGTCTCCTGAAGGTTTCGTTTCCTCATCCTTCTGGAACAAGTCAAACAGAGTCTTCTGAGCGGACGCCTGCGTGTGTTCGTTCAGCGTGAGAGACAGGCCACATGAGCACCACACATACCTGCTTTGCCCGCGTGCTTCGTGTAACTCTGCTTTGGCGCTTCTCGGTCATCTAAGAGGGTTTGAAGGCGTGCACAGAGCGTGGAGGCTTAAAGTTTGAGCACCGGAACAGTGATCGAAAGTTTCGAAACGCGTCTGATCGCGTTGCATGTGACTTCAAATACTACTTGCCTTTTTGAGTAGCACAGACTTTCACCGTGTCACGATCAGGCCACAAGCCACAGCGAACCACAGAGACTCTCACAGATGATGGTTGATTTGGATCAAGCGGCGTCGCCGAGCCTAACCCACGATATCGTCAAATGGATATCACAAGAGTATCACGGTAATGAAGTCAATTCTTAGGCCGATCTTGTTGATTCTTTACCAAAAATTAGATATGAATGGTTCGTTAATTCAAACCCTCGAAAGCCCTCCTACAGCAGCGGAGTTTGCACAATTAGTCCACATATCTAGGCCTGTTGTCATCAAAGGTCCCTCATGTCAATGAGAAGATTAGACCGGCTTGTGATATGAAATTCAGGTTTCCAAATCCCAGCCTTGAAACGATGGACCGATGATTACTTGCAGAGAAAGCTGCAAGATCAACCTGTATCAGTGGCAATCACACCCAACGGGTGAGTGTTCGTTTATTTGAGCGCTTCTGTGACTGAGGGCGGAGCAGGCAAGCAGATGCTATTGCCGCTGGCCCAGGAGGTAGCCTCTTTTTCGTGGAGCCGTTTATCGAGAAAGTTCCCATGGCGAAACTCCTTGAACAACTTAGCGCAGGCAAGTACACACGTTTGACTCCTAAAATTGAACACTTTGATATGCCAAGCAGAACCGGATAACAATAACACCTCCGCTTCTTATCTCCAATCACAAAACGGAAATTTATATTCCAGCCGTTTCTTTGAATCGCCAAACGATGATCCATCAGAATTTGGTGCCCTCAGGGAAGATGTTCCAAGTAACATCCCATGGGTCACTGAAGCACTAGGTGGAAACTCAACTAAGCCGAGTTTCTTCACTCATAATATAAAGGACAGGCAGAAACCCTGATGCTGTCAACCTTTGGATTGGGAACAATAAAAGCATAACGAGTATACATAGCGGTAAGCACTGGGCCTTTAAATGGCGCGCACCCGACCCGTCCACATCTCACACGTTGGCAAGATCCGTACGAGAATATATACACTGTGATACGTGGAAGGAAACACTTCACGCTCCTCCCACCCTGTGAAGGGTGGTGTCTTCAAGGTAACACGACTTGTCAATGCTATGCGAAGCACTGTAATAATTTGCCTCAGAACGGATGTATCCTCACGCAGTATACGGCCGTACCGATAATAGTAACGGTCTGAGTGTTATTCCCTCTTCAGATACCCCTCAAATTCGCTGGTCTTCTGTCATCAACCCGGACATTCCTGGGTCACTGCCTCCAGAAGCTCACCCACTGCATGTCACAGTCGAAGCAGGGGATACGCTGTACCTGCCAGTTGGCTGGTGGCACTACGTACAGCAATCTGGACCAATTACTATTGCCCTTAATTGGTGGTATGATGCCGAAGTACGAGGGATGAATTGGATTTGGCTGAACTTACTCAGGGGCAGTGGTGATGTGCCATCAGGAAATGATGAAACCGATACTCGGTGATGTGACCGATTGGTGGTGGAGTAACGCACGCACAACAAGTAGCTAGGGAACGTTTCATTGGTACCAATCAACGCCCAGGATTTGCCTCATTCAATGTGAAGCGTGACAGCTTGGCTTTGTGACGGATTATTAGTCAGGTCACGAACTTTCTCGTCCTTCAGCAGCTTCCCCTTGCTACAGCGTCAGCTCCTGCAACATGCCTAAAGACAAATCAGAAAAGCGAGAGAAAAAGGAGAAGAAGCCAAAAGTTGATGATGCAGAGGCAGAGGCAGAAGATGTAGAAATGGCTGACGTTTCGGAGGTGAGTGCATCGCCTCGCATGTTTCCAAATGTCCTCATGTACATATCATGTTAGTCCCCAAAAAAACCGAAGAAGGAGAAAGAAATCATCATTCCATTGGAAGATTTGTCTCCTCTTGCGCAACCATTAGCGCAGAAAAAGCTTGTGAAAAAGCTGCACAAAACGATCAAGAAGGGTGCGCCCACTTATTTTTGTTTTTCTCGTTCATATGCTGATCATTTCTCAGCCTCCAAAGCGCGGCAAGTTAAAAGAGGTGTAAAGGAAGTTGTCAAGGGTATTCGGAAAGGAGAAAAAGGGTATGCGCTTATTGTGCTTGCATTTTCAATCAGTTGATATCTTCTTAGATTGCTGGTATTGGCGGCAGATATTAACCCCATAGACATCATATCTCACCTCCCCGTGCTCTCAGAAGAAGCTCAGATACCATATGTCTTTGTAACGTCAAAGGAGGAGCTTGGCCATGCTAGTTCAACAAAACGACCAACAAGTTGCGTTATGATCTGCCCTGACCAGAAACGCAAGGTCCAAAAGAAGGATGCTGAGGCAGAGAAGGATGATGACTACAGGGAGTTGTATGAAGAATGTCGAAAAGAGGTTGCAAAGCTGGACCACAAGGTTGTATTCTAACTTTGCCCTCCCTGTGCTGGCAATCGTGTATTTTATACCTCATTAATTATCTTGGATTCATGAGCTGCATGAGAAGAGAACTGTGCTAACGTGTACCCGGAGACCGGAGTTCGAGGCGGCAATTTGATACATACATAAAATAAATACGCTCGCTTTCACACGAAACTTACTACTGTGCAGTTTGCAACAACCTCTAAGCCTGGTCTTTTCGTTCATACCATATCTTCCCTTCTAAAATGCCCGCCCAAAAATCCAAATCTTCGGCTAGCAACGGTGCTGCTAAAAATCGTAGTGCCAAAGTGACGCCTGAGAGCACGGTTCCTTCATCTCCTGCTCCTTCCAAAACCGACCTCAGCGCTCCTACAGTCACAGGCTCCGGAAGGCCAGACAAGGCTGCATATGATGCAGAGCAAGAGAGAATCAGGACTGAAATTGACGGTTTGCAGACTAAACTTGTACGCGCTTTACTCGACTTCCTACTCGGTGCGAGACTCACAAGTCCACGCTTAGGCTACCGTCCGCGAAAAAATATCCTCGGCAACCCAGTCTGGTACTGGAAATGACAAACGGGCAGCTCTAAAGGCTGAACTGGATAGCATACGCGGTCAACAGTCGTCCAATAAGTTAAACCGAGGCAAGATACATGAGCAGCTCAAAACAGTTTCAGAGGGCGTTCAGAAAAAGGTTGGCCTAATATCGACCCGCGTTCACTATTTTCTGACGAAGCGTGCCATGCAGATAAAGGACCTGCAGGCTGCTCGTGGAAAGACACCTTACAAAACCGCAGCAGAGGTCGATGCTCATATTAGGTGAGCCTTCTCCCTTGACATCACGCTCGCTTCCACTGACGCTTTTCGTCTCTCAGCACCTTGGAGAAGCAAGTGGAGTCTGGTAGCATGAAAGTTGTCGATGAAAAGCGTGCCCTTCAGGAGATAAGCCAAGCTCGACGGTCGCGTAGAATAGTCGAGAAGTTCCAGACGGACCAGGAGTCCATTGAAGCCGACCGTCAAGAAGCCGACCGACTGAAGAAGCTACTTGATGACCCGGAGTCCAAGGAAATCTCTGAACGTTATGACACCATCAAAGCTGAACTGGACGAGCTTAAAAAGGAATCCGACGATGCGTATGCAGGTCGAGCCAAGCTTTTTGAACAGCGAGACGGTATTCAGGCACAAATAAACGCTCTCTTCAATGAGAAGCGTGAGGCATCACATCTCTTCCGGGAGGCAAATGACCGGTATTGGACCAAGATGAATGAGGACCGCGCTCGACGTCTTGAGAGGGCTCGTTCTCAGCGTGATGCAGAGGAAGCACAGAGGAAGATGGCAATCGCAGACGGTCTGCGGGAAGAAGCGTCGATGCCTGCATTCCAAACGCAGATTGAAGACTGCCAGACTCTCATTGACGCACTCTCTGGGAAATCCACTGGCAATGTAGTGTTGTCATCCTCATCGCTACCAGCCAGGCCGGATGTTTCTGGCGTTCCGCAGTTGGAGATTCGACAGGTGGATGCAGTTGGCGATGCTATGGTGGCACGGAAGAAGAAAGGGGATGATGAAGAATCGTATTTCGTTGGGAAAGCAAAGAAAGGGAAGAAATCCCCTAAACCCACATCTCCAGCCGATACCAGCGCCATCCATCTACCTTACGGCCAATTATCCGCGCTGCTTTCGCTATCTATACCGCCTCCGACAGGCCAGGCTGAGGTTCCTCGTGTTATCGAGGACCTGAAGACGAAGAAAGCCTGGTTTGAGGCCAACCAAGCCCGTCAAACAGCGGAAAACGTTGCCAAAGCCGAGGCGGAGATCCGACGTCTGACAAATGGCGCTAAACCTAATGGCAAACAGAGCGCTACTCCCGGCGAAGTTTCCCCACCGAATGGCGGTGGCGAGCCTCCAGAATCTATTCCCGTTCCTTCGGGTGACGCAGCTCCACGGATTGATATTCCTGAGATTGTCGAGAAGCTTGAGGAGGTTCAGGTTGACGCTGAGAACTAGAGAGATCACCCGGGGTACAGGCTGAATGGGAACATCTTTTATACCTCACACTTATACTACCAAATCTGCCTCTACTTATATCTGCAAATTATGTCCAGAGCGGGAAGGAATCAGTATTATTCGACAGAATGAAAACCTATACAATAATGAGTACGAGAAGCAGGGGAAGAGACTGAGCAAAAGTGGCAATACAGATAGGACACTGACAAGGTATGAATAAATGACGGAAGGGAACATATACAATCACTGGAGATACTATCTTTGACCGAGTGGTATAATTTTCAATAGAGCACAGGAACTAAGGCCCAGCCTCTGTCTTGACGGGCTCAGCCTCGCGATCTTGCTCGCCATTAGTACCTGATGAGATATTCATGCCCAAATCTTGCGTCGCAAATGACGCAACGTCAAACGAATTCCCGGGCGCATAGTCAGAGAACGACAGTCCTGACTGGTGGACGGGAGGAATAGCATCCTCCGGCTGAACTGAAGTATCCATATAATTCAAACCTCCATATGCGTCTGCATTAAATCCAGAAGATGATGCGTCCAGCGCGCCTGTCGGGAACGGGTCCTGCTGCAAAGCTGCGAGCATGCTTGAGGTGGTCGGGGTATGGCTCATCACGTGTTGAGCGGAACGAGTTTCCATGGTGTTAAAACTTTCCTGGCCGGCCATGGGAGATAATGAAAAGAACTGTTGCTGCATGACGGGTTCGACAGATGCAGCGACGGAGTTGGTGGAAAGCGCCACGCTACGCAGAACATTGACTGCAATCCAATCACTGGGTAAACGGTAAACAGTGTATCATGAAAGGAAATTAGAACGACCTACTCCAAGAACAGCTTCATAATCTGGAAGGCTCCGAAGGCTGGGTCACTGCGGATGGTCTAGTGGCTATTAGTGAACGGAAGACCAACGATGATGATAGCTCTTACCAAATCTCTCATGACCTGACTGGTCACATAGCCCCAGCGGATCAAGACACTTCGGGAACTCAAGGTGCCTCGATCGTCACCAGATCCTATCCGCTGTCCCATGAGCCTCTCGCAACATTTGTCAGCCCAGGCCATAACCTCCCTGACTGGCTCGGACGTCTTTGACAAGCTGTCCATCATGCCTACGAAATCGACTTCTAGGAGCTGAACAAGCTCCTCGTGACGACAATTGCACACTAGAGCGGACTGGTTGCGGACAGATTCGAAGTCCACTTTCTGCCAGGAACGGCGCATCTCGGAAAGCTGCTTCTGGTTCGTCAATACGGTATTGAGAGCCTGGGTAACTTGGTATATATCCAAGAAGCGCACTGCAGTACTATGAGCTAAGCCAGTGGAAGTGTCGGAAAAATTACATACAGACAAGATGGCCGAACCGCGCTCCGAGCTCGACCTTGGGCTCAACAAAAGTGTTGCCGTATCCATCCAGCGCAACAAGCAGGATCTTCTCCATTTTGCTTGCCAACGTCCTAAGGCTAGTCATAGCAGCGGGGGAAATTGGGGAAAGCATCTGAGACCTTAAAAACTCAAGTATTTCCTGTCAAAAAAAGTCAGCGAGACTTGCCCGGCGAGGTAACATGCCAGACGTACATCATATAGAATTGCGTCGGCTTTGGCCATTAGACCAGCGATAGCGGGAGCATGCACTACTTCTCGATGATTCCCACTCAAGCTGGACCAGAAACTTCGTAGGTGCATCTCGAACTGGTCAAACCTGAAGGCACGAGCACTCTCGAGGACAGCGTCGAGATGGTCTTGGAACCATCCCCACACCTCACGAGCGGCGATGCTCTGCGGAGATGCTGAGTTGGATCCTATCGCCTCTTCGATGGACGGGAAATGCGCCATATGACGGACTGATACATGCTGCTGCGACGGTACGAAAGAAGCGCCAGTGCCAGGTCCAAGCGACATGGTAGATTGTGCAGCGAGGTTTGAATCTGTCTGGCTGACATGTCGACGGATAGAAGCATGACTGGGATAAGTGTTGCTTCTGGCGACAGCTTGTGCCTGAGAGAGCAAGCTATTAGCAGTAGGTGTTTTGTCACTGAGGTCTCCATAAGTGAGACCAACAGCCTTGAGGTCGCCAGAAAGGGTGAGTGAGTTCCTCTTCGATGCACTAGACCCTTCGGAATCTTCGTCTTCGTCTTCATCGGACCGCTCTTCGCCTTTATTTGGATTGTCGGAAGATTCTTGCGCTGCACGCGCGGCGTTGATGGACTGCTGGCCAGCATTATTATTTGATTTTCGGATGTAATCCTGAAGCCATTCGGCCTCAGCCGAAGTAGCGGGACGAATGCCGCAATCTGGCCGGAACGTGGCGTCAATCAGAAATTCTTCCGATCACCATCAGATGTGGCACTGAAGCAGTGTACTCACAATGATATTTGCTATTTCCGCGAACACCCAAGCGCCGTGTTTTGATAGTAGGAAAACACAGACGAATAGCCTTTCCCAATGTAGCGGTATTAATGTGAGGAATTCCGTACTGATCGCACACTCGTCTGTACGAAAAGTAGAGGCCCTGGCGGGGTACATTCCCATCTGGATAAGGCGCATAATTCGCTGTCAACCTTGTGCGCAGTAAAATGATGAGAAGATGGACATTGAGTAAAAAGCACAGGATGGGCTCACCAAGCCTGGACAAAAATCTGTTTAGCTCTATCAGATGCACTGGTTGTGGTTGCGACGCGGACATTGGCAGCGAGCTTTTCCAATTGGTGATCGGGACCCAAAGACATCCTGCCAAAAGCGCCGGCGGTGTGGATGGTTTCTTGATTAGAGGGCAAGGTAGGAGCGTGCCCATACATGGTAGGATAGTCTGAGGGGTTTCCAAGGAACATGGAAATGTCGTCTGTTTCACTGGATGAAGAGTGAACACTCTCAGTATCACGGGGGTACGGAGAAGCAGCAGCACGGGCCCTGAGATGAGTTTGACGGATATGGCCTTTAAGCGCAGGATTAGTAATATTAGTGTTGGGGGGAGATTGACCAGGGGGAGTCATGTCGGATGGAGGAAGTGAGAAAGAGGTGTGGCGGGTCTGATCAGCGGTCATATAAGAGAGACGGTAGTGATCGTCCAAGTTGGCAGGTAAACCTGAAGACATTCGAGACATACCGCCTTGAGAAGAGTGAGGACGAGAATTAGGTGAATGAGTAGACGATGAAGAGACAGAATTTGATCTGGAATGTGGGTGATTGAGAGGTAGAAAGTCGAATGGGATACTTGAAGACATAGTCTGCAAGTTGACGGCAGCCATAGATGATATATTGGTGATGATGAAAGGGAATAAATGAAGGTGAATGCCGATGTTTGTGATCAAGGCAAATATTGGCGGTCCAGCCGTCTACTTGAATGAGTGTACTGGAGACAAGAGAGAGAATTGGCCGCTGACTGGCAGATGGCTGAGCTGGGAAAAGCAGAAAAGATTTTTGGGTTCTTTGGATGGGGGGGTATCTGCTTGAATCTAAAACGAAATAGCAGACTGAAAAGTAGGACAAGGCCAAGGGTTAGAAGGAGAGCAAAAGCAAAGCAAAAAAGATATGTTTGCCTCCTCGCAGTAATAGGTAGTTTGGCAGGAACGCGAACGCTGACGAGATCTTCTAGGAACTGCTACACGAACAGAATTGTGGTCGGTGGTCAAGGCAACAACGCCGTTTTAGAACGGGTTAAGAATCAACAACCTGAACTGTTTTTGATCAAGTTTGCACAAATAAGATCTCCTCTACACCGCCGCCGCGCACTTCCCACACCGCCATGAAACTTAATGCCGATAACCTTCCTCCGCCTCCTTAACATGCTCACATCTTTGTATCCATTGATCTCCATCACAATCCCAAGCCCATTTAAATCTCAGAGCCTCCCATATACATATACTTCTTGAACCGCTTTCGGAGCTTTTTCTCCCGCGGCTTCCCCAGCTTGCAGGCTAGATCTAGCCATGACGGAATCGTAAGATCATGCATCCCATACGGCGCAAACTCTGATTCAGTCACCCCTGCTTCGCGGAGTGACTTGGGCAGGTTTCTTAGCGGAACGGGACCATCCGCGAGGTGCAGGCTCGAAATCGGGAACGTTAGGTATTCCAGCTTAAACCTTGGTTCGTGGCTCTCGTCATACTCTTCAACTTGAGGTATGTAATACTTCATTCCTTATTAACTCCAAATGAATATTGACTCGAAACATAACGTACCTGCGCATAACCCAAAGGTGACCACAGCGAATTTTGCCGCGACGGAGCGTGGCTGTCAGAACGCCAGGGCTGAAGCTTGCACCTCCACGAATCCCGATAATCCGCACCCATGCATTGGCGGCCATCGTTCCCATCATTGCCATGACGATACGGTAAATGCTTCCGACGGGAGGCTCGATCCATCTTTGTCATCAGGAGATACTCGTCTTCACCGACGGCCCCCACAGTTGTTGATCCCAGCCCCGAAATGTTGTAGTTGAACACTCTGAAGCTAGGCAAATACGTGGGCACCAAGGACGGGCTGACGCTGATTACCGCATAGTCATCATAATTAAGATGCTTTTTCGTCTTCACAAGCTCTTCAAAGTCGGCCATCAAGGTTTCATATATTGTACCCTCGAAACTATGGGACGGCATCGTGTCTTCTTCAGGACTGATATTGAGATCAGCGGCCTCCACAAAGTAGAACTATAGCCGAAGTCTCGATCAGTGTCAACTGAACAAAGGGGGCCTCTTACATGATCGACGTTCAAATGCTAGACAAGCACTGTCAACCCTTTGCTCGGTAACATATCTTCTAAACATTACTCACGCCAAATAAACTGCCCAAAATTATATCTTGATATCTCAGGCTCAGTTCTGCATACCGATAGTACTAAACCACGCATCAGTGACTCGTCCATGTACAGCCCGCTAGAGCACTCACACACTCGGGAAAGAAATGGTCGAGAGCCGGGGGGACATGCCCTGAAAATTTGGCGTCAAGACCGGTATAATGTTTTGAATTAAGACATACCAGTGACCCACACCTGTCAAATCAACGCCGCGTTATTCGATGCATCTGGAAATCATGATGCCTCATACCTGCACCTGCCGAGCCCGAAACCTTTCAAGTTGCTCTTCCAGCCATTCAAGATGTAAGTTACCGGGGTCGCTGGCATCACCGACAAGACACCCTCTCACAGCTGTCAACCATTCATGTCAAAGAGCGATATTAGGCGGGACAGGCGTCAGGGACCTGACCTTTGTTATTGTGATAGAAGTACATCGTGCTCAGACTGATCACCGCGAGTGCATCGGGTATCACTTCTACTGCATAATATGCGCCTTTTCGGAAAGAAGTTTTGGAGTCTGAGGGAATAAAAGCATCCCAAATGCTGTCCGATACATCTCAGCGAATGAAAGCGGGACATCGAGGAGTACGAACGACGCAAACTCATTCGTTATATTATTCGGACCTGAATAACGTCAGCCAGAGTCACGACATCGACACCTAGTGGCGCTCACCTGGAGATAAAGTATTCTGTGGCGGTGGACGTTAGAAAGACAAAGGCATCGTTGAGATAGAAACCACTCGCGTGTGCTGCCAAGGCCAACGGTGACTTTGAGACATTTGCCACACAAGACTCAGATACAAGCACTTACGCCAAACATCATTATTCCCTATTCACATGAAGGGCAGCGGTCTCGATGAATATGAAATCCGGGAGCTACGGCGCAAAGAACCCACCCAAACTTGGTACAACCGGTATTCCCTTCCTGAGGAATGCATCTTCCATCTTCTTCGCAACGGCGCGATTAAGAGCGAATATTTCGTCAACTGTCCTAGGTATCTCGTTGTCTTCGTCATGTCTGGATGATCCGTCGTCAACTGGTGCTCTGAATGGCTACCGGGACTCTACCTGGCATTATCGCCGGTCCCTGCGATACCTCGAGTTCAGCGCGGGAAAGGAAGCTTCAAGCGATGAACGCACGTACATACAACAAAGTCTATGTCAGAGCTCCAATGGTCTTCTAGGTATTCAAACGTGAAATTGGTCAAAGACCAAGGCGAGTCGCAGGTACTGTAGTGGAAAAAACGTGCTCTAGTTAGGACATGCGATCAAAGGTATAATTTTGATTGACCTGAAGGGTACACCATAATATCCAGCCGGCTGTTTGTCATGTGGCTCTGTTCTATGACATTGAGACGACTGAGAAGCCCCCTTTTCGTAGTATGGGTCTGGATGGATATCGGTGATATGCAAGAAACGTCCGTGAAGTTTTCGATCGGGTCGACTCGGGGCCGCATTCAAGACGACTTGAGAAGGTGCAGCCAGGACCTGGCCACATAAAAGGCCTGCTAGCCACGGAATACGTTTCTTCATTTTCAGGGAACCAGGATCTGATTCAATCGTGAAGTTTTAAATATTGCAAGGCATGTAGTTCGGATTAATATTGACACGAATTGACTCGGATGCGAACTACATAGATCGAATGATGCTAATTGGCTAGTTTGCAGGGATGATACGTACACGCACTGGCCATGCAATTCTGGTGAGGTTTGATAATAATATCGTCGACAGCTCGCACCTTCAGCGTGGCACAACAATGACACGATGTTTTAGATAGGGTCTGCACTGATAATAGGTATGCCACGTGGATCTAGACGGTTTTGAAGATTGAGCGCTTTAGCGGCGACCTCAAGTCTGCAGATGGCAGTGTGATTGAGATCAAAAGCAGTACTACCGTACTGGTGATGTTGGCATTGCAAACCAACTAGTACTGTGGCCCGTCGGCATTACGTATCAGGGACTCAGTGTTGAATTTGTCTATTAGCTCAATGCATCTACCATCTATCAAAATACAATGATGAAAGCCTAATGTACATGTACAGTAATTTTGTGTTCCAGAGGGTACTGCGTAGTGGAATGATGCCAACAATAAATTTATGAATGCCCATACCCAACGTCTAAGAGGGTGAGGTGAGTTAAACTTTTATTACCGAAACAGAATGGGCCACCATCTCCATAGCCACCGGTGAGGGGTTGTTGGGCCTGTGCCAAGCTAGCAATCTCCTCGCGTTGTCATCTGTGTTGAGAACACTGCGGATGGATTGCTCTGCCAGATGACAAGTCTAAGACTAGTTCAGTGGGCGAACAAGGAAGGGAGAGGCAACATACTCTGCTGTATCCTCCAGTTTTCAGCGTTTGACGAGATCTTGAGATTGCATTATGGATCGAGTCGTATGCGTGTCTGCGTCTGCGTTGGTATTAGCACTGCGGTTGTGGCCGATATCTGTGAAAATACATACAGTACTCGTTCCAGCTCACTTGGAAAACGAGGGGGGATGAAAAGATCCTCTCCAGATAAATAACGGTCAAACGCATGATATGAAGCACAGTGGGCAATAAGGGACTCGTCAAATGAAGGGCGACTGATGTCCCAGTCTAGCCAGTCCTCGCTAGGAAGGTCAAAAGGCGCGACTTTGGAACGATGTAAAGCAGCATACCTGAGCCTGGAGTGTGCCACTGCTTCTGTGGTGTGTGGGCCAAGGAAGTGATCCATGGTTGTAATCACAAGTAGAAGCTGTGTTTGAACAATGAGCAAGGAGTCAGACAGACCCGCGAGTCTAGTAGCAGCGACTAGCTTCCTGATGGTAGCGAGGTACACAGTGACAACACTGCAAGTGGGTATTTTCTTGAACCTTTACTTATAGGGGTTAAACTGCCTCCTCGGGATGACACCATTTTGCCAATCCGAAATAATAATTAATAATATTATGTCACTTTGATATCGCATGATTTGTTTATCGTACACTGCATGATATCGTGATCCGGCGCATGATGCGCTTGTGCACTGCAGTCCACAAGCCTTCATTATCATCAAAAATTGTTCCAATCATCCCCTGGCTGGTTGTCTGCAATTTTTCTCATTCGAATAAATTAGTTTTGAATTATTTAATAGACAAATAAGACTCCGCGATAGAGATAAGTACATGATTCGGTTCCGAAGACTACGCGATATCAAATTCAAACTTTGGGCCGGATCTGAGCTGGCAGCAAGCTCATCATGATTAATGTGCTTCGGACCCTCCCGGATCTCGTTTCTCCTGGACAACTACTTACCGAAGTCTTACTGAAGTCAGTTGGTGATTAGAAGGCATGAATACCGAATCCCTGGCCGCACCTCCGCTTTTCGTGCCATCCGATGCTGGATCTTCGCATTGCGTGGCATTCCTCAAGAAAGTCAACGAGAAATACGGTCTGGCGTTAGATTCGTACTTTGACCTCTACCGGTGGTCTACAGACCACATCGATTCATTCTGGGACACTGTGTGGGATGACGTCGTTATCGTCGGCCACAAAGGGCAAGACGTCGTCGATAATAATACTGTTCCAGCGACGAACCCTCCATGGTTCCGCGAAGCTAGGATTAATTGGGCTGAGAATATGTTGACATGTCGTTCGGCAGACAAATTCGCGCTTATACAAGCAAGTATGTCGATAAATCATTTGTTCATCTGACCCGATAATCATGGCTGATTAGCTGAGCCCACCCCCGAGTGTCCCAATCCCCCTCATCAGCGCGTCACATATGCCGACCTTTACGCGATGGTTGCTGACCTGGTTTCAGCCTTGTCAATGCTCGATCTGAAACCTGGCGATCGAGTGGCTTCGTACTCCTCGAATTGTATTGTACGTCACCGCCAACTTCGGGTACTGTGCCCACTCGTAACTTCACACCCTCTGCCAGGAGAATGTTGTGGCTTGTCTTGCTGCCACTGCCATAGGTAGACCATTTCTGCCTCCGCTGCTATTTGCTAACCTTCGTAGGGTGCATCTGGGTAAGTGCAGCAGCAGACTTCGGGACACAGGGAGTATTAGAACGGTACGCAAATTTATCGAAATGCTACTGCACACGCACTTGCTAATTTGTAGATTTGAGCAAGTACAACCTCGAGTGATTTTTGCGGTTGATGCCGTCGTGTAGGTCGCTTCCCTGGCAAACTCAGGCGTTTGTCGTTGAAATTATGCAGGTACAACGGAAAAGTCCACCCTCATTTGCCAAAGTTGCAATCTCTTCTTTCTGGACTCTCCGAGCGATGTTCGCTTAACCCGGTCGTGATCGTCATTCAGTCGGGAAGGGATGCGTCTGAATGGGACGCCGACTGGGTCTCATGGAGTACGTTCATTTTGAAGGGCAAGTCCAGTTCTTTGGGCCGCACTTCTGAAGGAGAAATCGAGTGGTGTCGTCAAAGCTTTGATTGGCCGCTGTGGATACTTTTTAGCTCGGGCACAACAGGTGTGTAGCTTTTTTACCGTGAATATTTGCATATGACGTTGAACTGTTGGTCGCAGGTCGCCCCAAGTATGTTGCGATCATCAATCAGCAAACTTGATTACTGACTTCAACCTCATAGACCAATTGTGCATCGGGCTGGCGGCATGCTGTTACAAGCAAAGAAAGAATTCGTAATCTGTGCAGATCTGCGCCCTGAAGACGTGTTTTTTTATTATACTACGACGTAGGTCGTTTCATTCCGAGATCGACTGTTTACTAAATCGTTGTATTGTAGAGGATGGATGATGTGGAATTTCTTAGTAAGCGGTCTTAGCATCGGGTGTACACTAGTCCTCTACGACGGAAGTCCTCTGAGGGAACCCTCTTATCTGTGGCATCTTGTGGATGAACTGCAAATATCAATTTTTGGAACGAGTGCGAAATACCTCGATCAATTATCGGTGAGCAGTCACCCTAACTATGACTGTCATCAGGTATCAATACTTGAACGTCAATAGCGGATAGGTTACAAGCCTCGCGATCACCATAACCTGGCGTGCTTGAGACATCTTTACTCGACTGGTTCGCCATTAGCCCATGCGCTGTTCGACTACGTTTATGAATGTATTCACCCCAACGTGCTTCTCGCGTCCATAACAGGTATGATCTACAAAGTTTAATTTTGATGCCACCTGGACTGCTCTTTCAGGCGGCACGGACATTTGTTCTCTCTTTGCCGGAATATGTTCTGCGCTGCCGGTACATCGTGGGGAAATTCAATGCCGCATGCTGGGAATGGCAATCGAAACTTTCACTCCTGCAGGGCACAATTGTCAAGCTGGTGAGGCTGGCGAGTTGGTATGCGTAAGGCCGTTTCCTTGTATGCCCATTGGGTTTTGGCCCCTGCCCGGTTTCGGGACAGACGAGAGTGTCAAGGCTGCAGCAGAGAGGTTCCGTCTATCCTATTTTGCTGAATACCAAGACGTGTGGTGTACGCCCCCCGGATCATGAGGTTGCGCCCCCCTTACTAACTTGATTTGGATCAGATCACGGGGACCACGTGTTGATCACACCTTCTCAGCATGGAAATGGAGGTGGACTCATCATGCTAGGAAGAAGCGATGGCGTTCTGTGAGTATCCTATTTTCACACTCCTGTCTAGGTTTGACCAATGATTTCGTAGAAATCCTGGAGGGATCCGATTTGGGTCATCTGAAATATATAACGTCCTTGAGATATGCTTCTCGATTTCTGAAGAACGGAACGCGAACGATACGATTGAGGATGCATTGGTTGTGGCACAGTCCATTGAAGGCGGCGTAGATGAACGCATGATCCTGTTCGTTAAGCTTTGTGGCAAGAAGGCGCTATCAATAGAAATGGAGAAGAAGATTAGATCGGAAATAAGATTACGACGGAGCCCACGCCATGTTCCTGCTCGAGTGTGTTCCATTTTTATCAGTCCCCTGGAACGTTGGCTGATTGTGTCCGCGGCTTGGTAGATAATCCAAGTCGACGATATCCCATATACCTTGAATGGCAAGCGCGTTGAGATCCCAGTTAAAAAGGTATGCTCTCATAATCCATAGGATTCGTGGTACTGAAAACTGGCCAGATCATCAATGGAGCGCAAATCACCAGTGTGAATTCCGCTACACTGCGAAATCCTGAGTGTCTGACTCAGTTTGCAAGCATCGGAGAGATGCTCCGAGGAGAGATGCGATGAAACGTTGATCGTAACACATGTCCATGCGTTGTACGTTGTTTGTACGGTAGAAAAAAGGAAAATTCACTTGTGACTATCCCCGGCATTCACTCAACCCTTGCTGGTGTCCCGACAATTCGTGTGGATTCCGGACATCCGTTCTGTAGGGATTTCCTTTTTCGTTACTCCGATCTGCCTCGAGGCGTTTACGCGGCTGTCCATCCGTACCCTGACTTTTACGATGATTAGAAGTCGAAAATTTTCAGCCTTTAAAAGAATGCCTGGGTGGTCGGCTGCGTTTGAGCGGACGAACGACTCGTGTTTCCCCCGGATTCCTGATCATCGACGTCCGCCACGCCTTTCACTGCACGGCGCACGCCACGCCGTCAGTTAGATTTACGAGAATCAAACGCACCCTCACCTCGTGTACCCATACTTTCCGTGCTATATCATGAGGACCGCACGTCCACTTCCCCTGAATTGCCAACATCAGTCCACCCGTCCACCTCATCAGCCTCGTCGACATCACTCTAACCGGGAACGTCAGACGTCCCGTCGCAAGCGATTCCACATACTCTCTTTCTCAAGAATATTCACGAGGCTAGCGATGCCATCAAAGTTTAACATCTTTCGGGCTTGTATATACGGTTAGCACTCATGATTATAGTATCTATTGCGGCCCTGCTCACCATGCGGCAGGCGCAGTTTTTACATGGACAGTGATCTGCCTGGCTATTGCAGCTCACTTCCAAAGTCTACTGGTTATCACAGATCTCAGTGAGTTTGCTTCCATATTCTTGTGGTTGATCGCAGCTAAAGCGGAATGTAGCTCGTTTCGTTCCTTTCACCATTTTCGTATGCAGTGCCAGCATGCTGATTCTCATCATTCTGTGAGTTGATATATAAACTTCGCACGACGCGCTGGCATTGACTAGGGCTATAGACTTGGATGTACCTTGATTCGGACCACTAATCCGATCTCCACGAGAATCGAGCTCGGATGCCTTGGATTGCTTGGGACTTTTTGGCTTGGTAGGCGAATCACGGGCTTGATAGCGGTTGCACGCTAATTGACCGGTCCAGCTTTGGGTGCCTTCTTAGCGAGCTCAGACTCGGAGAATGCAGATGTAGAATGCTTTTCGTCCGATGCGGAGACTATTCCCATTGATGTTCCTGGGTGTAAGTTACAAGAGTATATCCATTTGATGATGAGAAGTCTAACATTTCGCCGCAAGTCTCCACAGAGACATACCAAGCTCAGTATCGGGTTTTGGAGGCATTCTCACTTTTCAACGTTATTCTCAGTAAGTGAATCGAATTCATATCTTAGAGCATGCCTCAATCTCTCGCAGTATTGGCGTTCTTGTTGTTCTTGCTGGCACTCGCAGTGAAACACCATTTCCGTGTCAACCGCAATGTGTGGTACATTGCCGTTACTGAATACCCGTGGTTTGGAAAGAATATGTCCAAGTTACCAACACCCGTTAGTAGCCGGTCACGATCAAGAGGCAGGACCTACGATGAGAAGGCTTCAGCGCCCTGGGGGCAAGAAACAAGACGCGGGGACTCACGTTACCCTGGATGGTCGGCTCAAGGGCATAACGCCCCAGCACCCGCCCACACGTCGGACAAGTATAAGAGAAACGCGTCACCCAGGCGGTGACCGCTGTACATATTTCGCATTTGGGTTTTTATCGGCATAGAATGTCGTGATCCGCGCTTGCTTGGGAAGTCGAATAGATACTGTCTGTACCACATACTTGCTAGATTTGACATGGGGCTGTCAATATCACAATTTTCGTTCTTGTGGTCTTGAATAGCGTCGCCTGATGCAAGCGACGGGTTTGTGCGGAGTGCACTTTCGTCTTCCGACCAAACTCTTGATGACCTGTGTTTGTGCTTGAGCCATGCATATGGAGCCAAGTGGTGCTGCCTCAAGTTATAGGCTATAGATTGGGCCAAATATAGCATTCAATCATTGAAGGTGATTTCATCCGAATCATCGTTCAACGAGGGCCGGTACATTGTTCAGTTACGTCCCTGACTCCAATCCTTCTTTCCGGCACGACATACCATATAAACAAGGACCCACCCACATTCACGACCTTAAACCTGACCGCTAACTTTGACGACGTTTTTCAGCCATGACTATCCTGTTTATGAATATGAGGCTCATCGGTTATGGTACGTTGCTCATTCGCAATCCACGTCCCTATCGATTGATCAATCGATGATATCCAGTAACCGTTTTTCTGCTATCCGGGGCTGTCCTTGGATTTGCCGCCAACTTTGCAAGATTATTCCTCCCCCACATCAATCGTGCGTATTGCCCCACCTCTATCAATTAACGCCTGAACCGTCTTTTTAGGTGACTTCACCATGTTCGCTCTGATTCCACCATCAGCCACCATCTTCGCATTTCTGTGCATGTCAGTTGGATACACCACTGATCCGCCGTACTTGGCTTATGTCTTTGCAGAATGCAGTTTGCGCAGCCAATAGTGGAGGTAACATTCCACTTCATCCTCGGTGTTCTATGGCTAGGTAAGCTGGCAGTGCTGCCATTTACCCTTTTCCGACATCTGCCTAACTTATCGATTCGAATCAAAAGCCATGGGCGCATGGACCGCGTAAGTGCATAGTTTTTCGGTGCATAAACGGTTAATGAACTGCACGCTTCAGGGATATGATCGGATATGTGCAATGCTACCCACTTCAAGGACAGGTGGCCACAGCCAAAGGAAGTCGTGAGTGATCGATGCGACATTTTTCGAAGCTCAGCGCTCACACCACACCAGTCTCTGCGCGGACGTATTGCTATGAAATGAAAGTTATCGAAGCATTCTCGTGGACTATATTCGTGTTATGTGCGCGCACATTCCTTCATTTCTGGTGCATTTACTCAAGTCTTCCATTGCAGTTACATTCTTCTTCATTACTATGATCACGCTTACCACGCGCGCAGTCGTTTGTGGGCGGTACTATGCGTGGCGGGAACATGTCTCGCAGCTAGGCTGGTTTGGAGAATTTCCAGGATACCCCACTGAAGCTGTATATCCGCGAGCCCCGATGTTCGGAGGATACGGTCAGCCATACCCAATGATGGGAGGATACCATATGCAACAAATGCCGGGTCACTCCATCATGGTTCAGCCAGGTATCAATGGTGGCCAGCCTATTGTCTCTCAGGTACCAGTCTAGGTACCTTCTTCTATTGAACGTTAGAAATCATGCCTGTGTATTTGACGTGTTGGAAAGCTCACGATATTTTCTGATTGTACTTAGAGTGGTGCACATGTAGAACATGTAGCTCGAACACGAATTCATCAAATTCCGCCGCATCGATAGAACTAGTTATTCCACCTTTGCCCAACCTTTGCCCATAACAATTTGCCAAGATCGGCTAGTCCCGAACCAGGACTAAATTTACGTAGAACAATTGATGAGAAATTGAATAATGCAAATATTGACCTCGTGTCCTGCTTCGGCCTCATGGCCTGGTGCTGGTCGAAAATACAAGGAGCATCTGGTCATCGATTCCCACCCACCCCTTTTCCACTTCTTTCCTACTTCTATCGTCACGAAATGGCCCTATTCACCGACCACCCGTTCAGACATGTCATCAAAGGTGCGTGCATGGATAGGTCTTCATGATATGTGGGATAAATGTTGAGTGCCCGTCCGTAGGCATTCTGGCTCTGGCCATGGGCCATTTAATCATGAAAATGATGCCCCACTCGATTCGCAAGTATCGTTATTTTTTGGGCGCTTAGAGCAGTATTTTAATGGATGATCGATTTTAGAGGTTATTCATCTGACTCAAACATCAGTAACGATTTTAGCGATCGGGGCACTTATCGTATTGTATGACAATGATAGAATTGTGTCGAGCAACAGCTGACCCGAAGACAGGGTAGTGAAACACCACAGAAACGGCGGGGACCCGGAAAACAGAGTCTTGTCACAATCGCAGGAGGAGTTAATCTTGATTGCGGCGTTCGGGGCATTCTGGCTTGGTGAGCCTGCCCTCTTCAGGTATAAATGGCACACTAATTCAGAGGACTTTCCCATGACAGCCTTCCTCTTGGCTATGCGCGCGTGGAACCAGAATAGTGTCGACATCGACCTGGCACACCCACGCAGCATGTTCCAGTCGAGCACTGGTGCCGCCCAAAGCAATGTTGTCGGTGCTGGAAGCCGAGGAATTGCTGCAGCAGCACAGGGCAGGCCGCCTGCAGTGGCGTCTGAACGGCTTCAAGGCGCATCAAGTTATACCCGACAGCAATACAAGCCTCAAGCCGGATACCGCAAACCACACCCATGCAACCCGGGTGATGCTTATTGTGTCGTCGAGGAGTGGACCTTTTACTGAGGGTGCATGACAATACACGATCCTAACGTTTCTTGAAAAAATGTTTGTATGGATTGCGGTTGGATTTGGGTGTAACGGTAGTCTTCGAGTATATATCTTGTTTTCTATGGCGTTGGTGTAGAAGAAGTGCAAGTACTCCAGGAGAGTATCAATCAAAATATATTGAATTTCTGCAAGATAATTGATGAGTTTGACCCGGCCGCTTTCGGCACTGAAATTGAGTATCTCCGACTCTGCCATCGGCATCGGCAGGGTCTTGAACGTTACCGCTAGATTAGCCTTATATTACATTGAGTGATTGTCGAGCGACTTCGCGTCTTCCCCAAAGCTCTTCCATCTTGTACTCTAACAAGCATGATAAGTCCGTTCTTCTTACACTGCGGTTCAAACTTATTTGGTTTCATTCTAGACACACCTCAACAAAGCGCCGTATCGAGACAGATGTGATGAAACTGTAAAGTCTTGCCTCAAGGTGACCCGCACCCTCACTGATGTAACGATTTGCAATGCAGGCTTATGTCGGATTACGAGGTGACCCTCGTGAACGACAACATGCGCGAGTTCTACGTCCGCTTCTATGGTCCCGGAGAAAGTACGTTCCCTAATCACTCTTCCGTGAACGTCGGTTTAATCACAACCGCAGCACCATTCGCGGGCGGTATATGGAAGATTCACGTAGAGTTGCAAGCGGAGTATCCATACAAGTCGCCAAGCATAGGATTTATGAACAAGATCTTTCATCCCAACATAGATGAGCTGTCAGTAGCCATCGCGATGCATCCCGAAATGTCGATTCATACGTTTTCATTACAGGAGCGGCTCTGTATGCCTGGACGTCATTAACCAGACGTGGTCACCCATGTTCGGTATGCGGGACGGTAGACGCACGCTCGCTTATGTCGCTGATCTGTCCCCTTTCATAGATATGATCAACATATTTGAGGTGTTCTTGCCGCAACTATTGCGGTACCCTAATCCTAATGATCCACTAAACGGCGAAGCTGCCGCGCTGATGATGCGACACCCGAAGGAATACGAGGCCAAAGTCAAGGGTAAGATTGATTCCTACTAGTCTCACCAGAAAGTAACGTCCATCCTGCTCAGAGTACGTACAACGTTTCGCAACCAAGGACATTGTGGATGCCACAGAAGACTGCAATGATGACGAAGCAGACGAAGAGATGAGCGATATCGGCAGCATCAGTGAGGACGAAGAGCAAGAATCCTGAAGGTTTGATACCTCTTCCACTGGCATGCCTTTCTCCCGCATTTTTCATCACAGGTTCTTCGCACATCACACATATCATTTCACATATCATATCCATTCTGTACTTCACCTAACCTTTCTCAATTTTGTCTTATCTGCTATCATCATTCAACTCGTCTTTTTGCGGAGATACCCTCTTCGCTCGCCTTTCCGACATTTGATGATCTCCATTCCTCTCACCTCCGGACACTGGTTGGAAACATCTCATCCCTTTCGCCGTGTTGTATAATTAGGGATTGTTTAGTGCCAACTTGACTGCGTGTCATAATGTATTTTGCTTAGACAACCGCGGGACTGATGAGAGGTACTCGGCAACTCGGGAGTACATTAGGCAGCGCAAGGAGTTCATGTAGGAGCGGGAGTCGTTGCAGTAGACGGTGGGAGCGCCGGCACGAGTTCATCCACTTTCTTTTGAATGTCTGCGGCGGCCTGCAAAACATGCGTTCGAGCAACGTGAGTGCAAGAGAGAAAGGACATTGGATTGTTCGCACCTTCATGAGTGATTCTATTTGTGTTTTGACACTTTCCACGGTTGCGAGTTTAAGCTTGCTATGCTTCAGGAGATCTTCCTTTTGAGCTGTGAGTTCTTTTCTTTTTTGATCAAGTCTGGTGTTGTTAATGATGAGATGTGAAGATCCATATGATAGGATTGTGTATCGAACGTGCCTCTGCCTTTCGACAAGTTCAAAGCTTAGGCGATTAAGCATGAGCTGATGCGTATTGTGCAGCACATCATCTGAACGCGCTTCAGGAGGTGCCAGAGTTTTGAACTCTGGCAGGGAGTACAATGGCACGTCCTGGTAAATGGAACTGTATGAACGGTCAGTAGAGATTGCAGGAACAGATAAAGAAAGACAAACGCGAATTGGCGACACTTGTCTATTTCCCTCTCGAGGTGACGCTTTTCATAGAGTAAATTCTGGAGACCAAGATAGGTCTGGTCCATGTCATGGCGAGCATCTGTGGTTGCTTGCTTGCATGCTCTTGTTGCAGCATTTGCATTTCTGTTGAGGGCTTTGAGACGAGCTACTAGTGCATTGGCACGGATTTGAATAGACGTTGGGTCTACGGTGGCCAGGTCAGAGGAGACTAGCTCCTGAAAGTGCTTTATGGCTTGGTCTTCTGCCATGGCTGAAGACTGAAGTACTAGTAGTAGAGGGCACGTGGTTGATTCGTCAGATTCAGAAGCGGACCGAAATGAGTCCGTGATGATGAGAGGCTGCGCGTTGAATCAGCTACTAGACGATTACAGAGATTGCCATCACGCCAACATCACACCGTCCAACAAGCCCTGTCTCATAGCCTCACGCTGACGAACGCACCGCTCACGGTAATGTAATTTTACAATCTATTCCATCACAACCACGACTTCTCACACTCACGTCAATAAGTTTAAGAACAACAACTCAAAGCCCCTGCATCTATCTTTCTTCAACACATATTCTCCTTGGTCAACATCATGGCCGCAATGCAACGCTCAAGGTCTGGTACGATCCCATCAATGATGACCACAGGTCACGCATTCAAAGATAACACTGTCATCGTTGGTGAGTCCCCCCCTGTCCCCGCCGCCGCTCTCTCCCAATTCATACATACCCTCTTCTAGTCTTTGGTGCCTCCGGTGACCTGGCAAAGAAGAAGGTGGGCCATATGCTCTTCTATCGTCGTCCTGGAGGATCCTGACCACCCAGATAGACGTACCCAGCCTTGTTTGGTCTCTACCGCAACGGTTATCTCCCTAAAGATGTTCATATCGTCGGCTATGCACGCACAAAGATGGACGAAGAAGAGTATCACAAACGCACCACCAGTTACATCAAGAACCCTAACAATGACCCCGAAATCGCTGCTAAAATTCAAGAGTTCAAGAACATCTCCTCCTATGTTTCTGGTGGCTATGATGATAGCCCATCTTTCCAAAATTTGGCAAAACACATGGAGGCAATTGAAAAGAAATACCCAAGTCGCGAAGTCAACCGCCTCTTTTACCTTGCCCTCCCGCCGTCCGTGTTTGTTCCTGTCGCAAAACATGTCAAGGAAAGCTGCTACGCCGTTACTGGAACAAACCGCATTATCGTCGAGAAGCCTTTTGGCAAGGATCTCGAATCCTGTCGGGAGCTCCTATCGTCACTCAAGCTTTCATGGAAAGAGGAGGAAACCTACCGCATTGACCATTATCTCGGCAAGGAGATGGTCAAGAATTTGTTGGTCCTCCGTTTCGCCAACGTCGCCATGGGCGCTGCGTGGGACAAGCATTCGATCAGCAACGTCCAGATCAGTTTCAAGGAGCCCTTTGGCACAGAGGGTCGTGGCGGTTATTTTGACGAATTTGGCATCATCCGTGACATTTTGCAAAACCGTGAGTCTCCTGTGAGCTTGTGTGGGAAGGGGCTTCCACGCTGATGCATGTGCGCACTCAGACTTGCTGCAGGTCCTGAGTATCTTGACCATGGAACGACCGGTCTCGTTCGCGTCAGAGGACATTCGGGACGAGAAGGTTATTCATGTGCACTAGAAGTATTTGTGGTGTTCTCACGCTGGCGTCCCTTTTTCTTCCCAGGTCAAAGTGCTTCGTGCCATCCCACCTATTGAGCGGAAGGATGTGCTTCTAGGCCAGTATGTCGGAGCCAATGGGAAGCCGGGCTATCTGGATGACGACACTGTGCCGAAAGATTCTGTCTGCCCAACGTTTGCTGCTACCACGCTCTGGATTAACAATGAGCGATGGGAAGGTGTTCCGTTCATTTTGAAGGCAGGAAAGGGTATGTCCCACTCCAATAAAATAAAATAAAATAGCCCCTGACAAATCACGCACTACAGCCTTGAATGAGGCAAAGGTTGAAGTTCGCATCCAATTCAGGGACGTGGCACAGGGAATTTTCAACGATATTTCACGCAACGAACTTGTTATCCGCATTCAGCCATCGGAGGCCGTTTACCTGAAACTGAACGCTAAGACGCCTGGATATGCGTTCCGCGCAATGCCGACTGAGATGGACCTTACATACAAGAGGCGGTTCACGGATACAAAAATCCCGGAGGCATATGAGGCACTCATCCTGGATGCGATCAAAGGGGACCACTCGAACTTTGTCCGAGATGACGAACTGGATGTTGCATGGAAGGTAAGCATGCTGCTGCAAGCCATAGCCAGGGAGCGCGATTGATCGCCAATGTACCAGATTTTCACCCCCATCCTGCATTGGATAGATGGGAAAGAAGGACCGCGCCCTAAGCCCTCACCCTACCCCTATGGCTCTCGGGGACCTAAGGAACTTGATAGCTTCATTGAGAAGTTGGGTTACAGGCCCACAGCAGGGGACTAGTAAGCATACACGTGCTCGATTTGGAAGGACTGAACGCTAACTGTGGATGTTCTGCAGCAGTTGGCCTCAGACGAACATGTCAGCTTTGTGAATGGGGTTGTAGTATTAGAATCATTTTTATTGTTCGTTTGCACGAGGTTCTGGTGCGGTGTATGAAAAGTGTTATACTTGACTTGCATGTGTCTTCATGATTTTGGAAATCGGTAGTCATCCATATGCAAAGTTGTGGCGGTTCCGGTCAAGACAGGAGGTTTATGCAAAGGTCGTCATTGGAAGGGCCAAAATCGGCGATCTGTTGCAGTATTAGCTGAATCATTAAATCAAGTAACGTTTAAATAGGGCGTGGAAAGTGTAGTTGGGGGAGCATCGTGAATCTCTTGATTGAACGCTTGAATCTAGTTTGGATCTCGTTCCAGTTGCGTACTGAATCGTCCTATTCGCTTGTGCTGCCTTACCTTTACCAGGTAAGAAACTGCCTTTTGCCTTACCGCGGAGAGCAGGGGGAGCCTGAGCAAATCTTAGACGAATCCTCGAGCTCGTTCTTCCATTTCATCCTTGTAATATTGCTCATGAACTCTGGTACTCGTAAGTCCATATTTATTCGACTCAATCTCACTGCTCATATAATTCTCCTCGTTCTCGAAAGCCCTTCTCCATTGCTCTTTCCCGGTACAGTCTCAGTAACATATCCAATGCAATATCCTTCGCCAAATATCCTTTTGGCTCTCTTACACTGTCCCCTTTGCTCCCCATCTCGTCTTTTGACAGACCCGACCACTCTACGATGCGGTCATACTGTCTGTTCCTCGCATATCACCTCGGATTCATGCCCAGTCCCTTGCTGTTCGTCTACTCCATCGAATTTCACCCCCGTCATTCCAACTAGTTCTCGAGTCGCGTTCTTCCCAGCGACGTCAGAATCCCATGACCATACGAACTCTACCGAACCAGGTGAACGAAGAATTGACGTCAGAGTGAGAAAGTTGGTGGAATTGGTAAAGAATGCCGCAGAGGATTGCGCCGAGCAGCGTGACCTCCTTGTGGACACCTATTCTGACTCTGAAGACGACTCCGACAGCGAACAGCATGAACCACTCGGTCTTCCATCGTCCTCATCATCAGCTGCACGTCCTGTGACACCCGTCTCTGGCCTGTCGGGTTCCATTGATACATCTTCCCCTGCCTCGTCGTCTTCTCGACCACGGAAGCGACGTCGACGTCGACGTCATACGTCCAATTCGCGTTTGCCGGATTTTCATCCTTCTGGCCCAGGGGACGCATCGCTAGCCGAATTTGACAAGAACCTCATAACGGAGTTGACATGTGAGATCTGCTTTATGCTGTTTTACCAGCCTGTCACAACGCCTTGTCAACATGTACGTACCTACAACTTGTGTTCCGCATGAAAGACCCTGACGGCGGCACCACTAGTCGTTTTGCTCCAAATGCTTACAAAGGTCGCTAGATCATAGCATGTTATGTCCGATATGTCGCGTGGAATTGCCTGGCTTCGCTTACTTTCATGAACACCCGCACAACAAAGTTATACTTGCTCTTCGTCAGTACATTACGTCATAGCTCATGCATTCATCTAATTTCTTGTCAATGTACAGTGCTCAAAGCTTACCCTGAGTCCTATGACACAAGGGGACAAGCAATCGTGGCAGAAGAGCGTGACGCGCGTTTAGACACGCCCATTTTTGTTTGCCAATTATCTTTCCCGGGCATGCCAACACTCTTGCATTTCTTCGAACCACGCTACCGGTTAATGCTCAGGCGTTGCCTCGAGGCCCCGACACCAACCTTTGGCATGATAACGCCTCCACGTGCAGCACCTGTTGCTGGTCTCGGCGTTGATGCGGGCGCAGATTTTGGTACCATGCTTGAGATCCGCAGTGTCCAGATGCTGCCAGACGGGCGGAGCATGGTGGAAACTTGGGGCACGCATCGGTTCAGGATACTCGAACGCGGATCTCTAGATGGGTACATGATCGGAAGGGTGGAACGGATCGACGATTATGAAGACCTTTTTGATGACTGGGAGTCTGAGATCGAGGAAAACGCTGATTCCTCGTCATCCGCATCATCATCGTCTTCTAGCGCCTCGGGCCATGCACCACCACCACCACCACCTCAACATCTTCTCTCGCGCATCATGTCGAACCTGTCACAACCTCCATCACCCACCAACCCTCCTCTGAGCACCGCCGCGCTCCTTCAAACATGCCACACGTTTCTGGAGCAGCTTCGTGCAGGCACTGCGCCGTGGGTGGTCCAGCGTCTAAACCACACATACGGTCCGCAGCCGCCTGACGAGGACCCTGATGCGTTCTCCTTCTGGATGGGAATGGTGCTCCCGATAGACGAGCACGAGAAGGCCAAATTACTACCCATTAAAAGCGCGCGTCTCCGTCTGCGGATGGTCGTGGGCTGGATCGAACAGTTGAATAGTAATTGGTGGGTGCTGCACATTATTTTACCCCTATTCTGCTCATGACTGTGACTCGTGGGCAGGTGGTTTTCGAGTGGATGCATTGTCATATAGCCCTGTTCATTCACAACATAATCCCTTGTTACACCACGGAACCAACGTGATCACGATGGAGGAGAGGAAATAAAGAAAAATGGAGTTTGTTTAATGTGTATCAGTACTCTATCCACGTACCGTATCATCCGCACTGATTTTATTTAGTACCATCATCTGCTGGAGTGTATCCTACCCATGCGCTCTATTTATCCCCATTTTCTCTTTAGCTCTTCACTTGGTTACTTCTGCATCGGTTACTGGAATCTGGACTATTAGTATTAGGTTGATTTTTTCCTGTTGAAGTACTTGAAGTACTATATATGCTTGACGGTGCCTCAATGCCAGTCTTGACCCCAACCGCCACATTTTTGGCAAGGGTATAGCGGAAATAAAGCCTGGCCTCCGCAAACAATTAATCGTGCGTGTATAAGGAGCGGGTTGCGAAGTGCCTTCAAGCTAGTAGTAGTTGTTCGGTCACACCACACCGGAGTCACACTCATTAACCAAAGCGTGACGCTCTTCCGAACTGCTTATTCCATTACGCCCTCGGACGTCAGTGCTCAGCGAGCCATGGCGAGCTCAACTCTAGGCCCACCACGGCTGCTCATGCCAACCGTGCGCTCGCCCGCACCTCCGTGCCTACCACAACCACCCCCAAGCCCGCCAACGCGAAGGCACACCTCGTCAAAATTAATCCGTGCGCGCTCCGGCTCGGCAACTGCCATTATGACAAGTGCGGCATTCAATGCGGGGGCAGGGGTGAGCGAGGGTTCCGTTGGGGAGCGCTGGATTGGGAGGAAATCTCGTCTTGAAATTGCTGAGAATCGTGTCGAACTTCAGGGTTACCAGATGTATGCGGTCGAGAAGTGGTTCGTCGCTTGTCTTTGTGTGGAATTTAGCGTGTGTTGACTGACACATAGGATAGTGGAGCGTCTGCGCCCTGTTACAGTGCTCATTGTGTACACGGGAGACCCTTCGCACAAGGTATGTTCCTGTGCTGTAAGCTTCAGGAAGCATATGTTCACATCTCCTTTGCTATGCCTCCAGATTACCGTCACCGTGCTTAAACCTGCTGGCCATTTGACATCCCAGGAGGGAGAGTCAGAACTGACACTCTCTGTTCAACACCTTCGCAAAGATGGAGCCCGACCGAAACAGGTACCTTGGCGCTTGGGCGGTATGCTCGCTTAGTGCTAATATATGCGCCTTAGACGCCCTTGGGCATTCTGATGGTCACTTCTTTGGCTAACTTTCGGTCTGATTATACAATTGTGCAGATTCCCGATGGCGACTTTCTAGCAGTGCAGGAGCGTTTGTACTGCAACATCAATCTACTACGAATGGGATGCAGTGGACGAAGTGCTGTTACGCTCGAAGAACCTGGGTAAGGTTTGGGTACTCGACTTATGTATTCGCTCATCATTTCGTAGCGAGACGACAAAGGAGCGGTTCAAATCATTGTACTCCATTCCTGACACGCCGTCCACGACACATCCATTTCGCTCTAAATCTCCTCCGCATTCACGTGCCCAGACTCGGACTTTCTCGCATTCTCCAAATCCCCTTATCATTCCTGACACATTGAATAGCTCTTCTTCGCATGTCCATTCATTGTACACTGGTGCCTCTCCGCAGCATAGCACTTCAAATATTAATGCACAGCAGTCGCAGCGCCATCCGCACTTTGCAGCTACTGTTCTAGAGCTGGTGAAACTGATACAAGCTGCATTGGCCGTGTGTGGAATGTTCCCACTGACTTCCCTACCTATTTTGGATGGCCTACTTTGCGATGTCACCGTAGATGGGTTGCAAAAATGGATGGTGGAAGTAGGAGAGTGCTTTCCAGGCGTTGAGGTTAGTGAAATAATCATCTATCGACGAGCTCCGGCCGAATTAAGCATTTTTAGGCAACCGAACGTATTGCTGACCCGAATGCAGTTGCCGCGCTGCTTTCATTTGTGCTCTCGGCACGAAATAAACTAGCGTCCCTTGCACAAGCAGTGCCGAAGGACCCATTCCTACATCCATACGCATTAATTACTTGCATTAGTGCATGTGCACAGGCTCAGCTTTTGGGCATCAGCTCACATCCCAATAATGGGACGCACTCGTCGCCAACGCTCTCGCACACGGAGACACCTCTGCTGGTCACGGTATCAGGCGCCTCCTCACCTGGACTGTCAATATCGCCGGCAGTCTCCACTTACTCGCCATCGCCTTCTATTGGTGCAAGTTGCTCAATCGTCCAACCAGCGCTCCCAACTTACTTAAATCTTCACTTATTCACTGCGCTCACGTCCACCCATGAGGCGAGGCTTAAGCATTCTGACTCACGGCGTGTGCAGCGCATCATTTTATCAACTCTTGACCCTACTTCTGAGCCGGACTCTTCTGATGACGAGCGGCGTGGGTTAAGCGGACGTGTCAGGGGCTTTGTGGGGCGCGGTGGCGTGGCTGGTGCGGAGGGTATATTGGCACCCGTGGCAGACCTTGGCACGTTTGTCAGAGCTGTCGTTGGCCGTGATAAACAGCATGAGAAAGTTGGGTCCAGGGCCGAGAAAAACAAATTGGAAAGAGAGCGTGTCAGGAAGGACGAGAAACCGGACGAAGTGGATGAGAAGGAACGGGTAGCCGGCAGTGTGCGTGCGCTTTGGACCGGTAGAGTGGAGGTAGCGGTTCGCTTGCGGGCCCGTGCAGCGGGCCCCACACAAACACTCCATAGAACCCAGGAGAAGGTACGAGAAAAAGATAAGGACAAGGAACGACTTACGTCAAGTGATGTGGATGATTCTGGCATCGTAAAGAGTGCGGGCGAAGACGATATCGATCTTACCTTCGGGGGTGCTTGGTCTGGAAAGGTGCAGAAGAAATTGGAATTCTGGGCTGGGTCGGTGGCTTCTTGGATTCTTCCGCTCCGGGCTGACACCTTCATTATAGCATCAATCGGTCCAAGCGATCGATAGATCTATCATCTCCATTGAGATCTACAGGGCGCTCATCGCTGATAGCAGTGCCGTTGTCTGCACAATCATCTTTATCAGGTCACGTGTATGCCGATACAAGCGTTTTGACTGTACCGTCTGTGGTGTTATCCCCGTGAGTACCATCCCTTGTCTGGAATGATTCGCATTCATTCATGAGAGGTAGGAACAGCGGGGATGACGATGAACTCCTGAGCAGCGGCCAGGTATCACCTATCTGTATGCACACAAGCTACTTATTTGGCTAGACTGTGATCTGATGCATCAAATCCTAGCGATCTCAAGGACACACAACCCGTTCATACTTGACCCTTCTGATGCATCGATCACCGCGCAAGGGTCCACTTCCAATCTTAACAAGGATGATCTAGAGTACAACCGCCGTGTGAAGTCTTTCCTTGCCCGACAACCCAGACGACATAGAGACGAGAGTCGCGTGTCTAGCTGGTCGGGTGTAGGAAGTATAGAAGAAAAAAGAAAGTCTGCTGACAAGTCTACTGAAAGAGAGAGCGAGGCGGAGAGTAAAAGGAAAATGTTGAGGCCTGATATCCAGAGGTAGGCTTATGACTAAATATGTGTGTGTGCTAATACTCGTGCCAGACGGCATAGTTTTCACGACCTGGATTCTTTCCGAGACCTTCGTATCATTCCTTTCAAATGGATGCGAATTGATGTAGACCTTTGCGGCCACCTATTAGTCATGCATCGACGAGAAGAGCATTTGACATGCATGCTTGGCTGCCTCGAGGTGAGCGTTTGTGTTCATGAGTTCCATGGATATGCCCGCTCATTTTGACGTGGTCTAGCGTGTGTCTTCAAACCTGGCAGCGATTAACGCAGCTCTCCAGAAGGATGATAGAGATCATCATGAATTTGTATCTAATCTGTCTAGCCAACTCGAGGTCCTGCAACGCGTGGAAGACGCAAGGGTCACGGCACATGCCAGTCGTCAACAAATCGCAGCTCTCGACTACGAGGCGGGACAGTTCAGACGGCAAGGCCTTTGGGAAGCAGCAATTGCGCCTCGAGCAAAAGTGCTCGAGCTCAGGGGTAAAGTTTTTGGATCGGACACCGTTGGCTCAAGAAAGCGACGGCGGATGCAGTGGACGCTGGGTGGCCAGGAGCGGGAGGTGGATGTATGGGGACGGACGGAGAGCGAGGCGGAGGAGGAACGCCGTGCAGGTGATGGGTTGGGGGATTTGCGGGTGCTTGGTGATGAGACGGATGATGAGATGAGCGAGGCGGAAGAGGAGGACGAACACAAGGACGCTCTGATGCAGCCAATGTGGCTGCTCAAGTTCCTTACCAGGTGGACCGCAAGGTTGGGGTTCTTGGCGGGTCAAAGTGGGGCGCAGGCGTCACCATCTCAGTCCCATGTGCAGTCCCGCGACAGCAGTGCCCCTGCTACGGATTCTCGGGGTACTAACGGTGCTTCCATTTCACCGTCATTACCTTCATAATATTGTACTTCGACGTTATTTCATGCGCGGACTGCTTGGTCAAGGATATATCAAATAATATTTTTATGTACACTAACCCTTGCTACATATGATCTTAATGGAATATTTATGATTTCCTGACCACCTTGCCTTGCGAACGTTTCAAGGCACGTTTCCGATCACGCTCAATGATCTGATGCCAAAGGGGTGAGCAAGAAGTACATAGAACCCGATGTGCGAGGACAAACCTTTTTCTGTTCTGCAGCACTCAGACGTGACACACGTTCTAGCTCTGCTTTCCGCCTTGCGGCCTTCTTATCCTCGGCCACTTCCTCCTTCTTTTCCTTGACAGCCTCTTCCCGGATTTCCTTGTCTACGTCCTCCCGGACCTTTTTCATCTTAGACCGGGTCTCTGGCCGGAGGTTCATCTTCGTTAAACCGTCAATAAATGTAAACATAGCCGAGACAAGTGGAATGGTCTCGGCAGCCTTGTCTGCAGGAGGAACGGCAAGACACAATATGACGTGTTTCTCGCGTTCGGCAGGTGTTTGTGGGACAGCAGGACGTTCACGCGGTTGATCCGTGACGGAAATCGATTTGAAGTATTTGAGATTAATGGGATCCGAAAGGAGCTTGGTTAGTGATAACGTGGGAGTAGCCTTGAACAAATTGTCAGTCACATCGGCCCACTCGGTCATCACAGAGAGCGAAGGTGGAAGTGAGGCATGATCGGCGGTACGGGTGAACGTCTGTGGCGTGTAAGTTTATTATAAATTGACTGTTAGCGTATGAGGCTAACCAAATCCCAGCGTTTATCCTTGATGCTGGCGAATTCATCCTTTGCGAGGACCGCCCATACGTAATCTGGGATGCTTGCAGCCATCTCCGCGTCGAGTTTAAAGTCGAGCATGAGTTCATCGTATGGATTGTATCTGAGGTCGTACATTTGCCAGCCGAAATGATAGAGAAGTTGCAAGGGATCTTGGCGTGGGCGAAGTGAGAAGACGGTATGCAGGGACGCAATAGCGCGTCGACCAGTGGAGAAATTGAAAAAGTCCGTGTAACCATCTGCAATAAGCCCTGAGGCGGTTGTAGCTGAGGAGAATTGGTCTTGAAGGAGTGGAAGGTGAGCATTATACCTAAAAGTGCGTTAAATATGACCTGAATTGAGGGTAAGACGTGGACGTACCAGGAGTTGGCTCTTTTGGAGTTGACATATTTGCCGTAGATAGCTATGGCTATATATGCCAACAATCCGGCTAAGAGATACGCCTGGTTTACAAAGACTGCGCCATGGAGTGAGTACGTTAGAAAAGAACCGTTGACATGCACTTACGCCCTGGACGAAAGACCAAAAATTTCCATGAAATTTGCCAACCATCATAGTCCGTTGGTTGTACAAAAGGCGGGGGTGTCATAACACCAAGAATTTTGACGATGAGACTTGCCATGGCCTGCTTATAGTACTTGTCCTCGGGATGAAGACTTCAAAGTCAACTCTTAAGGAACACTTGGGAATTTTCGGAAAGAAGTCCGGGGTTCGGTAATTTCCGGAGGACGTTCGATCTGGCATCAAGAATGGGCTCAGATCGCAGCAGACAAGGTAGAAGAGGCAAGAAAGTTGTGAGTCCCATCATCCCCTCGCTCTTTCCTTCAGACACTGACAATGGATCCATCAATGCTTGACACAAGGTCATTGCTCGATCAATTTCGAGTCGAAATGGAGGTAAGTTCAAACCAATCCGTAATTCGGTGTTTCTAACTTTATGTGAAGCCAAGACAAAGCCAGCCAACCGACTATGGGCGCTTTGTTGTGCATATTGTCAAGCATATGACACAGCAGTCGAGCGCTATTGATCAAGCCATGTTGCGTCGCGCAATCGGACTCGCATCGTCGTACCTTGTGACTGATACGAGCACCAATTCCGAGCGTGGCATCCAGACATGGTGTACTGGGTTCCATCGTCTCGTTGACATTATGGTTGTGTTACATTCAAGAGGGGAGCTGGAACTTGAGACGGTTAACGAGGCGTCGAAAGCGTGTTCTGAATGTTGGAGTGTCGCCGGAACATGGCGAGGAATGGAAGATTGTCGTCAGGGGGTGAAGGAAGTTGCTGCTAAGCTTAAAAAGTTGCTTGATGAGCCTCACAGAAGAACGTATAAAGGATCCAAAGTGTATACCCCAAGCAGTAGTTGACTTGTATGGTACAGCAGGCCGTCCCATAACATTAATAGGAGAAATAGCCCCTGCAGCAGCACAGCCTGATGTAATAAGCCGTATATTGACGACCACTTACATATCGGTACAGTGACATCGACTAGTACTGCGGGGCTCCAGCGTTCCTTGTCATGAGCACTCCAATGTCTCCTCCAGCCTCTCCCTCGACTTCAAAACATCGGCCACGTCGACCAACTCGTCAGATACCTTCCATCCCAAATCAAATTGATGATCCGCAGGATTCTGTTCCTTCCGAGGAGCACTATCTCGCTCTGACACCTCTTCGTGCTCACTACCTGAAGAAGTCACTAATACAACTTCAGTTCCACAAAGAATTAGATGCTATAACGAATGCACCTGCTGATGGCGTCTCCACCCTTGCATACCTTGGGCCCCCATTTACACCGCCCCCAACGAGTTCTAAACCTCTTGATTTACCCTTCTTGAAGTATATCTTCCGCCAATTTGTTTTAACATTTCCCCTCCTCGCAGCTGCAGATAAAAGTTTCTATCCAAATAAACTACAAGTCTTTGTTGCATCCGCTCTTGCGAAGAACATATCTCCCACCTCATTACTTGAGGATGAAAACGACCCCAAGGCTGCTCGCCTCAAATTACTTGCCAAATTAGAGCGGAACTTTGCCCTCTTTTTCAGCGCAGGTACAAAGCTAGTGGAACAAGAGGAGGTCGTCCGGCTTAACCAACATGACCTCGATCGGCTCGAGCAGCTCGCTAAGAAGCGGCAGGCACGGTTAGCCAAACATCGCGACGTATTCGAAGTAAATATTGTGTGTGTGAGGACTGTCACAGACAAGGGCCGGGTCCGTAGTCGTGTTCACGAGGTTTGCTGGCATAAATCGATTATCAATCATCGTTCTCCTCATTACGTTGTGTAGGAATTTATCATCAGGACCCGGCTATCAGAGAATAGGGAGGTTTGCGTGTCTCGAAGGTATGGCGACTTTAAAACGCTTGCAGATGAGGTACGACTTTGTACGCCTCAACCCTTGACACAGCCCATCACATCTTCTGTGTAGCTGCGCAAATTTCATCCTGAAGAGATTGTACCTTCCCCGCCAGTCAAAGATCGCACAATTGTCAATATTCCCCGCTCGACATCTCCTCCAGATGTCTCCATCGTGTCACGGGTGCAACGTTCCACCTTCTCCGATAACGGTGCCACGTTCTCAGACGACGGTTCATCTGAGTCGCTCCCACAATCTCCATCCTCGCAGCAGTTTGGGAATTCGAAACCTCCGCCGCAGCTCTCCCGAGAAAAGAACAGGCTGACCCTCAGAGCTTACCTGCACTCACTCATGAGTAATGGGGTAATAGGGAGCTCTCCCGTGCTCAAATCTTTCTTACTCAGCGGACCTACTAGTCTGAGTCCTGAAGAGGTAGAGGATTCTCGGAGAAGAGAAGACGCAGACAGAATTCGTGAAAACGGGAGAAAACGGTTTGCGCACGAAATTGCTGGGCGCGTTGATGGTTTACGAGATGCAGTGAAGAGCGTCAAGGGGGATATTATGGGGAAAGGTTTGTCAACTTCAGGAGCACTTCACTAAACTCACATGTTTATAGATGGTCTTAGTCATATTTTCGCCATAATCAAGGTGACTCCCGATATAAACCAATTACCTCCTAATTACCGGGCTGTGACGGAATGGGGAAGAATAACGTGCGTATATGCTTCTTTCCATGACAAGATTACTGATCGTTTTGGTAGGCTAGCCTCGACGATTTTCCAAATGTTTGTGGCATCCGATACTGCATCGGAAACATTCGCAAGCATGAAGCGTTTACACGGACTAATGCCTTACTTTTTGCTAAGGACAGCACTCAAGATAAGCAGTCCAGTTGCCATGATACGCAGTAAGGTGCACATGCCCCTCAGGACTCATGTATTAATGAAAACTAGGTGTGGTGGACATCTTTCTAGCGACTCCCTTCGGTGGAAGAAGTCTCCTTCAACGGTAATCTAAAATCTATTTGGTTAGCAGCCTGTTAACGCCTTCCCAGAATGTTCTCTGGCTCCCTCACGGAAGAGGTTAGAATCATTGAAGAAGATATCGAAGCTGTAAAAGCCAAAGTTGATGACTCTGTCATGTGTGAGAAGCTCCGCCTATTTGTCAACGCCCCGCGCGAGATCCAGGACACGTATCGAGCGGATGCAGTGCAGGGGAAAATTCCTCTACTTGCGGTTGTTCTGCGCTCTGGGGAAGAACCCAGGTTGGATCGTGACCAATTACGCCGAGTGCACCGGGCGCATCTTGCACATGCGACGTATCTGAGGGAGCGGGAAAATCTTGTAGACTCAGATGATGACGATGGGCCGCGCGACGAGGAGGCATGGCTTTTTGAAGATCTGAAGGTGCTCGTGCAGCTTTACTCCCGATTGAGAGATCGGGAACAGTTAATTGCACTGATATTCGAGGCAAGCCCGCTTGACCAACGGTCAATATTTTTTGCTGACGCAGTCCCAGGGTGTTACTGCCGAGTTACTCAAGGAGATCATCTCCATTTTCTATGCGCCATTAGCCCAGGTATACAAGGCTGCCAATATTGGAAATTCTGTATCAGATCTGCAGAATTTCATCACCGATTTAATTAAGGTCGTCGAGGCTACAGAAGAAAGTAAGCTCTTCGCACCGATTCTTAACGAGGAATGTCTAACCATCGAGCGATTAGTGACTGAAGAAGATCCTCAGGCTACTGTGCAAACCTTCATTGATCTCGTGGGTCGGCACGAACAAGCATTTTACTCTTTCGTGCACAAGGTACATGCAAACGGGAAGGGTTTGTTTGAAAGCTTGATGCGGTGGGTTGAGCTATTCCTTACTGTCGTCCGGGAAGGTCTAGGATCACCGGTGTCACTTGAATTTCTACTGCCACACGGCGGGCGAGAGCGCACGAACATGATGGACGAGATAGATGAGGTCGCTCGGTACCATTACAAGCTGAAGATCGCGCATGAGGAAAAATTGCGCAGGCGATTCACGCGGGCTCAAGGACATGATGATGCAGACGCCGAAGACGAAGCTACGCAGGCTCTGGTGCATGGCGTGGTAGGGGAAATTAATTTCGGGGAACTGGTGCAAAGTGATGCTCTCGATCTTGCCGCGGAGGAAACAGATGACGAAAGCGATGAGTATTCGAGTGAGTACGAAACGGACAGTTCGGGGAGCTACGAAGACGCCGAGAGCGAGGAGAGCGAGGAGGAAGGGCCAACTCCAACGCGGTCCCGAGTTCAGACAGCTAGGCCATCTCCGCATATATCGCCCCTGCCAAACCCGTTGACGCCTCCACCTATACAACAACCTCCCCCTTCTGTCCGCCAGCGATCTATCTCATTACGGAGCACGAAATCTGCCCATTTCTCTCATCGGTCGAACTGGAAAGATGCCCCTCCGGTCCCACCATTACCGCCATCACTTCATCGTGCGGACAAGCCGTTACCCCCACCTCCCCCCGCTCTAACTGCACGTTCCGCGGAAAACCTTCGGTGCGCACCAGATCACAAACCGCACAAACCGAAGGGATCCACGAACACGCTCAAGCCTCCTGATCTTATTTACATCCCGCGGCTGTTGCCATTATTTGCTGAAGTGGTTAGTCTAGCTTCTCCTGTCCAAACTTAACTTCAGACTCACTGCTTCCTTGCAGATGCGACCAAACCTACGTAGAAATGATACATGATAACGTCGGATTTGGGAAAGCTGTTGTATTTATAAATCATAGGGATTCTACGTAGATCGATGTTCTACTGAGAGTTCTGCCGGTAAACGCTGTAGTGGAATAAATGACTCGTTCCAGGATATTTGAAGGCGAAGCGAGATTTGCGCGCGTTCACTCTGGATTCGAAGAGCAAGATCATGCAGGTCGGACGCAGAACGACATCACGTTGTGAAGTTTGCGACGCAAATACCTCACTAGATGCCCCGAACAGAATTCCCGAACCGGTTGGCGCAAAGAGTTTACCGGATTACTTACCAGTCGAAAGTCTGGAATACGCGTAGTGCTGGTCACTCTTGATGTAGGTGGCTTTCACAGGTGTTGTGATGCTAACATAGGGATGCACCATCAATCACCTTGAACAAGGAATAGTAGTTTCAGATCAAGATAGAGGGCACAAAATATTGGCACACTTTCACAAGTCACCGAACTCCTTATCGAATTCTTTCTGCGATACAGCTCCCTTCCGCAGTTTTTTGGCCAATCGTTCTTCGCGTGCCAGTTCGTCCCAATCGTCCTCGCCTCTGCTCTCCTCTGGCTTGTCTCTGCTAGTTTGGAGGGCACCTTTTGAGTCGCCACTGCCAGCCGTTTGGCTTTTAAGCCATTGCCTTTTTCTCTCCTTTTTTGTCCGGCGCTTGTCTTTGTCTTCCCTGTCATCAGCTTGCTGACTCCATGCAGCATTCCGCTTGCGTTTGGCAGCTCGAGTCTCGGAGTCGTGCTTTATTACCGCCTTCTTCGAAGCTTCTTCAACTCGCTTGGCCTCCTGTGCCTTGTCCGCATAAGAGTATGAATCCCACTTCGTTCATCAGCGTAATCAGCATGTGCGATACCCGAGAAATATTGAACATACGTCGAGTTTTTCGTTTTCCCATCGTGACTTGTCACGATCTTTTAGTTCGGGCATCCGTGGCAGACGCAGCAGACCGAAGCTTTTGGCAACACCTATTAAGTCTAGGTCTTTGATTCGGAAGATGTAGGAAGCCTCATGCTTCGAGTATGCACGAACGAAGGAGACAAACGCCATCACAGCCTGTTAAACTGTGAGAATGGACACACATGTCAGGTTTAGAAGAGGCAGCTACCTTGTCATGCAGCGCGCGATCTGTCATCACAGTTCGTCTGATCTGGGACATAAAGGTATTGACGACATCATCCTCTGTCGAGGAACAATCTGTATCCGGTCTTGTTCCTCCATCCGCTAGTATGTATGGATGCTGCTTGATTGGAATTTTTCGTACGGACAAGAAATCTTTTAACGCGGCCGTCAGTCAGGAGACGCCATGCGAGCGGGTATGAAAACAGACCAATGTACTCAATTTCTCTTTCTACTAAGAGCGCGTATGCCTTCCCACTCCTTCCAGCTCTAGCTGTCCGACCGCAACGATGGGAAAAGGCTTTTGAATCAGATGGGGGGTCAAATTGAATAACAACATCAACATGAGGAATGTCAAGTCCTCGGGCTGCGACGTCCGTAGCAAGAAGCACTGAAGGGGAAGAGGTCGAAGACAAAGTTGAGGAAAAGGCCGAGAGAGCACGAGTGCGAGCTGCGGGAGGGAGGTGTCCATGGAGGGAATGTAGTTGGACATTTGATGGTAACAGTGTTGATAAAATCTGGATCCCAATTGAAATTCAAAAGTAAAAGATCTATGCAAGAGCGCTCACGCGATAAAAATAATCAACGCATGCGCAAGTTGCGAAGTACACAATGAAGTGTGGTGCGTGATGAGATGACGACTCCTGCTTGATGATACGTGTCAGCTGGACCAGCTTTTCGGACGGGAGACAGTTGATATAGAAGTTTTGAAGTCTAAGGAGAGAGGAGTATAGGTAAGTCATGTTACGTAGCACATACACCTTACCCTGCGGGTATTCGCCTTTCCTCGATGACTTGGTTTTCTTGTAAGGTTCCTGACTTCGTTGCCTTTGTTCTCTTTGATTGCACTTTGACAACGATGCGAGCAGGATTTCGCAAGCCAACGCGAACCAATTCAGAAATAGCATCAGCGTCCGTCATCGTCGCGCTGAAAAGACCAGTTCTCCTTTGTTTCGGAATATGAGTGATAATGCGAGTCAGAGCAGCTTGAAAGCCTAGGTCAAGCAAACTTTTTGACATTTTCAGCAAATAAGCTCCTACGTCTGTGAATGGGAGACTCACCGGTCTGCCTCATCCAATACCAACACTTCCAACTCCTTGACGCTAACAATAGTTTTCCCTTTTCCTATAAGAAATTCTTCCATACGCCCAGGTGTGCCGATGATGATGTCAGCCCTAGTAGACAGAAACCGCTGTATATCCTGAGCTGGGGAAGATTTCTCCGATGAAATGAGTAGAAGGGGTGGAGGAAATCCCGCTCCTGAGTATTCAGTGTCTGCTGGAGGTGGCGATGATCCTTTTCCACCTTCAGACTCATTTGATGTGTTATTGTCTGGTTGGGCATTCAAGAAGAGAGAAAATACGGAATGGATCTGAGTAGCGAGCTCTCTTTCGAAGGACTAGAATTATATTTTGAGTAACTTGAGAGTTCCTCACAAACTCACCTCGTAGGACTGATTATCAGTGCACCAACCTCATTTCTCCTGAGTCTAGCATCCCTTCTGATAAGACGCTCGAGAATGGGGATGACAAACGCCAGTGTCTTGCCAGAACCTGTCACAGCCTCAACTACTACGTCTTTATGCTGCATAAACAGCGGTATTGTGGAAGCTTGAACGGGCGTCATTTTTGTATGCCCCATCGATTGTATAACATCTAGACTATAAGACTTTGGTCTCACTATATGAATGCTTGAGGTTTAAATGACAGTGAACTCACACCCATGGTGTTAATGGTGTCGGAAGCGACGACCACAAGCCAGCAAATGCAGCAGATTGCGACATGCTTGGGCAATACGTTCGGAGGTGACCCAATGACTGTAAATCTGTATAACTCACTCAACGATCACAGTCGCTGATAAGTTGTGATGCTATACCAAAAACTTTATTCCGAATCATTGAAAGTCACGAGGTCACTGCTACAGTGGCAGTGCAACTCACAAGAACTGTAACACTCGAATCCGTTCTAAAGACAACCAATGCTACAAGTAGACAACCTCTAGGTGTTCACGATCAATGTAGAAACTCGATTCATTCGGTACGCTCATAAAATCAACCTTGACCAATCCAACTCCGTGCAGTATTCCCCATTGCTTGAATGTTTTTTCCGGGGGATTGATGACCTTGAGCCCAACGAGGGCATTAGGTTCGAGTGTACAGGTAGTAGTGGCACCGGCGTTTTCTGAAGTTCTCATCAAAATGAGACCGACCGACCTGCACTGGACTTGTACAATCTCGCGTGATCCATCATGGCGAAGCGAATAATTGACGATCCCGAGTGCATAGTGGTGATATTCGGGGCGCGGCATGATCACCTGCAATGCAGTGATATCAAGCTTGATGGTTGGACATAGCGGGCAGTCAAACACGATGCGTTCATATCCATTTCCCAACACCGTCCTCGAACGTGGATGGAGAGGGAATAACACCAGAGGCACTCGCAAGCCGAGACTAGTCATGGTCATCTCCAATTGCATTCTACGTGTAGTAGGCAACCCCAGATTTGGATGGCCTACAAAGCTCTGTGGCGACTGAGGAATCGCACGTGAAGTGTGATGTGAGGCAGCGGAGCCTTTCCAGTTGAAGACAGATGGGTCACCAGCCTTCATGATGGCCTCGGTGAGTCTGGAGAACGCACGTTCTCCTCCTTCTCCATATGCGATCTGCATGCTGACATCGAAAATTCCCATCAGGGAATATGCCACGTCTTCGACCCTTGTTGTTCTGCGTCTGGCTGCCCACGTCATCCGTTCATCCACCCTGTGATACGCCTTAGGGTAAAATGCGTGTAGGTCTTCACTGGGAATGCCAGTGGCTCTCTGCAGAATCCCAAATATCTCGATCGACTCCCGACTTTTGTCGTTTCGATCACCTGTCAGGGGCATCCAGTGCTTGTTGTAGAACTTGATCCTTTGGGGTGCAAGAAGTTCTTGCAACGTCCAGCCTCTCTCCATCCATTCGTCGCTCATCATGAGATTTAATGTCTCACTTTGTGCCAGATGGACGATGCAAATAGTCGAGTTTCTGTACCACCGAAACATGGAGCGGATCGAATCGTCGAGCTCGGTACTGCTACTCTTGTCGATGCAGCACGTATCTGACCACACGAATTCCACGTCGTATTCCTGGGCCTTCTCACAAAAATTCTTCAGCTTCTCGTATCCCAGACCTGTTGCCTTGTCATTCTTCATCTCTTCATATGTTGGTTCTCCCTCATCCAGCCATCGGTGAGACAGAATGGCATATTTGACGGTTTGAGAGGGATGATAATTCCAATCCCTCCCTGGAGGGACAGAGCTCCGAAAGTGCTTCTTCACATCATCACGCCCAACAAACTTCATGTTTGATAGGCGTATGAGGCGGATCGGGATATCGTTCATAACATATCGGTCAAAGCTCTCCAGGCTCGGTGGCGGTAACCAACTCATGACAGGTCACTACTAGCCGCATACCACGATGAATTGGTGGGACAAAATAATGTAGGACACAAACAAATCTCACCTGCGTGCACGTCAAGAGATGTTCTGCTGATGCGTCTTTTGCATGAGGTCCCTGCGCTGAACTCGACCAAATAGGTAAGATTTCAGTATTACTATCTCATTGTGCAGCTAAATCCCGACTTACTACTCAGGCGATGTTATAGTAGACTGATGAAAAACGGTTTTGAACACTGATACGGGTCTGTGCATTCAAATCGTCAACCGAAGGTCCGAAACTGTCACGATGTTGATCAACAACGTATTTGAAACTACCCCCTGGTTGACCGACATGGGAATACGTTCCACAGCCTAGGACGCACGTACGTACAATTTGTCCCTAAGGTACCTATGATAACAACTATTAGCAAGGGACTTCTTATGAAATTCCGAACTCTAGAGTGTATGATAAGATCCATGAACGTGCATCCTATTGACATATACTCCGGATTCACTCAGCAAAGGGGGTCACGGTACGTAGGCAGACGTGTTGGGATGCTTCACGAATCGATCGTCCGTGCAGATGTGGCTGTGCGATTATCTGGACAACCCAAAACATCGGGTCATTCATTAATGCATCATGCATCATTCTTTAACCGTACATGGTCATACATGCATGTATACAAATCTTGCATATATATATTATACAAAGCAAGTAGTTTAACATCAAAAAGCGTGCGATGAAATGGTGAATCGCTTGAAGGTATATCTGTCTCGAAGTATGAGTAACGGACAGCAAGATAAGTGAATTGACTTCATACCCGAGGAACGCAAGGTCCTTTTGAGCATCAGCAGAATCCGCTACCGGGGCTTCAGCTGGCGCTTGGTCAATCTCGTCCGTAGGGAAGTATGACGTATCCGTGATGGAGCGAAGATGCGGTACAAAAGGCGCATCAATCACGCGTATAGTGTCCCACTCCACGCCATAAAAGAACGGGTGTTTCTTGATCTGTTCGATACCCAATCGCCGATCGGGAGATGTAATGAGTCTGCCGAAGATGTCAGCAAGACTATTCAGCAATCATATTTTGGATATCATACCGCCGGATCAGATCTTCGGCTTCTCGACTTAGATGGACATCGTCTGGGAACACTAGGTGGTATTGCCATTGCATGATCTTTTGATAGGTCTCGTGCGTGGATTCGGAGCAGAAGGGAGGGTATCCGACGAGGCATTCGAACATAATTGCACCTAACGACCACCAATCACATTCATTGCCATAGCCTTTCTGCTGAAAGATTTCGGGGGCAATGTAATCAGGAGTTCCAACAGTCGAATATGCCTTTATACGCAACCAAGTCAGTGCTTGCTGCGGATATGGCAGTGTTCTTACCAATTTCCGGCGGTTGGCTTTCCATGTAGCAATCTGGTCTTTGCTTGACATAGTCAGGTGTATGGCATTGACCATGACACTGTTACGGGCAGCGGCAGCCGGTGACTGTACGCCGTCTAGAAGCCGCTGGTAATAACTTGAATCGTGTTGCTTGTGAAAACCAGTGGACAGTCCGAAATCAGACAGCTTTATGTGACCATCCTTGTCGATTAGGATGTTGTCCGGCTTGATGTCCCTGCAAGAACACGTAAGTTCAGCACAGCGAAGAAAGACTACACTGACCTGTGGATGAAGCCAAGCTTATGGACAGTGTCGATGGCAAGTACACATTCTGCGATGTAGAACCGAGTGACGTCCTCGGAGAATGTGTCATATTTAATGAGCATGGTCATGAGGTCACCACCAGGGAGGAACTCCATGATAAGATACAGCGTCTGCGCGTCCTGGAAGGAATAAAACAGTTGAACCACCCAAGCGGAGTTGGACTCGGCCAGAACATCGCGCTCGGCGCGGACGTGGGCCAACTACGAATAAAGTTCCAGTCGCCTGCACCTATCACAATGAAGAAAGACATACCTGGTCCTTTTTCAACATCTCTTCCTTCTTCAAGGTCTTCATAGCGTAAATTTTACCTGTATCAGTCTTTTGGACCAGCCTGACCTGCACACAATGACACCGTATAGTGCATGACGACCGCGTTGACGAGACCACCCACCTCACCGAAAGCACCCTTCCCAATCACCTTGACTGTTCTGAAGTCCTCCAAGCCCAACCGCGTCCGCCGAAGTCGAAGATAAGTAGACTCCTTCTTTCCCAGTTGTTGCAGTTGACGATGTTTTCTGTCTTCGGACGTCATGACATCGGCCTGCAGCTTCCTTTCAAGCTCAACACGCCTGCAAGCAAACCCATCAGAGCCGTCTTCCAGGTCAACCAGCAATTTTCAACGTACCTGGTATTCCGCTCTATGGCAGCCTCTACAGCAACCTTGTAGAAAAGCTCCAGCTTCAGCTGTGCGGCTTTTGCGCGGTGAACAGCGTCATCAGAGAAACCAGCAGGACTACGCTCAAAAGTGACATAGTCGGCTGGTTTGCCTGAGCCTGACGAAGTGGTCGACTGACTGCTCGAGCGTTGCATGACAGTGACTGGGCCCACCGTGTCGCCTATCCTCAATTAATGGTTGGGGTCAAGTATGTTGATCGACTGGTCAGCTAAGCGTTACAGGAAAAGAATCTAGAATCTAACGTTGTGATGGTAACTTTTGAGTTGTGCCGATATGATTTCATATTGTGATAATGTAGGTATTGATAAGACAATGGATTGCATATTATTTGGGCTACATCTGAGGACCGTATATACACGAAGTAAGATATCATAATGGGGGTGGGTAATGAGCGCGTAGGACGCCTGATATCTGAGACCTTGTAGTACACTTGAGTGAATGGCAACGTAACGATATGGTAGATCACGGGTATCTGTCTTTAAAATCAGATTCTGAGGCCCATCGGACATGACCCCCTTGGCTTGACTTAGATCGAGGATATTGAGGAAGTGAATGATGAGAAGCCGAATAATCAGGTACATAAGGTGAGCGGAATTGTAAAGCAGGCGTTCCCGGGCTACTTGCAGGCGTAAGTGATTCATAAGATGATGAAGGTCGAGGGGGCGTTGAAAACCTGTTCTTGGCACCACTTTTACACCACATGCATAAGGTAGGTTTCGGACTTGACCGAAGTTTGGCAACTTACCTGTATGAGAAGCGTGGCCCTGGATTGACAGCTGACGCTGGATGTAAATAGGATGATACCGCTGAGCTGTATATGCCATCAATCAGATGACCAACATCAAAATGGCAACTGTTATCGCTTACGAGTAGAGTGAAGCAGGATTAATCGTTGTTGAGTCAGATGTATGCTCCCAAGGATCGTACATGAGGTTGGATGAGGTTGCATAGGCAACCGATGGGTCAAAATTGAGTCGGGTGGCGGGAAAGCTTTTTCCTGGAGGCGTTAAATGCTTCGAGCTTGAGGGCTCGAGATAAGAGCCATGGGAAATGCGCCGATGCGAAGTCTCTGGGCATGGCTCAGCGGGGGAATATGATGAAGAGGGACGGTGCTGTCCACGATGAACGGGGGTTGAATTAAAAGAAATGCGATTGGGTGGGGATTGTGCCGCAGAGCCACTGGCATGGTACATCGAGTGTTCGTACGGAGGTCCATCAAGGCAAGGACCTACAACTGTGAAGGGTGGAGGGGGCGATAGAACCGGTTGATAGTCCTGGGGCTCTAATTCCTCTTTAAGAGGACCAATTGGGTGGATGGCAGCTGGTTTTCTACGGGAATATTGAGCATCTGCTGGATTTGGAGGAAGGGGGCGAGCTCCTCGAGGTGTACGCTTCTGTATGCGAAGCGGTTGCACTGAGGTCTGGAACAAATCCTGTTTCTGCTTCTGCTCCTCTGGTTCCTTGGAATCTTTGCTGTCATCCTCGACGTGCTCTTCCTCGACGTTGTGGATGGGGATCTTGGATAAGAGCAGCTCTTGGAGTTTCTTCTCAACGATTTTCCGGTCCTGCTGGGAGAGCTCGTATGAAGGCGGCGGGTTACAAGAATCACTCATTGTGAAACACGTTTGGTGCTCTAATGAGGGACGGCAAGGACATCGAACAAAATCGAAGATGGGTGTTTCGTTAAGAGAAGAGATAAACGCCCAGATGGGCCAACGAATAGGTGCTACCAGCCTATGTTAGCACAGCAACTCCGTAGCCCTGACACTCTCTGACAGATATGTCACATTTCGCTTCTATCCGATTCCGACGTGTGAACTTCCGGAGGCACTACTCAAAGTAGAGGGATGTGTCACAGGTACAACTGCGAACTTGGCGGCACGAGGAGCGCAAGGATCTCCGAAGGAACTCATTAGATGTGATCCATGAACCCATCCATGACCGCACTCATTTGCTATCATGAATCACATCATGAACAGCAAACTCATCGGGAATTGTAAAGCAGTGAATTTCCAAGCCAACCTATCTTGAAAGAGCATGGATCCAGCACTTCACAAGGAACCACGTAACAGTCCAAAAACTACAAGCGCTCACTGAGTAATACTCTGCAATACTTCTACTGTAAAAGTTTTAAATGAGCTTTGGCGAATACGGGAAATAGTAATATCCGAAATAAATTAATCTCACCAGCTGCGTTCTTCGATGCCACAGGATGGTGAACAGCGGGCTGCGGTAATACATACTTATAGGTGTAGTTCACGTGCACCATATATGGGCACACTAGAACACCTATAGCTCAATACCCTCTAGGTTCGTGCCCTTGGCCCAGCGTCACATGTTGATACCTGCTGACTCAAAAAGAAACTCACCAGCTTGGGTAGGCGTAAATATACATCCGTTCCTTCATAAGGTCAACACGAGGCCCGAAGTCGACGGACAAAGCTTACTCACCCCAACCATCCAGGGACACCAAATCCAGGGTACCTCCAAAATACCTATAAAGTCACTCAGTTGACGTTTTGAAGGCACTGGCAAATAACCACATACGTTGTAAAAATGTTGCTCATAGGCAAGCCCAGCCCGATTCTGGGATGTGGCGCAATGCCAGCCTCGCGTTCAGGGTCTTTATTTTCTGAGTTTACATTCGACTGTTCTATCCGCCATGGGCGTATTTGCTCCGCAACAGTCGCTTTGACGCCTCTCGAGCTGGCAGAGCGTAGTGCGCCCAGCCGCGTGTCATCCATGCGTGTTGCATTGCGGATGTGGGAGAAAGAGAAGAGATCGGAGGGTGACTTTATCCGAGCTGATGAGAGACCACCACCTATAGAGATCGATCTTAAATTGCCTGTGGGCGAGCCAGGAGCCTAGAAGGTGCTGACCTTGATCAGATATTCTCACTCCAACGTCGTTCTCGCCGGCAACGATGGTGGCACGTATAGGAGGAAGGGTAGATGAATTCTTGTGATTGAGTACAGTAGCCGTCATCGCCTATAACGTCGTGAGCCAATTACTCTTTTAGATGTGATCCGGGAAATATGCACGTTTTTGAGAAGTTCAAAAAGAATGTACCTAGAGAATGAGGCATGGGTGAGATTAAACAAGGTGTGAATGAAAGGATTTACTCGAGGTGTTCACGGATGTAGGCAAACTTAGTGTCGACGTGACCGTCAATGATGACTTCCGACCATCCACGATTCGGCACGCTCTCCCCGGTTTCATCTTCCACATCGTGTGGCCTGCCACGCAAGAGCGCGACACACTTGTCGATGGAATGCTTGAGGTTGAGTGCCGTGTAAATGATGCCGACATGTGGGTCTTCGGGGAGGTTTAGGCTGTTGGTTCCAAGGGAGTTCGAGAGCGCAAGGTGATGTTCAGCGAGAACACGCCTCGAGATTCGGGATACGAGCATACGTCTCATGAATGCATCTAGAGCATCGGGTGGAAGGTGCGGAGATGACAACGAGAGTCCCAGCGACAGACTTGGTATGACGGGTGCACTGGCATATTAGTAGTCAGAACGAGGGGCACGGCTGACCAAAGATAGTGTATTACTGCTCGTCCAAGATACCCTCGAGGAACTCACAAAAGGCCCCATTCTCTTCCAGGGTGGTGACCTGGGGGTAGCGTCGAAACCTTATAAACAAGTCAGAAAAAATGCGTTCTGCACAATCGGGTTTCTGACTTCTCAAACGCAGACCAATATAACTGTGTAAAGTTGCCCGACGTCAGGAACAAGCTATGAAGTAATGTTACTGGAACAAACCTCGTAGACTTGAGCTACACCCTCCTGAGTTACCACTACATACGGAAGGGCTTGTAAGTCCCTCAGCCTGTGTGCAATGCGGACAGGCAGCTCGGTGCGGACATAATTAGCGCTCTATAATAAATGACATTGAACATTGGCGTTGGCGTTATGCTCCTTCAAGCGCTCACCTTTATCAGTTTCTCCTCGTCCATAGACCGCCCAAAGAACACCTATCACACCATGAGTATGTCGATAATTTTTTTACAAAAGCAGTTTCACGAGCTGTCGGAGGCTCAGCCTGTGTGCTTCCTTTGAAGCATAGAGCTCTAGCTGGCGGTTTTGATAAAAGTGGAGCGCGGTTGACTGGGTCTGGACCTGGCTTGAAGAGTGCCTTGCCAAGTTTCGGGCGCAAGGGCATGCACGCCAGTTATTTCGAAACCGCCATGACATGGTCGAATGGAAGGTGCGAATGATGGTTCAAATGTTCATGAGTAGTACTAGTACGAGCCGATGATCCCACTGGCAGGAGTTTACTACAAAACCCAAATCGGTTCACCAGTAGCGTAAACTACTCCCCTGAAGGAAGGCAGTCCTAGCTACAAAATGCCCTCTGATTTTAATGCGCCAATAATCAAGAAAGCCGATCTACGGTCTCTATCGACTCCTATCCAATCCCCCTTCTTCTCAGAAGCCAATCCTTCATCGCCAAAGACATATACATCATCTGGATTTTCTTCCGACTCTGCTTTCTCCTGTGACAACTGTCTTTCCTCTTCCTCACGATCCCAAAGTACCTCTTCCCACTGAGAATCGCTGATGGTGACTGCCACTGTTTTAGCCTCTCGAATATTTGGGAGCACAGATGTGAGAAGGTTGGATAAAAGTTCTGAGGTGCCATCTGCAGTTTGAGAGTGAAGAACCGGTAACGGAAGATACTCGGCCTGTGCATCATGATAGATTACATATGCCACCTGCGAAGTTTGATTGCTCACCTCAAGAAGCATACCTTTGACGGCACCACCAGCAAGTACTACATTACCAACACGGACGAGCCAATCATTGCCAATAGCGAAAACAAAACCCTCCACAGAGAGTTGCTGACCACCCTGACTTCTTTGTGCACCAGGAGCTGTTTGTCTGACGGGGATCCAGCGTGCTCTCAACTGATGCAGAACTTGTTCTAATGCGCCGGGCGGACGGAGTGTGAGGAAAGTAGTTCGGTAGTGTGGTGGGACTTGCAAAACGGTAGTCTGTGAGTTCTGAACACTCATTACAATGTCTGCACGAGTGGGTGCGGCAGGATCTTCGAGAAGGACGAAGACATTCTCATTCATCGTCAAAGTGCACATGGAGCGCTCTGAGTGAACTTGAAGGCCGGGTATTGAGCCCAGTGTCGAGCGGTAGGATTTCACGCTCAAGAACCACCTTCCTCGGAGCTGACCCTACGAGCGGCATCAACGAACCGGGATGAGGATTGAGTTTTCGTTGCGACGAACATGGTGATTTCGCATAATATTTTCACGGATGAGTTCGAGACCTGTGCTTGGCGCATTGATCCATCGAGCAAGCCTAGATGTGCATCATGTCATCCATGATCAAACTAAAGCTGAGATGACTTGCCCTGTGAATCCCATGAAACAAAATCGTTGGTCAATGGTGAGGGGCAACTGGAACTTGCTGTGACACGGTCCACTTGTGACCACAAGACGCGTGACAAGACGCGTTAACGCTACTTACTCCTGCTCAATCATCCATCATCACAAATGCCTAAACGCAAGGCGCCTGAGGACTTTGACGCTCCCTCAGAGGCTTCTCCTCCCAAGCGTGCTACTAGAGCCAGCACTCGACAAAACAATTCTGGACTGGCTGCGCCATCAACTCGGTCCAGCAACTCTCCACAGAAAGTTACAAGGGAGGATAGCAAAAGCTTCCAAGCTGATGCACAGCTGGATGTGCCAGTGAAATCTGCACGCCCTTCACGAATCCGCAAGAAGCAGCCAGCTGCCAGGGAATCACCCCTCAAGAAGACCGACGCTTCATCACCTTCAAAAAGAATTGGAAAACAGAGCTCTAACCCGATAACAAGTCTTCACAGACAGGAGGAATCTGCCAATTCTGATGATGCCGATGAGCTGAATCTGCCTCCCTCCAAACTGCCAGTCCACTGCACAACGCCACCACCCAGATCACAAGTTGGACGCTTCCTCCTACATTCTGTAGAAATTACGACACCTAGATCATTCCCAAAGCCTATTTTCACGGCCTCACCGGCGCCTGATACGCGACAATCCTCTGCTAAGACACCTATCACAACCACGGGTATTGCATATTGCACGGCAGAACTAGCTACCGCATCACCTAGCCGTTCTTCCGCCCTCCAGAACGTTCCGCCTCCCCAGGCGTCCTCTAGTCGGACTAATCAACTTCCGAGTACACCAACTAGGGATAGGCTACAGCCGAAGTCTCCTAAGAAAGATCCGCCTACAGCTTCTAGACCCCATTCACCTACCCGTCTTCCCCGTAATCTCCCCCCTCATCTCGGCACATGCCTCCGTCTACAGAAGCGTGTTATGTTATTGGAACTACAAAATTGTAGCATGGAATCCGATGAAGATGCTAGTCTTGGCCCTACTAATGCAGCAGCATCTCAGCAACTAAAGGATCTGCTTGCGGGAACTGTCACTCGTGGGGAGGGCAATAGTTGTTTTGTCCTAGGACCACGCGGCAGTGGAAAGACTGCTGTAAGCTTCCCACATCTTTCTATCTTTTAACTAAATTAAACTCAATGTTCTAAGCTTGTGGACCGAGCTATCGCGTCTTTGAACCAGACTCCGATTGTTATTAGGCTTTCGGGTCATGCCGAGCTAAACGATCGCCTCGCACTTCGAGAGATCGCGCGACAGCTGTCTCTCCAAACAGGCAAAACGTACCTAGCTGAACTTAATGGTGACGATGATCAAGATGATGACAACAATCCTTTCCTGGACGCCGGCCCATGCATCGCCATCCCACCCCCATCCCATCTCCCTGCATTGATATCGGTCTTAACCACGCTTTCGCGGCCGGTGGTAGTCATTTTAGATGCGTTTGACCTCTTCGCGTTACATGCACGGCAGGCACTTCTTTACTGTTTACTGGATACCGCGCAAAGCTGTAGAGTCGGTCAAGGAAACAATGGCATTGCAGTCATTGGGGTAACTACAAGGATAGATACAATCAACCTATTGGAGAAAAGGGTCAAGAGCAGGTTCTCTGGGCGAATGTTGCGTACCGCTGCCCCGACAGAGCTCTCATTTTGGATGAAGCTTATAGAACGAGTATTTCGGGCCGGAATTGAAACTTCCGAGGAAGAGTGGGAGCCGTTATGGACCCTGTCTATCGACAACTTTATCGCAGATCGGAAAGTGCTCGAACAAATCCAAGAGACTGTTGCTGTTACTCGCGATATTAGGGTACTTCAACGAATCTTGGTGCGATACCTAGGCTGGCTGGTTTGGGCGCTTTTCTGACCATTGAATAGGTTGGCGTTGTCGCTGCATTAACCCCTTCGTCTCCGTTTCCGACCTGTGCGCAGCTCTTATCCGCAGTAAATGCACAGCGTATACGTGATCCGTTCCCTCACTTAAGCAGTGCGTAGATTAGCCACCCCTGACACGAACGTATCAGCTGACACCTACCAGCATTGCCGTATCCCTCGATCTGTCTTCTTATAGCTGCCGTGCATGCTCATACTGCCGGCCATGATGCTATCACTTTCGAGATGCTCTATGACGCCTTCCGTGAACAATATCGCGCTTCAGCAGCTGCCCCGATCCAGGTTGCAGGAGGAAGTATCGGCATGTCGCGATGTACTCGGGAAGTTCTGATGAGGGTGAGTCAAGAATTCTGATCGATTTATTTTTAGTCGTCTAAGTCTAACACAATTTAGGGGTTCGAGCACCTGATTGGCGAAAAAATATTCATATGCGTAGCCGCATCGTCTACGAGCATCGCTCCAGGATTCACTCGATATCGAAGTGCTCTGAACTGGGATGATGTCAAAAGGGCAGTCGACAAGATGGGTAAAACGAGCTTAAAAAAGTGGCTCACAAAAGCGAACTAGTTTGTGACGTGGCTGCATAGTTTACCATTTACAGTATGGATCAATCAAGGATCAATGGGTTATTGACTATGTATATCCCAGCGCGCATTGTGTATTCGGGATTGTTTGTCCATGAAATTGAAGCTATACAAGTTGGGATTCAACTACCAAGTACAGGTTATTTGACACGCGGGATAACTCTTTCGCCAGAACTAGTAGTTCTCCTCGTAAACAGTCTCGGTGAATGTTTCGTTGATCTGCTCCCTAGCTGCAAGTAACTTGATGTCAAAACGGATAACGAAAGTAGCGAATAAAATGTGTACCATGCTCGTGCGCTTTCTTCCTCTGGTGGTCGGACCACGCATCAGCCTGGTCCCGTGTTTAGTTAGAGCGTCTAGTCCTAGTAATTGAGTACATACACCCTTGGTCTCAACCACGCGGTCAAGTGCAGCTCCGGCAAAACCAGCACTACACACTACGTGAACAATACGAAACATGTGCGCCGGGGACGACCTACAAGAGTTCCTTGGCCAGAGCATGGTTATCGGGCTTGCCATTCTTGGCACAGTGATCTTCGTAAGCCTTTGCAGCCTGAAATCTAAAATGAGAACTGTTCATGGTAGATAAATACTAAGCTTACCTCGAACGCGACGGCACCGCCGAGGAGTTCGTGACTCAGGCTAGCTTTGTGAGGTGCATCCGAGTCATAGAACTGTGAATTGGCGTAATTGAAGATATGATGTCTATAGAGTTATGGAGAGATCTACCTGTTCGGATTGTGAGCTGGTGAAGGCGTCGAGGAAACCCATGATGGCAAGTAGGAATAAGTAGTTGATGCAGAAGGGAGGACCATAACTTGGGTTTATATACCATTGGAACGTTCTGTCAACCCAAAAGCGGAGTATGTGATGGGCGGTGTCAGATCAGGATCACATGTGCGTCTGAAGGACGACAATAGCACTCTGGGTGATGGATAGTACCTTGGCAATGGTCGATGCCCGGGAGATCTTATCGAGCTTTGCGCGATCAGAGGGTCCGGAATAAAATTGCCTAAACGGCGATTCTGCATTCCCTATAGCCGGTCGTGTCCAAGTTAAGACGAGATACGAAAAGATAGGCGACTATTGCCGACCCAATCAAGGCTTTCCGTCACCTGCGCTCTCCTGTACTGCGGGCGGAGACCATGAACATTCCTCACTCAACTGGAGTAGAAACTGCTGCGGTCGTTGAGGGGGCTATAGATCCGATGTAACGATTTCCATGGCGAAGCAGCGAGGGAAAACAGTATGACAGAGTTCCTAGAGGTTCCTAGTATGAGAATAGCGACGATCAAGGCCCGTAACGGTTGGAACATAATATCGACCAGATGTCAGACGAACGTGTCAGCGTGTGTCCCTTAACAACTGAGACAAGTAGAATCTGGGGTGCACACGTGAAATAAAAGAAGCCTTCACTCAAGTTAAAGCAACCGCTTGCCGGAAACATTTAAGAAAATATTGAACGAGAGGTCGTTTTGAACATTTCAAAGTCGCGCATTTCTCGAAACCATTAATTTTCACGCCATTGGTAGGCACATCCGGCGCATCTGCAACAATGTCAGCCGGGCTCGTGCTATGAATAAACGCATCAGTAAAACTCACCTGTAAACTGATCCCAAGAAGCAAACCAGCGTCCACGTAAGTTCAATCCCAGGAAGTACGCTGAACGCACGCGTCGTCATAGGCTCATCTGCAGATCTAATCTGTAGCTGGTAAAAATACGCGCGTGGGTGACCACACTTGTCGCAAGCGAGTATGGGTCATGGATCAGTATTCCAACTTCCTACATTATGAAAGAAGGAAGGGGCTGACCAGCAGTAGAATCAGCATCCCGCCAAGTCTCATCTCCTCCAAGAACATCGTCTACCTCTTTGCGCTTCATCCTCGAGCGTGAAGTACTGCCATTGAAGTACAATGATTGTAAAGATCCGAGACAGGCACCTGCTTCGAGATCGGAAACTCGTATGCGCACGCAGTGAGTGGCCACTATTGCACGCCAATTTATTGTACCCTGTTTCCGAGGATATCACAAGTAGATTAGCGCATGTCGAGCAGAACAGCATGTAAACTAGATATGCTGTGGTAATTTCGGGCACCCTTCAGTCACTTGTATACGAACGGGAACAGGCCGCAACCTGTGACAAAGTACTGTAAGAAATCACGTGTCTATGGATGGCAACTTAAGGCTACCGTGTGTACACTGTATACGACCTGGACCGTTCGCTGACTCTTTCACACAACTTACCGCCGCTGGCAATAAAACTTTACTGATGGAAGCGCCATCGGATTCAGACTACGTTGACGAGTCGTTGGTCCTTTGCCCTGATTTCAGTTAGTCCTACTTTAACGAAACCCTTTGTAGACACATACAAGCTTTCATAAACGCCTTACAGTCGGACGACCTAGATAGACATGATGCTTTATCAACAGCTTCACCCCACACCGTTCCTAGCTCCCCTGTGCCACAGAGCCCTCGAGTGAGGAAGGTCTCTGCTCTATCCGATTTTGCTCCAATCAACTTGAAGGTGAAGAGGTACGGAGCTTCATTCCTTGGTTATTGATACTACTGAACGTGACGTGGTTAGAAAACGAAAGGGGGATAAGTCTACTGGTAGAAGGCAAGAATGGTCGTTTCTCGTGCTCCGATGGCCACTCCTTGTGAGCAACATTCTTACTTCGACCTTGCTCAACATTCATTCATTCATTACCAGTTTTTGATATTTATCCTCATTGCGGCTCAATTCGGGTTCTACATTCTCATTAGACAACTCGTGAATACCAAAGAATGGTTGCTAGCATGCAAGTTTGACATTGACTATACCGACACATTGGCTCATCTAAAATCCCAGGGCGGGGACAGAAGGGCCTTCTGCGAAAGCGTCTTCGTGGGGCACGCACGTATCAAGTGCGTCGCATGTCCTGAATCTTGTCATATGTATCTGCCCCTTACTTTCGCCGATAGGAATGGAAGGAAACGGCAGCGATGCTCGACGAATTTCTTCTGTTTAATCACTGGAAGAAGGTTGACGAAGATGCGTTTTATGATTGGAAACTCTTGCGCAAGGTGAAGAAGTTTCCGTTCATCAAAAACAGTAGCTCAAGCGACACTTATCAGGTAAAACGGTCGCTGAAGATTTTGAGAGAGAAGAAGGATGTTCGCGGCGTTCTCGGTGTATTAGAGACGTGTATCAGAACCAACTTTGTGGGAGTCGAGTCCCCCAGGTGAGTGTATTAAGTTGCACAATCCTACTCCCATTCATGATTCTCTTAGGCTCTATAGTGAAGTAAGCTCCTTATCCTTCAAATAAAGCCTGACCCACAACTTTGAGGTACCAGACTTTCCTGGGCACCAAGGACTTAATCGAATGTCAGTTTCTACCCAAATTATACCTTTTTTTCAGTCTAAACCTCCTTTAATAGCATACCATACAGAGCTGCAAAGCGCGTTGCAATTTGTTAGAGAGTCCTCGGAGCTCTCAATTGAAGAGAAAAGGAGATTCTTCAAGAATGCTAGCACTAATCTAGGCACATCTGCCTTGTGTCTCTCCGGTGGCGCATCTTTTGGATATTGTGAGTCGGAAATTACTCCAAGCAATTGACATTTGACACTCTTCTAGACCATTTTGGTGTCGTGAAAGCCTTCCTAGATGCAGGGCTGCTCCCCCGGGTTATTGCTGGAACATCCGCTGGTGGTCTTGTTGCTGCTCTGGTATGCACGCGTACAGATGCGGAACTGAAGACTCTTCTCGTTCCGGAACTCGCTCGTAAGCTGACGGCATGTGAAGACCCTCTCACTGTATGGGTCAAACGTTTTTGGGCCACTGGCGCAAGATTTGATAGTGTTGCGTGGGCTCGTAAGGTTGGCTGTCATACTCTATCAACGTTTCTTTTTTGGTCCGATTGTTTTTCTAGTGCACGTTCTTCACAAGAGGTTCCATGACCTTTCGAGAAGCCTATGTACGGACTGGGCGGATCCTCAACATTTCTGTTGTCCCTGCTGATCGCCATGCGTGAGCTCGTCATCTGGGTCTCAAGTTCAAAACCGCTGATTTTCATTTCAGTCCCACGAAGCTTCTAAATTACATGACTGCGCCGGACACGATAATTTGGACGGCCCTGCTCGCTTCAGCAGCTGTACCTGGCATTCTCAACCCAGTTGTGCTCATGCAAAAGCTCAGCGATGGTCGCATAGTGCCATGGAGTTGGGGTAGCAAGTTTAAGGACGGGTCTTTAAGGTGAGCAGGCATGATCTGCCGAGATATTTTTATACGCCTCTGACATCAACCAGGGTTGACATTCCTCTTCAAGCTCTTAAAATGTACTTCAATGGTGAGATTGTTGTTGTTGGACGATCGTGACCGGCTGACTGTAATTCGAGTTACACACCCGGTTGTGTCACAAGTGAACCCTCACGTCCATTTGTTCTTCTTTGCGCCTCGTGGGTCGGCAGGAAAACCGGTAGCTCATAGGAAAGGAAAGGGTATGAGATGAACGCCTTATCTCTTAGCAAGAACTTCATGCATTTGCAGGGTGGCGAGGCAATTTTATTCTGTCTGCGGCGGAACAATGGCTCAAACTAGAGCTCACAAAGAATTTCAAGGTAAATGCTCATTCAATTGTGTCGGCAGATTCTAAGTGAACCACTCCGGCCAGGTGATTCGTGATCTGGAGCTTCTTCCGCAGTTGCTCGGACAGGACTGGTCCAGTGTCTTTCTGCAACGTTTTGATGGGGCTGTCACGTATGTATCAATTATCCAACCATCTGATGACGCTCATACTCGGCTTCAGGATCTGGCCGAGAACGCGAATTTTGGTACGTAGTTTGCACAGCATTTTCAAAATACGACGCTGATGGTTGATTGAATGATAGGATTGGTTGCATATCTTGAGCGACCCGGACTCGGCCGAGCTTGAACGAATGATGACAGTCGGGCAAGTTGTAACGTGGCCTAAGGTCAGAGCTACTGGCGCTCCATGTCTTTGTTCAAACGCTCATTATTGACACCAGTTACATATGATTGAAAATCGGTTTCGTATAGAAAATGAGATTCTCATGGGTCGACAGGCAGTCCGCATGGCAATGGATCGGGTTCGGTCTCGCACAAATCCCGGCGACACCCGGAATATTGTTGTCAACGGCCAAGCCGTCCCCGAGCCCGTTACTGGCACTCGACTTCGTACAAGGTCCGAATCGCCAATACCCGTGGACTCGGACACCGAACGTGCATTCGAAGACAATGGCACGGCTTGGTACTTCCGCCGTGGTCGCCCGACAGCTGGCGCTCCACGAGAATCTGAGACGAGTACACCGTATGGAAACAACTATAACAACATTACCGACCCTTTACGTTCTCCTGATCTGCGTCGCAAGTGGACGTCTGATCTCCTGGATCGCAATGATAGCGGAGCTGGAAACTCGTCTGCAAGCCCGCGTGCAGCCACGCCAGAACAGTCTACGGGTGATCAAACGCAAAACGCTTCTAATTCGTCCACATTCTTCAGAAAACTTAGGCCGGGAACGTTGTCGATACCATTCTCGGGTTCTCATAGACCTGCCAGATCTAATGGGAGGGGTCTGAGTGTAGATGCATCAGAATTAGCCTGGAGTAGTGAAAGCTCGTCGGAGGATGAATTGGATCATCTCCAACCAGAGTCCACTCTTCACGTGAGGTCTGAATTCAATCAAGAGGCAGTTTCAGATGGAGAAGGAGTAGATTCAGACTGATTCAGTGTTCCTATTACTTGTATATTTTACACCGACTGTAGCCATGACTTTCATCATGTATTTCTGCACTCCCCCTCAATGAAATTACATAGTTTGTACATTGTAGGACTAGTCGCTTCAAGCCTTCCGGCGCTTGCCGAAGCTTGACGCACCCCTATTCGTTTGTGCAGGATGGCATTCCACGCAGCACACCCACGCAGCAGCAGCTGACGGCGATGGGCTTAGCCTTGCGTTGATGGATGCAATAACAGTGGTGTGTTTCAGAGGCATTGACAGCCTACATGAAGTTTGAGAAGGATGACTGGCAGGATGGCGAGAATATTAATGCCGATGACGCGTAGCTTCAAGTTGAACGTCGACGCGCTTTCTGATAAGCACTCGACAAGAAAGCCCTATTGACGAGGTTTGGAATGCTTTCTCTACTTCTTTACGATGAAATTTCTCCTCCACTGGCGTCTGAGAGAAGTTTGTATAAATATGAACAGTAGAGCTGATCACGGGAAATTGACGGAGTCCTAACGCGCGGTACCACGCCTTTAGCTTCCAACCACATCAATGTCTTCAGAGACCAGCCCACCACCTGACCCTGAGGCTCTTGCAGCAGCAGCTCAGCGCCGCAATGTCACGACAGAACAAGTAATTTCTGGTTCTGAACTCCTTCGACAGCGCGAGCAGCGGCAGATGTTTCGACGTCTGATAGACCCTGGTATATCTCGGCCTAACCCCCAAGAGGCGGCGATGGCTTCATTGAAGGTGTGCTGTGGATGCATTAATTGTCATACATGATCAGCCTATAGATGACGGGCTTATTGCAAGATATTATCGAAGATAGCTGAGAACCTAATACGAGAGCCTGAAAACCCCAAGTTCCGGCAGTTCAAATCGACAAATGATACGATCAGACGTCGCTTGATTGAAACTAAGGGTGCGCTAGAGTATGCGATCGAGGTGTGTTTGACAGAAGCAACTTACATACGTACATTTCTGATTTCGAGAGGATAGATGGGATTTCGTCCGGAGGTATGTCTCCCTTGTCAGTACTGTGCTACATCGCTTCATCTCGAGTTCCTTGCAGGTAAAGGAGTTTCAGCCCCTCTACGTCTGGAATGAGCGCAAAAGCGAAGAATTGCGCATTGGCGCCCAGATATTACAAGAGACCATAGAGCTGGCTGAACAAAAATCAGCCAGGTCTCAAAGAAACGCGGCTGAAGCCAAGGGTGCTGCTGAGGCTGTCACACGAAACGTACGTTAAGCAATTCAGTGTTCTGTTGTCCAGACCTCATCAAATCTCAGGTTTTATTGGCTTTCATGGATGACCGCAAAACCAAGATGCTTCGTGACCAACGTGATCGCCATAATCGCGAAGTCCAAGCCCGTCTATCTCCGAGTGTAGATGGCGAAAGAACTACATCTCCTTCCCTGCCGCCCTCCAATGCAGAAATGCCAGGGAGTGGTCATACCTTATCATCACCTGACCCTGTAGTAGACGAACCTCCCCCGTACCGCGACTGATAGTTTTCAACCCCTGATGACCTAACATGCTCACATTTTCGCAGACCAACGGTCAAGATTATTGTACGAATCAATTAATTTGTAGCAATACAATACATGTACAACGGAAGACGAGGTCTAAGGAGTGGGATTCTTTAAGAGACTTGACCTATCAGTTTTCACACCCTCATTTACAGGGGAGAAATCAGGAAGAGGAAGCAGTGAGGGCAATGAGGGCAATGATAATTGCGTGCCTCTCATGCTGTGAGAGTGGTGTCTGGATGAAGCTTTGGATCCAACAGTCAATTTTGATTCCGAGCAAATGTAGAAAATAACATACTGGTCGATTGTTCGTATGCTCTAGCCCTTTGCAAAACAAGGCTTTGAGCGCCCTGTTGGACAGGCGACCGACTGCGTCCCAAGAGGTCTGACGGATCACGGGGAGGTAGTGATGGAATCATAGAGCTGCGTCGATCAAAGGAAGGGAACATAGACCTTGTGGGAGACTTCGCCCTCTCGTTGTGATCGTCGGAGGTCGATGTCAAATGACGCCCCTGTATTATTGATGACCCAAAGGATCTCACTGCTTGTGACAGGCGTGAAGTAGGTGATGCAGGCGGTGATATGGGAATTGGGAACTCCGAGACAGCTGGCACCCCTGGACTGCTGATGCGCAGAGGGGGAATAGGAGGTGTGTTGTGCAACACGTGCTGTTGTCTCTCTCGTAGTGATGGACCATTCGATGATTGCTGGTTAGATAGGGTCACCGAGCGAGAACGCGGCAGTCGAGGCATTACTTCATGTATGGAAGGCATTCGACGCCGCGGGCCACCAGAGGGCTCTTCATGTGGCTTGTCGGGAAGTGCTAGGTCTTGCACATAACCGCTAGGTGTCCAAGTGACTCCATTGACAAAAACCTCAGCATGCAACTGACGGTGTGTTTTCGCCAGCTTTCTCCGAGCCAAAGAATGCCTAACCTCGGCATGTAGTTCAGCATGCGTCTTCCCGTGTCTTCTTGCAGATGATGGGCGAACTGGCGTATTGGACACCTTCTGAAGTGGCTGCGCTACGTTGTTAAATGCAGGGTAAATATCAAAGTGCGGGTAGACAGTAGGGTCTAAAAACATAATTTAGGTAAGCCAGAAAGAGAGTGTGCATGCGTACTTACAGATGTTCAAGACTGGGTAGCCGTGATCCATTCTAACAAACGATTTGCCGCTTGCAGTAGGGGCATCAATTCTCGGGGGGATACCGGGATACAGATCAAAGTAGGGATACACAGGTGGGTCTGCTGCTGATTTAGTAAGAGTTGCATGTGCAGTATACTTGAAAGACGTACAGATAACGAGATGGGGATATGAATTACCAGTTACAATAGGAATCTTTGATTCTTCCCGAGTCACTGGTTCTGCCGCGCGGGTGGGATACAACTTGAAGTGAGGATATACATGAGGATCTACGTGCTCTGTGAGAAGACGAGTAAGAAAACATAATATAGCACTTACAAATGACCAGGAAGGGGTACGTGCTACTCGAAACGAAGAGCTTGACGTTGGTCATGTCTTCCTCCCGAGTGGCTAATTCTGCCGCATGTGAGGGATACAGATTGAAGTGGGGGTACACATGAGGATCTAAATGCTTTGTGAGAAGATGACTAAGAAAGGGAATGCAGAACTCACAAACGACAAGGAATGGGTACGCCGAAATGGAAAAATTGCTGTTGGTCATATCTTCCTCCTGACTCGTTGGTTCTGCCGCGCGCGCCGGATACAGATCGAAGTGGGGGTACACTGAAGGATCTACATGCTCTGTGAGAAGACGAATAAGAAAAACGGAACGTATGACTCACAAACGACAAGGAAGGGGTACGCCGAAACGAAGAACTTGTCGTCAGTCGTGTCCTCCTCTCGACTCGCTGGTTCTGCCGCGCGCGGTGGATATAAAGCGAAGTGAGGATACACAGGAGCATCTATGTGCTCAGTGAGAAGGTGAGCAAGAGAAACATAATGTAAAACTCACAAATGACCAAGAAGGGGTATGTACTACTCGAAACGAAGAGCTTGTTACTACTCATATCCTTCTCCCGACCTGCTGGTTCTGCCGCGCGCGGTGGATATAAAGCGAAGTGAGGATACACAGGAGCATCTATGTGCTCAGTGAGAAGGTGAGCAAGAGAAACATAATGTAGAACTCACAAATGACCAAGAAGGGGTATGTACTACTCGAAACGAAGAGCTTGTTACTACTCCCATCCTTCTCCCGACCTGCTGGTTCTGCCGCGCGCGGGGGATATAAATCAAAGTGAGGATACACAGGAGCATCTATGTGCACTGTTAGACGACGAATGAGAAAAACAGAATGCAGAACTCACAAATGACCAGGAAGGGGTACCTGCTACTCGAAGCGAACAACTTGCTGGTCGTCATTTCCTCACCACCACTGGACGCATGTTTCTGAACTCGCGGATACAAGTCGAAGTGAGGATAAGCGGGAGGATCTACGTGAAGCAAAATAAGTATCGACCAATGGCTCACTTCCACTTGAGCCAACTCACAAGGGCAAATGTATGGGTAAGTGCCTGCAAGGTCAACTGATACGCTATCGACAATGATCTGAAATAAGCAAAAGATTCTGAGTGACTAGTCACCGAATCAAGTCTCCTGTTTTACCTTGGCAGACTCCTCTTGTTGCAAACCTCCAGGCCTGATGTTCGGCAAGGCAGGATACAAGTCAAAGTGTGGATATGCTGTGGGATCTAGAATAAAAGTTTCAGTATATCAGACTTGGAGGGTGAAAGCGAGGTCTCACATAAATCGAATGACGGATAATACCTATCCAAGGTAACTTTCACAAATTCGGACTTGAGGCTGGTCTGAGATCTGCTTCTAGGGCTTTCACATGTCTTGTTCAGCGTCGGGTATGGCTCAACAAAAGGGTAAACAGAGGGATCTAATGCGCCAGTTAGGGTGACTTGGAGTAAAAAATACTGGGTAACTTACATATGTCTAACCATGGGTAGCACGATGGCAAGCGGACAGCGATTTCAGAAGCATCCTGGACTTTGGTTGGGGGATATACTTTATCCAGGCTCCATGGATAGCCTGCTGGATCTGAGGGGAAATGAGCTCCAAGCCAGTGATCATAGAAGGCTCGATCCACATACAAATATCAAGAATGGGATATTGGGGCTGAAGCGTCACTTGAACCGGCTGCGCAATCTCATCTTTTGCTTCCCGGGGTCTGGTCACCTCAGCACTTGCTTGTGGATATGGGTTCACATGAGGATACACGGAAGGATCTAGCGCACGTCAGACTCCACTCAAGAAACGGCGCAAGACATCTCACAAATAGTCAACCACGGATAACTACTCGGAAGCAGTACAGACGAAGAAATTTCGACATTCGGTGCTGGATAAATCGAATTGAGATTATATGGATAAAGAGGCGGATCTAAAGACGATCAGCACAGAAGAAGAGCGACGCAAACGACTACTCACAAAGATTAAACAGGGGGTAAGATGTTTCAAGTTCAACGATGACAGATTTTTGTGGCTGAGGGGTGGCCGGCTTTTCGGGAGAAGAAATAGTTGGGCAGGTAATCGAAGGATATAAGTTAAAATGGGGGTAGACTGCAGGATCTAATGCTCAAGTTAAGCATCACCCTAAAATCCGATCAACGCGACAACTCACAAATTTCAAGTATAGGATAACCTCCAGCGCTGCTGAGGCCGCTGTTCGCCTCTGCGTACGCAGGATAAATATCGAAATAAGGATAGGCAGCAGGGTCTATTCAAAAGTGAGCAATTATCCATTAGTCACAAGCATTGACAACTCACAGATATCTAGACTGGGATATTCATGTTTCAACCCTCCTGGTCTAGAGAGCGAAATGACTACGGAATTGCGAGGTTGCGCAGCGTTTACTTCATGCCACGGTCCAACGTTAAACCAGGGCATGCCAGCCCAAGGACTTAAAGATGTGTTGCGCTCCTTGTCCTGGGAAGCGTGAATATCGAACCAAGGCCACGTCCTGATGGCAGGCACGATAGCCCAGGGGCTATAGGAAGCCCTAGACTCTGCACTGTCGAGTTCGGACCAAGGCCAAACTTGAACCCATGGCATTCCAGTCCAAGGACTATAAGAAGTAGTCGGTGGAAGTGTCGCTGCCTCCGTAACGTCGAACCATGACGACGATGAAGCAGACATGCCCGCCCATGGACTGTATGACTTGGATACGTTTCTAACCTGGAACCATGGCCAGACCTTGTGCCAGGGAGCTCCAGAGGCTGGAGTCACTGAAGCGTCTTCCAGCATTCGGTGAGCAATGTCTGGGGATGGCAAGCGATCGATGCTGGACACATCTGACCTCCAATCGTCAGCAGGCCCCCAGCTAGTGGCCGTTGCGGGGGTCAAGGGTGCGCTCTCGAGCATACGTCTACCAATGTCAGGCGAAGGTAAACGATCTATACTCGACACGTCCGAAAGCCAATCATCATCTGGAGGTCCCCAGCTAGTTGCTGTAACCGGTGTCAATAGCACAGATCCCTCCATGCGACGGTCAAGATGAACAGAGGGAAGACGGTAGGAAGACAATGGAGAATCCAGAGGCGGACTAAGTGGCCCGGCGGATGTGACGGACCAGGCAAAATCTGCCAAATTCAAAAGCTCTTGGGCTTCTGCCTCCACCTCTCCATCCAAGGGGTACTCATCCGTAGCCTCAATCGCCCCAGCACCCGATGTAGCGTTAGGGACGGGCTGGTAGGACTCTGTCATCGACGCGGGATCCAAGAACGCGCTCGCTCTCCATGAATTGACGCGCCGACGAAGCTCGACTTTCGACGTCTGCGGGGCCGCAGATTGTGGGATAGGAGACAATTGATGCGCAACACGGTTTGGAGGTGGAGAAGTTGCCTGCGATGCTTTGTATGAAGCCTGAAGCGCAGTAGAGTCTAGCCGGTCGACGAGGGAAAGTTTCTTGGGTACGTGACGGACAGTTGTAGGCCTTGAGTTTGACTGAGTAGTCTGATTATCCCAGCGGTCTTCATTTGCGACAGGTTCCTCTGCAAACGTAGTCTTACTATCTCCATGCAAGTGCAGTATAGATGCATGAGACTGCGGAGCAGGAACAATCATGGTGTCGTCACGCAGTGTGCCAGCAAGCCAGGCATCGAACCAGCGAGCTTTATTGAGGTCAATGTCGAATTCTACGCGGCCACCAATGGGTAGTTGCTGGGAGCCATTCCGCGACTCAATGAGATGCGCCCATAGGTACTGCCAAGCATCGTCAGAGATGCGCGGCGTCATGGTGATACCATTTTCAGTGATATGGTGATAGAGGCACAAGCCCACAGTGCTTGGGAAATTGAACTCCCGCGCGATTGCAGTGAGTTGCCCGTACATCTGATCCCAAAGTTAGAACACTCGTTGCTGGGTAATTAGGACTACCAACCGTAGGGAATAGGGGCATGAGGATCCCTTGAGATAAACGATGACGAGGTCCCATTGATAGGACGTTGCCTAGTTGACCATGATCCAGGGGAAAGTCTGGTGGAGGAAGAACAACGATCAACGACTTTGAGCCCCGTGAAAGGGTTCGGTCGCGGTTATCTCGCACTCCCGAGTTCTGGTATGACAGTGTGGACGTTCTACGAGATTGTATTTTAGAACGCTCAGGAAAACCCGAAGCAGAATGCGCCAGCTGTTCCAGCTCTGCGCCGGCGACAAGAGAAGCTGGTGGCAATTGAGCATATAAGGATTCTTGATCGGTCTCCGGTGGGCTGAGAGGGAGTGGATGATTATTCCGGGAGGGATGAATAGCTGGCATGGTATGGTACGGGTGGCTAGTAAAGTGAGACATTGATTCTGGTGTTCAGAAAAATGAGCGATACCGAGCACAAGCTATTGATCACAGGTGACCGTCTCTGAAGACTGAGGTCAGTCTAGTAGGCAGAAGAAATTGCTGGCTAGCAGCGAAGGGGCCTGCGGGAGAAACGTGAGCGAGTGCGACAGAGAAAGCGGGTATAAGTATGCAGCATGAAAGCACGAGGCTATGGGAGGAACAGGAGGGTAAGTTCTCAGCGGGACCTGAGTGAACAGCCCGGGATTGGATCACACGAAAGACTGTGTAAATTGTCAGGGCGACCGTGTCAATGATTCTAAATGAGCCTTTCCAATCCATTAGAACGGTGAGAGTATGTTGACGGAGTAGGTCCAAGATTACAGTCTTTCGGGGTGAATTCGTACCATTGCTCCAAACTTCCCTCCACTCTGTCCACGGTCAACCTGGTAAAGCATGGGCCGAGCAAAACTTCCCTGAGCATATCCTACCAGGGAATTCAGTGCTGAATCCGACATGGCTGTCCCACATCAAGATCAATACCCGGTCGTGATGCAAGTGCCGGTTTGCGTTGAAGTACCTGACACCGCCACTCTCCGCTAGAACGTTTGAAACGATTATTTCCTTTTATGATTTTGAGCGATAACCACACGTCTTTGACACGGAACTATAGTAATGGACTCTAGACTAGCACAATTCGCAGCTCTCAACCAGAAGGACAAAGCTCCAGCTTATCTATCTCTGGTGTCAGAGATTCTCGCTCGTCAAGATCAGTCTCTTATAGCTACTGATCTTCATACATTAGTGGAAACAGTCGTCCAGGATGTAGGCATCGTCGTCGGAAGACAAGTCCTCTCTGAACTGGTCAGAAATCTCGGTACTGGAAACATATCAGATCACAACCTGCGGAAACGCGTCGTAGAAGAAACCCTCAACACGCTTCAGCCACGAATCGTAAGTTATGAAGAGCAGGTGTGTTTGCATGATTGCCCCTGAAGATCCAGTCCGATAACATATTCTACAGGTCAACTCTTTACGATTTCAACTCGCAGATTTACTAGAAACGGAAGAAGAATGGAGCGAAGCCGCCCGAGTCCTGATGGGAATCTCTTCTCGGTGAGCCTCGCTCACCTAAGTATAGTCCCTATGTGCACCCCTCATCTATGAGCCTGTGGCAGGTCACTACCAGACGAGGAAAAGTTCCGTGTGAATATTCGGATAGTAAGGCTGCTCCTAGAGGACGAGGACTCTGTCCAGGCGGAGACTTACTATAATCGCGCCGCTTCCCTTTCCAATTCGACATCTGACCGAGAGACACAGCTTCAGTTCAAGCTCTGTCAAGCCAGAATCAGTGACTATGCACGCAAGTTCCTCGAGGCTGCAATGCGCTATCACGAGCTGAGCTGGCTTGCCGAGATCGACGAAGAAGAGAGAAAGGAGATGTTGTAGGTCGCATCTAGTGACAATTGTATCCTACTGACCACACTAGGTCGGCTGCAGTGACTTGCGCGGTCTTGGCCCCAGCTGGTCCAAACCGATCGCGCGTGCTTGCTTCACTGTATAGAGATGAGCGTTCGGCCGACCTACCCTCATACAATATCCTGTCCAAAATGTTCCTCGACCACATCCTCCGCCCAGCTGAAATCAGAACATTTGAGGAGCGCCTCCGCCCACATCAATTAGCAAAGATTGCCATTTCTTCCAATGATCAGCTTGCCTCGACTATTGACGACGATGACTCTGCCGAACCGTCGACAAGTACTCGCAGGGGCCCATCAACCGTTCTTGATCGGGCAGTTATGGAGCACAACCTACTGGCGAGTTCAAAAATCTACAACAACATCACTTTTAGAGGTCTCGGTGCTCTCTTAGATCTGGCACCTGGAGCCGCAGAGACAATGGCACGAAAAATGATAGAGCAAGGACGTCTGAAAGGGTCGATTGATCAAGTCGATAAGCTCATCTGGTTCGATGCAGCAGGAGAGGAAGATGACGCTCAAGGCAAAGCAGGTGGTCTTGGTGACGTAGAGCAGACAAATGAGGACACTGGTGCTCCGTTCACCAAGCGGTGGGACTTGCAAATTCGCATGACCGCGGCAAATGTACGTTCCAGGAATCCACTAAGTAGTTTTCAAGCTGATTTGATTGGCAGGTGGAGACTATTGTGCAACACCTGGCTGAGAAGGGTCTTGTCCAACAACCAGCGGTTACAGCATGAAATGGTTGTAATTCTTGTAAACTACGATGTGTAGTGGGTGCCATGCATACAATGTCCAGTACATTATAATCAACCATACCGATGAGACATGTTATACGAGCCCGTTTTCCAGTTTACGACGCTTCTTGGCTCGCTCCCGTTTGGTCTCCAGTTCATGCCATTCACCTTCTAGAGTGGACAGGCTGTTACGAAAGAGAATGGTGTTGAGCAACTTGAAAGGCACGAAAAAAACACAACGTACTCAACAGGCAACTCAGGCGGAGGTTGCTCTTCCTTGAAGTAGGGAGCTTCAAGAGCCTCAAGGGCAGTGACTCTCTGCGTCGGATCGTAAGCAAGAAGCCGCTCAGCCAGGTCGAGGGCTGCGGGTGACAACCATCTGAAAGGTAAGTGAGCTCTTCAAGTGTCACATGCTTGGATCTGCACGAACGCACCGAGAGAATAGTTCACGGAAATGGCCATGAATCACATCCTTTGGCTTCACCAGCTCATACCATGGCAGTGCGGTGAGCCCTTGCCATCGCTCAGTAGAAGGAGTTCCAAGAATACGGTAGATCACATCCAATTGATGGATTTCATCATTGCCCTGGAACACTGGTTTCTTGGTGAAAAGCTCCAGCATGATGCAGCTGGACTCCGCTGTCAGTAAGTAGCAGTGCAAAAAGGCACGAGCAAAGCATACCCTGCACTCCACATATCCACCTCCGGCCCATATACAGTAGCACCGAACAGCAACTCTGGCGGTCGATACCATAAAGTGATGACACGATTGGTATAATCACTTCGCCGGCGTTTCTGATAAAAGCGCGCTAGACCAAAGTCGGCAAGTTTCAGCTCCCCTCGGTTATTGATAAGAATGTTGGAACCCTTGATGTCGCGGTGGATGACGCCTTTGCGGTGCAGATATGCCAGCCCAGCAAGCATTTGGCTACACAAGGACTTCAGATTGGCCTCCGAAAACGAGAACTGTGTCTGAGACAAAACTCCTGTGAGGTCATGGTCCATGTACTCGAACACCATGTACACAGATCCTTCAAGAAGCCATCAGTATGTTGAGGAGACGATAAATTCAAACATAGTTACCATTTGATACCATCATCTCGTAAAGGCGGACGACGTTCTGATGTCGCAAGGACTGCAGTAGCTTGATCTCCCGCATGGCAGTCACTGGGAAGCCATCCTTTTCTGCTTCCATGCGAATTCGCTTGAGCGCCACATGGACATTGGTAATAACATTGCGAGCCTTGTAGACCTTGCCGAATGTACCTTCGCCAACTTGGGCGACAATGGCATACAGGTCCTTGCAAGTAGTCGCCGATGGAGAGGATGGTCGTGGCGTACCTTCCGCCTCTGGCTCTAGTGTATGCGACTGCTGGGCAGGACTGATGGAAACATCACCACTGCCTGCCGGCTTCGGTACAAGGGAAGCTTTCAGAGAGTCGCGGATAGCTGAAGGCAGGACCTGCAGAGGCTGGGGAGCCAGAGATGTTTTGGTGACGGATTCGCGTTGGAACGGCAAGGGCCGCGAGAGGATATTTCCACGCAAGCCTTCATCTCTATCGGTTGCACCTTCATCGCGGGTACGCTTTGCGGGAACTTCTGAATGAACCTTAGGGGAGGCGGGAGATTTATGCTGAGGGGTGGGACCAGCTTCATCGTCCTCTTCGTCGCGTGGGAAAAATAATTTCACTGCCGAACTGGGCTCCCCAATAGGCCTAAATCCCGCCTTTGAGGTCTTTCGGATTCTGGGAGAATCAATGTCAGCCCAGCCGGATGTGGATGATGGAGGATGGCTGATGGGAGAACCGCCCAAATGATGTTTCGCAGACGTTCGTGGGACTTTGGATGGAGGAGGCATTTGCTCTGCATCTGGCGAGAAATGTCGACGTCGCTGCAAAATTATCAGCGTCCATCTGGGGTCGCATTGATTATGCTCACATTGCCCTGTTTTCCATTCGTTCTCGTCTTTCCGTTGGGCCGCGATTCAGAATCCCTTGAAGTGGGGGGGAGACCACCACGTGGCTGTTGGATGGTGGTTTGTGCTATAGACAGTGATATGTCGTTGATAGAGGTTGCGGTCGGTAAACGGTGCTTGGGTCTGGGCCGGTCATCCACACTACGGCTTGAACTTCTACTTCTACTCCGGCTTGCAGAGGAGGCCGACGAAAGACTGTGTCGACGCCCTCTGCGAATGGTCCAACTACGATCAGATGACCCAGGAGAATATGACTTCCAGCTTTGAGCTTCCCGGCCAGTGCGTCCCCTGTCAATGGGCGTCCGACTACGCCGCCGGACTGGACTGTAGCTATGCTGCTGCGATCTTGGAGACAACGATCTTGAGCGCGAACGACCTCGCGAAGAAATATGAGAATAGTAAGAATCAGGGGAGCGCGAGCGCGATCGTGTCCCTGCAGGTGATGGTGATCTGGAGGGCAACGTTTTCGGTTTAGCAGGAGAGGTGCGGACAGGTTTGGCAGGCAAGGGATGGAATTCCCGTCTCTGCCAGCTGTAAACACAACGATATGAGAATGCAACAGATAGCACAATATGAACGCAAAGTACTTGTTCAAGTCGTCGTCATCATCATGTCGACGCTCTCTCTCCCGCTCCTTATCTCTCTCCTTCTCCAATCGAATGCGATTTTTATTCTGATTTTTCTTGTTTTTATTCTTATTCCCGTTGTTGCGATTGCGATTGTGCTTGCCCCCTTGGTCGGCGGGCCGCGGTTGCCATCCGGGGCCAGGCTCCCAGGACCGTTCATCCTTCTTGGGTGGATCCTCTGGCATATCCTGCGTTCGAGGATGCCTGTCTTTGCGAGTCTCCCAACCATTGTCTCGCTGTTGAAACTTTCGATTATTACGACGGCGGTTGTTGTTGTGGGTGTTGTCATTATTAGGATGGTGATTATCCCCCCGATCATCCTTCGCCCGTCTGTCGTCTGGTTGCCAACCGTGGCTGCGACCTCTATCGGTATATGATGTAGACGCTCCCCAATTTTGTTGTTCTGGGGACCCTTGGCTCGTTGTCCATTCCCTACCAGGCTGGTGGTGCCAGTCATGTTTAGGACGCACGGACCACGAATCATCATCGTGGAGGTCGTAACTGTCTCTGCCGCCACGATGATGAGCATCGGACGGACGGGAGTGAAAACGGTCAGGTGCTGAGTCAGGGAGTGAAGAAGGGCCTTCCCAGCTCATGCCAAAGGTAGTTCGGGATGCGAAAGGGACGTAGGAATCAGTTTGTTGATGAGAATGCAGACGAGAGCGAGAATAAGCGTCAGACTGGGTGTCTTCAGCCCGTGAGACATGCAGAGGCGGTCCTTCGTCCTCAACGTCGTCAATTTTGCCACGCTTGCGCCTTGATCTGTTGTGAGAAGAATGCATGGTCAGTTTTCAGAGGTCGGCGTTGAAGCGCTTGAGAGGTGGGTGAGACGGGTGGTAGAAGCAAAGACGTGACGTGTTGTTTTGAACGGGCGAAAAAGGACGTCCTCTTGCAGTTGGTGGAAGATAGGCTGAACAGCTCGGCAAAAATGAATGCAAACGAACGCTCAAATCACACAGAGGGACAGCAGAGCAACACTGAAAGCAGAAAGACGATATTAACGTCCACAAAGCGGGAGGCAGCGTGAAAGAACACAGAGAGCAAAGGGTCAGCAGGAGCCTTTCGGGTGCAGGGCGCAAGAATTGAACTTACATAACAAGGAGAAAAACAAATCAGCAGAGGTTCGCAGTTATACCATTGACCATAGGTTCAGTTTTGAGAGGACCTGCGGATGCCTTGAAGTGATGAAGTGCTCCCAGTGCTCCGTCCAATTTGTGTGGTGCCACGGCGGCAGTGAGTCAAACAAGAGTGGCCTATATCCACTCCCGAGCACACACGACTCAAACATCAATTCAAAGTGACATCTGAAACGCCAGGACGACGAAAAGCCAGGAAATGAATACTTTTACTTGATAGAGACGCCAATGATATGGCCGTATCTTGAGATGTAGCAAGGCTACACGTATTCCTAGTTCAAGGTTGTATGCTGTAGAACTTATCAACGAGCCACGACTTGACCCCATGCGTGTGATATGCCACCACGTCCGAAACCAAGTTTACTACTAAGTTCTGTATATATACTACACACATACGACAGATACGTCCTTCATTGATTTATGCACTGCGTCAACTGCGCCTCTGACTGCTCCCCTCCGCCATCTCGGATCCCCCGTAGCGCCTGTTCGTAGTTTAGGACGAGATGCGCGAATTGCAGCTCCGCGCTCCCACTTAAACCTGTCCGCGATGCACGTGCATTGTTCTTTTTAATCGTTTCAGCGTTGTTCCACCTCGAGAATGATGGCACTCCACGAGCAGGGGCAAACAACTGCGAGAAGTGAGATAGTGTATAAGTGAATGTGATCGGAATGCGCACCTTGACCGTCGTGTCGATACCACTGACGGCAACCAGAGGTAAGTGCGGGTGGCTTTCAATCACATTAACCACATGCTGGTCACCTTCCAGAATGTCGACAAGTTCCCCAGTTGACTTCCGCCAGATGAAGAAGTTGCCATCATCAGACCCTGAGGTTACGAACTCATCATGAGGCCCTAGGAAATTTACTGGAGATGAAATTCAGCATCAATCAATATATCTACATCAACCAGATCGCACCATCTTTGACTGTTTCGACATTGCAGTGCCCAGTAAACCGCATACGCGGATAAACCACGGGCACAGCCTGGTGTGCATCTGCGTCTTCGGGGGTGAACATGCGGTCAAACTCATCCTCGTCATCCTCGTCATCATCATCGTCTTCTTCATCTTCTTGCGATTCCTCATCAACATCATCCATTGCATCAATATTGTCTGCAAGTAATGATTCCAGTTGGTCCTCGACAATCATCTCCACATCCGGGCCAGTTAAAGGCTCACCATGCGAAGACGGCGACTTTGTCGTGCTGAACCGTCTCCGCTTCGCATTAGGCGTAAGGATCGAGTGCGGAGCTCGATTGTCCTGTAAAATTTCAGGCTCGTCTCGCGTCGAATAGAGAAACACCCCGTCCGAGTTATATGCTATGAAGCGTTGGCTGTGTAAATCTTCGCGTCACATCGTCAAGTTAACGGACATACATAACAACACCTGTTCCTTACGTTGAGCCAACCTTCATGATCTCAGGCAAATTAAACAACATACCTCGTGCCCATTCCAGGTAGACATCCGTGCGCCTGTAATATGTTCATATCCCTTTCTTTCTCCCTTTGCACGAGAACGGCGCCCAAACCTCCTGACGCATGTTGTTGCACTGTCTGCATCAGGAGGGACGCCCCATTCTGCACGCAAGTAACGCCCCGCATGCCGGCGGTCGAACAAGTGCGCCTGAGGATCGCGATTGTGAGAAAAATCCAAGAATAGTGAATCCCACAAGGTGGATCAAGGGAAACCGCAGACTACATAGGATCGCCACTCATCCAAAGACATTTCCCAGGCACATCAACTTCGAATATCAAGAGAGACGGCGTGATAAAACATCAAATGACCAACACGCACATATGGCGACTCACCGCCCACGACGAACTGATACGGTGTGAGCGGTGAAAGTGCAATCGTTGAGAGCTCGTGTGGGAGTGTCACCAGCGGTGCAGGGCACGCGCCTGATGTGCACGAATGTGATGTGCGCAGATCGTGTTGACGCACTTGGCCATCCTGAGTGTCCAGTCAATAAATAAAATTGAAATCCCACTAGAACATCTCGCTACCTCAGCTACGGTCAGGAACAGATCAGGGCTGTCCTCGGTGATGATGCGCTTCGTGCGCCCAGTGTGACAGCGCAGCACACGAATGCACGACTCCCGCGTGGTATACTCCATTTCGCTCCCCGTGGGAGACCGTCCCACCGCCTCGCCCACGTCGAACACGCGGACTTGCCGGTCTCCAGAGACTGACGCACTACCAGTAGAATTAACGTGATTTCGGGTGTGAACGCACTTGAGACTTACATCCTGGTGGAAAATGGAAGCATCTGCGCGTTGAAGACATTTTGTGTGTGACCCGTGCTGATTACTGACTGACACGCGAATGGATACTCTTCCTGACTTGCAACGTTCGGCGATTTCTCTGCCTCTGCGGTCACACTTGACGAGCGGCTTGAACCAGAGCTACTAGATGCGTCCGCACCAGTAGAACCTGACGGGTCCATCCGCCAGACACGAATCCTGTTGATAACATTACAAGAACACATCGATGGTCCGAGTCAGTAATCCGGGTTGAGAAATTGAGCGCACGCACTTGGTATCGTCCCCACTGGTAATCAGCAGCTCTCCATCCTGCGCCCAGCTAACCGCGTTGACGCAGCTACGTAACACGAGGGTAATAATAAGAACAGGTATGACCTGAGACCTCTGAGACCAGGCCCAGAGAGCAATTCACCATCCAGTCGCCAGCCCATCGGGGTAGGACGATGAACAAGGCCTGTCAAATAAGGTGACGCACCCAGTATGTCCCCAGTCTTCTCCTCCAAGCACGCCCACCCTATCTAGTCTTCCGCTTAGTGCACGCGCCAGTCGCGCGCGCTTTGCACGGTGCACTGGTGCATATTTCAAGGTAGAGGATGTGCGGAGCGACGAAGGTAATCTTAGGTGTAGGTCGTCAAGGTTGTCGATGTCGTCCATGTTCGTTAGATCTAGATATTTAAATGAGAATTTACAGGCAGAGACGTTAGGTATGATGTGACCCTGTTTTCGTTACTCGTATACTCCTGTTATGTCATGTCAATCCTAATCCAACTTTGTGTGATAAAGTCGATTGCACAAAAAATCGTTCAACGTTTATACGCCATGCACTGCGTTAGATTAACATATGTATTACAACTCGACAGCTTGACGCGTGTGGATAGCCCAAGCACTCATAATTGATGTGTTTCAAACTGTGCAGAAGATATGCAGACGCCACCTCGTGGTAAAGATTCCAACTTCGTCATAGTATGAGATTGCGTTACAATTCCTCATGCAGCCTTAGCAAACCCAACAGCGTCCTGGCCGAGGTCGTAAACCGTGTAGTACCGGCGGAGGAACACATCACCTGCAGGCACTTATCAAAAGGAAGCTCGTGGCAAATAAATAAATAGATCACGTACCGATAATCCACAATGAACCTCCAGGCAGGTTGATATCCATACCGGTGAAGGACGAAATGCACGTTCCCTGAACTTCCAATATGTAGTCGCTTCCTTTGAGTGGATAGGGCTTGCCGCCGAAATAGAAGGTCAGGTCGGGAAGGGCTGGGACTTTAGCACAGTCGATTTGGTATTGGCCGTTCCAAGACTTGGTGGCACCAATTTGGGTGTTGAGCATTTCGGCGATGTCGGTGGGAAGGGCGATGAGGGAGGTGCCTGTATGCAATCTGGTGAGAAGTTGGAATCAATCAGATAAAGAGGTGACCTGCCGGTGTCGATAGCAGCGCCTGTCATTTCAAGGTCCAGTACGTCGCTTCCAAATGCGACCTTCTCAAGCTCAACTTCCCAGTATGCCTTGCGGCGAAGAGGGACGTAGTCAATGCTACCAGTGTACGCGGCGTGGTCGACACCGCCAAATGTAGCCTCACCACCATCAGCCTCGGAGTCACCAAGGCGGAAGGCAAAGACAGGCTCATCGATGAGACCTTGGTTGATCATGTTGTAGAATGGAGGAGTGATGTGGTTGACAGAGATGGTGTCGTAGGCAAGGCCGAGAATACCGTCGAACCTATTTCACGGGTCAAACACAGCTCACTTGTTTACCTAGGAAATGTACATACTTGCCGAAGGCGAACGTGAGACCGGGCTCTTTGGTGGCCTCTGCGAAGTCCTGGTTACGGATAGTGATGTCACCAATGGTGAGGGTGTCTGATGAGACGTAGCCTTCCATGGAGCCAGTGCCGTACTGAATGGAGAACTCAGATCCGTTGGCCTTGTACGTAGAGGAAGAGCTAGACTCGTATTTGGCGTGAAGGAAGCACGCAATAGATGTGCACTTGGAGCTTGGGACCCAGAGGTTGCTCGAGCTAGGAAAGAGTGAATGTTGAGGGTGTGTGAAAAAATAAATAAAAGGGGGATTCCCTACCCAGTGTCAAGGATAACTTTAAATGACTGAGGGGGCGTACCGACGAGGATCTCAGTATAATACTGAGCGTTCATGAAGTCTGAGAAATGTGAGTACGTCAGTAAGAGAGGCTACGGCAGTTACATACTGGTAAGGGGGACGTCGTGTCCGCCGTTAACGATCTCCTGGGTCCATAGGAGGTCGTCTTCGCCGGTGGGTGGACGAATATGACGGCCAGCACCGCCAGCACCCATCAAAGGTAACTGTTGGTAAGGAGCTGCGCCGTACTTCTCCGCGAGGTAAGCTGTCTCTAATGCATGACCAGGGGATACTTGTGGAAGCTTGTTAAGCTTTAATTTGTGAACACCAGCTGAAGCAAAAGGAAGGAGGCAGAGCGTTGTGGCGAACGCGGAGAGTAACATTGTCAGAGAGAAAGAGGCTCGTGGAATTCGCAGCAGAGTTCACTTGGGTCTTAAATGGGGCTGACGTCGACTTCCTTATTTAGTCATTGCCGGTAACTGGCCGGGGAGTGGCCGATAATATTTCTCACGGATACTCAACGATCGACACGACCGTCACGAGCAGCCTGGGTAGACATGAGTTCATTGACCAACGTAGAATGTCTGTTGCTCGCACAAGCAGTGTACGACTACGGTGCGAATGCTTGGCCGCAAGTCTCAAAACTTCTATCAAAACATCCTATCATCTCTCGCCCAAAGAACTTCTTTTCCACTAATGTCAGCCCGTTTCAACTTTTACTATGTATGGCCTACTCAGATCATGTTGTAGTCTTGTCGCGATATATACATTCGCCTGATGAATGATGCTCAGCTTGAGTGGTGAGATGCTCGTGCTAACCAAAGCCGTCCTTGTCCTCATGAATCTCCTCGATATAGCCCCGAGTCTGATGCGAATAGTCCGCATGGTAAGCCCTAGTCGTGTGCAACTCCCAAATCTTGCTAAAATATGCATATAGCTCTTATAAATCTCAAGCTTGCACAGAAATTCTATAGCGCACGCCTTCTGGAGTTGCGTGACTTGATTGCAGCAGAGGAAGTCAAATTCAAGTGAGTACCTCAAGAGGTACAATTCTTGTCACACTGACCCTGTCCAGGACCATCGTCGCAGAAATTCAGGACATCCGGGCTGGGAAATGGGACGATAAGATTCGTGCCAAGCTCTCCGGTACAGAAATCGAGCCCGAGTCAGAGCACGATATTACCCAGAGAGAAACAGCTGTTGTGCGTATTTCTGGTTGCTTCATCTTCAGTCTAACCCAAATATTCAGGAACCCGAGGTCTCGCATGAGATCCAGGAGCAAGAGCGTGAACCTACCCCCCAGCCACAAGAAGAAGAAGAAGCCCCTGTGCAGGAACCCGAGAACGACGTCGAGCCTGAACAAGCCCCTGAACCAGTGCCTGTGGAAACAGAATTTCCTCACCCGCCACAAACAGAGGAACACGAGCCTGAGAATGTCGAGCAGCCAATCGAAGTCGACGAACCTGTAGCCTCAACCCAAGAGGAGGAGATAGAACAGTTTGAATGGGAGCAGCAGCCCGCATCCCCAGATGACGAGGCAAGTGAGATAGAAGCGATACTTACACCCGAAGCTCCAGAGGGGTCCGTTGAGGAAGAAGCCAGTGAACAATCGCCCAAACACGAGGACGAGTCACCTGTCCATGAGGAAGAGACGCTCGAACGTGAAGAGGAGGAGGAGGAAGAAGAGGAGGAGGAAGAGGAGGAAGAGGACGCGTCCCCCGCGCAAGACACGAAACCCTCCCACACTGAACCAGAGCAAGAGACATTCATGGATGTCGACGCAGAGGAGCAGGACCTGTCTGTTGATACTGAGACGAGTTCACAAGGTGCGTTTATACTGCATTCATTGGGTTTAACAAACCCAATTCATGTTGTATAGTCAAACGCAAGGTAGACGAAGTGGACGACGGCGACGGCGCCGAAGAACCCGAGAAGAAGCGTTTGCGTGAGGAGAGCTCACCCCCGACACCAGGGGAGGATGAACCAGGTTTGTGGCTTCATACACAAATTGAATGTACTTCACCAACCAAAGAGTACACAGCAACCACACGTCCCAGGCGCGACACAACAGACAGCGAGCAACACCCCTCCACAACCCTCCAATCCACTCCATCCGGCTCTACCGCCCAATCCACCGCCCAAACTCAATCCATTCCTAACAAGCGTTTCCAGGCTGTCATCACCCTTCTACACTCTCAAATATCACAACACCGCAACGGTAACATCTTCCACAATCCTATAAAACCAACCGAAGCGCCCGATTACCACGATATCATCAAACGCCCCATGGATTTGAAAACGATCAAAGCAAGGATCAAAGATGGAGTTATCAGAACCTCGAGGGATTTCCAGAGGGATGTATTTCTGATGTTTGCGAATGCGATGATGTATAATAGGCCAGGGAGTGATATCGCATTGATGGCGGAAGAGGCGGGTATTCTTTCCTTGACGAAACACTCTTTTCGAGGCTGAAACTGTTGTTGGTAGATGATGCTTGAGAGCGAGGGTCATATCAATTCCTTCCGGCAAACAGAAGGCTACATACGCAACACCCGCGCGTGAACCAGTGCTAGGGGAAAGTTTACACGCATACATACTTTCCAATGGAGACGCAACGCTTGTCGCACGCTTTGCTCGGATATGTCAGAGCAACTAACCATTGCTACAAGCGAGTATGTTATATCTAATGTACACGTGCATGTATGCAAAGCAATCTACGTCCAGCACAGCAGTCAATCAGCGACAGATAAACAATCATTAAGGCAACATTCGATAACATTCGATAACCTAGAACCATGGATGATACACCTCGCTCATCCTCATCAACTGCACAGGATTCGTAGCTGTCGAGATCAAGTTGGTAACAGTCTGTACGACTGGTATACCGCCCATATTTGTGCTCGATTGGGCCTGCGCAACAAACCAATCAAAACACATACACGCGTACGATTCACAATGTATACTCACCGTCTCGCGCTCGATTTTGCATGCCATAATCTCAGCACGCTTCACCACACCCTCAATGTTAGCCGCACAGCTTGTCCTGAATGACAAATCGAACGTCCACGGATGTCCTTTTCCATGCATCCACGTCATTACCTCATCCCGAGCGAAGAGACAAAGTTGTTGTTCAAGACCGAACTGTATTGTCCACGTCAGTGAGTTGAAGTGAAGGGGAGAGAGAAACGCACATCGGGCTCGGTTAGACACCTTCCGATAACCATGATGCCTGTCGTCAATAACCCCTCTGTAAACACAGGGCCCAAAAACCTCTGCATATTCGGGGTGAAGCGGAAGGGCACCGCGTCATTGGACGCGAACACAGGCGCTTGACCTGCTAGACCTGTGTTCCCAGTTAGCCCTCGATTCGACTTCCATTAAGATCATAAGCATACCAGGCAACATTTCACTCATCGTCATAAGCCCTGTAGACCGAGAGAGATGGAAGCGCGAGGGCGCGCGGCTCGTGAGGCAGAAGACGAAGGTCATGAAGCTCGTCGCGGCAACTTGGAGGGCAAACTGCTTTCGCATGCGCCAGAGGTCTGCGGGTGTTGCCATGGCACTTGTCATGTACTGGGTGCGAGAACATGAGGTACTGACTGCACAGAGAGACGGTATGACTTACTTTGGTCAGAACATCATCTGGAACAAGTTTAGTGCCAATTTCATCCATGATGTCTTTTCGGAGAGTGAAGTATTCCGCTTTGCTTGGCTGTTGCAAGTGCCATTAGAAAGACTGTAGGACACCATTGCGAGTGTACTTACCGCCCGGCCACTTTTCTGCTTGAATTCTAGCAGCACGCTCTTGACTTTCTCACCAGAGACAAGTATAGGGTCCTCACGAGATAAGCCAGCTTCCTCGCAGTGATGGTCATATATATCGCCGAGCGTAATGTACGACGAATCGGTCTGCAGGAGGCGAAGACTGGGGCTACAGGAAATAGCAGCTGGAATATGGAACAGTAGATTTCGCTTGCGAGATTCCTTCCTGCGGACCAAGGCACTATAGCAGGCAAGGTCAGTAAGCAGAACTTGTGAGTCATAAACGGCCTCACCAATTGAAAGTACGGAACACTTGCGTTAGCCGCTCCTCCCTGCGCCAGTGTCGGCCAGAAGGAAGCTGAACAGAGAACGATGTCCGCGAGTTGTCGTTGCCATGCACCGTGAATCTGCGCCAGCAGTATCCATATGACCGACAGTTCTCGAACTTGGGTCCAAACTGCTGAATGCGAATGAAATTCTGATTGCTATCCTTGTCCTATAGCAAAGCTTAAGGTCAACCTTCCTCTTGTGGACTACATCAGACGAGTAACTCACCTCGGTGTACTGACCCGGAACTTCGATGTCGTCAAATTTGCCATATTGGAACTCGGTGAGATAGTGGCTAAGGAGGTCGAGAGACTGGATGCGTGGTCGGGAGTCGAGATACTTTTCTTGCCGGTCCCTCCATTGCTGAAGCTTCCGGATGTACTCGTAATGCGTGAGTTTGCTCTTGACGAAGTCTTCTTCGTATTCTCGCTACCATGAGGTCAATTTTGTTCCCGTTCAAGCAGTAAGAACATACCCTAGCCGATCCAGTTAAGTTTGCAGCCATCTTGGAAATGTTTTGTACGGTATGTTGCTGGAGCTGCCCGTCATCCTCCGTGGTATTCGTCCGCATCACATAGTTCTGGAAGTGCATGGTTCACGTCTATCTGGAGTGGTGCATGAATGACTTACCTGCACAGCATCCAGCAAGAGCATGCAAATCAACCGGTAAATCTCTTCTTCAGGGGTAGCCTTAAACCTCTGCAGTATCTGATCCACCATAGTCTCCATGCTCAGAATAAGCAGCGGGAAGGCCGTCTTAAGAATCTGAACGACCTCGTCGACGTGTTCCCAAGATTGGCGAACGACATAAGTCGGCTGGGCGTCAGAGGCACCTGGAGCATTTTGAGCGGAAGGAGGGACAGTGGCACCTGCGTTTTGTGTAGCAGGAGCTGTCTCTGTGTTGGACTGGGGAGCTTGTTGGGTTTGGGAATGGGTTTGGGAATGCTGAGACTCGCTAACGTCACCCGACGAATTCTCCTTCTTGATGATCTCTGCTTGAACTTCGGCCGTGACATCTTGCATCACTTGGTCGCCGTCAGCACGTCTGTTTGCGTTGGCAGTCATTGCACCTTGAGCGCGAGCTGCTGCTGTAGCCATAGCTTGCTTCTTGATGAATGACATGTCCTCCTTCGTCGTCCGCAATGGGAAAAATAATGCCTGCAACCAGCATGAGGCTTACGGCGAAAAGTTAGGAATGAGTAGCTAAATACCTGTGGGAATAACTTGGCAAGGTTCAGCAGGATATACCGCGCTTGCTTGACCTCGCGCTGACTGATAGAAAGACAAAGCTGCGGGATGAGCGATATCCAGTACCAAAACGCTGCCTCGCCCTTGTAAGTGTCGAACGCTCGGGAGATTGTAAATTGCGCGTCGTCTACACTCAACAACCAGAGCACCCTAGTCAGCAGGGGCCGACTCTTTCCATTCTTGTACTGTCCAGCTGCCTGGAGGTAGCAGCTGACAGCATTGGCAGCGTGCGACATTTCGCTGGGGAACTCCTTGAACATGCGATCGCTATATCGTCCCCATTCCGCCCATGCTTTGGCTTGAGACATGTCCATCTGGACTGCTTGGCCGAAGGAGTGATTGGCGTCGTCATTCCTCCCACTTCTCGCATGAAACATGCCCTTGAGAGTGAAAAACTCGGCCTTCTGGGGGTTAGAGAAGTACATCAGGTTCGTGTTATTGATGACTTCCAGTCCTGCTTGCAGATCACTGGGTTTCTGGTAGTGGCAGCGCGCCTGCTCCCGTAGTTTGAGGAAAGCTTCCGATATCTCGATATTCGGCAGGGTATAGATCTTGTTCAATGAACTGAAGCAGACATCGAGAAGATCGTGCTTCCTCGCAACATGGGCAAAGCGATTGATGATCCAAGCCGTTTCATGGTACCCACGATAGCCCGAGGTATTGAAGTTGCTTGTCGCAGAATTACCGCCCTGGTTGGTATTGGAGATAAGGGGGATGTACGCCTTGTTGATTGCATTGAAAACATTCTGCCTCCAAGCAACCAAGTCACTCCATATGCTGATGTCGTCTTGTAGGTTAGGAAGGCGCTCCCGCCAAGCTTGTAGAACCATCTTAAGATCTGAGGACTTCTTCTCCAGATTCTGAGCGGTGGTTGTAGAGAGAGAACCAAAGATCTGCACGGCCTCTTGGAGCTCAACGAACTGCTGAAAGTGTTGTAATAGCGGAACATGAGCAGCTGACATGTGGAACGGAAGAGCAACCCATTTACGCAGCGACAGCTGCATCGCATCTTCAAGGATCTTCGTGAATTCGGTGTTCTTTTCCAGAGCACCAGGCACCTTCAGAAGAGCAATGAACGCCTCGAAAACTCGCTTTCGCGGAGTCGCGACGTCGGGTAGCTGATTAATCTGCTCTTCCAGGGATTCTTTCTGATCAGCCCAATCTTTCGTGCGCCACGCACTCTCGAGTAGGAGTTCCTGGTTCCCTTCGCTCTTCGCCAAATCATGCAATGTATCCCACTGCTGGAGTTTTTCGGCTGCGAGCATCCAGTGGTCCTCCCAAAGGCAATACTCCACTTCTGAAAATGCAATTTGGCCACTCTTCGCCTTCGTCATCGCCCCTTCATAACAGTTGGAGGCAAACTCCCACATGCCATTCTGTTCGAACGAAATTGCCATGTTCGTCTCGAGGTGGTGGCATCGCCGGCGCCAAAGACCATAGAACACATCCTCCTCCGTTAGTTCGGCATAAACATCTGCGAGCGAATCGTAAACCGTTTCTTTGACAGTGGGATCATCGTCTTTGACGGAGTCCAGAGACGTTTCCAAAATCTCCATCCCAACGTGCCATGCACCGTATGATTTTGCGAGGTATTTCACTAGATAGGGTGGCAGAGTCATAGGAGGCGAGCAGGCGTGAATGCCACCCAATAGAGTCTGGATGACATTGGGGCGCAGCTCAAGCTGCTTGGCATGAAAGTCCTTGCTCAGCAAGTTGATCATGTGCAATGTCATGTCCGCCTGTTCTCGACGAGAGAGACACGCCCACGCTGCGGGAAAGACTGATACCCAAGTGTCGTGCGCAACTTGAGGGTCAAGGAATGCCAATCTTTGCATGGCACGAATGACTGACGCTGCATTCTGTCGAGCAACGAAGGAGCCATTTAAGGGCACCATGCTAATCCTCCGCTCTGAAATCAACGGCACCTCGCCGTCAACGGCCCCGAGAAGGAGATGTAGTGCGAGATAGATCCAGTTATGGTCCGCGAGAGGCTCCCAACTCTGGACTCCCAAGATATATGCTAGACGACCCTGAAGAGAACGGGGGATGCTACTGTCCAGAAGGTCCATAAATCGCTCTCTGAGCACAGGATCTCGAGCACGACACCCAAGGAGGAAACACTGTTCCAGTCGAGACGTCAAATCACTCCTGCGCAATGAAGGTTCTGTGTAGATGTCGTGAATGAGCTCCAGGTAGCTGTGGAATAGCGCATCGCTGCGGGTCTCAAAGCCTGCCATTTTCTGCAGCACGCTGACTTTGTCCTTCATTGTTGGATATGCTTCGTTCGTATGAAGGGCCCAGTCCCGCATGACATCAAGGGAAAAGTGACACAGAGTAGGACTCTTGGATTTCTCTGTGAGCGCAGTGAATGCAGCAAAGAATGACTTCCGGTGGTCGCCGAGGTGTAGAATGGTAGCTTTGCAAATCTCGATGATAGAGATGATCAGGCGGACACCGTTCTCAAATCCGTTGGTAGTCGGGGTCGAACTGACGTGGTCTTTGGCTAGTTTACTGAACAGGCGTAGAAGTGATGCACTGAATGGTTGAACGCGCTCCGCTGTTACTTGCACGACTGATTTGAGCATGAGGAGTATTCCACGGAGAGCAGTCGTGTTCGCCAAACCATCCTCGACTGCTGTATAGACCCAAGTGTGGAAGTCTGACATATCGCCCTGTTTCTCGTCTCGATCAGGCAAAGGGAATAGGTGCAAGAGATGTTCAAAGATGGGATGAAGGGCGTCATGTAAACCGGGGTCATCTGTCGTCAGACCTTTGCGAACCAAGGATTGGAGGATCGTGGCGTTGGCCAGATACCAGGCATCATCCTTATCTGCAGCGACAACTTGTAGCACCTTCGCAGCACTGAGGGCTTGGTTAACGTGGGGTTCTGAATCGAGTTCTGTCTATACGGTGGCGTTAGCATTCCACAAGCATGAAGTGCGCAATGCATGTACCTGTTCCAGAGCGCGTGAAAAAAAATTCAACTTGACGGTCACATCGCTCCAACCTGAAGGCGCAACCATCTTCTGCAACAGAGACAGTGCACGAGGCAACAGGATAGTCCTGGCCGTTGGCTCTAGAGGGGAGGTCGCGAGGCGAACGAGGAAGCTGACAATACTTTCTCTGAAGGGAAGGGGGGTGATCCATGTAGTGGAAGCTCGGGACAACTCTGCATGAGTGCTGGTATCCTGTGACTTCTGTTCCCAATCAAAGACAACCTGGGAGATATCTATGGAGAGGATACGAGATTCACCGGACGCCGTGCCAGAAAGACCAAGTTTGGACAGCGAGTTGACCATGTGAGGGATAAACAGTGCACGAACGGGGTAGAATAAGTGCGGTTGGCGGACAAGAAGTTGGTAGATCATGATGATTTGTTGGAACCCATTGCCCTCTTCTGCGAGTAAACGCCGAGTCGTCCTAGCCCACTGAGGATATCCTGCATCATTGCCACCTGAGCGAGGAAGAGCTGGTGCAAGAATATCCAGTGCTTGCTTGATGAGGAGTTTGCCGTCCGTATGAGGAGGACGAAGAAGACCTGTCCAAGCGCGGAGGATGAATTTCTGCGGGGTATCAAAGGCTTCGAAGAAACGCGCAGCTAGTAAATACGCTGTCTGCTTCACCACTGCATCTTCACTAGTTATATAGTGCCATGCACAACGGATGATGTCCTTTTTCACATCCTCAACGAGCTCTGGGAAGCGATGTACTAGCACCGTGGTCAAGTGTAGTAACTCAATCATGAACATATCATCGGCACCCGGGAAAGAAGACGTGTCAGTCATGGGTTGCCAGATCACTCGATGAAGAGATGTTATGAAGTCCATGTCAAGCATCCCCTCCTTGTCGGGGCTATTTGCTTGAATCAGGATAGTCGGTGTCAGAACAAAACGCAGGAAAAAGGTCTTCTGAGCCCACGGATATGAGGTGTCTTCGAACCAGACCACGAAGCGTGACAAGACATTGCGACGATAGAAGAGATCCTCATTCAGCGCAACGTGTCGATAGAGGAATTGTGTAAGACGTGTCAGATCCATTGCGATGTCGCGGGTGTAGATCGCAACAATGTCGAAAAGCAAGTCGACGCGAGGGGTTCGCTCCAGAGCTTTCATGAAGATTGACATGATTGAAGATTGCCGGTGAATCGCGTCAGGGACCATGACTTCATCTTGTTCAGGCTGGAGAGGCTCTGAGCGCCATATCCCGAGGAGGACATCGACAATGTATTCATTGTCTGCAAGCCAAGTTGGCTGAAGGTCTGCCAGGTCATCAAAGAGCAGGAGGCCAGGAAGTAGGAGATTCCGATCACCACTTTTCAAGCAGTGCTCGACCAGTGCTTGTGTGCGAGACGCAATCTCACGCTCGAGATTGGGGGCAAGCCTTGCTTGAAGGATGCTTCTCAGAGTTCTGACATGACGAGGGAACTGGAGATAGCGCATAAAGAAGTCCATCGCCTCTCCTGGGTAACGATCTAAATATTTACCAAGGGGCTCCGAGAAGGGACTACGGCCGGAAAAGTGCATCTGAGCTTCCGTCTGGACTATGGCGTTGACGAGGTGTTCCAAGAAGATATTCGCTGCGGAAGGGAGAAGATGGAAGATGTTGGCCAATCGGACAAGCTTCGTGACGCCTTCGTTCTCAGCTAAGGGAAGTTTCGAAGATGCTTGTAACATCTGGGGGTCTGCGACGATGCGGAAATGATCAAGGAGCTTATGTCCGATCTCAACTTTGAAGTAGTTGATCAAAAGCTCCAGTAATCTCGCAAGGCCCTCCAAGCCAGAGACCGACAGACGCTTGGGATCTGCAAGGTTCATCAAGATAGGGCGCAAGCCTGTCTGCAAGAGCTCTTTGGGGAGTCGACTTTGGTGGGTTAGAACCATACGAAGTCCTTCGTGCGCAACTTCCTTTACCTCCTGCGAAGGGGAATATAAAGACTTGAAATAGACGCCAGTGACCCTGCATTATATGATGTCAATGACGCCGGATAAATTAGGAACCATGGCTGACCTTTGCCTCGTTTGATGCTGCTTTGAAAAGAAATCCGTCATGGGCATGGATGCAGTAAGTAGCTTGATGCAAGCCACCCGAAGTTTAATAATCTCGAGAGATCCTTGACGAAGATTTCCACGAGCGAGCTGGACGTCGTCGGCGTCGGCGAGTCCGAGAGTTTCGTGTAATAATCGGAGCAATTCGTCATTCAGCTCCGGGAGAGGTGGATCGAGACTGACACAGTAGCGTACTGCATCAATCATGCCCACTTGAATGGGGAACGATAACGCCCTCAAGGGTTTGGTGTAGATTGCTGTCAGCATGCGATCCCGATGTGGTAAGAGGAGCTCGTGAGCCGACTTCCCAGTGAGCTCGACGAAGACATCGACGCAGATTTGGGCTGCATGACGAACCACTGGGTTGGGGTTTGAGAGCTCCGAGAAGAAGATACCGAGGATATGGACTAGCTTGGCACGAGCGATGATGGGGACGTCAGACATGGCATCCATATCCGTATAGGTAACGCGCAAGACACGTTTGAGGACCTCGATCACGTCGGTGACATCGCGCGGAAGATCAAAAGGGAGATCCTTCAGGATGTGGAGCAAGGTTCGCACAAGTTCAACTTCACCCAGCCATTTTACACCAATATTAGGGAGGCACGTCAAAATTCTTATTCCAATGCATCCTGCACTCTTCCGCACCCATGAATCATCGAGGCAGACGGCACAAAAGCGCGCAGAGATTTGGATCAGCGTCGGAATAATGTCCTGTGCAGTAGCCCCATTCTGCGCGCACATCACTACCAAGTCATTCAAGATTGATGTGATAAGTTCTTCACCCTTGTGCAGTTCTTCGGTGTTATCACGTGCGAGAGCGCAAGGCAAGGCCTCCAAGTACGAAGAAAGCAGGGGACTGGGATATCGCTTGAGGCCAGCTTCCTTGGTGGCATTCTTGCGGAGCTCCATTGAAAATACAGTTCGAGATAGCTCACGAATGAACTTGTCTGCGTCGTCTTTCACTTCGGGCATGTGTATCGCGTCAAATATCGCTTCCAGCGATTTAACGAACACTACAGATTCGTCCGGTCCATGGTTATTCTGTGGTACACAGTTGAAAGTTAGTCAAGTATGACCCTGTCCGAGATTACTCACATCATGCAGAAGAGTAATGGTACACGTCTCCAAAAATGAGTATGTTTGGGCACGATAGGCAGGTGCAGCCTTGCGCAGGGTTCGAACTGCTAAGTTGATCATCGGGGCCAGCTTCACGTTTTCCATCGAACCGCCAAATGAAAGAGGAATAGTTGCGGCCTTCGAGAATGGGTTGTATTCGAGAGCAGGCTCTTTATACAATAATCGACGATTGCGTCCACCGAGCTTGCCAAGAATACGGATGGTCGTGTGGGCATGATGATGACTGGCAGGTAGTGGCTTTAGGTGACTATGAAGCGCTTCCATGAGTTCTCGAAGAACGGTGTTGAGGGTCGGATCAAGGAAATCCGGCGTCAGATTGTCGATACAAAGCTCAAGGGTACGAAGACCCTGAGACACGAGCTCAGGAGTCCCACGTAACGCAAGTGCGAGGGGACGCATAAGATATGTGAGATGAGGTAGGAGATGTGTGAGACGCAGGGGCACCGTAAGGCAAAGCTCGACGATCATGTCCCTCGCATACCCTTCGGAGGCATGCAACTGGCGGTTTAAGCTTTCCAACATATCGGGAAGGAGTGGTAGAACCTCTTTGTAGAGAAGTTCGTAGCGACCCCCTCCTCCGCCGATTGCACGAAACAAGCCTCTCAAAAGATGGTAGTAGTTGGTTGACTTGGAAGCTTTGGCAGCGAGAGGGAAACAATCCATGATGAGTTTAGCTAAGTGCGCAGCCAGAATGGGTTCATTGGGCACAGGAAAAGATGTGACTGCACCAAATGCCATTTTGAACAGCCGAATGGTGATGACCGCTGTCTGGTCGTCGTATTCCCCAAGAAGTGACAGGCGGTCAATGAGGAAACGAAGGACGATTGCTACCAGAGTAGGCGAGACGTTTTCACGACTGAACAAAATTTGGCAAATTTGTAAGAGTGCAGGTCTCTTGCGAGCTGCTTCGAAAAAAAACTCAATCTTGTGGGTCCAAACCTCTTGGAACACGTGCAAATTGACTTCCAGCAGAACTGCGCTGAACCAGTCCATGGCTTCGGTGGCGTCGCGAGGCTCGGTATCAAACAGGGCCATACATTTCATGCAACTTTCGAAAAGACGGAGGATCAGTGTGCCTTCGGGAACCGGAGCATCACATTTCTTCAATCCCACCAGGCAAACACGGAAACCATGGAGGAGGGTTCGGAAGAGAAATCGACATTCTATAACCAAAGGCATCAGAGGATATTTCTTGCGCATTGAAAGTACTCTTACCATGAATTACCTCTTCTGGCTTCTCAGTTGCATAGGCAGCACCTGCAACAGGTCGCGTTTTCTCTATCAGCAGAAAGTCGATGCCCTCCCCTTCACCATTCTTGGCTTTTTCTATCCTCTCAAGTGCATTGTCCAAGACCAGTGTCATCGCCTCGACCTTGTCAACGCAGGTCTCGAACATGGCAGTCAGTACCCGTGAGGCACCTTGAGGGGTGTCCTTCGTTGTAATATTCTCGATCAGACCGAACATCATCTTGGAGAACAGCGTATGCAAGTTATGACTGAGGTACGGATTATGAATCAACGCGGAATACAGCTTCGCCACACGCGAGAGCTGATTCGCAGAGAGGTCGCCTCGGACGTGGTGTACAAGGTCTGCAACCGAGGCATAAACCGACGGACTGAGTCGTAATGATCAACTATAGCTCCTCATTGCCCGATCGAGTAAGCTTACCGCAAAGTCTCTTTACTGCCCACTCCATCTCCAAGAAGAATACGTTCATCAAACAGTTTATCGATCTGGGGCAAAAGGGCCTTCCGATGCGGCGTGCCAATCAGATGCCGTAGCACCACTATCAGATCCTAGAAAATGCATTAGGTCTGGTTACGCTTTTGGTGCATGCAGCTCACCTTTCGGGCCTGGATGCCGTTGGAAGGCAAGTCTTGCATTAGTCGAAGAGCAGCAAGAATAAGCCTTTCTCCAAAGGAATCGAACTGTTCTCCAATGCCTCGCATGATGTATGCAACATAAGATACCATCTACGCAATGAGTACCCTCGAATGTCAAAATTGTTCCAGCAATGCATACCTTGATTTGCCCATTGATGAAATCCATGTAGGCTTGAGTATTCTTAATGGTGGTGGCCATGCCGGACCAGTAAGATCCCATGGCTTCATGATCTTCTCTAGCCTTTTTTTGGGCGGGAGATTCGAGGCCCAGAACCTCAAAGTTGAGGTTGAGTGTCGTTTGAATGACTGTAAGGACTAGGGGGCGATGGCTCTGAGAAAAGGTGACAACTACCATTCCCATCTCGGCGAGGACTTTGAAACTGCGAATGCTGGGAGGGACGACATTGGGATCAAGAACAGGGGAGTCCTCGCAGAGCGTTTCAAGGACCAGTCCATTCATGTTGCGAAATACGTCTTGAAGAATTCCCATGAATTCGGCAACGAGCTCTTCTGTCAGCGCTCGAAATGACCGTAGAAGGTCGATGATGATCTTGCATGCAGTAACGCCGTTTTCCTCGTTATCATGACGCAAGGCGTGGAGCATACCACTAAGTAATGGCAAAGCCAGAGGACGTATAGTTTCCCCGTAGGGTATGCGATGTATGATTTCAAGCAGCACGCGCCTGAATTGGTACTCCATGATGTCTTTATGATATGCAGCGTCCCCAGAGGTCAGAATTTCCAAGAGGACTGGAATCATTTGAGGGAATACCCGCGCGGATTCAGCGTCTCGAACAGTGTCTATCATTTCTCGTAGCTCGCATGCAACATTGTGCTTCGTTTTGAGATCTATGACCAGCGTTCAACGTTCAACAACAGAGCGCTGAGTTAAATCACAGAACAACACGTACCTATGCCAGGGTCTGCAATGCGAGCAGCCCGCATTTCAAGGTCTGCAGCTGTACCCAGCTGCGGTGTGTTCTCCATGGTGGAGCAGCAGGAAGAGGCCTTGCATACTTACTGGTGATCTTGACCCCGAAAATGTATTTGGCTCGATGTTTGGTCAAAATTCACGTGAGTTTCACGTGATGTAGCCTCACTTACTTAAGCAACCCCTCGTTTGGGGGTGGCCTATGTACTCAGCTCAGGTCCCTGAATTGAGGCACTAAGTTAATGATAGTCAGTTGATAGCCTCCTGCCACATTCTGCAATGATTGGCGATTGGAGACCGCTCATATTGACCAATTGCCAATTCTTTAAACGACCAGCTTTTTGGGGGAAACCATCGCTTCAGCCTGAGAGCCAAGTGGGCTTAGATCATCATTACCCTTGGAGTACAGCTGCCTGCCAAGTTGGCAACGACCGCCCACTGGCCACTACTAGCAGTACTTACTACTGAACGCAGTCCTAACTTTGAGTGTCCGGTCGTCAAGGCTCCTTCTCAGGTTGTCATGTTGCATGCTTGTAGCTCCGATATGCCAACGTTAAAAGGGAAACTGGACAGGTAGGCACACCGTGACACCAGCATGCCTGTGGCCAGAGTCATGGTCTCAGTTGGGCTGTGCAGATTGTAAGTTAAATATAAACTGAAATCATCCGAACAGTTTTCAGAAACACGATAAGTTCGTTGCTCCGAGTCCCTAGCGTTCCCTCACTGTGCAGTTTATGCTTGTACTAGAGGCTGGCCCTCAAGAGTCAAAACCTTCTTCTCCTCGTCTTCCGAGCTGGTCTCGCCCATTTTCTTTTCCCAAATGCTAGCATCTAGAATGCCGGGCTATAACGCATTGAATGCCCTTGTGGTACGTGACGCAAGTACACTATCCATCAGCGAATTTTTGGAACACCCCGACTAGTCAGTCGATTCATTTCTCCAATGTGTAGTAACTAATTCCACATCCCAGTCGTCAGATTGCATCTTTTTTTCTAGGTTGGGTTTTTGTTTGCAGTTTACTATGCGTCGTGACCTCGCCAGTGATGTGTCACCTATATCGAAAATGCTCCAAGGCCTTCGATGAGCGCAGGGGTCTGCAGCTAGACACTAACGGAAATCGCGCTCTTTGGAACAATTCTGAGAAACTTCAGGGAACACTTTTTTGGGGTGATCGAAATTCCACCATACAGCCATTGGAAGATGAAAACTCTGCCCTTGTCTTGCTGCTTTCTCTTTGTTTCGCCTTTGCGAGCGTGGCAAACTTTTCGTCCTTGCTGTCATTCAATTCCGATAGCGGTCCTTCTTCTTGCGGTGAGTCGGACAAGGTCATCATATAGTGACACACATCTCATTCCGCAGCATTTGTCGTTGCGTTGGGAGGCATTTCCGCCGCCTGTGCTCGTTTCATGGGTTTAATCATTTTAAATCATGATCTACGTAAATTCGAGCTGCGGCGGTGGGAAATATACGCGGCTTGGTCTTGGCTAGTAGTTGCCGGAGGTGAGTGCATCCTTGTTCAACAGGCAGGATTGACCGACACCTATGTAAGCTTTTGTGGTTGCGACATGTGCCATAAGCGTCGGAGCAGTCGTGTGTGTGGTCTCGTTGTTGACTTCAATATATATTCTTGGACTCATCATAACTGCAGATATGTACTACAGCTCGACACGTACTTGTGCTACAGGACGAGGTCGGTGATACGTGCTGCTCATGGTGTCTCTATCTAATTTCTCGATGAAGCTACCTTCCTACCGCCGTGACTATGTCCGTGATGTTCGTGATCCTAGAGCTCTACATTATCGGAAGACTATTGTCTCTTATTGCTCCGCCATTCCTCGAGTTCAAGCACAGGATTGGAGCGGCAACAGATACGAGGGTACTTCGCGCACTTTCGCTCTTGCTCTTTGACCTTTTGAATCTGGCACCCGGATTGAAGTTGATCGGTGTTATTGGTGAATTTGTTTCATTCAGTATAGGGGCACTTATTGTGTTAGGTATGTCTTTCTGAGATGAATTGGCATCCGTTGAAATACTAAATGTGAATAATTCCAGCGATGTTCCGTAAACACCGAAGACAACCGATTATTGGCGAACCGATACCTGTACCCATGAGCCTTCATGGTTCAACGGCCCGCACCATTCACGTTTCCATGCCTCCCAGACGCAGTGCACAGTCCCATATCCCTGGTCATCCGTTCGCTGCTTCAACAGACTTCGCAACCACTCAGACCTACCGTACCTCTATCGCGTCGTCGATATCATCCAGTCTTTACAGTTACAACACTGCTGCTCGTAGCTGCCAGACTGGTACTGGTGTGGTCAGGGTTGCATCGAGGTTAAAGTATACCCAATCGCGCCCCCATTTACTTGATCCGTCTGAGACCTCCATTTCACTGGTTTCAAATCATGGTCACGATGCACCTGCGGCAGAGTACACCAAGACCCATTCTGGGCCACCCTCTGATGCTGCTAGTGCCCGCCACATCATGCCTAATCAGAGCGAGTACGTAAATACCTTAGAGGGCCATCAAGATCCGACTACTCGTGGGGGTCTCCCGATCAGGCCTCAAATCAAGATCACCACATCGCAACCGAGGCAGCCCCCTGCGGCACTGATGCCTCAGCCAATATCTACCGACTCTCTGCCGTACGGTTCCGATATCATCGGGGCGGCCGGCTCTCGTGGCAAGGTGGACATCACCAAGAGACCGTCTCAGCGTTCCCGTCGCAGTACACTGCCATCTGACCTCAGTTTCTTGTTGCCTTTGGAGAGCGCACCGGCTTCTGTTGTTCACTTCCATCGTAACAGTATAGGTGCTCCTGTGACGCCCTCTGATGAAAAGTCTTTGCGCTCAGAGGATCGACATGACCGGTGGTTGGCATTTGGGCAGAGCAGTTTGTCTCCTACCAGGCGAAGGACCTTTGGTGATCAATCCCTTCAATCATTTGTTCCCCCGACATCCCCTACGGAACAGTCGGTCACCATTATTCCACATTCTTCAAAGCTGCTCACCCCGAGCCCCTTTGGAGAGCATTCTTTCAGCATTCTTAGTCTTGCTGCGTCCCAGCAAAATATTCGTAGACTTCCATCGCTAAAGGTGCAAGAGGAAGCTGAAGAAGATAACAGCCCCATTGATCCTTTCATCCCGGTATTTGCGACGTACCGTCGTGCCGTTCCAGCTGCCGGTGGGATACGGATTCGTGGACCACGTCCCCCTCCGAAGATATTTTCTCACTCCAACACTACACCGACAGCAAGTTCCTTTGGTGTCGCTGAAGTAAGTGTTCAGGCTTTTTTCGGGATCAGCAAAGTTGACTACAACCGCATCGCAGGTTCTCAGGACTAGCTAGCGGTGGGTAGGTAGATTAACGACTCCAACATGCTCCTTTTACGTATCACTTTCGTCGAAGTTACTTACTCCATTCGTGCCTTTGGCGGTACGGTAGTGCATTTGTTACTAGCAGCAATCCTTTAACATTATTACCCGGATACCCTGGCGTGTTGCCGAAATACATCGCAGCGGTGCTTGGTCGCGCCCCTATGATATTTCAACTGTATATCACTTTTCACATGCAATCATATAAATGTTGGAGATGCGCGCGTTCATAGATCTTACTCACGTTAACATTGTTCGCTTACCTCCCTTCTTAAAACTCAGGCCTGCAGCTGTGAAGGTTACGATGATGTTTGGGCATTCATGTACATTTTCAACAATGAAGGAGATGCAAGAGGGCGCAAGTGTGACGCTAAATATAGCTTCTGGACACCCTCTCTCTCAATCGCAAGGTAGGAATCAGCAATTTTATCATCAGCTTCGAACAGATTAATCAAAGTCGCTATTTCATGATCCTCCAGATCCTCCTTTTGAACCTGAACGATTGTCCTTTTCTTGCGGATTGGGATTGGATCGACAGAGCGCTGGGGCTCATAAATCATTTCTGGAATGTTCCCAAAGCTGGAGATGAATTTGTTATGCTCTCACCCAACTGCTCAAAAGCCTGGAGAAAGTATGTATGCTGAGATGCTGGAACGAATAGCGCACATATGCCACCGGCATCGGCTGACTTTGATTTCGATGAAGAGATATCCAAGGGGGGTCGCTGTGCAGGGCGAAAGAGTCTGAAACGTGGGACAGGTGGAGTATCGACGATGTTCGTTGAAAGCCCAAACTCAATTGCATTGCATCAAGCGCTTTTGTCATCGATCGACTCCCAGTATCGTTTGTCAGAGCTGGGACTGGTAGGATGGCGAACGTCATGGAAACGTTCTTGCTGTGTATCTTTAATTTTGGTGGGATGAGATTTTTAGCTGCTTCATAATGCAGCCAGCCCTTGAATGGTTTGGCTCGCCGAGGGATCATTCTGCACGAGTGGTACATAGTGCAGTAGTGGTGAGATGTGTGACAGAATCATACTTCATAAACTTAGCCCAGATGGCTCAGACTCGGGAATAACATCAGCTCCATGTTCAAGGCTGTAATATAAGCCAGTACTTTGACTAACCTAACGATGACATGAAAAGTGAGGGTGTCAAGTATCAGCGCTGCGAAGTGCGCCGAGCTGATCGCGTAGTTCCTGCGCCCATTTGGACTGACAGGCATCAGGAGTTTTGGGTACACCTTGCGGTGCGCTCTAGCCATCTCACCGGTAGCAGCATCGAACCCAGAACGATTTGTCGAACTCCATGTCACGTTCTTCACCCTTGGCTTGATCATTGGGTGGCGATGTATTGGTCGAACTTTGTTTCGTCATACATGATCCAGTAGCTTGTATCTGTGGAATGAATCTGGCTATGTTCGGCGTTGCTTTCACTACGATTCATTCTGCTATATTAGTAGTACGTAGATGGAATCGAGTGCTAGGTGATAAGAAGAGCCGTAGTGTCACACTGGCATGTGCACGTGTGGACACGGTACCTACCGTCCTTTATTAGCACTTGTCTCGGCAGGCTGCGCAGGGCTAATTAAGTTGCCAACACACTCACTAACCACAATCTACGATGGCGTCCTCTGAACTCTTGAAACAGATTCAGGCGGGCAAGAGGCTGAAAAAAGCAGAAACACATGACCGGAGTGCGCCGTTGATCGACCCGAAGGCAAGTGTGGTGGTGGTGGTGGTGGTGGTGGTAGTGGGGTTCCTGCTGCTGCTTCACGAGCAGGAAGTGCATTGCCGTCGACGGGTGCTGGCGGACCTCCTCAACTGGGTGGATTGTTTGCTGGAGGTGTGCCCAAGTTGAAACCTGCAGGACAAAGTAACTTTGGTATGCCAGTGCGATACATCGCCTAATATTTCCATTGATACCTTTCCATCAGCAAAACCTCCTACACTTGGAAAGCCACCATCAGTACCTAGGCGAGAACCTACTACTAGTGCACCACCGCCTCCTGCTAGAGGTCCTCCTCCTAGACCATCCGCACCAGCACCCGCACCCCCTGCTGCGGTTCCCGCCCTCCCCACTCGACGTGCACCGTCACTGCCAAATCGCGCTTCTCCTGCTCTGCCTTCAAGATCTGCACCAGTTGTACCTCTGAGAAATACACCCACCCCTCCTAATGCTGCTCCTCCCCCGCCACGTCGACCACCTCCCGCAAGGACGGCTTCCCCGGCCCCTACTGCAGCTCCTCCTGCCCGTCCACCACCTCCACCATTCCGGACCGCTTCTCCGCCTGCTCGACCTGCATCTTCACCTGCTCGACCTGCCTCTCCACCTGCTCGGCCTGTCTCTCCACCCAAACCAGCACCATATACGCCATCACGTTCTGTCCCCCCTCTTCCTCCCGCTCGCAACAGTCTTCACCCTCCAGTTCCACCTGCCAGGAAAGCTCCTCCTCCCCCTCCAGCCAGGCCCTTATCGGCAGCTGGATCTCCTTCTCGAGTAGTACCGCCTCCACCCTCTCGAAGACCACCTGTGATGGATGGTCCACCTGCTCCTCCAGCCCGTGTCCGAGCTTTATCGGAAGTCGACCCCCCTGCACAAAGTCCACCTGTAAATCGCCCTCCACCTTCCCGTCCGGTCCCGCCCACATCTGCTCCTTCCCGTCCAGTCCCGCCTCCATCTGCTCCTCCTCGACCGCGTACCGTTTCAACACCTGTCGCTGCTGAACCTGAACCTCCTACTTTACCTGTGGGACGGCCCAGCATCAATGGCAGTGTGAATGGATCAAGGGCACCTCCATCTCGCAAAAGTAAGTCGCAGCTTGGTTCTGATATTTGACATAGCTCATGAATGTATGTCAGTCCCTTCGCCCCCTCCAAGCTCTGGTACACATACATTTCCAGTGACTGACCTCCCTCAGCCACGTCCGTTTGTTGCAGGGGCGAGGCGATATGGCGGTGGTCGAACGACTGGCAGCGATTTCGACCTGTCCGGTTTGTAGTTCACCAACTTAAGGCATTGTGTTACTTGGACTATTGATCAGTATTGACCTGGGAATGAGAACATGGGACATCGTTGCTATAGCTGTATCATTGAGTTGCTCAGACTAGAGTAGCTACGTACGCAGCCAGGTGTCAATTTATTTCTAGGCAAATTATCCAGGCAGAACTTCGGAAGTACTGTTAAGACTAAGAGTAAGTTAAGTAACCAGCGCTAACGTTGACAAATCGGTAATGCTGGACCGCTGGTGACACGTATACAGTTACTTGCATTATAAAAGCTTCGTGCTTCGCCTCTATTCATTGACAGTCACTTTCTCAAATCCACGAACGCATCGTTCAATGCGCTTCACCTCTTTCGTGTCGCTGGCTTCTGCCATCGCTCTTGCGTCCTTGGCATCAGCTGAGGATGCTGCTGAGCCTTCCGATGTACTTAACCTTACAAAGGACAACTTTAGTTCCGCTGTCAACGCAGAACCTTTGATTCTGGTCGAGTTCTTTGCTCCATGGTAGCTTTTATAATCCTTTTGCGTGACTACTGGCTGAGGTTCATGATAGGTGTGGTCACTGCAAAGCTCTTGCTCCCCACTACGAGGAGGCAGCCACTGCCCTCAAGGAGAAGGACATCAAGATTGCCAAAGTCGACTGTGTCGAACAGGCAGACCTCTGCCAGTCGCATGGCGTCCAGGGTTACCCGTGCGTTCATATTGTCGTCTGAAACGATGTCCCGTGCGTGTTAACCGTCCCTTTACAGCACCCTGAAAGTCTTCCGCAACGGCGAACCCACTGACTATTCTGGTCCCCGAAAGGCGGACGGCATCATTAGTTACATGATTAAGTATGCTTTGATCTGTTGTCACCCATTTGACTCTGCTAACCTCATTCTTACCAGACAGTCCCTTCCTGCCGTTTCTGACGTCACCGCCTCTAACCTCAACGAATTCCAAAATGCCGACAAGATCGTCGTCCTCGCTTACGTCTCCTCGACTACAAAGGCTCCTGCACCCGAATTCAGCGCAACAGCAGACAAGCACCGCGACGCGTACCTCTTTGGTATTACCTCGGACGCTGCGGCTATCTCAGCTGCGGGCGTTACTGCCCCTGCTATTGTTGTCTACCGCAGCTTCGATGAACATGTCACTGAATACCCATACCCACCTTCTGCAGCTACCGTCACCGAGATCGAAAACTGGGTCCAGGAGCTATCTATCCCCATTCTCGGCGAGGTAAATGGAGAGACCTACTCCATGTACGCTTCCAGCGCCAAGCCTATCGCCTACCTCTTCCTGGATCCTACAGACGAGAAGAGCGACGAGGTCATCGCTTCTTTGAAGCCTGTTGCTGCCAAGTACCGTGGCAAGGTCAACTTCGTTTGGATCGATGCGACCAAGTTTGGTGATCACGCTAAGGCTTTGAACCTTGCTGAGCCCAAGTGGCCGAGCTTCGTCATCCAGAGCTTAGATGATCAGCTCAAGTACCCTTACGATCAGAGCAAGCCCGTTGAGGCCGAGGCTGTCTCCACTATGGTTTCTGAATATCTCGCTGGCGAGCTTGCTCCTAAGCTCAAGAGCCAACCTATCCCTGAGACTCAAGATGAGAGCGTCTTTACGCTCGTCAGTGACCAATTCGATGAGGTTGTGTTCGATGACTCCAAGGATGTGTTTGTTGAATTTTATGCCACATGGTGCGTTGTTTTAATCATGGCATATGACGCATCTCATCTACGACCTATCCAGGTGCGGTCACTGCAAGCGCTTGAAGCCCATCTGGGATTCTCTTGGTGATCACTTCGCTGATGTGAAGGATCAGCTGGTCATGTACGTTCTCTCCTCAAGTGTTGGACAACAACTTATTCATTTCTGCAGTGCAAAGCTAGAGGCTCAGGAGAATGACCTCCCAGCTTCAGTACCATTCCGCATCAGCGGGTTCCCCACCCTGAAATTCAAGCCTGCTGGATCGCGGGAGTTCCTTGAGTACAACGGGGACCGGGAGTTGGAATCTCTCATTGCGTACGTGGAGGAGCAGGCTAAAAACAGCTTGAAACCTGCAGTCAAAGCTCCAGAAAACGAATCGCAGACTACGTTCGAGGCACCGCGAGAGGCTCACGATGAATTGTAATTTTGATTAGTGAAGTTGCATCTACTTATATATTCTTTGCATTCATGAGGGCTGTGTGAGCGCAAAGTGGAGCGGACTCGTATGATTGCTCTAACATAAGATGATGGAAAACACAGTTGGAACAAGATAATAATCACAGCTTCACTTCCTTGAGACCGTGCTTCCAGAACGTGAAGTAGGCTATTGAGGTGTGATATGAGCATGGTGAGACTGCTTGACAGATCATACGTACGGGTGATCCCATCCTCCTGAAATAAGAAATCATTGAGAATGCATTATTGATTCTGGTAAGATCGTAACTTACGCGGTAGTTCAACAAGGCTACCATTCCGTCGGGGTTCATGTTCTCGCCAGTGTACTGAAATTTCGTTTGTCACCATCAACGCGTATAAGGGGCAAAGCACACCCACAAATTCATAGTCCTTGAATTTACCAATTATCTTCTTGGCAAAGTCATTTGCCTTGGCCTTGAAGTCAGCAACAGCAGCAGCATCATCTCCCTTTGCTGCCAATTTGTCCGCTACAGACTTCATATAAGCCTGACATCTTTATCAGTTTCGATGTCCGGCAGGCACAAACAGCAATGATACCTTGAGATGTAACAGATATGCTTTTTTGTCATAAGCAGTAGGTTGAAGACGGAAGGAATGAGCGATGTTGTTGACGGTAGATGCTCCGTCCTCAAGCGCCTCTTCCTGTTCTTCAGCTGAGGCATTGGCACCTGCAAATAGATGGGTTCTGTTCTTTCGATGGTGAATGAAAATGAAAATGGAGCACATACCGATATCGACATCGCCTTCCTTTACGACGATCATCTGGCAATCGACTTCGTAGGCAATACCATCTATATGTTTCCTGGTTTTTTTAGTAGTCAGTAACAGGGCTCGAGCGCCAAGATGATCGAGCGTACATGGGGAACGCATCAGAAAACATCTCATCGCCGGAGATGATGTCCTCGTAAAGAAGCATTTCGAAGAGATAGAATAATGGACTAGAGAAAAAGAAAGGGGGCTTCCGACGAAGGAGATAGAAGTTGAGGTAAGAGAGATCTTGAAGGACTTTGATCTTTATGTACGATCAGTAGATCATCATCTCGTGGGATACAAAAATCTTGCGCATCCGAATCCCGACAGCATCAGAATCTGCTTCATGCTATCATGGACTATCAGCCGGTAGTCGTACAGAGGCATGCTCGTCCAGCTGCAGCCAAGCATAGTCCAGAATCAAGATATTGGCGTCAATTTAAACACCCAGTTTTCATCAAAGAATACGCTCCAGTCACATCCATACAGTTCTCTCCCTCTAAACCTCACAGGTATGCTGTAACAGCAGCAACCCGTGTTCAGATTTATGCACCCCGAACCCAGAAAGTAACAAAGACAATCTCGCGCTTCAAGGATGTTGCCCGCAGTGGTAATATCCGTCCTGACGGAAAACTCGTCGTTGCAGGTGATGATACAGGTCTCGTGCAGGTATTGCGCATATCATATTTCGCTGTGCATCCCTGACCGTCTGCTCCCAGGTCTTTGACATTAATTCACGCGCCATCCTTCGTACCCTGGATTCGCACAAGCAACCGGTACATGTTACCAAATTCTCCGCTCTCGCACCCACACAAGTACTCTCGTGTTCAGACGATACGACCGTAAAATTATGGGACGTCCCATCACAAGTCGAAGTGGTCACCTTCCATGCTCACACCGATTACGTTCGTTCTGGTGAAGTTTCGACGTCGAATCCGCACCTAATCCTCACTGGTTCTTACGACGCAACCATGAGGTTATTTGACACGCGGACCAGTCAGTGCGAGATGATAATGGGTGGGGATACTTCGAATGCAGTACCAGTCGAGCAGGTCAAAATGTTCCCATCTGGTACGATGGCATTATCGACTGCAGGTCCTATCCTGCGCCTTTGGGACTTGGTCGCTGGTGGCCGTTGTTTACGTGCATTTTCGAATCATCAGAAAACTATCACCTCGCTTGCATTTGATGGCTCTGCGGGTCGTCTGTTAACGGGAAGTTTGGACCACATGGTGAAGGTTTATGATATTAGCTCGTACAAGGTCGTGCATACCATGCGCTACCCCGCACCCGTCCTCTGTCTTGCTATTTCCGTATGCAGACTTTCAAATCCTTACCTGTTCCCGTGCTAACGAATTGCACAGCCAGATGAAACACATATCGCTGCGGGAATGTCCGATGGCACGCTCTCTGTTCGACGAAGACAGCCAAAAGCTTCAGAAGGCGCGGATCAGCCCTTCACTACTGCTTTGAAATCTGGGGCCTTCGAGACATTTTTAGGAGGCACCCTTCCTGCAATCGGTCAAGGACGAACGAAGTCTAAAATCAAGCCCAAGCCAACTGGAGACGTGGACGAGTTGAGAATCGAAAGCAGAAGAGCAAGGCGTTTGAAAGAGTACGACAGGTTATTGAAAGGGTTTAAATACTCAGCAGCTTTGGATTCAGTGCTCAGAAAGGTAATGCTCATTCCCCGTGGTTAGGCGATTAGATAGTTAATCCGCCTCACAGAATGTCCCACCAACAACAACTTTCTCTCTCATACAAGAACTAATCCACCGCGACGGCCTTCGGAGTGCATTGGCAGGTCGAGATGATGTCCTTTTGGAACCAGTCTTGCGTCTTCTTGTGAAACATGTCACTGATCCCCGTTTCGGTGAAATGGTGTGCGATGTCTCAAGTCTAGTTATCGGTACGTGATTGATTGCCTTGCGCTTTTGCTGACTTGACTTATTTATGCAGAAATGTACACGCTGGTGCTTGGACAGTCACCACTCATCGATTCGCTCTTCATGCGACTACGAAAGAAAGTCCTTGCTGAGATTCGGTTCCAAAAAGAACTGGTCAAAACAAAAGGCGCACTCGAAATGATTTTCGCGTCCGCTACACTGACTGCCGCATAGGAAGCCACACGACTGTACTCTACGCGTATATTGCTATATATTTTAATGCCTCGTGTCCGTCATGAACATTCATGCAGGAACTCGATAAGATGTTGAAGGATTTCCTTCTGTGACAGTGCTCCGTCTTCTGGAGCGTGATCAGTGGCTGCACCGTTACTCTGGATGTCAACGTCGAGGTTGTCGCGGTATATTTGAAGGGTTGAGATGATATCTTTCAAGGACTGGTTCTTTCGTTCAAGCATTTGTGTGATATGACCGCGAATCTGGAGTTTTACTCAACTTAGTCATCGCGTGTTGTTAAAAATGGTGCTTACTCCATCGTCCTCCATGACTACCCATGCGAGGATGTAATCGACTGTCTGCAGCGTGAACAATCCGCCTTCCAGTCGGCGTAGATAAAACAGATCCTCGTCTTCTGGCTCAATTTCACCACCTCCAGCAAGGGTTTCCTGCGCAATCAGCGTTCCAACCAAATGGTTCGTCAGAAAATATACAATGCACATACCTTTTTCTCCACCTCTATCTCTGAGTCCACAACTTTCAGGCGATTATGAGCATTTTCCCGCACCTCGAGTAGTTTGTCGGCTTTCTCATAGTTATTTTCCACAAACTTGGCAAGCAAACGTATTCGATCTGGAGAGTCCGATGGAGTGTTTGAAAATAATGAGGAGATAATGCCAAGGATATGTGGAGTATCTTCGGAAGCTGCTGTAGGCGCATTTGATTTAGATTTCTTTGAGGCCTGTGGAGTAGGCTTAATCACTTTAAGCCATGGTGGACAAACCACTACATCTATACCTTGCCCATGAAAGCAGCAAAGAGCGTTTTCAGTCCGAGGACCTCGACAAAGTTTGCGCAAATTGCGGTGCCTGCTGCGCCAGACATCGCATAATCGAGAGTTTTAATTGCTCTCGATTTCGATTGCAATTTCTCTCTACCAACGGCATCAGTTAGCATTGCAGCCACGTCCCACTGATGTACCCACCTCATCATAAGAACCATGAGGTCAACGCCTTCGCTCGCGATGAACAAGGACTTGACTTCAGGCTCGGCCAACGCAGAACAAAGAGCGTCGAACAAGTTCTCCATAAATTCGGTCTCGTCTGCATCAACTGGGTCACGCCTCCGGAATTGCTACATCATAGGTATCAATATCAAAGCTTGTGATAGTCAACTGCGACTTACAGAAAGAACTTTAAGAGCGACTTCGACGCCATCTTTGTTGCCGAAATCTTGACGATTCACTGCATTATTCTGTAGGAGGATAGAAAGTAATTCCGCTGAATAACCACGGTTTTCGTCATGGGTCTTGGATTGGACGCGGTTGAGTAACCAATTCATCATCTTGGTCTTTGATACCAGTATGAGGGAAAGGTCAGGGTTAAAGCCAAGCATGTTTTCGAATACGCCTGAAACGTGGGTCAGTAATGAATGGTGAGAGATTCGGGACACGAATACCGAGAATATGAAAGACGCCCTGTCTGTCGGATTCTTCTGCCTCGTTTAAACGCGAGAGGTTATCAACAAGCAACTCCAAAATTGAATTCTCTAACTGAATGGGGTACCAAGATTTAGAACAGAAACATTCTAAAATGTCGGGACAAACCAAAGCTTCGATGAGGGTCTTCAACGCTACCTGGGCTTCCTCTTGCTCCTCCTCATCTTCTAGCTCATTCCCAACATCTTCGTCGGTTAGCTCATGGATCACATCAACAACGTCGATGACGATGTCAGCGTTCTCATGGCTAAGGAGTCCGATGAGCAAACTGACAGAACCCGAGCGCACGAGTTCCGGGTAGGCTAGCACAGGAGACTGTGCCAAAGACAAAAGAGATTTAAGCGCACTATCGAGGTCTGCTTCAGAGTCGATGAACCTGCAGAGACATAAGTATGATCAGTCCTAGGACCATAAGACGTCCGATGCTAATTACTTTGATGGGTCGTCCGGGTACTTCGAGCGTTGGTCTTGGTTTTTGTTGACAGCTCGCTCAAACTTCAGTAGCGTTCTTCTTATGCTTGTGATCGATATTCCTTCTGGCTTCACGTCGTGTCAAAATTTACACGATTCGCGAGACTTTTGTATGCGCTCACGTCTTCCGATGTTCCCTCTCCTTCAGCACTCTCAAAAATACTCAAGATTTGCTTTTGCTCGGAAGTCAGTCCTCCTCCGTAGAACCGTCCTTCTTCATCCTCTTCAACAAAGTAGTCCGCGTCACCCCCTGGAGCAAACGAGGTGTCAACCCCTTCGTCGTCTTCTACAGTTGCGCGTCGCGACTGTCGGCTAGCAGCTGAGCTGCTTTCAGGCATGTCAATGTCCATGGCTGAATCCTCTGAGTCTCCACTTGAGGGAGTTTCGAGACGCATCTTCTTCAGCATCGCCGGGGTAGGATTGTCTGGCATCTTCCGCTTCGAGCTTGCAGGAAGCTTGGGCACCTGGAACGCGTCTACATCACAACGTGCACGCGAGAGTTATGCAAGACGGATCCCTTACTTTGAAAAGCTTGTCGATGTCCATGATTTAGTGTGTGGATAATGACTGTGGTCACGGTGCATAAATATTAAAGACAGTCCTAAAGCAATGTACCATGATGCCTAAAACCACGTGATCTAACGTCGCGCAACTTTCGTGCTCATCCAGTATAAGTATATCAATGTACAGTGATTGTTCTTCAAAACCTTCAAAGAGAAGTCTACGGGTCTAACGCATGCAACTGGCAAAATGTCTACAGCGATGGCCGATCGGCTTATCAAAGGCGGACGACAGCGTTCCCATACCTTGCAATCAATGTCATATTGCTAGATGAGAACATAACTTTCCTATTTTATCAGTGCTATCAGCATGGGCCGCGCAGCAATGAGAGCATCATACGTCGTATTTATTTGCTCGAAAATCAATTTGAAGAAAGCGCGCATAGTAGGCCTGACTGTGAAATGCAACAAACGAAGTGGAAGTGTGTGGGATCAAGGAGCAGTACCCACTATGACCGTGTGGCTTTATTATGTATGGTGTCCATTATCATAATTTCAAAGTCGAAATACATAAGACGGTGAGCTGCGCTCCAGTATCAAGAAATAAAACATACTGGCAATGTCTTCGCAAACCGGCCACGTCGTCCGCACAGCGGCGAGAGCGGCGGTCGATTAATAAGGCTTGCTCCTATTCTTCTTCAAGTCCTTCTCGAGCTGTCTAGCCTTTCGGTGCCCTATCTCTACAGGTCGAATAGCAGTATCATCTGCCTTCTTGAGCTTGACTGGACGGTTACCTACATATTTACCTGGGGTATGTCAGTCAGCGAGAGTGCGGCAACTTGAACAAGAGTACTTCTCACCATCCATCTCTTTCCAAGCTTTGAGGAAATCTTCTGGATCTGAAAAAGCGACAAAACCATACTTTGCCTGATAATGTCTCATTAGTAAAGTTTGCAGAGCACAGGGAACTTTCATGCCTTCTGGCTCAATCTGTCGCGTATGACGCGGGCCTTCTGGAAAGATGTGTATTGATTGAAGGCGTTCGCGAGGACATCGTCTGAGACATCGTTGCTAAGATCTCCCACGAACAAGCGGAACCAAGCTACGATAAAAGGTGTCAGTGGCTGACTTTCGTATCAAGTGGCACACTTACATGGGTTCCACTCGAGAAGAGTCTGATCTTCCCAGACCTTTCCACCACCCTTACGGAGCACAGTAGTACGTTTTCCACCTTTCGCAAGTTTCCCACCAGCGCCACCGCGCTTGTCGATCATAGCTCCGGGAACATAGACACTCTGTTGCGCAAGTATGCCCACATCATACTCGTACGCATTCGCTGGAACAGGTGCGCTGTGGTTTGAGGAAGATCCGGGCAAAGGATACATGGGACCTTGGTAAGGCTGGTGGTAAGGATTGACATCATAAGCCTGTTGCTGTTGACTAAATTGAGAATATTGCGAGTCCATGATGCGTCGATGGTGGTGCAATGAGAAGTCTGGGTTATGGGTTATCACTCAAATGGATAACTGATAAAATTAATTAACAAGTTATTTAATACAGCAAATCAATAAAGGTAAACAACTGCTCTCAGAAACTTTGATTGAAGGGGTGTACTCGCTGTCCCCGCCGTCCTCAAGATCCCTCAAGGTATGTCCTTATGTCAGTTCGCCGTCCTGGGGCATCGTCTGGTCCCGAACGACTGCTCACAATCATCGGATTGTTCAAAAACGGCCAGCTCCCGATGGATGGACGATAGCTGCCCAGGATGGACGATAGCCATATGTGCAGTCAACTAACAGTTCCTACTAGATGCCGTTCGTTAAAAAAGTGAAGTCCGGTCCATACTTCTCCCGCTTTCAAGTGAAGTACCGCCGTCGAAGAGAGGGAAAGACCGACTGTGAGCAAGTTCTGTATTTCTTGATTGCATGTGCTAAGGTCTACTTAGACTATGCTCGCAAGCGCCTCGTCACTCAGGCTAAAAACAAGTAGTGAGTTATCGCAGTATGAAGAATGCCGGCGTGTTCTAACGGCTCGGAAGCAATGCACCAAAATACCGTTTAGTAGTGCGCTTCACGAACAGGGACATCATCGTCCAGATCGTGTATGCACGTCTACAGGGTGACTTCGTCTTGACCGCTGCACGGTCACAAGAGCTGCCAAGATACGGGATCAACCACGGTCTCACTAACTGGACTGCTGGTACGATTCTTTCACGTAATCTACTACATGATGTCTGATGGATAATGTAGCATACGCAACTGGTTTACTGTGCGCCCGCCGTGCGTTGACCAAGCTGGGTCTTGCCGATAAATATGAGGGTGTCACAGAGCCCGACGGTTCCCTGACATTGACTGAGGCACTGGATGATGAAGATGCTCCACGACCCTTCAAGTGCTACCTTGATGTTGGTCTTAAGCGCACTTCTACTGGCCACCGTGTTTTCGGCGCAATGAAGGGCGCAAGTGACGGTGGTATATTCATCCCCCACTCCGACAAACGTTTCCCTGGGTACGACCCAGAGAGCAAGTCGCTCGACAGTGAAGTGCTCAAGAAGTACATCTTTGGTGGCCACGTCGCTGAGTACATGGAGTCACTCGAAGAGGAAGATGACGAGCGGTAAGCCATTCTATACGGACACGAAGCATGATATTTATGGTTTCGCTCAGCTTCAAGAAGCAATTCTCCTCATATCTTGCAGATGATATTGGTTCAGACGACATGGAGGAAATCTACACGAACGCGTATGCTGCTATTCGTGAGGATCCCACCTTCCAGCCTACGACGAAGACCAAGGACTGGAAGGCAGAGGCCCTCAAGTACAAGCAGTCCAAACTCACGCTGGAGGAGCGCAGAGCTCGCATCCAGGCGAAGATCGAGGCCTTCAAGGCTTCAGGAGGCGAGGCTGCCGCTGCCGACGACGACGAGGACGACGAGTAAAAAAAAATCGTCGTCTCACTTTTTCTCTACCTTCACATTTTCATCCACTGTATGTCCACCAGCAGTAGGTCATGCTTATGATATCATGCAACACGATTATGGCCCAAAAACATTTTTAAGATTCTGATATGGTCTTCTCAACCAGCTCTTGCAGCCATACTACGAGAGAGATTGGGGTCTCAGGAGTGTATGTTTCTAGTAATGATAACTGGTGACTGGCCCTGTTCAGACGGTATGCCGACGAGTGAATGGCAAAATCCTTGTCGAATATGATGCGGAAGTTCCTGGGAGTATCCTTATTTCATACTGGAAAGAGGAAGAACAAACATTCATACTCACAATATGGTTCCTTCCCATCTTCCAACCGCTTTGCCACTGACGAAATCCACAAACCACGTTGCACCGGCACGTTCACAAACTTGTGAGCCCACTTCGCACAACCGATTGAGAAGGCACCTCTCGACTTCGTCTGAGAGAAGCTGTACCAGCTGAGGTATGGACGCAATCGGTAGCGTTGCTTGTGGCAAATGGGCTGTAAGAGATGATGGCGAAAGGAATGTCAAGCGAAGAGTTTGCCTGTTGTGAAAAACGTAAATATATATTCAGAAATGTGCTTCACATCGCCACTTGCCTGACATCGATACGGAGAAGAGCCTCGCCCCCAATCTTTCTTGCTGTTTCATTGGCGACAAGATGTTCCACTAATTGGTGCCCGCTCTCACCTACAGCGTCGAATCGCAACGAGGATGGAATACCAGCCTTGAGCAAGGCAGAGACCATTTTATCTAGCTCAACTTTGATTCTCTCACAGAATACCTGATATTGGAGGAGGTCGATGATAGGCTGTAACAAAGGAGCCTTATTGGGAAAGGTGGAGGGTGGGTGCTGTGTGTTGGCTGATGATAGGCGCTGGGATTTCTGCGAAGCATGCAGGGACAGGAGGAGTCCCTGCAACGCGAAGTATATGAGATTACAGGTAGCGGACAAACGTTCATCGCTCTTATTGATTTCTTGAGCATTGACAGTATCACCATCAACCTACACAAGTTGAGCGCTACATCTCGGTCAGCGATGATAACTCACGAGCTCAAACTTGAGTTCCATTCCTTGGGCGGCATCAATGACGATCAGCCGCTCCGCCACTCGCGCTGACGCTGTTGGTAGGGTGCTAGCCTCCTTAATCAAGACAGAGAAAAGCTCCTCCTCAACCATTTCCCTTTGCGCGATTTTAAGTGAATCTTCCAGTGATGCATCCGACATGCTTGTTATGCTGTTGGAAGCAGTGCGAAAGAGGCCGCTGGAATCGGTAACAATAAGAGAAACTTGAAGGCGGACTCGCCGACGGTGAGGAAATACAAGAACATGCGATGAAGTTTCATATGTTGCCATGTGTCCTACCGCTCTTCGTCTGAAGTGAGCTGGGGCTGGACACATGTTAATTTCAAGACAGTAAACGTGGCCAGATGCTTACATTCCTCAAGTCCGAAAGAGACAAAGAAGTCCTTTGACGTTTTATCAGCACCCTTACCTGTGGGTGCACCAAATGGGAGGGGTGCAGGCACCAATCCCCAGTTGGCACGCCGGGTCTTGAGTGCATCGACCCAGTACCTTTGACCTCGGAGGCGGCTTCTCTCTAGGTTGTTGGCGGCGGCCTTAAATATACTCCCAGCCTTTCTCAGAGCCTCATCCTTTCCGCCGATGGTTAGCTGAGCATTGAACGCGTCCACTGAAGGTATAGGCGGAGGCTTCGCAACTATACTTGCAGTCAACGTAGAAGAAGGTAAGGAAGTGACAGGAGACGGATCAGATGATGCAGGAGAAGCCAGTAGCAACGAAAGCAGCTCCCTGGCATGTGTCATCTCTCCGAGTGCAGTACTAGATTGCAAATAAGACTTCCAACGCTGCCGCCTGAAGGATCACATACAAGAGCTGGGGCATGATTTCCATGCGCATTTTGAATAATTCCTCTGCATTCATGTGTGCTTTCGAGACGACTTCCTCGTGCTGATCTGGTTCGACTCTGTCATCTTTGGTATCTAGGGCTTGAGGAATGGACAGGTCTCCGATGGCCCTCAGGGCATCTTGGCGCTCGAAAAAATCTACGCCGCGCTCGATAAATATGCGTCTCAAGTTTTCACCCAAGAGTTTGGTGGGATCTTGTGGACTGGCGCTTGGTTAGCGATAGAATATGGGCCACGACGGTTTCGTGACATACGGCTCAACCACTCGAACTCCATCTGGAGCTATGTCTAGAAGGACAGGTATGCGCTCTCCTTTATCATCCTTGTAGGGTCTCTCCAAGGAGAGTTTGGTTTGCTTCCAGGAAGGTTGTTCCATCGTAACCGTGGCGTTAGGGTCGATTGGTGTTGTTGGGGACATTGCAGCAGACAGACTATATTATACGCGAAACAAGCTTGTATGAACAATCGGGATAGAGTTTCAGTCGGACCTGCACGCGTCTGACAGTGAGCCGCTCGGCGCTCAATGGTAACCAGAGCTAAGCGCTAAGCGCTCGCACATGATGCATGAATATTGGCCTGCCAGCAGTGCCACTTGCACGTGCAGGTCGGAGACGGAGTCACTGATCTGCCTGTTACTCTCTTCATCTTTCTATTCAATTTCCAGGAGCATCGTCTGGTCCCATCATTCATGGTCAAGAACGCTTCTTCAGCTTCGGAAACCTCTAGTCTCAAGAGGAGAAAGACTGAAGATGATGATGGCGATCATATACAGGCCAAGAAACCCAGATCTAGAGTCAGGTTTGTCATTTTGTCCTTGCGCGCTTAAGGTGACCCAGAACCTTTTGGTCCTTAGTTTCTCCTGTGGTGAATGTCATCGTCGAAAGCAGAAGGTTGGTTCAAACTTCATACTCTTCTCATTCAAATTACATTGCTAAAATATTCCCCACAGTGCGACCGGCAGATACCGTGCTCTCATGTATGGTTCTCTCCTCTTGTTTATTATCCGTTCGTCTGACAGTCATCTTAGTGTATAGCACGAAAAGTACCTGAGCTTTGCAAAGCATACACTCCCGGAAAAACAGACCAAGATCTGAGTGTTCGCTTAGCCAGGCTCGAGCACATCATCGAGCAGGCTTTGCCCCAATACTTCAATTTGGCGTCCTCCTATTCAGCTGCAGACAGACACCGCAGTTCTACATCTGACGGCCCAGATGACGATAATCGTTCGATAACTGATGAGCAGGATCCAAGTGGTGGTACTTTCCACAGTGGAAAGTGGTATGGCAATAGCGCATCAGGAAGTGTAGCACCCGCCTCCGTCCTGGAGCAAGTGAATGTTTTGATAGTCGTGTTGGTTCTATTCTCTGACATCCTTTTCACTAGCTGGCAAACGTCGTCGTTGCCAGTTCGAATCAAGAACAGTGGGATTCTCCTCATTCCACTTCTATTCTCAATGCTGGACCCTCCGGTCAGCACGGAACTGGTAGCGGCGATCATAAATCAGCTTTAGCGACCCCATCAATGATCGAGTCTGTGCGACAAGACTCTGAACCTTCAGCAGCTGATAACCTCAAGAGTCTTGTCCAAGAATGCGGTGTGTCACCGCACAAGATCTCAGAGCTCCTTCAGGAGCTTCCTCCACAAAGGTTCTCCGACGTACTTATTGATCATTATTTCGCTGCAATGTTAGTTGAAGCTCTATTTGTTGTCCAGTCTTGACGATTTCCCCCCTTGATTGTAGCAATTGGACGAGGTATCCCGTTTGCGAGGCCGACTTTCGGACTGCCTACGCATCTCTTTGCGCAAACGGTGTGGGCGCCAATACTAACGATGCGCGCTTCCTTCCGCTGTTGTTCGTGGTGCTTGCTATTTCAGTGCGATTGGCACCTGAGCATCTTGCTGGTGACACACGAACAAGAAGAGTGACATCTTTGAGATATTACTGGTCTTGTACGTCATTGATCGAGTACCGTGTGTTTTATGCCCACCTATTTTCGGATAGCTCGACGCTCTCTGCTTATCGCCGCAGCTATACAACCAGACTCACTGGATATCGTTCTCGCTCGCTTACTCGTGAGTATGCAAGTCTATGCGACGCGGCGTTCTGACATGATTTCTAGAGCGCGCGATTCTTGACTTTTGATCGTCGCATTACGGAATGTTGGAGTCAGCTAGGCGCTGCTGTACGAACAGCTCAAGCACTTGGATTCCATCGTGATGCTGCACCTACGGTGAGTCCGCAAATTTGCTATGACTATGCCTTTTTTGATTTAGCTTGCACAGGGACTCGACCCTGCTCAGGTCGAAAACCGACGTCGCGTATGGTAAGGATAGCAATGTCTTCTCGAGGTCTGAACTTAAGGTATTTTGTAGGTCATATCTTTATCATGCCGACCGTTCCTACGCACTTGTGCTCGGAAGACCTCACGCTATCCAGGATGATTACACTTGCACCCTCCCGCCTTTGAACATTGATGACGACTTTTCCCCCGCCGCCATTCGCAATCCACCTTCCCTTTCAAGCCCTACACTGATGACCTTTGTCATTCTTAGGCATCAGCTGGCCTCCATCATTGGACGGATGGTACATCATTTTCAGAAGGTCAAGTCACCCAGTCATTATTCTGACGTGTTGGCGCTGGATGACGACCTTTTAAAATTCGTTTCCAACTTACCACCTCACTTTTCGTTGGAGCCTGACACATCCCTCGATCAGACGAAACATTTCATTCCCGTTCACCGCTTCCTCCTCATTACTGAGGTGTTATTCGTTCGCGTCGGCCTCCATCGTCCATATTTATTACGGAAATTGAGTTGTGATCGTTACCTGCGTTCACGAAGGGCATGCTTCGAGTCCGCGATCAAGGATTTCCAAGTTCGCCAGGCCTTCCGCAATTCAATGCCTAAAGAAACCCGCGATTCTCTCAGCAACGCCTACAGGGAGTTTCAAACAGCGATGATCAGTGGCATTTATCTAGTCTTGCATCCCAAAGGCAAGGACGCGGACATGATGCACACTATTTTGGATGGCTTCCTGGCAGACCATGAAGGCGTGCGTGAGATGGACGAAACGACTCGAAGGGAGCTCAAGACTATCGAGTTCCTCAAGAGCCGCGCATCACAAATGGCAGAAAACGCATCGCATGGGATGGACGGAGCGAGTTCACCTACAAACGGGCATACTGGGGAACAGCATTCCACAATCCTCTCTATGCCAAGTTCTCGTTCTGCTCTGCCTCCATCCGCACGCCAGACTTTCACCATGGGTACAGCGTCGCCGAATACCCTGTCTCCCACGATGTCTTCGCCTGTAGTATACGCAACATCACCCCCTTACTTGCATTCCCCCGCTTTGCAACGTCTACAGCACAATGGATCTAATGACGGTACGCACGGTACGCTCAGCTCGCCCGCTGGCAGCGGCAGTCCGAGTGGGGAGGAAGAATCCGCTGCTCAGTCTCTCTTGGATCATTGGTGCAGTACGTTTGGTGGGGGTCCTGCGGTCGATACGACAGCAGGCATGCCTGCTCTATCTTGGGGAGGACCTGGTGGTGCCGATTTATCAGGCTGGATGGGACCAAGCAACAATACAATAGCTGCGGATCCCGGTCTTATGACAGAAGTAGACGGTTCGGACTGGAGCTACTGGGAAGCGCTAGTCAATCAGATCAAGACTGGACCGCAGCTTTAATCTGTGTGTATATCATATTATCGTCGTTTTCATATTTTTGTTTATAGTATACTCTTACTTCTTCGTTGTAGATGTTTAGTCTCTTTTTTCTATTACTTATTTTGACAGGGCAGGTAGTAGTACAAGTATTTGTGTTAGGTCCCTGATCTATAGGACCACCAACCACAGTGTCGCAAGAGCACATAGGAAATGCACGCTCAGATCAGGGCCTCCGCGGCTGCCTCTGCTTGCAGGTCTACTTTCTCGTGCGAGCTCGACTTGGTCTATTACGGTGGGGCGCGAGATCATGCGTTGTCGAAGAGGAGCAGAAGTGGCGGGATTGTTAGTACCGGGGGTCGAAGCGTCTTCAATAGATGTCGTGCATCGTTGATGTTTTAGAGTTTCGCATGAACGGGTTGGTGACGGACGGCTGCGAGGTGAAACGGCCGGGCTCGATGGAGCTGTGCTAATGGGGGATACAAGATGTCCAACGCCCCACGGAATAGGATCCCCACCAGGCTGCTTGCTGTGTTCAGGGAGAGTGGTATTGCCAGAAGATGAAGCGATCTTGGAAACTCAACAATCAGCTTCTGCACTTAGAAGATTTACCAGTGTGCATACTGTGAAACGAGAGGTCCAAGTGGATCCAGCCAAGTCCTCGTTGTTCGTAAACTAGTATGTATGCCGTTATCAGTAAAAGACCGTATGCGACCCGCATAGCTATGCACCATACCTGATAAAAGTAAATAGCTGAATGTGGCTTCACGTCAGGGCACGTCCAGTTGTACGATGTTAAGTTGGTCCCGTTTAGGTGCCCAACAACGGTCGTGACAAAAGACATGTCCAAGTTGGAGCCGGACATGAGGCCTGTGTAGCAACCGATGTCAACATAAAAATAGGATGGGGGATGCAATTGCATACGGATGGTGGTGTTTCTCCACGGCTGGGCGGAGTCGGTATCCCAGTAGATGGAACAGGGTGATCCAGATCTGAACACGTCACCAGGGCCGGGGGACACAGGTTTTATGGTGGCACAGGCAAAGGACGGAAGTAGGAAGAGACTCAGGAGCCATTGGATTGACATTACGAGTCAAGTGAACCTGCACGAATCTAGGGTTGAGATTTACCGTTGCACCTCCGTAGTGAGCGGCCAAGATGTTCCGGAGGACCATGCTGGCAGAAGTCGTGGTTTATATGCTCTGCTGAAGCTGTCAGCCGCAGTGTCAGCCGCTAGTGCAAGCTTGTTCGGATCTGGCAAGTGATTCAAAACCTCCAGAAGCGTGACGTCCATGCAGCACGATATCGAAAAGTCCTCGAAACGATTTACGACTGGATGTAGGTAGGACAGTCTCGGAAGGTGATGGTGCCATTGTGCCAAGCCAGAAACACCCTTGAAAACCGAAAGAGGCAACATTCTGCTACTTCAAGCCGAGCTATCAACAGCACTCAATCTCTCATGCAGACCATTAACCGCTTTCTCTATGGACCGACACCCGAAGAGAGAGTCCGTGCATGGCAAGGAAAACTGCGTTCAGAAAGTCGACAGCTGGACAGGGAGATGAGGCAGGTTGGCACCCTGTTCTACAGTGCTCACATCCCACGCTAATACCTGATACAGCTTGAAGCGGCGACTGCAAAAGCACGCATGACAGTGAGACAGCTCGCTGCTAAAGGAGACGTGAAGTCTGCCCGTATTCTCGCCAAGGAGGTCGTCCGCAGTAATAAGCAGAAAGACCGATTGTCTGTTAGCAAAGCACGGTTGGGATCGATCGGTACTCAGCTACAGCAGCAGCTGGGTGAGCGAATACTTCCTCTCAATTCCAAGTATGGCTGATTTACATGCTACGGTTCTACAGCCATGGTCAAAGTTACAGGGTCATTGCAGAAGTCCACGGAAATTATGAAACTATCCAACTCGCTTGTCAAATTACCACAGATAAGTCAAACGATGCGGGAAATGAGTATGGAAATGACAAAGGTGTGGGATGATTTTGCATGGTGCTCCCCTGACTATCTGACTTGTACCACAGGCTGGGATCATGGAGGAAATGCTTGAAGACACGTTACAAATGGACGAAGACGAAGAGCTAGAAGAAGAGGCAGACGCTGAAGTTGACAAGGTTCTTTTCGATCTCACTAACGGGAAACTCGGCCTAGCTGGCTCAGTTGGAACTGAACTACCGGTATGTCATGCTCTCCTCTTTAAGTGACTACTCTAACCTTTGTGGCAGACACCACAAGATCAACTGGAGGATGAGGAAGCGGAGAGGGTAATGGAGGAGGCCCGAAAACAGCTGAACGGTCTATTGAGCGGCTGATTTCACATTTAGAGATTACTGATACCTAGACTCGAATTCCCTATAGTCTGTACTCTAGAATCTAAGTTATCGTACTGTATTTTGAGCGTCACGAACAAGCTACTTGCATGAAAACATGTGCTGGGCACGATTCATATCAATAATTCTTGATCGATGCATTATTAATCATTAAACGAAGTCTACTGCGCTGTGATATGACAAGAATGTTAGAAAGGCGCGAAGCACAGGCTTGCAGAAGTGGATATACACCCAGTAGCAAGTCATGCATTATAACCCTCATCTTCTCGCGGAAGAGTCGTCTCGGTCCTCGCCATTTAGTGGGTCAACATGGAACGTTGTTTAGCTGCCCACCTGGGTTTAAGATAGACCTGAAGTTTGTAAGAATGAAAGACGAACACAAACCGCACGGATGAGAAAACTGTTTAAATTTAGGGCAGGCCTAGGATAATCCGAGTATGTCGAAACTGGTCTTTACGTGCTACACTGTTCTTCCATTCTGTTCCCCGGGCCCCGGGTCGGGCATATAAGTAATATTGAAGGGAACAAAAAAACCCAGCTTGGGAGCCTTAGAAAGACGCCTTCTCCTTATCTGCAGGACCCGTTGGCTTAATATTGTCAAACGTGGGTTGTTGGGCCCACGGCGAGCTTCCAGCTGTTTCACGGCGGCCTTCCATAGGTTCATCTTGATCCATCACACACTTGCCGCAGACTCCTAGCTACTGCGCAACAATCTTGCGTTAATACCAGCAGTTTCTGTAAATCATTCATCACTGTTCTGTGTTTTCAATGCAACCGTCGGCATCTGCTATACCTGACTTCTACTATGCGCTTTTCGCGTTCTATGAACCTGCTTTGACGATACTAGGATTCATAGGAGCAATACACGACCCGGAAACAGTGAGTGTCTTACTCTTCTCCTTCAATCGAATATCCAATGATCACCTGACAGACGCACAATACTCAAGCACCATGGCCAGCGGATAGTCCACCACCTGCTACCCTTCCAAAGGCGTCCATCGTGACTGTCATCCAACTAGCTCACGTTTGTGCTCTCCTGGGGGTCGTTAATTTTTTTGTATTAACCGCCATCCGGAAACATCTCTCGACGGATCCCGCTGTCCAAGAGAAGATCGTACTTGCCCTCATGACTCCCCTTTTCATTGGGGACTGTATGCACCTCGTTGTTACGCTGTGGGCTCTCGGAGATGAGAGATGGATTATTTCACAGTGGAGTCCGATGCTTTGGACCACCATTGTCCTTGGATTTAGTCTTATGATACCCCGGATCATGTGGCATCTTGGAATTTGGAGATATGTCGATACCCGCGATAGACCGAAAGTTGAGGTTACTACAAACGAGAAGAAATAGGGCAAGAAGAAAATTTGAAGGGAATATTATATACATCTTCACTTATATATTTAGAGAACTTCTGCGATACACCTATCCTGCGTTGCCGAACACGTCAGGTATACAATCCGCAATACATATAACTACCACAACAATTGCGTTCCAGAAAACACCGTCTAATACGGACTATGCACGATGCTCGACCGACTCTGAAGACTGGACATAGGCCCGGGAGCAAGCGAAGTTCTTGTGGGGCGTTTGAGGTTCTTCTTGTTGATCGCAAGGACGTTGTTCTGAAGGGCCACGATCTGCAATGTTCTACATGAGTACGCTGCTTCATGGACTCCAGGCTACTCACAATTTGTTTGTCATCCCCGAACTTGAAATTGTCTTGCACAACCATGTCTTCGTACTTCTTGATCTCATACTTGTCAAGCTGTCCTTTCTTAACCTTCGCGAAGTCCCATGCAATGACATACTGCCCTGTCGCTGTGACGATGGCATTCTCTTCTTGCCCCTCGCCTTGATTGAAACTAGCATTTCGGTAAAGTCAGTCAGGGTCGCCGTAACTCCTAATGGTACGTACCGGGCAACTGAGAAGCTGATGTCATGATTCATATATGCAACGTGCTCAGAGCGAAGTTGAAGCCTTCGCGGCATAGGCTTGGCGTTAGCGGGGAAACTGCGATCGAAACCCAGATTTCCGGCGTATCTCCCTTCGCCGATAAGAGTGTCGATGAGCAAGAGGTAACTCTTTGTTGTTGCAACAATCCACCGGCCACTGGCAGTGACGTCGATACCAAGAATGGGATCACCGAGAGGTGGTAAGGCTGTCTTCGCATTCTTCCCAATTGTATCGAAAAGTCTGATATCTCCCTTCTCGCTTGCCACTGCCAACTTTCCGCTGGCTGTTGTGGCGACCCCAGAGAATTTATTCTTGCTGACATATTGCTTGTATTGGCTCTCAACCATCTTGTTGCCAGAGATGCGTGGATCCACTCTGAACAGCGCATTGTGAGAAGCACCGACAAGAGTTTGCTCGCGAGTAGTTTGAGCGAATTTATTGTCGGGGGCAATGTGATCAACACTGATGTCTTCGTGGATCTTCCACTCTTCGACAACTTTCCCTCGTTCAATGTCCATGCTGAACAATGAGTGTGGATCCGAGGGATTCTTGAGGACCATCTTCGTGTCCTGATCGTGCAACATGACCTGCCGAAAAATAATCTCAGTACTTGACATCATGTGGAAGGATCAAAATACCTCTTGTGGCTTGAATTCTTTGCCCTTTGGCGTAGAAATTTTACTTATAGTGGCATAGTACTTCACTTCATCGTTTCTGGAGTGACTGAAAACACCAATATTACTTCCACGGACAACATAAGAGCGATCACCCTTATATCCGATCGTTAATTGCGAGTTGCGTTCCCCTTGTGGTAGTGGAGAAACACCATCCTCTTCCTCTTCTTCCTCCTCTTCCTCACTCGCTTCTAAGAAGCCACTCAGGGGTTTCCTGTATGCGATAGCAGAATTCACGTACCTTCATCAGGGTCAAGTTCCGACTCAACCTCTTCTTCGTCTTCGTCCTCATCTTCCACGCCACGCATTTCCACATCTTCAGTCGTTGAACTGATGACGTAGGCTTGCTCATCAGGCTATATGCACGGTAAACCACTTGAAATATTGAGATTGCGAAATTCTACCTTCGCCTTTCGAAATTCAACGCCATGTAATGTTTCCCACAGGCATTGAGCGAAGGCCGTCTTAAACGCATCGTATGCTTCTGTAGACGCAAGTTGCAGGGCCCAACTATCATATCTGCCGCCGTTGGCATAATTCCATGTCAGGGATGACGTCTTTGGAGCCCAGCGAGGATTCATGTCCGAAGATATTTTGTGGGAAACGAAGTCGCCATCCTCATCAGTGATCATGAGCCAATAATTGAAGTTGCCGGTGCGCTCAACGATTTTGGCAACAACAACTTCTTCGCGCTCAGCAACAAAGCCCTCTGCTTCCAGGTTCCAGAAGAAGACAAGGCCTTCTTGGGAAGCAACTGTTGGAAGTGAGGAGCTCGCAAAGGAGGCCCTCACCGTTGGACTTGTTGGCTTAGTTGGCATCGCTTGTGGTTGGACCGCGGAGTCATCCACAGAGTCTGATGGAAGGTCTCCGGAGTCTTGTTGATTCTTCGGCGACTTCCGGTTACCGCCTTTGCCCCTAGCTTTTGTGACAGGTCTAGAAACGTTATCAGGGGAGCGATTAATGGCGACATTACGAGAAGCGCTGACCGCCATATAAACTGATCTAGGTCAGAGTCCTTGGTATTATCCGCACTTGCCTTGTACTTGCGCTCATACATGGCGCGGTACATGCAAGTCTCGAAAAATGCACGAGTCGGTTCGTTGGTCCCTGAGGCTACGAATTCATATAATTCGTCGACATCCCCATCGAGGTCGCGCCAAATGAAAGTTGGTTCATCGTCCGTCACTCCAGAACGGAATTCAAGCTCTTCACTGATCAAGAACACCCTCTCTTCGTCAGCTATAATTCGTTACGTGTAAGAGCTTGTGTTAGATGACGTATTCAATAAATTTACGCACTTTCGTCTTCATCTTCGAGAAGCTCTTGATCACCATCTTCATATACTCGTGTAATGACTAGCTGAAAATTGTGGTCGAGTGCGGGGACACGACGTATGGTCGCTATTGCCTCGTTGTATCTGCGGTGAAATCAGGAACCATTATATGATTAACCGACACAGCTCGCACATGCATTCCCTTGATGACCGGATGTTGCCCGGCCTGACAAGGTACAGCTGCCCCATCTCGATCTTGACGACTTCGGCAGCATTGGGGTCCTCTGAGGGTAGTAAGGTTAGGCCATCGGACATGTCTTCCAGTAAGATCGAACGTACGCCATACTTTTCCAAGGACTATAGCAAAAGATATCAGATACTACACAGACCGAAAAACAACTGCACTTACGACTCTTGAAGATGTTCATAGTGGCAATATCGAAAGGGAGATCGGAGCCACAGGACCAGACGGCGCGGGCGTGACCAGTCGCGTTATCTCTGGTGTCACGCGTCAAAGGTCACACACGCCATCAACCGCATACCACAACTCTAGAAGTTTCGGCTTGTATAGGCACAGGACAACATGTCAGCTAAACAGCCATTCTCTGCCTCAAAAAGTCAGCTTTATGGTCGGAATTATGCTCTACTATTTCTTCCCATGTTGACATTTGGTGCCTAGACAACGGCTCCGGAATGGGCAGTGCCCCAGTAACCCCAGAATTGCGAAGTCGTACTAGACATCATTCCGCAGAGGTTGGCACATAGGGGAACTTCCGATTTTCTGCGCTGATTGCTCACGTCAAGGAACACGCAACTAATTCTCCAACTTCAACTACTATATCAGAGTCTGGAGCCAGTTTCTATCGCATGGACGAACCTCTGCGACCCACACTCCGGAGTCTCCCAATCAATTTGAATGCTCCTCGTAAAATTACCATTCGCTCGGACATAGCTTTGGTTACCTGCTTTGACCCGGCAGACAAGGAGTTATATGGCCTTTGGGCGCCTGGACCTTGAGAATGGCCGCGGCAATACCCTCAATCTTGTCGCGGGCACGTCAGTCATTATTTCTTCATGATAGGCGAGATGTTAATTCTACAAACGTTCCTGGCGTTCTTGCTGCGGTAAACCTCTGATGAGTCTAAGACTGCGCGGTGTGCCATTATTCGAACTCACTGCCTCATAATTCGCATGGGTGGCATTTGGCGCCGCGCTGCGCCGGCAATTTCTCGACAGACACCCTTTCGTCCTCCAGCATAAAGTCTGAGCTTTGTTTCATAGAGGACATTCATCTTCTTCATGGCTGTCTCCATCTTAGCCAGCACTTTATTTTTCTTGACTCTTCTTCTGACTTATGTCACTTCGGCTCGGGCGGCCAGCGATTCTACGCAATGTGCCTCTGATCCTTACCTAGACCCACGCAACGACCCGTGCAATGCCCTTGGCTATATCGCTAACAATACGCTAACTGCCGTCGCCTTTGGTGAGTGGCCAGTAAGCCAGGGAACACACGTAACTTACTGTCCGAAGGTTTTGTGCTGCTGACCGCTCTCATTCAGACTTACCAAATTATCTATAAGGGCGCGAGGTGGATGTTGCCCTTGGTCATCGGGGAATACAGTACGTCTCAGTCTCTACCTTGTGTTGGTTCTTTCTAATGTTGGCTGTAGTATATGTTATAGGCTTTGGGTTTCGCTTCGCTTTGCATAACAATCCTGATTCATTGGGGATTTATATCGCTGAATACTTGATGATTGTACTATCTGTGAGTCAGCATCAAACCGCAACTATGACCGTCAGCTGATCCCTTCAAAGCCCTGTTTCTTCATTGCCGCAAATTATGTTCTCTTCGGTCGCCTTGCCAGGGAACTCGGTGGCGTTCATCACGTCTTGGTTCCAGTGAGGCGGCTCACCCTCGTTTTCGTCATGTCCGACGTGACTACCTTTATCATCCAGGTTGGCTTTGAAGCCTTTTCTACATGATCTTTCCTGATTTTATGTTACCAAAGGCTGCAGGAGGCTCAATGACTACTTCTAGTGATTACAATTCTGCTTTGACAGGACTTCATGTACGTTCGACCCGCGTTTGTCTAGATCTGAGTGGGGTCTAACCATCTCTGTCAGATTTTTTTGGCCGGCCTCGTTTTGCAACTGGTCTCCTTCATTTTCTTTTGTGTCATCTACACACGATTCCTCTACAACATCCACGCCAAAGAGCAAGGTATTTGGATGCGAGATACAAAGCAACACTGGAATAGCGATTGGCGAACACTCGCCGCCGCCTTGACGGTCAGCTGCATCGGCATTCTAGTTTGTCTTCCATGCAGCAACCTTGTGATCTTTAATAAACGCGTTTGCAGATTCGTTCGTGCTACCGTGTTGCGGAGGCCGCTCAGGGCTTTCACGGCAGCCTCGGCTCAAGCGAGGCAGCCTTCTACCTGGGTGATACGCTCCCCCTTTGTGTCGCTATCGTGATCTACGTTCCATTCTGGCCCGGAAGGTTCATCACATCCAGGCTAGCGCCCTCCTACGTCAACGTCAACGAATCGCTGGAGCTATCGATTTCTCGTGGTACATGACATACCCACAGTGGGACTAGATGATTGCTAATCACACTCATTTCACCTGTATTTATTACTCAGTCTACTTTTTATATCAGGATACACATAGCAACTATAGGTGTTATATAGGGACCTTGCGGCTCTGGTAATGTTATTTTACGTACGTTGTTCCAGTGGCGAGAACTAGCTACAGTAGGTGCTTCAGTAGTCAACTTGTACTCAAGTATCACAGGAAATCGAAATCCACTTGGCGTTAAGTTCGATGAAACTTATTATTGTTACGAATAAGTATGGGGATACTAATCATATAGAAGGAACAACTGTCTTTCTTTTATACGGTCGGACTATAGGAGACTAGGATTACTTACTTGAAGGTACTCGGGAGAAAACGAGCGCCGCACTGGAACCCATTTGCCATCCGCGAGGGCTGGCATGATTTTACGCAAACAATTAATCAACGAATCACCCCACTGCCACTTCCATAAATGATTCCCACTTGAGCTCGTTCTGACTGACGCGTCACATTCTATTGAGTGTGGATAGTCCGCGAATGCTTTGTTCATGTAACCTTGCCAGTGGTTAGGACTGCAAATCCACACAGCGAATCGAAAAGGACCGTCAGTTTATATTTTTGGGTGCGAATTCAAGCTTTGTTACCAGTCTGGCATTGCAAAGCGTGAACGTGTGAGGGAGCGCAAACGATATTAGAGCTGTTGATGATTCAGAGTCGGGGACCCGTTGTGACTAGTCGCGTGACAGACACAGTGGGTCACAGCTTTATGAGAACTAAATTTAAAATCTGACTCGGAAGGCCCTGCATTAAGAAACAGGCTTCGTGACCAGAAGCATGTCATATTTTTTACCTATGGTGAGCGCTGAATTCTAGTACCTAGACAACGGCTTCTGAATAGGCGGTTCCCCAACAACCCCACAGTATCGAATTCGCAAACAGCATTCTGCAGAGCCTGTTGGCCTCATACGGCGACTTCCAAGTTGCCGTGTGCATCAGGGGGCATACTGGCACTACCTCTAAGTTAACTCAACCACTGTGTCAGAGTCCGGAGTCAATTTCCAGGATGCACGAACCTAGTCTCCAATGGCGACACCGCAATCCTGCCACAGGCACTTTGTTGGTTCCAAATTCTGAGAGGTATCAATTTTGCAAATGGTCTTGCTGTTCATTGCTACGGTAAACCTCTGATGAGTCTAGGATTGTATGTGGTGTCAAAACTCACTGCCTCGCGTTCGCATGGATATCGTTTTGCGCCACGGTGCGTAATTTTGGATGGGCACTATTCATCTTCAAGCATAAAAGCCGAGCGTGTTGATCTGTGAAGGGCATTCTTCATCTTCGTCTTCTTCATCTTCCTCATCTTCTTTATCTTTTTGTTCTTTTTCTTCATGGCTGGCTCCATCTTACCAAGCACTTTGCTTTTCTTGACTCTTCTTGTCACATCGGCTCAGGCAGCCACCAATGTTTTAATATGTCCTTCTAATCCTTACCAAGACCCGCGTAATGACCCATGCAATGGCCTTGGATATATCGCTGACAATACACTCACCGCTGTCGCCTTTGGTGAGTGGCCGCTAAGCCATGGAAACACGTAACTTATGGTACAAAGTTTATGTGCTGTTGGTCGTTCTCATTCAGACTTATCAAGTAATTTTTAACGGCGCGAGGTGGATGTTGTCCATGGTCATCGGGGAATACAGTACGTCGCGCTCTTCCGCTTGTTTTGGTCCTTCCTGATGTTGGTTGTAGTTTATGCTCTCGGCTTTGCATTTCGCTTCGCTTTGCATCATAATCCTGATTCGTTGAAGATTTTCATATCTGAGGACTTGATGATCGTATTGTCGGTGAGTCAGCACTAGACCGTGACTATGAACATATGTTTACCCTTCAAAGCCCTGCTTCTTCATTGCCGCGAATTACACTCTTCTTGGCCGCCTTGCCAGGGAAATCGACTGCGCTCATCACATCTTGCTTCCAGTGAGGTGGCTCACCCTCATTTTCGTCATGTCCGACTTTACTACCTTTGTTATCCAGGTGAGTGTTGATTTTTTTTTTGAATGTCCTCCTCTGATGATGTGGTTTCCAAAGGCGATAGGAGCCTCAATGACTACGTCCACTGCTCAAGACTCTGCTTTGTTGGGACTCCACGTATGTCCTTACACCTGGCATTTGCCTGTGGTCTGGAATCTGGTCTGATTATCTCTGTCAGGTTTTTTTGGTCGGCCTCATTATGCAACTGGTCTCCTTCGTTTTCTTTTGTATCATTTACGCACGATTCATCTACAAGGTCTACTCCGAGGAGCAGGATGTCTGCGCACGAGACTCAAAGAAACACTGGAACAACGACTGGCGAACACTCGCTGCCGCCTTGGCGGTCAGTTGTGTCGGACTTTTGGTTCGTGTTACATATAGGCAGAAATATTTTAATCTCTAACAAACGCTTTGGTAGATTCGTTCTTTCTACCGGGTTGTGGAGGCTAGTCAGGGCTTCCGCGGCAATCTCAGCACAAGCGAGGCATCCTTCTACCTGGGTGACACGATTCCCATTTGTTTGGCTATCGTCGTATACGTTCCATTCTGGCCCGGAAGGTTCATCCAAAACAAGCCAGCGCATCCCTACGTCAAAGAACAGAAGGAGTTCAAGTTATCCGTTTCTAGCTCTACTCTGGTATAAACCATGAGGTAGCCACCACCACGCTCGTTGCATAATTCATTCCTTGATATTTAATACCTTACTTTTCAAGGAACACATACATAGCACACGAATTACACAATAGGTACTTTACGGACCTTGCCACTTTGATAGTGTTGTCAATTGCTCGTATGTTCATTATATTGTTCAGCTGTGAAACTGTCAGTCAGCTGCGTGTATTCATCCAAGTCATGCGAAAGTCCAAGTCAATATCAAACCAGCCTATTGATATATTACGGGTACGGTATATAATGCTGAAGGTACTCAGGGGAAGACGAGTAGACCGAAATTTTCCTATCATATGCGATATGTAAACTCATAGGCCACAACTATTCTGGCGAGGCTGTGATGCGTCGCACGCACTCGAGCCTACTGCTAGCTTTAATTATCTTCTTCACAGCGTGATCTCAGATTTAGCTGCAAGCACTTGCAGTTGCAATTGGTCGCGTGTACGTTACTAATTGAAAATCACCTGCGCACACAGTATCCGATACAAAGTAGCAAGCCACGGGCTGTTTCTCTTGGTTACTGAGAGCTCTGCTTTCGTCTGCAACAGCCTCCGATGGAAAATCATGGAAATGCTCAGCTTGCACGGCATTGATGCATTGACCTTCACTCCGAATTATTCACATGTCTCTCCCGTCTGGATGGCCACCAGTAGTAACGGCACGTCGTTGCACATTCAACGACGGAGGTCCAGTCTCGCATCCAGGTCGCGCTTCCTGAATTTATGGATTCGTATTTACGCCGTTCACTGTATCTCTGCTCCAGTTTTGGCTCGCCTGCTCGCTCTGCACCTGCCTTTTCCCGCCGCAGACTCATGCCAATGCTGTGTTCCTCAGAAGCTTCTCAGAAAACCAAAATCCTTCGGGAGAAACAGCGAAATGGTGGCTGTCATGTCAACCCATATGGCGCGGGAGATATGTGTTCAGCACACCTCGGTTGAGAAGCCTGGAGTGTTACCTAGTTTACTGGTCAGATCTCAGAACATTCGGTGCCATCAAGTCTCTCGCCTATGCATCATTGATTGAGAATGCGTCCGTTCCGCCGGGGTAAACCACTTTTATTGATTTCCCTGATCTGGAGACCATTGGTGGATGCAATCGTACCGGTCGTCACGATGCAAGTGATCCGGTCACACATTCTTGCGTTGAACCAATGACACACCTTGGTCGGCACCGCTGAGAGGCGCACCTTGACATCTGTGGATATGGACTTTCAGAGGCCGCTGAGTAAATTTGAGGAGGCTGTTGCTCTCAGTTGTGAGGGAAGTTACTGTTCGTGGGGAGACGCTCGTGCCCCGGGCTGTGCAAGTGCTCCACACACACACGCGTCAGACCAGTGAACCAGCCGCTGCATAAAATATAATTAGTTCAAGAGATAAGATCAATCGAAAGGATCAAATGCGTATTTATCATTCATGTATTATTGGAACTTGAACTTCAAAATATGTCGTCTGGTCCATCAGAGGGGAGTTAATGCATGAGCGGTATTAGCTTTAAAATGTAAAGATTGTGGACATAGTGTGCTTCACATCGTTTCACCCATGTCCACTTAAGTTTGCTCATTGCGTTTGCTTCGAGTGGTACCGTCCGAATCCCACCACCATCCAGTGCAAACGGAGCACACAGAGTTCTATTTGCGCTCACGCGCGACTGATTAGAGCGTTTTATTGTGCAATAGATGACAGTGTTAGGCATCGTTCGCACTGCTGAACTGAAACGTTTTTGTTCGCCTTCGTCAATGTCTTCGAGGACAGACATTGGTTTCTGTGGAGATTTTGATAAGCCACTCACATCGTCATCGGCAAAATCGGGGCGGCGCAACTCACGGTGTGCCGGATTCGATCCGTAAAAAGACCGTGGAGCTTTCCTCAACGTCAAGAATGCACAGCGACCATTGAACACCACTGCTATAACACAGATACAAGTTTTACTGCTCATTGCCATCTCCTGCGTCTCCTGCTTGTCCGGCCGCTTCATTCCCAGTGGACTCCAGCCTGAGAACGAGGGAAAAAATCCACAGCGCCAAAATCCATCGCAGTCCTATTGGTGAAGAATGTCAGGTCTTTCAAACATGATTAAAACATAGTGCAGTTATGTGTAAGATCGACAGCGCACCTTTTTTTATCATTGTAATATACTCAGAAACGATGCAAGGCCACTTGGTGGTGGTTTTTGCTGGGATTTTGTCCTTACAGCCTCCTTCTCTCGATTGCGAGCCAACATCTCCTGTAATACTGTCTTCTTTTTGGGCCTTGCGTGGGGGACTGATGTACTTCCCCGTGTCGAATGCGCCACGGTGGATAGATCAACTGGCACGGAAGAACGTGATGAAGACGGGGTACGTTCCTCTTCCGATTTGAGATCTGACCGAGATGAGACGGACTCTGCAGGAATCGGCGATGGTAGCGATAGTTTGGCTCCAGTGGTAGGCTCTAACTTGGAGAATGTCTCTCTCCTATCAAACGAGGTGTAGGAAACAAAGCCGCAACGATGGCAAGTAATCTTGAGGGCGTTTGATTTATTGCAAGTAACCTTTCTTCTTTTTCTCGGTCGATGGAGTTCTAGAGAGCCATCGGCGGCCAACAGATATGAACCGCACCGCAGACAATACGTCGTGGATGAAGGATCGAATTCTTCTGGGTAGAGAGAGCGCGCCCGAGAAGCATGAAGGGCAGAAAGACCAGGTGACACTGAAAGAAGTGCGAAAGGCAAGGCAGTCTGGAACTTTGTGGTAACAGCAGAAGTCATTGAGGCAAAGACTGATCAATATTCCCACGGGTGCTTAAAATCTTTGTTGTCCCAAAACGGCAAGTCTTGTTATTTGCCGATCATTTATAGACAGTGCCGTGACCGTCATTTCTTTTTGTTCTTCGGATAACTGGAAACAACGGTTCGTCCACTTTTGTCCATTGGCTTCTTAACGGTTTGTACTCTTTGATCATCTTAGTCTTCCACTAGTTCCTCTTCGTCCACCATGATTGTTCCAAAGCGTCCTCAGCATTCACTACCACCACCACCCATCTCACATCCAGCAGAGCTGGCTTTGAATCATTTCTCTCTATCTTCTGCACCATTATCACCTCCAAGTTCACCACCACGAACCCATAGACCTTCAATCTCGAAGCCAATGATCTGGCTAACTCGCAATACGAGCTCTTCCTCGAATGCTTCACATTCCGTCGCAGCTGCACCCAAGCCTATTCGCATCTCAGAACCCAGGTTTGACAGCTCCTTGGAGATCTTCAATGTCAAACGCAGTGGGCCTCTTGGGAGCGGCGCCATGGTTGTGAGGACTCCGCGAGAAGCGCTGTCTGGTACGAGCGCTCTGTTTGGCATTGAAGATGATGGTAGACAACGAGAATCGGTTTCTGAAGCCCCCTCTGAGGAGGAAATGGGCTTACCTGCACTTCCAGATGATCCACCACCTCTGCCGTCCAAATCTTCCCTTGAGTCGACGACTACACTCGCCTCGACAAATAATAGCTCATCGAGTCTTCCGGTGAAAGAGACATCCGTACCGCCATGCCCAACCCGTCCACCTCCCCCACCGCCAATCACCACATCCACAACCCCTCGTCCGGCCATTAAGGCCAGGGCCTCTTCATCCTTGGCAGAAAATCTGCCACCTGTCCCACCACTTCCTGTCAACGTCTCTGCTACGCCACCCCAGCCTCCTTTCGAACCTATCCTGCTGTCCCCTGTCCCTAGCAGTGCGATTGATCCTTCCAAGATCATTATTACTATAGAGACAAGTTCAGCAACACACCGTACGACACTCAGCACTCTTATTTCAAGGCCTTCTTACCTCTCGGGTTATGTCACCTCCCTCTTGCCACGGAAATCAGTCGCGGCATCGTTGTACTCCAATGCAAGCGATATATCCGAGCTTCCAGACAACTCGTTCAATGCTATGTTTCATGATCACTTAGCGTCTTCCGGTTTAATATCAAACATGAATATACATGTTTTTCTCGACAGGCCAAGCGCTCCGTAAGTGCCGTCCCGTTTCTGACCGGTGTATGACCCTCAACGTTATTACTCTAGATATGCTCACATCTTATCATACCTCCGCACCCCCCTCTCCACTTCTGACAACCCTGCCATGATTCCAAGAGCCGTTCAACTTGCGTCCTCGTCACGGGCAAGACTCGAGGCCCTACTCGAGCTTCGTGACGAAGCCAATTATCTTGGTTTGGACGAGCTGTTCAAGCTATGCAATGAGGAAATATGCAGCGGGCGTAGTATGACGGTCCATGCACGCGCCGGAAGCATGAGTAGCGCAGCTTCCATCCACTCCCTACACACCGTCCAGGAAGACGGCGAACCACGCGAAATTGGTCGTTCATCTTCTCGCTCTAGCGGGAAACCGACGCGGGTAGCACCTCCGCCAGGTGCTGCACCTCTTGAACGCAGCCGGAGCAGAGAGAAGCGAGAAAATACCCCGAACTCACGACATGTTGCAATTACGTCCTGGATATGATATATGTGATGATTGACATGACCTTGACTTTCTTTTCTTTCGTAATTGTCTGACTTATCCACGAGCATCTTGCATATTGATCACATACATACTTATTCACACTCATTCATTGTAGCATGATATCTCACCGTTATTGTTATGATATTGTACAGTAGGCTGCCAAATCCTTTGATCCAAGATTCGCAATCCAAAGGCCAAATCAGAAGACAACATATTAGATTTCATACCACGGACGACGAACTAATGCTATAGTATAGCAAGACACGAACGAACACAGGGCCTGTAGACAACAACGGCATGATGGCGAAGCGAAAGAGAGAATGTAACAAGGAAAACGTGAATGACCGAATACTACTACAGAGACCTTTGAACGTGACCATGATGAGTTAGTAAACATAGAAGGGAATTGGAAAATGGGGCATGATGGAATATCGAACAGTTATCGTACACATAAAACGCCGTAATCATTGGTGGATGCAGAGCATCACCTCTTCTGCTCCGCATAAGGGTTGACGCTATACACCTTAATAACAGGCGGGCTCTTGGTCAAATCGGCGGTCACGATAACCTTGTATAGGGGTCAATAAAATACTGTGCATCATTCAAAAGAATACGCACGGGAACGGTCATCAGCTCCTTGATGTCCTGAATCTTGTGGCCAGCTGGTGTGGTCCTCAAGCCCTCGAACACAGGCTGGACCTTGGTGGCAGACAACAGCCTTTGTTTCGAGGTCTCGGGTGCCTTTTCAGCCTCCATGTCTCTTCCCAATACAATCTCGTCTTCATCGGCATCTTCATCCTCGTCAAACAGGGCCTTCTCGTCGTGCACAGAGCGGGATGCAACTTCCATTTTGACTGCGTGGGCCTCAGCGTTCTGCTTAACCTTCTTTAAATGCTCGTCATCGCTGTTCTCTGCCAGCCAGCTAAGGACGTCCTTGTTCGACCAATATATTTGTAAGGTGTGCGAGTGCTCCTCATAAACGTGGTTCTAGTCAACAGTCAGATTTCCTCTCATAAACCAATTCTAAAACACATACGTCAATAGGCATTTGGTCGACATGAACCCGCTTTTCAATGCCAAACTCGGGGACAAGAACGTCGAACGCAGCATCAAGAACACCAACAACCTTGGCTGGACGAATGACAGGACCATATCGTTGCGTGAGGTCCGAAATTAGAACACACAGGTAGAGATGGGTCGACTGCTCCTGCGCCAACTTCGCTGAGTCCTTTTTGCTGTTAAAAAGTCAGCACAGCAGACAAGCTATTGCTAGAATGACACGAACATGTTGCACTGTTGAGCGATCTTTGCAACGGCATCACGGTCCATGGTAAATTTGGGTTCCGCTGCCATCCGTTAGCAGATGACGGAGACAGTTCCAAAGCGTAACTCACCACCACCCTGCAAAACTGACTCGAGTTGACGGTGCACAAGAACATCCGCGTAGCGACGGATAGGCGAGGTGAAATGGGTGTAGAGGGGCACACTCAAAGCATAGTGGTTGTACTTTGCAATGTCGAGCATACCGGCGCAGAAGTACTTGGCTCGCTGAGTAGCTTTGTGGGAGATCAACTCCAATACCATGCGGGCGGTCGGGTTTGTGATCGCCTCGAATGACTTCATGATGGCACCACTAGAGGAGACATCGACTGCGATGTTGAGCCGATTGGCACGCTCGGTGAAAAGATTCTGTGCAAAGTTGTAGCAGGAATGGGATCACATATATAATATCAACTCACGAGGCGTCTTTCTAGCGGTGTATCATGTCTACGAAGCAGGGCCTGCTCAGGAAGGTGAACGGCAATACGTTGCGCAACGGTGGTGTTGGTTAACAGCATGAACTACGATTGTTCAAATCAGTCTTTGATATAGCTCATATACAATTCAAACACGAACCTCCTCAACGATGTTGTTTGCATCGCTGTTTTCAGTCTGCTCGCAGTCCACTGGTCGGCCGGTTTCGTCGAGGGTAAACTTAAGGCGCTTGGACGAAAGGCTCACGGCACCATCCTGGAAGCGCTTAGCACGAAGGTGCTTTGCAAGACCATTCAGGATTTTGATGTCATGTACGATCGCCAATGTACTGTGTTCCGGAGCGACCACGAGATCGCTCATATCGTAACCGTCGAGAGCTTTCTGGGCGTCGGTATATGACAGTTTTGCAGAAGATCTGCATTAACATTAAATGAATTTAATTATGCAATGCACTGATTAATAACACTCACCTGATGACGGTCTTGCCTAACCACCTCTGGGTGATTTTGCCCTCCTTAGTCATGGTAAAGACAGCCGAGAATGCCAGACGTTCAACACCCGGATTAAGACTGCATGCCTCTTCGCTGATGGTGGGAGGAAGCATGGGTACAGCACGCTGCACGAGATACACGCTGGTTGCCCTCTTACGAGCATCGCGGTCAAGAGCAGTATTAGGCTTGACGAAGTAAGAGACGTCAGCGACGTGCACGCCCACATCATAAGTGCCGTCGTCGTTGGCCTTAATGGACAGTGCGTCATCAAGGTCCTTGGCTGACTCAGGATCAATAGTGAAGATGCGCTCCTCGCGAAGATCCTTCCGGACCTCGTACTCTCTCTCTGGGACGCTATCGATAATATCATCAGCACATATATCATATATTGAGAGGAGACAACCGGGAACTCACGTCCAGGGCGTGGGAGGCAGGCATTTGAGAACGCTGTCCGAGAACTCCTCTGTGGGGAAGTTGCAGTCCTTCAACAGGGCACTGGTTTCAACTTCAATGTCTCCAATGGGGCCAAGCTCCTCAGCCAAAGTGCCAAATGGGTGGAGAGAACTGATGGGCTATAGAAAAAAATGTCATTGAAGTCAACATACAATTGCCAAAACACACTGACATGACGCTTGATACAAGCAACGAATAGCTTGTCTGCATAAGCCTCAGAGTTCTGGACGAAGTCCACAGGTGCCTGTTCAGTCGGAATGGCAATGAGTGGTACCCGCTTGTCAGTAGGCTTGAACCACACGATCTTCGGGCGTTCTACGGGTCCGCGCCTGGGCTCGTCGCCACGGTCGCCTTCACGTTCCCTGCGCTCAGCCTCCTGCTTCTCCTTGGTCGCTGCGGACGAAGGCCGCAAAAGGCCAAGAGTGCCTGAGAAGAGTTGACCAGGCATGCGCTCGACCACGGCAACGACGTGCCCCGCAAACTGAGGCTTGACATCATCGGTAACCCTGACGGGAACAAATGTCTGAGTCAATGGTCCAATAGGAAAACGATGCAAACGCACTCCTCGTCTTCGAATAGCATCAAACCTTGGCCCTCGACTTCAACGTCATCCTTTTTCTTGTCGTCGCGGCGTACAGAAGACGACTTTAGGTCATAAGCGGAGTTCTCTTCCTTCTTGCGCTTCTTCTCTTCTTTCTCCTTCTTCGTTCCCCAAACTTCATCAACATCAAGAAGCTCGACGGCGACAATATCACCCTCCAGAGCACGATTACGGTCCTTGGATCCACAAATATAGATGTCGGCGTCAAGAACCTCGGTAGCAACGTACGCGTCCGAGCGATTACGTTTGTTGACTCGTAATATGCCAACAACTAGTTTTCCTGCTGCAAGTAGTGGCGGCAGCGAAGCCTGAGGTAGGTAAGGAGCGAAAAGAGATTTGCGTTGAGGCTGGTTGGATTGTTGCTGAAGCTGTGATTGGAATTGCTGCTGTTGTTGTTGTTGCTGCTGCAGTAAGCTGACACCGCCCATATTCAGACCCATCATGTTCGCAGCCATCATGTTTGGAAGCATGTTCGGGAACGAGAACGATGGCATCTTGTGATGGTGGCCACCAGCTGCAGCACGGAATTGCTGCAAACTCTGAAGCTGCGCTTGTGCTTGAGCAAGATCAGCGGCGAATGCATTGTTGCCTTGGATGGCGCCAACACCTCCGTCTGAACAGTCATGAATATTAGATGTGCAGGCAAACAAATGTCAAACTTACTGATGCGCCAGCTAGAATCAACTCGAGAAGTGGTGCGAGAGTGACCACCAAAACCAGGAGGAGGTGCAAAGCCGTCGTCGAAGCCGTCCTGACCACTGTAAGGGAAGCTGATTGACCCCTGAGCGGGACTGGGTTTGTTGACAACATTGACGCTGTGTCTCCTGCCATGACCACGTGGGAGACCAGCTGGCTGATTATCGAGACCAAGACCAAGGTTGCTCATGCTATTGAACTGGCCCATAGGGGAGTTGAAAGCGTTGACACCTAAATTTCCACCCATGTTGGACGGTAATGTGCTCTGCACGCGCCTGTGCCTGTTTGGTACCAATCCTGGAGTTTGTAGCGAAAGAACCTGGTTCGAAGCGAGCTGCTGCTGATACAAAGCCTGCTGCTGTTGCTGAAGCGCCTCAATCTGGTTCTGGAGGGCAATCTATGGTAATCTCAGTAACACAAAGCACGCAACACGGTCGGTTGCATACCTGTTCAGCCATGATGCCTGTGAAGTCACCTTCAGGCTTCCTATGGGATTGTTCATCCGAAGCAAAGGTAGGTTGTTGCTGAGGAAACTGGAATCTGACGTCTTCTTCATTGATAGGCGGACCCACAGGGACATTGGAGCTAGTCCTCCTACGCGCTCCGAACATGAAACCAGGAGCAAGCTGAGGACGACCAGTTGGCCCAAGAACATCCTGTTCCTGCGCTGCAAGAGCAGCGAAACGAGGAGGGATGAAGCTTTGAGACTGAGCGCGAGGCTGGTGCCCTGGCTGATGTTGGTAGAAATGCTCGGGAATTTCACCATCTTCGAACGAGGGTCCGGTACCATCTTCGGCGTCTTCCATCATCGCGCCCAGGTGAGGCGAGAAGGAGTTGTAGTTACCAGGGACACCGGTAATGCCCAGCGATACAGCTTTGCGGTGCCTCACAGCATCTGCGAGGTTGGAGCCAGGGAATGAAGAAGCACCTGGCTGGAACACTGGCGCATTTGCTGGAAGGTTTGAAGGTTGTGCTTGCGGAGCATGCATGGAAGCAGCGAGCGAATTATTAATTCCAGGGGAAACTGATTGATTTGGAGGCGAAGTTGTCTTCAGGTCTGCAATGACTCTCTGTAAAGAGGACAAAGCATCACTGGATTCAGATGCCGAAGGGGGTGCAGGAGAAGAGGAAAGGCCAGTCATGACGCGGGTACCCTGAGCCGCAGAAGGTTGAGCTTTGCGGTGGTTGCCGTTTCGTGGGGCCACACCGGTCTGGCTCTTGCTACGAGGTTCGGCTTTCTTAGGCTCAGGAGCTTTTCTGTTGGTGTCTGAACCAGACTCAGTGCCACCAGTAGTAGACGCCCCTGTTTGGGGTTTCTTGTTACCGGACCTAGAGGAAGGCCGTGGTGCACCTTGGAGGTTGCCGGCTGCAGAGGACGGCCTAGCATTGGATGAAGTTCTCCTCTGACCTCTGTTGGGTACAGATGGGGGCCTCTTTTCTTCCTTCTTCGGGAGGTTATGTGTTTGAGTAAAGTCGTCGGTCATTTCGTTCGTATCGTTCGGAGGCAGGAAAATATTACAGGATATTCAATATTTTTTTGGATTATCTGTTTTGTGGAAGAATGTGAACTAGAGCTATCTGGCCAAGGGTTGGAGGTCGACCGTCATCATCAGCAAATTGAACAAGATTAGTTCGGTTAACTGACCTTGTCTGGCAGGAGAGTGAGAATTATTGTCGTCTTTGCCCTGTAGGGCGAGTGAGGGATTATGAAGAGTGAATGCCGTGTGTAGGCGTGGAAGGGATCTTAAAGCTTGGTCGTCGTAAGTCAACATTCACTGAGTTCATTTTCCTATCACATCCGCAGGCTACTATTTCCCACGCAGCCCAAGTCGGCAGCGGAAGCAAGGGACCGAAGCAAATTGGAGAGCCGATCCCAATTATCTGGTATTGGTAGAAATACGGTCTATCTGTCTATAAATCTCGAAACCCCTCCACGGGAACGATCATGCCTTAGTGAGCTTGTTGATGATCGCACCCGTGTACTCCATAGTCGAGGCCTTCCCACCCAGATCCCCTGTAATCGTCTTACCCTCTGCGATCGTCTATAACGTTCCCGTCGTAAGAAACACGAATACGCGTAATAGGAAAAACGCCTTACGCTAAGGGCAGCCTCTTCGATCTTGGCAGCATGCTCATTCAAGTTCATGTGTCTATACGAGGTATCCCGGATCAGCCTAGAAGTTACAAACAGTTCCTGAGGTTCACGTACCTCAGCATCATCAGAGAAGATAGAAGGAGAGCAGTAGGATTAGCTAATCCCTTCCCTATATTTGACCATCTCGGTATTGGTTATACACCCAAAGCAAAGACTAGCCGTACCTGCAATATCGGGAGCCGATCCGTGCACGGCTTCGAAAATCGATGCATCCTACGGAAAGGGACATAAGGCTTAAGCTCGAGGCGCTTAAAGGGCCATGCAACCTACACGACCAATGTTGCCCGAAGGTGTCAAGCCAAGGCCACCAATCAATCCAGCGCACATGTCCGACAAAATATCACCATAGAGATTAGGCATCACCATGACCCGGTTGGAGTAAGGTTGGGGATTCTGCACAATCTATAACGATATCCTCAGCTGTGCTCGTTACTACATCGGCCTCATGTTTATTTACCTGTAGGCAGACACGATCCAAAAGGTCTTCATCGTAGGCGATATCCGGGAAGTCCTTCGAAACTTCCCGGCAAGCGGACAAAAACATGCCATCCGACATTTTCCTGACCTGAATCAGTATTCATCCATAATTCTTGACTAAAAGACCCCTCACATGATATTGGCCTTGTGGACAGCCGTGACTCGCTTCCTTCCGCTAGCCTGTGCATAATGGAACGCATAACGAGCAACGCGCTCAGAGGCGTCCCATGTGATGAGTTTGATGGACTGGACCACCCCATCCACAATCTGAAATACCCACGTAAGCAATACTCATGTATCAAAGGGTGAACCCCACCTCGTGCTCAATACCCGAGTACTCTCCCTCGGTGTTTTCCCGAATCAAAACGGTGTTAACGTTGTCATAAGGAGTCTTAAAGCCCTTGATCGAAACGCACGGACGGACGTTCGCAAAGAGTTTAAACGTCCGACGCAGGGTCAAGTTCAGAGAGACGTGGCCCTTGCCAACTTGAGGACGCTCAGCATACGTGTGAACCAGAGTAAAAACGGGGCGCACTTGGAGTTGCCAGCGGTCCTGAGAATAGGTTTTAGTGTTTCACCTCTTTCTAACCACAATCAACGCACCTTTCAGCGCAACGGTGTTCTTCTTTACAGAGTGAATTGCAGCGTCTGGAATAACCGTTTTCCCACCTTTCAAAACGGGAGTCACGCTGACTTCTTCCCATTCGATGGGGACCTATTAGAATTGTAAGTCGCGCTCATCTCAAATAAGAGACTGCAAACGAACATTTGCAGCAGCGTAGATGTCCTTGACTGATTCACTGATCTCTGGGCCAATACCTGTGCTCTGACGTCAATTAACCGAATCTCCACTAGACGAGCAACCTAACCGTCTCCGGGAATTAAAGTCACAGTGTATTTGCCCTGTCAAACGGGTAAGGGCTATAACACGAAGATTGTTGGAGGACTCACATTGCTACCCTTGTGCCCAGCAAAAGCAGCAGTCGGGGAGGCAGAAGCATACCGTCTGAATGGCTACAACGTAAACGTAAGTGCCAACCCGAATAATTAGAAAACACAAATCGGTTGACCTGGGCGGACCTGAATGCGCCCTGCGCAACATCAACAATCGACCGGTGAGCTAGCATTTTTGTTTGGGAAAAGTGAGAGAGGTGTGTCTGGATGAAAAAGTTGTGAAGGCCCTACATCGGACAAGTTCTATTCTGGGAACAACGGAAACACCGGATGAATCCGGAGTCCGGACGAGCTGCGAACGCCTTTCACATGGAAGGCACGCTGTATTATACTAAGTCTAACTAGTGGTCGACTTTGGTCGCGCTTCGTTCTATTCAGCCCACTTCACGACAAGTAAGCGCTACCGCATCGTATCACCGTAATTGCAACCAAGCTGACGGTGATTATTCGACTTGCCTTGTCTAAATTGTATGCGGACTTCATACATTTCATGCATGGATATACACCGACTGGTCCCTAGTAGACTACACAGTCCATCGATTCACGGCATCAACCTGACCGTTGAGTCGATCTATAATATCCGGATGCGGCGGCCCACGATGGACGTACAATCTTTCCATTTCTGTCAACCAAAGTGAAAAGCCTGCCGTCGTCACTCGCGGCCGCCAGCTCGAAAAGCTACGCGTCAGGGGTAAGATTCTCACCTGCTCAGCCCAATCCGGCGGTCACAGGAGTCTCTGCTCACCCTGCCCATCAAATGTTGAGCTTGGTGTGTTGACACTTATCAGCCGCTGGAAGGGTGGAAGTTTGAACCATGTGATAACATGTTGGCCTTTCACGTGGTGGGCTCAGGGGGGATTGCAGCATGGGCAGCGGTGTGGGCGAGCGTTGTGTTAGCATGAGCAGCAGTGGCAGGCCTGGGATGGAGCGAGTACCAAGCACTGAGGTCCGAGGGAACAATAATTCGGAGGTGGGTGTCAGTGTGGGTTTCTAAACCAGCTGGCAGGAAAGGTGGATCAGTGGGTAATTTTTCATACAGCGGTATTTGCAAACTTGTATGGGCGGTGCTGGAGCCTGATAAAACTCTGACATGGGGTAGTACAACCCCACGAACATAAATTGAAAAGAGAAAGGGAGCGTGGGTGGTGACCACGAAGTGACCGAGGACATCAGAGGCTTAGCTAGAATATTTTGATGTACGGAGCAAAAACCTAGCCTCCCGTAGTCAGACCTTGATAGAATGAAGACAGTCGTTCCTTCTATATCAAGGCAAAAACCATAAACCATCTCGACACGCATTTTTGAAAAATCATCAATTTTCACGCCATTGATAGGCGCATCCAGCACATCTGGAACTTTATCATCAGACTGGTTATCGACATAGGTGTCAGCAAAACAAACTTGCCTGTAAACTGATCCCACGAAGCCATGCATCAACGCCAACTGTCGCAAACTCAATTGAGAGGCACATACATGTCGTCATGGGCTCATCCGCAGATCGGATCTGCAGCTGATAGAAATACGCGCGAGGATGACTACACTTGTCACAAGCGACTACAGGTCGTGGATCAACATTCCCACATTCTACATCGTGAAAGCACGAAAGGGACTGACTAGCAGTTGAATCAGCATCCCGCCACGTTTCCTCCCCTCCGAGCACATCGTCTACTTCCTTTCGCTTCATACGCGAGCGGGAAGTCATCTACAACGCAATTGTGAAAGGACTGTAAAATAGGTTTATATTGATTGGAGTACACACCTGCTTCGAAATCGGAAACTCATATGGACATGAATTACATGCCCATTTGTTGTACCCTGTTTCTGAGGATATCACAAGCATATTAGCGCATGTCGGGCAGAACAGCATGTAAACTAGATATGCGGAGGAAATCGAGCGAAACCTTCAAGCGGATGGTAACACACTCAGTTCCGGAATTCCAAGTCGGGAAAACTAATTGTAATAGTAAATCCAATTGAATTGGTAATCACGAACTTGGTATCTCCAAAGTCCGAGTCACTGGCAAATCTACCCGAGCACAACTTAAAAGTACTTTGTGGTTCGTCGCAAGTTTGATCACAAGCGCACCCACCGAGTCACAGGACTAGTGCTGGGCACGCCAGGTTCAAGTTCTAACCGCATCCCAGCCAGGGGGAACAATTTGTGGAGAAGAAATCCACGTAGCATATCCGAGTCCCCGTCTAGCTGAAGCTACGGTAGTCACCAAGAAAAGCTCTCCAATGCCTTTGAACCACTCATCACAACAGCCCTCTGATGTAGGGTCCATCATAGCTCACCATCAAGCGATAGACGATGCAGACACACTCGCTAGCATCGATCATCCCCCATCCGAAGTCGAAGAGCTTCCACCTGTGAAGATCTATCGCCCCCTATCAATTCATGTGCTAGCCCTCCTCATGCCTGCGTCGATATTCGGAGTACTCGCACGGCTTGGCTTGCAGGCGCTTACCACGTACAACGGGCAAAGTGTTTTCCCGTTGGCTTACGTCCAGGCCACGGGGTGCTTTATTATGGGCGTTGGGTTGAGAATGAAAGTGCCATTTGGTAATTTGTATGCCTTCTCTCTTTCACATCGCCTAGCCTTTCATACCCCTCCGCAGCTATGGTCCGTTGTACACAGCTATGACCACTGGTCAGTACCCTCTGGTATCAGACCAAAACGTCAATTAACCTCCTACAGGGTTCTGTGGATCATTAACAACATTTTCTGGGTGGCAGGTGGATGTGTTTGATTCTTGGGTGAACAGTGGTCAGTTCCTCAGAGGCGGGCTTCGAGATGTGAGCAAACCCTTGTTTTGTTTTTGGCGGTTCTAATCATGATGGCGTATTTTCTTTTACGTTTTGACAGCTTGTGGACGGGCTTACGAAGACTTGGGTCACCCTCGTACTATCGCTGGCCTCTTTGAAATTTGGAATCTATGTCTGTGGAGTATTTCAGCCGTACTTCCCGGCCCCTCGACCGCCAAGCAAGAATGTGCGATACACGCTTACCATCCTTGCGATCCTCACATACGCAGCGACGCTTCCAGCTTACTTCTTCCTGCCACACAATTTCCGCCACCAAGCGACCGCTGCCCTCCTATTTTCCTTCCCTGGCACATTAACTCGGTACCTGCTTTCCATCAATTTGAATCCCCGCCTGAAGACCATGCCTCTTGGAACTTTCACAGCGAATGCGTTGGGGACCGCTCTCCTAGGCTTTTTCCATGTCCTTCAAGGCTTCCCATCTGCAGTTTCCCCTAACACTTGCGCGTTGCTTCAGGGTTTAGGAGACGGGTATTGTGGGTGTCTAACGACAATCAGTACGTTTGCTGCGGAGATTGTCGCATTGGAAGGAAGGAAGGCGTTTTCATATACCATCATCAGTTGGATTACTGGGCAATTATTGCTGCTGGTTATCATGGGATCTTCATTTTGGGGTGGTCATGTAAAGGAACAGATGACATGCAGTTTCCAGGCGTCGTGAGTTGCAAATAGAGCCAAGTATATTACATACGAATGTGCTAGGAAGATGTGTTCATGTGTTTGATGTGCTCCGAGGTCTGTAGCTCTCCCCTGTGGCCTTGAAACTTGCTCAAGGTCTGATCGAAGCGTTGGCAGCTGTGAACACGAAAGCGGAGTTTGAATACTGATCTGGAACTTCTCGAGAAACAGGATGCAGACCCACAGCCCGTCAGCCTGTCTGACTTAAAGTGTGAAACGTTATGTCCCGTCCACCCGAGCTTGAGGAGGAGCAAGTCGAGCTTGAGGAGGAAGAGGCCGTAAGTGCTATTGGTGAGGGCGACGAGGTCATGGAGGAAGTTGAAGAAGGTTACAGTGCGTATCAACCTATCATTCATTCCGGACTTTCATAAGTTGTCCACTTTCTTTTGCGCGTTTTTTTGGAGATGGGGAATTTAATCGAGAGGTTGCTGATGCTTATTTTCAGCGTCATCTACTCCTACATCTACCCTTACGTGGATTAGCTGGTTTTGCTCCCTGCCTGGGCACGAGTACTTCTGTGAAGTCTCGGAAGATTTTATCGAGGATGATTTCAACCTGACCGGCTTAAATGCCATGGTGCCATTCTGGAAGGAGGCAATGGAGATGGTGTTGGACGTGGAGCCTGGTAAGTTCTTCTTCTTTCATACTGTGGCGTCACGATCTTATTCGCTCCGAGACGAAGATTCATCAAAAATACCCGACGTGTCAATCGTCGAAGCATCAGCTGAACTATTGTATGGTCTAGTGCATCAGCGTTATATACTGACGCGCGCCGGATTGCAAGCAATGGTGAGTCTAGCAAAATCGTTGCAAACTTGAACACACTTGATCGACTTCGATCATGGTTTCTGATAGGTGGATAAGTATGAAAATGCCCTTTTTGGCGTCTGTCCGCGCGTGTATTGCATGGGCTGCAATGTTGTGCCCTCTGGTCGTTCTGATCTGCCCGGCCTCGACACCGTTAAGCTCTTCTGTCCCAATTGCAATGACGTATATGCACCACCGAGCAGTCGTTTCCAGGGGGTCGATGGTGTGTGAGCTGTGTCTCTGCTGACCGTTAGTACTTCTCACCTAGATCTCGAGGGACGTAGGGGCCTTCTTTGGAACGACATTTGCGCACTTGTTCTTCCAGAGTTATCGCGAACTCGCTCCGGCGCCGTTCTACAAACCTTCGTCATCGCAGGGATCATCGATGTCGCCTGGGCGCTCGCCACACAGTGGCTCGGGTAGCAGTTCCTCGCGGCCTTCGCCCTTTGTCAATCCGAATCCTCACGGGGGACAGAAACGCCCTGCAGGTCACCTTTATCAACCTCGAATATATGGCTTCAAAGTCAGTGAACGGGCGAAGACCGGGCCCCGCATGCAATGGTTGCGGGTGAGACCGGAGAGCCCAGAGGAATTAGATATGGTTGACTGGAGAGGGCGGTGGATAGACGACGAGGAGTATGACGAGGAAGAGGACATCGATGAGGATGATCGTCTAATGGAGGACTTTGATGCGGTGGGAGAACACACCCTCTGTGTGGAGACATGTTGACTTATGCAAGCTGCTTTACAGGAAACTGTTGAAGATGATGAAGAGGAGGAGGAGGAAGAGGAGGAGGAAGAAGAGGAAGAGGAAGGAGGCTCGCGGAGGCACCTAAACCGAGGTGAGCAATACGCCGATTCGCTCCGGCCGCCCACACCCATCCACCTCCCCTCTTCCGCGCGGACGTCGCCGACATCCATTGCAGTGCCTCATATAGAAGACAACGCGGCTACCTCGGTGCGCGGGACAGGAAGGGTGAAAGTCGTGCGGCAATACTAAGACTGGGTGTTGTGACAGAGAGCCGGCTCATGACACTTGGCTGCACAGATTATCTAGGTTTCGAATGTCTTATTTGCGCATCCATGACTGCAATCACAGCATAGATCACATAATAGTGTACAACACTGCATACACAAGGTCTTTGACTTGACTAATGTTTAAAGCATGGTATTAGTGAAAGGTTGTGGGAATATAATTGAAAAGAAACTGTACAGTACCATCAGCCACAATAGAGGACACGTGACTCTTGGAAGAGGGTAGAGTTGGAGGGCAGCAACAACCGCATCCTCAAGATCTCGTCAAGAAAATGGCACGAAGCAGTGAGTGACTTTGTGTGGAATATTTTGTACTGCTGATTGGGAATGTGGACATGTAGACATCCGCCAAGGCCTGAACAAGGGCTACCCCACCACCGCGATTCCTAAGACTACGCGCCCCAGCCACCGCAAGGGCATTCAATCAACCAAAAACAAGTTCGTGCGGTCTGTTGTGCGGGAAGTGTCTGGATTTGCTCCGTATGAGCGCCGGGTACTGGAGTTGTTGAGAAACGCCAAGGTGGGTTGATCGTGTTGCAGGGAGATGATGATATTAAATTATGCTATGACTTTACAGGATAAGAAAGCAAGAAAATTGACGAAGAAACGGGTGGGTGTCTAGTATACTGGTGTGATGCGATACTGATTTATTGTTTAGCTTGGTACACTTCTCCGCGCAAAGCGCAAACTGGAGGAGCTCGGTAACATTATCCAGGAGAGCAGGAGAGCGCATTGAGAGTATTTTGGTATGATACTGGGACTACAGACGAAGAGGTGCCTCTTACAATTTCATGTTATGCTATGCATCCACTATGCACCCACTACGCTGTGCCCGTGTAAAAGAGGCGACGCTACATCTCACTCACTGAACACCATGACAAAACGCATCCTCTTTGTTTTTACGTCTGCGAATCGCACGTTGACAGGTGCCAGCACGGAGCCTTGCACTCGTCGATGCATGACCTGCATGCACCGCTACGCTGTGCCCCTCCGCCGTCTGACTGATGCTAAGTGACGATGCCAGGCCGGCAGTGATTTGTCATGCGATATAAGTCATGCCGACGCCGTTGTCTCGGGGATTGCTCATCCAATGCCCGATCGGAACTCGTTTTTCGTCAGATTAGTTTACGTATTTTTTCAAACCAGCGTTTCAAACAACGTTCATATACCAAATACCCTTTTCACTTTTTTGAACCTCCTCCTACTAGCGTTGCTGTGTGATGTCCTTGGCTGTACCACCGCCTAATCGTAGTCGTGCTTCGTCAACCAACATACGTCCTCCGCTCACCATAAACACGCTTGGAAGGCGTCGTTCTTCTTCACTCATTCTTCCTATTCAGCAATCCGAACCATCTACCCCATCCACCCCATCTGAATCCCAGTCACATCTTGAACCCTCTCAAATACTTGCCTCACCTGAACCCGCCCACAAGCCTCCCATGTTTGCGGTGATCGCTTCCGGTTTTCTGGATCTTCTCCACGTGCCCACAACTCACTCTATAAACTGGTCTGCTCCTTCGTCTCCGCAGTCTACCGTGGAGGACGAATTTGTCTTACCTTTATCTGCGTCCTCGCAGCAAACAACATTTGGTGACATTTACAACGAAAAAGTTCCACTCCGCACCCATGCTCGTTGGTGGCGCCCTCAGTCGGTTCGTTCAACACCACCCTTCTTCTCACCCTACTCAATCTGATCCTTTCCATTCTAGGTACATGCTCCTATACTGCTGGTGATGCTGCTTTTCCCGTTAACAACGGCCATCGTCCTATTATCCCTCTATTCCTTGCCCATTTCCGTCGCTTTCCCGAGAACGTTACCCGAGCTTGCCGCCCTAGGTCGTGAACTCCATGCATATTCACAAAGTCGTCCACTACACCTAGCTCACGTCATCGCCGTTTTGTCTGTAACTGCAGTCTGGAAACATGCTTGGTCAATTCCCGGTAGCGTCATTTGGGTGAGCAAACTCCATCTCATCTTATTTTTGGTTGATAGATTTACGTCCTTGCCATTTTTAAAAATAGAATGTTTTAGCGGGCGCTTTGTTTCATCCCGTTCTGGCTACATTGCTGCTTTCTGCACTCACTACACTGGGATCAATGTTTGCGACTCTTTTGTGTGTACCTTTAGCACCATCTCTTTCGCGCCTATTCCCCCGTGCACTCCACATGACCCGTGTTGCTCTCGAGGGTGAATCCAATTTGTCCACCGGAAAAAAATCAAAGTCGCCGACTTGGGCACGCCTCTCCGTCCTCCGCCTCGTTGGCGTGGTGCCTTGGTCGGGAATTAACATCGCTTGCGGTGTATGCGGTGTTGCGATCTCCGATTGCTTACTCGGTGCCTTCATTGGGTGCCTCCCTTGGACGGCGGTCACTTGTCAGGTAGGTTTCTCATTTCCCAACTTCGTCATACCCAAATAACCATTGACGTCAGATCGGCGATATCCTCCAAACCGTTGCATCCACGACCTCCCCATCCCAGCAAACAGTCTCATCACTGCTAACATCACCGGACATCCTTGTCAAACTTGCCTTTTTGTCATTCCTCTCCCTCGCACCTATCCTCGGACGCGAGCGGTTACGTTCTTTGATCTCGGCATCTTCCTCACCACAATCTAATACATCAAGCCTCAATCAAGAGGAACGTGTCTCCAGATGGACATGGGTGCAAGAATGGAAGGTTCGGTTATCTTCCCAATCACGTACACAACGTGAGGACCACCAGCTGCTGGAAGCTCTCATTCAAGAGAAGTCCACTCTTCCTTGAGGATTCCGCCACGCTTCATATCACATTTGATTATGACTTCATCTATTCACGAAGGGATCCGGGAGCCGGGGGTTGCGTCCATCTTACCTGCAACGACAATTATAATCCCACGACGAGAACGCGTTATCATCTGGCTTGGACTACTTACCAACTCGATTAAGCATCACCTTGATACCCTTGATTCATCTTTACCCACCCTCAGACTTCGACTAACGCATTGCTCCCACCTGTCTATTCATCAAGTAACGCCATTTAATGACCTAACTTGTACCTCCATCTCGCATACAAGCTACGCAATTCACTGACATATAACTATTCGTCTTCTTGATCCAATGGCATTATGTTCTTACTGTAGGGTGGTCACTCTTACCGACTTTTTTCAATTTTACTTCACAGCGGATTTGGGGCGCCGGGAAATATTGACGGAGCTTGTGCTCCACTGATCATCATGATAAATATATCGTTGTGCTTATCGGGTATGATGTCAAGCACATCGGGGAAACCTTACAAAAGTGCGGAGTCAAAGTTCAATAGAGCGAAGCTTTCATTCCACTAGACATGCCATAATTGGATTGGACTAACTCCGAAATGCCACAGGGTGCACTCCTCCCAGCCTACCAAGTCACAAGCTCGGACTTATCCTTGATGATCAGGTACGTGAGTATAATGGTCTATGAATTCTGTTATGAAGACTACGGCCTGCGGAAGTCGTTCTTTGTCCTCGACTAATCAATGAATGCCGGTGGCAAACAATATTCAAGCTGGGACTCCCCTCTGACCTGTGTGTGTCAGGATTCGCGCTCGTCGCGATCGGTTGTCTCATTGTGACTGTAGCCAGTCAAATGTAGCCACACGTGTGGTTTACATGAGGTGACCTTCTGTACGTCCAAAGCGTGGCTGCTGACGAGAGAGAGGAAGTTTCCCAAGCCTTTAATGACTTCCGCCTCGGGCTAAACTCGAGGCATTCTATATATGAGGTCCGTTCCTTTCTCTCTTTCATCATTATTTTCTTTAATTGTTATGCAACTGCTTTGATCTTAGGCCCACGCAAAGCACCAGTCCATAATCTTGGTATAATTGGGTGCCACATACGCCTCACCTTAAGAGGTCGTCGCACATAAGTCTCCGTCTCTCATCACACTGTCCGTTTCGTCACAAATGTCGGCACCGAAGCTATCCAGCCGAACCCCAAGCTATAGGAAGCCTGTCCCAAAATTTATCCCCTCACCTCCCGCTTCACCCCATGGTTCACCGACGAGCTCTACAAGACGGTTTTCTTTTTCGCATGCGTCTGTAAGTCAGGATGCACCTCCTGTAAGTACACATGCACGTGCCCTGTTGAAAGAGCTGAATATTCACCGATTTATTCAAGCTACCTCCCGACTGGCGCAACGCAATTGACCGGGCAGTATCTAGGGAGGGAAGAACGACGTCTGTTCTGCCTGCCATTGACACAGTGGTGGGCCCATCGAGCCACGACACCCATGGGACCGACACCGAATTCTCCACGGAAAGGCTGTCGCCCTCAACGCCTGTACGCTAATGCTTGGTAATTGAGGAAACCGAATCTCACTCATATCTCATAGGACTGGGGGACCTCAGGAATGAACTTCACCCCTCCTACACCCACTGAGAGCTGCCACGACGAGGAACTCGTGTCTCGTCCGAGTTCACCCACGCCTTGGGAACACCTAATGCGCTCCACAGTAAAGCAACCGTCTTATCAAGAGGTGCGTGTAATCTCCCAAATATCTCCTGATCGAGGGTCTTCACACACTATAGGAATATCGCCCACCGACGCCTCCACTCCCTAATCAACGAAAAAGGCCCAGATCAACTGAATCTGGATGTGACTCGCCAACGCCCACTATCATATCACAGCTAGTATGTATAATGTGCCTTGTCCTTTTGTGAATAAGTGCTTGACAAACTGGCGAAAAAGGCACCCCACTCCACACTGCCCTTGGCTTCTGAGCACGGCGCGGCTCCGTCGATCTCGATTGAACCTCCACCTCTACCTCCCAAGTCATCGCTGCCGACGCCCCCTGCAAGTCTGCTGACTCATGATCATATCTCGTATCATGCCGGGCATGATAAGTCTTCTCAACCTCCTCCCACGTACTCTCCTGGTCACGATAGGCGTCCTTCCACTCTCAACTCGACACTTAATTTCACTCTTAATTCTGATAAGTGGACCGAGGGCACTGCTCCCTCTGCTCAAGGCCTTATAAACTTGAAGACGGAGGCTCCTGGGGACAGTGGCTCCGAGTTTCCTGCTGTTCGAGATGTCGCTAGTCGTACGAAGCGCAGCTGGTGGCTCGGCTTCAAGCATTTCATGTCTAGTCTGTGTTGTTGGTAATGTTGTGTGGTCACCGGCTTTTGTGGTTTGCGATGTTTGTGATGTTTATTGGGACTTCTGATGGATAATGAAACTATCTTACTGTAACCTCTACTGTACTTCGGCGGCACTACTTGGCATTTTGTTCATTCTTACACTACTATGACTTTTAAAGACACTGCAACACATTTTTTCACGACTGGGTTTGACAGTGACGCTTATTTTTGGGAATCCGCTTGAGAACACCGTACGTGGAGGGTTCTGTTTACCACTGCTTGCCGAACCAGCCCGGTCCGTCAAGTTTTCCATTGGTCTATCAGTACGCCAGCTGAACGTTTCAAAAACGTTGCACAATGTCTCTATGAACCCAACACCAACTATCGTAACCGGGCATCACAAACTATCTATCTTGCCCGTCTCGAGTTCATGGCGGACACCCGAGAAAACCGCCCCACGAGCCGCGAACTATACGAGTCCTGTCTCTCCGGTGCCCAAGATCGGCCATTCATCCCGCGATTAAGGTCCGACCCTCCTTCCTTCCATCCACTTCCGCATAATCTTCTCGAGTTTCGAAAACTAGAAGGGAAGGAGGAGCGGGAGAGGCGGTTGCAGGAACTATGGAAGCGTTTGCCCAATTCGAGCTATCATGGATCGGAAGTAGCTGCGTCGAGAATGTTTGATGTCGGGGTGCCATTGACGGCACGGAGGGCGGAGGAGATGAGGAAGGTGTATGAGGATGAGCTGCTGGGCAAGTGTGGAGCTCATACGACGAATGAACGGCCTAGCCATATCAGGTGGCCTGAGTTTAGGCGGTATGCTGAGACTAAGGAAGCTGGTGAGTGCTTTTTTTTGTCTGCGTGTGCTTGGGGTGTCTTAAGAAAGACTGTTCAGAACTGTGGTCGATATTCCATGATGAACTGGATCTTGATGGGAACGGCCACCTCGATGAGCAGGAATTGGCATTAGCATTGAGCAAAGCTGGTGAGATCAATATGATGGTGCATGGCTTTCCCTTACGCTCTTCCAGGCATAACACTTTCGCCGTCTACGCTGACTGACTTCATGACGTGTCTCACCTGGTCACCACATTCACATACCGTCAGCTTTCGAGAGTTCAGGGACTTTCTATTATTGTTGCCTCGAAAGGCATCGACGGCTGAGATATACCAATACTACGAAGTTGAAAGGTTTATGGGAGATGATGGAAGGGGAGCGGCACGAGTGACAATGGAAGGTTCGTCATTTCATGCCCGTCAGTGATTTCGAAGCATGAATATCATTTTCAGGTGACGTCAGTCTCAGTGCGGAAGACAAGCCCCCACCTATACCATCACTATGGGAAAGTGCCGATGTGATCGGAGACGACGATTTTGAGGAAGAGGAGATAGAGGAACACCATGACTGGCTGCAAGCTCATACCGCCTTCAAGTTTCTCATGGCTGGTGGAATGGCAGGAGCTGGTGCGCGACTATTATATTTATTCTTGATTTTTTTCCGTGAGTTGACAATTTGGTTCAAAGTGTCCCGGACATGTACCGCACCATTCGATCGGGTGAAAATTTTTCTAATCACTCGCCCTCCCGAGATGGGTGGAACTGCGATCCAGCCTAAGCCTGGAATGGGTGGTCTAAAAGCGATCGGGGGCGCAGTTGCACGCATCTATTCCGAGGGCGGTGTACTCGCATTCTGGACGGGAAACGGCCTTTCCGTGCTGAAGATATTCCCTGAATCGGCTATCAAGTTCTTTACGTATGAATCAGCTGTATGTACCTTCTTCTGGCTTTCGGCCCCATCTGGTCTTTACATTATATTTTTGCAGAAACGAGCTTTCGCACAATATTGGGATCGTGTGGAGGACACGAGGGATATTAGCGGAACGAGTCGCTTTCTCTCCGGAGGCCTGGGCGGCATTTCAAGCCAGCTTAGTGAGTAATGAGGCTTCCCCTTCTGTTCGTTCCTTCATCTTATCACCGTAAAGGTATATACCCAATCGAGACTCTCAAGGTACGGAGCAAAGGAGTTCCCAGGTTGACAATTATAACGAACATGTGCTTTACAGACACAAATGATGAGTTCGACAGGCAACCAGAAACGAAGTCTCGTGGACGCTGCCCGGAGAGTATGGCAACTTGGTCGCTTTCGAGCCTTCTACCGTGGTTTGACGGTTCGTCTTGCGTTGTTGGTGTCCTTGCCTTCCATCTGACCGGAGACAAGATCGGTCTGATTGGAGTTTTCCCGTGAGTGTGATGATCTTTTGACAAAGATCATACCATTCATCGAGTTACGTAGATATTCGGCGATTGATATGAGCACCTTTGAGGCATTAAAGTTGACTTACCTTCGATCGACGGGGAGAGATGAGCCAGGTGTGCTTGCCCTTCTTGCCTTTGGGAGCGTATCTGGGAGCGTAGGCGCCACGAGCGTGTATCCATTGAATCTGGTACGGACACGGTTACAGGCATCGGGTTCATCAGGACATCCGCAGCGCTATAAGGGTCCTTGGGATGTAGTGACAAGGACATATCAGCGGGATGGGTGGAGAGGATTTTATCGTGGACTATTCCCAACATTAGCGAAGGTATACTATCGCGAGTTATGGCGCAGCTGTTGCACTAATCACTGTCACAGGTCATTCCTTCAGTCTCTATATCATACGTTGTCTATGAACATAGCAAGCGAAGGTACGTTTTTTTTTTGGCTTTCGTTCATTTGTGACAAGGTTGATGTTTTCGTCCAGGCTCGGTGTATAGACGTCTCTTTACATTCCTAGATCGAATTATCGTGATCTATTGCATACTTCATCATTTTGTATAGCCTTCAATGCATGGACTCTCCTTCACAAATTCAGTGTATTGTGGCCCGTCGTGCAGCTCATCACTGATCTCGCGCCCACCGCTGAACTATTGCGCTTTGGTTCGCCCTAGGTTTGGAAAGAGCCTAAGAGCGTTATCGCGCATGATATTGGCAAGGTCCAGTGGTCTTCCGGCGAAATAATTTTCCAAGTTCTCCGTGTACCACCCGGCTGTCTTGGTACTCACAGCTATAATAGGAACATCATCAGTTGTGTAATGCATTGCGCAGCTCCTGGCAAGTACCTGGAAAATCAGTTCCGAAGAGGAGGCGCTCGGATGGTACGAATGTTGACATTGCGGTAAGCGTCGTTTCGTGGGCGCTAAGAGCAGTTTCGTAATAGAAGCTCTTGAAATCGTCTATGATCTCGTCCGGCGTCAACGGGCAACCCATGTGGTGCGAAAGGGCAGCGACGCGTGAGGCAAGGAATGGCGTGCTCCCGCCCAGATGAGTGAGGATTATGTTCACGTTATGGAAGCGTCGTTTCTTTCCGCTGACCACCAGGTGGGCGGCAGCTTTATAGGTCTCGTTGGGGACCTGCTTAGAGTGAGCGAGAGCATGTATTTGGATTCTACCGGGCTCACCTCAGTAATTGGCACGCCAAGCCAAGGATGAGGGTATGGCGTGGAGGAAGGCGTCTGAGTACCATGTAAAAGCACGACGGCGCTTCTTCGGTCTAATTCCTTCCAGATAGGGTCATACAAGTCGTCGGCGACATACTCTAAGGCATCATCCTGTCATTATTTGCAGCGCGTTGTAACTCAAAAGGCCCTACTCGCAGAATTGCCATCCCCATAACTGGATATCAGAGCCACTCCATCTGCGCCAAGGACGTCAAAGGAGAAGGCAATCTCCTCTAACGAAGCTGTATTTCGCAAAGGACGTGAGGACAACAACAGGGAAGGATGCTCTGCAGTGAGAAGCTACCTTCAACATCATCCAGGAATGGGAGGCCAGCGAAAAATCTGAATCTGTCAGGATATGCGGCGCACAATTGCGATGCATAAATATTCTGCTGCCTCACTTCCGAGCGGTTTTCCTCCCCAATTGAAGAGGATGTGACTGGAGGGGGAGAGAGAATCGCTGTTCGAACGCCCAGCTTGTCCATGGCGTCTAAACTAATCAGCGGTTTCCAAGGCAAGTTTTCTTCTGGTGTTCGCCAGCCTACTTCCAGATTTTTCTTTGCCTTTTTTTCAGCGTCGAGAAAGAAATGATGGTGAACATCAATGCGTATGTTCTGACGATAGGCAGGTGAGTACGGAGCCGACCTGCAGAGTCGTTGCGCGACCTCACCTGAGGGGACATCTTGCGGGGTTAGGTGAATAGATGTAAAGCCAGGCTTACTACATGACTCAACACATATAAGTCCCCGCGGGTGGATCCTCAATGTTTGGACACCGCACCTTGTTATCATCGCTGAGACCTATATATAGACCCCACGGTTATACCTTACCATCGCTGAGACCTATATATAGACCCCACGGTTATACCTTACCATCGTAACAATCTTACGCTCTTCCTCGTTACTTTTGCCGTTGACGTGACGGCTTTCCAATCGAATCGAAGTTGTTGTCATAGTTAATACCCATGTCAGCTTCGACCCGCTCTGACCCTCTTCTTTTGTACCTCCGGTATCGCTCGTCGTTGCCGACCGCCAACTTGTGGACGATGGAGTATCCGTTGTGTCTACCTGTCTTCTGCGCAGGCTTTTTGAGTATCGCGGAGTATCACGGGTGTGCTTTACCACTGCCCAACAGTTCCCTGCTGGTGTCTTCCTCTAAGTATCTGCACCCACTGTTCGTCAGGTCATTGATCATTTCCCATGTTGATGCGCGATGATTTTATCGAGACTCTCGTGATTATATCCGAGATTGCTTTCATGTTCAAGCATCTTTTCAATGCTCGACGTAAATTTGCTCCGGAGTGTCTGCCGGAGCCTTTCTCAACATCTTGGGAGCGCGCTCATCGTGCTGTCCAGCGCTCTTCTCGGGCGAATATCACTGGGAAAGTTAGAACTCGCGTGCGTGACGAGAATGCGTCTCAGCATCGTCATTCGTATATGCCTGGAGTTGGTGTATGCGATGCATTTGTATTCAGAGCATCGGCAGAATGAACGACGGAATACAACAATAGGTCTCTTGCATTGACGACGAGAAGTTTATCATTCGTTAGGAAACTGAAACTCATCGTCAAGCTGAATCAAAGACTTCGAGGCACTACAAGTCCAGAAAAATCACAAGTCACTGACCTGAAAGCATCCAAAGTTTGACTTCCACTTCCATAATTGCAAAAAGCCAACCACTCCACCGTCTGCATTGAAAGCCATAAACATCGAGGATTCCGGAGTGTATGAATTAAATAATTCCGGGTCGACCTCGTTGTCGAATGCTTTCACGACAGCGGATGCCAGTGGACTTCATCGATCTGAAAATGATGTCATACACGACGTAACTCTCCTTAATGTCCGTTAACACATAAAGACATTCGCCTGTGAAGATCTGAGACGCAAATTGACACGCAATGAACTTCTCACACTGTGGGTGCCCTGGCAAGGAGAATCACGAGATCCTGCGCGGGCGCAAAGTTGTAATGACATTGATAGACTGCGCTGTCGATTTAGTAGCCCCAGCAAGTTCGAGCATTGGAGTGATTATCTGCCAGTTGGGGCTGGAGAAACGATATCGGCTGTAGAGGTTTCCACTGGATATCCCAGAATGCCGCACGATCATTTGTACATATGTTGGGACGTCAGTACGATCTGAGCCAGGTGACAGGAACCGCGTTGAAATATCCGAGGTCCATCGAGTATAGCAGCTCCAAGGAAGAGTCGATGACTTGCCGAACATTATTGCATATCTGGAGAGGCTGAGTTAATAGTTTGGGCACAGAAAATCGTGTCCTTAGTCTTACCTGTCCTTACTTGATGCGCTCGTACTAGTTCGTACACATCTAGATGATCGAGTACGCCTAACAGGATTTCAACGGGGAAGCAGAACTTGGCTTATGGTTGACGATTTGACCCTATACCCAGTGGCTCGGTGACTCGGAGATGAGATTGATCGTACAAAAGTTTTAAAAGATATCAGACAAACTTTACTGGCTTGAATCTTTCAGCCGTAGAAAAGACAAGCGTCAAATATCTGCAGTTAAATTGGGAGGACAGTGACGACAACTGCAAAGCATTTCCTGTGGCAAGTGAAGCCAAAATTTGGATCCTGCTGTGACGAGGACCAATTGGACGACGTAACATGTACACCTAAGGCGGCTAACGCCACAAGGGGGCTTCCATAACTTAAAATGGAAAAAAGCAAGGTTAGGTCTAACCAGGAATCGAACCTGGGTCACAAGAAATCGAATATCAGAATCTTGGGTGATAACCGCTACACTATTAGACCGATGAGAAGGAGGCTTCTGGCATATATCTGACACAACAGATCCAATGGAATCATCAAACATCATCCGGGACCGAATCTCAAATCCATCTAATCTCTGTCAATTTTTCTCATGTTCCCATTTCTTGCTTTGCTCGACAGCGAGCACGTCGACGAGGAGCTCCTCGTCGCGGTCTCGCATGTTGCTCCCGTCATCGCCTCCAGAGCAACCCCGGAAAGCACAATTCGTTATCTTCTTGTGGAAGATAGTACATCTACTGATGTCAATCAAATCATCACCCTCCTTGATGATGGCGCCGACAAGGCCATCGTGCCTCTTTCTCTCGCCAAAAGTCTGCTGGGGACGGTGCCCGCTCACCGATTACTCCTTCTCCTCGACGTTGCTAACGTGAGCGCCGTCTCCGACTCTGTTCGCAACGCTGTGTCTGGCGTCTTGCTTAAAACATCTGCTTCGAGCGGCTTCGGCCCCGATGTGGACCTTATTCACTCCGTATCACGCTTCTTTGTCGGCGCAACAGTACACGTCTTAGCGCCTGACCTCCCTACACCATCGACCATCAGAAAACTTGCAGCCATTGGCGCGTCTGTAGTCATTCCTTTCTCCCAGCTCACCCTCGGCTCTACTTCCCAAAACCAGATCAGCGTCGCAGATGCATTCCTTGCATCAATTGTTTCGGACCGCTCTGACGGACTTTTCCCTACAGTGATAGCTTCTGATCCTCATGGAAAACGCTCTCTAGGCCTGGTATATTCGTCTCGTGAATCGGTTGCTGAGTCAATCCGCACAGGCAAAGGCGTGTATCACTCCAGAAAGCACGGTTTATGGCGCAAGGGCGAGACTTCTGGGGCCACGCAGGACCTCGTGCGCATTCGCGTAGACTGTGATACTGATGCGCTCGAGTTTAGCGTGGTTCAGCATGGCGCTGGTTTCTGCCACCTTGACCGCGCCTCGTGCTTTGGCGATTTAGACGGACTCGCCGCTCTGGAGCGTACTTTGGCATCGCGTTTGGTCGACGCGCCCGAGGGTTCGTACACTCGTCGGCTTTTTAATGACGAAGAACTCCTGAGAGCAAAGATTATGGAGGAAGCCGATGAACTGTGTAGTGCAAAGACGAAGGAGGAAGTGGCGTTCGAAGCCGCTGATCTCATCTACTTTACCATGACACGCTGTGTCGCTGCTGGTGTGAGCGTCAAGGATATTGAGCGCTCATTGGACAAGAAGGCGATGAAGATCAGTCGAAGGCCAGGAAACGCGAAGCCACAGTGGATGCCCAAGGCCGAGCCTCCCAAAGCAGAATTATCCAAGGCAGAAGCGCCTAAAGCTTCATCGGCACCTTCCAGCAAGACGCCTCTTCGCCGAAATGGGCCCATTCAGATGCGGACCGTTGATATCTCTGCTGTATCCCCTGAGGACCGCGCAAAGCTTCTCAAGCGTCCTGTCCTCAAGTCTGACGAGATGATTGCCAAGGTCAAGCCCATAGTCGATAACGTTCGCGCTCGCGGAGACTCCGCTCTACGTGAGCTCACCGCCAAATTTGACAAGGCTCAATTGGACACCCCACTTCTCCTTCCACCATTCTACCCTCTTGCACTAGAAGCACAGCAGCTCGATCCTGCTGTGCGCGATGCCATTGACGTCGCTTACAACAATGTCTACAAATTCCATGCCGCTCAAATTGATGGTGCTCCACTCGTTGTAGAGACCATGCCAGGGGTAACATGTACCCGCTTTGCCCGCCCCATCGCGCGGGTGGGACTTTATGTTCCAGGTGGCACTGCCGTCCTTCCTTCCACAGCACTTATGCTAGGTGTCCCAGCCCAAGTCGCTGGCTGTGAACAAATCGTCATGGCTACGCCACCTAGGGCTGACGGAAGTATCTCCCCGGAGGTGCTTTATGTTGCTCATAAAGTGGGCGCACACGCTATCCTCAGAGCCGGCGGGGCTCAAGCCGTTGCTGCTTTGGCGTATGGCACTGAGACCGTTCCAAAAGTCGACAAGATTTTCGGGCCAGGAAATCAATGGGTTACGGCTGCGAAGATGCTCGTACAAAATGACACAGATGCATTGGTATCAATAGATATGCCTGCCGGGCCATCCGAGGTGCTGGTAAGTGACTCTGACTTTTCAACTGCGGACGTACCGTGTTCGTTGTCCTTGGAAGACTAACGAATACGGTACTTCCCCCTAAGGTGATAGCAGATGACACATGTAACCCTGCTTTTGTCGCTGCCGACCTTCTTTCACAAGCTGAACATGGGATCGACTCTCAAGTTGTCTTGGTCGCTTCATCTCTCCCGGATACCGTGCTCGCGGAAGTTGAAGAAGAGGTGGATAAACAAGCGCGTGCCTTGGGTCGCGTCGACATCGTTCGCGAAAGTGTGGCAAAAAGTTTAATCGTGAAAACACAAGGGCCCGAGATTGCCATGGAGTTTTCTAACGATTACGCTCCTGAGCATCTCATTTTACACTTGAGAGACGCGCCAGGTTGGGTCGACAAAGTGAAAAATGCAGGCAGCGTGTTCGTGGGGCCGTACTCTCCAGAAAGGCAAGCGGTTCTTCTTATCAGACATACGCCTGCTGTTGATCATATAACTATAGTTGCGGAGACTATGCCTCAGGCACGAACCACACCCTTCCTACAAACGGATATGCACGCCAGTTCAGCGGCGTCAACACACAGTCTTTCCAGAAGCACATAACGTCGCAAGAGGTCACTATGGATGGACTGCAGACGTTGGGACCTATCGTAGCGACTTTGGCAGACTGCGAAGGGCTGCAAGCCCATGCAAACGCAGTTCGTATCCGGCTGGGCATGTAGCGATACCCCGGGAATTCTGGAAGGTGGTGAATAGTAATAAGTATGTATCAAATGTGTGATGCGGCACATCGCATAAAAACATGTGTATTTTCTGTCTTCTATTAGGTCTTCTCCAAAAAACTGTTGTGTTCGTACATATGTGGTACCGATATGACTGTCAGTGACAGACTCGATGAAATCGGCACCAGGTGCAAACTTGATACGTTCCATCGACCGCTTCGATCGCAATGGGTTCATCGATCTCACCCACTAGATTTTCATCATGACCGTCCTTAACCATCGCGGTGGTCGGTTCGACGGACACAAAAGCATTGCACGATGTCCTGTCGTGGGAACTTTGCATTAGGACGAGAATTGGATGAATTCCCTTGCTTGCAACTTGAAGGTTTCTTGTATCAGTAACTTTGTACCAACGCCAGTCACCTCGGCGCTAATATTATGTTAGACAACACTGACATGCGTCCATGTCCGAGTCAAAGCGTTGGTATCTGTCACTATCATGGGGATGGCTTACATCAATAACCATACGGACTTTTATACTGCACACCTCCCGCATTGACACATGAATGATGAACCGATAGTCTCGAGGTGAGCCGCGGCCTTTCTAGGATATGCAGGCCATGGTGCCGTACTAGCTACGATTCGCCCCTGGATACGTGGACGCCCCTACCACACAAGCCACAGTGTTGTGGGCACCTTCAGCACTTAATTCCCGTGGCCTGGCAGGTTTCCACTGCTATTTCAACGTTCGAATTTCTATGTACGTGCTCATTGATATTCAACCTGATCGACTACCTCAACTCTGTACTGATGGTGAGGCGCATAATATGACAGTGTCGCTCCGCTTGGTGCTCCCTGCGTTCTTGAAAGTCCTCGTGTAGCTCGACTTCATAGCATGGCAGACAGCGTGGAAGAGTATCGAGCGGCCTTGCAGGACTGTCCCCCCGGGCATCCTGATCGATCCATGACTTTCAACAATCTCGCCATCAGCCTTCGAAACAGATTCCTGCAGCAAGGCGACCCGGCTGACCTTGATGAGGCCATTGAGCTCCTTCGCGCTGCACTACTCCTCCGTCACCCCGGTCATCCTGATCGATCCATGTTTCTCAATAATCTTGCCATCAGCCTTCGAAACAGATTCCAGCAGCGGGGCGTCTCGTCCGAGTCTGACCTTGATGAAGCCATCGAGCTTCATCGGGCTGCATTGCTCCTTTATCCCCCCGGTCATTCTGATAGAATCATGTCTCTCAGCAATCTTGCTAACACCCTTCGGGACAGATTCCAGCAGCGAAGTGTCCTGTCTGACCTCGTTGAGACCACTGAGCTCTATCGGGCCGCACTATCCCTCCGTCCCCCCGGTCATCCCGATCGGTTCAAATATCTCAACAATCTCGCCATCAGCCTTCAAGACTTATTCCAGCAAGGGGGCGTCCAGTCTGACCTTGATGAGGCCATTGAGCTCCATCAGACTGCACTATCCCTCTGTTCCCTTGGTGATCCTAACCGGTCCATGTCTCTCAACAATCTTGCTCTTGGCTTTCGAACCAGATTCGAGCAGCGGGGCATCCCGTCTGACCTCGATGAGACCATCGAACTCCAGAAGGCTGCACTACTCCTCCGTCCCCCTGGTAATTCTCATCGATCCATGTCTCTCGACAATCTTGCAAACAGCCTCCGAGACAGATTCATGCAGCGGGGCGTCCCGTCTGACCTTGATGAGGCTATAAAGCTCCATCGTGCTGCACTATCCCTCCGCCCCCCTGGTGATTTGGATCGATCCAAATCTCTCAACAATCTTGCCATCTGCCTTCGAGACAGATCCCATCATCGGGGCGTCCCGTCCGACCTTGATGAAGCCATTGAGCTTCATCAGGCTGCATTACTCCTCCGTCCCACTGGTCATCCTCTTCGATCCACTTCTCTCAACAATCTTGCAGTCAGTTTTCGAGACAGATTCCAGAAGCGATGTGTCCTATCTGACCTCGATGAGACCATTGAACTCCATCGGGCCATATTATCCCTCCGTCCTCCTGGTCATTATGATCGATCCACATCTCTTAACAATCTTGCCATGAGCCTTCGAGACAGATTCCATCATCGGGGCGTCCCGTCTGACCTTGATGAAGTCATTGAGCTAAATTTGGAAGCATTATTCCTCCGTCCCCCTGGTCATTCTGAACGATCCATGTCTCTCAACAATCTCGCCATCAGCCTTGGAGACAGATTCCATAAGCGGGGTATCCCGTCTGATCTTGATGAGGCCATCGAGCACCATCGGGCTGCGCTATGTAACCGTCACCCCGGTCATCCTGATCGATATATGTCTCTCAATAACCTTGCCATCAACCTTCGAGACAGATTTCAGCAGCGGGGCGCCCTGTCTGAATCTGACCTTGATGAAGCCATTGAACTACATCGGGCTGCATTGCTCCTTTATCCCCCCGGTCATTCTGATCGATCCACATCTCTCAACAATCTTGCCATGAGCCTTCAAGACAGATTCCCTCATTCGGGCATCCCGTCTGACCTTGATGAGGCCATTGAGCTTCATCGGACTGCACTATCCCTCCATCCCCCTGGTCATTATCATCGATCTACGTCTCTCGACAAACTTGCCATCGGCCTTCGAGACAGATTCAAGCAGCGAGGTGTTCAGTCTGACCTGGATGAAGCATTTAAACTGCATTTGAAACTGTCCTACCTGACTCATGCAGCCTCTCGTGAAGATCTTAATGCTGCTAAGTCATGGGCCACATCTGCCGAGGAAATGAACCATGGCTCTGCATTGGTTGCCTATAAAACCGCTTTACAGTTCCTAGATCAGCATGTTGCTCTTTTGCCGTCTCCTTCACGCAATTTTGATGTCGTCAGGGAGGCGATTTCTTCCCTTGCGTCGGATGCTTTCTCGTGCGGTCTTCGTCGCGGTGCTTTGACGACTGCTGTGGAACTGGTGGAGCAAGGCCGTGCAATGTTTTGGACCCAGTTGGCACGCTTCCGCACACCACTCGATGAACTTTCCACCTCAGGTGCAGCCGGCGAAGCTTTAGCAGCAGAATTCATACAGCTCGGCGCTCTCCTCCGTAATACGTTTGATGAATCCACTGAAGACAAGTCCTCACAAATCCGGCAACCGGCCGTGCAATGGGATGATGTCGTCTTCCGCATCCGCATGTGTCCTGATTTTTCACGGTTTCTCCTGCCCCCACTGTTTTCTGACCTTCAGAAAGCGGCTGCAGGAGGTCCAGTCATCATCGTCAATGCTAGTCGGTACGGTTGCGACGCTTTGATTATCCTCAGTGCCCAAGATCCCGTCCATGTCCCACTCGATATCGCACAAGCCGAAGTCTCCGAGTTGTCCTCCGAATTTCAGTCACTCGCGAAGCGTTTTGGTACTTCAGATCATCGCCTGGAATTACTCAATATTGTAGGTATCCTGCGCAAGCTCTGGTTTCGTATCGTGAGCCCCATAGTTGAAGCTCTCAAGAAGTTCATTCAACTTGAATCTGACTCACGCATCTGGTGGTGTCCCACCGCTGAGTTCACGCTACTTCCTCTACATGCCGCAGGGCCCTACGCGATAAAGAGCCAAAATTTGTCACAGATCTGCATTTCCTCTTATACCCCAACTTTGGCGACACTCGTTCGGGCGAGACAGCGGGCTCCTCGAGATGCGTTTGAGCAACACTTTGTTGCCATTGGTCAAGGAAACCCGGACAGAGGGAAGGAACTCCGATGTGTCGCTCCCGAGTTAGCCGCTGTAGCTCAGCGTCTCTCGCCTGTCACGTCCTTCACATCACTCCAGGATACCGATGCAACAGTCCAGGGTGCATTCGATGCATTACATCATAATCAGTGGCTCCATCTAGCCTGTCATGGAATGCCAAATCGACAGCAGCCATTCGAGTCTTCCTTCGCAATGCGCGACGGGCCGTTAATGATCAAGAATATCATTCGGTCTGACTGGCAGAATTCGGAGTTTGCATTCTTATCGGCTTGCCACACTACCGTGGGCGATGAGAAGAGTCCCGACGAGTCGATCCATCTCGCTGCGGCGATGCAATTTTCTGGATTTCGCAGTGTGATAGGTTCTATGTGGTCTGTCGACGACGGGGTTGCACATCAGGTCGTGTCTGCGTTTTATAACAACCTGGTCGATGGTTCAGGGACATTGGACTGCACACGCGCTGCTATGGCGTTGCACGAGGCTGTGAAGTCGTTGCGCAAGAAGATTCCACTGGAACAGCAGATCGTATTTGTCCACATAGGTATCTAGTTAGAGACTCGAACATTTTCTGTAGTAATTTTGTTTGATTGCTGTCTCACTCTCCTGCCACATAGCTTAATTAACCTGCTCGTCACCAGTTTTGTTGTTGCGTATATACTTATTGCGTAAGGTAGGGCTCATGCAAAACCGACCAACCTCACGTGACAAAGTATGCAAAGCGTGACAAAACTATAGAAAGGACAAAGACTTGAGAGATTCACGACAAAGAGAAAAACGGACTCCTGTGGATCATTGAGAAGGCTATCTGGCACAGTTCACAGCGGTTACAATTGTGATAAAGTAGATGTAGTGGATGTTTTTGATGTTTTACACTTGTGTCAATGTATTTGCATATTTTAGGCAGTCACTTTACCGGCGGTTTTGCCGCATAGTCACATTAGGTCACACTAGGTCACGGTTGGTCGGTTTTGCATGAGCCCTACCTTACTGTACGTACTGTTCCACTACTTCAATTGATGTTCTATATCAATCGCATCCGTAGCATATCCAGTGCGGTGGTCCCGTTGGGATATTAGCTACTCATTCCACCCCTGTATTTCGCTCATCTTATGATATGCCTTCTCTGGATGATATTACAACAAGCAATCCCCTTCAGAAAAAAGCACGCAATGGTCTGTAAAGTGATGCATTTAATAACAGTGTCTCGGTGGGTGGTACATAATTGCCCGTATATGCGCAGGGATCATTTTGCCGGAAGCTGACAACAGTGCGGGATATGTAATGCAATAGCTTGATAGCCTCGAAAGCAGTAGCATATTATGGGATTCAAGTCGAAGAAGAAACTGCATGCAGTTCATGCCGCACGGGTCAGCAACCATAATTCAAGGTTGTATACTGTGGGAAGCGCTGTGTGTATACACATTTAAGAATATCTGCTCGGTGGTCGAGAGGTGCGTAGGCTCAAGGTAGTCCAAGCCGAAGTTGCTTGTATTTCGGAGCGTTCGGAGTCGGACAGAAGGGGGGCACAGCTTCGGCGGTCGGGATTGTCCAATAAGGGGCGTCTAGTGGTGGGTTATGCCCTCTCGCGGGTCCCGACAGGGAAATAATGTAGCTGAACACTCTCACCTGGGAAGAAATCGGAGGACAAGCACATGGCGTAATTCAAACGGAACCACAACACAACTCACGACACTGACAAGTGACATGGCGTGAGCAGCTAGCCACACGACTTGGCAAGAGAGCGACTTTTATGGATCGGACACGGAGGCCGGTCTGACCACCAATTTGAATGGGTACTATGTCTATTGCGGCCAGAGAACTACTAATGCCCATGAGTGTGTAAGTATGAGAGCAAGTGGATGCGATAAAAGTATAAGTGTGCCTAGTTGGTCCTGTAAAGTGCCCGCTTGGCGACCTTGACGATCAGAGGTGTGTCGGGGAATGCAAGTGCCTCCAGGTTGGTGGCATACTAATGAAAGATGAGCATGCGGAAATATTGGGGCATCTCGACACGTACCGGTGTAGGTACATCAGCACCAGTTACCCGCTCAACCGGAGCATCCAGGTAGTCAAAGGCTTCGCTCTCGATGATCTGTGCACAGATTTCGCTACCAACACCGAAGGCGGGGAAACCACCCTCGACTATAAGAAGACTGTAATATAACAATTGAGCAAAGGATTCATTAGGCTAAATGACTGCCTGACCGGTTGGTCTTCTTGACTGATGCCTTGATGGTGTCAATATCCAGAGGACGGATGCTACGGAGGTTGATAACCTCGGCCTTGACGCCCTCCTTGGCCAAAAGGTCGGCAGCCTCTAGACTGTGGGTGACCATCTTGCTGTGTGCCACAATGGTAATATCGGCTCCTTCGCGCTCGACCTTGGCCTTGCCGATGGGAAGAGTGAAGTTGTCTGACATGGCTTCAGAAGACATGGGGAAGGTGACACCGTACATCATCTCATTCTCGAGGAATACGACTGGGTTAGGATCCCGGATGGCGGCCTATAAAGTCGTTAGACACACACGGACAGCAAACTGCGCAAAATAAGAACCTTGAGAAGACCTTTGCAATCCTCTGCGCTCCAAGGGCTGACAACCTTGAGGCCGGGAATTGAGCCATACCACGCTGCATAGTCTTGGGAGTGCTGAGCACCGACACCAGAGGCTGCACCGTTGGGGCCACGGAAAACTACAGGACAGGGTACGTTTCCACCGGACATGTAATAAGTCTTTCCAGCAGAGTTGACGATCTGGTCAATGGCTTGCATGGCGAAGTTGAAGGTCATGAACTCGCATCTTTAAGCAAAAGAATGAGAAAAACACTCAAGAGATAAAGGAGTGTATTACATTGGTCGTAGACCTGAGAGTGCAGCACCGACAGCGATACCGGCAAAACCCATCTCAGTGATGGGAGTATCAACGACACGCTTTTCGCCGAACTTGTCAAGAAGACCTTTGGTGACCTACAGACAAGAAGTTTAAGTGAAGAAAGTGGTGGGCATGATTATGAATTGACCTTATAGGCACCGTTGTAGCGGGCTACCTCTTCACCGAGAATGAAGACGGTCTCGTCGCGCATCATCTCTTCCTCCATAGCAACATTGAGTGCGTCACGGACTGTCATCTACAAGATGATTCAGAATGAGACATTGGATGAGAATGACGCGCAACTCTTACCGAGTTTTCACTTGCTGTCGCATATCCGCGAGCGAAAGCAGCACGTTTTAGAGGGAGTGAAGAACGTGCACGGGCATTTGCGATAGCAGGAGCAACACGAGAGAAAGCACGAGCTGCAGCCATTGAGCCTTTTGGACAGGAAGAGGGAGGAGGACTGAGAGGGAAAGATGGTGAGTGAAATGGGAGCAATTTTGGTACGGACAAACGCGGAATTGAAATATAAGCAAGTGAACCGATTACACGGCGCGGCGCACTCTCTTCATATTTTTCCTACAATTTATATCTAAAAACTAAAGGTTCAGTAAAACAACTGATCCGCTCGGCGCCGTCTCTTTCCTCCTACTCTTTTTCTTTCCACAACGTCTGCAATGCTCCGCAACGCTCTATCGGCAGTGACCCGCCCTGCTATTCAGCAGTCGGTATGTGGCTCCATTTATAAGATGGCGTGATGTTCATCTTTTTTTATTTCAAGCGAAATGTAACCACTCTTTCGGCTGGTTTTCCAAGGGTGACACAAAGAGTAAGCGCCATGCACAGGCGAATAGTGTCACCTAACTCATCGTATCACTCCAGCCACCGACCAAGTATGGCGGCGTATATACGGTACGCCTCTTCGTGACTCTATCTTGGTGCTCATATCAAGTTTATTTTAGGTTACCCTCATACCCGGTGACGGTATTGGTGGTGAGATCACAGACTCTGTCAAAGAGATCTTCGAGCATGTAAACGCGCCCATTGAGTGGGAGCAGTATGATGTTTCCGGCGTATCTTCCTCAGGAGAAGATCTCTTCAAGCAGGCAATGGAGAGTCTCAAGCGCAACAGAGTTGGCCTCAAGGGCGAGTTATTTATCCCACTCAATCACAGAACCAACATTCTTATTTGTCGTCATAGGTATTCTCTTCACCCCAATCTCTCAAAGCGGCCATATATCATGGAACGTGGCCATGCGTCAACAGCTCGACATATACGCATCTGTTGTCATGTGCAAGTCTCTCCCTGGATTCCCCACACGCCACTCCAATGTCGACTTTGCTATCATTCGTGAAAACACTGAGGGTGAATACTCTGGCTTGGAGCACCAGAGTTATCCCGGCGTGGTGGAGAGTTTGAAGGTTTCCACACGGGCCAAGGCTGAGCGTATCGCACGCTTTGCTTTCGACTTTGCCCTCAAGAACAACCGCAAGGTCGGTTATGACCTCATTTCTAGCCGGAGCTGCGCTGACAAGTGCTCATTTGTAGAAAGTGACTTGTGTACACAAGGCTAACATCATGAAGCTCGGTGATGGTCTCTTCTTGAACACCTTCCGTCGAATTGCAGAAGAGTACAAATCTCTAGGCATTGAGTCCAATGATATGATTGTCGACAACGCGTGAGACATCTCTCCTTTTCCGCTCCAGTCGGCTAACACCACCAAGATCCATGCAACTGGTGTCCAAACCTGGTCAGTTCGATGTCATGGTCATGCCTAACTTGTACGGTGCCATCATTTCCAACATTGGCGCCGCACTTGTTGGTGGTCCTGGTATTGTTCCAGGATGCAACATCGGTCGTGTATGTCATACACTTGTATTTCGTTCTTCCGGGTACTGATATTTATTCAGGACTATGCTCTCTTTGAGCCCGGATGTAGACACGTTGCTTCAGACATTATGGGCACCAACCGTGCTAACCCAACCGCTATGGTTTTGAGTGCCACCATGATGCTCAGACATCTTGGGTATGTTTTCCAACACAGCCTTACTCTCCTAATTTTTACGCTCTCCTCCCATAGTCTCGATTCCATTGCCAACAGTATTGCAAGCGCAACCTTCGACGTCATCAACGCTGGAGAGGTCAGGACTGCAGACATGGGCGGTAAGTAGTTATCCGTGATCCGTCTTGACTTATTTTCACATGCTTTTTCTGCAGGTGCCGCAACGACATCGGAATTCACTAATGCTATCATCAAAAAACTTTAAGCCGTCTTTGGATTCTTTGTGCCACACAGCAGGTGCGGACGCGGGGTCTACTGACGACACGCTATATAGATGTGACACTAGATGTAGATGGGCTTAGCAGCTGTCACATACGGTATTCAGAACACTCATTTATGCTATGGATGGTGCATTAATGGATCGTACTCATTGCTGTTGTAGTTGACCTCGTCAAATATCATTATATCCCGGTCCAGTATCGCCTCGTACTCTTTCAGCGTCGTCTTCTGCGCTTCCTTTAGAATCCTTATGTTCCTGTGCACTGGATTGTGTTCCATCCGCGCCACTAACTTCATGCTTGACGACTTTAGCTTTCGCGGTAGCTGAGCGATATCGCTGCGTTCCTGAGTTACAAAGGCGTAAATATTGTCTGTCATAATGCAGATGTTCTCCTCGTCTGGCGTCGGTCGGGATCGGGAAGAATAATACAAGCTGCTAGGAACCTCCAGTCAGAACTACCTTAGCGAAACCTGACCACGCGTATCCACTTGGCATGGGATCTGTAAACAACTGCATGCGCAGGTCCCTGCGATTTCTTTCTGTTTTCTCCGTGAATTGAAAATAATCAACAATTCTCATGTCTCATCCCATGTGTCCTGTCGTTCATTTGTGGCGGCCCCTGTCCAGACACTGGGATTCAGGGATAGATCTTCGCATACATGCTCTTCTCGTGTACAGTAGACCTCTCGAAAGGTTCTGGCTGTTTGCCATGCCGTCCGCTGGTTGTCCGAGAATGAACTCAGAAGCTGCCTCCCATGTAAGCTCGTCGAAGGCTCGGCGGGGGACGTAAATCTTCCCTTGTCTTCGGTCTGCATGTACGAAAACGACGATTGTTTCCATGACCTCGAATATGTTGGTGCGCAAAATGACAGCCATGGCTCTGATAGTCTCGAGCTCATAGTGATCAGAAGCTCAGATTCTTTCCCTGTGGCAATATAGGTCAATTGCTGTCGCTTCTTCAAGGCCCAATGGTCTAGTAGTATGATACCCGCTTCGGGAGCAATCCCCAACACATGGTGTTGAAGCTGCGGGTGGTCCCGGGTTCAATTCCCGGTTGGGCCCCTTACTTTTATTAATCTTTTTGCCAGCGCTGCCCGTGGACTGCAGGGGTCGTGATATCTTGGTGCAGTCTAGGACTCTATGAAAAAGCAAGTGAATAAATTTCGATTGCCAGTATTACACTTTACCACAATAAAACATCGAACCAACTTTTTCCTGCTCCCTGCAGAGTGCGCTCCACAAATGTTAATCACATCGAGCATTTCTCTTGCTGGTGGACAAAGAAATCACATTGACATGATGGGCTTGTTTACCCTGAAGTTAGTATGTCGCATGGAGTCAAGTAAAAAAGGGATTCCAAGCCAGTCCGTAAGCCCTGGATTGAATGTGAAACTGCAAAGCAGTCGCACACACGGAAATTTTGAACACCGCAGAAGATCGAAGAATGTTCATGATCTTGTTTCCGGTGCCATTCTCGAGTTCCATCAGTGAAACAACATCGATATAACACAGGCCTAGGTGTGATGTGACCATTGTCAAAGCCTGCCGTCTCGGTGATACTCGATGAGCATCCACACTCCCTACATCGCTGACCTGGCCAGGGGAGCGTAACAGCTCGTCTGAAGTTGACAAGACGGTCACATTCTGTTGGCACGCCGGAAAAGCCAGATATGCACTGTATGATTAGTAAATGCCACAAATAGATAACTTGCCCCAGGCTACCGCTCCAAGTCCTCAGTCCGGGGAGCAGTCGCCTCCTACGCACCTCCTTGCTGTCTGCCTCAGTCATCGGGCTACAATGTCACAGGATGTGAGAAAGATGGAAAGGGTAGTGCAACTAAATTGAAAACTGATCCAAACCTCACCAAATCCATGCACTCGGCGCATCGGTGTTTTTGATACTGTTAGGATGGTACGGTGGTGACATGCGGCAATTCGAAATGAATCAAGATTCATCGCTGATTAAGATTCAAAGTTTAGCTCTACATCATCGAACGTGTCATCCTGGTCCAATGCAGCTTCGTATTCCTCGAGCGTCATCGTTCGTGCCTTCTTATGTTCCGGTCCTTCCAACGTACCAGATTGTATCCCACCTGCACCTTCATCTGCTTTCAAATCACGATTGGGTTCCAGCTTTACAACTCCGCCTGTCGCACTGGTCTCAGCGACAGTGGTTTTATCCTTCTTGCGGAGTGACAGAATTCGTTCGCAGCGCACCTCGCCGCGTTTACCCCACCCGTCTACGTCGGGTCTGAACTCGGCATACAAGCCGAAGCCTTTGTTATTAAGTTCTGGGGGTGGGAAGCTTTCGGCCAACAAGCGGAGGGCGCCGATGACGTACGGAGTTGTCTGTCGAAAAGAACGAGATATATATGAAAATGCTGTGCTGGGGAGAGCAGGCGAAGTATTATCGAGAGCACGCCATGTCTCGTTCTGTGTCTGATACAGAGGTCTGGAAGAATGGCCGCAGAAGGTTAGAGCGTTTGTAAATAGACAGTCAGGTGGACGTACATTCTTTCAACAACCACGATACAACGTGCTATTAGTAGTAGACGTCAAGACCTGCCATGAGGCATACCTTCTTCCCAATAAGTCGACATAAGGTTGCGTGCTATCCTTGATAGGCTCTATCTCTTTCTTCCGTGTTTTGTCAAAGAGACCTATGGACACGCCCTTTGATATTGCATTCATTTCTGTATAAACGGAAGCTTCGTGGCGTTTGAGTACACCCAGAACGCAGCTGCCTACGCACTGGCTGGTACTTACCGATGCTGAGCGCTTCCTCCCGTTCAAACCCTAAACGCTCGGCAACTACAGTTGCCCAGGCGGTCATCAACGGCGCCCGATTCACGATTGTAGACTTCGTCTTGAGAACCTAGAAGGACACGCGCTGAGATCGCCTGATTGAACGAGCGGGGAATCGAATTGTACCGCCTCATCTAATACCTCATTAAACTCCAAGCTGCCGTACGCAGCAGCTTCGTCTGATGGTCCATCTGGCAGGAGCTCGTTTAAGTCGTCGTCCCATTTTCTTTTCCGCTTAACTGGCGTGGTCTATGTAGTTTAGCATGCAAGTTATGCAACGGAATGCGGACTCACCACGACCTGGACCGCATTCGCGACCCTCGGTTCAGACGGACCTGCTACGGGCTGCTCATCCAAACCCCTGGATTTGTCACTTTTCTGTTTCTGTTTAGTACCTGAAGAGGGCGGCTGCGTGGTGTACCCCGCTTTGCGAATTGCAGCTAGCACAAGTTTCCGCGTTTCCTTGTCTTCCACGCCAAGAACTTTTAGCTTCGTATCTGTGAGTTGGGCAAGGAGGTTAATTGTATTGGATTCCTTGTACCTGAGATCACAGTTATTCACGCAAACTTGCTAATTGAGCAGACGAACGCTTTGCTGGCTACTGCCATTGCCTTTGGAACAGGCACGTCGTTGCTGGTGAGGATTTTGAGAAAGGCAGGTAAAGTTAATTTTCTGTCTTGCGGATCCATTCCTTTCAATCGCAGTAGGAAAGCGAATGTACCAGACCAGTTTAGGCAATCAAGACCTTTTGATCTTAACAACACCAAACAGACTAATAAAGAAATTTTCCACACGAAAAACTCAACCCTAGCTACTGCGTACATAGGTTCTGTAACCAGGCAATAAATATTGACGGTCCAGAATGGACCGTTGCTGTCATGTAATACTGATCTGTTGGGGTGCCCTGCTGTGCCCTGTCAAGTGTCAGCGTGCCACAAGTGCTTAATGATGGTAGTTAGTGATCATTGGATCCGGATAGCTAGATAACATGCACTCATAACCTGATTCAGAGATCTGCAAGTGTTTTTTTTGTATTTGTGGTCTTCGATTCACTAAGAGGCGCGGAACAACGTCACGTTTCAAAGCAAACTCACAATTGAATCGGTACGAAGTTGCGGTATCCCGCAGGCGAAAAGCGGAAAGCAACTACTGATGGTTCACATCGCACGAGTACCAGAAGTATACTATTCCTGTAAATCCGAGTCATGCATGCATTTTTTGAATTCGACTGCGTGTCAACAAAAACGAATGATGTAGTATAGTACAACAAAGAAATTCTTCTACTTGTCAAGAATAGTGGTCTCAATGATGATCCCAGTCACACGGTATGGGTCTGTGTCATAGAAAAATAAAAGTCATTAAAGAGGACAAACAGATGAGAATATGATATACTGACCAATGTTGGAGGCAGGACGACGGTCCTCTAGGTATCCATAACCCTGGGCAGCGACGTGCCTTGGTACCCGGATGGAAGCACCACGGTTAGCAACACCAGAACTGAAATCTCCAATGTGACCAGTCTCGTGACGGCCAGTGAGACGGAGGTCATTGTCCTCGCCGTAGACAGCGATGTGCTCAGCGTGTCTCTTTGAGAGTTTCTCAATGGCCTCATCAATGTGCTTCATACCTCCGGGCTCACGCATGGCCTTGGTGCTGTAGTTGGTGTGACATCCAGCACCGTTCCAGTCCCCTGCAAGAGGCTTAGGGTGGAAGGAGACCTTGATGCCCCACTGTTCAGCAATGCGGACGAGGAGGTAACGAGCCATCCAGAGGTGATCGCCCATGGAGATACCCTCGCAGGGGCCAACTTGGAACTCCCATTGGGAGGGCATGACTTCAGCATTGATACCACTGATGTTCACGCCGGCGTACAGGCAGGCACGGTAGTGAGCCTCGATGAGGTCACGAGCAAACACTTTGCCAGTTCCTTATTAAAGAAGCGAAATTAACGATGAGCACATCTGGGCGTCTAAAGGAAGCATACCTGCACCGCAGTAGTAAGGGCCCTGGGGTCCGGGGAAACCACCCTTTGGCCAACCGAATGGCGCGCCATCTGCATCGAAAAGGGTATATTCTTGCTCAAGACCGAACCAGGGAGCAACGTCCTTTGCGAGATCCATGACCTTCTTAGTGTGGTGACGGAAATTGGTTCGGTTGGGAGTGCCGTCGTTGTTGTAGGTCTCGGCAAGAACAAGAATGTTGTCACCACCACGGAAAGGATCCTTGAAAATAGCGGCGGGACGAAGGTAGACATCTGAGTCATTGCCTGGAGCTTGGTTTGTGGATGAACCATCGAAATCCCAGATGCGGAGCTGGCCAATGTCAGTGACCTTCTTGCTCACTGTCTGAATAGGAATATCAATTATTAATTTAAATTACTGAATCGACAATCATCCGCGATGACCGACCGTGGTCTTTGAGCGCAGACCGCCATCACCATCAATCCAAACGTCTGTAGATTGGGATCCGCATGAGAAAACTTCTTCTGAAATCGATAAGAGAAGAGAATAATCTCACACTCGGCTTGGACCTTGTCACCCTGAGGCAATGCAAGGTAGGGGGCAAGAAGATCATTGCGGTAAGGGTAGGCCATGATTGTTTAATGGATATGATCAAGTAGATGTCTAATCTATGCGAACAACGCGTTTAGGCGCAGGAAGTTGAGAGGAGTCAAGGCCTTTGACGATCCCTTTAAATGGAGAGGTCAGCATCCCTTTTATTTATGTTTATTTACTCAAGGCACCGTATTTTTACTGGCTACTGATTGGATGATAAGGAATTACATCTTCCATTTTTGGACTCCTTTCGTATTTTTTTTATTAATTTGAAAGTGTTTTGCAAACCTGGCCAGGCCTAACAGTTTCTTGTTCCTTACAGTCTCTTTTCGACCCTGCAATATCTCGGATCTTCACGTCGATGTCAACGTCCTGGAAGTACCACCGCCTCTCTGCGTCCGACGTTGCCCGGTCCGTTTCTCTCACTAGACCTCACACGTCTTCATGAAGATGTCCAATGGCCAAGGCTTTCCACAGCCCCACGGGAATATGGGCAGTTCCGATGAGCTTCTCCATCGGCCGACGCCTTTCTCCTCATGTTTCATACACATTGCTCCAATAGTGCTCCAATAGTAATCCAATACCGTTGTGTCACGGCAGCGGCGTTCAGCCTCCGCCTCAACCCGGGACAATGTCCTCACCATCACGATCACGCCAGTATCACGCCAAGTACTCATCGTTACTTCGACAATTGACCAAAGGCATGCTTAACAACAGTGATGGAGCGATCTGCGGAACCTCATTTTGGCTTGCAAAGGCGTTTTTTGGGCCTGCTTAACCAAGTTCTACTCGCCGTGTATTACTACTAGTTTGCGAGAGTTTCTTTTCTCGCGGTTTCTCGGAGCTCACTCTTCGTGTATTAATACCAGTTCAAACCTTGATCCGGGGCTTCTTTCCGTCGTCGGAGATCTTCGCGTTCAATCTTTCGTCTGCCCTCTGCTTCAGTCAATTACATTTTTGCTAAAGCGTTGATCACCATCTGTTGTGCGGCCTCTGTTGAATGTAATGGTCGCTTGCCAACAGCGTTGGTGCCATGAAAACACCAGTAACTAGTGAGCTACATAAATGTCAGACGGAACCACATGACCTTTCACCACGGGATCAATGAAAACATTCATCTAAACTGTAATTAGCAAAGCTGGTACCATATACCATAACTCTAAATCCCCGCACGGTGTCCCGAAGAATAACTTCATGTGGTCACCGCTTCCTCACCGCCTTTCTTCTTCTCCCACCAGCTTTTACTGCTGCAGTGTAGCCTGCCTGCAGGGGTTCCTCACCCTCACTTGCTCCACTATGCGTGGCAGATCCACTCGCAGGCGAGTCAGGTCTATCAACAGTGGGGGGGCTTTGCTGCTTATCTACTTCCTTTTGGGACTTTTCTTTGGAGTAGAAGACTTTACGGGTGTTGCTGACCAACAGCTCGATGAACCATGTTCTTGAAATGGCCGCAGGAGTTGCTGAACTTGTATCCAGGAGATGCATAACACCCGAGGGATCCAGCTGTTCAGTTGATGTCAGTATGATGATCTGTGGTGTACTATTGGTATTTCACGTACAATGTATACGTTGTCTTGTTCTACGACCATATCGAGCATTTTCCCGGCAATAACATTGCCATTTTCATCTTGACGAGGGCCACCTCCAAGGTTGACCTTAACCTGTAGGTAAAAATAAGTCTGGATACCTTGATCACTCTCTCAGACATAGATCCTACCTTCCGTTTTCCTTGGAGTGGTTCCATCTTTGGGCCCCAAGCCGCAAGTCTGGCGTCCCGTATTGTCTGCTCCACGCGCCGCAGGTCCCGTTTGTAATTCATTGTCTGTACAAGATATTGAAGCCCAGACGTGAGGATGGTGAGGAATACCAGGACAGTCTAGAATAGAATTCAGAAATGAGTTCCGAGGCTCAGATCCGAGGAAAAATATTGACATACCCCTAGACCTGGTCTGAATCGTGCATAGTAATAGCCCGTGCCTCTCCATTTGGGTACACCATTTTTGTAGAAGAAGTCGTATCTGTGGGCAGTCGAATGGACATTCGAAACTCGGGCGAAATCAGACCGAAGTCCACCTACCGCTTGCGTCCCTCGGTATTTTTCAAAATACTTGCAATAATTCCCAGTCGCGCAAATCGTTCATGGATACCCTTCACACCAGGATTTTTGTCTGGACTATATATGCAGTTAGCAACCAATGGCAAAAAATACAGGACTGGAGCTCAACTGGAGTTGCATGCTTTTCTTCCTGTACGCCTTATTAATCTGGACAAGGGTCGCCGTTGAAGGCACATCCAACCAAGAGTAGAATGTGGTGCCCCTGCCTACGGGAGTAGAGTCTCAATTTTCTGTAGCTAAGCACTGCATGGTACTCGGGACACACCCTCAGCCGCTTCAAGAGCAGTGACTAGATCAAATATTTCATGGTCCTCCTTCCTGTCTGCATGAGATCTTGTATCGAGATGCGTAGTGATTTATCTTACTTTGGTCCATCTGCTTGCGGCGAGGACAGTAAAAATGTGTGAAACGCGCTCAGAGAATGTACTCATGTGCGCCTAGAAGATGCCACTCACGCTGAAACTACACTAACCAGCACAGCAAGAAACGCGACAACGACGAAAAGCTTCATCTGCGACTACCACGGCCAATTCTGGCTGCGGTCGTGAGTGTGCAGAACGAGTAAATGTATAAAGCCAGAATTGAGAGGACAGAAGCCAACAACTCAGAAGCGAGCAAGCCGTGTGTCTTGGGTCACGTGGGCGTTTGCTTCCTGTACGGTGACATTTTGATGGCACCACGACGTAAATGTGCTGTTTGTGGGTCGAAGCAATGGCACAAAGACTCTTCGAGCGGCCTTGTTGCCTGCAGCGAAGGTCATGTCATCCAGGTGCGTACAATTGGTTGTCATTTGGCACGAGTACTTCAGAAGTTAACACGTTCGGTTGCACCAACAGAACTACAGAAATGAACAAGGCGAAACACAGGATCTAGGTAATTACACCATGAGGAAGCGCACTCTAAAGGGGGGTCGCAAGAAGGGAGCAAGGCAGAGCAGAGCCGATCCTAAGCGTAAGTGATTCGAGACCCTCGTTAGCGCGAACTTTCAGCGAATCTAAATCAGTGTATCACGGCGAACGTGCACGGTTTCACTATTATCAATGTTTGCAGCTGGTCCTAAGGAAGCAGATCGCAGCATTGATTGCACTTTGGGATCTACCACCCGAGTTTGAGGTTGGCGTTCTCCGGTCATTGAAAAGCAGTCACTTCATTGACTTAGGCTGTGTGCAGAGATACATGGGCGTTGCATTTGAGTCTTTTACCACGACCACCCCCTGCGGAACCTTACCACCACATGCGAGAGCAGAAGGGTCATGACTCCGACGCCGGTGGTACAAAGCTATCGTTAGACAACCCCGAAGAGTCTAGATCTGACGACAACGACAATGATGGTGACGACCCTCAGTCGTGCTCTTCTAGCAGTGAAGAGGAAGACCCAGAACTGGCAGAGCTTCTACGCGAAAATTCCGAATTCAGTTCCTCTGAAGAGGAAAAGGACCGTGCTGCTCAAAAGCAAGGGGCCCAGCCGAGTTACCGATTCGTCGGTACATATGACCGTCCCGTCAACTGTATTGTTGTTCTGGTGGTCGCATGTTGGACCATGCGCTTACCTGTGATGTACAGAGATTTCATTGAGTAAGTCGTGGCTTGTATGCTTTTTATCTGGCAATTCACTACATTTAGCATCACTGAATCTTACGAACTCCCTTATTTGGATTCTCTTCGCCTCCTCCCATCCGATATGACTTGTCATCTGACGAAGCACGCTGTTCGCGCCCTCTCTCCTCGTGTAATTACGATCACCTTTTCCACGTAAGCGAACTGATCGCAAGAACGTTTACAGTTTCCCCCGAATACGCTTTACCTTCACCGCCTTGCCTCTCGCTTGGCAAAGCTCATGTATGCTAATTATGGTGTATTCACACCAGAGCTGAACGCGTCGCCCGTATTATGGCGAGTTGTGCAGCAATGTCTCGGCAGCACTCGTATGTTCCATGAAAGTCACAAAATATGTCTGTAATGAACGCTCGTATCTCCAGCTACCCTGTACAGGCTCGCAAAGAGGCTCGGTCATATCCTGTCTCTGCCGTTAACACTCCACCACAGCCTGTCATCCACGTTACATCGCGTTGCACCAGGTGATCCCGGAAGTCATCTCTATGACAATGTTCCGCCGGAGCTAGCTCTTGTGGCTACAGCAATTGTTGTATTGAAACTTGTGTATGGCCTCGACGGGAAACCGAGGTGATTGTTTCGCTTTCGTGAGACATGAAGCGGAGTTGACACAGGTTAGGCTCCCACGGGTTGTAGAGGATCCCGCGTCCGCCCTTCCAGATGCTCGTGGTTATCTGTCAGCAGTCAGGAGGATGAGTGAAGCGGATAACCGGCATAATGAAAGGCGATTTAGCTCCAGGGTTCCTATGTGAGGAAGTAGGCACCAAGTTTCAAGTCATAGGCTAACTACCTAGTGGGCGCCAGGTCAACCGGCGATATGGATCTTGCGACAGTAGACGAATTCCTCGACTTTTGCGAAAGGGTATTAGTGAAATCGCAAAGGGATGAAGCAGGTCAGGGATTTTCCTTCGCCGGAATGCGTAGTAGTTATTTATACGAAGCCGAACAGATCAACAAATCGTGGACAATTATTTCCCACTGCCAGCTGAAGATCGAAGTGCTAATTTGGAGGCGCTAGCCCCTCCCAGCATCGCCGAAGGACTCTCAGCGCCAAACATCAACGTAGGCGAGACAGATGTTCTACAACCTGGAGAATCATACACCATCTACCATTCTCGCGATGTCCTGGGAAACCTCCCAGAGGAGCAAGCGCTGATAATCACGCAATCAGCGAAGTGGGTTGGCGTCAGTGATGATTACTTGTGCGGTGTAGTTGAGCGGTTTGAGCGGCGACTTCGGCGGTGGCATTACAAGGAGCGAAGACGAGAGAAGGAAGAGCAAGAGTCAGAAGGAGACAGGCTGTTCGATGGAATGGAGGATTGAGGGCGGACGCTCAGGCTGGCCGATGGGCCGACACCAAAAATAGTGGGTATCACATACGTGATCAGGTCTGCTTTAACCTTGGATGCATCGTGGCACCAATGTCATTCCGTCATGCATCAGCAGGGGGTAATAACAATGATCAATACCTTGCTGCATGCAGGGTCGTTCACACGAAACTAGCGGAAACATCAGGCACCTGTGATCTTCGTGTGAGGAAGGTATATAAAGCCATGTGTCTACCGGTATCCGAATCCTTGAACCTCGAGCGTCCACGGAAGATCGCACGTTCTCAGTTTCACAAACCAGTGATTTCTCAAGTTCAACCTATAAGTAGCCGAGTAGACTCAGAACCGGTGAGAGACGCCGTAAAACGTGCTAATTCGGGTTCTTCCACCACCTGCTGCAGTTAGTACTGAACCATTGAATCAATCAATAGTCCAGTCCCATTTGTAATGCTCTAAACCGTTTAGCGGCGCCTTCTTTTGAACCTCACTCTTTACATTTCCAACCACGACAGCATGCGTCGCATAGCCTCTGTCTTCGTTGCGAGACGTGCCGACAAGCCTGACGCACCGTCGACTATGTCGTCTAACGACGTCGACCCTCTCCCACAAGAAGCGACGAAGCGGAAAGCTCGAATGTTCAATTCGCTTTCTCGAAAAGTGGTCACCCAATCGTTGCCACAGCTCTTCGCTAGCGGTTCTTCTTCCTCTGCATCCTCCGCCTCTGCAGACCTCCGCACTCCTGACGACGAAGAGCTACCACGCATACGCCAGAAAAGTAGCTGGAGATCGTGGTTAGGGGCAAAAAACGAAGGAGATGTGAAAGCAGCTTGGCTGCCGCCTTTCCCGACCTCAGGAATCGCATTACGTCCTCCACCGACACCGACTTCGAACGAGACGGATGATGCGTCATCTGAATCTGAAGATGAAACAGATCATCTTCAGGATCCTCCCATCCAGAATTTCACCCCATCTATTACCCAGGCACGAAATAGTATGCGAGTAATCATTCTCAACAGCTCTATTGACAGTGATCGTCCTTCTTGCCCTCCTCTTTTGGATATTCCCCACAACACACCGTTTCCTCGCTCCTGTCTCCGTGTGGGACATATCCATCGCCGAGACACTATGGAGTCCAAGATGCACAAAACAACACTCTTGCGCACGTTGGAGTCCCTTTCCCCCGCGGAAGAACGCAGTATAGCACCCCTTGGCAGACGGCCCGTGACTCTCTTGAAAGAAGCTCCGGTGAACATGGCCGATGTTGACACATGGCCTAAGGCACAGTTCTTAAGGAGAAATAGCGAAGGTCTCGGCAATTGGGCGGCTCGTCCTTGTTACGAAGACCGAGTTCTTGTCTGGACTCGCCAGGAACCCTCCGGTCAAATCGTCACCTCCGGTATATCTGGGTCACAGTTTGGTGTCGCGGCTCTCGAATTTTCAGAGCCGCTACAAATACTGGCAGGCTTGCTGGATGACTTCGATCCGTTTGCAGAACCTCAGCCTGAACCGTCACTACCTAACTCTGGTAAGTTTTAGTAAATTATAGTTTGTATTTAGTTCATCATTCTTTCAGGGACTGCCGCAGTCGCATTGCCATCGACGGAACAACTCTCTGCCTCCGTTGTCATCGCCGAATTTGAATTTTCGCCCCTCACGCTTGCAGTTGACTCACCAGCCGAGTCTAAAAAAGAAACTAGCAATCTCAAAGCAGAAGAGCCTAACCCCGCACCCGTTGTCAAACGAGGTGTCAGGTTTGCGGAAGATGGAAAGGACGACCAAATTCCCCTGGGCTATGTTCTACGTATCAAGAAAAAACGCGAGGAGAAAGCGAGGTTTCTTCGCGAAGAGCGTGAGAAGCGAGAATTGGAAGAGGGACGGCGCGCGCGGGAAGACAAGCGCATGCGTGAGGAACAACGCCGGTTGTGGGAAGCAGAGAAGAGAGAGCAAGAACAGGAGCGCAAGGCTCGGGAAGTCCAGAAAAAGAAACTAGAGGAAGAAAGACGACAGCAAAATTACGCCTCGGAGTTGCAGGCTTCACGAGCCCGCCGTGACGCCTCTAGAGCTGGACATATCTCCTCCTCATCCTCCCTGGTTCGGGACATAGAACGTGACAGATCTGCATCCCGAGACGCTCACCCGGCTGGGTTATCGTCCCCCCGCCAACGGACGCTAGATCTCATGGTATCTCCTGCGAATCTCTCGCCTTACGATGGTTCTCCTGCTAGCTCGATGCCAGCTACCCCAGGGAGCCAGCGTAGCTTCTCAAGGCCTCCGTCCGTCTACTCAACTCACACCACATCATCAGATGATGCACGAGCTCGGGATGGTCGACGCATTAGCAAACGAACCTCTGCTGCGTTTGATCCTTCAAAACAATACCCGTTGCCGTCACTGAATCCTCGCGCGTCACTTCTGCCATACAATCCTTGGGCCAACGTGCCGGTTCCGCCTTTTGTCATTCCACCAGTTCCGCCGCTTCCCGTCGCTCCCATGATGGCCATGCCATTCTATTCCTTGGACCCCTTACTTCCCCCTTCCCCTCCTTTCATGATGAACCAGTTTGGCATGATGAATCAGTTTGGAATGCAACCATACTCGGCCAACTCTTCTCAGGGTCAAGTTTCCTCGTCTTCACGACACAACAGCGTTTCAAATCACAGCGCAGAGGGTGTACGTCACACATCTCGCCCTGCTCCTAATTCTGCCGGACACTTTCCCAACCACCAGCGGCGTGCCAGCGATGAAGCACGCGTGCACTCGAGTAATAGTAATGCCGCAGCTGATCGGAAGTACGGAAGCCAAACAGACCTGCGGGACAAAAGATCTTCTCAAGCTGTACATTCTTCCCGCAGCAGTGGTCTTCATCGTTCCCATCAACCCCCTACTTTGGTCCACTCCCACACCACACCTGGAAGGCCAGTTCCGACGTCCCAAACCCGCTCGACACCAAGTCGGCGTCAAAGTGTATACCCATAGTATGTGCAAGAACTTTTGATCACGGACTCTTAATTCTGCGTCAGGACCCTATCTTTGGTGCTCACGCTCATTTTACTACTGCATTCACCCCCATCTTATACATCGGAAATCACACATCACAGTTCTATTGTTCAGGTTCAATCGTACCCTTATGCCCACCTTACGAGCATATCGTATCATTATTAATCGTCCTAGCATTCATTCTGACATTGGTGTTACTCTGGCATATGTTGTTGATATGCTCCCAACTTCATGATTTCACTCGTTATCTAATTTCATGTACAATGCACATCGTTCTCAGCTGTAGGAAATGCTTGCCATTATAATAAGTGCGATACATAAACTTAGATGCCTTCGTAGTTATAAACAAATAATTCCGTAAAGATCCACAATCAACCCCTACCCCAAACCACCCCATGGCCCTCTTATTCTCCGGGCAAGCTGAATGTCACGCTGCATAATTGTTACGCGTTTGGCGTGTATTGCGCACAAGTTGCTGTACCACTGTTAGGATAGACGCAAGAGACACAAGAGTGAGACGTACGCATCCTCGAATAGGTGAACCAGGAACGCCTCAGTAGCTTCCTGTAGAGCCATGATTGCTGAGCTCTGCCACCTTAGCCCAGCTTCCCCCCTCTCATAGTTCGTGTCCGTCATCATATCCATCGCGATTTCACGCACCTGGAGCTCCCATTCAGCACACCAAGGCTGAAACATGACAGAGTACATACCACACGCGAGAAAGGAAGCCTGCGCAATAGCAAGTCTGTGCTCCGCTGATATTTTCGGATTTCGCGTAGTGCAATAGTACCAGGGCGATAACGACGTTTCTTTCGCGACTGTCCCTGTTCATCTTCCGCGTCTGCTTCCCGCTGGGCTGTGAGGGTGCGAGGTTAAGACGCGTATGGACGCGACTGGACGCGTACGTGCCTTTTCCTTTGCCACCCCTTACAGAAGCGGGGGTAGGTCTCTCCCTACCAGTGCTCTTACGCGCTGTTGGGTGTTTGGGCCGCTTGGAGGGCCCTGGTTCATCTGAACTATCCTCTTGTGTGGCACCGGTAGGTCTCTTGCGTTTCTGTACGGTTTGTGCCATTTCAGTTCACCAGCAGCGCACAATGAGTAGGATGAGAAAGAACAGGCTTTGGTTTACGATGGGATGTATGGGCAGGAGGAGCGAACGCGAATAAATGACCGGTCGTCGGGCTTTGGCAAACTTGAACATACTTTCCGTTTATGGCAATCAATCAACAAAGATACAAACGAGATCTAAGCGCGCAAGTACTTTACGTTGTCTTTGTCCACAATGGTTTCACCAGTCATCACAGGATATTATCGTTATACTGATATTTTCTTTGAATGGTACGGCAGATCTGGTGGATATCAACTTGCTGACGAAAAAGCCGTGAATTACACAGGCATCAAGCATTACCAGAGGCAGATCGGAGTCCCTTGAGGGCATCGTTAGCACAGGATGCGTTCATTCATCCAGATCACCCCCTCCACAAAGAAGGCGTCGATGGAGCCGAGCTCTTCTTGGGTAACTGAAATCGCTGCGTCGCGCAGCATCCCATGTCTTATCTGCATCTAGGAACACTCCAGAGCTTTGAGACCCGATTGCTCTTTTCCTCAGCCCAGGTCGAATATTTGAGATACTGGCTGCACGCCATGGGTCTTACCCAAAACCTCATATCTCTTCCTTACTCCGATTGCCTTCTAACCGAATCCAGCCTCCGCCACGTCTCCCCCATCACATTCAAGACCAAAGACGAGCTCAAGGGTGCTCTCAAGGTATGTTGCATCAGGCACCTCAGCGCGTTGTTTCTGACTGCACGAATCTCCAGCAAATAGAAAAGAACAACAAGCGTCTGAAGGGAGCAGACCCGATGCTCAAAACGCGTCGTGAGATTTTTGAACGCGTCCGCACGTTGTGGGCAGATAAAGTCGGTGTCTGGTGTGCTCTGGACTTCGAAGCATGGGACAGGGACCACACCATGCTCACTGAGTTTGGATGGAGCTTTGTCCGGTGGATCGATGGCCAGCAAGTCGAAGAGCAAGGACATCTCATCGTAAAGGAATACCGCCACTACACCAATACATTCGTCCAGAACAATCGCGAGGTAGGAAAGTCGAGATGGTGCTGCCTGTGACTGATCCTAGCGTAAATGATCTAGCACTTTTCATTCGGGGACAGCGAACTCGTCAATCGATCTGCTTTCAGGACCCGCATCCAGAATCTAATCGCTGACCTGCAAAAGGATGGCCCACTTTTCCTGATCTTCCACGATAACAATCAGGACATCAAGTGAGAGAATAACTCCCATCCATGAGTGACCACTAACACCTTTGGCAGATACCTCAAATCTCCCGCCGTCAACGCAGACCTGCCGAACCTCAACTTCTTGCTTCCTGATGGAAAGCCCGATAGCGGCGTCTTCGTATTAGATACGTCCGACCTCTTCGCCGCGCTGGAAGGCGAAGGAGGGCACAACAGACGATCTCTGGAGCGTGTATGCAGGCACTTGCAAGTCCCCACTTCATTCCTGCATAACGCAGGTAATGATGCGCATGTACGTTCGCATCTGTTTAACTCAACGCAAGGCTGACTAACAATATCTTCAGTACACTTTGCTCGCCATAAAGGAAATGGCTTCCAACGGCCCACTGGACATGCAAAGGGAGAAGAGATGGCCCAACCGAACGGGCAACACTTCGTATCCCACTGCTCCTCAGACCGGGGCTGGAGTGAAGGTCAAATTCCAACCCTGGGAGGAAGATAGCGATTATTCAGACATGGAAGGTGTTGGACCTGTTATCGACAAAACCAAGGAGCTGGTTGTAGAATGAAAATCGGGCCGCGTGATGAAATTAAAGTGTAGCTGACGGCATCATGATTGTACTGTCTTGAAAGACATCTTTGTTCGTTGTATCCGTAATAGTATTCAAATGACATTATAGCAATGTGTGCTGTCCTGGAGACTCGCACAGATGAGGCATCTAAGATGTCGTTAGTAGTAAATCTCCAGCTAGTCCTCTTTGTCGTCCTCTTTGTCGTCATCGTCATCGTCATCCTCGTCGTCAGATCGGACATCCGTAACTTCGACATCCCTCAATGATCTGTGAGTGGATAAAGATAAGCAACGGAAAGACATAAAGACCGGGAGTATCACCTTATCACGATGCGCCAGATAAGATAGTACCAGAAAATATTGAGCATCTGGAGGAGAGAGATGGGAAAGACCATCTGGTATTTCATCCACCATGTGAGCCATGCGCCAGTTTTAGGGGCCCAGACACGATTACTCTCGCTATAGAAAATGAATCAAATCAATAATCCACCAGGTAAAAAACACATACTCGATAAGATCGAACTCGAACCATACAGACCAGAGGATGACGAGGTTCAACCAATGCCGGAAATAGCTAAGAGAATTTAAATGACTGAAAATGAACGCGTAAAAAGGACTCACGTCCACGCGACGAGGAAAACTGCAAGGGAGGCGACTTTGAGTCTGTGCCATCCCATGTAGTTGAGCAGCTTGGAGAACTGTCGATACCAGAGGTTAGACAGTGGAAAACGCGTCAATCTGAAAACGAACAGCCAGGAAAGCGTCTGGTATATCCATACTCATATAGATAGCATTTCCGATAAATGTCAAATTAATGAGATATCCCCATCTGTTGGCAATTAGACAGTGATTAAGACATTGCAATACTTCGGAACATACCCAACTAGCCATAGGGTAACGAAGTGATGCATGATAAGCTCGTTGTAGTCCTTGCGTGGTTTCTCAAGGCGTAGTAGCAGCACGATGAGCTGCTGACACCAGTAAGACGCATGCATAAGGAAGTAACGTTTGAGTTCAGGCTTCATCTGCCAATGAGGGTATCCTGGAATAAGGGGGTCAGATAAGAACATGTGCGGAGGAAAGTCGGGTACCGATCCAAAAGTATTCGGTGCGATACCACCATGTGGGAAGTTGACCCATGACGCGCTTGGGACGAGTTGAGAAAATGAATGGTGGAAGATGATTAATGAACTTACGTAGCCCCAAGCACCCATGACGGCAAAGTAAACAAGAGCATAGCCTTGTTCACCGAACCTGTCGAGTTTTGCTCGCTTCTTTATGCCGAAGTAGCGAGCGATGGGATGACAAATGATGATGGTAACGAATTGGCGGACGAAGGAGTAGAAAACAATGTGAAATGCAAGAAAAGCCAGATCAAGGTAGCCTTTAGCATAGCGTGGGTCGTCGGGAGAGGAATCGGCAATTGGGTAGGATATAAAGAGAAGAGGGGCGATTGGGTTGGGAAGATCTGGAGCAACGTATGGAGCCAATAATTCCCAATTGATGTACAGTAAGACAGGTATCATAAGCATCTTGAAGGACGAGACTGTAAAGATGGTTCATTTTGGAAAGTTAAAGGAGAAGGAGGAAGCAACCTGGATTTACAACCCATCTGGCGCTCAGGAGATCTGCGACCAGACCTGTTTTCGGTTTCATGGCGAAGAAACTACGGTTCGCTGCGGAGACGGGGGAGTTACAAGACTCTGGTGTATTGGACCCCACAGGTCTGCCGTGTAACAATTTGAGTGAGATAGTCGGGTTAAAATTTTTGAAGACTCACGTTTGGACCATGAAAGGCCCTGTTAGATGATGACCTTTGTCAGTCCTGAACCAAGGTTAGAATGATAGGATGTGAGAAAGAGAAACATACTCTATACGACGGAGAGATGTAGCGCGAGGACGTCTTTTGAGGAGTTTCTCGCCGCGCGGGGACATGGCTCTAAATATGAGACCGGGGTGTTGACACTTAAAATACACACACAAAGAGAATCATCAACCATCAAGTCTGAAATGAAACCAAGCTCTTGATTATGTCATCCCCAAGAAGAAAGTATCTTACCCTGAACTAGTATGTTCTCATCTTCAAGTCTTTTTCAATCTTTGTCATGTCCAGAGATAAATTATTGTAATCGTCCAAAATGCGTGTTCTCACACAACCTAGATATCTTACCTTCTCAACATGTCCTCAACATCCCGGTGCAACCCATCCCACAGAAAACAGCCACCGCCGCCGCCGCCGTACCACGCCCAGTACCCTCAAAGCGACCGTTTCATAACATCGCACAAGGATCCTCTTCCAGTACCAATGGCACTCCTCCCCCCACACAACGACTCAGAGTCGGTACTATGCAGAAGTCAGTGGCCGTTCCCGCCGCATCCCACACTAGTGTACGCAATACAACCCGATTATTTCAATATCTATTGATCTCGTTATATAGACCGGCGTACCAATCATTAGAATTAACCCCGCACAATCTCAAGTCGCCATCCCAGTCCGACAAGCAATGCTAAAGACAGTCTACGACCACTTTCTCGTCCTTTACGACACTATACTCCCCTTAAACCCGACCCTCGCTTCTGAGCATGCCCTTCGTCAAGAGGAACAAGTCTACACAAAGTCCACTAAGTTGACATATCGCAACGTGCGCACTGTCCGTTGCCAATTCGCACATTTTAAACTATCATTTAGGCTGTCATAAATTCAATAGCAGCTTTGAAGCGACGTCCAATACCGACGTCTATATCACATCCTTCTGTAGGAACTGAAGAAGATTTGGCAGCTCGCGCAGAGTCCAGGAAAAAATTGGATGACCTCCGGGTAACTCGACACATTCTCAAATCACTTGTCATGTCCCTAGAGGACTTGCAGACATGGGGATTTATTACCGAAGTGCCCGAAGGGCTCGGAGGAGACCAACCGACTGCTGAAGGCAAAATCATTCAATGCGAACGATGCACCCAGCCATACATGGTTAACAACAATCCTGTATCAGAAGAATGTCATTTTCACTGGGGAAGGCTGTTCACACACAAAGTCAACGGTAATCAATTCTCATAGCGCAGCAGACATCCTTTGACATTCTTTGAAGGAGAGCGTATGCGTTCCTATTCTTGTTGCTCTAAGCCAGCGGAGGAAAGCGGATGTACCAGAGGCCACCACGTTTTCTATGAGTCTAAAGCAGAAGATTTGCACTCACGCCATGCATTCTCCTTTACTCGTCCACCAGTCGCTGATATAGAGATGGATACAGCCTTAGACGTCGTTGCTTTAGACTGCGAGATGGTTTACACAACTGGAGGTATGCGCGTCGCCCGTGTTTCGGTAGTCGATGGTTCCGGGAAACAAGTTTTTGATCAACTAGTAAGAATGGACGATGGAGTTGAAGTCATGTCAGTCCTCTGTCTCCGTGCTGGCAATCGTGAACCTGACCGTCTTTCTCACAGAGACTATAATACGCGATTCTCAGGCATTACCCAGGAAGAGCACGCACAGGCTGCGCTTTCATTGTCATCTATACGCGAATCCCTTGACGTGTTCATTAACCGCGATACAATTGTCATCGGACACGCCCTTCACAACGATCTCAATACACTTCGGATCGTTCATCATCAGTGCGTTGATACGGCTATCATCTTCCCTCATCGCCAAGGTCCCCCATATCGACGTTCTTTGAGGGATCTGTACGTCGTTCCTAATTTGACTCCATGTCACCTATTTACGAAATTGTATCAGGGCCAAAGAACACCTTGGTCTCACAATCCAGGCTGGTGGCGGAACAAGCGGTCATTCTTCAGTGGAGGACTCTGTAGCAACACTTGATCTTGTGAGGTGGTATGTCCTGAACAAGCTCAAACCGGCTGCGAAGACGTAGATACTGCCACTACCACTACTACTACTGGGTATCACCCCACGCATACCTCTCAGGTATGAGATATCCGCTATCCAGACACCACTGCCATGCCTTTGAGTGCGACGATTGAATCCTAATCGGCTCGGGGTAGTGTGTTCAGCGGATCAACGGGCCTTGAAATGCTATAGATACAGCCAGCATCACATGAAAGAAAATAAGTCTAACCGCGTGCAGCTCCCAAACGACCTATGATGTCCTCGGAGGACTCTTGCTCTTCGACGCCATCTGACTGTGTGACCTGCATTGTGCATTCGTTCAATTCGTACCAAAGTTTACTGCGCACAACAATGGAGAACTAACCACGCGCAGCACTGACTTCTTGGAGGATTCTTGCATTTCTCCTGCGATTATGAGCTCGTCTAGGATCTATCAAGTGATATGAGAAGACCGCCTGATCAATAGAAGTTAACAACCCACCGCATATGCTTTCTGGAAATTGAAGATGCTGATACAAAACGGTGAATAAGAGGTCTCGATCGCTACGACACTTTCTAAACGTACAGGTCCAGCTCACATACCTAGACGATACCCATTCAATAAATACATCATTCCAGAACAGAGCGAATAAAAAACGCACATTTCCAAAGTACCGATCCAAAACCTCGACATAACGGTGAATAATCTCCAGCGTGATGAGTTCGTTATCCCCTGAGGCAATCCCACAAACGAAGAACAATGATGCGTATCGGCGGTATACGACCTTGGTGTCTGCATCATCATTGTAAACTCCCTCGCTTTCCGATACACAGCGAAGAAACTCGCCCTTGTACTCCAGGAAGTTGCACATTCGCGTGCGCCGAGCCAGGACGAGCTGAGTGACGTCCTTTACGATCTTCGCTTTCACCTTGGGCGGCATGGTTGAGAACCATTTCGCAAGGCGTACTTTGCCTGGTTATCTGACAAGTTAATAACACTTTGGTGGTTCGGAGGAAGGGGACCGGCCTTGTCGTGATACTAGCAGGATGTAGTTGATCATGAATGAAGGTGCTTCCTTGTGGCTGTGCTAATATTCGAGGTCTTAGATGGTCTGGTGCAATAATACAGGTAAATTATTCCACAAGTATTCCATGCCCTAGTGCTGCAGCGCTGATTTCTAATGGTATTCTCTAAGTGAGATGATAAATGACTCTCGCATCTCGACCGCAGCCGATATAAGCCCATGAGCCACCTCAACCCGTCATCCAGACCCTGAGTACGCTCCGGACCTACAAAGGCAGATTTCATCAGTTTCCTGAGTGAATGGAGGAGAAAATCGAGGGAGGTCATATTAGATCAAGAAAAATTCATAGGATCCACCGGCCACTTCCAAGGAAGTGGCTATATGGTGGTCCCTCGAACCACGTTTATAGTCATTCCGCCCAACTTTGATGGGTTGAAATAGTCCAACTCACCGATATCTACCCAGGTAACAAGTCATCATTGCTTGGCTGCCAGGGTCTTTTTAGAGGGCACGGAAGCTAGCTTCCGCTTTCTCCGCAGCTCCCAATAATCCATGATCCATGTCTGCACCAACCCAAAAGTGGCTGATGTGACCCAGTAGAGAACAACGCCCTGAATGATATAGTTCAGCTACCATGCAAAAAAGGCTAAAGGCATGCTTACTCCTGGTACCATGGTCGCGACAACAATACGACCAACAGAGATCAATCTCAACGCAGACTTGATAATCTTCTGAGGCTCGATCACAGTCTCCCCTCGTGCAACGCGATCTTCTTTCCACTTCTGAACTTTTTCCTGACGCTCGCGTTGCTCCTCGGTAATGAACCAGCGTGAACTTTCGACGTTGGCTAGAGTGACGAGACCTAGTGCAATTGGCAAGGTGGCTGTAGGGTCTGCATGCGCCAGCGTGGAAAGCGTCAAGAACGACTCGGAGTCAAACGGAGTAGGTGTTTGTGATAACCGGTTGAGCACTATTGAAAACCCCATGAACAGCGGGAGTTGTGTGATAAGAGGTATCGCCATCGTCATTCCAGGACTACAGCTGTACTCTGAGAAAAGCTGTTTTCGACGCGTGGTTAACTGCGAAGAGGGTTAGCCTGCAACGAGAGGAATTTGTGATGACTCACGAGTTGCTTGACGCGTTTGCCATGGGCTGCTTGGATTTGTTCCTTCGTACCGCGAACACCAGCTTTCTGCATTTCTGCGAAAACCAATTTTGATACACCAGGTTTTAAGGAGTTGATTATGGGCATGACCTCTTCCTCCGCACGCCGCTGTCTCTGCTTTGCCTGAGAGGAGACGGTTATTTGATGACATACGGGCTCAACAAGGAAGAAATACCCATATTGAAAATGGCACGGTCCAGATGAGACGCGAAACGACCGTGCAGATGATGATGGTCGTGGAATACGGAGGGAAGGACGGTGGTAGAGGTAGAGCAGTGGCTAGATCCAGAAACCCATTTGTAAATGTCTCGATGCTAACGAGCGTTCGTCTTTGGAAGCTACGAGGTTGAACTGTCCCACATGGTCGGCGAAGTACGTTGACTGCTCGTCGTGCAGAGCAGTGAGCGAGCATGAACGAGCATGAACGAAGTCAAAGCGAAACAGCTGGCGATGGCAACTTGAAAGGTATGCCGCAATAACAATGGTCAATAGGAACGAATTCAGAATTTTCACTTGCGCTCCCTTATGTCACTTTGCGCTAGGTCCTATACTCAATCTTCCAGTAGCGTCTAAAACTAAAGAATGATGCGGCCTATTCTAATCATATCACACCTCACAGTAAGTCCTCTGGCGTGCCGATTGCATTGGGCAGGTCTTAATATAAATTAACATTCTTGCTACCTCCACCGCCAATTTCGAGTTAGTCTTCCTGCTCAACGTCGAGTACACTGACGCAAGTAATATCAGACGTGATCTTAGACAAGCCAGTCAGATCACTTACCCCTCTTCAGAGCTTCTCTCGGCAGGGCAATATGTCGAAAAAGAAAAAGAATTGCCAACAAAACCTCCAGGATTGAATACGTGACATCCTGAATATGTCAACTTGTACTTCTCGTACTTGTCAGCCAGAATCACCTAAGAGGGCGTTATATATTAGGTGGTATCACAAACGAGACAATTGCTTACAGCGGTCGGAAGAGGGTATAGTCGGAGTGCATGGTCGAAGTCTGGTAATACAGGTTGAATATGCGTGGTGAGCGGGGTAAGGTGGCTTTGGTCCAGTATCGACTGGACCAACTGAGCCCGAGGTCAGTGATGCTAGCGCGCGAATGCAAATTTTGTACGTACATATCGTCTCAAATCTTCACCAGTGACATTTGGCTTTATGCCAATCGTGTTCCTCAACATTCGTGCCATGGTATCCTCCCTGAATATCACAACTTCCTGACCAAAAAACTTCAAGCGGCAAGGATTGCTAGTGAAGTGAACTTTTGGAATCTTGCTGCGGAGATGAGACGTGAAGGTAGTTAGGATTGGTCTGCGAGGAAGGGCACTACTGCCCGTGATATCCAGAGGCCCTGGAACAAAGACAAAATGCGTTTCTCGAGAAATTTGAGGGTATGATGCTATCAAGTCGGCTAAAGAATCAAAATTTTCTTGGATTGAATGAGTATTGGGTACCGTCATGAATCTACCTCCACGAACCTTGGTAACGTTGGATGTCTCTGCCACCCCCCTGCGTTATTGATTTGCTCGTGAAGTTACCGCACATGACAATGACCTTTGGTATAAAGCTGTTCTCGATGCAATTGTCGAACATCTTCTGAAGTCCAACGAGGGTTTGAGGGTGGTCTAGCCATACATCTGAAAGGAAGAAAAAATATAGGTCGGCAAGCTCTTCACGAATTCGACGGGTGAACTGTGACTGCAGCATGGTTAGCCTCAATCAACACCGAGAAGTCAGGATAACTCACATCTTCGAGTAGGGAAGTTGAACCTTGCCCCAAGAAGTCGATGTGACCATATATCGACCTATTCTCGGTGAGCAAGCACGATGGCACAAATCAGAAGAGCATACCTGGCAGTTTCCCGATCCTCGCATGGAGGCTGTCCCATAGCCACAACCTCTAGTATACCATCTTCATTGTATTCACCTTCCACAAGGGCGAAGCAGCCCTCCGTATATAATCCTTCGCCTGGTTCATCCTAACGAAGTCATAAGGAAAACATCATCTCGAAGTCGCAGGGCTTTACCATTTTGGACAAATCAAGCTCGACGCTTCCGTCCGAGTCCTCCACACACAACTTCCCTTCTTTGTTGTGTGCAAGCATTCCCAGGAGTAAGAAGCGTTCGCCGGCTCTACCAAGCAGCTGCTTTGTTGATTTAAGCTGATCGACCCATGGGTCAGCGTTAATCCCACGATATCAGACTGGTGAGTACCGTGACAAGATGCTCTCGGTCCCGAGATGGAAGAGTGGAGGGTGAAAAGTGTTCATTCCGTAGGATGCTCTGCTTGATTATGTGTAGTCGGTTGCGTACGGCCGCTATTCGCGAGTCTGCACTACCCGCGACAGTGAGAGGGCTAGAAGATCTTATTTAAAATGAGATCCAAAGTTGAAAGAAAGCTATAATACGAACACACTTCTCGAATGTCCCTCTTTCCTGAGACCAATGCCATGATGGCATTTCAAATGCGTCCACAAAGTAGAGATGGCTATCTGGGTCTAGTAGTTCTTCTGCTTCCCCTGGATTACCTTGGTCCTGCAACGCGTCATAGACTCTCCGCAAGATATCTAGTGAAACTTTCATCGCAGCATCTTTTCAAGGGTTAGCATTACTAAACACGACTAATTTAACAAACGCGTCACCATCTTGTTTGTTATACTCCCTTGCAATGGTCTCAATTGAGAACTCCACATCGTTGTCCGTTATATCATGTCTTTCAAGGATCTCTTCCAGAAATTGCAGAGCATCTGGACCTAGCGAATGGCTGTATTTGCGAAAGACCTTTCGTTGCGAATGTCATCAGTTGCGAGTTTCAATTGTTATATTATGAGTTTGAACCTTGATTATTATGAGTTGTCGACCGTCAGCCATTCCTGCTCGTGTTCGACAAGAAAAAGAGGACGACGACTTCAAATTCAAGAGTGCCGACGCGACGAAAGATCAAAGACGCGTTCTGAACATCACGGGACTTGCTACTCACGCCAAATTTAAAAGACCTCTGCTGGCGCTTGCGCGGGTGTCTAGCTAGGCCTGGAGAATGTTGTTTGTCTAAAAGGCCAGATACGTTCGTGATAAAACCTGGCACTTAAGCAGAGCCGCAGATATTATGACGGAATTTTGGAAGAGGAAATCAGAAGGATGAGCTTTGTAGTCACGTGGTAGATGAGCCTCTTGCAAGTGACTCCAATTTAGGTATGCGACCGGTTTCTGCTCTCAGACTTAGGCAACGTTACTAGCGTGTCTGCGGTGAGCCTCAAATATGTTCGCGACGTTAGATCTCGACATTAGACCTGGATCTGGGATTGGGATGTTTGAGCTAGGTGTGTTCGCAAAGGGCTCTCGGAATAAGTGCGAGACTCATGTCGTACAGGTACTTCCCTTTGGGCAGTCATCGACATGTTGCGCGGACTTCAACATCTATTTCCTCAGGTCGAGGTCAAGTTTGATCCAGACAACTCAGCAACGACACCCATCATTCTCCATCTTCGTCCTCATCTGGACCTATTGTTTTCAGGATACCACCAACGCCTCCATACCATCTGCGTAAGGAAACTCAGGGAGCCCCATCCCCCGGCGGTGCTTCGCTACAAAGATACAGTCATATCGTCATCTGCAGAGCCTTTGGTTAGAGTACATGTTAGCCGTACCTTCGGTCCAACATACCCAGGAGATGAGCTAAAGTACCCTGGCATATGGTTCAGCTTCGATGACGACGGTGTCAATGAAGGATACAAAGGAGGCATCACACATCTAGAGCAAAGAACACAGGAAGTAAAGCGCATATTCGTCAGGCAAAAAAGTGTAGATGGAGAGGAGCGCGATGCTTTGGAAGATCCAGTACCATGTCCAATCATGCACGGTGACATTTCCAGCGCTGTTATCAAGGTCGTCTCTGCTTCTACGTCCTGTGTCATCAAACTAACACCTCAAACAAATCAGATACATGACGGCGTGCACTTCAAATTCTTCTCTTCTACCTTGCTTCTCCAGGTTCGTATCGGAAAAACTACAGCGCAAGACCTGACAATTGATCTCGGACCTCCTTCTCGAGTTCATCACAAGGAGGACGAACGAATGACCATTCACTCGCCCAACCAACAAGCATCTGAAGATGATGGTAGCACGGACTGTAAATTAATCTGAACTCTTCAAGAAAATTCCCGCTCAGCGTTAATGCTCTAGATTTCTATAACTACTTCCATCACGGCGTGGACTTCCTAATCTCTGGCCAGACTCATGTTGTGCGAAAGATTATCATACATTCGAATATGGTACGACACACATTGCATATTTGTGATTTTTTTTTTGGTAAATCCGTATAGCCTGGCTCCCCACTTTTTCAGCGGTATAAACGATGTCCCTGGAAGTTAGAGGGAAAACCCGAAGACGACGAAGACGGTGATTTACCTCACTTTCACTTTCATATTCGTGTTCATCTGAACATAATTCAGATTCACCTCCCTGCAAAGAATTTTATAACAAGGTTACTGATTCTCAGTTTTGCTATCCTTAATTATTTGCTGATCGAAAAGTTTAGTTCGAAGATATCAGTCACTTCCTCAGTCCCCGAGAGCCGCCCTCCATGTTACTAGACCGCACAGATGAATATGACAACATCACACTGCCTAGCTCGACAACCCGTCAGTCGTCAGTGCTTTCAAGTGTAGCTGTCAACCTAACTGTTTTCCACAGGCTTGTATGGTTACGACGGTGTAATTTTGGAGGTGAACGAAGCATCACAAGTTGTGACCGTGATGTTGTTTTAAGTTTCAATATCGACCCTGTACTAAGGTATAAGTTATCTAACTGGATTCGTGTATTTTTTTATACGCGGGGACACTGGCTACTCACATTCATTCATCTATCCATACAACATAGTACATTGAGTTGTTTCGTGCAGAAGTTTATTATATAAAGATCTCAGGCCAAACAGTCCTTAGTTCTTCCAAATCGCTGATCTCCACGATGGCATCAGGGTCACTAGTGTCGGTATCTCGAGCAAGTTTCTTCAGCTTTCCGCCATCCATAATTTCCAAGCCGACCTCGTGAAAGTGTACACAATGACCCCAGCCAAGTTCTTTAGCACTTGTGACATTGAGCCGACTGTCATCGATGAAGTAACATTTGGATGGATCTGAAATATTCGCTTGTTTCATGGCCTGCATAGGGCTGAGCCGACATCCATGGCTAAACAAGTATACACTACTCACATTGTGATAATATTCCGGTTCCGGTTTGCAAGTAAAGCCGATTTGCTGGTAATCACAGTAAACAAGGCCCTCGATCTGGTCTTCTACATCTAATATCTTGAGCACTCGTCGTGCGTGCTGAAGGGTCATTCTGCGTCAAATATACACAAGAACGCGGATCGGTGCTTACGTGCTTGTATGCATTCGTCAAAGCCCATACACGCACCTTGGTTCTGTCCAAATCTTGAAAGAGCTTTCGTAGTTTTGGGTCTGGTTTAATAAGATCATCGAGAGGAAGTGTTCCATCGCATTTACGATCAAAGTCCATGGGATCTGGAGCCGGATATCTCTTCAGTAGCTGGTGGTCGCGTCTCAGATCCTACCTATGTCGTGATGACGTGTCAGACCGCGAAGTGCAAGTCCGTACTGAGTGAAGTACGTGTGATGCATCTCGGAGGCCTTGTCATCGTCCAACCCAAGAGTGACGAAGTAGGCTGCTCTTCCCATGTCGATCATTCAGAATATTTCAAGGAATTTACTGACGAACCATGGATGCGCTGACCCATGGCTTGGGAGATCTTGGTGCTGGCAGAATATAGTGTGTTGTCAATGTCAAACCAAACGACTGGTCTATGATCTTTGGCACGAGTCAGAGTGCGTGATACAATGCAGGGAGAAAATCAACCTTCTTCAGGCATATCCGGAGACATCGTCGATGGGGGTATGAAGATTATGGTATGAATGAACCAGATTAATGATATAGAAATCGTACAGCGTCCTCTATAAAGGGCAAGACTTACGAAGAGATCCGGACTGCTACGCATTTAGAATTTGATTCTCACGCTGTGAACTCCGATACCACTCCTTGTGTACTCGTAATATTGATAGACGGACGCCTCAACAGACAGTATCCTCAAGATTGACACCTGTGAGCACGAATTTTTACATTTTTTGACCTCGGGGTGGTTTATGGAAGGTCTTTGGACATACATATCCCACTGATCATCGATATTGGTGGAGATCGGAGTTGGATGGCAATCCTGCCCTGTGGATGACTCTTGGGCAGTAACTGACTGAATTCGTTCTAGATGGCCCGTAGCAGACAACTTGCACCCGGCGTTGGGCGCTTCTCGCGCTCACAGGCTGCTTCACGCCGCGGTCTTTACAAGGGTCTCAAAAAATCCGATAAGCCCGCACCCGCAGACGCTCCCGCCTTCAAGGAAGTTACAGTGGGCGGCGACAAAAACAGCGGCACGCGTCTTGTTCCCACTTCCAAAGCACCCCGATTCTACCCTGCAGAAGATGTGCGTCAACCAAAGAAGAGCCGAAAGTCGCCAAAGCCCGCCAAACTTCGTTCCACCATTGTCCCTGGTACCGTCTTAATTTTGCTTGCCGGTCGTTTCAGAGGGAAGAGGGTGGTGTTCTTGAAGCAGCTCGATAGCGGGTTGTTGTTGGTGACGGGACCTTACAAGATCAACGGCGTACCCCTTCGACGGGTCAACCAGGCATATGTCATTGCAACATCCACCAAGGTTGATCTCGGTGACTCCAAGGTGCGTGGATGGTGTCAGAGCAAGTCTGAATTATTGTCAAACTTTGGACACGTGTCAGGTCGATGCCAAGATCAACGACGCTTACTTTGCAAAGCCTGCAACTAAGGGCTCATCCTCTGCAGAGGCTGAGTTCTTCGAGGAGGGCAAGCCGAAGGCAAAGGAGGCATTCCCAGAAGCCAAGTCCGCCGACCAGAAGGAGGTTGACAAGGCTGTCATTGCTGCCGTGCAGAAACAGGAGAACCTTGCAAAATACCTCAAGGCCACCTTCGGCCTGTCGAAGGGCCAGTTCCCTCATCAGATGGTGTTCTAGGGGTGGAGGACGCTGTTTCGAGGATCATGGAGCTGGGCCATAGGTTGACGACATCAGATATATGATATGCCATACTGCAACATTTCCATTATACTTTTCATCGCTTTCTTTATGCACGTAGGCCTTCATGAATCTGTACTATCAGCGCCCTCGGCTTGCATGAATTTCTGAGGACGCATTAATGTCAATTGTGGCTGTGTGCATTTCACTGCCACACTGGTTCTTGACTTAAGCAATTCACTTGTAAGCGCACTTGCAGCTTGGACGACCAGGACTACATCATCAACTCGAGGTTTACGCGTTAACAACGCTCTGCTAGTACATAATCGCTGACTCTTCCTCTCCTTTCCGACATTCCTTCCAACTTTTCATTCCCGGCCCCTACTCTAATACCACACTCTGTAACTAAGCGCCGCACACAGCATGTCGATAATTCGGACAGTTCTGCGGCATCGCCGTAGTACCGTTTTTGGGACGATTGGTCTCGCACTCTGGTTCTATGTGTTTGGCCCAACTACCTTGTGGTCATGGTTCACGCTTGTGTCCTCCCTCGCTGCGGTGGTCGTATTCCTGTCTATAGCGAGAGCATATATCGCTCCTTACATCGTCACGCGTTTCTCCAATCATCTACGTGTGCGGAGCATTAGTCTTCGCTCGATTCGCGGTCTATACTTTCGTCGAGGAAATCGTACGTGGCATGTCGAACGCATCGGGTATTCGTACAGTTTGTCTGGGGAGGGCAAGCCCATAGGAATACTACTCAAGATTCAGGGTCTCAGAATTGAGATTGAGCAGCTATCGCACGAGCAGCCCGCTCGGACTAAGCATAGGAGGAGAATCACTCTTGTAGACTTGTCACCTTCCCCACTGGTTCTGCACTTATGGTCTATCATGTCAGCCGTATATTGGGTGCTTGACCCGATAATCCGCCCTATAATCCGCGTTTCTGTCACGTCCATCTTGAATCAGGTGATTCACCGTATCCCGACTCTAACTCAAGCACTTCGTCTGGAACTTGAATCGGCGGTCATCGCACACACTGCTATCCCAGATGCCCAACTTGTCATCGAAGGAGCAACCTTACACGCGCATCTCACTTTCAGCCATCTTCAGGTCCCCGTTCCCCGTTCTGACCAAAACAACGGTCAAGGGGACTACAGACCGTCTGCTGCAGCATTGGCCATGGGAGCGTGGAAGTCTCGGCTTGCGATGGGTTTCAAGCGTACGTGGAGACGTGCTTGGGATAGGACACTGGGCCAAACAAAGGCCTCTTTGACGTTCGATTTGATGATCAATAAAGTTATCGGTGACACCCCTATCCATAGTGAGTGTTCATGGTTGGAATCGATGAACGATATTGATGCTCTAATTTTAGGTCATCTGGGCGGCGAACCAATCGTGTATCTGCCTGAGACAGTAAATCTCACTGGGGCTGCTCGATTCAGTCCACGAGACGGGAAGATAGAAGCGGGAAGTGTCGAAGTTACTTTGCGCGTTCCGAATGTCCATGTCTCCATCGACCGCTGGCAATCCATCCTTGCAATCATCGATAACCAGAAAACCAAGAATGCACAATCTCCTGACTCACCCTTGCTGACGTCGCCACTTTCGCCTCAAAGTCCTATGCTTTCGAGTGAAAGTAGTTCTGCAGTACGTGTCCCTGGCTGTATCACCGTTCAAAATTTTGACGCCTTACTTGAGTCCTATAATCGTCCCCACTTTACATTGCCGCCTGCTCGTTCTCGCAAGAGAAGGTCTCACATGGTGAGCAAATATAGATCTTGACGAGAGATAAAGTTTCATCGCACTGCTCAACCTAGTCATTGTCCTTCCTATCCAAGATCCAAGTGGACATATGTTCAATCAACGTCACCAAAACAGTCAAAGGAGACGTTTACAGGGCTTCAGTGCAAGATGTGTCTTGCGTTTGCGGTCCGAGCGACCCGGATAAAAACTCTTCGCACCACGCTTGGCTCGGATCTCTTCATTCACCCACGTCTTCCGTTTACTTTTTACGACTCAAAATCCGGGAAAGTGGCCTCAGTAGGCTCAATAATGTCTTCACTAGTAGCCTCCAGGTGCTTCTTCTCGGCGCCCTAGATGCGTCCTTCACGGCATCGGAATGGCCTTCGTCCTTGCAACAGATTTCATTGGGTGATCCAAATCGGCCTTTGTTGTTGATGGATCTCGCACTCGCTGAATTTGCTGTTACGGACCGCTTGGATGTGGTACATCGACTATTAAGCAGTCCACCAATCTCCTCTCCTCCCCGCGCGTCCCTCGCACTCCCTGAGACCTTGTCACATATCCCTCGAATTATCGCCAATATTGACGTTGGCCGTCTTTCTGCACGTCTGGTCTGTGTTGATGTAAAGGGCTCTCACACGCCGTTTACCCTAGTCTTGGAGTCCAAAGGTCTCAATGCCCATTGCACATCGACGTTCCGTACGAAGCCTTCCATCACATTCAATTCCTCTCATCCCTACTCTGATCAGACTGGATTGCACATGATCCTGCAGTGGGACTTTCATATGGAGCCTGTCTTTTTGAACCTAAACACAGCTTCTATTTCGCGAAGAACCTCAAGACGGTTCTCCACACAGAATCCGAACTCAGAAGGCTTTGACAGCTTGCTCTCCCTCGAAGCAATTGAGGCCAAGGGAACATTGGCTGCTGTCGGGGAATTTATTGATGATGGACAGACCGCGTTCAATTTGCTGCGCACCAAATCTCTTTTCCTCGACCTACACTGTTACACAGAAGGGATCATATTGGAATTGTGGCACCCGCAGTATGTGGCTGCTGTCATTGCCGTTATTCCCTTACTCCTGACGAAGGAGAGCACGTCTGCGCCTTCTGATAAACCTCTCACTCTGCCTCTAGGTTTTACCGTGTCTCTGTCTGTCGCTCGGCTGGTCCTTTTCGTCACAGGTCAAGATATCAATCCCAACGCCGAAAACGATGTCACATGTGGTGTTGCATTTAACACCGGCATAGCGATGCGGTACTGTTCCATGCATCCAGAGCAAGCGAATTCTGTGGAGCATGGGAGGACACGGACACGTACGCAGAACAGACATAAGCTCCATCTTCCTACAGACTACCTTGCAGACGCATTGGTCTCCGCAAGGGCTTCTACGACGTCCACTGAAAGTACTGCTTATGGGAAAATGGTCCTGTGGAATACGTTTCTGCGCTCAGCTGCTGCTGACACATATTCGATGGACGACCCGTATATCTTTGAGAAAGACGATCCTGCATTCGCGGGCAAAAATTTCGTATACATACACAGAACGGAGGTCGACGTCACTTCCCGAGGGACCAGGTCACAAAGTTTGGGAACTTTGCAGTGCAGTACGAATACTATATCTGCGGCCATTGACGAAGTCCGAATTTCCTTTGACTTGGGGCATGTCACCGCCTCCCTTCTTGCACTTCAAGTATTGCGGAACATAATGCCTAATCCACAACCTGCAAAAGCGTCGGGTGGCTCACATGTCCTGGGCTTGAGCTTCCGGGGGATGGTCAAGGCTCTGCAGATCCAGTGGAATTTGCCAGGTCAGCAGCCTGTCACGCGGATCAACTACCTGGAGGCGACTGTTAGCCCTGAGAATGTCGAGTGCTGCTTTAATTCACTCGTGTTCTGGGTTCCGATGCCTGCAAAGCCGCATCGGTGGAGGGAGGCAGAGGAAGATAGATGGGAGGAGCTTGGGCGCTTGCATAGATGGACAATTACTTGTGGAGGTAATCCTAGCGACGCTATCCTCATTGAAGGGGACAGTGTCCGCTTCGCAGTTCCTTCAGGATATATACTCGCGGACTTGCTCCTTGACATTACCATGTCAATCAAGGCTTCGCGCCACATACATCGTATGGTCACCACAGGCACATACTTTCCTTTCCCTCCTCCAGAGGCCGAGGGTCCGAAGGTTGTGCCGAACATCTCGGTGTCTATCCGTGCCATATGCTTGGAGGCAGCAGATGACCCTTTCGAATCTCAACTTGGGTTGCTTTGCAGAACTGGCCTCGACGCTGCCAAAGAGCGCATTCAGCGGGAAGACGCGTTTGACGCAAAAGTTTCTGCGATATTGGCTGCAGAAGGAGCTGATGCTCCGCCGTCACATAACACTGCATTCAGCTCAGACTACCAATTTGACGCGGGTCATTCCATTTCAGTTCATGAGGCCCGGGAAAGACTACATATGGTCCATTCTCTCGATTGGCTTTTGCGACACAGACAACGAAGGCAAAAAAGGGCAGACAAAGAAGATAACTTCCACCGAAATTTCCGAGGGCCAAATCCATTGAAACGCCCAACCAATGTCCCTAATCTCGTGAACGTCTCTAGTAGCCGACGTACGCCACCCCTATTCCGCGCAGTCATCTATGGATTTCAGCTACAGCTCTCTCAGCCATCATTTCCACCGGAGCGACTACCTGACTTCTTGCATGTTCAAGGCCGAGGCGTCCCCAAGGACACTTCTTACACGCTCCTTGTTCCAGTGCATCTCGACGTCTCGTTGACATCTCTTCGAGTCACGCTTCGAGACTATCCGTTGCCACTCCTGCATATCCCGTTTCATTCTGAAGGCAAAGACCTTCCTGTTCTGAAGTTCATTTCTGACTTGGTCATCGCCGAGGACATGGGATCATCGCAATCTGTCGAGTGGATACCCTGTATGATCGGCGGGGCTCACGGTGGCTTTGTTCCGGGTAGCCCGCTCGTAATTGAAGTTCCAAAAACCATCATGCCCGTCAAGACATACGCTAATCCCACTGTCCAAGTTATGACTGATGGCATAACAGCCTTTGGTTGGGGCGTGAGCTACAGTGCAACGACTCAAGATATTGTTCGGGTCTTGGAGAGCTTAACATCAGAAACGCGTGATCCGTCTCCCAGTATTGGATTCTGGGACAAGGCACGTCCCATATGTATCCTCACTGCTGTTCATAAAATCTTATTACGTTTTTAGCTGAGGCTCATCTTCCACTGGACCATAGAAGTTTCATTCACCAATGAGGCCAGGCTTTACATGAAAGGTGCGGCTTGAGGTGCTGTCATCTATCAAATATTTTAAATTATGTCACTGCGCTAGGTACACGCGATCCATACACCCTTCACGATGAAGGTGCTGGTTTTGCACTCTGCTGGAAAGGAAATCCAAAATTACTTGTTGGATTTCCGAACGACGTCAACGAACTTATCCAGGTATCAAGTGATACTATGTCTATCATCATTCCAAAGTAACTTCGTTTCAATTCACACTGACGAGAGAGAACTGATAACCAAGAGTAGATTCGATTGCGAGTCGGATACCGCTCAAAACAAGCCAGACGCCAGTGAAGCTCATAACACCGCGCCTGGTTGCGTTAAGACCTGTGCGAAACTTGGCTCCGGTGTACGTTTCGGAGTTGGTGTCATCCTGGAACGGTCTTGCAGCAGCGAAGATTGTACATCTTGCGCCGGTTCCTCCTTCGATCGTCATTGCCGCTTTTTCACCTTCCGGCCTCATCATGATGTGCAACTTGCGACTACGAAAACTGACATACTACATCCACAGGTTAGGTGGTTCGTATGATTAATTCTCCCCCGCTGATAGTTCCTTCAGAGACTTCACGACTCCTATAGGGGCTTCCGCTCTGACTTCATTCACCTCTCTGTGTCTTTAACGTCGTCTCTGCATTCGCATACCTGCGCCGATCCATCTAGCCCAAGCAGTTTCCATTTGACACCACACGCATTTGCTCATTTCTGGTCCTGGTGGGCACTCTTCGACAGCAATCTGTCATTGCCAGTCAGACAGGGCTCGTATTATCCCTCCAAAGCAGGATCTCCCAAGTTTTCTCGTCACCTTGCAACCGTGAAGTACCGGTTATCGGCACCTCGCCTGTTCATATCTCATGTTTACATTGATGACACGAGAGACTCCTGGGTTTCTGGGACCACCTCCTTTGTGGGCACTAAGGCTAACGTCGGCCATTTCCAAGCAGATATGCACCAAAGGGACCAAGAATCCATCGCTCCAGGCGACAGTCAGGACAGCATCAAGGTTGTGCGACATAAGCCCTTCTATGCGGCGGAGGTGGTCATGAAAGACATAGATCTCCGCGCCATGCTGGCCACCTTTTCTGAGCCCTTGAAACAAGCCATTCCTCTATCGTTCGAAGGCGATAGGGACGCCAATAACTCCACAAGGCCGCTACCAACATCCGTTCCCTCCGATTGGATCGATGCCGACGACTTTGTGGAAACGGATTGGTCTTCCAAACATGAACCAGATATACAGCTCCTTCCATTGTTACTTTGTTCCAGATTGACTTATTTCAAGAAAAATGTCACTTCTGGACCTATGGAAGGCAGCAAATTTGGTGTAGAGGATACGCACACGTGTCTTCTTGGAAGCGAGGCGTGTAAGCTATTTGGATTGCTTCTTTCTCTAACCTCTTGGGCCTGATAAACCGAATGTAGCTGTTCCACAGATCGAAGTCGACCTTGCCAACGAACGAATCGCGCAACTCGGGGTCCTTGCCGCACAAAGTGCTCATGCCAACGAAGGGGTACTTGCAAATTTCCATTTGTGAAGCAATAATGTACTCAGTGAAACACTAGACCTCAAATTCTCTGCACAGAATGATGGCTTTGTTACAGGACTATGCGAATCATTTACGAATGACCGAAAATCCTCACACGGCTTCTCGAAGCAGCAATATTGAAAACTACTATATGCCTTCTGAGACTGTCGAGGCTGATGAATGGGCAGAGTTTGAGAACGTTTACCAAGTTCATGCCCCTAAGGTTTTCATGAATGATTCTATCCGTGATGTCCGGCGTTCTTGGTATACTCCTCTGATTTTGTTACTCATGACAATTTACAGATCATGTTGCAGTACTATAATTGTTCAAAGTCGCGACAGGGATTTGAGTATCACATGGCAACTCGGTTCGTGAATCATTGTCATACACTCTTGATTTCCCCTTGATCGGATTGGGACCTCTAGTGCTGTCAAGTTCATCAGGGACCAGGCTGATGCTGCCTTGTCAACTGGGCCTCCGACCAATCCTGAAAAGTCAAAGGGTCCTGTGAATACGACTCAGACTGCTGCAACTGTTCTTAAAAGAATCTTGAACAGGGATCGCAATGGTGTCTCGATTGAGGTTGCGGATGATGTCGCGGATGAAGATGGTGTCGTCAACCCTCTCGTCGGCTGGGATGAAGGAGTGGCATTGCAAAAACGTCATTTCTGCCTCCTTTTGAAGCCTCAGATCGTTTTGCGCAGTGAAGGAAGTCCTGATTCCGTTTCCGTTTTGGCTGCTGTTCAGGCTAAACTGCAAGCATTCACAATCATGGATAAGTCTAACCTAGAGGATCCGATCAGCGGTACCATCATGACTAGGTAATGTTCGAACTTTGGGCTGATTATATCAGGAGCCTCACACCATATATATAACAGGAGTTACATGTCTTTGGACGGTCTCCAGACATTCTGTCCCGTAGACTTGGCGTCCTGTGGCGACGGATGTGTACCCCTGGAGGTTCTTATCGACTACCGTTGTGAAAGTGACGCCTTCGACAGAATAGTCCCCCAGACGAATGCGACGTGCCAGTATGATCGGTTCAATCGCCTTCGTCTACGTAATAATGTAACATCAGTCACTCGGTCTGTGCCGGACAATGAGCACCGTCGAGGCAAATATGCTCATTTACAGAACGAGACAGTGAGACTGGCGCGTATACCCTTTTCTGCATATTATTGACACACCGGCAGGATCTGGTCCAAGTCCGTGTCCCTCGGTTCACTGTTTCTGCCAGTGACCGTCACTTCCAATCGATATCCAACATAATCACAAACCTCATACTTTTCTCTGATGCCGCTCACAAAACTCGGTTGGACAGGCTTGAGGCTTTGCTCTTTGCGTACGACTTTACAGACTTCACATCCGCGGCAAATGTTGTCTCAGATCTACAAAGTCGCCTTCGAAACGCTCTTGAGACGCGGAGGGATGCTGAAAACCATGCGCTATCGGCCGCCTCGGGGACCAAGCTGGAAATCCTCAAGCTCGGGGCCCACATCTTCCTTCTGACTGAGGAACTTAATCTGATCTTTGACGCCATCAAGTTAGCCCAGGACCGAGCCGATGAGCGCTCAGACCAGAAGTCAGCGCTTCTGCTTTTGGCTTCTTCTTCCGAAATTTCGTGGCAAATGCTGGATGAACACCAAGAACTTCTTGCAAAGCTCGTAGTCCGCGACATTGATTTCTCTTGGCTCAGCAAACAAGATAGTGCGACGGCGACTAATCTCGTGATGGGAGACCTTCAGGCATTTGACGGCTCTCCTCAGGCTCCTTGGCCCGAAATTGTGTCCAAATTTGAGGACCCATCCAATCACCCCATGTCCAAGGTGCGCCCTCTGACCTCGATGACTTCTCTCTTTGACATATGACATATCGTATTTCAGAGAGGAGTCTTTCTTGATGCTGATTGGGCAGTGCTTGCCCCTGTAGGGGGGATTTCTATCTATGAAAAATTCCAGCTTGATTTCCATCCAATCAGACTTCAGCTAGACGCCAGTCTCGGTCAGCGAATAATGGAATATGTCTGGCCGGCGAGGAGAAGTAGGAATAGAGGCACCGACACTGCACCTCCGTTCGATACGCACCACCCCAAACCCCGAGCGTCATTGGATTCTTCAACACTCCTAAACCAGCCACGCTCATCTTTGGATTCCACCAGTCTCACTCCTCCTTTACGGAAGTTGGGCCCCTCAAGATCGTTCACAGATTTGCGAAGTGCAGCGGCAGATTCCATGATCACGCCATATCCTGCTACACAATCTAATCAACGTTCGTTTACGGCAAGCCCTGATACGCTGGATGAATCTCGTCGACATAGACACGCGATCATGCGACAGGGATCGTTAGACCATAAGACCGACTTCGACGAGATGAAAACGCGCTCCTCACAAAAGAACTTCGTGCTTGTTAAGATTTCCAGGTTAGTTCGCAAACGGTTGCGCCCGAGGATACTCATGACGATCTCTCAGTTTGGAGTTGTTGCTCAGCATCATGAAGGCTTCATCTTTTGAATGTCGTGATGCGCGCATTCGAACACACGCGTTGGAGATTAGAAATCAGACCTGGAGTGTACGTTTCATGATCTATGTGCTCGATATTGTTCACTAAGTTCAACGCTATAGTTCGAAGAGTTGGTTGATCAGTTTATCCCATCTGATCTCACATGGAAAGGATGGGTCAAGATAGCTTTGCATCAACCATTGGTCCCGGTCTTCCCTGTGGCCCGAGAATTATTCTCGAAGACGAAGCTAACAGCTTCCAAAAGTGTCTCGCAGCTAGATCCTCGACCCCCTCGGAAGATACTGAAGCTAAAACCAAAGCGAACAGACACCAACTCGACAGTTGTACCAGCTAGACAGAGGAGGTCATCCTCAAGCGGCACCAATCCCAGGTTTATTGGAATGTCTCTCACGGACGAGCCTACCGTCATGGATGAATCGACACCCTCCCCTACTGTGCCAGATAATAATCGCCCGTCAAGCCGGGCTCGGCTGCTTAGTGTTTTCAGTCGCAGCAGAAAGAGCCTAGAAAATACACTCGACGTAAGTGATTCTGATTGACATGTTACAAGCAATTGAATTCTCTATATAGTCCGGACACCAGTCTGTGGATAATTGTGATCCTGACTCTGCAGTGACCAAGGAAGGTTTCTAATGGATACTCACAAGGATTTCTCATTGTTTTCTCTTAATTTGTTTCGCCTACTTATTAATATTATATCTGCTATCATCTTCCTTGCAATGAATGTGTCAGGGCCAGGCCGGGTGCAGCCGTGACGCAAGGTTTCAAATATTAATGTCAGGCGATAAGGAAGCGTGTTACTATAAATATTAATACAGGCTCCTCCTGCTCCGTTGTGATGGCTCAAGGCTCCAAACCTGCAGATCGGGCTTCAAGTTACTCCATATAAGTTCTACTCTTCAAGAAAGAGACGTACAAACGTTCCATGCCTTCCGTCAGGATAAGGAAGACTCCATCTACTTATGTTCTCCTCCCCGCTAGATTCGACAATGGTACTGAGGCGTCATCGCCGCCGGTCACGGTACGCGGACAGCGCAGTATGGGTAGCATTCCCAGACCTACCAATGCTCACGACGCGCAAATAAATGCTGCTTCGGGGAACACACAACGATTGAGGAGCCACACGACAACCGGCGCGTCCGAGTCCGTCTCCCGCCCCCCCATTCACCGTAACAGGTCCGAGTCTAGAAGTAAGGTCGTTGAGCACGTTCTATCCTCTCGCAGGCCATCTGTATCACCTCCGCCATTTTCACGCCACAATCCTCCTGCTGTAGACGGCCATGGAACTATCAGGAATAGGTTGCAGGTTTCTCAGACCGACATTTCGACCCACAGCCAACCCTCCGTCAGGACACCCGGTATTGTAGAAAGCGCAATCGAACTTCAGCAAAACCAGCAACTCAATGAACGTATTGACCATCACCATGATGATATAGTGGATCATTTGGATGTAATCGGTATCACTGCATTTCTTTTAGTGTTATGTTACACTATTCTTATGCCTCCAGATCTCCAGGTCGCTACTGTATCCAGTCTGACCAATGCCGCTAATTCTATCCTGATGCGAGTGTTCTTCTTATTCAAATGGATCAATCAAGTTTGACGATTATATCAGCCCTCAAACGAGCTTCTACTCTCGAAAACCAGTCATTGCGTTGTTTTATCCAGGTGGACGACAAGGGTGGGATGCGGAATCCGTTGGGCATGCTCAATTTGAATTCGATGGAATGGACGAATCATTAGACAGACATATTGAAGACGTCCTGACCGGTCGTGCCAAGGTCAAACGTACACTGCAGGGTGTTTGGTCGTTCTTGAAAACTCGTCAGTGCAACTTAAATCATTTACATTTCAATGATTGCTCACGCCCTTCGCAGCAATGGGTGTAAGTTCGTGATATAGCAGTAAGATGTATTTGTGGCTTACGAAGTGATTGAAGATCATAACAGGCATTTACGGATTTCTTGTCGGTACGGAGATCTAACATGTTCTATTCTTGGGTGCTGACCATTCACAGTGTTCTGGGGAGCTGCGCTGGTGTTATTTTTGCTGAAGTGGATCAATCTGCACAATGCAAACACCCAGGGTTTTTGGGTTGAAGTATGCTCTCAGGTCGTGTGTGGTCTGTCTTTGTGAATTTCCCCTAAACTTCCATAATAATGTCTACCAGGTTTATTCACCGTCACCGGTATTGGCCTGATCCCTTTTCGTGCTCTCGATACCTATAGTGGGTACCTGTGATATTTGGTCTCATCGCAATAATCAACTTTTTAAGCAGGAATCTGTAAAATTTGGCACTACAAGCGGAAAACAACCAAGCTACGAGATAGAGCTGGTCTCCCTCAGCTCTACGACGTCGATGATTTGCCCGATCCTGTCTATGACCCTACATTTATCCATGTTCTCACTGAACGGGAGCAACAAGATTTACATCATCGTACGTGCCTAAGCTTGTGGTGGCTCATGATAGGTGTTGCTCACCTCTTTAACGTAGAACAGGTCAAGTTTCGCGAGAGTCAGACGTGGTACCGCCCACACGGTACTGTAGCCCACAGAGTAAGTCCTCTCATCTATTCCATGCCAATGCATGATTGACACTGTTGCAAAGGCATTTCCAATCAAGTGCGTCCTTCCGACTCGGGTTGTATCTCTGCTCACATCCACAATACCTATTACAGCACGGCACTTTGGATATGTCTCTTTATCGATGGAAATTCGGCCTTTCAGGTAAATGTCGTAAAAAGCGAAGCTACACCCTATTTATTGGCGTTCAGGTCATGCTGTCGAGTTGCATGTGGTCTATGAACCGGTTAGTTCTTATTTGAGGCTAAATTTTTACCGAGCTAACTTTCTCTCCGGGACAGATTTGAACGACCGGCGTGGACCACAGGTTCACTCATTCCCGCGTCATTTTTATGCGGGATAATTTCGGCAATATTGATTTGGCGAGGTGGTCAACTCACCAGACGCACAGAGAAGATCGAAAACACCCTGAGAACGGCGCTTGCGATAGAAAAGTACGAGGAGGATGGTCTTTTGCACGTGCCATCCAAAAATGTTTCGGCGAATTCTCCCCTCAGGCAGACCATTATTGCTGGTCCGAATGGCTTGAACGCGTCTTCGGGGAAGCATGATGATAACGGTGAGATCACTGCTCCCCCAGCAGCGTCGCCTGCTATTGTGGAAGACATGACTATACCCATGATGAAATAGACAACACTTCAAGGGCTCACTACTATATCGTAAGGGCGCGGGCGCCAGTCCCCGACTCTCCTTCGTTGTCGATTTTGTCCCGAGAATCTCCGTGGCTCTCTGAAACCCTCCCCTTGTTTGTATTTTCTCTCATTATTGAATACAGATAACGACTCATCATACGTACCCTTTCTGAAATTCTTGTCTGCCTTTTTTTTGTCCCGAAAACACGAGAACTCAGAGTGAATATAGGGAACAAAATCCACAATACAGCGGAAAAAATCCAAATCGCACTGCTTTTGCATAAGGCCTTTTCAACTGACCTAACACCTCCTAACACCAAAGGACGACAATCGGGATGGAATTTTGTCAGTAGCTCACGGAGACGCGAAATTGAAAGGCGACTGAGTCTGAAAATCAACAGATCAGATGCTGCGGAACGCAGGAAACCCACCACGGATACAAAGGATCAGCAACTATCAGAACAGGCAGTCTCAGACCATCGAGCCTATCAAGAAATCTGTTGTTTAGAATCAAACGAGGAGGAGTAGACAAGTCCCCCTCGTCACATAAAGAAGAAAGTGAAACGATGTGCCTGCAAAGGATCAGCAACTATCAGAACAGAGTCTGATCAGACTATCGGAGCACGAACCACACTCTCTCTACAAAGAGCCTATCAAGAAATTTGTTGATTAGAATCAAACGAGGAGGAGTAGACAAGTCCTGCTCGTCACATAAAGAAGAAAGTGAAACGAGCAACTCATCAGGTTGGCAGAGCTCGAATTCGGCCCACGCGAGAAAGGAAGAATGTTTATTTCGACCTTTTTCTCCTGCCGACGGAAATATATTCAGACGCGACAAATACTCTCGAATCTCATTACGAGAAAGAGGCTGCAAAGCACGCTGTAAGTGAAAATGGTCACAGTCTAACTGCAACGAAGGAAGCTGGACAAAGACGAGAATACGCAACAAGTAAGCGGCAGTGTAACACAGTTTCAATCCACCAATCTGAGATGCTCCACCCAATCTAAGATCACGATGTCTTTCAAGACATGCCGATTCCGCAAACCAACCAAAATGGCATTTCCCAGTCCGACATCCGAAAAAGACACACGGACTGTACGAGTTTAATAGAACGAACGACCGATCATGACCGTAAAATCCCTCCTCTGGAGAGTCGGGGACCTTATACCTGCACTCGTGTTCGGGCGTATCTTATGCATATCATAGGCCATCTATGAGACGTTGGATATTCAATGCTAATGTCATTTATTCCATGGAATGCGATACAGTACATTAAGGATTGTTGAAATCCGACTACTACGGTCATAAGACGCGCGAAGCTCCTACCTCACTCCTGAGGCACTTTGCGGGCCCACAAAACAGCAACTATCAGTTGCCCTATCCCTGTGCATGGCAAAATAGCCAAATATGGTTTTATGTTTTTGCGACAACTACCCGAGGTCAAGTGTAGGCCTGTTCCACGACAGAAGGGCCATGATAAGTTAACCACTTTGTGGGCGCTGTTGAAGCGCAATGGGTGGAGATTTAGGCGTTAGCTCTGGCCCAGCGTGCGGCGGCAACCAAGTTGGCCAAGGAAGCTTCGGTTTCCTTCCAGCCACGGGTCTTCAGACCACAGTCCTGTATAAAAAGCATGAGCGGCGAGTTTCAAATGAACACCGACATTCCACTTACAGGGTTGATGAACATGAGGTGGTCGGGGATGATGGCCAGGGTGGTCTTGAGACGCTCAATGATCTCCTGCTCACTGGGGATACGAGGCGAGTGAATGTCGTAGACACCAGGACCGATCTGGTTAGAGTAACCGTATTGCTTGAAGGTGTGTAGAAGCTTCATGTCACTCTTCGAGAACTCGATGGAGATGACATCGGCATCCAGACGCTGGATGGAGGGGAAGATGTCACCGAAGTCGGAGTAGCAGAAGTGAGAGTGGGTCTGTGTAGCATCAGTCACACCAGCGGTGGAGAGCTTGAAGGTGTCCACAGCCCATTCCAAGTACTCGTCCCAGTCAGAACGACGGAGAGGAAGCTAAGGAGTCTTGATTAGCAGCAATTTAATCCAAATACATAAGGACACCTACACCCTCACGAATAGCAGGCTCGTCAACCTGGATGGCACTGATCCCAGCCTTTTCGAGATCAATGACCTCATCACGGAGTGCAAGAGCGAGCTGCTGCGACTGCAGCTTACGCGAAACATCATCACGAGGGAAGGACCAGTTCAGGATGGTGACAGGTCCAGAAAGCATACCCTTCATGGGCTTGGTGGCGACGCTTTGTGCGTAACTGCTCCACTTGACGGTCATTGGGCCGGGACGGCTAACGTCGGACACGATGATGGGGGGACGGACATAACTGTTGGTAAAACAATTGAGGCTCGATTGTTCGAGTTTCCTTGTAATATGATACTCACCGAGATCCGTAGCTCTGCACCCAGGCGTTTTGAGTGAAGACGAAGCCGTTAAGCTGTTCACCGAAGTATTGAACCATGTCGTTACGCTCAGGCTCGCCGTGGACGAGGAGGTCAAGGCCGACTTTCTCCTGGAACTTGACGACCATCTCGATCTCCTTCTTGATGAACTCATCGTACTCAGCCTCACTGATCTCACCCTTGCCGAGCTTGGCACGGGCAGTACGGATCTCTTTGGTCTGAGGGAAGGAACCGATGGTGGTGGTGGGGAACTTGGGCAGGTTGAGGTGCTTGGCCTGGACCTCCTTGCGGGTAGCGAACGGACTCTTGCGGTTGTACATGTCAGGAGTGATGGCAGCAACACGCTTGCGAACAGCGTCGTCCGAAGTGGACTCGAACTGGCGACGCTTGGCAATGGAGACCTTGTTGGCCTCAAGGGCAGAAGAAACCTTGGGGTCTTGCGAGCCAGAGAGAACAGCTGCGATAGCAGCAACTTCGGACGCCTTCTCGAGGGCGAACGAGAACCAGTCCCTTTGTTGCTCGGTAAGCTTCTTCTCAGAAGCAAGAGTGACAGGGGTGTGCAGGAGAGATGAAGAGGTGGCAACAATGACACGGTCAGCACCGAGAGCAGCAATGGCAGTCTGTGCATGCTTGATAGCAGCAGCAAAGTCTGCTTTCCAGATGTTACGTCCAGAAACAACACCAAGAGAAAGCACGATAGGTGTGGACTTGATGGCAGCAAGAACCTCGCCGAGCTGCTGGGGTGCACGTACGAGATCAATGTGGAGACCAGCAACAGGAAGCTTAGCAATGAAGCTGATGTTGGAGTCCAGGCGGTTGAAGTAGGTGGTAAGCATGATCTTGGGAGCGACAGGGGCAAGCTCAGCATAGGCAGACGCATACTGCTTGTCAAGGTCGGCACCCTTGTCGAGAACAAGGATGGGCTCATCGACCTGGACGGATTCGACGCCAGCAGCCTTCAGCTCAGACAGGAGCTGCTTGTAAACAGGCAGGATCTTGGGGAGCAACGAGATAGGCTGGAAGGTAGCAGAGGCTTCCTTAGCGGCCTTGCCAAGGACAAGGTAAGAGACGGGGCCGAGAATGACCGGGCGAGTGACCACGCCGAGTGCCTTGGCCTCCTTGAACTCAGCAAGGGCCTTGTTGTATAGGAGCTTGAAGTCGGTCTCCTCTGACAATTCTGGGACGACGAAGTGATAGTTGGAGTCAAACCTGAAACATCAGGTTAACAAGACCATTTAGGGACAGTATATATCTGAAACACGTACCATTTCTTCATTTCACAAGCGGGGACATCGACGTTCCCTGCCTGACGACCACGGCCCATAGCGAAGAATACATCTAGGGCAGAGAGCCCAAGACCCTGGTAACGCTTAGGGATGGCGTTGAATGCCGCAGAGTGGTCAAGGACGTGGTCATAGAGGGAGAACTCTCCGCTATGAATAGATCAGAACAATAAACTTTTATCTCAAAAGAGAGATCTAACCTGGGGATCAAGTCGACACCACGTTCCTTGAGGCTAGTCCAACTGGACTTCTTGACGTCGGCAGCAGCCTTGGTCAAGTCCTCCGCAGAGATCTTGCCAGCCCAGTAGGCTTCAACAGCCTTTTTCACTTCACGGTTTGCACCTGTCAATCGGGATCAGTCTGGGTTGTCAGATATGACCAATATGAAGTGTACCGATACGAGGGAAACCCAGAACGCTTGACGAGACCATTCTGAAAGAGATATGGAGGTTGGAGGAAAGGAATGAAGAGATTATCGATCGAGTTGCGTGATTTTGAGTTATCTGAATTCTGAGTTTGCGCCTGCCCTCAATCGATCAAAAGATCTAATCAATTGCCACGACACCTGCCAGCCTATCTGCCAGCATTTACAACATCTCGCATTCTTAACCAACCACTCCCATGAACATGGGATTTGAATCGCATTAATCCCCTTCCTTCGCACACGCCTAAATTCTCTCCCATTCTATCAAGGGCCTCGGACCGTTTGGACAAGTACCTAGCTAATCATAGTTCTGCACGGCGGTGCACGTTAGCTTATCATGGTTTCTTGGATCAACTTGATTACAAGTCAGATTTAGACTACCGTACGCTAGGGTATGACTACTGTAGTATCTACGCATGACCACCAATCAGAAGATCTTAAACCGTGAAACTACATTGCGGAATGAGAACCGACGGGGCTGCTTTGGCCTCATTTTGCCAGCCATGCAAGCCATCATTGGTTCATCAAGCGTCTGCCCCTCGGACAAGTCTGCCACCTCAATAGCAGGCTCATGGGCATGTGTTTCCGGAGTAATGGGTCCCTCGCTCTCTACCCCTGAAGAAACAGAACGCATGGAACTGCCCGATAGGCTATCCTGTGACTCGTAAAGTCGATAGTCTTGCGACTCAAAGGTTTGAATAACGAGTAGTGAGGGTGTCCTGTTAATGCTCGCGGGCGGTAGGTCGCTGGGTCGTCGAGGTGCAGGCGCGGAGCCGCGGTAAGCCCACTTAGGATATGGGGGACCGCCGTCGGAGTGGAAGTTGGATGTCGTTGATGAGCAGTTGACAAGAGTCGTGTCAGCCGCGACTTGATTGAACACCAAATCAGTCAACGGTGCGGCGCGTCTATAGTAGTCGTCGTGAGCAGCTTCTCGTGCGTTCTCCGATGCGTCGTGGAGCTCGGCGTCGCTCATGTAGAAGGTATCAAGTTTGAGGATCTCTTCTCTGAGCTCAGGAAGGCTGATTCGCGAGAATGGCTGGAGGCGAAAGATGCGCTTGAGGATTTCGTTGAAGGATTTCGAGATGGGAAGGATCTCGCGAAGGAAGTCCACGTTGTAGAGATATCCGAGGAAGCACTCGTCCGAGGGTGTCGCGAATCGCCAAGGATTGCGACCTGAGACCATGTTCACAAGAATAACTCCCAACGACCAGATGTCCGTGTGAAGCGGTGAGTAGTGAGGGTACTTCATCTCACGGCTAATACATTCTGGAATGTGATTTATCAGATAATGCGACCATGCAAGTGTCGGAACATACCAGGACTCATGTAATATGAACTGCCCACGCCGAATTCCTGACTGAGACGACTTTTGGTCGCTAGCCCGAAATCCGCGATACGGATATCCAACCCGCCCTGAAGACACATGATGTTCTCTGGTTTCAGGTCACGGTGGTACACACCCAACTGATGACAGGCGTGTACGCCATCGAGAAGCTCGACGAATGCCCTCTTGATGAGCGGAACATTGTTCTGGTAGATACGGTTCTCGATGATGGCGGTATAGAGGTCCCCACCAGCGCAGTAGTCGAGCACGAAGTAGATGTACAGTTCTTCCTCGATGATCTCATGGAGAGTGCAGATATGTGGCGACGAACTGGATACTAAGGAGTGCAACGCGATCTCACGTCTCTGGCATACTAGACGCTCGGGAGAGAGTTCTGTCTTTGGCAAGCACTTGATCGCATAGTATACAGGTTCGGATGGGTCGGATTGAGCATCGAGAGCGCGATAGACGTTTCCGTAGGAGCCGGAACCAATCATGTCGACGAGCTCGAAGCGACCGTTGCCGACGATCTGACCTGAGAAGTTTGGGAGGGCTTCGCTATAATTCATGGTTGCTTAGTATGTTGAATGTAACGAAGTGGTTCCAAACGAGATGAGAATCTGAAGTCGATTGTTGAACTTGCTGGGTGTCAGTACTTCTTTGTTGATGAGTCGACGTTGATGCTGGGTTAGTTTCAAGGGATACGAAGGGAACGTACATGACTTTATACTCTCTGTTGTCTCACTTGCAACTTTGGTGACGACTGTAAGACGTTAGCCATGAATTACCCAAAAAGGTATCCGGCTATGACGTGGTCCATGACATACCCGATTAGTCCAAATCCAAATGTTGCACAGTGCAGGGCCATTTGCGCTGGACACAGTGGACAGTGCTGATGGTAGGTGCACCAGTGAGCCCTCAAGCTTGCAAGTAGTAGACCGTCGGACACTGAACGTTTAACGTTGGGCCCTCCCCAGATCACGAGTTATTAGAATCAACGACTGTCTTCCTTCATTTATAAAGGTCTGGCTAGTGGAGACTGGTCACGAGTCTAGTACGGCCCAGAAACCTGCGGTCCGGATCACTCCAGCGACTCGTTCTTAAGGTGTGTCTGCAGACCAATTATCTTCCCCAGCCCCCCTTGATCTCCACTTTGTTCTGCTTATCATGTCTGACAACCCATCGTTCGTCCTCAAGGGCATTCTGGATGTTGAGATCCAGCAAAAGCCAATTCCAGAGAGTGAGCCTATCCTTGGATAGTTCCTTCACGCTCTCTTAATTGACCTATCTTGTGAAGTTGATGCCAATGAAGTCCTTGTGGAAGTCAAGAAGACCGGTGCGTTCACAGAGTCTCTTCGTCCTTTATTATTCTTCCAACGCTCATCCGCTGCGACAACAAGGAATTTGCGGCTCTGATGTACGCCCCTATCTATCTTTCTGAACCAGGATACCGAGCTATTTCTTCCAGGTGCACTTTCTTGTCCATGGAAGGATTGGAGATTTTGTTGTAGAGAAGCCTATGGTGGGTCAGTTTCGATAGGACTCACGACCAAGCCTCATTGTGGGTTATTAGGTGCTGGGTCACGAGGCAGCAGGCGTGGTCTCCAAAGGTACGTCTATAACTTACCTTCCACTTAGAGTAATAGTTTATATCAATCCTCGTCTATAGTTGGTTCCAGCGTGACCAATGTCAAAGTGGGTGACCGTGTGGCTATGGAACCTGGCGCAACATGCCGCCAGTGCGAAGCTTGCAAGGAGGGTCGCTATCAGGTAAGGATGGTCTTGCGCCCCAATTTTGTTCCCTGACACTCGAGCAGCTTTGCCCCGATGTCATATTTGCTGCTACTCCTCCCACAGACGGCACTCTCGCTCGTTACTACCGCCTACCGTCTGATCTCGCTTACCCACTTCCACCAAACCTCAGCCTCGAGGATGGAGCGATGGTAAGCCTTTGACCACACCAAATCTTACTGTCATTCGACTCTATTCTAGATGGAACCTCTTTCCGTGGCAGTCCATGCTGTCTCAAAGCTAGGTGCTTTGCGGTCAAACCAGTCCGTCGCTGTCTTCGGTTGTGGACCAGTTGGACTTCTATGTATGGCCGTCGCGAAAGCTCTTGGCGCTTCCCGTGTCATCGCTGTTGACATCGTTCCTGGGCGTCTTGAATTTGCCAAAGCATACGCTGCAACTGACGTCTTCCTTCCTCCTCCTATGGAGAAGGATGAGTCAAGAGTCGCGTTCTCGATGCGCAATGCCCAGGCGATGAAGGAGAAGCTCGGAATCGCTGAGCGCGGACCTCAGGCGATTGACCTAGTTTTGGATGCTTCTGGTGCAGAGGTCTCTATTCAAACTGGTATTCGGATCGCCAAGACTGGTGGTACCTACGTCCAAGTAGGTCGAAATGCGTAGCGGTGAAGAGACTTGCTGATTGCTTATGAACAGGTCGGCATGGGCAGCCCCAATGTCAACATTGACATGTTTGCTATCATTTGCAAGGAGCTCGTCTTCAAAGGCTCCTTCCGATATGGTGTAAGCACTTTTTGTATCATTGTTTCTCTCAGCAGCATTATTTGACCCCTGTCGAATAAAGCCCGGCGACTACCCTCTCGCCATCGCCCTTGCTGCGTCAGGCAAGGTCGACGTCAAGCCCCTTGTGTCGCACCGGTATGCTCGGACTAGTTATCCAATGTTTATCGTGCTCACAGTTCCGATAGCTTCCCGTTCACGCAGGCGCGCGAGGCATTTGAGACTACTCGCAGCGGCAAGAGTCCCGATGGCAAGGGGGTCATCAAGGCCATCATCTCCGGGCCTGATGTCGACATTAACGAAGCTTGAAAAAGACAGTGAAGTATTATGCATTGACAGAGAAAACATAGCACGGACGTCGATCATGATCATGTATTTGTATTGTGATTCTGTTGTTTGCAATGGATGCGTTTACTTGGTTATCGTTACATTGATCGCAGTAACGGCGCTGTCACGCCAGTCCCCGACTACAGCATTAAGCACCTTCCTTGCAAGAGAAGACATTAGAGCAGCGAATGATCAAATCAAAGACGCGGGGAGGCTATGGGAAATTATTTGTGCTACTAACCATAGTTAGTCACGAGTCAGGACTAGTCAAGTCAGGGAAGACTTTACGTCATGACCAACTACCAACTCCTTCATTTGCATGAAATCAGCTCCAACGTCGTTGCGGTTTCGAAGACTCAGACATTTTACGACTGCGCTCTACGGTATTAGCCAATCTCTTCAGTAGGTCAGACACGGCAGCGCGGTGCTGTTTCGAACTTGAGCTCGTCCATTATCCCTCCCCATGGCTGGGTTCAGCGTACGGAATGCATACTACCTTCGCGTATCAGCAAGCTCAGTGATACCTCTGTATGTAAGCGCACGTCCGTACCCACTGCGCGACCTGTTCTAATGACCGCTATCATCAGCTCTATCTTGATGAAAGACATGTAGATTGGATGTCAGACGCGGTTCTACAGCATGTTTTGGCTGATCTGCGGCCACTGTCAGTTTGTTTGGCTGTGGCTCTCGTGGATTCTTCTCAGGTCTTTTCAGGGTTCTGCCAAAGCTGCAAGCTGAGAAAGATATCCACTTTGGTCCCGGGGCTTCGAGTGGGAAGAAGGGAGCGGTCGACGTTCATAGAGGAGGTGCGTTGTTACGTGCGCGAAACTGCTAACTAACAAAGTATGTAACCGTTTGCAGAGACCTATCAGGTTGCCTTTTTCTTCCAGAAGACAGAACCTCATAATGTGATCATCAAAGTGCGTGCAAGCTAACTCAAAGTATTTCCCAAAAACACCCCCTGAACACTCTTTCAGACACGTTCATTCGTTCCAGCACCCCCGCCTCCTCCCAAAGTTACCATCCCCCCACCACAACTGGCAAAGTCCAAGAGTAGAAGTGGGAAGAGAAAAAGCAGAGTCTCGGAGAATCAGGGTGCTGAAGCAGCTTCTGGCCGCAAGAGACAGAAGACGAAGGGCAGAACTCGAGCTCGTAGTGATGATGAAGAGGAAGAGGAAGAGGAGGATGTCATAAGCCTCTCAGATGGCGATAGTGAATCGGATGAGATACAAGGAGTTTCTCGAGCGACTCCCGCTACGACTCGACGTTCGCAGAGAACAAGAAAGGTTCCTGTCGGGGGCTATCGAGAAGATGACGAAGACATTGTGGACATTAGTCCTGACGAACCTCTAGATGCGGAGATGGCTACTCCGACAGAGACTACCCAGCGAGACGAAGTTCCTGCAGAGGAACTCGGTGGCTACGATCTCCATATGATGGATCACAGGGTTGATAAACTAACAACTGTTAAACAAGAAGATGCAGAAATGTCCGAGGAGTCTACTATGGGAACTACTCTTGATCCGGAAACCGTCGTGGTTACTTCTGAGCCCAGTCGGCCGTTCATGGAGATCGACGACGAAGATGACAAAAAGGATAAGCTGGCACTCAAGCTCAAATACCAAGGTTTCAACATCTTTGGGCGTTGTCTCTGCGTCGTCGTGGAGCCATGGCCTCCTATTCGATCTGCCACACGAGCGCCATCCGTAATGCCCTTGACAAACGAGGCATTAAGAGGCTCAAGTATTGCACCTCCTGATTTCGTGCCTAGTAATAACAACCAAAGAGCCCGCACGCCTCTCTTCCTGCCAGAGTTCGACAGAGGTAGAAGCCAAACCCCAGCTCCTTTCCCTCGAGCAAAGACCTTGCCTCCAGTTCCCCTCTTTAATGACCCTACCCCCGATGACGATAACGATGGCTACGGCAGTGATGACCTCATGATATTCAGCCAGGCACTCAATGCAGCCGGTGGCATGCACGTCGCAGCTGCAGATGACGATGATGAGATGGATGGAGCGGTATTATTCGGGGATGCAGATGAGGTGAGGGAGTTTTCGTAGTATGATTACATCGTCTATTAGATATCTGTACTCGATCAGTGATATTATGCGCGCCCTATCTCTCTCAATATCTCCATCCTACGTGCGTCAGAGACTTGTCTGAATCCTGCATTCAGCATGTCGAATAGACCATGTCCTCCAGACAATGCGCGAAGGCGGGTTGAATAATCCAGCATGCGGCTAAGCGGTGCGACTGCATGAATGGTGCGTTTGAGTCGTGGGGTGTCGCTTGAAAATTTGGATGACGTAGAGACAGCGGATGAAGGCGATAGTTCTTCTGGAGGAATGTACAATCCATCCATAGAATACGCAACTGCTTCGTCTCCATTTATAGCTGACGTGTCGGAAGCAAGGTCTAAAACCTCGCCCCCGTTTTCAGTGAGATCTTTGACAACCTTTCCCATGGTGTCCTCAGGGAGAGAGATCTTGAGCTTGATAAATGGCTCTAACACGGGACCCATTCCCGCTTCTCGTATTCGAGTTCGCAGAATGGAGGAACTAGCACCGGCGAGGATGGACGTTGGAATGTCACGCGGCAGGTTGTAGTCCATGACGTGGATCTTGATGTGAGAGAGCGGCAGGGATGTATGTGGCGAATTTGATAGAGAGCTGGACAAGCCCCGAGCGATATTGGCCATGGGGTCCAGTTGATCCCGAAAGGCATCTGGAGGTAGCAAAGGCTTTCCACTTGGGCCCAAGACGAGGTTGCCATCCCAGACCGGATCACCCTGCTCGTCGTCAGCGAGAGGTTCTACCGTCATCGGGATCTTGATAGTAACTGGTTTTCCTGCAACTTCAGTGGCCCAATTGTTGACGTTGGAGCTGGGCCCAGGTCCCAGAGATTCACGATAGCTGACGCGGCGACTACCCAGTTCAAAATTGACATCCCACTCATCCCGTAGTCTCCCCTCGACAATCTCGAGATGCAGGGCACCTAATCCGTGGACAAGTAATTGGCCCTCCTGCATATCGACTCGAACAGAAGGGTCCGTCCGAGATAGAGCATGCAAGGCCTCTTGTACAGGGTCGAGGTCAGAATGGGACTTGGGTATGACGGAGGCCGACATAACCGCAGGTGGTGGTACTACTCCTCGAAGAGATGTGTGCGATGAGTTAGATGAGCGACGAGCATCAACGAGAGTGTCGCCTGTGCGAGTGAACTTCAAGCCCAAAATGACTCCGACAGAGCCGTAAGGCAGGGAATCGACTTCCCGTGCTTCCGCAGCGTACAGGAGAAGAACCTTGGAAATTTTCTCTTTCTGGCCACTGGTAACGTTGAACACAGAACTCTGGCGCTTGAGGGTACCTAACAGTTTCGATGAGCACTACCCTGTGTGATTTGTGCTATGCTTACCAGAATACACGCGAACGAATGTCATCCACCCTTTACGTTTATCCCAGCTCACTTTCCATGCTAGAAGGCGCAGTGGTCCACCAGCTGACTCCGAGGCTAACCGAACGTCCATTGGGCTTGCCAGGAGCTCGCCGACGTAGTTCATTACTAATTCTGTTCCAATATTCTTCATCGCAGAGCCGCACAGAACGGGGAGAATCTCATTCCTCAAAGTAGCTTTACGGAGATGTGGCATTATTGTAGACGTCTTGACATCAAGATACGATGAAGGTCCTGGCGGCAGTGCAAGTAGGTGCTCCATCAATTCATCGGAGTACATCGAAAGGTTTTCCAAAAGAGTTGTCCGAGCAGCCACAAGGTGCGGCATTATTGGATGGTTTTCCGGAATGATACCGCATGTCTCAAGTTCTTCGACCGTTCTAGGAAGGGGTAATATAGCAGAGTTGCCGTCTTCTGCCCATTTCCAAAGTTCCCATTTTACAAGATCGACCAGCCCTTGAATTCCTGGCTCGCCTCGCATGTAATCCTCAGTATGGAAGGAAGCAATCGGCAACGCTAAAGCCATGGGGTTTGGGTGCAGCCTATGGGTGAGTAGAGAGACCAACGACGACCTGAAAGAAGCACCCGGTCGGTCTAGTTTATTTAGAAACATGAGCCTGGTGGGGACGCCATATCTAAAGACGACTTGAGAAACATAGGCGGAAATAAAATATGCGCTTACCGATCCAGTTGTCGCCAAACGCCCTTAGTTTGTGCTTCGACTCCTTCCACTGAATCAATGAGGACGACAGCTCCATCGACGACGCGACTTGCACTCTCCACTTCCATACCAAAATCAGCATGACCTGGTGTATCTATGAGATTGAAAGACCATTTGTCCCATTCGACTGGAATGCTCGCAGATTGAATTGTGATGCCGCGTTCTCGTTCGGCAGGCAAGAAGTCTGTCGTGGTGCTGCCAGTATCGACTGAACCAGGGGCTGCCAAGTAGGCTGACTTGTGCAGTATGGATTCCGTGAGTGTAGTTTTCCCAGAGTCTGCATTTTTTTAGTTTGGTTTATGAGACTCGTTCTGAAATACGCACCAATGTGGGCTACCAGCGCCATATTTCTAATAACAGAAGTCTCATGGTGAGCCCCAGTAGCCAAGAAGCGTTGATTCAGGAGCTTCAGCTGGTTGTGCCTCACTGGTAGCCATAAGACCCTACGAAGCATGACCTACGGATCAGTACTCGGAATAATCCGAAGAGGTTTCGATCGTGGTCTTGTGAATTCAACAAGACCAAACAATCTATCTGCCTTTTGTCTGGCCCGGGAATGCTCATTATAACTACTACTTAGTACTTTGCCGATCCCCTGCAAGCTGCGACTTTCATAACACTCATGTCTTCCGACGTTCCCCAAAACTTTGAAGACCGTCTACGACAACGCGCTTCGACCACTGGGAACGCGAACGCGCTCGAAACTATACCCGTGAACCATCAACCGCATAATAATATCCCGAACACACCCCTTGCAGCATCCACGATATCATTTATACTAGGATGTATATTTTCTCTTGGTTTGGCGCTCTTTCTCACTGGAGGCATCTCTGATCGCTGGTGGGCCACATACCAACTGGGTTTCTTCCTTGCTGCTTGGTCTGGCTTTCACTGGGGAGAATTCGCGGTCACAGCAGGCTGGAACCGCGACAAATGCAGCGTTGACTGTGTGTTTGTCTCGGTAACTCTGAGAAATCCTTACTAAATGATGTGACAGCATTCTTACTTGATAATGGCGCTATGTATCATATCGCCAACGGGACTGCTCTGGTGGAATATCTAATCACATTATACTTAAAACCATCGCTCAAGGCTCACCACTATATCTCGACCATCGGTTAGCTACGGTTTATTTTCGAGAATGAAGGCTGATGGATATCCTCTAGGTGTAATCATGGCTGTCATCGGACAGACGCTTCGTGCAGCGGCAATGATACAAGCATCAACTAACTTTTCTCATATCGTGGCTTTTCGCAAGCTGCCTTCGCACCAGTTAGTAACTCATGGCTTATACTCGTAAGTGGAACCTCTTTGAGCATACCATCCCGAACACTCAAGTGGCTTTACAGAGTGTTCCGCCATCCATCTTATGCAGGATTTTTCTACTGGGCATTAGGGACCCAGCTGGTGTTACAAAACCCTGTCAGCTCCATCGGCTTCGTATTTGTCTTGTGGAGATTTTTCTCGCGTCGTATCAAAGGTATATATCCATTATATCAGTCGCGAGTGTATTGACTGATTGTGAAACAGCCGAAGAGAGGGCATTGGTGAATTTCTTTGGAGAGGATTATGAAAACTATAGGCGGAGGGTCAGCACCAACATTCCATTCATACGATAGACTTCGGAACATTTAATCAATGCCAGTGGGCGTCGACTCTCGTCAACGCCTCGATGAATAGTAGCATGTCATGCGTAGAACATAGGGTTGATGGAGATTAATGCATACGTGACATAGAATTTTGTATAATGCCCAGCTTCCCTGATCAACCACACCCCATCTACTCATGCATGATGGTCGTGCGGTCGGATACGTAGATACCATCCAAGAATTTACGGATATCCTTGTTCCGTACGCGGCAAGCACCCTGAATGGAGGCGGCTAAGGCAGCACTTTAGATGAAAACTAGTGAACAGTGGAGAGATAATGCACCTGATTGCGAAACGTTCTCAATATCATTACCCTCAAGTATAAGCTCATCTTTTTGGGCCTTTGACTCCGAAATACAGACTCCACCGAGCATCTTTACGTGTCGTACAGTCTATTTGTCTTGAGTAAAAGCTGAAGTAACCTCGGCGATCATACTCACTTTCTCTCCCAGGAAGTTACGGATCTCGATAGCGTTTCCACTGTCTTGGATGATGGCGTTGATGGGGAAATGGGCATAGACGGCGCGCATTTTGTAGAGGAAGCCCTGAGTCCTCAGTGAGCAGTGAAAGACGCCCTGTATGTGGATGCATACAAACCTTGGTCACACCAATAACCATGTGGTTAATCAAGCTTCGGATTGTCCGTAGACATGCGACGTGCTTGCGTCCACCTTGCCACACTGCAAGAGTGACTTTGCTGCTCTTCTTGGTCTTCAACACCCTAATATCCATATCGACGTGACGGACATTCTTCGTGAGGGTACCCCGTGCGCCGGTGACTTTGATAACACGGGACTTGATTTCAATGGTAACACCCTCAGGGATGTCGAGTTCTTCAGTTTGGAGGACGTCCCGCATCTATATGCGAAGTCAGCTACTTCATTCGATATTGACACATCCTCGATGCGAGCAGTCAATCCATCGTCATCCAGAGGTTCATTTTTCGCCAAATTTCTTCCAGCAACACAAGAACCAACACCCTGGAAGTTGGCCCAGTCGCATCTGAATTCAGCATGAACTCACCTTGCGATCGTTGGATTTCTTGAGGTCGGTGGGCGGCCGTGTACGTTCGGGGGGTGGACAGAAGTGGCGGACAAATGCGAGCGGAGTTTAAAGTGTGAGAAGCGGCTACTGTAAGCCCGTGTGTCGCACCGCTTCTTCACCTCAAACCACCATCATCGTTTCCGTTGGGCTTCGTGGTCGTGTCATTGACAGCTGAGTGAGACCGCCATTGGAAAAACGGGTTTCTAGCGCCAGTCGATCGTCCAAGAGTTTTGTGTTTTTACCAAGATCTTTCTTCTCCTCACATTCTGGGTGAGATCGTACTGCATTCGCGGTGACTGTCTCGCGCTTCGTTGAGAATTTAAAAAACGATTGTCCCATGTACACTCAGCCCCACATGTACGGGCAGGTGGCTTATGCACCACCGAGCTATCATCAGCCCGGACCTTCTGCTTACCCTTACCAGCAACCGCCTCCACCTCCTGCGCCTGTCTACTTTGTGGATCACAATTCTTTTCGACGTGATTATGCAGCGCGCCTGGCAGAACTCACCATTAACTCCAGACCCCTCATTCAGACCTTATCGATGATTGCTCAAGAGTATTCAAAATGGGCTGAGATTGTCGCTCAATGTTTGGAGGCCCACATTCGAAGGGTGAGTCATCATTGGTTTCATTTTTATGGCATGTTGCTGTCAGTTGAGTAGTTGACACATGGCTCGTATCTGTTGTTCTGCTGTGTCGCCTTGTGGTCTTACCATGTACTTAGTTACTTGTCTCGTAGTTTGAGTAAAGATATCCTCGCATGGCCTAGTGGCCCCGCTGTATGGCGGATGGAGGACGTCGTACCACTGAGAATTAGGTTGCTGTTCTCAACGTGGCAGCTCAACGCTTTTCTTTTTGATCCGGGGCTGTATCATGGACCTGAAGCTGACTCATGCTTGCCTTTTTGGTGTCGTGTTGTTGCATCGCTAGGTTCCTCCATGGATGAAACTTCCAGCCTTCTACTTACTCGACGCAATTTCGAAGAATGTCTACGACCCATATACGCGCCATTTTGCTCCCTTCGTCATTGGTTTGTTCCTGGAAACTTACCAGCAGGTTGATCAGGCGACTCGTAGCAAGATGGAAGAAATGCTTTTGACCTGGCGAACCGCCTCTCCGACTAGCAAGGAACTGTTCGGTGTCATCCCACAACTTTCCATTGAGCGCGGAATATGGGGTGGTGATTCGAATCCAACAGGGGTGAGTCACACCTTGACTGTCCCACCGCCCTCACCGGACTGAATATGCTCTCCTAGGGACCGTCTGGCCAGATATCGAGGGCACAGGTTCTGAGCGAACTTGAATTTACTTTGAGTCAAAAGGAGCGCGCCCTTCAATCAAATGCTTGGGATACCACTGCACAGAGGCATGTGCAAATTTTGCAACAGGTAAGCATAATTTTGCGTCATCATTGTCCGTATGCTCATCTCGAGCAATTCAGTTGCGCAAGCTTGTTGAAGCGGGTGTTTCTCAAGAGGAGCTTCGTCAAATCTTGACCCAGCTGAGGTCTCTGTCACAAGCTCCTCAACCTGCCACAGCTCCTCCTGCAACTGCTACGTCATATCAATACCCAGCCCAGCCTGCATACCCTCGCCAAGCTGCGCAATCTACATTCCCGCCTCCAGTATCACAACACTCTCCCTCTACTACATATACATCTTACGCCTTGCCGTCCATTAATCAACCTAAAACTGAACCGGTCGACCCTGCATCTCTTTTATCGAGCGTGAAAACTACAGGTGCCCCGTCAACTGATATCGCTGGACTTTACAGCGCTCTTTTGAAGGCAGGCATGGTGGTTGCCACTGGTACGCCCGTTGGTGCCGGAGCGACCGCCACTTCTGAGGACACTGTTGCGCCGTCAACGTCATCTGAAAACCTGAGTCGGGATGCTGCAAGAGCATATCGCAAGTCAGTTTTGTCGCAGAATATCAGGCTAACGAACGCTGATATCACGAGGTACGGCTGATACCCTTTCGTTGCTGATCGAGTGTTGATTTAGTAATGCAGAAAACGTCCTAATATTGACCGATTGTTGTATGATCGATTGCCCGTCCAGTGTAAGCAGTGTGGTATCAGGTTTACGGATGATACGCTAGGCAAGAAAGAGATGGAGGATCATCTTGACATGCACTTCAGACAAAACCGTAAAGCAAATCAGAGCATTGGCCGTGGACACAGTCGCAGTTGGTTTGTCGACCTTGATGTACGATTTCCCTTCTTGTTGGACCTTAAACATCCTCACCGTCTTTTACAGGATTGGGTCCATGAAGGCCGTGTGGATGTGAAGGGTAAAGGCCGCGCTGATGGTCCTCGGCCCACGACCAATAAGGCTGCACTTGCGGTAGATGCAGCACGACGTGATGCTGAGTTACGCACGCAGTTCGTTGTTGTGCCACCGGGTGACGAAGCCAAGCCCTTGTCTTGTCCCATATGTAAAGAGACTCTGAAGACAGAGTTCCTAGAGGATGATGAAGAGTGGGTCTGGAAGAACGCTGTCAGAAAGGATGATAAGGTATGTTTCGGCTTGTACGATATGAGGATCTCAATGACTGTCTTCCTTTGCTTAGATATATCATGCAACATGTTATGCTGAAGCTATGAGTTCGATGCATACTCTGGCTTCGAGGTTGCGCCAAGACACAGCCAGTCGGAGTAGATCTGGCACGCCAGATGCTCTCAGAGCTACGCCCCCAAAGGGCATCCCAAGTATACGGTCTTCCCAGTCCCGGTCCCCCGACTCTAAACGCGCTACTCTCAAGCGCAAGGCAAGTGTCGATGATTTCAGTCGGCCTTCTGTCAAAATGGAGAGCAATGGGACGCCGCCTATGAAGAAGATGGCGCTTGCAGCCTGATAGTTGGATTATAGACCTTTCCACATCTTTATTGGAATACTTATTGAGCATTATCACATGTATTAAACTAGCGCACATCATATACACCATGATTCAACTGACTTCGAATAACTGTGAGGTGTCCGAACAACATGTAGTCGAAGTATGTAAATCCAGCTGCAAGCGCCGGCTAGTGGTACTTTGTAGTCTTTGTTCCACGCACTTTCCGCACTCTCCAAGCAAACTCGTTTCTTCATTCTCAGCTAAATGCAACGACTCAACCAACAACTAGTACGTTCTATCTGATGTCGTTTTCTAACCACTTTTCTTCACAAGGTCTTGGAAGTGGGGATTTCAAGCACAGTGAGGACCCTTTCACTCAGCGCTCATTACCCATTCAAAATGTCCCTAACTTCCCGAAATCGCAGCCCCATCTCCTCCAAGTACGCATCTGTGTGAAACGCTTGAGCGTATCGACGATTTCTCAAACAGGCCCGATGTCGAGATGCAGGTACGTTATTATGCCTGGCTGGCTCGTGCCAGCCCTACGGTACTGATTAATTGTACGCCACCCCTAGGCTCCTCTATCAGAGGAACTGACCATCGTCGTCCTTGATACGAACATACTACTAGACTATCTTGATGTAATACAAGCATTCGTCGCGGAGGTTGAAGAGCAGAGATTGCCTGTGTTGATGATTATACCGGGTGTCGTGATTTACGAGCTTGATGGGTGAGTATGGTGGCACATTGCGTGTATCTGCATCAAGAGCGCTCATCTGATGATGGTTTACTAGGCAGAAGAATCGCGAGAGCCTCTCTTGGTTTGCGCGCAGAGCATCGTCATGGTTGCTTAAAAAAGTGAAGGAACGTAGGTCGGTCAAAGGTCAGACCTTAGACGAGACGTGCAAAGCCTCGCGAAATTGGAAGAAGAGAGAGCCGGGTGCTGTAGTAAGTATTGCTATTCGTCCCCGTTCCATCTTTAACGATCATCATTTTGATGGTAGGAATTTGGTTCTGAACGTAGCAACGACAGTTTGATCATCGATTGCTGCAAATACTTCCTGCGACAACGGAGAACGTTTCTATGCAGCAAGGACAAGCTGTTGACCGTGGAAGCTGAAAGTGAAAGTAGGTATATGAATACTGTGATCTGTCGCACAAAGTTCTCATACGTAACCAACGCGGGAAGGTGTATCGACTATATCACCCGGTCGCGACACATTTTCCAGCCGTGATATTGCTCATGCTCTCTTTGGGTTTGAGGCTTCTCGCTTCAAATTCAGCGGGTATCATCCAACATACCGAAATTCATCAGTAAATTTGATACAAGCGACGCCCACGCCGGAGCCAGACGATGACGGAATGGATATCGACGACGACGCCTCTTCTGTACCTCAGCTCCTGCACCCAAGTCACTCACTAGATCACCTCCACCTGCAGGTGATCGAGTACTTCACTGGGCTGCTTCTGGAACTAGTTGTTCGGGTAGCGGGTCCTGACGTGCTGAGCTTTGGCTGCAACAACTCAGCATCGAAACATGCTCCTTCCTTTTCAAGAAAGATTTTTGCAACGTGGGGTGCTCTAGAATGTCTGGACTACCTAGGCACGAAGAAATGCCTGCCTAGAACCAGTCCACGGGTGGATACCTTCATGACAAGGCCGTACACAGGTGTGGGGGCACGGAGAGGCCAAGATTGGTCCCGACGGGACTGGGAGACGGCGTTGAAGGGGCTGAGGGAAATAGGCGATGACTGGCAAGAAGGATCTATTCGCGAGTCGGTTCCTGCCGCAGAACTTCACATCAGCCGTGTATTTGCGATGCCGATGCGGCCAACAGGGCTGTGACCGAGATCTCCCATGAAACACCCGCAGCAGGAGTAAGATGGAATGGATCATGAGGCACGCAGACCGCAGCCATGAGGCTATAGCGCCCCGCTCACGAGACAGACTAGTCCTGTATAGAATAAGTAAGATTGATTTATGGGGAAATGTTGACTTGACATGATGTTCTAATCACTATCCAAATTTGGCAAGGGCGAAATGAACTTTCTGTTCTCGGCCGCGTTCTTGTTTGAGTTTCTCCTCTTCGCTCTCCTCTTTCTTCTCCCTTCTTCCTCCTGTCTCCTTCATGGCCAAACGACGTACAATTTATATTCTCCTTATCCTCCTCTCTCTTGTTCTATTCGGCACCGTCGTCGTCTTATCTTCCATCTCCTACTACCTTTCCATCAATGCTGCAGCATATCTCTCAGACAGAGAGGTCCCAGTTTTAGGCAACACAACACGCTGGAATGCAACGGAACATGGAAAGACTGAGAAGATACCTCGTATCATACACCAGACTTGGAAGTCCGAAACTCTTCCTCCAGACTGGAAACGCCTCTCTGAGGCATGTCGAAACATGATGTCCGACTAGTCCGTATCCGTTTCATCTCCGCCAACTAAAATTCTTATCGATATTCCAATAGTGACTACATGCTCTGGACTGACGCCAGCTCCCGCGAGTTCATTGCAGAGTATTATCCCTGGTTTCTTGACACGTTCGACAACTACGAGTTCACGATTCAACGAGCAGATGCTATTCGTTATTTCGTTCTTTATCACTACGGGGGAATATATCTCGACCTTGACGTTGGATGTCTGCGGCCTCTGGATCCGCTATTGGTATTTCCCGTCATTTTGCCCAAGACCATACCTGTCGGCGTTTCCAATGACCTCATGTTTGCGGAAAAGAATCATCCTTTCCTCGCTCAAACCATCCACAACCTTGTTACCTTTGACCATTCTTGGATATTAAACTATCCCACCGTCATGTTCTCCACAGGACCCATGTTCCTCTCCTTTCAGTACAGCCTCTATACTGCGTCTCATCCCATCACGCCCAACGAGCCAGGAGACGTTCGAATCCTGCCCAAATCTCTCTACGGAAAGAACGCCAAACCAGAAGAAGCTCCCCATTCGTTCTTCGCCCATTATTACGGCAGCAGCTGGCATGCCGACGATGCTGCATTAATCAGCTTCTTGAGTACGTGGGGCAAAGGATTGATGTGGTTGGGTTTAGCCATATTAGTCTATGGCATCTACAAACTCGCGGTCCCTAGCAAGCAACGCAAGTACAGTCTCAGGAGAATTGGTGGATATGATGTCCTTTTGCCTAGATGGACTCAGCGTAATGGGCGTTGGCACATCGACATGCGGTGGTCATTCCTTCCAGCATCTGGTGCTTCTACGCAGCCATCATCTCCCACTAACTCCGCTCCTCAATCGCCGTTGGATGAACACCTTTCACTACTCCCCCTTCCCTTTGAGTTGAGACCGGACTCGCCCGCACCCTCTGACATTTCATCTTCTGTGGACATATTTCCGACTTCGAGTTATCGCGCGACATCATCCATTCTTGATGCTGTGCGTCGTGTACGAGACCGTGCCACGGGTTATTTGAATCTGTCCCGAGAGCCACCTGCGTTGCCACGAGCCCCATCTCGAGGCCGGCGGCAGCGGTCCCGGGGAGTCATGTTCTTCCTCCCAGCTATCTTTACGCAGTCTCAAAATATGAACATTCCCCCGCGCAGTCCCCCCCCACAACCATCTTCTGGACGGAATCTACCCCCTTCTTCCCAGTTACCCCCTGAGAAGCTTTGGCAAGGGGCAGAGAGTAGAGTTGGAGACGAATCTGCAGAGTTTCATCAGGGCTGCTCTCAATCTCCTCGACCACCATTGGAGAATCGTCTCCCGCATTCTTCTTCGAGTCCGCTGATTGATCTCGAACAACAAAACTCATAGCATTGCGTGCGAACATTTGACTTTTCCTGATGCTACTCACACTACTCTAGTAAAAACGCTATTAAACCCTGCTTCACCTACGGCCGTGGAACGCGTTTAGATACCAGATTCTGATTTTGAATGATCATTTCTACGTATATTTCTTCGATATGCTGCACGGGACATGACCTCATAATACGCCTCCTGTGGCGGTTTGCAATGTTCTCCTGTTCACAATCATCCACCAAATTCTATTCATATCTATCATAGTTAGTGTTCCTAGAAATGCATTTGGGGCGATACTGGATTCAGATGGCCTGTGATCCGTGTGCGAATATGGAATCCAATTTTGCCATTTACAACAAGTGCTAAGTAAGTACTTACTGATGCGGTCACATCATCATGATTTTGGTAAAACGGCGACGGATTTCATGGACGATGACAAAGTCAGCATGGCTAATGCGCTCGCAACATAAGTAACGGACGGCCCGAAGGTCCAATATGAAGCGCATGCTGACGAGCATCGATCAAATCAGCCTGACACCTTTCTGACGAAACATCAAGCTTACCAAGCAAGGGGCCTATTGCGCGACCCAGTTGACCCGATGACCGGAATTCACCTAGTGCCTTGCCCTTGGCCAACTCAGGGTGTTCGGCCGTGGGTTTGCCTGTATCCTTGTCGAAGCCCTCGTCGCACTGGAGGGAGGCGTATGAGGTAAGCGAGCTTACGACAGTCGCGGAAGTGAAGGCCAGACAAACTGCTGCGGCTTGCAGCAGTCCGACGGCGATTTTTGGTTGGTTGGACACAAAGTGAGGGAGTATGGCTAAGAACACAAGGCCCAGTGCACAGCTCGAGACCCCACGTTGTGCCATTTTGCCCTCTCCTACTTTGGAAATAGCACGACGGACGTATCCTCCCTGTAATAGAGCACTGATTATTCCGATGGAGCCCATTAATACTCCATTCTGTTTGTTACTCCAATCGAACACTGGTCATTGGAGTTGAGTATATGATGTCAGTGGTATTTTAATGATGACGCACGATCAAAGGTGAGGAAAGTCAGGGTGAATTCCACGCCTGAGAAGATTCCTAAGAAAAGGAAATGCAGCTTTCGCAAGACCCGCAAAAGTTCGGTTCTCTCTTGCACACTGCGCACTACGGAGGGAGTCTTCGACTTTTCGTTGACAACTTCTAGAGGATCGTCATTACTGTGCTTTCCAGGTCGGGTATTTCGAGTTTCGGGAAGAGCAACTATCAGGAACAAGGTTTCTGCGATAAGCAGTATGAGCGTCAATAATGCCGGAGCCGCGTATATGTTCAATTCCATTTGAAGAGCTCCGACAGATGGGGGCACTGGCCTTGATGCAAAATAGGCACCGATCGGAGGCCCAATGCAGAAACAGATAGCAAACGCAATACCAACATGGGCAAGGGCTTTAGAGCGGTTCGCAGGCGTTGAAACGTCAGAGAGGATGGCACTGTTGATAGTCAGTACCAGTACCTGAAAAATGACAGAGGACTGACGTAGCAATCTGCACGTTGCCTTCACTGAGACCCCCTATGACGCGAGAGAGCATATACGAAGCAAAAGTGGTAGACTTGATCCAACTGACGGGGAATCGGTTCAGGAACTCGATGATAAGAATGACTTCAGGACGACCCACATGAGCGCGGACAATATGTTTCCTATCATAGTGATCAGAAGGACATTCCTGCGCCCATACTTATCGGAGAGGGATCCTATATGCGGCGATACCAGGAACTGTAGAGTGCTGCAAATACTAAGTAGAATAAACTGGGAACGCGACTCGGAGACGTACGAGAAAGCAGAGCCCATCAGACCGCCTTGAAGAATTGATTAGGTCAACATGAACCTTGTCGTATGACTTGAACTAACCGAGGAAAACTACATCCCATCTCTGGGAGTTCTGTTGTGGCTTATAGAATATGCCTCGCACCGCCGAAACAAACCGCAGCGTTCTGGAAAGGAGGCCATTGGGGTCGGAGATTTCTCTCTACAGAATCACTGAAGGAAGTAGAGACATGCGGGATGATGTGCTTACCACTGTGTACCACTCGATTATGCGAGGGAACAATGGTAGAGGGATTGTAAATGCTTTGCCGAGGCATTAGACTCATCACGTCTCAGGGTCATGTTCACTCACCAAAAAGATCAAGAACGAGTGACAGAAAGACTACGCGTTCTATTTTCCCCATATTTTCCTTCAGAGATGTAAGCCTAGAGGATAAAATTCACGACCGGTGTTCCACGCAAGCACTGAATATGGTATAAGCCACGTCAGAGGTCTAAATGACGGGAGTTCAGCTAATGTCAAAGGCAACTCGCAAACCAGTTGCAAGTAGACCTAGTTGCAGTTCGATGGAATGTATGCCGAGGTTGTGTGGGCTATGGGTCAAGTTTCCAAGGCGGTTCATCGCATACTCACATTATTGGCAACGTGGGCCAAAACAAGTACTTTCCCCAAAGGGCAAAACTGGGCAGTACAACAATCCCCAGGGACCCTACACAAGTTTCTGCTGCTATGAATCTAACGTATTTGATGCTTCTATCTCGGCATCATCGTCATCCAATTCCCCAACTTGATTTGCTGCTACTACACCTCGGAACTGCTGGTCTTCAGAGGCTTGAGTAAGACCAGTCTGGAAATGCGAACTCGTCTCAGTCTTGGTGACTTCTCGTAATGCCATCGTGGCATACGCGGCCGTCCCAAGTGTCAAGTTAATCTGGAGCGCGCAAAATTTCCCATCATCAACGATAACTGGTGGGTCAAATCCAAGAAGCTTGTCCTCGTCTGCCTGTGCAAGCGGGACGTCCGGGTCAGTGTACCTGAGTGTAGACCACGAAAGATCTTTTGGAAGCTGGATGATTGCTCGGTAGGAGCCATTGAGAGTGTACTCCCTGGTGATGTTGTGTCAGTTTCAGTTATGATAGAACAGGTCTGGCGTACTTTTGCTTGCGGATGAAGTTATCGGGGTCGAGACCGTCCAAGCGCAGGAATTCCCGATAGCGCTCCCCGAGCGTACCGCCTGGGTAATCAACGTCTCTACCCGGGAGTGGCATAATTACATCGAATATCGAGTACTGGTGAGCATCCTCCTCAGTGAGTATTTTGATGCTTGGTGCAACATAAGCAGCTTTTGCAGCTTTCTTGCGCTCACGAGAGCTCATGCCTCAAAGCGCGAAAATTTCAATTAGAAGAAGATAAAGAATAGAAATACAAACTAACCTTTTCCCTCTGTGTTAGTTTGTTCCACATTACCCGCATCATCGTCCACTTCCATCTCATCGTCCTCTCCACTCCTTCCCTTGGCGGCCGGCTCGCTCTCGAAGACGAGATCACCAGGCACCGCTTTGTCGGGACCATGCATACGAATTCGTTCCGACACTATGGCATTCCACACGTAGGATTGGTATGCATGGACATACATGAGTCGCAAATTACGAGGAATCTGATTGGACTACATGAACAACAGTTCCTCGAACAGAATCTTGACATACCGTGGACAAGGCACCCATTGCGTTCCTGGTTTCTCCACCTTGCTTCTTGTAGCTCTCAAGGATACAGCGCTCCGCAACAACTCGTCTGGGCATTAGAGCCAGGGCTCGATCCAAATCACCATCCACTAACCACGCATCGCGGGCTGCGACAACTTCGGGGTGTTCCCCAGGCCTATTCTGGAGGATGAGCGAGACAGCTTTATGCCAGTCAGATTTCAGAATTGCCAATCCAATAGAGTGAGTTGGTACTGCAGCCGTCCCAAAACGCTGCATTCCTGGAGTTATACTTCAGACGAATTAACAATTAGTCGGATGTCGAACTCACCGTAGTAATTGATGAACCCTTTGTGCTTGATGGAGTTCATAGCACGGTCAAGAGTCTCTACATTTTCTACCTGAACGTTACTTCATAACCTTGTCAACCAATCTTCAGAGAAGTACCACGAAACATACCGAAGTGTGATAACGAATGCATTTCCTTTCAGCATGCCAAGCTCTAAACCGGCCTTGCGATAATTGAAATCCGCTATTCTGACCCCACGTTCGCCACGTTGGGATAGTATTTCTTGCACAGACCGCCTGTTGGATTGATTCGCAGATTTCCATACATCCTCCACAGTTTTGTTTCCTCGTCGCAACGACACGCGCTGGACAGTGACACCGCGTTTGTCTTTTGTCCCAGCGACAGACAAGTCTTTTATGTTTACATGGAGAGTACGTGATAAGTAGCCAAGAGCATCTTGGGTATCACGGTTGGTTTTCTGGAGAGTGAAGTGAATGTAAGGAGGATGATTCCCCCTGTCCGAGCGGTCGCCTCGATCTATAAAGAAAGAAATAAAAAACGATAAAAAACTTGTGGAGAAACATACCTCCACGACCACCCCGACCGCCGCCCCGACCACCACCGTGTCTTGACCACTTTATAGCTATGCGAGATCCATCGCCCCCAGCAGGAGTCGACATATCAGTTTCGCTGTCAAGTTTCCCACCAAATAACTCTCGAATAGCTTGATGCAAAGCCGTCCGATCAGTTTTGGAGGAAATTGGCTGCAAAGGGGTTAGGGCACACAGTGAGATAACTATGATATCTCATCTTACCTCGCTGAGGACTTTTCTGTGATCTTCTCTTTCTCCTCCCTGCCGGCCACCACGACCTCGTCCGCGACCACCGCGCCCACCACGACCACCGCGACCGCCTTGGTTCTTTCCTCTTTTCCCGGTCTCTTCACTCTGCGAAACATCCATTTCTTCTGATGGTTTCGACGCATCTGGGGTTTCAGCACCATCCTCAGTGGTTTTGGTTTGTCGACCTCCCCAACCACTGTCGGTCGCTCTCGGAGGCTCGCGGCCCTCAAGGAACATCTTTTTCAATTGGTCGATAGAAGCCTCGCTGAGATACGGAGTCAATTTTTCCGTAAATTGGTCGTTCCAGGGGATGTCCGCTGGAGCGGAATCATCTTTGTCCTTTGCTTCAGTGCCAGCAGACGGTTCATTCTGACCTTCCTCTGTAATGCTAAGCTCGGCGTTTGTGACGGGCTCCTGAGGTCGGGCCATTGAACCCTCAGCAACGGTGGTGCTGGAGCTCCCCTCGTTAGTACCTTTCGCCTTCTTCGAAGATGACTCTGGCGCGTCCAACGACTTTAGATGAATAACTTGGTGGTCTTGATTCACTTCAAAGACCAGGAAGTCCGTGAACCTATGTTAAGTTTATAATCAGTCGCTCCACTTTGAATCCCCTGGAACACTTACCGCTGTTTTATGATACCACTGATTGGAGGAACGTCCCGGCTAATATACTCGGAGATTCCGACGTCGGTTTGAAGGACCTGACGAAGTCCGTTCGAAGAGAACGTAGGAGCTATGCCCAGGAGGGCATGGCTAGGAGGAAGGACGCTTTCAGCTGGAACTGTTGAGGAGTCCTGTTTTAAGTCTGCTGCAGCATGAGCAGAACTGAGGAGCGGGGAGGTGTCTGCAACGATAGGCCCATCATCGCTCAGCTCGTCGACTTTGGTGCGTTTGGGAGAACGAGCGAATTCTTCATCATCTTCACGTTGCCGAACAGTTGAAGAGGACATTTAGTTGATCGAGAACAGTCAAAAAGCCTGAGAATAGATAAGATAGCAAAACCCATTTTTATCCTATCGTCATAGATTAAGTCTGATTAAGTGGACTCCGTCCTGCTAGTGACCATCATGTCGTCTCCTCATCTCCAGACATACAATGAACGAGCAAAGAAACACGCCAACAAAGCCGCAAAGGCGTTGCTCGAGATCATGGCGGAAAAGCAGTCAAATCTCTCCGTCAGTGTCGACGTGACTAAGACCAAAGACTTCTTCGACATCATCGAGGCAGTTGGTCCTCATGTTTGTCTTATAAAGGCATCTGTCGCTTCTTCCGAACTCTCACTTAATGCTTATGGCGCTACCAAAAGACCCATATTGATGTACTCGAAGATTTTGACGCAACCGTGATTGACCGACTCCGAGAGCTTAGCGAAAAGCACAAGTTCTTGATATTCGAGGATCGGAAATTCGCCGACATCGGTAAGGTGTTCAAGGTTTATGATGACAGCTTACTGAGTGTCATGAATATCAGGAAGCACCGTGGTATTGCAGTATTCGAAAGGGATCTATAAGATCGCAGACTGGGCTCACATCACCAATGCTCATGCTGTTCCGGGGCCATCGATTATCACTGGTCTCGCCTCGGTTGGTATTCCTAAAGATCGGGGCCTCATTCTACTGGCGGAAATGAGCTCCAAGGGTGCACTGACCACCGGGTCATATACCGAAGATGCGGTTCGCATGGCTCGAGCTCGCAGGGATTTTGTCATCGGCTTTATTGCTCAACATCGCATGGAGGGTATCGGTGCATCCGATACTGACAACATTGCGGGAGAAGATTTCTTGGTTCTCGCGCCAGGAGTAGGCTTAGATGTTACAGGCGATGCTATGGGTCAGCAATACCGCACTCCAGAGCAAGTCGTTTTTGAAAGTGGATGTGACGTTATTATCGTTGGAAGAGGCATTTATGGCAAGGGTGAAAATGTGGATACAAGGGAGGTTCTCAAGCAAGCTCAGAGATATCAAGCTGCTGGTTGGGAAGCATACAAAAAGCGCGTTCAAAGCACATAAGTAGCAGGGTATAAATAACCATACGACTTACCTAGAAATAACCCCACCATAAGTTGCTTAATAGCACTCCATATCTTTATCCGACACCACCACCACCCAGCGTCTCTGTCTCCTGCTGTCTCCTCTCCTCCTCTCTTTCTTCTCTTTCTTCTGCCTCTACGACCTCAACATCGAGAGGAAATGTGAGTATTGCAGCAATACCCGTCAGTTGATTCAACTCTGTAACCTCATAAGCATAATGTATGGGAGCACATTCAGAAGCATACGTTGACCGGATTCGTGCATGCTCGAGAACATGACAACTTCTGCACCCTTTTGTTGCACTCCTTCGACGAGTTCAACGTATATCTTCCGCAGCTTCGGGTCACTCGCACTGTCCGATTTGCGTAAGCTACAGTATTACAATATGCGACACATAATCATCTTACCGGAAAAGCTCGTCGGAGATGAGGAGTGTCCCTATGGCTCCACGATCTGCCGCTAAACGGACATGATCAGGACCATACCACGCGCGCATCTCGTCCACACCAAGCATCTTGAAGAACCTGTCGAAGGAAATTAACATTAACAGTACATTGGCCACCACGTGCACGCATACTTATCAAGAACCACCCCCTCGCGCGCAAATTTGGTTTCCTTGAGCTGTGCAACGATCTGCAAGGGAAATCAATGCATCTATGTGACAAAATTCATACCAACAAACCTACCTCTGGACTCTTGAGGACTTCGACAAGACTGTGGACGTGCGCGCTACTGACATGCACTTTCACGGTCTTTTCCCGTAAAGCCTTTGATAATGTTTTGTCTCCCCTCCTCCCTGCTTCTGTCATCATAGCATTGAAAACACCTTCTCGTACCCAGCCTGGGCTCGCGAGCACAATTGCTCGCAGACTAGGTGATGTATAAGGTATGTGTCGCACAAATGCGTCATAGAGTGTGGCGTAAAATCTCGCCATTGCCTTCTCGTACTGAGACGTTCCAGGCGCGGAAGCCTTGCGTGGTATTGGAACCGATATCCGATGGGTGACCAGAGTCATGTGTTGTGAAAGGAGACAAAATGCTGCTGTGCCTTCTCCGCATACGACTGCGCCCACCTCCGCGCCGCGTCCTGGCACACAAGATTCCTCGACGCGGGCAAGGGCCACACTATCCCATCCTTCAATCTTCTCGATGCGTACATCGCGATTACTCTCGATGTCAAGCGTGTGGTATGCGCCCATCTTCACATGTCGATTCTCAGCTGCGACGGGGCCAGATATGTGCAATGCTGCAGTTGTTGTGGGTGCTGCAGATGAAGAGCCTGCAGGAGATGTAGCTTGATCCGCTGATGACGAAGGTGCTCCTGATGAGGAGAATTCGACTCGGGATACCTGGATGGTGAGGTTCAACTTGACACGATGGGATTCCGTAGATCCAGTAGCAGATACATTCTGCACGCGACTATCAAGTATTTAGCATGTAAGAGAATCGCCGATCGATAGGTGTCGTACCGAATGGCTGGTGCTCGCACAAGGTCACCTTGTTGTATGATGTTGTAGAGATGCCACATATCTTCATCATCTTCGGGTCGGAGGTTGACATAGCCCTGTTCAAATCAATCAATTGATCACTCCCCAAGTAACACCATGAACGACTCACAGACCCGCTTTTGTCGACAAATTTGCCAACAAGCTTCATCGTGGAGGGTGATTGACATAAAGTCCTGGGTTGAACTGCACCCAAAAGGGGTCCCTAAACAAGTAATCACTCTCAGTCACTCTCTGATTCGCAGTTCACTGAGCTCGCTATCGTTTTCACAATTCTCCAGCTATTCACAGTTTGCAAGAGTCGTAGTAGAAAATATGAACAGCGTGTAAGTCAGAAATGAGCACACGGCAGCTTCCACGAGCTCACTTGTGACCAGAATACATTCAAAATTAGACTCTCTAGCATCGCGTCTCGTAGAATCCAATGATTCCCGAGAAGATGAAGAAGACGACGATGCTATCTTTGCGGAACTTGAAGCAGAGATAGAGAACGACGCTGATGCAGCAGTGCGGGATCGGGGCCTAGAGCAACTCAGGCTCGAGTGAGTCGTGTGTTCCATTGGTGTTCACTGTCCGACGATCGACGTAAACTTCTGCAGAATGCAAAGAGCCAAAGAGATGAGAGAGAACGCCCATGGGCGATACATGGAGATCACAAACGAGAAAGAGGCCATCCGGATAAGTGCGTGAGTCGCTCACTCTGTTCGTCTCGTTCTTTTGCTACATTGCCGTGCTCTCAGGAATGAACCGCACTGCGTGATCCATTTTTACCATAGTAATTTTAGGAGATGTGAGATCATGGACAAGCACCTCGCAGTGAGCAATGTTTCGTGTCTCGAAGAAATCAGATTGCTAACGAACCGTCGGACTCCTATCAGAAACTCGCGCCGAAATACTATGCCACGCGTTTTATTCGTGTCTTCGTGGAGAATATGCCATGGCTAGTTGAGAAGCTTGGCATTCAAGTCCTTCCATGCTTGATGTGCTTCGTCGATGGGATCTCAAAAGACCGGTATGTCTTACGGGTTCTTGTCAACGTCATTTAGTCATACATTCGTTCTTAGTCTCATTGGGTTTGAGGAACTCGGGAACAATGACGCGTTTGACACCGCGGTACTCGAGCTGAGGCTAGCGAACAGCGGTAGCGATCTTCTCTATGACCTCGTCACCTATGGCTGATTGTCCTTTGACAGGTGTCCTTCAAAAAGCACGAAATGCTTATGAGTCCGGTGTCACGTACAACGTCTCGTCATCTTCAAACACAAGGCAATTACGAAGAGGTGGACAAACAGATCAAGATGACGACGAGTTTGATTTATGATGGTTTGGTCCATCGCTTTGCGTTTTCCTACTGCTACGCGTAAATCGTGCCCGTCACTCTTCACCAGGTGTCTTATACCTCCTAATGGCCCTCACCCTCGCTTCAGCATGGTTGACAATGGGTCTCGGATAACCCAATTGATCAGCGATCTTGGCCGAAGGGTTGTGGATCTCTGCATTCGTAAACAAACGTCGATTAAATGCTGATAAACCAATCAGCATGTACTTACCAGGTCCATAGAGACTCTTCAGCTCTGGAACGAATGTCCTTATAAAATCACCCGTCGGATCTGCCTTGGAGGACTGTGCATAGGGATTGAAAAGCCGGAAGTAGGGCGCTGCGTCTACTCCAGTGGATGAACTCCATTGCCAACCTCCGTTGTTGCTCGCGAGATCACCATCGATGAGCTTTTCCATGAAATACTACGAGGGCTTGTCAGAGAAGCGCATGAAAATACAGAGGAGAGCTCACGCGCTCTCCTAGCCGCCAGTCCAACATAAGGTCCTTCGAAAGGAACATAGCAACAATCATACGCATCCGGTTATGAGTCCAGCCTGACAGTTTGATGAATCAATATTCCGAAGGATCGATATAAAACATACCCATGGTGTTGATTTGTCTCATCGTGGCATCGACGATAGGAACGCCAGTCTTCCCTTCTTTCCAAGCGTTCAGATGCTCCTCGTTAACCTCCCACTTGACACCAGCGAATCTCTCCTGAAAGGGTCGACCCATGGATACTCGCGGGTAGTATGCGAGGACATCGGTGTAGAAGTCTCGCCATGCTACTCCATCATACATCAATTATGCGTCCAGGGCATTTGAAAGAAACCCACCGAGTTCTTGCACCCAGCGGCCTACGCCTGACGACCGCCCAGCATCCACTTTTTGAATTCCAAGAAGCTTCATGGTTGCACGAACGCATTCCCTGACAGAAATAACCCCAGCAGACAGGTAGGGGCTCAAGCGCGACGTAGTATCCTTGTCCCCTCTGTCACGAGCCTCGTCATACAAGAGGATTCGGCTGCCTTGATTGGAGTTCTCTGCCCCATCAGCCAGAGGGTCGACTGCTCCAAGCTGCGTCGCGCGCGCTTTGGTGTACAGAAACCGAGAGAGAGTCTGGATAAATATTTAATTGGGATGCACTCTTCCAGTGTAATACTTACCTCTTTAGCAGAAGATGTTCCTGCTGGCCATATCTTAGCCATATTGGCGTTCTCTTCAGGATCAAGTTCGAAGCCATGCACCGAAACGGGTACATCGGCATCAAATAACGGTCCGAAGACGGGATTCTCCCTGGTTGTCGAGGGGTTAGGTTTTGGGGATGGGAAGTCATTCAAATAATGTAAGAGGTTCGAATTCAAAATGTTGATCCAGCGTCGCTGATACGGCGAGTAGACCTGAAAGGCACAGGCTGAGAAAGACAAAACAAGCGGTAGAAAGAACATACTGTGTATGCCCTCCCATCCTTCGTTTGGACGACGCCTGGCTCGATAATACACCTATCGTGCACATACGTGGGCGTGATCCCCGCGTTCTTGGCTAAAGAGCAGACTTCGAGGTCACGTCGAAGCTCATCAACCTCGTATTCGATGTTTGCGAAGAGTTGAGTGGCCTGGAGAGTCTGTAGGACCGAGATAACACGAGTTGGTACTGTCTTCCGCGGAGTATGCGTGATTGTGTAAAGGGGGATGTTTAACTTTGCAAGCTCGTCCTGCAAATGAATTAGCATCCCATGATCGAGTACGAGTTGCGTGGAGACAATTCACCTTCACGAGTGAAAGGTTACGAAGAACAAAATCGATTCTTGTTTTGCTCCTGTCGTGTGCAATATAATCCTGAGGGCTCAAGATATGCAAAACCACGAGCGGGATTCGATCTTCGACTGCCTGAGAAGACGCGAGGGCGAGGGCTTTATTATCGGAAACTGGAACAGGGAGTCAAAACGGACACGCATGTTGAAAGACAACACCTACTCCGCAGGTCTCCCATCCTCATCCAGTAAACTACTGATTGTCCTTTCGCGGGGTTCTGCGTAACATTGCGCAATGCATCCAGGAGTCGTAGGAACGGCGGGTCAGTCTGGACGGCAGCTGCAGCTTCTGCTGTTGCAATCTTTATGGGTGCGAAGGGAGAGTTAGTCCTGCCTTTCTTTGACATCGCCAGTGGGCTCGGGCTACGAGCTCTCTTCATCATGGTCGTAACGAAAGAAGGAGGATGGACTTCTAGTCCGAGTCCTTTGCTTCATAGGCGATCGGTAGTCCACATCGTAACTGTCGATCGCTGGTATGACATCATCTGAGTCCCGGATGTGAATCGGACAGCATTTGACCTTTAGAGACTTTGTTATACCCACATCATTCTACCCCTTTCAAAGACGAGAAAGCGGTTGAAGGGCACTTTACAACGGCGGCTGGGGCGTGTGGGACTGGGTGCTCGTTCTGAAAGTGAGAAGAACACGAAGGCTTGGCCTCCTGTTCGGGGCAAGAACAGCAAAGAGAAAGAGGTAGCCCCAGGACCGACTGGTGGATTTCGTATCATATCTGAAATATAGAATGGCGGAATTGCGGCGGAACACACAATTTGGCTTTTAGTGCTGCAGCTCAAACCAAGTGCCGAGTGAGCATATAGTATTGATAATGTGAAGTCCTTCGAGGCGCTGATTTGAATCATCAATATGCAAGCTCGATGCAAGCACTGAGTACAGCTGAGTGCAAGCAGTACGAGCTCAAGAGAACATCGGCAATTACCTCAGCAGCAGTGGCGCAGTGCTCAATGAAAACTCCGCTACTACTAGCCTACCACTGGCAGTGAGGGGCGGCCGCCCCCTGCGGTAGGAATCATTGCTCTTATTATATATGTAGAGCTAACTTCAAGTCCTTGGTCAATCTGATCATCCAACCCTCACTATGACCGTCGCTGTCCCGTCTGCAAGTCAGTGGGGATCCCCTACTGCAAGCAGGAGAGCACTCCTCATACATGGCTCAAATTCGTCTTCGCACACGTTCCACCGTGTTGCATCGGCACTGGCAGCCAAAGGCAGGTCTTCTTCGCTCAAGCCTTTTGACAGCGCTAATCTGTCGAGAACATTATAGGATACTTTGTCATTGCTCCAAACCTTACTGGACATGTTCTTAGGCAGCCTAGGGTTGACTTTCAAGTCCAGGCATCGGCAAATGACCTCGTGCCCTATCTTCAAGCTGCTGAGTATGATATCGTCATTGGCCACTCAATGGGTGGGCTCGTAGTATTATCGCTTCTCAAGTTCCTGTCAAAAACTAGGCCTACTTCGGTGGTTCTCGTCGACTCACTTGTGGAGTTGACTGCAGAGCAGATAGCGCATCGGAGAGACATGTCTTCCAGTGATGCCACAACTAACCCCACCGCAGAAGATTATATGGCATTGAATCCTCTATGGACGAGAGAGGATGCCATTTGGAGAGTGTTGGGGACCCGTATTGGTAGGGTTAATCATGATTATCACATGAACGTCAGTGTTTGCTAGTAGCGCTCCAGAATCAACGGTGCTGATGGTTTTATACAGGGCAATGTGCCATGGTCATTTTCGCATATGTTCGCCCACAAGCCTGCTGCTGCCGCATTGACGTTTCTGATCGCGGATCCGCGACTTGGTGATGCTTCGAAGTTGGAGACTGTTGCAAAATTCAAAGACGTTAGAGCTGTGATCGTTCCGAATGCCTCACACTGGATACAGTATGAATTCCCGGAAGTGATTGTTGAAGAGGCGCTAAGGAACATCAAAGAGCAAGATGACGGGCAGTCAAGTCTTCCATGATCCCAATACCATGTGTATACCTTGATGTAGGAATGCACAAACCGGAATGGACAACAGCTTTAATCAACGAAAACCCCTGCATCTTCATCCGAAGAAGCGCCTGCGCTTTAAGGATTCCTGTCCTAAGAGCTCTTGCCAGCCACACACAGCTTCATGTATTACATCTCAATTTCTTGGGGATCGCCTCAGTACACCGCCGAACGTCCGAAAGGACATATAGGCATCGACCTCTGAGAGAAGCTAACAAAAAATTCTCACCATCTCAATGACGGATAGTCAGACTGGTTACGAGTCTAACGACTCCGAGCATAATGCATGATGATCAAGAGAACATCGCGGCGATTACCTCAACAGCAGCAGCGCATTTAGCCCAATGAAAACTCCGCTAGAGGCTTGGTTAGTTTTCTCGCTTGTTAGGATGAAAACGGTCAGTGTGGTATCATTGCTCCTAAGTATTACTGTCGAGATACGCACCTAGTAGGTTCGACCCTATTTGGGTGTGACCAAATGAACATTAGGTTCGAAGGTTATCCCGACGGTATAAATGTAGAGCTAACTTCAAGTCCTTGATCATCCAACCTCACCATGACCACTGTCCCGTCTGCAAGTCAGTGGGGATCCCCTTCTGCCAGCAGGAGAGCACTTCTCATACATGGCTTAAACTCGTCTTCGCACACGTTCCACCGTGTTGCATCGGCGCTGGCAGCCAAAGGCAGGTCTTCGCTCAAGCCTTTTGACAGCGCTTACCTTTTCACAACATCATAGGATATTTGGTCATTGCTCCAAACCTTCCTGGGCATGCTCTCAGGGAGCCTGCAGTTGATTTCCAAGTCCAGACATTGGCAAATGACCTCTTACCCTACCTTCAGGCTGCTGAGTATGATATCGTCATTGGCCACTCAATGGGTGGGCTCGTAGTATTATCGCTTCTCAAGTACCTGCCAAAAACTAGGCCCACTTCTGTGGTTCTTGTCGACTCATCTGTGGAGTTGACCGCAGAGCAGATAGCGCATCGGAGAGACATGTCTTCCAATGATGCCAAAACTAACCCCACCGCAGAAGATTATATGGCATTGAATCCTCTATGGACGAGAGAGGATGCCATTTGGAGAGTGTTGGGGATCCGTATTGGTAGGGTAACCAACCCTGATGATCACAGAAACGTTAGTGTTTGCTAGTAGCGCTCCAGAATCATAACGGTGTTGATGGTTTTCCACAGGGCAACGTACCATGGTCATTTTCGCATTTGTTCGCCGACAAGCCTGCTGCTGCCGCATTGACGTTTTTGATCGCGGATCCGCGATTTGGTGATACTTCAAAGCTGGAGATTGCTGCAAAATTCAAAGACGTTAGAGCAGTGATCGTTCCGAATGCCTCGCACTGGATACAGTATGAATTCCCGGAAGTGATTGTTGAAGAGGCGCTAAGGAACATCAAAGAGTAAGATGATGGGCGGTAAATACCTACATGATCCCAATACCATGTGTATACCTTTGTAGGAAAGTACAAACCGGAATGGACAACAGCTTTAATCAACAAAAATCCCTGCATGCTCATCCGAAAGGACGGGCATCGACTTCTGAAAGAAGCTAACAAAGCAGAGTTGGCAGCGTGTGCGACTAGGTGCTAGCGCTCATTCTGAAAGTGAGATTAACACGAAGGCTTGGCCTCCTGTTCGGTGCAAGACCTAAACGCCATCTCGTCAACGCTATTCGAGTTTCAGACCGGCTGCAGTGTCTGCAATGTTATAGTGTATATTTTTGCAGATAGTGAGATTCCAAGTTACAAAGCGATTGACAATTTAGCATACGGTATATTCAGGGTACGTCAGACCAGCAACGAGTACTCCAGTGGGACTATCTTCTCTGTCATTTTTGCACCTGTAGTAAGCACCTCGAGGAACTCATTCACCGTAGTCCATTTATCCGCAAAATTTTGAAATAACGGCGGCAGGTTGACTGTGTCGTAGAAAAGACAGAGAACATTGGTCAAATTGGGTAGTAAGGTATGCAGTTGAAAGGCCACAGCGAAGGGATCCGCGATTGGAGAGACCCCCACGTCAATGCTGGAGATATTTTTGTTGATAACGATTTTAGAGAACAGCTCAAAGTCGCTATCGGAGTTAATCGAACTGGCGTGAAAAGGCATCTGAATGGTGTGCAAGCGCCGGCAATGTTGTATGAGGTGGACGAGTCCTATGAAGGTGAGAGATGGTGGGACCAGCCAAAGAATCCCACCTCCAAAATAAAATTCCTCGAGCTGAGGCCAAGATTGCGCCATTATCTTGAGTGAGTCGTCGTCAATAGCCGAAATACAGAAACAAGATAGGTCTAATATTGTTAAGCGACCGAACGACAGCAACGGGGCAAACACGTCAAAGTCCAGGGCAGAAAGGGGATCGGTGAGTCCTTCAATGGTAAAGCCTTCGAATTGGGAGTCAAATTCGACCGTAAGTTGCTCGAGATCAGGCAAGAAGCACTCTGAGAGGGAGACAATGAGGTCTGGGATATCCAGAGGGTCATAAGGTAGCTCTGCACCAGTTTTCTCGACGCACAACAACACTGATCGACAAGGGATAGAATGGACGTTTCTGAGAAGCCGAGTCAGAACAGAAGAAGTTGGTGCAGCAATAGACACGTCATTGAGTTGACAGGTAAATGTCGGAGTGAGATTGGGTTGTATGTCGTCCAAGCCGCATGTCCTAAAGTGCAAAGACTTCAATGACGATAGAGAAGCCACGTGAAAAAGCGCCTGTGCGTTGAGGATTCCTGTCCTAAGATCGACGAGTTCCCGCCAGCCACACACAGTTTCACGTATTACGTCTGAAGTTCCTTGGGAATTACCCCAGTACAGACAGCTGAATGTTCGAATGGATGGGCAGCGACCTCTGAGAGAAGCTAACAAACCAGATTTGGCAAAAGAGGGTTTCCAATCGTCCAGTGAAAGCGATGAGATAGTTGGCCGAAGCAAGGTGCGCAACAACGGAATGAAACAATCTCGGCTGTCCCCCCAATCCAAACGACGAAGGTTCGGTAACAGCAGTGTGGGTGGCGGCCCAAACATTAGCGTTTGTACGACCCGATCGTCCATGACGTCTAGATCCGTAGATTCGATGGTCAAATGGCGGATACGTTGTGCATATTGACCAGATATATTACACTCTCTTATAACGGGAGTTCTCTTGAGTGTCTGTTTGAAAATTAAGCATTCCATACCATGTGGGTCCGCGTTTGCAACATCTATCTTACAAAGTTTCCTTGCATGCTATTGATTCCGACGCCTTCAGGCAAGCACGAGATGAGTGGCTTGAACCCATACACGTGTTTCCAAAGGATATCGAGCGCAGGCTCCTTAAATGTCCTGCAGGTTCTTGCGAGAGCAGCAAGTGTGGTACGAGAGATCGGTGTCAAGTCTTCATGATCATAGATAGTTGCGAATATACAGAGTAGGGTTTCTGCTGGTAGGAGACAGATGTGTGGCATGGCAAGAGGAATTACACGAAGTATTGTTTGGACCAACTTGATAAAAGCTGATTCAAACTCAGGTAATGCTTAGTCACTTACATTCTTTGTCTGACCTGAATTCACGACAAAGGTTCGTGCTGAGTACACATTTGAGCTAAATGTTATCACGCGTGTAGCGATTATTTGAGTGCTCAACAGTTCGCCTGATCATTGGGCGTGGCCATTGTCTTGTGTCAAGCCTTTGTCATGATGTCACTCTCCCAAAAACAACTCGAACACCGTAGATTCCTGACGCTTGGTGAAATCACAACAGCTACGTCTCGAATCGTTGTGCAATAAATCGACAGTTCACAAAGCAAGCTTTGGGCCAAATCAGCACATCAACGAAGTGCGTTATTTGCGGCGCTCACCAAAGCCAAATGACCACCAACGACCGGGCGGGCCCTAAATCCATCCACAGTGCCATCAAGCGTCTCATACCAGTCTCCCAATGGCTGATTACTTTCACCGTCGGCAGCATACTTGTAGACAGAGTCGATGAACATGTCTCGCGTCGTCGTGTTCGTCATAATGGCAGCAGTCCATAACTCCCAGTCGGACTTAGTGTAGGTGTGGCTATGAGCCTGTTGGTTATAGGTTTCACCCAAGTCAAGAAGAAGCTTACCGAGTGTCCAAAGGGACGCCGTAAGCGTCTTGAAAGGATGATTTTCTGTGTAAGCCACTATTCCATGTTGACTGCATGTGATTCACTCACTGACGACAGTGCTATACCACGCGGTTTCTACGAAACTGTTCAGAATTGTCCAGCGCGAGTGAAAGCATGACTTACGCATGTCGTAGACAGACTCTGGGAAAACATTGGTGCGAAGTAACTTATCTGCAAACAGGTTGTAAGACAAGCCCCACCTTTGCACTATCAGTGATGCCCCGCACAACGCAGATTTCATACGCGAGACCTACGAGCTTTCATTTCCGTAATTCAAGGTGAGATGCAGCCCATCGCTCGAGGTAGCATAATCAAGTATTTGCGGAACATAGCTCTGTACGATTGACTGGACATTTAAAGAGTAAGTTCGTGTCAAACCAGGGCTTCAACAATAACGTACGCTGTAGTTCCGTTGATTGGCAGTGTCGCCCAACATGCCCGAAATTACAGACATAGCCTGGATGCCTATCACACCCTTGATGGCTAGGTTGGTTTGGTTGGGAAGAGCCCCCGCAAAATCGTCTGTGCTGATCTGATTTGCGGGAATGAGGGCTTCTGCGACGAGGTATCCGGTCCATTGGTTGAGAAGTTCCGTCTGTGAAAAGTGGTGAATATATGGGGGACGAGGTCATGGCGAGCACTGACATATTGTGCGATCAAGGAAGTGTCATGAGACTTTTGAGTGTAACTCAAAGCCATAATGAGCATGTTTCCGCACTCTGAACGCACAGGCGCTGAGAAATCGAGTTATATGTACAGAGAGGGAAATCACCTTCGAGAGGCATTGCTTCATCGTTACCAGCATTGTGGCCAGTAGCATTGGGGTAAGATGAACCTAATCAACAATCAGAGGAATTATGGAAACACAATGCTGTTTCTGTGAGAGACAAACCAAGATCATGGGCAGCCCAAGCGTTGGGATATTGTCCGGTAGCCTGGTACTCTAGGAGGCCGAGCAGGAGGTATTTTCCGAGTATGGGATTGGTGTACAAGAGAATAGGCCACGCAGGCATGATGACATCCACGGTATTCACATTCTGGGGTAGCGAAGGTAAGCAACGTACAGCTCCAAAGCATATCACCTACACCATCGCTAGAGATCTCTGAAGTTATCATGTCAGAAAACTGATTTGAGGATTAAACGCAGCCATAGATTACCCTTCAAGAACATCAGGATATCATCTGTGTTCCAACTTCCATCACTGTTCTTCGACAATGTGAGCTCCAAGGCTCCGAAGGCCTGACGAACCGACAGCGCTACGACAGCAGCATAATTACTTGAAATGGTCGAGGCGTCGCTCTGGACTTGCTGGTCGAACGCTTGCGCACGTCGCAAAGCAGTAGAATAGTCCCCAACAAAATCAGAAATCTGGAGCATAACTTCCAAAACTGGTGATAGATCGCAGAAGACTATGGACGTACCAAGTCCGCGACGCTTGAATAAGCACTCCAGAAGTAAACACTTCGGGGTTGGTAGACGTCATTCGCGATGATGTACTGAATTGCCGGATCTCTCACATGACCCACAGTGTAGATCACAGGGACAGTGGCAGTGGTCGACACCGTGCCAAGGTCGTGAGCGAAAGCAAATACTGGCCAATCATCGCTGACAGCACGGAAGTTGCTGTCCTCACTATTGGAAAGAACGCCGTCGTTGATGAATTGAGCTCGAACAATGGCGTCTTGGCCAGTTTGGTATGTCACAGAGGACGACTGACGAAGAAATCAGCGTGATAAGATAAATTGAGTGACAAGGGTGCACACATTCGGTGTAGAATAATAGGCTGCTCCCTCTAAATCAAGATCTGAATCAGTAAGGCAACTAAGCTGTGCTCGTCACTCACGTTGGATATGGTCACTATACTCGGTATACAACTCCTGGTTCTCAAGCATGACTTGATGAGTCAAGATGTTCCCGGTAGTAGTGGTCCAGTTGACCGTCAGAGAGTCATCTCCAGATACCCATTCTGCGCTTATGTCGGTATATACACTGACGGTATGCGACTCGCCATCATTAGACACTGCGGACAGTGCAAGATACGAGAAGGGGATGGATTGCTTGAGGAGATCTGTGGGCTAAAAATAACTTGCTGCAATGTAAACGGAAAAAAAAAGTGTATGTACCTCGACAGGGCTTAGGAAGTTCACATTTAGGTCCACAGGCCCGGCAGTCATCACAAAAATACTCTGCGTTGAAGTGAACTGCATTGTGGTGTCTAAGTTTGCTTGTATGCATATGATCGAACCACAATCACCTCTAGGCTCTTTTGGACGGCAAGCCGAGCGCCTGCGACAACAGGATCACCCAAGAAGGTATACGTGGTACCATCAACTCTGATATAGCCAGCCCATCCAAGAGTCTGCACAGCAATGTCTTATTCGATGTCCAAATGTGTATATAACGAACAAAACCCACCGATCCAGTCCAAAACTGGGGCCAGGCTTCGTTCAGCGCTGTGCCAGCACCTTGGGGCAGCCATGCAGACAGGTAAGGCGTCCGGACTGCGAGCGGGATAGAAGCGGGATTGAAAGGAGTCGCATTCCAAGAAGCAGCGGCGGCAGTCAGCGCTAACGTAGCCAGCGAGAAAAACTTTGTTAGACCCATAATAGGCACTGGGTATGAGGATAAGACGGTGGAGATCGTCATCAGGGACTCCGCATGATCGGACTCCACCATTTTATATCCAGCGCGACCCTGATTTGAATGTAAGCGGTGGTTGCTTCGAAGCGTCATGGCCTCCTAAAAACAGACCATCCAATAATCCCAGCTGCTGCGTGTAGCATGCGGCACCGACGGGTCATGCATAGGTTCTGGTCGCATCAATGGCTTCTTATGTCAAACTCCACACTTCAGAGCGGTCATGAGTCTAACTCACGTCATTTTTTCTAAAGTCTTCTACAGGTCCTTGTGAAATTAATTGTACTCATAGCATGGTACTCCAGTCGCCAGTGAGGTCGCAATACTGCCCTCGCGCGGGCCTCCTCGGCGTTCATACCTGCAATTAATGCTGCAGAGAACAATAAGTAGACCTTCCGGAGCGTACCGCAAACCGAAGCCGTGGCGACCATGCGTTTCATTTCTGAGTATTTCTCACCACTGATCTACCGAATGAGAAACACACAGAAAGAAACGCAGAAAGATATCTTCTCCACAGATAAACTGATCAGAGTTACGCCGACCTAGTCAGAAGTACAGCGTATAATGAACACAGAAAATGTCCACCTGTGCCCTCGTAGCATACCTCGTGCAATCGATAATCAACGCAACAGCTTCAAATCAGCGCAAAATGCCACCGCATACTTGGCCTAATCGTGGTGATGATGATCGTGAGATGCAAACATGCGACGTAACCGAGTTCGAAGTTTTACAGCCACCGCCGTTAACGTCACATGACCTCAAACCCAAAGAGGCGCGCAAACGGTCTTGCACACGGCACCCTTCTCATAACGAACCTCTCCGCAGGCTGGCTAGCTTGTCCGTGCACCCAAGCACTTTTAAATGGACCTCCCTACACCAAGGGAACTAGACCTTGAGACCGAACTCAGAAAACGAGATGCTCAGGTCGCTGAACTAACGGTGAGGCGCTCCTTTTTCCAGGCGCCGATGTCGCGCGCTGTCGTATTGATAGACCCGGTCTTGTCTAGGATGAGGTTACACGTCTTCGCCAGCACCTTGCTGCTCAGAATGGTGCATCGACTACAGATCCGGTTACATTACCTCCTGCGCTAGTCTCTGTGTTGTTACCGCACATCAATAAGGCAGCTTCTAGTGAAGGAACAGGAGTGGCTTCTTCGTCGAGTACGGTTAACACCGCACTGACGCAGAGGGTGCGCATACTGCAGGAAGAGAATGACGAGCTGTATGAGATGCTCAAATCCGGGGAGACTGGAAAGCTTAAGGAGGAGGTTCGAGGACTCAGACGAGTCGTGGAGAGATTAGAGGGAGCTTTGCGAGGTATGTGTATATTGACTTCTTTTTATTTTAATTGACCCTCACATGCGACACGTTTCATTAGAATCTCATCAAGTAATCGCTTCATTGTCGTGAGTGACCTCATAAGCTATGTGTCTCCTCCCTCACGCATAGACATTATAGGTCGGAACTAGACAAGTCCTACGAAAGCTTCCAAACTTCTCTCCGTCAAATGAATGCTAACCACCATTCATACGCGCCTGCCCCTCGCGACTCATATCACCCCGCATCTACGAGTAATGGGGTAATCAAACTTCCCCCAACCGGGCCCAGAGCTCACAAGAAGCCGCGTCTCTCGGAGCCCAAAGTATCACCCGCACGCTCCAACATCTCTCTGCCACCAACAAAACCCCAGATTGTCAACGCGCGGCAGAGTATTCCTAGAGAACACGAGCCTCCTCGCTCGCCTCGCCTCTCCCCCACAGAGCCCCGCGCAAAACCAAGCAATGTAAAGATGGAGGTTGATGAAGATTCGCGGACACGTCCACGCTCCCCTAGTGATAATAGGGACCGCGAGTCCCACCGCCGCGATAAAGATCGCACACGCGAACACGACGGAGAGCGCGAGAGAGACAGGGACCGGGACCGTTTCCCGCGGCGCAACGGTGGGAGCGGCGGAGGGGGGCGGAGGGCTCGAGGGTTTGCAGGTCACGCGTATGCATTTGGAGATCGGACGTTGGCGGAAAGAATGGGACTTTAAACCAAACATTGACTTTCGCTCCTTTGGGTATCATGACCGCTGCATCTTTGGACCTTCAAAGACATGTTTTTGTCTTGGTTCATAATAGTGTATTTGGTGCGGTTCCCAATCAAATCGAAAAAAATGTATCGATAGCTGACTTGACTTTTTGTTTTTTTCCCCTTTATCGCTACAGCTGTATCCTTACCATCTTCCAATCCTTTGTTGTTGCATTACTATGCACGAATGATCATGATTGGTATTATTTATACTTCGCTTGTTCATGCTATGTTGTATTTTGCAGTGCACAAGCCTAAGTCGCCGCTAGGCGCCGCCTACACACCGAGCAAAGTCTTAGTTGCTCGACGTTATTCTGGATCCAACCACAAAATAAATATCTTTTTTTGTTTGAATCGAGCCCAGAAGTGATATTGATCATGTGCTCATCGATCCAGATGACCTTGCAAGTGACATGTAATTTGCACCGCACGCTTGTATCGGCCATCATACGTCTCATTTCCCCACAATCAGCGCTCGCTGTCCATATCCGTGCCCGACGCGGTCGCCGTACATCACGGCGCACTAGTACGCACAGCAACTTGAAGCCCGTATGCTCCAACTGTCGTGCTTCCTCGGCTTCTTATGTCAAATTTGAAAGATAGTTTCCTCGCACATTCTTGAAATTAGCGCATTATTGTGAATGACGGCTTCACCCGACCATGACCTATCGCTTGCCGTATGACATGATTCCCGACCTTTGTTATGTCAAGAAAATTTGCTCTTGCCTCGTTGCACGTCCCGAAAGTTGCTTTATTATCAATGACGGTTATAAGCGCCTAGGCGGCCTAAGGGACCAACGTCATCCAGGGGGGAAATCATGAGACACCGGAGTGGCGCCCTCCTTGGAAACGTCATGATTGCGGGTATTCTTGACCTTCTGCTTTCTCTGGAAGAGTCTTCGGACGTCATCAAGTCACCAAAACAACGTCATGACATTAGGTTCCTCCCGACTCCCGAGTAGCTAGGCACGCTAAGATAGCGTCCGCGTGGCGCCGTAAGAGGTAAGCTTGGAAGATTCATTTCGACCTAAAACCTTTAACGGTCTATGGAGAGCAGACTTGCTTGCGCGTGTCTGACTGCTTTTCGTGGTCTGAGCTAGTTGGTCTTGAGGTTGTGTCGATCGTCGGTCGCTTGGCCGAATATCGTATATACATAAAGTTACTCTCGATCTTAGAAAGTTTGAACTACGAATGCAAGTACGTCTTTCCGGCCCGGCGGAAGAACAAAATTCAGGCTAGGGGGTTCGCGCAGACTTCTAATTGAACGTTCCAAGAAGAGCTAACTCGAGTAGTACAAGCTGCATTGCTTCAACGACAGTTTGACATTTGTATCAGTAGGTATTACGAGTGGTGGGACACGATGAAGAACATTATGGTACTGGATGGGATAAGTAATGGTACGGGATGTATGTAAAGTAGGTTTTGTGGGTCGGTGGGGGATGATGGGAGCAATGGCGGTATTACATCAGTGAGAGTGAGGGAGGTATACTAGAAAAGAACGAAAAGCACAGATGGAGTGCATCGCGCGTTAATGCGCGGGTATAAATATTAAAGAAAGAATATACGCGTATGTGCAAGGAAAGTCGTTGGCAGGTGATGTCGTCCCAAGGATGTTAAGCCATGTGTACAATAATGGCACAAGACCTGGTGCCAGGCCTTATTTAAGGTTCATCAAGATGCATTGCTCGACGAGGCGAGCGGAATGGTGCTCGTGCACGCTCATACTCGGCAGTCCCTGCGAGGAGTATTGTGGATAGTAAAGAACTGCATGCAGGTCATTGCGCCGGGAGACTGAGGTGTTGATTCACAACGTGCCCTCGAGAGGGAAGGTGATAGGTCGAAGAGAGCGTGGTGGGCGGGAGCAGTGGCTTGTTTATTAGGTATTGACCGCACGACAGATTTCTTATCGGTTGGAGCGAGCATGAATGCTGGGATGGGAGGAACGGGTGGTGGGGGGGACGAGATTGAAGGGCTAGGTGGCGGTGAGCGGCAACGGGTTGAAGATTGACCGAAGCCGCGCCTGCTTGTGCGTGTTGGGGAAGGAGATAGGATAGGAAGTGATGTTATTGATGAGTTACTTCTCCTGCCCAATGCACGTTTACGCGCGCCAAAGTCATCGTCTTCACCGAAAAGACCTTCCTTTGCCTTCCTGTCTAAGCGGTCATGTGACCTGGACGCGTTCAAAGTGTTCTTAAGAAGTGGTGAGCCTATGAGGCGAGGGGGAATGGGTGGTGAATTATTTGGAACGGTCAAACGAGAGTTGCGATGAATGGGGGGCGGTGATGGTAGAGGGGTTGGGACGAGCTGAGGTGAAGGCATTGGAGGAGGAGGAGACTGTGAACGAGCTCGAATGAAAGACATGATGAGTTGAACTTGTGTGGTTGCCCTGTGATATGATGGGCTTGTTCCGGGACATAATTTTCTTGAAGGGACTTTTATATGCTCACATGAGGCCGTGTAGTATACTTAGTTCGTTTTTGTTGTTCCGAAAGAGAAGAATGAAATTGGACGCAGTCCGAGTCACTTAATCGATCGACGTAATCCTTACCATTCACCCGGTATCAGTTGCCTAATTGGGGTTATACTCCTCCGAATGAATTACATCCGGAAATACTGACTGAGTTGCTTTCTTGATCAGAACCGAATAAATTTATTTTGACGTGGACTAGAGAACACGCGGAAGCCTAGCATGCATCCAGGTATACGCCACTCCGTAGACCAGAGTCGGAGGAGACAGCAATCCCGTAGGACGCGCTCACAACCCACGCCAACATATGACTCACTTGGAAACCAGGGTCAAACAACTGACTGGCACCATCGCCCGCACCTGCCGCTCACAGGAGTTAAATACGTCAAAATTAATCCGATAAAATCTGAAAAACAGTTGTTTGACGTGTATTTCGTGTTTTTTACGGGTCTCTATCCCGTGAATCGGTACTACCGCAAGCTACCTCTCCCGAGATGCGCTGATTCTCCGATCTTCCGTGCACGCCCTCTCTCATGAACAACTCGATTCATTGCAATTGTCGCCAGCACGCCCTTTGCCATAGATCCTCCTTTCATGCTTCTCTAATTAACAAAATGTGCTTCTGCGATTCGCATATTGTCCTCGTCGCCCCCATGATCATCATCACCAGCCCATCAAATAAACCGTCTTTCTATACGTGAGACGTTGGTAAGAAGAATCAGAAGCCTTCTAATATTCAAACACCAAATCAGGAGTCCTCTCTCTAGGTAGCCCATTGTTAACCCGTGATTTTATCACTGACCATCAGATGTCGCCACCTATCTGGACCCACACTGACTCCCATTGTCCTCTCAATCCAGCGAATAATCGCTACCCTCCGTTACACAGCAAAACATATATATTCACCGTGCGAGGTTAAGTCCTCGGAAGTTTGTGAAAGGGTTCAACCTTTAAATTCGTTCTTGTACCTTTAGAAACGTTACCCGGGACGCTCATCCCATCGATAACCGTTCGGGACATGAACTGGACCGGCCGTGATGCCGTGACAATATTCAACCACATGCCCATATGTTCCATTGAGGCCTTGTTCGAAGTGCACATGTCTTCCTTCCAGCTTACTTTTTGCTAAATACACGTATAGCCTTGGTCGCGAGCTAGCCGACACCGACAGCGATTCGCGTGCACTCATTCCGCGGTTTCGAATTTACCAAAGACGCTGAATTTGCCGCCGGGTGAACTTGTGAAGTGGTACGTCCACATTTTCACATTCATTGTTTACGAAACTTAATGCAGAGCCTAAACTGATCACCGTCAGCCTCAGTCTGAATCGCCCACTTGCGGCTGACTTTCTGCGCGGTTTGGATAACCCGGGCGCAAATTTTACCGGAGTAAAGCCTAGCACTAGTGTTCTGCACCTTTTGCCAGACCTGGTAAAATACATATGAGTTCACAGTAAAAAGTGCAGTACACCATGTGCGCTGCAGTGGTGCGTCCATGTCCACCCTTTTAAATTTAAATTTTCATTACTTACGATGCAGTGTCTCACCGTCAGCCTCAGTTTGAATCGTGTTCTTGCGGCCGACTTGGCGTACCGCTGTAAGCTCAAATCCGATGTCAGCCTCGGTGGTTGACATCAAACTACGATTCAAGTATATCTACATTGCATGTTCTCCCATGACTGACATTCCGCTTTCCATCTACTACGTTTTCACTATGTTGTCCTGCACGTTCGTAACGTTGTTTTTCCTTCCACTCCTTACCCTTTCCGCTCCTTCCATCCAGTTCCCTTCTAGCTTTGGAAACAACTTACAACTGGCAAACGTACCAACCCATCCCGAGGTCGAACGCAGCCCCGCTGACGTGCCAGGGTCATATGTAATGACCTATTTTGTTGACTGGGCACCCCGGGACAACATGAACTACGCCCTATTCGACTTCATCGACTTTGCGTTTGCTCTCCCAGACGCAGAGTTCAAGCTGATCTTTGATTCGGATAATGCGCCTGCCATGCTCCGGAAGCTCGTGAAGGAAGCACATGGCGCGAATACCATGGTCAAGCTTAGTATTGGGGGATGGACAGGCAGCCAGTGAGTGTACTCCTGGCTTCTCCTTTGCGTCACTCATAGTCTTTCAGGTATTTCTCGCAAGCCGTGTCCAATGCTGCTAATAGGAAGATCTTTGTCGACAACATCCGCGCCACCTACGATGAATATGACCTCGATGGTATCGACATCGATTGGGAGTACCCCGGACAAACAGGCAGACCAGGCAACTCCGAAAGTCCGAGCGACGAAGAGAACATGCTCGCGTTCCTTCAGCTTCTTAGGCAGTCGCTCCCCCCGGGTGCCAAAATGTCAGCAGCCGTTCAGGACACTCCCTTCGCCGGCCCCAACGGTCAACCTATCACAGACGCGTCTGAGTTCGCAAAGTGCCTTGATTGGATCTTGCTCATGAATTACGACGATTTTCAAGGTCCGTATGAATTCGAAACGATAAGGAAAGCACTGATGCATGGTAAATTATAGCTGCAAATCCCCCTGGTCCGAACGCGCCCTTGTACGATGGGTGTGGTCAATCCACTCAGCCCTCCCAGAACGCAGCAGCCGGATACAACGCCTGGACATCAGCAGGTTTCCCCGCGAACAAGATGGTTCTTGGCATCCCAGGGTACGGCTACGTCACCAATACCGGTGCAGACCACCTTCGACAACGCTCTCCCGAAGCCCCGCGTCTCCACCGCCTCGCCAGGCGCACTACCGTTAATTCTGACGACGACCATCAAGTCCAGTTCCGAGATCTCGTGTCAAAGGGCATTTTGCAGCGCAACGACGACGGAACGTACAGCGCCGTGCCCTCGAGCGGCTTCACGCGTTCCTGGGACAAGTGTTCTGCGACACCTTTCTTGCATTCGAACACGCAGACCATTCCGTACGACGATCCTGAATCGCTCGGTATGAAAGGCGCTTTTGCAAAAAAGACGGGCATGCTTGGTGTTAACATGTTTGATGTGCATGGGGAGACGGACCAGTGGGACCTCATCACGGCGACGCGGAATACTTTTCTCGGCCCTCCATCTACTCCGGCATCTGATCCTGCTTCCTCTTTGTCACCCCCAGGTTCGCCGTCTACAACAACATCTGATCATGATCCCTCTTTGTCATCCCCAGCTTCGCCGTCTGAACCAGCAATGCCCGGGGATCAGCAGCAGGGACTGATGGGACCCTTGGCATGAACGTGAAAGCATGATTGATGGCAGGTTAGGGATGATGTGGGCAGACCAGGCTGTGCGTGCGATTGGGTTTCTAGGCAGGATGGGCTGGTAGGATGGATCCGGTGCTGCCGTCGGTATGGGTTATTCCACTGCTGGGTCATGCTTGCCTCTCTAGGCTAGCGTTGAACCACGCTCGCTGTCAAATGGAGATGTCTTGGACTTGTTACATTGTCAATCAATGAAGGATGGCTTGGTACCTTTTTTCATATCGCCCGGGAGTTGACATGTTCCAGTCGTGTGAGGTATTAAGTTGGTAGAGCCATTTATATCGATCACCATCAACATCTGATTCTGATTCTGGTTCTTTCTCGACTCCCGATCAGTTCATCAAGAAGTTCGAAGCAGTGTGGCAGTTCAAGAATGGGGAAATGAAAGGCTAGATTTCGGTCTGGGCGAAATATAGGTATATGTGATGTATGGGAACGGGTTCCTTGGTTGGACTGTGCAGTAAATAGCTATCTTATGAAACTTTTCCCTCTCTACGCGCTGATATTGCCCCGGTGGGAGTTATGTATGGTGTTGGGTATTGTTACAACGGTATACCGCCGAAAGTACGAGAGCGGGTGTCTCTGTACAGTTGATAGCTACAAGGGGAGATGAAACTCGACCCGGTTGCGAGTATAATGTGCACGGCACCGATTGGATGAAAGGGAGCGGTGGTCATGGGAGCGCGCGGATGCTCGGAGATGGACGTGATGTTTCCCGACGCGTGAAATGAATGCGAAAAACGCATATGAACTTGCGTCAAAGGTTCCTTCTCGTGCGTGTACTCGAGCTCCCGTACGCGTAGGAATACGGGAACAACGACGGGAAAATGTCGCGTGATGGGCTTGTTTACATGGCGCACAAAATCTTCCTGAGCCCTTTGATTGAGCCAGAGCTCTGCTTCTTCTGGGTGGTGGTGCGCCTATTGGTGGGACCGAAGACCTTGCGAAGGTCTTCGCACATGACGTGGTTATCACGGGGCGACTGCGCATGACCAAAGAGGGCAAATGCGTTGGTAGAAGCAGTGATAGAAGGGAAGCCAGAGAAGTGGGTGTTTGTATTGTAGGTTGTGTAAGCCATTGCGTTAGAGAAGGATGTGTACGCGAGAGAACGGGTGCGTTGTGCGATATTTAGATATGTTGCTCGGAGGCAGGTGAAACTGCTGCTGATGGGGAGCCATGTCGAAGTTCGGGCTGCTTAAGTACCTAGGCCTCGAGTCCTGTCGATTGCTGCTGCTCTGGCGACCGCGTGTGACAAGGGCGAGGAAGAAATCAAGCAATCAGATGGCGTCGGGAACTGCCTTATTCGGTAATTCTTGAGTGCAATATCCATGGGACCCACGGCGAACAAGCGATTGAGACATTCTCGAGGCGAGTCATGGAAACAAGGCCGAAACAGGAAAATTTGTTTCTGAGACGCAATCGAAGACAACAATGAGTGGCGGTTGTTTGTGTCGGTTTGGCAACGCCTTCACAAATCAACAACGCACAACATATGTAAGACTGACTTGCACCTTGTACGCATAGTTTGTCGGTCTGGAGTCTGGACAGATTGACCTGACTAGTGACCATCTGCAGGAAATGTGGAGGGTACTCTGTCACTCTTTCAGGAGTACTCAAGCATTGCGTCAGTTAACTGATTACAGGCTAAAAGTCTGACACCTGTCCGCCTGTTTCTGATTTATGGCTCTCCGTTGACTTGGCGTTTTTGGATAGATTGGCGAGACAAGAGTGATGTCTCTGGCAAGGAAATAGTACTAGTACTAGTGAGACAGCTGTAAGTGAGTCTCAGAACTACTACAAGGATAAGTGTTATCAGGCTCATTCAAGTCTTAGTTAGGAAATACAAGATGCCGTGTGATAGTGTCACGTGACCGCTAGTATAAAATCACAAGCCAATTTTCAGTCACGTCGCTGGCCAGGGGTTAACCTACTCTCACCTTTTGTCATCGCTCTCAGTCTGGTCCACATCATCAGCCTGGTCCACATCATTAGCCTCAGTCTTTCCTTCTTCAAACCATAATCCTCCTTGAACATGCAACTCGTCGAACAGAAGAACAAGATAATACAGTCCATGACTTTCCACAAGGGACTCGTGTCGTCTCTCTGGCGCTTGCCAACTGAAATCTTATCCCAAATTTTTCACCTCTGTCTCCCTGAAGACAAGTACTTGTCACCCTCATCGAAACAGGCCCCCATGCTGCTGACCACCATATGCCGACCATGGAGGGAGGTCGTTGTGGGTACGCCCAGTTTATGGTGCAGGTTAAATGTAGAACCCAGTGGCAGAGATTGGGAGAAGGCGGATTGGGAGAAGGCAGTTGTCTTCTATCACTCATGGCTCAAGCGAGCACGAGGAATCCCGCTCTCAGTAGCATTCAAATGCTGGAACTCGTCTGAGCAACGCAGCCTTCTTCTGCCTTACGTCAAACAAATCTCGTCCCTCGCCATCCGTATTTACCACGGATCGGGAAATCCTGAAGATTTGTTGAAAGACCTACCCCGGCTACCCGCACTTCAGGAGCTGGTCGTACGAGCTCCAATATTTACACCTAGGATGTCAAAATCTATCTCGCGACTGCCATCCACTATGCGTAGCCTCGATGTCTCGGAGTTGCCGCCGTTCGACATCGAGCGCTTAGCTTGGTTCAATCACGTATGGGTCCACCTGACGAACGTCAAGATCTTCATAAGTCACCCGGACGCATTACTCCACTTGCTCCGTCTATGTCCCAACCTCTCCTCGTTAACGGTTCACACATCATTCTACGACGCGAAAATCTTGGAGCCACTTACGCACGCCAACATTCAATCCTTATCCTTTTTGAACCACTCTGGTGACATAGGGTGCTTAACTGGCCTGTTCAATGCCTTGTCACTCCCCAATTTGCGCGTTTTTGAATTGCAGCACAAGGCAAAAAACCAATGGCCTCACGAGGTTTCGTTGGCATTTTTGGCACGGTCGAGGTGTTCCCTGGAGAGCCTGATCATCAGCGGTCGGGTGATGATGACAGAGGTGCAGCGAGCGGAATATATTGCGCTTAGTCCTTCTCTCAACATCTTCGTGGTTCGCAGGAGTCAACACTTTTCGTAAGGGCTCAGTTGTTACCTGAAAAATGATTGTAGTACCAATACAGCGCGAGGAGCATCCGAAGATCAAGAGTATTACCGGCGTACCCATGTTTGGCCTTTACGCAGAGATACATACACGGAGTACATCGCAGCGGGGATTTGTTACCTACCTTCCTGTATCGTACAGAGACTATACCACTGCTTTAAAGGCGAGATATAACTCTACGTGGACTTTCAGAAGGCTACAATGATTTTTTCCCTACTTGTGGCTAAAGGTACAACTAAGCGATAACGCTTCGCAGCGCCACCTGGGACGCCCGATAAAAACGATAGCCCATGTTAACCCCTTTCTGGCAAGCTGGAACGTAGGGATCGTCAGTCTCCCTTACTAGTCAGGCCATAAGAGAAGGAAGACAGTCGTTCCTTGTATATTACGGGGTCAAGCTGTATAAGGCCCATGCGAGATGTACATATTACATTCCACAGTCGGAATCATTTCTGTTTGGGCGAAGCCGATATCATGATAATGGTTCTGAGCGTTTACAAGACGATACTGGTACAGCGCAGCTTGTTCAGCTATAGCATCGTGAGGGTAGCGACGCGAACACACCGAAAGAAAATGGAAAACTGCCGCACCACAGGTGTGCATGTGAGCCAACATGCAATATTGATACAACAAAGGGGTAAGTATCTGCGTAGACAGGTGTCGTCAAGGTGCAAAGCAAAACTCTACAGAAATTCCCGCTCTTCACAATGCACATGCCTATAGTATATCTAGCGTCCTAGCGTCCATCATGCTGCGAACTGAAGCCATATTTTCGACTTGGGCAATGATATGGCGATCTGACACGATTCTTTTGTATTCTCCACCGGGCTGCTGTGCTAGCAAAAATGCGCTGAAAGGTTGTCCAAGGCGCACGATCAACTGCAATGCTTGCAAATGAGACTCGGAATTAACCGTCCCCTTGTCTCCAGGAATGCCGCGAAGTGAATCGAGAACTAAGCCGAAAGGCTGTCCAATGCGAGGAGTGAATCGCACCGCTCGCGACCGAGACCCAGTGGGCAAACTGTATAGCGAAGACCCGACGGATAGATCTGATATGCTCTGCATGTCGTTTTCGAAGTCAGGCAGCTCAAGGGAGCAGCGAGTCCAAGGACGGACAAGCAAAAAGGTCTGCCGAGTGAGCTTCGCCCGTAAGAAATGTTTTGGCTTGTCTTCTGTGGTGACCAGCAGGTCACAAAGCCCTTCTGCTTTGACTTCGTACGTGAAAGATGTCTCCTGGCCTTGACTGCGCCTCCATCCGACTGCGGTGCCAGGGAATACAATGCAAGGTAAATGCAGCCTGCAGTTTGTGAAACGAGGAGCGCTCAGCTGGTCAAGCAAGGTATAAAATTTGAGCAGGTGTGTTACTTGGAATGATTGCTTCTTCCACCATTCTTGTGTGTTTAATGGTGTTGAGCACCGTCGACGTGCACTTGCTGAAGGGATTGTGACGCGTTTTCTAAAGTTGTCCTAGCTATTTTTTTCGCGTCCTATCCAAGGGTTCAGATGTCCAAGGCTGTACCCAGGTCGTGAAATGTGTCTTGCTCAACGACACGGCTTCCTGCGCCGAACAAGGGGAGACCTGATTGCCGCCGCATGTGCATGAGCCTTCGGTAGGCGGTGCTGCTTGCTTCTGGAGCAAACACGATCAAACTTGAACAACTTGAACACGTCTAATAATTAATTTAGTAATATCTAGTCTCCCTAAACATTCGTCGTGTCCTGCACAATGTTTGAATGAAGCTTTACTTATGTGTATCTATATTACACTGCTGTAAGTAAGTTTGGAACACTCATGCCTTGATACACCTTTAGCTACAGGGACGGGGGTTGGGACATCGATCTTGCTCCGGCTTTGCAGTGTCCATTGACAGGCCACATATATTTAGATCTATTTTTTCGACTCATAGCCCTGACCAATATTCTCTACAGCCTAGTATCAAAATGCTATGCATATAAATCGCAAGCCATCTTCACAGCACTGAGAACGCACCTCTGTACTGTACCACTAAAACGTTTCAAGTTGAGTGGCATGTCAATTTGTTGCAGATAGCGAGGAGCTGACATATTCGGTCGATAAATGAAGGTCGTACTGGTGTTGTTCCTCGATACCATCTCGATACCATCTTCGAACGATTTTACTACTAGCCTGAGGTGAGCGAAGATTTGGCCGTAATCGAGTTGCTAAAGTCTCACCTGGTGATTCGTAGCTGGTCAAAGTTTGAGGGCCAGGGTCTTTTTCAACGCTAAATCATCGCGCATTCTCTTGTCGTCCACGCTGGTGAGTTTTGTTGTATGCTGTATCATTGTGTCGCACAAATTCATTGCGGTTAGTAGTGACCTGTCATGATCTTGCCAGAAGAATGCTATATAGACGAATTCGACCGATATGCGATGAACGATATCCCCATACGCCTCATACGCCTAACAGACATGACGTTTGTTGAGCGCAATGAGGTGAGGGAGCACTTCAGGACGTCCTATATACGACGTCTCGGTCAGCCCTCCGATACTGTCAGATACGCCATTCTATCTCACCGATGGCTGAACCAGGGAGAACCAACCTACGAAGATATCAAGGCGGGCATAGCAGCAGGTCCGGGATACGAGAAGCTGAAAAAGTTCTGCGCAAAGGCCGAGGAGTACAATATGGAATTTGCGTGGTCGGATACCTGCTGCATCAACAAGAGCAGCAGTACCGAGCTCGACGAGTCGATTCGCTCCATGTTTCGATGGTATGGAAACTCGGCCATTTGCATTATCCATCTGGCACAAAGTGAAACCATCGAGGATATAATGGAGGACGAATGGACTGAAAGGGGCTGGACGTTGCAAGAACTTCTTGCACCTGCTCGAATCAAATTCTTTAACAAGCACTGGGTGCCCATGACATGTGATAGAAATGACAAAAACTACAAGGATGACATCAATGACTTCTTGGTCAGTGGGCCATTGCTGTCCAGCCTAGGGCGTCGGGAACCGGCCGAGATATTGGAGACACTGGAGAGAGCTACTGGCATTCCTCATGATGATCTACAACGCAAGTTTTGTCCAAGTCCGTCTGAGGTGGATAAGCGGATGACGTGGGCAGCCAGACGCAAGACAACAAGGGTCGAAGACGTGGCGTATGCCTTGATGGGTATGTTTGATGTGAGCCTGCAGATCGCATATGGAGAAGGAGGAGATCGCGCATTCTGCAGGCTCATCGAGGCCATCATGCAGGCTGGTGACCCCTCTGTCCTCAACTGGAAAGGCGAGGCTGCGAGGCATCACGCTTCACATGCCATTCCTCGATCGCCACAGAGCTTCATAAGCTATCAAAGTTTAGAGTTCGAAGGCAGTGGGCGGCTGGAGATGACTATGACCAGCCTTGGCTTGCGAATCCCTCTGGTGATATTCCCTCTTAGCGTCCGTTCGAATTTGCAGGCGGGACATGGCCACAGCATCACACTCGCCTGCCTGCTATGTCCAAGCGTCAAGATTGATATCGATACCAACTACGGACTCGACTCCGGTGATCAGTACGCGCTCGGGATTGTCAACTATTCGCTCATCGGCCATGTACCAGGGATTCGGGGCAAGTCTGCCTGTTTCATCCTACACCGACAACCTGATGTTTTCCGCTGTGTGCCTGTCTGTAAACCCAAGTGTACCGAATTTGTTGGACTTAAATTCTCTCCTCCGGACGAGAGGTTCACTGAGTGGAAGCTGGTAGAAGAGGTGGGCCTGGTCCAAGTTGACTTCCCGAGTATACCAGATGAACCGGTTTGCTACATTGATCGCCGATATCTACAGACCGTATACTTGTAGCACCTACTCTTAATGAGTCAAAGAGTGACTGAATGAGCTATGCTGGCTTGTTTTCTCGATGCAATACTTGAGCTTGCGATGAAGTGCAGCACTACTTAGTGCAAATTTAATGGCGTAGAAATGTCTTGTTATTGCCAGCGGCAATTTTTGGCTATTTGCTTCTAATTTGTGGGGGGGAGTCTGGACAGATGGACCTGACTAGTGACCATCAAGGTATTTGTTTGTGTAGCTGAATATCTACTGCAGGAAATGTGGAGGGTACTCTGTCACTCTTTCAGCAGTACTCAAGCATTGCGTCAGTTAACTGATTACAGACTAAAAATCTGACACCTGTCCGCCTGTTTCTGATTTATGGCTCTCCGTTGACTTGGCGTGTTGGCGAGACAAGAGTGATGTCTTTGGCAAGGGAATAGTGAGACAGCTGTAAGTGAGTCTCAGAACTACTGCAATGCCAAGAATACGGTCTACCTAACAACCACTCTGTATCAAAGAAAAGTAACACATTCAATGAATACCTCTCCATCGCGATAAACCGATCAATGTGTCGCAAGCAACGATTATATCATACCTACCCCCTTCAACCCTAGCCGGCACACCCCTCCTACTATCCCTTAATCCCAATAACCTAGCATCATCCTCCAATTCCCTCTTCTGATACACATTAAACCATGGATCCTTCCAATCGCAATGCGCACCATCATCATACCTAACTCCCCGCCTGATCATAGCCTCCCTCATAGCCTCTGTCAGATACTCCTGCACTCCCTCAGCATATTCCGTGGGGGCTCTGTCTAGCACCTTCCTTCTCATCAACCGAATGTCATCATCTAGCGCCAATAAATCCGGCGGTGAGAGTTGGAGTAAGTCGCGCAAGTTCACGCCGCCGATGGTTGCTTGTGCAGGTGTCGTGTTGGAACCCTGAATTAGTTCTGTTTCTAGCCGGCATATGACACCAGTCAACAGAGCCACTTCGCGTTCCTTTCGCTGAGCCTCGAGGGCGAGTCTTTCGACATCGCTTCTTAGGCGTCGTAATTCGTCATCGAGGGTGGATGTCATTGTGTTTGGGGTTATCTGTTGCGCAGATATATTCATGCGGTGTCGTTGGTGAGATCAGTAGGCAGCTATCTGGCGAGAGTATTAATCCATGTAAATACGCGTAGTGGAATACACAAACCTCACCGTTTGCTCAGCGTAGTGCAGAACAACCAAGACAAGATGGTATTGCGATAAGGAATCGATGGATTATCATAATCTTAACTTTACTGAAGAGACGCCCAACAAACGGTAGCTTTTAGAATATCGTTCGAGCAATAATCAGTGAATTTTTATAGAAGGAACTAGTCCTTCCTTTATTTGTCTGTCTGCGAGGGAGATTAGCAGTATATGATCAACATGAGGAGTCATTGAGGACGTTGAATAAAATGGTTTGTAACCAAACATCCACCATACTTTGCAATTGTTGAACGTTCAGAACGCTGATCAAGTGAACTTCGTGAGCGCACTGACTCTTGGCAGAATCTTGAGAGGAAGAACTCGGTCGTTGTGACACGATAATGTGACTAATAGAAGTCTAGAAGATCGCGGTCGTGCAGAAGCAACTCCGAGCTCCAGACTGGCCCAGGGCCTGTACGCAGTCAGACACGCAAACGTTGATCTTTTCCAATTGTTATCAGGCTTATTCAAGTCTTAGTTAGGAAATACAAGATGCCGTGTGATAGTGTCACGTGACCGCCCGAATAGCATAAAATCACAAGCTCTTGTCACTGGCCAGGGGTTAACCTACTCTCACCTTTTGTCATCGCTCTCAGTCTGGTCCACATCATCAGCCTCAGTCTTTCCTTCTTCAAACCATAATCCTCCTTGAACATTTCAACCGCAAGCAAATAACATGCAGACAGCCAATTCACAAGTCAATTACTCCTCGGCCTCGGATATAATTGGTGCCCTGCAAAACATCGTAAGTGCCCAGTTAGTGAAATCTAGTTGTGTCTGCCGATATTAATCAATCATTTCAGCTCACACATTCACAAGCAATCGTAGGTCTAGCAGATGTTACGATCATTTGTCTGATGCAATACTGACTATTAGCAGATGTCAGACTTCGAAACCCCGTACTCCCGAGCCAATCATATCCCCAATACAAGCTACCCCGCCATCGAGCTCAAAGGGGGATGCATCAGTAATATCGTCGCAGAACGCCAGCAGCAGCTGGATACAGTTTTGCTCGACATCTCAGAGCTAGAAACAGTCATGGGCAACATCGACAATCTTTACATGCAACTCGTCGAACAGAGGAACAAGATAAAACAGTCCATGACTTTTCACAAGGGACTCGTGTCGTCTCTCTGGCGCTTGCCAAATGAAATCTTATCCCAGATTTTTCACCTCTGTCTCCCCGAAGACAAGTACTTGTCACCCGCATCGAAACAGGCCCCCATGCTGCTGACCACAATATGCCGGCCATGGAGGGAGGTCGCTGTGGGTACGCCCAGTTTATGGTGCAGGTTAGATGTAGACCCCAGTGGCAGAGATTGGGAGAAGGCGGTTGTCTTCTATCACTCATGGCTCAAGCGAGCACGAGGAATCCCGCTCTCATTAGCATTCAAATGCTGGAACTCGTCTGAGCAACGCAGCCTTCTTCTGCCATACGTCAAACAAATCTCGTCCCTCGCCATCCGTGTTTACCACGGATCGGGAAACCCTGAACATTTGTTGAAAGACCTACCCCGGCTACCTGCACTTCAGGAGCTGGTCGTACGATCTTCAAAATTTTCAGCTAGGATGTCAAAATCTATCTCGCGACTGCCGTCCACTATGCGTAGCCTCGATATCTCGGAGTTGCCGCCGTTCGACATCAAGCGCTTAGCTTGGTTCAATCACGTATGGGTCCACCTGACGAACGTCAAGATCTCCATATGTCACCCGGATGCATTACTCCACTTGCTCCGTCTATGTCCAAACCTCTCCTCGTTAACGGTTCGCACATCATTCTACGAAGCGCAAATCTTGGAGCCATTTACGCACGCCAACATTCAATCCCTATCCTTTTTGAACCACTCTGGTGAAATAGGGTGTTTAACTGCCCTGTTCAATGCCTTGTCACTCCCCAATTTGCGCGTTTTTGAATTGTGGCACGGGGCATTCAACCAATGGCCTCACGAGGTTTCGTTGGCATTTTTGGCACGGTCGAGGTGTTCCCTGGAGAGCCTGATCGTCAGCGGTCGGGTGGTGATGACAGAGGTGCAGCGAGCGGAATATATTGCGCTTATTCCTTCTCTCGACATCGTAGTGGCTCCCAGGTGTCAACACTTTTCGTAAGGGCTCAGTTGTTACCTGCAAAATGGTTGTATTACCAGGAGCATCCGAAGATCAAGAGTATTACCGTACCCATGTTTGGCCTTGACGCGGAGATACATACATGGAGTACATCGCAGCAGGGCTTTGTTACCTACCTTCCTGACCACACCCAGAAGGCTACAATGATTTTTTCCCTACTTGTAGCTAAAGGTACAACTAAGCAATAACACTTCGCAGCGCCACCTGGGACGCCCGATAAAAACGATAGCCCATGTTAACTCCTTTCTAGCAAGCTGGAACGTAGGGATCGTCACAGTCTCCCTTACTAGTCAGACCATAAGAGAAGGAAGACAGTCGTTCCTTCAAGTTGTATATTACGGGGTCAAGCTGTATAAGGCCCATGCGAGATGTACATGTTACATTCCCCAGTCGGAATCATTTCTGTTTGGGCGAAGCCGATATCATGATAATGGTTCTGAGCGTTTACAAGACGATACTGGTACAGCGCAGCTTGTTCAGCTATAGCATCGCGAGGGTAGCGACGCGAACACACCGAAAGAAAATGGAAAACTGCCGCACCACAGGTGTACATGTGAGCCAACATGCAATATTAATACAACAGAGGGGTAAGTATCTGCGTAGACAGGTGTCGTCAAGGTGCAAATAAAAACTCTACAGAAATTCCCGCTCTTCACAATGCACATGCCTATAGTATCTCTAGCGTCCTAGCGTCCATCATGCTGCGAACTGAAGCCATATTTTCGACTTGGGCAATGATATGGCGATCTGACGCGATTCTTTTGTATTCTCCACGGGGCTGCTGTGCTAGCAAAAATGCGCTAAAAGGTTGTCCAAGGCGCACGATCAACTGCAATGCTTGCAAATGAGACTCGGAATTAACCGCCCCCTTGTCTCCAGGGATGCCGCGAAGTGAATCGAGAACTAAGCCGAAAGGCTGTCCAATGCGAGGAATGAATCGCACCGCTCGCGACCGAGACCCCGTGGGCAAACTGTATAACGAAGACCCGACGGATAAATCTGATATGCTCTGCATGTCGGTTTCGAAGTCAGGCAGCTCAAGGGAGCGGCGAGTCCAAGGACGGACAAGCAACAAGGTCCGCCGAGTGAGCTTCGCCCGTAAGAAATGTTTTGGCTTGTCTTCTGTGGTGACCAGCAGGTCACAAAGCCCTTCTGCTTTGACTTCGTACGTGAAAGATGTCTCCTGGCCTTGACCGCGCCTCCATCTGACTGCAGTGACAGGGAATACAATGCAAGGCAAATGCAACCTGCAGTTTGCGAAACAAGGAGCGCTCAGCTGGTCAAGCAAGGTATAAAATTCCGAAGCTAGCTCCACAGTCACGACCTTTTGAAGGAATGACAGTGACTTCTCCATCTCATCTTCGGGCAGAGATGGCGATATGGGTGGCGAAGCTTTATAAGAGATGATGTCAGCTGGAAGACAGCTATTGAACTCGGATGATGATCCAACCCAATCCAGGGCAGTAATATCGCCTGAGCGAGCCACGATTTCCTGCAAGAGTCGCCCGAGAGCGTTTTGCTTCTTCTCGCCATAGATGATAGGTAAGTAAACACCAAAGATACCGAACAATGAGTATGCGATATCTTCCTGCAATGTTGTGATGCGGGTGGATGACCATTGAAGTTTCTCTCGGGCACCTGTCATCCCTGGACGGAAGGCAACGAGGGCCCGTGGATCAACGCCCACCACATCTCCCAGCTCCTGCATGATTGCGACAGATTCCTTGTGGTTGGGAGAATTATCATCAAGATATAGGGTCCAATTCTTCTGATAAAAGAGAATGACTTTGGGAGCCAGGAATTCTCCTATTGTCCATCCTCGCGTGTTCCAAGCGCTATTTGCCAGGGCGCCAACCTTTGACTGAGGCGGGACATCCGATAGGTAGACAATGGTGAGCGCTGAATGGCGATACCAGACAAACATGGAGTTAAGTGATTCTTGGAGCTCGGCATTATTAGTCTTGTCAATGCAGCAAGTATCGCTCCACGCCCAGCGATACCCCGCAGCCCGGGCCATTTTGCAGAATGACTGTAACTTCATGATTCCGTCATTTGCATCCAAGTCGTACACGACCTTGCCCTGGATGTCGTGGAATAGCGGCTCCTTCCCTTCCCACCTGTGTGATAACATGACACAACTGAAGTACATGCCCGCCACTTCTTCGACATGCTTCATTCGGGGATCCAGATCCTTCATTGCAAATGATAAAAGCGTATTGTACTCTGTGCTCGTTTTGAAGATGCTTATCTGCGCATCTCGATCGCACAAGAGCCCAGTGGTGGTATCGAGTACACGGAGCGGAGAGTTGTCGAGTTGAGCGCGAATAACCAATCGAATAGCACTCTCTAATTCGGATGGACTGAGAAAGCGCTGGCGCAGTTCTGGAGAAAGAGTCAAATAATTTTACGTATGCGTTTTTCAGGGCTCACTTCGTACGCGCGCATTTGGAGCGTTTTCTATTTTGAAGAGCATGACCTCAAAGGCCGCGGTCGCTTTATCATAACATTGTGCACCATGAAACACCTCATACTTCAACTGATATCCACGATGAGATGAAGGATTGAGGTCGATGGCCTACAAATCAATAAGTATTGGTTGGGAAACAAGAAATGCCGCCGTACCTTTTGTGCACTGAGGAGTGCTGCGTTGTAGGCTGTCGTGTTTATAGCGAAGGTCTACATGGCATGTGATTAAGTTGCGTTACACGAGTCAAGTGCGTGAGCATACATCAGCACGAGTCAGGGCGTCCTCGGGTACTGGCCACTTTGAGATCTTCCTATCCCAACCTCCACTGAGAATTTCCTTGTCATCCGAAGAGAAGGTGAGGCAGTTAACCCAATTAGAATGCTTGAATACGGCGATGGTCTGTTGGTCCGAGAGCCGCCAGAGGCGGACATGGTGATCAATAGATGCGGAGGCGACAAGGGTACCAGTGGAGTTCACGGCAATGGCTCCAACCCCATCAGTATGACCCTTCCAGGGATCACCCACCTGCCTCCAGGTGGACGTATCCCATTCCCGTATGGTGGGATCGTATTTATTGCCTCCTGAGAGAAGCCCTGTGCCATCGGGCGTCCACGCCAGTGAGTAGTTTAAAATTATTGCTGAATGGAACTGTGCGTGACCCTCAAAGTTTGCGATGCGTTCTGTCGTGTCTGTGTTCCAAATTTGGATGTTGCGTTTTGTCGCGATGGCTAGCTGATGTTCGCCAAAAGGTGAATACCGAATGGAGAGGACGATATCACCGCAATAGATGATTCGTTCAAGTTGCAGCTGCGTGCACGTTTCTGTCCTCCACAGCTTCGTCGTTTCGTCCAACGAACCAGTCGCCAGAACAGCGCCATCTGGAGAAAAGTCCAGCGCATAGATCGGCTTGTTGTGGGCTTGGATAGCTCGGGTGAGAGATTCCCCAGTGTCACCCTCCCAGGTGACGAGGTTTCCACTGTCATCACCGCTTGCTATCAATTGCCCGTCTCCCGTAACCGCCACGGCCCGCACCCAGTTGCCATGCCCCTCCATTTTCTTCAACACAACACCGTTCTTCAAGTCCCAAAGTCGAAGCGTCTTGTCTATCGAGCCCGTGACCATACGCCGGCTATCGGGGAAGATTGCAATTGATAATACGCTTTCTTCGTGATCTTCATACATTTGAGCAGGTGTGTTACTTGGAATGATTGCTTCTTCCACCATTCTGGTGTGCTTAATGGTGTTGAGCACCGTCGACGTGCACTTGCTAAAGGGATTGTGACGCGTTTCCTGAAGTTGTCCTAGCTATTTTTATTGCGTCTTATCAGCCGCCAAGGGTTCAGATGTCCAAGGCTGTAAGTACCCAGGTCGTGAAATGTGTCTTGCTCAACGACACGGCTTCCTGCGTCGAACAAGGGGAGATCTGATTGCCGCCGCAATATTGTGCATGAGCTTCGCTAGGCTTCGGTGCTTCTGGAGCAAACACGATCAAACTTGAACAATTTGTTATTGCCAGCGGCGATATTTGGCTGTTTGCTTCTGGAGCAAACGTGGACAAATACGAACAAACTCGTCCTGGATAAAATTTGAAAATTATCTTTCGTCCATATCGATCAAACCTACTCATCGTCCACGACGCAAGATGTAAACAACAACAGGGTGAGTTCACACTTACATGCATTGTTCCTTTCTTGCTTCTGCGGTGGTGATGACATATTTATTCACACTGTATGAATCCGTGCGTCCACTGGATGCATGGATTGTGAGTTTTTTCTACAACGGTAGCTGAGCCGCTTATACTCTATCAAATTTCGTTTACGAAGACATCAGACTGACATAGTATTTCAGGCATTCTTTCAATTCCCTGCGATGTCAGATATTTTAGCAGTCCAGTGGTCGGCTTTCATAAATGCCATCTGCTACTACTAATAACTTTGCACCGCCGTCAATCACCACTGTACACTCACGCTGTATTAATACTATTCGGAAAACATAATTTTTGTTGACATTCATGCGCGAATTGAGGTTAAAATCCAATTTGGTAGCGTCCCCTCTCGTACGGACCATACTATTGGGTTGCAACTTCTGAAAGCTCCAGGGCAGCTTCGCCGTCAAAAGCGTCCTTGGGAACTTGGCCTTGCATCTGCGTAAGGGCTCCACTGAGAATATACAGATATGGACCAGATTTGACCGGGGGTGGGGTAGATTGATATCCGACTAATAAATTGCACCGCGGACATGAGAATCTGTACTGGCGCTCGTGTCCCCCTGGCCTGCACTCTACAATCAGCATCGCCTACCAACGTGGGCACGATTTAATCGTACCTTTCGACGAGAACGGGATCGGTCGAGATAGCATTTAATTTGAGGACGATTGCATTCTCCGCACCGCTATCCTGACAGCGAATGATGGTAGCACCATCTGTCTGGCGCTTAGGGAGGGCTGAAAGGCTTTTTTCGATCACGAGCTGTCAGGTATCTTGCGTAAGTTCGTGACAGGAGTGCCGAGCCTGACTGAAGACGCGCACGATAAATTCGCCGCAGATGCAGTCTGCAGTGCAAGGGACGTGGGTGAACTAATGTGGCTAACAACGCAAGTACGGAACTTACAGTACACCCTGAGAGCAGCCGCGGCTGATGCCGTTGGCCGTGCTAAGAAAATGAACCGTTGATTCGGATGGACCAGAGAATTAGAATGATATGACTGACCATCCGTAGATGAGGAGACTGCTGAACGAGAAACGACCTTTGGCATAATTAACGCTGACCAAAAATTAAAGTATCCTCCGGGGACAGACGGCGTGCGTGGTCGAGGCTGATTAGAACAAAATCCTGGGAGTTGGCGAGATGTTAGGTAGGTACAAGATAAAGGCTTGTGGCGACGGGAGTCAGAACAAGTTGATGGTCATATGGTCACGTGTCGTAATTAACTTCAATTGTTGCTACTATCTCCTTCAAGTTCTTTCATTCTTTCACCCCGACCGTCAACTGCTCTGTACATGGCAGAAAAAGATGCTACCGTACGCCTCCGTAGAGCGGTTAAAGGTTCGTTCTTTTACGGTATTAGTCTACCGCTGTTAACGACGCCCATATCTACAGAGAACAATCTCTTCCTCGTCAAGAGACTGATTCAACGAACAGACATGCGAAATCCTGACCCAGGTCCAAAGCGCTACACATCATTAGCTTGGGCTGCTGTTTCGGGACATGAGGAGACGTTCGATTTTTTACTCACAGCTGGGCATGACGATGAAGAACTCAGCAGGGTACGCGCTCGCCACAAGCGTTGTCCACAGAGGTTTTGACAACTTCATCTACCAGGAATCTGAGAACAACACTATTCTCATGCTATTGGCTGACTTCAAGCCTCCACCACCAAACCCTTATGCGCCAGGCCCCTCACAGGTTGATCTCATGGGTGCTGCGCTTCGCATGGCCAGACTCTACTACGAACGTTACCCGTGGATTCTTGATTGGTCCAACGTGCAAGGGAAAACGGCGCTGCATATGGCCGCTCTCAAGGGAAATGAGGAGCTCGTTCGCGTGAGTCACCCGAGACCTCGATTGTACCCCGAGTCTGAGCTTATTTTATCTTGATGCCCTTCTCAAGATGCTGTGTGATTTGGGTGCCGACTTCGATCTGTCAGATAATAAAGGGAATACTCCTCTACATTAGTAAGCTACTTCCAGTCATCGGGTCTTGGAATTGACTAGACCCTGTCAGTGCAAGTTCTTGGGGTCATATCCCGGTACGTGGAGAGCATCTGATCTAATGCGACGTTCTATCTCGCTTACTTATTGACCCCAGATTGTCCAGCTTTTGATCGAACGTGGATGCCAATTTGCTGCTCGGAACAATGACGGGTTCACTGCGTCCGATTACGCATATTCGTGAGCCTAGCGCTTTTTTGTACACATTACTAGACTGTTAACAGTAATGCAGTTTCAGCACGCGGGACACCTTGCAGGACTCTGCCCGTATGCAATTTGAGACTAACAAAAAATCTAGACGCATGGTGTTTGCACAAGCCGCTGCTCGAGGTAACGAATGGCCTATAGCCAGACCGCCACCTATTCCATTAAAGCCACCCAGCGTTGGAAGGAACGCGCCTCGAATGCGGAGCAGCTCAGGTGGAAGTCGCACTACCGCGACATCTGACAGCGGCGATGTAGACAGCCCTGGGCTTGGGCCAGGTCAAGGAACGAGTCTTTCATCTCTCTCAGCATCGTCGACAACGTCGCAGCCCTCGAGGTTACCCTCACATCAATATACCCACCCTCATCCGCAGCGATCTGATAACATGTCCTCGGCCAGCAGTACAGGCACTTTCCCCTCCCCGGGACCTTCGCAGGGGCTTACACTCAATCCACCTCTTACGCAACCAAATTCACTGTCGCCGATCGTGAACCGTATGCGGGAGCGAGACGCGGACGAGATTGAGAAGTACATGAGGAGAAATCGTAGTGGAAGTGCGGGAACAGCGTCGACGGACAATAAATCGCAGAATGGGAATAACTTCACTTCGGCCGGTCCATCAGCGAACGGTGACGATATCACGGCACTGGCTTCTTTAGCTATCACCGGTTCGACAGCGCCTCGAAGATCTCTAAGACCTTCATTTTCTGCTGCACAGCTCCGCACAACTCCATCTCCCCTTGCCACACAAACCCAGAGTAATCAAACAGACACTCTGAGAAATCGTTCTGGAACAAATCCCAGCAGCGCACGTCCAGCGCAAGCTACACTTTCGCCAATTCCCGTTCTCACACGCGCATCTTCCTCAGATACCCCTCAACACGAGGAGAAGTTGGTGGAGGAACCTGAGACGTTTACTGGACCCCCCACGTTATACGCGCAGTTCCCGGAACCACCTAAGAAAGGGGTCCGCATTGGATCATCAGCCACTGCTGCAGCCATAAGTCGAAGGCTACCCAGCATCTTTTCGTCCAAGTCCTCACCTGCTCATCCCCCTCCTGCTCCCACCCCTGACCCACCCCAAGGTCATCATAGCCATCGGAGAGGCTCTTCAACGGCTTCCATTCGCGGATAATTGGGATGACAGTCTATTTGTTGTACGACTTTCATTTGTACTACACCACTGTTCAATTTTTGTTGTGGGATTAGTTTCCGTTTGGACATTTTACACACTCGGCATAGTCTGTTTGCACTGTAGCACAACTCATCCGTAGCAATTGCACACCCTTCCTCAATCCTCACACAACAGACCTGGAATCTTCAGATTTGGGGTAGGAGCGATATTCGCTCCCTTTCTCGGAGAATGCCGATTACGGAGTATTAGTACTTGCCTCGCCTGCTCTACATAAGGAGGTTTGCGCCTCTTGCGGTGAGACTGCTGAACCTGATCAGCTTGGTAGTTCGACCTCGCTGTGTTTTTATGCTCTTACTGTCATCATTGTTACCGTCTTAAGCAGAAAAATGAGCATTGGATACAATCCTGACGCGGACCCTGACCCAACCACCCAGATAGCATGGCCAGCTCGGCACAGGCAGCGCACAACATCCAATCCTCAACTCGAGACACAATCCCCTGAACACGCATCATACCAGGCGCTGGATGGAAACGGCAAGCAGACGGACAGCTCTGTCAAGCAGCACGCAAGCGACCCCGGGCGAACACGCTTGAGTACATGGAATCTCATGACCCTCAGTATATCCATGGCTGGCGCCCAAATTGCGTGGACGGTGGAGCTAGGGTAAGTTCTTTACGCTACTGGTCCACTAAAATTTAACACGCTACGTCCGCTAGATATGGAACTCCATTTCTCCTGTCACTGGGGATATCAGAACAGGTTACCAGCCTGGTCTGGTTGGCTGGTCCTATCAGCGGCCTAATCGCACAACCTCTCATAGGTATGTTCTCTGATATGGGTTTTGGACGGTCTTGAACAATTCGCAAGGTGCAATCTCTGATTCGTCCACGTCGAAGTACCGGCGGAGATACTGGGTGGTCTTATCGACGGGTGCACTTGTCGTTTCGACGTTAGTTTTGGCGTATTGTCAGAACATCGCCGGTTTCTTTGTTGATATCTTCGGCGGAGGTGTTGGTGACTGGGATCCAGAACGCACGAAGCAGGTGCTTTGACATCCCGCATTTCCCCATTCATATCTCATACACACACCAGGCCGCAAATGCTGCCATTGGCATAGCTGTCTTCGCGTTTTACGTCCTTGATTTCGCTCTCAACGCTCTTCAAGCATCTTTGCGCAATCTTCTTCTGGATATCACTCCTCCTGATCAACTCAATGCCGGTAATGCATGGCACAGCCGGATGTGCCAAGCGGGTAATATCGTTGGCTACGGGTTTGGTATGTCACTACCCATGCTCGTCCACCAATGCCTTGCTGACATGATGTCAAGGATTTCTCCCTCTTGCAAAGCTGCCCTTCCTGAGCTTCCTGGGTGGCGATCAGTTCCGAAAATTCTGTGTTGTCAGCATGACTATCCTTGTCATCACTGTGTGGATCACTTGCTTCTGCCATGAGGAGAAAGCTTCTGTAGCAAGGAAGAGCAGCCAAAGGTCGGTGGATTGACATGGGAACGATTTGTTAGTTAAGCGAATTTCTAGGCGGGGCAAGTTTGGTGAAGTTTTGGAGAACATATACAGTGCGATCACGACGCTTCCGAGACCTATCAGAAGGGTGTGTCTTGTGCAGATCTTCGCTTTCATGGGATGGTGTGTGATATGCGTACTTCTTTGAACGGTTGCGCTGACGCCTCGAATTAGGTTCCCTTTCTTGTTCTACTCGTGAGTATTCTCAAGTTACATTAAATTCTCATTTGACAATCGACTATCCTCGCCAGCACCACCTATGTCGGTCAAGTCATGGCCTACGAGACAGGTGAGGAGCCGGATAACGAGCTAGCCACTCGTACCGGTGAATTTGCAATGTTGCTGTACAGCATAGGTATGTCTTGATATATACCATCTTGAGCAAAAGCTCACATCAACGTAGTGGCTGTTCTTGCCGGAGGCGTACTTCCCATCTTTGCCCGACGTGACCGTCGTCTTCTCCCTGTAGAAGGAGACGACGAAGATGCTCAGATTGAGCGCTTCCGCGATAGACTTCACCTGTGGCGTCAGGAAGGCATTACGACACTTCCAAAGATGCCATGGCTCCTCCGGGATATATGGACGGCGGCGATGATCTTGTTCACCCTGCTAGCGTTCTCTACATTCTGGATAAGCACCGTCAAGCAAGCTACGGTTGCGATAAGCTTGATTGGAATATGTTGGGCTGTTGCATGTTGGGTGCCGTTCGCCATTATCATGGAAGTCAGTTGTGTTCTTTCCCAGTCAGACTTGAATTGACTTGTCGTACATTGTAGCTGTTGAAAGAGATGCATGTCAAGATTCCTCATCTGCCTCATGAAGTGGCGACTGAGGTTGCTGAACATGATCCTCTGCTCGGCCGCTCCTCAGAGGTCGAATCAGATCCTGATGCTGAGGCCAGCGATAGTGAAACCAGACCAGCAGGAGGCACAATTCTTGGCATCCATAACCTTGCCATTGTGATGCCACAATTCATCGTAAGTCTCACCAGTCTGTTCCCTCATATGTTGCTCAGTACCTCCCATTCAGATTGCCATAGTCTCCTCTGTGATATTCCGTATCGTAGACGAATCCGCAACTATCGTCGCTCCCTCTCCCAATCTCGAACCCGATCACAACACATACCTGGGCAAGAACGGCGTAGCATGGGTCCTGCGGTTCGGAGGCTTGTGCACCCTGATCGGCGCTGCTGCTTGTCGTATGGTCCCACCCACCAAGACAGAGAAACAGATGAGGAGTGGGCTTGCTGTGCTGAAGGAGCTCAAGGCTGAGGAAGAGCCTTGATTCCGTGAGGTTATGCGTATCTTGGGTGGACGACGGTTGTATCATACATTGCATTTTTAACGGCTGTATCTGCATATTCTATTCATTCATGTCTATCACTTGTTTGTCGTGGTTCACGTTTCCATTCAGATAAACGTTTTATTGAAAAGATCGCCTGTGTTGATTGGCGCGCGATTATGAGACGCCTGTGAGGGCTACCCCCCAATCCCACTGTTCATCACTCCCCCGAGTGCCGATATATCGGCAGGGGATGGACGTGACGGCAGGCATATTCGCGTCTCCAAATAGTATATGCGACACTGATGACCCTGTTAGACCAACATCCATCAACATAGGCACCAGTGACAGGTTTGAAATCGAACTTACAACTAGTCAAAAAATCTGCGTCCACTCTGTGAAACAATCTCGCTGAGAGCGCTGTTTCCCAAAATGCAATGAGCGACGATAAGTTTCTAAGTTCCAGCGCATCCTCCTGCGATGGATATCCACGAGCGCAGATAACCATACACGGCGGTGAGGTCCCTGACACGTCAAACCGAGACACCTGCCAGTTTAATACGGACGGCCTAGATGCTACCGCTGCCACAGTCTTGGCATCAATATCCCCTGAAAATGCGTGAGCACATCAGGACGATTCAGATATGCATGCACGTACCAGACAAAAAATCCGGAGCGCGAGATATCTGGGTGAACGTGTCTTCGTCGTCTTCATCTGGAACCGTGAAGTTACCGGTATGCACCAAGACTTGTTTCTCGACGCGTGCGCCGCGCGGGAGGGACGCGACCACCAAGAACAGCGTTGGCGCTCCCTACAGCATTAATATTGAATTTTCTTGTTTGCGCATTTTTAACTCTCGACTCACCTCGCCAAATTTTTCGCAAGCCCGACGAATGTGTTTGACATCATCTTCATTCACAAGCCAATAAAGCGAGAGCAGGACATGCCCTCCCGTGCTATTAGCCGCACGGATGACGCGATCTGTGTGCTGAAACACTAGCGCAGTTTCAAGCGCTAATGAGGGTGGGGAAGGGAGCGTCAAAGATGGCGGGAGTAGACCGATCTGACCGGATATGAAAACATACGGCTCCACCTGATCTAGAAATTAGAAAACATCCCGGAATGCAAAAGACTTTGACGTACTGTGATGGCCTGTGAATAAGGACCAATATTAGCGGGTGCCCAGTAGCTTAGACCCTGTACATGGAGCGCTTTCCGCGTTTTGATATCCTTGCGCGCGACGCATTCAAGCATCACACACACACCCTCGGAAAGATCCACGCCCACACAAGCCCTGGAAGGAGGTGAAACACCAAAGAACTCGGCGTATGCCTTGTTTGCAGCGGCGAAGACCTCGGGAGCGAGAGAAGGTAGCAAGAGTGTAATATTAGTCACATCTTCCATGCGCAGATCGCGCGATTCCAAAATTCCTGTAGGACGATGATTGGATATGAAGATGTTGTAAGTGTTGGATTGGTGGATCTGGTACCTTGTAATTGAATGAAGCACTTGCGGACTTGTTGATCGAGGGGTATTTCCGAGTCTAGAGTTGGTTCTGGGTGGATGTTTCCGACTGCGAGCCATGACCCGATAGCACGTATCGATGGATGGTCTGGAGTGTGATGTGGTTTGTTAGCGAGGAGTTCATATACGCTTCTAGAGCCGTTTATATACTCTAGGATTGAACTTTCGACAGTGTTCTTCAATTCACCGAACCTATCTTCCAAGAGCGGAGGAATCTCGACCCTGCCATCCGTAGACGATTCCTTAGGGTGAAGCGATGCTCGTTTGATACGTAAATATGCAACAGGTGCGAATTCATTGTCTGTATGCATCACGACTTCTGTTTCATCGAGCACGATACGATGCTTGAACAGTGGGCTGTCAAGAGTAAGAGTTTCGTACTCTCCACCTTCACCACAGACATGCAAACCATAAAGGCTGTTCTACGAGACAATGAGTTTTGTATGCATATGCAAATGGAAATGGGTGCACCAAGCGTGTGAGGGTGTCTTGCATTTCGTGCAATGTTTTTCCTAGGTGCTTTACTGTCAGACCGATGCCTGCTACTTTAATGAGCACACTTTTGATCCCGGCTGCGATCATCTCGGACAGCAGCTCGGCTTGGTCGCGCTGCCAAAGGTAGGCTAAGGGTGTCAGGGAGAGACGACGGCACCTGTTGAGCGTGAATATCATAACCTGGACGATGTATCGCCGATACGCACACGTGTTCGACGCGAACGCGTTGGTAATTTGAGAGAATAGCTCCGACTGACACGCCCTGCACGTCTGGGTGGTGAGCCTGGTCGCTATGAGATCAGGGTGAAATTGGTGTAACTTCGAATTGACCTTCACATCCTCCAATAGGGTATAGAGGTCCTCCGTCTCGTCTCCCAACACGCCAGCTCCCCCAGCACTGCGCGAACCATATTCTGCATTTTGCTCGATAGGATCGCCTTGTATGACACGTCGATAGAGCGGAACGTCGAGTGCGCCAGCTACAAATTCGATGGCATCTTGGCCTACTGTCTGGTACATATACGAGTCGATCTCATCTATGGAGATGAGGTATTTTGAAGGAGGAAAGACAGTGACAGCAGACCTTTGCCAGATTGGGGGGAGAGGGTTGCCGCAGCTACGAGTTCGTGGCCGTGTGCATTGCAGTGGGACAAGTTGTAACAACTGTCTTTCCCTCCGCTAAGAAGTGCGACGTACTTCATCGATGCACAATCTAATCTTTTTGAAATTAATATTTTTTGTTGTCACCGAATGTTGTATGTATGTAACCCCGCATGTACCCCGCAGTAAATTTCATATCCCGACGGAGCGCCGGTGTCATAATGCTACATGCTGCCGAAATCTGATTGGCTACGGGCCGAATTAAGAAAGTCTAGGCCGGGGCCAGCCCAGATCATGCGAGTTTATAACTAGAGCACTTTCAGACAACTTTTTTCCCTTGCCGACTCGTTTCCTATCATCTGGATAAACATCCTATACGACACGATGCTCTCATCAGGATACGTCGAGCAGCAGGCTTACGCCCAACAACAAGCAGCTATGGCTATGAACACACTACTACCCACACCACCCTCCTCACCACCACGCGTCGGGTTACATCCTGTCGAATCGACGATTACCCTCCTCGAGAATTTAGTGGCGTTCTATCATCAGGAACGGATGTGGGTCTATCGCACACGTGCCCAACTAGAGATGTCACTGCAAGAACGAGACGCTACCGCAGCAGCAGCAGCGACAGATGATGAAGAAGAGATGGAGAAGGAGGAGCCAGACTCTGCTGAAGAAACATCAGAACCAAGCAAGTGGTCGAAGAGAAAGAAGGCGTTTGGGTTGAAACTGGAGGGAATTGCAACGACTAGAGGAATGCCGAGAGGTGGAATCGTGAAACAACGTGTACCGCTACCGATGTTACCGGCGTTTGCGCACAGCAACCAAACGCATCTTAGTGGTGGGCAACCTGTACTTGGGGCCAGTGGAAGGGAACCTGGAGTGGAGATCCTAGAGATGTTTGAGAGGATGATGCAAGCTAGGATGGAGAGCTGTGAGCGAGTTACTAGAATGGTTCGAAATGCGAGCGGTACTGGTTCACCTGGTCAAGGGTATCTGATGTCTCCGGCAGCCAACGGGCCGGCTTACGGTCAAAGTAGTTTCTTTATAGGTGCTTAGTGGTTACATAATAGATGGTGATATTTATTTATTATTGATGAACATGTAACTCTTCGTCTCTTTGTCGTATACCATGTCTAATCGTTATGCACCACTCCCTAATCCACGCACAGACCCAGATTCAGCAGAACTAGAAGCTGCTTTCGACGACCAAGATGACGACGACGATGTAGACGAATCGAGTCCATTGACTTTTTCTAATCCTTTGACTGTCTCCTCTCCTTCAACTTACAATTTCGAGTCTCCGATATGTGACTACGACCAACCTCCTCCTGGTTCTCCCCCACAGCCTTCTTCTCATGCTGTACCCAATGAATTCGGCAATTCTAATGGCATAATACCTGTCTTTACTGTAGATTCTTTACCCCCACCCCCAACAGGGCCATGGTGGAAGCGAACCGCAGCTACAGTGTTACCCTCACATTATGTCAATCGATGGGGTTTGACTGGAGATGCGGCTTCTAGTCGAGTCGTAGGCGGAGGCACCAGAAACGATGGCGTGTTCAGCAACGTAGCTGCCAAACCATCGCAGGGTGTACGAATTGAAGAAGGTAACCATCAATCAATATTTCATCAAAGACTGCACTGACTCCATCCCAGGGGACAATGTTTACCTTGTTCCCGAAGAATCATCCAATACCGCTCCACCCACTTATGCAGCAGCTCAAGCTGACGCTGCCCCTCCCTACCACACCCACTCCATATTCCTTCCTTCTTCCATTAATGCATCCCTCAATCTATCCCAAGGCAGTGTCGTCGTAGACGGCCTTTCCACAGGCACCCTTTTCTCCTTCCTCTGGAACGCCCTCATCAGCACCACCTTCCAATTCGTCGGTTTTGTTCTCACATGGGTCATGCACACCACCCACGCCGCTCGTTATGGCAGCAGGGCCGGCCTCGGCGTCACTTTAATCCAATGGGGCTTCGGCCTCCGCGCGCGATTAGACGATGTCAACGGCACAGCTCCAGGCTCAGACCCAGCCGACGCCTGGCCCGCATTCACAAGCACACAGGATGCCGACGAGTGGTTGAACGCCAACCTCGACCGCCTCAATAACACAACACTAGCTTCTACTAACGACGTAACTTCCTGGGCCAACTCTGGAGAAGGAACGGAAGGAAACGGCTTCCTGACAAGCACAGCAGCCACTGAATGGCTTTCCTTCTTCCTCATGACAGCCGGTTGGTTCCTCCTTCTCACCAGCGCTTTCGGTTTCTGGCGCGTCAAACGCTGGGAACGTGGCATTATTTCTTCTTCTTCTTCTTCTACCACCACGTCACAGCCAGCAGCAGACGAGGAAACGAGGAGACAATCGCTCTTTGAGCGCCTCGGAGTGTTCCGCGTTCCTGCACGTTCGGGTACGGATGGCCTGGAACGTGTGCCCTCCCACGTTGATGATGATGTGGTTGGAAGAGATACAGCATTGGAGATGCAATCGCTCGCCCCAACGGATCCAGACCGTGCACGGCGGATCAGGGAAGCAATCGAGCGTGAGCGTAGGCTGTGTGAGGACTTGCGCGCTGCAGGCCTCTTGTAAAGTCTGCGTGTTTTCGAGGAACGGATGTATCGTGTATTATGCTTTCTATTGACAGACCTGCTATCTATTTTTCCAGGAACAAGTGATAATGGTGAAATCGTGCATACGTCGTATTTATTGCAAATCTTTTTCTTGGTGTCTTTCTCGAGATTAGATTTCATTCAAAGTACATCCTACATCCTTCTACGCAATTTACCTCCAGTCGTCGTCCCCTGAGTTATGACCGCTTCAGAAACACTTCCATGTTGAACTCTAACGCTGAACAAGGGTACGTGATCTCGAACTTTTCAAGCACGGTGGGGTGTAGCACACCCAGTGTGCCGATCACGATATCTCGGTCTTGATTGGAGATGTGTAGCGTGCTCTTGAGCTCGTCGGCCAGCTGGCCTGTTTTTGATGTCTTTGGGGGTGGGGGGCGGTAGTAAATAGTCGCTGCGCGTCCAGGGAAGTATGCAGGGTCTAAATCATCATCAACATCAGTTCAGAACGCAAAGCGAGCTAGAATACATACCATCTCCCTCCTTGATATAATACCCCACATCTTTCCCATCCCCTTTCCCAACCCTCGGAACCTCCAACATCTTCATAGCCCTATCCAATAACCCATGCACAACCTCAAACCCAGCGCTCCTCGCACACCACACCGCACCCGCACGTCTCTCATTCCGCGCTTGTCTCTCCCGAGAGGTGTCTTTGAACACGACGTCGCTAAGCTCAAAGACGCGGATGGGCAGCGCATGCGATCGGTTCTCGCGGATGGTTTTGAGAAGCCCTGGGAGGAGGGATGTCCGGACGACTTGGAATTCGAGGGTTTTAGGGTTAGCGATTTTTACTGCTAGGGAACCGGGGTCGGGACGGTTCATGAAGGTGAAGTTTTCTTCGAGTGAGCACTGTTGGATTTGTGTTAGGTGTTTATAATGCGCTGAGGGGGAGGGGGAGAAGGGACGTACAAGAATGAAAGGCAATGCTTCGACCCATCCTGCCATCGCCCATTCCCTCCGGATGACGTCTGTGAGCCTGCTGATTGGTAATGGCTGTGCGACTGTGCTGGTCTGGGGGAAGATATCTGGAAGGTTGTTGAACCCGTACGCGACTGCTGCATCTTCCATTATGTCGACCTCATGGAAGATGTCAGGGCGCGTGCATGGAAGTGAGACGATTAAAGCGTCGGGGTCATTGGGTGAGAGGGTAGGGGAGAGGGTCATGCGGCTTAGGAGAGACTGGATGGTTGAGGGCGTTAGGGAAAGAGATGTGCAGGAGTTGATATATGATGCGCGCGCAGTCATGATACGGGGAGCGATGTCAGGAGAAATGCGCGTCGAGCCGTCAGGAAAGACGATCTTGCAAGGCTCGATCCTAACAACAAATCCTCAGCTCCACGAGTCAAACCACAAGTACAAAACAAAACGACGTACGTGAACGGTTCAGCACAATATTCCGAAAACATACCTGCCACCATATTAATCACGATCTGCAACTTCGTGTCATCCGTAGCAGTCGTATCGATAAACACATTTTTAGTCTCCAGAGTGATCTTACTATGCTCCGAGTTAATGATGGGAGGCATACTCAGCACGTGGTCCTCTGCATCATAAATGATGGGGTAGACATCAGAATCTCGGATGATGGGCAAGTACCGGGAGAGGTGTTTGTCCGATTCGTAGATCTGCATGAGCTCTGCAGCAGTGTTAACGGTTTCCCGACCGAGAGGCGCGAAAGCGATGTTAGTGGGTGCACGGGCTTCATATCGGAAAGGAGGAGTGAGGGTGTCGAGGTCGTGTGTTCCGATGGCGACGAGGCTTCGCCTACGGCCGATGTTCTGATGCAATTTATCTTGGAGGTCTATGAAGGATGCGTAGTTTATGGGCGTGAATTTAATATTGCGCAGTACTGCACATGCGAAGAAGGGGCGGATGCGTTGGGTCTGGAGGTAGTGATGTTGGTGAGTGCGGACAATGCGAGGGGTGAGCGTACCTCTGGGGAGACGGTTACGGTGATGAGATCTTTTTCACCGCCTGGGGGATAGGCGAGTCTATACTGTGGCGGATCTTGTTTTCCTAGAAAAGTGCGTAAGGCGCGCGAGATACCTTCTAGACAGACCAGATCGTATCTGCGTGCTAGTCAGATGTGCATTGCGGTTGCGCCGACTAGCAGCACACCTGTTTGCGGGTACTTCAATTTTTAATTGCTATAGTAAACTATGAGCATGCGTTTTAGTGGTTTTACATGAGAGCAGGACTTACAGGACGTTCTGCAGGGAGTCCTTTCTTGATCGCGGCTTCTACCTCCTCGGTCGTCTGTTTATTCATTCAGCAAATCATTCTGACGGTATAAAAATTAAGAAAGGGCGTACGTCTTCATCTAATTCCAGTCCATAGTCAAAACACAAACGATCGAATTCCTCCGTGGCTGCGATGTGATCAGACGTATAGAAAACACAGTTGGAGGAGGACGTACTATACTGATGTCCGAGACGCTCAAAAAGCTCGGCTTTGTCTACTGAGATGGTGGGCATTGTGGGTTAAAGTAAATGGAAGATATGAAGCCAGCAGCAGGTAGCTGGACTTCAAGATTGCAATTGGTAGATCACCGCAGACTTGAAGAAATCAATCATATCGAGTCAAGTGGGAGACCCCTGGATACTCCATGTTATGCCGGGGTCCTACCACTAACATCAATAATACTTTGTTCGAACTTCGCGTGTTCCATATACATCGACTCCCAATATGCATACTTCAATATCCTTCGCGCTCCTATCCCTATTCTCCCTGGCTACTTCCCAAGTCCATGAACCCACTGAGTTGCGTTTAATGCACCGTGTTGTGCACCCCGACCTTCCTGTGACACCGTGGGCTGAGCTCGGAATTGTCACCGTCCCATCCTTTGAATCCATTTCACCCACTGGTTCACATGCCTCAATATCACTGGCAGAGTCATTACGGGACGACCTTGCCGAATTCGCAGAAGCGGTGAATCCTAATATGCAGGGCGCAATGTACCACGTCGCGATCGAGCTTCCAGAACTGGAAGGGTCAGTGTCAAGTACCAAGGCGGTGGGTCGTGTTTTACATTGGTTCATAAGTTGGAAGGACTGAAAGGCCTCTCATACAGTGTCTACTTCCTTCCTCCACAGATGCAAATATAGTCATACATTTCTCTGCGAAGGGAGAACCGTATGCAATCGATTATGCCGTGTCGCCTGTACCTCGAGACGGAATATGCCCTGCAACTAGCACGGGGAGCTACCCAGCACATACTAACACGAGTGTAGTGCTCAAATCGCCACGGATGGCACCTCTGTATGTGTTTCATTGTATTCTTAAAACTTGTCTGATCTGTTTGTAGACCTGAGCTGCGAATCCCACCTCCGCTCACGCCTGAAGGCGAGCCAGTAGTGCCTATTCCTGAAAAAAGTTTCGTGCAAAAGTATTGGATATACATGGTTGTTGTTCTTGGGGCACTGCGTGAGTTTTGTTATTTTCTTTCGTGTTTTTCTTTCTCGCGGTGTGAAGCACTGCACTATCAACTCAATCATATTTTCCTTTGTCGCGGAGTGCGTACTGACTGCATTGTTCGCCCAGTGATTTCTGGGCCTGCCGATGACTCTCCTAGCGGGGATAAAGGAGGGAAGTAGCACGATATAAATTGTTATACTAGGTACAAGATCAAAATGCAAGCACTATCACTCCCAGATTGGTGACCATAGACCGAGTTTCCAATGGCACGGTTATAAGGAAAAAGTGGTCTCTTTGACGGTGCTCGCCCGCAAGCGATATGAAAAATGAACATATAGACGAGGCAGGCCTGGTGCCTATTATGGACATGGATGGTCCGTGCACTCTGAAGTAAATGTATATAAACGAGGTGATTTTGGACTGAAAACCTCATACTTACCTTGATGGCATAAGCTCCTTCATATCCCTGGGTTTGTGGGCTGTGGGGACCCTTCATAGCACGGCGACCATGTCCATACAGAGGGTAACTACGGTTTGTGTGTGCTCCGGCACATGCACCGTCTCAATATTTTCCAGTCCTGCCACGGCCACTCTGGCTGGGCAGGCCTTACTTTTTGCTCTTCCACCCTCCTAACCCTAACCCTACACATTTCCAAAATGAGAAGTGACATCGTCATAAGGTCTTTGGTGTAGACTCCGATTCAAAAGATTCTACTACAAGACATGTCACATTGTTTTTCAGCCTGGAATGTCAAATGTCGATTTACTCTTCAGGAGCACGATCTGGCGCAATCTCGGATAATATTGTTATGCTCCATGTGCTAAGGCACTCAGGCTATCACACGATATACCTTGTGATTACGGGCACTCAGGTCACGTCCCTTCGTTCTGCTCGTCCACCATGGGCCCCATAATCCGACCCGCCACCAAGGGTGACCAGCCTGCCCTCTCCAACATTTGCTTGCTCACCGCCAACGCGGGCACATCATCCAAGGACTTACACTCCCATCCAGCACTCCCAGGCCTGATTTACTCCCTTCCCTACGTGCACCTTGAATCAACCTGGGGCTTCGTGCTTGAGGACGATGGAGAAGTCGTGGGGTACACTCTCGGCGCATTCGATACGCGCAAATTCGAGGAGAGTGCAGACGCGGACTGGTGGCCCTTACTCAAAGCGCGTTACGGGCCCCTGCTACAAAATCCTGACGCAGCGCTCACAGCTGCGGATAGGATCTATATCAACACGATCATGACAATTCCCAGAGCAAGTGATGCACAGATGGCATTCGCACCTGCGCACCTGCACATCGACATCCTGCCGAGCTATCAGCGGCAGGGATGGGGGCGGAAATTGATTGGACGGGCGATGGCGAATTTGAAAGAAAATGGGATAAAGAGTGTTTGGTTGGGCATGGATCCGAAGAATAAGGAGGCGGCGGCGTTTTATGGGCGATTGGGTTTCAAGAAGGTGGATGGAGCGCAGGAGGGCATCATGGGTATCACGGTGCAACAATGGGAGGAGTACGCTGTTTAAGTTGCAATTGCGAATAAAGAACGGGTTCTTGATGATGCTGGGGCACTCCTCGTCAAACATTCCAATTGTGAAACACTGGCAGCTGGACCAGATGCGGTGAGCTGGATGCCAGGAGTTCAAAGTGCTGGCGCTGATTGCGTCCCGTCGTTGATTGATCGAAGAAACAGCCTAGCACTATGTGCTCACTAGTGCAAATATTATGTTCATTGTGTCCAGTGAGCATACTACTGACACCAGGACTCACTTTACGTGTCAGCCAGTTCCATACCTGTTCTCGATGCTCACAGTGCCTATCGTAAGTCACGGATTTGATCGTGATGAGTCCCTGTGCTTCGTGTAGTTATTCGAGAGACGTGAGTACCTGTCCGTGCTCGTTGCTCATTCATCTGACGAGAGGTTTTGTCTGCAGGTGCGAATTGCGCACGAAATTCACTGTGCACACCCAACCACTTGTATCGTCCGTACCGTAAGTTTGTTCAGTTCAATTTTGCGTTCGGCTCAATTTAAAATCTGGCTGGACAAGACTGTAATTTCTCCAGTCTTGATGACTCGTGACTACTGGTCTAAACTGAAATAACCCAGATACCGCCTCCCATCCCATGTTTCAGACAAGTCTATATCACCCATCCACATTTCCCTCCGCGCCGAACCGTATCCCTTCGTCTTCCCCCTCAGTGACGCTATCAGCTTTCTTGCAGTTCTTGCCTCGAAAGCTAGACTTTCGTCGTCTTCGAGCAAGTTTAACGATAGCATGTCATATAACCCGTATCTTGATGAGGAATCTGGCCGTTATCCACCACTGTCCTCCACAAATGTGCTCCAGCGACGTCAAGTACAAAGGCAGTCACTAAATCCTTCTTTTGAACAGCAGCAAGCGCGTTCCTCTATCAGCGCTGGTCGTCGCAGTTCACGTATTCCCAACTCCTCTTCATTCAACTCGAGTCCGCGCTTCGTTGAACATACTTTCCCTGAGCCTCAGATCCCAGAACCCACAGTTCCTCCGTCCGGGGTGCCTGGTGCATCAATTCCGGATTTCACCGACCCATTCTCAGCTCAGACCCATCACCGAGCGTCGCGAAGCAGGCGCCCGACGCTCCCAGCTTACGAGACTGCAGTCGCCCCTCACCAAAGATTTTCTGGATACGCTCACGATCCAGAGTCTGCGTTGCGTACGGATGGTGAGGATCATAGATACTCACTGTCGTCTTATCAGCACCCCTATGACATCCCTCCACCGCGAAACGCATATATCGGGGACTATGATGGGCGGCATGTCGACTTTCGGGACAGTGAGGGGACTTTGACGGATATCGAGGCACAGACCGCGAACGGAAAGGATAAGGATGACGAGGCGTATGATGACGTCAAGCTGGATGACGAGGAGGAGGACGCGGATGGTGCCGATGAGGACGACATTGACTATTGCGACGTGAACGACAGGGACGGAAGAAGACGTGGCCTGTTCTCTAACCTCATCGATCTGTACGGAGTCGATGCTGAGGGCGAGAACGTTCCATTCCAACGCCGTCGTTTTTCTAATCTCGACGATGACTATGATGAAGAAATGGGCGGCGGACCCATGCGAAGACAGAACTCGGATAATTCCCAGAATTCGCAGTTGCTGGACCCGGATGATCCTACTATTACTGGTGTCAGGAAGAAGTGTCTTGACGACTATGATGACGAGAAGCGAACGGCACTGCGGCAGATGGACTATCGCAGGCGTAGAAAGGAGAAACAGAAGATCAAGATCGAGTTCAACGTGACTTGTATGTCTTCCTTTCTATCTGGAACTGGAGCTCAATACGATATTCTAGCCATTATTCACCGTCACAACTTCCTGCTCAAGCTCGCAAAAGCGCTGATGACATTCGGTGCGCCATCTCACCGCATCGAGTCCCAGCTCCTTGCAGCGGCACGCATCCTCGAGGTCGACGCCGAGTTCATTCATCTACCGAGCGTTATCATCTGTTCCTTCGGCGATAACGACACGATGACGTCGGAAACCCACTTCATCAAGTCCGGTGGGGGTCTTTCATTGGGTAGCCTGCACAAGGTTCATATCATCTATCGCGCTGTGGTACACGACGAAGTCAGCGCGCGCAAGGCGACGGAGCAACTTGACGACCTGTTGTCAGCGAAGCCGTTGTACCCGTGGTGGTTCAGGTGCATCTTGAGTTTCTTGTTATCGCTGTTGATCTGTCCGCTGGCTTTCGGGGGCTCATTCATCGATATGGGGATCGCCGGCGCTGGCGCCTTTGTATTGTGCTTCCTGCAACTCAAGGTTGCCGCGAAGAGCGCCATGTATGCGAACGTCTTTGAGTAAGATCTCTTGACATTGACATTTTCGTCGTGATGCTCACTTTCTATTAGGATTACAACGGCGATGCTGGTATCCTTCACAGCACGAGGACTCAGTAGTATCAGAAGCCAGATCTTTTGTTACACGGCCGTTTCCTCTTCTGCGATTATCGGCATTCTTCCAGGTTATTTGATCCGTAAGTGCCTCTTCTTGAGTTGTTTCTCCCGCCGACCTTTTCCCAGTAAGTAGTTCCTTGGAGTTGGCCTCTAAAAACATCGTCTGCGGTAGCGTCAAGATGGTATACGCCCTCATCTATACCCTCTTCCTGGGGTTCGGTCTGCAGATCGGGTCGGACCTATACCTCCTCTTCGATCCAACCGCACGGCACCACCTCACCACGCTCGCCGCTGACATCTCTACGAGCGCTACCATCGTCGGCACATTCGCGGCGGACAACTCCACGAGTGGCAACTCATCGCTCTCCTCAGGATTAGGGCCCGTCTATGGCACCTTCACCTTCACGAACAACACGAATGTGATGCAGACAGACATCATCGACGGATGTTATCGCCCTAAACACTTCGGCTGGTACCTCCAGCCCTTTCCCTTCTGGACACAGTTCCTCATCGTCCCGCTGTTCAGTATTCTATCGTCCCTCGCAAATCTGCAACCATGGCGGAGCAGGCAACTTCCAGTGATGGTGGTCATCTCGTGCGCGAGTTATGCAAGCAACAAAGTCGCGAACCACTATATCTTTAATCGGAGCGATATCGTGAGCGCTATCGGGGCTTTCACTGTGGGTTTGCTGGGGAATGTCTATTCGAGGAAGATGGGTGGAACGGCGTTTACGAGTATGGTCACGGGTGTGCTGTTCCTTGTGCCAGTAAGTGCTCCTTTTTGCTGGGTTTGTTGAAGCTCAATTATGGTCAATTTTATAGTCCGGTCTGTCGCAGGCGGGAGGGATAACGGCAGATGGAAGCGGTGTGGACATTGGAAGTGCAATGATAGCCGTCACGATCGGTATCACGGTCGGGTTGTTCATGTCCCAAGCGCTCGTGTACATGTTCGGGTCGAGGAAGAATGCTGCAGTTTTCTCGTTCTGAGCTCTCGTCTCAGTAGGACCTTACGATACTGCTCATTGCTGTAGTACATTTTGTTTTGCGTGGCACTCTGCGCGCGCTCTCTTAAAATTATGGTGATACATCTTCGGTATCCTTCTTAATCAACATACACCCCCCTGACGCATCTAGAACATGACAGCTGGCGAGTTCTCCACATTCTCGATGGACGTCTTGTGTCCGACAAGCGTCCTGATGTTGTTAACACCATACCTATATCAAGAGCTTCAGTTTCATGTCCAATAAATGCACAAGTGCATAAAGCAGGAGTGTGGTGTGGAATGATACAGGGAAGAGAGAGAAAAATACTCACCGAATCATAGTTGGTCGTTCGAGCCCAATTCCCCACCCGTGTACACGCACATCAGGTGGGAAGCCCATGGGTGCAAGCATTTCAGGGCGGAACATGCCACTGTTTCCGATCTCGACCCATTTTTCCAGGAGGGGGTGCCAGGCGAAGATCTCAAGAGAAGGCTAGAGTTGACAAGTTCCAAGTCAGTACCGGGATTATTCTCAATACTGGAGGCTTGAATGCGGAGATGACAATGTGCGTAGAGAATCTGGGTGGACGACATGAAGGCGCACCTCTGTGTACGGATTATAGGCAGGTTTGAACCTCAGATTCTTCATTCCCATCTTCCTGAAGAAAGTCCGCATGAAACCTATGCATACGAAGAGTTATTAGCGATAGTGACAAGATAGATCGAAGGAAAATACGATAGACGGGGAATATGACGGGCATCCAACGCAGAAAAGGCTTGTAACCCACCAATCAAATCCGCAAGTGTTAGGTTCCGATCTGCTACAACACCCTCAACTTGGTGGAATTCCGCAAGATGAGTAGCATCCATTGTCTCATTACGGAACACGCGGTCAATGCTGAAGAGTTTTGCTGGTCTGAACCCATCATCACTCGGATTTGCAGCTCCAGATTGCGATTTTGCAGAAAGGTCGCCGTCGATATCTTCGCCTCGACACTTGGCTGCGAGCTTGTACAGCATTGCAGCGGACGAGGCAGTTGTGTGCGTGCGCAAGAGGAGCTTATGCGACTCCTCATGCGACCAGGGCGTGCGATAACCGACACTTCCGTATCCGCCGTGCTCATGCACACGTGCGACGCGGTCATAGTAAGCGGATGGTGGAGGGAGGGACGTCGAGGGATCTATAAGGCAAGAATAAGATTTTTAATAAGTTGGTGAGGTAAGAGCAGCAAGCACATACCAGAGAGATAGAAGGTATCTTGGAGTTCGCGTGCAGGATGCAGCTGGGGAACAAAAAGGGCATCGAAGCACCAGAATCCAGACTCGACGAAAGTTCCCGTAGGCATTTCTTCAAAACTGCGCATCCGTGATCAGCATCAAGTATCTCAGAATATATTGTGCAAAATAAAAAAAGAAGAATAAAAAATCTGTGATACCACAGCATCATTGCACTATAAAATAATTACGCACCCCATTTCTAAGAAAATGCTACGGATCTCCTCGCGGACTTTAAGGATAGGGTGAAGAGCGCCGCCGGACGTGGGTACCCCGTCTGCGTCAAAGTTATATTTTTTGAAGGTGGAATTTTTCCAAGAGCCGCTAGGGGTTAGAGAAATATAAGCTTTAACACCGCTGCATTAGAACACGAAACCCACGAAGTGAGCATATCAACGGTCAAATCAGTCTCTGGTTTTGCAATCGAAGTACTGAAATTGGTGCCCTTATGCACGGTGAACCACTGGCCCTTTCTTTGTTATCATCAGGCTAAATGATTTACGTTGGAGGAATATGAGGAACCTTTGTATGATCAACTTGCGTTTTCGCAGTTCAGCGAGTGCCTTTTCACCTGCCACGAGTGTTCCCGACGACTCTACCTCGCGCAGCTCAATCTGTGTCGTATCTGTAATATTAGACACCTACCAGCATATCAATCGCACAGTCAAGGAAAATGTCAGCACGAATTACGCACCGCCTTGACGAAACCATTCCCCTCCTTCACAATCCAACCACTCTTAAACGCGCGTCCCTGTCCGACTTTTGCAGCCTCATCTCCCACTGCTTTCTTGAGATCCTGCGCGCCGAGAGGGGCACTACCACGTTCAGGGAGGGCAGCCCAGACGCGAGCTTCGTGCGAGCCCTCACGCACGATCTGGACGCCCTCGGGTGTAAGCACATGTGATGAAACTTCATGTGTTTCGTACGTTATCATCTGCACGTTCATTCAATATGAGATCATGAGAAAAATGAAAGCAGACTAGCCTCCCGGCTGAGTAGCGAGTTCAGAGCACCAAGGATTGTGATCTGTGCATCATGGCCGGACGCTAGGCTGGATTGGCCAGGGATTTTTAATGCACGGGTATCTGGTAAAGTGGACTGGGCATCAAGAGAGTCCAGGATTAACTGCTGCAGCTGTTCTGCCATCGTCGATGTTCGCGTTAGCTGTTAGATCAAATCTATCGAGTCAAATGAATATGTAATCACGTGCCTACGCCGACTTTGTATCCCCGCTTCGATGAGCAGTGTATGGCAGCAAGCATGGGACGCTGCCCAGCCCCGCCTCCACTCTATACAAGATGCTCTTGCGTCCCCAGAATTTCCTAGACCGAACCCTCGCATTATTCGTGTCGGACAGCTAGACGCTGAGCTCCTCGATGCTGAACTTGTTCACATACTTACAGAACCGGTGTCGAAGGCTCTTGCGACCGTCAACGTACGCTTTCTGCGTGGCAATATGTCGTTTGCTGATGAAAGGAACAGGCATCCATGAAAGCTCGGCTTGAGCCTGAACTTGCATTGCTCGTCCAGCTCGTGCTTTATCGCTTCTCTGTGTGGAGTTCTGGTGCAAGCTATGGCGCAATGCTGCAGGGCCTGCGGTATTCCGTGCCAAGTTCCAGCTTGGGTTCAAGCTGTGAGTGAATATATATCTCGCAATTCTCGACGTCTTCATGTTATGCCGCAGCCAGGCCCCCACGACGATTACTAATAATGCATGGTGCACTCACTATCCTCGTTCCCTACTTCCGCAACCGACTCAATGCATATGCGCTCTCGCGTGCATGGCCAGATGCTCCTGCCTCTGATACCCGTCGCCGCGCTTGGAGTGCCTTGACGAGTCTCGAATCCGCACATGGTGCACTCAGTCTGCTCAACTTCGTCGCATTTCTATGGAATGGGAGGTACGTTTCCGCAGTGTATGCCATTGCTGACGAACTGTTAACACAGTATGTTGCAGATACAGGACAATTGTCGATAGACTCCTGGCAATGAGGCTTGAGCCTTCACAAGCTCTTCTCAAACGCGATGTTAGTTACGAGTTTATGAATCGCCAGATGGTCTGGCACGCATTTACAGTACGCCGTTCCTCTATTTGCCTTCATTGCAGACTCATCCCGCTATAGGAATTCCTTCTCTTCCTCCTCCCGCTCGTCAATTCTCGCTCCGTGGCACGAAGGCTCACATCAGCCCTTTCGTCTATTCTCCCTGCTCCCTCCCGTTCACAAAAAATACGCACACCGAAACGTGGAAAGTATTATGCCCTCCCGCCAGACCAGTGCGCAATCTGTGCTGAGAACGCTGCCCTGAACGTGAATCTTAGTGATGCTGCTGGCGCGTTGGCATCGTACACTCCGGCATTCCCTGCATCATCAAACAATGATGCTGGTGAGAATAATATTGAGGAAGACGGAGAACCTCCATATCCGATAACAACACCGTATCTTGCTTCTTGTGGACATATTTATTGTTATGCTTGTCTAGCTGAGCGCATGCTCCGCGCCGCAGATGATGGTTCATGCGGTTGGACGTGTCTGCGATGCGCGGAGGAAGTGAGGAGTGCGGACAGATACAGATTGGAGGGTGAACACGGAAATCTAAGGCGAAGTTCCGTGTTGAGTGGGGCCGAAAGCGAGGGCGTGGGTGAGGGAGAGAGAGAGAGGAGTGATGCAGGAAGCAGTCAGGGGGATGAGGGGAGTGAATTCGAATTCAGCAGCGAGTTCGGGAGTGGGACAGGCAGCTTGGGGAGCTATACTTTTACGGGGAGTGAGGCTTGAGGCCTCGCTGCAATGCTACAATACCATGGCATGCTCATCTTACATATATTTAAGGTTTGAGCACATCTTGGCAAAACCGAAAGCCATTTCTTAGATCCATCACCCAGGTGGTCGCTTGAAGTATGCACCGGGAAAAAAAATTGTCCGTGGTATGTCCCAGGGAGGATTCGAACTTCCGGCTTCGCAGATTATGTTTCCACAATGCGATGATTTAACCACTAATCGACAAGGACCGAAGTCCAGACAGCTAAGTTGAATTCATGACCTGACTTCTTGCGTCTAGGTTGCGCCTATGGTGCAGTTCACTTATGCACCGCTACTTTTGTGCAAAATTTCTAGTGTCGTGAGAAAAAGTCCCAGGAACTTTCTGTCTTGTAAAAATGCTTAGATTGATGATAGGAATAAATTCTCAAGAGCGATTGTTCATTGGATGAAATCTGAGTGAGATAAAATTTCAGCCATGGCTCGAATTGGCGGTGAGCCTAAGATACCTGCAAAATTGGGGCAAAACAAGTCAAAAAGTCCCAAATCCCATCATGTTTATGCTACATTAATGCAATAAGTACTGAATCCTAAATATACGAGCTTTCGAGCAAATTTTCGTGTCTTCAGTCCAGTCACCCCTTGAAGTGCACACTCTGTCAGCTTCCTATACACTCGAGAAAATTGTTAGCTAGCCAGTTCAGCCTCTGTGACAACTCCATGTTCTAGATACTTGAATTTAATCTGTACATTCACCCATCTATTCCAACAAGACTTGAGTTTTGAACCAAAATTGAACAGTAACTCAAGTACACTTCTATTTGGACTAGGGTTAGGGTTGGGTTGGGTCGCCCTTCAATTTGGCGGTTGCCCCAAAGTAGCGGCACATAAGTGAACTGCACCATACAAAAAAGAAATGTCTGTACTTTGAAGTGGCGTTAGATTTCGAGCATTTGGAATAAAATAACGATAAATTATTGGTATCGATACATTCTCGAGAACACTGGAAGCAGCGGTCCGTAGATGTCTTGCAACGAGGACCAGCCTCCAAAACATTCCCACTTACAGCTCTTTCTTTTTCCCGAACATCTTTGCCAAATCCATAGTGCTCTCGGGCTTAGTGGCCGTAAATTCCCACTCTCGCAATCTGCGGCCCGCCCTCACACTCTCGAATACCCACTCAGGTCGCACCACATGTGCAGGATTGCGCTTTGACACGAGGTGTTTGTGAGTTTTTGAACCTGAGAGTTGTTGCGACGTGAGAATATGCGTTGCGCCGCTAGGGGAAAGCCTGTGGTAAATTGGTGTGAGATTAAAAGTTTTGCAAGAGAGATAGGGCTTACAAGGTGATCCCACCAGCGCCAGCAACTATCCGCTTCATCTCTATGTCGGTTGTTCCTGCAAGGTAGCCACCGATATAGACGCGCACACCACTTAGCACACCTCTTTTCCCTTCTGTTTCGTCTCTTTTCACTGGGTGTAAGTCGCGTGCATTTTCGTGCTTCTGGACCTCTAGCTTCATAGAGCGCTCGTCAAGGTACCCTCGGCGATGCCCGCCACCACGCCTGTCGGAGCGCTGGTGGCCTGATGCAGCCGAAACAACGTGATCTGTACTGAGATATTAAAAACGGGAATGCGAAATGCAATAACAAAGGAGGGGGATAACGCACCTGAACGTTCATATATATTAGAATGAGTAATTGGGTTTGACTCGTCCGCAAGGGTGTTCAGCAAGTGCTTCGTAATTTTACAAGCAGAGGGTTTAGAGGCACCGTCTTGTTTGAGAGGGCCCAGGAGTCTGCCACACGTTCAGTAAAAATTCCTGGATACAATTTGAAAGATACGCACTGGCGCAAGCGCGCCTTATCTTTTGCCACAGCCTCTGGGTAGTTTGACTTCGAGATTACATCTGCATCAGGGAAATTCTTGTTAGTTTTCGGTTTTGAAGTAGGGTATGGAGTAAATCGCGATGAGTTTGTACATAGAGAGGAGCGCGCAGGCTTGATTACAGTTACAAACTTGTCCATCGTAGTTAGTGGTATGGTTCGTGTTTCAGGAGGTTTTGTTCTATTTTAATCACGCGTCTGTCGCCTGGTCATGTGATTTCTGAGTAACGCGTCAAAAATCTGCTGGCTTACCCACATTATTCCGGGTCAAGACGTGCTGTGCTATCTTATAATCTTCATGTCCGTCGCTTGCTGATGCTAATCTCTTATCGTTTCACTTTCCTATCTATTGCTGTGCATACCAAGAGACTAAAGCTTTCTCCTTTTCACGGACGCAGGATGTCCACCCCATCCACTCCAACTTACAGGGATGCCATAGACGCACTAAACAGCCTTCAAACTAACGCTGCTATCCTGGAGGCTGTGCGAGCTGCAGGAGCGAAGCTCAATCCTAATGCTATCCCTGAAATGATTGATTACATTCGCAGGGTGGGCCTTGAAGTATGTCATTTTCCAATGTTATCATCTCGTTTATGGAAGAAGTACCACTACAGCCATCTCAGTTAAACGATCTAAATGTCATTCATATCACGGGAACAAAAGGGAAGGGGTCTACAAGTGCATTCACGGATTCAATATTGAGGGCAGCTAGGCCAGGCTGGAAAACTGGTGTGCCTAACTTTCCCAGCTCCACCAGAGCGTCCCTTGACAAGTAACACAGGCCTGTATACCTCCCCCCATCTGGTCGCTGTCCGCGAGCGTATTCGCATTAATGGCGAGCCGCTTTCAGAGGAGGAATTTACTCGTTACTTTTTCGAGGTGTGGAATTTGCTCCAGAAAAATACGAAGGTATTTGGTGTTCGTCTCTTGCGGCAATAGTCGTCCGTACTAGACAAGGTCTCTTTCAGTGCGAAACAGATACCACCCCCTTGATGCCAAACTACTTTCGCTTCATGACGCTCATGGCCTTTTACACTTTCAACCAACTCAAGGTGCGCCAGCAATACTGACCGTTTATGTGGCTAACTTGATACATCAGGTTGATGCGGCAATTCTCGAGGTAGGCATTGGTGGACGTTCCGACAGTACGAATGTTGTCCCCAAGCCAATTGTCACAGGCGTTACCGCCCTCGGGTATGACCACACAAGGCTTCTTGGGGAAAAGCTCAGTCAGATTGCAAATCAGAAGGGCGGAATATACAAGGCGTGTTTCTCTTTCGGATCTATATCATAATTATCTGACAGACAGACTAGGAAGGGGTGCCAGCTTTGACTGTTGAACAACCTGAGGAAGGCATGTCTGAGCTTCGTGATTGTGCAATAGAGCAGAGGGTAATTCGTCTTCTCTTAAATCTCACCCCTACAGCTCATGCATGTTTGCACTGTAGGCATCTCAATTCATAATTGTTGACACCCTCCCTTCCACCATCCAATTAGGCATGTTTTTTGTTGTCTCGCCGTTCTCCTACCGCGCAATTAATCTGATGTCACAGGCCTTGCAGGTGCTCACCAGAGATCGAATGCCGCTCTTGCGGTACAATTGGTGCACACGTTCCTCAGTATCACAGATCAGTCATACTCTCCCGTGTCAGATCCCAACACCAGTGATGCTGCTGGCGCAACACAGAGCGGAGCGGCGATTGAGCCATTGCAATCCCTTCCTACGTCTTTTCTGGACGGCCTCAAAAATACTCACTGGCCTGGTCGTTGTCAGACGGTACTCGATCCGAAGCTTGAGGGCACGAAGTGGTTCCTTGATGGGGCACACACGAAAGAGAGCCTTGCGTGCTGTCTGGAATGGTTTGTAAGTCCAGCAGTCGGGCTTCCTGTGTAAGTTTTCTATCTACATTGGTTTCGGTCCACAAACATATTGGGTTTTAGTTCCCCCGTCTCTGACGTGCACCCACCCCGAGTGCTTATCTTCAATTGCACCAGTGGACGTTCAGGAGATGATTTCCTGACAACCATCTTGCAAAAGATAGAGGAACGACTGACAACATATGGCAGTACGGAGAAGAAGGAAGAATTTTTCGCCAAGGTCATTTTTTGCAGTAATGTGACCTATGCCAGCGGCAACTTCAAAGGCGGTAAGTATTGTCATCATCTCACATGCAAGCTTATATGCGCATCCGGCAGACCTCACCTCCGCGGCAATGGATACAACTGACAACCTCAATCTCAAGACTCAGAGAGAGATTGAATCAGCCTGGAACAAGCTTGTCCCAGCTTATTCTGGTACGGTGCACGTTCTACCGTCCATTGAGGACGCTGTAGAAGAAGCACGTAAAACGTTTAACGTTAGCGTGCTCGTCACGGGCAGCTTACACCTTGTAGGTGGCGTCATCGAGGTCGCAGGCTTGGCAGAAAGAGCCTTGAGCCCGAAAGCATGATAATATTTGTGATTTCACCATCACTCACACTGGCCCTCCTATAGCTATCCAACCTAGCATAGTTCCATCTCGAGTATTGGTTATTCGAATCTGTCGATTTCCGGCTTTCAACACGCCGGCCTTTGGGCTCAACACCGCTACACCTCACAGCAGCGCTGATTTGTTTATATCTAACTAACACTATGTAGCTATATTACCACCCTTCAACAGGATTCTAGTTAGATCTGTAAACTGTTCCAGTCCGCTATGCTACAAAAGATCCGTGTGATGCTGCGCGGGAGTTATAACAAAGGTCTGCCACAACACAAAGCAACTTCACAAGAGAATCACAAGCCCCCGTCTTACTTCCAAGCAGTAAGATTCTCTTCGCCACCACGGCTGTTCACCTCCACACCCACACTGCGGAACCCGCTCGTCGGGCGTGGAGAATTGGGCAACAGCACAGGCTGTATGGGCATGGTATACTTGACATCTAGATCCTCCAGAATGCTCTTGAGATGTTTCATGAACGCAGTTCTCCGCGTCCAGCGTCCTCCCCAATCCTGCCAGTTGGGGCGATCTGAAGCAGGGATCAGACCCCACGGTCATGGTAGATACAGAGACTTACGTTCAACAGCTACCGTCAGATGGATCGCATTCTGGAACTCCATTTTGTCGATATTCACTGAAGACCCACTCCATTCCCTGTTATTTGCTGCGATGTAGGCTTGAATGCGTGCCTTGAGCTGCTCGACAAGCTCGAGAGGTGTGTTGTACGCTATCATCAGCGTCGTGCTCTCCCACATGCTGTTTGACCGCCGCAAATTATGGACGAGCTTCGTGCTAGATAGCAGGGAGTTAGGTGCGATGATTTCTTGGCCGTCAACCCGACGGAAAGTGGTAGAAAATAGACCAAATTCTTTGACAATCAGGTACTGACGGAATAGCTATTAGTTTCACGCAAGCTGGTCACGGAAAGAACACACCTGGTCGTCAATCATGACCAAATCGCCGACATCAAAGACATGAGTAGAAAATATAAAAATCATCTGTTCAAGAAGTGAGCTTGACGTGGACGGTAGATGAGCAAATCACGCTGACTTACTGACTCAAACAATGTCTGTGCAGAGTGTCCGAAGATAAACGAGAATCCGAGGATAATTGTCGCAAGAGGAACAAGTGAGGCTAGCGTGTTGGTCCTATTGAAAATGAGGAGACATGTGAAGAGAATACCGAGCAATGCAATGGAGACAAGGACAGCATCCAGCTTCGCCACGGCTGAACCAACGTCCTACGCGAAGTCGTGAGCAGTATTTCTTAAATTCAGTGATGGACTCACTTTCAGGCTGGCAGTCAGGGCCTTACGCTCTCGATAAATCCTCTGTACGGCTTCCCGCATTTCTCGCTTGCTAATGTCACCATTGCCGTCTTTGTCAAAAATAGCAAAAGCTGCATGCTACTGAAACTGTGAGATTGATGAACTCATAAGATGAAGTGACCCACCGCTTCAGCAGTCGAACGGAAATAAGGGTAGAAATCTATCAAGAAACAATGTTAGACCATCTTCTTTAACATCAACTTAACAAACCTTCGACGACAAGATGAGAGCGTCCAGGGCTGGTTACACTGAGAGCATCAAAGAGTTTCCTTGCGAGCTTCCGCGCAGAATCCAGGGCATGAAAATCGCCACCCCGGTTGAAATTGGAATTCTTAAGCGCAACTTGCCCAATAGCGCCAGTCAGCTGGTCAACAACGACAGTTGCCATGTACCTCTTGCGTCGTCTTTTCGTCTGAGCGCGACTCGTATGGCGCTTTTTATCCGATCGATGATGTGCTTCGTCCTCGCTTTTCTCGACAACAGGTGTAGCAGCTGCACTGGCCTGCCCGCTGGCTGGTCCATCTGTTTCATGTTGACGGTGACCCTTGCCGTGAAACGGGGAAGAAAGGTCGAATGCGTTCCCAAAGGAGCTCAATGCATTTTTGTGCCCTTTCTTGACGTATGTACTTTTCTTGACTGGAGCGGGCTGCGCATTTGATAGGTGGTCCAGTGCTCTCAGTCCCATCCGGTTCTCCGCGAGACGATCCGCGAGTGCATCTTCGTGGAAGTTGATGGCGACAAATCTTAGGAACAATTTTTCTACAAACAGGATGATACCTGCAGAGAAGAGAGCCTGTTGAAAGCAACGATATGTAGCCATGGTGATAGGGAATGAGAGGAGCAATTTACCTGCATCACACGGTTGATGATCACCCAGTACGCGCCAGGAGGTTGGTAGAAGGCCGTGATTGCAGATAGCGCTATCCAGGCCCACGAAATATCAAGTGCGAGCTTTAGCCATGCCGAGACAGCAAGTGTCAACTACAGCGATGAATTTAGTCAGACTGCTCAAGAGAAATCCGAGCAGCACATACTTCGATCTGCGTTTTCAAACGCTCTACTTGGCCACCAAATAAGAAAATAACGTAGATCACAGTACGCGGGATGGCATCCACAACCAAGTATGTTGCGCAGGAGGCTGCCCATATGACCGACAACCAAAGGGACCAAACACGGACTTGCAGCCGGACACTTTGCTTGTCCTTGAACCTCAACTCCACTACCAGCAACGGAATTATGAAGAATGCAGCACCAAGAATGCCGATTAATAGTGTCCTGACTGGCCTTGCGAGCTTCATGAAGCCAAGCCAAAGGGCTCTGCCTCTCCTCGCCCTTTTGCCAGTTCCCGAATTCTCCGGTGGACTAGCGACTTCTTCTTCGTCCCAGTCAAATTCATCCGAAGAGTTCGTCGAGGTCGTATCGGAATCGCCATCTTCTTCTATATGGGTTTGGTCCAGTGTCTCGGACTGATCCCCCTTTTCATCCCGGGCGTAGTCATACTCCTTGGACTTGGAAGTATCGAGGAGGGTGATGTCATCTTCAGGAGAGCGACGTCCAGGCATTATCATTCATCTAACGCAAGCAGCGAACCGAAAGAAACTAACTAGGTGGTGGGACAAAAAACAGGTTGATACCTTATTGGTCCAATGGCCTTGCCAACATTGGAGAGCACAACTCCACAACACTATGGTTAAATTGTTAAACCTCGTTACCTTGTTACGTAAGACTCCCGTCATTTATCGGGGGCGAGGACAAGGCGAGGATGCACGAGTTATGAAGAACAGGATGAAGGTCATAGTAGAACATTATAGTCAGAATTGTTATGCTACAAAATAGCGCCACGGAAATTAATGAAAGGGCAAGAAAGACACGACATCACGAGCCAACTTGAAAGTTGGATCAGTTCCTAAATTGGCTCGGCTTGTTGTCAAGTAAGCGGGAGTTTGATGAGAGTCGGAGATTACAGTGAAGAACCATTAGGTTGATTATAACTGCGCAGTGCGATACGAGTGTGCTGGATATTGACGATCACGAATGATTGGCGGAATTCAATGTTGGGTTGGAAATGGAAACTGCTTTGGAAAGAATCATTTTGGGTGAACTCGACCTGATAGATCGCTAGAAGCGGGGCGTTCCCCTGATCCACCGCGCTAATCTCAAAGACCAGAAGTTTGAGCATGTCGCGCAATGACGCCCAAGTTAGATTGCAAACAGCCGAGGGCGCTTTCACCGAAAGCCTGGGTCTGTGGTGGTCCCGACTGTGCACGAGGATACGAGTCTGCTCGACGAGCAAGCATGCTGGTTCCAAAAGCTTGAGTGCAGGGGACGTCGCTTCTGCTTCCCTGGGCCCATCCCGACACCTGAGCGCCTACGACGGAGTCCCCGTGCTGCAAAGAAGTATCCAGGACAGCCCGCGCCCTTCCTAGTATACTACCGCGAGTTTCAGGGAGAGACTTGACGGTTCCCAGAACCACAGGGCGTCTGCCTTTCTTCGTTCGGGACACCTCATTGACAACCGTTTCCAGGAAAGTGGCCGGCTTTTGGCCTCCTTCCGTAGTTTTCTGGTGGCCAGAAGCGTTCTGGTCGGAGGACGATTGAATCTCTTTGCGTATAAGTGTCCGAACTGTCTCATCGGAAATGAACTTCTTTTTTGCGCAGTTTTGGATATGGATCACTTTTTGGCTCGCAGTCTTTGTAGAGGTCCACTTCAGATTGCAGCTAACGCAGTTGGTGAGAGATGCAAGTTGTTTATCTGAGAAGTCGTTGGAGAAGCGTTGAACATTGGGGCGCTTTAGCCTGGCTTTCGCAGCAGAGGTCGATCCGGGAATTTGTTCTGTTGCGACAACACTACCCGAGCGCGACAAACCTCCGAGGTCGGTGATCTTAGGCTTAGAGGAAGGTGCTCGGAAAGCAAAGCGAGACAGTTTCAGGTGGGATTCACTCTCAGAGTCGCTAGACAATGGCACTTCCAGGGTCGCAATAGGAGGCGGGGTGGGATATGTAGAAGTGCGGTTCATGCCCGACATTTTCTGCGCGTTATGGGGCCCATTAGCGGTATCGGGTGCATTGGCTCGATGTTTACATCTGTCAGGAGCGATGCCTAGACCTCTTTAGAAATCAAAGGTTAAATGGTTGATATATGTGGGCCTCACCAGGAGCAAGCAAAGGTCGAAGTGAATCAATCGCAACATGGTCCGTAGTTTCTAATTGTCGGTAGAAATCCAGCTCTGTCAGTGGACTGGAAGCTGAGAGGATATGAGCACCAAGGATTTGAGACACGGTCAAAAGAGGCTCACCGCCGACGGGCTTGTTGATCTGGCTCTGACCGCCTACAGCAGCTGATGGACCAGGGGGATTGAGTTCCGTAATGGTTAGCTCATTAACATCTTGGTCTAGTTGATCAGCCCGTGACGGGTCCAGGCGCAAATATTTCTTTTTCCTTTTCTGCTCCCTCAACTTTTGCCTTTTTTCCTCCCTTTCGGGTTCGGAGTCTTCCACGAGGTCGTCATCGTATATTAACCTGCGTTTGAGAGTTTCTGGCATGGTGATGATTGAATCACATGTAATGTTTCGTACAATTCTGCAATCAAGGACGAAGTAAAATCGGTATGATGCAACAGGACGCAACCTGCCAGCGCTTGGGACGCGTTATTTGGGTCTATTTGGTTCTTAATTATTTACTTCCTTAAAACGTGATCTGATTGAGGCTTTTAGTGGCACCGCGTTCTTCTTGGGGATCCGATCCTTTGTCGATAGCAACTTGAAGGAACATGGCCAAACCATCCAAGCTTGGGCCCGTCACAAAAGTCGTCGACCCTCAAGAGCTGTATCAAGTCATCGCTCAAGCGTCATCTCAAAACCCTGCCGAAGTCCACACGTCGAGTAAACGCGTCGAGGAATTATTGGACTACTTTGGGACTTTCGATGGTTTGCATGAGATCGCCGCCACCCGTTCAGTACCGCTGCCTGTGAGGAAGCAGAGTATTATCCAATTCAAAAACAGGGCGTTGAACAACTGGAGATCACGGAAGTGTGTGCCATCGTTCAATACATGACGTGCTGGTCTATTCGCTGACATGATAATGCAGACTTTTATCAGACGAGCAACGAGTCAGGATCCGGTCACGATGCATGACCTTTTTTGACGAGGAAGACGATACGGCAAGTATTGCCACTCAATGTGGCTTTGTTCGATTTTATTTACGACTCACTCGATAAGATTGCGGAGTGCAATGAAGTAATCGTCGCCAAAATTGCTCGCCAAGATTACCCTGTGAACTGGTACCTTTGATGTTATGTCGCTGGGTTGTAGTGTTAATTTCTCGATTAGGCCTTCGCTGCTAGCCGACATCATGGACGTCATTCGCACAAATCTTGAAGTGCTCTGCAATTCTCCCAGCAGCGACCCTCGGTCAACTCTTGCCCTTCGCAGGGGCCTTGCGCTTCTTAACAGCATCCTCAAGGAGTTCAGCGGCTTCAAGCTGCCGGCCGGCGTGAACACGATGACCAATGTATGTCCCTCTTCATCTCATCATGACTTCAGAGCCTGATTCCACATTAGATCGTCGATCAACTGCATGAAGTGATGTTTGTTTACTACTCCAAATTGTCGTCGATGATTTCCGCACTCGTGCCGCTATCGCTTAGTGATCAGCGCACTGCTGACAATCTTATCGTGGCTCATTTCATCTACAAGTGTCTCGTCAAGATGGCTTTGTGGCTCTGGTCCAAACTCATTCAGTCGGCAAAAGGCGGGCTGGCAAAACTCGAGCCTTGGGTTTGTTTCTCTTGCGAGAAGTTCATGAGCATGACTAATCGGTTGTAAATCATACAGTTTTTGCAACTTTTCCAGAGTTCAACCGGACAATTGAAGATACTGTCTGAACTTCGAATCAACCTCGTCCTTGCCTTGGGAGCTTCTGGAGCATCGAACCGTCTCACGCTTTTGTCCGTTGACAGACTGACCCGTCATGTCCGCGTTTTTGGGAAATTTTTCCGCAGACTACAACAACTTAAACCCGAGAAATTTGTTGACCTTCCAACAGGTAATGAAATCGTCCTGTACTATTGGGATAGAGTTGTGCAAGCCACCAATGGACCGCCGGAGCTAATTCAAGGTTTCTGGGTTTAATTCTGCCCGGTGCTGGCTCTGCTTACCTTTTTGCATAGACACTCCAATGGCGGTTTTCCCGGTGCGTTTTCTCCTCCAGGGCATGGTCCTTTTCAAGGAAAATCTCTCGAGATGGACACCGTTTCGCAAAGATGGCATAAAAACCGAGACTAGTATTGACTGTCTTTGGGAATTGTGGCCTAGTGCTGATGAGAGTCGCCTAGCTCTTTCGCAAGAGTTTGTCGAGGATGCCGTCCGGCTTCTCGTGACGCGCTTCATCCCCTTGAACCCGACAGATCTCAAGGGCTGGATGTCTGATCCAGAAGAGTGGGTCAATATAGAAGACAAAGAAAACGATCAATGGGAGTATGAATTGCGAGTGCGTTCTACATGTAGATCCAACTTGCCGCGAGTCTCATCTTTTTAGCCATGTGGTGAACGCGTCTTGATGACCCTTTCATCGCAATACAAGGTTTATGTCACGCCACTACTTGAGACAACCTTCAAGCAGATAATTGGTGGATATACAGTTCGCATGTGCTCCTTTACTAACGAGCCCATTTCCAGCGCAACCAACGGTTGATTTGGCAAGTGTCATACAAAAGGAAGCCCTGTACTGTGCCATCGGACGTTGTGCGACTCGCCTACGAGAAGTAATTCCTTTCAGTCAATGGTTGCAACATAATCTCGTCGCAGAAGCAAGGGAGACGAACCAAAAGTGAGTCTAATTTGTCTTTTTAGATCTTATTCACTCATAACGCTACAGCTATCCCATAATTAAGCGTCGTATAGCGTGGCTTATTGGAAGATGGATTAGCGACATGTGTTCACCAGCCAATGATCCGAATGTTTGGGACGTTCTCATCCACTTGCTGCGAGACAGAGGTCCCGGCACGGATTCTGTCGTTCGTCTGACTGCCGCCACAGCCTTGCGGGAGTGCGTCGATGTATGTTCCTTTTTATCTGTTCGCGATCTCGTGCTCACTTTCCACATAGACTGTCGATTTTGACATCGATGTCTTCATACCTTACTTGCCTACCGCAGTCACAGAACTTGTGAAGCTCATGGGTGAGGCGGACACAATGGAAGTGAAACAGCGTTTAGCCAAGAGTCTCAACGTGATGATCGAACGCGCGGGTCCTCGAGTGAGTTTTCCGTACAACGCTGCAACACATCATACGCATTTGTTATTAGATTACGCCGCACGCACAAATGATTTCGGAAGGCATCCCTCAGTTGTGTAAGTCCCTATTACCACTTCATTGGCTATGCTGTTTGTTCAACCTAGCTTAGGGACCGCTGCGGGCGATGAGTGGTTATTCAAAGCTCAACTCTTGGTTGTCGTGACAAGTCTTGTCTCGGTGAGTTTTGCACATTCACAATACTAGCGATGCTTATGCACTACAGGCGATGAAGGAGCATTCGTCTCTAAACCGCCTTATCGTCCCCCTTGTTCAAGACGGTCTTTCCCCAGGGGTGAGACTTCTTTATGTGCCCGGCGTGCTGTATGCTAATGCGAGCAAAGGTTGCCATCAATCTCGATGAAGACGCGCTTAATCTCTGGCTGGCTGCCGTTCGCAACTCGTCATCGTTGGGCTGTGTTGGTGGACCCGATCTCATCGACCTGGTCCCTCTAGCAGTCTCTTTGTTATCAGACAATCTAGATTTGCTTGGCAAGATAGTGTCTATAGTCGAGTCGTATTTATTTGTCGACGCTCCTGCCGTCTTGCAGGTACTTCATTTATCACTCATCTGAAGGCGTCGCTAAGTGTTTAGGGTTTTGCCACCCCGCTAATGAATGCTTTTGTGAAAGCGCTCACAGGCCAGGCCATATTGACCAATCAGAAGGACATACTAATTTGTCTCCAATTCCTAACTCAATTGGCGCCGGCTGCGCTTTGGGGCGAAGCCATGCATGTTGCTGGTTTGTTTAGCCACATTGTTAAGATTCTGAATGACGACGAGGTGAGTCGTTTGTACTAACTGAGTAAAATGCGCACGTACTTACCATTCATAGAGCTCGACAATTCTGCTCGCCGAATGCATATATCTCCTTGCGAGGATTGCTCTGGCAGACAGACAGATGTTCTTGCAGCTTGTATTGGCAACAGCGCAGACCACGAATCTCCCTGAAGCTAAAATCTGGGAAGCATTGCTGGACCATTGGTGGCGGCAGGTTCGTATTACGTTGTCATCGCTGAGCTTGTTCACATGCATTTTACTCGCATGACAGTTCGACCATATGTCAGAGCCTCGCCATCGCAAACTAGCTGCTCTCGGCATCGCGTCTCTCGTATCAACCGGTCGTCCTGAAGTGCTTGATCGCTTACATCACGAGACTTTCAACCTCTGGACAGACGTATTCTTCGAGGTCAAAGAGAGCAGGAACTTAGCTGAAAATGAGGATGCCGGGTAAGTCTGCAATGCTGAATGTGACCAGTGCATCCTGACGCTATGGGCACTACTTGCAGCCCCTTGACACTTCATTGGGACCTCGATCAGGTACCGCAGTCATACTATGCAGATTCTGAGAACACCGTCGAGTTTGATCGCCGGAAAATGGTCGGTGATTCCTAAGTTTTCGTTGTTCCTCACTCACCCACATGCATCTGGTAGTTCCTGGACAATGATCCTGTTCGCACTACTCAGCTCACTAATTATGTGGCTGCAGCATTACAGGAAGCCGAGCGGACCTGCGGCGGCGCTCATATATTCAATCAGTATATCAGCAAGACAGATCCCACCCTGCTCAAACAACTTCAGAATGAACTTCAGGGAGGGTACTAGTAGACGTAGGGATCAAGGATCGAGAGGGGACATCACATTGCTAGTTGTACAATAAAAATGGATGCTTCATGCTTTCGCGTCGGCTTATTATAATATCGTAATTTCTTAATAAAATTAGGGATGGCGATGAATCTAAGTGCATTTTGCAGATACTAGTACTATCGTCGGTCCAGAGCCGCAAAATCTGACGACCACATTTTCATATCTCGCTGTTTGCTACACATTTAGACAAAATAATTATACGGATCGGTAGCTACGTATGTCACTGGAGAGCTCCAGTTGACATAAGAACGAAAAGTGTTCAAATATGATGCTGCCAGAGGGATGCCGACGCAAAATGTTATAAATAGTAGAGAGTTGCAAATTTCGGTTTTGCTAAACTGAACTCCGCCACGGCAAACGGTGCAATTGAGCACCCGAGCAGTCTGAAGTCGTCACTGAAAGTTTTGCAGCCGTACATTGCCGCACTCGAAATTGGTTCTCCGCTCCAAGCCGTCATGCTTGATCATTCTCTGATATTGATGCTTGCATTGTCGATAATACAGCAACTGTGCTTCGTTCTAGCTGGAAAAATGCTAAAAAGGTGAGGATGGGTATAAAGTACATGCGCAAGAAAAAAAATCATTTTTGGGTTGTGAATTTTGCTTTACCTTGACTATTCTACGTGAAACTATTCTACGTGAAAATAGGGTAACTTCGAATGATAGATTTGAAGCCGTGTGTGTTCCTCATCTTTATTTTTATACAACAAAAATACTGTACTGTGAATGTATGTTGGAAGGTCCTATATCCAAGAGTGGGGGACTTAAGATGTGTTGTTGCGTGTGCTATGAGGCATTTTGAAACTCTCTACTGTTTTGCAACCCTGGCTGATTGAAAGTACGTAGAGTCTAAAAAATGTTACCGTGACCGAAGGGTAACGGCAATTGGTTTTGGTCTTTCCATCGCTGTCGGGACACGAATGTTGATAAGCGGGTGCGGACTCCTTGATACATCGCCGGTGGTGTTCTCCAAGGTTGGTCCGAGAGTCCGGAAGTCTGCAAGAGATGAGGAGTTTGGAAGTTTACGGGAGCAAGTACAGCCAGAGAAACAGTATTCCTCTGATACAGGGGGCGTCGGTTGGTTTTCACGGGCAACCAGGGAAAAGGGTCGAGCCAGAGACGAAAAGGCGTATGCGAAGATGATATGCAGCGGGAACGGAGACGGGCTCGAATCAATGTCGCGAGACCAAACATCCTGATCATGCAAAACCTGAGTAAAAAGGGCAAGGAGAATGATGGTTGCCACGTATATGAAAACTGCTGTCATACTGAGCGTACGGTCTCCCGCAATCGGACAGCGACGTACCCAGAGCTGCATTGAGCCATGCGAGTATTGCGAGGCACAGGAAGGCAGCATGTGCAGCAGGTACATTTGCGACATTGAGGTTGACGGAGAAAAGACCTAGTACTAAGTGAACGAATAAATGCACGGTCTCACCTCGTGTAAACTGTCTTACATATCTCGAAAGGTAACAAGGCAAACGCCCATGTGGCCTCTACTGAAACGAGCTGCGGTTTGAAAGCCACCTTTGTAAATATTCTGCAAGATTTGGATGAGCTCTGATGTGCAAGACTAACAACAGAATGGGCTCACGTCCACATTGAGCCGACAAATGCGCCTGTCGGGATGGCGATCACGGCACCGATGTTGTTGGACTTGGAGTATCCGACGCCCCAGAGAAAGAGGGAGAGCGCAAGACATGCGAGAGAGAGCGTCCCAATCAATCCTAAAAATAAATACGTCAGAATTCATGTCCAATTGTGTCTGGAGTAAAAAGCGACCCATTGAGCACCTTCGGGCAGTTCTAAAGCTTATGGCCATCGTGCCCAACCTATGACTTAGAGAAGGGAAGTGCAGACTGGCATAGACTCGGAAGATACAATGACAGACCTAGCATGATGATCGCAGATCATTCGAAACCTGTCTGTACCAGGCATGACCGGTTGAAACCTAAACGCAAAGGGTCACGACACAGACACAATTGCATCTGTCCAATTTATGGTCCAAGTTCAAATAAGGCCGACAACCTTCATAACTAGCGGACTTTGCTCTAAATATCAATGACTTCAAGTTCAAGCTGGTCTGTACCATTCTAAATTCAAAAAATGAGTATGTCAGACATATTCATAATGGGATGAACTTACGACTTCTTGAGTCATCTTGAGCAGATATATTCTGTCCTTATCAACCCATATATCGTCTAAAGTGCAAGAACCGAACCTTCTGTCCAACACGATCTCGACGTAAGGCAGAGACGATGTTACGTCCTCCCCCCACTCACTGATTTTTATCGTAGATGACTCTTTCACCACTCGTCCTAGACCCTGCCTGCACTTGACAGCTAACGGGTTGAAGTCCATCATATGTAACCTACACCCCGTGACGCTATCCGCTGCACGAAACAAAACTCGATTCCCGCTAACGCCAAGAATCCATGGATGTTGGTCATAGAAAACACGAGCATTTAAAGGGCCCCAATATTTCCACGGTATTGCTGCAACCATTCCTTCAAAGACGTCAAGGTCAAAGAAAATCCTGGTGGAAATGATGAAGATAAGATGCGGATAGAACGTGAGAAGGGATATTAGTCGATGTTGAGGGTCCAATGTCCACATTGTTTGTTGGGCCTGCATCTGTGATTGTGAGCTATGTGCAATGTCGTCCATTGGGAGGATGCACCTTATCTTCATCATTGGCGGTACTGGCAACAAGAAGCACGCCAGGAATTGCGGCGCTTGAGACATATCTTCGATTGAGTAGACCTTCAAGCTGTAGCTGGCAATCAGTAATCTATCATCTCCGAGGAAACAAAAATCCATCGAGTCATCAGGAACTGAGTTAAAAGTGTCACTGAGGACGCTCTAAATAGAGTGTCAACTGCCGGGCCTCGATTATTTCTGATCAAGACTCACAATGGACGTTGTTGAGTGTTGCCAGTCCCAAATCTGCAACCACCACATGGTCCGGTTGAATGTGTAGCTGCCCGCACCATTGAACCGCAGAGAGCACCAGAGAGCGATACGCCTCCCAAAACCCTTGAGCTTCCCACTGTTTATTTCAAAGCGGATGTTCTCGCATTGGGGTGGCCCCGACATAAACAAAGTCCGTCCAGCAGCTTGGGGGTGGACACCACCTCCATCCAGGGCATTAAGTTCAATAAAGAACCTCACACCACCCGGCTGGCAAACGCCTTCAGTAATGACATACGCGATGGCAATCAGGTTTTGCGCTGGGTCCATGAACACATCGATGATGTCTGTGTTTGGAACTAAACACAGGGATCGTGGAGAGAAACCACGCTCAATTGTTTGTTGTGAGGGCTTTGGTAGTATTGGAAAGATCTTGGCTGAATCTTCATCTCGGTTGTAGAGGCAGAGATGCCCATCGGCGAGGGATAGCCTTCCGTCATAGAATTGGTCTGGTATAGAGACTGTTTCCACAGAATTAATGTCAAACTTAAACCATGCACGGGTCTTATCCCTCAAGAGTTGTAGGCGCTTGGAAATAGGAGTGTAATTGTAAAGATTCGTATCAACGACAGGGAGCAGTCGCTGACCACCCAGTTCAATGATGTACTGAAGCTCCGAGGACGATTTGCACATCTGGTGAAGGGCTTTACATACCTGCAAGACGATATTAGTTACATAAATTCATCTAGGACAACGGCAGCCATCAGCATCGATGAGTGAATCGTAGCTCACGGATGTGCAACGAAGAATGTCTCGCCAGGGAAGGAAGGTCAGAATGTAAGATCGGAGTTCTTCAGCAAGAGACTGGAATTCTGCTTTGCGGCTCATTGTTTCCTTCCCAGCTGCCAGTACTAAGTCGTAGGTCTGATACAGGCGGCGGTACCGAGATCTCCCATAGTCGCTCCACTGACAACGGTTAATTCGGAAGCGGTGTACCACTTGTGGCAGTGCAATTGAATGCGTGACGCTTCCGAGTCTGAGTTCGCTACAAGTTTGAAGACAGCTTAAGCTTCCTCGATGAATGGTAGGTTCCTAAAGATACTCTGGTTTGTAACTTATTTGCTCCAGATGAAGCAGGTATTATGACTCGAGACGAGCCTGAGGTTGGACAACAAAGTCTGTTCTGTGAGTACTTTTGACTGTGGTCGCTGCCAGTGAACGCGGGCTGATGAGTGAATGCAGATCACGGTCAAGCGAAGGATTTTGTCGACCTACATGAACAGGTCAAGGTACGTGCGTTGACTACCAGAACTCCATCTGCGTTCTGAGTCGTTCAACACTTCAGACAAGCGTAAATCTTCTGGATTCTCTGGAATCATTTCTGTCTACGTTTCAAAAGGACCTTTCATCTGTATCCGGCCAGATTTCAGAGCTACAGGAAAGGAGCAAAGACATTGATAACAGGCTGAAGAGTCGACGCGTGGGTTTATCACCGAAATGGACAGAATGATCATCTGATGCTGTGACTCCAGAGAATAGAGAAACCGCTTTCGAATCTTCTGTCAGACCTCGCAATACCTCCGTCACTTGCAGTTACTATCTTAGACACAGATGTTGGGGAGCCTTGGATATCGACTATCACTGACTTCGAACGACGACTGGATGGTCTCAAGGTTCGGTCTCGTGTCAAAGCTGCCAGGGATCTTGGAGACGTTGCGGAAGGGCTTCGCATAGTAGTGCGTGGATTTATTGCTGTCCACCTTTTATATTTGTCCAATACTTTGTCAAGGCAGCTACCAAATTACGATCCTTCTTTCTTGCATTACTACAGCCGATACGAACAAGTGTCACGACGAACATGCAAGTTATGCAGACTTCGATCTTTGTGAAGTACAGAGCATTATATGCATTCCTCCAACGGCAGGCGCCGAATGTTGCCAGTGAGATTCAAAAGGCTTACACTGGCACAGCCCGCACATACTACGAGACCGGGTTTCGTCGTTATGCACGCAGCCTAGGGTGGATCAAGGTGTTTATGTTATTGATGCCTGGATGCAGCCACTAACCAGAGCGTCAGGCAAGGACCCCACAGAAACCAGAACCTATTATCTCAGGAAACGGAGACAATGGTGGACCATCCCTAGATCAAGATCGTCTTGCATATGCAAAGATAGAAGGATCCGGCGTCATTCTCGCGTATATGGCAGATGACAAGACTCACGTGAGTATTTTGTGGCCGCACTTTGATACCATGCCTATTTTGAGGACTCCTACGTAGGAAGAGCCTATCGAAGCCATTCTCAGGTCCCTTCTTCTGGTGTTGATGGATAATGCCACCGCAGAATATTCGTTCATCACCGCCTTCTTCCGTTTTGAGTCCTTTGCGCCCCCTGCAAAGGAACATAACAGCGCCATATTTTCACCCTCTGCCATGCTTTTGTCGCCTGATTGTAGCTTTGACGATAGGAGGTCCAATGCCGGTTCCGAAATGGGTACGCATGTTTCAAGAACCTTCGGCGGTAACGGGCACGAACCTCGTGATGTGACAGTACAACCCAACATTATGGACAAGGTTGAGCGTGCGCCGTTAGATGCCATTTGGAAACAAATCCTAGACCCCGTTCTAGAATATTGCAAGGTACGGCATTTTATGTCCTCTTCGTAATTCCGAGGTACCAACAATACAATGCGCAGGCTTTCGTGACCACCGTTCTTGAACCCATGCCGCCGGCCGTGCCACTACTCACGATGATCCGACTCACGGAGGCTGTAATTACTGAAGTGCAGAAGAGGGACTGCCCGCCCTTGGAATCTTTTTTGTTTACCATGCGGTTGCAGTTGTGGCCTGTGTTCCAGAAAATTATGTCGGAACACTGTGATGCTTTGAGGAAGATTGCTGAAGGTGGAACAACTAGCTACTTCAGCAGAGCTGCGTCAACGACGGATGCGTCCATTGCAAATGTAGGTTTCCCTGATGCGGTCACATCTGCCAAGCTGACCTTAAATAACACAGATTTGCAACAGATACATTGTGATGTTTAATTCCTTCGTCATTCTGACTGACCAGGAAGAAGAGACTATGATTTTTTCCAAGTGACCGCTCAGTTCTTCTTCCTCTTCAATCGCTCACAGTGTTGCACAGCCTCCTTCGTCTCCGACAGGAGCTCACGAAATTGATCGCTCGCCACACGGAGAACATCAGTGACGATGTTGCCAAAGCTACCAAACAGTCGGCAATGTATGAGGTTCTTTTGCAAGGACTAAACGTAGGTTGTTTCCCGGCTTGTTTAAAATTATTTTCTGAGGGCGTTCCCTTGTCCAGAAAGGGACACATTTGAGCACGCACCCCAAATCTCAGAAGGAGATAGCTTACTGGGCGGAGAAAGAAGAAGAGGCTCGACGCCGAATTGTTTCTATTGCTCAAAGTAGACGTATTGGTAAGAGATAACATTGAACGATCTTAATTATTCCCCGTAGAAAGTCCATTTTTGCGGGATCCGATGGATAAGTAACACATGATCAAATACGATGCGACAGATCGTGATGGACAGACAAATCAGAAGAAAATGCAACCGGAAACTAACGATCAAGGAATGGTGGTGCCTCGTACTGATAGCAGGGAAGATCAGGCAGGTGATCTAGTGCGCACATGATCAGCTTAAAGGCACGTACATGCAAACCTGGTTTGGACAACTCACTGGAAAGAAGCCTTCAACAAGCTACTTCCGTTCTGTTTGCCAATTCCCAATCTGTTCAAAACGTCCCGTACTTCGCCCGCACTACTTGTGACAGCACGCTTCTTGGGCCTAGACCGACTTCGCGTTAACCCTAGTGGGCTGGAGCGAAGATCAAGAGAAGGCGAGCAATCGAGGGTAGATACAGAGGGTCGCCTGACAAGAGCTGGGTTGGATGCTCCCGCACGTCCCTCAAGCGCATCGCGTAAATCGGTCACACCTACCCCACGGACCGACCGTGTCAGACTTTGCAACGAGAGGTTCTCGATAGCCATAAGAGCAGGTGATAACTTCAATAACGGTGAACCACCTTCCATTATCTGCCTGTGGTTGCTTGGTCTATCCGCTGCTAGGTTTTCATGTGAGCAACATAATTTACAACGAACAGTTCGCCTTACAGTCTCTGAGAGCCATGTCTACCGTCCATTTTGCCGAACAACGGCGAAGAAGCCCTTGGCGGTCAAGCCCTGTTGCTTCTTGAACAGACTTAGATGACACCAGTACAGCCAATGCCTCCTCAGCATTGACGTCTGACCAAGGCCCCACTTCTCCTTCTCCCTCAATAGGGGGGAACATAACTGCTGTCTGTGCTGGTCGTAGGACCCCAGGAATGAATTCTGGGAGGGAAGGCAGGGTCGGTGCCGCTTCCATTGTCGACAAAGCCTGGTTTCGTGATCAATAATCTCTCCGAGAGGAAAAAATATCCGAAGAGACTGACCTTTTCAGCAAGGTCCACTAGTTCTGTGCATTCCCACACGCGACCGAGCACCAGCCAGACGCGAGCCAGTAACTCCTGTATCACCTTCACTCGCTGTTTGGAAGCATTATTTGCCCCATCTTCAACTTGGGTAGTTGCATGGAGCGCCATGAGCATTGGGAGACCAACAAGAAGGCCGCGGGTCGGAACTTCCTCGTGGATAGCAGACAGTACATACAAGATCAGCGCATAGTCTGACAGGGACGCTGAAGCAGCTGCCGAGACCTTCTCAGGCACGCTCTCTAACAAACGCTGTGTATTCGAACTTTTACGCGTCCGTGCTAGAAGCCCTGGTGATCTTCGAGCAGGGGAAGAGCCTTGCGGGTCAGCGGAATGTCCATTGATAGGGCCTGACTCATTCTGAGGTGTAGGGGCTGTTACTCCGATAGAAGGGATGTCACCGTTGGTGGAGTAGGCGGGCGAAGGAGTTGAGCTGAACGAAACGCCAAGAGACGAAGTTGTTGCCAATATAAAGAGATAAGCGTGCGTAGCATGGAGCGATCGCGTCGCCGAGTCGCCAAATAAAAGGATGCCGATGCTGTTAGCTTGATGCGTCGGGCTACCTTCGACGAGAGGGCGAGAACGTCTGACTCCATGCTCATCTGTCGTATCTCCACGTTTTGGAATCTCTTTGCGCAAGTAATCAACGAGAGTTTGGGCATAATCGCTCCGTACCGAGTAGTCGCCATCGCAGAGAAGACTCAGGGTCTCGTGCCATGTTTCTCCGGATATCCTTGTCCGTCGAGAAACGTGGGAGGGAGGTCTTTGCGAAGGGACATTATTTTGTGGAGTGGAGATTGTGGATGAGGGGATATTGTGTGGGGCGTTTTTATCATCCGGCACCACTTCAGAACCATCAGCAGCACGCATGAGACCCAGAAGACCTGCAAGGAGACATCTGATAGCCTGACTTCGCCTGCGGTCACCGGTTTCTTTGTCGCGACCAGTAATTCCTTGCATTTCAACGGTCACAAGGCGGCTGACAAGCTCGCTAGCAAGGTCTTGAATCTGGTCAGAATAGTAGATGTGGGCACCCAAAGAGGATATGCATTCCACGAGCGACGGTAGGAGGGCATCGTGAGGATCGATTGATACACGCCGTAGGACCAAAGTGATAAGGTTTGAGATGATATCTGATGTGGACAAATTAACGAGAGGTACGGGGGACGTGAAGACCGCGGGGACCATAGCAGCTAAAGCTTTATGCTGGGCTGTGCATATCAATGAATCCTGGATCGAAAGAAGCTGTTCGACCAATTGAGAAGGCACTGCATAGCGGTATTGGTATTGGGCCCATTCACACGCCTTTTGAGCTAGCCATCGACTTTGTTCAAGTTTCTCCCAAACTTTGAGATCGCCTAGGCCTTCGAATGTAGCCTGCATCAAGAACCCCATTTGAGCGCCATTAGAATGTTGTACCATGTGTTGTAGTGCTCTTAACGATGTATTTAGAACATCGGAGGAAGATGGACCGCTCTCCCCATCTATGTGTGCATGAATGGAGGCAGCACGCCTTTCAATGACAGGACGTGAACGGAATTCCGCAAGATATATGGAAGAAGCGTTGCTTTTGATAGCCTCCGCGCTTGACTCACAATAAGATGCTTGTTCTCCCCGGATATAGAACGAATACTCACCACTCGTCGAGAACAGACAGGTCCGCATTCATAACATGGAAAAGCAATGCGCGAGATATGATCGATGCTTGAGGCTTGTATTGGCTGGAAGAGCAATAAAGAGCTTCTGAATTCACGGCGCCTGTGAGAGCAGCCAATCCGACTAGACGAGTCCTGAGCAGACCAATAAATGACTCATCGGTAATGGAGAAGCGGAAGACTCACCTGTTCCTTAGCTCGTGATCGACCGACTTGACGTCGGCGGTGGATTGCTGGGCAAATCGCCGTAAGACAGCGAGGTAATCTCGGGCCAAGTTAGAATCCGCTCCAATGACATGGCCGTCGGTGAAAGTACACCACGCGGTAAACTGTAACATGAGTGAGTTTTGCCTGAACGAAAGAAGTACGCCTAATACCAACCACGCTGGCCGCTCGCGCTACTACTTCGAGGTCAGAAGAGAGGGATTCCAGCGTGACCTTAAGACACGCGACCAAAGCCGGGGACAGTAAGGAGATATCGCGTCGACATTCTACCGCCAGCGCACGTAAGACAGAAAGTGTGATAAGTAAAGATCTGGTTGAGAAGTATAAAGATCTTCAAGAAACTTTCAAGGCTTCCTAAGACGTACGCTCGAGCTCGAACGTTTCCATACTGAGCCTTGTGACATCCTGACTTGACACGTTTTTCCAGTTCGCCCCCGAGCTTGTTTATTTTTCCTGGGCGATTAGCAGCATAATATGTGAGCTTGGAGAGCTCCTGCGCATTCGGACGATATTCAGGACCAGAAGAAGCCAATGCAGATGAAGAAGGATAGCATGCAGCAATTAAAGACACGTGATTGGGGGTGAAGAGGTGCATTTGAGTAAAAGTAAGCCTTGGAAAGAGAGCTGCTCAAGGATTGAAAGAGGAGTCGGGCGATTAATTAGATAGACATAAGTTGAGGAAGGTGCATCATCTTGGAGCAGCCAGACGCCTCTGTACTAGTAAGTAAACGTGTACTAGGCACGAGACTGTGAGAACCCCCCGGATCCGGTCAGCCCCTGACAGCGTTTTTCCGATGGCATATGCATGCATAGTATGATTCAAAGTTCAACGTCGCAACGTTCAACACATGATACAGGATCATGACATTCACTTCGAGCCAGTCAATATACAGTAGAGCCTATTGGGTATGTACTAGAGCATTATACAGAGAAGAAATAGCACTGATAGTCGTGCTATCGTCAGAATGAGTAAAATGTAAACCGTTATGTGTGATCATCATGTCATGGTGGCGTGCCATGTCGAGTCTCCCCTCGTCCTCGCTTTCCTCACCTAGGGCATGAAACTGGCTCCAATCAAAGCCGACAGAATCCATAACAACATCCTTCAAACTACTCAACACCTCCAAGTGAGACGCCTGCATCACACTTATCCATCGTTTGCTGATCATCCAAGTGGCTACGCCTTTAGGGGGGAGAATAACACCTTCTTTCGGCAAACCATGGAATCGTTCTCTCCTTCCGACGCCTCTCCGCGGCTTTTGTGAGTTGTCTGCTTTGTCAAAATCGTCCAGTATATCGAAAAAACGCAGTAACCGGTTGCTGCGCCAAGGGAACCCTCGAACACGTAAAGTCATACGGGAACCGATGATCGGATCCTCTTCGGTTTCAGATTCCTCGGAAGACATACATTCCACTTGTAGTGCGCCGTCAAATACGACGTGCTCAAAGGCTTCAATTTTATTCCGAGCGTCCGAGCGATTGCTCAGTTTCTAGAGAGTCCTAGTCAATTATCGGATTTTTCTGATGGCCGGAATGGACAACCTCACCGTCTTCTTACGGCTTAGTCTTCTAGATCGCATTGCCTTGACATCTTCTCGCTGTTTTTGGTTAATAGCGACGGAGGTGTCTCGTTGAGCCCTGAACTTCTGTCTGAATGTGACGAATGCCTGGTCGAAAACGGATTCCAGAGATTTTTTGTTGAAGTCCTTGTCAGGAACATGTTTGTACAGGTGGCGATGGGCTCTGAGGTCATGTAGTACGCGCTCCTTCATCCGTCCATTGTGGACAGATTGTTTAGGTGTCTTGTCCCAGACGAAACGAACAGGGTCGCTGGGACCCAGCACAATACCTTCGTTGTGACCGTCAGGAAGGTGTTTGTCGTCCTCGAGTTGCATGACACGCAAAAGATGGCTGCGCATAGCATGCTTGATGGTCGTTAGTATTGAAATGCGAAGTTGGTGCTGGACTTACCTGGATGGTAAGACAGCGAGTGTCATGATGATTCTTCCGTTTTATAGGACGTTCTACTAATGAATACTCAGAGGCGTCACTGTCATCTTCACCACTCGTGGAACCAAGCGTCGGTCTCTTGCGTGGATTAGATGGGCCCCCCTGCCGGGAGGATGAGGGATCAACATTGATAAACCGCGCTGGCCTAGAAAGGAGGGGAGGAGAAGCGTGCGCTGGGCTTGCGATGTCGTCAACAGAAGGAGTACCTGCTGGGGGTTCTGCGTCAGATGATGCTGACGTGTGACGGAAAACAGAAGGTGGCGTGGGTTGCCCTGGATCAGGGGATGTGTGTTTCCCCGCGGTTGTAGAAGAATGGGACAACACAGGCGAGGTGATTGGCGTTTGGTGTTGTTCGGAAGGCGTCTGTACTGAGGGTGAAGCCGCTTGTGCTTTCGGGGTCCCAAAAGCAATCTTTGCTTTGAGTGCACCAAGCTCTTGCTGCATTTCGAGCATTCGGCGTTCCATTTCTGCCTGCCGTAGTGTGTACTTGGCCTCTTGTTCTTGTTCCCATGCGAGTCTCCGTTTCTGTTCTATCTCTTGCGACTCCCGTGTTGAATTTAAATAATTCATAACTATTTGGAAGGGGTGAGCGCCACTGGATGATGCGTTGGCAAGACGAGCGGCAGGATTCCTGGATAATCATCAGCTTGATTATTAAAAAAATGACATTATCTACTGAGGCGGTGTTGTCGATGCCGCAGGCGGCCTCTGGGGCTCCGAGATGGCAACCTCAAGCTCGCTATGATGTGGCTCATGTGCTTGGCTTGGCTGAATAGACTGGAATTGATTTTGGGTGTTTGAAGACCTGGGCCTTGGTTGTGCAAAGTAAGGATTCAGAGCCTGCGATAATTCACTGGTGGGCATGAGGCCGTGGGAACGTCAATACCTTCGACTTGACCTAGCCAACCTGTCGGTACTTTAGACGCGGACTGAACCGATCTCGAAGATATAGTGTTTACCTTTGTTAATTTCTGAGGCTGTCGTCAAACACAACCAAATAAACTCGCGAGACGCGTCAGCGAACGTAACTGAAGTATCTAGCCTTTCACTTGAATATTCACCATCATGGAAGGCATGGAAGGTCTCGCAGAAATGATGGGTGGTCAACTTCGTGGAATGCGGGGTCCTCCACCAGAATCAGCAGTACCTGATAGGTGAGTTCCATTTGTGATATTGATCAATGCGTTGCCTCATGATCGGTGCAGCGGAGAAGTCATTCACATTTCATCTCTAGCACTATTAAAGGTGAGGCGTTTACAAGGACCGTCAAGAGATATGCTTATCATCCGTTAGATGTTGAAACATGGCCGAGCTGGTGTTCCTATGGAGGTTATGGGCCTCATGCTCGGAGAGTTTGTCGATGAATATACCGTGCAAGTTGTGGATGTCTTCGCCATGCCACAGTCTGGTACCACCGTGACCGTCGAGTCGGTCGATCACGTCTTCCAAACTAAGATGCTCGACATGTTGAAGCAGACAGGACGGTAAGGGGAGCATCTACCCTAACTTGGCAGCGCGCTGATGCACATGCGCTTTCAGGCCGGAGATGGTGGTAGGGTGGTACCACTCACATCCAGGGTTCGGATGCTGGCTTTCGAGTGTTGATATAAACACACAAGAAGTACGCCGCCTCGTTTATGACATGCATTCGCAATTGATTTCCTTCTGCAGTCGTTTGAACGCATGCAAAACCGCTGTGTTGCTGTTGTCATCGATCCTATTCAGTCAGTCAAAGGGAAGGTCGTCATTGACGCGTTCAGATTAATTAACCCTCAAACCGTCATCATCGGACGTGAACCACGACAGACGACATCCAACATTGGTCTCATCAACAAGCCGTCGATTCAGGCACTTGTACACGGACTGAACAGACACTACTATTCGATCGCCGTGAACTACCGCAAGACGGAGCTGGAACAATCAATGTTGATGAACCTACACAAGAGAAACTGGACTGAAGGTTTGAAGTTACGGGACTTTTGTTCACACAAGGAAAGCAATGAGAAGGCTATAAAGGTGAATTATCCATATTCGTCTACTTTCTAATACTGACGATCCTCGTCCCTGAAGTCTATGCTCACGCTGTCTGAGGCATACAACAAATCCGTGCAAGAGGAATCAACCCTGTCTGCGGAAAAACTGAAGACACGGCATGTAGGGAAGCAAGATCCAAAGCGACATTTGGAGGAAGCGGTGGAAAAAGCAATTGGAGACCAGGTGGTGCAAAACCTGGGTACGATGTTGCTGGCCGAGCTATAGATTCTCTTCTGCCGGACTTTTGCAATTCCCATGGGTGTCATTCAGAAGAAGCATTTCGGGGCTTGCAGTCAACTCGCGGAGTTCTGCGTGATGAAGAAAGAAGTCAAGAGTCCAAAGTCGAGAACGGCCCCACAGAGAAGAGCTTTCCGTTTTGTCACATGGCTGTGTAGCCACTTCATGATGCATCATGGCTTACCTATCGCGGCGATGTGAAATTAAGTTCGACCAGAAGGTTTTGGACTTTCAGATAGATAGTCGAGCTATTTCTGAATGGCTGAGTGCACTCTGATAGTAAGACCCTCGACACCGGGTGGCGTTCAGGGACGAAAAGACGAACTTCGAGTGCAGCTTGTGTGAACTGGAATCCAGCTTCGTCTATTGCAGGCATCATGAGGGCTGGGCCCGAGCTTCGGTTCGGACGCTGGCGAGATCACATCGGGCGGGCGGGATCTGGCAGACAATTGTATGGTCACGATACGCAAACGATCACGTAGTGCGGGTACGTATGTACGGGTAGCCTCCCGTGAACCGTGGTACTGTTTGTCACATCGATGAGACCTATATGTGTAAGAATACAGTGTTCCTTTTTAATAATGACAAGTAATCCGCGCGCACGTGGACGTTGCCGCAGAGTACAATCAACCGCTGTCAAAGCAGAGTGGAGTCATCGACGCGGTATCGCTTCCAGTACGGTCTCCTCCGGGGTACTGGCGGTAAAGACGCGAGCATAGACCCCGTCGCCGTTCTACAACCAAAAGCAGAGAGGGAAAGGTCAGCTGCGGTGTCATCTGTCTCCAGGGCAGTGATATCAAAACCGTTTTTTGTGGAGGACATACGCAATAGCACTCTCAACGCCCACAGTACCGTGGGACGAGGCCGTAGGTTTTAACGTTCAAGACAGCCTGTGTGGGGCTGTGAAGGCGGCAACTGCCAAGAGGGAACAAGACAGCTGAGAAGGAAATTGACTTGTCGCTCAGCTAGACAGTTGTGCCGGTTCCTTGCATTGATTAATGTAACGGGTTAACGAAAAGGTATTGGTAAATCAGCAGAGTAGATGCGGATAAAGAGGCAAGAGTGGAGTAACGATTAAATTAATTCCAAGGAAGCCTGGCACTACTGAGTACGGGTATGATGCCCATCATCTTCGCTCGACGGATGGCTTTGCCTAACCTGCGTTGGCTTTTTGTAGTGAGACCAGTTTCAGCGCGGTGCTTTATTTTTCCCATTTCGGTGACGAAAGAGCTCAAGAGGACATCATTGGAAGCCTCTTGTAGAGGATCGACGCCCAGGCGGTAAAAGATGTCCTGTTGCTTTGCTTGTTTCGTGCCAGGACCAATGAGAGATCGTTTCGGAAATGGCGGAGGGCCTTTGAATCGGTGGTCATGAGAGAAGTAATGAGGTCTTATGAACTGAAATTTGTATGAGTGCCATGACATGTGAAACGAAGATTGTCGTTGACATACCAGTTTATGGTCAAACCTCCTGCGTACCCCCTGCTGCGTCCATGTTGCACTCGGGTTGCTTGCTAAATAAAATTGATCGATGAGGGGGCCGGTAAACTTTAGAATGTGACGGACCTGCTAATTTGCTTGGGTCAGAGAGCTCTTGGAGGATATTGGACAACTGGCTCTGGTCATTCTCTAAAGGTGTATGGAAGGATCTAGATACATGAGGAACGCAGGCCCTTAGGTGCGGACACTGTCGGGAAAAGGCGCGGAAAGGCGATAGCATGCGGTCTGTGTGATGTTGTGGCAGAACTGGAGAGGGACGGCGGAAATTATGTAATTCCGAGTAGGTGGGTATAATTCTCACGGGGTCGGAGATTGCCTAAATACTAATAGATGGGCTGTGGGACCCCCAGTCACCAATATTGCACTAAAAGTTGAACTAAGTTATCAAGCTCCGTAGCTAGAGAACGATTCGAGGATTGGGCGTCGTCCGTTCAAAAAGCGAGATTATAGTGGGATTGGATTGGGTTGGATTGGTAGTAGTGTAACGGATTGTTGTGAATACTTATTTGAACCCGTCTAAGCTGTTTCTAGACAGGACTGAGCTTGGTTTCAAACGATTCCGCTCCTGATCTCTCTCCACCAAACCTCCTTTTCACACTTTCAGAATCAGATTGCCTGCAAACCCTCCTCATGTCGACTTGACCTTTAATTACCACAATCATCTCTCTCTTCACTTTCTAAGTCAGTTAAATAGTTCTCTCTCAGTCTGACTATCACTTACAGCCTCCTAGCATCCTCTGGTTCTATTTCCAGCACTCTGGCCTGGCGTTGTCGGGCAAGGCCTATATGTCTGATTTTGCCAGCATTCATCGTCGTCAGCCCCCAAGCCCCCTCGTATTCGCTCCAGAGTCAGTGCTACCACAGCCTATTTCTCAGTCAAATAGCAGCACCTCCTATGGTTCTGGTTCAAATACCGTTTCCATGCCTTTCGTTCGGCGACATGTCACTCGTCGTCTCAAGACAGCCAAAGCAGATTGTGACAAGGAGTTGCGTCGTGTGATTAACAACATCACCGTTTTCTTCGAAGAGAGACTTCGCGATGGTGACCAAGAACGCGACATCGATCGTGACTATCGGGACCGGGACTTCGACCGTGACTCTCAGTACGGTGATGCAGAGCCTCTTCGCGAGGCCTTTGTATACCACTCTTCGGATCCTCGGCCTGCTTCGCAGGCTGATACTTATTCTGACACTAGTGGTTATGAGCTCGAACAAGAAAGAAGTCATAGTCGACAACGTGCGTTTCCAGAGGACGACAGTACAAAGGTTCCCTCTCTGACTCATCGGGTCTCATCACCCGGTCTCCTTGCAGCATCCAACTCTTCCCTCAGTCCCTCCATGCGCAGGCAAACAGCTTTGCCATGGGAGAAATCTGCTTCCACACCGTCTTCCAGTAACCATATTCCTAGCCCCATTGCTGCGTCTGCCACGCTCGCAGACGTTACCAATCCTCGCAGGCAGTCTAATGCGATGCCTCCCACGGCATGGCCCGCTCAGAGTATATCTTCCCGTAGACTTTCACGCAGCGTCCACATTCCCATCCGCCCAGTCAAATCTGGCCAGAGTTCTCGCTCGACCTCCAGATCCCGATCCCCACTTCCACCTGCCACAACCCACAGTAGCTTTTCTGAGGCCATTCCCCTGCCATCTTCCATCAATCGTCGATCTTCCCGCATACTAGTGGATGACCCTATTGATCCCATCATGACCGCGCTCTATGACCTCATTGGCGTAGCAACAGATGTCACTGAGATGTCAACAGCCTCACTCACAGCCCAGCCTAAAGTTTGCGAGTCACTCGTTCAGCGGGTGCAAACTATTGGTAAGGCGTGGGATGACCATCCAGACTGGCATGGGCGAAACTGGTATGTGCAAGTTCTACTTGCCGTTGCCAGCCTCAGCCGTGTAGTCGAATGGTGGGAGGCCGAAAAGCAATTCTGGAATTTCGATGATAATGAGGACGAGCAAGACGAGCCCCTGATGTTCGTCCTGAAGCCACCCGACGAGCATCCTCCCGCGCCTACACCCACTGCCCGCAGCCGTCAAGAGGAGCTACGTTTGACGGCCGAAGATGAAAGCCGACTTCGGCTGACAAGACCGACGAGCCAGGGGAGGCGCTCCAGAGATGACGTTCCAAAAGATCTTTCACTCTCGTCTGTTTCGCCAGAACAGCCGGCGCGAAAAGCCGTTGAGCATAATGAATCTGCGCGCGTCCTAGCGACCGAAAGATTACGTCTACAAGCGGAGACTGCACAGAACCAAAACATCGTAATGGAACTAAGTTTGGACGGCGACCACTTTATTTGGGTCAATTATACATGGAGAGTTGTCGTTGGGTAAGCAACATGTTTCCGGGGATATTCGGCTTTTTTGACACATTTTTGCGCTTAAGGACGGAGCCATCGGAACTTGCTGGAACCAGAATTTCACGTCTTCTCGCTCCTGCAGATTGTTCCGTTTTTCGGGATGCGACTTATCAATTACAACAGGATGATTCGCATACTGTAGAGGTGCGCTTCGGGCTTCAAGTCGAACCCGAGGGCGACCATGATGCTTCTATATCTGGCGTTCTTTACCAACAGATGGAGGGGAAAGGCATGCTCATGATCGACCGCGAGGACGCTCAACCGTCTCACACGATGTGGGTTGTCAAGCCAGTAGGTTCCCCACGATGGGATCATCCTTCACCCTCCATCGTCTTGGAATCCGGTGAAGTTGGAGATGAGCCCGTTGTTGAAGAGTCATCGAACGCACGCCTTGCCGACCTTGCAGGACTCGAGCCACTGACACCCTTTCCCTTCACACAGCCGATTTCTACGGAGCCCATATTGTGTCGCATATGCGAGTGTCAGATCCCGCAGTGGTACTTCGAGAAGCATAGCGAGACATGCGTCGAAGTGCACCGGCTTGAAGCTGAGATTGTTGAGTGTAATGAATCTGTTGGCGAGCTCAAGAACACGATTCGAGACATCATGACTGCCATGGATACCCCTTCCCCGACTTCGCCCCCTGAATACAGAGGCGTCCCCGTTTTCACGCATTCAAGTTCGCCGAGCATACCCAGTCCCCTACAGTTGTTCCGCAGGGATAAGATGCAGAGGTTGAGTGTGAAGAAGGCCCAGCGCAGGTTGTTAGAATCGCTCGACGATGTTCTTCAGGTTGCTTCTGAGATTTCCATGCCTTCTTTAAAGGAGGAGGAGTCGAAGGAACCAATCGAGCGTCAGCGGTTGCTTTCGCCAGGATCGGAGCGGAAGATGACCCAGATACGCACATGGTGCCGACCGCCTGTCGAGGATAATGCTCTTTCTCAGCTTGCTGAAGACGTAGAGCGCATCATGAGGCAGAAGGTTGACAATGTCGTTCGGATGCAGAACACCATCAAGTACTCCGAGAAGATCTGGCACGAATGGGAGGAGAAAGTCACCGAAAGCCTAGCGATTGTCGAGGCAGGTGAGAGTAGCGAAAGTGAAGACGAGGACGAATACCACGATGGAATTGATCCATTGATTCTACCTATTCCCGAAGACGTAGAGGCACCGTTCGATGACGATCGTCCCACCAACCAATCTGAAGAACTACTGTCTTCCGAGCCTACTCCCATGGCTTCCGCGTCTCCTCTGCTGATCGCTACCCCAAGCGCTAGTCGCACCACCGTTTCTGCTCCCGTGCCTCAGTTTGCTCCTCCGATGTGGCAAATCATCAACAAGATGCCCACAAGGTCGTCCACGCCGTCATCTATATCTTCACCTCTTGCTTTGGCCGCCCCAATCACGGCATCTCCATCCCTCGACGATCAGCCTCCATACATGGACCTCAACGACACCCTACCAGGGAATGCCACCGTTAGAACCCGACGATCGGCCAGCAACCTTCTCGAACCGCGGCTTTTGGTTACCCCGCCCCTATCACCCAGTATATCCCCTCGAGATGCCCCCACTACACGACGCGGACATCGCCGTCATTCTACGGTGAATCCCATACTCAGTCCTTCAGTGTTAAACGTCCCTCTATCTCCTCGTCAATCGTCTACAGCTCCTTTATCAAGATCGACTCCGACTTCTATCAAAGATTTCGACATCATAAAGCCTATCAGCAAAGGCGCTTTTGGATCTGTCTTCCTTGCAAAGAAGAAGGCTACTGGAGACTATTACGCTATCAAAGTTTTGAAGAAGGCCGATATGATTGCGAAGAACCAGATCACAAATGTCAAGGCGGAGCGCATGATTCTCATGAAGCAGGCCGAGTCGCCGTTCGTCGCCAAATTGTACTTCACATTCCAGAGCAAGGAAAACTTGTATCTTGTTATGGAGTATTTGAATGGTGGCGATTGTGCCGCACTTATCAAGTCCTTGGGCTCGCTCCCCGAAGAGTGGACGAAGCAATACATTGCCGAAGTCGTGCTGGGGCTTGAGTATCTCCACCAGCGTGGTGTTGTTCATCGGTACGTTCGACAAAACGTGAAGAGGCGCATGCTTATCATCATTTTCGCAGTGATCTGAAGCCAGATAACCTTCTGATTGACCAGCACGGTCACTTGAAGCTCACTGATTTCGGTTTGAGTAGGATTGGTCTCCTTGGTCGTCAAACGCGTGAAGGACCCATGGGCATGGGCATGCGACATCGCACAAGATACGATTCACGTTCACGACCACCTTCAATTGACTCCGGATTTCTCTCATCACCCTTACTCTCAACCGAAATGATTGGTGGAGGTTCGTATTTTAGCCAGGGAACACATCCGGTGCCACGCCAGGGAATCTCGCCTTATCAGCTTTCTACAGATGACGCAAGCGAATCCGGGTCGGAATCTATATACAATCATCATTCACGCCGAAGTAGGGCTGGTGAAAGTCCTCTGCAATCATTTGCCACGGAACTGACGACCGACTTACGCTCATACTCGGGTGGTCACACGCCCCCGGGAGAGCAGAAGTTTGTTGGTACGCCAGATTACCTTGCTCCAGAAACTATTCTCGGGCTTCGTGGAGATGATGCTGCAGTGGATTGGGTTGGTGCCTTTTTCTTGCCTTGCGCGTTTACACGTTGCTGATCTGTCTGTCGCATAGTGGGCTCTTGGCGTTATAACTTACGAATTTTTATACGGCATTCCTCCTTTCCATGCAGAGACGCCTGAGAAGGTTTTCGAGAATATTCTTTCTGGACACATCGAGTGGCACGAGGACTGGGTCGAGTTCTCCGATGAGGCTCGTGATCTCATGCAACGGCTGATGTGCATAGACCCATCCGTCCGTCTTGGGGCTGGTGGCGCAGATGAAGTAAAGGGGCATCCCTTCTTTGAGGGCATAGAGTGGGACAAAGTCACGTCTACAGAGGCAGCATTTATTCCTCAAGTTTCTGATCCTGAATCAACCGATTACTTCGATCCGCGTGGGGCAATACCTCAGTTATTCCACGAGGAGGATATCGCTATCTCGAACCCTATGGATAGCCCGTCGCTCACCCTGCCTCCCCCAGCACAGCCGATACCACTTCTGGGCAGTCGCGATGCAGCGCCGTCGCCTGCTAGTGACGATTTTGGATCATTCAGCTTCAAGAATTTACCGGTCTTAAAACAAGCGAATGACGATGTTATTCGCAAATTGAAGACTGATCAACTGGCCCCGATGACACATACCTTGTCCGATCCGGTAGGCTCGCATAACAGGAGGAAGAGCACCTCGCAGAGGTTCAAGAAGCCGCCCAGTGTAGTGACAGCTCTAGATCAGAAGTCGTTTACTCAGGGTCCTCCTTCGCCCTCAACGTCCACTTCATCCATAGCTTCATCTCCTTCAAGAGCAAGTATGCCTCCCTCGACACCCGGAAGCAGTAGCGGGAGCCACGCGCGCAAGCCGTCTGAATTTGGAGCGTTGGAGCGTTTCAAGCTAAATTATCTGGATGGCGTGGAGCGGAGGAACACGATGCCAAGCCGTTTGCGCAAGGCGTCCGTTTCGAGTAGTGTTGGTGAGGGTTCTGGCTCTGATCATTGGCCCTCGTCGGCGGGGCAGAGTTCGAGTCAGTTTGACACGCCTCCTTCATCGGTCCACTCGATCGACTTGAAGAAGGGGCCCGATCCTACTGATCGTGCGGTGACTTGTCTACTCGCCGAGGATAACCCAATAACAGCCAAAATTCTCGAGACACTGCTCATTCGTCTTGGCTGTCGCGTCGTCGTGGTTGCGGATGGGTCAGAGGCAATGAGCGTTGCTATGGGTGACATCAGTCAGTATTCTTGACATCCGTATCATGGTTCTATGTTCTGATTTTTAGTAGAATTTGACTGCATCCTCATGGATTTACACATGCCAGTCGGTACGTGATGCGCTTTGTCTAGTGTGCCTGTTTCCTGACGTTAGTTGCAGTTGATGGCGAAGGTGCTGCTCGATACATCAAGACAACCAATGGCAAGAATTCCAACACACCTATAGTTGCTGTCAGCGCCTACAGCACTGCAGACTCCAACGACAGCAGCTTATTTACCGCCTCACTCACTAAACCCGTGCAGAGGGCTGATCTTCTAGCCGTCATGCGAAGACTTGGATTCAAGACTTCGGCTGTTCAAGGCCTATCCGCAAAAGTCACAGCATCTCGTGTATCATGAACTTTATACGCTCTCACGTTTCACATTGCATCGATTTTCGTGTCATTTCGTTTTTTGCTGCAATTACTCTGTGCCACCCATGCATATTCTTTGTCTCTTGACTCTACACAAGCACTTACCCAGCATACATGTCTGCACCATTCATTTGTCCCTTTGCATTTTGTACGCTAGACCTGTTAAAGTACTGCCTCGGCTTGTATATCTGGATTTTGTTCTGGATTGATCTTGCTGCCAATGTCATTTATTTAGGCGACCTTCCACCTTGTAAACATGAGTACGGATCAAGTCAAAAGGTACATTATTCAGGTACTCGACGCCAATCAGATAAAGTGCTGTTACGAGCGTGTAACACACAGCCTAAACGAGGTGCAATTTTAGAGGTTGACGACTCGGGCGTCAATAGGGGACCCGCGCCCAGTTGATGCGAGTCCTACTAGTAGTAAGCGTGAGCTAAGTACAGGCGCGCCCAATGACTTTTCCGCGTGTTCTCTCACACGAGACATATTCATCTGCGTGCGTCCAAATTCCTTGCGCTCTCTACGACTGCATATCCTTCCAGATTAGTTCCAGATACTCTTCGTAGCAGTCGCTGTGCAGTTTTGACACCACTGGGCCCTTTTAGGCTGCCACAGCCTACACTGGCAGGGACTTGGCTGACTGGTACTTCGGATCAGTGCAGCGGCTACCTCTGAAACCTGTAAACAGCTAAGCCCACAAGAGTGAAGTGGTTTTAGATGCATTACAATCAGCAATGTGAGCAAAGTTCTGATTTGTTTAATATGGCGGCGTTAACGAGCAAGGTGCAGCGACATGGTTCCCTCATCACTCTGCCTCCCTCAGTCTAACACCTAACGCTAACGGACGAGCACCTCCACCTCGAACTCGCCATTCAACATTACCCGGGTTACCTTTTCAACCCCCAAACCCCTTAGCCACTTCTAGCATTCAATCAAGCAATATCCCTGCGAGTTTGATCCCTGGCAGGCGGCCTTCCAATGACGCTGGTCTTCAGCACCAACAAACAACACTTCTATACAATTCGCCCAATGCATTTCCTGCATCCCCGCAACATACACAATTATATGGCGATTACTTCTATCCTCGGCAGTTTCCCTCCTCAACAGCACCTCCTGTACCCCAGAAACCAATGGGAATTGCTGCACCTCTTGTGCCCCCCATTCCACGACCACCTATTCCTCCTAAACCTTCACAAATAAATTTTGCTTCCACACAGCGCAATCCCCTCTATCCACAGTCGATTCCTGGTCCTGTTGCAGGGCCATCTAGCCAACCAGCGCCCAGTGAAGAATCTCCCACTGATGACAAAGATATCGCACTAGCGCTAGCGCTATCTGAATCAGAGGCGCATCGGCGGGAGGATGACATTCTCGCTCAGGAGGAAGCAGATTTGATGAAGGCATTGGAAGAATCGCGTACCTTCGCCAACCGTTACAGCGCGTATGTGTCCGACAACCTCTTCGACGGATGTCAGGAGCCTTCGGATGAGCCCTCGACATCTTCCCAGTCTTCCACTCTGGGAAAATCCTTCCTCAGCACACAGACTGTTACTAAACATCGACAATTTCCAGAAGGCGAGAGCTTTCTGATGATCACACCTACCGCATCCGAGAGTTATTATGATGAAGACAAATCTGTTCCTCAATCGGGTGCAGAAAGTCAAGAATCAATTTCATCTGTGACTGATGCCTCCAGATCAAGTCGAGAAAACCTAACTCCAACACCACCACTGTACACAAATGCTGGAACTTCCATCATATCCTCTCCGCCCATTGAGTTCTCTCGATCGAGTGATTGTATTCGCCCCTCGCCGGGTCCGAATCTTGCATCTTCATATCCAATGTCATCGCCACAGCAGAGCATGGTAGAACCTCCTCCTCCGTCCAAGCAGCCACTTCCACGCAGGCCGTCTCTTGCAAGCTCCGTGAGTAGTTCTTTGAGCGGTCGATCTTCATTTAGCGAGCAAAATCCCTCGCTCCTCGCCACTCCGACGTCGGTCCAAACCGCATCAACAAGTCCACCTCTTTCCTTCAGCTCGCCATCCCACATAGACACATTGGATTCAGTTGACGAAGACATACAGGAAGAAGAAGAGGGTGACGAGGGGACTGATTCTGCTCGATCCGCGCCAATACTGACGGCCAACCAGTATGTTGAACCAGAAATGCTATTGGGTGTCTGTAAGTATTCTCTTGTCGTTCGCTCTTCCTTGCCTCATGGAAACGTGCAGCGATGGGTTTTGCACGACCAGCAATCTCGACGATATTGTCGCCTATGGCAGCGGCCATGCCCAATATCATCACACTACCATATGGGAAGGCACCGACATTTCACATCCAGGCGCCCACCTGGCGTCACCTGTTGAAGCTCATGGCGCGATTGAGCGGGACTCGCGTCGAGCCAACTCTAGAAGCTCTTACTGTTGCAAAAGATGAGCTCAAGTTGAGAACGGTGATCCAGTTTGTCAAAGTAAGGACGGCTGTCTAGCTGAGTACCAAAGCTGACCGGCACCGTAGATCCATCACTCTGCTTCGGAATGGCGAACGGTTATCTATTTGACGACTGACATGCCAGTACCTTCATCCGTCACAAACTCGCATAAGTATACCAATGGCGATGTAAACGTACTTCCTTACTCCTACACCCTTTCACCACTCCCCCAGCTCCTCCGTGATGGGGCTGATTCGCCAATGGCAAGATACTATGTGGTTCCCGCGACAAATTCCACTCCATACCCTACGCTCCCCATTAACTTTCCCAACCTTGCAATGTACTTGCAATCGGCGGTCCAGAACTCGAGGAAGGCTGCTCACGATAGCTCCAGTGGCGTTCGGAAGCTCGCTCAGAATATTGACTCTTGCTATCCCAGAGATGACGAGAGGCCGGTTAGTTTGGACTTCTCTGACACCTCTCGAAGTCTAGGTGGGATGTTTAAACGTGTTATCAAACGCGGAAAAACTCCAAGAGGACGAGGAGGTAATGAAGAAATTTATGATCTAGTTACACCATTTGTGTCAGATGAGTGGGGTTGACTTATTTATGCCCAGTCGATATTATCCATTTGCATGTTTTCGCACATTTTTTCTGATGTTCTAATACAATACAATTGTCACGTTGCAAGATATCTCGTCCAGTTCGTCTGCATCACTATACAATGTCCAGGAATTGTTGTCTTTGTCATAAATATAGTCACAATTTGGCCCTATGTATCATGACTGCGTCGCTTGACTAGCGTCTCAGATCTCACTCCTTGACTGCCGTGTATCAAAGTATCACGGTCAACGTTCATGGCAGTCCCAGAATCAAATCCACAGCCTGTGCCAGAATTATTACAACCAATTCCACCACTGACTGCCGAAGAAGAAGGCATGGATCAATCATACTAAAAGCTGGATCCCGACATTAACAGACAAGCAATGCGCTTTTAACAGATGCCATCATACACACACGTATCACGAACGACGAACGACCGCTTCGGCGAGTGGTCAAGAAGTTTCACAATTACGCCTCCTTGGTACACCATCCCCTTGTGCCACCTAGTTCTTCTGGAACAGTCGAGGATGCTCGGGAGGCATTCTTAATCGAGCTGTCGTCCTTTGAACTTGCTCTTAAAAAGAGCATGATGGTATGCGAAGCTGAGCGGAGGCAAGTGGAGGAGTATCAACGGGAGCGGGAGAAGATTGGTGAGTGAATTGAGCTTTGCATGAAGGGGGACGCCTGAGGAGTGAACGATGCAGAGAAGGAGCATGATGCTCTGCGTGATCAAATCGAAGAACTGAAAGTCGCACTGGAGCATGCACACATGGAACGCAAGCGAAAGGTCGAGTACGACACAATTGCCGAGAAGATCAATACTCTTCCAAGTCGCGAGGAGCTTGAGCAGTGCGTCACGTTCAATCTACTCTGGTGTTTTTTCTCATTGGGGTTTAGGGCGATACAGTCGCTGGAAAATGACATGGCTGCTATTAACGCGGAACACGAGACTCAGGACCGAATCATAAGGGGCCAGAAAACTGCTTTAGATAGTATTATCATGGACCTGAGCTCTCTTCGCCTCATGGGTAAAGACAAGGAGTCAGCCACATCGGGTTTAGGGACACCCGCTGCCACGCCAGCTCCAGATGGCACAGAAGCCGATGACACTCCTGCTATACGTGATAGCTCACAAATAGTGGATGAAGGATTAGATGAAGACGAGAAGGAAACCGGTGAGGTGATTGAAGAGAAAGAAGACGGAGAGGATGACCAGTCTATTGGCACACCACTCTCATCATCGAAACTCAATCCCGCTGCCAGTGATTTTGCACTCAGGTCGCATACACCTTCATCACTACGACCTCCAGAAGAAGATGACGATATAGAGATGGGAGAAGTTGCGGAGGATCCAAAAGTGAAGGCGAAAAAAGCCCGGGAAGAATTGGAGGAAGGAGAAGCGAGCGATGCAAGTAGCGCATTGTCTGATCCACCAGATGATTAAATGTGCATTGCTACTCATTTTCATACATGTTCTTTAACGTCAAAACTCATAAAATCCCTCGCACATGTAATCGTCCCGCTATAATGCTCTCCAGCCAGACGTGCAATCGCCTCCATGATCGTCTTCGCCGTTGGATCGACATGGTCGTTCCCTGGATATCTGGCCGAGAAATGATTGAGCACCAATTGCCTCGCTCCGATCTGTGCTGCGAAAGCACCAGCCATCTGGGGAGTAGAGTGCCCTCTGGACTTTGTGCGTTCCTCGACACTTTCAAATGTATCTTCAGCTTTGGTATTCGAATCCAAGACTGGCAAATGGGCATTCGTAGCTTCATGTATCAGCAAGTCCGCAGATAAAGCCAATTCCGCTATTGGTGATGGGTCATATGTGTCTCCAAGAATGACAAGTTTGCGCCCAGGCCTCCTAGGAGGGCCTTGTAAGATGATGCCATCTGATAGTTCAATGCTCTCTCCCTGTTGAAGGCGACTCATGACGGACATCGGCGTGTTGGTGCGCTTGAGATGTGGTTTATACTTTGCAGGGTCCATTTTGCCGGGCACAGGTGCCTCTGTTACAACATAACCAACGCACGGTACGGAGTGAAGGATGGGAGCCGCGGAAACTGAAACAATGGCATCATGATACACGTCTGACCAAACACCATTTGTCTGTAGAATGTTGCGGCCGTTGGGAGATTCGGACGCATGAAGGGCAAGTGAGGTATAGTCTCCGTCTGGTGGGTCAGAAGGTAAACGCAATTCGTGGACGACGTAGGGCGCGCCAAGGAGTGTATGTGTATACTTGAGGCCATTGCGGATATATGCCCTGGTTCCTAAGGGCCCGTAAATTTCAATGGGCTAATGAGAGCGGTTAGGGCCAGCTGAATATGATAGTGCACCAAGTGTACAGACATCCGACGAGTCCTGGACCCCGTGTGCACGAGGATCCTCTATACCATTGGCTGTCCCCCCAGCACCGTTCATCATACTCGCTAGCAGGGGCAATAGACCAAAGATATGATCCCCTATTAGCCAGTGGTTAGTTAGACACAGCAATGTTGATGTTAACGAACAGACCATGGGTATGGGTGATAAAGATCTTTTCAATCTTACCCATCCTCACTGTGGACTTTTGGATCTGATGTTGTGTGGCTTCACCACAGTCGAACAGCCAGACATCGCTATTCAATCGAAGGGCAAGTGCAGAGTGATTTCGGGTCAAGGAGGGTTGCGCAGAAGCAGTACCAAGGAACGTCAGGTTGATCGCTGAAAGTCCTCGTCGTCCCGCCATGGATGTTATGTTACAACAGGCGTTAAAAATGATTTAGAATTGTTCTCTCGAGTCTTCACATCGTTTGTTTGTGTGCAAAAAAAATGTCCCTGGCAGGAATTGAACCTGCGGCGCCACGGTCTTGTGAGTTCCACAACGTGGCGATTTAACCACTAATCGACAGGGACTTGTTAAGAGTCGCAATAGCATGAACTATAAACCCATCGCGTTGTTGCCTATGTGACACAAGGCAGTATCGGCTGCAGGATCATTCAACTTGTTGGATGGCACACAAATTCATCAGATCGCACACATATTTCGGATCGTATGTTTGCTGGATAAGGTGATGAGGATAACATGACAGCGTGCAGAGATGATAACAATATACAAGCAAATGATAACAGATGAATAAGATGGTCCCTGAGCTAAGGGATAAGTCCGTGTGCCCGTAGCAATGCACCCCACCTGGAATTAAAGCAATTGGTTTACGTCGAGTATTTCGAAGTGAAACAAATACGCACTCTTCCTTTTCGGATTCGGCCTCAGCTAGCCTCCTTTTCAGTTGCCTATAGGGCAAAAAAATCAATCGAGGATAATTGGAACGGGGAACATGACACTTGCGAGTTCTCCTTTCTAAGTGCGTTCTGCGATTCCTTCGTCTCACGAAGATCAGCCGTCATGTTGGCCCAAGCTTCGTCGTCCGGGAGATGTGCATCGTTATACATAGCGTCTAGCTCTTCGTTGAACGCCTATGATATCGATGAGCTCCAAGCATTTGCATGATAATGCGTGACACCGACCTCGTACATGATCTCCTTTTCTGCGGTAGCATCTGCAAGAAGACTCTTTACAAGTTCGCATTGACGTTTCGTGTTCTGAAGTTCCACGCGAGCTTTCTCCAATTCAGATAGTTTCTGTGTGGAAAAGGTGAGTCGCGGCTTGGAGAGATATTATTGCTTCGTACCTCTTTGAAATCAGACACCACTTGCGCAAGACTCTGATGCAATGTTTCATGGCTTGATAAGGCAGAAGCCAAGAGTTTGTCGGCATCAGCAACAGACTCGTTCAACTGGCTGACGTTCGATGTACTCGGTGTTGGAGTTGGTCCAGGCGTAAATAGTTCTGGTGCAAAACTCCGTGGTCGAGTGCGAGGGGTACCCTCCTGCTGACGTTTACCTATTAGTTGCCTCATCTCGTCTAGCCGTTGCTGCGCTTCCCTGGTCTAAGTCCACAAACATCAGTTATAATGTCAAAATAGTGAACAACTATAAATTCGCGCACAATGGGCGGGGGATTGGTTCGCTGCGGGGTACGAGCAAGTGACTTATCAGGAGAAGAGCACCTCCATGATTCATCGAGACCCGCTGATTCGTCGCTAGATCGAATTTCCTGCAGGTCCAATTTCATCCGTTTAATGGCACGATGTGATGACTCAATCTGTATGTGTCTATGAAGTTGTGAACAAGTCGACGGAATTGTGTACGTACATCATCTTTGGTGGACAGGGAGATTCGTAACAGGTCGTCTGCATGGTCCACTTGGGTGGAATGAGAAGTGTGGGCAACACGAGTTGTTCGAATTTGAGGTGAAACTTTGCGCGGAGACACGATCCTCGCTGTAGTTTTGGACAGCGGGGAATTTCTTGTGTATGATTTACGGCTTGGCGTATATGTACTAGACCTGGTGGATGTCTTCTTTTTGATCGAGAGTGGCTCCACGCTGCTCGGTGTTGAGCTGGCCGGTCTCGGCGTGGAATCCATGTTCCCGGTCGCAACAAATGGCTGACGTCTACTGCGTGGCAATGGAGATGTAACATCATCCTCAACGGCGGATGAATCGTCCTGAAAAGCGTCTATGTGAGCTTCTAAGGCAAGCTCATCATCCATGGACGGAAGACGGGGTGCAGTACTCGTCGGACTCCTCGGTGGCAATGGAGAGATGCTACGAGGACCAAATCGAGAATTAGATCGCCATGTCCCTCTGTCTGGAGACGTTGACGTAGGACGGGGAGTCATCGATCGCTGACTTACTGCGTCCCTTGCTGTAGAGGCTTGGGACGTGGGACGTAAAGGCTGAGGTGGATCATCTGCATTGTAACGATGAGATCCGTAAAAGTTAAATACCACATTCTGCCCTACCTTCATAGATAGTCTCTTCTAGCGATTTATCCAACGAAGGCGTCACGGCCTGCTTTCCGTGCTGATTCTGACTATTGCGTCGTGCGAGTTCTAGACGCATTGATAAATCTTGGTCAGATGGGTCCTGGCGAACTGGTAACTCTTCTTCTCCATCGCTGTAGAATGATCCTCTGGAACTATCCCGTGACGGAGACGTTGGCCGGGATAGTGGAGAGGAATGACTAGCGCCCGGCGAATGACCCCTTTTGACCAATTTTCTGCGTGAACTCGAAGATTTACTGGCATATAGAGAGTCATCGTCTGCCAGAGATGTTGGAGCAGTAGCCGTCGAATTGGATCGACGAGAGAACTTGGTCAGACTTCCGTCGCCTGTCGTTGTTGTTTGAGTGTAGATAGAAGAGCGGCTGACAGATGACTTCGACCGGCGATGACCACTTATGGAACCACCAAAGAAATCACCCTTGGAAGAACCTGGTATGGCGTTGAATAGATTTCTCGAGATCGCGTCCAGGCTAAATATGTGTGCCCGAGACTTTGAGCTCGCGGTTGGGGTGGCGGGACGGGAGTCATTGCCAGTTTTGAACTTGAACAGTCCGTATTGATGGACTATGCAATTCTCAGATATCACAAAAAGGATTGCAAGACATGGGCACGAACTTGTTTGGACGATACGACCTGGAATCCTTGCAGTCTGAACAATGTCTTCCTCAGATTCATCCGTTGGATCGCTGGAGGTAACTGTATATCGCGAAATCTCCCCCGCCATGGGTTGGATTCTGACCACCACGTATGGTGGCCCATCCATTCCAAAAGGAATGGGGTCTGCGGTCCCTAACGTATCTATATGCATGACGATCTTGGTCTACACGCGTTGGCAACGTAAATAGAATGGCTAGCGCACAGAAGTGAAACGCACCTTTTTGGGCTCTTGTAAAAAGGCTGTTCGTTGGTATACATTGAAGTAGGTACGAGCCATAGAAACTTTTCCTCCCCTTGACTCTACTTCACGCTCATCAGCGCACAAGACAACAGATTGTCCCGACTTCGTCCTATATTTCGCCTGAGCATTCCATAAATTCTCGAGGAACCGATCCTTCTCGTTGGTAGTTCGAACAGGATCGAGGTTTACTGGCGCAGGAGGGAAAACAACGGAAAGACAACGGAACGAGCGACCGGACCAACGATCACTTTGGTCTTGAGGTGGGTTCTCGAGGTATACGTGAAAGTCTGGAAGGATGACCAAAACTGAAGGTGGCAATCAACGGATGATAACTCACCAGCACCACCGACATCAGCAGCGACGATGTCGGGTAAATCAATGACACCTTTGCAACTCAAGCCACTCTTCTTCATGCGCAATGGTAACCCGCCGGTCTTCGCAAGTTTGTCAACATCGTCCAAACCAGCTAGCGAACGACCACTTTTCTCGCCATTGCCAGGTCGCTTGACGATCATCAACTTATCGTCGAAAAGGAATAAGGTACAATGCAGCAAGTTAAGAGCGAGGCTAGAGGCGGAGTTGGATGCAGACGTTGGGCCATCTTGCACGATATCATCGACATCAATACAATCGATGAACCGTCGTGAAATCGAAATCAAGCCAGGAGGGAAACCATCCACTGTTGCGTTAAGACAATGCATGATTGCTGCTCGCTTGGTTTGTTCGTCTGTTTCCGCAAGAGCGATCTTGCTAGCAATTTCATCGGCTTCTACCAATCTGGCGCGCTGTGGATCGTCGGGCGCCATGTACTTGATCATAGTGCGGAAGAGTAAGGTATATCGCGGAATCCGCTGAACAGGATCCATGAGTAGCTCGCGCAGACCAACGCGATTCCTGGTATCAGCGGTCGAATACTTGATTCGCTAGTAGCAAAGAGTCTGATTAACGCCCCCAAGAGGGTCACATCAACACTTACATCAATATATGCGGCAAAACCAGATGATTTCTTCATCATCTCGCGTTCAAATATCGACTGAGCTTCTTCTCGTTTGACGTAGTACTGTCTATAGTGTTCGAATCCTCGTATATCTTTGAAATGTCGCAGGGCAACATCCCCGACACCCCCAACTGTTTTAGGGCCGTCGGGTGCAACCATCTTCTCGAGATCCAGCAGAAAAGCCTCGTTGACTGGGAGGAAATTGTCGATATTGCCGAACAACGTTTTGGCCTCATACGGAGGCAAGATTGCGGTATTCTTGTTCCGGGAGAATTGGCGTAGCGGGTCTGCATAGTCGTTCTTCAGTATTCGAAGTCGCTTGACGTACGATCGTTCAGTATTGACGAGTTCGTTGACCACATCAGTTAGAGCCGTTGAATCTGTAAGCGCGCGTTTACGTTGCAATCCATCCTAAGACACGAAGGAGAACGACCACATCTGAGTGTGAGCAAGCGAAGCGTCTCGCCTTTGCAGACAAATGTTAGCAGGTACTACTCACTGGCTGGTTGTGTTCTGAGAACGATGTGTCTGTTGCGGAAGGCAGAATGTGGCTATCATTCTGACTCAACCAGGGGTCTCCTAGAGATAGAACTAGCTCTTGGACATCTATACAAATCAAATTGTGCTCTTCAGGCTACATCACCGCCGCTCACCTTCGGGCAACCTCCTGCCACTATCACATCCCTCAACCACAACCCCGCAATAGAAGACACGTCTGGTTAGAGATGGAGCAGAAGGTTTACGAGGTGTCTCATCCCCACGTGCTAATGGAATCTGTTTACGAGGGGAGCTGTTTAAATCCATGGGTTAAGAGAGATATTCATGGAGAGATGATGAAAGGACCGCAAGTAAACGAAGCGAACAGAGCGGCGCGTCCACACGTGACTGAGCTGGTCTGATCACGTGCACGCGCCGAGTCAAAACGCCTTTGCGATCAATGTATTCCTATGTGTACAGTATGTCGTGGTACATGACGACCATAGCGACATGAGACAATGAATAAGAATGAAATAAAAGGGAGTGTATGAATTGACGCTGGTATGATAAGATATGCGGGGATGAATAGTTGTACAATAATGAAGTCAGTCAATGGTAATCCGTGAAAGGGTATGGGTTTATGATCATGAACTCTGCAATCCAGTATCCGGTGTCATGGGGGTGAGTCGTGACAAAAATGAAAGATTACGGCGCATGCGCACAGTCCGTGGAGTAAATCCTCCCTCCTGGCTACCTGGGGATGATGAAACTGAGGCTGCAGTGGTCGAGCGGCGGTGGAGACTGTGCGATCCAAACAACGTCCTCAATCGCACTGGAGTTGACGTTCCAACCCCAAAATCCCCAGCAGATGGACCAGAACCAGGAGCAGATTGTGGAAACTGACTTAAGCGCATCAAATCAGGTTGAGACACTGGACGATCTGCGGATGCCAAGGAAGGGTGGAAGCTTGGAATTGGATTATTAAGAGATCTGGTTGTTGCATCTGAGGGAAGCTCCTCGAGTGGGGCATCGGGCGCACTTCGGACCCTTCTACGAAGTGTCCCTTTCGACCACCACTTAAGTAGGCTTGGTGTAGTTGATCCACTGCTCGATTCAGATGGTTGATATGACAGGGGAAGCATTGGCGATGCGGAACGCGAGAACAGGACTCGGACATTCTCGACCATGGAACGGCTCCGCTTGGGCGTAAAGGCTTCCTTCCGGGCTGCAGGCTCTGATCGAGGAGTCGCACCTGACAGCACCGAGGCGGGTACGGAAAGTGGCCCAGGGACGATAGGGCTGGCAGCGAGTGACCCTGGAGCAGAAACAGACACAGAAGAACACTGTGACATAGGGGAAGGTGACTCTGGGGGAACCTCTAGTTTCCCTTCATCGCCATCCAAAGATGCAGCCCTTGAAACGGCAACAATCTTGAGCTTTGTTGGTTGGCGGCGTTTGGCCAATTTGGCTGCTGGAATGCAAGGTACAGCAGGGACGTCGCCAAAGCCATCTATGTAGCTTTTTCTCCTAGGGACAAGCACACTCTCCCGCTTGGTCAAACGATTCTTTGCCGCGACACTCATAGCGCCAGCCATGGTCAATCCCGAGCTTGACCTTGAGAATGACCGTGACACCTTCGATGCTTCAAATAGCTCCTCTTCGTGGGTATGCGCATAGCAGCGAGCGGAGAGGCAGCTTTCCGAGAACACGTCAAGAAGTCCACGATCGACTTGCTCACGTGCGGGGGCGGTGGCGCGTACAAGGTGGATCGTATCAGACTCTGACAACGTACTAAGATACGTCCTATTGGATATGGTAGACGAGCGACGGCTAGGACCAAGCTGATGACCGGAGTCAGATTTCTGAGACTGGTCGGCCTTGTAAGACGCCCGACCCGACTTCGGCGGATCGGAACGGACACAGAGCGAGTGGTTTTCGTCTCTGCTAGATGATGCTTCATTATCCAGCTCGGGGATGGACTGGATTGTGGGCAAAGGGCTGATCACTTCGTACGGCGCATCTTCTAGCAACGACAGCACGAAATCTCCTTTAGAGTCGCCTCGAAAACTGCATATCGGTTCGCTCGTCCATGCGCTAGGAAGTTCGAGAACATGGTGAATAGCAGCCTTCCAGACATCCTTCTCGCGGCGGCAAGACGCTGCAAACTCGAAGATGTGACCTCTTCCAGAAAGGCGAAACCAACTTGGTAATAGGGCTAGTGAAGGAGGTTGAAACATTGTATGTTTGTTCATATATTGAAATCTACACACCTTCGTCGGTCGTCGAGTCGACCAGGTCAAACCCCGCTAACGAAAACCAATGTTTTGGCTCATACGTCTTAACTTTATGAACTTTGGCAAGAACGAGGTAACCCCCAGGGTACAAGAAAGCCCCAAGATATTTGGCTTTAATTGTGCCATTGCTACTGGCATTGAGGCTGTGGTAGTGGATTACATCCAATGATCCCGCGAGATGACACGGGCCTAGGGACGACAGGAAACCGAGAGAGAGATTTTGCGATGCAGGTCTGGAGTAAGATGCCGGTACTAGTGCTAGTCCCTGCGATATCCGTGAGGTAATGAGCGAGGACTTGATTGCTAGATCCTGCTGGTGCCGTGCTTCATCCACGGAACTAGCCACTGCCCGCATGGCATTCAGCGCGCTTTGTACCACATTGACCTCGACGTCGCGCGATCTTCCTTCTGCATTAGACACGGAGCTTGACTCGCGTGAGCCACCTGCACTTCGTGGATGATCTATGAGCTGATCAAGGAGTAAGGGGTAGCGACAGATGCGTTGAACAGGTTTGATGAGGTAATCCATGAATACGAGCTTCGACTTTCTGCCAGTCTGCCCCCGGTCTGAGTGTCCGCTTTCAGACGCACTGAGTACAGATGTCTTGAGATTGACGTTGGAGCTGATGCGTGAAATACTGTGCTGACGACTGGGTGCGTCTAATGATGAAAGCGAATGCCGTCGCCTTCTCGCAAGCAGCTCATTTTCACTGAGAGAATCGTCTGCGGCATCATCAACTTCGGCTTCTTTGTCGGTGGTAGAGTGGAGCGAGCCATCGATGCGCATTTCAGCAGTCATGGTGGTACATCGCTGCTCAAACGCCTCCCATTCGGCTGGGAACTCCTGTTGGACTTTTCGGACAAGGTCAAATGCTTCAGGATGTCCAGAGCAGAACGATTGGTACAGATGAAATTCAGGTGCCTAAAGGAGACTCAGTACTTTGTGACACGGAGCATCGCATGGCACCTACTCGTTCAATGAGCTTCGTGGCAACCACATCAAGTGCTGAGCGTGACGTCTCCACATTGCGGCCCCGGGTGTTCTGTATTCCCATCACGTCCCTACTAGCCCCATCAAGAATCATCGGAAAGCCGAGAGGCGAAACGAGTGCCCTTAATTCACAAACTAGGTGTTCATGGAACTTAAGAATCTCCTCTGCATTCCGGGTTATCAAGTCGATGTCAGCGGGAGAGAACACGTGCCGAATCAGAGACTTTTCCTTTGTTGCAGCGACCAGTGCTGGCGGGCCACTGACAACCGGGGGGATGTTTTCGCAAGGAGAGAATGGTATAGAGGTTGATAGGTGGTAAAGGGATTGTGTGCGGAAAGCAGGGTCCGACGAAGGTGGGTTGAAAGCAGGAGAGGCGGAACGGGAGAAATGAGACATCCCAAGGCTAGCGGAGGGGGAATGTGGTGGACGAGTCGTCAAGCCGGGCAGGAGCCGAAGGTACACCTGAAGAAACGCGCAACAAGATGAATCTCTCGAGATATGGTCAATCTGATCGACTCACAGTAACAAGAATCTTAAGATCAAAAAGGTATCCGACTTCCGTGGAGAGCAACTCCGAGAGTGCATGACATTTTCTCACGTCGTCCTTATTTCCTAGGAGATCCTCCTTCGCCTGAAGCGGGTGATTTGCAGCTTCCAGGCTGGATTCCACCCCTCCAGGAGGATTCTTACGATAGCTGTTCAACTTCCCGAGCTTGTCGTCATCCTCTATATAGGAGCTATCCTGCGGTATGTGAAACAATGGTTTCTTCCGCAGTGCTGCTTGAGATAACGCACTTCGATGCGGTTGTTCTTCACTGCGTTCACTGATACTCACACGTAGCGGACTTCCGGGCGATCTCGTCCTCCGTTTGGAGGAATTGTTTCGTATTGTTGTTAGTGACAAAGGCGGTGGTGCGGGAGGAACGACAGTAAGAGTTTTTGAAACAGACATTGGAGGAAGTGACGCTCGACGCCTCAAGGTCAACTCCGAGGACTCTTTAGATACGCTGGAAAACGCAGGGTCCGGAAAAGAGGTGGAGGCAGTCACGAAGGACGAATGCGGCCGCGAAGATACAGAGGTTGAAGATTTATGGGTATATTTTGGAGGTGGTGTTGGAGGTGTGGACATCCAAGTTGGAGTCGGAATAGTCATCTCTACGCGTGCAACAGACTCGCTGTGCGCAAATTTTCCATCCCGTTCATCCTCTATGTCGGAGTTCAGGCTGAAGGTAACGTTGGTTGTCATGCTCGCTGGGGGAGTGCTCAACGGGGATGCGATGATGGGTGTGAGAGGAACAAATCGCCGGGCAAACTGTGGCGACTGCCGAGTAGAACGGGACATGGTTGGAGACGAGATCTCTCCGATAGGAGACGCATTATCTGTAAGGGACATCAGATGCTCTATCGGCGAGACTAGTTCAGAAGTGAAAACAGTCCCATGCGCTATCCGGCGTTCCAGCAAGGAAGTCGGTGAAGGAGGGGTATTTTGTCGCGGACGTCGGGAGGTTGTGCGTGTGCGTGTTGAGGGAGCTAAATGCGCTACGGGAGAGCCATTCTCCATTCGTCAAAAGAGTCTGTGGGGCGCATGAAGAACAAGTGAGAAATAGCACCAAGCAGTGGAACGTGTTGAACACTGATGACAGACCTTGGGGAGCCTCTTGGCTTGCCCGCCAGACACAGTACGTTGAAGGCGACCTGCAGCGAGCGACAGGAGTCGGACAGGACTGCTGGTGACGGTCAGGGCGAATTGGGAATTGCGATGACTATGGAGGTTAACCCGACCGTGACGAGCTTATACCTGCCCGACAATTGATGCTCTTGACCGCAGTCGTTGCCCTGCCAAGTTAGTGAGCACTGCAAGCTGTCCGGTTGTAACAAGGAAATAGGTGTTGGAAAGGAAGGTAGCGGAGATGATGCAATTATTAGTCCAAAACAGTTGGAGTGATGTAGGCCAAATAATAATGGGGGTGTATATGTATAAACAGACGTATACGTCAGAGACCTGGTCAAAGTCTTCCAAGATCTGGCCAGCGGAGATCAAACTTTATTTGCGGTCCGCGACATCACTGCTTGCCACAGACGCGTATGCCCACGTGCATTGATTTTCCTTGACATAGACTAGTACTTGGGGTTGATGCTATGCGATATGCATGTATATACTGCAGTAGGCTTACCCATTTCTTTATGTTGGTGTTATCGTGGCTCCTGTCAACCGGACGGACGGCAGAAGCGGAAGTTGAATGGCGTTACACTCATCCGAGCAATAGAAAATTAAGTATACTATCTAATTTATATGCTCTTACCTTGGATGAAAAGAACGCGCATTTCTCAGGGGAACGTTCTCTTTGATCCAAATTAATGAGCCGTGATCGGATGACGTGGCATAAGGCTGTGAGTAGCGCCGAGAGTGCTGAGAGGCACTGAGAATTGGTTGAATGACTGAATCAGGACAATGAAAGATAGAGGGGAATGTAGGTTTTCACCAGGCTGACGAGGAATAAAACTTGAGCAATTGCGACGACGGTCCTGTGGTCGACCATTGAAGTAGACGCTGGAAGAACCTTAGCGACCGCAGTTATGAAATTCCAGTCAGATGACGATCTGACCTTCTCTTCCTATAAAGCGTGGTGCCCTGTGGTGCTATGGTAAGTCGTTATGCACAGCTGCGAACGCTCCACTTATCTCCGCTAAGAAATTGTACCGGTTAGGTTCGGCCCCTAGACCTGAAGAATCACGCTGACTGTTACGCAGCGTGTCTTATCATTATAGAAATAGTATAGAGGCCTAGTAGAAGCACGACAACACGTTTAAGTATGCGAGGTAAGTTGTTGACACGACGAAGAATAACGAATCACAAGGTATGATAGCGCACCAACCAATCATCAAGCTCCAATTCCAACCAACCCTGAATATGGACCGCCCACAACTTTCCCCTCTAATATAGATCCATGCTATCATCCGATCGGGCGACAAATGGAATGTTCTGAGCCTCCGCCTGGTCGCGTCTCAATTTCTCCTTGTCAAGAAACTTGCACAGCGCCGCTACATTCGGACCACTAAACACGCGGAAAACGGACTTCTGATCGGGGTCCAAATCCTGGGGTTGACACGGGGGTGAGCATCTACGTCATCGGTGCCAGTGATTTGGAACATACCGCGGGAGGCGGGTCAGAAAACCGACCGACGCCGGTGCGCCTTGCACCAGGCACGCCAGTTGCAGTAAGGTGCACAAGACGCTTACAAGTTCGGACGAGATGATGTAACGCCTTCAACGTGATGCGGTCACAGTACGAAAGGTGCAATCGTTCCAATGAAAGAGTATGGTCCGCGAGGAAATAGATCGCATTGTCGGTCAGCTTTGGCACACGAACTAGCACAAGGCGGTGAATGTGTTCTAGGCTTGCTAATTCAAATACAGCCATATCAGTTAACTGGCGGCAGACTACATTTCTGTCAGCATGCAGTATGATTGGACGATCGACAATGCTTACACGCCAAGTCAATAGATCGAAGCTCGGCACACGATCGAGCCAAAGACACGATGGCGTTGTCTGTGATTTGTGGACAATGTGCTAGAGTAAGATTGCCGAGGTGAAGACCGAGTTTGCTTATGCTTTCTACGGCCTTGTCGGTTAGATTGGGACATCCTGCTAATGCGAGTGATCGGAGCAATGGAGCGTGTGCCACGATGCCTTCAACTGCCGCATCTGTCAGCTTCGGGCAGTGACTTAGATCCAACACACGAAGATCGATTGCAGTATGACGTAGGATGAGAGGCGGAAGCCGATCAAGCCAGGTATGAGGTCGAACGGGTAACGGCTTCTCCCCAGAAGCCGCAGCAGTGATGGTTTTGATCGGCGAAGGTAGTGCACTATCCGTTAGTTGAGGAGAGCGCGCCAACGTCAAGGTGCGAAGTTTCCTAGAGTATGACCAAATGTCGCGAACAGACACAGCCGTCATGAGCGGTTGGTCGTTGAGCTCCAATTCCACAAGCTTCGGGAAGGTCTTGGCGATGGCGGAGACTGACGCGTCAGTGAGTACTACCCCGCTGAGCTGCAGCCACTGCAAAGGAGGTGTTTTCGCGACCAGTTCCATGATGCTCACGTCAGTGACGTACTTGCACCCTGTGAGGTCAAGACCTTGTATATTGGAGTTTTCACGTGCGAGTTGGACGATAGTCTTGTCAGACGTGTCTGTCACCCCAGAGAGCACTACTGACTCCAGATGACGACAAAAACCCATCTCTGGGGCAACCCATTCGTCACTTACCCCGCAACTGGGGTCGCGAATAACCAAGTGACGAACGATTCGGCGTTCTGATTCTGTTTGGGGAAGCCGATCGACGATCCTCTTCATGTCCTCAACATCTGGGCGATTCATGGTGCGTTTGAGACCGATGAAAGAACTTGAGGTATTCGCGCGAAAAGAGGGTCCTAACAAGCAAGATGTCAGTAAAGCATAACCATGAGATCTGTCATTGTATTTTGTCGATGTGGGATGGTTGTTTGGGCCACCGGGGCGTCTACTTGTCCATACCCGGCGCCCATAACTTTCAACAAACCAACCTGGAACAACTTCGGCGTTTCCCGATAACTGTAGGATTGCGCAATGACTTCCACCAGTTCGCGGAGCTCGTCGACCATCACGGCGACGAGGCTGGCAAACCAGCCACCACTACAGCCACCACCACCTAATCCGTCTAGCCGATTCCCAGTCACACCAGCTGTATTACGCTCCATATTCACATCCTCGCGTACACCTCACGAGGAGAGATCCATATCTCGCGTTGCATTTTTCAGGTAAAGATGTTCATTACTTTAACGTGCTAGGGTATTGAGAGAGTTTGCAAGGTTCGCCGGCTTTCTGCTCAGTTGCGTCTGCATCAGCCTCGCTGCTGCCAGAGGAAGGGGGATGAAAGGAAGTGCCGGTCTTCTAGGAGTTGTGTGACGGGACGTCAATGCGAAGTCTCAGATCTCAACTCAGACTTGGCTCAAAGTCAGAACTTGTTGAGAAGTATTATAGCAACAATAAGTGTACGGGGGTGTTCATAAGTATAGCAATAAACTTAAGCATCCGAATCGTCGGTTGACCCATCAGCATCTCTGTCCTGGCCATCAGATGCACCTTCTTGTGTACCACTTGGCCCCGCGTCTCCAGGCTCTGGGTCCGCTGGCTCATCGATGTTTGCCGCGCTAATGACTTTTCGTTTACGTGCCACTGAAGCCGGAGGAAGGTGAGCTTTCTTGATTCGGAGAATATCCATGATTTCTGCAAGTAGGATAAGCAACGATCACTCAATGGTCCTGGAAGAACAAACCTTGATGGGTCATATCTTCGTACCCCTTAATTCCTCTCTTCATCGTCAACCAGCGTCGTTGGAGCGAATGAGCACTCCATAAATTCCAATCTGAATCAGGCAGTGTTTTCCAGTCGATCTCAGTGTCATCCCTAACGTTCATGGAGTCGACCCTGTTAACACAATTAAGCACATAGGAACAGAGAGCAGATTACTGCCGTACTTATGGACCAAGATATAGGCATCTTGAGCGCTCCAACGTGGCTTTTGCCCTTCATTTTTGACGGTTTTACTCAACGAATCCGTCCTGCAAGATGAAGAGTTAAAATTATATCCGACACAGATAGAAGGCGCTGACCATTTAATTCGACACTGTTGTCTACCGCGCCTATTCCCCATCTTATCACTCACTATGCCCCAAAAGACATCATTATCAAAGTCCTTGCCCTGTTGTATTGTCATCTCGGTGACAATCGACGTCAGCTCCTCCTCTTCTTCCTTAGTCCACACGCCCGTCACTCGAACTTCGCGATTGGCGATGTGATTGCGATAGCGGTCTCGACAATCTGAGGACATTCGACCTACTATCTCACTGACTTTTTCCCATTGTTGACCAAGGTCCGCAACGGCTCTTACAACATGCGTATGAATACACTAATACATCAAAAAGGCGGAAATGACATACTGTTTTAGAACAGCATCTTCTTCGGGCATCCATTTGCCTTGCTGCTTCTTGGGATGAAAAGCTCTACGAACGTGGTGATAAACAGCAATGATAGGGCGTAGAGCGAGAGCGGAGGCTAATCGAGATCTTAACACTAGACCGAGATTTCATAAGGCACGGGAAACCCACTAATGTCCGACCAGAACGCGTTGTCTTTCCCTTTCTCATTCTTTTGGAAAATGATGTCAAGGAGTTGATCATCAGTAAGACTCCGAGTCTGTCATTGACAGTGTTGAGTATTCGCGTCAACCAACGTTTATATATAGCGTACCGATTTGAAAGCTTCGATAGCAGCCCGGAGTTGTTCTTCTTCAATGGCAGAAAACTTTCCCTTCTTGTAAACAAGGCCTGATGTAGAGAATTAACGATGGTCCCCTACCTCTGGAAGTCACTCGCCTTGTGTTTTAACCATCTCAGCCAGTTTTGTTGCGTTCATCCACTTGTTAGCTAACATATGAGCATGATCTGGATTCCCATGATCGGGTCCTGGAAGGCTCATATCTAAAACACGTTTGTGGGTCGTCTTCGTCGACTTGGGAGCAGTATTCAAAATTGCTCCCGAGGTAGAAGGCGACTGTCCCATCGGTTGAGGCAGGGGTTGAGGATGCATATTGGAATGACCAGGCGGGGGCGGGATAAACCCTGGGGGAAGACCAAGAGGTGCATTCGCTGCCGCTGCTGCATCACCCAATGTCTTCAATACGCCAGCAAGTTTGGACATGTCAAGATCTTGCAAGGCACGAAGAATCTCGTCATTTGACGCGAATTGGAAGTCGGGGAGAGGGAATCCCAAGTTGGGAAGAAGGTTGGCAGGATGCGACGAAGACTGACCGTACGGATGTGCTGGGGTAGGGAAGGGGAAATTCATGGGAGGATACGTCATGTAAGGATGTGGCGGGTGATCGTGATGTACATTTGGCATGATGTGGTGATCCTGGTAAGAGGAATGTGCCTGGTAGGGTGAAACATCCAGGTGCTGCGCCTCTGCTGTAGCGGACGCAGCAGCAACCACAGCATTCAGAAAATCGACTGAGCTCGTTGAATGGGTGTCTGGTGCTTCTTCCGCCAACGAGATACTGCGAGTGTCAACAGTGTCCTGTACCACTGCCTTTGCCTTCCCTTTGTCGGTGGTTTTCTTTTTCTTGTTTTTCTCTTTCTCCACCTCGACACTTTGCCCACTGAGTTGCGCGGTTAATGCATTGACATCGTCGGTATTTTTCTTTCGCTTCTGCTTTTTCTGAGGCTCATCTACTGGGGCTGCACCGGTTGAATCGTTACGAGCGCGTTTATTTTTTGATGACTGGCTGTCCTGGGACTGCGTGAATGCATTATTGACTTCGCCGACGGCCTGCTGCAGCGCTCGCTGAATGTCGGATGAAAGGCTTGGAGTTTGATGAACCTGGGCAGTCATGCTTGAGGTGCTTTAGGGTGGGCCGACGAGATGGATGAGGGCAAGCAAAAAGATTCAGCAATCCGGAGCCCTGCCGAAGATTACATCCTACTGGAGCAGCATTCCGGCGGAAAATATACCGAAAATATACTGAATATGTCTAATTCCCGTCAATCATCGTCAAACCACCGCTCTTCTGCAACTCTATCATCCTCTACATCGAGCAATTCATCCCAGTCCACTGAATCATAATCTGCTCCCTGAAAAGAAATTTGTTCGAGTTAGTTTTTCATGCGAAGCAACAAGTCGAGTCTCACCTCCAGCAAACCATATATGAATCGTTCCCTTATGCGTCTTTCAAACAACGCTTTTGCTTCTTCAGGAGATTCAGACTCTTGAACTTCGTCCTCTTCTCCTTCACTGTCACTCTCCTCTTCTGGGACGAAATCGTCACTCGCCTGCATTCTCCGGATAAATCGTACTCTCTCCGCTTCTCGTTCCTCCTCCATGTCGCCAAGTAGCTTGGCCAAGCCGCCCACCTGTTGTTCTGCTCCACCCAGGAAACTCAGTTTCGCCCATTCCTGCTCATCCTTCCCTTCTTCCTGTCCTATTCTCTCTCTGCCCTGCCACAGCGTTGGCCAGGCATTTCGGGCAGCTGCGAAGCTGAGAGAGGGTGGCTTTGATTCCGTAAATTTCAGTCTTCGATTGCGTATTTCAGTAATCGCTGTTCGCTGTTTCGGTGTTGTAACGAGTGAGAAACTCTGTGTGATGTTGGGAGGTAGCTGGTATAGATGTCTTTTCAAGAACTCGATAGGATCAGCGCTCGGAAGAGGATTGTAGTCCTGAGGAAGGCCAAGATAAGATAAAATGTCGGGAACTTGAAAACTGGATTGCATATTGACGTCGGGAATGTCGATGAGGTACTTACCCAGACTTTTACGTACGTTGTACCAATATGGCAGGCGGAAGCTTCTGAATCAAACAAAGATAAACAACCCTGCCATTGATATTCTGTTCTGTGAACATATGGTTACCATTGCGTGATCTATTTGCATAGCTCAGATTTACTATGATTCAATCAGATTCATCCCATCCACAGCCTTCTCCACCTCGAATATTCTTCTGTTGTTGGGACTGGTGTCGACTCACCTTCTCAACCGTTGACGAACTTGCTTCTCATGTCAGACATAATCACATTTGGAAACTTCAGCCAATGAGCAAAAAGGAAATCGTGCTCATGAGAAAGCAGGATGCAGATGAAGCTCGAAGCATGTCTGAGCCGTCGGGCAGCTCGGTACCAGTGCACTTTCCCAACGGTGCGTCGCCCTGATGTCATTTTCCAGCTCTGAAATACGCGTATTTCGCGTATTTCTCAACAACTTATGCTCATGTTACTCATTTCACTTGTCTGTGCATAGGTGGATTACAGTTATCGAGTGCCGATTCTACGGAACAAGTCTCGTCATGCTCTGAGCCATTCGACTCATCACGAGCACCTCCATCGCAAATTCTGAGCCCAGGCCCTTTGATGCCTCCTACCACCCATACTTCTACTTCGTTCCCCCCGCCGGACACAACACCGCCACCTCCCGCAATGCACGGTGTTGACCTGCAACAACCCTCTACTGCGCTGCAGGCCACACCTGCAAGGGGACGGAGATTTCCATCTTTTGCTCAGCTGTCATCACCAGCTGACATCTCGTCTATTGCGTCTCTTCCGCGATCACCAGACCTCAGCGCGCTCTCCCTCCGCCCTAATCTTGCGGCTCAAATCGATTCCTTTGATCGGCGACACAGTAGACTTAGCGAGAATGCTCAGACACGCGCTAATACCCGCCCTTTGCAACACTCTTTCTCTGACTCATCAAGCTCGTCGCAAGATGCAGTGGAGCGACAGCTCATACGGGAGGATATAGCGGACGTTAGTGTCCAGATCCAAGCACCAGAGGCGGTTCACAACGGTGCGGCAGAAGGTGCAGCATTGTCTACCTCCGAGGATCCAGCCACCATCGTCGCGGACATGGTTTTGGACATCGCTGACGCTGATCTCCAGTGGCCTGAATCTGAACCCGAGCAAACTCCCGCTAGCCAGCCACGACAACTCTCTCCGCCGATCGAGAGAGAGGAGGTTGAGCGCATAGAATGTCGCAGCTCTCCCTTTGTGTTCCAGAATGACAGAGGAAGATACTTCCGTTCTGGCACGCTCCATATTTCACCATTGCCCAAAAGCACTGCACCAAAATCAACATTCGGGCCTTCCCAATCGTCACAAGACTCTCAAGAGACTTCCAATTCGGACTTTTCGCAGAATTCTGCACAATCACATTCCCTAGTGCTTCAGACGCAAGCACCATACCAGAGCCAGTCAAACGAGCTTTCACAAAGTTGAGGTGTATCACGTGGTTTTGCGAATATTCTCAATCTAGCGCTCACCTTGTTTTAACTCGATGCAAGTGTACCATCTTTGTATAAGCGATTTTACAATCTAAGCGCTCAAGAACAGATAACAGTAGCTCGGAATTGTGTCCACCACGAAAAGTTGTGCGTTGCAGTTCCATTCCATACAACACAGAACGGTACTGTATCTGCGTTCGTATACTAGAAATATAATATTGGTCTAGGCAGCTGAGGACAGTTGAACTAACTTAGGGTGATGATTAGAATACAAGTGGTGAGTCCTCAACGCTCTTCGTTTCTGTTCTGGTCTTGACGCTGATTGCCATGTCAAGCATACGACATAAATACTCTTGAGCAACCTGATTCCATCACAAAGTGTCTGATTATATGCGACACCCATGCATGTGGCGCTCATCATGATCATCATGAAACTGCGTAGAAGAACGATCGATCCAACAGCACCTCATCTCACTTTGCATCACATCACATCTGCGAGTATACGAAATGCACCACACGTTCGGGGCACAACTTGCATTCGGAGGTCTTGTTTGTCTCATGCTAGTCGTGGAGATACCTATATCTCCAACTACAAACCGCATCAGATAACTGCAGTCCTCATCAATTGTTGTTTCGATGTTTCAAACTTGAAACGCGACGCCTTCCTGATATACCACATTTAGACGACGTCTCTATCATATCGCATTCCAGTCAGCGAAAGATGCATACAAAAGGTCGACCATGTGTTACCTGATCGTCCCCCACGCCAGGTACTTCATCCACACCCACTCCCGTCAGACGCGTTTCTACAATGGGTGCTTTGGATAATACGTACGTATTCCTTGAACCCCCCTTACGAGTACTTGACGTATCATGATATCTTGTCCAGCTTTGGAGCGCTCTTGATTGGGATTGTGGTCTCTGCGATGTAAGGGTTTTTTGTTGAATCGACATTGCGTATATTGAAACTTTTACGCTGTAGGCTCTACGGAGGCATGCTCTCGTGCTATGTTTTTCCCGCCAGAAGCTCACAATCACAAAGTCACTTGTATGCAGACCTGGTACTACTTTACCCGATATTCCTCGGATTCGTTGCGTATCAAGCTTTTAGTATGTTCACGCAGGATGACCAACATGTACCGCTCGTCTAACCTTGTGTGTTTCATGTAGGTTGGCGCTGTATATGTGTCAGATTCTATACATCAAGCTCTGATCACGCACGCAGGTCAATGTTGGATACCGGCCATATCTATCTGGGGGCTGAACATCAGATGACAGTCTATACTTACCTCGTCACCAACTTCGGCACCGCCGCTGATATCGAGCAAGTCGTATGGAGTTTGATTGTGGGTTGTATGCGAATGGCGCATGGTTCTCATCTGACCGTTCATCTGCATCACAGGTTGAAGTTTTATTCAATGGCTTCACAGCGCTCGTTGTTCAAAGGTTGGTACGAGGTTGTATAAAGTGATCGATCCATATTGATCGTCAATTCAGCTTCCTTACCATGCGTATCTATAGACGTACGTGTGATCTCCTGCTAGTGAACGATGGCTCAGTTCCAAGCAGTTAGCAACAAGAGCATGATTGCAACTGTGTCCGTGCTGTCCGTGCTGTCCCTAGTCATTGGTGAATTCGTCCTCGTTGTCAGTGAGTATGTGCTCCCTCTCGAATATTAGCCCGCTAATGGGATATCCAAAAGTATATTTTGCGAAAGCGCAAGTCATGTCAGAAAGCATCAGACAGTCGGACTAATGCACCCACCCCTTTAGCATCAAGTACACAACCTTCATCGAACTCGCAGAGCTCAAGTCATTATCAATGTCTGTAAATGCTGTTGCAGCTGTTGGCGACATCCTTATCGCTGTCTACCTCTGCACGCTCTTCCAACAATTTCGCATTGGTTTCCAGAGGTCCGATACCGTGTTAAATAAGCTGATTCTTTTTAGCATCAGTTCCGGTTTCCTCACCAGCATCTGCGCGGTCATGTCCTTTATTTCGGTACGCAACACATCATAAATGGCTCGGCGTTGCGCTGATCCAGATGTCGTACAGATTACGATATGGCCCGACACTTTCATCTACATTGCGTTCTATGTCTGCCTGGGCCGTCGTAAGCATAATCTAGCCAAACTGTGTTTGTTCGCGAGATCGACATGGTTATTACCAGTTTACTGCAACTCCCTATTAGCAACCCTTAACGCACGCAAGGGTATTCGCAGTCTTTTTGATGACGACAATATGCTGCTTTCGCTAACGGGAATCATTATGCCGCCGCCACTCTTCGAAGGGTGGGTGCTGCGATTTGTTTGAACTTTGCACCGCACCTTACTCACGCGCGATCAGCGGATGCCAAACAATATTTTGATCACAGCCGCGTGCGAAATAATGGCAGTTGGCAAATATTTCGCAGTGACGAAAAAGTTCCGAAATACATAGTGCCAAGTTGAACCAGCTCGGCGCACCTTATTGGGCGAGGTTGGTCACGTGACAGAGAACCTCGCACTTTTGGGTGGTCGGGTTCTTCCGTGCGCTCTCCTTCGACTGAGTCGTTCGCGTTTGGAGTCTTTGGACGCCGTGCTACTGTAGCTAGTAGTTATATATTTACAGTCGTGTTTCTTGTTTTTGGCGGATTCTTTCAATCTCAGTTTTTACAAGGAACTCATTCTACGAGTGGTGTACCTGGCAGGCTCCCCAGGTGTGCACATGGAGTGGAGTTCAACGTTCAACGTTCACTGGGTCCCAGAAGGAAGTCGTTTCTCAATGAAATGCATCCTATGATATTTAAAATATTCAGATTCAATATCTGCATATGCATTTAAAAATCCAGGGCTAGATCAGATGATCAATTGATTACTACATATGCATGCTCCATCTGATATATGAGCTCACATGCATAGCGCAATTAACTATTCCCGCGGGTGCCTGTGTCGCTTCCTGATGAGTACCGACATCTCCATTAATGAAACAAGTTACTCATGAGGTAACCCCACGACAGAGAGGGGATGGTTCCGATGGTAGGCAACAGGCTATTAAGTGACAAGTCCTTCCTAGAACTATGCTCATCAAGTTACCCCGCTCTTTACTTCTGCCACTAGTACCATGTTGACACTCACCAACGTTACTTGGCTGGACCTATGTTTGGCTGGTGCCGGAGTGTATTTGGTGAAGCAGGTATTCTCCAAGAAGAATCCTGCGCCATACCCCCCTGGTCCTCCGGGGCGACCTCTCGTTGGGAACCTCCTAGACATGCCTCAGGTCAGGCCCTGGCTCACCCTCGCTCAGTGGGGCAAGACGTATGGTAAGCGCTATCCGTTTCGCCAGCGTCATCGTGCATTTTAACGCCTTGTGTGAAGGTGATCTTTCCCATGTCGAGGTTCTAGGTCAGCATATCATAGTGCTCAACTCTGTCAAGGCGGCGATGGAAATGCTAGACAAAAAGAGTTCCTTGTACTCTGACCGTCCTATTCTTCCTATGGGTGGCGAACTTTGTGGCTGGAAGAACTCCCTAGCTCTTCTGCCTTACGGCGACCGTTTGCGCGAGTACCGCAAGAATTTCCACCGCGTCATTGGAACTCGCGCCGCCATAGATATCTACCACCCTATCGAGGAGATTGAGACCCACCGATTCCTGAAGCGTGTGCTAGCGAAACCTGACCAACTACAAGCACATGTTCGACAGTTTGTGTTATCTAACTCCTTGCACTGGCTTGATATTGAATTGTTTTAGCACCGCTGGCGCAATCATTCTGCGCATCTCTCATGGTTATGAAGTAAATGAGACAAACGATCCTTTCGTAGACCTTGCAGACCGCGCTGTCGACCAGTTCTCGCAGTGTGTTGTTCCTGGTGCTTTCATGGTTGATATTATGCCATTCTGTAAGGCTATACTAGTCGGATGTTTGCTTCCACTGACTCAAATATTTTAGTGGCCAAGGTCCCTCAGTGGTTCCCAGGTGCTGGCTTCAAACGCACAGCTCGTGAATGGCACGAGACCCTGGAGGAGATGGTTACTGCACCTTACAATTTCGTCAAGGATCAGATAGTGAGTGCACATTTGTAGTTGCGACCATACGTGTTGAAGTTGAGATCATATAGGCTGCTGGAATTGCCCCTAAGTCCTTCACCTCAAACCTGTTGGAGGGCCGTACTTTGTCTGCGGAAGAGGATCACAACGTCAAATGGTCTGCTGCATCTCTATACGCAGGTGGTGCCGACACGGTTAGTCTCTGCTACATGTTCGAAATTGTCATATGTTAAGACTCCCTCCTTTTCCTCAGACTGTTTCTGCAATATACTCGATTTTCCTGGCTATGACACTTTTTCCTGATGTGCAGAAGACTGCTCAGGCTGAAATCGATGCTGTGGTTGGTACTGATCGCCTTCCTTCCTTCGCCGACCGCCACTCCCTCCCCTACACTGAGGCACTTGTCAAGGAAGTCCTCCGCTGGAATGTTGTTGGTCCTACCGGTATGTTCATGGCGTTCATCGCACAATTTTGTTGACGAACGAGATTTTAATAACAGGCATTGCCCACCGTCTAATTGAGGACGACATACATGACGGGTACTACATCCCGAAAGGCTCCTTGATAATACCAAACATTTGGTTAGTACTCCAATTGTCCCGAATTCGGTCGTGTAATCCTTTGAATTGCAACAGGTACATGCTCAACGATCCACAGACATATGCCGACCCCTCGGAATTCAATCCTGAACGTTTCTTAGCCAAGGATGGCAAGGAGGCTGAGACCGACCCTCGCACGGTCGTCTTCGGCTTTGGTAGACGGTAAACATTGATTTAATATCTGTTTTCAGCGAAATGTTAATTTTCGTAGTATTTGCCCAGGTATGCCCCTCCCGGGCGCCAACAAATAAGATAGTTTCTGACGTCGATTGTACAGGTCTACACCTCGCTGATGCGTCCGTGTGGATATCCACCGCGATGTCGCTCGCCGTCTTTAATATTTCCAAGGTTGTCGAGAATGGTGTTGAGATCACCCCTGAGGTCGACCCCTCGTCGGGAACAATCAGGTGCGTCGTACTAATCTCTGTCCGTGATGCTGGTCCAAATAGTATTGCATACTCGCAGCCACCCCAAGCCTTTCAAGTGCTCTATTAAGCCCCGTTCCGCAAAAGCCCTTGAACTTATTCAGCAGGACGCTAACTATTGATTGCACAAAGATGTGCGAGAAATACGTATCGGCTGCATGTCCTGGAAACATGGAGGGTAAAGGTTGCTCGACATTGACACAATCTAGCTAGTTACAGGAAAGTCACTAATTGGTCACCAGCAGCGTCGAGTCAGCCTTCAGCGGCACAGGCAGAAACGAGCCATGTGGCAGAGGCCAGCAGCACCTACATCTCCTAGACAATCACAGAATGAATATGATTGTTCCTTCCTACTATGAGCAGCACGCAAACAATACAGGCGGAGCAATATGAATTTCTCAAGCTGCATTGCAATTGCAAAGATTAGATTCCGATAGAGCGAAGCCAATCCTGAATGCATCCCATGTATCCTGAACAATCATCACCATTCTCACTACGATTCGGCCAATAAATGTCATAACAAGCTAAATCCGTGCGTATGTGTTTTCATATCCAGCACGTTGCGTCGCGCGATGATATCACACGCGTCACGCTCTCAGGGGATGTATCCAAAGTAGGGAACTCGGAAAGTCCCGGGAGGTCTCTCACAGTGCAACAAGCGCTGTGGTTCTTCCTTTCTTAACGATCTTTAGTTTTCAGTTTGAAACACATCTATATCAATAAGGCGCCTTTGAATTTACGTTCAAGTTCCCCACCGCCCTTGATGTTGTCTCCACCGCCTCTCCCTATATCGATATCCTGCCCACAGGCCACGAAGACATGTCGCTGTTGAGGGCAGGCTCGATAGTATTGATCACGACTGCAATGTTCGGTAACCATGCCCAGCCTTTGAAGTTCACTTCGGCGCGTTGAAGGAATTAGAATGAAATTTGTATAACGAATGTTACTCGTCCGAGAGAAGTGAGGTAACAGCGAGATATCGAGTAGAGAAAAAGAGATGCGAGCAAAACGAGCTCCGCAATGACGAACGATCATCACGGCGCAGAATCAAGAAGTGCGTTCCTGATATGCAAATGAGCTCGAGCAGTGGCAATCCACCATGGCTGATGATGTGACAGCACTGTCTGACGTGGATCACTATACCAGCCTGTGACTTTGCCCAGATTTTTGCGCAGATATACGCAGGGTTGACAGAGACGGCCATTTCAGATGTCTTTCATGATAAGGCTCTGCGGGTTCACCAACTGCTCCCTCCTCAGCATCTGTCGCTTCAAGGTAATATACATATCCACTTCCTCTATCTAACTTTCAGCTAACACTTGGCCTGCGTCCAACCACACATGCAAACGTTTAGCTCGACGGTTTTACCTACATAAGAACGCGGGCCATTTTGCAGACTCGGATTCATGTAGATCCTGCCAAGTGCAAAGAACGTCAACAAGGTAGACGCCACTATTGGAATTGCGCATTGACACATTTTGACAGCGCAGTCCGTGCGCGTGGCTGCCCACTGGTAGTGCCACGTTTCAGGTAGTGGAATCTGAGCAACGTTTAGATCGCTCTGGGGCACGCTGGAAAATATAAAAGGAAATTGTGGCTGTGACGTCCCCCGAACCTGCCGTCAGCCACACAGATGTTTGGGAGGAAGAAAACACTCGTTTCCGCGTCATTTTGGATGCCGAAAAATTGTGGGTAGCTACGTGAAGTACGTAGAATTCGTTCCGCGCATGGGCCTGATTTTTTTGACCGCAAAAAACTGCCTGTTGTGGGTCTCCGTGTGCTTATTCACGTCAATGCCCACACCGAACGCGCTTCTCGACCGCGAAAAAACTTGTTCCTGCATCTCGGGTGAGTACGGCGTGCCCCATGAGAGTCCAGAGGGTTTGGCAGCTCATGGGGCACGCTGTTATTCACAGGAGCCCGTTTTTTCCCTGCAGGACAGCGTGCCCCATGAAAAACCACATTCTGGTGGGCTCATGGGGCACGGTACCATTTTCAGTTGTTTTTAGGGATGACGGCACATGTTTTCCGTGTTCGGAACGCGATAATGTATTGCTCAGCTATGTAAACTAAGTACGTCCCACCCTCATTTCCCTTCCCGCTGGGTTCCTCGCTGCCCACAGACCTCCGCACGTCGCCGACCACGACGAGCGCACGCTGTCTGGGGTCACCTCAGAGCCGCCGTGCCCCGGGGCACGCGCTTAGTCATCCTCCCCCGCCAGATCAGCGTGCCCCACGACAACAAAGCCTAATCAGTAGCATTCAATTTCATGAATGGTCATAGGCCTGGATCGGCGCTACGTCATCAGTAAACCGGTGAGTTCTTGCTGGCCATTTCTTATATTGCTTTATATTCCAATGTGACGAAAACCTTTCCTATATGTTACGATATATTACGATATATGACAATATCTTCTGTTCACCAGTTCTTTGATGCGCCCGCCCGCCGTACTCGACGTTACTCAACTCACAGTTCAATCGTCACTAACTCTATTTATTGATTCTCTTCATTATTTCCACACACAAGAAACAACCGGAAGAAGCCAACGGCCGCTTTCAATGTAGAGAAGTAGTCCGCTGGAATTGCTCAAAGTCATACTGGCGACCACTAACTTAGTACTGGACTCTACGTTGTTATTTGCTCTCTACGTTTGAACTCACACACGCCTACACGCGTGGGAGGCAACGGAACTCGAAGGATGGCCAACACTTCGTTCCTATATATTTGATGATATCTCGCTACATCGCCCACTCTTTACTTGCTCTGCTAGTGCCATGTTGACGCCCGCCAACGCTACTTGGCCGAACCTATGGCTCTGTCTTGCTGGAGTCGGAGGAATGTATCTGGTGAAGCGTGTATTCTCCAAGAAGAATCCTGCACCATACCCACCTGGTCCTCCGGGGAGACCTCTCATTGGAAACCTCCTAGACATGCCTCAGGTCAAGACCTGGCTCACCTTCACTGAGTGGGGCAAGAAGCATGGTAAGCGCTTCCTGTTTTACCAGCATCATGCATTTCAACGCCTTGTGTGTAGGTGATATCTCCCATATCGAGGTTCTAGGTCAGCATATCATAGTGCTCAACTCTGTCAAGACGGCGTTGGAAATACTAGACAAGAAGGGCTCAATGTACTCTGACCGTCCTATTCTTCCTATGGGTGGCGAACTTTGTGGCTGGAAGCATACTTTGGTTCTTCTGCCTTACGGCGACCGTATGCGCGAGTACCGCAAGAATTTCCACCGCATCATTGGAACTCGCGCCGCCATAGATACCTACCACCCGATCGAGGAGATTGAGACCCACCGATTCCTGAAGCGTGTGCTAGCGAAACCTGACCAACTACAAGCACATGTTCGACAGTTTGTGTTATCTAACTCCTTGCACTGGCTTGATATTGAATTGTTATAGCACCGCTGGCGCGATCATTCTGCGCATCTCTTACGGCTATGAAGTGATCGAGAATGATGATCCCTTCGTTGAGATTGCGGACCGCGCCCTCGACCAGTTCTCGCAGTGCGTTGCTCCTAGTGCTTTCATGGTTGATAACATGCCATTCTGTAAGGCTATTGCATTCAGACGTTTGCTCCCACTGACTTACATATTTTAGTGGCCAAGGTCCCTGAGTGGTTCCCAGGTGCTGGCTTCAAGCGTATGGCCCGCGAATGGCACAAGACCCTCGAAGATATGGCTGCTGCGCCCTATAAACTTGTCCAGGATCAGATGGTGAGTTCGCATTTGTGGTTTTGTGATCATACGTTGAAGTTGAAATCATATAGGCTGCTGGAATTGCCCCTAAGTCCTTCACCTCAAACCTGTTGGAGGGCCGTACTTTGTCTGCGGAAGAGGATCACAACGTCAAGTGGTCTGCTGCATCTCTATACGCAGGTGGTGCCGACACGGTCAGTCTCTGCAACATGTTCGAAATTGTCATATGTTAAGACTCCCTCCTTTTCCTCAGACTGTTTCTGCAATATACTCGATTTTCCTGGCTATGACACTTTATCCTGATGTGCAGAAGACTGCTCAGGCTGAAATTGATGCTGTGGTTGGTCCTGATCGCCTTCCTTCTTTTGCCGACCGCCACTCCCTCCCCTACACTGAGGCGCTTGCCAAGGAAGTCCACCGCTGGAATGTTGTCGCTCCTACCGGTTTGTTTTTGTCCTTCATTGTATTGCATTCTTTTGTTGACGAGCTGTATCTCGATGACAGCCATTGTCCACCGTCTCTCTGAGGACGACGTACATGACGGGTATTACATCCCCAAAGACTCCTTGGTAATACCAAACATTTGGTCGGTACTCTCATTGTCCCTATATTAACAGGATGTGATACTTTGAATTGCAACAGGTTCATGCTCAATGATCCGCGGACGTATGCTAACCCCTCAGAATTCAATCCTGAACGCTTCTTAGCCAAAGATGGCAAGGAACCTGAAACAGACCCCCGCGCGATCGGCTTCGGCTTTGGTAGACGGTAAGCATTGAGTTGCTGTTCGGTTTTCAGAGAAATGCTAACTTTCTTCTCCGCAGTATATGCCCAGGTATACCCCTCCCGGGCGCCAACAAATAAGATAGTTTCTGACGTCGATTGTACAGGTATACACCTCGCTGATGCGTCCGTGTGGATATCTACCGTGATGTCGCTCGCCGTCTTTAATATTTCCAAGGTTGTCGAGAATGGTGTTGAGATCACCCCTGAAGTCGACCCTTTATCGGGAATAATCAGGTGCGTCGTACATCTTCGTCCGCGATGCTGGTCCAAATAGTATTGCACACTTGCAGCCACCCCAAGCCTTTCAAGTGCTCTATTAAGCCCCGTTCCGCAAAAGCCCTTGAACTTATTCAGCAGGATGCTAACTATTGATTGCACAAAGATGTGCGAAAAATACGTATCGGTTGCAGGTCCTGGAAACATGGAGGGTAAAGGTTGCTCGACATTGACACAAACACAATATAGCTAGTCATAGGAAAGTCACTAATTGGTCACCAGCAGCGTCGAGTCAACCTTCAACGGAACAGGCAGAAACGAGCCATGGGGCAGAGGCCAGCAGCACCTACATGTTCTAGACAATCACAGAATGAATATGATTGTTCCTACTATGAGCAGCACGCAAACAACACAGGCGGAGCAATATGAATTTCTCAAGCTGCATTGCAATTGCAAAGATTAGAGCGAAGCCAGTCCACGTTGCGTGCAAGCGTATCCATCATGATTTATGATTTTTAGACTCTTCAAGCTTCAAGGGTTTGGTATTCCGCAGAGTCTTCGAAGTCCGTGCGTACGTGTTTCATACCCAGCACGTTGCGTCGCGCGATGATATTAATATCAGACGCGTTTCAGGGGGTGTATCCAAAATAGGGAACTCGGAAAGTCCCGGGAGGTCTCTCTCAGTGCAACGAGCCGCTGAGGTTCTAATTCTTCCTTTTGATCTTTAAGTTTAAGTTGATATTGGAGCGCTCCCGCCTTGTGAATTCACGTTCAAGTTCCCCACCGCCTCTCCCTATATCGATATCCTGCTCGCAGGCCACGAAGACCATGTCGTTGTTGAGGGCAGGCTCGATAGTATTGATCACGACTGCAATGTTCGATTAATATGCCCAGTCTTTGAAGTTCACTTCGGCGCGTTGAAGGAATTAGAATGACATCCGTATAACGAATGGTGTTCGTCCGAGAGAAGTGAAGTAACAGCGAGATATCGAGCGTGATGCGAAGGCGTGCAGCACTTCTGGCCCCGAGGAAAAGTGTCCAAACCTAAGAGAAGAAGGTGAGCTGCGAGGGCGGGTGGGACCGTCTCGTAATGGATTCTAGGTTGCTCTAAGTTTCCTCAAGAGCCCAGTGGTACTAATGTGTAGAGATGCGAGGCGGTGTAGAATCGGATACGTCCGATGGAGCAAAGGCCGAGGAGAGGACTCGAAGGGCGGAGAAAAAGAAATGCGAGCAAAACGAGCGGCGCGATGACGAACGATCATCACGGCGCAGAATCAAGAAGTGTATTCCTGATGTTCAAATGAGCTCGAGCAGTGGCAATCGACTATGACTGATGATGTGACAGCACTGGCTGACGTGGATCACCATACCAGCCTGTGACTTTGCCCAGATTTTTGCGCAGATATACGCAGGGTTGACAGAGACGGCCATTTTAGATATGCCGTTCATGATAAGGTCCTGCGGGCTCACCAACCGCTCCCTCCTCAGCATCTGTCGCTTCAAGGTAATACACATATTCCTCTATCTAACTTTCAGCTAACACTTGGCCTGCGTCCAACCACACATAAGAGCGTGGGCCATTTTTCAACAGTCAAACAACTTCTTCCTAGTGACCAGACTCGAATTCATGTGGATCCTGCCAGATGCAAAAAAACGTCAACAAGGTAGACGCCACTATTGGAATTGTGCATTGACACATTTTGACAGTGCAGTCCGTGCGCGTGGCTGCCCACTGGTAGTGCCACGTTTTAAGTGGTGGAATCTGAGCCCAACCAGCGGCATTCGAATTCTTGGATGGTCACAGGCCTGGATCGGCGCTACGTACTCAACGTTACTCAACTCACAGTTCAATCGTCACTAACTCTACTTATCTAATCTCTTCATTATCCCCACACAGAAGAAGCCAACGACCGATTTCAATGTAGAGAAGTAGTCCTTTGAAATTGCTAAAAGTCATACTGGCGACCACTAACTTAGTACTGGAGTCCACGTTGTTATCTGCTCTCTACGTTTAAACTTACACACGCCTACACGCGTGGGAGGCAGCGGAACTCGAAGGATGGCCAATACTTCGTTCCTATTTATTTGATGATATCTCGCTACATCACCCACTCTTTACTTGCTTTGCTAGTGCCATGTTGACACCCGCTGACGCTACTTGGCCGAACCTATGGCTCTGTCTTGCTGGAGTCGGAGGAATGTATCTGGTGAAGCATGTATTCTCCAAGAAGAATCCTGCACCATACCCACCTGGTCCTCCGGGGAGACCTCTCATTGGAAACCTCCTAGACATGCCTCAGGTCAAGACCTGGCTCACCTTCACTGAGTGGGGCAAGAAGCATGGTAAGCGCTTCCTGTTTTACCAGCATCATGCATTTCAACGCCTTGTGTGTAGGTGATATCTCCCATATCGAGGTTCTAGGTCAGCATATCATAGTGCTCAACTCTGTCAAGACGGCGTTGGAAATGCTAGACAAGAAGGGTTCCATGTACTCTGACCGTCCTGTTCTTCCTATGGGTGGCGAACTTTGTGGCTGGAAGAACTCCCTAGCTCTTCTCCCTTATGGTGACAGGTTTCGCGAGTACCGCAAGAATTTCCACCGCAGCTTTGGAAGTCGCGCCGCCATAGATATGTACCACCCGATCTTGGAGATCGAGACCCACCGATTCCTGAAGCGTGTGCTAGCCAAACCTGACCAACTGCAGGCACATATTCGACAGTTTGTGTTATCTAACTCCTTGCACTGGCTTGATATTGAATTGTTATAGCACCGCTGGCGCGATCATTCTGCGCATCTCTTACGGCTATGAAGTGATCGAGAATGATGATCCCTTCGTTGAGATTGCGGACCGCGCCCTCGACCAGTTCTCGCAGTGCGTTGCTCCTAGTGCTTTCATGGTTGATAACATGCCATTCTGTAAGGCTATAGCATTCAGACGTTTGCTCCCACTGACTTACATATTTTAGTGGCCAAGGTCCCTGAGTGGTTCCCAGGTGCTGGCTTTAAGCGTATGGCCCGTGAATGGCACAAGACCCTCGAAGATATGGCTACTGCGCCCTATAAATTTGTCCAGGATCAGATGGTGAGTTCGCATTTGTGGTTTTGTGATCATACGTTGAAGTTTGAATTTAACAGGCTGCTGGAATTGCCCCCAAATCTTTCACTTCAAATCTATTGGAGGGCCGTACTTTGTCTGTGGAGGAAGATCATGTGGTGAAATGGTCTGCTGCGTCTCTATACGCAGGTGGTGCCGACACGGTCAGTCTCTGCTACATGTTCGAAATTGTCATATGTTAAAACTCCCTCCTTTTCCTCAGACTGTTTCTGCAGTATACTCGATTTTCCTGGCTATGACACTTTATCCTGATGTGCAGAAGACTGCTCAGGCTGAAATTGATGCTGTGATTGGTCCTGATCGCCTTCCTTCTTTTGCCGACCGCCACTCCCTCCCCTACACTGAGGCGCTTGCCAAGGAAGTCCACCGCTGGAATGTTGTCGCTCCTACCGGTTTGTTTATGTCCTTCATTGTATTGCATTCTTTTGTTGACGAGCTGTATCTCGATGAAAGCCATTGTCCACAGTCTATCTGAGGACGACGTACATGACGGGTATTACATCCCCAAAGGCTCCTTGGTAATACCAAACATTTGGTCGGTACTCTCATTGTCCCTATATTAATAGGATGTGATACTTTGAATTGCAACAGGTTCATGCTCAATGATCCGCGGACGTATGCTAACCCATCGGAATTCAATCCTGAACGCTTCTTAGCCAAAGATGGCAAGGAACCTGAAACAGACCCCCGCACGATCGGCTTCGGCTTTGGTAGACGGTAAGCATTGAGTTGCTGTTCGGTTTTCAGAGAAATGCTAACTTTCTTCTCCGCAGTATATGCCCAGGTATACCCCTCCCGGGCGCCAACAAATAAGATAGTTTCTGACGTCGATTGTACAGGTCTACTCTTCGCTGATGCGTCCGTGTGGATGTCTACCGTGACGTTGCTCGCCGTCTTTAATATTTCCAAGGTTGTCGAGAATGGTGTTGAGATCACCCCTGAAGTCGACCCGTTATCGGGAATAATCAGGTGCGTCGTACATCTTCGTCCGCGATGCTGGTCCAAATAGTATTGCACACTTGCAGCCACCCCAAGCCTTTCAAGTGCTCTATTAAGCCCCGTTCCGCAAAAGCCCTTGAACTTATTCAGCAGGATGCTAACTACTAAATACCTAAGCACACGACGAAGGGTTTCGCATCAGGAAATTCACCGTCACATCTTCCATCTATCAATTCGGCAGTTGCAGCGCGATATTGTAACATGTAATTTCATTAGCATGATTTTGAACTGCTCACCATCATGCCATAACCGTGCCTTATGATATTTAGTCTGGGTCACGGTGTACATGTAGCATTTGAATTATAAATTTCTGGATTGAAGGCAGCACAACCGGGTGCCCACCACCATGATCAATGCCAAGTTCAACGAGTACTCTCAGATACTGACTGTATCGTAATGGATTATCCAGTTAAATCATATTGACGAAACTTCGGAGTCCGGACTCTGTACGGCACCTCACTAACTTCAACCATACACTTGGCCTGCATCTAATCACGCGCACACTATCCTTCGCAAGAATGAACTCGGGAGATTCATCGTCAGAAGACAAAAGCGCGGGCAGTCTTGCAGTAATCAAACAACTTCCCCCTGACCTCCTTCTCATTATCTTCATTCATGGGTCAGCATATACAACACAAGTTGTATGTCTCCCCAATTAACAACGTGCCACAGATTCAAGGGAACTGATACGACATTCGAAAACTTCCCTTCGAGGCTAGAGCATGTCCTGAAGGAAACCGTACAAAATCTCAGGGTGGAATGTGTACTATTCCCCGCATACGAGGTTAGGACATTATCTTCACGTTGCCGTTTAGGCGCTAATCAGGAGCCGTATAGACCAAAGGACAACTGGTGCGCGATCATCACCTCAACTTTGCACGCAGATGGAGACTTCCCTTCAGAATGCTGCAGTAGAACACTTCGCCGACTGGCTAACTACTCTGACCGTACAGAGAGAAGTCGCGGATGGCAAAGGGGGAGGAGCTGGGAAAGCCAAGATTGTATTATGCGGCCATAGGTGAGCAGGCCTTCAAGCATGATTGTTGTATTCCGATTGACCTTAGTCATTCAGTATGGGAGGGTTGCTTGCTGCTGATGCTTTACTGGCATTTGTGAATTCAAGACCTGACAAAGACGCTCCACTGTGGCCGAAGATCATCGCATGCATAGCCTTCGATACACCTGTGAGTTGGTTAACCGCCGTTATCCAATGTTCTATCACCGCTAACTTTTCGAAAGTACCTTGGCCTTCACCCCGCTGTATTCAAGAACAGTGCGACCAAGGCCGTAGAAATCGCCAGTACAGCACGCACCGTTGTTTCAGATGTGTTTTCATTGTTTGGCAAGAAAGGAGCATCATCGACAGGCTCTGGGCAACCCGCTCTTGCTATAACAGCAGCCCCCCATGCGGAAAGTGGTTGGGGAAAGTGGGCTCCTGCAGCGTATGCTGTTGGTGGAGCGCTGGTGGCTGGCGCAGCTGCTGGAACAGCATACTACCGCCGAGATGACATTGGTTCTGGATACAGCTGGGCTACTGATCACTTGAACTATGTTCGCAACCTCTGGGATGAGGAGGCTTTGCGAAAACGTATGCGAGATTTGATTGATGCACAGGTACACCTTGGTGTCATATTTCGCTCGTACGTCCACCAGAGCGACATTCCTTGGGTGTCTTTTTGACTTTTGGTTCATTCTAGATTTTACACCTTGCTTCCACCGGCTCCGCCTTCATTCTCGTCGCCGAGGACATTCGCCATCCTTCCTCAGCGGACATCTCGCATAGCTGCGCATTTCATTCCCGCAAGAAACAATCAAGCTGCGGATGAAGTTCAAGCGCACACCAATATGTTCAATCCAAGATCTAATGATGGCTACTACCAGTTGGGGCTCGATACGGCCAAGATCATTCGGGAAGCTGTCATGTCAGCTAGAGGTATTACTGAGAGTGACGATACCGAGGCTCGAAAGGATGTTGAAGCAGCTGCTGCAATGGAAGAGACGTTGCCTGACCAGGTGGGAAATGACGCAAAACCGGAGTCAGCAATGGTGACAGTAATTCGTTAAGTGTCAAATATATAGCTGTAAACTATTAGTCTGCCCCAGTTTCCTTCGTATTATTGCTCATGCTCGAACGTGAGCTGCATTGCATATGCATCTTCTCCATCGGCATCTAAAGAACACGCGATCAAATGACTAGATGACCAAGTTAGCTGGAGACTTACAGTACTTTTCCTCGATATTGTTGACAGTGAACCCAAGCGTGTCGCGATACAGGCTTAGTGCTGCACGATTCGACTTGCGGACGTGGAGAGACACGAATGCTGCGCGGTAGATGCTGCTCATAGCCTCCTCTGAAATAAAAGAATACATCAATGATTATTCTAGCTTGAACAAAAACCGAATTTACGTGATTGAAGCATCAATTTTTTGGCCAGCCCAAGTCGACGATATGATCTCATGACAGATATTGAGGTGACATGTCCATGAGGAACATGATTAGTTGCAGGTTGCCCTTCTGTCTCCTCAACTTCCTCCCTGCAATCTGATTAGACTACGGTGTCAGGTTGCGAAAAAGTTTGACGCACATTTTTGCTAGAATATAACCAACAATCCGTCCATTGTGGTCCTCGGCCACATACGAAAGTGAAGGCCAAGATAGCGCGTGATATAGATCTGGTCGCGACTTCCGTCAGTGGTCTGAAAGAAATGAGGCGAAAGACGCGAACAGTATTTCATTGTGTAGTTCTCGGGCAGGTTGTGCAGGTTGCAGGCTTGCATGCCTGCGAGATCTTCGACCTGGTGAAAGTGAGTGACTTGCGCGTCTTGGGAGGTTGCAAGCGTACCCTGACTGCGCGGATATTCATGTTGGAATGAAGTTGCTTCAGCTTCCTGACAGCGTTGCAGGGTAGAGCAAGTCTTGACAACCCTGGTGAGTGGTAACTGCCCTAGTGAGTCTTATACCGTATTGGTTGTGATCGTGAGAGCTACATCACCCGCACGGAGGCAGAAGTCTACCCAAGAACAAATCTGATTGCCTCCTACATAATCACTATAAGTACCATAAAACCTACACGACAGTGGTAGACGATACATGCAAAAGAACAACATCGGAAAACTGGCGTAATGGTTATAAATATTCCGGGTTTGGGGGTTACAACAAAAAAGTTGCGCAATGCGTTTGAAGGGAAGAACACGTGTAATTGTCCATGCTTGCTATGAACTTGTGGGTCTACTTACTGCGGATGTCGGGCCATTCAGCGCTCATTTAACGAGGCTGACCGCCATTCCCAGCTGTATCGCCAGTGCTATTTACATTCCCTTGGGCCCAGGCGTTTGGGACGTTCGAATCAGGGACCTGCCCATTCGAATTCGACCCGCGGCCGAAGAAAAAATGCTCAGCAGCGTGAAAGGTGTTTCGAAGGCTTCTCTTGACACTCCTGCCTCTTCCTTCAGAATCACGGGGGTCTGTCGGAGGGCTGAGAGCAGCCTGAACGGATTCCTGTAGCTCCTGGCTGCTGTGCGACGGAATATCGTACATGGGCTCAGTGCGCATGGGAGGCCATGGCACGAGGCGGTCGGAAGATCCCCCGGCCGGGGTTAGATAGTAGTTATTAGTCATCTTTGCTTGGTCTGTCATCAAAGTGTGACGTTCGGGGTTTTGTCCGAGGCGGAAATCAAAATTCGCCGAGTGCATCACTTGGGTGATGCCCTGGGTCGAAGGCCCCGCAGCGGCATTGAACGACGCCGTCGGGGTAAAACTGTGTCTTGCCAACTGATGAGGTGGTGGACCGATATGATCGATATTATCATGCTCTGTGCCCCGACCATGACCTATCTCCGCAAAGTTGTAATCGGGAGTTATGGCGCCATTACTTCTAGCAGAAGATGTCGGCTCTTGGTATGTACGGAAAAAACCCGCCCCGTTCGATTGTGTACCAGTACTGCGATTGGATGCGACGTCGCTCTGAGGGGGGGAAGTGGAAGTCTCAACGACGGGCTGGTAACCAAACATGCGAGATCGTCTCATAACGGGATTGGACGGCCCCGCTACGGGTTGCAGATTAAAAGCATATGACGCAGGCGGCGGTGGACTGTTAGCAGAGAACACAGCTGGAGCTGAGGCAATGGGGACATGGCCTGGCCGCAAGGTCATATCACGCTGCATCGCAAGCTCGGGGTGCTGCGAGATAGGAGTGATAATTTCTGGGTGACTCATGCGGAGTGTGGAGGAAGCTGGATGGGGCGCATGGTGGAAGTTATATCTTCCATCGTGCATAAAGTCTTCGTCAACATCGCCATCCATTCCACCCTCCATATCAGCATCCATGGCACCTTCAACGAATCCTTCGTCAAAGTCGTCGTCGTACTCCGTTTCATCATCGTCAGCGTTCATATCTTCCGTGATCGTATTGAATAAGTCCGTCAAGAAGCTTCTCAGTTTAGCAACGCCGCTGCCCGAGTAGACGCAAAAAGCCATCCTTTGGCTCATATTGAACTCCTTGAAGGACGTCAACAGCTGATTAGACATGATATCTGCATCACTGACCTGCGGAGGTTGACGACAGAACTGTTGCAACTCGGGTTTTCTGAAAGAAGGGATACCCGTCAAGCTCAGATGAGTGAGCTTGTGGAGCTTTTGCAGTAGGAAGTGAACGGCCATGACCGATATTTGATCGCAGTAGGAAAGATGAATGCGTTCTAGAGTACTGTGTCGCTCAGCAAGAGCGTATATTGCCTCGTCTGTCAGATTGCTGACGCGCACAAGACCAATTCTTCTGAGCTTAGGTAAGCTGGAGAGCTCGAAGACGGACATGTCAGTCAGAAGAACGCAGTCTGTTTCATGGAATCAAATTTTATTTCACAGCGAAAGCGAAGATGACACACTTGCAAAGTCAACATAACGCAGGCGGGTGCAGCACCGTGCAAGCGTCTTAATTGAGCGGTCCGTGATGTTGGCCGCATGTCCGAGATGCAAATAGTGCAGATGCTTGCCGAGAACACAAATATTCTCTACAGTCCTATCCGTCAATTGGATGCATTTCGAGAGAACGAGGTTCCGGATTTTTGAGGCATGGGAAATAATCCCGTCAACAGCATCATCCGTGATAAGCGCGCAGCCCGTCAAATCTAGCATGCGAAGGTGATCCAAGGGCCTTGGGATCACTAAAGGCGGAATCCCTTCATCTTGGCTCAGAGGAGCGGCTGGGAAAGGGTTATTCCGCGGGGTGACCTGAGGCTTGACTGGCGCTGGGAAGGCGGCATCGGTGAGCTCGACGCACTGGGATAACCTCATTTCACGCATATGTGTAGAGTAGGTCCATATGTCGCGGACAGAGATATCTGTAATGCGTTTGCAATTATTCAAGTCAATCTCCAGAAGGAGGGGGCAAGACTTGGCAAGAGCTGAAACAGGACCGTCTGTGACCTGATCAACGCCACTGAGTTTGACGCGACGGAGAAGGGGACAGCTGGAAGCTAGCGCATACACGCCGGCGTCGGTAACCAGTCTGCATCCTGCGAGATTGATGCCTTGTAGGCGTCTAGCAGCTGATGCCAGGCCGATGATGATTTGATCTGAAGTTTCGACGACTCCTGTGAGATCAATAGCGACCAGATTCGGTAGGCAAGGCAGTACGCGAAGAAGGGCCTCTTCGGAGATAGAGTTGCAATTTACGAGCGTCAAGCGCTCCAAGTGGTCGCACTGCGCTAAGCGGGAGAAAAGGGCGTCGGTAAGGTCGGCACCGAGGAATAGGAAATTGAGACGGCGGATGAAGCGACTGTAAGTGAAAGTCTGGTCGCCTCTACTAAGGACCCTCATCATTTTCACGAGGGTGGAAAGCCTGGTGAAAGTAGGGCGGTGCCATAGTAGCTCAACTGAGCATTCGCACCATGAGCGCGAAACTAGTAATGAATGATAGAGATCCCTGGGAGTATGGAGGTGTTTGAGGATATGAATGAGGACCTCTGGGGGAACTTGAGACATGGGGGAGTGTGATGAATCGATTGCCCCATCTGCGGAGTGATGTAGGCGAGAAGCCCATTGAGCGGGTGATACTACAGAGGAAACTGGACCACCAAAAAACAAAGACTTGTTTATATCGTCATCTTCATTCTCTGAAAGAGAAGTTGTGGACTGTGACGGTGAATTCAAGCGGTAAAAAACCCTTGAAGTCCTGGCGGATGGCATACCTGCGCTTGTGTATTGAGGAGGCAAGTCTCAGGCAGTCCGAGCCCGGTAGCCTTTGCTGACGAACTGCATGGGAATTAATTGCTTAATTTGTGTTGACGTCAGATGACTAATTTATTTCCTAATTTGGGTGTGACCTACAATAACTTTGAACGAATTAAGCCCCATTGCGCCTTGTGTTGGCTGCGTGCCTAGGCCTCTTGTCGCTGTCCTTACTCAATTTTCATGATACCCAACAAGCTAGACAAATTTGTCTCTAATACCGCCAACGTCCAACGTCCTGCTCCCCCTGTGCCTGCCCATTCCCGCCTTTTCAAACTTGCCGGAAAATTCAATTCCCGTGATGACCGCACTCGCTCAAAGGATACTCCACTGCCATCCCCAAACAGATCTACTAGTTCATCTCTAATATCCAACCCTGAATTTCCCCCTCCTGGTCCAGCTCATTATGCCGCTCGTCGAACTCTGTGGCTCACTCCAACAAAGGTTCACCACAGCGCTCCTCCATCCTCATCTCGTCAGAGGTTAGAGCAACTTCTTAATGAGCCGGGTGCAGTAAAGAATGAACAGGCTTGGAAGGATGGAATTGAGAAAGTCTGGAAGGGTCTTGTAAATGGTGGTCGTTTGAAACGGAGCCTTCCCCTGACTCTCGTAGTAAGTTCACCATTATCTCAAAATCCTCTGTTATCAGCTTACTTCTACTCTCTTTCGTGTCCAAGATTAAAGTCATCCATGCTGGTTGGCTCAGAGATCCTGATACTTGGCCTTCTGGCGCAGTAGCCCCAGATTCAGATCAGGATCCTGCAGCAGACCAGCCTGGACCTTCATGTCCGGTTATCATGAACCTTACCTCCCCCAATACCACCTCTCAAGGAGTGCCCACTGAGGGCAATGAAATCAACCCTTCTGGACTTGTGATAGCTGCAACCTAAGGTGTAGGATGGTTGTATCTCTGAGTCGTCTTGGAATGAACCAATTCATGTATTACGTGCTCTCCGGTCAGAACTATGTATTAAATGCATTTTTACTTCTTACCATCCAATGATTACAAGAACATCCGTGCGACGTTTTTGAGATACATGCAAGGCAATCGCTGCCCAAAAACATACTGGCAGAGGACTGATCTATCATGCCTACACGTCCTGAGATGTTCAAGTCCGCGATGGTGGTGACACCTGTTATCCAGTCAGTTAATAGTCATGAGTTGTCTATAAAATTCACATACCAGTATAACGCCATCTCCCCGAACAAACAACATCTCCATTTTTCTCTTAGCCACCTAGAACGCCATAGCTAATGCCTCAGTTACCCAGCGTCGGACTTCAGACTCACTTTGACCGTTCCCTGTCCCTCCATACCACCTTCGATGGGATCGACGATCATGATGGTTTCTTCAACATCACTCAGAATGAGATTCATATGACCATCATAAGCCTGTAAACGAAAATATTTCAGTACATGCGAGTGTATGAATTATATCGAGTCGACACACATGAAGCACGCCAGTCAACTCACGATCCCCCCGTAACTTCACGAAAACACGTTCGCTGAGGGATAATCTGATGAGGTCGAATGGCTCCTGGATGCCCGACGATGAAGGATCCATTGAAGTGCAGGAGAGATTAGGTAAGCAGTAAGTGATCTTTCGAACTCAGACAGCTTGCTACCCAACTCCTTCTTTCGCCAATACCAGTACTAGTGACCTCGCCATGCCGGTACGTCGTATCATTCTATCTGGTAATAGCTATTAACCGCAGTGTAGAAACACTACTGTGACTATTGTGATGTTTTTCTCACTCATGACTCTGCTTCAGGTGTGTTACTTTCTTGCTAATAACCAGATTTCCGTTCTGAAGCATCACATAGTGCGCAAAGCTCACAACAGCGGAAGAAATCACCTGGCAAACGTCAGAGACTACTATGCATGTGAGTGAGAAGTTCTTTTGCACAATAACAGGGTACTGATACACGATATCAGCACTTGGCCATGACAAAGCACAGAGCATCATCGATCAGATCACTGCGGCGTACGAGAGTGGAGGCGGCCCTCCTCCAGGAGGGTTCGGGTTTGGTCCTCACCACTTAGGTGCACCCCCACCACAATTTCCAGGCCCTCCCATGGGCTTCGGTGGTCCACCCGGAGCATTTCCACGTAAGTATCTCCAAATGTCGGTTTACCCTGAAACTGAATTTCTTTACAGCTCGCCCACCTTTCCCTCCCGGACCCTTCCCGCCTCCAGGCATGATGGGACCTCCACCCGGTGCTGTACCACCTTTCCCTCCTAGTGATGGTATGCCACCTCCTGCAGCAATGGGCCCTCCTGGCGGCTTCCCAGGCGGTACGTCGTTCTCTCCATGTTATCAAAAGTTGGAATTAAGCAAACGATAGGTCCTCCTCCATTCCCTCCGAATGGCCCTAATGGTGGGGGACCAGGTGGCAGCATGCCGCCCTTCCCCCCACATGGTAACTTTGGGCCACCGAGTAACAGCCCACCCCCACCCAACCAAAATGATCCTAATGCGGGACCAGGCGGTATGCACCCTGACAGACTGAGAATGATGGCTAGCAGGTAATTGTTGTTCATCGTCAATTCGGTGTCAACTCTGTGGTGGGTTGTACGTTTTCTAGTATATTCCCAGAAGGTAACCTATAGTTCCTTCTCTGTCTTCTCAAATGTTTTCAGTTTTTGTGTGTCGATCTACTAGTTCTATACCTTGATCGACCTGATCATGGAACTGAAAGTTCTGTTGCACGTTTTTGACACTGAATATTTGAGACCACATGTATCTTACCCTTGTGCTCTTTGCTATCTGCCTTCTGGTGAACATGATCGTACGCCTCGACTTTTCCCCCTGCGTTGTGGCAGAGGTTTGATATCTATAGCACTCTGAAAAGAACTTCTGTAGCAAGGGCAGTTGGTATTGCTGGAGGTTCCCCAGCTCACTTCAAGGGTAGCAGCCGCTGACTGCAGATTAATTTGTCTGTCCACGACACAGGTCTCACTTTACCTGTCAATTTCTAAGTTCCATACTGTTCATGTTAGCGCTCGCGTGCAACTTACATACTGATCTGTGTAAAAAGTGCTTGACCTTCCTTTTATGGAAACACCATCCTTGCAGTAACACCGTCAAGTGCACGAACTGTGGTGCAATCATGGCAGTCTCAGCGTCCGACATACGCAGTGCACTATCTTTACCAAGCTCTTCAACACCGGTTCAATCTGCAACACCAGCTCCCAGAAAATCTCAAGGTCAAGTCACCAAGAAACCTGAGGGAATTTCCCGAGAGCTCTATGCACTTATTGGACCCTCCGCGCCTTCTCTTGTAGCACATTTAGCTAAGCCACGTCTGAAGCAGAAGCCAAACTTTGGGTCCGGTGGAAAGGTCAAGTGGTAAGTCTCCTGTTACACCCCCGCATGTGTGCTCAATAACATGGCGCATGTAGGGAATGGAGACCTTTTAGGAATGGTGCACGCACCGATTCACTGCAACTGGGACGTTGGGCCAAGGCAACTGATGATCCCGATGCAGGTGTGTGCCATAGGGCCAACGCTGTACAAATACTGAAACTTCGACGCACAGAATACCACTTTACGAAGTATAACGTGCAATCACAGTCATATACCTACTCACAAGAGGAATACACGCGTTTACTCGAGGGCAAGTATATTTCTCGATATACTTGCGTCACTTAACTTCTTTATAGATAAAGATTGGACGAAGGACGAGACGGATCATTTATTTAACGTTGTGCGAGAGTATGACACACGGTGGTATGTGGTACATGACCGCTATGAGCCTCCACCAGACGCCCCAACACGCTCTCTTGAAGTGAAGTACAACAGCCTTTGCAGTTGCGCGATGCTGACTTGCAGCAGGATCTAAAGGACCGGTACTACAGCGTTTGCAGAAAACTCATTCGGAACAGACCTTGGGCAGGTGATGAGGCGAGCAAGGCTCAGCTTCTCAATACTTATCAGTTTGACAAAGGTCCGTAACTCCTATTTTTCGGTAGTGAGAGATGTGAGAGCCTTTTGCCGCATTGCAGACCGCGAGAGAATGCGGAAAGACTATATCGCCAGCCTCGAGGACCGTACACCCGAGGAAATCGCCGAGGAAGAGGCCCTGTTCATCGAACTGAAGCGGCTGGAGCAAAACGAACGCAAATTCAAGAAGGAGCGCGATGAACTTCTCCGCACGTTGCTTGGCATTGACTCTGGACTTCCTGACATAGTTGCTGAAGAAGACGGACTTTCTGCTCTATCTGCGGAAGGATTCAAAAAGAGAAAGAAGAATGCAAATGAAATTGAAATACCGTCTACACCGTCAAATATCATTTCTCTAGGACCTCCACCGCCAAAGAGGGCTCAGTCAGCGAAGTCAGCAGCTTATGGTATGTCGATTTTCGATACAAATACTAATCCCGAAGTTCATTCTCCCGCTTTAGACGCGCAACATTGTATTATCAGGGTTGAACCTCCCGCTTCATCAACAACGAAAATCACTCATGTTCCCGTGCACCTTCGCTCCTTTAAACTTCCCGCACCGAAGGCAGCAATATTACCCAAGGTCACCCAGGCTCTTGCTGAGCTAGGCATCAACCATACACGATTGGTCATGCCTACCCGTGAAAACTGTGCACGACTAGAGTCGCTGATCGAAGCGACCACTGCCTTGATTGACACGAAGAAAGTTGTAGATCGTGTAGAACAAGATATCCGAGTGTTGAGAGTAAGACTCGGGAGAGCAAGTGAGGGTGCTGAAGAAGATGGGAAAGAGGGAACACCAATGGAAGTTGATGGAGGCGCAAGCGGGGGAGCAGATGCTGATGCCGATGCCGATGCTGAGGGTGAGGTCGATGGCAGAGCACAAAGTATACTCAGCACACGAAGCGGCCGAGGACGCAAACAGGTTCGTTGCTCTTCTCAGAATATTGTCGACGCCTATCTGAATCCCAGGCTCAGTCTCGCCGATCAATGTCCGTGTCATCCATCGGCACTTCAGCATCCGCGCGAGTTGGTAAGAGACAAAAGCGTAGCTGACAACGTGCATACTATGTCGTTACATGATAAAGACCGAGTCATGTTTGCTTGTAGAGGCTACACAAGAATAAATTTGATATAAATCCTCCGAATCTCATTCAATAGATGAAGCGCATCAGAAGCACTGCTATTCACGTCTGTGTGAATCGCAACACGAAATTGACGATGATAGCAACTGTAGGGGAATCAGGCGATATCGAAACTGGCAGAGCAACAACTAGACTGACTGAGGAGTGCGGAGCATAGGATAGTCTGGTTTAAAATTGTTTAGCTAGATACTATAGGATGCCTGCCGAAAACTCACAGGTCCAAGTCGGTCGTCGTAAGGTCCTCGCCCTCCCTTGCGTATAGAAGCGGCCCTCCAATGGTACGTATACAACGCATAAATCATGACGGACATGGCTTCAGCCAATCAATGAAAATCATCCAACCGAAATGTTCAATACAATCTGCGAGCTTACCAACGACAGAGAACATTGCTGCACTAATCCTCCCAACCTGTGCAAAACAAACGGTTAAATCAAGCCCGATTATCAGAAGGAGCTAGCTAACGTACTTTGTCACCAAAGTTCAGCAGCCCCACCGCAAGACCACCGAGAACAACAGTGAAGTGGAGCCATGATAAGAAGGTACGCTCGTTGGCGAACGAGACCTTGGGTTCTACGCGCACTGGGAGTGCGATGCGCTTTGAAGCGGTGCGCTGGAGCAGAGGCTGGGTCGACATCAAGTTGATTGAGTGGCTGGAGTGAGTCGGTGGCAATCAAAACTAAAATCCTCTACTACTTACATAGACTTCCGTAAGGGGTTCTAGAACTTTGTTACCATATTAGGAAGTCAGTTCATTGTATTGGTCGGACCTTTCGATTTGAAGCTCAAGCTTAAGCAGTACTACCGTACCGCTGAGCGCTCGCGGCATCACTTCATCTTTCATGCTTTTTCTGGCGGAATCCCATGGACGTCTTCCGGTAGGGGCGACCACTTTCAAGTTTCCCGTATCCACGAAAGTGCTGGGCACTACAAAGATACGCGGGCATGGTGGACGTTTGAATCCTGCTTTACAACTAGAGGAAGTCGTATTCACTGCCTATTATCCTGCGGACGTAAAGGGAAACAATATTAAGAAAGGCCTGGACTGGCTTCTCCGGTCAGTATCGGAGTTACCCTGTCAGCAAGTCAGGCTCACAGTTCTAGTCCGCTAGTCCACTGCGCGCATCTCTACATGGGTATGCTCGTTATGCAGGCAGGTCTTGCAACTTGTATTGTGCTATATAGACATCTGATTGAGCACCTTTACCAGGGGTTTCCCCTTGGTTCCTGTGGCCTATCGTGTATCTCTACGGTACCCTGTTGAAAGTGCAAATTTTAGCCGCGGAGCGAAATACAACAACTAATTCAGGCTGTTAGATTCCAGTTTATTCGAACGCACCTCTTTTGAGGCAGCGCCCCACTCCATCTCATGGATATACTAGATCTGAATCCCAGCCTTGGCCTCTTGTTATATTCTCACACGGTCTGGGCGGTAGCCGGACAGCCTACAGGTATTTATCGATGTGCTGAAGCACTCAATCAATCTAAGATTGTGCTATAGTCAACTGTGCACTCGTCTTGCATCCTCGGGACGAGTAGTTCTAGCCGTCCAGCATCGTGATGGCTCAGGTCACGCATTCATTCCATCGACTACTGGACTTGGACTCTACGTCAAAGAGAAGGACTTGATGTATGTATTTTAATTTGAATATTTTTATTCGTTGAGAGAGTGAGAACTGAGTGGTTTTTCCCAAGTTGGACTTCAGATGATGAAAATACGATGGACAAATTTCGAGAGCAACAGCTAGCTTTTAGACGACATGAGATATACCTTGCATTCCGCAGCTTTAAACAATTAGTTCAAGATGGATACCAAGGTTCAAGCCATGGTTTACAGACCATAGACGACAAAACCATTGACTGGTCTTCGTGGACAAGCGGGGACGATTCCAAGGCAGTCGAATGTGACAAAGACGTCCTCCTTGCTGGACATTCATTTGGCGGTGCTACTGTTGCAAGTGAATCATTTTTTACAAACTGTGCAGTGATTTACACTAGCTAAGCAGTTCACAATCCTTTCTACGGACCCTCCTGCCGACGTCTCCGCACCTATTCCTGTGCATAAAGCCTTGATCTTGGATCCTTGGCTGGAACCGATCCCCTCCCCTGGCCCATGCCCACCTCCGCAGGGACCAGGTGATGCTTTGCCGCAGTTGCTTGTCATCAACTCTGAGAGATTCAGCCTCTGGAAGGATCATTTCACGCGACTGATTGACGTGGTGCAAGCCTGGGAGCCCGAGAAACGGAGAGTGCTGACAATCTGTGAGTTTGAAACCTTCGCATTCGGTGTACATCAATCACGCAGGAGTTTATCTGACTTGCGCTCGCTGCAGTACGCTCGCAGCACGACTCGTTCTCGGATTTTCCTCTCCTTCCGCTTGTTTCTCGGAGAGCTGCGCGCATAGTAATGGACAGGATTATGGAATTATCAGAGGCATTTATAGATGGTGATGTAGACACGTTTGTGGACGAAACTGCGACTAGGAAGATGGAAATTCGTAAAATTGGGAAAAAGCCAGACGGTTCACCACAACGACAGTTTGTGGGAGAGGTCGGGGATCTCATAGCCCATTGAAACAAATACGTTAACTGGCGCCCATAGTCGCTCATAGATAATCAAATTGACTATATCGGTTTACGTTGGAGTCACTGATTGTAACCTGAGTCAGATCTAGGTCCGTGATGTAAGTGACGTTGTAGAAAACTGTAGTACTAGAACCACCTTGTCCTGATTATCGCATCCTCCCTACACCTGAAACCTCCACTGCTGATTACACCTGCCCACGGCAGTAGGCCTAGGACTTGTGGCGATTCTCCGAACCTCATCTAGTAGTCTAAGGACCCGGCCGTATAATGGCTCCTCCCAAGTCTGATCCTGCGGCATCAGACACTTCCATCCCTCTCTTTAAGTCTATAGGTCTCTCCCAGGCCAAGGCGGCAGAAGCAGCAAAGAACGCCAAAAGCGCCAATGTCCTCCACAATCTGATCGTTTCATACGATCTTACCAAGGCTCACCTTGATGAAAAGCAAGCTACGCTCGTCACCGCCCTCGCTGGCCAGCTGGCCAAGACGGAATCTATAGAACCTAGCGAACAAGACTTTGCCGTCAAGGCAATCTTGCAGGGGAAGCTCAAATCCGTTGATCAGGTCAACGGTGAGTTCTGTCATGCGAAATTTGCATTTACCAGTGACTGACTTATGTGCAGCTGCTGTTAAGTACCTCGAGACACATAATGCGCCCATCAACGAGCTTGAATTCGATACAGAGTGTGGTGTCGGTGAGATACCTTCATCATGATGCATGGTCATTGTATTGATCTAATGTTACAGGCTTCAGCATTACATCCGAAGAGCTCTTTAACACAGTCACGAGTTACATCCGGGAGAATGCCGTCACTGGCTGGCCTTACCTTGGTTCCGTCATTAGTGGGGTCAAGGCCAGCCCAGCTCTTCGATGGGCGAATCCCCTTGAAATTAAGAACGCCGTCGAGAAGGCGTTTACTGAAACCTTTGGTGTGAAGGAGGCTGCGAAGCCAAAAGCTAAGGTATACTACATTCCTTGTCATCTTGTTTACTGCTCCTGATTTCAGGGTGCAGGAACCTAAAAAAGAGAAGGCTCCGCAGCCAACGGCAACTGCATCAGAGACTGGTGCTGGCTCTAGTTCATCCAATAGAAAACCCGTTTTTGAAGAAGGCTTCTTGGGCGCATTGCACAAGCCAGGAGAGAACCCCCAGAACAGCCCCGAACTTCGTGAACAGCACCTACGCGCGACTGATGGACAGGTGTGGACACGTTTTCCACCTGAACCAAACGGCTATCTGCACATCGGTCATTCAAAGGCTATCTTCGTGAACTTCGGTTATGCCGCGCACCACGGAGGGAAGTGTTATTTGCGCTTCGATGATACCAACCCCGAAAAGGAAGAGGCCAGATATTTTGAGAGCATAATCGAGGTCGTTCGATGGCTCGGATTTGAACCCTGGAAGATAACCTACTCCAGCGACTACTTTGATCAACTATACGAGCTTGCCATCGAGCTCATTAAGCGTGACAAAGCTTATGTCTGCCATTGCACTCGTGAGTGTATCATTTTCCTGCTTTAGTCTATCCACTGAATGCGAGCTGCCCCACAGAGGAACAGATTAAAGCTGATAGGGGCGAAAAGGTGTCAGCTCCTAAAGCCTGCGTGCATAGATCACGGCCGATCCAAGAATCGCTGGATGAGTTCAAAAAGATGGCTGATGGTTATTATCGACCCAAGGAAGCCAATCTCCGGATGAAGATGGATCTGACGGATGGCAACCCTCAGATGTGGGATCTCACGGCGTACCGTATTTTGGATGCGGACCACCATCGCACCAAGGATAAATGGAAGATATACCCCACCTACGATTACACACACTGCCTCGTGGATAGCTTCGAGAATATCTCGTGAGTCCCATAGCGCCATCTTGCCATTTTTTGTTGATTGACATTCAAATTTTCAGACATTCCCTGTGTACCACGGAATTCATTGCTTCACGCCAGTCATATGAGTGGCTTTGTGACGCTCTGGACGTGTACAAACCGCGGCAATCAGAATTTGGTCGTCTTAATCTTCAAGGGACGATCAATTCGAAAAGAAAAATTCTCCAGCTGGTAGATGAAGGCTACGTTAGTGGATGGGATGATCCTCGTCTCTACACCCTCATCGCCCTCAGAAGGCGAGGCGTACCTCCGGGCGCGATTTTGTCCTTCGTCAGCACATTGGGTGTCTCAACGGCTGCCTCAAACATCCAAATTGCGCGCTTCGAACAAACTGTGAGGCAATACCTGGAAGGCAGTGCACCGCGTCTCTTCATGGTCATGCGTCCTCTCAAAGTCGTAATTGAGAACGTCCCCGATGACTACCTTGTAATGGTGGACAAACCATTCCATCCCAAGAATCCCCAGCTCGGATCTTCGCAGATTCCATTTACCCGCACGATTTACATTGACGCAGACGACTTCAGGCTGGAAGACTCAAAAGACTACTTCCGCCTTGCTCCTGGAAAGAGTGTTGGCCTATTCCAAGCACCTTACCCGATTACATGTACATCGTACAAGACTGATTCCACCACTGGTGAGGTGACAGAGGTATTCTGTCGTCTCGAGGATTCTGGCTCCCCTCCGAAACCAAAGGCATATATCCAATGGGTCGCAGAACATGCGCCTTCTGGAAGCCCTGTTCGTATCGACGAAACAAGAATATTCCACCCTCTGTTCGAGAGCGATAACCCGCTCGCAGCCGTCCCTGACTTCAGAGCTGACATCAATCCTAACAGCATGGAGGTCGTCAAGGGCGCCATGGTCGAAGTCAGCTTCTGGCCACTTGCAAAGCGGTCTATCGCAGACGCTCTCGAGGAGGCTCGGGCGAGATCAGCTAAAGCCAAAGCCATCCAAGGTGCGGGCTCCCGCGACGCAGACACCCCAGAAGTCACACCAGAGCAGCTTGTCGGAAAGGAGTGTGTACGATTCCAAGGTCTGCGTGTCGCGTACCTTGCAGTAGATGCGGACTCTCGCTTGGGTGCTCTGGAGGAACCCTCAGATGTTACTCCAGGAATTAGGCAAGGCGATTATTTGGTACTCAACCGCATTGCAAGTTTGAAAGAGGATGCTGGAAAGGGGATGTGAAATTTACATGACCAGTTACGATAAGAAAGGATCGTTAGACCTATGTAGCAGTCGGATTTCAGTATGTACGACCAATACTCAGGTTGTAGATCTCGGTGCGACAACGTGTTGTCAAATAGATAAAATTATCACTGCTTACGGGGCAGCTGTATATATACATTATGTCGCGACCAAGGCATGGAGATTATAGATCTCTTTGCGTACCACATAGTAGATGTCGGAAACGTTACCTTCCAACTCCACTTTTCCTCGACCTGTCTTGCGGACGGCAACTGTGTCTTGTGAAGAACTGGAGGATTGATCCCGTCTCGCCCCAGCGCCGCAAATCAGTACACCCTCACCAACCAATTCAGCCTGAACACCGACCGATGCTAGTCGGCTTTTAAGCGCAGTCAACTTGAGCTCCCCTATCATCGTCGAACGCGGTAAAATCTGAATTGGCCGAGAACCCAGTATTCGTGGGGTATGCAGTACGATTGCATTCGGCGTCGGTATCGCTGGCCCCACTGGTTCCAAAATGGGTATGGTGGAGCTGAAATGACTAGCAACGCGTCCGGTCACATAACCCACTTCGTTGTCTTCGAACTACCAAATGTTTATTCATATGGACTCGAAATTAGAGGAGTGGACTTACCCTTGACATTTTGATAGTGTTCAGTAGCTCATCACTCAAGGATATTGAGAAACTATTCGTGTGTTGTCCTATCTGCACCGTTTCTCCGACAGATGGAGCGTATATATCTCTCGTCATGGACCGAATGTTCGCGCAACTGTCAATAAGAGCGTCGGCAGCGGCAGCCTGGGCATGGACGACAATCTACCCGAGTAACGTTAGCATATAATATGCCAGATCGATGTAATTACTGACCATCTTTCTGGGATTCACTTGGGGCACAATCATCTTCACTGCGCGACCATCGTTGAGACCTTCCATATCAACAAAGAGAAGTCGACAAGCAAGTTGTATCTCAACCTCTGAAGTGACAAACTTCGAAGGAGGTTCACGAGGGGCCTTGCATTAGGCTAGTCAGTTAAATGATCATTCATTCCACCTAAAACCTTTACCTCAGTTTCACCTTCAGCCTGATTTCGTCTTGCATCCCTGGTTGCCTCGTCGTCTGCTTCATTTTCCAATACTTTACCTTTCCTGAGCCACATGCCAACATCAATAGTTTCGCCATATTCATCCACCCTCCGTTTCTTTTCGACATAAGGAAACATACGGAAACGGTGAGTCTGGCCGCCAGCGCTCTTGAAGAATGATGTTGCTTTAGAGACGTTCCCCTTGAGGTAAATGTCGAAGGAGAGCAGTTGTTTCGTTAATCCCTCATCAATATCAAGCCCCCAGTCGGCATCGTCCTCATTTTTGGGAATTTTCCGTTTTCGCGGCGAACCAGTTGGAGGATTGGAGATTTCGTCAGTATCCATTTGACTTTCGTCCAATGCGCGTTCGACTTCGTCTTCTTCATCCGAGTCTGAGTCTGAATCTTCGTCGCTCTCGTCTTCGTCCGCTTCTAATATGCGTTGATTACGAGCCATAGTTGCTTGATGAGCAGTTTCTCTGTCCTTTGCCGCCTTCTCCTTTGCAAGGAAAGCCTCCAGCTCTGTACCTTGAAGGGGAACCTTGGAGTTTATCTAGACGTAAACAGATTAAAAACGTGCCAGGTAGGTGCAAACTGTGCAAGTTACCTTCAAAGTCATGGCCCCATCCATCATGACGTTGCTGCCAATTCTGCCTTTGTCCCACTTGTCATCACCTCTCTGAGAGTTATTCCATTTATCAAAAAGGATACGCCCCAGTGTGCCCTCTTCGCCACGACTAGTCAGGAGGACCACATTGTCTGGGACCGCGGCGAAGTCAGAGAATAGTAGTCGCGAAGGTCCGTGTGAAAGTGAGGCAGGGACAGCAAGGATCAGTTTCGGCTCCTTAGATGAGTATGTTTGTAGAAGGGATTGTGGACTGGGAAAGAACTCCAGATACCTGCACAGGGCGATTTTAGTCCATCAGCTTCTACTTTCGAGTTTCGCTTACTTGAAGCGCAATGCAAATGCTCCCAGTGCCTCGTCATCTCCATCATCATCACCGCGTCTCCTCCTAGTACCTCCAGTTCTTCCGCTTCCATCAACACCAACGTCTTCTTTACTCACTGTCCCGCCAAGCCACTCCATCATACTCCGGACGAAGGTCAGCATTTCACGCCCGTTACGCGACAATAGACAGATGGGAAAGCGGAAATCAGCATATTTCCAATGCTGATCGAGTAACACGAGGAGCTCCAGAAGACGCGTACTTGAGTCGCAAGGAAGTAAAAGAGAGGAGCGGGACGACAACGTTGCGCTTATGGCATCTGTCCACCAATAACATCAGCACGAACCCATTCAAGCTGGATGAATGTTCGGACCTATCAAAGCAGCGTCGCGGTCCTTTCTTCTACTCGTGACGACGTTCACGCGGTCGGCGTCTGTAATGAAAAGATCTGGTCGGGCAAGGGGTTCGAAGACACCACCTGCTGCGGGACGGTAGAGAACAGTGCCATCTATATGTCGCTCGCGCATGTGATTCAAATTCACAGCATAAACAATCGTCCCAGCGGAAGGTGATCTTATTTTCCATATGGTTCCACCCAACGTGTGCCCCGCTGCGAATGGCGTGATGGTCAGACCTTGACACTTTCCTGAAAGTTGGGAATATCAATATTTCGCCCATAATTGATTCATAATTAAACGTTACCTTGTAGATGGGTAGGCTGAGAATATCTGAGAGTGTTTACCGCGTCAAATGCTTCATGTACCTCTTGAACGGTAGCGACAAATTTCTTGGGCTCATTCTTCGACTTTGGCGAACTTGGTTCTAAACTCTCTGCCCCTTCTGCAACCGTAGACTCGCTGTTTTCCTCCTCCACAACGTCAACTTCTTGTTCATCTCGAATTCCCTCCACATCTTCCATTGTTGCAATGCGAGCCATTGCCTGGACTGGAAGTGTAGTATAGCATGGGGCTCTGAGATCCCAATGACAGTATGCATAGGCGTACAAGCCGGAATGTGCAAGGTCACCATGAGATATCAGAACCAAGTCGATCTCTGGAGCATACCTGGGTGGCATTAGATAGTGCAGGTTGCATTTTAGCTATCACTCACTTTCTCACTATATGACAGTACTCTTCCCAATGATAAGTCACTCCATCCCCGAACTCGGATTGTGTTTCGATATTCTCGGGGTTCCAGTCAGGTGATCCACAATCGAGGAGAATACGAATATCGTCAACCTGTAGCAAGTACGCAAGTGGAACAGTTCGAGATGACCGGGCTGCACCAGAAAGAGGTGTGAATGTGATCATTTGGTATACAGTCCAATGTCACTTTTAGTGTACTTGTTGGGTGGTGCACCGGTGAGGGCTTAGTGAAGCGGCCGACCAAATAGGAAGTTCTGTGAGCGTCTAAAGGCTTTGCTCAACAACGTCCAAACAACGATGAGTGCAGCGAGACCGTTCTTCATCATGATGGAGTCCGACCCCGGATGGTTATCAGTTGGCATTAAGCTATGGCAGCTCAGGTGTCGCCAGCCCACAACCAGGTCCAGATCATTTGCGCAAATTCAGTTCTCGATTGGGTGCCCACTACCGTAACCCAGTGCCCAAACAAAAATATCAGTATATTCTGGCAATAATCGCATACTGCGACTGAAGACTAGCATTATTCAGGAGGCTGTTTATATGTCGTTGCAGGTACTCTTGATTTCGTCCTCTTGTCTATGTACTTCACGCAACATGAACAACTCAGTAGCTGCATAACTTAGTGACTCAGGACTGGCACATGACCGCTGTTGAGACTACTCCATCGACCTCGACCGTCTTCCTTAGCAATGAAAGATGCCGCCATGGCCAAAGCTTTCAGGCTTATTTTTGCTCAGGCTTGGTTTACTTATATCCCTGACGTCATTGGGTTGCAGTGATGGCGATGAATCTTCAAGCTTCATGCACATGGCTGACTCGGACTCGTGGGCGTGGTAAGGGGGTGCGCACTGCGTTACGACTACTCAGTGTCTGCCCCTTACCCTCTGGCTTGCTCTTTGTACGACAATGACAGTCTCTACATTCTCAGCGGCAGTGCATATCACTCCAAGTGCGTTGGACCGTCTTCTCTGACCCGTGCAGTCCTTGATGTATATCTAGCTGTTATCAAGACCCTTTATACCCACGGAAAACGGAAATCAAGGAAGCTGAAGGACAAAGATGGGCAACAAGAGGCCACCGATGACATTTTCTTTGATGAGTACGTCTCATTGTAGTCAACATTATCATTCATTGATGTATTCCAGAGCGTTTCACATCGTTAAATCCTTCATTCTTCTGGGCACAAAGAATACCGTGGAATCTCTCCAAGCATTGTAAGGTGCAATTAATGTTTACCGGGTCCTTCATTCACCGTGATCCTCCGTGATCAGCACAAATACTCATGTACCTGCTCCGCCTTGGACCGCTGTTGCCCCTGTGCGCGTCCCGCTGCATTCATGCAACCAGGCGGCAGACCTCCTGACACAATGGTTTGGGCCCGAAGACCTTAAACGCGTTGTCGGAGGTGAAAAGTGGTGGCAAGTGCGTGGTTTAGACGGGATTGATGCTGAGTGGATTGCCGAGAAGTCATATTTGCGGCCTGAAAGTGTTCACATAGATGCTGGGAGGGAGTACAGTGAAGAGGAAAAACTTGTAATATCGATGGAGCATTTAGAGACCACCATGGTGAGTTTACCGGTCTTTATTTGTATACTTTCTGACTCCCGTAACAAAGCTTTACATTCATGGAGGTGGATACTTTTGGGGCTCAATCAGTGAGCAGCAATCCGCTTTGTACATACCTCCTGACTTAACCTGGTCTTTAGATACCCATCGTTATCAAATCATCAAATACGGTACGTTTCTGCCATCTTTACTTATCCTCTCCAAGCACGTAAAATTGGGGGGCGGGCGTTTAGCGTCAATTACCGGTGAGGTTCGACACCTTTATAGTGTTCATTTTATATGGTCTTTCTTTCCAGAAAGGCTCCACAATACCCATGGCCATGCCCTCTACACGACGTCCTCGCAGCATGTGAGTTGATCATTATTTAGCTCTGAAATCGAAACTGTGAAGACCGAGTTTTTCCTATATAAAGATCTCTACTTGATTCAGCCACCCCCTGGCGCTGTCCATAAACCCATTCCTGCTTCAAAAATCGTCCTCGCTGGCGATTCAGCAGGTGGCGCATTATGTCTCACAATGCTCACTGTACTGCGGGATTTGGGTCAACCGTTGCCGGCGGGAGCAGTACTCATCAGTCCGTGGGTAGATTTGACACACAGCTTTCCTAGTATTCATACGAATACGGCCACGGTGAGTTTTGAGTATGGCGCAGGATCTTCGTTTCTGATTCGGCTGGCAGGATATCATACCTCCTCATGGGTTCATCAACAAACCCTCTGTGTTGTGGCCAGTGGATCCAATCAAGGAAGGGGGGCGCGTTAGTCGCGCACGTTCCGATCCACAGCCGAAGCTATGTCATACGCACACTCCTTGTGCTGATAGAAATGTTGCAACAGACACTGCCCAGGTTCCTCCCAATGATACTGAGAAGCTCGGTGATTGTATGCCTGCTGGTTCCAAGCAGGAAACATCAAGTAGCCCCGCGTCAGGCGTTCCCGTGAAATCTCAGGAGAGAGCTCCGGTTCTCGATCGAGGGAAGGATTATATCGCTGGCAGAAGACACGAGCGAGACCAGGACAAAAACAGAAACCGAACTTATACGATGCTTATGGATGATCTTGCCGGAAACACTGGGCACAGACCTGGCTTGGATTCAATCCCTAATCTAGATGACATTGAATATTGGCAGCCCAACCCCCCGAAGGTGCTCATGAAAAATCCTGGAGATGTTCCGTTGGAAGTACGGTCACAGATCCAGCACTATGCTACCACAGAGTGAGGCACCTCTCCATTCAGTTCTTACATTTGTTGATGGTCATTATCCGCGAAGGCAATTGTCGCATCCGCTAGTCTCACCGGTTCTTCAAGCTTCGTTAGGCAACCTCTGCCCGCTGTACATTTTAGCAGGCGATGGGGAAGTGCTTCGCGACGAAATCATATATCTAGCGCATAAGGCGGCCAACCCAGCTGAGTACCCTGTACGAGAGGGTGTCCTCAGAGACGGATCGAGGCAGAAAGAGAATGCGCGTAAATTTTCTGCGCCCACTAAGGTCCATCTCCAGGTGTATGATGGTACGTCACTCCTCTCCCTCATGACCCTCTGTTGAACCGAGGACTCCAGGAATGTGTCATGTTTTGACAGTCTTCAGCTTCACGAGCAGTGTGAGATAGCTATGATCTTATGTCCCAATTGCTGACGAGCCGAATAGGCAGACTATGCTTATCATTCTATTGCGGAATTTGCGAAACATGTCACTCAATGTTCGGCAGAGCACCTTGACAGAAATCCGTTTCCTGACTCGCGTCGACCATTAACGGAACCCAAGCCCAAGACATGCTCCGTTGACAAAGCGTTGATGAGAAAAGATTCAGCGAAGGAGAAGTTCAAGTCCTCGCCGCAACTCTTACCTATAGCTTTGGGGCACTCACCAGAATCTGCGGAAGAGTCGCGCATCCTCGTTCACGTGGAGAATGAAGGGCAAACAACACAAGAAGTCGAACCCGGGGAGGTCAAGCGGCAAACACCAGGACCTGATGCACCGTTGCACGCCATGAGTGACTGTTCGGTGAGAAGTTGCTCGGCGGCTTTCCTATCGCTCAAATACTCACTTTTGACAGGGAGACACGCTAATGATTCGCGAGCGCGTGGATATCCATGGTCGAGTTCGCTCTATGGAGCCGAAAGAGGCTATTCCAGCTCTGCAGCTTAGACCATCAGAGATTGGCATTATTAAGGAAGAGACTCTTTTCAAGTGGCTGGAAGGCCAAGAGGAGTGGGACAGGCGTTTCAAGTACCGCGCAACCAAGGTAATGAAGAAAAGGAAGGCTTTCGAAGCGATGTCCAACTCGATTATTAAGAACGCAAGGCAACGGGGCCTCCTACTGGCGGGAGAGAGCAATGATCTTGTTGAGAGGCTGACAGTTGGGGGATCGAGTTCTGCACATGGGCTCATTCAAGAGGATCGAAGATGGGGGCCGCTAGACCTGGGGGACGAGCGGCCGCCACCTACAGCGATTGCTGCGAGACGAGACACGGTGAGTAAGCTTTGTTACTTGAATCTTGGTTTTTATTGAACATCTATAGCGAGAAGCGCTTGCTCTGCTTAAGAAGAGCATTTACCACACGGCGCCGGCCACACACAAGACTATTCCGAGAGTGAAAACAGTTATCCCCGCCGCTTTTAATCCCAATGATGCCCCATTCCGACCACCTAGACAGTCGGTCTCAGAGCAGCAGGTACACAGTGGTATGCGGTACATTCACGGACTGAGGATGTGGCAGTCCATTGTGAGGTAAGATGACATTCGGTTTCCCGCATGTCAGCACTCTAATCAAGCTTTAGCTACGTTGCGCGCAAGGCTGCTGTGAAAGTCGTGGAGGACACGCGACGCGTAGGAAATGGACTTATGGAGGTTGGAGATAAGGCTGCTAGCACTGTGAAGGACACAGTAGGCAGTGGAGAGGAGTGCAGGGTTGATGATCGCGTTGAGTAATAGGGACAACACATGTTCACCAATCTCCCATAGAGAACCGTTCTACTAAGTACTTATGGGGAGGCGTGAGAAGGCTTGGCTTAAGTAAGCGCCATGTGTTTGTCGCACTTTTAACCCTGCGCCCTTTGATCTGGACCATCACCCCATCCTCGCCCCCGTCCAAACCAGTAAGCTTTTTTCGACGCGTCTTTCCGTGTCGCATGATGCTGATATACCCTCCTCCTACTTTTTAGCTAAAATCATCCAGAAATAATGCGTGAAGTCATCTCTGTCCACGTCGGCCAAGCCGGTGTTCAAATCGGAAATGCCTGTTGTAAGTGTCCTGTCACTTTGGTCATGTGCAATCGCCTTTGTTATTTTTATTTCAACATTCGACGCGTGTTAGACGCATGCAATTCGCCGCGATTTGACCCTATGAAATTTTGATTGTTGATTATGTATCATTGCAGGGGAGTTGTACACCGTTGAACACGGACTCAGCGTAACTATCTTTCATGGATTCTGCGCGTATTTACTCAATTTATTATTATAGCCTGACGGTCGTCTGGTCGAAGGATCCCCTTCTGCCAACGATGGTGGCTTCAGTACTTTCTTCTCGGAGACGTCCTCGGGCAAGCACGTTCCGCGGTCACTCTACATCGACCTGGAACCGAATGTGATCGATGAGGTCAGAACGGGTACTTACAGGAGTCTCTTCCACCCAGAGACCCTCGTCACTGGCAAAGAAGATGCCGCCAGCAACTGTGAGTCCTTCATCGCCGTCGATTTGAAATGCAGTTCCCTATATTTGGTGTGTCCTAGACGCCCGTGGTCACTACACTATCGGCAAGGAACAGATCGATGTGGTTATGGACAAGGTTCGCCGTCTTTCAGACAACTGCAACGGTCTGCAAGGCTTCTTCGTTTTCCACTCGTTCGGTGGTGGAACGGGATCTGGTTTTGGTGCTCTTATCTTGGAGCGTCTGTCAACCGACTACGGTAAAAAGTCAAAGCTCGAGTTCAGCGTGTACCCCGCTCCAACAATGGCTAACTCTGTGGTTGAACCTTACAACTCGGTGTTGACGACGCACACGACCCTGGAGCACTCCGATTGTTCATTCATGGTGAGTTTACGTGGTTCTTGCAGTACAAATTTCTTACCCTGGGTTTATAGGTGGACAACGAGGCAATTTACGACATCTGCAAGAAGAACCTTAACATCTCGTCTCCTGGCTTCACGAACTTGAACCGATTGATCGCACAAGTTGTTTCGTCCATAACGGCATCTCTGCGCTTTGATGGCTCCTTGAACGTTGATTTGAACGAGTTCCAGACCAATCTTGTTCCGTGAGTTCAGTTCATGCTAGTATCGTAAGTTCACATTTAATCCCCCATTCAGTTTCCCGCGCATCCATTTCCCTCTTGCCACCTTTGCACCTATCATTTCAGCGGAGAAGGCACACCATGAGCAGAATTCTGTTGCCGACATGACCTTCTCGTGCTTTGAAACGGGAAGCCAGATGGTCAAGTGCGATCCCAGGGAGGGCAAATACAGTAAGAGGCGCCATTAATTGCGGGTCGTATTTTACTCATGCGGCCACAGTGGCCTGTGCTCTCCTATACCGTGGTGATGTCGTGCCTAAGGATGTCAACGCAGCTGTCAGTGTTATCAAAACGAGGCGTACGATTCAGTTTGTTGACTGGTGTCCCACCGGATTCAAACTTGGTATCTGCAATGAGCCACCTGCTCACATCCCTGGCGGCGACCTTGCCAAAGTCTCTCGTAGCATGTGCATGTTGTCAAACACCACTGCCATCTCAACCGCGTGGAGTCGTCTCGACCACAAGTTCGACCTTCTGTACTCGAAACGCGCCTTTGTGCACTGGTATGTTGGCGAAGGTATGGAGGAGGGTGAGTTCTCGGAAGCTCGCGAGGACCTTGCTGCCCTCGAAAAAGACTATGAAGAAGTTGGCATTGACTCGGCTGATGTTGAGGAAGCTGGCGAGTACTAGATGCACGTAATCCTCCTGTCGTCCTCGTTCTCCGCAGTTCATTCCCGCATAATTTCTTTACCATTACCATTACCATTGCCATCACGATTTACGTATAACGTCCATTATATCCCGCTTATCCTCAGAGGTTTTTACGCACTTTACTTGGAACATGAAATTACGGATCTCTTTTATCAGTCTATTCGGAACCCAGGGATGTAATGCACGAAGCCTATCAAGCGCCGGAGGGTCCGTGTCGTCTCCAGGATATTTCCAAATTGAGAAATTCTTTCCAAGAAATTTTGATGACTTGAAGCGGAAACATTTGAGCTCAGTAACTTCTGTTCCCTCCCGCCACGACAAACCGGTATACCAGTTATCAGCTCTTTTTTACGATTCATCATGCGCGAAGTCATTTCTCTTCATGTTGGTCAGGCTGGTGTTCAGATTGGCAATGCCTGCTGTGAGTGCCATTTGCGCGTAACAAGGATCGTCTTAACTTTCGACCAGGGGAGTTGTACACCCTGGAACACGGCTTGAGCGTACGTTCGCGTCATGTCGCAAGTACAGTATTATTGTCTAACATCTCACATAGCCCGACGGTCGCGTCCTTGATGAAGCTCACAAGACTGACGCAGGGTTCTCCACGTTCTTCTCCGAGACTGGTTCAGGGAAACATGTTCCTCGCTCTCTTTATATTGATTTGGAACCCGGAGTCGTGGATGAGGTCAAGACCGGTCCTTACAGATCTCTCTTCCACCCCGAGACCATGATCACAGGCAAGGAGGATGCAGCGAACAACTGTAGGTCACAGATCAAGTCACATATCAACCATGGGTAACTCATGGGCTTTGCGCATGTAGATGCTCGTGGCCATTACACAGTCGGAAAGGAGTTGATCGATCCAGTCATGGATAAGATTCGTCGCTTGGCTGACAACTGCTCAGGATTGCAAGGATTCTTCGTGTTCCACTCGTTTGGCGGAGGCACTGGATCTGGTTTCGGTGCCCTCCTCTTGGAACGTCTTTCAACTGATTATGGCAAAAAGTCCAAGCTCGAGTTCTGCGTTTACCCTGCACCCCAATTGTCGAGTTCGATAGTTGAGCCCTACAACTCAATTCTGACCACCCACACGACTCTTGAACATTCTGATTGTTCGTTCATGGTCTGTCTTCTCATTCATCTTCTGTGCTTCTGTACTCACTGGACTATGCAGGTTGACAACGAGGCTATCTATGATATCTGCAAGAAAAACCTTGGTGTCTCTCAGCCCGGCTTCACCAATCTTAACCGCTTGATTGCTCAAGTTGTATCGTCGATCACTGCTTCGCTCCGCTTCGATGGTTCATTGAACGTTGACCTAAACGAGTTCCAAACCAACCTTGTTCCGTGAGTACCATCGCATTTTCCATGCCATAAACAAGTTGTTGAACAGTCACAGCTTCCCTCGTATCCATTTCCCATTAGCAACATATGCCCCACTTCTGTCCGCTGAGAAGGCCACCCATGAGCAAAACTCTGTCAGCGAAATGACCTTCTCTTGCTTTGAGACCGGACACCAAATGGTATGATCACGCCGTCCTTCGAGTCATAATTTGCTCACGTGATTTCAGGTGAAATGCGACCCCAAAGATGGAAAATACAGTACGTGTTGTTATGACCTTTTTACGTGCCTATCTTATATTCGAATAGTGGCTTGCGCTCTACTTTACCGTGGTGACGTCGTGCCAAAGGACGTCCAATCTGCTGTTGCCAGCATCAAGACCAAGCGAACCATCCAGTTCGTCGATTGGTGCCCGACTGGCTTCAAGGTGTGTATCTAGCCTGGGTTTGACAGACTCGACTCATAATCCTCCTTAGCTGGGCATTTGCAATGAGCCTGCCGCTACGGTCCCAGGTGGTGACCTTGCCAAGAATACCCGAAGTCTCTGCATGCTTTCAAAGTGGGATGATTCGCTTTATTGCATAGATCGCTACTCATTTCTTTTCGTATAGCACGACGGCCATCTCTGTCGCCTGGAGTCGGCTAGGTAATCCCTTTCAACACTCTGTTCGAGTGGAGCATTAACAATGGTTTTCAGATTACAAATTTGACCTGATGTACTCCAAGCGTGCATTCGTTCACTGGTATGTTGGTGAGGGTATGGAGGAGGTATGTATATTGTTCAACATGTCCTCGGCTTATTCACACTTCGTTGCAGGGTGAGTTCTCGGAGGCTCGTGAGGATTTGGCAGCGCTGGAGAAGGACTACGAAGAAGTTGGTACAGACTCTGCAGATGTTGAAGAGGAGGGTGAATATTAGTTGGTCTATTATTCTGGAAAAGTCGACCACATATCCCCGTTCTTAATACTTTCACTTTTCTTGTTGCAATGTTTCCCTCGCTTTCGCCTGTCTTCCTGATATTTTTTTCTGTCCTTTTATCCGGGACACCCTTCCATCCAAAGGATCTAACATATCATCATATTTGCTATTTGGATCAGTTCAGTTCGCATATTTGATGGTACATGAATTTCTACATGGGTGGAAAGCGTATACGTAGAGGACCACGAAGAATCCGAATTAAAAGTGTAAAGGCTCTCTCGGCCGACGCCAGATTTTGGTATACACGAGTCGCATAGTTCAGTTGCAGGGAGCTCGATGGGTGTACATCTAACTGCGACCATGAGCCCCAGCGTTAGTCATCGTGCGGTCTTTAGACTGGAGGTGTAGGTCAACACGCTGCAAGCGCCATCGTGGAGGTCTCCTCAGTCTGCCATGAAACCAGCACGAGTAATAACATAAGAATGCCGAGCATCAATGTACGTCTGGGAGCGAATATCAGACGACTCAGGTAATTGGTCGTTTGCCGTCGTGCTCTCCAACACACCAGACTGCTCTCTATGCGAATGTCGGGCGTCGTTGACTTTCTTGTATTCCGGCAGTTTGGCGGCAGCAAGACGCTGTAGGGCGTCGATGAGCAAAAAAATGGGTAAGAGGTGTAGGAAGAACCGCATTACAGTGAATTTACGTCCGGCTGCGAGTTCAACGACATGTGGCTCTTGGCTGGGTCTTGAGCTACGGAAGCAAAGGCGCCGTCGCAGGAATTGCGAGACTCCGTTCCATTGTCGTAAACGGGCTGTGCTTCAAGTTATTGCAACTGCTTGCGAAAGGGTAGACGATTGACAATGTCCTCGACGCGGGAGTGCCGTGCGGGGTGCTGTGAACCTCCATTCGTGGATCGACTGGGTGGATAAGTTCTTTCGACCTGTACATGCCAATATTATTCAGTTATGGATTGAGTTGATTGAACGTGACGACTGACATCATCAAAGAACCCGCGCGGGATTCCAGCACGTTCTGGTCGCGACTTGCGGGAGCGAAATTAGGGACAGTGCAAAAAGACGAGTGTGAACACTGAGGGCATACAATTGGTATAAATGGACGAGCGGGGCGGCGGTCATCCTGTATGTCGTCAATAGGTCAGTATAGACGAGGGTACATGTGAGAGATAAAGGAACCTTTGCGGACTGTACAACAGGTTAGCATTGACATAACATGACGGGGATGATTTGCTCACCTGTTCGAACTCCTTATCTGAATCGCTCCGAGGAACTGTCCATATGCGAACAAGCGCGTCGTCACAGCCAGTTGCGACTATCCTTAGAAAAAGCTACGCAGTAGACGGCATCAGGATGCTCCAATGGCTCGCCAATAGGTTTGAATATCTCCCGTCCGGCATCTGATCACCTGGACGAGCCATCATAGCATACGCGAGGCAACATAGCTGAGCACAGTTGTGCCGTGCGGACACAAGACGCAGAGCGTGCAAGTGAATTCTGGCATGTGAGGTGAGTACGTTGTGCTTCCAGTACATTCGTTTGTTCTTTGCCCTGAATCAGAACTTCAGAGGCCTCATGTTTGCCCTGGGCCCATCCCTCGTGTCACCCCGGAACCCTGATTACGCGTCTCTCAGTTCCACGATAGGTTGGAGGTCCTTATCGATGTGCTTCGCAATGACCATCATCTGGGGGGACATTTCCTCAATCGAAGAGAAGCATGACGAATGCAGATATTGCAGCGATATACGCTGCAAGTCAACTGCGTCGCGCCCTTAACCTTCACAACGGAAGGATTTTTTTCGTGTTACTGGTAATGCCGATGAGAACTAGCCCTTTCTCGTCCAGAGTCAAAGTTGCATGCCGACCGAACAGAGTTTATTTCCAGGTCAATTCTGATACGCTCTAAGGTATACCGCAGCTGAGTTTGAACATGAATGATGTGGCGTTGATAGTAATGAGGAAATGAGAGCAATGGTGACTCTAGCATCACGCTGCCTGGCGCTCCAACTGAGCTAATCGTGCTCGCATTCGGTCCATTTCTGCCTGGTTTTCAGCCATAGCCTGCAGGAATTGATGAGTAAATAGTGTAATGACTCGAAATTCTGGAAAGAAGCTCACCCGCTGTGTCCTCGCCACTTCTTCTTTTTGCCTCACCACTTCCTCTGCATTCCTTGCCGCTTCCTCTGCATTCCTCGCCGATTCCTCTGCATTCCTCGCCGCTTCTGCTAGCGCTTGCTCGATCTCTGTTTGACATTGAGCTCGTTCCTCAGCCCGACCTTCCATCCGCAACTGTGAAAATAGATGGGTAAATAGTGCAACTGATTCTCGAAGGAACCTCACCTGCCGAACTTCATCCTCCTTTGCTTTTCTCCTCTCTTCTGCCGCATTCTCGATGCCCGCCCACCTGATGCGATATTGCTCGCATACCACGTCCACACTGTCTGCTTTCTCGATCTTGAGCCCGTGATAACTAGAGCGCCCCTGACATCGCGTTGTCTCCTTGCAACCCGGGAAGAGTTTTTTGAGTGCCTCCCAGACAGTATGGGCGTACCAATAGCATTGATATTGGTAGAGGTCGTATAGTGGAGAATGCTTGCTGAGAGCGGACAAGAGCGCGGATACTTGAATTGCGGATGGGCGAGCGGAGGCAGAGAATTCGAGATCAATTAGGTTCTTGTATGAACCATAAGTATCGTCTAGGTATGATGGGATGGCAGAACCCTCGTTACGGGTCGTAAAGACGGAATCGTGGGCGGAGGTTGGATAAACTGATGGCGAGACTATGGATGATGACTGCCTATTCTGTCTTGATGAGCCACCATTGTTGTTCTGTGTATCATCTGTGCATGGCGTGCGGTCTAAAACCAAGATCGAGACGGCGTGCTGTTGGATGGGATGACGAAAATAGAGGAGCAGAAATTCATGCTGTTTGCCTTCGGTGCATTTACAGTAGACCATTTTGTCAAGCTGGCACTGAGAGGAAAGATCGCTGTTCGAGACGATCACATGCCATGTTTCTACTTCATTCTTACTACCGCCTGCGGTGAACACGCCAGGAGCGTCGGAAGGAATTGCCATGAAAAGACGGGAAATAGCTGCAAGGAAACCACGAATGCTGAAACGATTCGTTCCGTACTTGAAGCCTTTGAAGCCCATTGCAAGTTGACAAGGGTTTGACAAGGGTTTGAACACGAGGCAAGCAGTGGCTTATCTTCAAGACAGGAACGTGGTCACCCCGACATCTTCTGCTCCTTCTGGTTCTTGCAATCATCTCATTGCTCCCGGGTGCGCTCATCAACATCTTGACTTTGACCCCGATGCCCATCCTATCCCCAAAGTCCCTGGCCCCTACCCAATTTCATATGTCCTCCTCCGCTTCCGCTCCCTCTCTGATCATCTCGCAGCCATCTAGCACGACACATAACCGCCGTTGTCGCGCAATGCAACACGCGTCGGGAACTCCCAAATATATAGACGTTTGCGGTCGGATACGTTCCACGGATGCAGAAGAGAGAAGAAGACTTGATTGTGTTGCCGGTTACACCCTCCAGCATCCCCGCCAGAGTCGAACTCGACCTCGCACGTTTGAACGGATGCACAGGGCCTTCATTGACCTTCAACGCTCGGATGTTCTGTTTTCGTAGATTAATATTCATCCTTGAACCCTTTAATGCTCGACGTTTCGCCTGATAACCACTCTCCACCACATATCTCACAGCTGGTGCATACCACTTCATTGTACAGGTATCTACAGCATCTTTCCTCCACGCGTATTTTGACTACTTCCTTCTGTCAGTCTACCGAGGAGACTACATTGTACACAGGATGCATGTATAGGGACCCACAGAAGTCCCAGTGAATTTCATTGTAGGTGAAATCAGCCGCGTTCGGATCACAATTGCATGGAAAGAACTCATGGCATTGGTCAAACAGAGATATGCACGAGTAGACAACTTCCGACGTCGACGTTTGCAATTTGCACTGATATCCATATACATGCAAGTTGGAGAAAGTCCTATGTCTGAGGTCCTATCGAGAACACCCGCGGTGGTGGTAGGCGAAAGGCTGCATGGTCTTCGTGAATGCGGGATCCCATTGAATCTTCCCGAGTCAGAGGGAGAGTAACATGTTCTGCCAGTGCCTTGCTATAGACGCGCGGGTTTCATCCTTGCTGAAGCGCTGACAGCCTCGTGGCAGATTCTACTTTGATGCTTCTCGACGACTTGTGCGGGCGTTCGCTAAGAAGCGTTTGCGTGAATGATTATCAATGCCAATCGGTACTCTTGAGGGTGAGGAGACAAGTTCACTGTTCCTGCCGGGGCCCCATAGTTCCATTGGCATGCCCTGTGTGTTTTTGGTTGAATGTTGTATGATTACTCTATTTCGTCGAATCATCTAATCTATGTTGACAACGACATCTACGCCACCATTTGCCCCCATCTTCATTGACACACTACGACGGCAGATATGAATACGCAATTGATGCTCGACAGTTGCCGCGCACCTTGACAAGTTTTCAACTAAATATGTCGGATGTTTGGCTTCCATTTGTTCCTTGGTGTGCGACGTGATCAATCCAATCACAGCACATCCAGCGGCAAGACCACTTGCAACGCCTGACGGAGCATCTTCTACAACAAGACCTATGGAACGGGTTAATGTCCTCAACATTGTTCCCACACAATCACTGACAGTTTCCCGGCGGGACTCCACATTTGTATGCACCGAGGAGATATGGATCAGGGCTAGTAAAGGTGTTCAGTCAACTCTGAATGGTTCAATGCATGATTCCGCACTAAGGTTTCCCTTGTGTCACATCTTCAGCGGTCACAAAGGCATCAGGGACCGGGATTCCACTAATCTCTAGAGCAGCTGATGCATATGCACGGGTTGCAGATGTAACGATGGCCCAACATGGCTTGGGATTGTTCTTGCCGGGAACGAGCTTTGTAGGATAATGATTAGCAATTAAGCACACTGACAGCAGTATGAGATGAGATGTAATTCACTTCATCCATGATAGAACGAACTCCAGACAAAAGGGTGATACCGTTTCTACCATTAGCTTTGGAGGAGGTTACGATGGCCTCTTCGAACCGTGCAGCCTCTTTCTGTTGGCAAACATCAGGATTACGCCTGAATCCACTGAGGAATTGACTACCTCGAGCTCCACTGAGGAGGTAATCCCGCAATATTTCTTCAGATTGTCAACAGTCCTGACTCCATGCGAACCTAATTGTGAAGAGAGGCAGCCAGTCAACTGTAATCAGAAGATCCCGCCTGAAAGCTACCCACTGCTCAGGATCTTTTGAACATCTAGGCCGGGATACGTCTCAGCAAACGTCTCCCAGGCTCCGATCACGCCTGCTGTCGAATCTACCAAGGTGCCGTCCATATCAAACAAGCTGCGATACTGTTCAAGTTTCTCTCCTGGACAATTTAACTTGGACTTACACGGCATCCACATGAAAAGTGATAGCACCCATTTTTCTTTGACGGGTAAAACGATAGAGTCTGATAAAGTCCAAGAGATGTCAACGTGTTGTAAGCATGCATCGTGCTGCCGATTTACTGTATTACCACCCTCGAATATCAGATGATGGACCCCGAATTGATTGACCGCGTCCCATTAGTCTCGGCTAGACCTCGGCCGAGCATACCGTGGGGGAGATTATGAAGAATATGGTTTGTTGGCCTGCGGTGGGATGTCCTGGAGTACTTTTGTTATCATCTAGCATTAACTCGATGTCGATATCGCGAACCTGGCGGCCGTCCTGAGATCTTGACTTCACTAGCTTGATATGTTGACTGACATAGAATCTTTTTGGTTAAGTTGCTCTGCAAGACACGACGCGCATACTTGCTCATGGTCGGCGCAGGAGCGACAAAGTTTTCAAACGCCTATGTATGGCCAGCTTTGGGCCAGCTGCCAGGCGGGCAACCGTGACACAGGATAGGCGGAAACGAAAAAAGGATGACACGCAGATTATTAGGCAATGTCTGTCTCGTACATAGTACCCGCACGATCCCCCATATCGTCTTGTCATGTCCAGTAGTACACCTCAAGATTGAACGGTATAAGTGTATTACTCAAGCTGATGTGTGGCCGCTGGACCTGCGTAGGCCATGTCGTGTGTGGGTTCGTGTTGTTTGTATCAGAGGCTGTTGCCAAACAAACACCAGCCTGGCGTCCAAATTAGGACTTAATAGTGTCTTAACTTAGCAGTCGCAGTCGCAACCATGGCTCCTCAAAGGCGTCCACAATATACCCAAGAGAACATCGACCAGCAGCTGCAACAAATACATCTTCTTGATCCGTCATCGTCTTCTGAGAACCTTGAACAACTTGGACCTATCATCAAGCAGATTCATGCGAACCGCCAGCAGGAAGCATACCTGCGTAATGTTCAGGCTCTCATTGCAACAAAGGACAGTGAAATAGAGCAAATATGCACAGACAACTATCAAGAATTCATTTCCTCCGCCTCGACTCTTTTCACAGTCAAGTCATATACTACCAACCTCAGGGACAAGATCACAACTTTGGATGCCAGCGTATCTCAGGTTGGTCGAAGTTTAGTGGAGAAGAAAAGAACTTTGCTGCAGTCCAAGAAGACGGCAGCTAACCTTGATGAAGCAATCGATACCCTGCAAGCTTGTTTAAAAGTCCTGGATGTGGTGAATCGAATCGGTGAATTGATCAAGGAGGGGAAGTATTGGAGTGCTCTGCGGGTATGTAATGCCACCCCTGCCGCCCGTACAGTGTCTAAATGGAACCACTAGTCGTTGGAAGACATACAGAGTCTGCCTTCGAATCCGCTATCTCAGGCACCGTTCTATCAACATCTCTTGTCCTCTCTACCTTCGCTACGGATTCAAATTCAGAATGCGGTGACAGCCTCTATGAAGCAATGGTTACTGGAAATTCGGAATGTCAGTGGGCTAGTTGGCAAACTGGCATTGGAAGCAATGGACTACCGGACGCGCAAGTGGAGATCACGTCGAGAGAAAGACCCAATGCTGAGGTTGAGCCGTGTTGGGAGCGCAGTGGAAATGGTGACCCAAGAGCGGTCGGACAGTGAGTTCTATCCTTACCCCCACGTAAATCAGTCGATAACGTCTTGCTGTCAGCCAATGTTCTTGACAGCGAGAAATTAAAGGTTGATTTCACGCCGCTTTACCAGTGTATACATATCTACACGACGCTGGATTCAATTGACGACCTACGAAGATCATATCAGGCAGATCGTAAAGTGCGGCACTGTTAAGCTTTCTCTTTCTGCCAACTTAATCAAAATTTAGGCGCAATCAGACCTTATTTTACCGGATCCGCTCCCGCTTGCCTCCCTGGTTAGCCTAACTCAGGAAATATGCGGATTTTTTATCATAGAATCACATGTTCTTGAGACAACTGGCAACTTCCGCTCTGAGAGGGAGGTCGAGGAGTTATGGGAAGCGCTAGTTGCGCGTCTTTCCTCAGCTATTGACGCGTCTTTGACATATGAGACAGACCCAGATTCGTTTTTAAGGGTTAAGGAGTGTCTCATTGGATTCGTCACGACGCTGGAGGTGTGTTTCCGAGATTTATTACAAATACAGAAAAGTGACCACTTGACTAGTCCTACTCGTATGCCACCCAGTCACTGCATTCACTTATCCTTACGCTGTTCGAGAAATATGCCGGTCTTCTCGAAGGCCAGTTCAGTCGCAGGTTTGATGGTGTGAGTTATGCAGGGCTTTTCTTTTAGCGATCGCGCTCAAGGTTTACAATCCAGATTGTCCTCCAAGACGACCATCTCCCCATGCAAGTTACGACATCGTCAGAAAGAGATTCTGTGCTTGCAGTCGTATGGTTGGACCCGTCAGAACAAGCCGCTCTTGCAAAGTATGATATCATATTCTTCTTGGAGTAATCTTCTCAGGGTTCCAACTTCCGTAGGAGCGGTCTCCCTCTCAGTCTGCCATGGTCACAAGGTTTCTTCCTGTGCTGCCAAGATGTAATGTGTTCTTGTTTCAACTCCATTTTAAGCTCATTTGTAAATACATACTTGCAGATTCGAAACTTCATCCAGAAGTTTTATCACTTTGTTGATGGAGTGTCACAACATCATGGCAATATCGACGAACTATTGAACAAGGTGGGCATATTGTGGACCATGACGCCATGCGACCAATCAAACTTCATTGGACAGTCACTAGACAAACTGCTTGCAAACCATATCAGCGACAGCATTTCCAAGTGCCTAAATAGCACATCAACGCTTACTCAAGTTGTTCAGATTGTCTCAAATCTCGAACATTTTGAGGTTGCGTGTTCAGAACTGGAACGTTCGCTGACGAGTCTCCGGTAAAGTGTTCGTCATAATCCCTATGTAAACACTCTCAAGCCCCTTCCATCAGGTCAACACAGCGGGGTGGTGCTATTCGGCTGTCCTCTTCCTCTTCTTTCGCCGACAATGTCACCCCTGCCCTCAACCGCGTGACGGGTCTCATCACCTCTAAACTAGATGACTTCTTTGATTTGGCAGAGTATGATTGGACGCCGAAATCCCGCGAGGACGCAGCTAGCATGTACTTATATGAACTTATCAACTGGCTCACAACAATTGTGGACTCTCTCGTCATCAAGGAGATATACAAGGACGAGGCGTATCGAGGAGCAGTTGGATATATCGCTGAGTGCTTAATGGTGAGAAATTGGTTCGTCAGAATGCATCGGGCGCTCATGGCCTTTTGCAACTAGAACTTTATGATCGGGCCTAACGTCCCAGCGATGAACGAGAACGCCATTTCAAATATTTTGGTGGATACAGAGTTCCTGGAAGGGGAGTTAACCCGTATCGGCCGGGGCCATCTCAACTCGGTTTTCGCTGAACTTCGCTCGGTAAAAACATACCCACCCTCCTTCGTGGCTTGACTAACACTGCAAATGCTATAGATGGCGGCGATCGTATTGAACGACGCTGTACAAGACTATTTAGTACCGCAAGTCCGGCAGACAACGTATTCCGTTGTCCGACCCAAGAGACTCCAGACACTCCTTGAGAAGTTAACCAGGTACGGATCGAGTCGGCGCGACGCCCAGTCCCGGGAAAGAGCAGAGAGACGGAGAAAGGAAGCGGATGCCGTAGGGAGGGTATTTCCTGGAGAAAACCGATGATCCATTGTCGCATACTCATTTTATTTCGACATAATGATCCTTGCGGTTTACACGACTTTCTGGTCCACTCTTGAGAGCAGTGTATATCAACCTCTAGGGCTCAAAAATTTACACAAAACATAGGAAAGAAAAATGGGTAATTCAAGAGGGAGTGTACGCGGAGGCAGAGGGAAGAAACAGCAGAACAGACGTATAATTTTCGATATCGTAAGGATCGGGAGACAATGCGCATGCAAGACCCAAGCACGACAGAAAACGACATATCGCTTAAGACCGACGCTTAATGTTGGTTGCCAACCACTCCAGACCCTCGTACAAGCCATCACCAGAAGTGGCACATGCAGCCTACGGCGTCTACTGTCAGCGGATCTGAAGATGGGGGAGATAAACGACGAACCTGGATATACCACGTTCTCTGCCTAAGCGCTTGTAATCCAAGCTTGTCAGTGATCTCAGCGGCATTCATGGCGTTGGGGAGATCTTGCTTGTTTGCGAAAACAAGGAGGAGAGCATCCCGCAGCTCATCTTCGTTCAACATTCTCTGAAGTTCCTCACGAGCCTCCGACACACGTTCCCGATCGTTCGAGTCAACCACGAAGATGATACCTTGCGTGTTCTGGAAATCTGAGGAAATCTAATAAGCTCGTGTTGATGGCATTGATGGAAAGATAGCATACAGTGCCTCCAGAGAGGGCGGATCTTATCTTGTCCTCCGACATCCCACACAGTGAAGGAAATGTTCTTATATTCGACAGTCTCAACGTTGAATCCTGTTACAAAGTTAGAGGAATGTCTTAGGTAAATCGGCACAGCTTACCGATGGTGGGGATGGTAGTTACAATCTCGCCCAGCTTGAGCTTATACAGGATGGTAGTCTTACCAGCGGCGTCAAGACCGACCTGTATCAAAGTTAATAAACTCCATTGTGACTTGAAATCAATTTCCGACCATCAAAATTCCTGCAAGAAAGGTACGATGTCAGTTTCTAGTCGATGTCGGGGATCATAGTGTAGATGGTAGGGACTTACGCATCTCCTTCTTGCCAAAGAGACCAGCAAGGAGACGTGACACCGAGAGACCCATGTTGAGCTAGGAAGGGCAAGGACGTTAATGAGTTGTAAACTGAAGGTCAAGAACAAGTTTGTCGTCGTGTGTGAACCACCCTTTTGAACTCCGCCCGGTGGCGGTCCACTTCTTAGTCTTCCACGTCTGCCGGTTACATATCTCATCACCAACTATTAAACCTACTCAGTCTTGACACGGACCTTGAGGGGACCACGCGACGGACAATGATGTCCTCACCGGACCAAAACTGATAACACTACACTATATTGCGAACATGCTACGAAACCCAATTTACTTTCTCGTACAACCAAACCACATAGAAGCTTAATCTACCAACGACGCTTCTTGAGATTGGTTGCCAACCATTCTAGGCCTTCGTACAGGCCTTCGCCTGAAGTTGCACAAGTAGACTGACGCATATCAGATTCAGCGCAGGGCCGCCATATGGACAAGGAATGCGCACCTGTATGAACCAAGTTCTCTGTCGGAGCGTCCGCAAATCCAGTTTATCGGTGAGTTCACTCGCGTTCATAGCGCCAGGCATGTCCTGCTTATTCGCAAACACGAGCAACAGCGCGTTCTGTAATTCCTCGTTGTTCATCAACACGCGAAGTTCCTCTTTCGCTTCTGGAATGCGATCGCGATCGCTGGAGTCGACCACAAAAATGATGCCCTGCACATTGTTATAGTCTAGACACTGAATGAGAGACCATTGCACGATCGCAGAGTGGATGCCCTACAGTACCGCCAGAGAAGACGAATCTTGTCCTGACCTCCGACGTCCCACACGGTAAACTGGAGTTTCTTGTACTCGACAGTCTCTACGTTAAATCCTGCATTTGGGCGTTAAATAAGCAGGGTGGGTCACGCTAATTCGTTTACCTATTGTAGGAACGGTCGTGACGACCTCGCCGAGCTTCAGCTTGTAGAGGATCGTTGTTTTCCCCGCAGCGTCGAGTCCAAGCTATCGATCGCGTGAGTACCAGTCTCGACATCATCTTGCTCAGGACAATACCATCAGTAGTCCTGTGAGACGTGTTAGGTGGCCCATTTCAATTGAAACTCTGACTGGCGCTTACTCGTCTCCTGTCGGGTGAATAACCCTGAAAAAATGTGAGAAATAGCAAGTCCCATGTTGCTCCAAGTTGCTTGGAAGAGTTTCTACGGTGTGATCTAATCGTCTGGCCATGAGACGCGCCTTTTATTGAGTATTCAAGTCTCGCGACACGTTCGAGGGAGTGTTCAATACGTGTCCCCGGTGGACTGCTACGCTTCCGCGAATAACTTTGTTCATGACTCCGACTTCTGGCAGCTGCGCAGTGCGAGGGAGTATTTGATACCAGTCATTTATAACGGTGCCTCTAGTTTTGCACTGCTTTGTGACACGCCGAGACTCACGGTTCTCCTGGATTTAACGCTGCTAGAGCCTCTGGTTTTGAACGGCTTTCCATAATCTTCCTCGACCTGAGGTCGAGCATTCCGAGTGTGGCAGCTTTCTACTGTGTAGGACCGACTGGACCGACTTATCACAGATTCATGATGAGATTAGCTTTAATCACAGCCTCAGATTAAGATCTAGCGCTAATAGCCACACGACAAAGTCATCTAACTTACTCGATTGGAGTTGCCGGTCTTTGTGGTCGTGGCAGGTCTGAACACATGATGGCAAACGGTATTCCATTGACAAGGACAAGGACAAAAGGCGGGGTAATCTGTGGCTGACGTAAGACTCGGAGATCTAGCAATGCGAGAGCGATGGAAAAACATGATACAAAGTAAAGCCGAGCTGCACGAAAAAACATGATGATGATACAAGGAAAGATGCCGAAAGATATGTTGTACAACAAAAGAAACGATGCACTGTGTTCTATAGAAGTACGATGATATTGTCTAATGATCCGACTGGGAAGGTATGCAATTGAGTGGCTTGGGGAACAGCTCACTTGTCCAGGTATGCCGCCATCTCAATTGAACGACAACCCAGTTTCTTAACTGCCTTGTAGGGCGCTGTTGACCCTCTGTCGCCACGAGCGGTAAATTCCGCAGGATGGGCTGGGAGCGTATCTGCAGAGTTCAAAAAGAACTAACTGCTCTTGGAAACCAGCGTTGAACCAGACTTGTTCGCGAGCTAATTCAGGCCGGTGAGTCCCATAGTAATCTCTTAAAAATAGAGTGGAACCGACCTTTTCTAACTGTGTCCATGGCACGTGTCGCGTCTATGCGTTTCGTGTACATGACTAGGAGAAAGGTTCAGCTAGGCCGCCACTGAGGTTTTTGAGCAGGAAGACGACTAACGGTATGCCGCGACTACTGCCGCACTACGAGATAAACCCTGTAGGCAGTGTACCAACACTATTCCTCGGGCTTGTATGGCTCGATCAATGAACTGGCACACAGCGGGCATGTGTATGAGGAGATCGGCAGTGTCGACATCCTCTACAGGAATTCGGAGAAAGGTAATTCCACTTTCGGGCAGCTCAGAGGGGATAGGGTCGTTGCAAACGGAGACGATATGAGAAATATTGCGCTCCGATAACGACCGCGGTGATCTTGCTGCATGGATACTAGATAAAGAAATCAAATATAAGTGTCTGGACTATACTTTATCCCGGATCCGTGGCATACTTACTTTCCAAGATACAATTTGCCCTCGATGATCGTGTCGACGTTCTTCCAACCCATGTTGCTTAGTTGTTTTGTTTTGGAAAACCTGCGAGAATGTCTAAAGTCCTGCTCAGAGTCATTGTTGGTTTTGTACCTCCTCGCACATGGTGTATTCTGCCTTCCGACCACGGCTCGGAGGTTGGAGTAGCCGTGTTTGTGGTCACCATGGTTCAGTGTTCTGTGAGGTAGAAACATGGCGGTGTGGTAAACGGCTCCATCACGGCCAATTTCTAGCGGGAGACGAAAGAGAGAAGAAAGCGATGCAATGGAGAAGACAATTTCACTAGACTTCTGAAAAGCGCATTCACCGCCACCTAGGGCATGACGCTGAAAACACACTATATTTTTGAGATCACTATTAACGAGACGGATGTAACTAATTGGCTTACGTCATGTCCGGGGGCACCCCTCCCCAGTAATCCTGTGCTCTTCCGTCGTGCGATCTTTCTTCTCGCAAGCTAAAAGCAACGTGGGATGCTGTAAATTAGCCAAATGAGGCAAGTGTGAGGCCTCATACGGAGATAGGCTAGTAAGTCCGCGAACATGCCATGTTGGTCCGGGTATTGCAGTTTCCCGAATCGCCCAACCACCCAAGCTTAGAGGGTGGCAGGTCAACTGACTCTAGGTGTCGGTGCAGAATGCAGTACTAGCAACGAAGGCTGTCTTAGAACGACGTCATCGATGGGCACGGTGATGAATGTGTATTCACCATCTATAATGATCATCATGAGCTCTGAGCTCGGGGATCACGCTTAATCGCCTGAAAAAAATCAATATGCAAACATGCAAAGTTCGAGGCCTCGCGATCAGAGCGAATTATGTTGATAGAAGACGCTATGAAAGCGGAACATGCAATAGAAAGATTGATAGGCACCGGGAACTGGACGTACCTAAAGCCGCAGGCTACGTTTTCGAAAATTGGTGCTCTAACTCGAAAACAAGAAACTTGTGTTTGTCTCACGCTGGAAAGTGGTCCCTGTTCCGCTTGGCCGAGATGACAGCAGGTACGGATAACATTACGGACCGTTGGTTGCATGGTGTCACCAGGTTGTCACTCCAAGTTGGTACGCTTAAGTGCTAATAAACGAGTTGATTGCCCCGAGGGTGCCACGTGATCTAAGGACACCTGATCTGACGGCGTCTCATATCAACAGCGCCTCCCCCGTGCACGTTTCTTAGCATCGACATACTTAGTTCAACTCGAAATTAATACTGGCGTGGACCGTGGAGCGTGGCGGCGTGGCTACCGTAGCCATCCCTAAGGGGTGCCTTTACCACGTTCCGGTGGCCGCATCGCCGAATGGCATGTTTTTGGACCTAATTACTAAAAAGCTGCCAGCAGGCCTCCTGCAGCCTGCCAGTGCCAACATAACAGTTATTAAGCATTTCCGGCGGCCAGAATGTCAAAATTTTCCCCATATCACTATCCTAATCATACTATCTCTGCGATGAAGTTCGAGATCGAGTGGAACACACCAGTGAGCTTGTCTAACCAAATTCTTCTTGTCTGTGAATCTAACGACCAGCAAAGCACTACTACCACTCCGATGGTCGTCGCCGGAGCAGACCCAAGGCTTCGACCTTGCACGGATGGCTAGTCAAATGGCGCGCCACATTTAGTGGAAATGAGCGCCTTCGACGAGAAGGCATGCGCGAAATGCGCGAAGCTAAAGCCATGCGGGAGTACCTTCGACAGCAGAAAGTCGCTAAGAGAGCCAAGAATGGTCAGGCGAAGTCGGGACTACTTTCGATGTTCGGCTTTGGGAAAGCAAAGAAAACGCGGACTCTGAGTCAGAGATCCGGCACGCTGGCTCGAGGCTCACCGAGTTCTCGTAACAACAGTAGCAGCCGACAAGCGGTCCTTATGAGACCTCCAGTCAGCAGACGACCTACAAGACAAAGTTCACGACAACCCTCGAATAATTCTAGACGGGATGTCGCGCGAATGGGATCTTCTAAGAAATAATGACACCGTATTCTGACACGTCGAGGTACTATCTATTACCATAATTATGTATTTGAACGCTCCATGCAGGGACTTATTTATCACGGAACTCATGCTGTAACACGTACTTGCCTCCCTTAGAGAAGGTGCAATTCGTTGGTATGTAGATGCCGGACCATAGGGGAACATAATGATAAGACTCAAAAACGTCAACTCGAATTGCTCATAATGTTTGCGCATTTTCCATGCTAAACCGAAGCCGACGTGACAATGTGAGGTCGGGGACTAGATAACCATAACATGCAATGAATCGCCAGGTACATGACAGCCTCGGGTCGGGTCCTTGTTTCCAGTAGATGGAAGAAATGTGAATACAACACTCGTGGAAATGAGATATAGATCTGCATGTAGAATTACGAATTGTATGATCGAGATTAACGTCCGCGTCAATTCTGAAAAGGGTGCTTTTTCTTTTTGCGCCTTTTACGCTTCTTCTTGGGACTATCCGGGTTGTCATCCTTACCGGGTCCATCGCCTCGGTCCGGCGGACCGTCAAGGTTTAGCAGCGGAACTGTTAAACGCAGAGCCTCTGGATGTTGAGCCGCTTGCGAAGGTGGTGCAGGATATTGTGTCGATATATCCGGGACATTCAAATCGCCATCCCGTTTCAACTCTGTGCTGTTGTTTACGTCCATGTGTTGAGACAGCAGAACAGTGACTTACCTGTATGCAAAGCAGCCATTGAAAATGGACCGGATATCGAAAATGAAACGGAAGACAGTTCGCTGCCGAGAGGACGTGGATTGACAGAGAGACTTTGATTGCCGGATCGATCTGGGATCGTAATAGGCTGCGCATGGGGGATCGCCTGCTCTTGGAAGCTCGTGCTTCGTTCGCTGCCAGTAGCAGATAGCTTCCGCCGTTTCTTCTCCCCCTTCTTCGCAGACGAGTCTGAGTTGGTCTTACTCGCTTCAAGTGAAGAGGGTATGGAATGACCGTTGCGGTCTTGTTCCATATCATCACCCCCGGTTTTGCTATCTCCACCGTCCGTCTGCCGGTGAGGGGAGCTCGGTTGATTGGTTGATTGTGTGACAAAGTTCCCAAAGATTTTCGCTTTCGTCTTCGATCTTCTTGCGAACGGATCAAGTTTCATTTTCTTTCTGACCGTCCCTCCCCTTCTTTCTTCGTCTTCTGAATGATGCTCAGTCTTGAGGGTGGTATCATCTTCAGGAGCGCGCTTTTTTCCTTTCCCTATCAACCGATGCTTTAGACGGACAGCGTCACGAGCGGTTGCAGAAGATTCTGGTATTGGAGCACCAACACCTAGTCTACTCAAGAATATGATGTCAACCGTTGAAATCATGGCCGTTATCTGTACCATAACTCACCTAGGAGGCCTGCGTAGTTGCTCATCGAGTAACTTTTGGGCGTCGACTGCACTTTTGCCAAGATTAGCTTTGTGCGCAGGCTTTATCCACGATGAAACTAGATCTTCCGCAAATGACATAGACATGTTAATTTGGGCCTGCAATGTTTCCGTATCAATGTCGTCGTCAGCTATCAGGTCCACCATTTCTGTCGTAGACATCCTGCAAGAGATGATTAATGAGATGGGTCACGGTAGCGGTAGTATCGTAGTTTCGAGGCATACAGAAGCACCCCTGTGTGCAATAAAATTTTGGTTTGGGTTTGGAGTTTGGCATCATTTCCCGCGCTCCAAGATCTCGCCTACATCGATTTATCACACCAATATTCTCCTAAGCCGTCCACTCACGTCGCATACGCAAGGCTGAGATGATTTCCACTGGTACCAAACGCAAATGGGAAGATGCGGATTACGATTCAGACGACGACGAACCATCTTTCGGAAAACAAACATTGCCCGTGGCCAATCTACCTATGGACTTTGATTGCGAGCCGGAAGATGGAATGCAATATTTGTTCACGGTCAGGTGGGTTGACGTCGTTGCGTTTGGTTCTCTGTTAACAACTTCCACAGACGCGATGCACGGCGGCTACCGCACGTTACCAGAGTCGCTAACCCGTACGAACTGCCAGAACCTGTTCTACCCATTGGCCTCGAGCAGCCCGCCGACAGTTCATGTAGCAACCTTCCCTCTGAACATTGGCGCTCTACTTTCTTAACACACTTTCGAAATCTCAGAAAGGTAAGTTAACTGTACGCCGTCCTTGTGTGCCTGGATGAGTGATGAACCTCGGTCTCCAGAATATCAATCAACCGACTATCCACGTGCATATCGATCCACATGGATCACGCAAGGTGATGCCAGATAAGAAAGAAAGAGATTTGTGGTGGATATTTCTTTCTGGTTCACCGGAATCTGACTGGAACCCACCAAAAAAATCGAAGAAACTGTCGTCGAAGAAAAGCAGATTCTCCAGCTACATGCCAGCGATCTGCGACGAGTCAGAGGGGGAACATGACATCCATGACCAGCAAACTCGTCATGAAACTCACGAGACCTGGCGCATCAATTCAGAGGGTGATGTTGAACTCGCGGAGGATAATCTAGCAGAGGCACCATCATCCACGGCTCAGCCACTTCCAAATGGTTCTGCTTCATCTATGTCACCAGTGGCGACAGAATTTGGAAGTATAGGTCCGCTGTCGACTCGTCCAGGCACTGTACAGCTTTGTAACTCTCGTGAGATTACCCCCTCATTGCTGCGAAAAATAGACCATGTGCGTATGACAATGCCTTCTGACATGTGTCTAGCTAAATTGATTCTAGAACATGTCCCTTCACCTTCTCATGTATTTCGCTCACTGGATGAACATCCACTTGCAGCACCCAGCTGATCCAACCTTTGCGATCCTCGAGAGCCATGCACGCTGGATGTTTGCGTTGTTGGCCAAAGTGGAAGACTTCATTTCAGCAGATGACATGAGTCAACTTAGGAGCCTAGCCCGCGCTTGCTTGGAGCTACTTCTTCGGCGACGGAAAGCCGGGGAGCCTGGAGTGCTTGGTCATTTGTCATCCAAAATTGGCATGGCTGAAACATCATGCTGGATAATTTTTACTGCCGTCTGTGGTATATGGGGCCAAAGCGATCTTTGGCGGGACGCGGAGACGTTATTGGCGAGTGCTTAACGTCGCATGGCTATATCACTGATTACTTTAGAGCTAATCCAATGGCAATAGTCCGAGCTGAGCGGCCACGTTAGCTGAACGCTCGTGTGCACGGCCTGACGGGAACCTCCTTGTTTGTCGACTTCCGCCCCCAAATACCAAGTCGGAGACATGACTGCGATAGTGTTTAACGTGCACTGCGATTAGGCAATGAATGACCGGTGCTTCATTCCGATGATGTCGGGCGCTCTCTGTGTTTCGTGCCTCTCCGTCCCCGGTGCTCATGGTATGGTGGAAGCCCGAGTCTTCCTCAACCATATTCTCCATTGAAGCGCGGAAAACAGTCCTATAATTATCTCTCAAGCTGATCACACGCCTGTGCAATGAAATCCTGTCACGTTTTTGATCTTGATCACTGGATAATATTCCGTTTGCACAAGCTAAGCGCAGAAATCTAGCCTGAATGTCATCACCACGCGTTTTATTGATGATCGAAACGTCGAACAGCAAATCAAACATATCGTGGGAACTGGAACACGCGGAAGCTTGTTCGGGTCGGCGTCAAGAGGCACCAAGGTAGCCGTAATATGTAAAAGCCAGACTCTTGCCTTTCGACCACGTTCGTTACCTTCATAAAAAAAAAGCCAGACTCTTTTTTCTACCCCCACCATCGCCTCCTGGTTCTGCAAGCATGCGCTCCTTCGCCACTATCCTTTTGGCCTCCATCACATCGACTCTTGCCTACCAGGTCACCGCTCCTGGTGACACTCAGGGTTGGACAACTGTTGGACCCAACTACCTGACGTGGGTGCGCGTTGACACCGACCCATCAAACTTCACGGCGGTGTTGACCAACCAGGCATGTGTGTTAGCATGCGCTCTACGCAGGAAATTCTAATACTCTTCACTTAGAATCAGGCCGTTATGCCCCAAGGTCCTCAGGTCCTCAACGCACTTGTTGATGGAACCTTGGGCACAATTATCTGCAACCCTCCAAGTGGAGGTTGGCCTCAGGGCTCTGGTTTCCGTGTCAACCTTGCCGCAGATGCTGAACATCTCAACACCTTACTTGCTCAGTCCAACCAATTCAGCATCAACGCGTCGACTTCTTCAGCGGGTTCTACATCATCCGTCACTTCATCTACTTCGCAAGTCTGATTTCACCTCAATTTCTTGTCTCTGACCATTTTGTCCATAGCACCCCGACTACGGCGGTGGCTCTGACGACCGCTGCAGCGTCTACCACCAGTTCAGACACCAACACAACCCCCACTGCTTCGGGCGCAGCCGTTCTTGGAATGAAAGTGGAGACAGGCTTCCTGACTGCTTTCGCAGCCTTGGCTGCCTTTATCACCACTCATCTCTGAACATTTGCGTAAATACGGGTTACACTCGGATGCTTTTCTCTTTGCGTGGTGGTTCTTTTTGGTTGCGTTACGGTTACTGCGATACAGACATTTTCCTGATACCCTTTCACTCGGATTGTCCTCGTTGCAGCGATGATATTCCATCATTAGTGTATCGTACATCCTTCTCGTCTTGCTCTCGAGATTTGTCGATAATCATATTCAGCAGTAGCTTTCTCACCACTCAACGGGTGGTGTTAGTCTCCCGTAATCAAACCGCGAAGAAGCGTAAGGAAGACATCGCTTCTTTTCTCATCTCGCCAAGAAGCGATGTCTACCAATTCTTACGAACATCTGCTTCCTCCCAGCTGGAAGTCTCAGGTTGCAGGTTGGCTTGCAGAGGACACGCCTTCTTTTGATTACGGCGGTTATGTTGTGGGTGAGGTTAACCGCGAGGCGTTTCTTTTTGGGAAAGGCAAACAGACCGCGGTCTTGGCCGGACGACCCTTCTTTAATGAAGTCTTCGCGCAGCTTGGATGCGAGTACGTTATCGGCTTAATTGCATCGATTCGCTGTGATTTCAGTGACCTGCAGGGTTGAATGGCACATCCAGGAGGGTGAGACCTTTGAACCCGTCAAGCATGTCGCTACTGTTCGAGGCAAAGCAAGGCACCTTCTACTTGGCGAACGCATCGCCTTGAACATGCTTGCGAGGTGCAGCGGCATTGCAACGAAGTAAGCGATGTAACCATCCTGATTGTACCTATCATGTTTACGTCTTCGTCCTCCGAAGATCTAAACGCATTAAAGATCTTGCAGTGGGATATGGGTACAAGGGTATTATTGCTGGGACTAGGAAGACAACTCCAGGTAAGCTGCCCTTTCCAACCGCTTGATCTGCTCACAACCACCAGGGTTTCGGTTGGTTGAAAAATATGCGATGATTGTGGGGGGTATTGATCCTCACCGCCATGATCTTTCGAGTATGATTATGCTCAAGGACAATCATATTTGGTCATCGGGTGCGCCTCATTCTACGAAGCGCTTAATTCAAGTCCAGCTGATATCACTTCAAGGATCTATCACTGCTGCAATCCGACAGGCTCGTGCAGTGGGCGGCTTTAGCTTGTTGCTTGATGTGGAAGTTGGATCTGAAGCTGAAGCAGATGAGGCAATCGAAGCAGGCGCGGATATCATCATGCTGGATAACATTGAGGGGGAACATCTCGTGAGTGTTGCTCGAAAGCTCAAGGAGAAGTGGGTTGGGAAGCGGAAGTTCCTCTTCGAGACAAGCGGTAACATCACCGAGGCTAACCTCGAGGAGCGTGCAATCAATGGTCAGTAAATGTTTGCTTCACGATGGTCTTTATTCAACATGTCGTATTAGATATCGACATCCTCAGCACAAGCGCTGTTCATCAGTCCGTACCACACATAGATTTCAGTTTGAAGATCCAGATGCCCGTGTAATGGACATTAGATATATATTATGTGTATAATTGATCATGGAGATCGAAAAGTCTAAGCGCGTTCAAACCTAGGATGTTGGCTTGATGTTCCGGTTTGCGATCTACACCAGCCATACTCCGGATGGCCGCCAGGTTGTTTTCTACGCTTGGCCACTTCTGGCTTGCTTCAAGTGGCGGGAAGAATGGGTGGTCGGTACCAAACAATAGTCTGGTGCTCCCGAGTTGAGGATCAACAGTCCCCCCGCCTTTCTGGAACGCAGATGCCCGAGAAATGGTGCGGCTCACGAAGGTCAACTCTTCGAAACCGTATGCGACAGCGTCGAAATAGAGTTGTCCAAGGTAGTATCTTGCATCATGTTTCAACCTATTCGCAACGATAGGATCATGTTCAATACACGAGGCCAGTCGAGATGACAACTGAGGCAAAGCTCCCCCGGAATGGGCCAAGAGTAAGTGGAGGTTCGGGAAACGATCCAAAACACCTGAGAGAATAAGGCGCGCGATGGCCTAAACATTGAAGTAAAAACTTATTCCTGATCATCAGACGCGAAATATTACTCACAATGGTTGTTTCGAAAGGAAAGCCCAAGGCTAGTGGCAACACATGTCCATTATCATTCTCTCCAAATGCTGTACTGTCAACGCCGTAATGTGGATGTATAAAGACGACAAGCCTCGCTGCCTGTATAGCGTCCCAGACTGGATCCAAGGCATTGTCATCGAGGCCTTTGCCAATGCCCTTGGTTCCCATGATGACACCTCGGATGTGAGGGAGTGATTTAAGATGTTCTATAGTTTGAATGATGGTGGACACTTCTACATTCGGGACAAGAGGGAGAAGGCCGAAACCGTAGAGCGTCTTGAGACCAGAGAACCCCTCGGCAGGGGGAGAAGTTGCACAATACTCTTCAAGGTCATCGTTGAGTTCGTGAGCTAGCGTTTGAGCTCGATCTGCTGGCAAGAAATCGAGCCATGGATTGGCTGAACTGCCAGTGAGAGTGATCAGTTGCCACCCCGTATCCGTAGTAGAAGTAAACGAACAAACCTCACGAATGAGATGTTTATACCATGCCTCCGCATGAATTCGAGCTTCTCATCTCGATCCCAGTACTGATATATTCTAAGTGAACGAGCATGCACTTCATACACAGCAGGCATACCTGAGGACCAATTGGGCGACCAGCACTTGGTTCTCCATCCAAAATCAACAATCTCTCCTCGGTCTTGACCCCATTTTTCCAGTTCAAAATACGGGGAGCTGAGGTTCTCGCGCGAAGCTCGGCTGCGTATCGAGGCAAGTAAACATGGGTGTGCACGTCAACAACCGGGTGTCTTATGTTCGCCATACTTGAAATACTCTTGAGCAGCTCAGTCATGACGCGCTGACCTGATTTTGCTGGATTCATCGATAAGGACCGTCACCTGCCACACACGCGCTGGGACAAATTTGCAAAGATCTGGGCGGCCGCTGATGGCGAAGTGATAGAAGTGGTATATCTGCCGGGATCTTTTCAATTGAATAGCCTTCACGTACTCATGACTTCCATTTGCCATTTGGCGGCTACGTACCTTCAAATCATGCAGGCTGCACGTCTGTCCTTGACTTTCTTAGCTAAAAGGCGTTGCCGGCAGCCGACTAGTCCTTTTACTTCAGAACACTCATGGCTAACGAGCTGCAAATGCGTTCTCCACTGTCTAGAGCGCGTGTAGCTCATGAAGAGGTTTGTGATCTTGTTTTTAACGATACCAACACGGCGACTCAAACTATAACAAGTGGACGCAGACCACAGATAAGCTCCGCCGTATAGGCAATGATTTCAACCAAATAGTCATCGACTCAGTGGACGAATCCAGAGGGCACAAAAATCGGGCCACTGAATGGGAAACCAGACATCAAGATGTTGTCGCGGAGAACAACGACTTCAGAGCTCATAACGAGGAATTGAAACGTCTACTCGAGCTTGGGCAGCCTGGTGCAGGGAGCGCAATCGAATGTAGAGACGCCGTGTATCGTAAATTGCGGCATGTGCGCCGTGTTATGCGCGAGCTCGTAGAGGACTTGGTAACACATCTACTTCCTTGTCGAATCATGTTCCTGAAATCAAGGTTCATCTCACAGCCTGATTTTGGAGATAGCCCGAATGAAGGTGCTTCACTGCTATTACAGACAGAACCACGAGACAAGGAGATTAGCGCTTTGTCGTCCCCTTCCGGTCGAAGTCGCAGGCACCACGGGTCTTCTAACAGCTCTGGTTCTAGCAATACTGCTCGCCCATTATCTAAGGGGAAGGAGCGTAGCTCGCCCAGAACTGTGCCAATCTCATCTCCAGCGTCGCCATCATTTTCTCGCGCATCAAGGACAGGAGTAAGCGGAGTTAAACCTGATCCCAGCGATCAGCAGAGATCATTTGAATCCAACAGCTTAGGGACCGACCCTTCCGTGGATCTATCTGTACACGCTGCGAGAACCTCTTATGAGGGTGATGGTGGTGATGTTTGGAGGCTGACTTCATCTCGGAGCCCCCGGAGTGCAGAAGTGATTTGTCCCGTTGGCATGCAGTTGTTTCAGGAACGGTTGAACCTCGACGCAGACATGGTTAGTAGTCCGAGTATCTTATATGCGCGATCTAATGTTGTGCAGTTATACTCTTTAGAAAGGTGCCTAGCGTTCCTACTTGCAGTTCACCCTTGCTGAGCCCATATCAGCCTTGGACAGGCAGATGAACATTGTTTCCAGTTACAGATTGTCGACAACATGGCATTTGTGTACGACCCATTCTCAATGGATGGACCAGGCGAATCTCTCTTGATGGACTGGGGCACCCCGGACGCCAACGAGGCAGTCCGTGCGTACATTGTCAAGAAACGCCCTAGAGACCGTGTTCTCCACACTTTCACCTTTCCCGCGAAAAGGGTGAGCTATCACCCGCGATCAGATTTTGATCATCTTATTTTATCATGCGTAACAGGGAGTTTGGTATTATATTGGCGCGCACGCATGGAATGTGAAGGATCTTTTTGAAGTCTGGCCTACTCTGGGTGATAGGGTAAGTTTGAGGCCTATACCAGGATCGTAACCGATCGTTGACTTCAAATTTTGCCAAGCCTAAGGAAGTCGTTACCGGGAAACTGCAGAGACGCTGCAACCGCAGGCACTCTCAGCAAGAAATTGGTTCTATGATTCAAGACGGGCGGCTACAGCAATTCTGTGTTGAAGTGAGCAGTCGGTCATTGAATGCTCTTAGTCGAGAATTCGCGAAGACAAGTTTAGGTTTTGAAGGAGTGGATGTTGCACAGTGATTTTGACGAGATCTTGATATATCTTTTTTGGTTGACTTTCGTTGCTATGTTTTATACTTGGTGCCAACGATGATGAACAATGAAGGACAGGAATCTCACAATCGAAACAAACACAACCAGGCATGTTTCACCAATATGTTGTCCTTGACTATCAAAAAGACCTTCGAAGGTGTAGAATCATGCATGTTCTGGGCCTGAGTTGCCATCGAGGATCGATGGCCCATGTGTGTGACCCTGACTGAGCGCGGATGAATCTATAAAAAGAGAATTACCAAATTTAGTCAGTAATTGAACATTATGCTACATACAGGAACTTTGGCGGCGGACAGCGTCTACCATCACGATCAGTAATATTATTCGTTTCGTTTCTCAGGCCAACAGCAACGTAACGTCGAAGGCGCAGTCAATAACGTCCTTCAGTCTCTTTCTTTCTTTACCACCATACGATGCGTTGCTCTCATCCGGAGCACGCTCGCACATTCCTTTGCACCACACTCCTGTTCGTACTCTCATTCACCGCCACTCTCGCAGAGTCAGCCAATGTTCATGGTCACCGGGCTCATCATGCCTGGCGCAGACGAGCACCTCTTGATGTAATTCCAAGACAGCAGGTCCCAACAACAATAACCACCTCGAGCTTGTTGCCTAGTATTGCCGGCGTCCTGACGTCCGTTTTAACTACTGCGGCTACCCCGACCACACCCTCGGTGGTGCTACCTACTCCACAATCACCATCTACGCTTCCTACTCTTTCTCTACCAAGTCCACCAACAAATCCATTGATGACAACCTCTAGTTCCTCCAGCTCTACTTCTCCATCTGCCCCTACATCTACCAGTACCACCAGTACCACTGTTGGCACCACAAGCAATGGGACTCCGGTTTCGTAAGTTTCAATTTTTTTCTTCTGCATAATGTATAAAGCAGATTTATGTCCTATTACAGACAATCTACCTCTTCCTCTTCCTCTTCTCAGTCTTCCTCCAGTTCTCAACCTTCCTCTTCTGCCAAACCTTCCACGTCTACAGGTGCTGCAGCTGTCGTTGCTACAACGCCAGCTGCACAGACGTTAGGACTCACATCAGAATATTCCGGCGCAGGCGCAGTTACCGGCTACGCAACTGGAACGACGACTTCATCTACTCCTTCGAGCACGTCCTCTTCCAACTCTGACTCTGGGTGAGACATTATATATATCACTCATCGCCAATCAGTAGCTGATGTTTTCATTCAGGTTCTTCTCAAACACAGGAGCAGTTGCTGGAACATTTACCGTTGCTGGCCTGCTTGGAGTTGCTGGAGTTATTGGAGCTGGCATGATGATTGCAAGACGCCGCGCCTCTCGCTCATATGAAGATGACATGGAGTACCTGGAAAAGAAGCCAGAGCCTTCTGTACACTCTCAGAGTCAGAATTTCGTTGTCGGAGAAGCCGAGGAATCATTAGACTCGGATAACTTCGACAACTCGATGGAAGTTACCGTCCCGCCTGCCGCTCACTTTTATACCCAGCAGGACGCATACCATGCTCATGGGCAGGCAGTCAACAGTATCGAAGGTTATGAAAACCAAGGCTACCATCCACAGGAGGCATACCATGCTCATGGGCAGGCAGTTAACAGTAGCGAAGGTTTTGAAAACCAAGGCTACTATCCACAGGAGGCTTATGCTCCCCATGAGTATGGTATAGCATACCCCCCGACGGAACCTCATGCGGCAGAGGATCCTTATGGAGGGATCGATGAAGCATATGCAGGGATGCCAAACCCGTTTGACGATGCTGGATCAGAGTTACCAGCTGCCTTGCGACCATATGTTCAGCGATCTCTAACGGTCAATTCTCCTCCCACTGCGTATCGCTCTCCGGATCTCCACCACTCCATCGATTCTTTCTACGGTTCCTCTACGGGCGCTTCGCACGGACACGCCATGTGAAAATCATACCAAACATTCCATACATACTTGATGCGTGCATTGTGATATTCTTCATGTTGTCGTCCAAAATCACAGTGCACGTTTGATTCGTATTTCATTATTTTATTTATGTACACACTTGCAGTTACACGTATACCTTGGGTTTCAGTTGGTCTGGTGTTAGACGATTGCACTGTACGTTACACGAGCCATTCAAACCCTTTTTTTGGGACGCGGATTTGATTGACTCCCTTTGTCGAATGATATTGAGGTCTTGACACTGGAGGTCAATTTTACGGTGTCAATATTCAATATTTCCTAAGACCTGCCTTAATTAAATTAACTAACCTAAATATCTTCAAAGAGTTCGCGGACTTCGAAACGCGGGGCAAGCAACGGAGCCAACAAGCACGTGCCAGTCAGCACCTTTGGACTACACTTGACACAAGTATGTTCTATGCTGGGAGAGTAACGACTATATGGCACCCTTGGCGGCTGTCGCGACAATCGCGAAGACTGTTCTCAACACAGACGCCAGAAGCTTTTCTCGAACCTCTCCAGTCTCACCTCGGTATAACATGTCTGTCCCTCAATAGACCGCAAGCAAAGAATGCCATATCAATGAAACTACTTAATGTGAACGGAAATCTAGCTCTGATATAGTCATACGCGCTGAATTCACTCGTCAGGAATTTCGCGAATGTTTGGAAACCGCGAAGTACGACAAGAGGTTCATACATTACATTGCCCAGTAATAGTCGACTGCGCTGAACAGCTTTGGCGCAGCATCCGAGCACTGATAATACGTTCCACTACCATGGGTTCCTTCTGCGCTGGCGCAGACCTTGCTGAGAGACGTACTATGTCTCAAATTCAAGTTGCGAAATTCCTTTCCGACCTGCGTTCTGCATTTGGTCAATTGGAAACCCTGCCTATGCCAACAATTGCTGCAATTGATGGTCCTGCATTAGGGGGAGGGTTAGAATTGAGTTTTGCCTGTGACTTGCGTGTGGCCGGTGAGTTCGGTCACTTCGTGAGCAGAGTCCGCCTGATTTGTATTGAAGGACATTGTGTGACGAAGATAGGTCTTCCGGAGACGCGCCTCGGGATTATTCCTGGAGCGGGCGGTACTCAACGTGCTGTCAGATTACTGGGCATGTCGAAAGCAAAGGACCTGATTTTTACAGCTAAGATGCTGACAGCCCAACACGCACTTGAATGGGGTAGCAAACCTTTCTTTCCCAACAACGTCATCTGATGAAGGCTGCGAGTATAGGCATAGTGGATTACGTATCATCTCCCTCTACATCGGCTTTCGAGCGGGCAGTTGAATTGGCTCAGGAAATAACCAAAAGCGGTAAGCATGTCGCTTTCACTTTTTTCCGCGCAATTTCATTCTCAACGTCTTTATTATTGAACAGCCCCATTGGCGCTTCGGGCTGCAAAGCAGGCAATTTCACGTGCAGCTGACCTCCCTTTGGAATCAGGTATTTAGCGTTTCATTTATCGTTTTAGTTGTTGACATACGAGGATCAGGCCTTGATTTTGAGAGAGCGTCATATGAAGTTCTTCTACCCACGAAAGATCGGTTGGAGGCTCTAGAGGCATTCAAGGCAAAACGACAACCTGTTTTTAAAGGGGAATAGTCTGTTACCTTTGATTTGGAGTGTGCTGCATACGTTGACACATAGTGCAACGAATCAAGACAGGATCACGCGAACCACACCTGAGGTCTATACCTATGCCTTATGTCATCAGTATTCGCGCATCCATTATCTCTATATCTACCGCAACTGCGCTTTCATTGAAAATATCATTGGCGGCACATGTCACTTCTCCATCCTATAGCGCCGGTCGCAGAGTTTCCGTAGTATCTCGGGAAGCTTTTTGACATCTTTGCTGGCGTATCTAAATGCTCGTCACTGCGGGGCCATTTGTCCTATGTTGGTGAAGAAACATTTTTGGCACCAGGAATGGGTACGCTCTCATATTGGGAACCTTTCCCGCTACAATGCTCTTGTAAGGCACGCCGCCTGTTCAAGACAGCGGCCATGACATAATGGCTAGCGAAGATACGTTCCCATAAGGCGCAGCCGCCGCAGCGCAATGCCAGTAAGTATTACCAAACATTTGTTGATCGTCATCGAGTGCATAATACTCACGCTGATCTCCAAGACGTGGCACGACGATAATTTGCGCAGCAGCAGTTTCCATTTTGGTGATGCTGCAGATGAATCTACTCTAGAACCAGAAGCTTCATGAATCATCATCGGGAGTATCGTGGTGGATGTCCAGCATTCAATCGAGCGGCGTGCGAGTAGCCGCCACGTCATGAAGCTACAACTTATTGCTTCCATGAATTGGGTGTCGAAGGACGTGTTCTATTGCATTCGGTGCGCATCTGCCAGTGGGAAAACTAATGCTAAGTCCAATCAAATCCCCGCACTTCAACAGAAACATATCGTCATCCACCAGCATGTGAATGACATGTCATTGCCTGGATTGGATTTGTCCCAGAGCCGCATCAGGTGTCCGATCAACTAACAAACGAAGGTAAGATAAGTCTCTGCGACCTTCGGATCCACTCACGTATCCTCTGCTCCCTGACGGGTCCTCCTCTACGCCCGGCCCACTATCCCCAAAGACCCCGCCTATCGTCATAGCTCGGCCCTGGCGAAGTCTTTTTAGGCGCCCAAGTTCAGCATACAGTCAGTATCTGGATATACACGCGATTCTGGTCCATTCCAGCAGCTCCCAATCAAGAACAAGGAGTTGCAGGAGGACAAGCGGCTAGACAAGCTCCTGAAAGTCTGCAAGAACAGTAAAGTTCCTAACGCGAGATTCTCCATTTTCAACCAACAATAGCCTAGTCCGCATAGCAATCCACTCACTTGGTTCCTACGCAACTTTCCAGTCTGATCCTAGCGTCGCTATCCCCGCGGCCACGGGCTCCCGCACATTGATTGTTCCAAGTGCCGTCAACGATCTTAGGGTTGTCGTGTTCCGTGAGAGCGACTGATGGAAGAATGAAGGATTTTAGAGCTCAAAGTAATGATAGTGTCGACATGCGTCAGACGCCTCTAGGTTGTATATTGCTGCCTGACGACATGGCACACCGCAGGCAGCGCTTTTGCCCTCGGAGATGTCGTGTACGGAAGCGGCGTCAACCTAGGTTGGAGTTCTCATCACATCTTTGTTGCATATCATCACTAGCTTGGCTCTCATTTCCAGTCGGCCTGTCCTCGCCTTTGCCGCCAGTCCCTATTTTCTGCCCATGTTGTGATCTCAGGTTGCATTCCCCTATTAATATATTAGTATTATCTTAGCTGACAGTCTCTTCGTTCTCAGTGGAACTACTTCCTCACTTTTCTGACTCATTGTGTACAATATGTGACTCAATTTTGTCATCAAGGGCTATGTTTTGCCCTTGCGCCCGGAGTCATAATAGATCATGATATGTCCACGAGACTCCACCCAGGTCGGACCATTTTTGCTGTCGTTCCAAGTCTTGGCAAATAGCCAACGTTCCAGCTCCAACAGGTTAGCTGTATGCCACATCAATGGTTGCTTACAATGCCCAAGATTCCCGACAGCGGAAGAGGTCTATAAGCCACATCAATATGATGAGGCAAATATTTAGGTTATCATGAGAAGAGCACACCGTCATTGGATCTGATGCGGTGAAGAACGGGTTCTCGACTCGCGTTAGAGTACTTGCGTTGTGCCTATCTCGGCCCTCGCTGTCTTTACGGGACTTTTTCTTCCACTCTAGGCAAGTTTTTGAAAAACTCGTACTGCAGTCTCATATGCAACACACTGCAGTATCCACGCGCGTTGACACACACGGTTTCGTTCCAATGACCGCATGACACCTGTACGTATCCAATGCCCCATCACCTAAAGATTGATGGGCCAGTCTTCCACCGGACCGGCTCTCAATTCAAAAGAGACCAGTATAGAGCTCTAGCTTGAGTACCTTATTTCAATACCCATCAGCATTGCAGTATATTCTCATGTTGGGCCAAAAAATCTGGCTGATTACTGGTGTGTTTTCTCGTTCACAATGAATCGTTACACTTTATCCCATTTAATGGCAGGCACATCCTCTGGCTTTGGTCGTCGTCTTGCGGGCCTCGCGCTTGCAAGAGGGGATCGCGTCATCGCGACAGCTCGTACTTTAAGCAAAATCGAACATTTTCCGAAGCACCCAAACCTTCATCTTATGCAGCTTGACGTCAATGCCAGCACAACGGAAATAAAAGCGCGAATAGATCACGCTGCTAGTGTATGGAATGGTATTGATGTATTAGTGAACAATGCAGGCTACGGGCGGCCTGCACTTCTTGAAGAGGGAGGGTATGCACACCAACCCACGCGCGCCCTGAATACTGTTCATGTTTACACGCTTTACAGCGCCTCGCTCATGCTCCGCCAGTTTCAAACGAATTTTTTCGGGGTGGTTAATGTTTGCAATGCAGTACTACCCCACATGAGAGAAAGTGAGTGCTTCTCGCAAAGATTTGAATCTCTTGCTTGCTGATAGACACTTCCAAGAACGCAATGGCACAGTTGTGGTCATCGGCAGTAGGAGTGCATGGAAGCCAGAAATCAGAGTAAATAATTTAAAGCCGCTTTTCATCCAACTCGTTGAAGCTAATTGTCACCTGTTAGGGCCTTGGTAACCATGATATTTGACGAGTAAGAATGACAGACCACTCACTCGTCTTCTTTTCAGGGTTCTATGCCGCAAGCAAAGCCGCCGTACATGGTGAGTGTACCTCTGACCTAAAAAAAATCCGGAAAGAGTCAATTTGGCTTCACCAGCGATGAGTGAATCACTGGCGTTAGAACTGGAGCCATTCAATATTCGGGTATTGCTCGTGGAGCCAGGGGCATTCCGCACCGAGGGCATCCTCGGTTACCAATGGGACTGCTCCAATCCCATCCCGGATTATGACGAGCAGCGAGCTAATGGACGTGTGAACTTCTATAAGCCTGCCGGGACACAACCAGGCGACCCAGAGAAAGCTATGAAAATTGTTGTAGATGTGGTGAAGGGAGAGGGCTACGCCGCAGGCAGGGAATGGCCTCTGTATCTTGTACTAGGTAAGGATGCAGAGGCCGATATTAGACACAAGTGCGCCAAGGTTCTGAAGCACCTTGACGACTGGAATGACGTTGTCAGAGGAGTTGATCATCCCGTATGACTTGTGTACGATTTTGCACCAGTACTTGCAAAGAACACTTCATTCTTCATAATCTGAACCTCGTAATTGATGTATAGTCGGCTAGAAGTAGTCGGAAACTCTGGGGGCAGTCTGGAGTCGACAGCACGATGTTGATCATGAATCCAATATATCGGCACATCCCCCGCATCAATTAGTTTGAACACAAATTAAATTTTACCAATGATATCAAACGCAGCAGAGGTATGCTACGCACAGAACTAAGCACTATTATTGTTCATTCCACGTCCGCCTATGGAGAAGCCACTGGGGATGCCCATGGAAATGCCCTCGCCAAGCTTAAGACCTTCAAGGTCCTTCACTATCATACCCAATCTCGCCATCTTGAATCGGTCTTTAAGGCCCTTGGAAGCAATATCTGTTGCAACATCCTCCACATCGACATTTTCGTTGAAGCGGGTCTCGAACTGGACCCAGTCACTTCGTTGCGCAAGGTAGGGCTTAAGCAAGGCGGAATCGATGCGTCCGAGGTAATTTTCCGTGATATAAGACCTGAGGATCTCAGGGCGCACGAGAAAGACATTGCCGAGCTGCCTGATAAACTCGAATCGTTCGTGCAGAGCGGGTATATTGAAGGACGCCACGGTATCCTGGTACGATTTGAGGTCTCTGCAAGATGAATTGATGTTGGTAATGAGGGAACATGATGATGTAAAGAATCCATACTTAGCAAGCATCAAACCTCCTGTTGCACTAACAGGGAATTTGCGGAGATGGTCAAGTAGTAGACTAAGAAACCTGATGAGCATCATATAGACGACTTCCAGATAACAGCAGCAAACCTGTGGAAGGAGACACCTATTTCGGTGAGGAAAACCTCCCTGTTCTTGCCGCTAATACTCTGTATCGCTGCATCTCTCACTTTTTCAAGTATTTCACAACAAGAGACGCAAGGTTCTGTGTTGACACGAGCAAATGAGAGGTCGTCATTCCGTGGTTTGAAGTCATTCTTCTTCTGTTTCGAGAGCTGTAGAGAAAGCCAAGTTATTATAGCTAAATGTTGCACGAGGGTTAGCACGAGTTAACAGGCGGTGTAGAAGGACTTGCCATCTGTGATACGTTGTATCAGCGTATTTGCCGCACCTTCGGTCCTGCTGACAGTCTGGTTGTTGAGGATGGTCATGTCACGCCGAGTAGTGACGGATGACGCTGCTAGCGGAAACAGTGCCATATTGGTATATTGCTGCCACAGATGGCATATGAGGTCTACTGAGCGCAATATTTCGAGTGGCTGTAGACTTGGTTCGAGCTTCGGGTCAGCAACTTCAAGACGAGCGATCGCTCTATGCCACGGGTTTAGACGTGTTATCATACAGTTCACGAAGCACGTACGAATCTATTGCAGTTTCCAGATATGCGGCACTGATGGCTTCCGCCAACACTCTTAAGAGGATAAATGTGTTCTTGGGGCTGCAAGGACATGAGCAAGGTCAGATCAGGTATCATATTGCAACGCGGAACTGACACGTCATTCTGGGGTGTGAGCTCAACACATCTCCCAACAGCTTCTGCATGCCACTTGAGCATCTTCTCCGCAACGTCGATGCTCAGCAAACCGTCTTCCTCCCGTACGGTTTCTTCCAAGCTCTTGTCCTGCATTCGTTCTGAGCTTATGCCTCCATACCGCATAATCAGCGCTGCAGCCTGTGCAGACGTGCTTGAACCACCAGATGTCGTAGTGTTCGCAGCAGCAGCTCCGAGCCTGTCCACCATCCGGTCAAACATCGAGGACTTTCCTTTCTGCATTCTCATCTGCATTACAATAAGGAAGCACGTTCTGCAGCAACAAAATTGAACACACTTACATGATATCGAGTAAAATTCGCAAGAAGCCCTGCGTAAAGTTCGCCTAGACTTTTGCTCTCTCTATCAAGATATTTCTGGCCCTCAATATATGGCACAAACAGTTCTGCCATCGCGTTTTCTAGCATGGCGCTCACAACTGATGCCGTCGATGTTCCAGAAACTGTCGTTGCACCAGAGAGAACCCTACGAAACTCTGTTAGTTCTAGAGATGACTTGCTGGGAGTTATAGATGGGAGCTCATGAGCCTTCAGGTCTTCGACGAGGTTGGATGTCTGATTATGCACCAGTTGTAAGATCCGCAGGTAAGCCAAATCGGAGAGAGAAGAGCCTTTGGTTAATAGTTGCTCCATGTATTGTTGAATCTGCAGAAAATCAGACTCTTGTCATTGTTATATGAAAGATTTGCTGCCTCACAGACTGAGCAAAAACACGCTGCAGGAAAACCTGCATGACAATTGGTGGGTTTGGGAATACTGCCTGGACTATCTGTGATTCCTGGGCAACAGTTGCTCGTATTTCTCCAAACAACTCCGCGAGGCCTGATTCTGTTTTAGGTGGGCATTCATCCGGTTTGGTCACGGTGTTCCACCTTGCGTGAAATTGTAAGAAGAAGCATTCTGCAGCTAACAGAGAACATACAATAGGTCGTCACTGTGGTTTGCAGTGTCACGAACCTTATTCATGAAGAAATCATGTTGATTGACATAAATTTGAACGCAAGATGCACCACCATTAAAATCCAATAATGTCTGTGCACAATGCTTGACGAAATGTTAGATATATCATAATATATTGAAGACATAGAAACACACATGCATCAGCTTTGGGTCTCCCTTTCGGTAGCATCGGTCAAACAAGTATATCATGTCTTTCTCGAACTTCTCGCAGTATTTGTCAATGTTCTCTCGTGTCTGGATGTTTGTTTTGTTACTAGATGGAGGTAAAGGATGACGAGTAGTACCTTATCTGCACTGGGCAGATCTACCTCTCGAGCCACGGTTGTGAGTCGGCGCAATATAACGGCAACTTGACTTCGACCTTCTCGACCTTCTTTCTTCAAAGCATCCAAACGTGAAGTATCACCGCGCGAAAATTGGTTGTAGTAATTGATGAGGTCATGAGCGGCCTGGGCTCTCTGGCGTTCGATGTGAATGGATTCCAACTGTTCACCTGACGCTGACAGTTAACGAGAGTATTGGAAATGTTGGTGCAAGCTACCTATCCGGACTGCCGTGCGTCCAACCTCATTCATCTTGCTTTCCATTGTCGAAAAGGATGACCCAACGGCCTGGGCATGTGAGTCAATCGGGACAGCCTACAGCTGCGCAGGGAGGCGTACCTCAAATCCTCGGTTCAGGTCTGCCATCTTCTTCGAGTACTCCCTCTCTGCCACCCGGACACTCTTTTCCATTTGTTCCGTCTTAGCTTGGACATCCTTGCGCACACTGATCAACTTGTCTACGACTGCTTCAAATGTTCGTATGAATGGCTTGGGATCGAATGCTAGAAAGCAGAGTGAGACATTGTTACAAGGGAAAGTACACACATGCGTACGTCCAGAGCTTGCCTTCGATTGTGTGATCAGTCTCTCAGATATGGACCCAACGAATTCTTTGACATCGAATTTGCCCTACTCAACATCGACCATCAGCACAGTTGAGTGTAGTGTGAACAATGTGATGCACCTCAAAATTGTCGAGACGTAGTTGTTCCTCGGTCGCCGGATCGAGGTCGCCGTAATGCTGCATGTTGCAACCTGTATAGTACAGGGCGCAACGTTGACTAGCCGAAGCGTAGTGGAACTTGTTTACTGTTGTTGAAAGCTAAAGCCTCTGCTCAAATTTAGTAGTGCAATCTTTTCAAAGTTATTGGCCTCGCGTCCCTGCGGCAGCCCTCAGCTTTGCTTGCTCTTTCCATATCCCGAGCAATGACTTCTCATCCGCTGAAATCACTGCTTCAGTTACAATTAGCCTCGGACGCGTCTTCTGTTTTGCACCTGTCATCTGTGCTGTCAACTCTATCAGAGGACTCTTTGTGTCCTTCCCCTCATCTTCAGAAATGGACATCCCGTGTGACTTCCTTGATTCATTCAAAAGACGCTGGAGCTCGATGGGCTGGCATGTGCATCGCATACCGTACTTCATCGCTATCAAAGTCTACGATGACAGAGTGTGCGCAGAGCTGGGCAGGCCTCGCGCTTTCCATCCTTACAGTTTGTGAGATGCATTCATCCTGATACTCAGATGCCTAACATGTCAGTCAAGAAACCTGAACCTCTGCCGCTGCTCAAGGCTTCAATAAGATATCTTCGTCATGTGCTCAGCGCAGTAACCGACGTGCCAGAGCTTCAAAGGCAACTTGCCACTCCGACCGTTCCAAAATTTAGCCAGGCGCTGGTATATATCGTCGAAAAGGCTGCAGATTATGAGCTTAAAGTGGGTGGTTGACGTTCATGAAACTCACAAGAGTCTGAACGCAAGATGTCAGGCTCTAGCAATGGACACATTGAAGGACATGGTTGTTCTGTATCCTTCATTGAATCGAGCCTCGAGTTCCTCAATCACAAAAATGTGTCACCAAATCCTGAATGGCTCTGCACCACAACGCACGAATAAATTGTTGCTGCATAACGCAGCAAACGTATATGCTGTTCTTCATTATACCGGAGGCAAGGTTGGGGCAGCAAACCTGTGGAAGAAATCTGTAGACGAGACCCTTCAATGTCTCTGGGCTGCGTCGATAGGTCTCAGATCTACATTTCCAGGTAAGATCCCTATATCTGGCATATCAATCTCTAATCGATTTCTTATACAGTGAACAACAGCCCCCTGCCCTCCAGTGAACTATTATGCGATGATCCAGTGTTAGCTGTCACCCTCAATCTCGACCGATTGCAATGCAGCGTTGCTGCGCTTTGCAGTTTGCTGAGGTAAATACATCGAATAGGATGGCAGAATATACTCACACAAGTATAGGACGACCGTTCAAAGACCAGTCCAAGTGCCTATAGGACGTATAATGGAGTTCTGTCTATTCCTGCTAGCTTGTACCATTGATGAAGAGGTATTTTTGGATTTCTTCCTATGGATATTTTTTCAACGAGCTGCTAGAAAGACGGCCACGTTGACGCAACATTCAGAGCCTTGGAGCTTGCTATTGTGCCTGAGCTACAGAGTTCTGCATGCGACCTGCTCTGTTGCCTGGCGAAAACGTCGGTAGACATGCAAGTTTGTTCTGTATCCCAAATGACGGTCTTGGTTTAGCATTCAGCATCGACTGACACCGTACGTGTCTCGGCTGGTCGTTATGATAACATATCATCTCGAACAAAACCCTCTACCGTACGTCGCTGAAACTACAAACCTGAAGTATTGACCCATGTATGTTTTAGAGAGCAACGATGTCGGCTGCTCAAATGCATCCAAACTTTACTGAGCAATAGCTTCTCCCCCAGCAGCGAACTTAGCTCCACGAGGCTCGTCAAAGCCATCATGCTTTCTCTCATGCCATTGCTTTCAACTAAGTCTGATGCACGCGTAGGCGAAACGAGTTCTGTACAAAGCAAAAAAGGCAGGAAACGCAGACGAGATTATGAAGGAGACGAGGTGTTTAAACTATCAAAAGACGTCATTTGTTCGTCGATCGCCGAGGGAGCGGTCATTATCTGTGCCCTAGACGGTGAGTTCAGGTCGGGACCAGCCAACCGATTGCTGATCGTCCTCTAGCACTGCAAGTTATAATGCGAGGCGCTGAATTGCAACCAGCCATTCGCTCTCTGGCCTGCCGTGTCCTCTTGTCCTTGTCACTGTCCTTGACAGCCATGTCCCGTTCCTCTTTGTCTCAAGACGTTCATCTGCACGGTTTAGTATACGCAAAAGTGAACGGAATGTGTCTAGAGCTCGCTCGAGGGACGACGAGCGCGATGAGCAGAAGCCTTAGCTTGGTCCTCAGATCAACTGTGACGGAAGGCAATGAACATGTAGGCAATGTTTATCTTGTTTGTTCTACCAACATGACGACATGTTAACTTGCAGACCATGCAAACAAAACTACAATTACAACAAGAAGTTGACCTTCTTCTTCATCCTCGCGGTCCACCATTAGTCCGCCCGCTGCCTCATGTGGAAGCGCTATCTCTATTCCGCGCCGAGGAAAGCAACGAGGAGCTCGCTGCTCGTACATCATTTGCCTTGGCTACAACATATGATGCAAACACTATGGATGTCGCGGCAGACCCTATCGTGGTGACCCCGACACCTCAATCAACTCAACCCGTACTGCCACATTTACCTATGCCAACACCCAAAACAGCAGCTCCTGCACCAATATCGATATCATCTCCGGTGCCGGCCAGTCAAAAAATAATGTCTGAGATCGCGGAAGAACCAAAAAAAGATTCTGCCGACGTCCCTTCAGCGATACCAAGTCAACAACCAACAAAATCTCTGCTGTCGTCATCTTCCAGTCAAGAACCTCGGTTTATCCCAGTGGCGGTGGACGATGACGAGGAAGAGGAAGTAATGCCGACTATTGATATGGAGTCGGACTCAGATGGTTGATAGTGCGATATAAGTGGGATATAATCTTGCATTCACTCATGACCCGTTAGACGAGTACCATCAAGAATTACTTCTCTTCCGCTTTGGTTGCGATGGCTGACAACCTTTGGTATGAGTCTCATCTTCAGAATCATGACTGGCGAAAGAAATCGACGCTGGTCCTTGGGAAATAGAATGCAGCTGACAAAGGTGAGTTCTCCGGTTGAACGGAATCAAACGACACCTACCTTGTGCAAAAACTCGCTTGCGACAATGTTATGGGGATCCAATGCCTTTGCGTGTTCAAGAAAGATCTGAGCGCGACTCAAAGAGTTGCTATCAAAGGCAGTTTCCTCAACCTCATTAACACCTGGATCAAGGACATCAGACCGATACACCAGAATAACCGACACTTCTAAAACTGACCAGCTGATTCAGGAGGCTGAGCAACGAAAATACACAGCAAGCCTGCATAGACGTGGAGTACTGGATTGTCACGATAAGGGAATGAGGGAAGGTAGCTGCTATAACATAAGATCACGGGTTTTCGACGGAGAAAATCACGTACAACTCAAGCTCGTCGAGCGCATCTCTGTACTTGCCAGCAAGAATGTAATGCTGGACCAATTCAGCAAGAATACGTTCTCGCTAGGAGCGTCATTTAACCTCGTCGCGATTGTAAGGACAGCAAATTGAGACATACCTCCTCCGGAAGTTGGAGTAACATGGTCCGTAGATAATCTATTTTGCGTGGATTGCTCTCCATTACGCGGGCATCATTCCCGAGCAAAGTGATGCCCAGCCTCCACATTGCTTTCCAATTTATTTCTTTGCATCTGGCTAGAATTGACCAAGCGCGTCTGGCACGGGGAAGGTCGTTCCGCTGCACGCTGAGATTCATGATATCATAGAGGCGCCGCAGCTGTATTTGACGCGCATTGGGCATTTTCTTTTCATTCGGAAAAGCGAACAGGAACTGATGGTCATTGGTGTAAGTTCTTTCAAAGACGAAAGTAGGAAGCTCTGGCTCGAAGTTTAAAGCCATGACAAGTATCGAGCAATGAAATTCGGGACTTCCAGCGTCACGTTAGTCCATCATGATACCTTCCGGTAACCAACATCCACCTGCTGGCGTTACACCGACTAAACTAGTTTGAGGCAAAATTCATCGATTGCTGAACAGCACAATTTGCAGCTGAAAGCAGATCCAAGCCTATCCAAGCGCATGATGGATGAAGATTTCACGTTTGGAGCTTCAGTCTGGGGTAATAGTACACCCACTGACCCGACACACCTCACAAATATCACATCTCTTTCATCACCTGAATCACCTGTGCCGCCATCTCCTGCACCCTCTCAAGACCGACTAGACGATTTCGATGACTTTCATACGCCACCGCAAACACAGAACCCATCTGTTGCGCAGGAAGATGATTTTGGTGACTTTGGAGATTTTGGAGAAGCGGAGGGCCTGGAGGGCAGCGAGGATTTTGGACACGATACAGATTTTGGGCAGGGTGCAGACTTTGGGGATTTCTCAGAAGATGCTACGTTTCATGAAGAGCCAATACCGGGTCCATCTCACACCATCTGGGAACCACTCAGTTTAAACCCCCTACCTTCCAGAGAAGACCTGGAGAGACAGATCAACAGCATCCTGGATCCCGTATGGATTTGGGATATCTCTTCGCTGACCACAGATGAAGACATCAGACAGGCAGAGGGTGTCAGTCAAATACTAGTCACACCTGAAAGGTCCGTTGGCCCTGCGAAATCTCCCTTCGAATGCTGAAGCTCTAGGTCATAAAGTCGTGGTTTATATACCATGCTGATGGATTCGCCGCCTCTCATGGAGCCCATTAACTGGACGCGCTCACGCATTCGACAGCAACATTTAATCGCTCTTGGACTACCCGTGAACTTGGATGAAATACTACCACACGCAAGCGGCAAGCCCCTTCCCCCACTACATATATCAACGCGACCGATGTCTGCACCCCCGGGGCCTCGCAATGGCCCACTCCATAGTACCCCACCGTCTAGAACCACTTCTCGTGCAGGGACTCCACAACCGTCTACGCGGCCAGGATCATCAACTGTATCACAACTTGGTATCGGACCCAAACCCCAACTAGATGCCAAGAAAGTAGAGGAACTACTCAAACTTGATACAGGTGTGTATTGTTTCCTCTAGCCGTGATCTGACTTATGATGTATATTGCTGAGCAGATCAATTGACGCTCTTACCCTTGGCGAAACTTGAACGGTTTCTGGTAGATATCCGTACAGAGACAACCAATGCCTCATCTCTACTTACACACCTTCTACAAACTCGCGATGCTCTCCAGCAGGACTCGGAGACATACAACAAGTTGATCGCAGAACTAGTAAGTGAGGCGCAGAAGAATAGTGGTCAAAGTCGGACAGGTGTCAAGCGTAGCGGTACCTTGCGTTAATGTATTCATCGCACTTTCATATGTTGAGAGTTTGCAACTGAGTACTGAGTACTGAGGGTCAAATTCAAGCAAGGCGACAAGTACAAACACGTGACTCGCTCAAATTAGAAAGGAGAAAAAAACTTAGTCGATGTCGATCGCGTCTCGCACTAAACTCTTGTCGCATTCACCAGCTTGGAAAAGGATGTTCTAGCTTGGTATGACACTCTCCCGACAGTAGAAATATCCAAAAGCGCAACAGTGAACACCCGCCATTGCGTCCGCCATGAACATATCACATTCCATTCCGTCCACCGTCTCAAGCATCTCTTTCTCATTCCTGACAGCGGAGGACATCCGGAGGATATCCGTCAAGCAGATTTTGAACCCCGTATTGTTGGATGACTTAAATAGGCCGAACATCGGTGGCTTATATGATCCTGCTCTCGGTCCCAGCGATCGCCACGATATGTGAGTGCCTAGCTCTTGGTGGTCTTGGGACAGGTGCATTGACACTGTGCATCTAGCTGTGCGACATGTCACTTAACTTACTTCATGTGCCCAGGCCACTTCGGTCACATTGAACTGCCCGCCCCTGTATACCATCCTCTGTTCATGACAAACATGTACAATATTCTTCGCGCAACATGTTTGTTTTGTCATAGATTCAAACTGAGTCGATCAGTGGTACGCACATGCACTTCCGTTCAGTCTCCTTTTTTAATCCGCTCCATGCCAGATCTGCAAATATGTCGCCAAATTCCGCCTGTTAGAACATGGTCTCCTGGAAGCTGCACTCGACGTGGACAATATCACCTTACACACGGCCAATGATGATAACGAAGATAGCCGCGACGAAACTATTGCTGAATTGGAATCTCGTGTTAGGTTATTCGTTATGGTGCATCTCAGCAAGGCGTCCAGCAGCAAGCGAGATCACTACAAGGATAGTCTTGTCTATCAGGCTCGGAAAGATCTCATCCAAGAGTTTTTGAGAACAACTATCACCAAAAAATGTAGCAATGAGGGGTGTGGCGCGTGAGTTAGCTGTTTCGCTGTATGTGAATTTTTGGCTTAAGGAAGATAATAGCTTCTCCTACACGTTCCGCAAGGAGGGATTCACCAAAATCATTGAATATGATCTCTCCGTCAAGCAAAAAAAACCAGCATCGAGCCATCAGTCTCAAAAGACCAGATGTCCTCTTGTTCCAGCAGCAAGGTGCAGATGCTTCAAAATCTCGGTCCGAACCTTCGAATACTATGGACGTAGATTCGGAATCTGACTCCGAAGGCGAGGGGGAGCCCACATACTCAGACGAGGAAGAGGAACTACAAGCAACCGGCCTCTCGAAAGAGAATGGCCCCCCTCGTGCTGCAAATGGCAAAGTCAAGACCGCGCGCGGTCGCAACGAGCGTGTGATGGCACCAGAAGAATGTCGTGCCCATTTGCGTCTTCTTTTCCGTAACTGCCCTGAGATTTGTTCCCTCATCTTTGGTCGACATGGACCCTTCTCTCCCCTGAATGCTGCAGGTCTATCACTGGCATCTGCCGACATGTTTTTCATGGAAGTGATCCCTGTTCCGCCAACGCGTTTCCGTCCGCCTGCTACAATGGGTGAAACGCTGTTCGAACACCCCCAGAATGAGCTTTTGGCCAAGGTTTTGAATACGTCGTATAGGTTGCGTGATTTAAACGCAGACCTGCAAGCCGCGTCTGTGAAGGGATCAGGCGTTGATGATACGACGCGGCGTCGCTTATTTGGTGCTTTACTCGAGGGGCTCGTTCAGCTGCAAGCGGACGTCAACAGCTTTATGGACAGCAACAAAAATCCTACGCCCGTCCGCAACGGTAAACTCCCCCCCGCTGGCGTCAAGCAAGGGCTCGAAAAGAAGGAGGGTCTCTTTCGTAAACATATGATGGTATGTAATAGTATTCTGCTGAGTGCATCGTATTTGATTAACTTTGCAGGGTAAACGTGTCAACTACGCAGCACGGTCTGTAATCTCGCCAGATGTAAACATCGAGCCAAATGAAATTGGCATCCCTCCTGTTTTTGCGAGGAAACTTACCTTTCCTGAGCCTGTGACTCCTGCAAATTTCCACGAATTGCGGCAATGGGTCATTACTGGTCCGAAGGGCTACCCAGGAGCAACGATGGTCGAGTATGAAGATGGGCATAAACAATCCTTGGTAATCTTCTTTATTGCGTTATTTCCATAATTCTGACATGATTCGCTAGGAAAAACTCACACCTGAGCAGAGAACGGCCATCGCCAACCAGCTGCTGACGCCCCAAGATGGCAGCGATAGCTCCTCAGGTCGTCGCGGACTCTCAACGCGAACGGCTTCCATCAATAAGAAGGTGTATCGGCATCTCCGGGATGGCGATATCCTGATCCTCAATCGTCAACCAACCCTTCACAAGCCAAGTATGATGTGCCATAAGGCCCGGATTTTACGAGGTGAAAAGACCATAAGAATGCATTATGCTAACTGGTAGGTTCTCAATTACTAGTACAGGTTCAATGGTTAATCTTCTTTATACTTAGTAACTCCTATAATGGTATGCATTCCAAATCAAAGCCGTATAAATGCACCTAATTGTAACTGCCCACAGCTGATTTTGATGGTGACGGTGAGTATTGTGTTGAAATTCCGAGGTCAATGAGAAACTAAACCGCTCGTTGGGTAGAAATGAATATCCATTTCCCCCGTGAGCTGCTTCAAATTATAATCTATATATTGATCCGAATCTCCTTGAAGAAAACCAGGTTGCTCGTGCGGAGGCGATGCTAATTGCCAACACTGAGAATCAGTATTTGGTTCCGACGTCTGGTAAACCCTTACGCGGCCTCATACAGGATCACGTTGTTGCTGGGGTCTGGATGACCTGTCAAGACGCTTTCTTTTCCCGCGAGGAGTACTTCCAGCTACTTTACGGAGCCCTCCGCCCTGAGGATGAGAGTTATCATCTAACACGGCTGGTCACTCTACCTCCGGCCGTGTGGAAGCCACGTCCGCTATGGACAGGCAAACAGGTCGTAAGTAACAGTGCTTTGTTTGCCTACTCATCCCCTAATTGCAATACGCAGATCTCGACGGTCCTGAAAAATATCACGCCAAGCAACGCGGAGGGCCTGAACCTTGATTCCAAAGCCAAAGTTCCTGGCCATTTATGGGGCAAACATTCCTCAGAAGACAAGGTTATATTTGTTGACGGCGAACTTCTATGTGGTGTCCTTGACAAATCTGCATTTGGAGCCACCGAGTATGGCCTTGTGCACTCGGTATACGAGCTGTATGGAGCTGATGTTGCTGGGAAGCTTCTCGGTGTTCTTAGCCGGCTGTTCACAAAATTTTTACAACATCGGGCCTTTACGTGTCGCATGGACGATCTGGCATTAACGCCTGATGGAGATCAGAGGAGAACTGAGCTGCTCCAACATGGCCGTGATCTTGGGTTTGACGGTGCCGTGGAGAATTTCCCTTCGTTGAGCAAGCTACCCAAGGAGGAAGTCCCAGCAGCATTGACGACATTGCTCGAGGATGTCTTGCGAGACGACAGCAAAATGGCTGGCCTCGATGTCACTGTCAAGACTAAACTTTCGGGCCTAACCAAATCTATTGCCGACGCCTGTATGCCTCACGGTCTTCTGCGCAAGTTTCCTGACAATCACATGCAAACTATGACACTATCTGGTGCGAAGGGTAGTGCCGTCAATGCCCAGCAGATATCATGCGCACTTGGCCAGCAGGAACTCGAAGGTCGTCGCGTACCCGTAATGGTCAGCGGAAAGACTCTACCATCTTTCAAGTCATTCGAGACGAAAGCCATGGCAGGTGGGTATGTTGCCAGTCGCTTCTTGACGGGCGTGAAGCCGCAAGAATTTTATTTCCACTGCATGGCTGGACGTGAAGGTCTTATCGATACTGCCGTCAAGACGTCTCGATCCGGTTATCTTCAGCGGTGTCTCATCAAGCACCTTGAGGGCATTCGTGTTCACTACGATCATACCGTCCGCGGCAGTGACTCATCCGTATACCAGTTCCGCTATGGCGGTGATGCGCTAGACATCACAAAACAGAAGCACCTCTACCAGTTCGAGTTTGTCGCCCGGAACCAGCTCACCCTTCTTAACCTGTACAAGCCTAAGAACATTGCTGGTCAAATCAACGATCATGATGCCATGTCTTATATGAAGAAAACTTTGAAGAAATCGAATGTGCGTCCGGACAAGTACACACCCGCAGAGCGAGAGGAGCGTGCTCCTGCCTTGGATGTGTATAGCCCTAGTCGATACCTCGGCAGCACATCAGAGAAGTTTGCGGAGGCATTGGCTCAGTACATCAAGTCTAACCCTCATGGGTTATTGACCAACAAGGATAAGAACGCGACGGACGGCCCCCAGATCAAGCGGCGGCATGAACCCGCTAAAGTCAAATTTTTCAACATTCTCATGAACGTCAAGTATCTAAGAAGTTTGGTGGACCCTGGAGAGGCCGTTGGTTTATTGGCGTCTCAGGGGTAAGTTTCTGGACCCCATGCCTATTTTTTATTCTCACTATTTGCAGTGTCGGAGAACCATCAACTCAAATGACGCTGAACACGTTCCATTTCGCAGGTCAGTTTTTATTGTCAATTTTGCCAACGTGCTGAATATTCACCTGTCTGATGTAGGTCACGGAGCTGCCAACGTAACGCTGGGTATTCCCCGGCTGCGGGAGATTGTGATGACAGCTTCACAAAAGCCCAAGACACCTTCCATGACTATGGAAGTCGAGCCTGGCGTGTCCCAAGTGGACATTGACGCTTTTTGCAAGCGAGCTAGTAAATTGACACTGTCTCAGCTGGTTGACAATGTGACGGTCAAAGAGCGTTTGACTGTGCAAAGCGGTGCACGTCGGACCGAATTCGTTATAGACATCGCCTTCTTCCCCGCGGAAGAATACACCGAGGAGTATGACATTCTACCCGAGGAGGTTCTTGCCGTATTTGCAGCGAAATTCCCGTTAATACTCAAGAAGGAGATTCAAACGGAAATGAAGAAGCTCGACACCGATTTGAAGGGCCAAATAGCGCAGCTTGGGAAAGGTAAAGCATCTAAAGAACCTGTCATTGGCGAGGCGGAGGCTGTAGATGGCGAGGGTGAGGGCGAGGGCGCAAGCCGTGGCAAGGATGACGATGATCGGAGTGAGCAAGGGGATGGTGATGATCTTGACCCAAAACGAGCTCGTCAGCAGCAGGAGCAGACATCCTACGAGTCTGACGGTGACGGTGAAATGGATGACTTGGACGATGCCGCTATCGAGGCCGCTTATGCGTCAAACGCAGAGGATGGTGAAGGCGAAGGCGACAGAATTGGTCATCCGACAGCTATTCATGCACAAACTCAAGTCGTAGCGGACGCCTTCACTAATAACTTTCATCAAGCAACGTCGTTCACGTTTACGAAGTCAAGATGTTCTATCCGACTCGAGGTTCATGTTGTTTGCGCTTTGCGTTCTTGCCTTATCTCACAAATTTTCAGTTTCCTGCAGACTTCCCAAAAATTTTGTTGGTAGGCATAGTCGAGCGCACTTGTCTGAAGACTGTTATCCGGGAGATCCCTGGCATCACAGACTGCTTTAGTGCAGTTGTAAAGGAACGTGGAGTGGAGAAGATACGAGTATGCTATTGTCTCATTCCATTTGAGCTTGGAGCTGAAAACCACAAATCTAGCTTACTACCAATGGATCCAACTTGCGGGGTATCTGGCAATTTACAGGCGCAACAGATGATAATATCATTGACCTGGATACCATCTACTCCAATGACATCTACTCCATCCTCAAATCTTTCGGGGTGGAGATGGCGCGTGCTGCGATATTACGCGAGATTGGTGGAGTATTTGACGCCTACAAGATTGATGTTGATGGGAGGCATCTGGAACTTATTGCGGATTATATGGTCAGACCTTTACCCACTAGGCACGCAACTCACTTACTCACGATACTATCAACGGCCAGACATTCGAAGGCGGATATAAGCCATTCAACCGTAAGGGTCTCTCAAGCAACCCTTCGCCCCTTCTCAAGGCGTCATATGAGACAACTGCCGCCTTCCTTTCAGACGCGACGTTGTATGGTGACTTTGACGACTTGTCCACGCCATCAGGTAATCTGGTCATGGGACGTCCTAACCAAACGGGTACTGGGGTTTTCGATGTGGTGATGCTTGCGGAAGTTCCTGCTTGATACATAGCTACAGAGTGATCGAATTAACTGTGTTCTTTATGAGTGTGACTGCAAAAGCAGAACACGTTATGTCACGCGTTGTATGTTTTGATGAGATCCGGCTTTATGCGAGGGCTAAGCGCCAAGCGCCTTTGACTCCAACCATCCACTATCAATCAAGTGTCGCTTCAGCATCGCCTAGTCTTCTCTTGAACTCTCTTTGCAATGCCCATGATGGCTCGTGCTGGTCCTTTGCAAGATCTGCCACTTGCGCATTTCCTAGCTAGTGGCACCAGTTCAGCTCCCACCATTGTTAAACCAGCCAAACGCCCTCTTTCGCCTTCAAAATCATCCATTTTCAGCCCGGCCAAGCGCCGTATCCTGCATTCAGAAGGCATTCTCCTGCCTGGTGAAGCCTCCCTGTCGTCATTGCGACCTCAGCTTCCATGTTTTGGAAGTGATGTCTTTGGAGCCTCCCACGATTCGTCAATAGCATTGACATCACCCACACAACGTGCTGGTGCCACCCAGGGAAGCTCAAGGGATAGACGAACACCGAGGAAACCTTCGCCAAAGTTGACACGTTCAACCGTTGCCTCCGGAGACGACTCAGCATCTGCACTCAGCCTCCGTCGCTCGTCTCGCCTGCAGTCATCTCAGCGCGGCGCTGAACTTGGCGCTGATTCAATGGCAATTCCTCGCGAGATGCCACTGCCTCATGATCGTCAGTCAGCGCATTATCCTGGCTTTGATACGTATCAGGATACGCACATATTTCTTGTACCATCGCGACGAACAAGTCCGTCTTCTGATAATGAAGACTCGTGGCCTAGTTCTGAAGAAGTCCTTTCCGAAAAGGAGATCACCAAAGAGAATATCCCTCCTCGGAAGAAAGCCAAGAAGTCCTCCTTGGCACGATCCTCTCTTCCGATAGACAAGACGTTTCGCTCAGATCGACATACTACTCGAGAGGAATCCCGCCAGCTGTCCAGCATCACAGCTAGCAGTTGGTGCATAGATGGGGTTACCACTCCTCGGGCGTCTTGAACACCACCCGCGACACAATCACCAATAGGATCAATGGAGGTTGTTTTGAAAGGAACCCTTACGGGGCAGTCTATTTGATCTACGCAACCTATCTTCCATCCGTCTTCTCTTTCGATACTGATACTTGGCTGGCGTATTAAGTGTCCCCGATCTATCATTCACATGCTACCTATTATGAGATCTCCAATGACTATCTGCACATTGTCAGTTATATATTTTCGATATTGTACCGCCGGTTGCTAGAACAGCCAGCATACGGTCCAATTCATGTCGTTCGATTTGTTGGTTTAATTGAAGTCTAATTTGTTATGTTTTTTCTGGCCTGTGCGCTCTAGCCAATATGACTTAAAACGTTGGTGCACGTGGCAATCGACACGTCTAACCTCTGGACAGCAGGACAGCGGACAATCATCAATTCAATGACTACGCAACTGCGCAGCCTGATCTTGCTTCTAGTGGCTTCTCTCTCGCTGGCGAGCGCACAATTCAATTTCTTTGATCAGATGTTTGGGCATCCCCAACAGCAGCAGCAGCAACAGCAACAACAAAGAGGACCTGGACCTTCTGATAATTCCCAATGGATGGCCCATTCAGAAGCCCGTCAGTACACAAAAACACAATACACTACTTCTAAGAATCACTAACTCGTAATGTTTAATTAGTATCGTGCTCCCAATACCTCTGCCCAAGTACCCTGGCATGTGTCAAGAGACCGTCTGATTGCCCATGTCCCAATGCAGAGGATATCAAGTGCACCGTCCCAGACGCAGTAGATGCAGACGCAGCAACGGTTGTTTGCGTGAGGGGAGTGGAGGAGTGTACACCAGTCGAACGACTGACGCGTTCATATTCAACATGACATAACCTCCGTCTGTTGTTGGTGACTCACTAAAATATATGGCGAGTGGGGAGTCCTATCAGCCGTCTCGAAAACAGAAACACTTATCCCATGATTCAGCATGCTCGCCAACCCATACCGTTCTCTTACGGTGGATCACAGGTTGCAAAGCCTTTTCTTCTAGAAGCATTCATGATATCATCTTGCATACGCACTCTTGCTGTAGGCTTCCGACCGTCATATTTCTCCCGGGCACACCTGCTTTGACTTCAGAGACTATCACAGTTGCATATAATCTGATGAACATTATCAGCCGTCCGCATTCAAGGTACATTCTATTTTCACTGCTGAACGGAATCAATGTCGTCAAAATCAACTTTTACTTCGACGACGGAGCCCTACTCAAGGGGTTGCCTTGTCGTTCTTAACGTCACTTGCGGCGATTAACATAAAACTATGTCCAGATCAGTCAAGGTCTGACTTGCCCCATTAATATAAGACAGTAGTATCATCCCTTGATGAATTTCAGATTCAAGAAACAGTTAGACTTCTGTACGAACTGAAGTTTCCAGTCAATTGGGTGTTTGAGCTTGTAACTCCGCGATTCACGCGCGAGGATTGAACATTGGGACATTACGTAACTATCAAGTGTGGTCGACATCAAACCACCATGGCTGCTCCAAGACCGACTGTAAGGTGCACTGTGAAGTTACATCTTTCAGTTTAGCTGAACTTTCCGCAGTCTAAATTGCCTCCAGGTGCTAACCGTATACTCTTCGTCAAAAATCTTAACTACCAGATTACCGGGGAAGACTTGTACGACCTCTTTGGACGATACGGCAGCATCAGGCAAATACGCATAGGGGATGAGCAAAAGACGAAAGGAACTGCCTTTGTCGTGTTCGACGATGTTATGGATGTACGTTTTTCTCTGTCCTAACGGGTTTCTTGTATCTAATCCCTGCCAACTTAGGCAAAAAATGCGCTTGAACATTTGAATGGTTTCCATCTGCAGGAGCGGTATATCGTTGTTCTGTATCATATGCCAGCCAAACAGGATGCTGCTGCTGCTAAAGCCGATCTAGCCCGAAGAGAGGAAGAGCTAGCACAGTTGAAGAAGAAGCATAACATTGTGGATGATTGAGCCACTCCATCTCGAGCTTATTGTTGCATATTCATGCTCACTCATGTGTTCAGCTGAAGTATTTTTGATCGCAATACGATGAATCTCTCAGGAAATATCTGTATGCATTGTGTATCAAGTCCACTCGAGATGATGTACACGACGGATTCATCCGCGTAAACTACATTTTGGGCACCTTTTGTCAATCTGTGGTGCTGAACGCGGCAGGCTTCAGCACAGAGTCAGCGCAAGCGACTTGTTGACATACCATACTGCTGGGGATATTGACGACTATAGCGTCACAAGTTAGTGGTGTCTGGAGTTCAGCGATGTGAAGACTTACTATTGCCAGCACATCTTGCTGCACTGCGGCGGTATACATGTTGGTGAATGTTTGGGGCTAAATTTGCAGTTTCTAAGGTCACATTTGATCTAGGCATCTGGTAAGATGGCGAACAAAAAAGTCACTGGCTTCTGACCTCCTCGTCGGGCTGTACAAGGTGATTCATTAGTTGGATTCAAGACTTGTGAGCTGACTAGAACCGTACCAGATTTATCGAGTGCCCGCAGCTATGAAGGAAGATAGCATCAATTATTCAAACCAGTGAAGGTGATCATACCCTTTGTAAAAGTTGTTAACCCTGAACGACGGTGAGTCGATCATGGTGGCTGCAGCTGAACAAGTGGCTACCCACCTTCTCCAGTAACACATAATGATAATGATCGTGATGTGGCTCTGGAGCTTTTCGAACTGTATGTTCTTTTATACCTAAAATCAGGGCCATTCTAACAAGATTGTTCTCTCACCGTTTACACGACAAGTAAAATGAGGCCGACATGGGGAAGACCAAGAATCCATTCTCGGCATCCGTCTAGCGGTGAAGACAAACAGCTATGGAAATGGCGATCCCGCAGTGGTCGCACGATCGATGAGTAAGGGATCAGAGCTCAAAACAAATGTGTACCCTGACCCTTGTCGATACACATGAGATCTTACGAGCGGCACCATATCGTCAATGTCACGCACATTATAGGACGACGGAATTTGATAATTCCATCAGAAGCGCGGATGATTGCGCGCGGAGGAGCCGGGACAGCATACCTTTCTTCTTCTGCGGACGTGGGGCGAGCTCAAAACGGCGTTCTTTCCCAGATAATGTCCCACAATTCTTGCAGAAAACTTTCAGCACCGAAAGGTTGCTATAGCCTTAATTACCCCTTACGGTCCGGAGGCGACTGAGTGAGTAGCCTTACGGCTTGACGTACGTCGGTCCTGAACGTGGCTTTGAGCTGTCATGTTATCACCGATAGCGCCATGTCAACAGTGTCTCAAAATTGGTTATTGCGAATGCAATCCGCGCTCCCACCAACTCTATTATCCTCATCTTCGTTCCGAAAGTGATGATGCAGGTCAGATCAGCTTCTTCAAGATAAGCTTGATCCGCCAAATTCGCTCATGTCACGGCAGAGTGTTTGGCCAACTCGTGCTGCGACTGCGGGGCTCCGGCGCCTGCACAAACGCTTGAGGCATCCTCCGAACATTGCAACGAGGCTTTCATATCGGTTAGAGAAGCCTTGTCATCGGTCGCAGAAACAGCATTGTACTTATAGACAATCCAAAAATGAGTACTCAATGAGCTGGTCAGCGAGATGCGTGTAGATTAGCGCAGTCACGTAGTCATTGTCAAGTATCTTCATGATCCGAAGTTATTTGGGGAGAGTCTGGGAATTCTATTTGAAGTACTATGTCTCCACTGTTTGTATGTATACCCAATGTATACCCGACTCTCTATGACAAAATACCAGGTGTAACATTTTTAGATACATCCAACTAATACCCGACACATGGCACCAGTATCATGCGGGCCTGTGATTGATCAACAATTGTGGCTATAATGATTTACTCAAATATTTGCTAGCAGCGACGTGGTAATTTTAGCGCCCGCGGGTCTGAAGATCTTCTAGAACGGCCGCACAATTCTCCAGTCGAAATATTCAAGTTTGTCAATACGGCCGCACTAAAATCCAGCAAAAAAACACGTTCTTTGGAAGTATTGGCTGATTTTTTTTCACCGGCTGCGGCTCACATCTCAGATAATGCGTCGATTCAACGGCACGAAAATTTGGTGAACTGTCCCCGCTCAAGCGCAAGTTGCGACAAAGTATATGTCACGCTGACGTCCATATTATCGCATCGCGGCTAGCTATGGAAATATATAGCGATGTACCATTGAGCTTGATCCCAATGGTTCATCACAAGATAGCGGTTCGCTTGTGCCGGCATGATATTATTGGCCTCATGTCTATATTTTCTGGCTGTTTCATCCATTAACTGATATATTATTCAAGTGTACAGTAAGCCAGCGGAAGGTTGCCATGATTAGCTCCTCGATGTCTGTGATACTTTCTCCCGACGTGCGTTCTCTCTCCAGATGCTGATCTCGGGCCTCAAGCAATTCCGATAATTTTGATCTATATCTTGCGCCAGGTTCAAACGTCAGACGCCGTGCGATTACCGCACCGCATCCCTGCAACCTTTCTACACACTCAAAAAAATGTTTGCTCACGAATTCAGCTCAGCGGTGTGTTGATCCGGCGGCTGGCGGTACAAACATACCGTACGGCTAACTGTTTTCTGTCAGGCGTAAAGAGGCGACTATACGGTCACCATGACTAGCACTTTATCTCGCCGCGGCTGACGCTCGGTCCCAAACAGTGGTCCGGTGGTTTTGTGTCGGCATGACATTGTCTTCGTGTCCATATTCCTTGGTTGCTTCACTCATTAACTTAATGCACATTGTTTCAGCAGTACTTGGTCAGTACAAGTCGATTATGCCGCCACACGATTAACTCCCCGATGAGTCTCCGACGGGTTCTCAATACGCGCGTCTGCTTTCAATGGGCTGAATCTCTGTATCTCCAACAAGTCCGATCTTTGAGCGATCGTCGCATCGCATCTCTGCAATATTTCTGAATGCCTCGTACCGTTTTCCTTTGGTCCACAAACAAGAGAGGGAACAGGAACCCTCAATAGAACTCGAACATAGTGTAACGCGGTACCACCCGCGCATGATTTACCGTTTCTTTACATAAACCCTCACGCCCTCACTCTCGTGCACGAAGACCGCACGAAATAGTCTAAGGTCATGGTATCCAAGCCTCTGCGATTTTCAAAATGATTTGCAACGACCAATATCGATACCCCGAGGATCTATCTTGTTCTCGAGGTATGGCGTCAGGCGTCTACGGTAAGTATCACACCACCTCTCACCACCTTTCACTACCTCTCACCGTCTCTCACTGCCTCTCACCACTTCTTCACTGTGTCTTCTCGACTTCATGATTTCAAGTGACGATAGACGACCAATTTCGCTGCACTGAAACTGTAAATTACTCACTGGCCACAAATTGGCCCTGACGGGTAGCAAGCACGAATTGAGCCGCTTCAGAACAATCATCCGTGATAAGGGCCCTAGGACCCGCAAGTACTGATACCAGGCACAAGGCGTTTCAGATCTCATGATACAGTTCAAGGCCATAAGTGGGGTAAAAATAGTGTAAGATGCGTCGGAGCCTCTGCTATCTCCTCAGCTTCATCACACTGCCCGCACGAGCCCCATGATGAAATAAAACGTGCTGTTCATCTTATCATATCAAGTTAGTCGAATCATGGGGAATCTTCCACTTCGAATGCGCGATCAGACTCATACTGACCTGCACATGTAGCGCGCCAAACAGCAGCATGCTCCTTTCTTCCGCAATTTTGCAAATGGTTTAGGAAGGACTTGATTACCGCGACATATCGCTTGGGACGTGGGAATGCATATCAGACTCGGACGTGCCCATGTGAAGGATATTGGCCCTTGCCACATCATGTGCTGCTCGAGACTCAGGCTTGTGAGTCATCTTCGGACAATTTTCAATTATGTGGTGCAACCTCGGCGCAGATACAGCCAAGAATATTCCAGCCGAACACTGTTGAGCAGCGGCGTACCGCACTTCTAGATACTGCATGATACTCAAGAAGACCACAGATGAACAACAAATACTCGTGATCAACTCTACATCGATCGATGCAGAGTGGAAACAAAAGAAAGAAAGGACAAGAAGCCACGATTGAAGACGGCCGATCCACTGGTTGAACAAAGAGCTGCACACTGATCCGGCCAAAGAATTGCGAGGGGAAAGAAATATCACGTGATGAGTCCTGCCGGCCGGCCCGTTCCTGGGCACTCAGGGTACACTAAGTGCTGCAAACTATCACCTTCGATCCATGCGATGTGGCTCCACTATTCCTGCAGATTTCCCGCAACGGTGAAGGGCGTAAGCGATGGGAACGTCATGCATGCAACAATCGATATTCACATGAATTTGTACCCGGAATTAAAGACAACACAGCCTTTAGTGACGCCCATGCAAATTTGCGCGGTAACAAGTCAGAGAAGGGATACAACTAATAGCGGAATGCACAAAAAATAAAACCTCATAAAGTACAAATATGCAGACCATGAATATCATCCGTACTCAAAGCAAGCAATAACTTGACTGCGGTCTGCCATATCGCCCCTAAATAAGCTCCGCAGCATTGACTGGCATTTCGTCCTTGTGAATTGGATTATTAGTGAGACAGGATGAAGCAACAACTGAGGGCGCAACGTACAATTTGTGTGCTGTAAAATTGTTCTGGGGTGGAGTCAGTAATGAAGGTGACCAGTAAAAAAAATGACATACCGATGTCGCGCAGGATACGCACGTCGTCGACAGTCACGAACTGATGAATGATACATGAGAATATCGAGCTGGTATGAAGGACCTGACGTACATTGATAGCAACACCTTTCCGGCCAAAACGACCTGAGCGCCCAATGCGATGAATGTAATTCTCACGATTGCTGTGTGAGGCGCCTCAGTTAGTGAATTTTAAAACTTCAGGCAAATTTAATTACGCTGGAAGATCGTAGTTGATGACAAGGGAGACTTGTTGGACATCAATCCCTCGGGCCCAGACATCGGTTGTGATGAGCACACGACTATAGTAATGATCAAAAGTTTTTCATACTGAAGCGAGCCAAGAAAAAAAAAATGACGCACGATGTGCCACCGCGGAATTCCGCCATGATAGCGTCTCTTTCCTTTTGAACCATTTCACCGTGCATCGACGACACAGTAAAGTTTGCCGCGCGCATCTTTTCGGTTAGCCAATCAACCTATTTTAACCAGTAAGCCATATTAAAAAAGATTTTTTCGGAGGCGTACCTTGCGGCGGGTGTTGCAAAAGATGACGGCTTGTGTGATGGTAAGTGTGTCGTACAGATCACACAACGTGTCGAACTTCCAGTCCTCTTTTTCTACAGCAACGAAAAATTGTTTGATCCCCTCTAGCGTCAACTCATCACGCTTGACGAGGATACGAATAGGGTCGGTCATGAATTTTGTCGTCATCTCCAACACGTCGTAAGGCAATGTCGCACTCAGTAGGACAACCTGAGTAGCTGGGGGGAGGTAGCGGTACACGTCATATATTTGGTCCTTGAATCCCTTGTTGAGCAGTTCGTCTGCCTCATCGAGAACCAGCATTTTGATGTTGCGCGTCCGCAAAGCACGGCGCCGAATCATATCAAAAACACGACCAGGGGTTCCAGATACCACATGTTGACCGTATTCCAACTTTCGAATGTCCTCGCCAATGGATGTACCTCCAATGCAAGCATGACATTGGACATTCATATAGTCACCAAGAGCGAGAACCACTGACTGAATCTGGGTTGCTAGTTCGCGCGTAGGCGATAGCACCAGAGCCTGTGTTTCGCGAACGGAGACGTCGATAGACTGCAAAATAGATATGGAAAAGGTGGCAGTTTTACCAGTTCCCGACTGTGCCTGCGCGATGACATCGCGACCCTGTGTTATTGGGAGAATAGCTCGCTGCTGTATAGCAGAGGGTTTCTCGAAGTCTGTACACAAGCTTCGGCACATGTGATACTGCAAGCAGGAAAATATGCTTACTATACGCATATATGCCGCGAAGAAGGTCCTCTTTCAAGTTAAGGTCATCAAAAGTCGACACAACCGAGACTGCCTCGGAGGACTCAAATACAAGTTTCTGTAGAGTCAGTTAGACGATGCGTGAGTGCACAATTTATTTTGCCCTTCTCTGAGCTGTTTGACAAACTTGCCTCGTCTCCAGGGTTGATGCCAGCCATGTTGACCTATAGGGAAGATGGGTGAGGTGGTGAAAAGCTCGGAGTTTGAAAATATATCCTGCAACCAGCTCAATTGGACTTGAACTTTCCAGTACTACTAGTCTTGGGCGACATGGACTCCATCATCGAAACACAGCGTCAGACACACGAAGAGATAGAAAGATACGAAACTGCTCTATATTCACTGCTCTCAAGAAATCAACCGACTCATGAAATCAGGATCCAGACAGAACACAAAGCAGCTCAGGTCTTGGATCGAATTTCGTCGCGTGTAACAGCCTTGCACAACTCTTACCTTGATGAGGATGCGCGGAAAGCTGAGATAGGTGCACTTAGCGCACCAGCAGCAGCACAGAATGACCTTTCTGAGTTCTATGCGCGGTTGGTGAAGATTCAGGACCACTACAACAAGTATCCTGATGCTGTAGCAGGAGGCTTCGACACGGAGCTTGCTGCCATCTTGGAGGAAGGTAATCAAGATGGGCTGGACGATGATTATGAGGAGGAAGACCGTGCGTTGACAGTAGTCTTGATTTTGCATTGTTTCACCTTTGTTTTCCAGCCATATCTTTGCTTTTCTCTGGTGAAGAAGCATACGGAAAGTACCTCGATTTATACGCGAATCACACCGCGTACAACAACTTGAAGAACATTTCAAAACGACTGCCTTACCTTCAATATCTTGACGTCTTGCTTGCTGCACAAAACGGTTTACTGCACAGCGAGCTTCCGAAGGAGGCTAGGGCAACAAAGGATTACGAGGTGTAAGCTAGTGGATATTTTGACGTGAGCTGCTCTCACTCCTGATCCAGGTACATTCAACACTTGCATGATTATCTCCTTTCCTTTGTAAAGCGGACGCAGCCGCTTGTAGATATTCAAACGAAGCACCAGGAAGCCGAAGTCGAATTTTACCAAAAGTGGGACGACGGCGAGTTTGTTGATTGGGATGAAAATAAAACCGCTAAGCGATCGGTGAATACGGACGGCGCAGGAGAAGGGATGTGGTGCTCCGCCTGTAAGTCTAGTTGTTTATCTCGACGAATTTGCATGTGTTCACGTTAGCATCGCTCAGGCCAGAAAAGTTATTCGAAGAAGACCGTTTATGATGCCCACTTAACCTCCAAGAAACACATGAAAGCAATTGCCAAACAGGCGGTTTCTGAAACACCACCGCAAAATCCTAACGGTACACACACCATCACCGCACAACCCGCGAGCAATGGTCAACTTTTGAAATCCAGACTCCGGAGCTCCGCATTGCTAACGTATCTTTCCACATCCCTTCTTGTGGTGTTGGTCCACATTATTAGCGAGACGAAATCCAATGTGGAACGTCGCTTCTCCCTCACAGCGCGCGAACGTGAACAAGAACTACTTGAGCAAGCAAAACCTCCTCCGGCTCCCACCAATACATCTGGCGATGCTGCGGCCGAAGAAGAGGAAGAGGAGAGGATCTACAATCCCCTCAAACTTCCGCTCGGTTGGGATGGCAAGCCAATTCCATACTGGCTTTACAAGCTTCACGGCCTTGGAGTAGAATATCGCTGCGAAATATGTTCTGACCACGTATACATGGGAAGGTATGGCAGCTTTTTCTTTTCGGAATAGCGGTACGACAGCTTACAACTTTGTAATAGGAAAAATTTTGACCGACACTTCCAAGTATGCAGTCACTTCAATCTGTTGATAGCGGCAGGCTAATCACTGATATTGAAGGAATCACGGCACGCTTTTGGCATGCGAGCTTTGGGCTTGCCGAACACAAAACATTTCCACGAAATCACCCGTATCGAAGATGCCCTCTCCTGTAGGTGCCTCCCTTTTTAAAGAGGCCGTCCGTTGAAATTTTATTTAGTGGCAGAAAAATTGAAGCAAGAGGGACGACATGAAATTTTCGAACAGGAAACAATGGAAGAACTTGAGGACGATGAGGGTAATGTTTACAATAGGAAAACTTACGAAGACCTGAAAAAGCAAGGTTTGATTTGATATGTCCGTGCCGCAGTCTTGTACTTCTTCCATTTACTACTTTATTGTTGACCTCTATGTCCATGCCAACCATAGAATTAATCTAAGCTCCGTATCATACATCAGTATATCGCGAGCGTGGCGGAGGCGGCGGAGGTTTGCGAACAGGTGTGATCGGAGATTGCAACCCCATCGCATGTGAATACAGTTCTTCGTCAGAGGACGATGGCGAGGATGAAAAGGGAGATTCCTCTGGCGAGTCAAAAGGGTTGGCTGTATCCGATTCCAGGAGGTGAGCGATCGAGATGGGAAAGATGCCTTTTGAATGTTCTGAGAACGTGTCAGAGTATGTGTGCTGATGTTGCTACATGCTTACCAGGTCTATTCCACCATGCATTATCATCTGCGCTGGGCGGAGGCACTGATAAAATATGAGTCACGCGGATGGCTAAGATAGTACAACACTGACATTCAGAGTAATCATCGGCAAGTACCAAAGACGCAAGCTTTTCATCAAGTTTCTCGCCCGGGGTAGCCGACAGCGTGTTTTCCAAGAGCAGGCGAGACAACGCGGCCCTCTTGTTGACATCTATGATTCGCACCTCGCTTCTAAAAAGTGCAAAAACTTGGTGCCAGCAATCAGTGGCACGTAATAGTCGCAACCGAACAAGAGCTTACCTGGACGGTGGTCCGAGCCTTTCAGCTCAGCTCGGGAGTATACCGCGAGATCGAATCGGCCTTTGAACAAAATTCTGTCTTCGAGACGTGTCATTCACATGAGTGCACCCTCTGAGAAGGTCAGAACTACTTACCAGTCCAAGCTGGAACGCGCATCTTCTCACTGGTATCATAGTTGTCGGTGCCCAGGTCGTACTTGTAAGTCGGACGGAACAGCATGGGTCCTTCCTCATATCCAGCAAATGCGTCCCCTTTGTCGATTGCCTGCCTCAACTATCGCAGGATTAAGCTAGGGCCAGCAGTTGTCTATTAAGTCGTCAAACACACCTGATCTGCTGCTACCAAAGCATCAAAATCATCGGCCCCCGCCAGGGCTCGGACGCTTTCGTTGTCAAGGTCTATCCTGTAATTCGTGTCTGCGAGCCATATGATATTTCTGTTGAGGGCCTATACGTGTCAAATTCCACATGCCCGAGATCCAAGCGTACTCATGGCTGGACAACGTCTTCCCTTTTTGAAAGTGCAAACCTTTCACAATTGTGTGAAAGTCCGCATTCCGCTCTTCAATGTTGCTAGGCCCGGCAGCAAGGTGCGCAGTCAGGAAGCAGAAGCTAGTATCGTAATAGTCCAGTCGGACTCCAACGCCACCTTTGTTTCCGGACATGCCGCGCAGACCGGTCTAATAAAATGTTCAGCCAGGCTCTCGCGTCATGCGATCAAGGCCCACCTTTCGAGCTGCTCCTTCGACATTCCGTATGACGGGCGTTAGATCTGAGCGAACTATGACCAGAATTGCAGTCCCGACAAGCTGCAATGACAGGGTCAGTATCACTTCACCTGAGCGCGAACATCTATCACTTGTTCACTGCGGAGGAGCACATAATCACACGTTCTTTGAGGTCGACGTTCAAGAGTTTCCATAACCTTCTGTTCCCATATGCGCCTAATGATGTCAGGACACATGCTCCTCATACAGCATAATATCACCTACTTCTTTTCCGGATCTGGTTGCACAATCTGCTGGGCTGTAAGTTGAACAATTTCCTGGAAACCCAGAACAAAAATATCCGGTCTATAATTTTGTTAGTTACGCCATTGAATGCAACTAGGTTTATACTCTAGAAATTCTGTCCAAAAGACAACGCTATTAAGCTGCGACTCAGAGTAAAGAACCAGACTTACTGTCCCGAGGGAAGAGCCACGGTAACAGGCTCTCTGATGACGGTAGCTGCGCGGAGGATGACTGGTGAACAGTGGCAAGAATACACATAATCCGCCTTACCCGGCCGTTAACATTCCACGTTCCTGCGAATATAGTGCACGATTGGGTAGTCGAATACTCGGACAGGCTTATAAGAGCATCGGTGGAGAGATAATCCTACGTGCCGATTCCACTCACCGTTGCTGCAGCGCCTTTCCGACCGAGTCATGTATTGCGTCAAAAATATGCACTTGACGTTGGTTATTCATGTTGCCCTGATAAAAAAAAATCGTAACTTAGAAAGAATATCACAAGAAAACACTCACAAGAAACATGTCAATGGCGATTTGCTTTCTTGGATCTTGAAAATTATTGATGTATGCTCTCGCCACGCTCTTTGTCGCATCGGACAAAACACCTTCCAGGTACATCAGAAATATCACAATAAGTTGATGTCATGTATCTGACCTGTCAAAGTTCTCTTCCCAGTCCGAGTAACGCTCGTATTCAGCGCTCCAGTACCAGCATATATGCGGGAGAGAGCGTCCCCATTTTCTGCCCATAATTCACGATGGTGCATCCAGAGCGCGCCAGCCTGTAACCATTCACGATGCACGAGACTGAGATATTGTTCCAAGGCTCTACGAGAGAAGATATCTTGCACAAAATTTGTTCGGTCCAAGCTATGGGTCATCAACACAAAGACTTTGATATGAATGGCTCGACTCACCAGTCAAGGCAGTTCGTCCGGAATACGCCCTTTTGTTCCGTGATCACACTATCGGTACTGGTATCGCACATGGTAAATCCGTAACGGTCCATGTTGTTATTAATTCCCTCCAAACGACTGTGATTTATTGTATATGAACTAACCATTTCTTAAGAGACCATGACGTACCAGAGATCCCTCATCACGCTATCATGACCACCTATCCTCACGGCATTGTGGAAGTCGTAGTGAGTAATGCTGAGCTCGTCACCCCAGATGCTTCCTGCAATTTGCAGGTGCTTTGCATATGCGGAAGTCAAGATGGCCTCATTCTCTTTGGAACCCAAAAGATTGATGGCGTGAGTAGCGCCATACTCCTCCATCAGATGTGCGAAGTGGCGCTCAAATGCAGGCTGGGAGGCATGCGGCCGTGTGATCTGTATGCGCTGGCCAAAGGTCTGGAGCCCTTGTTGTTCCCAAAACACTGTAATTCAGAGCGTTTAATCGCTGGTGTGTGAATCCCCTGCTGCGAAAACGCACATGGGACACTTCCTCGGACTTGAGTATAACTCACACAATGTTGATCTGTTGTGAGGATAGTTTCAGTCTGTAGAATACAAATCAGGCATTAATCTTATCATCAGTTCATTACCTACCTCAACAAAATTAGCAGTGTTCCCGTCATCATCTACACCCCGAGTATTGAAACGAGTGCCAGCTCGTCTCCACCCAAGACGAGAGATTAATGACAATGTCGCAATAACGGGGGCTCCGTTAACCGGGGGTGCGGGCAAAGCCATGGTAAAGACGCCCACATAGCCTTGTATGGCTAACACCTATCCGCCACGTTACAAACAATCGCCAAGAGGAAAAAGCGAGCACAAGCGCACGATAAATTGACACTTGTCAAGTTCCTCCCTTTCAAGGGGATCTAGCCTCTCTCTGAAATTGAGCAAACTGCGGACGATGTACTCATTCCAGACGAAGCGCTCATCAAATATACCAATATCATGTGCGCTGGATCGATCTCTCGCTAGACGAACGGGAAGACGAGATGAGAGATCCCATGCCGGATCAAGAGCATAATAGAATGAACCAGATGAAAGTATTTTGGTGAGTGGCATGCACGGATGCTCAAACACAGGAGGTGTAGTGGACTGGGAATAGTGCTGCTGCTCTCTTGTCATGAGCGCATCGACGTTTTCTGGATTGAGAAGCGTATCTTGCGACGCAGGAAAATCATCCCATAAGTTGGAGGTAAGGCAGTAGAACGAAACTTCATGAATCTTCGCCACGGATTCAGGTTGAGAGTCAGAGGGGCGAGTCTTTCCGACCTCCGTCGCAGAGGAGACCACCGCGAGGAAAGTATCTATAAGTGATGATTAAGTTGAACCCGATAAACATGCAAATCAACGTACCATTTTCGACCGAGATGAGGCCAAGGCAGCCTTTAATGATGCGGCTGGTTAGTCTCACGGCGCTGGTGAGATTTACATCATCTTTCGGCAGGAACTCCACGATCACCTGTGCTGGATTGGCTTCTGCAGCACGAAATACGAGAGTACGTTGCGGTCGTCCATTCCGCTCGTCATGCGATCCAGTCACCAGGTATAGTGTACGAGGGTTGTGACTTAAGTAAAGATACATAGCATCAGGTAGCGGGCAAGGAAGAGTAATGAACAGAAACAGTGGTGTTGCAATGTCCGTAGTGCTGCCTTGCCGATCTGTTGTATTAGCACTATGATATTTTGCTGGCCTTCTGGAACCCGTATGGAGGTGGTCGGACCTGGCAATGGTACATGAAGTCCAGAACTCCAAACTTCCGACTTCCGAGTCCGATGAGTTTGTTTGGCAAAAGCTTTGCATCCAAACAACCGCCATGATGTACAGAGCTGCGGTGCAGTGAACAATAAGAGTAATGAGTGCGGTAATGAAATGATGTACAATCCATACGATATACAGAAATCACGAAACTGAACACCTATTATGGTCATCTAGTTGCAGTGAGCAAATTAAAGCATCATGCCGCCGGTCTCAGAGCTCTCAGTCTTTCTGCTAGTTTATCGTCTTCCTCCCCAATGCTCTCCTTTGCAGCCAGAGATGGAACACCAGATAGGTCTTTCGACGCTAGATCATGCTGCAATTCTATGTTGGCTTCTTCCGCCATCTGCCGCATGAGACTGTCTACTTGATCTTGCGGAGTCGATACAGCAGTTGTGCTTGATATTGCGTCCTCCATGTAAGACGTCTGAACGTCCAGGTCGGAGAATTGTGATTCGAACTTGTCCATCACAAGCGAAATCTATGACATCATTCGAAAGAGGTTATGATGCGGAGAGCGAAGGAAATATCCTTGACTCACCCGTTCAAGATTCATGCTATCCATTGCTTTATCCATTCCCTTGACCACGGAGGTCATGTTCCCAGTAACCTGTCTCATTGTGACGGCAGTCTCCACTCGACTTGCGACAGCGTCTAACCGGCTAGATAGTCGCAACAAGTTCAGAGCCTCGGACTTCTTGCGAATTGCATTGGAAGCATAGATCCGTGCGCCATCAGTATTTCTCTGCTGCAACGCCTGAGGTTACCCAATGATTAGCTTGCTGTGTTTGATGCTGAACGACGGTGTGAAGTAACCTTCTTGAGACGAGCCTTTTCTGTGTTCTCATCCTTTTGTGCTTTCTTTGCTTGACGATTAAGTGTCTTGGCAGTAAACTGAAGCAGAATGTGTAAAGATAATTCTTGTCGGACGTGATATCAAGTAGTACCTTCAGCTGAAATAGCGTCTCTGCGAAGTATAAACAGATGTCTCGTGACCAGGCTATTGCACGGGCTGCTCACTTTCCATGTTGCTCATGTTGAATCAGTCAAAAGGATGCAGCGTCGATAATGGGGCAGATTGTTCAGAAATGAAGATAGTCAAAGTGGGAAGATGGTATGGCTGCGATGTAAGCGTCGCGGTAACCTTAATCTGGACATTGTTGGTCACGTGCACTTAGCTTCAACGGCTCTTTCTCGGGTGATCAACCTTTTAAACTCGTACTATTTACTTGTACAAACCTAATAGACCGTCATCTGGAGTTCCCTCTCAGAGTGAAGCCTTTCGCCATGTCATTATTGCATTATCTCAGGTATAGTTCGTTTTAAAATATTGAATATCCTCAATTGACATTGACGTGTCACTTTCATACAGCTATATTGCCATAGTTGCTGCTTTCGCATTCATGACGCTTTCACTTGGTTCGTGATGCTCTCCGTCACCTTTGTGCTTGCCCGTCTCTTACATATATCTCCAGCTAGCGGTCTGCTGTATGTCTCTGAGCTAATAGAGGAGCATTCACGTCTTGCCAAGATGATTGGACAGCGGGGAACCTATGTTCGTGAATTCATTTTCTGAATCAAACGCAATTATCTTACATGGAGAGAAGGCAATCATAGTGTTGCACATTATACTGTACTTTTCAGACTCCCTCCCCTTACCACGGACGCTTTTCTCTATAGTCTGCCACGTCGTCTACCTGCAAAACTTCTCCAGCACGTGGCCACTTATCTCGCTCACGTCCTTGTCCTTCATTGCATCCTGCATCTTTGCAGTCTCGGACCACTTCATTTGGTTCTTCTACTTCTCGCACCTCACGCGAGAGGCAAGGCAGGTGTCATATCTATATCGTACTCCAACCCACTCTACAGGACCTGGGTTCTCTGATATCGCAACCTTCTTCGGGGTATGTGTTTGGCTCGTCCCGCTCTTCCTCTTCTTGAGTTTGAGCGCGAATGATCATGCCCTGCCTACATCATCTGGTAAGCTTCCCCTTATGCTTCGTTGATGCCATGTACTCAGTTTTGGTTGTAAATCTAGGCATACCGAGCACACCGACCGCCACCTTGCGAACGTTGGGGCCTCATTCAAACTCATCTCTATTCAAGGCAATGTTCGGTTTTATTCCGTTTCTTCCCAAGGCGTTCAGGCGTTCAGCTACAGATGGGCTGATAGCTCCGCATACCCCCAATCCCGCACTTCGGGAAAGCTCTCCTGCGCCTTCGTCACCGACAGTGTACCACGTACCTCTTCACACGCCTGGAGGAGTCCACCCTCTTAGCGGGACTGGTATATTGCCTCCCAAACGATTTAGCCTTGGTTCGCCACCGCGGCGTGCGTCGCAGACTCACACGAGGGTAACCGTTGATAGTGGAAGCGCGACATTGGCAGCGAGACGAAATAAGTTAGACTGATCCTATGTACGTTGCATTGTCATCTTCTCGTGGTATGATCAGTGCACTGTTCAGCGACGCCTCACGTTTCTCTAGACTAGTTAGTGTGCCATTGTTTTGCGGCGATCTATGGAAGGTCTGCCCCCCTGTTGGTCTCATAGCAAAAGCGAGAAAGTAAATTCCATCTTGAAGTGCACCCTCGCAGAGTTGATGGACTACAGGTTTCGACATTCACCCTGCCTGTCCCAATGCCATACGACGTGCACGATTGAATATATTAAGCTAAAATGTTGAAGAAAACACAGATAAGATAAGTATAGGTGCATTTTCGTGACCGAGGGCAAGAAGTTAGGCGCTACTCAGCAGCAGGCTCTCTGACAAGCTGTGTCAGTATTCCCATGGCTTGTATGAAGAAAGGTCGGATCTCGTTGATTTCCATAGAACACAGGTTCGGCAACTGCATAATATGAGGAATGTGCGATGCGCAAACAAGTGAAACGTACACTGAGTTCGCTGTGATCTAACTTTTGCAAACCATCACGACTCTTGGCTTGTCGAGCTTCGCGGAGATCTTTCAGCAAAGACTTGATTTTGTCTGCATTCGGCACGTCATCCGAAGCGCTTTGAGAAAGTCAAATTTTACCACCAAATGAGCAAAAGTGTTACTAACACATCAAGAATGACCTTGGCTATCTCTGCAAACCGGAAAGGAAGCTTGCTAAATTCAGGTCGACTCGTTTCTCTTGTTAGTCGTTCGTGCAAAAAATCTAGAAGACACATCATCAAGAGTGTAATTCGCAAAGAAAGTTGCACACAAACCTACACTGAGCCATTCTGGGGGTACGATATGACATTTCTTCTTCAGCTTCAGATTGGTGGCCATCCAAAGCGGTATGCGACATTTTGCTGGCGGTCGTAGTGGCCCATATGCGCCCTATGTAAGGACAACCATTGGTGGGTACTGCTATGGATTCCAATCCGCCTCAATGCGTACCGAAATGAAAGCTGTTTTTTCCATTGTGATCAAGGGGACGATCTCGACGAGGTGCTCGGAGGCGATGAGCTCAAGCTCTAGTGGAGTCACGGAGGTTCTCAAAGATTGTGGTAATGCCATCAGAAAAACAAAAGATACAATGATGGATGAGGTTCAGATGAAGTGAGTCACAACGCGGTCACGACTGATTAGCGTTGGCGTTGCTTTCTTTGACGCGTTTGCACACGTGACCAAGACGCGTCTGGAATCTGGATCGGAAAGTCGAACACGCGCTTCTTTGCTCACCACAACCTCAGACCAAGTCATCCACCATTCTGTCGACCCCGTTTCACAGCTTTATCGTTTGTCTTGTAATACTCATGCTTAGTGCAAGAACTAAGCAAGTTTTTGCCTACGGGCGTCGTGGTCAGCGGATTGTGAATGTCGTTGAGAGGAATGAGTCAGATGCCTTTCATTCCCCCGTCAAGACAGTGCGCAACCCCGCAGCTTCTAGACATGTCCAGACAGAAAATGTCATGTACTTATCTCCCTCTCCTCCTCGCCATCGGGCGCACGGGAAATCCAAGCGGGCACATATCTCACCTACCAAATCTCCGCTTGGTCCACCCAAGAGGAAGGCACAGGTCAAGCTAGCAGCCAGGCCAAAAAAGAAGACGGTGCTTTCAAAATTTGAAGAGCAGACGCCTGTGCGACAACCGCTCACACCTCTACACACGAACGGTGCGTCACCTATGGCTCTACCACCTTCAGCACTCGCGAGGAAGAAGGGCAAAGCACCAGTGCAGTCACCGCCACGGGCTGCGCTGAAGCCTACATCTCCCATCGTGACTCTTGATATCATCATACTCGATGACGATGGCAAGAAGCTCAGTCAGGAACGGCGGGTATCACGGACTGATGTACGGACAAACTCTGTGACTGGTGCAGCTCCGAGAGTCGGGGGCAAGGGAGCACCCAAGAACTCTGCAACCATCCCCATCAGTGACAGTGACTATGACTTGGAGGAAGTGCCCGAGGTAGCGAAGAAACGTCAAGGCCGCGTACGATCGGTGATCATCATATCCTCTGATGACGATGAACCTCCACCCAGATGCAAAATCGAGCCGACGCCTACTTTTTCCAAACGACAGTCTTCATTTCTCGAGGTCTTAATCCCCCCTGCGCCTTATAAGCTACCCACTCCCCATAAGCTACCCACAATCCCCAATAAACTGCTACCACCGCCTCCACCTTTACACCAACCGCAAGCACCCGTGTTCGTGCCTCTCGCCCCGCCGATAACGAAAGTACGACAGCTGACGCCTATACGCCGAGGACAAAATCAAGTACCGTTCCAGCGGTTCTTCCCTACGCCTTCCACACCCACTGACGCAGACCTTTCTCTCGAACTTGAGCAACTCAACATCTCGGATGTGACCGAATTTGAAGACTTGTCACCCTCACAACCAGACTATCTAGTCCCGCTGCTTTCAGAGTGCTCTCAGACTTGTCCACATGAATTCTCTGCTTTCATAGAGACATTCCCATTCGATCCGATTGTACAGCCTGCAGAAGGAGATGACCTGGACATCAAATTTCGCAAAATTGGCGAGGCCTCGTTTTCCGAGGTTTTTGGTATCGGTGACGTAGTTCTTAAGATCATCCCTTTGCGAGATGAGGAACAACGTGCCACATTCGACTTGGAGACTCCCGCACCGAGCGACGCGAATGATGTTTTGAAGGAAGTTATTGTCACTCGGGCAATGGGAGAGATGGGCAGTGGCTTTGTCAAGCTTCTCAGAACATACGTCGTCCGTGGGCGCTATCCTTCGCTGCTTCTTGACCTTTGGGATGAATATAACAAGCGCAAGGGTTCTGAGGGTATAAGACCAGGTAGGAGGCATATGGACATGATCAATCACGATCGTTATAACTGTTAGTTAGACTCTTTCGGCCTTGCTCAGGTCTACGCAATCATTGTCCTACCAAATGGTGGCCCAGACCTTGAAGCCTTCACTTTCAAAAATGCCGCGAGGTCTGGCTGGCACCAAGCATGCAGTATCTTCTGGCAGATTGCCAGGGCTCTGGAGCAAGCGGAAGAACTTATGGCGTTCGAAGTGAGATCCTTTCCCATAAATGATGTCATGGCTGACGTTAAATAGCATCGTGATTTACACTGGGGCCAAATCTTGGTGAAGAACGTGCCTGTTCGGAATTCATTATCAAAAAAAGCAGGGAGAAAGCTCCGCATGGATGATGTTCGATTCGGCGTTAAGGCGACTATCATTGATCTTGGGCTTTCTAGAATGGAAACCACGGATGGGCAAGGTTCCAAGACATACTGGACGCCGTTTGATGAAGAGATTTTCGATGGGGAGGGTCAGTGCCTCGCATACTCCTGGGACATACGTTTTGCTGATTAGTAGCGACAGGAGATTACCAATTTGATGTCTACAGGATGATGAAAGAGTATAATGGCCACTCTTGGGAAGGCTATCAGCCTTTTACGAATGTCATGGTAGGAGCTGTATTCCTGTTGCTTATATTTGATGCTCACCCAGAATTAGTGGCTTCACTACCTTACTCAGAAGCTCTTGTACTCAAAGCGACTGAAGCCTCCTGCAATGAGAAAGAAAAGCACGGCTGAGCCTACACAAATGGCATCGCTGACAGGGTACGACGAACAAGAGTGTTACGACTCACTAGTGGAGATCGACAAGCTATTAGGTGGTTGTATCACTGCGGCAAAGAAGGGTCGGAAGGGGAAGCGGAAAATGTGTGTGCCATCCTCTTGCCCAAGGACAGCGGGAGATATTGTGTTGTATGGTGTCCAGAAAGGTTGGATGAAGCCATGAGTTGTACGATCGATTTTATTCTCTGTTGCAGTATACCCAATCGTGCACTCTAATTTTAAACGCTATGGATGACCATCATGGGCCGCGCCTAGTCCATCATTTGAACCACAGAACCTTCCTTTCTGAGCGAGTATGCAGACGTCATAGCCTATATCTGAGTTGCCACCTAGATTGGCGTCGACGGAGAAAAGGAAGATGGAGCTCGTCCGTTCCTGTCTGTTCCTCGTTATCATCTCCCATCACCCGCAAAGTTTTTGTGTCCGCGAGTCCACCAGAAAATGGCGGCAACATCTGGCTTTGATCCCCAATCTGTGTTGAAGCTCGATGGATACCTTGAACCGTTCGTCCCTGCCATCGCTCACCGCCACGAGCGCTTTCAGAAGTGGAAGGATACCATCGATCAATACGAGGGTGGGTATGATAAATTTACTAGAGGGTTTGAGAAGATGGGTTTCAACGTCAAGGTGAGCGGTGAGGTGGTCTACAGAGAGTGGGCACCAAGTGCAACAGAGGCACACCTCATTGGCGACTTCAGTGAGTCTCGTCCTTCATACTTCCTTGTTTTATTGAAGCATCGATTGTATATTCAGACCAGTGGAACAGATTGTCCCATCCGTTAAAAAAGAATGACTTCGGTGTTTGGGAAATCACACTTCCTCCCAAGGCTCCTGGGGTATGCGCGATACCTCATGACTCCAAGGTCAAAGTGAGTCGATGTAATCTGCAGCGATATTCTTGTTCTAAATGCATCAGCTTTCCATGATCACGCCCGCTGGTGCTCGTATCGAGCGTATCCCTGCTTGGATTAAACGTGTCACCCAAGACTTGGCCTTCTCTCCTGCCTATGAAGGACGTTTCTGGAATCCCTCTACATCGGAAACATATCAGTTTAAAAACTCTCGACCGCCGCAACCGAGAGCGATAAGGATATACGAGGCCCATGTTGGAATTTCAACTGCCGAACACCGCGTGGGCACCTACAAAGAGTTCACGAAAGATACCCTTCCAAGGATTCACGCTTTGGGTTACAACACTATCCAGCTTATGGCCATTTTGGAGCATCCTTACTACGCATGTAAGTGATAAGACACCGTCACGCGCCTCAACCTGAGCTTCCTCGTGCTAGCATTTGGCTATCAAGTAACCAGCTTCTTCGCCGCAAGCTCTCGGTATGGCACTCCTGAAGAACTCAAAGAACTTGTCGACACCGCCCACGGCATGGGTATAACCGTTCTTTTGGACGTTGTGCACTCACATGCCTGCAAAAACGTCCTTGACGGCATCAACGCATTTGATGGAACAGATCACCAATACTTCCACGAGGGCAGCAAAGGACGTCATGAACTGTGGGACAGCAGGCTTTTCAACTATGGGAGCCACGAAGTGCTGAGGTTTTTGCTGAGCAATCTGCGCTTCTATATGGAGGAGTACCAGTTCGATGGCTTCCGGTTTGACGGTGTCACGAGTATGATGTATGTTCATCATGGTATCGGAACGGGTTTCTCGGGTGGCTACCCTGAATACTTTGGCTCAGGGGTAGATGAGGAGGCTATTGTGTACCTCATGCTGGTAAACGTCCCATTGACGTGCCTTTTTTCGTTGCTAACAGTTATGTAAAGGCGAATGATGCAATGCATGCTCTCTATCCGTCTGTTACCACGATTGCAGAAGACGTTTCAGGCATGCCTCTGCTCTGCGTCCCCGTGTCTCAGGGAGGTATTGGATTCGACTACCGCTTGTCAATGGCCATCCCGGACATGTGGATCAAACTGCTGAAACACAAGACCGATGACGAATGGGATATGGGTAATATCGTGCACACCCTTACAGACCGACGACACGGCGAGAAGAGCGTTGCGTATGCCGAAAGTCACGACCAAGCCCTTGTGGGAGACAAAACTTTGGCTTTCTGGTTAATGGACAAGGAAATGTGTAGGTTCACTCCATCGTGTGTATCACAGGTCACTCGAACGCTCCTGCAGATACGCACATGTCAGACTTGACACCGATGACGCCCATCATCGCGCGAGGTCTTGCTCTGCATAAAATGATCCGGTGAGATTTGTTGTCCGTGACCGCACGCTAGTACTCACGACTGTAGTCTCCTGGTCCACTCGCTCGGCGGAGAAGGCTACCTGAATTTTGAAGGCAATGAATTTGGACACCCAGAGGTAAGGAATGTCAAACTCTCAAACTCACCGTCCTCTCATATCTACTTGTCCAGTGGCTTGACTTTCCTCGAGAAGGAAACAACAACTCCTTCCAGCATGCCAGGAGACAGTGGAACATCGTAGACGATCAACTCCTTCGGTACCGATACCTGAACAACTTCGATGCTGCGATAAACCACTTGGAAGAAGAGCACAAATGGCTGTCAGCTCCGCAGGTCAGGTTCAGACGTGATAGACATTTATTAAGCTGACTTTTATCACAAAAGGCATTCGTCTCTCTCAAACACGGGGGTGACAAGATGATCACCTTTGAACGTTCTGGCCTTCTTTTTGTCTTCAACTTCCACCCCACAAAGTCCTTTACGGATTATCGCGTTGGCGTTGATGAGGCAGGGGAATATCGCATCATTCTCACCAGTGATGAAAAGAAATTTGGCGGATTTGAGAATGTTTCATGCGGCGGAAAGTTTATCACAACACCAATGGAATGGAATGGGAGGAAAAATTGGTTGCAGGTACGACTTCGTCCCTCATCCCAACGCATCACGACGTGTCTTAAATCGATCACAGGTCTACATACCATCCAGGACTTGCTTGGTATTGGGGAAATAAAACGACCGGCATTCAATCACGTTTGAATTCATGACGATTCATTTATGATATATGGTCCTGGATATCACTCATGTATACAATCTGTCTACTATAACGTCTCATGTGGAACTTGACGCGGACGTCCGGACGATAAGTTGTTGCTAGAAATAGACCAATTAATGACCCTGCGGGGTCAGCTGTTTCCGTCACGGTTCCGAGTCTTATTCGCACATTCATACTTAGCTATAGTAAAGGTACATGAAGTTCGGGCCAATTCTCACCGCGTCTTATCTTGAACGTCTTGAGCCCTAAGGGATTTCAAGGTTTCTGCCATGGACGAGAAGTCCTTCCACGTCGACCATAAGTCAGCGCAACCCATTCCAGTCCCTATCACACATCGACCAGCTATCACCTCTCCCAAAAAAAAGTGGGGGCGCCGTCTTGCTCTGTTATTCGCTTTCCTGTGTACAGTCCATTTTCTGAGCGACGTTAAGCGCCCTCGCCGCAATGGACGCGAGGGACAAGATCACGGGATACTGAGTGCGTTGACGCACCACGCTCCAGAGAAAGGTAGCGTTCTGAGAGGCAAGAAAGCGGAGGAACTGTTCTTGTACGTTACTGCTGACCCAAATTAGAATGGAAGATTCTAACCTTGCTCAGGTCTGTACCAGATACAGACAGTGCCATCGCTGCGTCCCGAGTCTATGCGGGTAAGCCCCATATGGCCGGGACCGCAGGTGATTTTGACACTGCAAAATATTTCCTGGCACACCTACAGGAAGAGCTCCAAATTGATGGCTCGTCTTCCGACATCCCACTGTACTCAGCTGGCTCCCGTGAATCTCGCGAGGCAACGTTAACGATTCCATCCCTCGACGAACCAAAGGCTTGGGTTGACGTTTATTACCCTATTCTGAACAGCCCTTTGAATCGTAGCCTGGAGATTCTCGGAGACGACGGGAACCCCGTTTGGTCTGCTGAGCTCGAAGAGATCGCCGATGAAACTGATCCTTACGCCTTCAAGTCCGCGAACGCCGTCCCGGCATGGCATGGCATCAGCAAAGGGGGACAGGCTGAAGGGAAGCTAATTTATGCACACTATGGAAGGCAACGGGATTTCGACGCGCTCGTAGAAGCTGGTCCGTGACTATTCACCTCGTTGAGAGTTCGCTTTTGATGTTCTATACCAAAAGGTGTTGATTTCAGTGGAAAGATTGTCCTCACTCGCTACGGCAACGTTTTCAGGGGTCTAAAGGTACGCTTCCCTGAGTCCTATTGATCATATGTTTATTTGGATTTTGAAAATTTTGGCTTCGATAGGTCAAACGCGCTCAGGAGCTTGGTGCTGCCGCCGTTCTCGTTTATTCAGACCCTCGTGACGATGGCACAGTAACAGTTAAAAATGGCTATGTACCGTGCGTCTGATTTCGTACTTCAAAGCCATGTCTCTAAATTGTGGCACAGCTACCCACACGGGCCTGCACGCAACCCAACTTCTGTGCAACGCGGTTCCGTGCAATTCTTGTCACTGTATCCTGGTGATCCCTCGACCCCTGGGTACCCCTCGTATGAAAATAGCACGAGAGTTGAGGGAGGAAGCAAACCGACCATCCCAAGTTTGCCAATTTCTTGGGCTAATGGTGAAGTCCTTCTAAAACTCCTGGAGAATGGCAATGAAGGCCCTACTGTTCGTCTTGTGAATAATGGTAAGACTATATTCAGTTTTCCATTACCACACCCTCACTCTTTCATAGTGGACGAAAAGGTTACCCCTATCTGGAACGTGATGGGCGTTATTCCTGGCCACATCAAGAGCGAAGTAGTTGTGATAGGTGCCCACCGAGATTGTGAGTACTTACGGTCATTTGTGATTCCCGCACAAATCTTGATATCTGTCAGCTTGGGTAACAGGAGCGAGTGATCCAATCTCAGGCACTGTGTCTCTTTCGGAGGTAATCCGCGGTTTTGGGGTTCTATCAAGGAATGGATGGAAGCCCTTGAGGACAATTCTCATTACGAGCTGGGACGGTGAAGAAGTGAGAGCGTCTTTCATATTGCTGATTTTAACATGCTCAAATAAGTTTTCTCCGTAGTTTGGATTGATTGGCAGCACAGAATGGGGCGAGGATTTCTCGGAGTGGATCAAGGACCATGTCGTGGCTTACGTTAACATGGGTGAGGACTGGTTTGCAACGTTCATTGTGCACTTAACCTCAACCTTCCTTCATGTTCAGATACTTCTGCATCAGGGTCCCGTCTCAAAACCGCAGGATCTCCCTTACTTGCGCATCTCCTCCGCGAAACAGCGGAACAGATTCCCCACCCTACCTCTGGGGAACGCAGCCTTTGGGACGCTCGTGGAGACTCTGGAACCCTTTTCGGCGAGCATATGAATGCGGAAATTGCTGCGATGGACAAGGATGACCTTTTGGCAGTTGATAGTATCGGAGTGAGTCCCTTGGGATCAGGGAGTGATTATACTGTCTTCTTGCAATACCACGGTGTAAGTGAATAAATGGTGAAGTATGTTTTCCGCAGCTTACGACTCAATAATGCCAGGTGCCGAGTACCGACGGTGGATTTACCTCGACACTACACGATCCCGTGTATCACTATCACTCGATTTTTGACTCTCAGTACTGGCAGGAGCTGTACGGTGATCCTGGTTTTTCTCGTCATGTGAGTACTACTTGGCTTGTCACTGGCTCACTTAAGTCTCATAATCATAGGTTGCTATTGCCAAACATACTGGCCTGCAAGTGCTTCGTCTGTCTGGCGACATTATTTTACCGTTCAACACTACCCATTACTCCATTGAGTTGGAATCATACCTCGACAAGTATGCACATTTGGCTTCCCTGCGGGTGATTTATGGTTGACTGTGGGCCTTCAGGGTTGTTTCTATTGCAGCTGCTGGCTCCTATGACCTCGACCTGTCTCCTCTCCGAGGATCCATTCACGCTTTACAGAGTGCCAGCCTGGACCTGGACTCTGCGAAGACCAAGGCAGAGCGCGAACTTCGTAAGATTCTCAAGCAATTGAAAAAGAAGCATGGTATCTGCCACAAGATCCGTCGCAAGGTTCGCAAGGCTAGCTGCAAACTCAAGAAGATATTTGGAAAGCGCAAGTGCGAATCGAAAGACAAGCACGAAGACACGGAAAGGGAACGTCCACACAGGCGAGTCTCTTCGCATTCTTGGTTGATAACAGCTTACAAGTAATTCCTTCAGACAACCCAGTCGTCACCTTCTCGAAGCTATTGAACGCGTGCAAGCTGTGAACAAGATATTGATCGCCTTTGAACGTAGTTTCATATCGAAAGACGGCATCAAGGATCGTGAGTGGTACAAGCACTTGGGTGTAGCTCCCGGTAAATGGTCAGGTGAGTATCATCCGCTTCTTCACCAGCAACAAAGGTTCAACACCGCTCGAAGGGTATGGTGCTACCACTTTCCCAGGGCTTACTGAGGCACTTACCATGGACAAAAATGCAACCGCTGCTGCCTATGAAGCGGGGAGATTGAAAGCGCTGATCGATGATCTGGTTGAAACGTTTCGCCTTTGATTTTCGATCATCATTAGAAATCCCGTGTGTATTATGACTACCTAGCCTTAGGCCTTCGTGATCTCCCTCGATCTTCGAGTTCTCTAGAGTATATTCACAACTATTTGAACTTGAAATATGAAAATCTGAGGTTGTGGGAGATGTTTGCTGGCAACATCGATATATCTGACGTTGTGACAAGTCGTGCATTTTGCCCTCAATTGTCACGTGCTCTACTGCCAGTAGTGAACCAGGGCTAGGCCTCCTGCCAATGGCTGCCATTCAAGCTTGCCGCACCATTAAATGTCCACCAATTCTGAGTCGGCGACTTGGACGAGCGCGAGAAGTTCTCTTTCCATACTTGCCGTGAGCCTGGGGCTTTCTTTGTTTACGACCGCCTACGAGAGTTCGGTCATCCCGCTGTTTGCCCGTGTCCCAACTCTGAAATACCTTGGTCACGTCGTGCATACGAGCACAGCATTCGCCCTCATAACCCCAAAGCTATCTAGTTCAAAAATCCTCTTGATTCTCGGCTGTCTGCTTCTCCTAGCACCCCACACCTCTTACTGGATTGGTGTTCATGCTGCTAGATTCAAGGATCCCATTTACAGTCCTCTCGTCACCCATGCCTTTGTATTGGCTCCCGTTGTGTACTTCTCAGTGTCTTTGGCGATGAAGGTTGATGTGAGTTTCATCTGACCTAGCCCAGGAAGAACTGTCGCAAATGTACTTTTGAACTAACATCCAATTCACTGCTTTTAGCCTACTTTGGCCCTCATAGTACTCGCTGCCAATGCGCTACAGCTTCGTCCACTATTAGCATTGATATTCAGTGCATTGTCACTAGACGCCTCGAACAATGTCATTGTGCGTAACAGCTGCGATTACACCTATATCAACTTCTAACCAACTGATACATGCATCTAGTTCGCTGCATTGGGATGTGTATGCCTTGCTGTGTATGGTTGGATTAAAATCGATGGAGGCAGACATAGCGCCCATCCGAGTGCCCAAAACACTCGATCCACAGTGGCCTTGAGTGTGATTCCCCTAGTCTTTGCTGCACTTTTGAGTCTCAATCCAGCCCTTCGATCCCCGACGCTCGTAGATTCCATTGTTGCACCATACAGCAGCCCAACTTATCCGCTCCGTATCCTGAATTCGACCCAGTCCAAGACTGGTGTGGTGGTGGTTGGCGAGATTTTACCTCCGGCCGACGGGAGCTCGACCCCTCTTCACTCTATCCGTTACCTTCGAGCATCTCACTCGTTACTGGGAGGTGTATGGATTGGGGACGAAGTGGCTACACTCGACAGTTTCCCTCCGCTGACCGACCAATATGGTGCTCCTTTAGGAGATTCGATCTACAGCGCATTTGTTCTTCAGGAGGCAGTGCGACTTGTCAATAGCACTCCTCAGGGAAGGAAGGGAGAGTTCAATCATGCGCTCATAATGTAGGTGGTAACCCTGGTTGATGATCGCCCTAGCAGGAGTGACAGCTTTTATGTACAGAGGTCTTGGCACTGGGATCTCCGCAAATGCGTTTGCCCAACATGGCATAGCAACAACTATTGTTGAAATCGACCCTGCTGTGTACGATGCCGCGCGCCAGTATTTTGGCCTATCGGATCCTGGTCCCAATAATGTATTCCTGCAGGATGCGAGGGGGTGGGTTAGAAGTAGGAGAGCGATGGTGGAAGCTGAAGACCCCTCCGCAATCAAGTATGATGTTGTCGTCCATGATTGCTTCTCTGGAGGGGGAGTACCTGAGCATCTCTTTTCCATTGAGTTTTGGAATGATCTCAAGACCATCTTAAGTCCAGAAGGTGTCATTGCCGTGGTAAGCAGTTTCAGATGTTATGTTCTCACGTATTACTTATCTTATGTCTTTTGGACAGAACTTTGCTGGAAAACTCGCATCCGACTCCTCGCAAGCTGTACTAGCCACTTTATTGCGAGCCTTTGGGCAATGCAGAGCCTTCCATGACCATGTTGAGCCCATCTCCCAGGAACAGTTTCACTCCCATTTCATCAATATCGTGAGTTCCTTTTGTTCCAGGAATTCGAGTCCAAACGTATTATTGGAGCTCTGACAAAGTCTGATGATCACGCTATAGGTCTTCTTTTGTTCACCATCTCCAACACCACTCACATTCCGACCCGCAGTCAAAGAGGACTATCTCCATTCATATCTCCGCCGTCACATTTTATCCAGTCTGGACAAACGGGAAATTAGGCACACCCAAATCGGAGACAACTCTATCTGGTCCGCGGCCACAGAAGAGAAGTTCGTTCTGACTGATGCGCACAACACACTGAACACATGGCAGGAAGGAGAAGCATTTGAACACTGGAAACGTGAGTTGCATTTGTTTTCGATAGTATTTAGCTCTGATGAGCCGTGCAGTTATGAGGGAGATGGTGCCAGACGTGGTATGGGAGACTTATTGAGGGTGACATAATGTTATTGATGTGTCCTTTACGAAAACCACCGGCGCTTAATCAAGTCGCTCTGTCTCTTGATGCTGGGGAACGGCTTCAAGTTCAACTTCAGAAAATGTGGAGAACAAGCGCCATGAGAGTCGGGATCAAGAACGTTTCACAGCTTCTCATGCAACCCTATGCAACCGCCGAGGATCGAAAATGATGCTGGAACCAGGTTAATCATGGCTGTGCACCGTGTGGGCTCCACTTGGGAAATCGGAAGGAGTGTGGACATGATTGATGTGCACTTGACCATGCGGCAGCCACAAGCAGTGCAAGCAGCACATGTAAGCCAATCGTTATGTAACCCATTTTGGCTCATTGATACCAAGCTTGGTATGCGGCTTTAGTTATAGTGGGCTGCGAGAAACACAGTCCGCAAAACGTGTACAACTTTCAGAGTATTTAGCGCTCGTGTGTGTCGTGCCTCAGATTCTTATAGGTTCGTCTGATGTATTTTTTGACAACAGACGTCGGTTAAGGCTTAGTCTCCCCAGGCAGACCATAACAGAAGGAAGACAGTCGTTCCTTCTATATCATGGTTACGGTTGTCTTGTAAAGCGATCGGCATTTTCCCCGCATCTAATGTCAAGAATACGACCTCACTTGAACATCGATAATTGAAGGATCAGGATCTCTCCACTGCCACACTATACTGCAGTGCAGTCTTCAAGGTTAAAAGGACTAGACTCTCCTGAAGCAAGTGTCTAGGGATTTCTCTTCCCTGGGTCAAGAGAGTGTGTCACAATGTCGGCTCCCCCTCCCCTCCCCCCTGGTCTCAACTATATTGCTGCAATCCAACCGGCACTGATCGACATCATGATCGGGCACACTTTTACGGTCATACTCGTACCCCTCCTCATTGCAATGTTCTACTTCTCGAACAAGCATTCGCGGAGACAGCCCATATTTATTCTCAACGTCTTAAATGTGTGCCTCGCGTTTTCTGTCGGTATAATGGGAGACAGTAGAGCTGTAAGTGTCGATAAAGCTCCCCATCAATCTTGGAAATAAAACATTACCGGACAGGTAAATACCATGCTATCACCGACACAACCATACCCTGTGTCCTATGACATAATCATGGGCGTTCTTGGGGCGGTGCAGGCCATCCTTGTTGACACTATCCTACTCTTTCGCATATGTTCCGTTTATCCGCCGAGATATCTCATATGGCAACGCTTTGCGGCGTTGGTTACACTGCCCGTACTGCTCAAAGTTGCCCGTGTTATCAATCTGTTTCTCTTTATAGCAGCTCTATCAAGAGTAGCCAAAGGACCCAATGGGGAAGCAGCTCTAGGAGCACTATGGGTATCAGCTCCGTACCTCAAGATTGAGTGGTTCGCACAGTTGGTGGATAATATGTGAAGCGGATGTTTATTTCATCTTTGTATTGGAGCTCATGTATAATCTTGTATAGATATGCGTCCTCTGTATTCCTCTGGACACTCTGGTCAAAGCGGAAGAATAAGCGTGGCTCTGTCACGGGCAATGCCAAGTGTGAGTTTTAAATTACATCTTCATAGCTTTGACTCATCCCGCCCTAGTTTCGTTGAGATCGAGACTCCGGACGTTATTTTGGATCGCGCTCTCAAACTTTACCATTCCTGCGCTCTTTTCGGTCGCTCAGATCATTGTCATTTACCGCGAAGTAAACCCAATAATCATCAACCAAATCATTCTGGTGAATACCTCAATTGCCGTTATCGGCGTCGTCTTCGCCACAATCTGGGCGGGTTCGGTCAACAGACAGATCGCTCATTCGGACGTCAAACTTCCTGCGGATGTCGAGAACTCTGGCTCGAAGGAAGGCGTGATACATTTTGCCACTCGTGGCACCTATGCTACCCAAGATGGAATACATACGGCCTATCAGCTTCCAACAATCCCCCGTCTTCAACAATCTATTTCTGATGAATTCGGAAAAAGTGACTCGGAGAGATATGGTTTGTCTAACTTTTCTCTAGCTTTGTGTATTTACTAAAGCTACGTCAACAGACTCAGGCTTTTCGTTGAAGTAAAAACGAGCTCGAGCTATGGGTCCTTGTGGCGCACTCAATTCCATCAACATCTTTCCGATGAACAATAATGAATGATTGCCTCAGCTAGTTGTTTGGGTTGCATGTCAAAGCAGCGATGTTCTTGCAATATGATTTTAATAACATGGAGCAATCTGGGGGTGCGCTGTAGCCTGGAATGACGGATGATTGATCACCATTGCCATCCATGGCGGTAACATGGCGATGGAGTTCTCATTTCCTTACGTTAGTACCCTGCCATTATGGCCGCCACCATACTTATTCATTCGAAAAATGATATTTGAAGTTCTTCGTCTGCAAACGTAAACTGTTGAATATTACAAAGGAGACGGCACTGAGATCACGCAATCGTCCAGTTGGGCTGGTGCAATGACGATCACTGTTCCTCATGCCGCGTCACGAAGTCGAAACACGAATAGGAAGTAGTGGGCTTCTCCTTGCCACATCCGATGGCATTCCTTCTTGGCAGCCAGCCTCTGAGCTGTCTGACCATACTCGAGAGCTTGTCGTCTTGAAGCCAAAGGTAGACCCAGGTGAGGACATAGATCAATATGAATGATGTAGCATCGTGCTAGTACAAATGCTTGCCTTCGGCAGTTTGTTTTTGAGGAGAAAGTCATTTGCCCTTCCTCAACTGTAATGTACAGCCTCGTAACACAGCTGAGGAGGGACAGTATAATCGTGTTGTAAGAATCAGTCGTGAGGTGGATGTTAACTGTTCATGGACCATCGAATTTCATGACTGAGATCCACTGTCATTGGAAGTTGCCGTCAGGCTTCTTGTCGCACGCCGCATCTCAGTCTTAGTGACGAGTCTAAAGCTCAGGCTGGTTCTTCGTAGGACCCTTTCCATCCTTCAGCACACCGATTTCGCAAGAAACGACGACAACGCCAGGCTCGCGTGCTGTCGTTGCGATGTGATGGTATATCGCTGCCGATATTGTCGTCGTGCGTAGAAGCAACTAATCTGGCCTTCAGCTTGCTCAGTTGAATGGAGTGCACAGTTGGCAGTTTGGACAAAAAGCCCATAAGTGGTGATTAACCAATCCTGACCCCAACGCTTGCATTGAAATGTTGCGGCGGATGCCGAGTGTCCTCGTGGGGGTTTAGCCGCGCCTCGGAGGGACTCAATAGCTTCTACTTACAAGGGTCACTACGTCAACACCACGTAGCCAATTTGAAGTACTTTGTCTTCGTGCCAGCACTGGCCAGTAATACCTGCCAATCAAATGCTTGTCCTAAGACCATTAATACGCCCAGTCGTATTCCGTGCAGCCCGCCCGCATTTCATGGCTGCACCCAGATACAGTAGTACTACACTTGCTGAGGTTGGTTGCATTTTGCCCGCATTTTAGGTGTAATTGCTCATTTAGCAACTTGCAGGATGTTCGCTCGGATTCAACTTTCAGGATACCCCTCATTGACTTCGCAGCTTATAAACAAGCTACCTCTTTGGCTGAGAAGCGTTGCATCGCGGATGACATTGTAAACGGTTTCAAGGAAGTTGGCTTCGTGTATTTGACAGGCAATGTGATTGCACCTGAGACAGTCAACAGCGTATTCCAGAAGGCTAGTATTCGCATTTTGAAAGCGGTGAGTAGAATGAACGTTCATGACTGATTGTGTATCTAGAGTGCAGAATTCTTCCAATTACCTGAAGAGACCAAGGCAAGGCTGGCATGGGACGACCCCAAGGCTAACCGTGGTTATGTCCAAGTTGGCCGTGAACGTGTCACTACTTCACAGGACGCGGCCGAGATCGCTGCACTACGTGCAAAGGCTCCAGACACCAAAGAAACTATGGAAATTGGGCGCGACAACCATCCTAATTTCAGTAACAAGTGGCCTCAGGAAACCGAGGCACCCGAGTTTAAGGAGACGATGCTCCATTTTTTCCAGGTGCGTGCACGCTAATATACATCATGCATAATGATATGGTGATTTGACCCCGTGGTCCCTGTTACTCTAGACTTGCCACGAAGTGCATACTATGGTCATGAGATCGATTGCGTTAGGTCTTGACCTTCCCGAGGATTTCTTCGACGAGAAGATTGATCGTCAGGACCATAACTTACGGCTTTTATCCTATCCTCCTATCCGAACCTCTTTACTTTTAGGCGATGATCAAGCTAGGGCAGGTGCTCACACAGGTGAGTTCGTTCTTTTCAGTGACACCCGTCGAATTTGACTTGCTTTGTCTCTTAGATTATGGAACCTTGACACTCTTGTTCCAGGACTCTATTGGTGGTTTAGAGGTCCAGAACCCTCACACGAAGCACTATCAACCTGCTTCACCCATAGTTCGTTTTCATCCACTCAGCTTGCTCTTTGAATATTTGACCTCCTATGCCAATAGCCCGGAACCATTGTCGTCAACGCTGGGGACCTTCTGGCGCGCTGGAGCAACGATGTCTTCCGCTCAACCCTCCATCGTGTAGTCGCCCCGCCTGCAATAAAGGTCAACGATACCGAAGGCATGACGCCCGCACGGCAGTCAATTGCATTCTTCTGCAACCCGAATTTTGACGCCATCATTGAGAGTTTGCCCAGTTGCACAAGCACATCCAATCCAAGCAAATACCCTCCGCTCACTACAGAGCAATATATTGTAGGACGTTTGGCAGCTACTTACTCATGAGTTACGTTAGATACGAGATTCTGATGAACAATGTATATTATTTGTGGTGCGAACAACGATGATACATTACGAGTCGAATGCAAGGTGGTGTCTAGATGGCCGAGCATGTATGCAAAAAAGCAGCAATCGGTCCACAATTCGTGGATCGGAGCATGTGTACAGTAACACAACAAAGGTGGGTAAAATGCAATGTATAGTTGATATCAGGGTGATGGCGAAATCAAGCTAGTCCTTCTTGCTGAACATCCCAAGAGTATGCTGACCACCGCAAGAAACGCTCCCTGCCCTCCACTTGCCACCATCCCTACGAACCACCACTGTAGGTGTCTTGGCCTCCTTCTCATCAACACCCAACTCTCCTTGAGACTCTTCTCCCCATGCGTACAGTGCACCTGCATGAGAGATAGCCATGTTATTGTGTGTGCCGGCAGAAATAAACACGATGGGATCATCGGTGTCTGGGAATGAAACCAACATAGGTTCTGGCACGAAATCCGGGTTCTTGCGTGAAGCGTATTCCTCGACCTCGTCGCTGATACCGAGCTGACCACCATCACATCGACCGCAGGCATACACCTTGCCAGATGAGGTCAGGAAAAGAGTGTGATGTTCACCGCCTGCGATCTGCACGACTGAGTCACCAAGAGTCCTCTTGCAAAGCGACCGGATGATTCTTGGTGACCGCACTTCGTCGGACATCGACTTCGGTTCCGCAACGCCGGTGCCTGTCTGACCCATGGTATTCAAGCCCCAACCCCAGACGTCGCCCTCTTCGTCGATGGCAAACGAGTGATAATTTCCTGCGCCAACTAACGCTGCACGATTGTGGCGGGTACCAAGGGTGATTTTTTCGGGGACTGTGCCGTGGATCTTACGACGTTCGAGAATTTTGCGACCGAGCTGGCCCTGCTCTCCAGCGCCCCACGCGTAGACGTTCCCGTGTGTAGTTAACACGAGAAGATGATTGTTACCTGACACAACGGAGGCGGCCTTCTCAGCATCGCCTGCTTTTGTGGGTAAATCTAATATCGCTTTCGGAAGGAATTCTAGTCGCACGTCGCCAGAAAAGCCCAGGGAGCCTTCTGCAGCCTGAAAAACAATCTTAACTTAGCAAATGTGTGAGCAATTGAAAACGGGCACATACGCGGAAAGAACCCCACACCCGAAGTTCGCCTTTATCGCTGATAGCGGCGGAAATACTATCACCAGCAGCAATCCTGACCGCGCGGAATCCCTCATCGACGAGTGACTGAAGAGGATATGGGACAGCTGTAAGCTCGTCAATGTGGATAAACTTTTCAGGGTTATCTGGATCCGGAATATCCTTGGTGACACGTCCTAGTGCTGCATCATCATTCACACCGCATGACCACACCTAATCAAAAAATCATGTCAACGGAAGTAGACCAGGGCACGGAAATTGAACTGACAGTTCCTTTTTCATCAATGAATAGGGTATGGAGACCACCTGCAGCAACGGCCTCGAGGCCGGCACCTTCCCCGCCGAAGACACCTTGTTCCATCTTTTTCTCAAACCACGTATTGCGCTTTGGAGTAGCGAATTCCCCGAGTTGGTCGGAACCCCATCCGAACTGACCAAAGTTCCCTGCGCCCCAGACAAAGAGTTGATAAGCAGGTCGAGAGTGATCATTAGGGGTAGGCAAAGGGTTGAAATATGCTTTCTGCTCGTGAACAGGCGTGAGACTATTTGAGGTCGTTTGCTTGGTAACTTTTTTGGGCGCGGTCGTGACCGGGACTTTCTTGGTAGGGAGCTTTTTAGCATCCTCTGCATCGGATACGCCAGCCCTAGACCGGGAGCGCTTGGCGGGCGGTGGAGACCCTTCCGGAGAGACAGCACGCTTCTTGGTGCGACTGGGTGTGCGCGCAACAGGTCGGGTAGATTTCTCGGCTTTGGCTGCGGTTGTCTTTGCAACAGCGGCCTTGATAGCTGCGGCTTTGGGTTCCTCAGGTTTTTGTGAGGCTGCGCGAGCCGATCTGCGGAGGGGTGGGTTGGACATTGGGATATTACAGATAGTAGGATATGTAAATTGTAGAAATATATGCGCGATTAAATATCTGTTCTTGTGGCGGTTAAAGTGCCACAGATAGACAATGGAGGTGGTGGTGGTTAAGATGGAAGCGAGTGCAACGTTCGTCCACAAGGACCTCCGTGGATGTATGTAATGGCCCCGGCTTTTCAACAGCAAAATTAGATTATCACGTGATTCCAACGCGCTAGTGGCGGGTCGATTGTTTGTTCTAGCTTTGGCTCTAAGTAAGTACCATGCGCGCACCGGCAGATGGAATCAAAGTATCCCTGCAACGCAAAGGTCTCCTCTTTCAGGATCACTACCGACGACCAGTATCCTTTGTTCAATGGAAAAACAAATCTTCCTCAGCAACCAGGGATCCAGAGAGAATTAGTGTGACCAACCCCGCTAACGGGAAACAATTGTGCACGTATGTTGTTCTCAAGTGCTACTGTTGTGTTCTCAAGCATCAAATTGAGCGTAGTGTCGATGCAGCGTCGTCTGAAGAGGTTGAATGGGCTGTATCCAATGCCCAAGCCACTTTTGACTCTGGAATATGGTCAAAGACTTCGTCAATACATCGCTCGTCCGTCTTGTCACGGCTAGCGGACTCTCTTCAGCGATGCATCCTTGACATGGCCCAAATAGAGACTCTGCAAACAGGGAGGCCTATCCGGGAAATGAACGCACAAATGGCTCGTCTCCCAGACTGGCTGTCAGTAGGTGTTTTGCAATTTATCACGACAGTCTGACACGGTGAGCAGGAGCTATTATGCGGCACTTTTACGTACGAACCAGGGATTCGTTGTCCCTACTCAAGGGAAATTGCTTAACTACATTCAACGCGTTCCTCTGGGGGTCGTAGCACAGATTACTGTGCGTATCGTACCATCTCTGACTTTTCACCCCACTGAGGTTTGGTTTAGCCATTCAATCATCCTCTTTTTATTGCCATCAAGAAGATTGCCCCGGCCCTTGCTGCTGGCAACAGTGTCATTGTCAAGCCATCTGAGGTTTATAAGTTGCGCAGTCTTTTGTTGATATAGCACTCACCCAAAACTAGCTCACCCCCATATCCCTACTGGAGTTTTCAAACCTAACTCAGGAAGCTGGTCGTAAGTACAACCACTTATGAATTGCTTACAGGCAATCGTCCTTGTACCTATGTGCTGAAATCTTAGCCAAGTTCCTGACGGAGTTTTGACTATCCTCCCTGGATATGGCCACTCAACAGGGAAGCAACTCGTATCTCACTCACTCATTCGAAAAGTCGACATCACAGTGTGTTTTTGATCTCCTTCGTGCACCGTCTTCGGCTCACCGTGGATCTAGGCTGGTACCCGGACTGGTCGAGCACTAGGAGCTATTGTTGGCTCGAACCTCGCGGCATTCACAGCCGAACTGGGAGGAAAGGTGAGCAATAGTTATTGAATTGGAGAAGTAGCTCACACTTCCGAAAAAAGGCCCCAATACTTATCTTTGATGATGCGGATGTTATTTCTGCCGTCAATGGTGTTGCATTTGCAGCATTCGTTGCGTCCGGTCAAACATGTATCTCAGGAACCCGCATCATCATACAAGACAATATCTATGAATCTTTTATGACAACATTCCTTAAGAAAGTCGAGAGTATCACACAACGAATGGGTGACCGTGAGTCGTACCATATCTCTTCTACGCTCATGAACGATGTTCTCTCGAAGCTATGAACGAAATATGCTCTATGGGCTCTATCATATCTCTCCACCACCTGGATAGAATCGATGACATGATAGCACAACGGCAGTCAGGCACAGTTCTAACGGGCGGAAAGCGAATGTTGGGCAAGTCCCTCCTCGACGATTTCGATTTCTCTCGCGGGAGCTTCTACCCGCCCACCGTGATCTCTGATGTTGATGTTAGTCATGAATTATGGCAAGAGGAAATTTTCGGCCCTGTGGTGGTCGTAAAAAAGTTCTCTGTGAGTTATAATATGGTGCAAGCGGAGTTCTTTGATGTTGAGTTCATTCTCAGACTGAATCTGAGGGAGTCAAACTTGCCAATGCCTCCAAGTACGGCCTGGGAGCGGGAGTCTGGACTCAGAATCTGTCAAGAGCACATCGTGTTGCTGCCAATATTGACGCTGGTCTTGTTTGGGTGAACACACATCACCGCAACGATCCCAGCTCTCCATGGTGAGTAACTAATTCGATGATTATAATTGCTCGATCTCACGGCGACATGCAAGGGGTGGCATGAAGGAAAGTGGTATAGGCCGGGAAAATGGCATGGAGTCATTGGAAGCTTGTGAGTCTCGCTAGCTTCAAATCACTATAGCATTTGGCCCAACATTGTTATGCAGACTCTCAGAGCAAATCAATCATCGTCAATGTGGCACCGCCTGATGAGTCTCGACAAACTGACGACTGGTTTAGCGGAGAACAGAAGCGATATGGCTAATGTGATGTTCGCGGTGGAGCAGTTTGTCATGGCATCTACATACAGTGGTGGTATGCGTAGGATCAACTAGTGTACATTATTACCGCAGGATACATGTTTAAGGAGACATACAATAATACAAACCTTGAAAGCTCATCACGTTGTCTTCATGGCCTCCTTCGCGGTTGGCTATTCAACCAAGTTGAGTTAGACACGTCAATCAATTGATGGTTAGGCGTACCTCGCTAAGCTCTACAGGAGGCTCATCAACGAAGTCTGGGACCTTGTTGAGGTCTGAAAGATACGAGGGACCTTCTTCCTCTTCCTCAAGTTGCAAGGCATCCAATTCTGCGATGATTATGACGTTTCGGAATAACCGAAATGAAGAGTTATGTATGTACGTACCAGCCTCGAGATCTGCCTCGTCGATCTCATCTGGAACAGCATATGACCGACCCAGCGACTCCTGTATCTCGTTCGCCTGTTCCAGAAGCTCTTCCATATCATAATGCATATTCTAAGAGAAATAAATGAGCCACTTAATGGCAGCACAAAATATGAGACACACCTCAATCTTGTCAATATCAATCTTTCCGTACTGTTTACGCATCTCTTTGTTCGCCACTTTCATGGCATCTACAGTGGCCATCGTATTCCGTAAATTATCAGTGGTGAGGGCAGCAGACTCCATGTTGAATGTTTGCTGCTGGAGCTGGCTCAGCTGCCCTTCGTATAGCTTCTTCTGCTGCAGCACTCTCAAAGCTCGTTGTTGGATCGCATTCTGTGTCGTGCACACGTGTGACACAATTGATTAGCAAGCGCAGCACCAGGCGAGGTGGTAGCGCACTTTGCCAGGTCCACTACGCAGCTTGCTCATTTGTTCCTTATAACGGAAGAGTTCTCCATCTAACTTCTTGATCTTTACTTCTACGGAGGCAATGCGTGCATCTGTCTGATGTCGGTGGGTTAGCCTGAACTCGATATTGGCCATAGCCTGCTCACTGCATTGATGGCATCCTGTAACGTCGGTTTTGGCTTCTTGCTCGAAGAAGAGCCAAATATGCGATTCATGATCAACTATGTACAGGTGGTAGAAGGCAAGTAGAAGGAAATGAGTCGTTAGTACTGCCTGGGTAATATCCAAAAGTGTTACGTGGAAATTACTTGTACAGAGTTCCTGGGGTCTGCATGTGTCGCGCCTCGTGCCTCTACTGTCACTACTACTAGTACTAGTACACAGTACAGGGCCTCGAACTTTTAATGTATTGATCTTGTCTATCTCTTCAACTATCTCTAACCAAGGCACCAGTACTTGCTCGCCTGCGTGCAAAATCATCTTTACTGGAGTGGGCAAAATATGCTGTGAGGAGATATCCGACATAATACAAACCATTGACCTTCGTACACGATACAATTTAACAGGAGACATATGAATGCCAGCTTCGAGATCACAGGCGTTTCAAGATCTATCCATTCCAAGCAAAATTCCAAGAGGGCTTGCAGAAAGGAGGGGAATAACCAGTTCCCCGGTAACAGGTGCGGTAACGGGTTCGTCTGCCGACTGAAGGGATAGAGCCTGCGGTGGCCGGGTGTACTCCACTCCCACCTCGAATGGAAACTCGATGTCCGGACGCCAAAATTCCCAATACATCTTGAGGTCTACCAAATTCGCTTCAATATTCCGACCGTACATCCAATGCGCGCTGATGCATCCCTCGAACCACCGCTCGGTACGTCCGTATACGTGCGAAATGATCCACTCCCGGGCACTCTCGATTCTACTGGGTTCATTCATCATGTTGTAGATGGCACTACGCAATTGTCCCTGGCGACCCCAGGAAATGGGCTCGTTCAAGATCGGCCGGCTGATGAGCCAGAGTGGCATTCGTGCGCATGACCAAAGTGGCGCACGGAATGAGTGTTCCCACCCCGTGCAAAGCACGAGCTCGACGTCTGAGTCGGGAGTGCGAAAATTCCCGTCTTTATCGGGCAGGAACCGGACGAGGAAACGATACATCTGCATGTCACCGTGACAGATGCCAAATTTCCTGTGTTGCAGAATCGAATAGGCCTCTTCCCTCGCTGCGCGAGAGAGCGTTCCTGGGATATAGAATCCTCCGATATGGTATTGTATCAAACTGGCCAGCCGTCTGAAGGTTTCTCTGGTTTGCTCCATGTCTTCTATTGTTAGTAGCGGATTGTCCGCAAATCCTGTGTCGCGGGCTTGAGCCATGATCTCCTCGTTGCTACTGGTAAGGCGTCTAACGCGCCAGTACAGTGCTGTTAGGTAGTCAGCGTTAGTGGATAGTGCACCTTGTGGGCTCATTGTATCCAGCGGTCGCTCGTTAAACGGGCGTGATAAAAGCAACGGCCCGACTCCGAGAGGTCGTTGGCGTTCCTGCCCTTCCTGTAGGAGTACACTGGACACGCATGTGTTGACTTCTGTGCCAAGAAGGTCGGTGCAAATCAAGCTTCCGCGGTTGTTGAACAACTTCAACAGCAGGTCGGTCAGCTTGCTACAGACTTTGAGCTCCTCGTCGGGCGTAAGGGTGGGCCACACATCCTGAAGATTCTCCCCAGGTATCTGTGCGCAGAGAAGTGTGACGATGTAGCAAAGCTACTGTCGAGCAGTCGACACACGCTACCTTTTCCATGAGGACTACCTCAGCTCCAATGTCATTGGGTAGGAGGTCCCTGTACCCATAGATTTTGGGCACCTCGATCCTCGAGGACGAACTTCTGACAGCGGTCATCATGCCTATCTGTTGGGAGTGGGGTAAGTACGCGCGGCACTGTGATGGACACTCTTGGGTAGCGCACCACAGCCTGCGTTGTTAGCATTTTGCGTCCATGAGGAAAATACGCCATCATGGTGTGTGGCCCAAGAGGCAAGGAGGTGCGTTCAAACGATATCTGAATCATCTGTACACCATCCAGAGCAATGGTGAGGTCCGGATGGTTATCTGGAAAAGAATCAACCTGACCTTTTCTCCAGCCCATTTGACGTCTTCGACGCTCGCCACCACTGGGGTTAGTACCTTCGGTGGCCGTCTACCTGTCGCTCTGACAGGGTGCTGCGCCGCTGCAGCTGTGACGGCGAATTTCTTCAGAGCGGTGATGTCGACTTGGGGGAAAAGGGTGGACATATCGATGAAGGAAGCCAACCTCGAACAAGTATCTTATACCACTGGATAACACGAGGTGGGTCAGTCAGTTAATTAATTTTTTTTCGACCAACATGCTGGTGCGTCGCAAAGGAAATCAAAGAACGCCTTTTGTTGAGGAAGCCTGACGCCCGATGTTCCGTTGTCGGAGGCCGCGTAACGCTGGGAGTTGTGTCAGGGCGTGGTTTTCTCCTGTGCTAACTTGGTTAATTTACGGCTTTCATGTGGTAAAACGAATTGCTTCAAGCTTCGCAACCTTGAACTTGAACCCTTTGCCAGTTGTCCGATGGCTTATCAGCTATCCCTTCAAGAAAATTGTTGCGCCAAAATATACCTTATTTTAAACTCCATGGACCCCCCGGTATTCCGACAAAATCCTAGGTTATTATCACAAGGCGTGCGGTGTTGTGCTGTCTAAATAACAAGTCCCTTACCTTTTGTTCTGCTAGTGTTCGCCATACCCCCCCGAGTCCCATGCGTGCCTAAGACCAAGGGGGCGCGGAGAGAAGAGGAATTGTAACACCATCCAACACCTCATCTCTTATCATATTCTCTTTAATCATACTATTCCATCAACGAACGTAAATGCGCGCGCGCGAAACGCTTCCGCTTTCGCTTAGCGTCTGCATGTTGCCGGACCTTGTCTCCTCACCACGATTTTTAAATCATATACGTTCCCTTCTTTACACTATTTTATGGCACTCGACCGATACGCCACGGAAGCCCTCCCTCCACAAACTTAACTTTGTTTCCTCCTCAAAAAGTTCATATGCGATTTGCTTGTTTTTTGATGCTCCGAAATTTAGGCAAAACCCTCGGTTACCATGCTCTGATCAGCCTCATAAAGTGTGAGGGCAGTGCACAACTCGGCGGAGGTTTATTATTCCGGTTCCAACATTAATTATTTACAACCTCCGTGCGCCCACAGTCTCCACTCAAAGTTAAACGTTACTCCCGAGATCGACGAGAAATGGGCCCTGCCATCACTAATATGACCCAGGTTGACATACATTGTATGGCACTATAGCGCCTTGCGTTTGGGCAGCTGGGCATCATCGAGGACCCACGTATGATCCGAGCCACGGAATTCCAGCATGCCACAATGGTAGGTCCATGGTGATAACAACGTTTAGTTTAGGGTGTGGAGCCGTGAGTATTAGAAGTTGAAGAATTCCATGGCATTAATGACAGACAGCTAGTAGGACTGACATAAGTACTCCCTGAGGACTCTAGAACTGCTTAGCAGTACCCTCACAGCTCACGAACGTTGCACCGATTAAACAGCGCGATACGACAACACCGGCGACTGCAGTGAAAAAATATCCCGAGGACGAGGTTAGGATAGGAACCCTCTTACCGCCCCTCCAACATTCAATACGTCGAGTCTGCGAGTCAAAAAAAATAGGCAGTCAGTAAACCAGTCATGCAGAGACTCTAACAGAAACATGATGTTGAGAAAATGTAACAATAACCGATAACACTCGCAATTGGCCCCGCAAAGCGGTGCGCGAAGCACCGTGAAGGGTTGGAACTCTAATTGTGGAGGCTATGTAAGACTGGAGCAGATGCGGCCACGGCCACCCAATCCCAATCGAGCCAACTTTAAAGGTGAGGAAGTAGTACTCACAAAAATGTATCATGCCCCCAGACCCCACCAAGCTCAAAGTAGCTGACTTGTGTGTTACCAGCCATACGAAGTGCATCTACAAGCTCACGCTGCTGCTCGACTGGGAAAAGAATATCGCTCTGGACCCCAAGTACCAGCATAGGTATCGACTTGAGAGGCCCGAGGCCAGCGGCGAGCTCCGGAAAGTGAGGTGCGTAATGCAGTGGTGGGGGATGCGATTTAGACGCTGCAGTAGCCTGAATCGGGGATTGCCGAGATGATGACGTTGACTGTGATGACGGAACTTGTGTTGTGGGGCTCATTGAGAGCTCTTGAAGAGCAGGGAGGGTAAGGTCAAAGAGATCCATGGCCTTTGAGATGTAAAGGAGGGAATTGGCATCATATTTCAGGCAGAATTGCTCTCCCTGTATGACAACTTTCGGTGAGTTTGACTGGATGGTGATTAAGGTGGGTAGGCGCTAACCTGATGGTCTAAATAGGTTTCGATAAGGAAGTCCGGACATAGTGTCGGCGACCGCGACGGAGACGGGCTTTGTCCATCTTTCAGTTCCCGAAGTTTCCTTCCAAACCGTTGGTCCCATTCAGGACCTGAGCGGTATGTTATTGTCGCTATTTCTGCACAACCGACGATTGTAAGCTATGTGATAGACTGTGATGCTGAAAACTTACGACGAGCTAATTTCATCCCTGTATGAGGTGGCAGATCATCGTAGTAAAAGCCATTATTCCAATTCGGATCGGCCATGAGAACTAAAGTGTCGTTCAGCAAGGAAAGTATATTACAAGATGTCCCAACAACAGACCACTTCGTTGAGCATGACGCATTGCAATGCTACCTGGACTGCTCCTTGCGGTACCACTGATGCTCACTATCTTTCCCACACGGTCTGGGAAGAGCCAGCCTGCAGCAAGGCTTTGCATCCCGCCCATGGATGAGCCCACACTGGCATACAATTTCTGCACGCCTAGATGATCTAGCAGCTTAAACTGGGCCTGCACCATATCAAATATAGATAGGATGGGGAATCGAGTTGCGTATCGTTGACCTTCAGGATCGAGCGAAGAAGGACCTGTGGAGCCATAGCATCCTCCCAGCACGTTTGTGCAGATTACGAAAAACTGGTTGGTGTCGAGTGCACGACCTGGGCCAATGAATTTTTCCCACCAGCCTTCTGTCGGGTTAAGCTCCGTGGAGGCGGCATGCGAAGATGCAGAAAGACCGGTATGAAGCAAAATAACGTTGTCCCGGGATGGAGAGAGAGAGCCCCAGGTTTCATAGGCTATGTCAAACGACGGTAATATGGACCCATACGTCAATTCAAGCGGATACTGATGGTGGTACGTATTATATGACTGTGGATTAGGGCGAGCATAGGGAGGTTCGGGACCACTATCACTTGATGATGCTCGCGTGCCTGTCTGGGAATAACGGTAGAAGGAGGAAGCCAATATCTTGGATTCACGAGCTGCATGGGCATCAACGCAAGGAAAAGACGGTGTTGCTGTAGTTGCGCATGTTGCCTGCTGACGCAGAGAAGTAAGACTGCTCAGACACTGCGGAAGTGCTTTGAGTCTGAATGAGTTTCTTGCTATCAAACTCATGGTAGTCGGACGTGCAAAGTAGACATGGAAGTACTATGCGATGCTCCTGGACTTCTCGAGGAGTAGTCAGCTGAGCCATGAGTTCCGTAAGTGATGACATCGATGAGAAACAATCGCGCAACCGCTGCATTCACGTGCACGTGCACCTAACCCTAAGCTAGGGCTTGTCCTAATTTGGTCGTCTGTAAAACTACACGTCCGAGTCCGGGACCGTGACTTGTCCTTGGGCTTTCGTGGTGGTCCAACGGTGTGTGTCGTGTGCAGGCAAGCAAAAGACCGGTCGAGCCAACGTGTACGTGTCTTCTTTTCCGAGTCGCCGTAAGTAACAGTCTCGTTCCGTCTGTTCTCGCACAGGCCTTGAGGCTCACAACACGTGTTGGCCTTGTCTTTAGCTGGTCATCCGTCCTCACTCCGCGACTGGCATCCTTACCAGTCCAAAGTTCTCAGAGACAGTCGCTCTTCAGCTCAGCTCAAAGACAAAAGCGCCCTGTATGTTTTCCCCTAATTTAATATTTATGTTTCAGAATTGATGCCTGCACAGCTTAGCCCAAAACGAGGCCTGGGCCACTTCTGTTTCCTGGAGTTGCAGTAGCTGATGCTGGGTTCAACCATCAAACGCACAAAGAAAAGTTTGCGCATTTTTGCACCATGACCGCCTTTGCCCTTGCCCCATCGTCTCTTGATCCTGGAGCCAGTCGTCCCGCACGAAAGGAAAACAGGGTGCGTTCGCTTATTTCAGTCTTGCACACATGAGCTTATGCATGGTGTCATCAGATCGTTGCTTTCTTCCGCTCTCGTTCTCGTTCTCGGTCCAGACCTCGCGCCAAATCAACTGTCAGTTCAAGTGCTGCGCAATCTACTACAGATGTACCAACTCTGCCCATGGTGCCTGCCTCCAAGCTTCGCATCAGTCATGTTCGTTCCACCAGTCTGGCGCACGAACCAGGGCATGCAGCCCACACCAGTCTGTCTGGTCCAGCAAGCCAGTCAATTTCAAAGCCAGGCACGCGTACTTCGACACGCCCGATATCATCCACGACCACTGCCACACACTCCACGATCACCCCTCTTCCTTCCGACTCTATTAGAAGAAGACAAAGAATGTCGCGTCATGTTTACTCGCACGATTACACCCAAGAAGAAGATCCCGATCACCAGGCCAACGGAGATAATGCCGCATCTCAGGATGATCACGATCGTGCAACTCGTTCAGATACCCCCTCTTCTCTCAATCAGCGCCGTAAGTTAGAGCTGCGCTCCATTTTTGGAATTGCCCTGTCAAGGAAATCATCATTGTCCAACCCATCCCGAAAACCATCACCAGGATCCTCCGACCGCAAAATATCATCTTCATCTCTCTCTCAAAAGGAAGCTGAGAACACATCCTCTCGCAAACGATCATTCAGGCTCAATTCTAGACCAAACACTCCAAAGTCTATTGACGAATCGCGCGTTACGAAAACATCCACCGGCACGATACCCACTCCCTCCAATCCCCTTCCACTGTCTGCCACTCCCCGCCGACTTTCATTTGGATTGAACTCAAGTTCTCGCACGCATACGCCAATGACATCATCGGGCCACCTTCCCCTAGCTCTTCCATCACGCCACAAACGACAATCTGTCGGGTCTCATGACACTGCTCATGACAGTGCTGTTGCGTTACATGACGACCATTCAGACAGTGCTCTCACATCTTCAAGCCATATAGACACCAGGTCTAATTCAAAGACCAGCGCTTCTACTCTTAGCCACTTTGGAAAATCCCGCAAAGGCAAAGAACAAGAACGTGATACCAGTAGTTCGAAAATGCGGTCACAGACGCGAAAGACGTCTCGCACGGATGACTCGCGCCCTGGTATATTTGGCTCACTTTCAGAGGAGACATCTCCCATCGTCACCATATCCCCGCCGCCACCGCAAAGCGACTCACGTGGCAAGTATGACCTCGGTGGTCTCGTGGTGTCACTGCTGCCCACGGTAGAGTCCATGGCTGAAGAAGACGCAGCAGAGCAACGGCCTCTGATTCGTGCACCGCAAGCAAGACCAGCCATACCACGAATTATCCATACCCCACCGACCCCACAAAGAACAGGGGAGTTAGATTCTCCGGTGCGACCCGCAACCACACCACCAACGTTGAGCGGAGGACAGGGGAAGTCGCGCGAAGTTCTGCTTAGCAAGCAACCGATCACTGTTCATAACGAGCTTCCAAAGTTGCACGCACGGGCAGCTCTACCCACTAGTTCTGACGGGGATCCCGCGTACAACCGCATGCGTAGTAGATTCTCACCCCGGCTGTTCGGGGGCAAAGATATGTCTAGAGAAAGCAAGAAGCAGAAACCCGGTGGTCGGCATGATCCCCCTGGGGCTGTCGGTCCTCCGCGAAATATGACCAGTCGTCGAATCCAACATGGAAGTTTTGACTTCGAGAGACCCGTCTCTGGTCTAAACAGGAGCAGCTCGACGGTCAATGCATCGCTTGTAAAAGGCGAAGGCTTGACTCAATCTGGCGCGGCGACTCATCGGCCGACAACCTTAGAACGAACGGCATCATCATCATCTGATCATACAGGGAAGTCGCGAACATACGCGTACCATCCCACCCGAGCCGACTCCCCCATTCTCGCTCAGCTCTCCGCCAACCATACGGGCGAAACCTCAGTCGTTTCCTTCTCATCCGCATCCGCCTCTGCGCAGTCGAAGTCGACGGGAAAGTCTGCCTCTGGCCCCGGACTGTCCTCCAGTTGGGGACGCGCATCAGGTAGACGAACTCAGCGTACATCGCATGGACCATTCCCTTTCGAGCCGGCTGCGTCGGTTCCAAGTTCTCCTTTACCGACCTCTTCAGCACTACCCCGTTCTTCACCATCCCCACATAGACAAGAGTTTGACATACCAGAAGCGCCTGCCCCGTTGCCCCCCAGCTCCCCTCTACGGAGTGAGTTGGGGCTCGGAGGAGGCTCTCTACGCGACAAGAGCCAAAGCGCTCGTGGCCGCGTGCAACAAGCTCGCGAGCAAGGTGGTGAGAAGAGGGGTAAAGGTCGTTCACTCGATCTTAAACTCGGTTTATCTTGGGCACCAAATCGCGTCCGTCAAGAAGCTGTGATACCTGGATCTCTTCTTTCGCAAAAGCAAGAGGAGGAGCGTAATCGGGGAAAGGATGTCACGAAAGTCTTTGAGAACGTACTCTCCGAATCTGGATTCGAGACGTTCAAGAAGTGTTAGTATTACTTTACGCCTTTATATGCCATCTTGCTACTTTGGATCACTTTGTCTGACTGTGATGTTACTTCCTCATACAGATGTTCACCGATTTGACGCGCACCTGATACCCCTAGAAGGCCCTCGGGGACTCCTTGCGCGCATTGAAAAATTACTCACTGCCGCGTCGATATCACAAACAGAGAAGGCAGAGCTGCTGGACCAGTTCGCTCGATTCGTGGAAGGGCATAGCGAAGTCTAACGGATAATATCACGTCATGTTATAGGATCTATTGGTTCTGAGATGAGTAACTTTTTTCACTATATAATGAGGTTTCGTCATGGCTTCACGTTTCACATACCAAGCATCGCCTTTATTAACCTGCATCCTGTGCTACACCCTTTTTATCATTTTATATTTCACGCATTCCACTTACACAGGAGTTTATGTTTGTCGTCACGATCCACACGCATTTTCTGTATCAATTCCTTGCCACATGTTTTCATGCTATGATCCAGTTTGCAGTGATTTACGCGTTACCAGCTCGGTTTAATGGAAGTTTTGATGTTATCGTACCCCTGCTACGGGCCCCTCACACGTTTTTCCTGTTGGCCACCGGCAAATCTAAGTTCATGTTCACAGAAATACATCGAGACAGGTAGATATTAAACTCAAGCCAAGTACAGCAAAGGATACATGTAATCCAACAAAATACCGCAGCGAGGGAGAAGCAATGCTGACCGTCTAGACTCTACATGTTCTTGATCTGCGGCTGCCTCGAGGCCTTGATGCTCGAGTGGAGCATCTTCACCCTTGTTATGAGCACCGCGGTGAGGGGGCAGCTATGCTGAAATCTGAACTTCCTGTATTGTTTCCCCCCTGTAGCTGCCTCGTAGTCCGGCAGCTCATCTTCCGATTTGTTGTGAGCAATTTCAACGAGCTTGTCACTCACGCTCTCTTTGGGCTGTGTAGGTCGAGCTTGAGTTTCTGCAAATTTTGATATTAAGAATGCTCACATCTAGATCCAGGGATCCAGCCGTCAGAGTCCTCTCTGAAGCTATGGTTTGTTTGTCGAACTCTATAAGCACAAGTGAGTTCTGAAAGTCGACGACTTGGGAATCAAAGATGGGAGCATACCGGTGGACATCTTTGAGGAGAATTTGGCAGTACGGGAGGACTCCAGTGGGGCTTAAAAGAGTCTGAAGTGCGTTGCCATAATGTCTGAGGCTGTCCGCAATACTGCTAGTTGGAATCCTTAGCCTGAGACGGATCTCATGAAGAACTTCCTTTCAGAAGCGTGTCAACGTCAAAAGGCACGGACGGAGGCTGTGACAACATATGGCGAATGCGCCAAATTGCGCTGCAAGTTGCAGCAATGTCTCCAGTGATGATGTTCTCCAAGCCCACTACAAAATCGTCAGCCTGAGTAAGGAGTAACGCTGATAACGCAAGGGCCGATGTGAGTGAAGGTAATTCAACCGATCTCGAGGCAACTCACTTGAAGTTAGGTTCCTGGGGTAAATTAGCGGAGGCTAAATCCTCAAGAGCTGTGCTGCCAGTGACAACGCGTACGGGTCAGATCGCGCAGATAGCGTTCAAGAATCAAGATGCGATTTAGGGGCTTTTAAGGGGCACCTGGGCGTGCCAGACCACAACCAGCAAGGCACGTAGTCAAGGTGGTGTTCCTGTGGAGTCGAGTGAACTGGGTCCGCGAAAACAAATGCTCCGTTCCTGTAGAGACTCTGACCTGACTAGGAAAGTCTGGTGTGCGCAATTTCGACACGAAGTTTGGAAGGTATCATTGGTTTGGCGCTGGGAAATACGCTGGATGATATCTTCTGCCTTGATAACATGCATGAACTCAACGTTTCTAGTGCCAGCCATTCGGTTCACAACGCGCGCGTCCGCATCGCATAAATTTCTCCGAGGGGGGGGGGGGATTTATTGTATTTTTTTCCCTCATCACCTTTCAACAGAGTTCTCAAAGTTTTCTGAGCACGCCTAGCACTTGATCGATGATCTTCGCACCGATCCATACGATTTGCGTTACACCACCATTACGATCACCGTACAAGCTTGGAATCCAGCAAAAGAAGAAAAAACGAGTTTACCACAGTCCGTCAATTTAGACCATCCACCTATGTAGTGTCCACGTCCGAAGCCGAACGAAGTGTATCGATGTAGGTTTAAGCGTGTAAACGGTCCACTTTTGTCGTCAACGCCTCCAACCTTGCGTGAATTTCTCTAATCTCCTTTAAAATGGTAGCTTCGCTCGACTATGGAGACATTAGTAGACAGCGTAGGAAATACCTGAAAATCCTTACTTGTTCCGTGTTTGGGAACCTCTTGACAAGCTCATCAAAGGGAATTTTGGTGATCTCCAAGCCTTGGTCTGCGTCCGGCCCCTCGACTGTGGGATCCAGAACAACAGGGTTTTCAGTGTCCACTTCGTCTTCTGTCCAGGTGACCATCCATGACTTCGTCGCATTTGATGTCTCAAAAAGGGCAATGAAAGTCAACGGAACGAAGAGAATTATGCTCATAACGATCCGATTAAGCTGCAAAGAGGTCAGTTATACAGATCGCATATTGAAAAATCATGCCGCACTTTTGCATATGACTCGGGATGCAGGGCAAACATTCTCAAAGAGCAGTTAGTAATTGCGAAGGGCCACAAGAAGTAGAAAACTTACTCGAAAGGCGCTACGAATAAAACCTCTACCAGGTTAAATGGGGCAGGATAGACATACGAATCAGGGGCGCGGATCATGGCAACAGTTTTTCCTGCATAGAATGTCATGTACTCTGCTTCAGCGTCATCGACAACCTGATCATTCGTTGAGCCCATTTAACTCATAAAAAGATGGAATACCAACATCAGCGTACGCAGAAGAGAACAAAGAAATGAGGACGTTGAGCAGGATGATCGCCGTTGTAACGTTCCAGCTGACATATAATTTGTCAATCAGCAAGCACGGAGAATCCTCGAACGACCACTAACAGATAGTACAAGGTAAGTCCAACAGGGCTGCAAACAAGATTGTTCAGAGGCTTCCAAAAGGTAGATGTTGGACTTTACCTGGCAGAAAACTTGTCGTAGTTGGGAGACCTAAGAAAAGTCAGCAGGTGCTCAAATTAAGAAAATAAATATCCATCTGACTGAAGTAAGCCTTGAACAAGGACATGAATGACCTGACCGAAATTAGACAGGGCTAAGGAGAGAAAAGGTCGGACATACAACTGATGGATCTTCGCTTGAACCGTCAGCAGCATCTAGAGCATATAGACCCTGCAAGAATCCAGCACCGAGCACCGACAACAGCTGCACAGAGGTGAAGGAACTGGGAGATCATATACTACAAAGGGACAAACCGCGAAGAAGATGCCTGACTCTTGTAGCATGCGAGCCACGCATATTTGCATCGTTCCAACATACCTGCGAGTTCATCAATATCTTTTATACGAGTACGACGCAATATGTACTTACTGGTAACCATCAAAGATTGTAATGAGCTCTGAAATTAAAAACCATGAGTCAAAAGGAACAATAATAGATGTGTAGACCTCAACTGATCCTGAAACAATTTGTTAGATGTTTTGCCTCGTGGTTGTTTGAGGATTAGCTAACCATATGAACGGGGCGACGAAACTCAAGACTTGAAAGCTCCTTAAGCGTAGAGTGTTAGAGTGATCTCCGGTTGCATAAATACCAGCAATGCGAAGCAAACATGCAGCCAGCAATAGGGAATCCGTTATGAAGGCGACGACATTCCAAAATCCAAAGGCGCGATAGGTCGCGTATCTGAATAGTTTGTAAAACTGTGTCGACCTTTAAGACTTTGCGGCGGATTAAGACGCGAGAAAGTTACCCTGACTATGTCTGGAACACGACTCAGCCCACCGTTCAAACAATAGCGGGATACACTCACCTTCAAGTGAAAATGCCAGCGCCATAATATAGAGTATAAATTCCCAGAGATCAAGCACCGTCATAGGATGGTTGGGATCAAGTCGGTCCAGCGGTTCACGAACTTCAGATTGGTTAGGGGATGGCTAGCGCTCCGTAATAATATTAATCTCTTACCGGCTTGAGAGTACACAGCGAGAAAGAAAAACCAAATCTGTGTGATTATATCAAGCTAATGCTTGTTCACCCGATATATGACGAACCACAATGCGGAGGAAGTTCTGATACCTGTACCCAGGTAAGAATAGGTACTACGCAACAGAAGTAACTCATACCGGGGAACGGAAATGCGTGAAGGGTCCATGTGGCCCCAGAACCCAGTTTGCCGCGATTTGTGGTAGGATACATCTGTCGGTGCTTGAGCATGGAGAATAAACGACCATGTATTGGCTCACACTGAATATCATCCTGTTCTGTCAGTGTCTGGACAAGTTCTCCGTCCCACAGAGCCCTGACAACTGGGGCAACAATCACTTTCCCCGACTCATTGATTACCTCGGAGACAACTCACCACTTTGCGCTTCGGTAGAAGACAAAAATATAGTGCTACATAGCAGCATGTTAGAACATTACAAGAATCTCTACAAAGAACCGACCAATGGGTGTCAATGGCAACTTCGAGAGCACTCGAGGCCTCGCTGATGTCGCCATCAAGCTCGCGATGCCTATACCGAGTAGACATGAGAGATTTAATTTTCTCAGCTGGACTTTGGTGAACAATGCGACGAGCCAGTACTTCGCATGCCACAGCTGCCAAATTGAGTGTTCATGAGGGCTCATCTTCAACCAAGTAACAATAACACGACAAGCTCTGCTTACCTCTTCCTCGGTTTTCGCCATAATCTGCAGGGTTGACATACGCCTCCTGCATAAATTCAGCGCGAGCACGGAGCAAACAGTATGGGAGCTTTTGCGCGATGAGTACGCCGAATATTTCAGCACGAATAAGTTGCTCACCGCTTCGACAAAATCACCTGCTGCATCCGAGAAAGCGGATATGACGTGGGGAGTGATAATCCTGCTTGTGGGATCATTGATGCTCTTCTCGTCGACTTCCACTGGAAGCAGCTTCGTTGCTAGTGCCCTGAGACGCTTCACAAGTTCTATACAGCGGTCAGGAAATGAATTAAATACAAGAGTGGGTATACCATACTCGTTAATGTATCCGGAGAAGGTTTCTTCGACTGCGATGAAATAAGAGAAGCTTGTTCATCGTTGGCTTCATCATTTTGGTACATGGTTTCCGAAGTCGCTGGTCGAACAACGTTGGACGTCGCACACAAAATCCTATCCTATGTCACGGTGGTGCGGTTAGCCTTCGTTCCAGACCAAAAAGGAAACATTAACGTGACCTAACTCCGTCAACGCATGGTGGCTGTGCACCTGCTACTTGTCCCGCTGCGCCATGCCTGTGAGCGAATCCTCTGGTGAAGTTTTGAAGAGCAATACTAACGAAACATCTTAGGCATACCACTCTGCTTTCAATGAGTTCCCTGATGCAATGCAAGCTGGCAACATGTCCATCTTGCCAATCAGAACCAAAATCCGTGGCCCCGCTCCCCTTGGTATGTCTTCCGGAATATGCAGTCGCCACCACTGACCGTCTCTCATGTAGCCGATCCAGAGCAAGGAGATATAGTAGACGAGACTCTTGACCTCTTTCGGGCCAATTCACTCTTCCGCAACTTTGAGATCAAGGGGCCTGCGGACCGACTGTTAATCATCCTGATTCTCTATATCTCAGATTGCTTGGCGAAGATCGGTTCTGCTCGCACAGTCCCAACACAGATTGAAGCATCAAAGATGTTGAATACATTATCAGTAGACAATTTCGCTATCCCAGGCGATGCTGGATTCCCTCTCAACGCCCATTATGCCCCACCTCAGAGCAGAGCAGATGCAGGTACGTTCGGTTCAATTGCTCCACCTGGGTAGATAATGGATATAACTTGACAGAGTATCTGCGGACGTACTTGACGCAGGTCCGCCAGGAGCTGGCAGCTCGTTTGGTGGAACGCCTGTACGCTGACGGGACGGGCAAGCCAAGCAAGTGGTGGATGGCATTCCAGAAAAGAAGGTTCATGAATCGCAGCCTGGGCTCGTAAATCAAAGGAGAACATGTATATCCCGTCCCGATTAACTGGGTAATGTACTTTTCAGCAATGGGTATCATCTATATCACTTCCGTTTCTTCCTTTCATTGGGGTTCTTCCTCCCGTACCCTATTGGCGGCATGTCTCCGCCAGCGCGCAACGACCGCCCTTGTCCTCCAGTCCCAACACTCAGTATTCCTGGCATCCAATCAGGATCTGACCAGCCACCAACACTGACGCCACCCTCGCCACCTTTATCAACCATGCCCTTGATCATTCGCTGCTCCTCCCGGTCTCGTTTACCGTCTGCACGCTTTTTAGCGCGCATGTATTCTAGTTGGTCCTCGCGTAATACTAGACCTTCTCCAGGGCCTGTCTTCGCCGACCCAGGCTTGGGTGCAGGGATTGAATATTTCGTCCCCCTTACTTTATACTGGAAGTTTTTCTTCAAGTGGACTTGCATTGCAGGAGCATCCGGTGATGCGTCAGGGGACGCAACAGTGACCGACGCCCGCATTAGTGTTGGATTACCGCAAGACGGGCAGAACTGTTTTGAGTTGTCTTTGCAGATCCTAGTTGTGTTGTAAAAAACAGGGTACCAATCAATGGGACCGGTACTCACTTAAAGCACGCGTGACATCGAAGAACCCAGCTCTTCACCTTCTGTATCCGCTTGCCTTCGGTCCCGACCAATGTCAGACCCATCTGCAACAAGACGTTCTGAACTGCAAAATCTCCAGTCATGCAACCTGCTGGTACGAATTCGTCCTCCTCCTTTCGTCCCCGCCCTTTCTTACTAGCACTACTGCCAGAGGGCAATAAATGCAGCTCTTGGGATTTGTGTAGTGCAACGTTTTGAGGTGTAACCCACTCGCCCTCGCCGTCATCCTCATCAGAAGGATCTTCATATAGCGGCTGGTCCGATGGTCGAGAATCGTCACTCGAGGAATGAAGCGTCTCATCCGCTATATCGTCGCCCCCTTCTCGGACAAGTTCGATTTCTAACGGTTCCCTCTCTTCACATTCGTCATGCTCACTATCATGGTGGATATCGTCCGATGGATCCGAAGGGGAAGCTGGGGGACTTTGGACGTTATCGTCAATTTCGTCGGTACCACTCTACTAGCTAGATATTAGATCGGGGCTGCGATAGACTGATCAAACCTTGCCTCTTTGGGATTCTCTTTGGAGTCATTCTCAGACGACGCCTGCTCGCGTACATGAAGCGAGTGGGTTAACGCCAAGACGCAGATATCTGCATGAGACAAGACAGCATAATCTCCCGTCTTTTTCGCAAATTGTACCACTGGAAAGCAGTAAGTATGTAACCAACCAACAAAATAGAGACCTGTGTTCACCATGAGCAAATGATGCAGCGTCAGGGTTGCGCACATCCACTTGGACACCCGCAGATAGTCCCAATCGTTCAAAGTGTTCTCGTGCGCGTTTGTCCTTGAGCTCATCCAAGACTTGAGGTACGGTGAGGTAGATCTCTGCCAGGCCCCTCAAGGGTGAAAGCGAAAGCAATGGACCAGCATCTAAAACCAAATTTTTACAGCGAGGCTTTGATTCTGCCATCGATGCGAAATTTTGAAGAAGGTTCTTAGTTAGCGCCGTTCTGGAATCTGCTAACAGCTGCTAACTTGATGATATGATTAGGATAGACGTGGGAAGATCTACCCTTATGCAGGTCGCATGATCACTTTTGAGGTCACGTGACTCACGTCCGACCAACTATATCGCTCGGCCGATAACGCGGGCAGCCGACCTCCAGTACAACAATAATGTTAAAAGAACTCGAACACAATTAATATCGACCATTTCCGTTTCTCCATCTTCCCAAATGTCTCCCAAGTCGTCAGTCCATCGATCCCCGTATATGAACTCCGCTGACTTCGACATGCAGGTACCGCATCGTTGTTCTGCCGGGGGATGGCATTGGTACGTCCTTCTGTTAATCTAATCAACCAAGGCACGGAGCTTAAACGGTGTTACAGGACCAGATGTTATTGCACAAGCAACGCGGGTGCTAGAGCTCGTCAGCGAGACATCTACATCGGTCAAGCTCACACTCGAGCCTCATGACTTTGGTGGATGTGCCATTGACAAATATGGCGAACCCCTGCCCGCATCCACCCTTACAGCATGCCAGCAGGCGGATGCCATTCTTATGGGTGAGCAATCCTGACTGACTTTTCGACCATGCAACTAATTAGATTCTAGGCTCCGTTGGTGGTCCCAAGTGGGGCCCCGAAGCGAAAGTTCGCCCTGAGCAAGGACTTCTGGGAATCCGCAAAGCTCTGGGTTTATACGCAAACGTCCGCCCAGCGAACTTCGCATCCGACGCCTTGCTCTCATACACTCCTCTCAGGCCTGAGATCGCCAAGGGTGTCGACATGATCGTCATCCGTGAGCTGATCGGTGGTCTTTACTTTGGTCCTCGTCAAGAACAAGGCGACGGCGACACTGCATATGACACCATGGTTTACAGCGTTGCTGAGGTCGAAAGAATCACCAGGGTTGCAGCAAAAATTGCTCTTGCTGCTAACCCACCCCTCCCCATCCACTCTATCGACAAGGCAAACGTGCTTGCAAGTTCGAGGTTGTGGAGAAGGGTTGTCACCGAGACGCTGGCAAAGGAATTCCCCCAGCTCACCGTTGACCACTATCTCGTTGACTCCGCTGCGATGATTATCGTGGCTAACCCCAAAAAGTTAAACGGTGTAGTCTTGACTGAGAACCTGTTCGGTGACATGTAAGTCTCGTGCTGTCGGTTTTCGGTAATTATACTCATTGATTTCACTCCAGCTTGTCAGACGAGACGAGTGTTATCCCTGGTTCTCTGGGATTGCTGCCATCGGCATCCCTTGCTGGTGCACCTGCACTAGCTTCAGACCCCTCTTTCAAGCCTACTTCAGGCATATACGAGCCTATTCACGGCTCTGCTCCTGATATCGCTGGCAAGGGTATTGCCAATCCGATCGGCACGATTCTCAGCGCAGCCATGTTGCTGCGCTACTCCCTCGGCCTCGAGAAGGAGGCTCAGGCTGTTGAGGCTGCCGTTCGCAAGGTGTTGGATGAACCAAGTGCTGGTGGATATGGCATCAGAACAGCTGATCTGCATGGCAAAGCAACAACTGTCGAGATCGGCGACAAGATCGTCGAGGTGCTCAAATCCCTGTTGTAGAGGGAATCGACCACCGATGGGAGGATACGACTATGGCAGAATCGAAGGAAGTGTATATGTATTCCACTACTCAAATTTAAAAAATAAATCCGGTCGAGTATCCGCACTCTCGAAGGTTGAAGAACCTGCATTTCAGTCTGACAGACAAATAGCAATCCATTGAACAGTATCAGTCCACAAATATGTGAAAACATGGTCCATCCTCGATCTGAACGACTAGAACATATTAGCAAGCTTGCTCGCTGCGACCCGCGCATCCAAACGTGGGCGCGACGGGTGTACCCGCATTGACTGCGACATGTTCGTCGGGGCGAACATTCCAAAAGGGTCCACGGCCTGTTGTGCGCTTGCGGAGCGAACAGGAGCGTTAGAGGCCGATGGGGATTGGGCGAAACCCGCAAGAGGGTGGGTGGCAGAGGATGGAACGGGAGAATGAATGGTTCCCCCAAGGGGACCTTGGGCCAGCGAAGGTGAAGAGGCAGCTACCGGAGGGCCCAATGGAGATGGTGATGCGGCGTTAACAAACATCGACTGGGTCCCGTCCGCAAAGCGGCCACCCAGAGGCGGGCCAGCCTCCCGTGGCTGCGGGGGTGCGAAGGAGCTCCGCTGAGGCGTCGAGGGACCCGCGCCAGGTGATTGAGGAGGAAGTGGGTGTTGCCTGAATGAGGACTGCGTGGGTGAAGGAGCGGATGGCGGCATCCGGTTGGGAGGCTTTGCGACAGGAGGCGTAGCCCTGGTATGTGTGTACGTGTCGTCCTCTAAAGGCAAGATAACAGATGGTTTGGGAATGCCATTCGGGTTCGGAGGTGCTATCTTCTGATTGGCATTATTGACATCTGTGCGAAGCGCCTCCAATTCCCGAAGTAACTGCCTCTCGTACATGATCGACGAGCGAGCATGCTCAACTAGAGCAGCGGTAATATCATCTGCAACAGTACGCTTGTGTGTATCCATGGCACGATGAAGATTTTGGGATATGTTGTTAGCTCGCTGGGCAAGCACTTGCTCGTATTTATTGGCCTATTACAAGAAAGAAAGATATCAGCGCTCTCAGCCCGAGGAAATGCCACGCGTTTCGCGCTTACCTCCTCTATGTCTTCCAGAGCTTCATCCACTCGCTCAGGCCTAATATTAGAACTCGCTTTCAACCGCTCTATATTCCTGCGCTTAGATATCGTCGCTTTCACCGCAGCCTGATACTCCTCCAGTACGCCAGCTCGTTGTAACAATGCTTCCTTTGCGGAACGGGAGTTGAGACCTTGATACCCAAAGGTGTCCCCAATGACAACACATTCACTAATCGCCTGCGCTTGATCCAGATCCGTCAGACTATGCCATGCTCTTCCAAGCTTCTGCAGCGCATGTCCAAGAGGAGGATGCGACTCCGTAGTAGCAACATTAATGAGTTTGTTGCCCATCTCCGCATGCGCAACAGCCAGAGCTACATACAACCCCAGATCAACAAACAAGACAAACCCATCACCTTCGCGCCACTCACATTTGCGTGTGATCGCAAGTTTGTCGATAGCTTTAGCAGCATCGAAGAACTGCGTTTCAAGCTTCGTTAATTCGAATCGCGCACGTTGCAGTACCTCGTCTTCGTCAGGCACGCCCCGGCGCATCAGCCCAAACCCTGTGCCCGTTTTACGCCGAGGGCGTGGCGTTGGCTGATAACCAAAGTCACTCTCGATAAACGAGCGCAGTTCCTCGTCGTGAATAACAATCGGGTCCTCGCATATCCGCATCAACCACCTCTGCAGCATTATCCGCACAAGACGATCATCCTCCTCGTCAGTAGGCGCCGATGTTTGGGCAAGAGGTAGTGCAGGAATGATGGTATGAGGGCAATTGTTGATCAGCGCTTCGTAGAACTGCTGAAACTCGAGGTATGAGCGGGACACATTGCGGTATGTAGTTCCCGTAAAATTAGACAGTGTTGTCTGCCAGCGCAAAAGGTCTGATTACCATACGGATGATGAAGTACTGCTAGCTTACCTGGGCATCAAGTTTGAAGAGTATATCCCGCCTGTTTCTGTCCATTCCAGTGATTCGCACACGTAGGTATGGCTCCATCTTCTCGTATTTTGTGCCGTTTGAGCCTACTGTTGTCTGCGGAGAGACAAGGCCAGGTTCAGGCTGGCCGTAAATTTTGGGTTCTCTGCCATACAGCCCGTCGGTCTCTGCTTTCTGAACACTCACCGGTGATGGTAAAGACGGGGAAGCGCGACGCAAATGGGGTATTGGAGAATTTGGCTCGTGCGGTGTTGTTGGCCATGGCGGTGACGTGTCGGTGTTTCCATTGGCAAAAATGGAACTAGTAGAGCTAAGAGGGTCGAACATGACAGCACCGTTGTGCACCGTATAGTGTGGGGGAACAGCAGAGAAAGTGTACGTATGCACGAAACTCGATGGCCGCGCCAACACCTCAGTTTGATGTGATAATAGTAGATCACATAAGCAACAAGCGCCAAAAGAAAAACTTGAAGCAGTTGTCGAATTCAGATCTAATATCGGTACAATTAATGAATACACTCTAGGCCAAGAAAGACACAGGGTAAATAGATGATAATGATAGTCGTGTCAAATCCCCTGCATATTATCTTGATATTATCTGTGCGGAAGGAGCGACGTGGAGTTGCGTCATGATGTGGCTTGCCCGCCTGCCAAATAGAGCGGTAACATATGCCCCATGCGGAGAATCTTGGTGCGAAGGTACTTATCCAAGTCCTCCCCTCTGACCGCCTCTCCGCCGATCATCGTTGCACCTGGGGTTTTAGCTGCATCCAGTTCAGCGTCTCCTGCGCCCGCTTGTGAGTGAGAACGATGTCTCCAGCTTCTAGGCACCATCGGCACCCGCTCCACAACTCTCAGACCCTCTTTCTCAAGACCTTGAACTTTGTCAGGGTTGTTCGTCAATAAGCGAACACCCTCGCCAAACTCCGAGCCAAGCCCAAGGTCCCGTAAAATGGCGACCGCAATTTCGTACCCACGTTCGTCGGCCTGATGCCCGAGCATTAAGTTTGCTGTGACAGTGTCGTGGCCTAAATCCTGCAAATTATATGCGCGTATTTTGGACAGAAGACCGATTCCACGGCCCTCCTGTCTCAAATAAATTACAGCACCCCGGCCGGGCATCGTCCTTGAATTAGGTGATGCGTTGTGGGGAAGAGATATAGGTTGAGAAATGAGATGAATGGCTTCGTCCAGCTGTTCGCCACAGTCGCAGCGCATGCTACCCACGGTTTCACCAGTGAAACACTCGGAATGAATACGCACAAGGGGATACGGGACGGAGGGAGCGGTAGATGGTTGATGCGATGAAGGACGAGACGGGTGTTGGGATGCAGCGGATAGTTTTCCTACGTATGCCCCGCGTATAATGCGGTCCATGTCAGTTTCGTCATCACTCCAACAGCGTCTAAAGAACGGCTGCGGATTGGCGGTGCTAAAACCGAACTATCGTCCGAGTATTGAGCTGGGTCTACGACAATGGCAAGATGCTCCTTGTTATCACGATTATTGTGATAGAGGTGTAAGAAAGCTGGACCATGGGGCGTGGGTATACGGGTACGAGCCATGCATTTAACTTCTATAAAGGATGTGGGTGGTCCAGCCAGCGAATTGACTTGTGAGGTTATGGCTGGTTGCGGAGAAGATGCGGGCTGCACACGCAGTCTTCGAGGGCCTTGCCTGCTCACGTATGACATGCGCTTACGCTCCTGATGCTTGTTTGTGTCCTCTGCAGCCCGTTTGCCTCGCGCGGGGGCATCGGCTTGGGCACCGGGAAAGAAATCATGATGATAATGATTTCGAGTGGTGTGGGTACCTGCAGAGGCTGCTACTGCAAGCAATAATGGGTCCAAAGCGGCATCCCTTCTCGAGAATTTCTGCACGCCTTGCCATCGAGGGCTTGTGAGAACGTCTAGGAGAGCTGTGTCAGATTCTGCTAAGAATGAGGAAGATATGTTCGGATAGAAGGATTCTGTTAAGGCCATTGTTATGAGGCTGAAAGCGCAGGCTTTGGTGGGGAACGAGTAGGAGCGGACGCCGGACTATGCGCATCTGATTCCTGAACACCTTGCTTATAAGTTTGATGGCAAGTGTGATAATTATTGATGTGACGTGACTCATCTCGTGACGGTATCCCAACCGAGTGTTAACAACATTTAAATTGGGTAACGTACTCTTACTTATGTTCTCCCTGGTTCTCCCAGACAGACCCTAGGCATCGGATCACTCGTGTCGTGACAGTAGAGGGCAGGTAAGCATACACGCTATTGATATCTTTGGATTGTTTTTTTCACGGTCGTGGGCAGTTGCTTACTATGATATACCGGAATTTTCTAGACATTTCGTCCGGGTTTGTCATGTAGATTAATATGCTTAGAGCTTTCGCTTTCCTAGTAGTCTCCGACTCCGCATCAAGCGCATTTTGGGCGCTGAGCGCTTAGGGGCCAATGATTGAACATCCTAGTGGGCCTTTAAAAGTAAGCCTGAGTCAACTTCGAATTCCCAATTCAATTGGAGCCCTGCTGAGAGGTTGTCGTCTCCGAATTTTGGGTATTTGAAAATTCCTGTGTGATCTTATCGAATTCTCCTGCAGCAGCCTTTATATACGTGTAAAGGCTTGCGACGTTTGATACCAGATTTATAGTCGGCTTCAATCTTCGGGTGCAAGAAACCTTGCAAACAGCTATTTCCCACCCACGCCATAAGTGACGCATTACAACACGGTGGAGGTATCGGTTTTACATTCTCCTTCGGCCGTTGTGGCCACCTCTGATGCATATGCCGTGACCGCCCTTGAAACTGACTGTACTGATGGTCGTTATTGACACTCTATCCCCCCCAGGAGCCGCATCCTTCGCCCTCACGTGTTTTGCCTAACTTCATCTCCCTATCCTAACTGGACATGGGGTCTGATTCAATGCCTCACATTTCTCTTTCGGAGTCTTTCCCATGCTGCGCCGGCTCATCGGATGGGTCTCCAGCTACGTGGAAATCTTTTGAGGGATAATTTCTCCGGCTGTTACACATGATTGCGTCGCGATAGCCTGTAGGGGGGGAAATATTAATTGAATGTTGAAAGATTAACGACTTAGATAGATGATGTATTAAAATTAGGTGAAAGGCTGAGTGATTTGCATAATTCGAGGGTGCAATGCTTGGCTCTACCAGGACTGCGGGGTAGCACCACATTTTCAGTTGTTGGCGGGGAAACTAATCGACGACAAATGTATAGTACCGCCTGAACCCAGTAAGGTCCTCCCTAGGATATATACAGAAAGGACTAAGGAAGTAAAAGGGAGATAGGCATAATTAAGGTTTTTTGCGTACGTAAGCAAATGTCAGCGTTTTTGAACTCACCAACTCTCGCGTTGAATCACATGTAGGATACGACTCTTCACGAAATTTCAACACAAGGTTGTTGCTGAGCGCCGACTATGATGGTAGCTTTTCGGTAAAGGACCTAACCATGGCTTCGAGTTACCAGCCGCGAATGGTATGTCATTCTCCTTTGTAGTTGAGACGACTGAATGTATTCAAGTCTGGGCAGTCTCGCGCTACCAATCAGCGATACCTTGTGTCGTAGGGGCGGCCATCGTGAGGATACCAGCACACACGATCGGGAGATGATGCCCGTGGCATGTTCATCAGTTGTGTTCACTCAGCTGGAACCACTTGCTCTCTGCACTTCGGGTTTGCTTTACACTTCTGTCTGGGGTAACCATCAACTGCGATAAGGAAGGGACGTGATTCACCAGACGACGCACGGTGCTGCTCATCGATGGCAAGATAGAAGTTGGAGATGCGGGCCGGTTTTCGATTAATGGAAGATGGATGTAAATAGTCTCTATGTAGTATAACGTTATCAAACGCGTTGCAGCCTCGCTGCTTTCCTTTTGCTATCACTTCCTCATGGGTGCAGACTCCGACAAAGGACTTGATGCTGCACAAAAAGGCTGCACTTTGCCATTTCTTACATCCCTCGTTCACGACAAACCCACCGGATCATCGTACCCTAACGCCAGAGAGGGTCCACGGATCAAAAACGAACCCTGACCTAGTCATTTTTTGACACTAAGTACTCGGAAGTTTTTCTAGTCATTATTCTCTTTCCCTCTGTCCATCGATCACATAGGCGGCTTACACGGCTGTTGAATGTCTCCTCCTGAAGGACAGGTCGGGGCTTATCCCAACACCGTCTCCCAACAGCAAGACACTGGGCAAGCATTTGTTACCTCTCCTCCTATGTACTTCTAACCTGTTTTACTTAATTAGCAGCCATGCAAGTCCAGATGACAGACTACACTCAAAGATCGTCGAAATACTTTCATCCACCAGTAATGACTGCGTGATAGAGTTGGGTTACCCGCGCATGATGGAGAAGCTACGACAATCCATACTACACGCTCAGTCACTCCAAGAGGACAATGCGAGACTGTATCAAGATAACTGCCACCTCACCGCAGCCACTCAGATGCTCAAAGAGCGCATCGCACATCTCTTGGCTAATCCGAACGCCCAGCTGCAGCAATTCTCTCTCATGCAAGAGAGGATACGTACTCTTGAGAACGAACGGGAATCTGTACTTCAAAATAACCAGGATATTCTCATCAGTATCAACAAAGGCACCTCACACCACCTTCTCGCTCAGGAACTCGAGCGCATGAGGGCACGAACCAATCACGTTCTCAAAGAGAATCAAATTATCCAGAACAAATACATGGAGCTCAGTGCCGCACAACGCGGCCAGATGTCCCCAAGTGTATTATCTCCCTCAAGTTAGACTGTTTATGTTCTCTATCCCCCAGCTTTTCTGATTGCGCATTACAGATTCTGTCCCTTCCCAGCCCAGAATCCTCACCCCTAGCGATGTTGGTACTTTCTATCTAATCTCACAGTGCACGAATAATAGTATCCTTAGGTTCATCAGCGACAAGCGTCTATCGAAGGTGCTTCCAGACTCCAGCCTTCTCGTTTACCGCAGCAACAATTTCAGCAGCAAGCACAACATGCACGACAAATGCAACCGCAGGTTCGATACGCCCTGCCACCTCAGCAGCTGCAACATGCTCATCAAGTATACGCTCAAAGAAGGGTTTCTGACGGCGTTCAAAATGTACGTCATTCTCCACTGCTTGTAGGCTTTAAAGTAACCACTGTACCAGCCCTACCCACCTCACCAACCCGCGTCGCTCAGATGGACGGTCCCACCACCGGCATCCGCACCCCCAGTGTTAGGAACCAGGTCGCCCACAGACTTTCCACACATCCCTACTCTCTCAGCCCCAGTTAATTATCGCCCTCAGCGACCACTTTACACCTATCCGCTTACCCATACGTCACAAACTGGCTATCAAAATACATCAGCGCCACTCGTGCCTTTCAATATGCACCCCAACTTGCACAGTGCACCCCCGACGCCACGTCCTGCTCTATCTATAGATCTGACCGGGGAAGATCTGGTCGAAAGGACGAGAGAACAACAAGCTAGAGGTGGGCGGGTTGATCAGCCTAACGGTCTGAAACGCACAAGTTCTGCTGTGGAAGGTACACTTTCGCAGGCTATTGAGGCGATCAAGAGACAAAGGACCGCACAGTCCACTCAGTCGTCTCAGGATGCTATTGTCGACACGAATCCTGAACCCAAATCAGCCTCTCCGGACACTGTAGTTGGTTCAAAACCAACTTCACCAGTCTCACCCTCGCTTCCTGAGCCACTTGCTCAAGAAAAGATGGACGCGGCCACAGAAGGCCAAGTGGCCGTCGCGAATGACGAAGTTGCGATTGCAGTCACGCCTTCAGACACTGCAGTTAGCTCCAACCCAACTTCGCCTGCTCAAGAAAAGGCGTCTGTCCCACCAAGTGGGGATAATATGCGATCCGTCGAAGACTGTGTCTACATGATTTACGAGCCAGATGCTGAAGTAGCCAATGGATACTTCTGTGGCAGATGCCTGTAAGTCAAGCATCCGTTTTGAATATTCGCAATCCTCATCCTCCCTCCCCAGTGATCGCTTTGAATCGAATATGGTTCCCGAACCTCCGGATGTGTTGGTGAATCCAAAGTTCGAAGATCTCTTGATACATTGTACGAAGGAGCATCCCACGATCTGGGAGGACCTCCGTAATAAAAGAGACCTTGAGGCACTGGCACCACCCTCGTGACTATTGTTCCTTCACCTTTCATGTCCCTACGATAGTACGTCTTGCACATATTATTACTTTATATCCACTAGAATCATGATAATTCTAATACTATCACACATCACCACATGTCAGCCATGCATACACGTTGAGCTGTCTCAGCCTTGATTCAAATTCCAACCGCCCATGAGTCAGTTCTACAGTTGTTCATCTCACACGTCGACTACGTTATGTTCAACGCCAGCCAGCCGACCATCGACATCGTAGTCGATCGGACTACACACGCTCTTGGCGAGCCAGCCGGTGCGATCCTCGTCGGCGTGTTCATACAGTTTTTCTTCCAGGGCATCATCGTCATCGAAGCTGGACAGTACTACGAGGTGTGTTATGAAGATTCCTGGGGCCGCAATCTTTTTGTAGCTTTTGTCACGTTGCTTTCTCTGTGAGTGCTTGGTTTGGTTTGCGTTGTTGTGCGTGCTTAGTGTTTGTTTGCGGAAGTACCCAGACGGGGTTCGAGGGATATATAGCTTGGAAAGCTAATGTCGATCGTAGGACACTGGTACGTCAACGTACGATCATATCAGTCTCTCCCAAAAGGCTGACTTCTTGACATTAGCTGATGATCCCTCGAGCATGGTTTGCGCTCTTCCTCAACGGCTTCATCAGCGGAATAAACAAACTCTTCCTCCTCCGACGCTGCTGGCGGGTATGCATTCCAAATACCAGCTCTAGCACAAACTCTCAATTTTTGCTATGTAGGTTACGAAAGGAAGCTGGTGGATAGCCGTGTTGTTTGGGTTGACGGTAACCACATACGCCGCGAATATCTTGATCGTACGTGGTTTACCTTTTCAGTCGCAGAAACGTTAATGATGGTATGGTATATTCAGGCGGTGGCATTTTCACGTTTGGGCGTCGTCAATCCCAAGCCTAGGGATGTTATAGTACGTGAACGCTTGTTGTGGATTTTGCATGGTGTTCAATTGCGTTTTTAGCTGAGCGTCATCGCATTTTCTTATTGGACCACAGCAGTGCTCGGTAGGTCTCGGTGAATGATCTTATGTCCAGGATTGATGACATTGTTCTCAAAGTGATCGACGTCATCCTCTCTATCATTCGTGAGTCCCATTTCACATTAGGCAATACCTCATTCGATGACGATCCCTTAGTCGCTTTTTTCCTATGGAAAAACAAAACCGGCGTACACCACCTCGACAGAGCACTCCTGCGGTTCTGCGCTGTCGCCACAGAATCCGCAGTCTGGCCATCATTGTGCGTCGCCGTTTCCGCAGGACTTTTCTTCTCACACAACGTACGTATACATACTCCATCGCACATCAACAAAAAGACATCCAACTTTAATTACACTCTAGGCAAACGCCAACCGTCTCGTCTTCGTATTCTTGCTGCAAACAGGAAAACTCTACACGCTATCGATCCTCCGCACCTTGAACGCAAAAGTCAAACTGCGAGACAGGATGAAGTCAGACGATTTTGCGCGAGGCTCGTTGGGGAACTGGTCGTGGCGACAGGCTGGAGGGGTTTCTGAGATGTCTATGGATGCAGCGGTGAGTGAGCCGTGACTTGGGGCGTGCGTATGAATGTGAATGTTTGCGTTCAGCATTCGCGGTCTTCGTTCCGGGCTGTAACGAGTGGACGCCCGTTATCGATCTCGATTGGTCCGGAGGAGAGGAGTGTTGCAGATAGTCACGTGTCTGTGTTTGACCAGCACCTTCGGTCGCCGATGCCAGGCCATTCGAATTCAATAGACTTCCGTTCGGCTTGATGATTCGGAGTGGGCTGCTGGCTGAAATTTGTTTTGTGAAGTTGACACTCTTCTCTGTTGTATTTCTCCTGGAGATTCGGATGGAAAAAGTATAAGCACCTAATTATACATGGGTCACTTTTGATATTGTCCATCACACTTGAACCTCAAAGTCAATGGCCATCTCGCGTTCGAAATGGTGCGCAGGCTGCGATGTGCGAGGTTTACAACTATCTTACATGTCATTGATACAAGAACGGGAAGTAATCCGAGGGGTATTCTAGTGGCCACATATTGAGGAAATGAAAAGTAAAATATCCGCGACGCCGATTTAGAAGCAACCACACAACCGACCGTTTCCATGCTCTCCAGTGTTGACCTGCACTGCGGGCGGTTGTGAATCAGGGTTTGTCGAAGGTGGACGAGAAGGAACGTAGTCTTCATCAGCTATCCACTCCCCGCTGTTCTTGGCAGGAGCATCTGCTGAAGCATTGCGCTGTAGATAGATATATAAAACAATGTATGGAGAAAAAATAAATCAAACATACCTCTTTACCCTGCGCGAGAGGAACATCGACAATAGGCGGCAATGCATGACCTGTACGAACGGGCCACCAATTTGATAGGTCGTGCAGACGCGCTTTGAAGGATTCCGTAGTGGGCAATGTTGGTATGGGTCGAGCCTGAAACAAATGTAAGTTGAAATGTGATGAGAGCAGTCGGCACTTGCATTCTCGTGGGGGTTCATACCTGAACTGCCCTGAGCCAAGGGTAAGATGTTGCGAGGCAGAGGGGATGTAGCAGGGAACTGCAAGAAAATTGTCGAGACGACTGAGAAGGAAGGAGGTAAAAGAGACGTACATCCAGGGGATCACGAAGCACAGGAGGAGCTGCGTTTGTGCGAGAAGAGGAAATGAATTTGCGAAGGTAATGGAAGAAGGTGGGTCGCTGTGAGCGCGTGGTAGGGGAAGGTTTTTGTTGCCGATGAGCGAAATATGTGGTAGGCGAGATCACTGGTTTACGACGCCCAACACGAGGTGTTGCGTTGGACTGTAATACTGGCATTTGATGGAGTGGTATAGGTGAGTAGTTGATCACGTACATGAAGTAAATCACTTGTCTGCAAGAGAATGTTAGCGCACAAAAGGATAGGTGTACGCGCGTGGATGCATACATTAGGCTGCGCTTCTTGTGCAGGACAGATATTGGCAAGGATCTCGGGTGGAATATCGTATATGTAGATGTTTGCGTCATCCGATCCCGTGCAAGCCAGCTGGTGTGAGTTGGGTGAGAACAGGAGGTGAGCGGACTCGGAATAGATGTCAAATGAGGCGAGAAGCTGGCGAGACTCGAAGGCCCAGAGCTTGATGGTATAGTCTGAAGAAGCGCTAGCGAGGAGAGTGCAATCAAATGAAAGTGCTAGACTAGAGATACTAGCGCTGTTGGTGTGGCCTTCGAAGGGAGCTCCAACCTTCTCTAGCGTCAATGCATCAAACTCATAGATCATCTGAAGAAAAGGAGGAGGTTCATAGTCCTCGGGCTTGGTTGTGGTCCCGACGTCATCCTGTAAATAATTAAATCCGGCAGCGATGATGGTTCTGTCGGTGTCGTGTCGGTCGGTCGTCCAGACCATGGGTGTAAGTGATACTATCCAGCCACCACAATCCGGGGGTATGGTGACATCTTTTTTCTGGGCTTCGACATCCCACACCTCAAGCCAGCTATCCACACCTGGCTTGAGTGCGAGCTTCTTCGAGTCTTGCGAGAATTGAGCCGATATCGCGAATCCCCATTTCAAGTCAGCAATTTTGAACACGAGTTTGCCAGTGTCCAATTCCCATATCCGCACTGTGCAATCGTTCGACCCGCTCACTAGTAGCGTGCTATCGGCGGATATATCGATGGATACGATTTGTGCTGAGTGACCTTCGAATGTTCTCACAATCCCTGTCTTGACCTCACAAACCTTGAGCTCCCCGGCCTGACTATCATCTCCACTAGTAGTGACAATCCATTGACCATCCTTCGATACCCTCACAGCTAGTATTCCATGCTCACAACCCCGTGCCTCAATCTCCTTTCCAGTCCGCAGATCCCATTGCCGAGCGGTCTTATCCATAGATCCGCTGATCAACCGTTCGCCATCCGAAAAGTAGCAAAAGGATGAAACGCCGTGATCCTTTGGTTCACCATTCGGAAGGGTGCGAGTGACTGGTTCATGCCCTTTCAACGTCATGACCGGTGTGAGAAAACTATTTGCTGCTACACCGGATAGTTTCGAGCTGTCGGAAGCCATGGTCGATGTCTTCACCGAGTATGTTGGTTATTTCTATGTGTTCGAAGGACCACGCCGGTGAGCTCTCCTTGTGTGCTGTTGGCCTGAAGATGGAGACTTTGAAGATGCCCAACTTTATGGACTACTGCTTTCCCTACTGAAGTCGAATGTTAGCTGACCCATGTTGCAGGTTCAGATGGGATCATGTTACCAAAAGGTTGACTGCACTTGTCTGAGAATGACGATGGGCATATGTGTGCATCTGCCCCCTTTTAAGAAGCCCTTTCCTGTGTTTGCTACAGCATGTGCTTTTTTTACCCCTTCCTTTTCAAACCTGCCTCTCATGTTCCAGCGCATAATGTTGCCATTTTTGTGTTCAAGCACCCGGGCCCCAGCCCACACAGCCTGTATTAATTGCTGTAGACCGCTGAGCGCCAATTCGAGCGCTGCATGCGTCGTCTCCCACACTCGAGAGCACCTGCCAAGTCTTACACGAGTATCTGGCTTGGCCAAATCCGTCCTGCTACATCTTCGTTACATACTAAAATGTCGAATCCCATCGCACCTGCATTCCCACTTCGTTCACGTTGTGCGAATACGAGGAGGACAATGGCTCGATTTGCGAGCACTCAAGGTAAGTTTATTATGAACGCTCGTAGTCTTGCTGATATATGTAGCTTCACACATTCGCCAGCAGTCCAAAAATGTCGACGATGAGCCTAATGATGGACGACAAGTACTGCAAAAATATGAACGGTCTGAGGTGTCATCAGCGCGGGAGATGTCGAAAAATGCTCATTACAGGCGGCACTAGCAAGGATGAATCCAGCGTTTGCATTGCGCGAAATAGATACATTAAACCCAGAATACAGTAAGAAAAATAACCAGACACGCCAACTCCTACACTTGAGTCATGCATCTAACTTTTGTCATCGATATTATAACTTGACAAGGACAACTTGAAGGATACACTTTAGAAAGGAAAACAAAAACAAAATATAAACTTTGAACAAAGAACTGATGTGCTTTGCGGGACTCATAGAAAGAGTCGGAACAGCTCCTCGCTGAGGTCGGGAGCGCTTAGCTCAAGACGAGTAGTATTGGTTTGGCTACAGCTTTAGAAATAAATAAACCGTCCCTACTGTGCTCTTGTTATAACTTCCAAGTAACAGATAACACCCCTTCCGGCAACCCGTATCAAGTTATGGACCCAGATCAGACAGCTGAGGCTTCAACGCAAAAGCCTCCTCGAGTGACGCCGGCAAACAGCCAGCACCAGAGACCAAACCTGATCAAACCCCGAAACCGTCCGCCAACCGCTCAGAACGCCAGCACCTTCAGTCGCCGATGCCGATTCATTCGAATTCAACAGACTTGCGTTCGTCTTGATGATTCGGAGTGGGCTGCTGGCTGAAATCTGCTTTGTGAAGTCGACACTCTTCTCTGTTGTATTTATCCTGGAAATGGATGGAAAAAGTACAAGCACCACCTAAATGCATGGGTCATTTTTTGATGTTGTCCATCACACCTGGAACTCAAAGTCAGTGACCGCATCTCGCATTCGAAATGGTGCGCAGGCTGCGATCCGTGAGATTCATAACTGTCTTACATGTCATTGATACAAGAACGGGAAGTAATCCGAGGGGTATACTAGTGGCCACATATTGAGAGGTCAATGTTGACGTTATAGCGCATATGGCAAAAATAATACTGGAAGATATCCGCGACGCCAATTTAGAAGCAACCACACAACCGACCATTTCCATGCTCTCCAGTGTTGATCTGCACTGCGGGTGGTTGTGAATTAGAGTTCGTCGAAGGTGGACGAGAAGGAACGTAGTCCTCATCAGCTATCCACTCCCCGCTGTTTTTGGGAGGAGCATCTGCTGAAGCATTGCGCTGTAGATAGATATTAAAACAATATATTGAGAAAAAATGAATCAAACATACCTCTTTACCCTGCGCGAGAGGAACATCGACAATAGGCGGCAATGCATGACCTGTACGATTGGGCCACCAATTTAATAGGTTGTGTAGGCGCGCTTTGAAGGTCGTGGAAGCGGTGGCAGAGGATTCCGTATTGGGCAATGTTGATATGGGTCGAGCCTGAAACAAGAGGTGGGGAAAAGGCAAATCCCGGATATCAAGCTCGAATTTACATAAGCTATAAACCTTAATATACAGCCACTTGAAGTTTCAAACACGACGTTTTGAGTTTCTCCATAGCGCCGTCAGATGAGCATAGATCTGTTTGTTGAAAACCAAAAGTGTGGTCTTTTCATTACTTTAGAATGTATACAGATAGTCTTTTTAATAAAAAGCGCGCGTGGAAGGGCGCTGCCCACTAAATGAAATTTTCTGGGTGTAATTTTGTGAACACGTGACCAAAGTCATGCGCGTCGATATCAATATTCCGCGTCGTCGCGTCTTGATCTCCTTTTACGCCAACTCATGACCCACCCTCATTCAAACATTACATTTGCATAGACAGGTCCATCAAGCATTATGTATTCTACATGGTTTGCATCAAGTTACGTGAATTCGGCTCCTCATGACACCGACGAGAATGCGCATATAAGCACTGCATATGCCATGACACACACCGGATCAACGGACTCGGAAGATTCAGATTCAGAAGATTCGGACTTCTCTGCACATTCCGCAAGCCCTTCATTTTATATTCGACCCACTTATGATACAGACAGCACCAAATATTCGGACGATCACTATGAAACAGACTCAGACCTGGACCTGGACTCTCTGAACTTCTCAGATTCTCAGATTATCGAGATTGAGGAACCACCCATCGATATCACCGCACAACTCCATTTGAATACGACCGAGTCCCTCTTTAATCTCTTCCGGTCCGGGTACCTGCAAGCTGCCGTCAGCGCTCAGAAACGTTGGACATTGTTATGTCCCGACTGCCAAGACTGGTGTCAGACCAGTGTCTCATCTGACATTCCTCTGTGGGCGCCAGGTCAGTTCAATTCGTTGAAGTGCCATCGCGGCAGTAAGAAGTGCCTTCGGACTACGGATCGAAAAAGAAAGGAAGCCGACAACGTGCCTGATGGGGCCAGCAGCGTGTTTGATGCACCAATCACACGTTCCCCATCAATTACATCAGATCACAACAGGTACGTTTAATTTCGGCTCCATCGCATCAAACAAACTGATCATATCGATCGAAATTTTCAGCCGAGTCCTTTCTCCTCATCCTGCCGCTAGTCATTGCGCTGGACTTCCTGTCCTCTGGCCACAGAATCTTGGCCCCTTCGTGATGCATATCCCCTGGGAACGCTATCATGATGGCCCGGATGGGCTCCCTTTCTTTATTGACATCACACAACCAAGTGCGCCTCGGGTTCGATCAAAGCGTTGTGTCCTGTCCACCTTGATCGAGGGTTCGCCCTGCAATGAGTGTACTAATATTACAACAAATATCGAACGCCTTGCAGAAAGCGTGCGGGATGTGAAGCCTCACACGAATTACAGGTATACAGGCCTTGCACGTATGCAAGATATCGCAAAGGGCTATGCCGATCAAGCTCGGCAGTTGAAACTGCAGGTAAGTTTACTTTCCGTTACTTATAGCATGTGTCCTATTAACTTCACTCAGGGCCTCAACGCTTCTCGCGAGTATATAACTGCTCTATCCCAGCTGGACGATTATCACCGCCTCCTCATGGCGATTTCGGAACACGACATCCCCCGCCTCCAACAGATTATCACCGTCGCCTTGGGCAATGGCGCCAGCGTCCGGGAGATAGTCAACAAACTCGAGGACGCTCTGGAAGGTGTTTACCGTCCACGTGGCTATGGTGCCAGTGATTTAGACATAGCTACACTCGTCTACCGACTTGGAGGACGACAGCTTCTCTTCGCGCTCAACCACAAGCTCAGTATTCCCTCTCTTCGCACCCTTCGCACCCGAGCTGCTTTCACTACCATCACCCCCACCATCGGTCCTATTCGTGATGACCACTTCGACGCAAATATTCATTCTGTCATTATCAACACACGCACCGGTATGACCACACTCCGCGGGGTTAGCATAATGATAGACGAGATGGCTATTGAGGAAATGGCGGTTCATTACAGCAAGTATAATAAGATAGGCGGCCTCTGTTGGATGCATTCTCACCTCATAGATCCGGTGCTCAGGACTTACGACTCCGCTGTTGCAATAGCGCAAAAAATCCACGACAAAGAGGTGCACCTCGGGAAGGAGGTCACTGTGATCGGCGCTGCGTGTTTCGGAGAAGACGAGCTGTACCCCATTCTAGTCGCACCCACTTGCAAGACGGAAGGTGCCTCTGACATGGAGGGTGTCCTTGGTCGTGCCTTAAGGCGCTGGAAGGCAACTGGTGCAGACCAGACTGTTGGACCCGTTTGGTCACTCGCAACCGACGGTGATGCCACTAGGCGCGCAGCGGGCCACAAGCTCTTCGTGAAGAAGCCCTTATCCCCAGAGTCGCCGTTATACGGGATACTCAACAATATGCCTGGGTTGAATACGTGGACAGGGGATGACGAAGTCACTCTAGACTTCGATCCGAAGCATATTATGAAGCGTAAGTTTTTTATATATCGTGTTTCGGTCTTCGAGGCTCACATTTTCTTTAGGTATGTGTACACTTATACGGTCTCCCTCGGGTATCACACTCAACAATGGACGAATCATCAACGCAATGATGCTCGCTCGATATCTCGTGTGGCTGCCTGCTTACGACGAAACCAGTGTCACGAAGCTCTTGCATCCAGATGACCTGCAAGACGTTCCCCGAGCAGTCGAACTAATGCTAGCTATAATCGAATTCTCGAAGTCACAGCGTTCCCTCCTCAACGACTCATTCACTTCCGATGTTGACAGACACGCCGACTTAACCTCCATCATCCTCCTTAGCGATGTGATCGAGTCGTACCTCATTCCCTTTATCAACGTCAATCTATCCCTCACCGAGCAGGTACAGTACCTCAGTCGATATGCCCACCTGTCGTTCGCCCTCTTCCGCTCTCACCGTCGTGGATTCATGTCAAATCAACTGTACTACGACACCAACACATCAATCAAGTGCTTTGCATTCGGAATAGCTAAGCAACAAGTCCTTGATCCGCACGCTTCCTTTTTCCTCGGCGACTCTGGAGACGATCGACTAGAACTTCATTTCGGTCGCACTCGGATGATAGGTGGCCATAACTCCGCGTGTACCTTTTCTCAAGTGATTGATCGCTTGGGCGCTGCCAAAGACATTGATGGAGTATTCAAGCGGAATCCTGACCTCGACCCAGGCCACCGCCGCCTTAGTCTGGGCACCCGAGTCGAAAACGTAGATCACATCAACCGTGACATGTGGAAGGGTGATATGGTATCTGGGCGTTGCGATCTCCCGACTGCATGGCGCAATGGCCGCGAAATGGCTATTTCTATACTTAGCGCTTCACAGATCGATCCCGTTCATTATTCCTTCGCCGAACTCTTCCGTGATCCGGGCGTCGATATGCTACGCCCTTTTGGAGAAAACAAGTACTTTGGGGTTTCAGAGGCGGATGAGGATCCTGAGATGGCAAGAGTTCTTGCTCAGAGGTATATTTGTTCAGTCTGGTTTCTGGATGTAGCTCACTTGTTCGCACTATAGCTCTCTTGCGCCAGTCATTCACAGTGATACAGTGCTACTCCCAGCTGACGAAGAAGCCTCTGAGGAAGCCATGCTGACCTTCGAGGAGGCGTTGACCGCCGAGTCTATTACAGATGCTCCCCCGACTCAACAGTCTCCCCCTCTGATTGATCCATCTGCGCCTGCATTGCCGGATGGTCCAGGAATCCGTCCCGACGATTATGTCTTGTTCAAAGACCGGTGGATTCACAAACAGACGGTTTGCCGCCTCGTTATTAACAAGGATTTCATTTCTAAGTCGAACAATCGTCTGGAGCGGGTTCGTGCGGGTTACACTAAGGTCAACAAACGAATCGATATGTCGTCTGGCCGCATCACGCATCACAACTCATTCCTCGTCGGTGACATCTTCCTCACAGTTCTTCGTTCAGGTCGCACACTCTCTATCGGAATCGTTCGTTCAACACACCTTGGATCCAACAACGTTTCTCACGCATCAATGAATATCGCGGTAATGAAGGCCTCACGAACAACCGTTAAAGTGACCGGTCAGCTCTTGACCCTTGTTCCAACGCGTCCCTCGCCCAAGTCCCCTTCTTTATTCCTGTGGAATGGGGGCTACGTGAAGGCTCGCTCTATCATCCAAGGAATGGCAGAGTTGACGGAACGCGCTGTAGTTGTCAGTGTCCCTGGTTTTCTAGTCGAACCCGTTAATCCCGAGCCGACGTTAATCCGGCTTCGGGACGACATCGACAGTGATCAGTTCGTGGAGATTAAAGGTGGGCAAAGCACCTGGCAAGTTCATCGAGACGCTCTTCAAGCTGCTTGCGACCTTCTGTGGGCGAAGGCTGTTGAATGCAAAGTCTCCCTCAAGTCTATCGCGAATGTTACACCTTCGGACCCCACCATGTTTCCCTATCGATCATATGATGGTATGTCTTCCGTATTTTGATTATTGTGTGTATATCTAAAGCTTCTTTTCAGGTACACCAGCTATCATATCTGTCGAAGCTGGTAATCTACTTTCTGTGTCCGAAGGCGAGCGCATCACAACCTGTCCCCTCTGTCTGGCGAAAGTGGCCGACATTCGTTCTCATGTCGGTCAGCATATACTACGTGCATCCTCAAACACACCGGAACTGGTTAGTCTCAAGGAACCGGTATGTATTTATTCTATACTAGTAGATTACAATTGATCGATTTTAAAAAGGTTGGCAATATTCTACCATGCGGATTCTGCGGCCGATCTGGACTTCCGGAGTGCGCGATAACCATCAAGTTTCCTGCGAACGGCGCCCCAGTTTGGGAGACGAAATGCGCCTACAAGCACCAGTTCAAATATGGATTCGCGGAGCAAGGGTCGAAGAACAAACCTTGCAGGAACGTACCCTTGAAATGCGGTCTTTGCCACCCACTACTCGCCCCTGAACCCGGCAAAACTTCGCGAAGAGCACCAGTTGTTGCCGTCGAGAGCATCTGGCGCTATAACATGCCCGCACATATTCTTAGCGAGCATGAGGAGTATGCTGTTCCTGGACACAGAGAGGTTGGTGTTTTGTTGCCTGATAGTGTCTGGAAGTCTATGGAGTTGAACGACCTCGAACTCACCGCTGCTCGCATCCCGATGGAGAAAAGGTCTTTATATGGCGCTCCAGGGAAGGAAAACATCCCTGCTATTGCTTCGGGTTCTCGCTCCCTCAAACGCTCTGCAACAGAGTCTGCAGGATCTATCCCTTCCAAACGTGCTCGTACCACTATCCAACCTCTTCAGACTGCACGTACTCTAGTTATTTGATTGTTCGTTCTATTGCTTTGCCTTGCTATCATGTTTTGATCCGCTCCGAGTCGTTGATCCGTTGATGCCATTTTATTCAGATGCTCTCAAGTCCGTCGTAGTACCTTTAACGTCACTTTTTCAGCGCTTTGTATTCATGTACCCGTAGTCTACAATTGTACTCTAGACTACGATACCAGTTCAAGTTGTACGCGCACATCAATCCAAGTCAATTCGCATTCATTCAATTGCATAAATTTCGGTCTTTGAGTGACACGACTACATACTATATATAGTAATATTAACGTGACGGTAACGCAGTCACGGTGGTGGTGGTGGTGTGGCAAGTTTGTCCAGGTTGATATCGGAAACTTTAATTTCCCCCACCTCTTGGCCTGAAACAAATGTAAGTTGAAATGTGATGAGAGCAGTTGAAACTTACATTCTCGTGGGGATTCAGACCTGAACGGCCCTGAGCCAAGGGTAAGAAGTTGCGAGGCAGAGGGGATGTAGCGGGAAACTGCAAGAAAATTGTCGAGACGACTGAGAAGGAAGGAGGTAAAAGAGACGTACATCCAGGGGATCACGAAGCACAGGAGGAGCTGCGTTTGTGCGAGAAGAGGAAATGAATTTGCGAAGGTCATGGAAGAAGGTGGGTCGCTGTGAGCGTGTGGTGGGGGAAGGTTTTTGTTGCCGATGAGCGAAATATGTGGTAGGCGAGATCACTGGTTTACGACGCCCAACACGAGGTATTGCGTTGGACTGTAATAATGGCATTTGATGGAGTGGTATATGTGAGTAGTTGGTCACGTACATGGAGTAAATCACTTGTCTGCAAGAAAATGTTAGCGCACGAACGGATAGATGTATGCGCGTGGATGCATACATTAGGCTGCGCTTCTTGTGCAGGGCAGATATTGGCAAGGATCTTGGGTGGTATATTGTGTATGTAGATCTTTGTGTCACCGATTCTCGTACAAGCCAGCTGGTGTGAGTTGGGTGAGAACAGGAGTCGGGCGTAGTATTGGATGTCAAATGAGGCAAGGAGCTGGCGAGACTCGAAGGCCCAGAGCTTGATGGTCTGGTCCCGAGAAGCGCTAGCGAGGAGAGCACAATCAAATGAAAGTGCTAGACTATCGGTACCGGCGGGGTGGCCTTCGAAGGGAGCTCCAACCGTCTCTAGCGTCAATGAGTTAAACTCATAGATCGTATTGATGGGAGTAATTATATTTCCGACGTCTCTGATTTTGGCATTCGCGACGATGGTTTTGTCTTTGGTTGTCCAGAACACAGGCGACATCGAATATGACCAGTGGCTACCGTGACGTTTCGGTATGCTGACATCCAATTTCTGGGCTTGGACATCCCACACCTCAAGCCAGTTATACACACTTGGCCTGAGGAGTGCGAGCTTCTTCGAGTCTTGCGAGAATTGAGCCATCCCGAACCCCCGATTGATGGCATTGTCAACAATTTTGAATACGAGTTTGCCAGTGTCCAATTCCCATATCCGCACTGAATCGTTCGACCCGCTCACTAGTAGCGTGCTATCGGCGGATATATCGATGGATGCGATTTGTCCTGAGTGGCCTTCAAATGTTCTCACAATCCCTGTCTTGACCTCACAAACCTTGAGCTCCCCGCCCTGACCGTCATCTCCACTAGCAGTGGCAACCCACTGACCATCCTTCGATACCCTCACGGCTAGTATTTCCTGCTCACAAATACCCCACGCGTCAACCTCCTTTCCAGCCCGCAGATCCCATTGCCGAACGGTCTTATCTATAGATCCGCTGATTAACCGTTCGCCATCCGGAGAGTAGCAAATGGATGCAGCATTGCGACGCGTCCATTTCTGACCATCCGGAAGGGTGCGAGTGACTGGTTCATGCCCATTCAACGTCATGATCGGTGTGAGAAATCTGTTTGCTGCTGCACCGGGTCGTTTCGAGCTGTCGGAAGCCATGGTCGATGTCTTCACTGAGTATGTTGGTTATTTCTATGTGTTCGAAGGACCACGTCGGTGAGCTCTCCTTGTGTGCTGTTGGCCTGAAGACGGAGACTTTGAAGATGCTCAGCTTTATGGACTACTGCTTTCCCTGCTGAAGTCGAATGTTAGCTAACCCATGCTGCAGGTTCAGATGGGATCATGTTACCAAAAGGTTGACTGCACTTGTCTGAGAATGACGATGGGCATATGTGTGCATCTGCCCTCTTTTAAGAAGCCCTTAAGTTCCTGTGCATGCTACAGCATGTGCTTTTTTTACCCATTCCTGTTCAAACCTGCCTCTCATGTTTCAGCGCACAATCTTGACATTTTTATGTTCGAGCACCCCAGCCTGTCGGAGATCTTTTATCGGCATCATAATGGTCACGTGTTATGATGTGCCTCAAAATAATTTTGATCTGATTATGATGCCCTAGGCGGAGTTTTAATGTCGTTCTGATGCAAGTTCTGATGCGATTCTGATCCGTGCTAGCCTTTGATATGTTAATAATAGAACCAATCGATCAATGTTCGATCAACACTCGTTCATCTGCTACTCATACTCTCTTGTTCCCCATAATAATGCCTAAGTTGAAACAAAGAACATCCGACCTTGTGACATGTGATCAATGTGGGGCAAATGTCCGCTCATGTGGGTTAGTATCTCATTCAAAGTCTTGTGCAAAGAAAAAACAGGAACGGCTGGAAGACGCAGAATATGCTGATATGGTTCGGAAAGCTGAAAAGAAGGGTAGGCGCTCCAATCAGTTGTCTGATGTGCTTCATAGATTGATGACAATTGTTCAACAGAGCTTCGAAAGCAGCGTCACATAGTGCGCAATAATCTACAATGTTTTGAGGATGTGCAGTCGTCTGCTGCAGGTGAGTGCTTATGTTTTTAATGATTGTGCTGCACTTTTTATACTAATCATGATATAGTGGACACCACTGCTATCTGGGCACCAGACAATGGTATATTTAATTCAATTTCATTCACAATGTACTAACACTTTGTGCCGCCTGTCAGATATTAATATGCAAAGGTCATCACCTCAACAACTCCCACCAATAGACCACGACGTAGCATTATCCGACTCCCACAATGCTGGTCCTGACTTCGATGATGCTGATCACGGTCCCAATGAACCAGCTCAGGAGCTCGATGATATTCGAGTTGAATACCATCCTCACAGCCAACTCCCTTCCACTACACATCGCTTGTCCGAGTTCTCCCGTAGCTGCCCGACAGAGGATTATGTACCTCATAACAACTCACCATGGGAGCCCTTTCGCACGCAGCTTGATTTTGAGATTGCACTCGAAGCTGCCATGACGAAGGATCAGACCAATTGACTCCTTGATCTCGTCCATCGCTCTGCCAGTGGCAATGATTCCTTCACGCTGCAAAATCACAATGAAGTTTGCTCGCTGTGGGAGCTTGCTTCGCAGCGCTATACCAAAGTAAGTAATATACATTGTGCAACTACAACTAATCATTATAATAAGCTGATTGCATCCTGCGCAGTTTCAGAATGATAAAGTGTCCGTTCCTCATGGACGAGAGGTGTACAAATTCGAGATGCATTACCACCCTCTCTGGGATTGGGCACTTGACTTGTTGCAAGACAGACGTCTTGTACCTCACTTTGTGTTCGATGCTCAATGTCTTTCAAAATTTAATGAAGAGAGGTTTGTCCACTTCATCAATGAACCATGGACTGCTGATGCCTTTTGGAGCGCACAAGTATGTATTGAAGCTTGATTCTGTTGTTTATGTACATTAATAGTATATCACCACTGTTGTAACTAGTCACAGCTCCCCCCGAATGCCAAACCGCTGGCCTTCATCCTCTATGCAGACAAGAGTAAATTGTCGTCTTTTGGGAGCCAAAAAGGCTATCTGATTATCGCCCGCATTGCCAACCTGCCCATTCATATTCGAAATGGTAATACTGCCCTCGGAGGCGGCCGCATTGTTGGTTGGTTGCCAATTGTTGGTGTATCAGGCACTTGTTTTGTTAGTAGCATCACTGATTATATTGTTGATTCAGATTGTTGAAAATCAGGAGCACGCAAAAAAGAAGAACTACATAGACTTTAAGAATGCCGTGTGGCATACGTCCTTCTACCAGCTTCTCGCCTCGGTCGTGAAGCTCTCAACAACGGGCTATTGGTTTGAATGTGGGGATGGCATCCAGTGTCATCTCTGGCCCCTTATTTTGATCTTGAGCGCTGATTATGAAGAACAGTAAGTCTACATTAGTTTGCTACATATACTGTATTGCGAGGTTGACATCACATTGCAGATGCATCATGGCGTTGATCCATGGACTTAAGGGAAAATTCCCATGTCCAGTGTGTTTGGTTCCGCAGGATGAGCAGTCTGTTCTCCATCCCCACGAGCTGCACACAAGTTGCCAATCTAAAGACACCCTCCATACTGCAAGATTGAGGCCTTCCGAGAAGGAAAAGGAGGATCAGCTAAAGGCTTTCTCACTCCGAAATGTTGAGGTATTGTGCTGTTTTTATGATATCTATGGACACGCTCATTATGTCATTGAATTGTTAGAATGTCTTTTGGAGGATTCTTTACACAGATGTTCATCGCACTCTCTCTGTCGACCGTCTGCATACATATGAAGAAGGACTATGGGGCGACCATCTGTGGAATGAAGTAAAGTTTTGGATTTCGGACCTCGGGCGGGAGGCAGCCATTAAACTCGACAAAAAGTATGTATTGGTACTACAATGTATTGATGCTAGCACTGACTTGTGGCCTCAGCTTCGATGCGCTGCCACAATGGCCTAATCTGACCCATTTTTCATCAGTCATGGTGGTGGATTTCAATGACAGTACTGCTCTTGGGGATCTATCAAAGGTGTGTCTATACATTATAGCATGATTTGCGGTGCTAACACAAACTTAGATGATTATATTTGCAGCGCAGGATATTCTCCACCTGTCCTGCTGTAAACTGGGACACCTACTACTACGATGCATCCGCTACTACATGGAGCTTGATATGTACACTTCATTTGAAGTCCAAACAGAAGATACAATTTCGGCAGGAAGGTTTGCCCTGCAAAAATTCTCAGAAGTGATGGAGGTAAGTCACCGTATTTGTTCAAATATTGTCATTGATGATTGATGATTCATTATTGACAGGAATACATTACTGAATCACAGCCAGAAACCTTCAAAAATTGGAACTTTCCAAAGAAGCACTTGATCTCGCACATATTCAACGATATTTTGGCTAAAGGTGTGACATGTAACTACAACACGAAGCCAAATGAGAAAATGCACGGCTCTTTGCGAAAAATTTACCTTCAACACACAAACTTCAAGAATGTTGCTTCTCAGGTTCGTCACCTATATTGTCTCACAAGTTCAGTCTAACCAATTATAGATCCTGCGCTATGATGAATGGCTTCTGACCTCAACATCTATGCACACCAAACTTGATGAACTCGACGAGTACAATCAATGAGATACTCGTGATCCCGACACCAATGAAGCCCTGGACGACACTGGAATCCCTGAGCCAGGGACTATACATGCACATTTAGGTTCAAAGTAAGGTAATCACTCGTTTTTGGACATCATGCACTCCCATGGGACCAACAGGGCTTTTGCCGACTTTTGGATGAAGCTTAATGGCTTCCTGAATGGTTTTTTACCACAAAACAATATTCACTTGCCAGACGGAAGGCGCATTCACCTACGCGCAGAGGATATGGTATGTTAATTTACCTCACCCAATTGACAGTACTGATATTTTCTATCAGATTACAGAGTTTCGGTTCTTGCACATAAACTATGAATCAATGGTTGACTGGCGCCTGCACCAAGACTTGCTTCGGTGCAACCCGCAATTCTATGGATCACCAAGATACGACTGCGTCATGGTGAAAACTGCAGACAAGCCGTTTTTCGCTCGCCTTGTATACATGTTCAGCTCCTCAACTGGCAGTGCTGATTTCCCTCTCGCCCTTATACATCCATATGATGTTGGTATTGCCAGTAGTTGTCGAAGACGAGATGATGATATCGGAATGTGGCATGTGCGAGCCAAACCTCGCTCATCCTCCGAGATCATTTCTGTCCGGTCAATCGTTCGGGGTGCTGCTCTTGCCAGCAATCCTGAAACACCTGGAGATTACTTTGTCATCCACACTGTGGACACTGACATTTTCCTTCGAGTCAAGGCTCTCCAAGCTCAATTGTTATGACCAGGCCATTCTCATCACTAGTATGTTCCAGCATATCCTTAGAGATGCAGGTGACCATCTCGTCTTGATACCCATCCCAAATCAAATCCAGCACAATCACAGCCCCTACTCTGCGAATCCTAGTATCACTGTAGAACCCCCACCACATCCATACCATCGATCTCACCATCGCTACACTTCATCATCCCTCAGTTCTGCTGCTCTCCCTCCAGGCCCCCTCCCTCCTCCCCCATCCACTCGTGGTGTCCGTCCTCGCTCAGGCAGCTTCAATGACACATCTTATCTCATTGCACCCCTCCAGCCACCTTCCAAACAACCTCACAATGACCGTGGCGAATATGGCCACAGGCCTCCACTCTCTGTAAGTTCGCTCTCATACTACCTTTTTATCTTCTCACATTCTCCAGGCTACATCCATGTCACGCAGTCGCATTTCTAAAATTGACCCCCACCCCCAACAGCTTCCTCGAATTCAACATCACCTCACGATTGGTCCTACTCATAAATCTCGCTCCAGGTCCAGCAGCCGATCCAGTGTCTGTCATACATCGAGGACCTCCTCCTTGATGCTTCCACTGATGAAAGGGGCACTCTGAATGCCCGTGACCAACAGCCAGTCTCCCCGTGCCGTATTGGCTGCCCACCAGTCCAGGGGTATCCCAGTAGGTCCATTAGATCGACCTGGTGAACTCAGGACCTATCGAACCCACATTTTTGCCCCTCCCATCGCAGGCGCCCCCCAAAATAAGGGAAAACCAGGGTCTACTGATGCAAATGTGGGTGGCTATAGCAATGCTAGCACAGCTCAATTGCATCGTATGGATACCATTCCTGTCGGTGTGATTTCTGGGATGCAGAGACAGACACAGTCACAAGTCTTTCCAAGCTCAGCATCTTTCTCAGCACCTTTAGTGATTTTGCAGGAGAAGAAACATGTTGGTGTGTCTGCAAAGGACACAGATAGAGATTGGAACCATGACCCCCCTCCCTGCCTGCAATCACTACTCCTGGATGAAGACGACAGGGTGCGGTGTCAAGACAAACTGCCCCCGAGTATTGGTCATCATACAATTCTTGCAGCCACGAGACATCACAAAGGCGTACAATCTGGTGGGTGCAGTGTCCTCTGGTGGGTGAAACATCCTCCATTCTATCACCCCCTAGTTGACACATACCTCTCAGTGCAACACCTTCCTTCTCCCCACTCCGACCCCAACACACGGATGCAATACAAGAAACTGTGCCAATGTGTGTGCCAGTTTCTAGGTCCAGCTTGATCTGGCGGGTGTTTTCATGCACAGCAAGATCCCTACCCTTAAAATCTCGCTGATCCAAATCTTCCGTGGGGCGTGCACATTTGTGGCAGAAGATTCACGAAAGTGTGGTTATGGACTTGTGTCAGGTCTTTGACCAGGAGCTAGAGTCACTCCAGATTGAGACGGTGCAAAAGGAGACTATTCACCCCATCTCTTGGCCTTCACTGGTTACAGATGTAGGTCACCTTTCATACTTTTTTGGAATTTGATCTATGTATGTGTTTCTTTTAGAACAATGTCATTTTGGATGGTATGACCGACGTTCAGCTTCATTGGGGTGATTTTCAACACTTATGATATTGAGCGATACACTTGTGCCAAGTTCCTGGACTACATTTCCGACTCCATGAGTATCTGCCCCTCACCAACTGATGTCATGATCGGCATAGCTCTAGTGTATATTCTACCTCCTGCGCTCACAGTCTCCAGTTGAGTCCCACCGAGTCTTATCACACATAATCCCACTCAAATGTCTAATTGAGGCAAGGGCACCCCACCCCCTAACAAGTTTTCATAAACTCATTTGTCATATCTAGATTCTAAACTACCAAAAGGCCGATATTTTCAATAGGTAAGCCTCCACTCTTGGTACTGTGACACAGCGGTTGAACTTTATACAGTAGTTTGTGAGTGCTTGTGCCCCAGAGGCCAATGTTGGCGTCTGACACATGTATATAGCGAACTCTGGTGGTGGGAGAAATATCAAGCATCCTCGCAGGAGGATCGAGGTCCTTGAATAACTCCAAAACCACACAAACCCCCAACTGTTCATGCTGCATCTACGATGGGGCCGTCATCATCTACTCACTGCATGAGCTTCCATTGTCTGGCAGGGATTCTCAGACCGTAAGTAGACTGTAAGTGGTCCGATTCTTCCCGAAGAACAGGTATGTCTCTCAGTTACTACCTCTGTATCTACATGATTATTGAACATATGTATAGGAACGAAACGGACAAGTCTGGGAACGGCCCTGCAGGATTCATTGCCGACCTGGGAGTGGGCAATCCCACAGTTCGTAATTTTTACTTGCAGTCACACAGGGGTCTCCTCGGAAGTTCATTCATCACCATCACTCACTTTGCCGATCACTAATTGTTTATATAGCTAGCAGACCAAGTCATTACATCACACTGATTCAGAGTGGTGGCATAATTTATGGTCTGTGTGTCACAACTGATTCCCTAGTATGAAGCCTCTGATCCAGCAGGCCATGGCCAAGATCATGAAGGCCAATCCGGCATGTCATGTCTTGCGCAAGCATATCCACAAGGGTCTTCAGTTGTACTCTTCTGAGCCTATGGAGCCTTACCTCAACAGCCAACGACTTCCTCCTCACCCCTTCCGCAGCTTATTACACTCTGAGCCATTATGTTGATTGTGCGCATACCAGTGTGCCCTTAATTTTCGCTTCACCTGGACCATACAAAGCAACTTGAAGAGTCCTCGTTCAACAACCTCGTGTCAATTTACATTCACAGTTTTACAGACGTAAGTCACCTTATTCTGTCTCTGAATCACAAGATTTGATCTGTCTGCATGTTATTGTGTAGGCTCGCAATGTGTACCATTGTGCTGCAATGAACGTCTTTACCTGGACCATTCAATTTGACTTACTTTTTCGGTTACAGCCTCATGACCTTAATGACTCATACTCCTTCTGGTGCAATAAATTAGTAAGCATTTATTAGTGTCCCTTCTGTTACACCAACTTTGCGACCACATTATAAAATGACATCGACTGTGAGATGGCTTTGACTCGGTGCCCTGCAACACACCCTCTCAGATTTGCTATTTGAATCATCAATGTCTAACTCTGATTCTAGCTCAATGATATCTCGTTCAGGCTCTGAATCAGGCTCTGAATTGGAGGATGAAGGCATCTGATGGCCTGTGGCTCCACCAAGCAGAGGTGCTTCTGTTGAGCACTACCAAGAGGTACACTCTTGCTTCTGTTCATATCTGTTCTAAATATTACTAATGCACTCTATCTAATAGTACATCAAATATCTACAGCTTCAACATGGGCAGCTCCAGCTGTGGAATGTGTCTCTGAATGAGAGCAACAATGTTCTCGCTGCGCAACAGCTGAAGTGTTCTCGCAAACGCCCTCAATCGTCATCACCTAGAACATCATCAATGTCTCAATCAGCATCTGTGATGTCGTCCACACCCAGATCCGCTGTGACCTCTGTCACTTCTGATTCATCGAAGACCAATGAGATCGACAAACTTATTTTAGGTTTGGCAAAGAAGTATGCTTTGACTACCGAGATGTTTCTCCCCAACAAAGTCATTTTTCAAATGGACTGTCCTGATCCTCCAGCCGACTTCTCGGCCCCAAATCGTTATGCGAAGAAGTCTACAGAAAAGGATGCTCTCGTCACTGATCTCTACACATCCATTGACCATGTGTTGCATGCTCGGATGCGAACAAACATGTTCTTCAACCAGGTGCATAATTCTTATTAATATCTCAAGTCATTTTATTAACTAAAGCCTTGAATAGTTTGGTAGTGGAATGCAGCAAGCTCGTTCTTCATTTCTAAACAGCCTGCGCACCGTTGCAGGTGGTATATTTGATATGCCAAATGAATTCTTCATGTCAAAATACGACCATACTTCACTTCCGCAGGTCACCGGCTTAATTGGATGGGAAGCGGGCAAGGGAAATGTATATAATATCTTCAAGGCGCCCATACTTTACCCTGATTAGTGTTGCCACAGCTCAGACAACAACTTTTGAAATAAATTGACATTGTGGGCTGAATAAAATTCCTTAAATCATGAGAATATTTATGTAGGTAGATTGGGCCAGGAACCGGGGGGTTACATAAGGGCATTTTTCACAGAGATGCATATTCACATGTCTATGAAGCAACTCAGTAAAGAGTCTGGCTTTTGGAGTTATCACTGAGCTGCTTCATGGCGGGCCAACAATGTATCCTAGTGAAAAATGTCCTCAGGTAACCCCCCGGTTCCTGGCCCAATCTACCTACATAAATATTCTCATGATTTAAGGAATTTTATTCAGCCCACAATGTCAATTTATTTCAAAAGTTGTTGTCTGAGCTGTGGCAACACTAACCCTGATCACATCGTAAATGAAAAGAAAATTTTCAGAAACTGGATCATCATCGCGAAGGTAAGTTCTAGTTGTTGATGACAGACCTCACTGCTCATACCTTATTTTAAAGGTCATCAAGGTTGCAATATGCGGAAAGATGTCATTGTATCCCAAAGCACGCAGTGGACCACCTTCCTACGCCAAAATATGGCAACTCACGAACTGCACTCCTGGGCTGATCACATTTGGTGTCACATCAGTAAGATTTTCATACTCTAAATGTACAATACTCATCACACGCTGTAGACTATATTTATCCTATCCCCAGATCAGGAGTTTTCAGGCAATGGTGTTGGTGCTATTTCCTCAATCGCCTATCACTCTATCTTTCAGACAGTCAAGAAGTTCTTCGTCGTCAAGTGGACCCACCAGCACATCAAATCCATCATCGACCAAATCAACAGGTACATCTTCGATGGTTTTGTGAAGATGCAGCCATCCGATGATGCTTCATGCACCATGGAGGATGTCACTGAATCACTCGATCGCATTATGGCGGCACTTGACGCCAGTGATTCAGACTCGGAATCATTGGAATATGTCGACCTTCCAGTCCACGCTAATGAAGATACGCACCGTTCTGCTGCAACCTCTGGACCTACCAGTGTGGTAGCCATGCCCACCAACACCAACACTCTTCAACTAGAGGTTGCGGTGTGGGAGAAATCGTAGAAGTCCGCTATAGTGATAGCGTACCGATCCTGCTGGGTGTGAGAATAGTAGTCGACCCAAGGGGATAGCTCTGAGAGCAGTTCCTCAAGTATGAGCGAGGGGAACAGTGAGTAGGGAAGTGATGTGCTGGAGACGGAACGGCTGCTTGCGGGAGAATGCGTAGAGGTGCGAGGATGCGCATGGATGCGGAGTATGCGGATGCGAAGTCTAGGGAGTACCAGGTATGCGAGACGGGGAAGGTACCAGGTATCAGGACAGGAAAACAGGTAAAACGGGTAAGGTACCAGGTATATGCAGGATGCGACGGGACTGTCTTGCGAGTGAACTCAACTGGATCTAGCAATAGCCAACTGTCGATGATGATGCGAGCGTTCACGCGAGATGAGAAGGCAAACAGATGATTGCTCAAGCAAGGAAAGACAAGGTAAGACTAAGCTAGTGACTCCGCAACACACAACCAGAGAGCGAATGTAGGAAAAAAGTACTGGATATGAGTCCGCAACGTAGTATATATCATAGTCCGTAAGAAACCGGAACTGTATAAGCGAGCGCATATGTATGCGAAGTCGGAGGGGATAATATGTAAGTAGCGCTATGCGACCTCATGCATGGGAACGGTATGCGCATAGTTCTGCGAATGATCAGGATCCAGTAATAAGAGATAAGAACGCACCAGTGGGAACTGACAGATACGGACAGGATATGGACGGACGGTACGTTGCGATGCGATGCGTGGATTCCGCAACCTCGTGTGATGGTCCGCAACGGCCTGTGGAAGGTAGGCATGACTTCGTCCAGTAAGGGGAAATGGTGCCGTACGGGGCTGCAGCCTGGGCGTCTCCTACAGCGGCACCTGTCGTTCGCAGTAATCCTGACCCACAGCCAACTCCATGTCTCCCAACTCCTACGGCACTTCACGCAGAGACTTTGGCTACTGAATCTCAGGCACAGGCACCCAAGTCTAAGGGCAGGAAAAAACCCAAGTCAACCAATGATTCCGCCGCTACACGTCACTCCTCTCATCACACATGATTTGTTGTATTCCATAGTTATATACATGCTTCGTATTAGTATCACAACTAGTACAATCTGATTGCAATGCAGGCTTCGTGTCATTGTCAAATAAATTTGTCACGTTAGAATGAGCATTAAAATTTAGTTGATAACCTTAAAATGCACATTGATACCACCGGGATGCCCATTAAAATGCCCATTTACACTCAGTGGGTACCATTTAAATGTACATTAATACTTGGTGGGTTACCATTGAAATGCGCGTTAACACTCAGTGGTTACCATTCAAATGCGCACTAACACTTGGTGCGTACCATTCAAATGCCCATTTCAATGCGCATAAAAATAGTGTGGTAATGCTCATGAAAATGCTGACTGTTATCTTAAAATATATCATAATGGGCCCGTGTTGTTAGGCCATTTTAATAGATTAAAATGCCATAGAAAAAGTTCCGCCACCCACACAGCCTGCATTAATTGCTGTAGACCACTGAGCGCCAATTCGAGCACTGCATGCATGATCTCCCATACTCGAGAGCTCCTTTGATCTTACATGAGTATCAAGATGTCCAACGATGATGAGCCCAATATTGGACGACAAGTACCACAAAAATATGAATGGCCTGAGGTGTCATCAGCGCAAGGAGATGTCAAAAAGTGCTCATTACAGGCGGCACTAGCAAGAATGAATCCATCGTTCGCATTGCGCAAAATAGATACATTAAAACCAGAATACTGTGACAGTAAGAAAAATACCCAAACATGCCAAGTTACTCCTTGACTTGAGTCATACATCTAACTTTTGTCGTCGACAACTTGAAGGATACACTTAGCTCACCTAGCTCACCCCCCCCCCCCCTCTGACACGTCACGTGACCTCCCGCCAGCATCCAAAAAAGGCTATGATGGTTTATTTTCTTGTTCTCTCAAGTCTCTCTGAGTTGATTCTTGAACGCTATTAATGTTATATGTATTAAGTATATAGTATGTGACAATGGCAATGAATAAAGAAAATATATGCACTGTACTAGCTAGAGGGATTAAGTGGTTATTAGAGTGATTATGAATGTGGTCACTGGGATGATGAACGAGCACAATAAAACATAGCGCTGGCGGTACCTTTTTCCCAGGTTGTTGGGCTCCACGATCAAGACGAGTTTTCTTGTTGTTCACGACTGAGACAATTATCTGCCAGACGGAGGAAGGATGAGCCATTGTGTTTGAGAATGGTAAGCATTCTATAGTCATTAAATTGAATTTGATACTCAAGGCCATCACAGAAATCACGGATGTTCTTGACATGTGTGAGCATGCGTTCCTGGAATGTCCTCATGTCGAGCTGTTGACAGAGCATATCCACAAGGTCATCTTCCACACCATCACCAACTTCATCGCCTGATTCCATTTCCCCCTCGTTCACTGGTTCCGGTGGCACAGGAACAGGCATTGCAGTGGTGGGCAGCGCTGGACAGGAATTGAGGGGGACGAGCAATGGATGTGTCCAAAATGGTATGGTGCGGTTCCGTTGCACCTCAAGGAATAAGGTAGGTGCTACGGGGTGTACACTTTGTACCAGATGCTTACAAATGAGAAACCGAGTTTTAACAAAATTTGGGCAGGTGCAGACCCAACAATGGGGATCCAGATGATATTTGGGGTTGAGTGGTACCGTGATTGGGGTATTGGCTGCGTGCAGCCAGTCTCTTTTGAATTATTTTCGCCACGACGACAACTCCCGAAATCAGGCAAAATCATTGAGTAGGTGGTCAATCTTTTTATAGTATGTTGGTCCGAGTTTGACAACAAGGATCCAGATCAGTAGAACAACTCATGGCTTCGAGAAGTGCATGAGGGCCTGAAGGTGACATCTATGAACGAGAATTCCTTGTGTGCCCGCACTGCTTTATAAGGTGTTGTGGTAGGTTTGGATTTTGATAAGCGCTCTCGTACAGCTTTACGAAGATGCCAGTAGCATAATTGAATCTTCGCTTCAGGCCAAACACTTTTCAACATACTGATCTCCGCCATGTCCTTGTCAACATGAATGAAGGCAGGGACAACACCATACTTGTCTCGAAGACACTGTGCCCACTTCCGCAGTGCAGTGGTGCGTTTTCCAATCTCGATCGATGTTGCGGTGGATAACAGGTAGTATGACAGTGGAAATCCAGCATTATCAAACTCGCCAAGGACACTATATAGTTCAAGGTGCTTTGAGTTCATGTTATCTATTTTCTGCATGAGATGTTGCTCTCGATAAATTCAATTACTCACAGGTTGCATCAAGGGCAATTTCGATGATATTTTTACGAAGGGACTTCGCAATCCTCTTCATTCCCCAGCAGACTTGCTCAACACCAACAACCTCTTCAATATCAAATATATCTACATCCCCTGCGAGCTCATCAAGCAATAATTTTGCAGATGTGAGTTGATTTTCGTCCTTCTTCCACAGGATTTGGCTCATGCAAGACCAAGCAGAATGAACTTGTTTGGATGTGATGTTCGGGAAGAGTCCCTGGATCCTTGGTACTAATGTGCTCGGTATACTCCACTCAAGGTTATCGTGGATTATTTCTGTTGCCTCCACTGGCATTGTGACGTCAAAGTATGGTGTGTGTGAGTCATGATGCTCGATATGGATGGACAAGGTCCGCTGATCAATATCATCAGGGGTGCATTGGCAACACGACACGACAAGAGTGCTGTGACAGTTGAAATGTTTCATCCCCACTGTATCACGGTGTTTGACACCTTCTTTTTGACTTGGACAGGCCTTCTACTTCCGTGAGACATCTTGACAGCACCAGAATTGAGTCTTATGACCTGTTTTCAACATGAAGTGATCCTTCACTCTGTCAACCCTTGTGAGTCAACTTTCCGCTATTCTAAATGGTCAAACTCACTTAAATCTGTATCCAGTAATCTTCCAGATTTCAAAAGCAGTCATTTTGACTCATTCTCATTCATTCATGAGTGGATCTACAAGCACGGTATAGTGTCCATAGAAGGAAATGTCCTTTGAAGTCTTAAAAACTCTTCAGAGCTCCATGAAGAGACTTTGACTATCTTTGTAGCTTCAACTATGGATTCCCTGTCACATAATATATGTTAGTATTCATCAATAATTTCAAGGTAGTGGAATCACCTCTGAAGAGTCACTTTCCACAGCTATTGGATGTTCTGCATTGTTTCCAGCTACCACAGTTGGTGCCATAGGTGCTAGTGGAGGGGGTGGGGCAGGCCTTGGCTCTTCGGGTCAGGCCTCTCTTTTTCTCTTCCTCCAAGCAGCTGCATTGATTTTGTCATACTCTCGGCACCTCTCACATGTTTTCCAGGTACTATCATGAGGGAGAACATTTTTGCACTTTGACTTTGAGCATATCTGTAGTTCGGGTAATAAATCCAAGTCCATGGTATGTGCTTGTAGTAGAGTAAAGCTATGTATGGCACAAGTCACTCGTCCCCGTTGGGGTCACATTCCTTTTTTGGATGCCGGCGGGAAGTCACGTGACGTGTCGGAGGGGGGGGGGGAGCGAGCTGGGAGAGCTGATACACTTTAGACAGAAAACGAAAATTTTGAACAGAGAACTGATGTGCTTTGCGGGACTCAGGAGAGGCGAGTGTGAGGAAATCATAGAATGAACAGCTCACTGAGGAGCGTTTAGCTCAAGACGAGTATTTGTTTGGCTACATCTTTAGAAATAAACAAACGTCCCTACTGGTACTTTTGTTAGCGTAATATAGCTTTCAAGTGACAGATAACATCCCTTCCGGCAACCCGTACACGTATCAACTTATGGACCCAGATCAGACAGCAGAAGCTTCAACGCAAGCCTCCTCGGGCGACACCGACAAACAGCCAGCACCAGAGACCGGTAAACCTGATCAAACCCCACAACCGTCCGCCAACCGCTCAGAACTAATAGCAAGAGCTCGCACCTTCCTATCAACTCCCCATATCCGCTCGCAAGACAATACCTCCAAGCATGCATTCCTCGTCGACAAGGGGCTTTCACAAGACGAGATCGACTCACTACTCCGGGAAATCGTGAGTTGCACTTGAAGCTAGTTTGTCTTCAAGTTCGCTCATGTACACTAAGCCCCCGCCAGTACCGCCACGGACGTATCCTCAGCCTCCTCCATCTAATCTTCCTAACATGCTCATTGGGATTGCGCGTGTATTCAAGTGGCTGACTGGGACTTCAGCATTCGTGCTCTTCATCTACTACGTGAGTGTGCTCGTTCCAAACTAAACCACAACTGAGCTGAGCTATCATCTGAAGCGGTTCTTCCTACCGAGAATCTCGCAAACCTACCACGCTCGCCATGCGCTTCATGCCCACCAGTCTGGACTCATGCTTCGTCTCAACGAATCCCTCGCTACATTCAAGGAGAAACAGGCGGAATGTTTTGCTGGCCTGCCAAAGCCCGTAATATACAAGGAGATACCGGAATACGCAGAATGCCATTCGCTAGATGATATACTCGCATGTCGCCGCAAAGCCGATATCGACGACGAGGATGCCAGTGACACCTCGAACGTCTCAATTTTGCGCTCCGCTATCGAGGAACTGACTCGTTCGAAGGAAAGCACCGAAGGAATAAGCACAAGTGATCTATTCAACCATCTTGAAGACAAGCTTCCATGGTTGAAGGGAGAGCAAGGTGCTGAGTGCCAGGTCAGTACTCCTGCCTTTTTTTCAACATCATAAGCTTATCTAGTTGCTCAGAATGACCTCTGGCAAACACTCAACGAATCTCTTCTATTCACTTCCACCTCGCCGAAATCTTCCTCTTCTTCATCTATCCCAGACCATCCCTCTCGTCTCCTCTGGACATATGTTCCTCCACCAATATCTCCCCCTCCGCCCATGATCGTCGCTCTCGAGACTCTACAAGCAGCGCTTCCCCGCAACGCACCAGCTCCTCCACTCTCCAAAACCGAAATAGCACCTCTCCGCCCTACACAACGAACCCTCCAAGCACTCGCAGATTTCACCGGGTACATCGCCACCCAAACATACTCATTAGCTATCCATATGCGCAGCATCAACGGATCGCCTGCGACGAGCAACACAGACGTGGACGAAATACGGCGCGAGATACGCGCACTGAAAGGTCTCGTTCTCAACCGACGCTCATTCTTACCCAATACAAGCACTGGGATACCGCGCACTTCAAGCGAGCCATCAAAGCTTGCTGACGTATGAATTGTCGTATTTGTGTACAGACAACATGCTGCTGTTTCTCTATGTGTATATATACGGGTTTGTTAGTCAAGACGAATGATGATGCAGTGGGTGTGTTCCGTGGAATCGCGTTGAGCATGGCGAATAAATGAGGGGCGATAAACTAGCCGTGGGGTGGGGGAGGATGGACAGGCGCGTGGAGGAAAGCGAACGAGGACGTGACATGCAAATAGGCAATGGGAGATTATAGTGGAGATGGGAGAAGGGAATATGCTGAAGTCGGGTGCAGGTGTGTACTGATACAGCAGAAGGGGTAAGTGAAGCAACGTCGCAGACGTGATGAGTCGACAGCTACAAGCAAACAAAAACAAAACAAAAAATTAGCATTGGCCTAGGAACGAGTTCTTGGGGAATGGCTGATTGAAGTCGCCCTTCCAGGTGGTAAGGTTTGGATTGGTATACGCCTCGCTGTACCTAAAAATAAAGATGTGAACCACTTTGTCGAGTCAAGTGAGCAGGATACATACGTGTTAATATAATCTGCTGTAGGGAAGGCTTTCGGGTCACATCCAATATTCCGTGCGTTTGAGGGCTGGTATACACGGATATAGTCCACGCGCATGTGTACAGGGAAAGGCAAGTGTTCCAGATCGACAGGACCGAAATTAGTGGACATGCCCAAATTCATGATAATGTACTGGGGAAAGAAGTGAGCTCATGGACAATTTTGGAATGTAAAAAGGAAACAAACCATTGGCTCCTGCGGTATGGGTCGAGCGGAAATACCGACAGCGGGATCGGGTCCCATGCCTGCAACGTTGAGTGTCCACGAAACTTCGTTGTTTGCTATCCACGTTATGTACTGTGGAGCGGGTTATTTAACTTTTTTTGATATTTTGAAACCCCATGGGAAATACCAACCGCCTTATCAAAGCCAGGAAGATACTGGAGCAAGATAAGCCAATGAACGATCAAATGTCATGTCATGAACGAACGAACCTCGAAACCATACACCGAAAAACATCCTGTTTCACCCTCGTAACAACCTTGATTCGTGTTTGTCACGGCGGAGGTAGCCTGCTGCTCCACTCCGCCAATGTAGGTATTTAGAACTGTGATTGACGGGTTCGGTATTATTTCGTTATCGCTCGTGTTTTTCCAGATGTAACCAGCGTTGAAAGGCTGAGTGAAAACAAGAGATACATGAGCGCTCGTTTTGGGTCATGAAAGATCACACACGCACACCCCATTGTGCTGACTGGGAAACTTGACCTGTCAGAGGCTCTCCCGTAATCTGGGGTTTGTTAAATCCTTAGTTCAACTGACACATAGCCGAAACATACCTGCGCCTCGAACATATCAATCTCAGGAGCCGCGCGCCCCACAAACGTCCCATCTGAGTGCATAGGACCTGGGTGAGACTCGCCCTTGCAAGTGCATCGCGAGAGCCGCTGGCCAGGTAGGAAAGACAAGATCCCGTTTTGACCTGAGTCACCGCCTTCAGTAGCTGCAATTGGAAGGCCATTAACGGTTTGGTTTGGTACAGTGCCGATGTCACAGGCATCATAAGTATATGGCCACTGTGAACCATGATGAGATGATGAGTGGGAGAGGAAGTAAGAATGACGGACCATTCCTTCCAAGCTTGCGCCATAGCCGGCTCGACCAAGGTTTCCGAGTGTCCAGATAGCGGGCCATAATCCTGTGGGTACACATTGACTATGCGTGATGATGTGCATGATACACTTTCTTACCAACTACGTTGTTCACACCAGGCAATGAGACGGACGCTTCGATGTATCCACCGGTGAAACAGAATTTGTTCCTACATATGAATGAGACGCGGTTCAGCAGCTGCCGGCCAGAGGAACACTTGCCATGTGGACATCATGCCTATTAAGAACATGTATAAGTGACTTGAGAACAGGACGATGAACGAGGATTTTAAAGGGCTCAGGAACATCGTAGATAACCAAGTACTCACCGCCCTGGTAGTTCAGGCTATGGGTCTCCTTTTGAGACAAGGTTATTACGAGGTAACCGTCTTGGGTGGTGATCGCCGCAGGGTCATACCACTCCAGGTTATTCGTTTGCTGGGGATGACGATTAGTACCACACTATAGGCGATATCAAAATAAGCTACCCAGTAATGTAGATCAACAGCTTCCCAGTATGGATCATCGCCTGGCCAGAATGTTCTCCCTGGAGTATTGAACTCGTCAGAGAAGACGAGCTCCATGTCCGGTCCACCGTTCCAAGAGGGCTTGGTAAAGACGTTACCGGGAGTGTCGGTGTCGATGAGGCCCAAATTACCAGGAATTTTTGGTATCTAACGAGCGAGATACTGTTGAATTACTGAAGTATGAGGACAATGACAAGACTTACTTGGCCACTTGCATTAATTCCGCCTAGGTTGAACCCACCTTGATTTGATAGCGAGGTTCTCGTGAAATATGTTATTATTGGATATCCAGCGCTGAGTGAGCCAGTTCAGTCGAACTCAAGACTTGAATGATTGGGAACACTGACAAAAGGGTAATTAGGCCAACGGCCATGATAAGAAGGCAACCGATATTCGCTAGACCGCGATCAGGGCCCCAACTATTGTGGTCTCTGACACTGGGATTGTGAAGGTCATCGTCGGGTTCCTTGCAATCACTGTATAAACTGGAGCCCCAGTCACGAGGGTCTGGGGATAAATGAAACTGGAAGAGATACAGTCAGTGAACGTTGACGTATAGGGAAGGTCGACGTACGCGGTGTGATATTGCAGCCAACCTGGAACCTGCACCAGCAGTGTACGGTGACTCTGTCTGCAAAGGTATTGGAAAGGGATGATGAAAGGTGTGGCGCGAAGCTTACCGATATGCTTGCGAAACTCTGTACTCTGTCTGACTGGGAAAGAGTGTGTCTATTACGAGGCAGCAAGCTTGCCTTTGAGCCGGGAGAGAGTGTGAGGTCGCTACTGTCTGCTGAGTGGACCATGGCTGTTGTGAGTAGAAAGAACGTAGAAGGGGTCGTAACCACGAGGCTGAAAGTATAGTTACGAGTAGGAGGTAAGATTAACGGAGTGCATACGAACTTTATTCGTGCATCATTCCATGCGAAACGTAAGTGGAACTTAGTGGAGAGCCCTTTTTTGATACAAAAAACGGGGGTTCTATTACGGTTCAAGTTGTTATGGGAATCCCCATGCTGCCCCCATGCTGCCTCTCTGATCTAGAGCTTGAGAGGACCAACAAGAGCAAGCACAAAGGCAGAACCGAATAATCAATCATAAAAGGATGCGATGAAGTCGAGCTCTAACTTCATTTCCAAATTTGGATGTCATCTCCGGAAATAGCAAACTGAAACAGATCACAGCACAGTCCTCCACTCAGCCTTCCTCAAGTCCGTCCTCAGCTGTTCCAGCCTCCTCCAGCCCTTGAAAGGATACACTCTGCGGGATGTATAAACTTCCTGAATATCACACGCGACCAACTTGCTCCACTTCGTGCGTATTTAATAATAGATCAATGACAGGACTGCTTTCGCTGATTGAACTGCTTAACTGATCCGGCAAGTACAACAAGAACTTCATCTGAAACTAACAACAATTATTGCTGTCCAAACCGTTCCACACGTGACTGCTGTGCTGATGCCCCAACCGATGGCCGAACTCTGTCAGTGTCAACAAATTTTTCGCTCATGAAACCGCCGCCCGAATACGAAGCGCACGGCTCCAACCCAAAAAGAATGCAACATTACCAGGAGGAGGTACGCGCGTGATGGATTAACGTAACTTGAACCAGGAAATTCCCCGTCTTCTATCTATCTATAGCCCGTAAACTGCGTCACTGGAACGTTCGTCTCCATCGACTGACCGCTCACACTCCTATATCCTCCGCCTCCGCGGGGCGACCTCAAGCCCTGTGAAGGCACCGTCCGTGTCCGTAACACAGTGTCCTCTGTCGTCATCGTACCTGACCGCCTTCGCACGCCGCTGAATCCGTTACGCTCCACCGCGCTTGGACGACGACCAGATTCGTTGCCACTCCCGAGGGAAGCCAGACCATCCGTCCTCGGAGAAATGTCCAAGCCCATCGCCTGCATTGCGCGCATGAGATCCAAAGACTGATTAGCGCTAGTCCCGGGGTTTATCGCGCCGTGCTCGTGGAACGCCTTTTCGTCAGAAGCTCGCCACGGTCCGATGGGCTGCAGCGCCTGGGCCGCCTTGGGTGACGGCACATCAAGCCCGGTGATGTTGATCGGTAGATCACGCTCTCTTGAAAGAAGTCGCTCTAAATAACGGATGCGTTCACTTCTTTCCAATATCTCACTCGAGCGCGGCGAAGGTGGCGTGCAAGGGTTCTGCCTATTCAGTGGCGAAGCGTGGTAAATATGCGGCTTCTGCGTAGCTGTCGCGTTCTGGTTGTTTTCATTAAGGCGCTGATGAGGAGGCTTGTAATTCTGATGTATAGTGTGATCTTCCGTCGTACGTGCTGCTGGGGGCTTGTAACTCGGGGGTGTAGTGTAATTCTCTTCCGTTCGTGCTGCTGGGGGCTTATAACTCGGGGGTGTAGTGTAATCCTCTGCCGTCCGTGCTGCTGGGGGCTTGTAACTCTGGAACACAGTATTTTCTTGCATCCGCGCTGCTGGAGGTTTGTAACTCTGGCGTACAGTTTGGTGTTCTTCCGTCTGTGCTGTTGGGGACTTTGATGTAGAGGTCTTCATCACAGGCGTCGAAGAGACAGGCAATTTGACCCGAGGGGAGTCTCCCTCAATGATCTTCTCCGCCTGATTCACTGGGTATGCAGTCTCTGTTACGAGTGTGTTGACAGGGGTCGGTCCTTCAGCCTGTGATTTCCTGAGAGGACTGTGCTCGGTGTAGCGAACCTTCGTCGCAGAGGGGCTGCTCGTCTCCATCGCCTTGCGGAACAGCTCCGTGAGCAACATCTCCGCATTACTAGAACGTCGCCCGAGAGAAGTAGTCGTCGAATCCGTAGCCTTAGTAGTACCAGCACGCTCGTCGCCCTTTAAATGCATAGTGTTGTGCTGCTCTCGTTTTAGTGTTGCAAATCTCGTGGGAGATGGAGTCGAAGGCTGCATCTCGGCTGCGAGAGCAACCCAGTTCACGTCGCTGCTTTCTCGTTGGTAGTCGTGTGTTCTCTCTTGCAATGTCCCTAGAATTGTGTGACGATTCGTCTGGAGCGATGGCGCACGTTCCACAGCTGGATTTGGCGTAGGCGACGCAGAATCGACTGACCAATTCGCCTGCGCATAGTGGAACCTAGAGGTCTCTTTCGGATCGACTGTTCCAGAAGCAGAACTCGGATGATCCTTGTGGCGGGATGGAGAAGCACCAGGTCCCGGGGTCCCCAAGGATCCTCGACTTTGTTGCTGCGATGCTTCTTGATTGTCCCGGGAACGTTTGCGCCTGTGCCTGCGATTACGAGGACGCCTCCGACCGCTTGGCGGGCTCTCCTCGATCAAATCCTGTTCAGGTATCAGGGCAACTTCCTGACTTGCGGTGCGCTTCCGCAGTGGGGAGACGAGGATCTGGGAGGCCAAGTCTGGGTATCGCGCAGCTAACTATAATAGTCATTTTAATTGTTAAATCCCGGATGAACATCAAGCAGTAACGCAACAACTTACGTTCGTGGCGTCCGCATATGTAACAGCAACAGGCACCCCTGCGTTTTTGGTCTTGATAGGAGTACTTGTATAGGTCCTGCCGGTATTTTCAATGCTGTACTCAGTGGCGGATTTAAGGACAGAAGAAATGATATTTGTAGATGCTACATCGGGTATCTGAAGTTCGATTGGTGGTTCAGGAAATCAGAAAAACCGACAATTAGGCGCACTCACGACAATGCGGTTCTTGCAAGGAGACAAACTGCTTTCTATGGATGCGGTGGCGACATGTCGTTGGGTGTCATTAGATTGAATATTTGCGAATGGCTGTTGTACGCGGCCACGAGATGGCGGTTCTGATGCTTCAAATGATTCAGGAATGATTGTAGATGAAATCGAGTCTAGAGAATTATTGGCGGGCTGAAGAAAATATTAGCATTATAGACACCAATTTGGTCAATGCCACGGACATGTTCGACAGGCGCGGATTCTGCTTTGGGTGTGACAGATAATTTTCGTTCGCTTAACAGCGGTTGATTAACATTCTAAAAGGATTAGACTTTGTAAAAATGCGCCATCATAGTTCCTTACTCCTGGTGCGCCAGAGCCAGTGGCAATGACAGCTTCATTCCCCGACGTAGACGGATGTCCTTGTGGTGCGGAATCCGGGACACAAAAGTCTCGGTCGCATTTTTCCTGTATGTGGCGTGAAAAGCAGTTCCGCGACGACCGTGAGCAAAACTAACCTCTTGCTCTTGACGGGTGACTGATGCGCAATCAAGGTCGGATGCCTATGATATCATCAAATGTCCAAATTTCGAAAACTTCAGATAATCTAAAAACCCATACCTCTCTGCAAGTGGCTTCGATCTTATGGAACTTAAAGATGAGGTAATTCAGGGTAGACGTACAAAAGGCACTCACGGCATCTACCGCGCTGGACGCATTAAGTTTAACGTTGTTTGGCGCGGGCGCGATGACAGTAGCTTTCAAGTTGCCTTCCTGCATAATAGTCTTGTGTTTAACGGTCATCTCGGTGTCATACGGTGAAAATAGCCGACCTTGTTCCTAGACGTAGTGGCGTCGGCCACCTGTCGCACATTCTTAGGAAATACATGCCGAAGCGGCGAATGACTTACGGAAGTTGCTTGAATATGACCCGGCGTGACGTCGCCACTGGAGGCTGCGCTCAATGCGGTTGCGCACGGAGCCTGTGGGATATTCGCGACCTTGATCATTGGCGTCTCTGAAGAGCCAATAGGAGCAGCAGCCGGAGGGCGGCTTGCTTCAACCCCCATCTGTTGCTTGAATTATAAATCAAGGGAAATATCGTTCAAACTGAAAGAGGAACGCGTCACGCTCGGCGGTTTCGGAGAAAAGCGCTAACGTACTGTGTCCCTTGAATGAATATGCCCTCCGCGCTAGTTTTCAACTTGATATGATGACTGGCGGGCGCTTTTCTGGTGAATGACTGAAAGCGCGGGGATGGAAGTAATAAGAAGAGATGTTGACATGGGCTGACCGAATATCTGCAAAGTAGACCAAACAGATCAGTATACCAAACGTTAATATGTTTCAAATCCCAACGGTATGCAAGTGGATATATCATCATAGAACGCGTGATGAAATATGAGCATGACTTGCAAAGACTTCTCGAGTCTACATGGGGTAGTGCAGGAGGGTAGTACTGGCAAAACCAATGGATCATCGAGTCTGTATGGCGTGTCAAAATCACTGAACTGTCGCGTCTTCCATCATAGGCAACATTTAATGCCGGTGCTCGGGCCATCCATCTTCAACTGTCCTACACTGGAGGCAGCTCGAGGCTCGTGCAGACTTTGCAACCTATGGCTGTGGTAGGCTGTGGTCCACAACAGTGAATCAGTGATGGGCTGATGAAACATGCAATAAATCATCTCACGCTGTAAGACTGTGATATACCTACTTCAGCGCCCAGTCAGACAAAGTCTCATTCAACTTCCATCTCTCTCCTGCTATCGGCTGCGCCGTTCAGTAGACCTTCTTTTGCCTTACTCTTTTTAACGTATTATCGCTCCCACTTCACCCACTGGTCGAGACGGTCATTGTCAACATATATTTCAGCCGACTTAAATATGAACGCACCATCCAGCTATGATCCTGCGCCTATCTACGACAGCATAGATATTGACATGGCTGTCAAAGTCCTGTCGCAGACAGCTTTCAGTTCGTGCACTTGTCATCCTTATTCCCGTGGCTAAACATTAACATGCTGCCTGTCCACAGGTCCCTTCTTTACGTGTTTCATACCCATATTTTATGTCTTTCAAGGTTATGAGTTCTCAGATCCAGTTGTACTCGTTCCATCCATATATTGCGCAGTTGTTTCTGCTTTCTGTACGTCCTCGTATATTGCGAGCGCTTCTGATACTAACATATTAGCAGGGCTCTTGAAGTGGATTTCACTGTTGTACCGCAATCAAGGTAGCCTTTTCTTCAAGCCTGATCCCTTAGATTGGAGCGAACAGATTGTAGTCGTCACTGGAGGTACGACCCTTATCAGTTACATTGGGCACTTCCAATACTTAAGACGAATATAGGCGCTTCGGGGGTAGGAGAACTGTTAGCAAACACACTTGCTGTCCGCAACGTCACGGTAGTTGTGCTTGACATCAAACCGATAGTAACTGAAAACTGTGCGTCAGCTTTTTCTATTCACGTTTCTATTCGATGCGAATTTTGTCACCAGACAATATCGCTTATTACCAATGTGACGTTTCGAAGTGGGAGGAAGTCGAGGCCGTTTCGAAGAAGATCATCGACGAGGTATATTGCCTTGCATATTTTATGGATACGTGTTTAGTTTTCATAGATCGGTCAACCCACTATGCTCGTCAACAACGCCGGTGTTGTGCAAGGAAAACTCATTATTGATCTCAAACCAGAGGATGTATACCAGTATGTCATTTTGCTTCTCCTTTGGGTGCTGGAAGCTTAAACACATTCTTCAGGACATTTGGCGTGAATACCCTGGCCCATTTCTGGACCTTGAAGGCGTTCTTACCGGGAATGATAAAAAACAAAACTGGTCATATTGTGAGCTTCCCCCTGTATCAGAGTGAAGCGTTATGAATTTCCACCCCAGGTGACGATGTCATCGGTCATGGGCTTCGCTGGTAGCGTCCAGATGGGTAAGCTTCAAGGTTCCTCATCCAATCTTGCCACTCACAGTCCTGTAGCCGATTATAGCGCATCAAAGGCGGCTCTGATGACCATGAACGAGTCTTTGCGCTACGAGCTTGACAAAGTGTACGTATACAAACTACATACAATATCGTGCCATCCTAATCTCGCTCCTAGGTATGATGCGCCAGGAATCCGTACCACCATCGTTTGTCCAGGACACATCTTAACGCCCCTGTTCTCCACCATCCAACTCCCAACCAACCCCTTCTTCAAGTTCCTCGCACCATCCATCGCGCCAGTAACAGTGGTAAAGTCTATCATCACTGCACTTGACGCACAGCAGTCCCGAACTATATATCTGCCGTTTTACACGAATTTTTCACCGGTGTTGAAGATGATACCCAGTTACCTCAGGGATATTTGCCAGAAGGTATGTCATGTTATCGTGTATATGAGGATTGATTGATTGACGAAGAACCAGTTCTCTGGAGCTGATCATTCGATGAGGGATTTTAAAAAGGTGACAGCACGCAGGACGGATGAGGGAGAACTTCCCCATGCTAATGGGAAACACTGAGGGTCGGTAGAAGCACTGTGTCAAAGCTGTTAGTGTCACTGCAGCAATATATACTGGACAAACACAGCCGGATTATCAGATTCCTATGATCTGTCAAAGTTGCCGCATTGTATTTGCAGCTTTAGCTGTGCGGTGGTAATATTTCTGACATATCCCCTGAATCCTGTTGGAAACGAGCAGTCATCTCTGGTCAGGGGTTTAAACTTAAACTTCAAAGCTTAACTGGACCGACTTAAGTATCAGAAGACTACTTGTATGTGCAACCGGCTGTGTGCTCCGTTCATTCGATATTGAGCCCTGGATGTTATGTTCCTACAGGATATCATATGAACCTTCGTCGCCATCATAGAACAGGCTGATACCGCCGAGGAAATAGGCAGGAAAGTCCGCGTCGGAGTGGATAAGTCCAGGCGTCAAAGCAGGCTGGGCCAATCCGCGCACCTATTGGTATTCTTGTAGGAACATCCAAATTCCAATCGACTGGCACTTAGATAAGTACCCTGGGAGACCAGAGCATGCTGCAGGCTCTAGGATGCACGAGGCTACCAAGACAAGTATACCATATCAACCAACCAACCAACCAAAGATAGAAAAAGCCCACAGGACTAATGGTCCACAGTTTATTCACAAAGGATGCGGTGTCCTCGACTTGAGTGGCGTGTAGGATTGTAGACATCCACGGTGGCAACAAAGGTATTCTCCACATCAAAGCAACTCCGCTTGGCCACAGCAAAGCGTGTTCCAGGTTCCTATAAACATAGAGGCTTAGCATAGACCTCGCGACCTTTCATCACCATTTCAAAGTTCAAACGCGTCAGGATAGCGCGATTACTCCCAGCCAATACTCCAACACGCGTCATACAGACTATCATCCTCCTTGGACCTTATTATAACGCGTCAACATGCAAATAGCAGACCCACCTACACTTTTGAGCAACTTTATGGCGCTCACGATGTCCATCATACAGTCGATGTTGGCTGTTCGAGAGTCAATGATAGTTGCATTCCCATACGACGCGATCAAGGAGGGAAGATGGATTGAGGCGTGGGACCGTTTGCTAAAGGCGCTCGCGAGCTTCGATGAGCCGTATTCGGTTTCCGTCTACTCCCCTCTTCTCCCTGACATCAAACCAGTCAACGATGATGGCACTGAATACACAAGCAAAGTAAGTTGAATCTTCACGATTAGCTACATACTAGTCTAATCGATGCCCATCACCTTATAGGATGCCTTTGTCACACAAACCGGAATGCCAGAGTCGGACCACAAGGAATTCACAGCGGTCTCGGCGCCGCATGTGAATTTGAACTCTTCCGGCGTCCATAACCAGGATGCAAGCACGCTACTGGACGCTAACTGCGCCTCTGCCTCGCGTTCAGACGCAAACGAGCGCCTTGCCTTTCTCTCCTCACCAAAAACCTCCACCTTTCAGCCACTTTATTGCACAAATGACATGGTATGTTACACACTTTTGTCGCACTATTCTAGGTTGTTGAGAATGTGTTTTCCAGACTGGTGGCCCGGAAGCTAAACCCGTCGAATCCGTTCCCGAGCAACTTTTCGTGGACTCCCACATCGTCTACGAAGAAGACTCAGAGACTCCAAGTTCTCACCCTTTCGTGTGCTCCTGCTTCATCTGTGAAGACGACAGAGAGAATGTGAGCGTTCTCCCTCTCTTTCTCTTACTCATTCCAATGTCTCTCTTTCAGGACACCCTCCTCGACTTGCGCCTTGATGGTCGCAACATCGTGCTTGACTCATTGTATCCTCACATTGCACCCCATATAGTCATAACTCCCCCTGTCTCTTACGCAGACGACTTTTACACACCGAACCAAAACCGGGTTGATCCCCAATGGCCATGTTTCCTCAACGTGCCCCGTTTGTCCCCTCACATGTTCTACCATCATTGTCCTCTTCCATCATCCCACGATGAACCGGCTGGCTGTGATTCAAAAGGATTCCATTCACAGTCCGTAGCCTCGTCAGGCGACCTTGATGTTATTCAGTCGGAAACTCGCGTATTCAGTCACAAGAGACTTCTTCTCGCTGTAAGCCCCACTTTTATCGTTTACATCACTCATCTCATCCTCTCACTCTCTATTAGGTCGAAGCTTCTTCCATTGAAAGACTAGTATTCCGCAAGATAGTCGACGGGATATTCCGACATCGCCGTAAAGCTGTGGTGAGCCGTTTTATAAATCCCTCACTCGAACCAATCAACTGAAGTTTCCGTTCCCTCCCAGGCATTCGAAGCAGCCCTCTCGGCGTCCGCGGTTTGCGCGCGATTTAACAAATCGGGGGCTGCATCCCACTTGGAAAGACCCTTTGTGTGGACTGATCCTGCTCAGGTACGCACTCGCAGAATTGTCGGGCATGAACTTCCAGGCCTGACAGGGAAACTTCTTCAGCCTATCCTACTCGCCTCTAGACATTTCCCGGGCATCTCTATCATTGAGTCCGACTGTCCCTTTAGGGCGCCCCATATCATCATCATTGCAGCAGAGCCCCACGACCCATGGATCTCATGGAGCAACAGGGTCGAGGACCAAGATTACGAGTACCTCCCTGTCTATCCCAAGCGGAGTTCGACACCTCCGATCAACACCGCTTCCCTCGCCACCGTCTCCGTTCCTGGTCCGCACCATCACGTCGACCCTGATAACGGCTTCATTGAGCCCCACTCTGACCACTCGCGGGAGTGTCATTTGATAGACATTCCTCCGCCCCTTGACGAATCGGGGTGTCTTCTCACACTATACGAAAAGGGGTGTATGACTTGTACCGAGTGCCCGCATTCTACCCCAGACGTCGACGGGCTTACGGCTTCAGAACGAATGTCTGATGGCCTCTCTATCATTCGCTGTGAGACGCCCACGCCGGATTTTGACGACGAAGAAGAAGAAGACGACCTCCCCCCGTTTGATGATTGGTACCTGTCCGTTATCGAGCGCTCAAAAGTTATTGACACTTAATGTGAAACCCCCTTCTTTCGTTCATGTTCATATATTATAATAGTTCCCGACAATATGTTGGTACCTGCCCCGCATGTAGTAACGTCACATACCTGCAGTTCCTTCCTTGTATTTTTACATTCTCATCTTCTTCACACTCGTGCATATTGTCATCGACCATATTGAAATTATTATCGATCGCCTTAAAGGCAACTACGTCCCAAAGCTACTCCCTCAACATGAGGCACCCTCGCCGCGGTAACAATACAAGATGCTACATACTACAGAATATTCCTGACAAGTATGTGTGTGATGGATGCATAAAAGAACATTGGGGGTGAGTAGATGAGATAACAACCAAAATGAGACGATGGTGGACAAACATACGCTACATACGACGCGCAAACGCAAAATGGAGGGGGTTTTAAAACCAAAAAAGAAATCTGAAACATGGGATGGGATACCCATAATGATATAGAAACGGGGGTATCAATCGTCATAACGCCTAACGAAAAACAAAGCGGGGCTTGCGGAAATATGGGTTTTTTTGTAAAGTACTTCTAAAATTCCTTGGGTATGACACCAGGGATTGAATTGAATTTGTGTGAATCGGCACCGGGCGTTGCCCTGGATCATTTTTGGGTGGTGGAGTTGCGAAGGCCAAAAGATTCGATTGGTAATGGAGATGGAGATCGGAGATGTAATTTAACAAGCCTTCAGTAAGGCTCGGGCACGATTGGCATGTGCTTTGGAAACCTACCCGAGGACAACGTTCGTCAGAACGAAGCGCACGATTAAGGAACTGATGGTACGTACCAGCAGATTAGCTGTCTTATAGGTCGAGCTATACATGTGGTTGATGCCATTTTGTTCCAGAACTCGAGAAAAGCGGTTCACCAATCCGTGTTTATCTACGTGAGACAGAAGCACAGCTGTCAATGAAGGCATCCGGAAGACAGCGAAGGAATGGCATACCAAGCCCGAATCTGCGCAGATCGATCTGCAAGCATTTAAGGGCACCACCTGATGATAGCGTGTCCTCGTCGTCCTCGGAGTCTGAATCTGCACTCGAACTTTGGGCATCAAGAGCATCAAGTTCGCCAGCACAAATCATCATGTGCCGCTCATTCGGAGGAAATAGGGCGGCAAGAACAGAAACATCAGTCGTTAATGAGGTGCCTTCTTGCGTACGGGTAAAACTGAAGAATGGAACCGTGCCACGTATGGTTTCCTCTGCAGGCTTCTTGATGGTAACTGATGCGTCCATATGATGGAAAGTGGGTCTACGATGTGATGCTGGTTTTGGTTCAAGAGGAGAAAGCGGTGCGAGTGGTGCAACAATGTGTTTCGCAGAAGGCTTGAAAGGTCCAGTTTGAGTAGGGGCCGAAATCGATAGATCAGGGAAGGACCGGGAAGCGACGGAAGACTGTAGTGAAGTTGACGACAGGTTACCGAGAGGCGAGTGAGAAAAGTAGCCTTCTTCGTCGTCATCGTCAGAGGAAGAATATGAATCTGATGAGTCTGAATATCGATTTCGACTTGACGACGATAACGGAACGCCGCTGGGTGGGTGGGTACTGCGAGACTGTGGCTTGCATGACCGTGAGGGTTGTTCCTTGACGGGGATCAACTCGGGGAACGCCACTAGCTTTACGATCTTAAGTCCCCATGTGTCAACACTGTCATCAGAGAGGCCGACACAAGCGAGGTTAGGGGACAATATGCGCACTTCGCCCGAGGTCGGGGAGTGTGATTTGTGACGTGATGGAGGTTTATGATGAGTGGGACTGCTTTCTGGTGAGTCATCAGGGGACGCCGTGAGATTCAAGTGCTGCAAAGTAATGGCAGCAGCAGATACGGCGTCGAGACTGTTCCTTGTGCGGGTCAGAATGGCACCGGATTCAGCCGTGATATCTTGGGCTGCGTCGGGGATGAAAGAGTCGTCACCGGGGGAGATTGGTGAAAGCAATGGAGAGACTACTCTGGAAGTGAGTAGTTCCGGATCGGAAGAATAGAGATCAAATCCGGTTGATCCTAGTAAAGTCATGACCTCTTGGAGTCTTGACTCTTTTACCTGGTTACAATTTAGAATGGCTGGGTGTTGTATAGTGGGATTTACGACGTACAAATATGAAGTCGCTCAAATAAGAGGACTGATATAGGATAGAAATTCCAGCTGCAGCCAAGGGTGCGGACAGCTCATGCACACGGGCTCCAGAGCTGTCTGGAAATATGTAAAATTTGGGCATAGGGGTTATAGACGGGAGTGACATACCGAGCCCATCCGAATGAGAATCAATTTGGAGGACATTCCATTTTTCATACGAGATTTCAAGGTGGTCTTGAGGTAATGAAGAGTGAGCACGTTTTGTACCGGAGCCTGAGCCTGAGCGAGATCGTTGCCTTTGCCTGTCGCGTCTAGCGACGGGTTCGAAATCTGTTAGCATGTGAGATTCTGCGAAGAGACTGAGTTCGATCTCATTGCAGGTGACGTTGATGAAAGTGGGGTTTGGTTGCAAGATCTGCCTTATGACAGGATGTGATAGCTGGGGTAGACGAGAGCGAGGGATGTGTACTAGGGAGAGGGATACTGGGAGGAGGGAGATTGTGACATTGGATGAGGGTTCTGCCATGGACTTGAAGATGGAGGAGAAGAGGAAGAAGGAAAGGAGAAGGTCGATATATGAAAGGAGTCGGAGTCACGCGAAGAAGGCGTGCGGGTGAAAAATAAAGTTCAAAGATCTTATTGAGGACTTATCTTATTACATGGATCGGTCCGCACCAAGCCTAAGGATAATGAATTGGGTAAATGACAACAACCTCCCCAGTGATCAAATGTTTCTACCTCTTAAAACTTACGTGCTTCACCTTATCTTTACGTCGACGAGCTCAACGTTTGACACGTCCAGGCTCTGCACATTCGTCGGAGTTGTTTCTGGCACATCCGTCGGAGTAACCTTTCCGACTATACTCCACTCGCGGAACATTCTCGTTTGAACCTCAGAGGAGAATTCATCTTGACAGGCGCTCGGAAGTAGCCAGTGATGACTGACTCGTGGATCAAATCTGGATCTAATTCAACTTACTGAACGCGGTCCATTTAGCTTTTGTCCATCAATAAAATGTACAGCCCATTGGGGCGTTCACTGCCACGCTTATTGTCTAGCAGACGTTGCGATGCTGAATTACCTAGGATCGCCCTCATGGCGGCAAAGATGGTCAAGCTTGAACCGACTGACCAGAGCTAATCAAGCAATGATGAGATGGATCATGATCAAAAGGGGCGTCAACTTATAAACAGCATCCATTTCCCCATACTCAGCTCATTTCCAAATTAGGTATCGGCATTTCATTTCGGGACTAGTCCACTCATGATGCGCAATACCGCAAATAACATACCCTTGTCAATCCCATGCCCATCCGCCTTCGGTCACTGAATCAGTAAATCCTACTTTCGACTCCTTGACAAGCATACTAAAGTTAAAACAGGAGTCCATGAGAATTATCCATCGACATCATGGACGCACGTTCGTTCCACGACAGTGTGCATGTGCGCAATCAAAATAGCAAGAAGAAGAGAAGACATTGTAGGTAGTCTCATTGTGCATGTATACATGAAATTGTCACCGCGATGTAAAACTACATGGAGCATCACTGCAAACGGTATACTCCTCGAATGTTTGTTGAAACAACAGCAATAAAAAATAACTTAATCCTATCCATGTACCAACCTTGTGCAATCATCTCATCTAAAATTCACCTCGATAGCACAGGCCGCTGCATCCGTCTACAGCGAGGTTGCGGAGATCCCTTCGGGCTTCCTTTCTTCGTGGGAGTGAGTGGATGGGGATATCGAGAACGTGTGGGAGCGTGAACAGACAATAGCGATCGTCGACGGAGAAGATAACGAGGGGATGTCTGCGGAGAAACTTTCGCCGTGGATCCTTTCAGCCCACGCTTGCGTTCCCGCCGGGAACTTGGTATTTGTGGAATAAGGTGCGACGACTCGAATGAATCAACTGCCTGCAATGCCGGCAAAACGTGACTAGGGGCGACAGAAGACCGCATGGGAGTAGAAATCGACGTGGCAAGTTGCGAGGACTGTGGGGATAGCACTCCCTGAGAATACAATATTTCTTCTGGCACAAAAACTGAACAGTCTCTGTCCAGCTGTGACGCTGGTATCGACCTGGTGTCTTCAATATGCCAGGCCTCGGGTCCAGCAGGTGTCATTATTAACTCCGACTCTTGTGATGTCTCCTGAGAAGGCTCTTCTGATGGCGAGCCGAATAGGGGAGAAGTCAGCGGAGTTGCAGGTGATGATCTTCTCGGCGGGGTACGATGGGCTTTAAGAGCGCGACGGGGCGAACGGAACGGTAGCCGGCTTCCGAAAAGCACAGGTGGTCTGCTCAAGTCCGCGCATCCCATCGCACGCTTTGACACGGGCGGAGGGTTAAATTCAAGTGGCTCAGTGGCTGTTCGCACAAGAGACTCGGGCTTGCTGCTTGATTGTACGCCAGCATTGGTGGCTTCGCGTCCGAATTGCGGGCGCGACGAACGCGATGACTCTCCTTCCTCTTCCTCCCAGTCCCCTCTGCTACGTTTCAGCGGTCTTGCACTAGGCTGTGTTTGCCGTGGAACGCGCGGAATGGGCGCGATGGGTGGCAAAGTACTCTCATACGCAAAATCTCGCACTTTAATGCCAAGAGACTGGAGGATTTCTACGGTGGGTTGTTGAGAAGATGGTCTTAGAAATGGGAGCTTCACATCGCTTGGGGCTGTGATGTTTGGTGGCTTGAGGAATGACAAACAGGACACACTTAAGGACTGATTGCGCGTGTCATCAGACATCTTTTCACTTACATTCGTTACTTGGGACGGAAGATCAAGCTCAGGATCATCATTGACGATCGCAAAATCGAATGTCTTCATCGTCAACAGGAAATCGTCCTCCTGTTCTTCTGTTCCCACAGCTATCGATGGTTGCATGGCTGAATCATTGTTGTCCCAACTAGTCATCCGGAAGAGTTGTCACAAGAAAGAGATTTGAAAGTTTGAATGAACTGGATGTAATGGACAACAAAGGACCTTTGAAAAGGACAATTATGGCACAGTAGCACTTCGTGGTAGCAGTACAAGTTGGTGGTTGCTCAGCGCTCAGCGTCTGACAGCAGCATGGGAAGGTCCAATGGGTTTCAATCTCCGACATTACGGTCCACTCACGTACACGTGACTGGGCGCGTTAAGCCCGATTTGGCAAGTGTCGGTCAAGTGTCGGCTGACATTGTTCGGCGCAGCGCTGAGCAGAAGGAAATACCCCGTTTGTAAGTAAAACTTGTCTCACACATTCGTTCTGCTTCTCACAATCATCGCGTAGTTAACTTTTCAGGCTGTAGCAGCACTCACGCCGCGGTAAAGTTAACACCGCTCTGGCGCTGTCGGTAGACTCTCTGCCTTTTTCAACGTGCGTGCGCTGCGCATCTCGTGGATCACGCTTACTGTTTTATAGTTGAGACTATCCATTACCACATACCGGTCAGCTGCTCTCAGGACTCTCGGGCATGCTTCGAAGGGCTTGGAAACCACTGGCTGCCACCACCGTTCTTATTGGCACACCAAGCTACCTCTACTATACTTTCACCAAACAGCAAACATTTGAACTTGCCGTCAAAGTACGCGGCGCGGACGGAAAACCTGTCATGGCCAACCGCACATTTTCTCTATTGTCAAAAGACGCCGTTAAAGACCGTCTTATAGAGAACGCGTCATCTGACAGCTTTTCAAGACCTGATAGCACAGTATGGCGATACGCCACGGCGTCCGTCGCAGCTAATAATCCCCTGGAAGATGCACACGCAGATGCCATCATTGCCCGTGACCCCTCTGACCCATCCGCACCAGGTGACTGGTTGTTCTTCACCGTTATGGACGGTCATGGTGGCCCTCACACATCTCGCCTTCTTTCCAAGACCCTCATCAGCGCCGTGGTCCTGGAATTATCATCCCTGATCCACTCTACAGACGTCCCGAAATCCGGACTTCTTCACAATTTAAAGTTGTTATTTCGCACGTCTGCACCCAAATCTCGCGAAGACCCTCAAAACCCAGAGAGAATATCCCTTGCCATAAAAAATGCGTTCAGTAAGCTAGATCAGGAGCTCATCAACGCACCCCTTTCGGTTCTCGCCGCGAACTTGGACGCTGAATCGATAAAGAAGAACATCCTTCCTGATCTCAGCCAACATCCGCTGGCACTACAGACAATGCTTCCTGCTGTATCTGGTACGGAACAACTTCATCCCGCCGTTTTCACATCATAATAATTGAATTGCTGTTCCATCTTCAGGCAGCTGTGCGCTGATGGCTGTCTTCGACACCGCTCATCGGCATCTATACGTGGCTTGCTCAGGGGACAGTCGTGCTGTTGCCGGCATTTGGGAGGAAAATGAACAAGGTCAGGGGTCGTGGCGCGTCGAAGTTCTTAGTGAAGACCAGACGGGTCGCAACCCAAATGAATTGAAGAGGTTTGCTAACGCACTTAATTTCCGTCTCACCTTCTCACATTTTATTCTTAGGATTCAATCTGAACATCCTCCAGATGAGGCGGGTAGCGTTATACGAGCAGGCCGCGTACTTGGGGGTCTTGAACCCAGTCGCGCATTCGGAGATGCCCGGTACAAATGGCCGCGCGATGTACAAGACGTGTACGTGATTTTGGATTTTTCTTATGATAAGATTAACGTAAATACCCGTTGACTCGTTTGGTCCATTCAGACTAAACCGTGCCTTCCTTGTGGGCAATGACCAACCCTTGCGCCCACCCCCGTCGTCATTCAAGACTCCGCCATACGTTACTGCCACCCCAGTCGTAACCCATCGTGACTTTGACTTTGGCAGTGCTGCACGGCCGTCACGATCGCCCGCATCCCGTTTTGTGGTGCTGGCAACCGATGGGCTATGGGATAAGCTTAGCTCAGAGGATGTCGTAGCCCTTGTTGGCGGACATTTGAAGGGTCTCAAAGGCGTTGTTTCCAAAACTGCCCTTCCAGAACTCGTACCAACAACGTCAGGGGCACCAACTGTGGAAGGCAAGGACAAGAAACGAAATAACGGCAGTGGCTCCTGGTCTTTTGAAGATGAGAACATCAGCTCACATCTCATTCGGAACGCATTTGGTGGCGGCGACGCCGAGGGCTTGAGGGAGCTGATGAGCATACCTGCCCCGATTGCCAGGAGTTATCGAGATGATACCACCGTGACTGTTGTCTGGTGGGAAGACGGACAAGAAGGTAATGCCAAGACTGTGACGTTCTCTTCTGATAATATAAAAGCAAAGCTGTAGTAGAGCGAGCTTCTTGACCTTTAGTACAGGGTCGTGAACATATGATGTGACTTGCAGTGTATACTCTAGAATTAACGCCAAGAACAACTGGTCTACATGATCATCCTTTTCTTCTTCTTACCATACTGCTGTGGAGGTCTTGCCCAATTATCTGGTCGATGTTGGTGCAAAGTATTACTTCCTGCTAACCGGCTGTAAGGATTGACTGCGCCACCACCAAACGATGACTTTCGACGACCGTGTGACTGTTTGGAAGATTGGGTATGCAAGGGTACGCGGGCGTAGTGCTTCCGAGGCGTCTGTTCGTCGTCGTCATCGTAATCTGGCGATTTGCGCTTTTTGTCGTTATTCTTTGATGACGCGTAGAAATTGCTGGGCGAAATGCCTGATGAAGGGGTAGTGTTCAATTGTATGGAGCTAAGGGATGAGGTACTGGATATAGGAGGGGGAGAGGTAGGAGGACCGGGGGGAGGCGATGAGGTAGTGGTGAGTGATTCAGTGGTGCTTGAAGGTGGCTTGAGGTCAACAGGAGTCGCAACTGACGATTCACTGTCATCGTCATCGTCATCATTGTATTGTGAGAGGCTCGTGAGGGCAGTGCTCGGGCTGGGGACCTTGTTAACGGCCTCAATTTTCTTCTTGATATTCTCAGCCTGAGGGTCCCTGTCGTCTGTTTTAGGCTTTTTATGTGCCTCGCCATCATTAGCCATCGGGGAAGGAATGAGAGGTCCGATGAACGGTCGATCGGTTTTAACACCGAGGTCGTCACCGCCATCGTCTTCAGAGTCCGCAACTTTCCTCTTCTTCATTCCAGCGACAACTTTCCGAGGGGTCATCGAGGGGCGAGTGATAGCGGCCTCGAGTGATTGGCCTTTCTCCCTGATGTAAAACAATATATATGCGTTCTTCAGAGCCCCAGGGGCACTACGGTGCTGCGATACGCTGTCGTCGTTCATCTCGTACCACATACCATTGACTCCTTTGACCGTGGCATAATAGTGGCCTGAGTTTGGTCCCCCTCCTGCATGAGATATGACACCGTATAATGAATATGTTGGGCCAAATTGGCCCTCACTCATGAACGGTTTCAGCGTGATACGGTCGTCATAATGGACAAAATGCCCAATCTTCCGACCGAGGGGCGAGAAGCGCTTGAGGTGGATAGTCAACACTGCAGGCGCATCGTGAATGGTAAACCGCTTTTCGGCAACGACTGGCTTCTTGCACCTACAAGAGTGTTGCATATCAATTGTGAGCATGCCTACTAGTAGATATTGCTTACTTTTCGCATTTATATTTATCTGACCCTTTGAGATAGTCGACAGCAACAAACTTCCGGAAAGCGTCTCTCACGCTGTTTGAGCCATATATGTCTAAGCTCACGTCCAGCATGCTATCAAATGTGTCACTGTTGTGGTGGCATTCCTTGCATGTCACTCGTGACCGTAGCCGACCACCGAATATCTTATGAACCCAGGTGGTCTCCGCAAGTTTCGGATCGATTTTTCTTCCAAGATGCTTGTCAATGGTCATATAGGTGGAACAGTAACAAAACACTCACTGCGGGTATCCAGCTAGACATGATTTTTGTAGAGCGTCAATGGCATAGCGAAGGAACTCGTGAGAATCCTCCTGCCTGCCCTTCCGCATGTGTTTTGCAATGACTAGAAAAGCATAATTGGACACAGGTTTTAATAAGGGAAGCAAGACGTACCATGCAACTTCGAGACAATGACGTACGGCGTGGAAGAATGCTTCTTCTGATGGGAGTCAAACATCACATGGCGAAGACAACATGACATGCAAAAGCCTCCCTTGACTCGACCTACATACCAGAATAAGATTAAATGATGGTTATCAATATTATCCTTACATGGGTCAGACTTTGAGTGCGCCGTTAAGACATTGAGCAGAGGAGGCGTGTGGAGGAGACATTGCAAAGCACTGTTCAAGAAACATGTATTCCCGGTATTATGAAGACCGTTACCGATATTGTGACCAGAGGGCCAAGGCCATGAGAAGTCCAGGACTCCAGTGAATAGCGAGCCATGCTTTGTCGACGAAGGTGATATCGGTTGTTTTGAGGGCGAAGTCAGGGGAGCGGAGGGTGTTCGAGGGTGTTCACGAGCCTAGTAGGTGTACACCGGTGAGCTATTTTGTGATAGAGCTATTCCATGCACTCACATTGTTTTGTGATGCCTTTGGTGTGGCATTGATTGGCTCATATTTGCCCTCCGCGACTGCGAGGGCGCCAGAAGACGAACCTTCTATGAATTCGATCGGCGGCGGAAGCAAGCTATTGAAGGCTTCGATGTCTCTGGCGGGGCGAAACTGGGAATGATCATCGGATGCTAGCTGAGGAGCAAAGGAGGTGGGGTACAGTGGTGATGCCAACATGTTCCTTTTTGCAGAGCAAAAGCTACCAGCGCGATTTCGGACACAAAAAAAGCTTCGCAGGGGAAGCCAGCGGTGGCCCGCGCCGCAAGATTTGAGCAAGATGGACTAAGGAGATAAACAGAATGGACAGACGCCTGAGCGTGTGGGACCTTGAGAAATACCTGAAGTGAGTGTTAGTAGTTAGTGGGCGTTTTATTTACGTTTGTTGTCAGATTAAAAACTCCAAAGCTGTCACATCGATATTGGCTACATTTTCTTTACCAGTTGTCATTCAATGGGGGGCCACGGATTCGGAAGTGTAATAAAGCCTAGAGACCACTTGGTATCAGGGTAATAAGATATGAGTGTTTCCAGAACAAACAATGGTGAACAGTGAGAGGTATGTAGGGATACAGTGGTAATCAGTGGCTGCGGTATAAATTATGAATAAAAAGTAGTCCTGAGACAATCCTTAAATGCGTAGTATTAGTGAAGTCAATCAAATGTTGTTGAACAAAAGGTATGGGTTCGGTACATTGTGGTCCAAGAGACTATAATCCAAATGATCACCCAGTGCAGAATTAGAACAAGTTGCTGGTGAAGAGGACATCGATCGCATGCGAGACCCGAAACAGTCTGTGAAGCCGTCGAGAAGAGGGGGTAAAGACGGCGACACCGATGCATATGGAGAGGGAGAGAACATGTCATTAGGTTGTAAGTGACCGTTGTATCCGGCGTCGAAAATGAAATCGTCAATATGCGTAGGAGGAGGGGGACACGTAGACGCCAATGGCGCAGGTATGAACGGAGAAATGGATCGTCCAGTGCCAAGTTCAGATGGCCAACTATAGGCATACATGCCGTCAGCCACACCGGAGGCTCCGCCATATTCGGGAACAGACATCTGGTAGTTACTCGTCGGCCTCGGAGCAGGGGGCCAGTGCGCTGGGTCTTTTTCAGTAACGCCTGGAAGTGATGTTTCTGATGGGGGACAGTAAGGAGCGTCGGCTACCTGGGGAGGCATAAAATGGAAGTTGGATTCTTGAGATTCGTTTTTATGCGACGAGGCCATGGCTATCAACTCTTCTGTGGAAAGACGGGTGTCTTTTGCGGAAAGATGGGTGTTTTTCTTGCAGGTGACTATGTGTTTGGTAAAAGCACCTCTCCGTTTTATTCTAATAGAGTATGAGCCCGATGGAACATTACCGATGACAATAGTCAAAACTGACCTCGTAGAACATCGCGGACACTGATACGCGCTGTCGGTATGAGTTTCCTTTCGATGGCGACTGCATGACGAGGGATCACTGAACGCCTTCTTACAGGTCCCAATGTTACACACGTAAGGCCTGCGCTTGGTGCTATGGTACAATTAATATGATTCGAAATCCAAAAAAAACGGACACCCGTACTGTATGTTGTGATGGGTGGTGAGGCCCGACTTTTGGGCAAATCCCTTGTGACACACGCCGCAGATGTGTGGTCTGGAAGGGAAGCGGAGACTGTCAGCTTGTGTGGCTCTTCGATACGACGAAGAGCTCACTTGATCTTGGTATGCACATTCTGGTGGCGAGCAAAATCGGCCTTACGAACGAACGTCTTGTCGCACAACACATTGCAGCACAACACCTTGTCCCACTTCTCCAATTGGCATACCCATAACTGTGGCTGTGGCTAATGCCCATATTACTCAGCAAACCACTCCGAAGCGCAGTAGTGCATCACTTACCGTCGACCTTATAGCAGGCATAAAAGAAAGTGGGCGACGTTGGCCAGCGACGTCGATTAAAAGAAATATAAAGGCAATAAAAACCGTGCAGGGATTTTGTTCACAGATTGAACCATGATTTAAAGGCAAGAGGCCACCCGTCCCCGAGGTGCAATACGAGTTTCGCGGACTTTGACATTGACCAGAAATTCCATTGTTGTAGGGCCGAAGCGATGTCAGTGCCCAATGAGGAAAGAAAACCGACATGTACCTGACTGATCTATGACGAGGAAGGCATATGAAACCTTCGACATCGCTGCTATGCTGAGAATGACAAAAAAACCGGCCTACCGTGCAAAAATTGACAATAAGAGCAATATAGCGACCGAGGTTACTGGTGCTGCCCGGAGCCTCGGGAACAAGGCGACATGTTTCACCTTGGTCAGCCAAAGATCGCGGAGTGATATAGCTTGCCAAAGAGCACAAAGGTGTGACGAAGTTCAGGCGGAAAATATAGGACGGCGAGACGAGACGAAGAGTTATATTCCGAGACCGGGGCCATCAATAAATTTGGTCACCCTCTCTTTCATCCACGGTGCTATTGTTAGTAGATCATGCCAAGTGAACGAGGCAAACTGATTCCGGCTGCCCGCAAACTCAGACTCGTCTTCCTCATACCCTATAGCCCTTGGTCTAATCAGTTGCACAGTTATCCTGTTATATTGCCAGTAAGCATCCCGAGCAATAGCAAAGCACTTAAACAAACATTAAACCGCCCACCCACTGTTGTCCTTCCTCCTCAAGAAATCCCCATCGTCTATCACCTCCACCGGGAGTGTATAACGGATAATTGCGGTGGGACTCCGCAGGTAAGGGGTGTGTAAGCTTGTTGTATGGACGCGCTAAAAAATAATTTATCACAAATGGAGCAAGAATGCGGCTCAATATTACCAACTGAAGGGCCATCACACTCATCTCCATAAGGGGAGTCATGCAACGCCCGGGTATTGCCCTTCAAGTTCACTCCAAGGGTATCACTGGCAGTACTAGTAGCCTCGATACCGGGGGGATGGAGTAAAGCGCGCGCATTGTAGTTGACGGTCAACGACGATCGAGGCATGTGAAGAACTCCAATCGCGATGACCCGCACGTCAGCAAATGTGGCGACCACCTTCCAGTATGTTAGCAGTAATATGTCGAGGCGGAGCACAAAACACCAACTCTTATTGTAGGCGACAGATGTGAGAGGTTGCTTTGAAATCTGTTGCTCTGTAAGCGACAAGCACACAACAGAGAACTACGTTGGTGAACAACGTGGTATGAGCTTACTGCATCTCGGCAAAGATGGCCATGGGACTAAAGCCTCGCGAGGACGATTCTAGTTCGTTGACTGAACCGTTGCGGTTGAACACGACATATCTAGGCCGCAAACTGCTTAGAAATGACTATCCGCATGTATGCGCACGATTTACTTAGTCCAAGCTTCATCCGTAGTGCAGGCTGTGTAAGTTCTGTGCCAGACACGATACAACATTCTACAACCTGTGTCATTCACGTTTCCGAGAGAATATGAGATGTACATACTTGAGATAAGACTCCCTCCAAGTATTCTCCTTCTTCCACTTCAGCCATCCAGGAATAAATCTTCTGCGGAAGCATTCTTCCCACTCGGAAGCCCTCAAGTTCGGAAGGGATGACTCAAAAAGTATGAAACCTGGCGGTGCGAGCGTAAGGATATCGATCCAATTACTTCTGGGTACGGTCGAACGAAGACTGAGGTGGTAGAAACTTTGTTCGTAGCTACCGCTAGCCAGGTTTCGGGTAATCGGGATTTTCCAGGGATTCAAAGACGAGTCTGAAGCAACATGTCTTAGTCTCCTAGATAAATTCGACACTTTGACTAGCGACTCAAGGTCTAAGTCGCCAAGGATTGTGGCAATAAGCTCAACTGGGAGGGACTCAAGTGTCGTTGGCATAATGGCGGTGAGATCAGAGTCGTCGGGAAAACAGTCTCCTTGCGGTGGCTGTAGATTAGCATAATCCTCGCTGGTGAGAATACTGGATAAATATATTACGGCGTTATTTCGCAGTGCTGCCAGTGCAACAAACATCTTATCGCTAAGTCAAAGACTAGACTCGCGGGAAGGGCCAGCGCTTTATGATATTCTTCAATCTTGAATAGAGACGATGCAATGCGAAATTACAAGATGACCTCCAGTGTCAAGCCAACTGCACCTAGGCACACTGTACTACATAGACAATGCTGCCAACTATGGTTCGTGTGTTTGCAAGACGCGTCGTGGGCCACAACACGACAAAAATTCTACGTCAACCATTAGAACTTAGTGCAAAGCGGCGGCTTGAACAATATGCTGGATCTTCAACTTTGCAGGGTATGCTAATGATGAGACGTCTGATTAGCTAACCTGAGAATATCAGTCAATGAGAAGGTAAGTAGATAAAGATGAACGCACATCCAAACACCTGACGTATCATATCATTGCTATCAACGACGGCACAACATTATGCCCTGCTAATTGGGCGAGCGCTATAATCGCGTTTGAAAGTCTCAAAATCGCGTTCCTTCGAGGTATATTGCTCAGCAAGGTTGGCAATAACTTTTTTGATCTAAAGAGACGTAGGGCCATCAGGCAATGAGTGTCATGGTAGAAAAGGGTACATACGCCTTCGCGATTTGTTTGCAGAGCAGGAACTACATCCCTGACTGTGCGCTCAACTAAGACACCACCGATCAAGCGGAAACACTTCCGACCAGGTTCTACTTGAAGTGCTTCATTCAAAGTGGAAAGGACAAGTCTGATGGAAGGTAAGTTGAACGTGAGTGATAACCGAATGGAAAGGGGCGTACCCATGTTCTTCCGCCTCTTGCTCCAACTCGCCTATCTTCCCAGCAAGGCTTTGAAGCTCATTCTGCAGACGAGAGTAAGTCTGCTGTATTTCTATCTGATCAAAGAAGCAATTAGAAGCGAGGATGGTAGGTAGAATGCATGCGTGCCCTGATCGCTCAGTGGTTGAACTTTTGATTTTGATTTTGAAGTCGACATGGAGAACGACGATGACCTGGAGGTCCCGTATTGACTTAATGAGGGATACGTGATTGGCTAGTGTTGTCACACATGAGTGACATACGTCACACCAATAGTTGTTCGCTGTTGGCCAACCTCACCGACTTTGACCGTCATGTCTTTCGCCCGCCCGCGTCTTGCATTGGGCCTTTCGCCCAGGATACTAGTGACACAGCGCTCGGCTGCGCTGCGCTCGTCGCTAGTAGCATACCGCAACATTCACAGTACCCGCTGCTCGCATGCAGAGCATCTGGAAAGCCGACTCGAAGGTCCAATAAGGTCGCCGCCTCTAGGTGCAGGAAGTTTAACCGCAAAGGACGAGCCCGGAAAGGATATTGACCCATACAAGGATGGACAGAGTGCCATCGACAAGGCCGTTCATCTCTTCTTCTTTACCGAGATCATCCGAGGTATGCGTTTCGAAATCGAATTATTTCAAGTTTCTGCACGACTAGTTCAGGAATGTGGATTGTTCTGGAGAATTTCTTCAGGCAGCCCTACACCATAATGTACCCATATGAGAAGGGTCCTCTATCTCCTCGTTTCCGTGGAGAACACGCTCTTCGACGATATCCCAGTGGTGAAGAGCGGTGCATTGGTTCGTGAACGCCTCCGACCGTGTCGTACGCGACTAAGAAGCATATATAATTAGCTTGCAAACTTTGCGAGGCTATTTGCCCTGCCCAAGCAATTACTATCGAGAGCGAAGCTCGCGCGGATGGTTCGAGAAAAACGACTAAATACGGTAAGGCCTGTATCGTGGTGATGTAGAACGTTGCACTACTGACACGGTCCTTCCTAAGATATCGACATGACGAAATGCATCTACTGCGGTTTTTGCCAAGAAGCTTGCCCCGTTGACGCGATCGTTGAAAGTACGTGTTTAAAGGGGGGAATCAATGACGCTAGAATTTTGATGACATTTATTCAGCACAAAATCAGGAGTTCTCTACGGAAACTCGCGAGGAGCTCCTGTACAACAAAGAGAAGTTGCTCGCAAATGGCGACCGGGCTGAGGCCGAAATTGCTGCTAACTTGCATTGTAAGTACCCATTACATTTTTGGGGTTACACGTGTTGAAGTGTTATGCAGCGGACCATGTTTACCGGTGAAGTAGTAGTTTAGATGAGTCATGGCAGGTCGTGTACTTATCTCCTGGTCCAATTCTACATTTCTTCACCTGATATAATCAAGATCGAACAGTAAGCCTTAAGACAGGCATCTTCTGAACACGTTGATCCGGCCGCCTCGTTGCAGCTACGATCCGAATGGCTTGTGCGCTCTGTGTGAATGACGGAAATGTCTTCCATTCCGTACAAGCTGCATCAGATACACAGAAGTGGCACTTCTCAGTCACAATCTTGTGTCTTTAAGCTTAGGTTATCGCTCCATGTGCCTCTAAATGCCACTGATTCTGAACCCTGATGTTCTGCCACGCGCACCGTCTTTTTTGTGAGATTACCATTTCTTAAGATTCTCGGGTTGATTGGTTTTGCGTCAGGTTGTATTGGCCAGATGAACCTCCACTACCGCGGTCGCCTGGTTTCAAACCAGACCACTGGATTGTCATTGGATGTAGGATCCCCACCTCTGAGCAGTCTCAGATGAATCGGACTGAATGCAAATGGGAGGGCATGAACAAGCGCGTGCTCAATCATTATGGAAAACTTTCTACTGCATCCAGCGACATTAGCGCTAAACCATGGCGTTCAATGGGGTAGCTCCGGACACATCTCTTGCAGGAAAATCACATGCCCTCGTAACAGACAATAGGCGAGCCACCTAATAATATGACCGTTACTCGGAAACTAATCCTCGGATTGCACCATAGAGCGCAGCAGGTGGCTCCCCTCGTTTCCCCTGACACCCCGGGTCATTGTACTTCCTACATCGAGTCAACCAATCTGACAGTCCGGCCACGCACTCGGTCCCGCCTCGCCGTAAGATCTGTAGACAAGCAGGGTGGCAGGATACCGCCTCCCTCAGACATCCGTTCCTCGTCTCTCATGTCCAATCGCACTCGGCAGTTGCTTTCCGAAGCGCAGAAGCTAGCCAAGTCTGAGTCACGGCGCACAGGTCGTAGGGTCACCATTATGGACGTCATCCTAGAATCTACGCCGCCGGTGGCAACTGCACAACCTTATCGCTGCGCCGCCAAGACCTACTCTCGTCAAGTGCAAAAAACTCACGTATCCAAGACCCCTCTTGGCAAAATGGAGCTGTACCAACTTGAACAGGCTGCTATAACTGTATTGACCGCTGCGTATGGCCGGAAGATTTCTGCAGAAAGGTCTACCAGTCTGTGGCCGCCGAACCTTGATGACCAGTGTTTTACTGACTCATGATACTCGCATTGCACCGCTAGTTTTCTCGATCAGTGATAGATACGTTTCTGTTTATATGAACCCGGGGCCCTTGTTATTCCCCTTTGTGTTTAGATGTTATTTTTGGGAAACCCCTTGCACTTGCTGTGTAGGACCAAAGGGAGAGATTTACGCTTTGATCCGCCGGTCTAAACATATAACACTGCGATTCCCCCCCGTACATAGGTTTCTCACGACAAACATAGTGTGCACTATCGTTCCTTCTTTTATGTGGCGACAATGGAGCACACGATGCGAGCACAATACGACGAACGGGGTATACGGAAGATTACGAGCGCTAGCGAATGTACAGAAATACTAAACAACATATACATACATGCAATAAACCATGAAAGCATCCCGTCAAGTACACGGGCTCAAGAAGATCTAAAAGGAAACGCACCGTGGCGCGACAAAAAAAATAATTAACACTTTGTCTAAGTATCCGAAGCCTCATCTTCTTCTTCCTCCTCGCGCTCGTGGGAACGTGCAGATTCCTGGTGCAGTCTCTTGGAGCCACGATCATCGGAAAGATGACCGCCTGCGAACCTCAGCGGTGCTTCTCCTCCCCCTGAACTACCCGCTGCGGGTGAATCATCGACGTCATCGTTTGCATCTATTTCCATGTCCTTACGAGAGCGCTTCCTCGATGATTCCACAGGGGGGCGGTGTTGTTCTGGAAGCATGTAATGCCCGCCAGGTCGGTCACGGCTGTATGAACGGCCTTCTTCGTAAATGACGTCTTGATCCTCACTTGGATTGCGCGGTGGATTTGCCTGACGGGGTGTATAGGGTCCCCTCTCTCGGTCATAATATTGAGTGTGACCTTCAGGCCGCGATAGTGGATCCCCGCCACCATTTCCGGAACCAGATCCGGAACCAGATGTGTCAGAGCGAGATGATCGACCGTGCATGCCGGGTCCAATGGGCTCGCGAGAGTATGGGTAGTCACCCCTGTCTACAGGAGGTCTGGGCCTTAGGTGGGAGGGAGGAGATGCATGCATCGCTCCCGAAGGCGCGTATTCTCGAGCGGATTCGCCCTCATGACGTGCCCATGTACGCTCTCTCTCGAGATCGCGCTCGCGCTCATATTCTGGGTCTGGGTGACTAATGGTCGCTGAAGGCCCAATACGTTGATGATTGTGGAGACGCGAAGCTCGAGCATTAGGGGATGGCATCGTGGAAGAATGTGAAGAATGCTGTCGTGAATGAGTGTAAGGATCGCCATGGTAGTTGCCACGCTCGAGCGTCTCATGTCTTCTAGATCGCTCCCTGTCACTCGGGTGTGGCGGGCTGTGATGCCCGTGTTGTACAGGAATAAGAGAATCCTGGGAGTACTGTTGAGGGTGGGGAATGCCCCCTGAGTGGTATCCTGGGGGAGGTGCCTGAGGAGTTATCTGATGGCCACGCGATCTGGAAGGTGAGGATTGCGAACGCGAAGAACCATTACTGTGGTGTAGGCGAGGGCTATGAGCCTGTGAATGTCCATGAGCCCTTGGTGGCTCAAGATGCTGTATGGGAGTCAACTGAGAGAGGGGTGGAAGGTGCCGAGAAGAGTCATGACCTGAGGCGGAACCGCCCCTCGACATGTGGACGGCAGGAATTCCGTGAGAAGGCGCAACTCCCGGACCTATGGGCCCGTCGGGAGCTTGGATAGGTCGACCATCTGGAGCATTAATCACGCGGAAAGAGCTATGATTGTGCATGTACTCGATAGCATTGTGATCGTTCAAATCTGCCGGTTGAAAGTCACGATGGTCACGGTGCTGGTGGTGCGCCGCTGCACCCATATCACGCGGGTGTTGGGGAGGAACACCAGGACCAGAATGGGTAGGAGGAAGTGCATGACTGTGAATGTCTGGAGAAGGTGGCACAGCAGAAAGTCGTTCATACAAAACACTATCTCATAAATATAATCAGATACAAGTTGGATGTACAGCAGGTAAAGTTACTCACGCTCGTTCCAGTTTCATACGTTGAATTGATTTTTTTGCCATGAGGACCTTGTACTGGAGCTTGTCATTGTCCTAAAAAGCAGGTACTTAGTTAAGACTTTGGAAATGGTTGAGTAGGGTGGTAGTTGCCAACCGTTTCGATTTCTTTTACTTTTCGCCTTAATTCCTTGTATTTTGTCTGATACTTTTCATCTTCGACGCCAGCTGCTATACCTGTAGCATAAGCTTTTGATTTCTGACGTGGAGCAGCATTAGCAGAGACGGATTGTGCAGGCATCTGTGGATGAGAGAGAGCAACAGGGCTTGGGGAGTGGATGTGGGACATTATGGCAGTGCTCTGAGGTGGCAGCGTTGGAGAGTATTACTCATCGAAAAACTTTTGGTTGGCGGCGTACGCGTAGAGTCTTCCGTATCACAAAGTCTACCTTACTGGTCACAGAATTCGAACGAACCGGCTCGAGCAATCGATGCAGCATGTCTTTCATTTTAGTAATATTTTTTTTTCGATTGATCTCGACTCCGAGCATTATCGGTACTGATGTAAATTGTACGTTACTTCAAGTTCTAGGTGCTCACTGCTCATCACCAAATTTTTCTCGCCCGAGCCGTTCCAGCTAGCCAAGGCTTTCCAAGAGATTCCAAGCTCATCAAACTCTGTAACACACGATTGAGTTTCGGAGCAAGGTAATCGGAATGTGCGAGGCACCAGGACGGGCGCTGCATACTCAAAAGTCCGTTATGTACCCAACCTGGGGCCTTAGATTCAGTCTTACCGATCCTGCTACGATCCATTGGTCACACATGAAACGAGATGATTCGATGAATGATTCTTGATAACACCCTCATGCACATGGCGGGAGCACTGGTTAGCGCACACATTCAGGGCAGGTTTATTCTTGTCACGTGCTCACAACATCCTCCTCAATCCGAAAGCCGCCTTCCACCATTATCCTCCACGACGCGCCCAACAATCAGTGAGTCAGTCTTTAAATTAACAAGACAGTGCTAATTACATTAATATAGTGTCCATACAGTACCGACAGTGCGTGTAATTCATTGTACAGGATGCCGATGAGCTCAAGCCCATGATTGCAGAGACATGCCCCCACCCGGGGGCTTCGAGGCAGTCAAGTATAAACGAAACCTTCCTTTCCGCGGCCCAAGTGGTCTAGTCATTCTTGGAGCTGTGACAGCCGTGTGTGCATACGGCTTCTATCGTGTTGGGATGGGAAACCTAGAGAGAAGGTATGTTTATCTTCCCGGGATAATGGCGCATGGCGTCAGCTGGCTGTAAAACGTGTCTTTTCATGGTGCGCTCGCCATGAAACGTGCCCTTGTGAGGATCCGGCCGCTGTTCTTATCAGCACTTGCGCCCAATCCTTTTTTCGGCCCGTACAAGGACCGTACCAGAAAAAGCCAAGTAAACTGATTTGGGGTTTGTTCCCGACAGGGAACTGCAAAGAGAGCAAGTGTGGTCCCGAATTCACCTGGTCCCTTTGCTTGTGGCGGAAGGGGATCGAGATGCGTATCGTCGGCAGCAAGCTGCATTGGAGCGGGAGCGAGAGATTATGAAAGATGTCAAAGGATGGGAGGTAAGTCAATGACAAAATGTGACTGTGTATAATTCTGACTCCCGGTATCTCATGTCCAATCACTTCAACTCAGCCTGGTAAAAGTGTTTATAACAATGCACGATATCGCTCCGCAGAATCGATTGTGGTTCTATGATTGGACCACTTTTAGCTTTCTTTGTAGTCAGTCACAATCAATTATTAGATCTTTTCGCCGCAAAAGCGCGCAGCTGGGGAAGGTTCCATTGTACTCTAGAGAGAGAGGGGCGCCACACAGCATTCTTTGAAGTGGTCCGCCAATAGTACCGGTGGCGGATTGTTACAATAGGGCCCATAAGTTCGGTTACAAATTACCAACTACAGATTATTAAGTTTAGGGCAGGTCGCGCTTTACTTTACGCTAACCCATTGCCAAGTCACAGTAACAACTGACTCTTACTAACTTCAATTTGCAACCTTTACGCGCTTTTCGTCGCTGGCTGACGCCGCAAGACAGCTGGCATAGCTTAACATTCGACCGCATTGGATAAGAACAGGTACTAACTTACGATTTCGCAGGGATTGGCGTTCCTTCCCAATTCAGTCCCTAAGTTATGTTCATATCGAGCAACGTATCACACAGCTCGTAGGGATTTTCCTCCGAAGGTGAGTACAACTATTATTGGTTCACTGCCCTTTGCGCTATCCTCATTAGGCACCGACCCCGAAGCACACCCCCTTTTACAGCAGTGCGGGCTAATTGAGCTCCCAAGAATCACAATCTGATTCCAGCCGAGTCAGGTTTTCATAAAATTCACCATTATGGCATCTGTCCTTAGGTTTCGAATGCCGCTAAGGATAGCCCCTCTTAAGCAGGCCCGATGGCGTTCGTACATATCCTTGAATCCCGCTGACACCCCTTCCGATACGCTTTGCCCCCTTGCGGCTCCGCCCACTATTAAAGCAAACGTCTTCCGTTACCTTTTCCTTCCACGTATCCGTTCTACCTCTATAATGCCTATGGCTAACTATCCCCATCGTGATTCTCATTCAAATTCCCTTCCCCGCATATCTCTCTCTGATACCGGCATGAAAGACTCGATGAACTACTTGGACAGTTCATCATACGATATGTTGTCACCAGACGGTGATCAGTTGATTTTCGGCCCTTTGGAGTTCGACGAAGGCCCTTTACTGAGTCCCTCAATGGGTCCTTCGTGGGACTCCCCAAACGACTTTGGCTATCATCACTCTCTATCCCCTCCCACATCCGACCACACCCCTTCTCCACATCACGCTTCAGACTTCGATATACCAGACGCATCACCCAATAATTCATTTTATGATTCTGCATTTGGGCGGTTTGATGATATGCGTTCCGTGCTTGATCTAGATGGTGCCCACTTCTCGCATTGGTTGAACGAACCCGTACTCGACTCTCCCACTTGTCCCATACCCATCCGTGGTGCTGGGCCAGATCCACAACAGCCACCACTCTTTTCTTACCCTAATCACACATTTACGCCCAACGCGTCCTTCTCGCCGTCGGAATTTGCGGCACCTCATCAGCTACCGAGATCGTTATCGCCGGCCGACGCTTCTGATGGTTATCTCAGTTCTCCAGGTCTCCGCGTGCAATCGATATCGCCTGCGGAGACATCACTGAGGCCGCCACCATGGGCAACTCAATTGTGGGATTCGCAACAATACGAGGCTTCCACGTCGTCGGGGCGTGTCCATCAACCCCTATCTGACCACCCTTATGGAGTCAAACGCCAACGCTTTCAACCCAGACGAGACATATTGGGCATGGGTTTCCAGTCTTCTAGCGCTCCAATACAAACGGGCATGCTTTCGATGACTAGGAACTATAGTTCCCGTCGTGGCGAGTCTGTCAGCGTGAGCGATGATCGCGACGCAACCGTGCGACGCAAGAAGCGGCTATCAACTGAGGAACTTTCCAGGGAAGAGAAAGGAACCGAGTCACGTATGCACTATAGTTTATTATCGCCATCATCTTGCTAACCCTCGACTAATCCCGCTATAGCTCCTCTCAAGTCCATACTCAAGCAGCCAAAATTAGCACCTAGTGCTTGGCAGTTGTACTTCACAGACTGGATACAGCGGCACCAAGCAACGAGCACCAGAAAACTCAATGTTGCACAGGCTGCCAAAGAAGCTGGTCAGGAGTATGCCAACTTGACTACCGAAGAGAAGGAGGTTTATTCCATTCTTTCTGTCAGGTCTGCATAAGCTGACAAGTCACTCCCAGCCTTACAAACGACGGTCTGCAGTTCTGAAGGAGGCCCGAGAGCGTGAAAACGCAGCTTACATGAGGAGTCTCACTCCTGATGATATCAAGAAGGAGAATGCCTTCCGCACTGCCCAGCGAAAGGCGGGTCGTTCCCGGAAGAGCAACATTAAAGACCCAAACGCACCAAAGAAGCCGCTCAGCGCATACTTCATGTTCCTGCAGCGCATCCGATCCGACCCTGCTTTGGTTAGGGAGATCTTTGGTGACGAGCAAGAGACAACTAAGCAAAGCGTGTTAGCCGCTGCCAAATGGCGATCGATGACTGATGATGAGCGCAAGGTACGGAAAACCTCATGTCACAATCGCGTAATTAGCTCATCACAGTTTTCTAGCCTTTCCTTGCACAAGCTGAGCAGGAGAAGCTCGAGTACGAGGCCGCACGGAGGCTGTATGAGGAAGGCACCACTGATTTTGGCACGAGTATCAATTTCAGCATCTTGCCGGGCAGCCCCACTGAGAGCCCATTCCGTGCCTTGCGAGCAATCAAGACAGAGTCATTCAGTTCAGAGAGCGAGAGCGAGGGTGTCGCAGCTGACGACCTCAGTCGATACACCCGTCTGTGATACTATTTCATTCCATTTTTCATTTCTTTAGGTGACTGCTATATGTTCTTTGGTCATACCCCACAATCGAGGGCTGTTATGTTCTTCTGTTCACGACACGGACTCCTTTACGACCTTGATCTCCCACTTGTGTATTGGTAGATTCCCCTAGTATATCATGTGCTTTCTATAGCAAGCTTCATTACTACAGGAGTACACGAACAATGTAATCAGTTACTCCGATAATGATAATCGAGCGACCATCTTCTGATGGGGTTCACCGTCTTCTTCAAAGAGATTGCCCTGATAAGTTTTGATTGACAGATAGGATGAGCAACGTCACAGGGTCTTGGAGTAATAACCCTTACCTCTTCCTCATAACCAAGCCTGATAAATGAAATGGCGGTGAGTCAAGTTTCCAAGGAGGTTTAATGACGACGACATACTTGCGATAAAATGCCACAGCACCGGCCGAGTCTGCACGGGCTGCTTGGGAATGACAAACTATTTTGACGAAGTCAATCACCCCTGAGTTTCTGGCGTTATCCTTGGCCCAATTATGCAATGCGAGCACAAGATTGCGTCCGAATTTATAATGCCGGTATTCCTTCAGAACGACGAGCCGTGCAAGTTTGTAATATGCGCCGCTTGTGTGCTCCACTTTGTGGGCGCGGATTGTCCCTATAGGCTTGTTGGACGGTGTCAGTCTTAACAACCAATGCGTCGCTTCCGGATCATGTCTATGTTTCACCAAAAGGATTCAAGTTTAAGCAGGTGGCGATTACCCTGGAAGGGGATAACGTACTCGTCTACTTCAACTTCCAAGGGAAAGCGTTGTTCTGTGACGAAAACGTCAATCCTAACTTGGATGCACTGCTGAAGGAGGGCATGGCGGCCATGGTGCTCAGGAGGGGGAACAATGATAATCTCATGGGTAGGCGGGACCCGGAGCGCAGCGTCATCTTCCATAGTGAGAAATGAAAGGTACAAAAATGATATCGAAGAGTGATCTGAGCTGTTTCGCGAAGGCTGTCAGATATAGGCTTGGAACCAGCCCTCTTCGCGTTGAAAATGGATGATGGATAAACGAGAATAACGTTTATAGACGCCTGCGTGTCACATGGAGTTTCATCGATGGATCAAATTCAGCCCTCGGCTCGGCGATGCGGATGCAAGTGTGCTATCATGGCAAATCTGCCCATTGTGTAGCCGGCAAGATACTGAAAATGCTCGAAATGAACATCACGGTGCTTGTAGCATCTCAGCGAATCAAAGTGAAGCTCAGCTGCCAGCGCTCGATTATCCGAGGAAAGCTTTTCGGGCCGACGGTGTCGCCACAATCCCAAATCCTACGCGAGTGTATGGTAAAAGAAACCCAGACCTGTGAAAATAGGAAAGAACGAAATGCAGGTGAGCACGCTGTTCTTCTCCTAAGCACTAAGATAGGCTTGAAGTACTTTTTTGAAGTCAGATACGACTAGTATGCTTCAAGTATGCGTTCGCACGAGGTAGCAAAAATAAACCAAACAAGGCCAAATACACCTGGTCATTTGGGATCCCTAATTTACATACTGAAAGAAAGCCACCAACCTATACCTAGTACTGTTACTGGCGTCGTTGGTTTTGTTACGCGTAAGTTATCCAAGTTTAACTCAAAGTCACGCGAATATAGAGCCTTAGTTTTACTTACACCAGGTTTGAGTCTGGAAACTGCTTCGACGGCACTCCAGACCCAGGTGCGGGTGCCCATGATCGAGCCTTTAGCAGCAGCTGTAGTAAACAGTTTTTTGCTGCGTACACCTGCTGGCCGTGCCTCTGCATTTAGGCCTTCTTTAGAACACATGGGTCGGCCCATACGCCGTCCCTTATTACGCGACTTTTTTACACCAACCACGAGACAATGGAAAGGCAAAGAGAAAGCCGTGGAGCAGGATGTAGAATATGCTCAGTGTGCCGAGTGTGCCGAATGGCTCTTGGGAGGAACACATGATTCATGCTGCGTCATGAGACATTCTGTCTGGTGTCCAAGTACGTGTTCTTCCTTTAACAGTATATTTTTAAGGTTAACAGCAGAGCGCACCACAGGACGAAATCGTATGTTCACGACCAATGACGGGGTGCCCCGTCGACCTCAAACATCCAATCATTCTGCAAGTCTTCCAAATGTCCGACGCTATTCGTCATCTCTTCCGTCGTGTTCAAATTCACCACAACCCAATCATCTCTCTACGGCCTTGTCCTCACCGGCCCCTGAATCACTGGACGTCATAACTTCTCCTTTGAACCATTTCCAGTCCCTCCTGCAAGAAAACTACCCATTTAACCTGGATGATGCATGGAATGCTTACCAGATGCTCATTGACTCTGACGATAACCAACATCTGGAACCGTTAGATGTCTTAAACTTTACCCAAAAGCTATCTGCTGCTACAGAGGCAGGTAGCGAGGACAATGGTGGTGTTTCGTATTTTCGCGAGTGGGGCACACGACTTGCCGCGCTGAATCAGCGGATGGAGTCCATGTTCGAGAAGCATTCAAGCGAAGATATTACGAGGTTGAAACTCGTTGCGAGAGCCTCGGCATATTTAGGAGATCTGGACCATGCAATCATTGCCGCCCACGAACTTTCGGATCTACTTGTTGACGGACGGAGAGAGGACTTGTTGGATATTTATGAAACCCTTATCCGGTCAATGGCGCTTCATCGAGACAGCGAGCACGTTCTGGATTTTGTTCTTGCAGAATGGGCCAATATCGGCGCCCATCTTTTGCCACTCTCTACTCGCTTGCAGCTTTGGAAAACCGCCATAAAAGTATCATCGTTCCAAGATACGATTTACTCGGCTTTGGCCCACATACCGGATGCTGCATCTCTATTGGCAAAGCGACGACACTGGGATATGGAGACGCGGCAGCGTATGTCGGTCCTGCTGCTGGACGTTTTTTGCTGGGAAGCCCTGGCAGAGGATGCGTATACATTGTTGAAAGAAATGCGCGCGCAGGAGCTATCCATACGAATTGACCTGCAATTACATGTGGTCCGCTCGCTTGTTCGCGCCGACTCTTTCATTCGCGCCAATGAGCTGTACAGAACCATATCGGACTCGACAAACGCCCGGCATAAATTTTTCATCTCTACTGGGATGTTCCTCGCTTCACATCAGGGCGACATTGACCGCGCCGATGAGTATTATACCCAACTCTGCACAGCGCAGTGGGTTACGCCGCAGGATAAAGCCACCCTCATGCATGCGTATGCAGTTGCCGGACAAGTGGGCAAAGTTGTCGAACTATTTCACGAGTTCTTCCCTGACCCGGAGAATTTACGGCTCACAGCAAAGCCTTCAATTGTGCACTACACCATCGTGGTGTACGCACATGCAGAGCGCGCGGATTACGACGGGCTCAATTTTTGGCTCCAGGCCATGTCGAAAGCTGGACTAGTTCCGGATATCTATGTCTACAGTATCATCCTCAAAAGCTTTGCTACGCGTGGAGAAGTAGAGTCCGTCTCCGCCGTTTTGGACCAGATGCGCGCTGCCAAGATCATGCCCACTCGTGTCTTGTACACAACTGTCATTGCTCTTCTCGCACATAGGAGGGACCCTGTATCAGCGGAAGCCGTGTACAAACGTGCGTTACGTGAAGGGATAGCTCCTGACCGCAAGATGGTCACTTCTCTCATGAATGCACACGTGGAAGCTGGTTCTTGGCCGGGAGTAGTGCGCGTTTTCGACTACCTAAAATCCTCTCGAAACCCTCGCCTTCGGCTTTCGGTAGAAGTCTACAACACTCTCTTAAAGGCTTACGTCCTTATCGGTGCCCCTTTTCATGTCGTCTCTGGCATATTTCGCAAGCTCGAGGCTATGGGCGTGCAGCCAAATGGACGGATGTATACTCTTATCATCCAGTCGGCCTGCGATGCAGGATACATGAACATCGCCAACAAGATTTACGCCGAAATGCAGGCAGCCTCAAAAGACTGGCAGACAACCTACCGTGTTGACGCCTACGTGTCAACGATCGTCATGGCTGGTCATTTGCGGCTGGGTGACAAGCGTAGTGCCAAGGCTGCTTATGACGACATGTGCGAACGAGGCATTCAACCTACATCTGCCACATTCCATCATATCCTCCGCGCTTATGGTAACGAGAAGACTAAAGAAAGCTTCCAAATTGCAGAAGGCTTCTTGAAGACCATCATGGTTGGTGAGTCTTCGGCGTCGTGGATCCCTCCACAGACTCGCGCAGCTGCGCTTGAGCACGTCTACGGTCCACTCATGCTCGCGTATACGAAAAACGATGAACCGGAGGAGGTGGAGCGGTTGTTCCAATCCATGTTGGATGCAGGTGGAGAACCTTCGTTGGGCAGCTTGACAGTGCTCCTCGACGCCTACCGTCGCTCTGGTGACATCGAAGCCACCCATGGTCTTTGGCCACAAATATGGCAACTCGCATTACGTTTTTCGAAGGTGGATTCTCTCTTCGAAGGAGAAGCTGACAACCCCTCCGACCCCACGAAACGTCAGGGCAATCTTCTCTGTGTCCCCCTATCCATATATATTGATGCACTTTCTGCGGCTGGGGAACACTTCGTGATTGCCGAGATGTGGGGGAAAGCGAGATCTCATGGCTTTAGCTTCGATTCACATAATTGGAACCATTTAGCGGTTGCTTTGGTCCGCGCGGGCGAGCCGGAGCGGGCCTTCGAGATAGTGGAGCGGGTATTGCTACCTTATCAGCGCCAGAGCGAGGCTGTACTCCGTAACAGAGACAAGTCTCCTGATTCGCCTCTCACTTTCGATAACAATCCCGCAGACGTTAGCAAACCAGCTTCTCAGTCGCCGATGCACCGGAGCGAGCGCCGCGCTTATCAGTCGAAAGTAGCTACCAGGAGATCCGGCGACGAGCTAGAAATGGACCCAGCCTCGGATGATTTTGCTCATCCATTACACATACTACACCAGATATCCCCTTCCTGGAATGTTTGGCGCCCTCATCGTGCTGTACTTGACCTGTTGTCAGGAGTACTGCGCCATCTGGGATCTGGGACGCCTGTCCAACCGGTGGGAGACCGCAGCTCAGCGCCACAGGCACTAGACCCTGACTCTGACGACGTTTTCACCCGTGGAAAACTCGCGCGAGAAATGCTTGACCGCATTTATCTCAATTATCCTGACACAGCCGAATGTATTCGCATTCACGAGCGTTGGACCGCACGAAAATCTTCGTTGGGGAGACTGGACGATGGGTGGTAGATGATGAGTTCAGGATATATGGCACCGAGTACAGTGGGGAGTACATTGCAGGTAGAGGAGGAGGCATTAGTGATGTGATGGTGATTACATTCTCTGATCATCAAAGGCAAAGGCAGCAGTATGTATGTTACGTGACTTCCCATCAACTATCTTCCGACTCATCAGAGGGGTCAGAATCACCATCTCGTCGTCGTCGCCCATGTTTACTAGTTCCGTGGCGATTTCGCTACAATGATGGCGAGTTCGTCAGCCTCCGGCCCAGACGGAGCATGGAAGGATCTTACCAACGGTAGCTTCTGGCCTTGATTACCAAAAGCAATTGACAGCGCGGTCGTATCTGTCGCGCAATAGGAGGTTATAATCTTTTCTGTATTAGGTAAGACCGGCAATTTAAAACATACCGGGCACCCCTGGGAAGCGCTTGGCTGAGAAAACGACGAAAGGTTCGGTGAATGTTTGTGCAAGGACGGGAGAAACATGAGTATGAACTCGGATTGCGCCCGCTTCCGGTGCTGGTAGTCTGTGAATGGTATGTCAACTGTTGATGTTATCTCAGGCATGACACCACGCTCTTACTCGCCAACGTTCATTAGACGTAAACGCAGCCGGAAGGTTCCTAAGATACCCTAGGGCGTCAGATAGAAGAACTCCTTTGGCGGTAATGAAGACATGCCTTCCGTTCGAACAGATAGATCTTGGAAAAGGAAGAATATCCCTGACTGCCGATGCTCATCGAGCAACCGGCATGCATTGGACGAAAGCGGGCCCACCAAAGTGCGTGTGTATGAATGTCGGGGTAACGGTTGATGCGTGGCTGAAGGAGAAGACGACGAGCTCTGGGCATAGCTGCCCTGGTAATATGGTGGTTGTGATGGTGCGCCATAAACTTGGTGATCATAGCTATTGCCTGCACCTTGAAAAGGCTCCTGGACGAATCGTGGCGACGGTTCATTTGCAACTTGTTGAGGCCAACTATTAGCGTCAGATTGCTGAGTTGTATGTTCAGAATGTCTCATCGATGGGTCCACTTCATGAGCACCGTACACGCCCGTCTGTGAATTGACAATTACTGGATAAGCTGGTTCCGTAGCTGGCCAGTTGCGATAATTGGCCGCCGGATCGGAATCCGTACGATATGAGGATTGAGCTTGCCAAGGCTCACCCGGCGCAGCCGCGGGTATACCGTTGCGTATGCCGTTGCGGTTGTACGACGACAATGATGGATGAGGGTGATTGAAATTATGCGAGCGATCGAGGGGTGTGCCTGATGGAGCATATCCCCATGCGCTGTTGGATTCGGATGGTGAGCTGTAGGAATCTTGGTCATCATATGTTATGTTATCTGGAATCTGCGCTTGCTGGGGATACGGGTAGGTTTGATTAGCGTATCCTGACGGCGGAGCGGGAACCATCGGGTTCATAGTGGACTGTATTGACGCTCAAAGTCAGTGGAAAAAAATATTTATGAGATATGAGGTGACATGCCACTGGTAGGCGTGGATGTTGGTGAACGGAATTCGGCGTGGAATGAGACGACGTGGGGCTCTGTTGTTCATCGTGGGGAGATGAGGGAGGATTGGTACTCCGAGGCTTTCTAGATTTTTGAGCGTTCGCTGCGACGTACCGGTCCGCAGATGACGAGGGATGTAACACGAGATTCATCTCCCGTTTCCCGTCAGCCGACCAAAGGTCGACTGTCACAAGAAAAAAAGAACAGTCAATGTCCCTGAAATGTAGGTAATGAGAGGCGCATAAGGCAAAAGAAAGATTTCGGCTTACTCTACATCTACGATAGAGTTGTCTTCTCTTCGGACAACCATTTTGGCGACGGCTGCAGGTGCGAGAGGCCTGCGATCCTGATAATAAATGTTATAACGTGGTTAGACAAAGGCGCGAGGGCTCGCGCACTTTATCACCAAAACCGCACATACGGGCGCGCATAGGGTGTTGTACTACTTCAAGGGAATAATGCCTGGTGATTGTTGAATGTTAGGAAGAGTAGGAGACGACATGAGGGTAATTGACTGACTTTCGGCCCCACCATTGTCCCCATTGCTCGATGCCTGCATCAGAATCTTGACGAGGTTGATGATCGATGTTGGAGCGGTGATTTGTCTTTTGAATCATGAAAGATTGCAAGAGGTGGGGGGAAGTGGGTGGTGCGGTATAGGGGAAGGGGGAAGGGTACTAGTTGGTATCGGTTTGTTCTGCGGACAATTTAGACTCGGTCGGTTCGTGATAGAAGAGTTGGGAATCAGATAAGATAAGTTCTCACGTCGGAAAGGTTGCGGGTGATGTTGGAGAAAGGAGCCTGCGAGGTTGGGTAACAAGGTGGGGGGGGGGGGTCATTTTTGTGGGTGCACGTATGATAATAATAGGAATTGAAAGCGCACCTGCTTGTTCTCAACTGAGTTGTAGGGCGTCTTATGGCTGTCAAGAAACTTTGTACTTTGAGGATAGAGATATATGGCTGGGTGACGGCTTGGAGGTACGAGGATAACGTTGCTGCCTTGATTAGTTTAGCTTGCACAGGACGCAGATCATCCACAATTTAACTTAGCAGCAATTGCTCATAAGTACTTCATCCAATGCTATGCAAAGCCGTAATATTTACAATCCAAAAGTTCAATTCGACCTTCCAGCGTGCTCCGGCAACGGACTCAAACTCAAACCTACCCTAACAGTATAACATTCGCTACTGTATCAGATAACCTTGTCTCTCATCACCCTGGGAATGCCGGAATTCCGTGGGTAACGAATTAATGACCATTAATCAAAAAAAAAACATTATAGCAAGTATAATGATTAACCGCGTCATGATCTGTGAAATCCCGTAGACGCACGAACCTTGCTTCAACCTTGCAACACGCTGGCTTCTCTCGAATCATCATCGTGCGCGTGAAGGCCAGGGCAAGGTTTGACGGAAATGATCAACCTAAACTTGGAAATCATTCTCACGCTCCCCTACAAGCAACATCGACATCGACATTGACCTCCAACCTCGACATGGATCAGGTCGCAGCTAAAAGGATTCTTCAAGAGCTCATCAAGCGTGAGGACCTCAAGAACAAGACATGTGTAGACTGTGGCAATCCAAATCCACAATGGGCATCAGGTGAATACACGTGTCAATTTCCCTTGCGTTCCGTCAGTCATTCCCTCAAAGTTAGTTTCGCGATATTTCTGTGCCTACAATGCGCAGGCGTACACAGAGGCTTCGGAGTGCACATCAGGTGAATTTACGAACCTCTGTCCACATTCTTCAACCACTAAATCTCACGCGACAATAGCTTCGTGAGATCTGTCTCAATGGATACTTGGCAGGCGGATCAGATCAAGCGCATGCAGGTGGGTAATTGCTTGCTGAGTTTATAGTCCAAGCTCACTTGTCCCAAGCTTGCCGGGAATGCTCCTTTCAGACAATTCATCGAATCATACTCACCAGCAGATCAAGGCGGATATAAGCAAGGTACCAGTCCCTACGATACCTACCATTGTTGGGCAGCTTCGCAATATCGCGAGAAGGTATCCCGAGTCCCGACCATCGTATCTTCAATCTCTGATCCAACTACCTCCAGTTAGACGCGGCACTAGCCGACAAACCTTGGTCTCCATCCCCACCACCACCGACATCCACCTCTGGCAGTGCCACCAACTCTCCAGCGCGTCCATCTTCTGCCCAAGGTTTACGCAAGTCGCGTGCCTTGGCACGTAACCTCGCATCTCCGGTGTCCTCCGCAAATTCCTCGTCTCCGGATCTAACCACCACGGATCAAAAATCTGCCAACGAGTCTTTTTTCGCATCCCTCGGTCAAGCAAATTCCACTCGCCCTGCAGATTTACCCCCATCCCAAGGCGGCCGTTATCAAGGCTTTGGAAACACGCCTTCACCTTCAACCTCTCAACACCCGTCGTTCGGCCTTTCATCCAACTCGGCTCCCACGCTTCAAGACTTCCAGGATAATCCGGGTGCCGCCCTAAGCAAAGGCTGGTCCCTCGTTTCTGCAGTCGTTGCCGGTGCATCACGCGTTGTAAATGAAAATGTGATTCAGCCTGGAATGGAGCGTGCTTTGGATCCAAACCTGCATGCCACCGTTCGCGGATACATGTCAGAGGCACAACGCCGCGCACAGGATGCAGGTCGTTCGGCAAATGAATGGTCTAAAACTCAGTTGGGTGTGGATGTGGCTGATCAGGTCGGAGGCGTCGTGGGGACGGTGAAAGACAAGTTGGGTTCAGGACCACAGGGTTCTGGGTACGGAGCTCTGTCGATGCATAATGAGGGGGAGACGTCGGCTTTGTATCATGATGACACGGAGGACTTTTTTGGCGAGTATTCCGACGGCCGCACAGACATAGGTCAGTCGTCCGTTCAGCCTACTTCAGGTATGTCGAAGACGCCTGGATCTGCTTCGAAATCCAAGGACGACGATTGGGATGAGTGGAAAGAGTTTTGATAGGCGTCGTGGGGTTTGAGCGCGCAGTAATATAGATTTAGACTTGGAAGGATACCCTGTGTAGTGATTGTAACGCTCGTATATGTAGTGGTGGACGCTGGTCAACCGTCGCCAAGTACTGCAGTTCATGATTACATGAAAGTGTGGGTCTCAGTTAACGTGATTCATGAATGGTGCCCTAGTTCCGGCCGCGCTGAACATTCATGAAACGACTAACGAACATTATTATCCTCCTCTGAACCCTTGCTATTATCTCTGTCTCGGCATCTAATTATTCATTCATCATGCAGTCTGTCCTCCAGCGTGCAACACGGTCAACGCTCGTGTCTGCACGACATTGCCGGAGGTATCATGCTTCGGTACTCCCTTCGCTCGTCGCACCTGCCTCGCCCGAGTTTCGGGAGAAAGCAGATGCCATGGACTTACTGGTCGCAGATCTGGAGGCCAAGTTGGAGCACGCGAGACAGGGTGGAGGCCCGAAGGCTGCAGAGCGCATGCGAAGCAGGGGAAAGAAACTACCGAGGGAACGGTCAGTGGGCTCACTTCACAATATTAATTACATTTCCTGGACTCTGAGGCTCTCGGCAATTGTCGCTGAACTACTCCATTAGTTTGTCGTTGCTACTGGACCCACACACCCCGTTCTTGGAGTTGTCACCACTAGCAGCTCATGAAGTTTACCCGGAACATATCCCTGGTGCTGGGATGATCACAGGTATCGGTAGAATATCAGGGCGGGAGTGCATGGTCGTCGTGAATGACGCGACAGTGAAGGGAGGGTCTTACTATCCTTTGACTGTGAGCGAAAACTGGCACAAATGCATGTAGATTCAAATGTTCATAATTCTTCAGGTCAAGAAGCATTTACGAGCGCAGGAGATCGCACGGGAGCACGGACTTCCATGTGTCTACGTTGGTAAGTCGCTGATTGTTCTGCTACATTGGTTTCCAAACGCAATATTGTCGATTCAGTTGAATCAGGGGGTGCGGCACTACCCCACCAGGCCAATGTAAGTCTCTATGAAACAGGGACCGACAGAGTTGTGACCAGCGCTTCAGGTGTTCCCCGATAAAGAGCACTTTGGTCGTATATTCTACAATATGGTAATATTAATCCGAGCATATGCGTGCCGTGCGCCATGTGATTGATGTTCACCCCCTTCTTAGGCTCAAATGTCTGCTCTTGGCGTTCCGCAGATTGCACTAGTGCATGGTATATCTGTCGCAGGTGCGTACCTACAAACTAAGTAACGTGTGTGTCTCACTACTAATCCAGGTGGAGCATATGTTCCCGCAATGGCTGACGAGAATATTATTGTGGCGGAACAGGGGCGTATCTTCCTAGCAGGACCACCACTGGTTAAGGCTGCTACAGGCGAGGAAGTGGATGAGGAGACTCTCGGTGGTGGACTGATGCACTCGAGCGAAAGTGGCGTAACCGATCACCTCGCGCGAGACGACGAGCATGCTATTGCAATAGCAAGGGGTATGGTCGGCGACCTCGGCGTTGCGGGGTGGAAAGCAACTGGTGTACGTCATGCCGCAGGACTAGCATTCTCTTTCATTGACACAGCAGATTAGCCTTCAGCGGCACCAGAGGACCCTGTGTACCCCGCTTCTGAGCTGCACGGAATTGTTGGCACTGATTCGCGTCAGGCTTTCGATATGCGAGATGTCATTGCTCGGATAGTAGATGGAAGCCGTTTTCGAGAATTCAAGAAGGAATACGGTCCGACTATGATAACGGTATTACCTTTCCTTGCCCTCAGTCAGCCCTTCCCTTACAAAGCGGTCCAGGGCTTTGCTCATGTACATGGGTACGAAGTCGGTATCATCGCGAACAATGGAATTCTATTCTCGCCATCGGCTCTAAAAGCCACACACTTTATCCAACTATGTTCACAACGTCAAATTCCACTTTTGTTCTTGGTGAACGTCACTGGCGAGTGGTGCCATAGTTCCGGTTGCTAGATCATCTGACCTGTCCCATCTAGGTTACATGGTAGGTTCGAAGGCTGAGAGAGGGGGAATCGCAAAGGATGGTGCCAAGATGGTTCGAGCAGTTGCATGCGCTGATGTTCCGAAGTTAACCGTCATCGTCGGAGGGAGTTTTGGAGCTGGCAATTATGGTAATACATTCTCCATCGAGGACATTCTCTTAGATTAACGAATGACCTTGTTTAGGAATGGCCGGGCGCGCCGTAAGTAACCTTCATTCAGCGATGCTCATAGGTGGGTTCACGTTGTAATCTAGTACTCCCCGCGGTTCCTATGGATGTGGCCCGTAAGTCCGGACTTATTTGAAAACCGATGCCTTGTGATAACAAACCACTACAGAATGCGAAGGTCTCGGTCATGGGCTCTGGTCAGCTATCGCAAGTTATGGCTACGGTCTCCAAGTCAGTTCCTTGAAACACAAATATTCCCTTCTACGGACTAAGCACTGCTTGTAGAGACCCAAGCCAGCACTCGTCACTGAAAGCGGACATTGAAGCACAGTCAACAGCGCTCTACTCCACTGCTCGTTTATGGGACGATGGTATTATCAAACCTACGGACACGCGAGATGTGGTTGGTCTGGGGCTCGCGCTGGCAGCAAGAGAGCGTCCTACGTCACGCGGAAGGGGGTCAGTTGGATCAACTACATGGGACGGCGATGGCAAAGGATTTGGAGTGTTCAGGATGTGAAGATTATTTTTGTCAAATGGTTGGATTCCGACCTCCCTGCGGCCTGCTGCAATGCATTCGGATATTTGACCGACTACTTGCCCGAAGCCGCAATATTACACCTGCCATATTCGTTTATTTATTTCCAAGGCTTTTGCCAAACAACGCTCTGCAGCTTGATCACGCAAGTTCGTCCATGTAATGATTTGGATATTACTCCACAATATACCAATGCGTCAATCATAGACAAAACTTTCTTGGTTCCATCATGTCAAGCGAAATGCCTTTGAACCAGCTTTCCGTGGAGACCCGTGCAAAATTACGTTCTGCACAACTCCTTACTTCCCTACCACAAGTAGTTTCAGAGCTGTTGCAGAACTCCCTAGATGCTGGAGCATCTCAGGTGGATATCGGCGTCAATTGCGAAGAATGGAGCTGTTGGGTGCGAGATAACGGTGCTGGGATCAACAAAAGCGGTTTGACTATGATTGGCAAGGGATCGGAGGAAGGAAGATACAGTGAGTCGTATTTTATGATATTCAGACACGTTAATCAGCGGTGACTGCAGATACATCCAAAGCATATACACCAGCATCCCTAGATTCTGTTTCGACATTTGGCTTTCGCGGAGAAGGTCTTGTGTTATTCCACATGTTGTCCTACTGGTCACTGAGACTTTCCATAGCTCTATCGTCAATGGCTGAATTATGTTGTTTGGAAATTTCGTCACGAACATCTCGGTCTCGGGAAAGCTGGTCTGTCATTCTCAAGGTTCGTGAGTGTACCTGTTATGTGAATGCGGCTCAACTGGTGTTGCAGGGTGGGAAGTCTTTGTACACAGGCCCATCGATTCGGTGGCGAAGAGAAACCGCAGGAACCGTCGTATGCGTCAGGGATGCATTCTTTAGTGTGAGCCAAGCATCTACTGTCCTGCATAGAGTTTCCTCTTATGCGCACGCATAGCTTCCTATCCGTCGTCAATCTCATCCCTCTGCAGCTAAGACTATAGATACGATCAAGCAGGAGCTTGAGGCGTATGCTCTCATGTTTCCCGACGTGTCATTCACCCTTCAAGATGACAGCAAATCTAAAGATAATGCTTCGAGCAAAGGGCACGTTCTCCGTGTTCCTAAGGTACGTAAATATCTTGGAACGCGTGGCATGCTGGTTCACGCTCAGCGTGACAGACTCGTTCAATCTTGGCTGCATTCCGACACATGTATGGTCGTGCACTGACGGAGGTGAGAAAATAGATTCGATCCCAGCGTCATTCACTCATGACCGACTGGTATAGCATGTAGAAGAGATTGATGCCACATATGGAGATCTGAAAGTGGAGGGATTTATATCCCTCGTCGGAGCACGTTCAAAGGTGAGAACGGCGTTTTGCACCGCAATTTTTGATGTTCCTCACGATACAATAGGTCCATCAATATCTGTGTGAGTATGAAGCGAGCATGTTTGCAGCGTTTGCTGAGTCGTTTCTCAGATATAAACAAGCATCCGATATCATTCTGCGATCTTCATCGCCTAATTGACGGTAAATTTTCGAATAGCACGTTCGTAAAGCATGTAAGTCGCATATCTGTGGAATCTTATTTTTTTCTCATGTACTGTAGGCATATGATGAAGGAGGGGAAACGAGTTTGCGATCATGTAAGTTGGTCTGCTTGAATTGAGAATGTTGTTCCAAATTCAGTTGTAGCCGTGCGCCGTTCGCCCCGCAAAGGCGAGAAGAAACCTATCTATGTTCTAAATTTGGTCATACCAACGCGACTCATCGATAACTGCCTTGAACCTGCAAAATCCGCAGTTCAGATTGAGGTATGCCAATTCCTGTCCACGAGAGGCTCCGGGCCGGAAGATCTGAATCTGGGGAGTACAGCAAAAGAACGTTGTGACAAGTTTCGTATCTTCTGTGATAGATTCATTCTTGGTTCAACATGGTTTCGCATCCGGCAAACGCGGTGCTGAAGAAGGCTGTGATTCCCCGCCCAAGAAGCGAAAAGTCTCCATGTTTCCGGGTAGTGTGGCCCAAAACAATGGTCACCAGCGGTCAGCAGCACCGATGGTGTTCATTCACCCAGTGAGGAGTTTGGAGCATACCATTAAGCTTTGATACTCAGCTGATCGTGATCGAAAGGGGGACTTTTCCGAGGAAATTCCACAAACGAAGATTTGGGAAACGGGTGAAATCGATGCTCGTACTGGAAATTCATATCCTCAAAATTCGCACCACAAGATCGACGGTACGAAGACGGCTAGCGTTAACCGTTCTTCGCGAATTTCTCGTCTTCTCAAGAAAGGCGATGATCCTAGCCAGGGTGATGCATGTTCCGGTCATGTTCGCGATAACATGCCCGATTGGTTACAAGAAGCTCTCAGTGTAGGTTCCGGATGTTTGAGATACACACAATTTGACCTTTCGGTATCTAAGGCGAACAATGCATATGCTACCACGGAACCAAAGATTCCATCGTTGCCGCCCTTTGCCAATCAAGCTTCCGACGATCATGGATATCCTCTTATGCACTCTTCCTCTTGCGCCCACACTTTTGGGTCCCCATATATCCAGTTAGGAACATCAAGCTCCGACCACGCACGGACCAGATTTCACAAAGCAGACCTGTTGAAGGCACAGGTCATCAACCAGGTTGACCGCAAGTTCATCGCCTGTTTAGTTGACGTAGATCATTCTACTCATCGGGGAAATGGGAAACCCCTAGAGAATCGTGCTGCGGGTGGCTCAACTCTGATCCTAATTGATCAACACGCTGCCGACGAGCGCGTCCGAGTCGAACGCTTTTTAAGGGAGATTTGCTCTGGTTTCCTTCGGCATTGCGAGGGAACGGGGGGTGTCGAAGTTTCAGAACTGTCTCCTGCTGTGCCTATATTACTCACACGTCATGAAGCTTTGCGCTTGGCGAGTGTCGACCAAGTACAGTCAGCATTTGACCGGTGGGGTGTGCGCTTTGAGGGATTGGACAAGTTGACCTCGTTGGATTCGGAGTGTGCGGAAGATGAAGCAAGTGGTGGGTATGTACAGGTCTTCGTCAGATCAATACCTGCAATTGTGGGCGACAAGGTACGTGTAGACACTTGCTTGGTGTTGCGGGCTCACCACCCTGTTGTATAGTTACTTGTGAACGATGAGTTGCGAGACCTTGTTAAAGGCTACCTGGGAACCCTCGAAAGCAAGGAAGCGTCCCCTCCTAACCTATCGCAGCAACATGACCCCGATAACCTCAATGACGACGAGTCGCGGTGGCTCAAGGCTCTTCGCTGGTGTCCACAGGAGCTTCTGGATTTGATCAACTCAAAAGCGTGTCGTGGTACTAGCGTCAAGTTGTTTCTGATGCACTCTTACTCATTGCCTAATTAATCAGGCGCTGTTATGTTCAACGATCCACTTTCACTAGAACAATGCCAACGCCTTGTGAGGCATCTTGCTGCGACTGCATTTCCTTTTCAATGCGCACACGGAAGGCTAGTATCTTTCAAGTTGTTTGTCTTTGAGTGACGTTTATTCATTTCTGCACTTCCCCTAGGCCTTCCCTCGTTCCTTTGACCCATGTAAGTATCAAGAGCGGCAGGCGAACAGCACCAGCATTGGATTGGGCAAGGCTGAACTGACTCACGGCGGGCTAAAGTACCATCATTGTGTTCGCCTCGGGGACCTTCATTGAGGGCCGTACCAATCTATTTTGGACACCTTTGTTACATACGTTGTTTCCAGTTGTTTCCAGTTGTTCAAAGGGCGTTGGCACGTGATACCTTGGTGATCGCGTAACATCGGGATGTCAAGTGACGTCAAGGTGGCGTGTGGGGTATAAAGACTCTCCCGCCGTCTCCACTTGACCACCATCTCATCTAGCATCCATCCAACTACTACATCGTTATCGTTGCATATTACTGAACAACTCAAATCGCTCTAATACCCGCGTACCATACCCGATCTTTATCCATCATGACAAAGTCCCTCACCAAGGTTGTGTACAAGCCCGACACTCAGTCAACAGACGAGTATATTGTCTTTGTAAATCCAGCGGAGGTAAGCTGATCCTGACTTGGACTTCAACTCGCGGACAACCGATCTCACATTGCTGCAGTACAAGAAATGGAAAGCAGGAGGTAAGCATCTTGGCTTTTATCAGATGATCCGTGACCTGATTCACATCTTGCAGACAAGTAAAGTGATGAATATCTCCCGGTAATCCACTACTAACGATTCCTACGTATGTATAGGACGATCCCTCTAGCGGAAGTAGTTGATTGTGAGCACTGATTCAATCGTATGATCGCGATTTAACTTTCATCCTTTATAGCTTTCAAAATGTTCTACTCCAATCAAGGTGCACAGGGCATTCTGGGTGCCCCGTCAAAACAACAGCTGGATACTATCTTTGGCACGACGAAAGATGTTGACTGCATGACACAGATCCTGGAGAAGGGGAAAGATCAGGCTGGGAATGGCATCTCTGCTGGTGGAATGACAGCCACGAATGCTGCACGTGGGAGCTTCGACAATAAGGGCAAGGGACCTATCATATGATCATCATGGTCATGATTGTGGAAATGTTTGTAACAAAGTCATAATGTATCACTAGAACAATCACTCGCGCCCTCTCTGATCCCCTCAGTCTGATATTACGCGTCTTGTGCCTGAACGTAGAAAACGGTCGAGTCCTCTACTCCCTCAAGGTAAGGAGCTGTTGTTATCCTGGCAGGTTCTGTCTTCATAAACGCAACATGATGCTGAGAGTTATTGCTATGTGATGGGGATCGTTTCACACTTTCTAGATTACGCGCACTCACCTCTGGACTTTCCCATCCTACCAACAGCACTACTTCACTTGCATCAACGACGTATCCCCACGCCGTTCCGTAGCATCCCTTGAAGTCATGGCACACTTCCAGCGATTCGTCAACTACCTTGTTGAATGCGTTCAGGTCCGTTTCAGGCTTAATGGTGCTGATGACGACTTCTGTGAACGGCGCGGCAAAGCATTTGGTAGGCGGAAAGGGATTGAAAGCGACGAGCCTGCGCGTCGGTGGGGATTCGGTAATCGCGTCAAGCTTCTCTTTGACCTGTGCCATTGTTGCGGCTGTCGACTCTGACCCCTGAGGACGGCTGTCCCAATCTGTGCACATGATTAGCTCAATACACCGTTACTGGAGTCGGAATGCCTCACTGATGAACCACTGCCTAACCCCAGGCTGCTGGACGCGGTCACCCCAGTACATCTTTTGAATGCCTTCAAAAGTAGGCTGGCGCAAGAGCTCAAGAACTTCCTGGAAGTTGGAAGTCGTCTTCGTCGCGTGGTTGCTGATGAGCGTGACGATCTCGGTAACAGGAGACATGATGTTGTAGCAGAATTCGATGGAACACCTCGAGTGTTCTGGCCTTTATTATATGTAGCTCGTCGAAAATATTCCCATGTGCTATGCTGAGGAGGCCCCTCATTGTAAGGCATACTTGCAAATGACAAATCCCGATCATGGACCTTAGAAGTTCGGAAGTGCCGGGTCTTTAAGTCATTTCGCGACGTGCTCGCGAATTGTAAGCAAATCGTAAGTGAGACTGACTGAACATATGGGAGCGCTTTGGGAAATTCGTTGATCAGTGACTAGGTCGGGACCTTGTTTTTGCTGATCAACGCATTTACGAGAGCGCCCACCGAGTCAGAGTGAGTCGCATGGGAGAGTTAAGGTAATTCGCACGAGAATAAACAATGACAGAACGTAAGTTACCGACCGCTGAGGGAGTTACGGTGGATCGCGCTGGTCTGCGAACTCATATATGTGTCAAGGAAGCCTGCAAGCAAATCACAAAGGGGTCAGCATATCGCGGTCATGTCGTAAGCAATGCTTACAGTGACAATGCAAAACAAGTGAATTTGCAGATGCATGTTAGAATGAGTTTGTATATATATAAAGGGAAGATATGCAATATATACATTACTGATGCACCAGGGAGCGCCGCGATCCCCGTTAGCATCTTCGTGTTCTGGTCATTGAGAAGCTGTCTCTGCCCATTCTTTGCTCCCCATTTGCACCAACCGCGAGCAAGCCCGCGCGAACGCAAATATCTCCTCATCGCCTGTGAACATCGAGCTTGAGCCCACAGCCTCGGGTGATAGGCCCTTCACAGAAAATGAGATGACATGAAAGGGAAATTGAAGAAAGAAACGCACCAGATCATCCATCACACTCCGCATGTGATCTGAGATGCCCTTCCCTGAGCCCGCCGACTCATCCGAAAAGATCTGGTATATAGGTACTTCTGACGATACAAAAATCTTCGTCTGCACCAGTCATTAGATCATCGATCATAGCGTGACAAACAAGAACTTGCCTTGGATTCGTAGCATGCGTCTATGAATGTGATAAATCGCCTTGCCTGGAGATTGATGATGAGCTGTGAAAGAATATCCGAATGGGAGAAATATACCATATCCTTCTTGTCCATCCCCATTTTCGGCACGTCTGTAATAAACAGAGTACTAAACTGCTTCGTCACTTCCAAATAATCAGCGGCACTCAACGGACGGCCGCAAATCTCCTCGAATGAGAATCGCGCAATCTTTGATGTTGAAAGCGGAACGTGAAGGGTGCGGCCCCAAGTCGTTATAGGACGATTCTCAACAACAGGATCTTGAAGTGCAGCAGTAGGAGTTGGGCATGTTAGTGAATTAAAGATCTTGTCGACCTCGGCTTTATTCTCTGGTGTTAATGGATGATAGTAAACGTGTGAGAGGACGCGTGGTATCCGTCTGTAGTCTGTGCATGATGATTATGAAATCGCACGCTGTAAGAGTATTGACTAGATACGCACCAGTTCCTGAATCTAAGTCTGTCACTTCAAAGCACGACTTGAGAAGTTCTATGGCGGGTATAAAGCTTGAGCGTTGAATTCCATTCTTGTAAAGATCGTCTGGGTGTCGACTGCCTGACATTCAGTATTAAAATACCGCCATGCAAAAATGGTCGCGCACTTGGATGTGATTACGCAGACTACACCATGATTCATCAAGCCTTCCAATAAACGCCTCAGAATCATTGCGTCTGCGATATCCGTAACCTGGAACTCGTCAAAGCATAGCACATACGCCTCTCTTGCCAAGTCCCGTGCAACAGGAGCGATCGGGTCACCCCCAGAGTGTCCCATGGCAAGTTTAGTAGCGTGTATGCGTTTATGTGCATCAATCATGAAAGCGTGGAAGTGCACGCGACGCTTGCGTGTGATGGAAGGGGGCAGTGTTTGGTAAAAGAGGTCCATAAGCATTGTCTTGCCTGTGCCAACGTCACCATAAAGGTAAAGACCTTTTGGTGCCGATGTGGGTGGGGTTTCTGGTGCTGAAGGAGCACGAGAAAACAGACGAGACATCTAGGAGCGAGTGGGTCAGCGATCATCAGACAGAATGAAAAACAATCACCAATGAATTACTCGTCTTCACTTCGGGTATATGCGGAGGGTCGTACTTGAGCACCTGCTCCCAGAAACGTTGAAGTTTGCCAATGATGCGAATCTGATGATCGTCACTTCGAAGTACCCCAGACTGCACGAGTTTTTCATGTTGCTTGATCGGGGAGATAGGCTCCGGGAGCGTTTGCGAGGTCTCGAACTGATTGATTGAAGCGAATTCGGCAGGATTGCTGCCTGCAATACCAATGCTGTCTACGGCAAGTGAAGAATTGAATGCTTTCCCATGTCCATGACCATGACCGGAAGATGGCGAAGAGCTGGAAGGTGAGGCAACTGGTATTGAAGTAGTCAACACCCGCCTACTTTGTGCCGGCGTCCGCAAAGGAAGTGTATGCAATAGGAGTCGATTCCGCTGGTGAAGCGCGCTAAATCGCGCTGCATTCATATTAACGATGCTCCGTCCACCAAAAAAAAAGATACAAAATAGAGGGGAGGTAGTAGTGTGCAATGCAAGGGAGCGGTCAAAAATCAGAATGGTTCCCTGGACAGGACACCGCACGATAACGGCCGACGGGGTGCGGAACAACAGAACGGGGAGCTTGTGGGGAGCCACCACATCCCAATTCTCTCGGCATTACTCGGCACTTGAATAACCGGTTCCACACTCAGCGTTCAATAACTTAGCGCTCATCTGCCATAGCACAGCATATAGCACCTAGGCCGCCTATGCATGGGTATACTACTAGGACACCAGCTAAGTTAGTGCGGAGAAAGGATATCATTTCAAATTTCAATAAGTTTATTGGTTGCCACTAGTACTGAGGATCGCTGGCGTTGAGCTCTCGACCCAATGTCGTCCTCGAGAATACCACCAACTGCAAAAAATTGTGGGCACGCGAGCCTCTAACTGGTTCCGGTGCCTTTCAGTACATGCATAATAAGCGTTCCGTACAAAGCCTCAGCTCTCGATTCCGACTTCGAGCAGAGTACGCGTACATCTGATCATAATCCTGCGACCGAGGACAGCGCCCCGACATACGACGCAGGGTCCACAATCGTACAAGACTTGATAGTTCGAATCATGAGCGTCAAAGTGCAAATAGGGGAAGAAGTTCAGGAGCGTGACTTGCAGAGTAGGATATGGTATAAAAATACATGGTCAACAAGGACCGATGTCAATTAGGTTTACAGCAGTCCAAGGGATCGCGTTACATACCTGGGGCTTCACTTGACTCTGGGCAAAAACTGGGCAATGCATCGCGGTGAACGGGCCGAATTTTGGTTGTCCATGCGTCAGGGGTGAATAGCAAACATCCCAGGGAGTGATCAAGTTGATATCCCATGTTCTCCTCTTGCTTGGGCGGCGCGCCTGTACCAACAATATTGGTCTTCTTTGCCCCAAGATTGAACACGTTTCATTTGAGAGCTCGCGACATTTCTTTTGTGAAACGCTCGAGCATACGTTCCTTCAGGCAGCCCGCAAGGTTATTTTCATTAAAACGCCTCTCAACGACACTTTTTCAATACAGTCTTCTAGTGCTAATATAGGCAGGACGCATGTCAATAGTCCTCGGATGAAAGATGTGTGCACCTGTTGAAACCTGCTTGTATCCTGATAATGTCGGCGAGATCCGATAGTGGAAGGCAGAGAAGTCCTTTTTGACATTTTGCCATATACGTAATGAAGATGATGGATCCAAAACTCGCCATGTTGGTGAATTTTGTTGCGTGAGTGCGAACACCCACACATGATAGCATCGGAACAGCTCTCGTTTGTAGAACACACATCACACAAGCTGGTCTACAGCTGGGTGGGTTGGGGCGCTCGAACACGGGAATGGCATGGGCGGCAAGATATGGCTGATCTGAGAAGGAAGCAGTAAACAGAGTTCATGCTAGCAACTTGCGTAGTAGTACGTACGGCTGACTCATGTGATCATGAGGAAAGGGTTGATAGGTATACTCATCGTCATTGGACGACAGCCAACCTCTTGGTAAGGTATAAAAACCCTGCATCAGAACCTCCAGTACGGATGAACTGACAATTGACTGCAGCAGCTATCTCGAACGAGCTAGGCATCTTCAAAATCGTTATCAACTTCACGCCAATAGCACAAAAGGAGAAGTCAGCGGCAGTCCGTCGAGCACGTCCAAATAGTAACTCATGGCTTCCACCTCGACGCGGTCAGGGTCAGCATCAAACAAATCGATTCTGACACCGTCCATAACCTTGAAGGGTCATAAACCACTAACTCCCTGTTTTCAGAAGAAAAAGTTAGTGGGACATTTCAACAACCATGTTTCATCCATTTGCTACTTTGCGGGCGGCAAGCAATTGATCAGTGGATCAAATGATGAGACAGCTCGGCGATGGGACCTTGGAGATTGAGGAGGCGCGGAATGTTTGTGAGCGAGAAGTTTTTGCAGTGGAGGTATCAAGGGATGGTCGATGGGTGGTCACTGCGGTAGGTGATGCTTTCGGCTCCAACCAGGAGCTCAGGAGTCAGAATCAGCGAGGTTGAGAAGGGGAAAATGTCTCAAGATAGGAGTCGCAGGATTACCTGTATCGACATCTCCGTGGACAGTACAATGCTGGCGTGCGGCTCATCGGATGGTACTGTGTGGATAACGAGCTTGGAAACAGGAGAACACATGGCCAAGATTGTGTCCAAAAGCTCTCCACATGCATATAATACTCGTTCCGCGGGCGCAATTCGATTCTCGCAAGACTCGAGGAAGCTCGCAATCAAGTCGAGAATACCAAAGTGCCTCGAGGTGTGGGATTTCGATACCCAGAGATGTCTTAGAGTGGGTCCAGGGGGAAATATTACCGGGATATTATCAAATACTCCCATGTTCTGGTTGTAGCCGCCTTTAGCTTCACGGTTGACCATCGAACATCGTCTGATCGGGAGTTCAAGACAATTTATGAGTTTGACGCATTGACGCTGAAGACGGTTGGAGCGCCCTTCAAAGGGCACACCAACCTTGTCATAGGTCTAGCACTTTCATTCGATTGTGCTCTCCTCGCCAGCGCTGCCACTGACGACACTGTCAAGCTCTGGGCCTTCGAATCTCGTCAACTCCTCGCCTCATTTGATGTCTTACGTCCCCGCTGCATTATCCTCTCGCCTGACTCACGCCAATTGATTTACACGACCGGGGCCGAAATCCATGTATGCGACACTCCACCCGATATTCTCGGTACTATCTTGCCTGTACAACGAAAAAAGTCCAATGTATGCATTTTTATGCACGCAGATCTATTCGTTGTGCGCTCACATTCTCTTGCAGACAAGTGCAGTTAAAAATCCTCCCCTCGCTGATTCACTCGATCTACCTGATTTCTACTCATCTACACCACCATTGGAGTCCGATGCAACACCTCGTGCTGTGCATCTTAACCCAGTGATCGAGTCTGTCAGACCTTCCGCCCCTCAGCCTTTAATACCATCTCCTACAACACAGCATCGCACTTTCCTCCGCTATCTTCGCAAACTCCTTCCTTCTCGCACGAATGCAGTTCCTCCTGTTTGGACCGACCAGTTTGGTAATCATCTGGATGTATGTTTCTTCTTTCTGTTACATTAGCAATCGACTTGACAATCCCATTGCAGTCTCCCCCGGCGCAGGTCACCGGAGAGCATGGAAGCAGCCGGCTGTGCGGCTACTTCTAGACGGTTTTCCGGTATCTTTGTTTTGAGTATCGTCGCGACTCGCTCCCGGTATGCGTTGTTTCACTATTTGCTACATGTATTCTTTATTCCAACCTTTTGTATTATTTCTAATCCCTTGTACTGGTTTTCCGTTAGTCTGTCCATTTGAAAGGGTCGTCATTGTTGGAAGAAGTCGTTGCAGTCACCCCATCTACTACTGGCATTTGTAGGCTCTCGACCCACGTTGTCCTCGACAATACCACCATCTGCAAAAGTTTTTGAGCACACGAGTTCACTGATTCCGGTGCCTTTCTACCTGCGTAACATGCGTTTCTACATAAAGCTGTGCAGGAGCAAAGTACATGTATGGCACCTGATCATACTCCTTCAACCAAGGGCAGCATCCCGACATACAGCACAGGGTCCATGGTTATGCTCCGGTTAGGTCCCAAGACTAGCTGCGCCAAGGGGTTTGAATAACGCAATCGCATTGACAACCACAGCATTGCCTGCCAAAGAGTTGTACGTCATGGAATCTTAGCGGACAGCGGGCCAGGCAATGCGGCGGTTTGGTTCACACACGCTATATTATTGCCGCTGCCAGTTCGAGATCGACTCTTCAGCTGATCTCTTCGACCATCAGCCGCGCCTTCTCAGATGCTCTTGTACCATGTCCTCCCGGGGCCAGTCCAAAAAACACGGTACAAGTACAGTCCACACCTAACTCACTCTGTGTTTTTGATCTGACTCAATGAAATGAATAGAGCTGTGGAAGCGCCCGTGGACCTCACCGGTCATATTCTCCGGTTGGATGACCATCCTGTGGCTGGAGGGTCTTTCGGAAATGTCTACAGAGGCATCTACCGGACCACGTCAGGTCAAATTCAGGTAAGAGCGCCTCAATTCTGCGTGTTTACCCATGGAAATGTAGTGATTTTTTCTCAGGTTGCTGTGAAGGCTTTGCGTTTTCTGCCCAGCGCAGATGACATCAGGGTCAGTGGGATCTATTATTCACACTGAAGGCTGAACCCTCGTCCACGTTGCAGAGAATCCGTCGAGAGATTAAAATATGGATGAAGCTAAAACATCAGAATATCGTACCATTCATTGGCGTGACGGCGGGATTTGGACCCCCTGAGGCCATCTCTCTCGTTTCGCCCTGGATACCCAATGGAACACTGACAAATTTCTTAGAAACCTATGGTGGAAGGTTACCGCTGATATCGAAATTATGGCTGGTGAGACCTAATACTCATCCGCCATGCTAGGTGTGGGCTGAACCATCTAATCATAACAGCTCCACGATATCGCAGCTGGTTTAAATTATTGTGAGTCATTATCCTCTGCGTTCACTTATATCATCTTAGACTATTTTTGAAGTGCACGCATTCCCTCTGATACACGGAGATCTCACTGGCGTAAGAGGATCATTTTGTGCACCCATCGACATCTAATCAGATGGTCCGTAGAGTAACGTCTTGATCAACACCGAAGGCGTGGCGTGTCTTGTGGACTTTGGGCTCACCACAGTCATAGGAGGGCTTGAAGGTGGATCTTCAATTGCCTCGTCGTCCCACCGCCCCGGCGCAATACGGTGGACCGCTCCCGAGCTTCTTGGAGATCCAGAGATTTGCTATTCACCCACACCAAAAAGTGATATCTATTCTTTTGGCAGTGTGATGCTACAGGCAAGTCGCCTTTTGTCACTGAGTTGTCATTGAGCTGACCATATTCCCTAGGTCCTCTCTAACAGATTTCCATGGTATACAGATAGAGGCACCACGGCTGAGTTTCGCATCATAGCCAAGCTGATTGTAGGGGAAACTCCACCTCGGCCGGATGATCCACCCATCTTAGAGAAACACTGGATCCTTATCTCGGAATGTTGGCGCCCGATCTCGTGCATAGAAAGTCGTCCGACAGCTGCACAATTGATTGACACTATCGGTCATGAGATCACGAATTGCTCAGGTGAATCAACGACATCCCAACTGCTCCGATCCGAGCAGTTGCCCCGAATTGCGTATAAAGACTCCCGTGCCCCTTCCACACAGTTACCCACGCACAGGCAGCCGCCGAAGTCATCACGCACAACTGAAGATGATTCTGTGGATTCAATTTTCGCGTTTTCTCCCCCAGTTTGCGAAGATGAGACAGTCATGCTTCACCCTCCCGGAGTGTCACAGTTGTCTCAACGAAAGCCCAAACTTTGTCACGGAAATCCTCCCATAAACACACTTTTCGTGGGCAATCTCCCCAGGAGCACAGGGGATTACGATGACTATCTAGAAACTCGATTAAGAGCCTTATTTGCTCCACGTCCGGGATATAGAAGTTTATTATTCACCCGCAAGAGCGACGGGCGGATGATGTGTTTTGTCGACGTAAGATATCTTCTTCCACTCATAGCGTTTTTATTTATGGCGATATCAGTTTCAGGATGTACACCATGCCACTATGTCTCTCCATGACCTCACTGGCTCCACTCTCGGTGGGCTCATCAAAAACGGTGGTATCCGTCTGTCGTATAGTAAAACATCCATGGGTGCCCGCAGGCCATATACTGCGGGTACGGGCGCACGTGCAACTCCTCCAAGCTTCGGAGCCTAATCATAATACTTATTAGTAAATAGCATGTATGATTATGTATCTCACCATGATGGTACAATATAAACCACATACCTGATCTTCAAGTAGTCAGCTGTACCGAATTGTGTGTATCAAAAATGACTCGCCGTTCGAAATTTGCTGCCTCTCCACTTGTAAGTCCACTGAGGACAAGTAATATTGAACTGTTTGCTCAAGCGGCCCTGTAGTAGAGTCACCGAGACGACTCTGAATCATTAGCTGTGGTACGGGGTGTGATAAACGCGAGTCATATAGCATGCATGTATCTGCATCATGAAGATATCCACTGCTTACTTTACCATTCGTCCGGTGTTCTTCCGGCGATTATCTGCACGTCCGACCCCGGTCAGTTCGAAAATTTAGAGAATTGTCCAGGCGTCTTAACTACGCTGAAAACGAGAGAAGACCACCTTAATTCTCTCTCATTTGAAGGGCAAGACCTAGTACATAGGGGCCTCTGATTCAGAACCAGAAAGTCACGTGGTCTAGATCTGATCGGGGGCAAGTGCAAAGTGATCGGCTACATCCAACTTGCTTGCATGCAATCCATCCCTCTAAAACCTGCCTCAGCTTCACTGGCATCACCAAATAATGCGGACGCATTCCCAGGAATATTGAACACCAAAATAACGTTGCAAATGGACCGTCAGAGATCAGTCAAGTTCGTGATGTGAATTTGTTCAACACTCTAATTAGTATATTGAACGAGAACATTCAGAGGCAAGAAACGAGCAAGAGCTTCGTCCCCGAGCTCTTCTTCACTTTCTTCCATACATTCGGAATCTCCTGTCATCGCGCCTCCATTGAAAAAACGTGCGTACGTGACTTTCTTCGATTTGTTACCTAACTTCACCGAGAACACTAGCTAAGAGAGCAGAGACAAGGCCCTGCCCGGCATGTACAGAATTGATCCCTGTGCGTCTGCTTGCTGCTCATGCGGCTCTTGAATTGCAAAGGGTCGAAGACATCATTCGGCATATTGGTGAAGCAGAGGTCTTGGCAGAAGCTGATGACTTAGAAGAAGGGTGCGTCTGACTATGTCTGCTACTACATTGCACGAATAATTAACGTCACACATGTCAGCCCGAGCAACCGCGCCCGACGCTCTGCACTGAAGGCTCGTAAATTCTTTACGACCTCTATCCCTTCCTCGTCCACGTCTCCTTCCGCCATAGACAAGACTATTCAAATTATTACGCGTCGACGAAAAGCACGACATGTGCGCCTCAAAGAGCTTGCTAAAGAGCATGAAGCAGAGTCCTGGATCTTAGAAGTTGAGGGAGGGACGTCATGTCCTGTGTGTGCACAGGTAGTCAGAGGCGACCGGGATGTCATTGAGGCACATGTGGATGCATGTCTAGTCCATGAAAGTACTAGGTTGGAACGAGAGCGGCTACATGATGAGGAAGAGGACCTCGATATAGGTGGTGGCGGAGGTAGCGTTAGGACAAGAGTAATTAATAGTGCAAGTCTACGAGGTCAGTATGGAAGCCACGAGGCAACACAAATTACCGCTGACTCATGGACAGGCACCGGTATAGTTGATCACAGGAATCTAATGCCGGCTCAACATCGTCGTCTAACTTGTGCCGTATTTGTCTTTCACAGTATATCGAGCCAACAGTGTCCACAGGATGTTGGCACACATGTTGTCGTGAATGTTGGCTTCGTTGTCTGGGAGCAACCAAGCTCTGTCCCATGTGCCAACGAATCACTAGCGCCGCTGAGCTGAGAAGGGTGTATATGTGATGTTGCGTGTTCAATCTTGCTTTCCAGCAAACTACTGGGCGCTTGTACAGGTTTGTACAAGTTTGTACAAACTCACAGAGTCTGCAGCTAAGTCCCCTTTGCAGGTTTGTACAAGCTTGTACAAGCCTTGGGAATGGGACGAATTCTTGCAGAGCGACGGAGCGCCAGTCCATCAGGGAACTCATGAGTACTTGGTATGGTAGCCGTGGGAATTATAGGAGGAAACAATTCTGCTCCTGCTAAAGATGGCTATGTATACTGCGAGAAATTTGAGTTATCGGCACATGGCCATGGATGCGTAACAATATAAATTACCACGAGGAGTTCACGACAAGGTTGTGACATTGCACCATCGCGGCCGGCAGTGTATAATAGTATAGTAACCTCACGCTTGTCGAATAATATCACATTCCCTCATGTATGTGTTGAACTGCAAGAGTATTTAAGACTTTATCGTGGGAAGCGCGATTAGCGCTTGTAATCTAATCTAGATTTATATGAGGATTCTTGACAAGGTCGCGACTCTGCGCCATCACGACCGGCCACGTATGATAGTGTCATTAGCTCCCACTCGTTTAGAAACCTCTTATTCCCACATCTATTTTGGGTTTACAAGACTATATGACGGGGTTCAGATATTGCTTCAATTGCAATGGTATCCAATATCATACACTTATTGTTTCTAGTCCTGAAATGAGGCGCAGACCCTGCCAATCGGCAATTTGTCTAGGCTACTCAAGTAAAGGCGAGCTCATCTGACAAGTCTCTATTCTCGCTTCGCTCAGCTACGGTACATCTCAGTTCGATTGAGGCTTATGTAGTCCTCACTCTATAACCACTTCAAGGCCTCGCAATGTAAATAACAATACCTCCAGGTTGGAACATCACACCGGTAAGATTGCCAGAGGCGGTGGGGATCTCGAAGACAGAAAATACGTGTTGTACCTGTTGCGTCGTGTTTGTGACCCAGCCCGATATCCTGGTACGGCGCATAGACCTGCGCGTATCAGATAGGCAGACATGATCGAATAATTCATCAATTTAAGAGAGGGAGTGTATTGGAGACCCGTCCGGAGATGTGATTATGTAGGTTAAAGTCTATGATACGTATGAGCGCACAGTCCAAGAAGGATGTCACAAGAATGCAGTGATAATGCTGGGGACGAGCGGGAGTGTCCATATGCGACCAAGTGGTGTCCAGGGAGTGTTCAAGGCACATCGGCGCTGTTCGTGGAGTAAAGAATATAGATCACGCAACAGAAATATCGTTCCCTCTACGACTGTGACAGAATCTTGTTGATCGACTCGTTCGAAAAGTCTTTGCGGGATGTAAGATCGGCTTTGGGAAACTTGGCCATGATCGCCTCACGAGCGGTCCTATGAGGAATCAGTACTGAATGGAAAAAAAACAATGCTATGCAACATACTTTTTCGTGACTGTCATTAAATCTTGCGTGCTGCGATAGTTCCGTAGGGAATTGAAGAGATCCTATCCTCGTCGGTAGTAGGATGGGGGTTGAAACTCGGACCAACGCATGCACTCACGGACCGCCATCGAGAACATCGACAAGGGCTGTGCATCTCCTCATCGTGGGTAGCATGCCAAATCTACCTGTCTGAGAGCCTCCCGTCATCATGGGCATGTTCATCATCATGGTACGTGAATCCTGAGGCATCCCACCGTATGCACTGCCAGAGTGCTGGTACCCAGGGGCAGAGCCATAGCCACATGTCCATAGTCTGAGCCATGCACTGAACCTGCTCCACTGCTGAACGACATAAATGACATCTGCAGAACGCTGTGTGAGGGGCCAGCGCACGGATATTGCGATTCGAGTTGTTCTGGGTCATGTTAATCGCCGGTGAGTGATGGGTTGAAGCTCAGGGGAGACCCTTGACGAGAAGGAGAGAAGCGACTGGAAGGAGGCTTGGTTAAACCTATTTCATCAGAGCGATGAGATCTATCCTCCTAAGCTTCTTCTGCCTCGTAATCTGGGGCAAATTCAACTGTGTGAGCTGGCGAGTGGCAAATCAACATCGAATCAACTGACTGCCGAACTAATTCAACGGAGTCATAGACTCATCGAACCGCTCATCCTCGGTCATGACAACATTCTTGTTACCGCCGCCACCACTGACAATACGCGTGTTCCCCAGGAGAAATTGTCCATGCACCAGAAAGAGTAAATGGGTAGGAAGAAACTGCACACCGGGTATCTGTGACGGAAGTAAGTGGTAAGCATCACAACGGCTGCACATGAACTACTCACGAGAGGAGGTGGACCATCTACCAAGGTCAAGTCCCAATACACCTAGATTCACATAGACAACCGTAGCTGGCAGGATTTACAAGAAAATATTGGTCAAGGAATATGGATGCGAAGACGCAACACTCACAATAACGCCGAAAATGAAGAAACTCATCGAGAAACAGCAAAAGCCGCAAAGTTCAGGCAAAATCGCGAGCTCGCACACGTTGAGGATCGTCGAATTGCTCCACCGTCTCCGCTGTGAAAACAGAACATGCCAAGATTCAAGAGCCATGGTATGAGCGATCGCATCCAGAATGAACTTGGTCTTGAACGTGGGGAAGTGCTTCAGGAGGAGCGTCGTGAGGAAATGATCTTCACCAAGATCAATGATGCGGTTCGAGATGATGATAGGCCGGCCCTTGTCTGAGCCTCTGAGGTACGGCGAGAAACATCCAGGAAGACAAGACACTGAGCCGAAAAGACACTCGAAGGCCTTTGGCCTTTGACAAATGATGAGAGATGTATTCGATGTCAGCGTGGTGGTGGATTCGGGACTTAGCAACATGTGTGTGGTTATGCCGGAAAATGCCGGAAACGTATGTCGAAATTGGGTAGTTATCACGCGTGACATCAGTCTCGGTCACCGATTAGCGTGATAACTCAGACGAAGGGTACTGAGGACTCGGATTCATTCACTCTCAATTCAGCGTTATATACACTGCTCTAGTACTATGAATAACAACGCAAATAACGGAGTCGGCAACCAGAATGAAAATGGAAACCGAAACCACCAGGTGCGTTGAGGATTTTCTGGCATTAGATACCGACTGATATACTCTAGATCCCAGGACATCTTCTCCAACATGCTCCTCGGCCTCGAAACGTGATGTTCACGATGTCTGGAAGGCAGCAGGTAAAGTAAATAATCATTCACGAGCTACGATACTTACATCGTTGAAGGAACTAATGTATGTTACCTGGGCCGCTGCGCGAGTGCGCGTGCGCCAATACATGTACGAGCCCACCCTGCCACTCCCTCCCCATCCGCTGCCTCCGCTCTGGGAAGATGAAGTCCGCGCGATGATGACATTATGGATTGCTAGAGAACGCCGGATGTTCGAGATGGAGATGCGAGAGCTCGAGTATCTACTGGGACTCAGAGGTGCGCGATAGGTAAGCCATTTGAAATTACAAAATTCCGAACAGACTCACGAGTATTATCGGATTGCACAGATGAAGAGGGGCTCTAAGAGAATGAACTGAGAATGCGATGAAGCACAATGTACTTACTGAATGCCATACAGTTGATATCCTCGAGCGTCGGAGTAATCGAGGTTAAAGTTTGCAATGTTGGGAGCCCTGTCTCCGCTGAGTTGGGATCTGAAAGCGAAAAGGATGGGGTTGGCAAGGAGCCATTAAGCCAGCGACGTCTTTGAGTAATTAACTCGGGGACCTGTTGGAAAGGGTCAGTGTGCACTGAACGACCTTCGATGATTTCTACCCATTTGCGGCGCTGGTCGATAGCTCCAGTACCGAGCGTGTCAGGCTTCGTAAGTACGCCTAAAGAACTGTTATGCCCGCGGAATCACGCCAACAAAGGTACGCTTCTTGATTATTTCAGTCAGGTCTACGTTTTTTGTGTAAGAGCGTTTTCATCACGAGAATGATGTATGTCTCACCGTGGTCTATGCGCTTGATACCAACAATTTGGAGGTAGTGAAACGCTCAGCGAGCAAGGGCAGGCCGTCTTTCTTCAAACAGGCTCAACAGAATACCTCAATGCGAATCTGGCGAGGACATACACGAATGCCACAACCATTGTCCTGAATCTGAAGCAGCTTCATACCACCATCCTTGACAGTGACTTGGATTGAGGTAGACCCGACATCGAAGCTGTTTTCGAGTAATTCTTTTAGCACAGAAGCAGGTCTGTGTATGATCTAGAGGTAACTTTCATAAGTTTTCGCACCTGTAGTGCGACTAGCAGTTCCCAGACCTGTCCGTTTCGTCATAATCCTCAGTACCACCAGGAAGGGTATTAAGAAGCCTGATCAGGTGGGTGAATAATGCTTCGGCCCCTTTATTGAAAATCAGTGCAGAACAGAGCATAAGTGGATGGAGCTGTAGGTTGTCATCGGGCGTAAAGGGCTGTGAAACGTCGAGCATGACACGTCCACATGACCCGACGTCGTCCTTTTGGACATCCGGATCGGGCTCAAGAAGTGAGTCAATCCCAATGTTGGTGCGCGGTAGGCGGGAGCAAAGAGACCTTCAGCTCGAGACCAGAAGGTCTTCACCGCGCAATTCCGCTGGACATGACGCTGGTAGGAGCAGATGCTCATATAGTACACGGGCCAGATGGCCTTCAACGTCAATTCCGGTATGAGGGAGCGAAGAGATCTTCAAGCTCGGGACCAGATGGCCTTCACCGGACGATGTCACACATGAAATCAACAAGAAATCAGCGAGAGCAGGTTCATGAATATCGCGGCTAGATATCAAGTTGTCAGTGTGACAGTTGTGTGGCAAGTGCTCCCAAGACTCACATGCCGTTTCAGCGTCTATATTCAGTGAAATTGTTGTGCAGGTCAGCATTTGCTCGTCGACATTCGGCGACAGCGCGGACGGGGGACAATTCCTCCTCACCCAGAATCCTCTGCAGAGTAGCCCGATGTCGTCGTGTGGTTCTGACTCTGACTCGTTATCGCTGCCTGTGCGGAAAATCCCAAGTTCAGTACGTAGTCATTGTTGATTGCAACATCTAAACTTACTCAGCGCTATCGAAACCTAACCTAACGAGGGGTTTCGTGATGTGCGCGAATTTTTGGCGCAGCACTCTGCATTCTGAATTTCTGGGAAGGGTGTGATCTTCGCGGCTTGGTGAGCAATTCTTGCAGATTAGACTGGGAGCCGCATGTCACACCAGTAGATGGCCTGTCCACCACAGTGACCAGAGATCTTTTCAAAGAAGTCCACAACGGGCTACCAGAATATCATCACCATCGGTGGACCACCACAGGGTGATAGAAGCTGGTGCATCTAACAAGCAAGCCAAGAACTGTCACCGGTCTGAAATGAACCGTATCTGTGCATGAATAATCTTGCAAGTGACCCTGTCGCAATCATGTAAGTCCATCTCAGAACAGAATGGAGAACTAACAAACCGTCTTCAACCACAAGTGACAGGTCTTGTTGGGCTTCAATCATAGTCGATTGAGACGATCGATAAGCACAGGAATGGTACAAATACAAACAAACAAACTCGGAAAGTGTGTACATAGTCAGGACTCAGCAGAAACCGTGACCTTGCTTGTAGTAAGGCACTAGTACTGGCGCCAGGCAATCATCAAGTCCATGACTTGGTTGGGCAGCTTGTGAAAGATCCTGACAAACCTGGGACAATCGACAAGATCAATGTAGTGGCTTATCTAAGGAAACCCACTAATCGTGCGAGTTGGGGAAGCTCACTCGATTAATAAGACCCAAATCACATAATTAGGCTCAAACGACTAGCTTTGCATTGGGTCAAGGCTGCGGGAATAAAGCCATCTGGCCCTGCGGAAGCCTCTGCTCCCGGACCACATTATCCAGCATATGCACACGGTATTGAGAGGCCTTCTGGCCCCAGGCTGGATTGTCACTGGGATAACAGCCGTCCCCTGCAAGATTTTTTGGCATTCATTTTATCATGATCGAGGATGTGTCACTCAAACTACTAGTGGCTATGGCATGAAGGTCGCCGTTGAACATCATTCGAGCGTACCTTAACCTCCGAGAAAAAAATGAACTATGTTAATCGATGAATTCAAAAAGATAGGAGGTCATCATCATCGTCCTCATCACCATTCACCACATCTGAGCCATCCAAGTCATCGATCTCCGAATCATCCTCGTCTTCAAGTTCCAGTTCCTCATCACTAAACCCTTCACCTCCCGCCTCTTCATCACCGTCATTGTTCTCTTCATAAGCCGCGTCCGCCTCATTATCATTGTTTATGATGTCCATGGCGTTGCCTCGTGGCATTGATTCAGAGACGAGACAATCTCTGGTTATCTTCCGCAGTGTTACCGGATGTCCAACACCAAAGGGGGTATAGCGTATGAACATATCCCGATCGACGAATCTGGTCCAAAGGTTAATGAATGAGATCCCTAAGAATAAATATTTGTACTCGCATGCCAACATAATATGCTTCCCAATCGTCTAACTCTCCTCCAGGACGCGCCAATGATTTTCCAAGACGAAGGGAGCTTACACCACGTCCCAAAGCAAAGGCTGGAATTAGATGTGCTCCTCGGATCACTTGCCCTGGATCAAGAAATCCGAATGCGTCTGTATCCGACTCCTCCACAAAGGCAACCTTGGGAAGATGAGCATGTTTCATGCCGGATTTATTGTTCCGCAATGGGGCCAACCATCTAACATAGAGAACCTCGAGGCGCTGCTTCGCTGGTTGACCCCCACTGTTCAGCCATGTTTCCATATGATAGATCCCCAGAACGCGGGCATACCAGTACGGGTGTTTAGGTGTCGCCTCCCCTGAAAGCACCATGATGTCGGCGTGTGTTCCAGGGTTGATGGTATCGTACTCGCGCCTCATATCATATGTGGTATAATATACTCGCATGGTGCGGACAGAGTATATCATATCATTAGGAATGATAACCAAGTGACGCTCTTCATCCGTGAACGTATGGTCACAGTAGCTGATATCTAAGTTCCGCAGCCTATAAAGGATGTGGTCCTTCAGTTTGGGGATGAATTTCTGATAACTCCCATGAGTAAAATGTGTTAAGAACGAAATGCTAAATCTACCTTGAGAGCTGGATCGTTATCACTTTCTCGAAGCAATCGGAATATAGAGATGGGATCGCTCTGATTTATCGCGATATCGTAACGCTTTCCGGGGGAAGGGGCTTCAACTGGTGATTGGCTAGTGGCGGAGGATGTACCCCCTTCTGCAACCCGCTTAAGCATGCGGCGCCTGCGCTCATGTTTGGCTAATTGCGCTGGAGGATTGGTCTTGTTGGTCAGCGGATAGAACGCCTTCAGAGCTCGGTGTGCAAGCTCTCCCTGGCCAAGAACTTCAGATGCGTACTAGTGGGAATGCAGCTGATACGCACGATTTGCGTAGTGAAAGAATCAGTAGTCCCGAAGAACCTGATAGTCCTCACATAATCTCCCATAGCGTGGAATTTATAGGTGTTTAAATTGAACTTCTTTACTCTGGCCCCAGTCGACTCTAGAGTAGCATTGTGGGTCTCGGCTCGCTGAGCGATCCGTCTTTGGCGAGCCGCTTTTTCCTTTGGTAACTCTACGGTGGTGAAGGCAGCGCATGTATGGGCTCGAAATTTCCGCAACATCTGGGAGAGTTTTTTAAATGTTTCTTCAAGAAAATCCAACGTAGAGTCGGAGTGGATCCTGAGCTTAGCGAGTGCATGCCACTGCGCAAATCGGTATAGCAGAGACCGCACCGCCCCATCATGGTCAGCGGGGAACAGCCCTTCAAATACCGGAATAGCACACTGGAGGGTATGTTGGTGAGCCTAGTGTGAAAAGATATATAAATACCAAAAACCTGTAATATGTCTTCAAAGTCACGAGCTGCCAATCTTTTCATCTCGGAGGTATTGTTCGTAAACTTTCGAATTGTGCCCTTACCAAATGTCGGCACCTGGCGAAATCTAAGGTAGAATTTGAAAGTCGGTAACACATTAGCAGATAATGGTGCTTCATACAAAATCTACGCACCTTCTGTCGAGGATCGCAATGGCCTCAGTACCACCAGGAAGTGCATTAAGAAGCCTGATCAGGTGGGTGAATAATGCTTTCCAGGTTCCCAATTCGCATTCATGCATGAGGTCGACGACAAGCATGCGGAATGGGTCAAGGCCGAATGGACCAAGCTGTTTGACGAACTGATTCTGCGAGTGCAGGTTTGAGTTTATTAAAGCGAACATGAAACTGATTTTGCCCTTACCAGGGTAGGCACCCATGAGCCTTCTCCGAGGGTGTCTTCGACCTTTGAACCATCAACAGTATTTCCCCGTGTATAAATAAATTCGCGAGCCTCCACAATTTTCGCCATAGCATACACCCGCAAGTTAGTGATACGGCTTCTCATGTCCTTCACGAGACCAAGACAATTGAACAAGGCTTTCGGTGTGAGGCAGCGAGGGCATGCACACAAGCCCATATCCTTGATAGTCGCAATCAAAACCCTAGAGATATAATTGTTAAGCCGTCCAACAATTTTAATCGAGGCAATGAAAAATGTACTTCTCAGGATAATCCGCTGAATATGTAAAGATTCGAGGAAATACTCTCCGCATTACTCCATCGGCACATTTCACAACAATACCATGTCGATATGCGTAAATGAACTCTTCATCCAGCAAGATTTCCCAGCAGGCATGGAACAATTCTCTGCGGCAGTGCGTAAAAAGAGAGGCCATGCCAGTTTTTGATATTCGAGGTAGGCGACTCAGAACATCTTTAATACTATCAGGAATCTGAAATGGCAGTCGGCATCAACCGCCTTGGAAAAAATGCAATCAGGAGGGCTTACTGAGGGTAGAAATCCTATTAGGTGACACGATCCCGATGTAGGTGACGAACGTACATATTTTGACAGATTTCCGAAGTAGACATACAGGGGCCAAGCCTTCGCAGTTCCAAAGTTCGCCAGGTGAGTGGCGTCAGAAAAGAACATCAATCCGGCAATGACACGTTCCAATGAACATCCAAACTCCTTTGGTAGCCTGTGGATGCTGTCTTGAGCTTCCAGCCAGGCATCAGATGTGTATAATTCATCATATATTCGCTCTTGGCGATCATCTAGAGGATCCTTCCATATATGTTTGAAAGGAAAGAGATGAAAGGCCCCTGCTTGAATGTCTGCGAACGCCGCGCGTATAACTTCCACCAGAGGTCGGTAATGGAATCCGGAAATGGTGTAAGGCGTAGGCGCCTCCTTGGACTTAGTTGGGACGTCAATGGTGACGTTAGTCTCGACCCAGTCATCTGGAAAGGTAATTCCCTTCCCGCTCTCATGATTGTCCAGTTGTCGCAAGCTCTGCCTCACTGAGAACCCACGAAGGTTCTCGCGGTCAAAATCCTCTGCAAGCATCACATTTTCGACGAGGTCTGCGACCTTAGATTCTGATATCCGAGCACTACCAGAATTCATCCAGTCCAGAAGTCGGTAGATAGTCATATTAGGAAAGGGGTAGGGTGGCCCAAGGAGCTTCGGTAGAGAATCAATTCCTTGAGCAATTGCTGGACACGTTCTCGCAAGTAGCGAGGATGGAATAAATTTATTTGGCTCGAAGGAAGGACGACGAGGGTACAGTCTGCAGAGGCCAAACGAGTTGAAGGTTGTCTGAAGTGAGTCTCTTAGCGTTAGCAGAACGCGTCGGATTTTGGATCCTGCTGGGGGGACCGAATTTCGAGTCGACGGATCCAGAGCATCAGCGCCATCGGAGTAGTCAAAACCCTCCTGTGAGGGTTCGATGTCATCGAAAGGTCGTGGAATTCGTCTTATAGGTTGTGTCAGTTCCTCTGAAAGAGCGATCAGAAAACCGAGAGTAGTTTCAGTGATCAGATACGAACGGAAGTCAAAATCGACCTTGCGATTAATCTCCATATCCATATCTACATCAACATCGGTTTGTAGTCCTTCCAGATCATCATGATGGGAGTTTTGCGAGTCAACGAGCTCGGATGTATTAAATAAAACGCGAGCTGTAGATCCCAGTGGCCTTGATGTTACTAGCGATCGGCGAGGGGCAATTGGTCTCGGACGGCCGATTCTCTAGATTTCAAGTTGGCGTAAGTTAAGGATAACTTGAACAGCTAGGAGGACCATTCACATGTGAAACCGCATTCACAGGCAGGTTGGAGGCCAAGTTTGCAGAAACTGCCTTTTTTGCGCGTTCGTGTCTCTTCTGACTTGCAAGAACGCTAGACTTCTTATAAAAATAGCAACTAGCGCGATGTCTGCTGAGTCCTCGGGTGTCTGTCGTCCTCTCCCATGAGCAACCCACAGCACCACAAGACATCATCAGTAGTAATAGAAACAAGAGAGCAATCCGAAGAGGTGGAAATAGTGCGAGCCTTCGGAGGCGCATGGCACTTGGAGTTGCTAGCGAAATGCAGTTTCAAACTCCTAGTCGGCTGTTTGAATATTTGAGCTTTTTAGTGATAGGTAGAGAACAGAGCGACTACTATACCAGGAGTTGCACTGTGGTGGATGTATAGTTATATTCTGATATGGCGGGCGGTAGTGCGCCATTCCCACTTTCCCGGTAATCCCCGGCGAAAGTCGCTAACATGGTCCAACAGTTATTACCTCCAGCTAAAAGTGGCTGCGGATCGAGGCGGCAGAATATCGCGAAGAACCGCTGAGCCCAGCCAACGTAATTCGGCTTCAGATTTCTAGTACATAGGCGGTCCGTTGAGAGAAGACTTTTAATTTAACGATCGCTCCGCAGCAACCAGAGCTGGAGACGGTGTTTGATTGGCGGAAGAGGTGGAAAATAACCCAAAATAATGACGGCCGAGAACAAGCTTCCCGATATACCAGTCAAGGAGCATTTGACGTCTACAGCACCGCACATTGGAACTGTTCAACTTGAATGCACCAGGAGGCAATTGATTCTGCAGAGTTCGACGTCATCCCTTACTGCATAGACAACCATCAACATAAACACTCACTCGATAAACTGCATGTACAGTCGCGGGAGGAGCCACCTCAGGCTGATATCAATAGCAACCGACGGCTCTTCAAGTTACTCGTCTACGAAACTAGGGTAATGACTTCCTGCTTGGGCAGAAATCAACGCACTGAGCTCAACTGATCTGATCAGGTCCACTGGAATCGAGAACGTGAGCAAACACAGCGAGAAGCTATTGGGAATTCGTGCGGAATATATGGAAAATGGCACGGTGAAATGCGTGGTTCTCAATGTAGTCGGTCTTGAGCGGGAGGCTGCCGATCAACACAGGAAGGGCCTGGCCCAAAGGGATGGCAGCGGTGTTGCGACTGATGAGACGGGCAACGGCGCGAGCGGCATTGTCTTTGCATCGCTGAAGGATCACTGGCAGCTGGCGAGACGTCAAACAGCAAGTGGAGGGAGCTGAGGACATGCATATACTGCGGCGATAGGTTGATTTCAGAGGGTCCAACCAAAAGACCAATGTCAAAGTATGTACTGCTCTGGGTTCTGGGTCGCTGAGCGCGCGGTAGAACGGTGTCGATAGTAAAACTGTGCCAGTAACATCAGTCTCATCACCAAGATGAGGAATTAAGGAGATGGGAATCTTACAATCAGTCACGAAGCAACGAAGCACAGCACATTCTAAGTGGACGCGGTGAAGCGTGAACACCATCTCGTGATACGTGATCGGAGGCGCGTCCTGCAACCAAGCCAAACACATCGTGCTGAGCTCTGCTGCGAGAGGAAACGCCCAATGATGGGTGCAGATGACGACGTTGCATCATATGCATGGGCCTATTCCTCCGAGAGAGGGCGGCCAAGAATGCTGGTTGACTGCGAGTGATGAACGAGTACTGGCTAGAAGACCTCGTCGACGGACTGCAAATAATGCATCAGAAAAAAATGACACCGCACGCTGAAAAAGTAGCACCTTGGGAAAGGACAAACCCGCTCCAGTAAACACAGTCTCAGCAGTGATGGACGGAATGTTGAGCAGACCGGCGCATTAACTCGCTACGGCCCTCTATGGCCACACTAAGCGCAAGCATTGCACCACGGCGATTGTGTGCGTCAGGAAAAGAGAAGTAATGTGAGATAAGTGTTCGGAGAGCAGGGAAGACTTGAACGGGGGCAAGTGAGTCAATCCCAATGTTGGTGCGCGGTAGGCGGGAGCAAAGAGACCTTCAGCTCGAGACCAGAAGGTCTTCACCGCGCAATTCCGCTGGACATGACGCTGGTAGGAGCAGATGCTCATATAGTACACGGGCCAGATGGCCTTCAACGTCAATTCCGGTATGAGGGAGCGAAGAGATCTTCAAGCTCGGGACCAGATGGCCTTCACCGGACGATGTCACACATGAAATCAACAAGAAATCAGCGAGAGCAGGTTCATGAATATCGCGGCTAGATATCAAGTTGTCAGTGTGACAGTTGTGTGGCAAGTGCTCCCAAGACTCACATGCCGTTTCAGCGTCTATATTCAGTGAAATTGTTGCGCAGGTCAGCATTTGCTCGTCGACATTCGGCGACAGCGCGGACGGGGGACAATTCCTCCTCACCCAGAATCCTCTGCAGAGTAGCCCGATGTCGTCGTGTGGTTCTGACTCTGACTCGTTATCGCTGCCTGTGTGGAAAATCCCAAGTTCGGTATGTAGTCATTGTTGATTGCAACATCTAAACTTACTCAGCGCTATCGAAACCTAACTTAACGAGGGGTTTCGTGATGTGCACGAATTGTTGGCGCAGCACTCTGCATTCTGAATTTCTGGGAAGGGTGTGATCTTCGCGTCCAAGTCGTCGTTTACTAATTTACAATTCCCGGGTCGGCGATGATCGATCAACGTTCAACGTTCGATCAACTTTCAACGGAACCTTCCGCAGTGCCTGCGTGAGAAAAGCTAAACCTTCTATTACATGTTGATAACACGTCAAGACATTACATAGCAAACTCTCCACTCTACCGTGACTCGTCCGCGTCATGCCCGAACTCAAGACGAGTAGCTCTTCCAAGGAGTCGACAAGCAGCGATGTTTTGATAGATACCAACCAGGCTCGGTCTGTTTATTCAACTTTTCGCTGCCTCAAGGTTTACAATATCCACCCTCTAGACAAACCACTCCACCATTCACACCTCCGACATCACTTGCGCCTAGCAGCTCTCCTATGAAAAGTGACTTGGATACGGAGACCAATCCTGCAATTGGTAGTTCTGGAGTGAAGCGCTCCCGCTATCATTATACCGTATATCAATGTGACGATGAGCTCGACTTGCCCTCAAAGAGAGCGAGAACCTTGAAGACAACCGTATGTCACACAATCACAACCTCGATGATACACTCAAGATTGATATTTAAAAGTGGTGCTCCCCCTGCGCTCCAGGGTCGGAGACCTCCAATTATCTCAATGAGCGCATGCTGGAGCTCTCGCGTGTTACGCGCCGCGCTATAGCCACCCGTCTCCGCTACCAACGCCTACGTGCCCACGAGCTAGACCTAATGAAGTCTATCCACGAAGATGAAACCGAGCTGACGCAAACAGAATTGAAAACAGTGGATCACCAAATCGGATCAATCCGAAACATGCTTCGCGAGGGGGGAGTGGTGGCAATAGGAGATGATGGGCACGGGTTCGATCCTGGTGACCATGAACCTAGGCGTGCCAGTGGTTCCTCCGACAACGAATCTGTACACATGATTGAATCTGGGAGCTGTTCGGAGTTGGACGGCGAGTAATTCTAGTTGGTTTCACCTATCTGTAGTATGTAACATATGAACTTTGTACCTTGCGAAGCAAAAATGCCAGCAGCTTTACCTGGTGTTACTCAATCGCCGCTCCGCCATCATGATCACGCATCCAAGAACATGGTAAGTTCATCATGCTTCCCCTATGAACCCTTCTGGTAGTCGAACTTACAATACTGTTGATACTGGACACTTCTGATTCAATTTATTTTTCCATTATCAGAAAATCACATAACTCTCCATATATAACAGATATCATCTCTGTCTACGACCGTGGTATTACCCTCGTCACTAGTACGCAGTTGAAATAATGAGCAGCCGACAACGGACAACAGAACGGGATGCTGCGCAACGCCTGCATCCATATCGCGACTTGCGGCCTGCCATGTCAACTACCCCCCATACTTCCTTGATGATGTCACCGGAAGACCTGGAAAGCGCTATCTGTCAGTCCGACACCACTACAATTTCAAGGCGAACTCACCCTCCAAAACTATCCGACTATTCGCAAGAAGATATTGAGGTAATTGAGTACGCGCGGAGGCAAGTGGTCATGGACATGATCATAACCTATGGTTGGATCAAAAACACTACGAAGATTCAGAAGCAAGGATCGCACCGCTACGCCAGAGAAGTTGTGAACGCGGTCAAGGCATCACTTGACCGCCCGGGTACGTGCTGTGTACTAGGTAGTGCCGCAGGAACTGACCCCCCGATCAGGGCTAGACCCGACGTCTGCCGTTACGACCCTAGTAATGGCCGGTCTCATTAATAGTCGCTCAAGACTCGTTGAAAACGCCGAAAAGGAATCCTTACCGTTTTATCTCGACGACCTCGAGCCGGCAGACAAATCATTGTCTGCCGAGGATCGCAAAAAATATATGGCGGCGCGTAAACAGATTATCTATAACGCGGACGAGACACATTCCTATTTTTTACACGCCCGCAAAGATGGCCAAGTCGTTCTTTTTGCTCATGATGGCGTGCAAGCCGTGCACATCAAACAGTGGTTTCTTGATGAGCAATCACCCCTTTATGACGAGTCATTGAGGGCGGTGCTCACGACAACCACCATACCTATGCTGTCAATGTCGGCAGTTGGGGTAAGGGGCTTGTCATGTTGTCGTTTGCACGTGCTGACGACTTTTAGGTTATGGGTGCCATTGATCGGCATGTCGAAGGACGCCTTTCGAAGTCCGGGCTGGGGAAGGTCCTCCGGTTTACCGGTCATGTGTATGCCGAGAAGCAACAAACGCTAAGTGAATCAATGAAAGCCTGCTTCAATATGGACATTCATCGAGAGGGAATGAAAACATATCTTCAACACTTACATGACAAGGGAATGTGAGTGGTCTCAACAGTTTGATGGGTCCTACGCTCATGTGTTTGCAGGAGAGCCCTAAATGACAAATTGGGTCTTACACCACCCACTTTGATCTATATTCCCACGTCACTGGAAGAACTAACCCTACCACCCGAGCAAGGAAACCCCACCACGTTCCATGATACCGTCTCTGACGAGTCAGCACTTGCGCTCAACTCCAACGCACCCTCATATGATCAGTCGGAATTTAATTTGGACAACCTCTTCGGGGATTCGATGTATGACTCGTTACAAAGTACCCAGTGGAGTGCGCCATCCTCTTGAGGTGAGCTAAGTTATCAATCTCGTCTACATAAAACTTAATTCCCAGTTCACAGCCCATGATGCTTTTCCTACTATGCCAAATTATGTTTGTCCACATGCTCTTGGCTCTTACTTGTACTATTATCTACAATGGGTTGTTCCGTCTGTGTTATATTCACTCAATGCCTCAAGCTTTACGATGTCTGTAATACTTAAAATTTGATCAATTGCTCGATCTCGTGCTCGACGGCTCCCCAACAAAACAAAGGATACGCGTAGGGAAAAGGGGGCTGGACAACTCAAGACCTGAAGGTCTTCACCGCGCAATTCCGCTGGACATGACGCTGGTAGGAGCAGATGCTCATGTAGTACACGGGCCAGATGGCCTTCAACGTCAATTCCGGTATGAGGGAGCGAAGAGATCTTCAAGCTCAGGACCAGATGGCCCTTACCGGACAATGCCAGTCATGAGATTGGGCCAGATGGCCTTGCATCAATTTCGGAGCGAAGAGATCTTCAAGATCGGACCAGATGGTCTTTACCGGACAATGCCAGTCATGAAATCAGTGGGAGCAGAAGTTCCCGTAGGGCCAGATTGGCCTCAATGATCCCGATGGCATCTGACGAAGCAGAATGGTGATCAGAAGCTTTAAGGCAGCAGCATCTACCCAACGACAGTCAGGTAGATCGAATGTCTAATGACATTCCCCCATTATGACGTAGTGTGCTAATCATGCAGGTGAGTAAATGCAAATATCGATTAAATGCAACACTTACAAGGCTGTTCAACTTGAACGCCCTCGTCAAAGCTCCGACATCAACATAAAGAGCTACTCGTCTTGAGTTCGGGCATGACGCGGACGAGTCACGGTAGAGTGGAGAGTTTGCTATGTAATGTCTTGACGTGTTATCAACATGTAATAGAAGGTTTAGCTTTTCTCACGCAGGCACTGCGGAAGGTTCCGTTGAAAGTTGATCGAACGTTGAACGTTGATCGATCATCGCCGACCCGGGAATTGTAAATTAGTAAACGACGACTTGGACGCGAAGATCACACCCTTCCCAGAAATTCAGAATGCAGAGTGCTGCGCCAACAATTCGTGCACATCACGAAACCCCTCGTTAAGTTAGGTTTCGATAGCGCTGAGTAAGTTTAGATGTTGCAATCAACAATGACTACATACCGAACTTGGGATTTTCCACACAGGCAGCGATAACGAGTCAGAGTCAGAACCACACGACGACATCGGGCTACTCTGCAGAGGATTCTGGGTGAGGAGGAATTGTCCCCCGTCCGCGCTGTCGCCGAATGTCGACGAGCAAATGCTGACCTGCGCAACAATTTCACTGAATATAGACGCTGAAACGGCATGTGAGTCTTGGGAGCACTTGCCACACAACTGTCACACTGACAACTTGATATCTAGCCGCGATATTCATGAACCTGCTCTCGCTGATTTCTTGTTGATTTCATGTGTGACATCGTCCGGTGAAGGCCATCTGGTCCCGAGCTTGAAGATCTCTTCGCTCCCTCATACCGGAATTGACGTTGAAGGCCATCTGGCCCGTGTACTATATGAGCATCTGCTCCTACCAGCGTCATGTCCAGCGGAATTGCGCGGTGAAGACCTTCTGGTCTCGAGCTGAAGGTCTCTTTGCTCCCGCCTACCGCGCACCAACATTGGGATTGACTCACTTGCCCCCGTTCAAGTCTTCCCTGCTCTCCGAACACTTATCTCACATTACTTCTCTTTTCCTGACGCACACAATCGCCGTGGTGCAATGCTTGCGCTTAGTGTGGCCATAGAGGGCCGTAGCGAGTTAATGCGCCGGTCTGCTCAACATTCCGTCCATCACTGCTGAGACTGTGTTTACTGGAGCGGGTTTGTCCTTTCCCAAGGTGCTACTTTTTCAGCGTGCGGTGTCATTTTTTTCTGATGCATTATTTGCAGTCCGTCGACGAGGTCTTCTAGCCAGTACTCGTTCATCACTCGCAGTCAACCAGCATTCTTGGCCGCCCTCTCTCGGAGGAATAGGCCCATGCATATGATGCAACGTCGTCATCTGCACCCATCATTGGGCGTTTCCTCTCGCAGCAGAGCTCAGCACGATGTGTTTGGCTTGGTTGCAGGACGCGCCTCCGATCACGTATCACGAGATGGTGTTCACGCTTCACCGCGTCCACTTAGAATGTGCTGTGCTTCGTTGCTTCGTGACTGATTGTAAGATTCCCATCTCCTTAATTCCTCATCTTGGTGATGAGACTGATGTTACTGGCACAGTTTTACTATCGACACCGTTCTACCGCGCGCTCAGCGACCCAGAACCCAGAGCAGTACATACTTTGACATTGGTCTTTTGGTTGGACCCTCTGAAATCAACCTATCGCCGCAGTATATGCATGTCCTCAGCTCCCTCCACTTGCTGTTTGACGTCTCGCCAGCTGCCAGTGATCCTTCAGCGATGCAAAGACAATGCCGCTCGCGCCGTTGCCCGTCTCATCAGTCGCAACACCGCTGCCATCCCTTTGGGCCAGGCCCTTCCTGTGTTGATCGGCAGCCTCCCGCTCAAGACCGACTACATTGAGAACCACGCATTTCACCGTGCCATTTTCCATATATTCCGCACGAATTCCCAATAGCTTCTCGCTGTGTTTGCTCACGTTCTCGATTCCAGTGGACCTGATCAGATCAGTTGAGCTCAGTGCGTTGATTTCTGCCCAAGCAGGAAGTCATTACCCTAGTTTCGTAGACGAGTAACTTGAAGAGCCGTCGGTTGCTATTGATATCAGCCTGAGGTGGCTCCTCCCGCGACTGTACATGCAGTTTATCGAGTGAGTGTTTATGTTGATGGTTGTCTATGCAGTAAGGGATGACGTCGAACTCTGCAGAATCAATTGCCTCCTGGTGCATTCAAGTTGAACAGTTCCAATGTGCGGTGCTGTAGACGTCAAATGCTCCTTGACTGGTATATCGGGAAGCTTGTTCTCGGCCGTCATTATTTTGGGTTATTTTCCACCTCTTCCGCCAATCAAACACCGTCTCCAGCTCTGGTTGCTGCGGAGCGATCGTTAAATTAAAAGTCTTCTCTCAACGGACCGCCTATGTACTAGAAATCTGAAGCCGAATTACGTTGGCTGGGCTAAGCGGTTCTTCGCGGTATTTTGCCGACCAGCTCACTTTGGTGGACCTGCCAACCAGCAGCATATAAAGGTGTCAGTTCTTTCTACTCTGTCGTCCCGCACCTCTCCTTATTCTTCTTCTCCCCTTCTCTAGTCTTCCTGCATGTCGCACACCGGGCGCAGCACGTCGCACATTGAGGACCCACAGCATGACGAAACCCAACCATCTGTGCACGCTCGACAGAGACGTAGAATCGCCGAACTGGAGGACAAGTTGATGGCTCTCGAGTCGGGGCGCGCTGTAAAGGACAGGTACGGATGCCATGCAGTACATTGAGTTAACTTTACTCACTATCCGCCAGGCAGGTGAACTACTATATGGCTCAAGGACGAGCCTTCAGACGCGTTGTCTCCTTATTCGATAACATTCAGGATCTTGTCGCCGAAAACGACAGGAGATACGATCTCGAGGATGGGGAGACTTCTGTTGAGTAAGCTTTTCCTCCCTTGGTTCGCCACCGTAAGCGCACTCATGGGTTTGTTTGCATAGTCAAGATCGGCTTCAGGCAGGGTACATCACCCTAATGAACACCTTCCCGTGGCTCTACGAGAAGAATTCAGATATGGATCATGGTGACTACATAGGTATGGTAAAAATGGTGTGCTTTACCAGTCTCGATGATGTGCTTTGTCGTGTTGAGTCATTTTTTAGCTTAGGCTTGGGGCTGATAGCGCTCGAGGAGATGATACCTCCAAGCTGAAAACACTCGTTTCCGAATGGGTCAACCGCGAATTCAAGCCAGATCCCCCAGTCGACATGGACGATAAACATACCCGAGGATTCATCAATGATGCGTGCGGCAAGCTGCTGTGTCCGACTGAGCTTGATTGGACCAACCCAATGTATGTATTGCGCTCGGGATTCCGAACACCACTGACTATTTCTCAGTGTAAAAGCGGGCATTCGAGACCGTGCAGAGGGATATATTGTGACGGATCTTTCTTTTCCAGCTTATTTATATGAAAAGTACACTGCCAATTCGGATAATTTGGAAGATGGTCTTTTCAAGGGGAAAATTTTGATACAGGTTTGTCGTAGTGTACTCGTAATACAGCTGGTATTGATCTTCACTATTTTTCAGAGCTACAAAGCTGTTTTCACGTCTCCGTCGTCAGCAAAGGATGTTGAAGGTGACGGTGATGGCGCAGATGTCATTGAAAACAACAGACGCGCGAAGAAGGCTGTTTCAGGAATCAAGGTCAAGAAACATGTTGCACAAATCATTCAGATGAACAAGGTCACCCCTCGCTCAATTGCATATATTGCTTGTCAAGTAAGTGATCGAGCTTGAGCTGCCCATCAGACCGTTAATTAATGACGAACGCGCTGGCAGGTACGATTCGCACTCTCGTCCGTTAACTCGTGGCGATCTGTCGATGGCGATTTCGACTATATACAATTCTGGAAGACCGTTGTGGACTTCTTCGAGAAGCCTCCTGGTCGAGATGCACAGCGCAGGGTCAACAAACTGCTCGAATGGTGGACTAGGTGGGTATATACACTGTCAACAAGCACTCAACTAATATCTGTTACCCAGGAAAGTTTTCGGACGGAGTCACCGTGCGAACCTTACTGACGAAGCGAGGGCTAAGATGTCCGTGAATGCCCTTGCAAGGCAGAGGGCGCAAATCGACAATGCCCTCTTCGACTCAGACTAGAGACCTGACATTATTTTATTCATGTGATCCATAATAGCTTCATTGTCATCATAATTTGTTATCAATGTCATCGTAATTTGTTATCAATGTCAAACGAGCTGTGTATCGCACTGTATCGCACCACCGCCATGACGCAATAACAAATGACTTCGAAGACTTGCCGACATCATCAACAATTGGAATGAACCCCAGATATCACCGTTCAGGCTACAGTTCTGGATGCGCTCGCTTTGTTTTAAACAAGCCGAGTTCAAGAAATATAACACGATCACGGAGGTCTCTATATTTTCTGGTCTTTATGCCAATCACTGGACAGAAGTATGGGTTTCCAAGGATCAAACCGATCAAATGCCATATCTAATTCAGAGCCCCACTGAAGATACCTGAGACAGTCGGTTGATTCTGTGTATATGCAAGCTCTTCGTAGTGATTTTTTCCAGTTCCCAGAAGCCAGTATAAATACCTAATGTTGCCCTGCATTAACATTGTCATTTGATCGAGAGGATAAATCACTAAGGTCTCAAATGCATGTGTACGTAAGTTCTGAGTCAAACGTACTATGCTATGACGATACAGTGTGCGTGGCAAGCAATGATTTTATGAGGCGGTGTCGCAAGTGATATACAACTGCCAGTCATTAGACACCCAAAGAACATTATATAGAGTCCTGAAACAGGATACAAACTGAATGGCGCTCGCTTGGTGACCATATTCTGGCTATCGTGCAAAGGTAAAGTATTTTTTGTACAGATGCCTAACTAATGTATAGCGGACAGTCGTTACATATGTATAAAAAATTGCGTTGAACAGTGATGCGGCTCACAGATTTGGTGCGGCTCGCTTTGTGAACAACATCCCGATTCCTGGCAAATGTAACCCTTTTACAACTATTGTGGTTGGATAGGGGAGCTGAGTCACCGAGGTCCCGAGTGCACTCTATCAGAATTCCTCCCATAGAGTGCAACACACATGATATTGTGCTGCTGCGTGGCGCAATAGATGATATGCTCGTTGAATGCTACATGCTCTCACAAAGCTCACCGTGACTCACTGTCACCTAGTCCTGAGCCAAGGTGCTTTATCATAAAAATACACTATCTACGCAAAACTGAAACATCTGTGGGACGTGTCTCAAGTGAATACAACTGCCAGTCGTTGCAAACTCACCAAACGACGCGTGAGGATTCGAAGCCAGCCACAGATTGATTTTCGCTTGCTTCATGAAACAAATTCCAGCTGCTATGCAAAGGTAAAGCATTTTCACACGCGTTCCAAATTGATGCATACTAACAAACAAACATTGGACATGAAAAATCGCGTTCAAAGTCGAAGTACAATGTAAGTTTCTGTGTTGCGCGCTCGGGTGAGTAGATTCTCGTAATTGGGAAGACATGGGCTTTCACTCTTGTGTGGAACATTGGCATGAACGTGACGGAAAATCGGCTTGTGAAGGAGATGTGTCGAGAATTAACAAAGGACCCACATGTATGTCTTCCGCTGAAGTCAACACATCCTCGTGCTCTCGAAAGATACAGAATTTTAGTCTTGGTTTGGGTATTATGATCCTTATCAGCGATGTGGCAGCTTTAATTCATGCAGGTCAACTATTAGCTTTTGTTCCACCTTACCTTCAATTTTTAGTTTCAGCGATGTTGGAACCTTTTCCTGATCTTAAAGTTTTATTGCGAAATCAGGAAAATTCCTTTCCTTTACAAGGGCAAATATGTCAATGTCATGCTCGATAACAGAATTATGTTAAATACTGTGATTATGTACTATATATTGCGATACATGGCCTTTTACTTTCTTCGTCGGTTCACTGATGTCAATGCCCCTGACGACAACGAGGATTGGGATGATGTTGATATGTATTATGGATGCCGAGGAGGAAGACGGGGAGGAAGAGGAAGCGCTGTGAATCAGATGAAGATGAAGATGGGGAAGACAGCAAGGAAGATGAAGGACTCGGAGACTACGAAGACCCGGACGACAGGGTAGAGGCTGATTCGGACGAGGAACTCGACAACGATGTGCTCACACGAGAAGGTTATGGCGCACTTTAATTACATTATTCGTTGATATACTATACACGGAATAGATAATATCATAGCAGACTGAGATGAACATTAGCTACTCGCTGTCAGGCTGCCATATAGTTTAGCATGACGTAGAACGAACATTCACTTTTGACCATGACGTGGCACTTCTGAGAAGTGTTGTGGCGCAGCAGCAACCCAAATCAGGCAATCTCTGATTTGAGACATTTTGGTGATGGACAAGTGACGGCAATCATCTTCACGTACAGTACTCAGCTGACATTGACAACGACATTTTAGAATCGAGCAGCCCTCTTGTCTGTCCAGGCAAAGTGTTGGGACTGCTGCCCGGACTTGGATGGCAGAAAGTGAGTTCTTGTCAGTTCCTGTCTTCTCGCGTGACATAATACTGTCTGACGGCAGTGGGATGGGGTTGAGGCCTGAGGGCGGTGACATTGACATTCATGCCGTGCTTCGCAATATTCGAAAGCCTAGAATGCTGTGCTGTTCTTGAGCCACGCAGCCTCCTCGTGTTGGCTGCTTCAATCAACGGCGCACCTACAACACACCTCTGCTGTACAAGTCTGATGTTCATTAATGAATCTATAGGTAATTCAATGAGCTGCGAGCCGCTTCTGTCCCGTTGACCACGGCTCTGCACATCGCAGCGCAGTGTGGATGTCGTGTGTATGCTATGGTCCCTTCCTTTATAATCCGTCAGGCATTTGCGAGCACTACAGTTTTCCGTTACCTCTAGTACACATCTTACTCTCAAGTGCCAGTTTGCATCCACCAGACATATGTCAAACTTCGTTCCTCATCCTCTTGATGATTGCCCTCCACCCTTGGAGGAGCCGAGTCACCAAGCACACCCCCAGGACTCCGAGACGAACCTCGCGATCGGTGAAATGCTACAATTCGCCGTCAATAGTATGTACCATATATTTTCATTCAGCACATACCAATGATTTCCCAAAGCCATTCTGGTAACACTTTATTTCGTCATTACTCTGCTGTTTCGTTTCGCCACGGACACCGTGCCAGACCCACTCGATGATACCCTCCCAGCCTTGGGTGAGGAGACAAGCTACCCAGAACACCCCCAAGACCCGGGAGAGGCACACCTCAGTGGAGTGCAACAGATCGTCGTTACTGGTATGTGATATCAAACTTAGTTCCGCATGAATTGACGATTTCTCCCAAGCCATTCGCGCGACTGATCTAACTCTTGGTCTCCAACGGATTCCCGCTGGCTTCCATGTAGTAGTAAAGGCTCGCGGGATCGAATTCCAAACAAGCAACAAACCGGTGCACGTAGACCAGGCTGTTGTCGAATGGAACGAGCCCATAGTTCTGTAAGCTGTCCTTGATCGCATCTTTCCTGCAGGTGTTGAGAAAGACTCTAGACAATGTGAACAATCTTCTCTCGTTCGGGTCAGCGTGTATGCCTCATTTGAACTGGGTCCCATGCTCGGTCATGGAGAAGTCCTTCGCACATTCGAGATGTCGATGGGTGAATTATTGGATCGCAGTGAAAAGTCATGTCGTCAGTAACGTCTTTGCAAATTACGCCTGACAGATGTTGACGAGTATCACAGCCATTTTTTTTCAGCCCGAGCAGGAGGAAGTCGTATCCCCGTGTACTTCGCTGTTCATGACAGTGGAGCAGCGACAATCTGATGAAAACGACGCTGCAGTTCTTGAACCGCTTACCGCCGTGAGTGATCAATGCCAGTCTGATATGCTGATGCTGAGAGCTTGTAATGTGTAGCCTACGTTCAGCGATATGGATGCGTTAGTGCTAACAGACGCCGGACATCGCCTTCTCGCACGATTCCGAAGGACGCGGAACACTAGGGATCTCGACCAATCCATAACGCACCTTGAACGTGCGTCTGATCTCTGCGCCATAGATCATCCATGCCACCCTGCAGCACTATTCAATCTAGCTTCCGCGAAGTTTGTTAATTGCCAAGTAAATGGAACATACCTCGACCTCGACATCCCCATCTCTCTTTTTCAAGACGCCCTTGCTTTACGTCCTGCTGGTCATCCTGACCGACCCACGACCCAGCTCCATCTTGCCATTTCTCTGCTGTCTCGCTCTGCGAAACAGGGATCCCAAACAGATGCTGATGCGGCCGGAGAGTTACTGAGCGAAGTCTTCGACGTTTGCCCTGCCAACAGCCACATTTACAGAGCAGCTTTGCTTGTAATCGATACATTTGTTCAACATCAAGCTGGAGGCATGGATGGACACGCTATTGGGCACATGCAGCCCGCTGCATCCATACTTCCGTTGTCGCCAAATCAACTCGCTGATCGTGCAGAGCGGTGCTCGCAGAGAGATGATCCCCACGACTTAGATGAAGTGATCTCCCTTCATCACGATGCACTGCGATACTATGATAGTATGCATGCTCGCCGAGGGCATTTGCTAGGCAATCTAGGCTCACTGCTGAACACTCGCTATCGTCGTCAAGGCAATAACCAAGACTTGGATGACGCTGTCATGCTTCACAGGGACGCGCTGGCTTTACGTCCAGTCGGTCACCCACGTCGGTCCTCGTCATTAAATAACCTTGCGAATGTGCTCTCCACTCGCTTCGAGCACCGAGGCAATGGCCAAGACTTGGATGACGCTGCCATGCTTCACAGGGACACGCTGGCTTTACGTCCAGTCGGTCACCCACATCGGTCCTCGTCATTAAATAACCTTGCGAATGTGCTCTCCACTCGTTTCGAGCACCGAGGCAATGGCCAAGACTTGGATGACGCTGCCATGCTTCACAGGGACGCGCTGGCTTTACGTCCAGTCGGACACCCAGATCGGTCGTCGTCATTAAATAACCTTGCGACTGTGCTCTCCACCCGCTTCGAGCACCGAGGCAATGACCAAGACATGGATGACGCTGTCATGCTTCACAGGGACGCGCTAGCTATACGTCCAGTCGGTCACCCAGATCGGTCCATGTCATTACATAACCTTGCGAATGTGCTCTCCACCAGCTTCAAGCACCGAGGCAATGACCAAGACTTGGATGACGCTGTCATGCTTCACAGGGACGCGCTAGCTTTACGTCCAGTCGGACACCCAGATCGGTCGTCATCATTAAATAGCTATGCGAGTGTGCTCTCCACCCGCTTCGAGCACCAAGGCAATGACCAAAACATGGATGACGCTGTCATGCTTTACAGGGACGCGCTGGCTTTACGTCCAGTCGGTCACCCACATCGGTCCTCGTCATTAAATAACCTTGCCAATGTGCTCTCCACTCGCTTCGATCACCGAGGCAATGACCAAGACTTGGATGACGCTGTCATGCTTCACAGGGACGCGCTGGCTTTACATTCAGTCGGTCACCCAGATCGGTCCATGTCATTAAATAACCTTGCCAATGTGCTCTCCACCCGCTTCAAGCACCGAGGCAATGACCAAGACTTGGATGACGCTGCCATGCTTCACAGGGACGCGCTGGCTTTACATTCAGTCGGTCACCCAGATCGGTCCATGTCATTAAATAACCTTGCGAGTGTGCTCTCCACCCGCTTCAAGCACCGAGGCAATGACCAAGACTTGGATGACGCTGCCATGCTTCAAATGGACGCGCTAGCTTTACGTCCAGTCGGACACCCAGATCGGTCCTCGTCATTAATTAACCTTGGGAATTTGCTCTCTACCCGCTTCGAGCGCCGACGTGATCGAGAAGACCTCCACGGGTCACAAGAGAAGCTCCGCTGTGCACTGACTCTTTTGACGCAACATGATCCTCGTCTATTAATCGTCCATCGATCACTAGCTAACGTCTATATGTTGTTCCATCAATCGGGACTTAACGGCACTGGTGAACACATTGACAGTTCGGCTGCTGCCATGCATCATCTCCAGGCTGCAGCAAATGTTGTCTCTGGAGGTTTGCTATCTCGCCTGCGAGCAAGTCTATTCTGGGTTAACAAGGCCCACGAACATTCACATGCTACCGAACTGGAGGCTTATACGACTTCCATGCAGCTTCTGGACGCTTACATGTCCGCAAGGGCTTCAGTATCGTCTCGTCACAATGTCATGAAGTACTTCCCCAATACGCTTGCTGTGGATGCTGCATCATGTGCCCTTCGTAGCGGTGATGTGTGTCGCGCTATCGAGTTGTTGGAACAAGGCAGAACTCTCATCTGGACCCAGATGACACGACTCCGCACGCCTCTTGATGGCCTCCAAGATCTCGGTGATCATGCAGTGGCCTTGATGAAGAAGTTCAGAGACCTCAGCTCCCTCCTTAATACACCTCCTATGAATTATCAAGAAGGGACCCCAAGCGTCAATGTAGAAGCCGAAGCAAGTCGGTACCGACGTCTAGTGGAGGACTGGAATAGAGTTGTAGAAGGGATTCGTGATATCGAGGGCTTCTCTCGCTTTCTACTTCCCCCCTTGTTCTCCGATCTTCAACATGCAGCTCGTGATGGGCCTGTTGTCGTGCTCGTTGCAAGCAAGTCGTCTTGCGATGCCATTATTGTTCCACACAACCAACCTCCGATGAACATTAAACTCCGCATCAATTTGGAGAGACTCCAACATTTGGTGGTCAAACTCCAACGGGCAAGTCAACCACAGGCCGCTCCCAAACCCGCTCCCGAAACCACTCCAAAATCCGCTCCCAAAAGTACCCACTTGCCCCTCATGAAAGCTTTGACGGAGTTATGGGACGACGTCGTCCGCCCAGTGGTCGACAATTTGGGCGGATTTGCACCACCAGGTTCCCGGATATGGTGGTGTCCTACGGGGGCCTTCAATTTCTTGCCGTTGCACGCTGCTGGCGCGTACAGGCGAGGCGGACAGTTGCTTTCGAAGCTCTATATCTCTTCATACACGCCATCGCTTACCGCCCTGATCAGGGCTCGCAGAAGCCACGATAGATCCCTGCCAGTGCCCTTTGCTGCCATCGGTCAGAATCACCCAGCCGGTCATTCATTCACTTTGGAGTTTGTGGAGCCTGAGCTAGATTTGGTGCAGAAGCTTTTACCCCCTCCCCCGACTGTTGCCTTCACCAAGATAACGAGCGTTGATTCAACGAAATCGAGAGCATTGCGTGCATTGCGAGACAATACTTGGCTTCATTTTTCATGTCACGGGACACAGAATTATACAGAACCCTTCAAGTCGGCCTTTCTCATGCTCGACCAACCGCTTTCACTCCTCGATATCTCACAAATGGATCTGTCTCGGCATGAATTTGCCTTTCTTTCTGCCTGTGAAACCGCAGTCGGTGATCTCAATACGCCTGACGAAGTCATACACCTGGCAGCTAGCCTTCAATTTGCTGGTGTGCAGAGTGTAGTTGGGACATTATGGGAGGTCAACGATCATACGGTGCAGCGCTTAGTTGAGGCATTCTACAACAACTTGTGTGAGAAAGGCACAATGGATTCCCAGCGGGCTGCCCAAGCGCTGCACAAAGCGGTCCAGTTGTTGGCCGGTGACGAGAAGATGCCCTTGGACCAGCGCATAGTGTTCATTCATATTGGCATATGATCAATTTCGTACGTCCCCCACCTTGTTAATCACCGCTTTCTTGATACCTTCTGACGCTATCGCGTGTATCATCTGAATCCAGCCGTGGCTTTTCGTTATTTCAAAGTTTGACACTGTATAAGTACCTTCCGGATCCCCAATATGTGGTGCAATGGTGGATATTTCTGCATGTGTGCGGTTGGATATATACCTGCCAGCGGCTTATCGATCATGTAACGAAGAAACTCGCTGTTTTACATCACCGGAGATCAATGTCATTCGTGTGATGCACCTTACATCCTGAAAATACAATCGCTAGCAAATTCTGATAAAGCAACAAATCAAACATGTATGCAATGCACCATGCTTGAGTTGATAGGAAGGAACCAATCATTCACGATGACCTGCACAAAAGAAAGAAAAGGAAGACAAATCAAGCATCAGATCAAGAACTCCTCGCCACAACAAGCGCTCGCCATCACCACCGAACTGAAAATCATCGATCATCCCATCCTCCACTTCCTCCATCTCAAAATCATCGACGTCTTCATCCACTACGAGATCCCCTCCCTCCCAATCGTTCCCCTCGTCCTCGTCCTCTTCGTGCGTTTCAACCAGTGAGGGCGGGCCAGCTTGCTCTGTGTTAGTGGGAGAAGGCGGATCAGAAACTGCACCTTCACGTGGCTCATCATCATCACTAGACTCAATAGGCTCCAGCCCGGGCAAAAAGTGTCTCTGCCTTCCACGCCTTGAGCTGGCACAAGCTGAACAGGCACACAGATCTGATTTGCCTGCTGAGGCTGAGGCATGGATCATCACCATGCGCCATGCGCCGTGCAGGCTGAGATGGCCTGTTTTGCTCTGAAGATGGGTACCAGTTGAAAAAGAGCCCAGTGTGCGTCATCTGCAGACATGAGATGAAAGATCGGTGTCGGCTGTGGTCGTATTTCGTGACACAGCAGACAGATACGCCAGGACGAGGCGGGGCCTCCGCAGTGAGCTTGCTGATTTCGGGGTCTAGGGATACGATAAACAGACCCTTGCGCTGCGATGGGCTTAGCGCTGAGAAGCCTAGATGTGGGAGGGGACACTTACGGTTGCAATTGCGGCTTTTTCATTTGATTCTCCGTGGGCTAGATAGACAGAGATGTCTCGGACGTTGTCGTCAAGAGAGAGATTAAAGTTGAGGAGGGTTGCTGTGTTGTTGAGAGCGGCCTCGCAATGGATGAGGTATTCGAAGCTGGGCATCCAGATGAAGATCCTGGATGCGGTGAGTACTCCCATGTCCTTGCCCGAGGAAGATACATGGGCTGCACAAACAGTGAGTAGATCATGTAGATCGACGTGTATGACAGACAGTCATACTTCACCCTCCCGGAGTGTTACAATTGTCTCAACGAAAGTCCAAACCTTGTCACGGAAATACTCCCATAAACACCCTTTTCGTGGGCAATCTCCCCAGGAGCACAGGGGATTACGATGACTATCTGGAAACTCGATTAAGAGCCTTATTTGCTCCACGCCCGGGATATAGAAGTTTATTATTCACCCGCAAGAGCGACGGGCGGATGATGTGTTTGTCGACGTAAGATATCTTCTTCCACTCATAGCATTCTTGTTTATGGCGATATCAGTTTCAGGATGTACACCATGCCACCATGTCTCTCAATGACCTCACTGGCTCCACTCTCGGTGGGCTCATCAAAAACGGTGGTATCCGTCTGTCGTATAGTAAAACATCCATGGGTGCCCGCAGGCCATATACTGCGGGTACGGGAGCACATGCAACTCCTCCAAGCTTCGGAGCCTAATCATAATACTTATTAGTAAATAGCATGTATGATAATGTATCTCACCATGATGGTACAGTGTAAACCGCATACCCTGATCTTCAAGTAGCCAGCTGTACCGAAGACAAATGATTCAGAACCAGAAAGTCACGTGGTCCAGATCTGATCGGGGGCAAGTCCAAGTGATCGGCTACATCCAACTTGCTTGCATGCAATCCATCCCTCTAAAACCTGCCTAAGCTTCACTGACATCGCCAAATAATGCGGACGCATTCCCAGGAATATTGAACACCAAAATGACGTTGCAAATGGACCGTCAAAGATCAGTGAAGTTCGTGATGTGAATTTATTCAACACTCTAATTAGTATATTGAACGAGAGCATTCAGAGGCAAGAAACGAGCAAGAGCTTCGTCCCCGAGCTCTTCTTCACTTTCTTCCATACATTCGGAAGCTCCTGTCATCGCGCCTCCATTGAAAAAACGTGCGTACGTGACTTTCTTCGATTTGTGACCTAACTTCACCGAGAATACTAGCTAAGAGAGCAGAGACAAGGCCCTGCCCGGCATGTACAGAATTGATCCCTGTGCGTCTGCTTGCTGCTCATGCGGCTCTTGAATTGCAAAGGGTCGAAGACATCATTCGGCATATTGGTGAATCAGAGGTCTTGGCAGAAGCTGATGACTTAGAAGAAGGGTGCGTCTGACTATGTCTGCTACTACATTGCACGAATAGTTAACGTCACACATGTCAGCCCGGGCAACCGCGCCCGACGCTCTGCACTGAAGGCTCGTAAATCCCTTACGACCTCTATCTCTTCCTCGTCCACGTCTCCTTCCGCCATAGACAAGACTATTCAAATCATTACGCGTCGACGAAAAGCACGACATGTGCGGCTCAAAGAGCTTGCTAAAAAGCATGAAGCAGAGTCCTGGATTTCAGAAGTTGAGGGAGGGACGTCATGTCCTGTGTGTGCACAGGTAGTCAGAGGCGACCGGGATGTCATTGAGGCACATGTGGATGCATGTCTAACCCATGAAAGTACTAGGTTGGAACGAGAACGGCTACATGATGAGGAAGAGGACCTCGATATAGGTGGTGGCGGAGGTAGCGTTAGGACAAGAGTGATTAATAGTGCAAGTCTACGAGGTCAGTATCGAAGCCACGAGGCAACACAAATTATCGCTGACCCATGGACAGGCACTGGTATTCATGTCCGAACATCTAATACACTGGACGTTGAGGATGAAGTGGACATAGATGGCGAGGATGAAGCAGTGTTCGGAGAAGCACAGTTTGGCGAGGCTGATGTCCTGGCTTTGCCTTCAAGTGACAGGGATTTGCACCCTGAGAATGAAGATGCCGACGTCGACATAGACGGTCAACTAGGAACTGCCCAAGAACGACAGACGCTCAGACATCTGATAGTTGAGGGCAAGGTCTTGGTAAAGTGGACAGATAGTATAGAGAGCAAAGTTGTCCAACCGACCGAGATGGACCAGCTCGACCTCGACATCTTCACTGCGCGCTCGCGAAATGACCCTAGCGCACTTATTGTAGCTCTGGAGAACAAGCTCAAGACTCTGGTAAGTTCATGGCATGAATATTGTCACCCTCAACTAAAAGTTGATCACAGGAATCTAATGCCGGCTCAACATCGTCGCCTAACTTGTGCCGTATTTGTCTTTCACAGTATATCGAGCCAACAGTGTCCACAGGATGTTGGCACACATGTTGTCGTGAATGTTGGCTTCGTTGTCTGGGAGCAACTAAGCTTTGCCCCATGTGCCAACGAATCACTAGCGCCGCTGAGCTGAGAAGGGTGTATATGTGATGTTGCGTGTTCAATCTTGCTTTCGATACCTTAAATATAGCATATTGCATTTGTATTTTGCACGATACACCATCTTGTTAATTCCTGCAAGTAAGCATCGTGATGAGCGTTCTATTCTTCAGAACAGAGTCGCGCGCAAAATAGTGCTCATATCTGGCCTAATACCATCGACATGTGCCACAGAATAAACCAGTTCAAGTTAAAATGGTTACAAGCAGCGGAAATTCAGGGCCCTCGCATGGAGAGCCACCACGGAATATAATCATGGAAAGTTGAAGGGAGGGGCAAAACTTACCTGAGTCAACAAACATACTCCATTGGCATCACTCAGAATTGATCAATGGAACCTCAAACTTCTAGCAGCATCTGATTAAGTGAAGGACTGAGCGGAGAAGAGGCTCTTTTAAGTAGACTGAATTATAAAATACAGCTGGAGGTGCGTATGCAAGTAGCAATGACTCATGCGAGTGGGCTTATGAGCCTGGTAAAACGTGTCAAAATTTTCCGAGGTCAACTGGAAGCGCCAAAATAACGCACTTGATAAGGGTGGGCTGAGGCGTGCTCCGAGTATAGCCAATGTAAATGATGAGCGGTATCCAACCATAGTGCATCACAGTCTGCAGAGTAGTCAGTAATCCTGTTCAGGCTGGGGTGGGAGCCAACGTACGCGGCCAACCTCCACAAGCTTCGTGATACGTTCCTGCATAGCATAATGAGTATTCAACGGGGACAATCATATGAGCGGCGTTGGTCGAACCTTGGTCTCTTCGGAAGGCATTTTGCAAATGTTTGATGACGGCGCGAACCAAGAAACTTGAGCTTCAACGCCCACGAAAAAGGCAAGTCCCTTCATTTGTAACTCCGACCACTTTTTGGCTTGATCACTGCAGCCAGATTAGCTGCTAACTATCTTTGAAAATGCCTGTACGCTCATCTTCGTCAGCGGCGTACATACAGAACACTTCATTAAGTTCAAATGGTGTACCTTCGTAAGCTCATCCAAAACTCGCCCCGCGATGATATTGGTCTGACGATCTGCTAGGACACGCCCAACTTCACTAACGATTCATCCGTCTGCACTCTTCTCGATCCTTGACCACTACCTTCGGCGAACAGATGCTCAACATCGTGTCATTGGTACCCTTCTTGGTACCCGCACGGACTCCACTGTTGACGTCAAATCTGCATTTGCTGTCCTCCACTCGGAAACCGATGAGCAGGTTGCCGTGGACATGGACTACCACCGTGCCATGTACGACCTCTGCATTCGTGTTAGACCCAATGAAACCATCGTAGGATGGTACTCGACTGGCTCAGACCTAAACACATACTCTGCCTTGATCCAAAATTTCTACTCCCAAGAGACCGCACCGAATCAAGCGGTACACGTTGCCCTTGACACTGGAACGGAGGAGGGCAAAGGTGCCGGAGTGAAGGCATATGTAAGGTATGTGATATACCTTCCATGTCCTGCAGATCCCCTGATGATTTTATTTTGACTGATTCAGCTCACCAGTTGGGATCTTCCCGAAACCTGAAAATTGTGTATTTGTTCCAATCCCTTGCGAACTTCGCTTCCACGAAGCAGAACGCAGTGGCCGTGAGCTCAAGTCTATCGTGTGTACCAATATGCCATTAATTGAATTTTCTTGCTTTAGTCGACCTACTGTTGTCTCCAAACCCGTCATCCAATCAAACCGACCTTGATGTCCTTGCTTCCTCATTGACAGACGTGCAAAACATGCTCAACAGAGTACTTGCCTATGTACAGTCTGTCTTGCGCGGTGAGGTTGTCGGGGACAAGGCAGTCGGAAGATATCTTATGGACGTATTGGGCACTGGCGTGGAGGAAGATGGCGGCTGGACTGCAGGGCTTCAGGACACCCTGATGGTAACATACCTCGCGAACTTGGTCCGAAGCCAAGCCGAAGTTTCTGCAAGATTAGCGTTGACCACCGCAGTATGAGTAACGTGGTGCGTATTCATAGTTTTGATTGCGATTGAAGTTATTCACGATATCGCCTAGCTAGATTCGTTGTCCGCCGGTATTCAACGCTTTCATCTGCGAAAAATTGGTGGCTTGTATCAGTGTGCACTATAGTCTGCTGTACCAGTCATCCTCATACTCCTCTATGTAGAACAGCCGCCTGCGGCAACCCTAGTTGATGTGTGCGGTTGCTTTCCTCGCGCGAAGGGGGAAGACAATTATCAGAATTGATTTTTTTATCGAGATAAACCTTTGCCTGCTAAACGTACGTCTCCAACACTAACTGAACTAGGAAGGCGGACAATCTCCTCGGGGCAATTGTATTTCTGTGTATCTCGAGTTTAAGTCGATTGCAGCTTCGACTTTACTAGAGCCCGACCTGCTTAAGATTTGAAACACGCTTATGGTTGCAATTGGCTCACGTATAGTTAACGTTCATGTGACAAAGTCTTGAGCATGTCTTGGGGTGCCCAGTACAGGAAGTAGGACAACCGATCGCGAGCATGTGCTATAAATCAGTCATTATCATAACACCCTCCCCTCAGGTCAATAATCCGCATGCCCAAAAATTCTCCCAGTATACACAAGATTCAGAGCGAGAGAGGGTAGCGGAATGTTTGATTTTTCAATGCGCGCCCAAATAGAGCCTAAAAGAACTTTACGACGTACTATTCATGACGCGTTGACAGAGTGAACAATATCGCAGCCTCTGCACTCCCCTTTCTCCCTGCCCCGCTCAGTTACGCACAATTACGCAGCCAGCTGTGTAAGGGAAATTCATCTTCCACCAAGGTATCAAAAGCAACGTACAGTACTCAGGCTGATCAGCTATTGAATATTCTCGAGTGTTGTAAATCATGTCGAACCGCGAGGATCTCGCCAAGGGGCCATGTCGTAGCAGGCCGATCATCTGCATCGTTGTGATGCATGTCCCCGAAAATTCCAGTACGCATATCCTTATTCTGTAATACTTCCGCCTCCACCAGGGGTCTCACTGAGTGGAGCAAAAGCTGCTGCGAACTGTAGGGTCCTATCGTATTCAAGCGAACGGCCGAGGAGAGAAGTGAACGTGCATGGAGAAACAGAAAAAGGTGTTGAGCTCGCACTAGAAAACAATTATAATTTATGATAGGAATTCGGATACCAAACATACGAAGTGAAACCCCAAGAGCACTGGTCAGCACGCCCCAGCACACGGGCAGATGGCCATGCGTCTCTTCTCCGCGAATCATGAGTTTCAATCGATCGGTAAGAACGGTCAAGCTCTTTGAAAGGTGGTCTTCATAATTGAGGTCAGAAGGGCAAGCGAACCCTTTTGAGTACAGTGTGAGGAGTGCTACACCCTGGGCTTTGGAGGCACGCTTAGCCACATGATTGAGTGTCATAGTTTCGTACAGCTCGTCCAGCTCCACCAAATTCTTGATTGTACCTTCATGGCCGATCTCAGGCTCGCCCTTGAGATCCTTGCATGCATCTACTACACGGTGGGCGTCCGAAACGAATGGAAGAGCGCTTCGGGCGTAGGTATGCAGGCTGTCTTGAATGAAAGCGACTGTGCCCGCTGTCAATGTTTTCCCCTTCCCCATATTTGATGCGGATGCAAGAGAGAAGAATCCATGCGTTCCGTAGGACTCAAATCCAGAAGACGCGACGAATGAGCCCGTGGGCAGATTAGAGTCGGCGAGGAGAAGCAGAACATATGTTTCGTCGAAATCGGTATCCATCACGATGCTATATGATACTTTTGTAACATAGCCATGGTCCTGGGGGCAACACACTCACTCTCAAGAACCCTGGTCCGGTCTATTGTGCAGCGCTCCTGCAAGGATGTGTAGTAAGTAGAAGTTGTGGTGGGATCCGGTTAGATATTGATCTCAAGTAAAGGTCGATGCAAACCGTGAGGATAGATATCCGCGCGTGTTTTGACGAATTATATTTCATTGACGATCCAGCAGCATCAAACCATTCACAGTAGAGTAGTATACATAACGTGCGTATGAAACGCGTGTAGATGGGAATGTCGAGAAAATGCTGGGCGGTAACCCGAAGTTCAGAAAACAGGTGGTATGCAGAATCGAAAATATGAGGGGATGAACACGAAATGCAAGCCACCGAGTCAACGCAGGGATAAGAACTCGAAGGTACCTAAAACAACAAGTGGTAAACTAGTATAGTAGAGATATCAGCAGGTTGACGTGCGAGCAATAGGATAGTTGAATCTGTGGGAGCGAATGATACGAACGCAGAGACGAAGAAGAAAACAGCCAGATTGTGAGTATGTAGGATGGAGGATTGCGATTAATGGTTGCGAAACGGGGAAAAAATAAAAAATGGAGGCGACGGCGAAGTTGACAGTCCGAAAGAGAAACCATGCGATCGATGAGAAATGGAGGGATGTCAATCATGTCGTGGAGTGGTAAGTACAGATATATATATAACTTGCAGATTCGTGCTGTAGATGCTTGCATGCGGACTGTGAGAATACGAGGGAATTTAAGTTCGTCCCTTTAACCGGCCCTAGCGGCCTCTAGTGTGGTCGATGAAGGCGACAAAGCGCGATGCGGGAAATGATGCGGGTGATCATGAGCCAGGGAGCCTTCTGAGCTCTGATCGGGTATCAAAGAATGCGAAGGAGGGAGACCATTCGCGCGCGAACGAGGTGACGAAAGTGGCAGACCGAATGGCGAGAAAGTTGAAGGTGCTCCATTCGGTGAAGGCAGCCCAAAGGCTTGCGAGCCACGAGGGAAGGCGGTCGCATTGCCAACGGACGGTGTGGGCGCCATACCGAAGTTCGTGGATGACGGTGGAGGAGAGAAGAACCGTGGAGGGGGCGGTGATCTTGAGTAGCCATACGCCCCAGACAGTGATGTTGCGTTTGAGCTTTCGCGCCTTATCCCCATAGACGCATCGACATCGAAGGGGTGACGGACTTGGAATGACTCAGGGGGGAAAGGGGAACCAGAGTGAGCGTTGCCTTGCTGTTGTTGAAGCAAGGATGCGCCGGTACCAGCACTGGTTGGCGTGCGTACGCCCAATGGGTTCTTGCTGTATGACAAACGGATGCCACCATTCTTGACGATGCCACCGAGAGTATTACCATACAGTTCATTGAGAGCTTTCGTGGCATAATGCACATCGTCGAACTGTGCAGGTCTCAAATAAGCCATTGTACCCTGAACATAAGTAAGCACTTACCTCAACGAAGCACATTGGACCATTGCTCTTTTGCCTGAAGCACAACTTCCTATACCCCGGACGCCGAGAAAAAAGTTCCCTCAGGCTGTCCTCCAGAAACCCTGCAGGGTACCCACTGCCAACGGACCCTGTAGGAAGGTTGCCCACGTACAATGTATTGATAGGCGGATTCTGGTCGACAACAACATTCCTTGGGCCTGCTCCGACAGCGTTCCCCGCACTTGTTGCACTGCCACCTCCATTCATGCCAGCAGACGAGCTTGCTGACCCCGACTGAGAAGCGGGTGATGGAAGTTGAGGTGAGCCGATACCAGCACTCCCCGAACTCGGTTGTGCGCTGGTGCTAACTGCGAGGAGGACCGGCCTGTCGCCCTCAAACCCTCCGGCGGAGCTCGAAGTAGCACTGCTAGGTATCGGGTGAGACTGGTTCTGCAGGTGTAAAGCCTCGTCCAACTGGGAAGATAGGGGATAAAGCGAGCGCAACGCGCCAGAACGGTGCGGTGGAAGCATCATATCGTCCTCATCACTTGGTGAAAAGGCTGCGTGAGAATGAGGAGGAGACTCGTCCTGAGGCGATGGAGGCCGAACTGGCATCATAGACTTCCGAGCTGCATACAGTGATGAAAGGGTTTGGGGAATACCGGATCCCTCTCTCTCACGCGGAGAAGGCGCATCCCAAGGTCCGATGCTTCGGGACTCACGGGGACCGTTGTTATCAGGGGTGATATTGCTCGAGCCATCCCGACCAGTCTGAGCGATGATGTTGCCATATCCGTTTCCCATAAGCGGGCTTGGACCGCTACTTCCACCTTCTGTGAGCCCAGAAATGGACATTGACCCACCCGCAGGAGAAAGTAGACCGCTCTGTGAATGACGGGACAAAGCGGGCGCGGAAACCGAATGGAAAGCTTCGAAAGCGGGGGTGTTTCCAGGCAGCATTCTAGGAGCGTCAGTATGGAACTGCTTGAGGTCCTTGCTGCGCCTGACCCTCTCTTCTTCATCAGCCTGAGCGCGTTCACGAGCACCGCGCATCAAACCAAGTCCAAGGCCAAGTGCCTCCCTGCGCCTGTCACGGATGTTGCTCTCCCGCTCATCCTCACTGCTGTCCCCGAGCCTTCCCTCGCGCCAGCCAGGCCCGCCCAGTCCCGCTGCGTTTAGTTCCCTTTCGCGCGGAGAGAGGAGATCAGAGTTGTTGCCGGTAAGCGCAGCCAGATTGTTCAAATTGAGATTGCTGTTAAGGCTCAGGCCAGCGAGATTGGCGATGATATCAGCATTGCTTCCAAGACCGCTAATTGATCCCATGCCTCCGCTTCCACTCAAGCCTCCGATGTTCCCCATACCATTACCAAGAGAAACACTTCCGCCACTTCCAGACGTCGTGGCACCCATGCCAACGCCTCGCTTGGTGTGCAAGTTCTTCTTAGCCATTTCGGCCTTCAGAATTGCACCTTTCTCGATGTCGACGCGGCGGCCCTGAAGCAGGTCTCTTGCTTCGAGCGCCTCCTGACGAGTGCGAAACTTGGCAAAACCTATGATCTGCTTTCGGGGTGGCTGCCCACCCAGCCCTTGTCCCACTTGGAAGTGCGAAGGCTCATCTAGCGGCATGGTGAGGGGTGGCCAGGAGGTTGTTGGGCCATCTCGTCCATTATCAATCACAACCCCTCCTTGATTGACAGTGACGACATTGTACGGATCATTGGAGCCGGAGCCCAAATAACCGGCATAGGCACCTCCACGAAGAGGGAGACCGGACGGTGTAGTCGACGTCGTTCCACCGACCGACCCGTATGCTGTGTACTCCTTGTTTGGTATCTTGAGGGTCGCGGCTTCAAAGCCGGAGGAGAAGGTAAACATATTCTGGAACTCGCGTTCCTACATAGAAGTTGTCAGAAGTTGTGAGACGTCACAAAAGCACAGTACATACCTGCATGTCATCAGGAAATCCAACCACAAAAATCGTCGAGATCTCTTCTGGTAGTCCATTGTTAACACTCTGCGACTCAACATTTACATTGAGCTGCCCAACGCTACCCATGGGCCTTGCATTGCTTGCTGGAACCCCTACGGTGCCGCCATTAGATTGCAAGTGGGGACCATAAGGCGTCTGGCTCTGAAGGTGCATCCCATTCAGGTAAGGCATTTGAGAAGCAGAGTTACTATGTGGCAGCGGATGATACGCGTCGTGGACCTGTGATTGGTGTTGGCCCTTAGACGAATGCGCTTGGAGGAATGGATCCAAGGAGGAAAATTGTTGAGAGACCTTGCCGCCCCCCAGCGGAGAGCCGGCCCCGAAGTCATACCCGCTACGTGACTCGAACGCGGCAGACCTTGAAGCGCCCTGTTGAGATTGCTGGGAGAGCTGGTGCTGCAAATTTAAGGGCTGGTGAGACCCGAATACCTCGTGCGTATTTGAATAAGGTTGTGAGGGGAGACCATCTGATTGCCGCAGGCGGTACGTGCCAGTGGCACCAGAACTAGAAGTGTTGCCACTACTGATTCCGTTATAGACGCTCAGAGACGACCTCAACGACCCAGCGCCAAAGTCGTTTGGAGACTTGCTCCCTGCGAGACTCTGCTTGAGGGAGGTGTCGTCTGAAAGGTACTCGGGAAGGAGATGGAAATTATTGGAAGTGTTATACATGGATTGAACTCCGCCATGAGAGAACAATGACTCCGAATTTCGATGATGATTATCATCAATGTGTTGCTGAAGAAGGGAAGTGCGGAGTATACGATCATTCTCGTGGTGGTTGGCATTGAAATCGAAATTGCTGGGGGAATCAGACCTTGTCATAGGTGGGATATGAAACTGGGCTTCGGGAGACGGTACCCCCGAACCAGAGTTAGAGTTTGACTGAGACATGGCAGGTCGCGGAGATGGATGAATTGGTTCTGCGTCTCCTTGGGCTTCGAGAGAATCAAGCAACGAACGATTAATGAGGTCTTCTTCGAGCCTTTGGATGGGCGGAGGAGTGGAAGCTATGGACGCCAGATTGGTAAGATGGTGCGTGGGGGAGATTACAGACAAGTATGTGGGATGGCTAAGACTAGAAATTGGACATCAACAGCCGTAGAATGTTATGAACGTGGTACGGACGATCGTGGGAGGTAGCGCGAGACGGTGATTGCTGATATGGCTACAATCGAAAAACAAACTGGCAAAGATGTGTGTATATGGGCTATGAGTAATTGCGAATGATGGAGTGAGGGTGGATAGCGTCGGCGATGAACGTGACAGCGATGAGCAACAGCGGTCGACGTGCGCGACGCGTGGGAGTAGATAAATAAGAGAGGTCGACACTGAGCGGGCAACGAAGCGACAGCAAATGAAGCGCACGAAAAGGTGACAGACGACGAGCGGAGAAGGTGGTCGTCGCCGTGGACGGTGAGGAAGGGCGTCTTGTCGCTGTGGTTATCGACGTGGAAGGTGCGATCGAGGTTGTCAAAGTGTGAAGGAACAAAAGGAAGCGCGCGGGGCCGACCCAGAATTCAAACCGAAGAAAATTAACAACACCAATTATTTGGGTCACAAAAGTCACAAATGCTCCCACGCACAGACCGTAACCTTATTTCTTTCGCACGCACACACCCTCCATTCAACAAACGCACAGACCATCTCCTGGCACAAATAACTCCGGTTTTGTAGTTTTGGAGGAGTGAGACAGGAGGGAGAGGATAATGAGGGATGATTGACAATGTCTTAGCTCTGACATCGCGCAAACAATACTGTTGAGCAGACAACCTTCCAAATTGTTGAGGTTGAGGCAAGTCGTGGACAAGAGGCAATTCCCTTGATTGGTCGTCTGGCGGAAAGGTGGGTGTCGTTTGGCAACACCACCCCACGAAGTCCTCGACCAAAGGGTCAAAATTGAATCTAGCTGTATGCGGATGTAGTCAACTGTGACGATTCATCAGAAGGAACATTTTATTTCCTCGTAAACTATTATTATAAAATTCAGATATTCCCTTCATCTTCGAGCGTCGGCGCCCGTAACCATGCGCTCAGCGGAGCGCTTGTAGGCGTTTGCTGCAGCGTCCCTGCCAGCATGCCGTTGCTCGCCAAACATCGACGGGTTTTAATATACAGCAACTACTGCAACAAACGAACATTAGATTCTGTGGTACATACATTTCACCTCATAAAACTGCCGATCATCTGGATTATCTATTATTATTTTCACACAACGAATCGCAAGGTGTCTGAAGCTTGATGCATGTAATTTATCGGTTCATGCTGCGGCCCGTAAACAGCAGCTGGAAGTCGTGCTCCTAGCAAACATGCCGTGCTCATGCTACTTGAGTTCATTTTGGATGTAAACCGTTGTCCCCGCCACCCTCCCATGAGTCCTGTCCTGTCCCCCCAATCGTTCTGGCCGAATTAAATAGCTGCCGGACGCGCCGTGATGACACTCACTTTGAAATTAGACCTTGCGCAACAATGTGTCGCACAAATTAAGGTCGGGTACTGGTCGTTGACACAAATGTTATAATAGAGAACCGGAGATCTGCATTGTTCCGGGGTACTTTGAGTGAGTTCCACGATTTTTTGAAAAGGGGGATATGGTTGTGATTGAGAGTATATTTGTGGAACGTCAAGGTGCAGCGTTCTAACAACACTCCGAATAATCGAGGGTGGCAAGCCAGCCAGACATCCCCGGGGGATTTGTGTGGATCATAAGGATCACTGTAGAGACGCGGCTAAAATGTGTCATTTTGGATGTGAAAGCTATGAGTCCACTTTCGGGAAAACGCCGTCGCCAAAGACCAGAAGTGCTTTGCACCTTGAAAAATTGCCATGGGTATTGTACAAGATACATTATGTTTACATGGAGCATCTGCAAAAAGCGAGGATGAGGATCAGCGTTTGTGTGAACAAGACAGTAAAGCATGGACGGAACCACGAATCATACCTATGCGTGCCGGCCAATATATCGTTCATGCGAAGTTCATACGGAAAAGCTGAAATTCCTGCGACTAAGCAGACAACAATTAGGGTGGTGACCTACTTACTACAGTGTCGCCCACATGCACTCCAAGCGGTCATATATCTCGCAGTACCCTGAATGCACCAACCGCGAGCAGCCAGATAACGATACTGGCCGCCCACAGAGAAGAACAAATGAAACGCCATCGTGCGCGCGACGTCGCTTCTGCGATGGCATACGGAGAGCGCAAGTCATAATATGGCAGCAGTCCTATTGTAGGGTCAGAGTGTAATAGAGGAGTTGGCCCAAAATGTGGTGGTGGTATAAACGATGGTGGAGCATTTGCGCTGAAAAGTGACTGAGCGCGGTAAGCTCCGGGTATCCGTTCATGAGGAGAATTTGGTGATTGCACTGGCCCTGAAGGTCCCGAGTTATGCGGATGGACAGAATATGCTGGAGGAGGTACTTCAGGATTTACACCCGACTGCTCTGGTAGCGTGTGGGACATGGTCGGTTGCGGTCTATGTACCGAGAGGTAACTTGAAAATGGCTAATGTAGTAAGTCCAGTCGCGGCTTCTAGAAGTCCATGCATGCTGGATTTGAAATTTCCACGCAGCTCTGCTGTAGACGCCGAACAAGCAGCTGGTGTACATCATGATGGCATGGCCTGTCAAGGATGTCAATATGTAAGGATGTCGATTTGATGTCGATCTTCACATTGAATATTGCATGCTAAAGTTGATCAATCGAAAGCAACGGCGTTTATATAACAATAATGCTACTAACATGTACATTATAAGGGTATTCATATGTCACAGTGTACAGGGTATTATGTACTTGTATTAAATGATTATAAACTCGCACCCATCTTGCAACACTACCGCCCTCAAGGGTCGTTTTGTTTTGATTGTGTCCAGGGACTGACGGACGTGCATGGCCAGCCATGCCCATTGAACAAGTGTGTGAGGACACAACGTGGCGCAGCACCTTGAGGGTACGTCGTGTGTGCCAGATAATTGGAAATAGCAGAAATAGAAGCATCGAATGCGTTGAACAGCAGCATGAGTAGCTGCCTAGTCGCTTCAGCAAGCGAAGGTGCCATGAAAAGCACTGGAAAAGAGAAAGGTGTCGGCCAGATTATATGTAGTCTCCTCTCTTTCGCTTGCGCCTGGTAGTTGATACACACTCATATCGATAGGAGATAACCCTCTCGAGTAATGCATCGGTGAGGAACGAGAGAGAGTCCGACTCAGCCGCCAGTACTCGTCCGTCATCGCTGCCTCTGCCTGGCGATTGGATTGTGGAGAATTTTCCATGTCCATCCCCATTAACTCGGTCATCGGAGTTGCAACTCCCGGGCCATGATGCTGCTCGAATTCTCCAATCAAACTGGAGTCAGCGCTGAACGACGTTGAACATGTCATCGGAGTTGCAACCCCCGGGCCGTGATACTGCTCGAATTCTCCAATCAAACTGGAGTCAGTGCTGAACGACGTTGAACATGTCATTGGGGTCGCCGACCCAGGGGAGAAATCGAGGTTGTTCCATGAATCTAGCAAAGCCGCTTGCGGGGTTTGCATAGTAGTCATGACATAAACCTGTGGAGTGGAATGGATGTTGATGGTATTTGGGGGTAGATACGCCTGCGCATCTGCCGTAGCCGAGGCCAAGCGCTCTAGAGAGGCGCCATCCTCCGGCGCTACGCTATACAGCAGGCCATCTGGATCCTGCGATACAGCAGGCGGAATTTGTGGGCTTAGATAATGTAAATGCTGGGGCGTCCCAACTGTTGGGGCACCACAGCTCTGCGACGAGTGCGGGGAAGGTCCCGGAAGCAGAGCATATGAGAGCTCTGATGTATAGGGCTCTGAGTGTATGGGCAGCGCCCCCTCCATTCTTCCTGGCGCAATCAGAGACAACGAGGAATGAGCGGGAGTGACATCAAAACACATCAAATCAGGTCGATCTTGCGTTCTCTCGTGCGCGATAGACACGGGAGGCGTGGTCACGCTGAAGTGCGAAGATGGTGAAGAAGGCAGTTCGCGTCTCCTGAATCCAAGCTGACCATCAGCCTCGTGGATGGTGCTGAACAGGCTCGTAGACGGATTTACGATTTCAATGCCAACCCGAACTCCATGCTCCATGGGTGGAGGGCCACCAATCTTTAAGGAGCCATATTTTCCATCCGGAGTCAACACCCCAATGTCATAATCACTTGGTCCTCGAGCATAAAATTTTGGGCACCATTTCAGTCCCCAACATGCTTCGAGCTGTTTAGATGGACTATTAGACTTTCTGAGAACAAAATTAAATCTTAAATGACTTACGAATCTCGGTGGTATACACCGGAGTTCACAACCTATGACGCGACCCAGACCATTTTCACGGACGTCCATGAGGTGCTCAGGTATCGCGAAATAGAAATATGAAAGGGAAGAGATGTGAAGCACCAAAGAGTTTGCGGACCTTCGTGAAGGGGAGTCTCAGGACCATTTGATTTGATTCGCGCAAGGCCTTATAACGAAGTTTGTCCAAGTACAGCCCGCTACCGAAGCACTGAGTGCATGAGTACGTTATTCCGAGGTGCGCGTGCAGGAAAAAACGTGGTCAGTAAACATTATCGCACATTAGTGGGACCGTTTATAGAGACCTAAGCGACGAGATGCTTACATCGCTGTGCAGCAGCCTTACTGACGTAGAGGACTCACTTGTGCTGTGCTGCGGACCAATTTATGATTTGCGGCTGGGAAATATTTACCGTACACCAACGATTTGTGGGCGCATGTAGGCGCCGCGTCAGATCACCCACCGACGGCATTCGTTTCGAACGTTGCAATGACTCTCGCCTCGAGGCTACCGCGTTTGCGTGGCGGTCCGTCTTGAATTATTTTTGTAGCACGATAAACTCAACAGAGTGAGAAATCAGAAGTCTCGAATTCCGGTGCGACCATGGGCATGCAGTGCAAATCAATTGGGTAAACTCATTGAGGTAGAGGGCTGGAACGAGTCAGTATATGTATTAGATGCATATGACGACTGCCTGCAGGCAAGTTTCATAAAATGCTTTACCAATGGATACCGCGCATGGGATGTATTTTGAGCGTTTGACTGGGGGTCGCGAAAGAGGAGACGCCGGCAAGAATTTGTTGTCGAGTCTTTGGTGGATAGTACTAGGGGCGAATTGGCTTGGCTGCATTGACACTCGCTCGGATCCTAGCGATGGTTTACATTCACCTGAACACACTTGCGTATGAAGTGAACGGATCTAGATAAGTTAAGCAACAGAGGGCATATTGGCAGCATAAGCAGAGTTTGTTCCAACAATCAAATGCAAACGCTACTAGTAAACAGCAAAAGAAATGCGTCGGGACAAAGACCTTCTGATACTCAAATGATGGTTCACATGCAATGGAATTCGTATGTACCGTAATAGCAACATGGTTTTGTGTACAGTGAATGATGATCGTTCTCATGTGTGGATGAAAGGGGAGCTCAGGAAGAGACTGGATCAAGTTTGGAAAGTCATGAAACCGACATCAAGTCTTGTTTCGTGCGGTCCCTGTGCGAGGATAGGTCCCAGTGTCTTGTGACGGCAATTTTGATATGTCTCTTCGTGTCTGTCCACGCAAGGTATCTTCGCGGGAAGCTACTCCTACTGTCTGGGGTGCAGGGCGTAAACCACCGCGAGCACGAGGTTTTTGGACAGGAGCACTGACTTTCCCGCGAGCGGATGCTGGGAGGTTCCTGGTAGTCAATGGAGGCTTCCGGACGTTTGTAGTGGGCTTAGCAGTAGGACGAAGATATGTGCTTCGCCGGGTAGGCTCGAGAACTTTTCTCCTCTTTGCTCCTACGTCACTATCCTCACTATCAGTGTCATCGTCGTCGTCAGTTTCGCTGGGGCCAGAGTCGAGGTCGTTTTCGTAAGATGCGGCAGTAGCAGTAGCCTTGCCACGTATGGTGGTATTTCTGGGCATAGCGCCGACAGTCGCAGTTCGACTGGGCATGGTTACAGTTGGGTATGGGCGTTTTTGTCCTGCATAATGCGACGAATCAGATGTGTGAAAGGAGCGACTGGACTCTGATGAGTTGCTGGTACGCAGAGACGACGCGTTATCGTTAGTGGTCAAAGCACTGGGCAGGCTCGCCACAGAGGAAGACGCGTGGGATGCCACTGACGACGGGAATGAGCGATAAGGAGTCCGTAAAGTAACATCAAAGTCATCATCTTCGGCATCCGTGTACGCATCCTCGTTCTCATCCTGGCTGCCCATACCGACAGATGATTGGAACCCATCTATACGAGGATGAACCTGTAACAAGCCGCTGCTTGCGTCGCTCGAGCAGCTGCTGGAGCTGGGGCTCGCGGGCTCATGCGCTTGCTGGAGCGATACATCAAAATCCTGGCTGTGGTTCATCAATGTGTCCTCAGGAATGAGTGAAATTATGGTAATTTGAGCAGGAGGTGAACTGATGGAACGATCCTGTCCAGATGGTGTGGTTCCAGGAAGAGAATGAGATGCAGGCAGGGGCGTCGGTGGGTATGCCGAAGGGAACGCCGGGTATCCTCTCCAATCTTCGTCAATGGGTTCGCTGACGACAACTGCTGGTGGAGGGGTCACCAAATTGGGAGTAGATACATTGGTTATCTCTGAACGTCCAACAGATGAACGGCTTCGTCTGTGTTCCTCTTCGTACGCAGGCGGTGGAGGACACCAAATCTGATATGCAGCTTTTCTGGTATTGCTCGTTGCGGGACGCGCATGAATACGGCCAACTGTATTGTTGGGATAGTGTGGGAGGGTTGTCATTGAGTACGACTTGGAATGTCGCACGCGGAGCGACATGCTCTCATAGGAATCAACAGGAGGTTGGCGGGGCTTGGGTCGCACCCTATTATCAGAGACGCTGCGGACAGCGACTGATCGCTTGTCCGCAACCTGAGGATTTGTCTCCACAGTAGCATATGGTTTAGCCAAAATGGGTATGTTAGAGTTATTGCTGGGGCGTGTCGTGCTCCCTGAATTTGGAGTTTCGGAGAAATCGGCGGCCGACTCATTTTCTTCCGTGTGCCAAGGCAGACCCGAGCACAGAGAGAGTACATAATTGAGCGGAACTTGTGAGAGAGCGAACAGAAAATCTCCAATATCCCTTGCTAGGTCAAGCAATGGGTCCAGGGTGTCCACATATGGTTTGATAAGTGGGCGCAGAATATGTAAGTACAGTGGTTCAGCCCCCTGCGTGAATGAGGTGTTAGCTTCGCTTGTAAGGAGAAGTTATCACCGTCCTACCTTGGCGCGGGTCAGCAGGAGAAACAGTAACGTGACTGACTTGATTTCGCTGTAGAACGGTATGATGAAGCTGATAAAACGGTCAAACGTTCTCTCATATGCTGCAAGACAGCACTACGGCACAACAGCATGAGCATGCTACGTAGACTACGAACAGCATATTGGGGATGCCTTACCCAAACAACCCAAACTGCAAGACATCCTTTGAGGTCCCTCTTTCTCTGAGTCATTGCTTTGATGCTAGGGGGACCGCCCTTGCGTCCAGGTGGTATTTTGAGAGTCTTATACGTGTCGTACACATTCATAAAGACCATGAACAGACGGAGGGCAGGAACGACGAGTGGCATGTTGAGAGTAGAGCCGAAGAAGTGCCCAACAGATATGTCGAAACGCCAGGCCCGTCAGAAAGTAGAGCAGAAAACTCAGAAAACTCCTCAACGCGGTCGGGGTGAGTTTGTTGCACTGCCTGATGGATGTAGTGGTCGACGTTGTTGAAGTGGCCTTGTGTATTCATGGACGCGCCTCCCACACCCATCGTGTCTGGCACCGCCTTACATAACAAACATAGTGCACTAACGTTAACGTTGACTAACGAGCGACAGTTAAACGAGGCAGCTGTGCGGTACTAATTTTCGTTGTGTGCGTTTGACGAAGTCCAGAAGCCCATAGCATATCCAAAGCGCATGCATTTTTCAGATGATACAATATGCATAGCATGAACGGGATCCACAGCCTTGCAGCCAGACATGACTTGATGAGTAGAGAACTACGAGATAGTACGAACTTCCAGCGAAGTCGTAAGGAATATGAACGTCATAGGCCGTGTAGCCAGAATATCGAGCAATATATCCATGCGAGGCGGCAAACGTGGAGTGTACTCGATGATCAGCAGCCCGCTGGCCTGCTGCGATATCCACCGTCAGGTCATCAATCGTAATACATCCTGTTCGCAATCGGGTAAAAACAAGTGGAGGCATTGCAGTATCAAATAGGGGCAACAATATACCCGTACCACACCGGTACAAAGAATCATCACATCCGAGAAGGGTGTTGCAGTCGATTGTGATTCCTTCGCGAGAGATGCGAAGGCGTAAAGCAAGGAATTGTACACATGGGGTCAGGCGCAGCCAGAGGATCTCAAGGACGGACAGCCACCTTGAGACCAAATTGGAGCATCTATACTCCGAAAGCAATGACCTTGACATGTCTTCCACTGGAGCAGCTGCAATGCGCAATGTGGGTCACCGGCATCCCAAAGAACCCAGGTGAGGCCAGACTCAGTGCACAGAACACCGCTTTGAGTACTTTCGATGGTAGTTGCTAGCCTCGTGAATTCGTTCCATGTAGAAGCGACGAACATCAGGTTGGAAGGGCAGGCGGAGAAACAATGCAGTGACACCGGTTTCGGTGAAACTCGTACTAAAATTACGGTTCAGGTACAATAACCTTGATATTTGCTTGATATCGGATGTTGTTTGCGGGGATCCATTGCTAGACATGCGTGATGATATCGGTAACAGGTCAAACCGACAGACAGAGTCTGTGCTCATCGCATTCGTAGTCCCCGCGTCTTCAGGACTGAGCAGATGCCGATAGTCGGCTGTCAGAAGGGTCGCCTTTCTACAACAAGGATAATTTAAGACTTATTATGACGAGTGAAGGGAAAACGCACCCTTGCCGACCTGAGGTCCGACCGATGAGACTCCAATCATCGGTCAGCGATAAGCTGGTTCCATGAAACGTAAGCACTCTAGAATCTGCATGTCTAAGAGCAACGCATAATCAGCCCATTATGATGTATACATATGACAAGGAGACACAAGCAACTGGCCTTTAACAAGTCTTTAAGCCGTGATTAGACCTAGACCATGGGAGAATGATTGCATGTCAGACTTCTTCTGATGCAAAATAAGCGATACCGCGGCTTGGTATGGGCCACCGACGCCAGAAAAGTAACAAGACGCAATCAGAGAAGGTACAAGGTCGACAAGTCAGGACGACCAGAACAAGAGACCCTAAAGTGGTAAGCTTTGTCAGAACTAAGTGTCGGAGAAATGTTCTCACGGGTAGGCCTCACCTCATTGTGACCAACTATGCCTAGAATACGCACAACAAGGACGAAGACGCCTCCGGAAGGCTTTGAAGATATTGAAAGCGTAGGTAGTTATCATCGGCAGCTTGTTTTTATTCTGAATTTGTTGTAGATTCTCGATGATTATGCGAAGAAGATGAGAGACGCTGAAAACGAGTCTCATGAGGGCAAGCGCAAGGCCGAGTCCCTCTGGCCTATTATGCGTATCTCACATACCCGGTCGCGTTACATATATGAGCTCTATTACAAGCGTGAAGCTATCACGAAGGAGCTTTACGACTGGCTCTTGAAGGAGGGATACGCAGATGCGAAGTAAGTCAGATGTTTGTCTCCAACGCCCTGTCGCATAATGAACATCGATTGCTCCAGCTTAATAGCCAAATGGAAGAAGACAGGTTATGAGAAGTTGTGCTGCCTCAGATGTATCCAGACCAAGGTATTCACTCATCTCTTAACTCGTTGAGACATCGCTCACTCATTTTTCCAGGATATGAACTATCAAGGCTCTACCTGTATTTGTCGTGTGCCGAAAGCACAGGTGCGGTCAGGTACAGTTGTCGAATGTGTACATTGTGGTGAGTGCTTGAATTTCTGTTTCTTGCTTGCGACTGACCTATTCGTTAGGATGCCGCGGCTGCAGCTCAGACTCCTAGGGCAGGGGAGGTCCATATCAAGACATGCAACAAGGAAGCAGAATTTCCTAACCAGATGCTTGCCCCGGAGGCGCCCACGCAAGCTTTGTCAGTCGAGGTACATCGGGAGGACAGATGGAGAAAGTATAGTCGCAGTATCTGCGCCCCGAGGTCCATTGCGTGCATTTGCATACAACAACGGCTTTGCTCAGAATGTTTGTTATTTAGATATGATCCATATTTTGTATTCTTGCAATCACCACTGAGGTGTTCTCCCGATTAACAGCCAGGAACACAACATCTGGACATTATAATATTGTGGACATGGTGAGGTTGCCAAACGTCTTGTATTTTCTGAACATATATTTTGGCATAACGTTGTGGCAGGCACTCAAAGTACAAGGACTTCTTGTACACTTCAACAAACATTGAACGAAGGCATGCAACGCCTTCTCCAGGTTGCCATCCGCTGGTAAGTTTGTAGTCCTGTCTCCAGCGCGACCTTCATGTTGAATTCAAGGGCTTGTTCTGCGAAGCACCAGCAAAACGTCATGTCATGCAGGGGTTGGTGCTGGGCGAACTTTTTAAAGCTCAAGGGTGGGATTGTAGCCTCCCGCTGCCAACAAAACAATCACACAGCGGCCGGTGAGTCATGTATCCTCTTGACGTGTATTCAAGGTTCTCACTATGGACTGCCTGCATTTAACGCAATCACCTTTCATTCTACTTTTCACACACCATGCACAGAAGAACAATCTTCACTCAAGCACACGCCATACAGCAATGGTTTTTGCCCAGAACAACGTGACATCACGAAGGAAGCGTCCGATGTGTCACAAGTGTTTGTCGACCATGGCAGGTCATACGCGGAAGAACAACATATTCGTCTGCCCTGGGTCTGCTGAGCGTACAACGCAACTTTTGTCCCCCGATACACCTCCACCTACATACGAGTTCCATGGCTTTCAGGTGCCACCTGGCGACCGCTGGCACTGGCGAAACCCTAATTGGGTCTCGCCACCCCGTGAGAGACCGCATGAGAAGACTCACAGCTATGTGTCCCTCACGCCAACAGAGCCTCTGTCCGAAGGAGAGTCAGGGAAGGAAAACATTTCTCCGTTCACTGTGGAGGATTCTCCTACTCCTAGCTATTCCGATGACGACTGGGTCGGTAGTTCGGACCCTTTGTACCACTATCCCAACTTTTCCATCAAGGAGGAATCCCCCGAACCGCAGTCTGATGCATACATCTCGGACTACTCTAACACACCACCTCCCCGCGAGTGGTCCCCATTTTCTCAGTCGCCTATCACCGATATCAGCCTTAACACGGCCCTCCGTGCGGGCACGCCGCTGTACAGCGTGTACCGCGTCCCGCGTCAAGACGTCCCGAAAGTCCAACGCACTGCACAACGCGAGGGGAAACTCTTGAGCGTGATGACAGCCCCTCCTGCACACCTCGCCAAGATCCCGCGTGAGAAATCACAAGAGACGGTGTGGGTCATTCTCAGTGACCGTGAGGAAGACCTCCGGTACGCAGTGCATTCCCAAAGGATGCCGGGCGCATTCGCCCAGGACACGGCGGTGAACTCGGTGGACTTCAGCGTTCCCAAAAGCAACGCAGCAGCTCCAATCATGCAGAACGCACCGTTCTGCGATACTGTGGATCAGACCGCACAGCATGTAATGCGCAATACGACCTTTGACCAGTCGATGTACAGCATTCCTGGTGGAATGGCGGTTCAACAACCCTTGCGAACAGCGGGTCTCGGGTTTCTTCAGATGGCATTTGCGGGGATTATTGGTGGCCTTGTTGTCACCTACGGACGGGCCCTCTTGTAGCGATTCGGGGCGACTATCCATCAGAAGTGTTAGTTTGGAAATAATCAGGGGGCACTGTACGTTACTTTTTTCGATGGCCTGCCGATACGGAATATGTTTGCCAATTTATGCTACTATATGCCTTTTGTACTTTTGTTATGACCTATGCCAGCTTTTCTTATGATCGACCCATCCAGTCAATGTGATATTGAAACAGTTCAAGGATACAGCGCTCAGCTACTCGGAGTAAACATAGATGATGTGAACACTGCCAAACAGTGTATGATAAAGATCCTATTGGACATAAAAATATACGTAGCAATCCAAACAAAAGTCATGACAGCGTCATCAAAATAAGAATGAAAGCAAAGCCAAAGAAAGGGAATAAAAACACATTCATATACACTTGCGTAACTGATCCATCATCCTCTGAGCGATACGAACTTTATACCGCCCAATCATCCAACGTCCCACCTCCAGGTCGAGTCCCCCACCCTCGTGACATGCGTTCTTCCAGACGCTCATCGATCCGTGCAGAGCACGTGCTCACAGGCCCCACAATGAACAACCTCTCAAACCATCCAAGTGCCTCCCCCTCTTCTTCGTCTTTCCCCTTGCGCTTTCGGCTGCGATTCTTCCGCTTTTCCTTGATTTTCGAAGGCCCTGTACGTGAGCTTGCGTAGGACTCTGGGAGCTCCGCAAAGCTGATGCGCTTGGGCGTCGATACACCTGAAGGGGGATCACTCCCGAGGACTTTGGCCACACCGTTTCCAAACATATCCGAGAGGCTGCCTATGCTCGGCGATGAACGAGGTGTCGGAGGCACAGAGGGCACCTTCAGGGAGGAGTGTGTAGGTGGGGAAGGGGGACGCGTAGAGGATGAATGTCTGCCTTTTGTGAAAAGACGGGAAATGGAAGCAGTGGCAGTGGATGTGCCAGCAACCGGAGCGGGGGCAGGCGTGACAATGAAATTGGGCGACCGAGTGTGTTTTGGATGTTTTCGAGGGGGGGAGTTGACGGAGGTGGAGGATGGTTGTTCATCAAGGATTTTGCGGAGGGACTGAACGGTGCGGTAGCCAGTAGGGAGATCTGATGAATCAGACGAGGAAGCAGAAAGCTCCTCGATGGGTGGAGTCATTGCACGGGGAAGAGGAGTCACGGGTTGTCTGGGCGTTGTTGAGCGAGATCGTGATGCAGACTCTGGCTTGCGATTGCGACTGCGATCAGGGGATGCTTGTTGCCTCCGTACCGAGCAAGCAGACGGTTTCGATCCTCGTTCAGTGCTGCATGTGCTTGTTGATCCACGTCGTGATATGAAGGCACGAGGAGACGATGTGTCAGTTGGAGGAGGTGTAGCTGATTCTGAGCGCTTCACTATGTTGCAGAGGAGATTGTATGCTGGAGTGGGGACCTCCTGAGGCTGTCCCGATAACACAGGTAATGACTGTGAGAACCGTAGCTCCTGTTGTGTGACAAAAGTGTGATCCTGCCAGTCTGCCGAGTGCGATGAAGCGGATGCTCGTAACCCCAGGGTGGAGGGCAGGGTTATCATACAGGGATCAGCTGTTGATTCGACATACTGGGTGAGCGCCCTAGGGGCAGGCGCCACGAGCAAATCACGTTTCGGGAGCGAGAATTGAAGCTGTGATGAACTCGAGCTCGAGCCATTGAGCTCCAGTAGTGACGGTCTCCTCCTATTCCGCAAATCTCTGATATTTGATGTTGGGAGACTTTGGCTAATCGCAGCTTCATCTGGCTTGACTGGACTGATGTCCCTAACCTCTTCGTCAAACAGTCCATCCACACCTTTCGATATCTCTTCCAGATGTGCCATCCATGTCCCATGCACACCGCTGTTCAATCTGATTCGCGTTGAAAGGTTCCTGGCACGAACCTCGAGAGAACGGTCCGGTCCGATGTCGGACGAAAGCAACGTCGAAAGACTGGATTGGGTGGAGATTGAGCTCTGCATGAGAGCATTTGACATCTCGAGGGCATGTACACTGCGCTCAAGCAGCGCGTCGAGGAACGGGTCGGCTGCTGGCAGTGTGACGGACTGGCGTTTGCGTCTGCGTGTATAAGGTGCTGTGCGTCGGGGCAAATTGGGGTGAAAACGTTGTGGCGCGTAGGCTACAGCTTGCTCCTCCGTGTCTGCCTCTTCGCTGTCAGGGTAGTCGGGTGGCCTATCTGACTCGGTGCCCTCCGAAAGCGCCGAACTGAATGTTTTACTACTCCAATTGAGCGGAGCCGAGTACTCTGGGAGAGTCTGCACTGTGTCTGACGACAGTCTTGAAAACGAGGAACGCTTTTTGTGCGTTCTGCGAAACTGGTGTTGGTGGTTAATAGATGAGTTCATGACTACAGGCAACTAGGATGATAAATATTATGATAGGGACGCGCAATCAATGGCGCCTGACGGAGCCGGGTGAGAAGTGGAATCAAAGCAGAGGGGCAAGTTTAGCAATCGGTCAGCGAAAACGTAACAACGTTTAACCATGACCCTCTACTGCATGTGGTCATTCGCCATATTCGGCCCGTCGAGTCACAATTAACACAGCAATCTCATTTGACGTGATGAAACAAGCATGCTACCAGGTGCCATTGCTAGTCTCCCGTAGGAATGAAGACAGTCGTTCCTTATATTTCTGACATTGCTACTTATCGTCTGCCATGGGGAACAAAATATCTCAGTAAGTGTGTAACTGTGTGTAACCAATATCTTGAGGTCCGTTAAACGCGGACATCGTAAATGGTAAATGATAATGCCACCAATATCCGAGAATCCTTCATGCCACTGCAGGTGCAGACACCTCGGGTGGTGCAAAATCGTCAAAGGGACCTGCAACACTTTCGAGGTACATTCTTGCGACTCTATTCGTCAAGATAGGGGGATGATAAAACTTCCAGGTCGTCCAGAGGAACCATCGGCTGTACTGCGATAAGATAGAGTCGTAATCGGCTAATAACACGGTGAGTAACTTGTCAATGCCAATCAAATGAGTCTCCCACCTTGAAGAGCGGCACGCAGTGCGAGCCACTTCTTCGTCACGTCCGTAATAATGGCATCAATGCCCCATCGTACAGCCTGCATCGGAAATTGAGACTAGAGGTAGCGGTATAAGAGTGAAGCCACCGACCTCCATCATGTGCTCCGGCTCGTTTACCGTCCACACCATAACCTTCTTGCCCGCAGCTTTGCACTCATTTCGGAACCTTTGCCATGCCGTCCGTCATGGCACCGCCACTGAGACACCAAAAAATGAAACTTACTTCTGGCCATCATATGTGGTCAAAGAGGCGAACGACATTGAAAACACCTCCACGCCATCCCAGAAATATGTCCGTGCGATTAAAAGGCTTTTACCAATGTATGAGCGCCTGCAATACGGTAATCTCACTTTCGCAAAAGCCACGAAACGCGGATGCCAAAGGCCCAGCAGAATCCTGGGAGCCAACTTCGTTTGCCAATCAGGCTGCGTTGACATAATATCATGCATGAGTGAGAAGAGGCGGTCTGGATCATTGTGAACCTTGACGTCAACGTTAAACTTGACATGCTGGTTCTCGGGCTACAAAGAACGTGGGCAAAAACAATATGGTGAACGCATGGTGCCGTGAATACGATGGGACTTACTTTCATCAAAAGAGCGATAGTCTGCGCGAACGTGGGGATACTTTGTCGAGGTTGTTTGATAGTCAGGAGGTGTTCCATTCCGTCTTTGCCGTACCAATGCCGTTCCCTAATTAAGCCTGAACTCATTGGTCAAACCACGAACGTGCATTGTGATGAAAGCTAACGACCTTCTGATCCGGTAGTCCTCTCAAGGTCTGTAGAACGCACGCAGCATCAGATGGGCGAATCGGAAAAATAGGGAAAAATTCAACATACTCGGGTCGTGGAACATTACGACGACACCGTCCAACGATACATGAACGTCTGGGATACAGGTTATGGAGACTGACACGGGCCAGAGTTACTAAATACCGCTCTCGATGCCGTCTGCCCCATCATTGATAGCAGCTTCAAAGCTGGCGATGGTGTTCTCTGGAAAAGCTGCTGAAGCCTACGAGCAGTGGCTTAGTGATCATATGGCCATGGTTCAACCTGGTTCAACTCACTCCTCGATGACCCCAGCATTCTGGAGTATTATTGTTAGTCTGACTTCATTGTACAACTGTCATGATGAATGATATTACCTGGAAGAACTTTGGTGGCTGTCATGTTTGAACTGCACGCAAGGACTAGAGACGGGGTATAAGACGGGGATCCAGGAAGCGAGAGAGGAAAGGAGAGTGGGTTTAAAGGCAACTGTTTTAAGTTATAGCAAATTCAAAACTTTTGTGTGGCTGGGAAACGAACTGTTACCCAAGCGAAAGTCGGGCAATCGGGGCGGTGATGATCCAGTGTTACCTGTTCCAGGAGCTTTTACGCTTGATGGCGCTCAGTGAACTCTACCGATGGCCAATCCCGACATATTGCTGTGACCGTGTAACATTCTAGATCTGTTACAACATGACGTAGGTAAGACAACATTGTCGGGGATATCTGGGGAAATTTATGATTAGCTGATGTAAATTCTGTAATTTAATGACCGACCGGTAAGCCGGAGAACCCCGAGTCACAACTGCTAGGGGCATGAAGCAGCAATGAAGCCCAGTGTTGTGTTCTAAGCGAGTTCGAGGAACGAGGACGAGCGCAGAATTATTATGGGAGTTCAAAGCTGGATTTCGAGGTCGATTTGGGTGCGATTTGGACATGGATTCAGATGTGGATTTGGACACTCAAAAACATGTCTGGGAGTTTTGCGAAGTTTTGCCAGTGTGCCAAGTGCCAGTTGTGCCATGCTGCACTTGGTCACAACTCAGCCCAAAAGTATTTTTGCCCCCCACACTAGCCTTACATTGACCAACCAAGTGCTAATAAACACTGACAGCGACTAGAAGTTCAAAGTTATTTCTGAGGTGTCACAGATCACATCGATCACACCCGGCTAAAGGATCACGTCGAAGAGTGCATATCTCTACAGCAGAACAAGGGCCCGATGCTTACTCAAACACAAGACATTGTGATTTTCTAGTCGTGCCAAACTAATTTTTAGACTGGCAGTCTGGTAAACAAGGTTCCTGCAGGCGCAGCTCAGCCCTCACTCAAAGTAATGAATATAGTCTGGCAATAGGGAACAATAGAAGATATCTACTTCTATACCCTCCAACCTAAGTAATCAGTAATAAACGTGTAGCCAAAATATTAAGGACCATCAAACGGGGATATCCAGGAAATGATAAAGGGTAATGATTATGCGACCAATCTTCGAGAATCCTTCACGCCACTGCAGTCACCGACACCTCGGGTGGTGCAAAATCGTCAAAGGGACCTGCAGCACCTTCGAGGTACATTCTTGCGGATCTATTCTCGAAGATAGGAGGCAAATAAAACTTCCAGGTCGTCCAGAGGAACCATCGGCTGTACTGCGATAGGATAGAGTCGTAATCGACTAATACTGTAGTGAATAACTCGTCCATGTCAATCAAATGAGTCTCCCACCTTGAAGAGCGGCACGCAGTGCGAGCCACTTCTTCGTCACGTCCGTAAGAATGACATCAATATTCCATCGTACAGCCTGCATCGGAGATTGAGACTAGAGGTGGCGGTATTAGAGTGAAGCCACCTACCTCCATCATGTGCTCCGGCTTGTTTACTGTCCACACCATAATCTTCTTGCCCGCAGCTTTGCACTCATTTCGGAACCTTTGCCATGCTGTCATGGCACCGCCACTGAGACACCAAAAAATGAAACTTACTTCTGGCCATCATATGTGGTCAAAGAGGCGAACGACATTGAAAACACCTCAACGCCATCCCAGAAATATTTCCGCGCAATTGAAAGGCTTGTACCAATGTGCGAGCGCCTGCAATATGGTAATCTCGCGTTCGCAAAAGCTACGAAACGCGGATGCCAAAGGCCCAGCAGAATACGGGGAGCCAACTTCGTTTGCCAATTAGGCTGTGCCGAAATAACATCGTGCATGAGCGAGAAGAGGCGGTCAGGATCATTCTGAACCTTGACGTCAACGTTAAACTTGACATGCTGGTTCTCAGGCTACGAAGAACGTGGGCAAAAATGATATGGTAAACCCATGGTGACGTGAATACGATGGGACTTACTTTCATCAGAAGAGCGATAGTCTGCGCGAAAGTGGGGATGCATTGTTGAGGTTGTTTGACAGTTAGGAGGTGTTCCATTCCGTCTTTGCCGTACCAATGCCGTTCCCTAATTAAGCCTAAACTCGTTGGTCAAACCATGAACGTGCCTTGGAATGAAAACTACCAACCTTTTGATCCGGTGGTCCTCTCAAGGTCTGTAGAACAAAAGCAACATCAAATGAGCGAATCGGAAAGAGGGAAATGTTCAACATACTCGGATCATGGAACATTACGACGACACCGTCCAACGATACATGAACGTCTGGGATACAGGTTATGGAGACTAACGCGGGCCAGAGTTACTAAATACCGCTCTCGATGCCGTCTGCCCCGTCATTGATAGCAGCTTCAAAGCTGGCTAGGGTGTTCTCTGGAAAAACTGCTGAAGCCTACGAGCAGTGGCTCAGTGATATGGCCATGGTTCAACCTGGCTCAACTCACTCCTCGGTGACCCCAGCATTCTGAAATATTATTGTTAGTCTAACTTCATTATACAACTGCCATGATGAATGACATTACCTGGAAGAACTTTGGTGACGGTCATGTTTGGACTGCACGCAAGGACTAGAGACGGGGTATAAGAAGGAGGTCCAGGAAGTGAGAGAGGAAAGGAGAGTGGGGTTTAAAGGCAATTGTTTGGAATTATATAGCAAACCCAAAACTCTATCCTTTTGAGTGGCTGGGAAACGAGCCGTTACCCGAGCGAACGTCGGGCAACTGGGGTTCGAAATCGTGGACGAATCGAAGAAGCGGCTCCGCGAGGACCTGGACATCCTTTCCAAAGGAATTTCAAAAAATTGCACGCCGCTCGAGCTGACGTATAGGATTAACCACGTGAAACCAAACAAAAGACCTTGAAATGTTGAATCATTTTAGAGCTAGTTACTATTTGTTCATAAGACTTGTGTAGGGCAGACGGGCACGCGTCCCCAGCTGGCAAAGTGCCAGTGTATACAAAAACACGGGGAACTTCAAGAGCGCGCCATCAACGCGACGCGAACCTTCTCCTTTTAGGTAATCGGCGCTTGTTCCAAGCAGCCTCGAGGCAGGCGCGGCAAACACTAGAAGAAATGCGGGGAAATGGGGTTGAACCATGAAATAAATTGGTATATGCGAGTCGGTCCGGAATCCTATCATTATGAACAGCTATATGTAATGGTGTCAAGAATGGTATCGTGCACTGGAGGTATTCCAGAAGCCAGCAATATTACCTATTCATCAGCCAATATCATTTATTGAACTAGTGATGCTGTCTCCCGACAACTACCATCCCCTCATCGTCTGTCTCCGTGCCATACTCGCTGACACTACCTTCCTTTCTCAACGACTGAGACAACGAACTACCAACGCTCGGGATCTCACTGTCATCCTCGCTTGGCGCGTCCGGAACTTCATCGGACACAACCTCAGCAGCGGTAGCTGATGTTGGATCCGGTTCTTCAGCAGGTGGCGAATCCGGTTTCATTCCTGGTTGTTCGGCAGCTTTCGTGTCTTCTTCGGAGGCGACTTTGACTGAAATTTCACGTAAGGTCGACAGCATCTGATCTCGGACTAGCGTCGTCAGTTCAGGGACGTCCGATACAGAGAGTCCCGCGGTAGAAATTGGAGGAAGAACTGTAAAGCGAGCATTTTGAGTGAAATTTATAAGATCAAGTGCTCAGAATTGTCGACGAACCTCGGACCCTGATGGTACCTGTCCCGAAGACGCCCTTGTGATAAATTCTCCAGTAATTCTCACAAACGACGGGTATAATGGGTATCCCAGCCTGGACAGCGACGTGGAAAGCACCCTTCTTGAAGGGCAGTAACGACGGTACTTCCTGGCAGTGCCGTGTGCCCTCAGGGTACATCATCAGCGAGATGCCCTTTGATTTCATCTCATCTCCAGCTGCTGCGAGCGACCCGTGTGCCTTTGCACTGTTTCCACGATCTACGAACACAGCACCTGACATGAACATCCAGGGACCCAGAGGCGACCATTGAAGCTCCTTCTTAGCCATAATAGATGCTTTCCTAGGGAACATCCTACAAGGGCCACGCGGAACAGAATATGCACCGGTCAGGTTCGCACCACTCGTTCAGCAAATGACACATACCTTCCCAAATACAGAATATCAAGCATACTCTGGTGGTTGCCCACCATGACCATGGGGCATGTCTGCAGATGCTCCTCGCCCTCAACCTCTACTTGAATATCCAAAACACGACTAGCAACGGCATAGAACGACCGGGCAACGACATAGTTGACGTCGTGCCTGCGACCGATCAAGGTCATTCCGACTGCAACAAAGACCCCCCATGTCGAAACTACTGCGAGCGTCCCAAGGTAAATAGTGAGTTGAGCATAATAACGCCCAACGGGAGAAGTGGAGGCGATTGTTCGAAGTAAGATGACAGGAACAGAGAAATAAGCCAAAGGTTTGATGAAGAGAGCAAGAAGAGACATGAGTAATCGCAGTCTAGACTCTAGATGATTTATCGCTTGGGAGATCAATAAAGACGCGACGCAACGCACGCTGTACTACTACTTAGCCAGCGGACGTGCACGCGGTAAAAGTGCTGTGACAGCTCAGATGGGAAAACCATCCAATGTATTTACTTTGGCCCTTTTCGACCCAAACCCAAGCCCTTATCACCTAACGGAGTGTGAAATAAACTCATATCCCCCACCAAAAACAACTCCGTGGCATTTAATTTCATTTATTCTTTTTACTTTTTACCACTTAGTTATGGCACCATGTTCAACGTTGCGCTCAGCAATTATGCTGCGCTTCAGGTACGTCCCTTCACGAACCGAGGCTTATCAGGATGAGTCTGCAAATATTTCGTATCAAGGTGGTCGGTTTCGTTTGTGCGTCAATGCCATTCATTCCATTAATGGTGCAATATCGATGACGTGTGATGGTAACAGTACTTGTCATCTTCCTTGAGGCCTGACTTCTACATTAAACAGACACACATATCAACCGCAACAACTGGAACAAGCAGCCAAGGAATCAATGTAACTACATAGTTCAAGGGGAAAGTAGGATAAGGTAGGCTCCTGACCACTGACCGGTCTGACATACATCTTTGTCCTGGAGAGAGAAGAGTTTTGACTACCATACAGTACGCCACTCGATCATCATTGACTTTGTCAAGTCCGGCTGGGCTCCGACAGCTGTTCCGTCTAGATGTTTATATATAAGGCTCGTATCATATCTGTTTGATTCTAAATAATTAACTTACTTCCATGATGCACGCCTGCTTACTCATTCCAGAGATTCTACAACACATTTTCTCTGACATTCACGATGTCCCTAGCGGTTTACCTCCTTGGGATCGCTTCTCTCAACCTGGCCGACAAGAGTCGCGACGTTCTTTAGCCGCTCTCTCTCTCGTTTGCCGTTCCTTCAAAGATATAGCTTTGGATATGCTCTGGGCTGAACTCAAGAATTTGGAGCCACTTTTCACTTGTCTTCCACCAGATTTATGGGCCAGGACTGATGATCAGAAGCTTGTGAGTCCAGGTCCTACCCACTGCCTCGAGTGCGATTACAACCCATTATGCTGAGTGCTTACATTGTCAGATCATGCAGAGGTCTGCAACTACAGAAGATTGGTTAGTCTTTGAGAAATACGCTTCCCGGGTGCGAGTTCTGGGACATTCAGATGTTTTTGGAAGGATAGATGCGAAGTTCATCCATGACATAATGGGCTTTTCTTCACAGTCACTGTTGGTACCCAACCTCCGAGTGCTCTCCTGTGGCAGGTGTCCTCGTGGTCTCCATTCGTTTATGGGTTACCTCCTGGGTCCTCACCTCGTCAATTTACGCCTGACAGCGTGGGAAGCTGATTTTTGGACGACCGTCATGTCTCCGGTGGTATCAAGTTTGGGCAGGCATTCACCACAACTGGAGGTCATCACACTACCTACAATGCCTCGTCAAATTAATGCTCTCGCTGGGCTCTCGCGGCTCCAGACGGTATCACTTGCCTCGCTCAGTGACGAAACGTTGTCCACTCTATCTTGCCTTGTTGGCCTTCGAGAACTGGATATCACTATTACGGAACCTTTCGACGGCGGCAAGCTTCAATCTTGTACCTCTTGTCTGGATAAATTAGTCATCCGATCATCATCCACTTTGACCTTCGCCGGACAAACCGTAGAAGGCTGGGTTGTTCAATGCAGATCGTTGGAGCTGCGGTTCTTCCGTCCTGAAACTGCGGTTGACGTCAGATTCGCCCTATGCAAGTTGGTCAATATTTTACTTTGGGATGGTCTGGAGTGTATCCTACTCAACGGAACCAAAATGGACGATGCATTCAGCCTCGATACATTCACTCCCCTCATGCAATTCTCCGGTCTCCAAGAAGTTTCTCTTACATCGTTTTGTATGTCATTGATTGACGACGTTGCACTTGGTTCCATCATCAAGTCCTGGACACGCCTTCGGCGCCTTGATCTTGGAACTGCTCATTTCTGGCAGACACGACCCAGGATTACTTTTTGTGGCCTTGTGACCTTGCTATCATCTTGTCCCGAACTTACGAGCCTCGGTTTGGTATTCGACGCTACGAATGTAGGTCCGCCCACGGATGAGAAACCGGAAGGTGGGGTTTGCAACACAAATATCATCAACTTTCGTGTCGGATGCTCTCCGATCGAACAACCACAGCAAGTCGCGGTTGCGCTCTCGGCGATCTTGCCATGCTTGAGAGAGATCAATGTCGAGATATTTTGGGGCCCCGACCGAGATATACGAAAGGCCAAGTGGAGCGAGGTATTGGAGCGCATTGGAAACTGATCAGGAAACAGGAGGTTTACGCGTTTATGCCACCGAGTTGAATATCATGCTACAGATGAGGTTAATACGAAGAATCCTTGTCAAACCTTGTTGCAGCGATGGGTCTTGCCGACAGCCATCCATGATCTAGTACCCATCTAATGAAAGTTGTGTAGTCGGTACGTTCTACGTAGGTATTGATAAGCCCTTCCCACTCTGGCGTAATGCGGCATAGAAAATATGTTTACTCATGCTCAAAGCCGCATCATGACATTGGGAATAGCACTTTTGGGCCTCAATAAGAGCGAAGATCGCGTAGGAGGCATTAACTGACCTCATCCATGACATCACACCTCTGAAAGAGGTGCGAGTACGGCGGATCATGGCGGAGCTGTGGCGGATGGTGGCTCTAGCACGCCCATCATTCCTGGCTCTGGACACAAGTTGCTGTCCTGCGACACCCATTTTATTCCAGAACATGGACGGGGAATAGTAGGATTAGGGCGTTACGCAAACCACCGAAATGAATAGCATAAATGGCGCCCCTGGCACAATATTGCGCCGACAAGGCACTATATAGAATTGAGAAAGGACTATACCTCGCAATGCCCCGCAGCTAATACATCGGATGTGAGGGCCGTAGTGACAAGTACAGCAAGGACGCAGATATCTATCAATCCTCTTTCTTGGTACGAACAGAGCGTCGGCGGGGTACCTCCTGGGTTCCAGCATCGACATCAGATGCCTTCCTTTTCTTGCCTTTCTTTGTTTTCAGGGGTTCGTCACTGGCGCCAACCCTTGCCTCGACTGAGTTGCCGCCGTTATTGTCCGTTGGATTTGTCTTTGCCTCGGAATTCTTTGTAGCAGCTTGTTTCGAGCGTTTTGATGTACTTGATTTTTTCTTCCCGAATGCCATCTCCTCCCAACCACCTTTTTCTGACATCATCTGGATGATCCCCCAACATTCCTGGCTGACCCGCTGGACGCTTAGACGTCCCCGTGTGACCAGGGGCATCGCTATAGAGAAACATATTGTCGGTTACTTTGGGGTAATTGAATGAATCAGAAGTCTCGGTACCTTTCACAGCTTTCATTCCCTCCGTCCCTATATACGCAAATTCATCTGGTGGATCCGAATCCGCCGAGTCCGCGATGTGACGAAGAAGAGATAGCGGGACAAAATGTTCAGCGCGTGATAGGAATGTGGCGTCTATCATAAACCATTTCGGATCGTCTTGCTTGGTTTTCTATAGAATTTCCGAAGGTACGGTTCAATACTGCGCACGAATATAATCTGTATCTAATTTACCAGATCGAAGTAGGGGTGAGAGCTAAAGAACAGTAACTTAGTCAGTGTGACGAGTGTTTGGTGAAATTCATTGAAGCGAACCTATCCCACGCCGTGTCTACAGAATAAGTACGAGTCTATCAGAAAGATGTTTCGATTTGATATCTCTAGGACATACAGTCGGGATACGCTTCCTTTGACACCTATTAGGGGGATAAGTACGGGGCCCGATAAATACCATTGGACAGCAAACCTCAGCAAACCCAGCAATGCCTGCATACACGTCAAAATAAATTTCGCAAGGACGATCACTCACTGACCAGGGTTTTTGCAGTTCGAATGATAGAATAATATCTTCCTGACGAGTTGAATGAAAGACAGAATTGGGGTCAAAGGATACGCACCTTGTCTCCAATGGACATCTCCTTCATTAAGTTACGCGCTTCGAAGTTCCGCACTCCTTCCCATGGCGTCGTCCTTGCAGCTTCAAAATCATCCACGCTGAACTATAGCATGCGTATGAGAGCGGGCTATATTGAGCTCTCGCGTTCTGGAATTCGGAGTAGTACCTCTTGGAGCAAAGCACACACACCTTGACATCTTTGCCCTTTACGATACGCGAATCTGGCTCGGCTTTCATAAGCCAATATTTCCTGTCCGTACTTGTCATGGGCTAGAAAATTTTAGATGCTATGTTAAGCTGCAGCCTCCGTGGTCGCGTCGGATTTGCGTCGGATGCACGCTCAAGCGCTAAAATTCAAACTCAGACCCAGTGACACGGACCCAACAACGACTCGGAAGGAACGGGTAGTCACTTTCAGTATGCAGTCACGATGGTATACGTAGTCGGGTGGTTTTCTGTGGCAATGGTCTGCAGTAATAGTCGCTGTGCTCTCAGCCCTGACGGGTGGCACATTCCGATGGAAAAGGTCAAATCTCCCATGGACCGTTGCTGTGTAGCATCAAGGCTGTGTCGGCAAGTCATGCTTGAACTGCGCCCCTTGAGCCGATATTTGTTCGTCAAAGATCTACGCGAATGGAGGCAGATTGTTGTCTTCTTTTGCGTCGAGGAGTGCCTGTAGTACTATGGAAGAATGCACTGTAACGTTGATCAATACTTAACTGTAACTGCGCAACGGGTCATGACTCTTATAATAGTACACATCCACTAAAGTTCCTGTGAACCACGCCTTGTCTTATTCCTCGCGCCTACAAGGACCTTACATAAAAGCTCGCACAACAGTCCGTCACACAACCTGTAACATTATGTCGAGCAGCCAGGATCGCAAGGACCGATCTCCTAGCACCTCTTCCCGTGGGAACGTGGTTGACCATGAAGCTCCTCATGGTAAGCCGAGAGTCTGTTTCAGCCCTCCACTGAACGTATTCTCACCATGTCTGAAGTTACAGATGAGTTTGCATCGAGGAGGAACGGACCAGAAGCTTCAGGAAAGAACCACATGATCAACGTCCAGCCTTTGAAACGAAGCGAGATGCAGGTAATACAAGCCTGAGATCTTTCGCATTATAGGTCATGATATCTGACAGGTCTTCTTTAGCCCTCGTATGCACAGGACCTAGGTACTGGGGAGGTACGTCTACTCGTTTATGTGACACATTTATCTTCTTACACTAGCATAGGTCACTCATGGTTTCTATGGGTCATTCCTCCAAGGTCTTGGTACTTGTGTCGGGTTCCTCGGCGCTATTCCTTGCTGCCCTTTGCCAAATCCATTCCGAAATGTCCAGCAAGGTATGTACTGCACTCTTCAATGTTCAAATCATGTTCTGACTGGGGCTCAAGGTTCGGTTGGTCTGGTCACACGTTTCGGCCACTTCTATAAATCGGTTGACCCTGGTCTCGTACAAGTCAATGTCTGCACGGAAGACGTGCGCATTGTCGACGTCAAAATTCAGATCAGCGCTATCGGCAGGCAAACTGTCATCACTCGTGACAATGTTAACGTGGAAATGTGCGCTAATTTCATATTCGTTGTTTCACTTCCAGCAGTTGATTATGACATCTTAGCGATTCTGTCATCTACTTCCAGATCGTGAACCCTTATCGTGCTGCCTTTGGCATCAGTGACCTACGCCAGGCACTCATAGAACGTGCTCAGACCACCCTGAGACACGTCGTTGGTGCTCGCGCAGTTCAAAGCGTCGTAACTGAGCGCGAAGCTATCGCCTTTGAAATTGCTGAGATTGTCGGCGATGTCGCCGACAAATGGGGCGTTGCTATCGAAGGTATCCTCATTAAGGATATTATTTTCAGCCCCGAAGTCTCCGCTTCTCTCTCTTCTGCTGCGCAGCAGAAGCGTATTGGAGAGTCCAAGGTCATTGCAGCCCGCGCAGAAGTTGATGCTGCTCGCCTTATGCGCCAAGCAGCCGATATCCTCGCATCGCCAGCTGCTATGCAAATCCGTCAGCTGGAGGCTCTACAGCAGATGGCCAAGTCTGGTAACACCAAGGTTGTTTTCGTTCCTATGCAACTCCAAAGCGACGTTGTTGGTAGACTCGGCTCCAGCAGTAATGCTGAGGCATCGGGGTCTGGACTGCGTGATGAAGCAGGCGAGGCCCTTACTGGTGCTGGTCGTGCTGGTCTTCTAGCCAGCATCGCGGATGTATGATCTCCTATCTTGATTCAGTGGACGATTCCCAATTTGTTGCTCTATCTATCCATGTATTTTTCACGGATATCTTATTGACCCTGTTTGTTCATGACTCAACGCCTTTTGTCCCTTAGCTAAGTTTTGTAGTGCCTTGTGTATGCTTTAATGCCATCTGATGATTTAACGTATCCATACGGGATCCTCCTTGATCGATTACTTCCAAATGCATAGCAGTATAAGAGGTAAAGGTAGTAACTGAAGTGGGTACTACTGTAAGATTTGTTGGCTGGAACTACTTTAGACAGGATGTATGTAGACTTCTTTCTTTCTTTCTTTCACAAATTCAAGCGTAATAAAGACAGATCGAAAACAGATAGAGACGGAAGAGGAAAAAGTAGCAGAGAGAATCGAAACAAATCGTAATGAAGGAACATCTCGAGAGCGAACAACGGGTAACCGACAATAGGAGCATAACCCAGCTCATGATCCAATGTAATAGTGTGTCGTGGTCCAAGGCAAACGGACAAACAAAACGAAACGAAGAGATGAAATTGAGCAGCGAAATCAAAAAAGAAGGAATTTGAATGGAGGTACGTGGCTGAGGCGAGGACCGCTCAGTGCAACGTTCCTCAACATTTAAGACGACGATGATGGATGGGTGTGGTTGACAGATCCCTGCGGCTTCCACGGATGGTGCTGATCCAGATCCAGGCTTGCGAGCGTGCCATTGAGATCGTGGATGGGATCGTGTTCCTCATGTCCATCATACTGACTCGAGCGTCCTTGTGATGACGTCTCACTGGAGTTCGGCCGAGAGATTGGTTCTTGGCGCGTCATGCAACGCCCACCCTCAAACGCCTTGGCAGAGCCATCCGAGAACGGAACATATCGATGGGACCCACTTGGCGTACGTACAGGGGGAACGGGTCGCTCATTGGAATTGGCAGTCGCAGCCTTGAACTCCATGATGCTATCATAGCGCGACCCGTGGTTCATAGAATGGGGCAGCAGATCGTAGCTGTCTGAACCTCTCCGCGTGTACATATTCGGGTCCGGCGAGAAAGGCGAGAACGAGGACATGGGATGTGATCTATGGTGCTCCACAGAACTCAGGTTTGATGGTGGACGTGATCCGGATCCTCCTGGATACGCATCGTACGGCGGTTGACCATCAGAGAACGGCTGGTTCATGATGAGCGACCTTAGTTTTTCCTCAGAATACCCACTGAATTTCGCAGCGTCGACGTAATTGCGGTTCGATGCATCACTCCCACCGCTCGATTGACCCTGGCCTGTCAGGCCAAGCCTTTGCAAGAGTTGAATCGCCTGTTCTGGCGTCATCTGACTCTGAGGAGCCTGGCCCTGCGCAGATGCCATCTGAGCCTGGAACTGAGACTGGAGTGCGGCGGCCTGGGCTGCCTGCGCAGCAGCTTGCGCAGCTTTATCTAAGATAACACTATCAGTTGGTTGGACGTAACACAGCACACGAGGAGGACCCACATTGACTTCTACCCCAGCTCAACCGAATTCTACTCCCGCCGATAGGGAAGCCCTGCATTTTCTCGATAGCCCGCTCTGCATCAGCCTTTCGAACGAACTGAACAAAGCCACAATGTTTTCCGACGGGCACCTTCACCTGTACGCATAACGTTATATTAGCATTCCACCAATAGCTCAAAAGTGAAACTCTCACGTAGTGAATCTCGCCGAACGGAGTGAAGAACGTCCGCAGGGTCTCTTCAGAAATCAAAGGCGACAACCCACCAACGAACACAGTTGTGTTATAGGGGTCGGTAGAAGTGAGCTGCTCGCCATTCGGTCCGATGAGGTTTCCAAGGATGGCACGCGCTTGAGCGTGATGTTTCCACGACTCTTCGGAGATGATATACCGCGGTGCCACGGAATGATCTTGCGAGTCATGCGCCGAACCAGAGGGAACAATGCCTTTGGCGTTATTAGTGGAGCCAGCGTTGGCGTACTGGTGGGCGAGCGCAAGGACATTAGCAGAGAGACCAAGCATCTCATCCGATGACATCGAAGACAAGCCTCCTGAAGACGCGGTTGTACTCCCCTCAGATCCTAGGGAAGGTATAGAGCCCGAGCCGCTCAGCGTTGATCCCGAAGCGGAGGGACCAAGGGGCACACTGGCCAACGAAGACGAAGATCCGGCGCTTGTCGAAGCTGCCATAGGCGCAGAGACGCTCCTTGGCTGACCACCAAGCGGGAGGGCCACAGTAACCGGGTTTGGCCGCTGGTCAGAAGTAGGGGAACCAGGAAACTGAATTTGGGGAAGATCCGTGGGCATAGGAGGCGGCTTGAATTTTGCTGTGGCAGGAGATATTCGCACTAAAAATCACGTTGTTAGCTTGCCCGAAGTAGGATACGAAGATGACTGACTTGGGCGTGAAAGGCAGTACAGGCCATGCATCTCTATCAGTGCACGCTGCTGGTCCGCTTCCTCAGTAAATCTGTGTGCGAAGGCGACTATGAGTGAGTTCGTCTAGTTGTACGACTGTACCACAGACTCACCGTACAAACCCATACCCTCGCGAGATGCCAGTGATAGGATCGAGCATAATTTTGGCACTCTTGCAACTCAGGAACGGTCGGATGAACTTGGGCTCACGATCATTCCGTAGGCCAAGAACAGGGTTGCGAAACACGGCCACGAGATCTGAGTTGGATGTTTCTGGCGCAAGATCACCAACAAAGATGCTATACTCTTTCGGGAACTGCGGTTGTGCCGTAGGGACAATTACACCAGCTACCGGGAAAGAAGGCGCAATTGGACCGGTAGGAGCAGAAGAGGCCCAGTTAATGACAAAGGGCTTGTTTGAGTTTGGCATTGTAACGGGCTGCGTACTCCCGCCACCGTTCACTTGATTGAGGACAGAAGAAGCGATAGCTGGCGAGGGAAACGTGAGGTAACAGTAACCAGAGTTGTTGGTTGGTTGAGCGGCGGTGGCGTCTGGGCCCGCGTTTGGAACTTTGACAGTGACCGGGTCCCAACCCATCAGAGCACAAACCTGTTTTGCGTATTCTTCGTCCATCCAAGGTTCGAGTTCGCCCCACCACAGAGTAGAGCGTAATACGTTTAAGCCGGAGTTGGAGTTGGCGGGCAGAGCGAGATCGCCGGACGGTGGAAACGATTGAAGCTGGCGATGGATATAGCCTTCACGGTCAGCGTCGGAGGAAGCGTTGTAGTAATTGGTGTTAATAGTGGGCACAGTGGGCGAGTTACTGTTGGGGACGGGAGGAGGACGGTGGTGGTTAGAAGATGAGAGGTGTTGGGTAGGTGTGTGTCTATTTGGGGCGGCTTGAAATGCTTCTCCAATATTGCTGTATTCCTTGTCTGGGTGAATACCAATAGAGCGGGGTATTAATGCCGAAGTGCTCGTGTTGGGAGGATAGACACCTAATCCGTTGGACATGCGTCGATCTCCTGACACAGGATGAGACGGAGGGTAGTGGTTGGACATGTGATCGATTTCTGCGGGAGAGCGAGAGTATACCACACCAGGAGGACAGCTAAAGTCGTGAAAGTCAAGACGAGACATATCTAAACGTTAATCGGGAGGTAAGTCAAGTCAGGAAGGACTAAAAGGAAACCACACACAATTACGACGAAAGGGGGATCAAAGGACGAATGAAGGTTAGAAAAACGTGAACTGTGAGCAAAAAGTGGACAGCAGAAGCTTGGAGATGCTCTGAAAAAATGTGAAAGAAAAAGCGAGTAAAAAACAACGTGCAAGAGAGCAATAGAAATAGAAAATAAGACTGATTGATAGCGATGCGATGCAAGACGAAGTGCAACGAAGATTGTTTTAGAGTCTTGTAAGATAGTTGGCAACTGCAGGCCAGAGTAGGTCGAGCAGGTCGAGCAGGGTAAAGAAATTGGACGTACTAGTAGAAGATTCGTGGCAGATGAAAGATTGATATGTATAACTGTCGATTAGCCTGTGCCAGTATAATGGTAGTGCGGAGTGACAAGATCGGAGTACAATTTAACGTTTGTGTCAACGTCTCATTTTCACTCATGATCGTGGACCTTGCGCCGATGACTTGGTCGCTGTCGAGCTCACCAAAATGCCCCATTATTCGACTCATTCGTGCATATCCATCAGGATCGCATGGCCATGGGTAGTATCTTTAGCATCTCATCAAGTTATCATTAGTGGTGGCATCTTGCTCGGCACAGCATACGTTGCACTCACCCAATCCAGGTAACAATGGCCACTCGAACAATATGAAACAATCGAGGTAAACGTTAGTCTGGCACCTACTCACCTTTCTGCGAAGCTGATTCAGTCAGTGCCTTCCGGAAGTTAATGTGGGTCCATATTTATGCTTTCGTGGCGGTGTCCCTGATAGGCGCCCAGGTCCAGCCAGGTCCCTGGCTCAACAAGTTTGTTCTCCTGATCTTATGTAGGCGATTCCCTCGGTTTCGTTGGAACCTTGTGTGCTCAAAATCTCGATGCATGTTACCTTGCAGTGCGTTTTCTGTCCATCTATATAAGATCAACTCAATAGGATTGTGTTCTGCGTTTGATCCCACAGTTATTCAGTTCGGACCCTTGGTCCGCCCTCCGGCGAATTATGGCTTTTCGTTAGCTTTCTTGAAACGCTACTAGGCCACCTACTTGTGGGCCCTTGTTGTAAACACCAAACACCCTACTTACAGCGGTGCGGATGCCGACTATCCCACTAGCAATTCAACCCACAATTATGCATTGCAGTGTCGCCAAGGTTTGTGGCCGCACCAACTTCTGCACCCGTCATCAACCAGATCATGAGTCTCGGGTACTATTTCTGCCGTGTCACTGCGGCGGTACCTCATGTCTCGTTGAGTGGTCTGTCTCACCGAGGAAATCTACTTTACCGCTGCAGCTTGGACTATGTTCTGAATATTCATTATAGTACAAACTCTGCAATTGTACTGCCTGTGAATCCGTGCATACAATGATACAATGATGATTTTCATCCCTGATACTTACGTAATTCATGCGGAACTTTTGGTCGCACTGCAACGAGTGTGTAACAATTTCAAAACACAGCTCACACCGAACAAAAACTGCTTTAACTTAGCACTGGCGGTGGGCATATCCAAGCCATGCCTATCCGCCGTCTATCTGTTTCAGCAGAGCATGCAAATCCACCTCAGAGCTTAAACAGAACCCACAGAAGCAACGACTCCCACCATATTCTCACAGGAAACGGTGGACCCATCCACCCGCCTTCTATAGCTTACTCGGGCGCGTCTACTACCCCGCAACAGAAGGTAGTGGTACAAGCCCTCATAAACAACAGAATAAAGAATAAAGTAGGTCACTTACCCCGACCGTTTGATCAGCTCTGACTTGTCATATCACGCAAAAGCTGCCAATCAATTCCGGCCTTTCTCTGGACATTGTCGAGTCCGATCCTGCGACACAGAGAGCGGTATGCGCGCTCGTGGAGATCGCGCACGACTCGTTAGACATAATAGCTTGGTCGTTAAGCGAACTGCTCGAACGACTCGCAAAGGTACTTCCGCTGGTTCTTGCGTAGAATAAGTGCTTATATGCGCGTTATTACAGCAAGTCGATGCAGACGGACAAATGACCACCGAAGCATTGCAATCTCAGCTATTTATCTTGAAGATTTTGTCGGTATGTATGACATCAAGATGGAATCACCGACACGAACAGGACGACGCGCGCTCCTCTCGCACGGGCAAACCTCAGAATGGCAGCCAGGCTTCTGGCCATGTAGAGTCGCCATTGCCGTCTTCAAGTCAGCAGGGCAAGAAGATTCGGCAAGCTTCCACTGAGTTTTCCTCATCTACACCACCGCCATGGACAGAGGCTTACCCTCTGGACGACAACTGTGCACGTTATATCCTGAGTGTAATGGTTCTTTATCTACGTCAGACAGCAGCACCAGAGGCTCGACTCATGTCATCTTCAAATCTGGCTCCCGACGCGTCATTACACGATTTCGAGTCAGTGGATCTGCCGACAGAGTCATCGGCGTTCGATGATTACACAGGAAACACTGGCCCTTTACTACCTCCTCATATATCGCATGGACCAAAGCCGATCCTGAAGCTGAAGAACTCATCTGCGTCATTCCAATCTGCTGTCAGTGCAACCTCAGGGCACTGGCAGCTAGGGCGTACGTTCCAGTTTGAGAGGACTCATATGGCACTCGTCAAATCTGCACTTGCGCTAAATCTCCTGATCAGCAAGTTCGCAGGACGCATCGTCTACCATCTCTCTGCATCAAACTGGCTGGTTGTCTTCCACCGAATACGGCAGAAGATCCACTTCCTCGCCAACACGACGGAGGATAACCCTGATACGATTGATTTGCAACTCATGACTCATAGTGCGATGGACAGAGCGCGTCTCGTTCAAGTTCTGCATGAGCTTTCTTCTCTTCTCGTGAACATGAAACGACAGGCTCAGACAGCGGTTGCCATCCCGTTACGTATGGCAATCTGGAATTGGATCGAAATGTGCCCGCAGGAATTCAACGAGGCAGTGAGATCAAGAGGGAGACTCGAGGGTGCACCAGAGCGTGTCTTCGATCTCCTGCACTCCGCGAATGAGCCCGGCCGAGAGCGTGCGCTTTGGCCGACGTTGACTGTCCTTGCTTGTCTCGCTGCTGAGCGCCTGTCGCCAGATTATCAGATCGATGTCGAGAGTCGTTCCACAAACTTCTCTACTCACAAATCCAGCCACAGGAAGGTGAGGCTGACGTGAAGTGATGTATAATGCGATCTCATTGTTTTCACAAAGGATATCCGATTCGTAGAGGACCTACTCAGGCATTCAAACACGAATTCGAAGCTCGCTGATGTCTCTTTTGTGTGTGCGATCGACATGTGTAAAGCTGGATTTCGGATATCGCCCGATGGCGAAATGCCCCTCAGACATATTGCGGCAGACATTTCCCATGAAATCAAGGTAGTGGTGACATTTTGGTATCCGATCTTTCCCATACTAATTCTTTGCAGTCGACCTTGCAGAAGTCCCCCGGGCAGAAGCCATTCTGGGACTCGTTTGATGAAATCGATGTCGCCACCTATGCTGAGGCACTTGTCGCTGTATTCCGTTTCCTGTCGGAAGAGGAATCAATATCGTTGTTCTTGGATTGTTTGGAGCCTGAGCGGTCCGATGCAGTGAAGATTTGTGCTATCAAGGCTGCTACCACCCTGTCCATCGAGGTTCGTGCTTGAAATACAGCGATACCTTTACTTTTACTGACCCACTTTATAGGCACCCCGTCTCCCTTGGCAGCAGTCCTTGGAGAAGCTCCAGATCGCCATCTCACCGCGCTTAAGATGCATCTACAAGGTAAATGTGTACCCGCAGTATTGCACCTGCTTGTCGGCTCATCGACTTGACCTACAGACCGCTTCTGTGCGGCTGAGTGAATACGACAGTGATGGAGCTATTCGCCGTGCAGCATCTCGGCCCAAGGCCAAGCGCTTCACGTCCGAGACGCTGATTGACAAGGACCTTATGCTCCTCTCCATTCTTGCGCTGTTGCGGGCATCACCGGATTACTACATTGCCAACACCGAAGACTTAGACCTGGATGGCTGGGTGGCGATTTCAGCACGTGTTCGGGACTCAGATACTGATACGGCCGTCAAAATTTCGGCTGCGACGTCGCACCAGCACCTCACGGATCTCTTCTTCAAGATGCCCCCGAATGACCCTTACTATAGCTTGATCGAAGGGTGGATGAAGAGTTCAATGTTGGCATGACGTTTGCTCGCATTTCACGACTTGCTAACGCGCATTTGCAGGCCGATGTCGTTGATGTGCATTGCTAAGAGGTTGCTGCTGACTAGGCTTGACCCTGATAGCCAGAGGCTGTGGATACACGTCGCTCATCAGCTCGTCGAATGCTACCACAGGAAGAGCGAGGTTAGTCATCATCTTTTATTCACATAGACCACCTTACAGACGTTCTGACACAGGACAACCATGCTCGTGGTATGCAATTCGACAAAAATCGTGTGCCAGCCTTCGCAATGTCCGAGATAGCTTTCTTAGTATCGCTTACGTCAGTAAGCAGCGATGTATCGCAGCTTGCTGCCCAAGGTCTTCGTCTTATCGCACAAGCTGAGCGACAACCTGGAGCTCCTGTGAACGATGGCCTCACTGAGGAAGAACGCTCAAAACGAAACCCGATATACGAACAACTTGGTGATCCCAGTGTCATCATCGTTGGTGCGTTTGTCCACTTTCTATTTGTCCTTTGTGTAAATTTGTTGCAGGACGTGTTAGAGAGCAGAAACGTGTACGGAAGCTCTTGCGCTTGGTTGCGAACTCCTCGCCCATAAACATTGCTGTTTGGGAAGAGTGCTTCTATAGATGGAGTGCACTCTCAGAGTTTGTCGTGCAGAATCCCCTTGCCGCAGCAGCAGCCTTTGATGACTCTCATTTAAGCAAGCATGAACAGCTCATGTCTCTTGAGGTATTTTCGTCCTCCGAGCTATTTACGTTCATAGAGTTGACATTCGCACAGGACAAATTCATACAATGGAGAAACCTCACATTGTTCCTGGCGGCATTCGGTGGTGTTACCGCGCAGGAAAAGCACGACCCTGGTGCCCTTACTGCTGCGATCCCTGCTGAGTTCCTGCTCGATGATATGCGTGCGCTGAGAGACCCAGCAGACCTCGTCACGATATTCATCGAGTTCCTCACGGGTGCTCTTATTGACGATGTTGTTCGCGTTCGGGAAGTTGCGCGCGAAGCTCTGGGGTCAGAACTTAGTCCTCGTCTCTTTTCGAAGCTATTCAAACATCTTGACGAGTGGGTGTATTTTTCGTGGAATCACTCTCGCAAGTCTAACAAGGACACTCTACCAGGATCACGCGGAACATCACGGCGGGAGCAGGTCTGGAGTTCAAGGATGAATATGGCTTATTCTTGGATCAGGTACGAGTTCGTGACTGGCCATCTTCATCCAGAGTTAATCCTTTGCTGTAGTTGATCTCGGTCCTGAAATCACTCGTCGAGAACGCACAAATGCCACCCGATGAAGCTCTCAGCATTGATCTCGGGTCAATCTTGCATGTCCTCGTTGGATTCATTTCGCGCTTCAGTGATCCAGTATCGTATCGGATCCGGGTCAAATTTTGTGCCCTCTGCGACAGTATCTGCCAGCGTACGGACACGTTGACCCTGCGTAAGGACGACTTATCGCGCAATCGTATCATCGACATTGTGATGGATTGGTTCCAGGATCCATTATCAGTACGCCCATTTATCTCTCGGTCACAGTTAATCACTCAAATATCCCAGAACATCGACTTCGACGCTATTCAGTTTCAGTATGAGTTGAACTTCGCGTCTCTTCGCTCAGTCGTCAAGCTCCTCGAACGCTTAAAACTCCAGCCGATAGATAACAATTCAAATGATACTGATGATTTAGGACACGCGGTGTCACGCTTGTTTATACGATACTCCCATGTTCTGCTGAGAGCTTTGGACATATGCCAGTCTGATCCCATAGTAAGCAGTCTTCGATATCAGTTTGGGAATGATGCTAAACAAGACGAAGGTGCTTGACAGTACCTCAGACGTACCGTCTCTGCAAAAGGTAGAGTTTCGTGTTTTTGTTCTGGTTCATCAGTAATTGATGCTTTCCCCAGAAAATGCAAGCTTCTCAGAGGGAGGCCGATATTCGTGATTTGGTCATTACAGGACTTTCGCACCTCGTTATCTCAAACTCTGAGAATGCCGTCAAACATTGCATTGCTTCTGCATATGATGGCGACATAAGGAAACGAACTATCTTTGTCCACGTCTTTGCTCGAGTGCTTGGACAAGGCACTAAGTTCGAGGCGCAAGGAAATCCTGAATTGCAAGCACGGCGAGATCAATTGCGAGAGGTGTGTTTTCAGTTCCTCGTCCTCTTCAGAGCAAAGCTAACTTGCATATTTAGCTTGTCAAAGGATCAGACGTAGGGTTTATTCTTCTGGTATGATGATCAGTATTAACGAGCTTGGTAGATGGTGCTTGCGATGGTAATCTGCGAGTGCTGTCCTGCCAGTGAGGTCGATATGATGATTTCAGTGCTCATGAACATATTCGACACGAGAGCCTCACTAGTTGCCTTGCTGAAAACTATGATTGACCGAGAAATAGCTCACACTAGTAAGGCAGTCTTTAACACTTCAGTAGCACTTCAGTAACTGACCACTCACGGACAGCTAGCGAGGTGGATCTTTTCCGTGGGAATTCAACTTGCACGCGATTTCTCTCTGCCTTTGCGCGAATACACGGGTACAACTATTTGCGGGGTCTAATCGTCCCTCTCATCAAGACTATGACGTCTATGCCCGCGGGTCATGCATATGATCTAGACCCTGCCAAGGCTGGCCGAGACAAGCTTGAACAGAACCAGAGGAATGTCGAGCTGGTTGCCTTATCTTTCCTTGATATCATCAGTTCCTCGGTCCCTGCCCTACCACCGTATGTAACGACACAACAATGCGTCTGTTATATTCTCACCTCACTTCCAGGATGATTCGAGAAGTTTGCGCTCACCTTGCGAAATCAGTGTAAGTGGTTTTGCCTCCCAAAGAGCAAGCGATGGCTGATTAAATTTTAGTTATCAAGTTTGGCCAGAATCGAAGTTCGCTGCCCTTGGTGCATTTATATTTCTTCGGTCAGTTCATGCATCTTAGTAAGTTGTGGTGCTAAGTTTCTGTGCAGATTCATTTCTCCAGCAATCGTTGCCCCTGAAATTGTTGATGTCACAGTCCCCAGAGATGATGGCGGAGTCATCCGCCGGGGTTTGATGGTCATAGCAAAGGTCATGCAAAACCTCGCGAACAACATTTTCTTCGCGAAGGAGGCTCACATGCTTTGCTTGAACGACTTCTTAGGAGCGAACATCGCGAGTATCACACGTTATCTGAGCGAAGTCAATGTTAGTCCAACAGCTCATTGGTTATTTCAGAAGCCTTACCCTTCATAGAAATTCTCCTCTACTGCTGTCGACGAGGGGTCTACCGAGTGGTTGGGCACGACGGCAGATGACACAGACACAATTGTCCTTCATCGTTTTTTGGACAAGCATGCGGACAAAATTGGTAAAGAGTTACTGAGTTATCCCAAACTCAATGCCTCCGGAGAAGAAGACGCGTCAACTGCTAATGCAAAGCGCGCATGGGACCACCTCTGCACGTTACTTGTGGAACTGCAGGAGGCTCCCGATGTTCCTCATTTCTCACAACTTCCTAGGTCCGAGCATCGGGAATTTATTGACCTGATGAGTCGCTGTGCCCACCGCAGTATTGAATCTGTGCAGGACATTTTCGTAGCTGCTGACGTTCCTTCCGTCAGTCTTATACATGCATGATCTCCTTAGTCGCTAACACGTTGATACAGGATTTGCCTGCGGTGTTTGTCCTGCGAGTATGCCAGATTGATGTCGAAGCTCTGGACATCGAGTTGTTGATGTATCACAGCTTCAAGGCGCGTAATTTCGGTAACACTTTATTATTCACGACATGCTAAAGATGTCTGCACGATAGACATTGTTGTCGCCCGCTTACGAAAATCGGAAGTTTGAGGTCGTCTTGGATTGTACCTCGTTCACCTCGACTTCTGAGATACCTGCGCAATGGCTAACCACCTGCTCGCAACTCATTCCAATTGACATCCAACATCGTTTTCTGACTTCATATATCTTGAACCCTAACTCGCTCACTCAGAAGTATCTGAGGCGAATGTATAATATTTCGTCAGGTGGGGATAATTCTGCCATCTTTTCATGAGCTCACGAGCATCTTTATCTAGGAAACATGCTCTCGAGTGGGGTAAGGGCCTGCTCGTCAGTTGCCGAACTCTTGCAGTATGTCCCGGCCGAAAGTCTTTCAGCACTTCGATATCCAAGTAAGCAATCGTATATTATATAGAAGCTTCTTTCTCACGTCGACTGGCCAGCTTCTTTGGAGGAGGAAGCTAGCACTGGTTATACGGAAGTCACCATGAGGCAAACTCACGAGATGCGCATGCCAGTCACTATGGAGGTTGCGGAGACTCATGTCCGTGTTACTTCAGTATGTCATCACCACTTCAACTCTAGGAGGTGCAACTAAGTTGCCCATTATAGATACGCGCAGCTGTCATCTCTCCGAACTTGAACTGCAAGTCGACAGAGATCATTTCTCTTGCTGATGTCAGCGATGCCTACAACGTATCCACTGGACTCGATCCCTACGAGTTCATCATTCGCAGAAGCAAGCAAGGTGTAACGTCCTACTTCTCTTCACCACAGCGTGACAGCATTGTCAAGGTGAGATCATGATAGTTATTACGAAATGTCCAATTAATTTATCCGATATCCCAGTCCATTCGTGCGGCCAAAAGTCAAATGAGGGACACGCGCCTTTTCCGCATGGATAGGTTCCCCAGGTTCTCCAATATCTCTACAACGCTACTCCATGTAGGCATGCTCAACATCGACTCCGAAGATGAGGGACTTCGCGGAGCTGCCTATGATCTTTTGGGTGCTCTCTGTTCTTATCTAAACTATGACAAGAATCCCATCATTGTTTCGAAAGGTGAGCGACTCCTTGAACAATTGATTACCAGTATTCTAATCCGACATAGCGGGAATTATACCCGGAGACATATCTACATTTGTCATTGGACTGAGTGACCGCCTAGCTGGCTTTGCACCTAAACTCACACTCGACTTCATCTCTGTCATTTCCGCCGGCATGGACAAGGCTAACGCTGCTCAACGTATCACCTGCTTGCAGTATATGAGCCCTTGGGTGAAGAACCTTGCAAAATTTTGCAATCCAACCAATTCATTGTACGAGCACTCGGGAGCGAGACTGCGAGACTGCGTTCGTTCATTGATCGACCTCACCATCTCTGACTTGGAGGCAAGTTTAGATGTTGCTAAGGTCCCCTTGAGTACTCACTGGATTATAGATAAGCTCCATGGTCCATAAATACATCTGGGTGGAAATAGGCCGTCAGGAATCGACCCTCGTCTATATAGTTCTCGAAGAGCTCATTCGTGCTGCGTCTGACGGCGGCATTGGGTCCCGAAGATGTGAGACCATCGCAAGAACAACCGCTGCCTTGTCGTCAATCAACGTTAGGGGGAGAATTTTTTCAAAGTTAAGAAAAGTTCTTGGAAAAACTTCCCTCAAACCTTCCAAGACACTGCCGGAGAACGTCCACTGGAACGAGATTGCCACCCTTGCTCGTTTCGCATTGGTAGCCAGCAACCACTCGAAGCAAGCAGCTTACGATCAACTATACATTCCCGACATCATCCACGTCGTTACGCTTATCGCGGGCACAGGACAGACGTTGGTTCGCAAGTCATTATATGGCGTAATCATGAACTTCCTTCAGTCTGTATACCTTGTACGAGCTGAGGATCCTAGCGCACCTGAATTGCGCCTTCTGATCGACGAACTCGTCAAGGTGGAGAACCTCACACTGTTCGGTCTCACTCGCCAGTCGTATACTAGCGAGTATTGCAATTATGATCCTCCAAACGACAAGGCAATGATCGACTCTCAAGAAGCCTTGACTCGTCTGCTTGTTCGAGTGATGGAAGTGACGTCCGGCTCAAGAGGTGAGTCCCATGCTTGGCATTGTGGGCTGCTCAAAATAATGTGTTAGGCTTGCTTAATATCTGGCGCGCACGGTGGATGAGTCTAGCAACATCAACTGCATTCCAGTTACCAGCGATCATTCAGTCACGCGCCTTCCTTGTCCTGGGCACTCTTGCAACTTCGGACGTCGACGACGACCTAGTGTATCAGATGCTGGTGGCGTTCAAGAACGCGCTAGGACAGTCTACAGAATCAGACACGATGGCGGTGGTTTGCATGCTTCGGTGCATTTGCAAAGTAGTGCCTTCTTTGACAGAAGGTTCCCGGTATCTTTGCCAGATTTTCTGGCTGGCCGTTGCTTTGTTGCAATCCAGCTACACTGCATTTTATTCAGACGCTGCTGGGCTCATGCGCGCGACAGTCGAGACGCTGGAAAAGCATGGCGCCTTTGAAGGCAGTTCGATACCCACCGTACTGCTGGACGGGCGGGTTTCACTGGAAGACACCGTTTGCCAACTTGACCACTTGCTCTGTCTCTCGTTCGACTCCAGTTTCTCCTTCACACTCGCCGCCATTATCTTCAAGGGTGTCCGCCACAATCACCTCAGATCGTCTGCCGAGCTCGTTCTGCGGAGTTTGCTGTCAGTCACCGCGCGATGTGGCAACCAAACTGCAGATGGCCCAGATTCGGGCCTGTGTCCAGATGCGCTTGGCTACTTCATCGCCTTGCTCCCCTTCTGCACGACACACGAGTCTTACGTGCAACTCCTACAAGACTGTAATGGAGAAGAGTTTTTGCCAGCACCAAACTCCTCTCGTCAAAATGATTTTGTTCCTCGCGTTTCCGTCGAATTGCTGTCTCTGACAGACAACACATCGGCACTTCTTGCAGTGTCGTTTGCGAGCACATTGTTGACCACTGCACAAGGTGACGATGCCGAGACCGAAATTCTGTATAATTTGCTGGCAGATATCGGGGCTACCCACCCCGAGTCGGTTTCAATGATGTAAGTCCTATCACTATAATCAATTTTATCGTGCTGATAGCTCTTTGAAAGCTATGACATCCTGCAGGACAGGATAAAAGATGCCTTCGCAAATTCTTCGAATGCTGCAATCATTAGAGCTGTGACGAGCATCTTCCGCAATGCACAGGACTCCCTGCGCCTGGGATCGTTACACTCGATGTCTGTATCCACGCTCAGTACGGTGGATGAATGCAATCCAGCGCAAAGCCTGAAGCAGAAATTGGAAGAGCTGGGTATGGACGGCCTTACAACGAGCTTCCAGTTTTTGGCTCCAAATCGAATTCATTGGTCGAAGATTGCTGCTTGGATATCCGACCTGGTTCTGAAAATTGTTGGCTTGGAATAATCTTTTCAGCATGCTCTGTTTTCTTCATGGACATCATGTAGAACATATATTGTACTTCTAACTTGCATCATTCCAGTTCTGTCTTCCGCACATACTTTACACAATGATCCGAATATCGCTAGTACTATTACTGCTAATGCCACGTCGTTCCACGACATAGGGTACACATACGATTGAATATATATCATTATGATTTTGCTGACCGGCCTTGCAGCACAGTACTAGTCTCAAAGTGCACTGCAGGTCTTCCCATTTCCGCTTGGCCTCCCCGTGTCGGCGTGCCCTCCGCAGGCAGATCACACCAATTTAAGATTCGCCAAGTAAGGCAGAATTCCCACGGTATCTATATTGGACAATACAGATTTGTTACCATTCCGAGGACGTTGTTCATACCCTATTACTTACTGCATATATATTCTCGCCTTACCCGTTGAGCCTCACGACCACCCATTCTTTACTAAACATTTAATCGACTGGATTCGATATGCACGACGAGTCCGCCTCGGACTACTGTCCGGCTTCCCCAGATGCATTAGACACAAGCAGCCTTTACCATGCCAATAGTAACATCGACGACCTAACTCTAGCTTTGATGAATCTCTCCCAAGTATCATCCTTGGAGTCCCAACAGAGCATATGTTGTTGTTGTGGTAGCATCGAGTGCCAAGCGACGAAGAGTTGGATGGACTCGAAGGAGAAGCTCGAGAAGCGGTTGCATCTCAGCGCAGGTATGTATTTGTGTCGTCTCGAATGCGAGCGGTCCGTAAATATCTACACAGAGGTTGGCTCCGCCCTACTGCAGCGGCATGAGGCATACGTCAGTCGACACGAGGTACGCGAAGCCTTGATCGCAACCTGCCTCCGTATCTTATTTTGTATTAGTCTAATGTGCACACGCCGCGCGGTGCTTCAGATGATCTTGCGGGCGACTCGCTTCAAGACATGCATGCTGAAGTCGATTCGCCTGTGGCCGAATTGATGAAAGACAATGCCGTCCTGGAGAAGGTTGGGATCCTCCTTACAAAATGGGTCGTGTTAACACTTCAATTCTAGCGACTAACGCAAGCGTTATTGAACAGTGAAGTAGCTGAGGCATCACATAAGACTGTACTTCAGGAGCTGGAGGAAGCCCGGACGTCGGTGACGCGCCTGACTGCATACCAGGCACGTACTGTAGGGATTGATTCTCGACTAGCTGCTACTCTCCAAGAGAATGATGATCTTCGGCAAGAGCAAGACAGTCAAGCACAAAAAGCAAAGACTGCAGAAGCACGTATTGCTGCTCTTAAGGACCGTACTGGTAGGGTTTCCTCATTGCCTCTAGATCGGGTTTTGCTGATGATTTGCTTGTGGCACAGATAAGCTACAAGCTGAAGTTCGTCGATTGCAAGCTGACCTCGAACTTCGGCGCTTGCAACGATTAGAGTCGTCAGAATCTCTACTTCAAGATGTTCGCTCGCGCATAGAAGGTCTTCATTACACGGTAAGGGTCATGCGTAAAAGTATGTAGCGAATCACCAATGACCACCTTCAGCGTACTAGCTCGGCGATAACCGAGGACTCAGAGGTTATGAAAGTTCTAGAGTCGCTGGTCTCTGACAACGAGGTCCTTAAGGCCGACAATGAGGAACTCCATAAGCTTCTCACTGAATCTAGAGAAGACCTTCAAGTGCTACAATCGCAAGTGGAGGAGAATTTCAACTTCGCGCCTCCGATACGAGGTCTGCATTTTATTATATGAAAGTTCAGTGCGTGGTAACTGATGGTGTTGTAATTAGTGGATACGCCTTCGAGACATTCGCGGACGGGAAGTGGCCCATCGTCATTTATTCGAGATTCGGTATGAACAAATATACTCGTTCAATTTCGTATGCATTCACAATTGACTTAGTTACTGAACTCTGTGAAACGTCCATCAAGCTCAGAGCTAAAGGCTCGTCGTATCTTTGTGAGTGTATCCCCCTCATAATTTCAGCCAGTGTCTTACGTGATTCACAAGGAGCCGCTCACGCCCGAGACCAGTCACCGTCCACTTTCCCCAGCAGAGTCGATGGTTCCCTCAGAAACGAAGTATACCAGTCTACACCCGCAATACCCACCTTCTCACTTCAGCTCCGATGTGGACGAGTACGACGTTGATCACCACTCGTTGCTCACCAATCCTAATCAACATTCCAAAGCGGTACAGACAGATCGCTGGCTAGGGTTGCATCCAACGGCACAACTGACACCGTCTCTCAGCGAGCTTGTATCGTCCTTTCCTCATGATGCCCGATCAGATTCTTCCTCCTTTCATGATAGTCAACCTACACACATCTCTGCTCTCCTAGAACGCATGATGTCACTCCTGTTGCGCATGTCGCAAGCGGATGCGCTGACACTGACAAACCGCTTAAAACGCCAGCATCTGCGTGGTGCGGACGTTAAACACCTATCACGCGCAACCGTAAGCAGCATCCTCTCGGAGATCACCCAGCTGCGTGCACAGTACCGCGTGCTGCTGGAGGATGAGAAGGTCACCCTCATGTGTACCCGGAAGGATCTGCGTGGGTTGTTCAAGTTCTTCAAGGACGTGTTTGAGGAACTTGGGCAGCTGCGTGTCACGCTGAATGATGTCATTCTAGAGCCTTCTATTGCACAGAGGGTCAGTGAGATGGCGCTGGATCCTGCAAAGGCCGAGGCGATGGAGAGGGAGAGGAAGGCGTCTGGACCAGGTTCAAGTTGGATGGCCCCATTCTCGAAGCTGTTCGGTTCATCAATAAGCGAATCGAACACTCACCCTTCTCATTCACCTCCTAGACCTGTAAGTCGAGGTCGTGGAATCATTCGTCAGCCACGTCCAGTACCAAAGCTGGGCCCGGCACTTGCTGCCTCGACTACAATAGTAAACGTCGAATTCTCGGGGGCGGGCGTTGGCAAGTCTGTAACAAGCACATTCTCCGCTCATCCTACAAATGAAGCACATCCGTTTGGCCCGATGTCTCACGTTGATACCGTTCCTCGCCCGCCTGCGCCGACCTCAAACGTACGCAGCGTCATGGGCATCTTCGCGGGTGCACCCCACCCGAATGATGCCGCAGATCCATGGGTAGTTCTTCCCCGTGCTCCTCGCCGTGTCCGTTCTACATTCTTCAAGTCAGATGAGCCTTCGAAGAGCGGCACCGTGACCATCGACAGATCCCTCGCGTATAAGCGGAGCAATTCGCACCTATCACGCGAAATCGACGTTGACACTAGGCTAGAGCACGACGAAGCAGCTGATGTACCTGGTCCCCTCATCGAGCGTGCCCTGCGCAGGCGGGGTCTCTCAGACTCGTCTATTCATTCGACGTACATGAACCAGACTCAACATAGTACACCTGCTGAACTCAGCACTGGCGGGTCAGTATTGCAGACCCTCAGCAGGACGATGAGAAATTTCAGCTTCGCTGCAAGCCAGACGGTGTCGGGCTCTGTGGCATCACCACCCCCACCCAGTCGCGTGCCAGAAGAGGACGCTGGTCCACGGGAAGGCCTCGACGTGCCACGCTCTCATCCTCGCAGAGTGGCTACTCCGACGCTATCGTCGCTCATCCCAAACTTGGGTTTAACATCATGGGCTACTGCCAGCGCCGCGTTGGAGAATCCCCACTCGGGTCCACGAGCAATGTACTATGGCAGCGTCCGAGAAGATTCCATCATGCCCCGGTCATGGGGACGAGAAGATCAGAGGAGGGATGTTTAAGCTGACAATGCAGAGTGAAAAGTGTAATCTATTCAACAGGACATACAGTGCAGTGCTTGATTTAATTACTACGCTTTCATGATACCCCCTCTCAATAACGTATTGTATTATATGAAGTGGAACAATGCATAATCGTTGACGATCTATTGCGTACAGTGGGGCTACAATTTGGCATTCAACACAAAGCTGCTTAAGAATAACGATACATGTGGGGTGCAGAGAATACAAACGGAAACGAGAAAGCGTCACGGTGATTTAAGGGTGTTCGAGGAGATACCCGCCATCAATGGCAAGGGTCTTGCAAACAAGTATTGAGTGAATTTAATAAACCGCGTGATGGCACGGTCAACACACCTGTCCATAAGCATACTGGTTACAGGCCAGCAACAAAGCAGCTTGTGCGATATCTTCGTCACGCCCAGGACGGCCTGCAGGTATTCCTTTCTTTTCCCCGTAGTCCTCAGCTACCGGAATCTGCGATTTATTGAGTTCATCAGAGCTACCAGCTAAGATCATCCATCGTTAGCTAGAAAAAATGAGCTTTAGCAAAACTTCAACCGACTTGTCATTTCAGAAGGGAAAATCCCAGGTGCGATATTATTCACTCTGACTTGAACGGCCTTTCTCCTGAATTCTTGCGCAAGCAAAGTGCTCAAGTGGATGGCGGCCGCCTTTGAGACATTGTACTTGTAGTGGCGCTGCGTAGTACGAGTGATACCGGAAACGGAGGTGATATTGATGACGGAGCCAGTGTGTTGTGACTTGCCAAGTGAAGATGCGTGGAGAAGGGGCAAAAATGCGGTAGTCGTGAAGAAACAGCCAATGACGTTGGTCCTGTAGACGTTCTCCCAGCTGGCTTGGTCCTCACCAAAAAGCTCCGTTGAGAGATCATTGGCACTCTCATCACCCTTCTCGACGGCGCTCTTGCCTTCGCTGATGCCAGCATTGTTCACGAGTAGGTCAATGTGGTCTTCGTTCTTGGTGATCTCCTGGACCAATTGTTTGATCGATTCTTTCGACATAACGTCACAAGTAACAGGAATAAGTTTCCCCTTCGGATGAGCGAGGGAAGAGCCCCATTGTTTTGCGGCGTGTTCAAGGACGTCCTGGCGGCGCGACGTGATGTAGACTTTGGCCCCGTTGTTGGCGAATGCTTGTGCAATCATGAGGCCGATCCCTGATCCACCGCCTGTCACGACGCAGACCCAGCCCTCGACGTTGAAGAGGTTTTTCACAACAAACTTTGCGTTTTCCGCAGACATTCTGACTGAGCTGAATGTTCTAACAGACTTTTGGGGAACTTTCGAAAGTACGTGTGGTCTGAGCAGAAATCTGGTTGTAGGAATGACAGGTGATCGTAGTCGCGGAAAGCAAAAGAGCACGGAACGGCGAGGATCATCATCGTCGGTGACTCCAAAATATTAGAGTGACCTCATCGATGTATTTATTGGTTTGAAATTTCCGTGTTTGGTCGAGCTTTGGCAAGGCTTCAACGTTGCAACTTGAACATAACCATCTGATAACACTGGTACTGAGTGCTGATTGTCTTATAACACGGCTCACGCTAGAGTCCGACCTCCGCAATTGACTCTGTCAGTGTGACGACCAAGTTACAACGACATTGTTTGCGCAAAGTCAGCTACCGGGCGACGGAGAACCGCCGCCTCGTGCGCTCAGAACGGCTCCGTCTTTCTCCATCACTTCAAGCTAAGATTCCACGGTGCGCGTATCACGCTTAGTGAATAGCTACTCATTCTAATCTTCAAGAGCAGAGGTACCTCGTCATAGAATACACGGTTTGCGGTTGTCTAGTTTCTAGAACATAAATCTTACTCTCATCGTATTTGAAAACCTCTGGAGGAACTTCGAGTCGCTCTCGGTGCGACATTGATCACAAAAGGCTTCGTATGACTTGAGTAAATTGCTTTGCGAAGTGATTTGTCTGCGAACCTGTGGTTTGGCACGCCTATTACATGGACTACTCATAGTTGCCATGTGTAAGCTTTCGTTCAGCATCTTTCGGAACATTAATCTGCCGTTTAGCCTGCAACCGCGTAAACTCGTGTCGCCAAATTAATTAAACAAACTCACGATGCCAGTAAAGAGTTTGCATTCACTGCGAAGCAAGGGCTAGGTGAGTTTTCCGAATATACTTTTTTTTCGGGTACAGACCGCTCGCAAGGATGGCATATAATCCAACCCATATGTCTGCAAAAGGTTCATTTCGTGACGAAGAATAGATAACCTGGTTCACTCACAATTTTGCTGCATTGATAGGAACTACTCTTTCACAATCAGTTTGGTACTGTTCGTCCAAGAAAAGACCTCTTACGAAGCTCATGACAAGGACCACCACCAGGCTCAACATGATATCAGCCCCAACACGCCAGGAACATCGTCTTTCCACATACCTGGTTATTAGGCCAGTTTCTGCAAGGTGATTGAATGGGCATGAGTCATCTGCGAAGATGAGCATAGTGCTCACCGATAGTCCACAGAACCAGACGGTCAAGTATGCTCGTTGTCCTGCGAAATAATTACATTGGATCGGGTCGGAAACAATATAGCATACCTTGAAAATATCGACCGTTGCTTCCTCAAATACCACGCAATGGCCATGGTGAGTGTCAGCTCACAAACCACACGCGAAGTGAGTGAAAGCGTGATCAGTGTGTTCTGATCATGTGCAAATGTCGCGAGGCTTTTCATGTTGAAAGCTCTCACTGCGATCACGAGCGAAACAGACTGAGCTGCTAAACAGAGTGCCAGCGAGAGCAGAGGCAGATAAAGACTTTTCGAAAGCTTCCATAGTCGAAATGCGAAGGGCGACTATGTGCTGGTGAGTGTCTCCGTCAAATTTTATGAAGGATCTTACCTCAACCAGTACCCCTGTAATCGCAGTAAAGAGGATAGTTGCGTCTGCCCCCCATGGGAAGACCTGGAGTCTCAAAGGGTCGCCGTAGGTGCTGACAGCAACGTTCCAAAGTGACGCCGAGACACAAGTCACATGCGCAATCTGCGATGCACTGTACGATTTGATTAGTCTGAGCAGGAAGAAAAAATACATAAGCCACTTACAAGATTGCAGCTACCTGAAAATATGACATCCAGTCAGTATTTTGTGTTTCTCAAGCTGGTTTCACTGACCGTGATCTTGATCGCTCGACGATCGTTGCCAAAATTCGCATAATACACATAGGTCTGGACGATGAGACAGCCGAAGAGGCAGGCGTTCACGAGTGCACCCAGCACCACCGGCCCGATCATGATGTATGCATCGAATGCCACAATGGACACGGGGACGTTCTCGCATGGGGCTATTACACCGCTGGAATTTGTGGCGTTCATGGTATGGTGTGTTTCGATGGTCCACTTTCCAGACTCGCATTAAATGACCTATCTGTGCCTCCGCTCGGCGCCACAGTTGATGCATGATGCAAGCTGTCCAGTTTGAATCTGTGCGCGCACGGCAGTGACACATTCAAAGAAATGGTCTGAGTCTTGTGCACAAGAATTAACCCAATAACGTTGTCGGGTGACTCATGGTTGTCACTTTAGTTACGGTACGCATGTCAGGACTCTCTCAGAGGACTCGTTGGACTCTGACCAGTCAGCGCGCTTCGTCTCGTTTATTCACATACTCTGACAGCTACTCCTGGACATATCAAGGCTGGACTACGTAAGTACGTAATTGCTGTTCGTCAATCATCTTCCATCTTTGATAATTCAAATCAGGTCTCCCTCCATAACCTGGCCGACCAAACCGCGCCACGGTCAGCCAATCAACTCTGCTCGCTGTTCATCATAATCAAGCCACCGAGGGCAGTTCCCTCGAATCAGCGCTTAATTGGCCAAACACACAGCAAATGACAAAGTTCGACCTCAGTGTCCGGAGATTTCGGCTATCTATCACTCGATTCCATCAAGCACCCTGAAACAAGTACGTTGTTCGTCGCACTTCATGAGAACGATATCTGAAGCCAAGAGTTTGATTGGCGTCTATTAATTACTCTGGGGTATGGCCTCGTATGACACATGCGCAGCGGATCGCTTCAAGTTCGTCATACATACAGGCGTTACGGACCTAAGCTCAAGGAACCGCTTGACGTCGCTTGGCCCGGTTGGGATAATATATCTTGTATGACGTATGGCCGAGCAGAGGCCGAGCAGTTACTAGCGATGGACCTCATCGCAGTGGTGTTCACGGTAAGTTGATGCAGCGGGGTGCTATCGTGCCCAATTTTTGTTAGATTTTTGAGATGATGGAGTTCACCTAATGGCGCGTTCCATGTTTTACAGGTGGCGGAAGATGACAAGTTAAAAGCTCGCGCAAATGGTTTCGGAAAAGGGGGTGTCTCCGATAATGGGTGGCGCAATACGAAAATATCACAGATAAGTTCGCTGAATCATGGACTGGAGCTTCTTCGTGAGCTGCCTTGTGTTCCGCTACGGGCTCCCGAATGGTTAGTACAGGTGTATCTTGACCGTCATCAACAAACAAACTATGGGTTGTTGGGTGTGGGGGAAGATATGAAAATATCTTGATGGACGCGACAGGGCTATGCCGTACATATGATCCCCGTGGCTTCCATGGGGTCCGTAAGTAATCTGAACATGATACGAGTCGGAGTTGCCGTATACCCTCGTATAACCGTGATGTCGATGCCAATCATATTTCATAACACTGTCCTAGCGAGATAGATAAATGGGAAAATAATCCTGATATGCACGGCGCACGAAATATACATGGTAAAAGAAAGCAACAAATTGAAGAGACGTACACGGTGGGGAATCATCGTATTCAACCCTAGGCCTTGATGGCTTCACGTTTCTTAACTGAGAATTTTTCAACGATATCATATACGCACATAGTGTACGCGTGATAGTACTTTGGCAGCACTCTGCCCAATCATCCGCCATAAGCAATTGGCAGTAAAAATGATAATTTCCTCATTTGGCTATGTCAAATTGGCAATTAAAAGTAGGCTGGCAGTTCTAACTTCTTCCACGGCTAAAATTTGGCAATCGTCACGACGTCTTATACATGATACGGTATGCGCTATATCAACTATTATTATGCAGTCACGGGCCAGTTACTCGGGCTAGAGGTTTAAAGCACTAATCGTGCTTTCAGAGGGGTTTCGGTCTTCACGAAATGGGCCGTTGGAGTAGGGGGTCCTAGGGCAGGGGTAGAGCAGAAGACCCCATACGGACGATTCCGAGAGCTTAGTCAGCCAGGTTAGGATAGAGCAGCACAGCATGTCAGTAGCATCATCATTCGAGCACAGACAACCACGAGACGACGGCACCACTCCATCGTGGTGAACAGAGCGAGTTCGAACCAACCCAATTTCGCATCTAGTCCTAGCTCTCGCAATAGTCTTAGCCCGCAGCCTTGATCTAGCGTTACCGAATCAGAAATTCGAAAAAACTTCAATTTAAAACAGCTAACCAAACATTCACAGAAAACGCAGTTTATTACGTGCACCGCACCACAACAGACCGCAAGTATTACAAAAGAAGGGCTGTATCTACTCAACTCTTTTTACGTGGACATCTGATGCCTAGCACAGATAGCCTAAGACCCAGAACAGCAAAAGGGAAAGCGGTGACCAACACCCGCTCAAAAACAAACTGGTCAAATTGGTCAACGACAACGACCACAGCTTCCTCCCCATTAGACACCCCAGAACGCTTTAGCAGCTCATCGCTTAGCAGCATCGAAGACGACGACGATCGCAACAACATCCCCTTCCCAGAACTAAACGTCCCAAACCTAGACCTCCAACTACCAACGCTCAGATACCAACCGCTAACTCGCCACGTAAAAACAGAACCGCTCAAACCCACCCCCCCAACACCAGATTACGACTTAGCCAAATTCTTCGCGCTGTCACAGCCCAAACTCATAATGCCTACGGAAACCCCGCAAATCTTTCATGGAGACGGGCGCGCATCCGAGAACCCAGCCGACTTCGTAAAATCCTTCAACCGCGCAATGAGGCAACAAGCAGTAACAACAAGCAGCGACAAATTAGACGCCTTCGGCGACTATTTGGGAACTAGTTCACAAGCGGAAATATGGTTTAAAGCTCTCAGCTCCACAGATAAGGCTACGTGGACTGCGTTTGTAGCAGCATTCGAGAAACGCTGGCCACCAATCGTCATTGCGGAAAAGACGAAGGCAGAGTACGAGAGGGACTTATTAGACCATGTGCTGCAAAGCGCAGACGTAGGAAAGAAGACCACGCTCTATGACAGAGAGTGCTGGACACACGTCGCTTGGGCAGCGAACACACTCCAATTCGCCACCAACGCAGGCATCGAGCAAGGTACATCAATGATCTGGCAAGTCCGCAGCAAGTTACCAGACATCGTGAAAGACTTGCTCAAGGATGAAGAATACAAGAATTGGTCAGAGTTCACGAAAGCGGTGACGGAGTTGAAGGGAAGCAGACTAGCAGAAAAGCAAGAACAGAGCATCAAGCAATCACAGGAACTCAAGGCACTGCGCGCAGACCTAGCTCGTATTCAGCTACGTGCACCACCGCAGAACCCAGTCATAGCTCTTCAAAGCCAATTCAGCAAAATGGCGATCAATCCACCAACCCCATCGCTAACGTCGTCAGCTAACAACACGTATACTCGAGTACCAACCGCAGAGAACCAGCGAAACGCGCAGCCTCCATACATCCGTCAGACAACCCCATCCCAACAGCAAACCATCATTACAGACGACATGAGAACAACAGTCAGACAGCTCGTCGCAGCCATACCCCAACAACCAGATAACCCAAATGGCCAAGCAGTATACGCAAATCAGCTCGCGCAGTGGAATGCGAAATGGGGCGAGAACGCACGCGTTACACACGAGACAGGATATCCTCTCAAGCCAGGCACAGTGGCTATAGGTTCGAGTGAATGTTTTGGCTGTGGAACCCACGGACACAACGGACGCAACTGCCCATTACCAACAAACCACGCAGAACGACTAACACGCAAGGAAGCAGCGTGGCGTGCCATTACGAGCAAAGTCCTAGGAGCATTCAATCGCACTTCGGCGGTACCAATCTCATTAGTAACCAACCATATCCCGCAATACAACACAGCATGGATTGAAGAACTTGCTGAACAAGACGAGGGAAAAGCGGATGGGTCAGCGTAAAGAACCATACTACGCTGACCCAGAGAAAAACGGACCTTCACGCCAGAAGTAGTGTCCTCGCGTGTACGGAGGCATCACGCGAGGACATGGACTCATCCGCACTTCCCAAGCTTCAACCTACATCCATAGTTACTCATGTATCAGCACCACTTGACGCAATCAACACTGTTAACCTGTATTCAGTGGAACACGTCACAATAACTAAGGAGCACTTAGAAGCAAAGGAAGCGGTACCATTCATCCATCAAATCACACTCAACGGACCGAAAGGAGAAGCGGTTAGAGTACGGGCTCTCTTTGATGACGGGGCCATGGTAGCAGCCATGTGTACGTCAATATTCAAAAAAGTCAAACACCGCCTACACAATTGGGGCCCATCAGAAAGGAAGCTAAGAATGGCAAACGGAAGCATTGTCAATTCAGAGGCCAAATGGTCCGGAACAATAGAGATCAACGGCATCAAAGCAAAAGGGGATTTCGAAGTGTTTGATAGCGCAGGTGGATGGGCGTTCTTGTTTGGGAAGCCTTTGTTACAATCATTCAAAGCCGAACACAACTACAAGGCGGACTCAATCAAAATCGCGGACAACGCTAAGACGACAACCATCTACAATCAGATAGCGAACCCACAGGCATTACAACGTGAAGAACATGGCACAAGTCTCGCCCTAGACGTCAAGCAACAAAAAACCCCCAGCAGCGTAAAAGAACCAGTCGAACGTCCAGAACACATACCTATGGGACAGTGGAAGCCAACTACCGTAAACTCGAGACAACGAGAACAACGGAGATCACGCCAAATGTGGAGACGAGTCCAGAAAGCAGAGGACGACCAAGAGGTAGAGCCGAAAAGGAAGGAGAAGGATACAACACATAGTCAAACGCAGGGGAGCGAAAGGCTCCCCTCAAGGGAAGTCGAGCACGATATCTCACACCGCGAGCAGCATGAAGTTGACAATCCCAATCATGCAGCACCGATCCAAGTTCTCATCACCGATCAAAGCCAAGCAGAATATGAAGGAGAACTTATAGGCGAACTCCCAGAACCACAGCCGCAAGAACCCAACATATTCACAAGGCACACATGGCCTGACAACCCAGCAAGGATAGCGAAAATTATATCAGAGATCACGTTTGGAGACGACATCACAGCAGAAGAGAAAACACAACTAGAAGACTTCGTTCGACGGAACGCAGACGTCTTTGCGCTTTCTCTCAAAGAAGTCAAACCCATCCCTAACGCATTTGTTAACCTCAACGTCCCAGAAGCAGCAACGTTCAATCTACGCACCCATCAAAGACCACTAACCCCAGATCAATCCCGGTTCTTCAGCGCTCGCATCGACGATATGCTAGACGCCGGCATTATCGAACACGCGCCAGCAGAACATGTCAAATGTGCAGCAACCACCGTAATCGCACAGAAAGCTCACGAGGCTACAGGACTACCATGGGAAGAACTCAGACAGCGCATCAATGACCAGTGCAGAACAGCAGGGGAACCACCAGCGTTCGACCTCCCAGAACGAGAAGTAGACGCACCACCACCGGCACAACGAAAAGAAACATCAAGAAAATGGCGCATATGTCAAAATTTCGGGCAACTCAACAAGTTCACCGAAATAGCGCCTATGCCTCAAGGGGACCTCTTAGCGAAACAACAACGACTTAGCGGACATAGGTACGTATCAGTTTTCGACTTCGCATCAGGATTCTACGCTCTTCAGGTCCCAGAACAATGGCGTCCATACCTTGCTTTCTACGTAGAGGGCAGGGGTTATTTCTGGTACAAGAGAATGCCAATGGGGATAACAGGAGCTCCAACAATGTTCTGCGAAGCGGTCGCAATAAGACTTCAAGAATTCTTGGTGAGCTACACTATGGAAATATTCATGGATGACGGAGGTTGCTCGGCAGATACGTTCAACGAAATGATGGAGAAACTCGAGGCTATCTTCAAACGGTTCAAAGAGTGTAACTTCTCAATAGCGCCATCGAAAACACGTCTCATGGTCACCGAAACGGAATTCGCAGGCGCTACAGTAGGACCCACAGGAGTCAAACCCGACTTATCGAAACTCACAGCAATCGTTGATTGGGCGCAGCCAGAAGATGCGTTAAACTTAGTATCGTTCCTTGGACTTACAGGACACTATCGCTCACTAATTAAAGCATATGCCAAGCGCGAAGCGCCGCTTCGAGATCTCCTCAAGAACGTACCCCTTCCAGCGCAGTACAACAAGACTACCTACAAGAGAATCATGAATGCCTACAAACTCGCACCACACTGGAAAGCCGAACACACCCAGGCGTTCCTACACCTCAAAGCAGCAGTCACATCAAGACCCGTAGTACAAGGACCGCGATACGATGGGTCGCCATTTGTCTTAACGACAGACGGATGCGCAGAGGGCTTTGCGGCAGTGTTGTCGCAGAAAATCCGAACACAGACTCCAGATGGACGATGGGTAGAGAAGCTACACCCCATCGGATTCGCTTCGAAGCGAACCTCGTTAGCAGAACAACGGTATAAGTCTTATCTCCTTGAATTCGCTGCATTGAAATTCGCGCTAGATAAATTCTCAAATATTATTTGGGGTTTTCCAGTCGAAATAGAAACTGATTGTAACGCGCTAAAAGATACTCTACTCAACTCTAACCTCACAGCAGCACATGCAAGATGGAGGGAAGGCATCCTATCATATACCATCTCAGACGTCAGACACGTTCCAGGTCGACTTAATGTTGTCGCAGACGGGCTAAGCCGCAAGTGGGAAGGCCAACCACGTACACCGGGAGACGGCAGTGAATGGACCGTAAACGAAGATTGGGAAGCACGCACCGGGCTCATCAACGACGTCATGCACATATCAGAAGTCGACTCCACGATAGACGCACTACGAGTCCGCTTCGCTAACGAACCAATTTTCCAGGAGGTGATAGAAGCCATTCACGGTCTAGATCATCACGAGGACCTCGGCAAACGACGACGCGCGAAGCATCGAGCTTCAGAATATCTAATCAACGAAGGTAAGCTTTGGCGGTTAAAGGGGAGTAACACGACAAGGGCAAGATCAAGGGTAGAATGTGTTACCAAAGAAGAAGCCAAGGAACTAGCTAAGCAAGCCCACTCGGAAGGAGGGCACTGGGGTCGAGACGCGATCAAACTAACACTTTTAGATCGCATCTGTAGCCCGAAGCTAGACGCATCAATTCTGGAAGCAATCAAACACTGCGCTAAGTGCAAGAATTTTGGTCCTACTCACATACACTCACTGCTAGAACCGATTACCAGACGCCATCCATTTGAACTCCTAGTAGGAGATTATTTATCGCTTCCCAAAGGGAAAGGAGGGTACAGTACATTAGGAGTCTATCTAGACACGTTTTCCCAGCACGTTTGGGTATACAAATACAAAACGGCAGGGAGCGCAACCACTACGATCGATAGTCTAACGCGAATATCCAACACATTCATAGCACCCGAAACGTTTATGGCCGACGGCGGAAAACATTTTAATAATGATGTGGTGAGAGAATTTTGCACTTCGAGAACAAGTAAACTACACACCGTTGCAGCATATTCGCCCTGGGTAAATGGGTTAGTCGAAGGAACGAATAAGCTACTGCTTCACGTTCTAAAACGCTTATGCGCACCAGCGCTAGGAGAAGACGACGCGCAAGAAACATCGTGGGACAAGATCCCTAAGTCCTGGCCAGACCACCTCGATGACGCGGTTCACGCACTCAACCATCGTCTCCTCCCAGCTCTCAAGTTCTCACCGAAAGAACTATTATTGGGCTTAATCGTCAACACACCCCCGACACCGCTAGAAGAAAGCACGTCGATACTCAGAAACGTAGACGCATCGACACAGATTGCATACGTTGAGCAACAACGTCTGGACGGTTACGAGGAAGTGATCAGACACGCAATCAAAAGGAAAGCAGCCTTTGATAAAAAACTCTTACAACGAGGACCCGGGGAAGTTATTTTTAAAATTGGTCAATTAGTTCAAGTTTACCGCAGTGACCTAGATTATACATTCAAGACCGAACGGAAACTAATACCGAAGTGGTCCGTACCACGTCGTGTACAATCGAAGGAGTTAAACTCGTACAAGCTCGAAACTCTCGAAGGAGAAACGCTACAAGGGAACTTTAGCGCTAGACGCCTACGAGCGTTCACTCCCAGAACAGGAACAAAGCTCGCAAGAGACCAGGAGGCGTACGATGAAAAATTGACGATGAAAAAGACAGAACTTGAAAGAGAAAATGAGGAAGCAGAGCAATTAGTCGAGGAGGATGCAGCGGCAGAAGAAGACATGGAGGATACAGACGACGAGGACATAGAGGATCCAGGAGAAGAGATAGAGCAGTAGACGGCGTCGAGGGCGGCGCCGGTTGTTTTTAGGGGGGTGCATGGAGTAGGGGGTCCTAGGGCAGGGGTAGAGCAGAAGACCCCATACGGACGATTCCGAGAGCTTAGTCAGCCAGGTTAGGATAGAGCAGCACAGCATGTCAGTAGCATCATCATTCGAGCACAGACAACCACGAGACGACGGCACCACTCCACCGTCTTGTCAGCATGAATTAACTTCGTTAGTACTATGATCTAGGGGCCGCCTGTCTAGCAACTCATGATCAATTGAGGTGCGATACGTGTTTCAGCACTCACTGGAAGGCCGAGACCCAAGACCGAGCAGTCACCAACACTCGTCGAAGCGATCTTCATGGTGAGTTAAACAACTCGAGCTACCAGGTTTTTGAGCTTTAACCCTAACAACATTGTATCCTTCAGACAAAATTCTCATCAGGCTCCTCGCCTGCATTTCTCGGTGTTCCGTACGTGCACCCAAATTGGTGAATTGCAGTTGAAATAGCCTCATAATATAACACAGGAATCGCTGTTATTGTCATTACTGTGGTTTCTAGAACCTAAACTTCACCTTCACCGTATTTGAAAACCTCTACAGGACCTCCCACTGATTGCGTGACATTGATCACAACAGACTTCACATGACTTCAGTGAACCGCGTCGCAAGACGACGTATTTACGAACCTGTGATTTGCTACGTCCACCACCTGAGCTAGTCAGAGTGTTCATGTGTAGGCTTTCATTCGCCCCGCTTTGGAGGATTAATCTGCCGTTCAGCCTGCAACCGCGTGAACTTGCGTCGCCAAATGTACTGAGCAAACTCACGATGCAAGAAACGAGTTCGCGTTCACTGGGAGTCAAAGACTAGGTAAGTATTTCGAAGATGTGCAATTTGCGGACACCGACCAGACGCAATGTTTGCGTATACTCCAACCCATATGTCTAGAAAAGGTTCATTTTGTGACGAAGGACAGATATCCTGGTTCACTTACAATTCTGCTTCATTGTTAAGAACTGGTATTTCACGATCAGATCGGCACCGTACATCCAAGAAAGGATCTCTTACGAAGCTCATGACAAAGGCCACGACCAGGCTCAACATAACATCAGCCCCAACACGCCAGAAATGTCTTACCACATACCTGGTCATTAGGCCAGTTTCTGCGAGGTGTGGTGAGTCACATATACCAGAGAGTACTCAGTACTCACCGAGAGTCCACAGAACCAAACGGTCAATCATGGCCGTTGTCCTGTAAATCATTACAACGGAACAAATTGGAAGTAATGCAGCGTGCCTTGAAAAGGTCGACGACCGTTGCTTCCTCAGGTACCACGCCATAGACAGGGTAAGTGTCAGCTCACAAACCAGACGCGAAGTGAGCGAAAGCGTGATCAGTGTATTTTGATCATGTGCAAATTTCACAAGGTTTGTCATGAGGAAAGCTTTCACTGTCATCGCGAGTGCAATGGACTGAGCTGCTAGACAGAGTGCCAGCGAAAGAAGGGGGAGAAAAAGTGTTTTCGAAAGCTTCCACAATCGAAACGCGAAGGACGACTACATGCTGGTGAGTGTCTCCGTCAAATATGATGAAGGATCTTACCTCTACTAGTGCCCCTGTAATTGCAGTGAAGAGGATAGCCGCATCTGCTCCTAGTGGGAAGACCAACATCGTCAGAGGGTTGCCGTAGCCGCTGACAGCAAAATTCCACAGTGTCGCCGACACACAAATTACATGCGCGATCTGTGCTGCCCTATACAATTCAATTGGTCTGAGCAGGGAGAAAAGCTACATAAGCCACCCACAAGATGGCTGCTACCTGGAAACACGGCGTTCAGTCAGCGTCTCGTGTTTCGCATGCCAGTTTGACTGACCGTGAGCTTCACCACTCGACTATCGTTGGGGAAATGTGCATAATAGACGTAAGTCTGAACAACAAAACCGCCGAAGAGGCAGGCGTTGACGAGCGCACCCAACACCACTGGCCCCATCATGACGTATGCATCGAATGCAACAAAGGGAGGGAGGGCGTTCTGTGGGACGGTCACGGTGCTGAAATCCGTGGTATTCATGATGTGGTTGGTTATCTTGGTTCACTTCCCCGAGTTGTGTTAAATGACCTGTCCATATCTCGTATCTTCCACTCATCGCCACAGCTGATGCAGGCTGTCCAATTTAATCTTCTGCCTTCGATCACAAGGAAATTGATAAAAGCGAATATGGTGCAAAAACTAACCTCGTTTTGATACAACTGGTTCGGTAATAATGTCGTCTGGCGCCTTACGGTCATCATTTTAGTTACCATCCATGTTTGAGCACTTACTGGACAACAGTGGGCCACTGTACTCGGGTTATCGGAAGACCCATCCGGTCTGTGCGCTCGTCTCATTTATTCATAGACCAATATTGAGGCTCTGGCATGTCAGATGCTGATCACTTTGGCGATGATGGATGAACTTTATGTCGTGGTTTGAATTTATATACGGCAGTTCCCAGAGTTCTTCGATCTAGTGGGTATATTTTACATACTTCAAGGCATATATATAGCTGATTACATACCTCTTATGCATGACGAACCAGATAACCGCCAATAGGGTTCCAGACTTCAAGGAATTCCGGTTCCAAGGTCGAGGGTCGAGACCAACTTGAATCTCGTCGAAGTGATTTTCACGGTGAGTCGAAGAACTCGAGCTACCAGGATTTGGCGTCAAATATGATTTGATCATACACACGAAAACAAGGACAATATTTGCCAAATGAAAGTCGTGCAGTGGGAATCATAGGATTCACTGGTGCCTATGAAAGCGATAGAGTCCACCTACATAGCAGCGGTTCGCGTTTGCTAAGCGGTGGACATAAGTGCGAATTTTAGTTATTACATGTCACTTGCCAATTAGTTGCTGTGTAATTCTCACTAGCTATGCCACCACCTGGATTAGCCCGCCAGTTCACGCGATCAACAACTGACAGGCCATGCTGTAACCACGGATCTTCTGTGGGAGGTCACTGGTGATATGGTGGACCTCCAAAACATGATAATCATAAATCCCATCCCACGGGACAGCGAATCTAAGATTAGCTGATCATTGCAGTATAAGCAGATGGCATTCTTGTGGCATCGCGAGTCGTGGCAGTGAACTGATTCGTTCTAGCCACCAAAGATGACGGCATTTAGGGCAGCGGAATAGTTCCATGACCTCAAAGTCGCCCCATAATTAAAAAAAAAAAGCCGCGAGCCTCGGCGTAGATATATATCACTGAAAGTTTGAGGGAACGTTATTGTCAGCAAATGTTGCACTAACGCATTGATAATTATAACACCTAACATGCATGGACGACGAGACTGGAAGTTCTGAATACTGTATACATATTACATTGGTTGCAAAGTCCGACATTGTTGATACAGAGCATTGTGCTGGATGGATAAAATCATTTCAAGCATCATATCCAGGCGGGGTATCCGCATATGAATTCGACGCCGCCGGCGCGGAACCGGATGACGTATATGCAGCTGCTCATCCCGAGCAAATTAGAGAAATCGATACTATCTGGAGTGGTACTCACGCAAGTTCTCGTCGTCTTCCATGGCCGCCTGTCTCTTCATATAAACAACTCTTTCGCGCGTCTTCTCCAGTACGCTTACGAACTCAAACAAACCCCTGTCATAAAACCGGATCTCGACGCTCGTGCCGTCCGTAAGCCCACCATCTGGTGAAGGTCTGATATCAAGCACCACGTAATTAGCACCGAAGTAAGGCTGTTCGAATTTGCTAGATAGGATCGCGTCCAGCGGAACCGACAGCGATTCGAATGACGGCTTGGTCTTTCCCTCTTTGGGTGTTGTGAATATCAGCTGGAGCACATCGAAATCAGACCGATGCTAGAGACAAGTGACATTGAGAAGGAAATATGAACGTACTCGCTTGTTCGTCAGCCAGAGTTTTCCTCTCTCCTTCAAGTTCTTCACCCCGCCATTGCCTCCAGTGGCAGCAGTGCCCGAAGGTGGCGCGTCGGGTATGGTCAAGGAGAACTCTGCTTGGGAATCACGATCTATGGACATGATGGTAATCTCATCACGCAAGGGTATAGGTTGGTGCCTCCCATCCAGCATCGTCCAATCGAGTGCCATGGTAGAGATGTTGGCGCAACTCAACTTGAAGCTGCCAGCACTTAACCGCAGCGGCCAATTTGGATATGTCCTTCTCTGCAATGGGTGAAGATGAGCCAGAATATAGAAACGTCATGGCTACCTGGCGCAATGGTAGCGCGTTTGGCTTCGATTGCCAGCGGCACCAAAAGGTTGCAGGTTCGAGTCCTGCGGTGGTCATTTTTTTTATTGTTTATCTTGTGCTTATCATGCTCACGTGACCTTGTCGCGTTTCGCGACGAAGGCTTGCAGCTTGAAGACGCTTTCTACTTACTACCACGCCTGAACAGGCTATCCACATACTGACATCGGTCAGACGCGCCATGGCCACCATGCTACTCTCTCAGCATTCATCTAATCCTCTTGAAGTCGGTTCTTCTGATGTCCGCAACAAAGCTTACCACGAGGAATATGTCTCGGCACAGAATACAAACGGTGCCTTCAACCTCACGTCCGAGGACGGTCATGATGGCTTCGACAGGCCAGATATGGTTGAGTATCATAATCACCTCGCACGCCTTTATTCAAAACAAGGCGTCGTGCCCTCTACTATCAAACGAAAGCGTCACCCAGACGAGCTCCCGGTCGTGGATCTCGACGAGAGCATGGAGAGCGCTGACGATATGAACTTCGAAGTCCCGCATGATATGGGTACTCTCGACGACGACGACGAAGACCCTGAAGAAGACGCCGACGCGGATGGCGAGACAGACGAAGAGAAGACATTATACCTCAAACCACCGGAAGAACAACAGGAGATCCAACTAGAAATCGCCAATCTCAATAATGCTGTCCCATCATTGTCAGAGGACTACACTATCGTCGACCGCCTTGGAACAGGGACGTTCTCCTCCGTATACAAGGCCATAGATTTGGCCTACCATCATAAATGGGACAATACCGCGTGGCATGGTTACCATCCTCCCATATCCTCCGCACACTACCAATCAGCTCCTTACCCTCCTGGTACAAAAGCCTTTGTCGCCATAAAACGAATATATGTCACAAGTAACCCGGAACGAATACGAAATGAGATCTCGATCATGGAGGACTGCAGGGGATGCCGTCATACTTCCCAGCTTATCACCGCATTTCGACACCATGATCAAGTGGTCGCTATCATGCCATATACCCGCAATGAGGATTTCCGAGTAGGTACACCGGTTCACATATGGAAGATATCTTAACGTTAGTCCAGGAATTCTACAAAGACTTGTCTATGGCTGGTATCAAAGCATACTTTCGATGTATGTTCCGTGCATTGCGTGATATTCACGCCAGGGGTATCATACATCGGGACGTTAAGCCTGCGAACTTTTTGTATGATCCTCGAACAGGCATAGGTGCCCTGTGCGACTTTGGGCTCGCAAGCGTGAGCTGTGAAATATGGGCTTTAGGAATCTCTCATAACGCGATGTTTTCAGAGAATGGATGGATCGGTGCCGGTGCACGGAGCATGCTTACATACCTCTGCCACGCGGGAGCATCCTCACGGCAAAATAAGAGGGCGTAATGACTACGACGTCGACCTCCTGAAGAAGATGCAGAGGGAAGCCCGACAAAAAAGCTCGTGGTCAAGCGACCGTGTTGGTTATCCTGACAAGGATACGAGGTAAGCGTTCGCCTACAAGTCGTACGTCTGCTGACCTTGCGAAACAGAGCACCCTCGAAAGCAAATAGGGCTGGGACGAGAGGCTTTCGGGCACCTGAAGTCCTTCTAAAGTGCAGTCAGCAAACCGGTGGTACGGCATGTCATTCTTAGTCAAACGCACTGGCTGAACCCATACTGCCCAGCCATTGATGTTTGGTCTGCTGGTATGATTCTTCTCTTTTTCCTGGCGGGAAAATTCCCCCTCCTGCAGTCCAGCGATGACATAGAAGCACTCATGGAAATCGCTACCATCGTCGGTCGACAGAAAATGGAGAAAACAGCGATCCTGCATAGTAACTGCGCGTCTAAACATATGTATTTCAACTAATGAGTATTGTACAGGTCGAACGTTCGCGACAAATGTGCCTTCAATATCGCAAGAGGGCACAAGCTGGCGCGAATTCGTTGAAAAACAAAATCCTAACATATTCAAACCTTCCACACCAGACCCTCGATATTATCCCTACAATGACTACGAAACGTCCCCTGGCGGGTCCAACTATCCTCCTCCATCGTCTTCATCGTCATACGGCTACAGACATACCAGTTCCTCTCGATCACGCTCCGTCACGCCCACGCGCGCCAGTACGCCAGCGCCTGACTCGCACCGAGCCGACGTCGAAGCTGCCCTTTCTCTTCTCGCGGAGGTAATGCATCCCGAATCAACGCGTCGCATTACACCGCGAGGCGCACTATACCATCCATTCCTGGCAGACCCATCGGAGCCTGAAGACGACGATCTATTCCCACACCCGTTTGGTGATGGCGTATGTGGGAAGTGGCATTACGTGGACGAGGGAACGGATGAGCAGTGTGTAGTTATAATTGATGAGGGTACGGAAAAGGGGAGGAGAGTGATGTCTGGAGAAGGAATAGCTATTGGGAGGTGGCCGTGTGAGTTCCATAGGAACGAGTGTTATGAGGTGTAAGAGGAGTAAAACAATTTATGTTTTTATTGGAAGGAGAAGGGAGCAAAAATAGAGTGACCACCGCAGGACTCGAACCTGCAACCTTTTGGTGCCGCTGGCAATCGAAGCCAAACGCGCTACCATTGCGCCAGGTAGCCATGTGTTTAAGTGATTTGGGTTGCTGCATTAGATACCACCAACAAGCATGTCAACATAAAGGTTTGTGTTCCCCGAGCTGCCGCATCACCAGCGCCGCTCATGTCTTGGAGAGCAGCGTAAAGTTAACCCCCCCATGAACATTCAAGACGGATTCCGTTCTTGGTCTCTTGCACTACTCAAAGACCCTCTAATTTTTCAATTAACCCCGCTTACCATTTTCGTTTTACTCCCGCTTATTGTCCTGCTCTCCATCCAGGTAGTATTCAGCCTTGGATCCTCGTCAGCCACCTGGCGGTTAGCTATGGTGTTTGAGAGCTTCTCATTCAGCTTTCCATGGAACTGGTCATCATCCTCCGGGAACCCACACGAAACTAAAAAGCTCAAGAAGAAAGTGTTACGCACCCGTAGCGAACAGATCGAGCTTAATGGGAATGCAGGTCCACGTACGTACCTTCTCTCATGTGATACTCAAACTGCTGCTAGACATCAGTTGCAGAGTACAAAAATGATTTTCATGATGGTTATTACCCCGGTCTTGTCAATATATCTGGAACGTACTGCTTCATGAATTCAACTATGCAGGTACAGTACTCGGTCTAAATCATCATCCTCTCCCATTCACCCCAGTACAATCAGGCTATGGCCTCCTTGTCCTATCTGCTGCCTTATCTCTGGCACACGCAAGCCAAGGCCATTCAACTTGACGTACCATCACCCGTCGTGGACGCCCTCTTGGCTTTGCTCCAAGGTCTGTGTCATCATACAGCATCCAGCTGTGTACTTGACAGGGATACCTATAGACCTCAACACACCTCGCACCGCTTATCACTCAATCCGTCCACTCGACATGATCACCGCCCTTGTCAATCACTCCCCAAGCAAACACAACTCCCTATTTTCCTCTCGAGAACATCAAGACGCACAGGAATTATTCCAGCTCGTTTCCGAATGTATCAAGAAGGAAGTGGCCGCCGTTGATAACGAAGGTCACCGGGACCGTGGTCTAGGTGGACTCTCTCAAGTCCGCAATGACGCTAATAAGGAGATTGGGAAAAGCGTGTTCGATGGCCTCACAGCGAACAGACGCAGCTGCGTCGAGTGTGGCTACACAGAAGCAGTCATGCACTTTGCTTTCGACAGCTGGCAACTTGCTGTACCTCGATACGTCGTATGTGTTCCTGATTTGGCTATTGATATGCCTTAACTCGCATACAGGCAAGCTGTCACTTAGAGGATTGTCTTGCGGAGTACACCAAGCTTGAGATGCTGAACGATTGCATATGCCGTAAATGTTCGATGAAGGCCACGCACCAGAAGCTCAGGCAAGAGGCAGACCGGTTAGCAGCAGCGGTGAACGCAGACCCTACCGCCTCCATATCGAAGAAGAAGAGGGTGAAAGATGCTAGAAAACTAGAGCTCAGAGTGCAATCTGCCTTAGATCATGGTCGACTAGAGGAGGACGTCAAGGGCGTCAAGCTGGAGAAAGTGTTCAGCAGAGCATCAACAAAGCAAGCCATGGTCGCAAGAGTAAGTCTGAGCTTTTTATGTGCCCCCCGAGTCTCTAAGACGTTCTGCAGCCACCTCAAGTTCTTGCACTGCACCTCAATCGATCTCTCAGCTACGGCCACTATGCTGCTAAGAACACAGTTCGCATTCTGTTTCCCGAGGTTCTAGATCTCACACCATTTACAACTTCTGGCAACCTTTCCACCAAACCTTCTGTTCCTATTTCATCACAACCGCCCCTGCTTCCTCGTTCCACAACTCCTACACCAGCCACATACGCTGTGCAAAGGACCATCTACCGTCTTTCTGCGGTTGTGTGTCATTACGGCCAACATTCCTTCGGCCACTACGTCTGCTACCGGCGTAAACCACGGCCTGTATCCTATGGATCGCGGCGCTTCGCACCACCAAGACTCGCTGACCCACTTGGCTGCGACTGCGAAAGGTGCCAGCGATACGGGCCCGTGCGCGACGATGACGAAGCCGTCGACTCCATGTACCGCCCTGGCCGGGGATGGCTACGGATTAGCGACGACTCAGTGAAGGAATGCGGAATAGAGACAGTGATGCAGGAGGGTTCTGGGGCATTTATGCTCTACTACGAGCGCGTGGTACAGTCGCGCCCTGGCATTTACCCACATCACAACTCACCACGAAGCTCAGAGGAGACACTCAAGCCGCGCGTGAACGGGTCAGCAACATCGCTTGCAAGTTTGATGGTAGATGGGGAGGTTGTAGAGAGCAGGGGGAGAGGTTTGATGGGTCCGAGAGTTGTGAGAAGCGTAGTGGCTGGGAGAAGAAGTGTTTCGGCTGCGCGACGGGACCGAGAGTCTCTATCTGCATCAACTCCATCTCTAATGAACGGAAGCGCTGTCCCTTTAACAGCAAATATGTCACAGATTTCTCTATCAAGTTCATCCACCAAGTCGACGTCTTCCTCTCTTTGGGCATCAGCACCGGACATCATGCATCAACGTGCGTCATCTTCGTCTTCATCCCTTACTGCTCGTCCACCAGGATCTCGCCATCCCAAATCCCCTCTGCCTACGCATCCCTCACCTGTTGTTGACCAGAAAGCATGACAGCTTTTCCATAACCCCCATATTATCATATAACTTGTTTATTATGCTCTTGTATCTTTAGCATAGCCTAGCCTGCCACATGTTGAGATCCCCACTAACTTACTTAGCCATGTGTGTCGGTACTCCTCGTTGAATATCGACTAGATTCATGTTACCCACACCGTTCAACAATGCATATCCGTCCATAATCATAATGCGGTGCACAATGAGTTCTACGAGTTCTCGCGAGACCCGCGATTGTCGCCACGTCACGGTGATGGAATACACCCCTGCCATGCGGTCGTTCGAATCAGAATGTGAGAAGACAGCGGTTGACCAATCGATCATGTATATGCCAAAGTCATGCCATTTCTTGCCACGATCATCCAAAGTACGTTGTGACCTAATGTCTGATATCAAAATACCTCTAGTCATCATCGTAGATCCATCAATTGAATAAAAGAAAGAACCTCCACCATGCCCAGCATCGCGTCCACCAGTGGCCACCGCGAGCTATGTACCATATTGAGCGTCGCCCCACGTCCGAAAGCAAGAGCACCATGACCATGTCGACTTGGCCGGGGAGGGTAGATACTTATACTTAGATAATACAAAAATCGACAGTCCAAACCAAGGGGAGAAATGGGAAGCCGGTGATGATCACCAGTAGATTCGGCGTTCAATGGTGCGCTGTTTTGCGACGACAGGTCGGCTGTAGGAGACTGTTCGCCTGACGCGGGTGACGGTGGGGTACCTGTTGGTTTGTATTGTGTTAGATAGTGGATTTGGTGGTGAGAGATATGCCAGCTGTACCATGCTTGGTAGATTTCTTGCGAGGCTTCCAGCTGGACTTCGAGGATTTGTCGGCCCTGTGATGTGGGATGAGCTATGATAGTTTTTTATGGAGGACTGTCGGGGCTTACAGCGAAGTCGACACGTGAGCCAACGACGAGGCCCTCTTGACGACCGTAGCGGTCGTGGTTAACGGCGACGATGTCACCAGGCTACAAAAAAGTATCGTTAGTGCTTACGCGGTGCTGGGAAAAAGCAAAAAAATCACCGTAATGTCGCTGCTAATAGGGAGCGATGCGTATTCCTCGTAGATGGCCATGGCGTCGGCGACGTGGGCGGGATTTGAAGGAGAAAAGGTGGGTATGGAAGAATACAAGGGTTTGAGGATGGGAGAATTAAATAGACAAAAGGGTGGGTTTTTATAGATTAGATGTCCGGTCAACGACCTCCGGAAAAGGTGAGGCAAACACGAGGCAGGGAATTTGCCAACACCAGCCAATACCTCGTTTCCTCTTGTTCCTTGCTGCCGAGTTAAATCCGGATCCCGGATTCACGTAAATTGCAATAAACCGTCTCATTCTCGTGCTCAGCGCTGTCGTCGTTTTTGTATGTATTCGACTTCGTAACGACAGTCGTGGACGCTGGAAGAACAAGACTGCTGCCAGGCATAGATACCTCCGCGGCATCAAATCAAATCAACACAATGGACAAAAATCGGCTACGGAAGGCGGCACTCCATTCGTGGATCTCCAGTGAAACACAAGGACAGGAATATAATAATGCATGTATGGATTGTTAGCTACAATTGAGTGTAAACCAAAATATGGGGCGTGCCTTGAGCCCTTGAGCTATCGCCTGGGCACGGGGAAATGAATGTATGTATGATCAGCCATGGAAGCGTGTCGTTCAGAATACATTGATGAATCTGTCTCGTAGCTTCACCAACCACTGGCGTATGATATCTCGAAACCTCAAAGGGTAGGCCACGGATGCATCAACTTCCGCACAAGACTCGACTTCAGAAAGTAAAGAGGCACCTGATCTGGCGTGTATCTCCCTTCTTCTCTCTGATATCCCACGTAGAATGTCCTCCCCACAAACATCATATGCCTTGGCTAATTCGGCCTCCCGAGAATGATATGGGCGGCGCACAGAATATGGCGCAAGGGCATTGTATTTACGCACCAAAGAATTCAAGTCGGCGACGGCTGTATCATGGTAAGAGCGCTCTCGTTCTTCCCACTCGCGATCCCGCAATGATGTCACTCTGTCAAGCGACAATGAAGGCAACATCGCCGCTGGTTGCAACATCGTTAAAGTTCTAATGGCGCGCCTTGTCCACGACTGCTTCAGGACATTGCGGAATGCGTTTACTGCAGTCTCGAGCTCTGCAATATTAGAATAGTGGTAAACTTGACAATCTCACCGATATGGTATAAGCCACCCACCGATTTGGACTTCGACCCATGGTGGAGCTGCCCCGTTCCTCTGGACAATCCGGTTCATGAGAAACTCTTCTCTCGCAATGAAAGGGTTATGCTCGTCGCTCAATCTGACTATGGGCTGACCTCGCCCTTTAATTTTGTCGAAATGTCCGGCAGCTCGAGCTTTCTGTCTTGAGATGTAAGCACAAGATGATCCCGAGCGAGTGACGGAGCCAACCTGTATCTTGTCCTCTATCAAAGCCTGCCACCCCTTCATACTGACAGGGTTAGGACGAGCAGCGTGTTGCCCCCCGTTGTTCTTCAAGCCTAAACGATAATCCAATGTCGACTCTTTAGCTCTGGACAATCGCCCTGCATGCTCTTTTCGTCTTGCAAGCTCCCTCTCTGTCTTTCTAGTGTGCTCGCCTGTCGTAGCATGGACGTCGGGCGTGCGTGCAGATGCAGGTGTGAAGTTACCAAGCTTAATGGATGCGGATGCATGAGAAGGGGTCTTGTAAGTGGTAAGCCATGGCTTGTGACCCTCTACAGAAGGGAGCAAAGGTTTATTTGCAAGTTCCTGCCACGTTCGGGTAGACTGTTCGACGGCAAGGGCTTCCGTGTGCACTTTTGGCGGCGCCTCCTTCAGCTTCACGTCAGCGGTCCTGATAGACCCCGTGCGCATAGGCTTATATTTGTCAACGAGCATACGCAGTACAGCATCCTGTATAGACTCTTCGCCTGTCCAGTTTACATCCCGGCTCTGCAGTCGATGAATGTTTGAAATGCTTGGTGACGGGTTTCGAGCTTCTTCTGCTTCCTCCTCTTCTGCATCCGCGAACAGTTTTTCGCTCGCGCATTTGTGATTTTCTGCGCATGTGGCAGAGAAGCTATGAAAATATCTTCGTGGTCGTGGTGATGCCTGGAGGAGGCTCGATAAGCGGCTTGTCATGAATTAGGAGGATTGTTTGGCTCAGTTTGTGCCTGTCGAATTTTGAGCGTAGCCCCGCCCGCCGTTGGATTAGAGTCATTAGACCTCCGAGTCTCGGTAAGCCCCCGATACATCCTTCACATTCAAACTTTGCTAAATTTGACTGATGCACAAGTTACTACACATTGCAACATGCTGTAGTCGCTGCACCTGCCGCCATGGATCTTTCTATACTTCCGCCCATAAACCTGACGATTGTGATTGCTTTCGTTGTGCCATACATATGTATGTATCTCATAAGTACCTTGCACGTACCTATGAATCAAGCTCGTTTCATGATGGACGATGCCTTTCGCTGGCACTTGCACGACCCACGCTCCCAATGCCCATTTATTTATTACGTGGTGGAATGATTAGCGCTTTAGTGTGGGTACTGCAGGGTACTGCCTCAAGATCAAGGGTATTCGACTTGTTGAATTGTTAATTGGGGCCATCGTTTCGTACCCCATTGCGTCACAAATACCTGAGGACCTACTCTCTTCTCCAACCTCTACTTCCCTCAGGCTGATCCCAATCTTCGACTGTTGGCAATGAGCGAAGACCATAGGCCGAAACACCCTCCAGAGGCCTCCAGAGAAACAACCGCCGGTGAGAGCTCGGTACGTGTCTCATGAGATCACTGTCGACGAGCGCTAACAAAAACACCCTTCCAGCCCCATGGTGGACTCCGTCAGTCTATACGGAAATTTGGGAAGAGTGTGACTAAAAAAGTTTCTGTACGTTGACGCGAATGCTGTGTTTACTTTCATCATGGCTGATATTGTGCAGAAACTCAAGCGTTCCCGTAACTACTCCCCTGCTGTCCAGAACATCGATCATCAAGGTGCTTCATCGAATCAGAATATTGAGGTGCGTGGACATTATTTCGATCTTTCACATGTCTGAGGTCCACCAAGGATGCGTCGCGTCTGCATCCTTCCGATGGTGACAAGCCCATCACATCTGAGAATCCCAGTGACTGTGTGAATCAAGGAGCATCCGGAGAACCTGCTTCGAAGGTACTTGCACCAAACGATCTAGTTTTCGTCTCTAAATTCTGGTTGTCGTGCAGGTTCTCGATGCCAATTCTGGCTTGGGAGAAATTCCTGATTCCCAATTGGTTAAGGCTGAACTTCGGGCTACCCATGAGGCTTCAGCACACACCAAGCGCCTCGGGGAACGTGCGACATCTGCAGTGTCCACCACCAAAAATGCCCAAACAGGTCTTGCTACTGCAGACGATGTCCAGACTACATATCTCCAACCCCTCAAGCTTTTTGACACTGCTATTGGGAGGATCGCGGATGTATGGGCTACTCTCCTTTCTTGGGAGCGGACTAATCAAGTTGCTTAGGTACATCCATATGCAAAGATGGCGCTGGGCGTGCTGTCCGCTGCATCCACAGTACGTGTGGTTTTGCCCTCCTGTCCAGCAGTTGTTGACTCTGTGCAGATTATTCTCGCTCAAGCAGAACGCGATCAATCAATGGACCGTCTTCTCGAGAAATTAGATGCAGTTTACGGCTTCATATCACAAGACGATACTCTTGGCCAAATTGCATCGAAGGATTCCAAACACGATATCGTTGGACGGATCGCCCAGCAGACTCTAGAGTGCGCACGTTTCATCAGGGATTACTCGGAGACAACGAGCTTTTGTGAGTGACGAGTTATTTCACTTCGCACATTATAGACCTTATACAAATATTACAGGGAAGAGACTCGGAAAAAACGTTGTCTCGGAGACGGATGATATGATTACGAAGTACAACAACGCTTTGGATGGGCTTATGCAACAATTTCGGGACCAAGCCATTCGGGACGTAGCCGATCTCGTCCAGTGTACGGGTAAGTGTTCAACGTACTTCTGATTTGCATCCACTTAAACCCCTTCAGGTGAAACACTGGATCTCAGCGGTATGGCTTACGCAGCGGGCGCGGGATTAGATACCAGGAAACAATGCCTGCCAGGGACGCGCACAGCCATTCTGTCCCAGATCACTGAATGGATCAACGACAGCGGAGATGCTGCTCAGCGTGTGCTGTGGCTATCTGGCCCTGCAGGCAAGGGCAAATCAGCCATCGCTCACACCATCGTTAACTGGTTCAACGACATGGGAGGGCTCGGTTCATGTTTCTGCTTCGACCGGGGCCGTGAAGCCGACAAGCGTCACGAAAAGGTTTTCTCCACCATCGCTTGCGATCTGGCTGACCATGATCCGGAGATGAGACGAGCATTGGCGAACACCGTAAAAAATGACAATGCGCTCAAGAAGACGCTAGATATCAACCAGCAGTGGAGCAAGCTTCTTGTGGAACCGCTAAAGAAGTCTTCTAGGTCAACTGTTGGGCCTGTCTTGATCGTAATTGAAGCACTGGACGAGAGCGGCGGAGTCGAGACCCGGCGCGACCTTCTACGCATACTTGCTGGAAAACTTCGGGACAAAGGCCTTCCCAAAATCACTGAACTTCCATCCAACTTCCGGATTCTCGTTACGTCCCGCCCGCTACACGATATAAATGAGGGGTTCGAAGGCGCTCAACATATTCTACGGTTGTCCATGGACGATATTCCACAGGATGTCGTGAAGCGCGACATCTCTGCTTACGTATCTGAAGAGCTGACTGGGCTGTCAGATTTTCAGGACAAGGAGTTTACATTGCTTGCTGCGAAAGCTGATGGATTGTTCGAATGGGCGCGTCTTGCCTGCGAACACATCAGGGCTAGCCCTCCTGGTACACACAGAATGCGTCGCTTCGATGCTGTCGTGAACCGCGGTGATGGAGATCGCAAAAACTTGTTGTACGAAATGTATCGGCTCATTTTAACCGAAGTTATGAACAGGGATCAATATAACGTTGAAGAGTACCAAGAAGCACTAGTAGGGTTTCGTTCCGTGATGGGACAGATACTTGGCACGGCCGAACCACTCCCTTTCGATTCCCTCAATGCCATGCGGAACCATTTTCCAGACCGAAGCAGGCGTGACAATATGGATATAGTCAAACATATGGGATCCCTCCTCAGCGGCACCACGAATTCGTATACCCCCATCCGACCTCTTCACGCATCCTTCCACGAATTCCTGACAGACAAATCACACAGCGGAGAGTTTTTCGTTGAGGTGTCGAAGGTTCAATGCGACCTTGCATTTGCGTCACTTCGAGTGATGGAACACAACCTTCGCTTTAACATATGTGAATTGAAGTCTTCATATATCCCGAATTCCGAAGACACAGGGCTGCCTCAACGGGTCGAAACATGTATTACCCCACATCTATCCTATTCATGTCGATTTTGGGCTACACACGTACGAGCATCGGACTTCCACACGGAGCTTGCAAAGGAAATCAAATCATTCTTCGACAATGAGCGGCTGCTCTTCTACATTGAAGTACTCGGGCTTCTGAATGCACTCAGCAGCGCAGGTGCTGTGTTTCCACTCATTTCCCACTGGCTGAAGGTAAGAATACAACTACCTGGCGGTGTCAGGCGAAGGGCTTACGTGCGAACACAGGGACAATCCGGATACGGAGATCTCTTATCCGCCGCAATGGATGTGCAGAGATTCGTCCAAGTCTTTGGCGGGATGATCTTGCACAGCACACCGCATCTATATGTATCAGCGTTGCCATTTTCACCCAGCAAATCCACGGTGGCTACAAGCTTTGCCGGCAGGTTTCCGAACACTCTTCATGTGATTCATGGACGTCTTGTGAACTGGACGGCTATTCAGACCGTGATCAGCGGGCACACTGATTCGGTTTGGTCAGCCTCGTTCTCCCCCGATGGCACTCGCATCGTGTCTGGTTCTGCGGATCACACTGTCCGGTTGTGGGATGCAGCAACAGGGCAGCCATTGGGCGAGCCCTTGCGAGGGCACACTGGTTCGGTTTATTCAGTCTCATTCTCCCCCGATGGCACTCGCATTGTGTCTGGTTCACAGGATCACACTGTCCGGCTGTGGGATGCAGCGACGGGACAGCCATTGGGCGAGCCCCTGCGAGGGCACACTGGTCCGGTTTCGTCAGTCTCGTTCTCCCCCAATGGCACTCGCATCGTGTCTGGTTCACAGGACGACACTGTCCGGCTGTGGGATGCAGCGACGGGGCAGCTATTGGGCGAGCCCTTGCGAGGGCACACTGGTTTGGTTTATTCAGTCTCATTCTCCCCCGATGGCACTCGCATCGTGTCTGGTTCACAGGATCACACTGTCTGCCTGTGGGATGCAGCGACGGGGCAGCCATTGGGTGAGCCCCTGCGAGGGCACACTGGTTCGGTTTATTCAGCCTCATTCTCCCCCGATGGCACTCGCGTCGTGTCTGGTTCACAGGATCACACTGTCCGGCTGTGGGATGCAGCGACGGGGCAGCCATTGGGAGAGCCCTTGCGAGGGCACACTGATTGGGTTTTCTCAGTCTCGATCTCCCCCGATGGCACTCGCATCATGTCTGGTTCACAGGATCACACTGTCCGGCTGTGGGATGCAGCGACGGGGCAGCCACTGGGCGAGCCCTTGCGAGGGCACACTCGTTTGGTTTCGTCAGTCTCGTTCTCCCCCAATGGCACTCGCATCGTGTCTGGTTCACAGGATCTCACTGTCCGGCTGTGGGATGCAGCGACGGGGCAGCCATTGCGCAAGCCCTTGGGAGGGCACACTGGTTCGGTTTATTCAGTCTCATTCTCGCCCGATGGCACTCACATCGTGTCTGGTTCTGCGGATCACACTGTCCGGCTGTGGGATGCAGCGACGGGGCAGCCATGGGGCAGGCCCTTGCGAGGGCACACTCATTCAGTTTATTTAGTCTCATTCTCCCCCGATGGCACTCGTGTCGTGTCTGGTTCACAGGATCGCACTGTCCGGCTGTGGGATGCAGCGACGGGGCAGCCATTGGGCGAGCCCTTGCGAGGGCACACTGGTTCGGTTTATTCAGTCTCATTCTCCCCCGATGGCACTCGCATCGTGTCTGGTTCTTGGGATCACACTGTCCGGCTGTGGGATGCAGCGACGGGGCAGCCATTGGGCGAGCCCTTGCGAGGGCACACTGGTTCGGTTTATTCAGTCTCATTCTCCCCCGATGGCACTCGCATTGTGTCTGGTTCTTCGGATCGCACTGTCCGGCTGTGGGATGCAGCGACGGGACATCCATTGGGTGTGCTCTTGCAAGGGCACACTGATTCAGTTTATTCAGTCTCGTTCTCCCCCAATGGCACTCGCATCGTGTCTGGTTCGGAGGATCACACTGTCCAGCTGTGGGATGCAGCAACAGGGGCAGCCATTGGGTGAGCCCTTGCGAGGGCACACTCATTCGGTTTGGTCAGTCTCGTTCTCCCCCGATGGCACTCGCGTCGTGTCTTGTTCTTCAGATCGCACTGTCCGGCTGTGGGATGCAGCGACGGGGCAGCCATTGGGCGAGCCCTTGCGAGGGCACACTGATTTGGTTAGGTCAGGCTCGTTCTCCCCCGATGGCACTCGCATCGTGTCTGGTTCGGAGGATCACACTGTCCGGCTGTGGGATGCAGTGGCAGGGCAGCCATTCCAGGAGTACACTGAGACCAACTCCTCCGCATTCTCTTTGGATAGACATCGCATCACACCTTGCGCACAGGAGACTATCATATCAACTAATAATTGGGGCAATCCCGCCATTTGCTTTGCATCCAGCTTGGAACATGCACTGCGAAACTTTGCCGAGCTACTCAAGAACCCCTCTCATCATCATTCTGAATCATATTCCAATTCAAACTCTGTCTCTCTGGGAGATGATGGCTGGATGGCAGGACCCTATGGTCGACTGCTTTTCTGGGTTCCGCCCGCTTCTCGAGAACACCCATTCATAGCCCATACCCCTGGGACTGTACTGGTGATAGCCAATGGACAAGAGATAGATTTGAGTCGCATGGCCCATGGACAACACTGGTCGAATTGCCGAGACGCGTGAGTTCTGAGCCTTTACTGTCCCTCGTAGTTGCTAAATCATGCTTCTAGCCCTCCTTCACGATGATTAAATTGTAGCAATGTCGAGTTTGCAGTTTGGTTCCATGTCAATTCTACACCTGGTATCGAGCTTAGTTGTTCCAGTGATATGACCCGCCGAAAACCAGACTATGTGTGACGCCATTGAATGCTACTACTGACTCGTCAAAGCGCACACTGAGGACTATGGAACAAGCAATTCTATGGGAGACGTGGTTCCATGCTGGTCGCTCTTACACACTCCAGGTGACGTGCCGAGGTGGCTTGACCTTCTTTCGTGATAGGCATCATCTCTCAATGAAATATTCAGCATCACATGCACGGGTACTGATTGACTCGTACTCACCTCTGACTCGAGTCCCCGACAGCAGGGATCGTGAACGTGCAACCAAAAACGTCTGTTACTCAAGGACCTAGGTCTGGGGTGCTGCACAGTGTTGTCGCCCGGCCTGGATTCACCCCAAGTCTCCACCAGAGTTCAAGCAAAGAGCGGAGTGGTCACATATCTGCTATTGCCGCGGTTGCAGAGTGAACAGTGAGGCACAAGCTCACCTTAGAGTACTGACGATGCGATGACGCGAGATGGCGATGGGTTGCTAGTGCTCTCCCGTTCTCAGATCCTTACAGATTCGTCCTGAACAACATTTCTCATTGAATACAAGCAACACGATTTCTTTAAAATTATTGATACAACGCTGACCTCCTCGCTATTCTTATACCGCTTGTCTCAAATCAAGTTCGACGGGTATTGGAAGTCCTCCAGGCCCACGAAGTTCTCCTTCATGCTTCTTGCAGAAACGAACCGGTAGAAGATGCTGATGCTCCCAGCTTTGTCGTTCGTGCCACTTGCTCGTGCTCCTCCAAACGGTTGTTGACCCACCACCGCCCCAGTGCATTTCTCGTTGTAATAGACGTTGCCAGCAGCGTTGCGCAGTTTGTTTGTGGCAGTCAGAAGGGCTTTGCGGTCCGCGGCAAAGCTGGTAAAGAAGCTGTCAGTTAACGCATGTCGTAGAGACCTTGCGACTTACATAGAACCAGTCAGGGCATAAGGCGATGTGTTGTCGATGAGTTCTAGAGTCTTCTCATAATCCGCGTCGTCGTACACGTAGACCTGAAAATTTGTTAGCCTATCTGCTCGATTTGCTTAACACAACCATTACAGTGATGACAGGACCAAAGATTTCTTCTTTCATCGTGATTGATCCAGGATCTTTGGTCAGAATGATGGTAGGCTGTACGAAGTAGCCCTTCGAGTCATCACCTATAGAATCATCAGAAACGTCGCGAGTGGGTCACACTATGAGCTTTACCGACGCCCCCGATAAGAACTTCCCCTCCAGCATCCTTGGCTTTCTGGATGAAGCCCATTATTTTGTCATAAGCCGGACGACCTCTGCGATATTGTTCAGTAACCGGTGCACAGCCTGGTGGATAGAAAGGGAACGCACATCACGGGTCCCATGAAGTTGCTGAAGTCTGATGGTGGCCCAACTTTGATCTTGGCAACCTCGGACAGGAGCAGATCTTTGAATCCAGATGACCAGAGCGAAGAGGAAACATATAGCCGCGACAATGCAGAACATTTTTGTCCTGCACGCACGTTCATTAATCTTGCGCGTGCCACCCATACACATAATGTGCGCACCTTGATACTCAAAACCGCCCCGAATGGTCTGCAAAGCTGCATTTCGGATCTCTGCTGATTTGTGGATGACATGGAAGTTCTTCCCTCCTGTCTCACCGACAATTCTTGGATACCCTCTGTACTTGTCTAGGTTTGCGGCAATGTCTTTCCATAGCTTCTTGAATACAAAGGTGCTGCCTGTGAAATGGAGTGCTGTAAAGCTGGGGTGCGATATCGCCTGCGCAACGACTTCTGCAGGTGGCCCGGGAACAAACTGGATGACGCCTGGTGGGACACCGGCCTCCGCAAGAATCTGGTAGACCAGGTAGTTGGAATATGTGGCTGCTGGTGAAGGTTTCCAGACAACTGTATTACCGACGAGTGCGGGAGCTAAGTGATGACTCGCTCAGAATGCAAAAATAATGATAGAATAGTCGCTCGTACCACCTGGAAGGTTGCCGCCAATTGCTGTGAAGTTGAATGGCGAAACTGCGAGAACAAATCCTTCCAGCGCGCGATACTCGACGCGGCTATCCAAGCATTAGAAGTATCTTCATAGAATGGATACCGGACTTACTTCCATGATCCTGCTGAATTCTTAGGAGGCTGCTGTGCGTAGAGCTCCTCGACATATTTGACGCCGAAACGGAAGAAGTCCGAGAGCTACGAAAGTTGCGTCAATCAACTGTCACCGAGATAACCACATCTTACACACCTCTGCGGCAGCATCAATCTCAGCCTGCCACGCATTCTTCCCTTGACCAAGCATAGTAGCTGCCACCAATTTGTATCGGTACTTGCCGCTAACAAGCTCTGCAGCACGCAGGAAGATAGCAGCACGGTCATTCCAAGGCATGGCCTCCCACTCAGCCTTGGCGGAGAGAGCACCATCAATCGCGCTGGCCACAGTGGATTCATCTGCTTCGTGATATGTGCAGAGATGACGGGCGTGATCGGAGGGTATAGGTTGCTTTGCAAGATTACCTGTTCTAATCTAAGATCCCCGGAAATCTAAGTCATTGATGAATTGACCTGTGGCATGCTGTACAAACCGGTTTGCCATTCACGATACAGGGAACTTCGAATGGAAGTTCCTGTTGCATCTGAGCAAGGGCAGCTTCGAGACCCTTACGCTCTGCGGTTCCTGCAGCATAGCTTCGCTGCCGACATGGTTCAGCGCTCAGCCTCCGAAAGAGTGACTCGCATAGACTCACCATAGGTTCATTTTCGACTGCAGGTACCTTGAATGCGGCCAGCTGTGGTGTGGACATCTTGTAGACAGAGTGGTTGAGAGCTTGAGATAGGTAGATCCGGGCGAGCTCAGCATTTTTAATTTTAGGCCGAGCAGATGATTACGGCATTTCCCCACAATATTACGGCTGGCCAACCGCCGGTGTCAGCTGTTCATGTGAGTTCCAAGCTGTTCCAAGTGCTCGCTGTCAAAGCCTCGAATCCCGATGCCCTGCCCCGAGTTCAGATTTCTCATGATTGGTGGAGATTACTTACACCTTCCGTCGGGGACTGATCAACTTAATATTATCAGCCGAGATTTGATGACCGTTTGATGGCGATATGATATACCATGGCCAGCATATACAGCTATTAATACAAGTTCAACAAAGTACAGTAAGTAATCATGATATGGCACCTGGCAAGGATTCTAAGTGTGTATCGTTATGCTGTAGTGGTACTGGGAAACAAGTTCAAGAAAAGAGTGGTGGCAAGTCAATGCTGCTGCAGTAAAATAAGGATATTATCGTAGATTGGCGCATGTCAAGAACGTCCCCGAGAAGTCCTAGGTGATATGATAAGGGTAACATCGATCGTGATAGTCATGGAGAACGATCATATGGTAGAAGGAAGCTCGTCGATCTGTCGTTTCAGATCCGACAAGAACTGATGCGAGTCCAGAATGCTACTTGCACATCGCGCGCATCCTGACGCCTCGGCGGTCCGTGCAAGGAATGGCATGTCGAAGATAACATCTGTGGTTGGTCGTGTCTCCAGTTCTGCTCTTGCCATTCTTTCAAACTCCTTCCACCACTTTGGCGGTACAAACGCCCCGTAATACGGCCCTGAGCACTGCAAGCACTTCACGTCTTCTGGAATCTTGAGGAGCGCTTGGGCATCCTTTGAGCGTGTCTTGTGCAAGACGAGGAGGCGGTGGTAAGAGTGGGCTGTGATGAAGCGAAGGTCATCCGACAATGGACATTCAAGGATATTGATGGAGAGCGTGTGTCGTGACGCAACCTGAGCTTCATACTCAAAGTCGTATCGGCTCGCGATGGCAAACACTCGCACAGGATCTTCTCTCAAACACACGGAGGAGATAAGCTGCTTGCGAAGAGAGGAAATGACGCCGAGGAAGTCGTATTTGACTGCGACTCCGAGAATAGTGCTCAGCTCGTCAAGGGACGAAATCGTGGGATGGGGTACGGGGTACACGAAACGCAGAAGCGTCTGTACAGTTGAGCCAGGCTCCGACACGGGGATCACAGGGCGACGTTCCTCATTTGCTGGATCGTCAGGGGGCTGTGGCAATGCAAACATATGTTCAAAGAATGGAGAAGCGGCCGCTAGTATACAACGGTGAACGCAGAATTTGACATCGTCACTCGAAAGCAGGAGCATATCAGAGCCGGGAGCGTAAAAGTCATTGTGTGAGTGCGTCATCAAGGGAAAGTCAAAAGAAAGATAGAGAGTCACAGTCATCATTGAGCAAATGTAGGCTTATAAGTTGGCCCGCTGCACAGCAATGGTGGAGATTACAGTTCAGACTGGCGGGCTGCCTCATAGGGGCACATCATTTTGGCACACAAAAGCACGATATTGAGTGAACACATACAGGCACGTTGGTCGGTTTCAGATCCGCCACTAGTGGCGAGTCCGACGATCCTGGGAATGTCTATCTCTGCTGCGGCGCCGGTCTCTAGACCTGTTGCGCGGCACAGGAGAGACAGAGCGCCTGCGCCTGTCCCGGGTGTCTTCCCTATCTCGATCATGTCTGCTCCGATGCGATGATGTTCTTCTGTCATCTGGGACTTCGAACACCATTCCATAACTATCTCTGCCTTCACTTCTTCCAGCCGCCCGGTATCGCCTAGTTGCCTCCAAGTCTTCACGACCACCAAACCCACCCCTTTCTTTGCTATGCAGTCCAATTTTGGGGTTATTGGACCAGGAAGTGTTGAGCCGTGCCACAGACTGCGAGCTGCGTAGAATGAGGTAAGACAATGTGTCAATGAATTTGTTTCGCACGTACAAATCAACCCAAATGCGTCGATCATCCACTAATACATTTTGCATCTTAAAATAAGCCTGACAGATCCTTCAGTCATGTCTCACTATGCAGAGCTGTGCGCTAACCTGTTCTGCATCGTCTCGTTTATCAAATTCTATGAAGGCGTACTGCAATGAGTCGCCCGTTTTCTTGTCCCTAATGACTTGGCAACTCATAATGGTGCCGAATCTCGAGAAAATGAGTTCCAAGTCTTCGTCTCGTGTGACAGGGTTGAGTTTGCACACGAAAAGGACGTTTTCTGGGGGCCGGACGTTGGCAAAAGGCAGATCACCAACCATTTCAAGTGTTAGGGCAGAGGCTGCTGCTGCCTTTTCGCGACGTATACGCTCCTCTTCCTCATCCGGAAGTGTGGCAAGCGGGTCTTCATCTTCAGCAATCCTAGTAGAATTATCTGGGGGACGAGTAGGAGATGATGGAGGTTGTATTAGGCTAGGCGGATCAGGGAACGGGTCATCTATGAATATCAATCAGCACATGAAAACATCACGGTCCGAGCAGGAGCCAACGTACCGAGAATTACGACGTGTCTTATCCGCACATCCTTGAATGGTCTCCCATCTTGATCCGTGAAAACGTCATTCAGCTTGTCCAGCGTTTCCAATCCTTCTACGACGTGACCAAAAACAGCATGTTTCCCGTCAAGATAGTCTATGTTGTCTCCAAGTGTGATAAAGAATTGACTGCCACAACCGCCTTTCTCGCCGTTCATAGAGGGTGCGACAGCCATGGACACTGTGCCTTTGTGGGTGTGCTTCAACTTTGGCACGATTTCTGGAGCGAAATACCGGCCTGTGGAGCTCTTCTCCTCCTGTGAGGCAACGTAGGACCATATGGATTCTCCACCCGTTCCCGTGGCAGTGGGGTCACCAGCCTGGGCCAGAAAATCCTTGGAAACTGCATATTGTTATTTAAGGCAAAGGTACCAATGAAATGGAGAATTACGCACCATTGAAGAATGCATTCAAATTATAGTAGTACACCTTACAAAGTTTCAAAAAGTTTTCGCATGTTTTCGGACACTGCTCCACCTCAAGGTCGATGACGAGGTCGCCTAGAGAAGTTTCGAACAGAACGGACATGGATGGTGGAGGTCCGGTAGTTCTAACTGTTGTACCGATAATGGGTAATCTTGTCGCGTGTTCGGTACAAAGTACATGCACATTCACTTGTTTCAACGGCCGCCTGGCGAAATGGCATCGCGTCTGACTACGATTACGTGATCAGGAGATTGCAGGTTCGACCCCTGCGGTGGTCATGCTTTTTGCTGCCACACCCAGGTTCCGATATAGTGCACATCCTTTGACAATAGCCTAATTTACCTGACAGACCAACAAGCTTGCAACAATTGCCATGCTCAGACTTGGCTCAGATTCGTTCCATGGGGAGTACATATAAATTCATTTTTGTTCGACTCTGGAATCTTCATCTCTAGATATCGGTTCACGCGACGCGCACGATGAAATCGCATTTGCCATTTACCAGGTGCCTCGTGTCCTCGTATTCCTACTCTGTCGCTCAGGAGTCGTTCGACATGACAGGAAGTTCCAAAAAGCTATGACAACGACTCATTAATGGCGCTGAAGTTTGAACTCGATGTGGTTGACTGGGTGTGCCGAGTCACAGTCAGGACTCAGCTGCTCATTGTTGGTGATCATGCATCATGCCCGGCCTTTTCTAGACTGACCAGCACTATTTGCATTTTGCGAGATTTCGGTCGCCGATACTCTGCAATCTCTGGTCAAGGTCGGCGTCTAGGAACTGACTCCAGTCAAAATTTCCCTCGCCAATTCATGCTTGAATACCCAACCTCCTCACCACTTTTCACTAGCTCCACCGGTCGCATTGAACGTCGACGATCCCCAACATAGGATGGCTCCGGACGCTGCTTTCCTGTATGTTCGGAGTACATTTGCTCCGTTCCTGTCTTCGCGTTACCGCGGAACCCCTGCGATACATGTTTACAATGAGGTTCCCCATCTGTCAAGCCAGTGGCTACACCCGTACCGCTGAGGTCAGGATGCTCCGTGCAGAACCACACCATAAACCAGTTTATTTTTCCCGCAGGAAATGGTTGATAATTTGGTTTCTATGCTTGACCAAGACAACGCTTAAGGGCGCGATTTTGTGCACGAGCTCGTACTGTCGAAGGAGCGGCAATCCATCCTTTCTATTGTGATCCTATGTCTTGTTTTACGAAGAAAATCCCGTTAATTGATCTTGGAGACAGGCATCTCAATATTGTGCGCATTGCAGACATGAAACTTGCGGACTTGTATGTTCAATAGAGCGCAAAGACCAATGATACTTGGTCGATTAGAGCGACTCCGGGAAATACGATGCCCGCCGAGATGGTGGAAGGTGGATATCGAGGCAGGCAACCGTCACAGAAGAGGCCGAATTCGGAGCTTTGCAGCTATCTGAACCAGCCATAAGGCGTGAATCGACTTGCTTGTGATATCCTGAATCAAAGTAGCCAAGTCTGCTGGACGCAGGGCACTCCAATTGGGCAGCGCTGAATGCCCTGAACAGATTAAGTCGTATGATGGTACAAAAAACAAACGATGACATGCGATGAGATATGCAATACTTGAATGCCTATAATGTACTGGGACGAACGCAAGACAGAAAAAAGGTATGTGCTGTACAGGTTCACGTATGCAGTCCCCCTGTATACAAAAAATGAAAACGCATCATTGCTGTTGGTTTTGGCCACCGGGTTGACCCCCGAAGACGAATGAGTTGCTTCCAGTCCCACCAGTCCCACTGCTGAAACCAAACGCACTGGGTGTAGGTGCCGACGGCTTCCCGAACACCGACTGCGGCTGCGTAGGTCCATTCGAAGTACCTGTCGAGGGTTGACCGAACACGGAAGTTCCGAATGCAAACGTGGGCGTCGATGACGCAGGCGCAGCAGAGGCATTGGTACCGGACGAAGAAGGCACTGCGTTGTCTTCCTTCTTCCCAAATGAAAAGATAGTAGTGGCATTGCTTGACGGAGGGGCAAATGGTGACGGCTTCGGGCTATCTGCAGGTTTGGTTGACCCATTGCCAAATGCAAAAGCGCTTGGTTGGGCACTGCCAAATACAGCAGGAGATCCGGCAGGAGTTGTGGAAAATGAATTGCTCGACATGGCATTGCCAAACACATTCTTGGGAGTCGATGTGGACGCGCTTGCGTCCCCACTGGGCTGTGGAGCACTGGACTTCTCAAAGATATTGCTCGCGATGCCGTTTGCATTTGCACCAAAGCTGGAACCACCGAACGCCGCAGGTGCAGGAGCGCCAACCTTGCTTCCATCTTCCTTGGTAGCATTCGCGGCGCCGAAAATTGATAATGGCGCATCCGTCTTCTTCGCATCACCACCCGGCGCACCTGTGGTAAAGGTAGATGTCCCTGATGGTGCTCCAAAGTTCAACGTTGATTTGGGTGCTGATGCAGCACCTGTAAAGCCAAAAGCTGAGCTACCGGAGGGTTGACCAAATGAAAACTTCGGTGCTTCAATCTCTGCTACTTTGGGCTTGGGCGCTTCTGAGGTCTCAGCAGGTTTTGATACAACAGCGACATTGCTACCAGAACCAAATACGGACGCCGACGTGGGTTGACCGAATGAGAACTTCTGTGGTGCGCTCGCTCCCAAGGGACTAGGTTGAGGGGTAGTTGCTGAGTGCGGGAATAAAGGCCCAGTCGATTTGAAAGCGTCAGAAGCAGTTGTGGTAGAGGAAGATGTAGCAACAGGCTTAGGGTTCGTGGTAGCAGGCTTTTTGCCAAAGTCAAACTTCAAGGGAGCAGGTGCGGACGGAGCAGAAGCCGGGGCAGCGGTGCTTGAGGGTGCCCCAAATAACGACGCTGGGTTAACTTGTGCCGATGTAGATATTGGGGCTGAGGAAGGTAGTGTACTGGGTTTTGCGAAGGGGAATGGCGTCGGTTTGTTGGTTTCCATGCTCGATGCAGCAGGCGCAGAAAAGGGATTGGTGGATGCGGGAGTAGGAGCAGTGAACTGCGGCTGTGCAGGCGTGGGACCAAAAGAAAATGAAGGAACTGTCGAAGGCGTAGTTGTTGCAGGTGCAGGTGTCGAGGGTGGAGCTGCTTTGGCGAAGAAGTTGGGTATAGAAGGTAAGGATGCTGTAGTAGGCGCGGTGGTGGTAGGAGGTTGTGTTGTGGGTGGGCCAAATGAGGGCGCCAACGCTGCGGGGGCTATTTGTGCAGTATGCGAGGTAGGGAATAGGCTAAGTTTGTTGGCAGCTGGAGCCGAGGCCGCGGGCGTAACACTTGCCGGGGTGGTAGACGCAGCAGGAGCAGCGGACTTTGAGGCGTCCGTGCTTGTGGGGGTAACACCAAAAAATAATGATGGTGCCGGCTTCGTCTCAGTGCCGGAAGACGTAGATGCAGCAGGGGGTGGTGGGGTGAATGTAATAATGGGTACAGCCGGAGCTTTAGGGCCCAATTCAGGCGCGGTGGCGCTGGTCGAAAGTTCAAAGGCCTTTGATTGCGGGGTTTCTGCTTTCTTCTGCTCCAGCATCCGTGCACGCATCCTTGCCATCGCCTCAGCCTCAAGATCCTGCTTCTCCCATTTTGAGAACGCACGGAACCCGGGGCGAGATGGACCCTCGACCACACCGAGAATTAATGGTGGAGTATGGATATTCGAAGAGGCAACACGTCGGCCAGTTGTAGCCTGTGGCAAAGGCTGTTTGAATGGATTCACCCGGGCTGAGCCATTGGTCAATGACTGACGGAAGGCACGACCAGAAACGGGGCTGTTCTTCATCGAGTCCCAGAGCAAATCCTTGCCTGCCTTTGTTGGTGATGCAGGGGCTTCACCGGGGGTGCTAGGCTCAATCGAGGCTCTAGGCGTCTCCTGCCAGACAAGCTCCTGCCGTTCCTCAGCGTCCTTGTATTGTTCCTCTGTAAGCCAAGTTTCCACGTAGATCTCCATATTAGCCTGCCGATCTGGATGCTGAGAATCTCTGGGCTGTGTTTAGGTTAGTTCCACACACACGTTACAAAGAAACCGCGACCTACCATTGAATATTTGCTGCGAGCCTTTTTCACCAAAGTGAGACGAAGCCGTTCGCCTTCATTCCCAACCTTGTATTGAACATCATTTGATTCCCATTCCTCGCCAATCTTTCTACCTTTGCAGAGAGGGTCCTGCGAGCTCTCTAGGGCATCGCTGGCGGCCTCAGAAGAAGCTTTCTTGCCCCGTTTCTTCTTCTTCGAGGTGCGCTCTTTGTGCCTATGAGAACCTCCAATGCTGCCCTCGCTTGCTGGAGATTCAGGATCACGATCTCGCTTCCTGCCGCGGGCAGAAGCATCTGATTTTCTTGGCCGAACCGTGCGACGCTTACGATGACGGTGAGACTGGTCATCTTGATCATCCAGTGCCTCCTCCTCTTCATCATCACCGCCGAACGTCGAGCCTGCCTCGGCACGATCACGCTTCTTCCCGCGAGGAATTGGGTGCAACTCAGCGACATCGTCCTCGACATCTTCCATTTCCTCGTCTTCAGGTGTCTGAGCCCGCGACATATTCCGCGGGCGCTTGTCGCGACCGTCGGTGCGCATATAATCAGCTTCCTCGTCCGAGTCAAATGTCCGTTTTGATCCCCGTTGAGCGGGCTGTAGTTCGTCCTCTTCCTCGAACAATTCGCCATCAATGAGGTCATCAATATCAACACGAGACTTCTTTGATGTTTCAGGCTCATGATTGCCTTCATGATCAAAAGCTCGTTTCTTGCCTTCCGCTGCCGCATTCACATCGAAAAAGAGATCCTTTCTGCTAGCACGGCGATAGGAAGAACGTTTCCCAGGTGTTATAGACTCCCCCAAGAGAGGAAGAGCACCATCCCGAAGGCGAGGGTTATACCGATGTGCAAAGTCGAATCCGTTAGGTTTGTGATCAAATCCAGAAATGATACGTCTTGTTGCAGGGAGTTGATTTACATGTGGCTTCGCAGCTATACACCGATCAGATCGAGACAACCAATCACGAAAAAAATTCCACACACCGGGTTCGGCCGCCCTTCGCCTTAATCCATGCGCGTCTGGCAACGGAACTTGATGATTTATCGCCGGACGCTCTTCCGTGATGTTATTGGCTTGAAGCCTATCCTGAGCCTCACGTTCAGCGCGCGCCCGGGTAGCCGCAGCATATGCTACAGCAAAGGGACGACAGTCCGAGTCGGGGATTCCATGTTTGCGACGCATCGCTCTGATTGACATTGCCGTGAGCAGAGACGAAAGAAATGCGAAAAGAATGACGTACTTTCTGTAGCCCAATTCCTGATTTTTTTTCCATATGTCCCAGGCGCGTACTGAGATGAGAGATACCAATAGGCCAAGTGCTAGTATGAGACTAGCCCTGAATAGAACGGAGTACTGGGACCATTGACCCAAAACACCAGTGTTTGGTGTCTGCAAGATGGGACCGCCGAGAATGTCAGCATGCTCGTCGTCGTAAGCCATGGTACGACGTCTTGCGGGAGCGTTGAAGGAGCGGTCAAGAAAGGGTCCCACACTCCTCGGCACGGCCCGAGTGCGGAGTAAATCGGAGATCGAAAATTTGGTTTTACGTTAAATTTTTTTGTGGATGAAACATGCTTCGCTGTCCAGTATCCAAAATTTATATCGTCTCAGGTGCCAGCTGAGCGCTGAGCGACAGCACCACGGCAGATTTCGTTGACAAGCTCGTCCCTGCCAACATCTTTCTCGTCCCTCCATGCCCTAACTCACCCTATTTTATTTGCAGACGATTCCGACCGTGGTTTGCGCCATTTGGCTGAAGTGACATGGTGTGGACTTAGATAGACTCTTCCTTCTTGCGCATCCCCCACTCGCCAATGCCTAGGGACATGGCTCACAGTGCTTTCGTCCCTATACTGATGATGTGGAAGATTTAGCTATTAGAGCGTGCTTGGTCCACGCTTGAATGACCAGCTTACTGTTCAGTAGCTACTACTGTGGTCATTCGAGTACTAAACTGATGCGGATATACATTCTATGCAATACATTTCTTCGAATTCCACGACGTGTCACGATGTACCTAAGGCCGCGATTGCGCACTCGTTCTGTGTGATGCGCTTTATTTTCTTGAGAAATTGTGATACCCTTATCTATTGTAGGATGAGCTTAATGCTAAAAAAACGATCCTGAAACGGAGCAGAATCGGCATCCTAAAAGATAATTTGATGGGAAATTCGTGACATGATTATTCCGATTCGTGTGAGAAAATTATCTCAATAGGTTTTTATACAACCTTTGAATTGCCATTGCAACACTTACTTCCTGTCTGCTTCATAGTCATCCCTGTCATCACCGTCTTTCTCGTTCGCAACTACCAGGACTTGCAATGGCCAAGGTCGTCACATACGAAGAGCTCAAGGCACACTCTACCAAGGACAGTCTTTATATTCTTATCCACGGAGAGGGTGAGTACATTGAAGCTTCTCAAATCGTGTCTACGTGGTGACGTGTTGGGCAGTGTACGATGTTACCAAGTTCATCGACGAGGTATGCAACTATAGACATTAACACTGAATTTCGCCCTAACAATGGTCTTTCATTTCAGCATCCAGGAGGTGACGATGTGATTTTGGCCGAGGCTGGTATGTTATCCCGTGAAAGTGGGCGGCTAATTCCGGGCTAAAGACATGCCGTCTGCAGGTAAAGACGCAAGCCAGGCTTTTGAAGATGTTGGCCACTCTGACGAGGCTCGCGAACTCCTCCCTCCCTTCCTTGTCGGAGATTTCGAGAAGGACGGCGTAAGGCGCAACGCAATTCCAACTTAGAGCGAGACTAATGCAGTGTTTTAGGCTCTGAAAATCGGCGACACCAAGATGTCCGGCTCTGGCGGTTCAGCCTCTAGCGCCGTTGAGCAGGGTTCAAAGTAGGTTTCCTTTCACCCGCGTTCGCTTCACAACTGACCTCTTCTGCAGCTTGATGTACTTTGTCCCGTTGACCCTACTGGGAGCATACTTTGCATGGCGCTTCTATGGAGCATGAACTCATGGATCGACTTTCTGTCCTTCTTGTCGTTCATCTTGTTTATATCCTCATGATATTTTTGTTCATTACCCATGAACCTGCTTCGTCTGTTGCTATCTCTGTCACAGTTCCTTTGGGATATAGAGCTTCAATTTTGTTGCAGGTTTAGCGTGAATCAACTGCCGATGAGCCAGGATCTGATATCGGATTGGAAGAAGACCAAAATGAAACGATTGATTGACTGTGCTAATGTCTGAACCTCTGCAGATAATGGGCTGCGTATCGATACAACAGAAAAAAGATGAACACTTCGGGATGCAAATAAACCATAGACAGGGCAAGTACTAAGCCCTTTGTGCACGTTCTTTCTCAAGACGTTGTTCGTCCAGCTAGAACTGAAGTGAACACATGTAAACTGCAAAGCATAAATTCATACCACGTAGGCCCAAGTATGATCCGGAGAGTACTAACGAAGAATTAGAAGTCTCGATGACGCAAATACAGGGAAAGAAGCACTAAAGCGTACCTTCCTCATGTTGGCCGCCTGTACCCGCTGGGAGTGTGTCAGAGCGGCTGTTGCGATGATCACGCCGATAGTAAGCCCCTGAGCCCAGAGACGAACTTGAACAATCTGATGCAGACACAACAAGTTTCAGCACGAAAACAAGCGGTGCACGGAAGCAACAAGGTTCATCATACCTTGTTCGGCATGGTCATCAAGCTGTCACCTCAGTGGTCAACTCAGCTCACACGACACTACACAAAGGAAAACGCACGGATCACGCATGACTTTGTTCCCGACAAGACCCATAGTGAGGGCCCAGCTGCCAACGATAACACTGAGCTGGTGCTTCGCTGTCCACTCCGCTAATTTTTCCTTCGCATTCAACGAAGCCCACCTCTTTCGCTCTTCCTCTCGTTCCCTCTCTAGCTCCGTCTTTTCAATACCCGTCCTATAACAGCCCAAATCAGACAATGCCTCAGAACCAAACGCACAACACACCGGTACCGGCGATGAAACTCCAGCCCACGGTGCTCCGCCCTAATGGACACCAGGGGCGCTATGATGATGATTGCGCCCAGCGTCTTTACCGTGTAAGGCAACGCACGGAAAGCAGGCCATCTGCGATTCAACAGGTACCATGTTGGTGCTACGATTGCTGAGCCTGTGAGTGCGCCATCTATGGCACCGCGGGCGAGGGCAGCGTTTTCCCCCTCAAGCCCGCTTTCAGGTATCTGTCAAACGCGGTCAGCATAATTTCGGGCACTGTACGACTTGTGCTTGCCTTCAACATGTACATGATGGGAGTTGCAACTTGGCCGGAGTTTTTGCGATTTCAAGGTGACAATGAACAGCGTTCCAACTCCTGTCCGGCGCAAAATGACATCATCATCGTCTGCTTCTGTTGTTTGTTATTATTCAAAGCTATCTACTTGCGTACAAAGTATTCCTGACTACACCTAAACTAATGACAGCAATTTTGGCGTAGAGAACACTTGAGATATGGAAAAGGAATGCTACTGCACTGCACAGGTATGCCAACGGAGAACCAACACCTCATGAGACACGAAAGCCACGCTCAGAAATGATCCACACTGAATGTCCATTTTCCCTCCCGAATGTCAAAGCCCTCGAAGTGGGTGTCCTTGATCGTCTTCAGCCGCTTCAGGTGCTTGACTGCACCAGGATCTTTCTCATCCTTGATGGGTTCACGAGTCGCCTTATCCGTCGCCCAGCATCGGACAAGGACGATACGCGCGCGAACATTGAGCCCTGAGCCCGGTGTAGGCTTGTCTGCATCATCAGTGTCCGGATAAACGCTGCACTCCTTATCGTCGAACTTGACGATCTCGCCTAAGAGAGCGCCAAGTCTTGTAAGATTAGTGAGGTCCACTGGCTCCAGGAATTGGATCTCGCCATAGCCGACGCGCCCAACGACAAGGTCTTTGAATGCCACTAGGTCTTCGTAACCGAGGTTGATGAGGGTCGGTAGGGCGGGTTTCACCCAGTAACTACCATGCTGCAATGCTGCGGGCGCTGGAGGCTCTTTTGCAGGTGAAGTTGGTTGGGAGCCCAACACGTTAATGGTGCTCTGTGCAGAGAACCGACCCGGAACTTTGCGAACAATAGGCGTTGGAGTCTCCACTTGAGGAGCGGCAGATGTTGCACTGGCGGCAGCTTCTTTCTCTCTCGCAACTTCCTTCTCGCGTGCAGCCTGGCTGAGGGCAGGACTGAACGTCACTTTGTTGGGACTGGCACGCGAACCAGATTGACTGAAGAGGTCTGCAGCCTCAACTTTCTTGTCCAGTATCAGTTTCTTCACGCTTTGACGCCCACCACTTCCTAGAGATGGAGTAGAGCTTCGCCCCAACAATCCATCAGGACCCTTCCCATCGAGGCGACTAAGTGCCAACGCATTGGACTTCCCATTCGTCAGTGAAGTTGCGAAGGGACTTGTGCTGGACCCAAGCGCGCTCCCCGACGTCGATGTCGCAAAGCCACGCAGCTTCGAGTTAGCGGGGGTATAACCGAGCTGCAGATACGGGACAGGCGAGCGTGTAGGGACATCGACGAAAAAGCCGGGTTTCTTTTTGGGTTGCTGGTCGAGGTCTACGGCACGCGGGCCAGGAGGGAGCATCGAGAAGATTGGTAGGTTCTGAGAAAGAGGTTCGGCAATGGAGGCGTACAGAGTGCCCTGTGCTCCAGGAACAGTAGTGGAAGCGTTTAGACTAGACAATGATTGTCCATTTCCAAATAATGAAGTGCCACCTGTTGATGTCGACGTGCCAAGCCCCGGTGCAGCGGGTTTTGGACCAAACAAAGATGCACCGAACGCGTTCGTCCCAGCTGCTGATTGCTGGCCCGTTGCTTGACCTGCAGGCTGCCCGAAGATATTCGTTTGGGGTTGCGTGCCGGCTGTTCCCGTCGTGCCCGCCTGACCGAATGTATTTCCAAACAGACCCCCGCCAGTGGCTGGTTTGGGCCCAAAAAGCCCGCCTGCTTGAGCGGGCTGTTGGGCCTGCTGCTGGTTTTGTTGGACATTCCCAAATAAACCTCCACCAGTTGTCGGACCTCCAAATAAGCCACCTTGAGGTTGGGCCGCGGTGGGTCCAAATACTGCTCGTGAAAAAGGTCACTAACTGAACTAGTGGGAAACAAAAGAATGTGACATACACCCAGACTGTTGAGGTTGCTGCTGCTGGGGCTGGCCAAATATACTACCACCCGTGTTGCCGAATATACTACCGGTTTGTGGCTGCTGAGGTTGCGTCTGAGGTTGCTGCTGTTGCTGCTGTTGATTGCCAAATGTGCCAAAGCCGGTAGATGTCGTGCCACTTTGAGCAGGCTGACCGAAAATCGATGGTTTGGCAGCCGTGTTTGGACCTTGTAATGGCAAGGTTAGCAATGTTTGAGTATATGAACGTTGTACTATACCAAAACTACTGAATGTGTTCCCAGTTGCGGGTTGCTGCTGCTGTTGAGGCTGGCCAAAAATGCCTGCGGTGCCTGCAGCGGGCTGGCTGGCTGGCTGTCCAAAGGTTGGGGTAGAACCGAACGCGCCTCCTGCTGTTATACGACGTCAATAGGTATCAGATCGGTAGCGGCAAGAGTCCTACTTGTTGTCCCAAAGGTGCCGCCACTCCCGAAGCCGGTGACGGGCTTGTTTTGCTGCGCAAATGCACCACCGCCACCAAAGATGCTAGTCCCAGTTGCGGGTGGCTGCTGCGGCTGCCCGAACGAACTGAAGGCTGAAGGTTGTTGTTGTTGTTGTTGTTGTTGCTGCTGCTGCTGCTGCTGCTGCTGCTGTTGAGGCTGACTAAAGGCTGACCCAAATAATCCCGCGCCGGTAGCTGTCGACGGTTGTGCGGGCTGGGGTTGTGCGAAAGATCCAAAGCCAGTACCAGGATTGCCTGTTGTTCCTGTGGCTCCGAACGCGCCTGTCCCAGTGCCGGCGCCACCACCGAACATGGATGTACTGGCAGGTTGCGCAGGTGCGCCTCCGAACAAATTTGTTGGTTGGGTAGCGGTTGTACCACCAAAGGATGGCTGGCCGAATGCCCCTGCAGTCTTCCGTCCCTGTTGATAGTCTTGAGAACGAAGCTCCTACATGAGGTTTCACGAATTTAGGCGAGGAAATAATATCTTGATTTGAAGATCACTCACCTCGAGCGACGTCCCTCGATAGGCGGGCATAGCTGTTATTGTTTGATATTGCAGGGTATGTGATGATGTTGGGTCCTTTTCACCGAACGAGCTGTACGGAGGATTTGATGTACCTGTTGTAACAGGCGCAGTACTCTCATTGCCAGCAGCTGAAGACATGTGTAAGCTCCTTTTCAGTAGTTTCATAAAAAGAAAAGAGTGCTTACTTGGTGAGGTCGCACCAAAGCCAGTCGTGGCTCTATTCTGTCCGAACGAATTAAACGCACCCCCAGTGTTGGGAGTGGATCCGAAACCCGTAGTCCCCGTCCCGGCTGTTGAGCCAAAGGTATTACCGCCACTTCCAAAGGCCGAGGTACCTCCCCCTCCAAATAAGCCCGTGGCAGGCTTTGGAGCTCCGAATGCTGAGGTACCCGCAGCTGGTTGTGGAGGATTCTGGGCAAATGCGCCTGCGTCGAACGTGATTCAGGCATAAGGAATGCAATTAGAACGCGATAGGACACACCAAAGGCTGAAGTTGCCGTGCTTGGGTTCGCCAAATTGCCAAACATTGGGTTGGCCTGTGGTTGCTGAGGCTGACCAAAAGCACCAGCTGTTGATCCAAAACCTGTTCGGGGATTAATAGGTGCGTAAAACGTTGTACAGGAAAATGACTTGCTTACCTGCTCCGGCTCCGAAGCCGCTAGGCTGACCAAAAGCAGAACCGCTCTGCTGTTGATTCTGGTTCTGTTGAGGATTTGCCCAGGAAGATTGCACTGTGTTACCCCCGAACATGTCTGATGAAAAACCTGCAGTCGTTTGTCACTGGTGCCGTCGACATCAGGAGTAGGAGGCGGAGATTAGAATATCCAGAGTCCGACATGTACACATGTGGAAAGTATATCTCACGGCAATAACTAACCTTATTCAGCCAAAAAAATTGGCAAGGGGTGAAGGTGCAGAATAGCCAGGGGAAGTGGTTTGGACATTATGCCGGACGGCTCGCAAAAATCAAGGCGGCAGCCTACTTTTAGCACCATCCAGCGCGAAGAGTCCTTCAAAAATCCACCCAAAACAGGCTCAACATATCCGATCCTTAATGAGTTTGTCACACCTCATATCGAATCCTTCAATGCTCTCTTCGATGATTCTGGTCTGCCAAAGGGAGACGGAGATGGTCGAGGACTATTGTCTTTAGGTCTGAAGGACATAGGTGAACGCGTCGTGTTTGATGGCAGCGGCGAGCTCGGGACAGAGAGTGGTCAGCATGGTTGGGGCAATCGAATGAGCAGTGAGTTGTACATCTGGCTCCCATTTGCATACAGTATTCATCGAATGAAACAGTATGGATAGAAGAGGTATCTATAGCTCCTCCTAGAGTTCCAGACAGAGACACGTGGAGCACTGAGCGCAAGGTATTTCCTACAGAGGTAAGTTGCTTCCGTCGAACGTAACCTAAACCCCAGCCCTACAGGGTGGATGGTGGATGTTCTAGAGCTGACGCACATGATAGGCTCGTGAGCGCTTGACCTCATATCGGGGACGTATGCAAGCAAAGGTCTGCTGGAGCATTAATGGAAACATCACTCCCGATCAATATGTAATGCGGGACTGTGGTCTAGTTCCGATTATGGTTCGGGTAAGCACCCATTATGTGTGCGTTTAGATGATGATTTGACCGCTATTGCTAGTCTGTTCGGTGCAATCTTCGTAATTTACCTTCTGCAGAACTTGTGCGGCGACATGAAGAGCCAGAAGAGTTCGGTGGTTACTTCATCATCAATGGGAACGAACGGTTAATTCGCTATCTGATTCTTCCTCGTCGAAATCATGTCACTTCTCTGCTTCGCCCGTCTTTCGCCAACCGTGGCCCTTCGTATACGCAATATGCAGTACAAATTCGGTGCGTTCGACCCGATCAATCCAGCGTTACCAATACTCTCCACTATCTCTCAAACGGAAGCGCAATGCTACGATTCAGCTGGAGAAAACAAGAATATGTGATACCGATCATGCTTATCCTCAAGGCTCTCATCGGCGCTTCCGACAGGGAGATTTTTGACCATGTCATGATGCAGGATTACGAAAACACATTTTTAACGGACCGCGTCGAGCTTCTTCTGCGTAGTTTCAAGATGTATAACTTGTACACTGGTGATCAGTGTCTTGAGTACTTGGGTGATAAATTCCGAGTTGTTCTTGGCATGCCCGAGGACTGGACGAACCAAGCTCTTGGGGCTTGGTTGATCCAAAAGATGGTTCTGGTGCATCTTGAATCCGCTCGCGACAAATTCCGGATGCTAGTGTTCGTAGCTGTTTCGCTGTTTCTTGATAGATGCTGACGTCTACATGCAGATTCATGCTGCGAAAGCTGTACAGTCTGGTATCCTCCTCGTGCTGCGCGGATAACCCAGATTCGCCACAGCACCAAGAAGTACTGCTCCCTGGTTTCTTGTATGGCATGATCATTAAGGAACGCCTGGAAGAAGCACTCAACCAAGTGAGAAACCAGATTGCAACAGACGTCAGGAAGGAGGAACCACCAGTTGATTTTCTTGACAGTGCGTACAAAAGCCTCGCATCGACCCCGCTATCAACTGATGATAATCATAGAACGATATATTATGAAGGTTATCAATAAAGTGAACTGGGATATCGGTTCCAAGATGTCGAATTTCTTGGCTACTGGAAATCTGGTCTCACCGTCGGGTCTTGATTTGCAACAGGCATCAGGGTTTACCATTGTTGCCGAAAAACTTAATTGGATGAGGTATATAAGCCACTTTAGATGCATTCATCGTGGTGCCTTCTTCGCCGAACTCAAGACAACAACTGTTCGAAAGCTATTACCAGAAGCTTGGGGTAAAGCAACGCGTTTAACTCAGTTTGGCTGTGTGCTAACAACGTATCCAGGTTTCCTATGCCCAGTGCACACACCTGATGGTGCCCCATGTGGTCTGCTCAATCATCTTTCGAGGACGTGCCGCATTGTCACGGCACCTCTTGTCGTCGCTGAGATCCCCGCACTCCTGGCAGCTCACGGCATGACACAGGCCTTCTCATCTTCAATAGATGGCCGAAAAAACCTTTGCGTTCAACTTGATGGGCGCGTGATTGGCTGGGCAAGACAATCGGTTGCTCAGCAGCTTGCCACTAATCTACGGATATGGAAAACCGAAGGTCGACACAAGGTTCCCCTTGATCTGGAGATCGGTTTTGTTCACGAATCGAAAGGTGGACAGTACCCTGGCTTATTCCTATTTTCTACCCGAGCGAGGATGATGCGCCCTGTGAAGTTTCTCGCCAACGGAAAGGGCGACCAAGTTGGATCATTTGAACAGGTGTACATGAACATCGCAATCAAACCCGACGAAGTTGAGCCAGGTGTTTCAACACACGTAGAACATGCGCCGACAAATTTCTTGTCCATCTTGGCTAATTTGACGCCGTTCTCAGATTTCAATCAGGTAATGCACCCAAACAAGCTCTGCGGGCCACTACTTAATTGCTGTGCAGAGTCCCAGAAATATCTATCAGTGTCAGGTAAGTTTCAGCCTACGAGAATTATCACCCCAACTTGACTGTGTCTCAAGATGGGTAAACAAACAATGGGTACCCCGTCTACCGCCCTACAACACAGAACGGACAACAAGCTCTACCGGTTACAGACCGGCCAAACTCCTGTTGTTCGACCACATTTACACAACACTTACGCCATGGACTCGTTCCCAAACGGTACTAATGCCATCGTTGCTGTCATTTCTTACACCGGTTACGATATGGAGGACGCCATGATCTTGAACAAATCCGCACACGAACGGGGTTTTGGCTATGGAACGGTCTACAAATCTCAGATAATCGATCTGAAGGAAATGCGAGGGGCCGCTAAATCATCAGCATCCCCTACGTTGCACTTTGGTCTTGGTCACGATATTCGAACGGCCGAAGGCGATGGACAGCATACTTGTTGTCATTTTTTGGATAAGGATGGCCTGCCGTACGTTGGCACAAAATTGGATTCTGGGGATCCTATAGCCGCTTACATCGATGAGACCACTGGGCGCACGAGGTTCGTCAAGTACAAGGGCGATGAGCAAGGAATCGTGGATGAAGTGCGCTTGTTAGGTATGGTCTTGGCACTGATTCATACGGGTAGCTGCTAACGGAACTTAAGGTGGTGATGCTGGAGACACGGAGTTGCAAAAATTGCATGTCGCTTTCCGTATAACTCGTTCTCCCGTCATTGGAGATAAATTTTCGTCTCGTCATGGTCAGAAGGGTGTATGCTCGCAAAAATGGCCCACTGTTGACATGCCCTTCTCGGAGAGCGGAATGCAGCCTGATGTTATCATCAATCCACATGCGTTTCCGAGTCGCATGACCATCGGCATGTTAGTGGAGAGCATGGCTGGGAAGGCCGGCGCCATGCACGGACTGGCACAAGATGCGACTCCTTTCCAGTAAATTATCACTGCTCTTGTTGACGACGCCAGCTGATAGCATCCAGATTCTCTGAAGAAGATAGAGCGATCGATTACTTTGGCGAACAACTATTAGCAGCTGGTTATAATTACTACGGTAACGAGCCCATGTACTCGGGCATCACGGGGCAAGAATTCGCGGCAGACATTTACTTCGGCGTTGTTTACTACCAACGTCTGCGGCACATGGTTCTAGACAAATTCCAGGTCAGGACCACAGGCCCGGTTGACCCTGTAACACGTCAGCCAGTCAAGGTAGGGAAGTCATTATATGCCCCGTTTGTTTGCTGATCACCTGCACAGGGCCGCAAACGTGCTGGCGGCATCCGATTTGGGGAGATGGAACGCGATGCTCTGATCGCTCATGGGACATCGTTCCTTCTCCAGGACCGGCTAATGAATTGTTCAGACTACTCCACTGCATGGGTCTGTCGGACCTGTGGCAGTCTCATATCCCTTGGTTACGATGATATAAGCTTGGGTGAGTCATCTGCAGGCGAGATGAAAGCAACTGGTCCAGGCGGAGAGTACTGCAGAGTATGCCGAGCAGTTGCAGAGGAAGAGGACAAACGAGCTCGTCAGGCTCTGGCTACCGGACAGAATCCAGATCGAAGTCCGTTACCAGGCGTGAAGGTGGCTCTACCGTCATCGAATGTGCTGCGCAGTTCGTCAAAAGGCAGTGATCTCGATGTTGTAGCGGTTCCCTATGTGTTCCGCTATCTTTGCGCCGAGCTGGCTGCCATGGGCATCGCCGTTTCATTGGAAGTACGATGACAACGGTTGTCATCTAGTGCTCGTTAACATCCATGCTATAGTTTTTGTGGCTCAAAAACCATACATAGACCATCGTTAATAACATTAGGGATACTAAGTGAACGAAAGGCCGACTGTCAGCTCAGTGACACTAATAACGATAACGAGAATCGATAGAAATGAGTAGTTGTTAGATCTACATGGAAGATCGAGTGAACAGAGACGTGGGTATCATTAGACTGTATCCATAGTAACTTCGAATCGTAAAACGGGGTATGAGGCTTGCGTGGATTATGGTGCAACCTGGACTGGCGGGTCTAAAGACTCTTGGTCGCCGCCCAGCAACAACTCAACAATGGCATTCTCCATCTGTGACTCCTTCGCAGCAGACTCGGGTGTTAGCGGGGCGGGGACTAGAGCTTGAAGCTCTGGCGAATCAGCAACCAAACCAGCCCGAGTTAAGAAGATATCTATAAGTAGACGACATTCGGTTGCGCTTGTTGCATGTGAAAGCGTTCGTCGCATATCACGAGCATGATCGATGACAGTTGGCGGGATGGATGGTGAAGATGTAGTGGGGGGTAACTGGGCTGGACGTTTGGCAAGGTGTGAAAGGACAACTCTGGAGGAAGAACGTTCTGGTCCTTGCACCGTGGGCGCCTTTGACTCTGAGCTCGAACGCGCAGGGGCTTCCACGCGGGCTACGGTCGATGAACTAGTCTCACCAGAACCACGTTTGCTGATAGAATCATGCTCAAATACACGTTTGGAAGTGATTGGAACGGTAAAACTGGCGGGCACAGGAGGTACAAGGGAACCAACATCCTCGATACCCATGTCGGGAGCCAATGTAGGGACAAGAGTGTCTGGTGAGGATGTTTTAGGACCGAATGGAGGCACCGGTTTGCGTGAAAAGGACTGTTTCCGAGCCCGATGATCTGAGAGTACATTGTCAACAGAGCTACGGGACTCTGATGATGTAGCAGAGGGCAAGTCGGTGGGATATCGAGGTGGAACGGGTCTGTTTGCAAGAGAGCTGAGATTCGTCGAGGACTTGTTGGGTAGAAGAGTAGTAGGAGCGTCTGCCCTCCGGGGAGAGCTTTTGCCGGACTCGTTGTCGGAACGAACCTTCTCATTACCGTTGAGGGTGATTTTAGAAATCATGCGCTGCAGGCGACCGGTCTTTTTGGGCGTCAAAAGAGACCCTGAGTTGGCATTGGTGGGGGAAGTCGCGGGAGGTTCTGGTGGGCCCTCGGCGAGAAATTCGATCAGCTCTCTTGCACTTGCCGATATGCCTTTGTGCGGATTATAGCACGGCGTACTCTTCAGCTTCTCTAGCTCTTCCTCGTTATCCGAACCACCCATGACATCGTCAAGATCAAGTGACTCTCGGTGTCTCGCGATGGTGTGAGTACGAGGAGGTCGTGACTGGGAGACGTCCAATCCTTGAGGGACGGGCTTTGTTCGTTTCTGATGTACCTTGCTTGGTGTCAAGTTCGGTAGCTTCAGAGACGAACCGAGGCTCGAATGCGGCAGCCTTGGTGATGAAAATGCGGTAGGCTTGAGCATGGGATCAGCGGAAGAGGCAGAGCGAGCGCGAGTGGAAGAGGGTGGACTAAATCCTGAAGCAGTAGCGGCACTAAGCTGTCGAGGGCGTGACGTTGGAGGGGGTTTCGCTATGGACTGGATTTCGTCGTCTTCATGTATAGAGTCAACGTGCCGCAAGGATGGTCTCGTTGTCCGCTTGGACTGGTCAGGCGCAGTGGGAGCTAGTACTTCAGATGATGTAGAGTCCTTGTGGGAGGATTGGAGGGAGCTCTTCCTTCCGTTGAAGCGTGCCTTCTCTTTGTTAAGAGCCTACCAAACAATCATCACCAATCCGTAAAATTTCGTGATAAGGAACCTTATATACCTCCATCGTCCGCAGCCTATCCGGGGTGAGCGATACCTTCATGGTTGACCCTGATCGCATCATGTCATCGAATTCTTGTGATCGATCCTCCTAGAACGCATTATGAGTCAACGCATCCATAATGTAGAAGCAATGGAAGTCGCACGGAAAATGTCGGCGAAATGGGAGACCTGTCCCCACTATGGATGGATTGCTTCGCGTGAGCGCTCACTAACGAATCTGTCTTCCTATGACCAATTACAGAGTCAGTTCCATTTGGATGGTCATTTGATCCTCTATTGCTGTTGCCACTAAATATTTTAATCGCGCGTGCCTTGTCGATTGATGATCTAGCAGAGTGATAATTGGAGCCCACAACCGTGGCGGGTCCAATATTAGATGACTCTGATGACATGCGAGGGCGCGAGCTGTCCTTTCGAGACACATCTCCCTCGCGAGAGGACGCCGGGGATGTCGCGCCCGACAATTTTTCTCGGGTGAAAGATTTACTCCGTCTCGGTTTCGGTAATTTTGACAGTGTCTCAATTTGTCCGTACACTAGAAGCGATGAAACACACGTCATCAATGTGCCGAACAAGTATTCGGACAAAAATGAACTAACCCTTCATGTTCTTGAAAAAACCATATATCGTACTGTCTTCGCAAAGTGCGATGAATAAATCTTGAGAGTTAGCTGTCGCTCGGCTACTATCTCGCGACGCAACACGTCCCACATTTGACAGAATGTGCCTGTCACGCGGACGAGCTCAGGACCAGGAACAGCAGTAGATTCGAAAGAATACAAGACTCACTCGCATATGGACCTAACGAGAAAGTTATCAGGTCAATAGCTCTGAATAACAGCGGAGGGTACTTACTCGATGATGGCGGTTAGATAGAGTGAGGCTGGTGAAAGGACTTCCTGCTTGGGAGGAGGAACACCATCCGCAAGCATACGTTCCTTAAGGCGATTTTCGGCATCTGAATTCTCGTCTGTGTCGCTTAAAGTTGAATATGCTTCGCATTTAAGTCTCAAAAGCTGTACACAGTACTGTTGAGGTTGGAGTGAATGTAACACAATGCCATAAAACGTACCTCAAATGCCCACTGCACATTGAAACCGCCATCCTCACTCGATGAGCCCGAACCTGCAGCGGTAACTGTACGCTGATAGTACGCCCTGAGTTCCATCTCAGCCTCAAGTATGGCCTCCTTGCCCAGGGTGGTTGGTAGAACTTTGTGCATTGCGGTCCTCAGTCGGGAAGTGTTGAACGACCGAGCTGCATTAAGTATGCTATAGAGTAACTCGTCCAGTAGGGCATTGATGGAGTTGAGAGCGTCGGGTGTTAACTTAGTAGGACGAATATCGGACAGGATAACATCGGCAGAACGAGACGAAATAAAGGTTGGAACTGTTGTGGGCTTGTCAACGACCATGTAATTGGAGAAGAGCGTTGTGTCGAGCTCACCGTGAGCTGCAATGGGCTCAATCATAATGTACAGGCGGGAGTGCGAAGGAGGATAACGCGGCTGAGAGTGACGCCTAGAACTCGGTTTCAGATTGCGATCACGCTTCTCATCACCAGTGAATTTTTCACTATAATAAGCTTATGCTCAGCTTTCACAAATTATTTTCGACTCCTCGTCACAATTACATATAACAGCACTAGGTCCACATGAATGTCATCCGACCAAGTGATTGAGGCCCTTCTCAAGGATCGTGCGTGTGCACTAACAACGACATCAATCCCATAACATCATTACCACAGCCTCTTCTTCCCCCACGGCGCCCTCCGTAGTCCAGTGACTACCATCCATCCCGTCCATCGTGTTTGTTGGCGTCTCGCCCATTGGCAAATCGCCAGATCCTTCCATGGCTACAGAACTGGATGCACTTCCCTCTGGCACATTGATCACCGTGTCTTTTATCGGATCAAAGGCCTCCCCTTCGGGATTCGATTTGTCTGCATGACTATTTGAATCTGTATCCCACAGCATGAGCCCGTCAAGCAGTGCCAGTGACACACCCCCGGAATCAAGATCTTCAAATCGGATCGTTCGCGCTGGCGATGTCGACAGTGATGCCAAGAAGTCATATTCATCCGGTCTTGCCCTCAAGTTATCTAGGTTTTCTGGGCGAGCGTCCGGGCGCGGATACCGGAGTCGCATGGGCGCGTTCTGCTTTCTCAGGTTTTGTTCGACAGGGCTAAATATGTGTTGAAGTACCTTGATCATCATTGTCAATCTCAATATAGCGCAGATATACCTAGCGTCTCTGATGAGACTCACCCATGGCCCAATCACGGCGTGGCGTTGAGGTGGGATGTGAGCTTGGCGAATGTATCTCGGTTCCACACGATACGATGGTAGACTGTTGGGAGGAGGATCTAGCCTGGGAGGTATTTTTGGCACGTGAGGTTTCGGGGGCTGTTTCATCTCCAACTTCTTGATTGATTCTCGTTGCTGGTGGCGCACTTCATGTTCCATCGCCTCAACTGGTTTATCGAAAACATCTGAACAATCTAAAGCTGGTCAATCGAATGTAGTAGGCGAGACTACCAGGTCACACGCACTTGCAAGAGGACATGGCAGAGGGAAGTACGAATGTTTCTGGAGGTGTTTCTCCAAAGCCGGTGCCGACTTGAATCTCCGAGGACACGACTGCCAGCGGCATGTATATGGTCCCTGGAGATCGTTGATGAGTTACCTGATCTTGCCATCGAGAATCCACTTACCTGAGAGTTGATCTCTTGCGCGTGCGATTTGAGATGCAAATAGAGGTTCTCGCCGCTGTTCATCAGAGCATCACATCCATTCCATTGGCAGGGTCTCTCAACCATTCGGACTCTGCAGTCCGCGATGAGGGCTCGCTCGAAATCATTGTATTTGGCTGCAACGAACATAAGCCAGAAAAAATCACCCGAACTGGAACAAACTCATACACTCTTCCTCTTCCTCTGAGCCAGAGACTATGCCGTGATCCTCCAGTTTTCGTTTCTTGATAGCCCTCCTAAGCTCAGGAGGAGGCAGTGGTACCAACACATAGACCCTTTGACCTTTCTTCCTCTTTACACTTCGTAGTGGCGTCATTCCACGCTCCTCGTCCAACGCGTAGACACCCGAATCTGCGCGGCTCTTGGAGGGTGAACCACCACGTAGGATGGAGTCTACTATTAAAACTTCATCGTCCGTCTCCGGTGGAAGTGGAACACCAGAGTGGTCCGAGGGTGCAGGTGATGCCGACGGCGACGGCAGGAAAAGCGGAATAGCCCCGTTCCTATTGTCCTCACTCTGCTCGTGCGATTGCGCTCTAAAGCTGGGGGCAGGAGATGATATGCCTGCAGGTTCGGGCACAGGAGGTAGAGGCTCCTCCAGATCTGGGAATGATATTGGACTGTCGATGTGCTCATCTTCTTGACTAGGATCGTGACGGTGCACATCAGTGGCTATCGAAATTCCATCAACTCCACGCGCTAACTCCTCCTGATCCATGGACGTGGATGCCGGACATGGTGTAGTAGCAGGTAGTGGGGATTTTGGGGAAGCAGTGCCATTTGCGGGGGCAGTAGCACTTGGTTGATCATCCATCATGATGACATCATCAATCGCTTCCTTGATATGACTTTGCAGTGTTTGTGTTTGAGGCCGCTCTCCTTGCTCCATCAAAACATTCGAAGGAGGTTGTAGGAGACTAATTTCCTGTGGGGCTTCCTGAAGGGACTCAGCTGATAAGCCACGAGATGGTGATGTCTCCTGCTGATGCTCTGCAGCTACTGGTAGATTTCCCAGTGATACACCAACTTCCTCGTCAGCCTCATCCTCCTCTTCCGCCGTGATGGGTGGCGGGTTGAGTCCTAGTGACCGTAGGATATCTTTTGCGAGTCGCGACCTATCGGCTTGTTGCGGTGTGCGCGCCTCTCGGGCAGTCCCACTGCGTTCCCGTGGCGGCGGAGTAGCAGGCGGTATCGATACGGTAGTTGTGGCTTGCATGGACAATGGTATGCCCTGAGGTAGCGGCTGCTCCACGATATGTGGTTTTGACGCAGGGTAGTATCCACCCGCGTTCAATCCTGACGGCGCTGCGGGCTCATTCGGAATATGCGTCCGCACGTATTGGTTCAAATATCGATCATACGCGTAGTGAGCAACCTTGCCACCGGCACTTGGTATACTCATTGGAGGGGGTACATTGAATGGGCGATAAGCACCGCCTGCCACTTGTCCATTTATACTAGTTCCGGCCAGTGGTTGTGTTTGTGTGGTGGTAGATGAGGCTGGCTGAATTGAGGGTACTGAAGGCGCCGTCTGCGTAGTCGATACGGACACCTGTGCTTGAGGTGCGGAGGTTGTCTTGGCGGCCAATGCAGCGACAGTAGTTGCAGCAGTGCGATTTGAAGTCGACGCCTTTGGAGGTTGTGCACTGATGGACGTAGCCTGTGTGCTTTTGGTAACAGACGGTCTGGGGGGTACAGGAAATGACTTTGACGTAGTGTGCGTAGTTACAGGTGCAACAACTTTGCCGGCAACAGTGGTTTGACTCTGCTGCGCGATGTTCGGGACACGGTCGGAGGAGGCACCCGGCGCCGCAGCACTACTTGCATCCAGATGAGCTTTGCTAGCTGCTGAAGCCCTTGCACGAGTCACAGCACGAAATTCCATTAACAGCTCAGGCGCTAGAGAGCCGATGAGCAACTTCCGCCACTCCTCAGGCACGGAATGCAGATTTTTCATGAGGAAGTCGACGGTCGTGTCCATGTCAACTCGCTGAGGATGATAAAATCGTCAAGCTCGGTAGACCGGTGGCGTATAGGGGAACCCACCTGAAATCTTTCATGAAAGTATCGTACGAAAGCTTCCTTTGTACCGAGACCTGCTGGCGTTTGTTGAGCGGACGGAGAATTCGCAGGTGGGGGCAAAGGCTGAACTGTCGCCGCAGATGTTTCCGAAGGAACGATCGCCATAGGAACATGAATGCTGGTACTGGCAGAGGTAGAAGAATTGGTTCGAGGCAAGGGGGACCATTTGGAATTTCTCAGTTCATTCAGCATCGTGACTACCCCCTCGTCTTTGAAATTTGCCGGATCAACGCTGCGTGCGGCTTCAGCCCACCAATCCACGGCTACAGGACGTGAGCTCAGGAAGTCACGAATAGCTTGCGCGTTGCGCTGTCAGAAAGTAGTGAGAAGGCACAGCATTCACCAACATCACAACCTACATTGCAAGCTAACTGGAATTGCCGAATGAACTCTGGTTTCGTAATGGTGAGGTTGCCTGACGATTGACGATTGGTGGAGTGGGACTCAGTGGATGACAAAGCTGGACGCCGAGTTGAAGAAACAGCAGTCGCGACGGCTTGAGACGGTGCAGCCGAGGATGTCATTTGACGTTGAACGTGAACGGCATGCTGGGGAATCCCTGTTCCAGCAAATGAGCTTCCTTGAGGGTTGACGCCTACTGATGCAGTTTGCGTCTGTGGCGCACCTGCACCAGCCAGCTCTGCCGCGTACTTCTGACTCAGCTTTGCCCAGTATTCCTCGCCTTGTGGTTCAACACAGACGCAGTAAGTGCAACCATATCGATTTGAACGGACAAAAATTTACGTACTGTATTTAAATTGTTGCTGCTGATAAGGCGGGCCATTCTGATACATTTCCTGATAGGGCGTGGTCGAGGTGGGCATTGTATGTTGATAGCCGGGAACAGCGAATACAGAACCACGAGGATATGGTGCATGTGAACTTTGCGACGTTGCCGCTGCCTGTGATTGTGTTTGTACAAATGATGACCTCTGCAATGGTGGCTGAGGTGAAAATTGAGGAGCATGCGCCTGAAATCCAGCCTGCGGTGGCTGGCTGGTGGTTGGATGGTTAGGTCGGTTGTGATACGGCACTTGCGTGGACGGCCTAGATGACTGTACGGAGTGAGATTACAGAAGATACAGCAAATACGAGCAGTACATCAGGAGGCGAGTCGCGCACTTCTCCTTCGATTCTAGCTGTCAAGGGGACCTCTTCCACAGACTGATAGAGTGAATTAGGATAATAGCCATTTCCTGATGAAGACCCTGCTGCGATGCTGGTGGAGTGACCACATATGTCAATCACTATAGAAAGTGTTGTGGAACCTCTTTACTCACGGCGCTCCCGCTCCTGTGGACGCTCTCAACTCTGCCAGTCTCTGCCTTCTGGCGCGTTAGCCACAACGCTGTTCAACTGCAAAGCACTCACTCAGCCTCCCGCCCTTTTCTAACAGCCTCCTCTAGTTCGTTTTCTCGTTCCATTTCGACGAGCTTCCGCCGGGCCTCCTCGATCTTGGCCTTGCGTGACGCGTACTCTTGGCCGTTGAGGGGGGTGACAAACGAGGCCATCGCACGAAAATCGCTTGAGTTGGGCTGACCACCATTATTCATTGCCACAATATTCAACTATCAAGCAAATCAAACGAAGAATTGCTGAGCAGACGCCCTGAATGTGCAAAAAGTAAACCAACAAAACGATGAAAGGGAGAGTCGAGACAAACGCGTGACTGTCGTGACTGCATTGTGACTGTTATGTACGTACGCGTAAACACGGTACAGTTCAAATGCTCCCGAGGCTGAGCACTGATCGATGTCCCTCCTCCGAGTGGTTGCTCGCCATGCAGCACGTCCTTGGGCGCGTGCATATGCCTCCGAATCATCCTCACCGCTTCCGCCAGTAACTGGAGTGTATAAAGTATTCGACCGGACCGCTAAGAGGAAGCAGCGCGACCGCGCAGTGAGCAGAGATGCAGGCGTAGGGAGCAGGACTGTGGACTACGTCCGGGACGAAGTTGCAGACCGAATGATGGAGAGGCTACTGGTCAGTTAGCTTGTTATATTCCTTTTACCTTGACTGAGCGATTCATGTGTAGGACATCAAACGCAAATTCGATACCATTGTGGACCTTGGTTCGGGGCCTGGTCACTTTTCTAAGCTTCTTGAGCCTGAAAAAACTCGTAAAGTACTCATGATAGATTCTAGTGGTCCGATCTTTGCTTCTGGCTCTTGTTCCCCTGGCTGACTGCCATACAGAGACCACACTCAACCGAGATCTGGATGAAGAATTCGAAGGCACGTCATGTTACTTCAATGGGGTAACGCCCTGATAACAATACGAGCAATCCACAGTTGAAGTAGAGCGTGTTCATGCAGATGAAGAGAATCTCCTTGATGTTCTTCCCCGCAACTCTCAAGAGGCAATTGTGTCTTGCCTCAGCCTCCACTGGGTGAACGACCTACCAGGCGTACTTGTACAAATAAGAGAAGCCCTGAAACCTGATGGGCTCTTTTTGGGTGCCATGTTTGGCGGGGATACCTTGTTCGAGCTCAGGTAAGTGACACAGAAAGCTTTTTGTACTGTTGAAAAACATTTTTTCCACAGGACTGCCCTTCAACTTGCGGAAGTAGACCGCGAGGGCGGCATTTCGCCACATATTTCGCCCATGACAGGTCACTCGTTTATGCGCCCTTGCATTGTCATTTTTCCACCAGCTCTAATATGTTTTTGTATAGACACTAAAGATATCTCGAACCTTCTCTCTCGTGCGGGATTCACTCTACTCACTGTAGATATCGATGAAGTACTTGTTGGGTATCCGAGCATGTGGGAGCTTCTTGAAGATCTGCGCGACATGGGTGAGAGCAACGCTGTTGTCGGACGGTGAGCTGCTTCGATGCATACCACTATCTTTGTTCCCTATAGTAACTTTGTAGGCGACACTTCTTGCACAGGGATACATTGGCCGCTGCCTCAGCTATTTATAAAGGTCAGTTACAGCACCATGATGGAACTATACATTTAAATCCTTTTAACTAGAACTGCACGGAAATGAAGATGGCTCCGTTCCAGCAACATTCCAGATCATCTACATGGTATATTCAACCCCCCTTTTTAAATTGTCGCCTCATGTTCTATATCAGATTGGCTGGAAGCCTTCGCCCAATCAACCAAAGCCACTCGACCGTGGATCAGCCCAGACCAATCTCAAAGATGTGCTCTAATTTCTCCCGTGATCGTTATAGACTAGAATTTCATTCAAGCGTCGGATTTTTGCTAACATATTTCGTATACTCCACTCGTCAAAGATCTCGACTATCGACTATCGAATTTGATTTTCGCCTTCATAAGAATTAATATCCTACAATCCTAACTGTAACGTGGTATGCAACCTATCAAGAACAAGAAAACAAATGATAGCAACATCTCGGTCTAATAGCCCCTATCTCATCCACTGTGATTGTCAGGTATTACTCTCTTCAAAAATTCCTTCAGGTCAGCACGCTCCTTGGAACATGCCGCGTGTAGCACACCATTATACTCCAAAAAACTCACACCAGCGCTCCCGAAGGCCGCGCGTTCCGCCTCTCCTTTATCGCCCCACCGTAGTGCTAGACCGACCTGGTCCTTCAAAATCTCCGCCGACTTTCGCCCGAAGCTATATCTCACGAGTGGATCGTCTGTTCCATGGCCCCAAAAAACCGGCATGGTTAGCGCGTGTGGGGAGATGAGCGACTTGAAACGGTCTCGTAATGGCAGCCAGCCACTCATCACTGCGACTCCAGCAAGTTTCCAGCCCTCACCTCCCTCGCGTACCGCGCGTCCACCGAGACCAGAAAGGAGAACTATTGCACCACCTTGCGAAAAGCCGCTAAGGACAATACGCTCTTGTGGGATGCCAGCGTCGACCTCAGCCTTGACAAGCGCATCCAGCTTGCGCACCGAGTCAAACATGCCCGATGCATCCTCAGTCTCGGTGAAGGCAAAAGACGGTATATCGAACCAGGCACGGAGCCACTCTTTATTGTACACTGTTACGGGTCGCTGAGGTGCGTGGGGGGAGAACCCACTTGACATGCGGGAGGGCAGGCGCGAGCTCGTTTGTGAGGGGATTCCATCCTCTGCCATCATCACCGATGCCCTAGGTCATGTGTCAGCGTAGGCGAAGAGAGCGAGTGAGAGAAGTAGCGTGCAAATGGTTGAAGGTCATGTGGGGTGAGAGAGTGGACCTACATGTACACAAATCACTGTTGCGGTATGTGCTTTGGTTGGCTGCACCACTAGGAAAGGTAACGTGACTGTTGACATTGTTGGGTGTCTTCCTCCAGTCTGCGTGCGTTGAGGGTGTGAGAGGTGTCAAGTGGGCCAGAAACGGCACTGGTCTGAAGAATTTTAACACCGGAGCGACGAATGATTCTTCAAGTATCGCCCTCCCAATACTTAGCTGCTTGTGGCATATTTGATCGTTATATTTGTCTACGCTAACATAAGCTCAGGTACTCATAGATACCACGATCGATCTCTTATCTATATTGATGCCATAAGTGCCGGCGGTCCCCGGCCGCGGTGGCAATTCAACCTTAACCCGCGCAAATGCCACCGACAATATTGTGCATGCTCTCGACCGAAGCTCCACCCCGATGATGATCATGGAGCAGCCAGTGACTGCTCAGGGAGAAGAGAGTTCCTCACAACCACTCTCAAAGAATGCTCAAAAGAGAGTTGCAAAAGCAGCTCGCCTACAAGAACAAAAGGTTGAACGTCGCGCGCGCGAGAAGGAGGCGAAGAAACGCAAGCGACGAGAGCGTGCGCAAGCAGGCGATGCGGAGCCACGGAAGCGTCGTAAGATGGGTGGGCTGGATCAAACCTCATTTGCTGCGCAAGTGGTAATAGACCTGGGTTTCGATGATATGATGACGGACAAGGTGCGTACGAATTCTGTCGGCATTACTGTATTGGCACGAGCACACCTGCAGGAAGTGACCTCTTTGACTTCCCAACTTGCATATACATACAGCGCGAATCGACGATCACCTACGCCGTTTACATCACTATTATTTACATCCCTCAATGGGCGGACAAAGGCGCGGCTAGATGCCATAAATGATGCTGGACACAAGCGATGGACGAACACAGAATGGTGGGAGGAAGGTTACGATCGAATATGGACATCCAAATCCAATTCTTGTGACGGAGATGAAGACTTGGATGGACGTCGCGCGAGCGTGGTTTACCTGACCGCTGACTCCGAGGATGAGCTCATGGAACTTAAGGAGGGGGAAATATACGTTATCGGAGGTATTTGCGATCACAACCGATACAAGGTATGTACTTGGAACATATTCAGTTCGGCATTATATTGCCCAAGAACTACCGAGAGCCTGGGAGGCTGGATTCCTCCGCAAAATCCAGAAAATGGAGCTGTTATTTTTCACCCTATGTTCGCCTTCTCCGATCTGCTGCCCAAGATCTCCCATAACTCCTCCACCCTGATCTAACAAATATATTAGAATCTCTGCCTTGACAAAGCCCAAACGTCATCCATCCGACACGCACGCCTTCCCATAGGGCGATATATAGCATCGTTAACGACGAGGAAGGTGCTCACGGTCAACCAGGTGACATTTATTCGTTACGTTGTTCGTCTTTCTGATAGCGGAGGCTGTCCGGCTTACCTATAGGTATTCGAAATTTTACTGAAGTGGGTTGAAACACGAGACTGGGAACAGGCGTTTTGGAGCGTTATTCCAAAGAGGAAATTCCAAGGGAAAACAACCGGTCCAGATGCAACCCCTGAGGGAGAGCATGTTGAAGAAGATGAAGGCCAGGAGGATGGCGACAGAGTTCAGGAGGTGGCTTCGGGCGAGGATGGGGAAGAAACTCTCGACCCCAACTTAGTGCTTATCACGGCATGATAGTCTCCACCTGTATTCCCCGATCCATTTTCCATCACGAGGCGCTTGCTTCTAGTGAGATATTTTTTCTTACCCATCCTTCCATCGTGTCACTACCGTGCGATTAAATTTGACATGCATAGCATGGATGATGGATTGACGTTTGCGTTCATGTTATGATCCCCGTGCGGTGGGCGAGGCTATGAAAAGGGGGAATGTCCAGACTACAGGTCTACCCACTAGGGGATAACCTAGTATACGCATGGGAATCCTGGCCTGATCATTGTTCGAAACGAACTCCTTGAATATATTATTATTTAGAATGTTCAGCTTCGTAAGCTTAGGGTCTCAATATGTTTGGCCTGCCAAACCCGAACCGCAGCCACCCTATCACCAAAGATGCTATTGGCCATGCCTAATACTAGTTCACGTGGATTGCAAACTTTCATATCGCTAGCAACGCGCGTTTTCTCCACTTATCCATATAAACATCCACATCAGATGTCGTCAGCCATCATCCAGCCGACCGCAGCACACACCGCAACTGTCATCTTTGCTCATGTGCGCTCACAATGCCAATTCGCAACCGTACTATACTGATTGTAGTCTCACCCTGTAGGGTCTCGGTGACGAGGGAGAAAGCTGGCGCGCAGCGATAAGCGGCGATTACGACTACAGAAAACCCGGTGAACTGACGATCCCCGCCCGCCTTCCTCATGTCAAATGGATCTTCCCGGATGCGCCTGAGCAAGCAGTCACAGCAAACTTCGGCACTCGGATGCCCTCATGGTTTGATATATCTAATCTACCGCTTCAACCAGGGCAGTACTTCAACAAAGTATTCGAGGACGATGAGAGCGTGAGGAATGGTGTTCAGATTATAGACGACTTGGTTCAGGCAGAAGTGAAGGCTGGAATACCAGAAAGTCGCATTGTAGTCGGCGGATTCAGCCAAGGAGGATCCCTGGCTTTGGTGACAGGTTTGGGTGGTAAAGACTGGAGAACGAAAAGTTCTGGGGATGAAAGCAAGCTAGCTGGTGTAGTCGTGCTGAGTGGTTGGATGCCACTCAGAGAGAAGTTCAAGTCGGTCAGTGCTGATAGCATCGCCATAAAAATTTCTCCGTATGATGGTACTGATCAATTCTACAGCGCATCTCTCCCCACGCCAAATCTGTTCCGGTATTCTGGGGACATGGAACAGCAGATGCGGTGATATACCATACAGTGGGGGAACTTTCAGTTGAATTGCTTCAAGAACAACTCGGTATCGTGAAGCATAGTACCCATGACCAACTTGGCACTCCTGGAATAAGCTTTCGGTCATATGAACGTATGGGTCACGCTTCATGCAATAAAGAGATGGAAGATCTGGTGACGTTCTTGGGAAGTGTCTTACCACCACTGCAGGTATGGTTAAATGAACGCCGTCGATCAAATACACGCTGACAGTTTGTAGCAAACCCAGAACCTGTAATGCAAATTATTGCAAGACGCTAGCACCTGCTACCTTCATATATCCAGAGATTTCATTCGTGTGTCTGGTGCCTCGGTCAATTACATTGCAATCGCTCTCCCTTGGCCATTTCTAAATTGCTGCTTGACATGGATATTGTGCCCGATATTCGCAAGATATTCGTGTGCGAATTACCCCTATATAATCCCGCGCTTCTCAATGTTGTATCGACGTGGCAGACATAGATCACAGCATCATTGCCCTCATTACCCACCACATCCTGCCGGTGAGAATGAGTGAGAATGTGGGTGTAGAGTGGGCTTCAAGTTTCCTATTTTATGCAGTGCCCTTTGCTCCTCCAGAACTCTGTCCTGTGAGATGGTGTCTTTACCGCTTACTTTTGTGACCATATCCCCCAGGGTGAAGCACACTGCCACTGTCATATTCGCTCATGTACGTGCTGTGGCGATCACGAGAGGGTCATATTCAACTTTGACGTGCTCATAGGGACTGGGAGATAATGGCCTGGATTTCTCGAACCATAAGGAGATGCGTACGATCGCATCCCAGCTTCCGCACATCAAGTGGGTGTTCCCTAGTGCGCCTGAGCGCTCCATCACCGCGTGGAAAGGAGATTCGAGGAGGCAAAGCTCAACCAGGGCCTGGCTCGACGTCTTGCGCGAGCCTTTGATGTATTCGTCGGAATACGACGACATTCAGGAGTACGATGAGGGCATTTTGCAAAGCGTCAAGCATTTAGATGCCTTTGTCCAATCTGAGATCGATTCAGGAATTTCAGAACGACGTATCGTGCTTGGGGGATTTGGCCAAGGGGGTGCGATATCCCTGATCACAGGTTTGGGTGGCAGTCAGTGGAGGGACGCATCCGACACAAAAGGTGGTTGGAAGTTGGGGGGAGTCATATCTCTGGGTGGTTGGCTTCCCATGCGGGAAAAGTACAAAAAGGTGAGGAAGACTTTCAAATGTAACCACACGTTGTCTCTTAGTCGTGTTTGCAGCGGTTGTCCATGCACGCATCTACGATACCCGTGTTCTGGGGTCATGGAGTGCAGAATGAATCCGTGACCTGGGGTCTGAGCTGGGAGTCAGCCGAGTTCATAGGAGATAAACTCGAAGTCAGATACGGTCAGTATACGAAGGTGGGAGAGCCGGGTGTGAGCTTCATGTCGTACGGCGTAGCACATTGGATGGCTGAATCTGAGATGGAAGATCTGAGGTTGTTCTTGAAGAAGATCCTTCCTTTGGAAGGATAGGGGGGCGTCAATCTGACTGTGTACTGGGCTTGTAGACAGACATTTTTTTTCGCACCCTGTTAGATTGAAAGCAAATTCGATCGACCTGGCATTTAAGATTGGACGATAGTAACTCTCTTCAAGTGTATTTCATATCATGCCTCATCAACCGGATTCCATGTTACCGCACCTTCTCCTCCTTGATCAAGTGCATCAAGTGCATCCATGTCATCGTTATCCAGCTCGAAGTTAAAAACTTGGGCGTTAGATCTGATGCGCTCTGGACGTGAAGATTTTGGAAGGGGGATATATCTGAAGGACTTCTAAGGTCTGAGTTAAGGTTTGCAACGGAGATGCTCACCCTTTTTGCAGCGACCACCGAATGAGGATTTGTGCCTCGTCTTTATCGTGCTGCGGGCAGATTGTCCGTTAGCTCGCACATAAAAAAGGTTTTTGAGACTAGTAAACCTTCTTTGCAAGCAGTCTAAATACATCATGATCCATTCGGCCCGTCACAAGCGGAGAATACGCCTGTATCGTTATGCCCTTTGCCCGACAATACTCCACAATGGGCCTTTGTTGGCAGAAAGGGTGAAGCTCAATTTGATTGACATCAGGCAACTCTAATCCAGCGTCAATAATTTCGTCGATGTGTTTTCCGGAGCTGTCAAGAAACAAATCACATTATTCGATAGGTAAGGTCGATATCAAGAAATGATGAACCTACTAATTTGAAACGCCGATCTTCTTCACGAGGCCATCTTTTTTCGCTTCGACGAGGGCTCTGTAGGTCGAGAGTCGCTTCTCCTTCCCAGTGACCGGGGAGTGGATCAAGTACAAGTCGTAATAAGCTTATCATGCACTCGGCACCACGTTGATATATAAGACAATGAAGACCTACCCAAACCAAGCTGGTCCACTGATTCCTGAATACATTCGCGGGCCCTCGCATAACCGAAGTCGAAGTGGTAGATCTTTGAGGCTGTCAATATTTCGAATTAACGGCTGAACTATCCTGCACCAACACAATACGTACTAATGAATATATGCTCGCGGGGGATTCCACTTCGTCGGACACCCGCCCCTACTTGAGCTTCGTTCATGTAGTACCTCGCTGAGTCAATCATCCTTGAATATGAGCTAGTTGAAAGTCGACTACATTCGCTGACAGGCAGACGAGTTACCTGTACCCCTCTTCCAAGGCAACTTGACAAGCATCTGCGCACTCATCGTTCAGGTAGACCCCGAGCCCGATAACGGGCATGGTTCCGCCTGTGAATGGATGTCTCAGGCACTGTACCGACGTCAATGACTAAATAATAAACTTACCTGAGAGGAGCTGGGTGACACTGTGAAGGCTTAACACCATGATGGAGAGGTGAATACCAGTTTCGGCCGAATGAGCGGCCGCAGAGTGAGATCAAGGGGATATAAATAGCTCCCCAAGGCTCTCGGATGGTCTTGCGCGTGGTAGTACATGCGGGGTGCGGCTATAGTGGCACGGTGGTTGTGGCATTCGTTTTGTAATTAGCACTGCTGACGCATTGAGCATTCATGGCTTCTGGATGCAGAGCCTCGCTCATTCATTGAGAAAAGAAAGCGTTTCGAGCGACATTTAAATGCCATGTCACCTTAGCACAACTTCTGCAAGGTACCAAAGTAGTTCAGGGTGAATTCCTAGGTATTTTTGGTGGTAGTGCCGGGCCCGAACATAGATACTTGTCTGGCACGACTTCTCAGTGATGCGACCGTCGACGTTATATTGAGAAAGTTGACCGTTGACCGTAACATTCTGAACGAAATGATCTCGAGGCTCTTGTAGAACCGGAACAAACGAGACCAAATAAACCTGAGACGCCGACCTCGCAAACGGCCAACTCAAATACATATCACACTTCTGGTCACTGAATCACACAACACAATGCCTGTCCCATGGGAAGCTCTCATTCCGTTCGGTATGCTCCCTCAAAATCTGAGGCAAAACTCTGCTGACTTGATGATTCCATATTCTTAATGCCACCATAGGCCTGCTCACTTCAATGTTTGCAGCGGCCGGAACGCTCTTGAATGTTTCCAAGAGGGCTCAGAATCAGGGCAAGGTACGTCTAGAATTTGTTTTGTGAAGCTATGGAATACTGTCAGTGTCTGATTGTTTCATTTTCTTTAATTCGCATATTCCATTTCGCTTGGACAAATTGGCAACTCCCTAGCCTGTTCGATACCACGTCGATGCTTGGGACGAGATGATGATGGACCGTGATAGACGGCTTACAGGACACATACGTGGACAATCTGTATGTGTTATCTTTACGCTTGGACACACGCTGACATATCATGCACTTTTCTAGTCAAACCCAGTGCCTCCAGAAGGCTTCGAAACGAGTAGCGCTTGGTACACAGAAACTACAGCATAGCCATACCTCATACCATGCTATCTCGAATGAAATTGTTATTTAGATGCGGCGCTACATGATACCCGTCAGATTTGCAGTGGGCGAAGACCCTCCCTCAAAGAATTTACTGCAAAAGGTATCATGCTAACTTGCAAAGAGCCAAAACTTCATTCAGGTAGTTCTGTTACCCGTTAACATGCGACAAACCGTCCCAAGTCTGGTTTTTTTTCCTGACCTGGATGATCCACCAGTTGTAATCGAGTATTTGAACGTAGAAATCTAGTTTCCTCATAAATACTCACAAACCTTTTATTCCGGCGCAAGAATGTTTGAGCTTTGTACCCATCCGAATCCATATCGCACGAGTACTGTTTATCATATGCATCCACCAAAAACGAAGTATTAACCATAGGAACTCATCTCCTCCTTCAGCCACGCCCACACAACCTCGACCCTTCCGCTCACATCTATACCCAGCTCTTTATCTTCAACAAACCCATACCGCTTGCCCTCGAGAGCCTTCCCAAGCTCAGAATCTAACCCTTGCAGTGTGCATGAGAGAATGACCCCGTGTCGAGCGTGGATGTGTGCTGTCTGTTGGTACTAAGTCAAGGAAATGCAGCAACAGAAAGAGAACAGACTCACGACATTCCCCCACACGAACGACTTCTTGATCGTGTACTCGAATTCGGGAGTCTGGCCAAAAGCCCAGTCCCAGCTCTGCAAAAGAGGTCATATAATATAATCGCGTGCAGACAACGAATGGGAACTTACGGGTAGCTCTGCCATCCCACGTTGAATGTATCCTATTCGCGCGAGGTCGTCGATATCATTGACAATGCATGGCTAGCATGTTTAGTTTAGCTGGCGTAAAATGTGATAGGTTAAGAAAGTGTCACCTCGTCGAGAACGCCGTATTCGGCTTTGAATGAGTCCACGACAGCATTCACGAACGTATTATGGCTAACTTTCTCACTAAATTGAGCGAGGTTGCAAACCGGCGAACGCACGGACGCGACACCCTTCGTGATCATTGTGTCCTATCGCACGCCAACATATTATTTAGCAAAAAGCCCCTCCACCGAAAGAGCAGAAAGCCCAATATCGTCAAGGGAAAAAACATACCTTCCCCACCCTTAACAAATCTCCCAGCGTCTCAAGCCTCGTAGTAATCAGCATCGTCCCGTGGTGGTACGCACGCCCGCTCACGATTTTATACGCCGAGCCCGACGCCTTCTCACCTCCCACGCAAATATCGTTCCGCTCATTCACGTCTGCATCAATCCCGAGCGCGCGCACGGCACGGAGTACGACCTGAGCGGTCGCGCCGCGGTCAAAAGTTGTGCGTGGGACGTGGATAGAGAAGTTCGTGTTGCCAAGGTCCTGTGAAGTATCAAGATGAGTGGTGGGTTTTTCGTATTCTGGCTAGGGTAGACTGTAGGAACGAAGGAGACATACGTGGTACACTGTCCCGCCCCCGCTGCGCCTACGCACCCACGGAATGCCCTGCGCATGGGCTGCACGGAGGTTGACCTCCTTCCATGGATTTTGGTTGCGTCCTATGACGACACACGGTGCATCTCTATATAGGAAGAGTAGCGGTTCCTTCTGGGGTGCGTGTCTGAATAGCCTGGTTGCCCATCCATGTACAGGTCAAGCCAGCATCATCATCATCATCAAATTTCCGGTTCAAGCGCAAGTGAACAGTCAGATTAACATGTCGCGAATACCGAGCAGCAAAGGGCCCACCAGTCTTCGAACGAGAGATTGAAATATGGATTGGTGGACGTGCTGAGGTATATAGAATGTGTGGGTGTGATGACTGAGCTTACACCTGATGTAGTTGTGTAAAATCTGCGCGCTGGGAGCATCCGCACGACATGGCGGAACGAGGAGATCATGCGTGTTCGGACGCGTGCAAGAAGCGCTTCGCTCATTTCGCCATCTCTCAATAATCAGACTCGTATGTTCACTAACAAGAAATCACAATTCTCCACGCTCTCATGGTTTACAATTCTGAAAATCGCCTCTTAAAAGCTTCTCACTCAAAAAGTCCAAGGAAAGGAAGCACTGTTGAACCAGAACAGCCGACCCAGTGCTATCTCAGGTAGTCTAGCAAATGCTGGAAGAGCCCTCACCGCTGCACCGTGGTATATATCGGTTTCTCTACTTCATGTATCTGCTTTTTCCCTTCTGGAGAGCCAGGTATCGTCTTTGTCAGGCCCTGTAGAGCAACCGAGCGTCAGCACAAAGTCAGCGTTTATGACGAGAACAAGATACGCACGAGCTTTTCAAACATGCACTTGTTCAAGGCACGCTCGGGTTTTCTACACGCATAATATTCCTAAGAAATGAGAGGGAAATGTAAGAACTGCCACCGATATAGCTATGAGACTCTACCTGGTTGTTCAGCTCGAGGCAGTTCCAGTGCGTGTCAAACTGCTCGAGGCAGTTTTCTCGCATCTTATTAATCCTGCCAGTGTCGTCAATCTCCTTAGAAGTGAAAAAGCCAACAGTGAATTGATACGCACAAGTTAGTTGCACACCGCGTAACACGCCTGCCCTCCTTCAGACATTGTCCTGGGTCTCCCCGGCCCTCATTCTTGCAAAGCATAAAATCCTCTACCAATAAATACATCATCAACATCCCTCCCCATATAAATTGATTCCAGCGCACCATTATACTCTTTGCAGTAAGCGCCAATAAAAAATGCAGCGGACTTGAGTGGGGCACTGGTGACGCCGAGCTCCTGAACGCGTGGAACAGAATCCGGAAGTGGTGTCGGGTCCTTGTAGGGCTGGCTACCTGAGGCGCTGTCGCGAAAGCCGCTCATCGTTGTCGAGTACGGTCAACTTCGGAATGTGGACGATTGCCTTTCTTGATTACGCGGAGTTTGCCGTTTCAGGTCTGCGGCAGCCTCTCTCCTGCACAGCAAGCCAAGCAAGATGGTAAGTCCACACTACAACTGTTAACTGAGCATTATATCCTGATATTTACGATGATGCCAGCCCCCAAGAGCAGCCCCAAAAGCCTACCAAATTTTGGCCAAAACGCACCAGGTCACGATTTTCCTAACAGTCCCCCAATCCGCAACGATCGCGTTGCTGAAGGATGAGGCGCTTTCTGCGCTCACATCTCGCGTCGCCATTGAGGATGAGAACTTTCCTCGCGTAAGCAGCACAAGCGACTTTGAGCTGGCGCACGCAGTGAAGGAGAAGGAGAAGAGCAAGTCAGGGGTGACTTATGAGGCCCTTGAGGCAGAGAAGGCCATCAGAGGTCTCCTATCAAACTGGGAGATACTGTACTTTCAGTTTAGAGACGAAGACGGTGAGTGTACCATGCGCAATCTCAGGTTGCGTGTTGCGCTAGTGCTTGACTTTGATGTCTCTGCCAGGCAACTTGATGCCAGTAGAAGTCTCCCAGCCTTCTCTCGTTGATGATGATGAGGAAGAGCCTCCGATGAATAAAGGGAAACGCAAGGCGCTATCAGAATAGTCATCTAACACCGCATGAAGTTCTGAAAATTATATTCCAAGGATGTACTACGAAGGGCATGCAGAGGCAAGAGTCAGGTCATATTACTGCAGACGGTATTATGACTGCCATTGGCGCGGGGTGTAAGGAAGCAACGCAGCAGCCACTCGCCGGCCCTCTTCCGCGAGCAAGTTATACGTCGAGCACGCATTTCTCTGGAAGTACGAGCAGTTATCGATATTAGCACTACATTTGCAATATATTGGTAGTAGATAGACCTCACCGTATCCATAATGTCAAGTTGTATTCCCATTTCCTTCAAGTAACCCCTTATACTAGGCGGCGGAAGCTCCATCCGTCTCCCTGTGCCAAATACCAAAATTTCTACTTCTTGTTCAGTCCTGCTCGGTCACAAAATTGCGCGTCCTAGAACGCACCTGGTTTCGGAACGACAGTCTCAAACACGCTCAAATGCTCGCGACCCCAGCCCTCCCATAGACGCGGGGGAACGTTCCACAAAAAGACCTTCCCGTCCAGGAAGATGCACGCAGATGGAAGTACGAGCCCGTCTGCGAGCTGGATACCTGCTGATGTTATGGAACTAACTTGCACGGGGGGCGGGACATCCCCTGCAAGCATGTTCGTGAACGCCGTTGGACGGTCAACATGTCGGATTGGAGTCGTGTGTAAGGCGCGTCGTGACAGTGAGTGGCGGAAGTGGTGTATGATCAATGCAGACATCGTAGCAGTAATACACGAAAGAACCTAAATAGGCCTGACTCTTGCTGTCACAGCTCTAACGACGAGCATGACAATTGTAATGCGTTTTTTTTTGCTACGAAAAATGTTCACACCAATTACCGACCAAATGCGTATCTTGCCAATTGGTAGAAAAATGGCCTTACATCAATCTGGTTGTGAATCAGGTATTTGCAGTTACAGGCAGAGCGTATACTATGTAGTGCCATAATTAAGAAGGAACGAGTTTACATGGGGGGTGCTAGGTAAGTACAAGTATGTGGACACACTGCGAGTAGCACCTCAGTTCCCATTCCCGTGAAAAAATATATCACGACTGACATTTATGCTTGTCGGGCATACATATTACACATGTATACCACATTCAGGGTTGCCCTATCATCGTATGTGTCAGTCTCTCAGAAATGCCACGTAGAGTTGACAGACAGAAGCAGACAAACCTAGCCCAGTCATTTGCCTCAGCATCTCCGCAGATCCATCAAGGAATCGCGGGACAATCCGGCAGGGAAATTTCTCCGGATGGCTTTAACCAAAAATTGAATTATAGGTCAGCAAATCACCTACTGACAGAAAGAATTGTACAAACACTACGACACCAGTGGTGAACTTTGGAATGACGGGTATCTCCCTTCCTTGTTCGTCGAGAGCCTTCTGGACCGAGAAAGTGGAGAGGATGCTCGCCATCGCAATCCATAGTGTCGAGTCCGCGATATGCCGTCCGACACTGACCAGCAGCGTTCAACAGAGAGGGAAGGAGCATGGATTGATGCTCACCAGCTCCGGCGACCCCAGCCAAAGCCTAAGAGCATTGTGTCATTGGTGAGAGACCCGTCTTCGTGAAGAAATCTTTCTGGTTTGAATTCATTAGGACTGGGGTATTTTGTTTCATTGTGTGTCATCGCCCTAAAGGTTTGTCAGTCTTTTTCCAGACATTGGGTATCACGGTGCGAGCTTTCCATGTGTTAAAGAGTACAAAAATGCCTGATAAATCGTCAGCGACCTTCGGTAAATCAGTATCATTCGAACCTTTGGGGATAAAAAAACCCCTGTATATGTCACTGGACATTGATGTGTGTGGTATGCCTGAGGACATCATCAAATGAAGTGAAAAGAGGTGTTATGGTGAACGAACCAAAAGGAACTACGGGGCGCCACCTGAGCGTTTCACGCAAAATAGCATCCACGTAAGGCATCGCCGGTCTATCATCAAAATCGGGGAGTCTATCTTTGCCGACGACTCTGTCAATCTCCGCTTGGGCTTTGGCTTGCACCTCTGGATTGAGCACCATAGCAAGAAGGAACACAGTCAATGTGGAAGTGGTCTGAGCGGGGGAAAACAATCAGAGTCGGCAAATGCAAACCTGGGCGACACTTACTGTATCAGACGCCGCTAAAGACACGTGAAGAAAAAAATGAGGATTGAAAAAGGACAGTTCTTCAGATTGAATACCTCCGAATGACATGGAAGCAGCCTCCTTGATTGCAGTCGCAATGACATCATCTTCAAAACCGTTCATCTTATTCATCAAATCAGTCACCATGCACGGCTCCGCATCATCAGTAGACTGTGTACAATTCGTCAGTTCATTGCACATCCATTGACAGGGTAACTCACCATCTTCTCCTCGACATATCGGAATGGGATCTCCTTTATATCATGGCCCGCCTGGATGCACTTCACTGACGCTCGCTTGAATGTGGCACCAGGAAACCAACTAGGCAGCTGCAAAACTTAAATAGGTTTTGAGATTCAATTATCGCCGCTAGCTTGTGTCAACATACGAAAAGGGAAGGTTTCCATTATCGCAATGCCCAAAGGCGTCATACTTTCGGTGACCAGTTCCAAGTACTTTTCCATATTGTGGATGATCTGGTCACCCTTAGCTTTCGGTTCATAACCGTATACCATAGATAGCACAAACATGGCGCTGAACCTAGCCAAAATCGGCTTCAGAACTAAACCAGTGCAAAAGATTGTGACCAACATGTGGATGTGGCTCGGATAATTGGCAGGGTCTTGAAGAAGATTGAACAACATTGTGTGGGCCGAACGGATTTGCATAGTGGAACAAGCGGGCGCAGCGGCTTGGCGAAATGTCTGATGAAAAATTCGTCGGTGGAGGCGCCACCTGATGAGTATTAGACACCCGGATCAACATAGAAAATAATATATTACCTGTCTCCATACGGCATGATAGCTATATTAAAGTTCGAAGCGAAGCTGAAAATGTCTTCGTGATCGCCCGATAGCACTCGAAGATGCGACTCACGGTTCATAGATAAACGACTGAGGTTTATCGGAATATATGTTGGAACGCTCTTCAAAGAGGTCTTTCGCAACCTCTTCAGAGTTGACTACCAAGATAGGCTTGTTGAATATACGAGCATAAATTAGGTCACCTGAAAGAAAAGAAAAACATCAGCTACTATGAACGAATTACCAACGCGTTGTTCTAACCATATGTGGATCTCCAAGCATTGAAGCTCATCCAAGGCTCAGTAAAATCAAGACTGAGAAGGTTCCCCACTATCGGGAGGGGGGTAGGACCAGGCGGCAGCGGTGGGCGGGAATGATCGTCCAAATATTTCCGAACGACGGCTAAACTCGCTAGCGCTAAAACTGATGTGACCACGTACAATATGGGTCCAGTGTCAAGCATCGTGCAATTTCTTGCGATGTATACTCCAAGGAGGGGGTATGAAAGTCTAGTTATACTAGCTTCATCACGTGCAGCACGTGATACGGTCACGCTTAGTGTCACAGCTTCGAACGTGACCTGTGACCACATAAAAAATAGCTTTCGCAAATCATGATTGCTGCACCTCAATTGTACTTGTCAAGGCTTCTTGTCTGATTCATATCTTATTGTAAAGCTGAGAAGCAACAGGTAGAATCTAGCTAGACATTGTTGTTTTTTATATGTTTTTTTGTATGTTTTTTATATGTTTTTCTGTATGTTTTTACCACGTGTCACAAATTAGCTTCGGAGGTTCGATTCGTTGATGGCTGTGACCTGTGACGAACCTAGTGTCGTATCTCTACAGTATATCGTAGAGGGCATAGTAATGGGAAAACCCATTCTCAGCCACGATCAACCCTGCCTAATATCAATAACGAGAAGGTACATACCATGAATAGGGCCCTGAGATTGGCACTGGTTGCGCTCGCCTCGCCTCCGCGACTCGCATGGTTGTTGATGTGATTCCGCGGCGACTCCTGCAGCTTTTAGGCGCTTGTTGTGAATTGTGACTGGGCGTCGTCTATCGGGAAAACACGTGACCCGAGCTAGTTATCATTGTTAGCAGTGGTCACCGTGGTGTTTGTGGGATACCTATCGAGTCACAATGCGATAAAAATGCTCAAGCCCGTTTCCTATTGGGATGATGCAATTGCTTTAGTAACTTTGTTGGAAAATTGCCTACGCGGTCGTGTCCGTACAGTTCATTGCCGCTGTTCGAACGATTAACTGACAGTGTTATTGAGCAGCAGTTTCGAGCTAGATTAGAAACAAAAACATACCAGACTAGTGACTGGCCCGGGAGTGAAGATGGACAACAGAAGCTCGCACTCAAGCTTACTTCACGGTAAGACCACTCATCTCTGTCTTGCAAATCCCCCATTTTCCGATCAGCTCTCCGAACTAAGCTTCAAGTGACCCGACTTGAATGACCGGGATGATAAATTGTTATTGAGTAGGGTTATGATATACTACAACTTGAAGGTATGCTCTAAGGCTATATGACTCGGATGTGTATGTGGAATGAATTGAACACTACTATATTTGGAAGAAGAGCAATTGGGAAAAAATTAAATTGCTAACTTGAAAGTTTCGGCGAATCCCTAACCAATCCCCTTATGCCTAACGCTCACTCCTCTTGCACCTCCTCCCTTAGAATCCCCCCTCCCCCCCTACTGGTCAAAGTTGCAACGTGTCAGTACTATGTCTGGATCCGATTTATCGCCATCCTCTTGTTAGAGTTTACAACATTTCACCGTGACGCTATTGAATGTGAGTGGGCTGTGATCGTCAGCGCTCGGGATCCGTCAGCTGCGGGATGTCTACTATTCCAACTCTGAGAGTGGCATTCATTCCATTATCTCCACAGTCAACGTCCTGACCGCTGACGCTGCCGCCTTTTCGGGGGCTACAGTCGTGGTACGTTGCGCTCGGCAGGGTGAACAATAAAATAACTTCACGCTTAGTGAAGAAGGAACGAATGTTTCCCTTCTGTCAAGGACTAACAACGGGACTATACTTCACGGCAGACTTGACTATCAGAACATTACATGGTGTTTTGGCAGCTGTGATTATCAGGTACGCTCGCTCGCGCTTCTTTACTATTACCGGGCAGAATGAGCGACTTACGAGTTCGTTTTTTCCGTGGTTGCATGTCTACACTATCTGAAAGGTGCTTCCACATTTAATGCTTCCTACTTGGCTACCACGATGGTGCGAGAGTGATCAGTTTCGGCTGAGCATCCGATATGGTATTATAACGCCATTTGTGTGGATGCTGATCGTTTCTGTTCTTGGTGCCGCTTGTAGACATTTTAGATCGTTTATCCGAACCGGTCCAGCGGTGCAGTCCTTTGCGGCGTATGGGCTCTGGCTGCACGACATAATCACTGCCAAAGGGTGGGCAATGTACTTGCATCAGGCTCGCTTCTCATAATAACACTACCGCTCGAAAAACGCCTTGGCGGCAGTGGCGGAAAGAGCCTGCTTTTCCCCTCTCCCTGATATCCGTACGTGCTTATCTGACTTGAGTTATTTACAACGAGCAGTGTTTACAAGTAGGAAGATATCAGATGGTATATGTTATTCGCGCCTGAGAGAATCCGGTTGCTAACGTAGGCCAGAGAAAGACAAGCCTTCTGACCTACCAGAAACTTGGGTATAAAGTGATGCTCCACGTTATATGATTTTTCAGAGTCGCACTCCATCCCTCCTTAACATCCAAACATGCCATTGGGCATCTATCAGCTTCCAGACCTGCTCTCCATTTGTCCTAAGAAGACCGGTCATATCGTCAGTCCTAGTTTTGAAGAAACGAAGCACAGTTACGAACAATGGGTCAGAGACAATATCGGTTATTTTGCTGCGATTGTAAGTTCTGTTGTCACGACACAAGAATTTACTGATTGAACTGGCGAAGAAATTCGCCAAAATACAGATGCCTCTGCTTGCGGCTCTTATCTGTCCCAAGGGTGGCTTTCGAGACCTACGAGCGATCCTCGATTGCATGTCGATGCAGTACATACTTGAAGAACTCACGTAGGCCCCAGGACTCGCTGATAACTTGACTCCGCGCTGACTGAGTCCTACAGCGATCGATGTTCGAGCGAAGCGGCTAAGAGCCAGTGCGATTTATGGATCGAGATACTCAAGAACCCCGAAGCTGGCGAGGGCCACCGCCACCCGTTCATCAAACTCATCGCGAAGTACGTTTGATGATTTTGCGCCGATACAATTCTGACGAGCGTCTCAGACAAATGGTGACACGCATGAAAGATGCTGTGGATCCATATCACTGGCCTCAGTTCATACAGTCCTGTGACGAATATGCAAAGAACACCGCACAAGAGGCACTCGATCGTGAAACATTAAAGGACGCTTCAGCGACCCGCCGCGTTGCTGCATACATGATCATGCGAAGAGAGTCCATCGGAGTTCGGCCGAGTTTAGTTGTGATGCGGTCCATTCGCAAGTTATATTTGCCCGAGCACGTCCTGAAACACCATGTTGTAGCTGAGATGGAGAATACTGCCCTCGACATGGTGTATATCACCAATGTGTGTCTTCTCGATATATCGGGGTTTGCTGACGCTCACACGTTTATTGGTCACTTCAGGACATCTATTCGTTCAAAAAAGAGCTCAACGAAGACGGAGCTCTGAACAACATCATCAACATTATACAAAAAGACCCGAAGACCCAGCATCTTGATCTTCAGGCAAGAATCATTCATGCAGGCGAGCTATTTCAGGGTGCCCTAGATCGTTTCAAAGCCTGCAGAGATAGCCTTCCAAGCTTTGGTAACGATGAAACAGATAAGCAAGTTGCAGCATACGCAGACGGTTTGGTGGACTGGGTTGTGGGTAACGTGGAGTGGAGCGTTGTCACACCACGCTACAGAGTCTTCGCGAATGATGCTGACAGACGAAACAACATCCTGAGACTGGATGATCGTTGGTTTATGTCTTGGAAGTTTCAGCTTCTGCTCCTGATCAGCATCGTTATTGCCTGTATTTCACTCGCCACCTTGTGAACTGCCCCTGGCGGGCTATATATTTGCTTCGCATGTATGCGCTGTTGAGTCATTATGATTTCACCCAAGTCATGATGCACTGAATTTCCTCTGGATTGGTACAATTCTGAGTTTCGGAGAGGCGTTCGAACCGGTTTAGCACTTGCTCAACTCAACGTCACCACACTCTCGGCTCCAAATCCTAGCTAGGCAGATCGGACTCCGGCTCATCGGAGAAAAAAACATTAACGAAAACACATGCAGCAGACCTGCCTAGGGCAAACACCCACCCGCAAATCTAACCTTTTTTGTCTCAGACTTAGAACTCTGTATAAGTACGTGGCTGCCACCTATCTGATTCATCTTCCGTGGCCTAATAACGTCGGGAATGGCTTCAGGCGGCTACCCACGCAACGTGTATGGACCTGGAGCCCCTTTGCTTATATGTGAAATCGAACTACTTGGTGGAGACGAATGATAAATCATGCGTAAAATGATCATGAAAATTACGAAGCACACATTCTTGACCCTTGAGGAGACCGAGCAGCACTATCGGATTCACAAGTGACAGCACACAACAACGCAGAGCGAGCGCCGAGCATGCGACAAGCGTGCAGGTACTCATTGGACGTGTGAAAATTAAAAGGTCCGCGATTGTTAACCGTATCGATAAGTCTATCCCGAGCCCCGCTTAGAAAAGCATTGATCTACCAACCTCGAACTCATCTCTATCTCTATCTCCATTCTTATCCCCTCCAGCTGTGCAGTACCGATTGGCTTTCTGGAGGTGGAACGTGCACAGTTACGGGGACCAAAATCCTATCCCACCACGAGTTGTGGTGGCCAGGGTCAGTACATTCGGTGGGAATCAGAAGACAGCCATATGCATCCCTAGAAGACGGGCGGAGGGACAATCGTCACAATCACGGGTGACGGATAAAGAATAATCTATTATCCATCTCCCTATGGCATAGTAGCCACGTTGAAGTGTCACGGTAGTCGCATTGAAGTGTCACGGTAGTCGCATTGAAGTCGGGCGCGATATCTTCGTGATCGACGCACAGTAATTCAAGAAATAACTCACGATGTGACGGTTCATCGACAAGCGATTACGATTTCTCGTAAGATATGTTGGATTGACTCTCAAAAGGTCATTTTCGCGACCTCGTTGAAGTTAGTAACACGATAGGCTTGTTGAATAGATCGGTATAAATTAGGTCACCTGGAAAGAAACAGCAACTACTATGAACAAATTATCTTGTGCCAACAATATGGCATGGGTTTGAAGCTCAGCAGTATCAAGACCAAGAACATTTCCCGCTATCAGGCAGGGGTAGAACTCGACTATGTGGCAAGGGGGGCACAAATGATTATCCCATTATTATTGAAATAAGCTTACACTAGCTAGCGCCAAGGCTTATGCTGGCCCTTGAAGTAAAATCTAGGTCCAGCGTTAATCAGGGGGGATTGTGTGAAGCCCGGTAATTGAAGTACCGTTATATAGGATGTTGAAGCTTGCAACACTGGTAGGGTAACAAAATCACATGGAGGACACAAGACAATTCCTCGGGATTCGGTATTGGAGCTGTGATTAGTGCACTCGCCTGTGACCTCGCACGCGCATTTCGGAGTCGTCCAAACATTCTTGTAACTGCGCATCGAACCTCAGTGCGACTCACTCAGATAAGTTGATGCAAAATTTTGCAGTATTGTTATCCTGGAACTGGCAACTATGGTGTGAATGCAATTCAATGCGAGCAGTATGAATATTACTTAGTGACTCCGCGCATGAAAAAGCCGCTTACGCACAAGTACTGGACCGGCTACAATTGGGCTAGTTATTGTTGACTCGATGGGGACTAAACTTTACTAGGCCCGTGTGCCGCATCCGACAGTCTTGGGGGACATCCGAAAAAAAGCCCCTACCCTGAGGAGATCTTGGACAAGGACGGAAATACTATTTGGAGTCCGATCCGCGCTTAGTAAGCCTACCGACGACCAATTCCCGACGTCACGCGTCACCGGTCACCCTTCATATGCTCATCATGCACAGTTTGGAATTAATGGGCTTCCCTGCAACTGCAGATTCCTCGCGTTTCAATCGGTGCAATTTTTCCATGAATCAATGCCGCGACTAATTATACGTACAAGGCGGTTATGTTGTTCTTACCTGAACAGATCTATACCCAGTCACTGATCCTTACGACACAGAAACTTGGTTATAAAACGATGCTCTAGGATGATGGGTCGTGCTCAATTTCCTGTGACGTCCTAAAATGTCCCCAGGTGTTTATCAGCTTCCAGACCTTCTCTCTATTTGTCCTAAGAAGACCGGTAACATCATCAGTCCTAGCTTTAAAGAAACGAAGGAAAGTTACGAACAATGGGTCAGAGACAATATCGGTTATTTCGCCTCGATCGTAAGGTCAGATGTCGTGACACAAGAACTTACTGATTAGACTGGTGAAGAAATTCGCCAAAATACAGATGCCTCTAATGGCGGCACTCGTTTGTCCCAATGCCAATTTTCAAGAATTACGAGCGATCCTGGATTATATGTCAATGTCGTACATGCTTGAAGAGCTTACGTGGGTTGCGAGTCGTCATTGATGTCTTGACACCGTGCTGACTCTTTACCACAGTGATCGATGCTCGAGCGAAATGGCTAAGAGCACGTGCAATTTATGGATCGAGATACTTAAAAACCGCGAAGCTGGCGAGGGTCACTGCCACCCGTTCATTAAACTCATGACGAAGTAGGTTTAACAATCCTGCGTTGGTACCACTCTGAAGAGCGTCCCAGACAAATGGCGCCGCGCGTGAAAGGCGCTGTGGATCCATATCACTGGGCCCAATTTATACAGTCTTGTGCCGAATATGCAAAGAACACCGCACAAGAGGCAGTCGACCGTGAGGCATTGAAGGGTACTGTAGACATCCCCCGCATTGCCTCGTACACTGTCATGCGAAGAGAGTCTATTGGAGTTCGGCCATGCTTAGTTCTGATGCGGTCCACTCGCAAGTTATATTTGCCCGAGCATGTTCTGAAACATCCTGACATAGCTGAGATGGAGAATGCTGCCCTCGACATGGTGTATATCTCTAATGTATGTCTTCTGTACTGAAGCGTCGCCCATGCTAACGAGTTTATTGGTTGTTTCAGGACCTTCATTCCTTCAAAAAGGAACTTAGCGAAGACGGAGCTCTGAACAACATCATTACCATTATGAACACAGATCCAACCACTCGGCATCTTGATCTTCAGGAAAGATTTGATCACGCAGGCAAGCTATTTCAGGGTGCCTTAGATCGCTTCAAAGCCTGCAGAGATGAACTTCCCGGCTTTGATGACAAAGAGATAGACAATCAAGTCGCAGCATATGCAGATGGTTTGGTAGATTGGGTCGTGGGTGGCATGGAATGGAGCAGCATCACACCCCGCTACAGAGTCTTCGCGAATGATGCTGACAGACGAAATAACATCCTTAGACTGGATGATCGTTGGTTTATGTCTGTGACATTTCAGTTCCTACTCATTATAGGTATTGTAGTTGCCTGTATTACTTTCGTCACACTGTGAATTACCCCTAGGCTTCTCAGCATGCGGACATGATTTTACCTAAGCAAGTCTGTCATGATTCTAATCTAACTGATTCTGAAGAGCGGAATGTCGATTCTAGTCACCCATTGGAGAGTCGCAGCCAAAATAATGTCGTTCGTCGCTCGACTCGCTCGGCTGTGCTTGGATTTGATGTGTATGTATGCTGCACCGGTGGAGTGTCACGCGTTTCATGCGCGGGACAGACTCGGAGCAGAGAGCAATGACATCGCCGACGACGGCGCAATCGTGGTGCAGAGTGAGGATGCGATATACTAATCAAAGGTCCATGCAGTCATTAACGAGCCAATAATTCTACCCCAAATCTGGCCTATAAAGGCACAGTCGCCGCGTCACGCACCGAAATCTCCATACCCATTCATGACCCCTCGGCCCTTGTCACAACGTCCTCCACCCTGCTCTCGTCCCCTCCTTCCTCAATCTCACTTCCCGAACCTTCCTCAGCACACCGCTTGCAAGAGCACGCAAACCGCCATCCCCTCACGAGCTCCATGCGGCGACGCCGGCGTGCTACCTCGAGTGTCTCCCCAGGGCGCTGCGATACGTCCACATACGCTACGCTGATCTCGTCGCCTTTTTGAAGTGCGCGGGTGGCCACAAGTTGCAGCTGTGCGGTGCCAGTTGGGAAGACGGGTTTAGCGGAGGGTGCACAATTGTGCGAGATCTAGGGATCGATATGAGAAAGGTGTGTCGAACAGCAACTAAAAGCTTACGTACGTAGGATGACACTGCGTAAAAGCCCGAGCCTATTTGCTTGGAGGTACCGCAGGGCGTGCGTGTTTTCTCAGCGTCCTCAGGGCGAGCACTTGTCTCGGGCTACATTATAATTTAAGAACACAGCAATTCTTAAAACGCATTAAAAATTCACCTTATCATCCCTGCCCTCCCCGAAGTATACTCCATAAGCGTTGTACGACATCTTCCCGACGAAGGTTGCATGCCGCTCGTCCGTAAGGAATTGTTCAAGTCCCGGGAGCGCAGTTTGCAGCACATCCTTTAAGACGCGAGTCTCATGATCCGCGGGGTTCACCTCGAGGTATCTTAGGCGCTCGAGGTGATCGTAAAGCGAGTACTCCCCACCGTCCGTGAGCACCGGCTCGGATGCGACACCAGGTATTATTCCGCGAGGTAGCATCTTAGCGGTCTCCGCGCTGACCTGTCGCGCAACAAATCGTGCCACAAGTTCTGGTGCAGCCTTTTTGGTCTCTATGAGATACTCAACGAACGCTTTCTGGGCGTTGTCCCGCTCTTCACGTAGCGTGCCTCCCATTTCAGGCGACATGGCGGCGGGTAGAGGCGGCTCGAGCGTGAAGAGCAGAGTCTGCGAGTGCGCTTTGTGCTGGGTCTCGCAGTCAGATGAGCAGTAGATGCTGTGGAGGCGGTCGGATTTTGGACGAATGGGATCGTTTTGGACCTGGCGCAGGCAGTAGCTACAGTGTGTGCCTTTCCCTTGAAGATCGGCATCGAGAACGGCCACGATTGGATCTTCCTGAGGAAAAGATCAGGACGGATTTAAAAGATATAAAGCAGGTGATTTACCTGGTAGATGACTTCACCGGCCTCAAAATCTTTCGTCACGACAAGGACTTTCTTTGACATAGTTCCGCCCTTGCCATCAGGGACATCGACAGTCTCAACTGCGACATTCATCGCCTTCGGCGGGAAGAACGTATAATACCCTATCTCATCTTTAGTCCTACATCGAGAACGCGCACCCAAGCAGCGCACCTTCAACTCGGTCTTTGACCTAACGGTGACGACCAAAATATGTAACAAAACTCATTATCAGATACCATTGAAACAACCAAAAAAAATAGATATGCAATTTGACAGATAGGAGGTTGGGGTGCGGGCTACAGAGCTAGCATATCCCCAACTCGTAGTCATAGTCACAGGGCAGGCGTCTGACTGCCCGGATCTGTGACCTTATCCCACTCTTGCGAGGACGCTTCCGAGGGTGGGCCCCGCGAGGGACTCAATTCGTCCTCCTCATCAGGAGGTGAAGGATTATGACTCACGTCCAAATTGGTAAGTTCCATCACGAGCTGTGATGGCCAGGTCAGCACAATCAGTAATCATCATAAGACAAACGTACCTGGAAAACGGGTGGAGGGACGGTCTTTTCGTAAATCACAATCAGCTCCACTGGTGATGGATACACGCGCAATGCACGGTAGAAACACATCGCAGCAGGGAGGTGGAAAACAGGGCCTTGGAAATCAATCAATCAAACAGAAATCCCTCAAAAACGAAATTGCTAAATACCTTGCGCACACAGTTGTTCACCCATACCAACTTGCTTCATGAAGTACTGTTCCTTTTCCTCTGGCCCAGGTGGCACTTCTTCGTTGCGCACACTCTCTAGCGCACTCCGCAACTCATTTGGGTCCACTCCCCCGGTCGCAGTCTGACCAGATTCAGAGGGTGTCTGGCTCTTCTTGACACGCTTTTTTTCTTTCCCTAAAATTGTATGTCGGCTGCGTAACAAAAAGTGCTCCTGGTGAAAACTTACGAAGTTGTTTGCGGAAGTTGGCATCGGTTCTTCGCTTGTGGTCGAAGTACACGGCGTACGCAAGGACACCGCCGAGTGCGACGCTTGCAACGGTCAATATTGTCGTGGACCTGTTCATGTTGTGCGAGAAGAAGAGAACAGAAAGGTTTAACGTCACTCAGTTGGCTTAGGAAACTCGGCAATTATGAATTATGTCAGCGACCCCTACAACTTCACAATTCAATCACAATCACGTGCACACCAAGTGACGTTCGTGAGTATGATATCATTGACAACTCTGACCTCAAGGGTCTCAAGTACACGATCGTAAATAGCTAGAATGTACAAATCCCATGCTTGGATGTTTTGTGGTAACTAGATACCCTTGTTCCAGTCGGCAGGCAAATCACATTTGCAAACATGGCTCCGAAACACCTTAGCCCCTGGAGCCATACAAGTCGCTCCATGCATAGGATCATGTGCCAATTCAGTCGGGCACTCGTAGTTCATGTGCATTTGCCCGAGAGCAATATTATCGTTTCCCTGCTCGAGCAGAGCTTTCTTGTATTCCGGAAGCCGAGGATGAGAGCATCTGATGGCAATTTTTCCAGAGTCTACAGATTGGAGTGGTGCGTTGCCCAAGCAAGCTTTGAACATGGCTAGTGGGATGTGAACAAGGGCACGCCAGCAGATATTAGTCGAGAACTTACGATCGTATCCCCGTTCCTCTAATTTCTTCCAATTGATGCTTGCAAAAAACGGGTGACTGCGAATCGATTCCCAGTCGGGCCTCATGGTATGGTGTTTCGGGTAGAAAATCTGACGCGGACTTAATGTCAACATCGATGGCAACAAAGACCTGAAGACATACAGAAAAAAGAAGATCCTGGGCATCCTTATCTTGGATGAGGCTAATTTCATCCCCCGGTTTTATGAAGGCCAGTCGGCGCTCCCCATCGTAACCCGCAGGTAACTTGCGGTCGTCGCCAAATTTATGTGTTCCGTCACTGTAATGATATATAGAGTACCAGTGCTTGCGAGTCGGAAAACCTTTAATGCCAGGACGATAAAGAACCAGAGGAATTACTCACTCCACCATTTATTAAAAAAAGCTCCAGTAAGATGGTACCATAGGTCCATGTGTCTGTCTTGAAGTTATATCCCTGCGCTTCACTGTCTTCGCCAATTCGCTCTGGAGGAAGATAACCATCTGTACCCGATACACCGTACATGCGTTCATCGTGGAATTGCTGATAATTCAGTTTGCGGTCCATAACTTGGGCGTTGCCAAAATCTGCAATGCACACGTGACCAGACGGAGTTACAAGCACATTTTCCATCTTCAAGTCCAGATGTACGACGCGCAGTTTGTGGAGATGCTGGAGAGCAAGAAGCTTCGGGAACGGCAAGGCGCGTTAGATTGAATGATTATGTAGAACATAGGAGATACTTACAAGCTCAGCAGCAACAAGACGCAACTGCCAATGCATGAATCCGAATCTTGCCCTAGTGCGAAGGGTCTGTGGGTAGAACCTCTGAAGGACGTTCAATGCAAGTCAGATGATGATCAGGAAAACGCACCATTACGAAGTAAAAATTATCCACGTCCTCAAAAGCATGCAACAAAGGAGTCAAAAATGGAGATCGCTCTTCGGTGATGCGCTTGAATGTTTCATATTCAGCACTAACAACCGCTACTGCTCTGGGGGAGCCTTTAAGCAATTGTTGCATAGTTGGCCGTTCATCCTTGGCGCAGGAAGCAAATTGCGCAAGCAACCCAGCCTTGTCGATGACCTTGATCGCGACCTCCTCTTTGCGGTCCTTGATGGCGTACCAGACATAACCGAACCCACCGCTGCCAACCTGTGCCGTGGCGACGTATCTGTGTCCACCTGCCTGAATGACATAGGCAAGGTTTCCATTGTTCGAGATCCTTTTAATGGTGACTGCGCCTGAATCATGCTTGAGGTTATCGGCCCGTGTTTCCTCAGGCCTCGGCGGGCAATTATGCGACTGCAAATTCGAGGCAGCGAATTCAAGAGTCGGGGACATGTCGGCAAGGAGTACCTCGGTATTGCCTCGTGGAGGTCGTAGTAATGGGTCCTTGTCGAGGTTCTGCTTGGGAACATCCCGTGGTAATTCGAAGGGGGATCCCAAACCTGGAGGACGCTGTAAATCTTGCGTGCCCTGCTGTATAGGGTGTACAGACGGTCCAAGCAAAAGCCCAGCTTGGACTCCTAATTCCTTGTCCGCGGGAAACTTTAACCCAGGTGGGCATCGCTGTGGCTCATCCTCGGTGTGAGGGGCAGGCGAAGGTAATTGATCAAATTGAAGTTGTGGAAATAGAGAATCGTATTGCTGTGGGTCCAGGTGCGCTTTCTGAGAGGAAGGGTTGTCGGGGATAGTAGGAACCACGGACGGCACGACAGCTGCGACGGCAGGTACATCAGACAGTCCTGCTATATGAACGAGTGATCTTGCGCCAGCACATTCTTGGGGCGTCTCGATATCCTTGCTCTCGATGGTCTGCATGGTCCGAGCCAAAACCGGTGTCCTGGCGGCCAATTCGGGGAGTGGAGAATAAGCAGGTGTCACGGGGGCTGTGCAAGGTTGGACCTCGACTGGTCCTATGCATTGGATATTGTTGTCTCGAATGGTGTCAGCCAGAGAGGCAGGTCGAGTTAAGGCAGTCTTGTTCAAGAGTTGTCGTTCATCTGAAAACTCAACAGTAAGCATCCGTGTTACACTGACGGGAGATATCAAGACTATCGATAATTTGCATACCTTGAGTCATACCGAGTCCGAAGAGACCTAGTCCATGGACGGAAGAAGGGGCAGAATCAGGAATCGCATCGACTAGCTCCGTCAGATGCGTAGCGGTTGTTTCGGTCTTACATTCGACCGAAGGATTCGATGTAGGGGTCTCTAGAAGCGGTCCCTGGGTGGTGTGTGTGTGTCCTTCACAAATTGTGCCAAGAGTGGGTGATACTTGGCTTTGTTGAAGGAACATGTGGGTACCGTCGACAGTGGGGGACGATACTACGTGAAATTGAAGGTTTACATTAACCGGAAAAGTTGCTTGGGTAGCTGGAGACCGTTCCGTCAGCGGAGCAACACACAGAGTTGAGAGATTTGATGCAGGAGCAGGCGTTGCAGCAGTAGCGACGTCCACCGCAGTAGTAGATCCAGATTTGTTAGATCTTTTGAAGATGCGAGCAAGCAGGTGTTTGAAAGTCATTGGTGAGTGTGAATGGTGTTATGATGATATCTGAGCTGTGGTCCTCGAGAAACCGGACTTAAATACAGCTCGGACATATTCTACGCCACTAGGAATACTGGATCACTAATGTGGCCAAAGCGTAGTTCACCTTGCAAGCGGGCAAGGACCACCACGCTTTGGCTCATAGCAAAGCAAGTAGACATCAAGAGACAATTATAACTGATGTCCACAACGGTCTCCTGCCAGTGATCGGAACACTGTCAATATAGATAATAGTGCAGGAGACAAGAATATCTCTTACGTAATCTGAGATCGGTGTGAAAGGTTCAGCTTTGCATTGTGCGTAAAGCTGTAGGGTGGGACCAAAGCGGCGCGTAGTCTAGCATTGACCTTGGGTGAGAAGGGAACCATAGTGTCGTTAAACATGCCCCTGGTGAACCAAATCAAGAGAGTTTTGTCATAGCACCATGAGCCAGATTAATACCACCCGAGATATATCGTCAGAAGAGCCCGCCACAGGGCTAGAGCCTTTCTTTGATCCCACATCGAACAAGTCAAAGCAGCATGGGCATAGTGGAGGATCGTAATTTATGTGGCCGTTGAAGGAGTTGAGAGAGTTATTGCAGCCGGAAAGGTCCGTGGCGCCTTTGGATGTTGTTCTCACGGGCGTGCAAAGGGCCACTAGTTGGTGGAGGGAGCTCACACCAAAACATTCCTCAAGGCAAGGCATTTCCGTAGGGAAATACCATAACGCCGAGAGGACGACATACAAAACCAAATTACAGGTCATGAGCGGCCTGGACGCTGCCAGTCAATCCAAGTCTACGACGTCTGGCGACGACGAAGGGCAACATCATAATAATTTATCATCTCAGGCTACACATCTTTTCCACCAGGAGGATTCGCATCAGCCCCCTCTTTCCCTAGATTTTTCTGGACTTTCTGGAACGGAGGATGGACTAGGAAACCATGTCGTCAATCATATTGACCTTCATGACCCACGAGGTTCGCTTATGGGTAACCTTCACCGCGTTGGAGACCATCCTAAACTTGACGAAATGACAATGCTCGAGGCTGTGAACCCTTCTGATACACACGAGGACACACGGGAGAGTCGAGACTCAGAACCTGATATTAAGCGTGTCAAGGTGAGCCATGCATATATCATCTATCAACCTTCTGCATGTCGGCATCTTGCATCTCATCCTTGTATGGTTGGTCAACCATGCCAGGAATGGGTCGTTCAAACAACGTGGTGTACCTTGGCGCAGACCAACTTGCTACGCACCAGCAAGAGTGCCGACGCTCTTGCTCGTTCATCCGTGCCTGTCCTGTTTTCATGAGTTCATTAAGGGCCAACTCTGACCGACGTTTGCCACGTTCTACAAAGGTTTACAAGCTCATTGGCTCACAATGGGCTGACCAAGGGACCGCTTTTTGTTACGGACAATTCGAGAACGAGACCAACCAAGCTTTCCTTATCGCTCGCTCAGAAGTCCAATTCGACAAGCTCATCCTGACTACTCGCATCCGCACCACTGACGTCTATCAACGCCAACAAGGTCCGTTTGTATATATATTTACAAGGATCTGCTGATACCTACTCACGCGACCACCAGATACATTGATTGTCTGGACGGAACCGGACGGTGCAGATTACGCATTGAGCTTCCAGGACGCCGATGGGTGCGCAGAGGTGTGGAATTTCATCATTGAGGTCCAGCGTCACATGAATGTCGTTGGTATGTACAACCCTTGACCCTATGCCGCACTGCTTCTATTCTGGTCTCCTTCTGTTGCACTATCTAACTTTCACGCCTTCAGGAGAAAGTAGTGTTGGCTCATCATCTCCACGAAGTGACCACTCGACGACAGCAGCGATTATCCGCTCTGGCCACTTGCCTCAGCCAGAACTCGGGAATATTCCTGATATTGAACGTGCCATAAAAACACTAGTGCGCGGACAGGCGATTAGGGAGAGAATATGCGAGTACATTCAGCGAGAGGTCCGTCGCCAAATCACCGTACTCTTCACGATGGACCGCTAAGCTTTGAGCAGGAATACATCTTGAAGATGATCGATGTCTTCCAGAAGGCAGAAGACTTGGAGAACGCTGAGAATCTTCATGCACTGTGCAGTCTCATGCAAACTATATGTGCGTTCGTCTGCCGTCCGTGATTCATCTTTGTTGACATTGTTTTGTAGTAGTAATGATTCACGATCATGGGCTATACGAACATATCCTCGATGATAGCGTATTCTTTGGTGCCGTAGGCATGCTTGAATGTATGTTGCCTGTTATTCCTGCGTCTTTTGCATAAAACTCAATCCAACTTCTTCAAAGATGATCCCGAGTTCCCAAATCACAAAGCGAACTACCGAGAGTTTCTCCATGTAACCTCCAAATTTCACCAACCTATTCCCATACAAGACCTCATGATTCAGAAGAAAATCCACCACACCTACCGTCTACAGTTCCTCAAAGACGTTGTTCTTGCACGCGCTCTCGACGACTCCACCTTCAATGTTCTCAATTCCTGCATTATCTTTAACCAAATCGACATCATCAACCATGTCCAGCAGGACACTATGTTTCTCCGCGAAATACTGTCGCTGTATGTGAACGAGGAGGTTTTGACGGGAGGGAAAGAGAAGGATGAGAAGCGCGAGGAGATGGACGTTGATGGCAAAGCCAACGGTGCTCATGCGAATGGCTCCACATCAACCCCAAGGCCTTTCTCATTCGGCCCACCAAATAATCTCTCGGAGCATGAGTTGGCCATACGTAGAGAGGTGTTGGTGCTCATACAACAGCTCTGCGTCATGGGTAAAAATGTGCCGCTTGCTGCTCGTATCTCCCTCTTCCGATCCCTTGTCAACCGGGGTATCCTATTTGCAGTCCAGTGGGCATTCTCACTTTCAGAGAATGACCCAGAAGCAAAAACAACAATCAGCATTGCGGGTGAAGTGATGTCTGCGCTACTCGATCACGATTTAAATGGTGTTCGAAATCACATTACCAAGCAAGCCTCAGCTATTGAGAGGGAGAGTAAGGAGGGACGGCCGATGGGAGATCAAGCTGAGACGCTTCTACGAATAATGTGCAGAGTGTTGACACAGACTCGGGATTTGGCGTTGCAATGTCAGATTGGAGATGCCCTGAAGACCATGTTGGATGTCTCTCCCAAGGATGGTCCTGATATGACACCCGTGAGCGTCGTCTAATCTACATATTACGATCATCTCACAGCTGCTACAGGCTGGCTTGAATGTCAAGCTACTTCGGCCGAAAGACGACCCAGGAACTGAGAAGTTTCTCGATTACTTCTACAGGAGATGTATAGAACTCCTATTCAAACCATTCAGCGACATCCCTGAATTTAAGACCCAGACTGGTTCGTTTCTTGACGTGTTGGTCACGCTTTGTAACTGATTCATCATATTCACAGAGCCAGTGCTGAGGCTTTCGCGCGAGAAGACTAACCTTTACCTATACTTATGCGACTTAGTATGCAACTTTGCTCAACAGCATGGCTTCCGCATTCACTTTCACATGCTTTCCTCCCTCATCTCTGCTCGTATGGCCTCATTTCTAAGAGCCCGGGACAAGCACTTACGTCTCGGTTCGTTTCTCGTTCTTATAATGTGCTATTTATACTGACAGGAGAGCGTAGCTGCCTTCCGCTTTTTCCGCATATGCCTCAAGGTCAACAACCCCAATTTCATGATTCACCTTATGAAACTAGACGTATTCAAACCGATCTTGGATCTCACGATACAGGAGTCTCGGCGGGACAGTTTACTAAGTGCCTCATGTCAGGAGTTCTTCGAACATATGCGTCGTGTGCGTCATTTCCTCGTTCTTCTTTCGTTTAGCTGATTATATGGTATAGGAAAATATTAAAGACCCAATTAATCACTGCATGACGAAGCATGAATCGTTGGTACGGCAGCTGGCCGCATCACCGCTCAGTGGTCACAGGTTTATGTCCTTCATTCGACGGTGGGAGATTAACATCGAACCTCCTCCCAAAGAGGAGTCACAACCAGTCAAGTATGTACTTATTGTCTGACGTATAGGCCGTTACTCATTCTCGTCATAGGAGCCTTCGGGATCCTCGACATATGGGTCGAAATATTGACGTCGAGGAAGAAGATTACTTCAATGCTGATGATGAGGAAGGCGATCACCACGCGCCCTTGAACTCTCCCCAAATCGGTAGCCGTGATCCATATGACGAAAACCCCCCATTTATCTCTCCTCATTTACGCGGGCGCTCTTCATCACCTGTGCATACCGCATTGAAACGAAAGCGACGCGGTGCTATGGTTGGGAAAGGCTTCCGTCCACAAACACTTGCACTTCCTCGCACTCCGCCCTTGAAATCACTCGTGGATTACCGCGACGAAGATGAGGAAGAAATTGGCCCACCCTCGCCCAAAGTGCCCTCGGCACCTGTATCCAAAGCCATTACGACAGGCGGCCAACACAACTCGCCCCTTTCGCCCGCTGCAGACATACCACCCAGTCCCAGATTGTCTCATCGACAGATTTCTTCACGCCCGCCCCCTCTTCCTCGGCGGTCCTCTTTGGATGAAGAGGACAACCTCTTGGAATCTTTACTTCGTTCTAAATCCATTGCTCCATCTCCTTCGAACGCCTCTTCAAAGGGAGCTTCCAAGCTGCCCATACCAATACGGCTCGGCGATAAGCGGAGGAGAGAGGACGATGATGATGAGCAACTAGACCTTTTGGCAGCCAAGCCAAAACGGCCTGATCTAGGTCCACGAAAGGAGCCTGAGCCCTCGAGCGGTAGAACAATTGCGGTGAAGCTTGGAGAGGATCCACCGAAAAAGTTCAAGCTTGCATTACGAAGTATCGTGACCGCAGCGCCGCAACCCTCGACACCTGTACCTTCAGAACCTGGTGTAAAAGACGGGGATACTGGTTAGCTAGTTGTCTTTCCTGTGCTTATAGATCGTACATTCGTTAATTTTATTCGAGGGAACACGAAATAAACACTACGTTGTTTGAGCACCAAACGAGGCTACATAAAGTCTGGCAAACGCGGGATATGCTATTGGGGTGCTTTGCGCTCATCGAGCGCCTCAAACGATATCCCACACCTCAATCCTCTTCATCCATCTGTGAGCGACACGTACTGGCCGCTTGCAAACCATCCGACCCGTGCAGCCATCGAACAAGATGTCTCTTGCCGATATACCATCGACCGGAAGTGGACATGGGACGACACGTATTGTTGCTCGCGCCCTCCTAGCAGCCTGTGCTTCTTCCAAGGTATCTTCGTCACCAAACGCAAAGTCGGTGTATCGCAGAGATGCTGCGGTAGTTCGTACTAGCGAGGTGATCTCCCGACGCTTCTTCAACCTCTCCCCCGTTCCCTCCCCAAGCATGACGGAGATGAACTCGGCTTCAGGAGGTTGAGGCGAACGAACGCTCAACGCAGCTCGTACGCGGAACCTAGGCATTAAAGATGTCTCTGTGACTTCTTCAGGATAGAAAACGAAGCCTTTTGTCGATCCATTGAATGAAGAGTCCATGACTACTGTAGGCGGGGATGGATCTGCAGGATGTATATGCGAGCCCAATATCCTGGT